ATACACCCATACATATTTACGTCATGTGATATGGTAATTAACATAAAGAAAAACATAGAACAACCGACGAATTCAACACATAATGAGTCTCAACCCCTTAAGATTGGATTTTACTACATCTACATTAAAAATAAATAGAAATCTAACTTCAGACCATTCTGATTATGAAGTGGTAACCTTTTGTTTTATCAATTGTCAAAGGAGAAAGTTCTGGCGGGTACTTTTTCTTACACTTTGGAAAAAAATCCAAGCTATATTATATAGATTGCTAAAAACTGAAGAGTTACCATTTGACGGATATTGACGTCAGCAACTTTGTCTTCATTATTACTTAAAGATATGAGCAAATCTCACCCACAATCTTCATTAGTTGAATACCTATATATATCGTAAAGTGAGTCAAATATGAATATGTAGAAAATCTAGAATTGAACAGAGTATTTGGAGTCATTTGGAATAGTCAGGTATTGATTGAAGCTTCATGTTTGAGAGAGAGTATGGCCATGAATTCACCGTTAAAGTTCCCTTCAATAATTCGTGATTAGTTGAGTTGAATAATCTCACATCAATTGAAAATACCTTAAAGTCAATCTTTGAGGCGTTAAGAACTCTAAAATATAGCTATAAAAGTTAATCACAATTGTGTATTGCTTCCCACATTAAATTGGTTCCATTTTGTGACACTTTATGGCCATCTACCTTTTAGTTAAAACGACAATGGCTCATGGAAAACAACTAAGAACAACTTGTTATAATTCATACATATACAGATTCTAGTTCATCGAGTACAAGACATTGAAAAAATCATCCAGTATCAAGAATTTAGCTATCACTAAAACATGCTATAAATTGGCTCTATGACTTGAAACGTTACTTGTGTTATACTTGGGAAATAAAGTTACAATGATAATATTTCATAAAGTATATTGTAATACATAAACAATTATAGTATCTTAGCTATTTCAGCTCCCAAAAACTCACATGTTGCTGCTGTGCGTGAAAAAATTACTTATTGCATCCAGAAGGGACCAAGAGGCTGTAAAAACAAAGCCTTAATTGCAGCAACAATAATACTTCCTAATCCATCCAAGTCGGTAAGGGAGAATACATTGGAAATAGCAACAACCTTATTACATCCTTGAGGTGCTGGAGTACCGTTTAATCTAGCCTTGACAAACTCGAATGCATCTCCAGCACCCAATACTGCTTGCGTAATATGACCGCCAACCTCATCTTGACGATATGAAATAGATACTCCTTGAGAACACCATTTATTATACAACAAATCGGTATCAGAAGCTGGTACAATTTCATCATGGAGGGAATCATAAAAGAATAATGGTATATCAGGAACAAGGTCACTTAATAATGCGTTGTTTGAAGATGTGACATTTTTGACAATTGGATCATCTAAAGCATTTATTCCGACCGAAATAAATTGCTCTAGTTTAGCGAACGGGTACGACAAAAGATCACCTAGTAAACAAATTGTATTCGTCTTTCTAAAATAGTCGAGCTGGGATGGAAAGACATTGTTGGTAATGTAATCATTCAAAGCAGAGTACTCATGTGACAATCCATTAATCGCTGTAATAACAAAGCCTGCAAAGATTGTTCCAAGATTGAATCTAGCAATGTGGTCAATATCAACAATAATACCTCCAAGTGCTGCCCCTACAATATTAAGTTCAGGTGCATATGTTTTATGATACATAGCCCCCCACTCTGTTCCCAAAGATCCACCAGAATATCCCCAAAGTGCAATAGTTGGATTACTACTGAGTCCAGTAGTATTACTAGTCTGAATAACAGCCCTAATTGCATTCAAAACAATTTTACCTGCAGAATGTGCAGCAACAAAGGTAGATTTTGGCCCTTCATGATCTGGCACCACAACATACCAACCTTGATTCAATCCACCTTGAACCAATAATTGTTCAATTTGGGCGGTGACAATAGTATCCGGGTTTGATCCTAATTGCATAGCATATGATGGAGAGCAGTTAATATTTGATGCATCTTCTGCAACTTGATAAGACAATAATTTATTTGGGTCAGCATTCTTTGGAATGAAGAGGGTGGCCACTGCAGCAATAGGATTTCCAAAACTATCTTCCGAGCGGACTAAGTATTGGTAAGCTCCTTCAATCTTTTCTGGAATCACAACAATCCCAAAAGTGTGGTCTTGTTTCCGGCTCTTCAAAATTGCACCCAAAGGCTGCGATTCAAACCCAGGTGGAGGAGAATAGAAGGAGTCATCCGAAGGTTGTGTTGGGAGGAAGTCTCTTTTTACCTTGAACCCAGTAGCAGGAGCTGCAAATACAGCCAGGAAAAAAAGATTAGAGATAAATAACCAAAGTAATTGCATTACTGTTTTATATTTGACTTACAATATTATTTATTAGAATTATTGAAATTATTCTCACCTCTTTATACCTTTCCATCTGACTAACGGAGTTATTAAAAACATTAATAATTTCATTTGTTATTGAAGAACCTGATATCTCCGTCTATACTTGTAGATATGTTGACAATTTCACAATGAGTACTATTTCAATAACTACTTTGACAGCTGTTATTCCATCGTATTCATTACTTTTAAGGTTTAAGAAATGAAATTTCTCGATGACTACGTAGTCGCAGCACGGCGGCTTAATGGCGCGTCGTTTTTTTTGAAACTGAATAACAGCAAATCTTAGCAAGTACTACCATTCACCTAGTATCGATTATGCTGCTACAATAGAAAGTAATAATATCTTTATCTTGTAAAGTACTGAAGTTTATTACTGATGTTTATAATAGGAGCTTTGTTTTTATGATTGAAACAACTTTTATGATCAATGGAACTGACGTTTATGACTCGTAACCTTTGCAGTGTGCATATCGAAGGCGGTCAAAAGTAAACAACTTTAAAATCTTATAGCCGAAATAAACAATTGTTGTAGCCAGTTTGCTCCGACATCCCTTCTCTCTGGTAAAATCTCCACCTATAACCTATAAGTATAATTTCACTATTAAGGTTATTCTGAATGTATTTGGTTCAAAAATCCTCATTACAGTTATGTATTAAAAAAAAATCACATGTTTGATCATCACTGTTCCTTTCAATTTAATACATCGTACATTTAGCTTGACTTAATATGAAATTATTATGCTAATTGATTGATTGATTGTATACTTTCAAATGCACGCAAATCGACTTATATTTTCGTCACAATATAGACCTGAGAGCAATATTGATTACATTATTTACTTATTAATATTGCAAATAAAAGAAGAATGCAAACTTTGTAACATTGCAACAGTTCGTCGTTACATTGAAGAATAAACATACTTTTCCTAGTTTTAATGAATTCCCCGCGGAGTTTGTAAGAGATTTTCAATTACACTATTTGATATTTTCAATTTGTTGCGCAAGCAAAATGCACTCTAATCACTCTACACGTGCCAATGAAACCATAATTAAGCTTATTTCATACAATGTGGAGACAAAAATAATTTGCAACCACTGTTGCACTTAGGCACAACCTTTAAAAATTCAGGTGGTTTAATTTTACATCTATTTTAACAGTGGGGAAGTTTTCGAAATCTAGGTATTTAGAATAAGGTATTCGTATTCGAAAAAGGGTTCAACCACTATACTTGTGCAAAACTTATTGCATCCAAAATGGACCAAGAGGTTGCAAAAATAAAGTTTTAATGGCAGCAGCGATTACACTTCCTAACCCTTCCAAATCAGTAACGGAAAAAACATTGGAAATATGAACAACCTTATTACATCCTTGAGGTGCTGGAGTACCGTTTAATCTAGCCTTGACAAACTCAAATGCATATCCAGCTCCTAAAACCATTTGCGTGATATGACCACCAATCTCATCTTGACGATATGAAATTGGAACTCCTGCAGCACACCATTTGTCATACAATTTATCAGTATCAGAAGCTGGAATAATTTCATCTTTGCTTGAAGTGTAAAAAAGTAATGGTATGTCTGGGACAAGGTCACTTAATAATGCGTTGTTTGAAGATGTGACATTTTTGACAATAGGGTTATCTAATGCCTTAATTCCAATAGAAACAAATTGCTCAAGTTTAACAAATGGGTAAGACAAAAGATCCCCTAATAAGCAGACTGTATCTGACTTTCTAAAATAGTCGAGCTGGGATGGGAACACATTTTTGTTGATATAATCATTCAAAGCAGGATACTCATGCGATAATCCATTAATTGCTGTAATAACAAAACCGGCAAAGAGTGTTCCAAGATTATATCTAGCGACATGGTCAATATCAGCAATGATACCACCAAGAGCTGCTCCAACAATATTAAGCTCGGGCGCATATGATTTACGATACATAGCACCCCACTCTGTCCCCAAAGATCCACCAGAATATCCCCAAAGTGCAATTCTTGGGTTACTACTGAGTCCAGTAGTATTACCAGTTTGAAGAACAGCCCTAATCGCATTCAAAACAATTTTACCTGCAGAATGTGCAGCAACAAAGGTAGATTTTGGCCCTTCATGATCTGGCACCACAACATACCAACCTTGATTCAATCCACCTTGAACCAATAATTGTTCAATCTGTGTTGTCACAATGGTGTCAGGGTTTGCGCCTAATTGCAAAGCATACGATGGAGAACAGTCAATATTCGATGCATCTTCAGCTGCTTGATAAGATAATAACTTATTTGGGTCAGCATTCTTTGGAATAAATAGGGTAGCAGCTGCGGCAATAGGATTTCCAAAACTATCTTCCGAGCGGACTAAGTATTGGTAAGCTCCTTCAATCTTTTCTGGAATCACAACAACCCCAAAAGTGTGGTCTTGTTTCCGGCTCTTCAAAATTGCACCCAAAGGCTGCGATTCAAACCCAGGTGGAGGAGAATAGAAGGGATCTTTAGAAGGCTGAGTTGGGAGGAAACCTCTTTCTACCTTGTATTCAGTAGCAGGAGCTGCCAATATAACCAGGAGAAACAAATTAGAGATTAGAAGCCAAAGTAGTTGCATGTTATGGTATACTAATAAAACCAGATTATTTCTATCAAGATTATTTACTGCTACTTATATAGTTCTAGTGAATGTGAAGGACTCATATTTGTATTTATCAGGAACTACCATAAAGTGATCTAGACTTCTTAAATCATGAAATAAAAATATAGATTGCTAAAGATTATAGCATGAAAAGACGTTAGACATTTAAGTTGTAAACATTGAAATAGTGAAGAAAGTTCTCAGTATAAAGTTAAAAGTACCAAAAGGGGGGGTAGCGCGTTAACAATGGACTCCACATAAGAGAATGTTCCAAATTCAGGGGAAAAGCACCCTAAACGGGGTACCATTCCAATCATATGTTATTCCATTTCATCTGTAATGTCATCGGTTACCGACGGTTTAGAACCGACACAATGCATGATGGAAAATGAAGTTGTTTTATGCACTCTTTTTATGCAAAGTTGAGATATATATATAAATTTTGTTGCGCATTACTGAAGAAAATAGATCCAAGACTTTGTGAAGGACGAAGGAAGAAGACAAAATCAACTAAATACTATCGAAAAGTAGAAAAGAGATTTTATCTCTGAGGACCATTTTGATTGCTATTTCTAGCGCGGGATATAGTCTAATTTCAAGCTACAATAGCATTATAGTTCTAGATTTTGCTCTACCTCAAAACATTCATGTTTTATGTATATGCTTTAGCAATCAAATGTCGCGTCTTTTTAAGGTCTAGGCAAATACTGTAGGAAAACGCGAAGTTGAAATCTGTCTGTCCTCGAGGTATATAGACACTGTTTGTTGACATATGTATGAAGTTATATGCAGGATCTACAAAACAGGAAGAGAACCACATGCAAATCAGAGCCTTGAACGCATCATTTAGTAAGAAATCTGAAATGTGTATCAAATTCAGAATATTGTTTACTGGTGAACCACGTTTGTTTGATTGTCAATATTAAGACGTACACAAGTGTTTACAACTCATTTTTTCAGTGAAGTGGATATGAAACAAAGAATTAATTCAAATATACCTTTGAAGATTTACAGTAAACGAATTATAACATCCTTGGCTAATTATTTCGAATATACAAGTGCTCAGATACAGCCCAACCATTCACGTGTTACAAATCACATGCCCACTCAAACGTTGATGGTTTATCTGGGGAAAATCTGAAGGGCACACCATTTCGCGTGCGAAAAGCCACAGTGAACCAACATGAGAAGTCTAAACAATACTCAAATACTAATGTAAAAGCGATATGCGAAAATGAATGATTTGCTCTATTGATGGCACCAATAACAACAAAAAAGACACGAGCAAGTGTGGCATGTGAACTATGCCGAGAGAGCAAGCTTAAATGTCTCAACGAGAACTCTACTTTACCTTGCAATCGATGCAATAGATTAGGATTGGAATGTAGATACCTATTACGTGATTCACAGCAAAAAAGGAAAGGAATTGCACAAAGATATAGCAAATATCAAAATAATGATAAACGTCAACATCTGGATACCACCGTTGCCATCTCTCCAACCAATACAGCTACTAAAGAAACCCGACCAAAACCTTTGAAAACCAAACCACCTAAACATGGCCACCCAGCTGAAGGTGCAACTGTTGTCCTTCCTCCTAAAAAAATAATTCTTGAAATTGCCACAATATTTTTTGCAAATCAATACCAAGGTATTTTTCCCTTCCTTCATAAGCCTTCGTTTCTTGCATTTCTTAGATCTGAAGAATTTGATCCACGAACATACATTTCAAAGGACTATTGTGCTAAATATTTCAGGGCAAGTTATGTGCTGTCTTTAAAATATCCAGATCCACTTCTTCTATTGGCAGTCTTGGCATTATGCTCACGATTACATCCTGAGATTGCAAGAATGTATGGAACATTTTCAGAGGATGACGATCCCGATGAATATATACCAAATTTTTCATCTAACGGTGGCAATGTAGGCGATGGAGTATCATCTCTTGCGGCATCGCGATATTTTGGATGGCATGCAAGAAATCATTTAAAACAGGTATTCGATAGCCCAACAATTCAAAGAGTGCAAGCATTGACACTATTGAGTAGTCATGAATGGGGTGAAGGAAATGAATCACGAAGTTATATGTATGTTGGAATTGCTGCTAGGATGGCCCTAGTATTGGGCCTTGGGAATGAAGCCAGTTTTCAAGAGGAGGATGATAAAGAAGAACAGAGCTATCACACAGATGAAATATCCCAATTCCTTTGCATTGAGAGCAAACGCAGAACAATGTGGTCCGTGTACATGATGGATCGATGCAATGGAAGTGGTAGAAATAGATCTCTGTGCATAAAAATTGAAGATGTTCCCATACGGCTACCCTGCCAAGAGCTAGATTTTTTCTTTGGCCGAGCTGGTGTGCTGACTGGGGATGCAAGTCCATCCCTTACTTTCAACGAGGCAATGTCTCAGCTTTCAGGCAATCTCGAAAAAAGTAATGGTAATGCCATCCATAATACATCAGGAGAGATCAGCAGAAGATTAGTATCTACAGTTGCACAAACATCACCATTTGGATTTCTTGTTATTTTATTTGAGATCTGGAAAAAAATTGCACGGTGGGTGGGTGAAGTTGGTGGACGATTGGATAAACTTCCTCCTTGGGATGAAAGCTCATCTTTTTTCCGCTTCTCTTTGGAACTTGACCACTTTGAAAAAGGACTTCCTAGTAGACTTGTATTCTCCACCTTCAACATGGATGCACATATTGCTGAAGGAACTGGTGGGCTTTATGGATACTTGCATAGTCTTTTCTTCTTGTGTCGCATATTTTTGAATAGAGAGTACTTCTATTGCAGTCCTCAATTGTTACCAAAAGCTTGGTGGGGAAATGCAACTCTTTCCCTTCTACAACTGATTGATAAAATGCATCTTTTGTTCACAACTTTAACTACGGTAAATCTGATGGTCGTGGCCCCATTTACTGGGTTTGAGGCGTTCACAATGTCCACCACCTGTATGTACATTGATGCATTTCCAGTAGATGTACTAAAGCTGTACTTCCCTCTGGAACTTTTACCAGAACAACAAGATGGCGACCAACAAGATATCAATGCCGCGGTTGATTTTATAAAAACAAAATACCAGCAAATGGGCATTAGTTCATTACAACTCCTTGGAGAGTGGAAAAAAGCCTGGAAGTTGGCTGGTTCTTGGTACGAAATGACATTAAAATTTAGAGATTCTCTTCAGAATAGTACCAAGAGGCGCCAACCATCAATACAAGATGATGAAGTGCACCATAAGTTACATGACTACGGAAATGGTAGCGTAAAAGAGGTTTACTTACCAACAAATGCAACATTTAAAAGACCAACTGACCAGATGCACATCCTGAATTTATTATCTGCAGAGGTTACACCAGAAGCAGAGAAATTTACAGGTGAAAATGGGAATGCGGAAAATACTTCAGATACACCTATTCTAGACTTCATTGATAACTTGGATTTTGCAAGCATAATACCTGGATGGTATGACGCAGTAAACATGTGAAGGCTTATTTAATTTTATTTATAGATATAAAAAATTTACCAAAAATACATTTATGGTTCAAAAATACGAAAACAAGCTAGAAAAGAAGTTCTGACCAAATAATTCTTTTCTTCCAAATTGGATATTGTTTTCAGAATAAGGAATGAATTCTTCAATAGTATCTACTAACTCAGAACTTCCTAACTCTTTTCCATTAATATCGTAGCTCTTAGCAAATACTCGTTTAATTTGCTCTCCTTCAATAGTAAGCTTAGTTTCAAACCCGTCTTTATCCGCCTTACCAATAAATGTTTCTTGCCCAGCTGCATCTTTAGTGAAGAATTTCCAGAGCTTAGTTTCGGTATCACCATTCCAGCTGACATAAACTGAAGTATCTCTACCTCTGGAAAACTCACTATAGACTGCAATACTCTCATTTGGGATACCCACCCAATTAAATTTGAAAGCCCGGTAATTCTCAGCTGCAACTCCAAGGTCTCCTGAATCCACGAAAGCATGGAAAATAGCTTCAGCCTTTGAATTGTACTCAGTGAGGGCACCTTCAGATCCCCAACCTACAAGTACATTTCCTGAAGGCAATACCTGTGTGGATCCTTGTGATTTAGACAAAAGATTGTATCCAAGAGGTGGAATAGCGTTGAACAATAACTTAGCTTCCCAGGTTTTTGTATTTACTTCAATAATTTTACCACTTGAGTATGGACTGTATGAAACAACTTTACCATTCTTATCTTCACTTCCTTGGGCAGAGTTGTCGTAAAACGAAATGACTGCACTATCCTTATTCACCTCAATGAATCTTGCATGGTGCTGAAACAGGAAAGTCAAGTTTCTTCCACTTTCAAAATCTGTAGAAGAAACTCCTGGGAGTCCACCTAATTTCCAAATAACTTCTCCAGTGGTTCCATCAATTTTATACAACGCAGCAGCATTTCTTGCCGATAAAAGGTAATCACCAGCTTCATCTTTATCCACAGAGTTAATATGAAAGTAGTCCCATGCATCACTTGAATTATAGCCAGCTCCAGCATGTCCCTCAGAAACGGACAATACAGATTCGTTAGGAGAAACATGGTCCAATGAAGACCATTCAAAAAGGACTTTTCCTGTTTCAATATCCAATTCTTGGAACTTCGAATCAACAATCCATTGTTGATCGGGTTTGGCTCCAAAATCGCTCAAATCACGAGGGGTTGGGTGATAAATCTGAATCAATCCTGAAGTTTCGTTTACAATATGAAACTCATGTTTATCCAATATCCGATGATTCCCAGCACGCAATTCCTTAATAGTCTCATAATTCTGATCTAAGAATGTAATATGGCCATGACCATGACCGTATCCCGGATTATGCGAGCCTTCGAACAGAAATAGAACATCTGAACCATTTACGCGACCTTTTTGAAAGTTTGTAGCCCAAATAGAAAAGTAAGAAAACCCTGACCAAACTAAATCTCCATCATTAGTAAAAATATATGGTGCAGCTTGACGAGGACCATGTGAGTTACCCACATCTGGAAATCCACTGAAGGGAGCCAAAAACAAATATCCATCTTCTACCTCTTCAGTAGCCTTGATTGTGATGTTCAATCTAGGAGGAGATAAGTCAGGACGGGATTTGAACTGCCAATCAGCAAGGGCTACTGGAAGTGCAAATAGTAAGAGAGAGTTAATTTTCATTATTTAGAACGTGTAAAGATCACTAAATTCTGGTTTAGACTACTTCAATATCATGGTTTATTCCCATGCTTTTATAGTTTTACTGTTAATTGATAGAATTGCAATTGAAGGTGTGGTGGTTGCAAAATACACGTGCACACATGCATGAATTTATACACTGTGGAGCTGTGGAACACACAAACCTACGGCTCGGTTCGGCTGAGCACTATGTGTGATTGCGAAAAAAATGATTGCGAAAAATATGCGATAACAGATCGAGCAACAAGTTTAACAAAACGTAAAAAAGTTAAAATATTCCTTTCTACTAATGGATACCCAAACCGAGTAATTAGAAATCTTAATCATTTCGGTTAATACTTGTAGTGTACATCTATCATATTATAAAAATCTATCAATAAACTAAGCACTTGTAGTTCTTCCTTTCGGTTGCGCATTCAAAATATCTCTACTTAAACAGAACACAAATGCAAGTGTACAGCATATACTGGAGAATAATTGAGCAAGCCTAATTGCATTCTCATAATCTTGAGCGACTATACCTTGCAATCTTGGAGGGAGGGAAGTAATAGCGTCAGTAGATTTAGTGATTTTACGAATGATTCTCGCAACCTCCTTTTGAGAAACTTCACCTTCCAAGTCTCTTAAAAGGTTAGATTTGAAGGCACCTTGAATAATTGCTGACACACAAGAGACTCCCCATACCCCTCCAATACTTCTCAGTAAGTAAATAGTAGAAGTTGAAGTTGCTTGACACAGGGCCAGAAATGCAAATACAAACGTAAAGAGACAAGAAGGAAAAGCCATTCCTTGCCCAAGATTTGCAGGGATAAGCATAAGATCAAGAAGTCTAGATGGTGTTGAGGGTTTTACCAAAAGGACGATAAAATTTCCTGCTGCCATTACAAAAGTTCCGGTATAGACAAGATAACGAAGAGCAGGTGGCCCCTTTCTTCCCATGATGAGGCCAGTGAGAACCCCACCAACTGGAGTTGATAACGATGGGATTGCAAGGCGAAGTCCCGCTTGAGAAGGCAGATCACCGAGAACGAATTGGAATAGTAATGGAAGCGCAAATAGATATGCATATGAGGAGAATCCTAGCATGAAGTTTTGAGCAAGCATTAAGATTGAAAATAAATCATTAAATCGTGCAATAGGAATGATTGGATGGAGGGTAGTGGGTTTAAGTTCTAGATGGATGAAATAAGCTAGAAGTAAAAAGCCGACCGTTGCCAAGGAAATAAGTTTTGCAGAAGTCCATGGTAACTCTGCACCTCCAAGTGTGAGGACAACAACTTGTATGGAAAGTGACAATACAAGAATAAGTGATCCCATATAGTCAATTTTCGCAGCAGCCAAGGAAACACCATATTCTATACGATTACCTGTACAATCTTCGGAATTAGCAGGCCCACCATTGGAATTGGATTCTTCAGCATCGTTTGTTTGTAGTAAATTATCAGTTGATGAATTTTCAACGGATGAATTTCTACTAGGGATTTGCTTATTAGTTACCGTGTGTGGATGAGTGAATTTTATCTCCGGTAAATATGCATACCCTACAAGAAGGGATAGTATTGCTGGAGGAATTTGCATAAAGAAACACCATCTCCAACCTACACTATCCAGAATGACCCCACCAAATGAAGCTCCGAATACAGCACCTAAACCCATGGCCAAATTTTGGAATGCTTGAAATAACCCTCTCTTTTCCTGCGGAACTATATCAGAATTAATCACAGTAGCTAAGGTCAAAAGTCCACCACCTCCAACACCAGCTAATGCTCTCAGAAGATTAAGAAATGTAAGGGTTGGTGCAATTGCACACCCTAAACACCCCACTGTGAATAGAACTATGGCAAAAAATACACACTGCCTACGACCTAAGACATCTGAAAATGATCCATAAAGAGGTTGAAATGCAGTCGATGTAATCAAATAAGAAGTGGTGATCCATGAAGCCAAATTTGCAGCTTGAAATTCGTTACCTATGGTGGTATATGTTGAGGCTGTAACAGTGGCATCAAATCCGGAAAGAAATACATTAGATAAAAGGGAGATTTCTATCCATACAAAGTTTGGAACTGATGAGAAGGAATTACCAAATTGATTTTTATTTGTGAGTACACCGACAGAGTGCTCCTCATCAACATTTGTTCCATAGTCAGGGATCTCTTCTTCTGTAACTAGCACAGATATTTCACTGAGTTTTTTCTTTAGAGAAGTCATGTTAAACATGATATGCAAGAAGGTTTCTACAACGAACAGAGAAGGTAATATCAATATATAGTTTATCCCCTTGCAAAATGCAAGCACAAAGGGGTTTTTTTTTTGCACTGTTCACACCAACTAGCACCACAGTTTCACCATGTCACGTTCGAATACTTATAGTTACCATGTACTAACAAGAAAATAAATTGATATAAGCAAATCTGATAATAGAAATTCTTATTTACTCATGTAAGAAGTTTAATTTATAGCTGAATACAGACAAATTACTCGTAAAATTTCTTGTGTTCTTGTGCAATTAATAGGTGAAGTAGTTCCTAATCCATCAAAATTTTTAGATAAGAATTTGCAATTCGCATATGCTCGAGGGATATCCCTGAAACAGCGAAAAAAAATAAAAATAAATTCTGTCTACAGATAATAACAAATAATACTGAAGTGATGTACGATTAGCTATATCTTTTAACGACGATATGGGTAGTCAGACCGCGTATTCCGGCTGGAATTACAAACGCATTAGGCAAGTTTTTTTTTTCACTCCACTCATGAAAAATTATTGTTTATTAAAAATATAATGTTTTAGGGGATACGACGCATGGCGGGTCAAAAGTAAAGTTTTCATAGCGAAAATATTTGACTCTGTTAGGGATCCAATGAATATAGAGCCGCAATTAGAGACTAAAATAGTTCTCGATTTTCTCACACATCTAAATTTGATTGATGTTTAAAGTTTGAAACATTAATTGTATGTAGAGCACTTTAGTAAGAACAAGGCGGTCTTAATGATAGCCAAAATCGCACAAAGAGAGAGGAGATAATACCCATCTCTTTGCCAAGAAACCAGTAGATTAAATCAATTACTGTAAATCGAATCTATACACTCACGTATTGCGGTAATTTCACTTGGCCCAGTACCACAACATCCCCCCATAATTTTAACATTGTTTGTTTTTATCCATTGAGTACAGTTAGCCTTCCACGCATCTCTTTGTACCCCAGTGGTGACGTACAGCGAAGTTTTCAAGTCATATTCTAAGCCTGCATTGGGATATACCACCAATGGATAGGATGTATTGCAGTTGTTGATACTTGCAATGATATCTCTTGACTGATCGAATTGAATACAATTTGCACCATATGCAACGAGATTATCCTTTATTATCTTGTGATCATCTAGGTATGATTGGATGGAGTCGACCACTTGCACAACAGTAGTGCCGTCACATATATGTTCTTTATCTTTAAAATTGAATGAGAGATAGAATGGTTTTGGTTTGTAACCAGATGAAAATAAATCCGTCATAAGCTTTAAAATTGCAATTGCCTCATTAAAATTTGGAATTGTTTCAAATGCCAATAAATCCACTCTTGGATCATTTAAAAAATATTCAACAATGCCCCTATGGAATTCTTTTAAGTCATCTATAGGAGAATCACCAAGGTTGTATTCGCCCGTATATTCTGCCCCATTAGCTAAAAACCCACCATAAGGTCCTACAGATCCACAGATATATGTGGGGCGAGGAGCGACGTTTTGTGTAGCAAAAGTTTTCTGTGCCGATTCACCAACATCAACAGCCTTTTCGTAACACTTTCTAATTTCCTCAGTAGATAAAGACGCATGTTTTTGCAAACCAAGCGTAGAAGCTTGGTATGTAGCAGTTGTGATAATATCAGCACCACTGTTCAAATAATCATAATGAATTTCTTGAATCAACTGTGGTTTTTTCAAAAGAATTAATGCTGACCAAAGAGGGTGATGTTGAATATTTAAATCCTCATCAATGAGTTGGTCCTTGAATTTTTGTTCTAATTGAGTACCAAGGGCACCATCTAGAACTAATGGCTTGATAGCTAGTTGTTCCTGGAAAGATGGTTTTGACATTTGTTCTACTTGTAGAAACTAATCTACATTTTAATTGAGATACTCAAAAAAGCCAAAAAAAAAGATTTTTGTTCAACAGAACTCAAAAACAGACTAAATCACGTGGAGTACATTGAAAATCACATACATGGGGGACTTTAAAAGTGGAAACCTTTCAATATTGTAAAAGGTGTATTATACATTACAATCATGTAGAAAGTATTCACCAGTATCTCAGTATCTTTTGTATATTGTTTTGTTTTTCTTTCTTTTGTCTTCAAAGCCCAAGGTTGGAATCACATTCCAACGTATGTACGGAAAATCGATGATTAAAATCTGTCAAAATGTAGCAAGACCAATCCAGACGTTAATCAAACTAATCGGATAAATAAAGCTAACGCCAATTTTCCAACTGGCCCCACTTCATTATTATGTATGACTTGAACAGGAAAACCTGGGGTAAGATAATCTTGCAAGTTCCTGATGTCCGAGAAAATAAACTCCGGTTCGGTTACGGGCCGAGAATCGTTATCTGGGGAAATTTTTCATGTCACACATATATATCTAGGTATATCCAAGTTATCTGTCAAAGTGAGAAAAATACATTCTTATATCCCTGAATGATTGCTTGAATATATTCTTCTATCGATATTTGACAACTTGTCCCTGTTGTCACCTTCTATCGTATATGTTTACGAAGGGACTGAAATCGAAAATAAAAAGAAACTTTTACTGAAAAGGGCCATTTCATAGTTCTAGGGAAGTGGAGCTTGCAGTGAACGATATTTTCTGATGTACCCTAAACTTTAGAAAATATCCAAACAGGACCAAGCAGTAGATATATACTATGTGAGTTTAAGGCAATAAAAATTGAAGAAGGGACATATGACCAGGTACATATACAGGAAGTGGCTACACTACCAAACAATTCACTATGGACGGAATGAATCGATAATTTTTCTTGGTTAGAAGGAATTTACTTGTCTATTCAAGGCGGAAACTGATTTGTATTTGGGAAATATCGATTGTTTTTTTTTTTGACCTTGCTCAATTACGCGGAATACATTAAAATAATGTTCTCTCCGTACAAAAAAAAGAAATATGATGTCCCCTCTACTTTCTCTCCTCTTTTGTTTGAGAGTAAAAAAATACTTGGATACTATGAAGAGCTAGAATCATATACCCCGTTCAAGGTGAATGATTGAATCCAACAATTTCGGAAAGGTTAATCGTTTTGTAAACTAACTCAAGGTATAGGCACGCATTTGATTTCCTCAAACACATAAATTTGTCATTAGCCAAGAAAAATGACAACGGAAACTGCTACTTACCTACAATGAAGCCGCATACTAAAACCTATGTCGTACGTATGATCGAGGAGAAATGTGAAAAGTCTCCGGGGTTGTGCATATCGAAGTGTAATGTAGTATGGGGGCGACAATCACTGAAACTCGTTTTGATGTGACTTTCTTGTCGTGTAGAGTTTTAAAGTGGAATTTTATTGTACTGTACGAGATGTCGATCGCCTTAAGAAAAAGAACAACGAAAAAGTTCCTTCGAAATCGGTCAAAATATTACCATTTCAAACATAAGATAAACGAATTATGTCTAATTAGACACCCTGAAACATCCGCCCCTCTCTCGTTGAACTGTGTATGCCGTGCTCTGATTAACATTTCTCAACCCCGCTTGTGAGGTTTTCCCGGGAGATTTCGAAAAAATAAAAAATACCAAGACTTTTTGCGTATAACTGCACTCTCTACAATTACCAAGTGCGGAGGACAAGAAATTTTTTACATTCTATCAACGAAGCGTATTTGTCATAATCTTTCCGGCAGAACTCCGAAACTCTCATACTTGGGAGTAAAATCTTGATGTTTTACTTCGCAAAAGTACTTTTGAACCTGTTATTGGATTGGTTAGGTGTGTCTAGAATGGCTGCAAAAGAGACCCTTCCTATCCACCTTCCGTATCTGGATATAAAGCCCCCAACCATAAAGTGGATTCGACCCCTCCACCCCGGACCAATACCTTTATTGCGTTTACCCCACATATAAGCACAATCGTAAATAAAAAAAAAAAAAAAAAAAAAAGAAAAAAGGAATTACGCTGCAACAGCGGCTTTTCTAACCTGGAACATATGTGTAGACCACATATGAATCAATCATTGAGTGGAGGATCCAGTAGGTATATAAGGAAGGCAAATGTATTGTATTTTAATCTCAATTAATCATCATCCAACTCTTATTGTTCTTACAGAATTGTACTGGCAGGTCCAAGTTTTTTATACAACAAAAAGAAACAATTTGACGTGAGATTCTGGTAAAAAATATTCGGAGACACTAAAAATATATTTGCAATAATTACTTAACTATGGGAAAAGAGAACGATTCTGTTTCCATCGAGTCGGTGTCGAGCACACCTGGCAGTCCTAATGAGAAGACTGTCGTCAAGCAAGAAAAAAAGAAAGAATTCCGTTGGAGAGTGGTTGACAACGAGTCTCCACCGGAGATTTACAACAAGACACTTTACCTTTCTGTCTTTGTCTTTGGTGTTTTAGGGTCAGCCAGAGGATTTGATGAAGGTTGTATTTCCGGAACTGTTGCTCAAAAGTCTTTTATTGAAGAGTTTGGACTTAAGTCCAAGCTTTTGACTCTCTCAGAGCAAGCCAATCTTAAGTCCAACATCACCTCAATGGTCCAATTGGGTTCCATTGGTGGTAGTGCCTTGGCCATGTGGACTGTTGATCGTTTTGGTAGAATTAGAACTTTGCAAGGGGTTTGTGTCTTATGGATTGCTGCTGCTATTATCCAGGCCACTTCCCATTCTGTTGGACAATTGTATGCTGGTCGTTTGATTGAAGGGTTTGCTATCGGTCAGACCACTACTATTGGTCCAACTTACATGTCTGAAGTTGCGCCAAAGGCCATCAGAGGTCTTTGTGGATGTATCTTTGCCGGTGCTGTATATTTTGGAATTATGACTGCTTACTTCGCTAACTATGGTACTGCCTTGCATGTCGTTGGTCGTAATCAATGGGTTATTCCAACTTCCATGAAGTGTGTTTTAGCCTTTCTTATTTTAGTTGGATCTACTTTCCTTTGTGTTGAATCTCCTCGTTGGCTTATGAAAATCGGTAATGATGATAAGGCTGCGAAAAACTTGTCGAGGCTTCGTGGGCTTCCAGTTGATCATCCATACATCTTGAGTGAAATCGCCGACATCAATGAACACGTTTTGAGAGAAAAGGAACAGACTAGTGGTAACACAATCTTGGGTAACTTTAGAGAAATTATCATGACCAAGTCCATCAGATATCCATTCTTTGCGGTTTGTTGTATGTCTCAACTTCTTGGGCAATGGTCTGGTGCCAACGCCATTACCATTTACTCTCCTGAACTTATGGCCTTGGCTGGTGCTGCAGGTACTGAAAAGCTTAAGATGACTGCTGTTTTAGGTGTGGTGAAGTTTATCTCTGCATACCTTTCTGCCTTCTTTATTATTGATTTCTTGGGTCGTAGACGTGCCCTTTACATCGGTATCACCGTGCAGTTAATATCCATTCTTTACTTTGCAATTTTCTTGACCATTGTTCCTGAAGCTGAAGAAGATCATCCAAACTTGTCAAATTCCCAATTTCATGCTGCACAGGCTGCCCTTGCAGCTCTTTTCCTTTCTGGTACTGGATGGACTATGGGATTCAACTCAATTCAATATCTTATTGGTTCTGAAATGTTCCCTCTTCGTATCCGTTCCTTTGCACAATCCCTTGTTATGGTGTTGCATTTTGCTAACCAATACGGTAACTCCAAGGCTCTTCCAAAGATGTTGCTTGCCATGGACAATTATGGTGCATTCTATTTCTTTGTCGCTGTTTTGGCCTGTTCTCTCTTTTGGGCTTACTTTTTCATCCCTGAAGTTTCTGGTCGTTCTTTGGAAAGTATTGAAGAAATCTTCTCATTGCCTTGGTACCTTGTTGGAAGACGTGGTGCTGAACTTTGTCCTGATCACTCCGAAATCAACAGAGTCACTCATAATGAAGAAGGTAATGGCAATGCTCATGGTGGTCATATTGATTACGAAACAAAGCCATCTGAAGAATTTTTGGAGGATGTTGAAGATGAAGGAGTATTGAAAAGGGCTAATAACACTAAATCTAATGGAAAAAATTAGGGTGTTAATTAGTTTTATAGTGAATTTAATATGAATTTATGTATAAATCTTTCATGTAATTAAATAAAATGACCATCCCTGATGGTTATTACCAGTACTATTTACTTTCACAGTACCTTGTTTCCCATCTGGAACTTTAATGATACTGCCATCAAGACAGAATCTACCTCTTCTAGCAGAGTTTTTGGCACTGACCTCCAATACAATGTCTTCACCCTTTTGGACCAGTTCATAAACCACTCGCTCGTCTTTAACATGTTTCCCACTGTCGTAGACTTTAGTCATGATATCAACAATGTATTCGGAACCACTGCTGGTGTTGAAAGCCACAAGCCATAACTTGTCATCTTTTACATCTCCTCTTGGCAGAATTTCAAATGGTTTTTCAAATCTTTTCGCTGGAGTGGCTAACCAATATGCAAATGGTCCTTCAATCAAAGTTTCATTGTCACCAATACGAGTTTCCCCATCGTATAATTGTACTTCTTCAAGATTAGTTTTGGCTGCAATTGCAAATCTTTGCACCCCATGCTTTCTCAATTCAGGAGTGTCACTATCTGCAACCAATGATGCATGGAACCCCCACGATAAAACAACAATAAACTTCAAGGGAGTGAATATTTCTTCCGTTTTCACATCGCGAGATAAATGGTAACTCCCCTCGGGGAAAGTAGCCTCGTATAAATTGAAAGGGACGATTTCTTCAGGTGAAAGAAGACGTTGAATCGACTCAGCAACATTGTAGATACCCAATGAAAGCGCCAAACTATTACCCGTTCCAGCGGGAATGTGGAAAAGCAAAAGATCGCCCCCTTGGTCATTTCTGTCCAAGCCGTTGATAAACTCGTTAATTGAAGTATCTCCACTAATGAAGATCACGAGTTGCGTTTTCTTCTGTTTCAACAGATTGGCAAACTGTTTGATCGAGTCCGCACCGTCTGTGCTCAAATGCTTATGTTCAACGCCCAATTCTTCAAACAAGGGGTCAATCACATTCTTATACACATCGGTCTCTGGATTTCTCCCCTTGCCTGAGTTGACTGAATCAATCACAATGATCTCATTTTCCACCAAGTGCAATGGTGCCGAGCTCGTCAAGTCGGGCACAGATGGGGGTGGAGGAGCCGGAATCTCGGGTGTTGTGCTAACAGCTGTATCTGCACCTTCTTCGTTATACACCAACAGTAGGACTAGCTCAGTTTGTAACACCAGCACTAGCTGGCCATTTTTCGTGTAAAGAGGAACAACAATTGCCGCAGGATCTCCAACTGGCATCTTCTTTATCTTGCTGTGTATAGCCTTAACCTCATCCTTCTGCTTCGTATTACCCGACATTCTACTGTACCTTTATATGTCAAGGAATTTGCCCAATTTGCCCCCAAATTTCAGTTATAATTATTTGATCTAATCTAAATTGATGCGCGAGTGAAACGGAATCAAATCTTCGAATGATCTAGGCCTCGATTTCAATACGCTCAAAACTTCCCAATTTTAAGTGATAATGATGGAGTTGCAATCCGTCTAATTAACTACTACAAGTCCGCTCAATAAGCTATAATTTCCAGGAGCCAATTTTGTAATTACTGTAATAAAAACCCTCGAAATTACTTCTGCGAGTGTGGCTCTCGAATTTCATTTCATGTTTTATTACGAGAATGTACATTTTAAGGAATGCAAGGAGCGAAGGAATATTGCTATCAATTTTAACTCCTATAGGGGAACATATTCATTTACGAATATTTACCCACTCTACATGTGGGGGATTCAAAATAATTCTGCGTTTTCTAATTTTTACTTACTACCTACTTATCTCCTATACCCGTTCTTATGAAAATTTCCTCCTCCTCGGTTAGATGATTGGTTTCCACCCGATCTATTGTTGTAATTATTGTAGTTATTGTTGCCGTGATTATTGTTGTAGTTGTTGTAATTGTTTTGGTTGTTGTAGTTGTTTTGGTTGCTGTAACTGTTCTGGTGGTAGTTATTATTGTTGTAATTATTATGATTGTTGTAAGAATTGTTATTGTATGAATTTCCACCTTGACCCTGATAATTGTTGTATTGTCCTTGGTTAGAGTAGTTATTATAACTGTTCCCTCTGTTATATTGCTGACCTTGCCCTCCTTGATATCCCTGGTTATATTGGTTATATTGTTGTTGGCCATATTGGTTATATTGGCCAGGAGAGTTATTGTATTGCGGAGCTGGTGCTTGTTGCACAGGAGCAGATTTGGGTGCAAAAACTTCACTACGATACCCTCCTCTTCTCATACTATACACACGGAATATTTCTTTCCCTTCAGGTCCATGGTTAACATACCCTTCATTATCCTTTGGTGTGCGGAATCTGTTACCCTGATAGTTTCCTCGAGAAATTATCAGATCACGATCTTCTTGAGTAAGAACCGGTGTAGCAGCAATATATCCATTAAGAAGCATTGATTTCCCCTGTTTCTTTGCAGGCATACGGTAGTAAGAGGCGAAAAAATCTTTATTGGAAAGATCCGGAAGAGTTCCTTCATTAAGAGGGAATGGTGTTGAACCAGTTGGTTCGAATTTTTGGTCAATAAACACAGAACCAGCAAGAGATGATCTGCTTGAACGGAAGTGTACAATTTCAGACTTTTCTTCCGTTTCAGACACATTTTCCAGCTTTTCACTTGGTCCATACATGGCTAAGAACTTCTCATAGTTCTTATTGTTCTTTCCCACGTATAAAACATCTTCCTTCAAACTGTTTCTGTCCTTTTCAGCGTCAGTTAATTCCTTGTATTTATCTTGAACAACCCGTAACAACCGTTGTTCATCAATAAATGGTAAAAGAGCAATACCTTGCCAACTCATCTTCTTACCATTCATATCAATCTGGAACTCTTCAGGGTAGAAATCGATAATCTCACTATCAGGATTTGACATGAGGTCTCTAAATACTTCCGGAAGATTATATCCTGAACTAGCGGGAAGAACACTCATCAATTGTTCAAATGGCTTGAATGGTTGTCCAAGCTTAAATTGTACTCCTTGATCTCCAATAATAGAATGAAGATCGGTGAAATCCGATGCAAATGGTGCATAATGGTATGGGTAGTACCATTGCCATGAAGGACATCCTTGGTAATAGTATAAAAGAACCCATGAGATACCTTCAATATAAGAGCGAACAAGGGAAGATCTAGTTTCTTGGATCTCTTCAGCTGTAGAAATATGAAATTTGGTAGTATAATAACGGTTATGGTAACCTGGTTCCCACATTCTTACAGCGTCTCCATTTTCATCTACATCTTCCGAGTTGGCTTGTGAGCCTTCGACTGGAGTGATAGGTGTGGCTTGACGAGATTCTGGTTTACTTTCTGGTTCAGTAGTTTGTCCCTTAAAGACACTGGCAGCACTTACTTCAGCATTGGCATTCTGACCAGCTATTAACTTTCTTAAAGCTTCGGCAGCTTCAGCGTTGGTTTGAGTAGGTTCCGTAGAGGTAGAAGTAGTATCAACACCAGCTCTAATTTCTCTACTAGAGGCAATTTCCTTATTGGAAACTTCTTTAAATCCTTCTACCAACTCACCATTAACTCCGTACAAAGGCATGTTTTGGTTTGCAATCAATAGAGCCCTATCAGCACCTTTAGAAATTCCATCAGGCTTTCTTCTCTTATTTTTATCAGAAGAATCATCTTCAATACCTCTTCTTCTTCTATCACTTTCTTCTCTTCTTTTTTCACCTTCATGTCTTTTCCTAAAGATTTCATCTTCCTTCATAGCCAATCCTCCCAATAACTTCTCAACACCATCCAAGTTCAACTTACCATCACAAGTGATATAATCTTTCAATCTTGGTAAAATTCTCTTCCAGCAATTCACCAAGATATCAATACCATTGTCTCTAACATCCAAACTTGGCAAATGGGGTAAGAAATCGTTCCCGACAAAGAAACACATAAACACCCAATCATCAATAGCTCTCTCGACATCAAAGACAAACGGTAATTGTGGGTTAAACAATTCAATAGCCAAGTACTCTCTCAACACATTAACATGAAGCCACAAGAACGGTTTCTTTGCATCTTGCTTAGCTAAATTCTCCCGTTGTTCTTCGGTCATATTCAACTGGTCTGAGATTCTCAATTGACGATTGTTTCCAGCAAAGACGTCTTCTCTCAACACTCTGAAATGTGGTTCATGTGTAGCAAGACCCAAGAAAATCAAATCAGCATCTAACCCATAGATACAATGCTTTGTGTTTGGGTTATACTCTGGATCAGCTCTTTGACTTCTAATGAAGTTCATCAACTTATGTTCACCTTCACCTGGAACAGTAGCATCCGAAATGATAACCTGGAGGTCTTTCCAGCCCGGGTCGCTGCTCAATTTGTATGCCACCCAGTATCTCAAGGCTTCGGCCAATCTATCCATAAAGGGGGTACCTGGAGTGATAGCGTTACTATCCCAAGACTTCTTACCCTTGATGGCCTCATCGATGGATTCACCACGCAACTCACGCTCGGCAATCTGTCTTTGCTTCTCCTCATGAGCGATCTTAGCCTCTTGTGCAGATCTGAAACGTCTTGCACGTTGTTGATTCATCTTGGCTCTGGGAGCAACACCATCAACGGCAATCATCAACACTTTCCTTGGTCTTGCCATCATTAAAACTCTGTCTGTGTAAGTGAAAACGTCCAAAAACATCTCATCTTCTGTTTCTGGCGCCGGCTTGTGTTCTGGATGAGAACACGGATGAACAATCCCGTTCATATCTAGATACAAATTATCTAGTTCACCATTTGGATTAGGTGAAGAATAGCTTGGTCCTGAACCTTCAATGCCGTACTCAGCGTCGGCCTGTACGTCTCCTTCTTCCTCGATCACCGGGGAGATGATCTTGGGGTATTTCCTAGACAACCATCTAAATAACGCTGGCACACCCATGGTTAAATATCTGGTACTAGGTTGTTAATACTTGAAATGCTTTTTTGCATAGTCTTTTTAAAAAAAAAAATAAACTAAGAAAATGAACAAAGACCATATCGATGGGACTAACACAAACACACATGCAGGATGGGGCATATCTCTATATACGGTAATTCTAAATACTAGTGTTTTCACTATGAAGTATTGGTGTAGAGGTCTTTTGTATCAAGATTTATGTATGGATGGTAGTTTATCATCCTTGAAATATGTATGAGTGTAAACAAAATATATATACATTTATATTTATATATAAATTAAACTTTATCATTTCATCCACTCTACATTTTCTGTCATTTCTTATAAAATGAACACACTACTACTTGTGTTCGCTGGTTTCCTCTATTGGTACATTTCTACATATCATACATAAACAAGAGTATTGCATGATCTTGTTCAAGAAGTGTGGATTTTAATCAATTCTGCAAATCTGCTTTGTGTTTACATTGCGACTATGGATTAAGATCTTGGAAATGGCTGCAAAAGAGGACTGCGAAATAATGAACACTTCATGATAATAGCAAATGTGATGTTTTATTCGCTTACCTAGTTCATACATCATTCGGTTACCTATAACTCACGTGTACAAAAACGATAAAGAAATTAGTAACAAGTAGTCATGTTTAAAAATTTGATTAATATACCTTTAATTACAAATAAATCATTAAATTATTAAATTTGTATTAGTATTAGTATTATTTCTATTAATTTATAATATACATGCAATCCATTAAATGACTTCTTCTTGACGCTTTTCCAACTTGGCAGGATCAAGTTCTTCTATAGCAGAATTGTAGACAATGATTCCTCTTTCAGCAGCAGTCTTTTTCTCATCCTTCTTGTAGAACCATAAGACTACAAAAGTCCAAAGGGAAAGAGATGCAGCACAACAAGCGGTGAAAATGAAACCCTTTTGATAACGTGGTTGGTCAACAGTCTTCCATACAATGACAGCCATGAATGCAGTGGTTGTTTGCGCTAAAATATTCATCGAAACAAGAATGACAGAACGTTTACGAGCATCTCTACGACAAATGTCATTTTGCCAAGAATAAAGAACTGGAGCCATGGCCCAACCAAAGTATTGAAGACACCAGGCAAACCATTTGGCTCCCTTTGGAATATTCCAAGCAGCAAGAAGTGCATTACCGGTGATGTTCAATGCTTGTGAAATGATGATAGCCAGCCATCTAGACTTGAAAAGATCAGCATATGTACAAATAAGGAAAAGCCAAAGAAGACCCAAACCTGGGGTCAATGCACCCAAATCTTGAAGTCTTCCTTCAGTGTAACCTTGAGCCTTAAGCCACAAGAGATAAGCACCAGAAGTACCGTTATTGTTGTTCCAACAGAAAACGTTAAACACAATAAGAACATAGATTTCCCAAGAATTGAGAATGGATTTCCAAAGATCCAATGAAAGGAAAGATTTATACATTGGTTCTTCGGATTTACCAGTTTCTGGTCTTGAACCAGTTTGGTTAACTTCAAGACGCTTTCTAGCAAGTCTGATTTCATCATCGGTTAAAAAGATCGAGTAACAATCACGAGGGGTACCTGGGATGGAATAGTAACCAATGGCACCCACAGCAATGGAAATGACCCCATCGATGATGAAAATCCAACGCCACAGCGCCATTCCTCTGGCATCGTTCAAAGTACGAACAATGGAACCAGATAACAAGGAACTGGTCAAAAGACCAAGATATTGACCCAAGTAGAAGATCATGGATCTACGAGAACATTCATAAGACTTGTACCAACTACCAAAAAGAAATTGGTATGAAAAATACAGCGGAGATTCAAGACACCCAATAAGGAAACGAAGGGCCTTCAATTGAGGGACAGTGTGGACTTGAGACAAACAAATGGTGATGATCGACCAAACGATATCCAAGGATGGGAGGATATACGAGAGCGGAGCACCATACAATAAGTACATAAATGGCAATTGGAAAACAATGTTACCAATGGTGAACATGACTTGGGTGTTGACCAAGTCGTTACCCTTCATACCAAGATCTTCTTTTAAACCAGCAACATAGGCATTGTTCAAATTAGTTTGATCCAAGTACTTGACCCAGTAGGCGGCAAGAGAATAGAAGGCAAGAAGAATGTCCAACTTAAGAATAAGTCTTCTTTCTTCTGGAGTATCATCTTCATGAAACCATTTGAACCATTTTTGCTTTTTCTTGGTGGAAGTTTGAACACGATATTCGTACTCATCGAAAAAGTTCCACCATCTACGATTTTTTTCATCACGGTATTCAAGTTGCAATTCCTTAGATTCGAGCTCTGGTTGAACCTTCTTTTCTTGTAAATTGTCTTCAGTTTCCTTGGCATTGACATCTTCACTAGCCTTGTCATCAACATCCAGTTCCAGTTCTGCAGATTGTGCGACTATGGTTCCAGATGGCTCTTCATCCACGATACGTCTTTTAGGGAGGAAACCCCACTTAAGTCTTGAACTAATCGATGTAGACATTATCTCGAGATTGAATGAAAGTCGTATAAGATCGCCAGAAAGTTCCTGGGTCTTTCATGGCTGGGAAATGCCTTGGTTTTATACTTGACTCGAGCTACGTTTAAAAAAATAATTAGCAATTAAAAAAGAAAAAAAAAATCATAAAAAGAAAGTAAAGCGGACCACGGAATTTCCCTTTGGAGATACGCAGAGGGTTATTGTTAGCCCAACTGCGAGAGATTATTTTAACCGGAATGCACGGCGTATGTGGTACACTGTGGCTTACAGAGAGATGAGTAATGAGAAAAAATAATATTAAAACGGTTTTCGGAGTGAGAGTGGGTAGTTGTGGCTTCAATTATACTGATACCATGCTCCTTTACTTATACAATTGAAAGTCAATTCCAAATTCCATCTCCAGTTTATCAGTCAGAGTTTCTAATCTTCTCACTAGAGCTCACTAGAGCGGAACCGGCTGACTCCGTATCAATGTTGCATATGTTTTTTTTTTTTTCCGTAGGCGGCGGCGGCCCCGATATATGAAAAAAAAATCTTGAGCACCCCATATCACGTGAGCTATGAATCATACTACTGTACTTGCTTAGTGTATAGTTACCAGCACTTGAAAACTTGCAGGAAACCATCTGTATGTGCGTTATAAAACAAACGCCTTACTATTTAACCGAGTCAATGATATGGGAAATATCGTCGGAGATTTTTGTAGGTATGCCGTATATTTTGCATTAGAAATTATTTTCTTGTAAAATCGACTCATGACAGTCAGGGCGTTTTCATGTACTGAAGAAAATAATGGCTTTTCCCATTATTGTGGCTGTTAACGAGACCCCTTATAGAAGTTAAACTAACGGATTTAGTAAAGTCCTCTTGGCAACCCCATACTTTGAAAGATAAGTAATTACACAATAGAGTTTTGTGTGTGTGTGTGGGTACATATTACCCTCACGGTGTATTCTACACTATTCTACTCGTGTTTATTCCCCGCTTGAATCATTTTAATTATTTTACTATGTACATGTAATCTTACCCTTATTACCACTTTTATTAACTCACCATGAAACTGACGTTGGAATAAAAGTCCAACATTGGGTTTTCTCCCTTCTTGGTAACTGTGGCTTCAGCATCGGCCCATTGTTCAAGAAATTCGCGGTGCAGTTCCACTCTGGGTACCTTCCCAGTAACTTGTCTATACAAATCACTAGCAACGGCAAAATCTGTAGGGAACATAATATCGAAGTATCCTTGGTAACACATATAGGTCAGCACATCAACCATTGTGTCCTGGAGCACCGTTTGCACCACTGGGGCATTGTAGTACCCTGGGATCGATTTAGGAAGATAATGGAAATCCAGACATACCAACAGATGGTTGGGGAACTTGTGTTTAAGAATTTGAAAGAATTGTAGTAATCTTGTAGGGATAAATTCACCTGGAGTCAAGTTATCCTTGAACGGCAATAACAGATGTTTCCAACGTAATTTCAGCGACAGTTGAAGAAGTGGGTGTACTGTTTGTTCATGGTTTACACCAAATGGGATTAAACTCTTCATGGTGTCTAGTTTCCCACGGGTGGTACCAGAACGTTGAAGTACCGATTGAGATCCATTTTCACGCAATTGAAGGTATGCATTGGCATATGGACTAAGTTCCGGGGTGAAAAACTCGTAGAAATCTCCATGATCATCTATCACCACATGTCCTTGATATGGTTCACCAGTGTTGTTGTCATAACGGATCAAATCATGAGAAAAATTGTCAAACACCTCGAGGGCAATGAAGTAACAAGGTTCATTGACAACAGTGTCCCAATGGAAGATCGACTTGTTGATGATCTCAACCTTACTAGAATCAAGCCCCTGCAGTACAAGCTTTTGTTCCATGGCATTAGCCTTTTGCTTTTCTGCAAGTTGACTGGAAATTTCAATAATCTTGTACTGAGTGCGAGCATATACATCTGGTTGTGTTTCCTTGATATAGTTGAGAATGTTACACATGAGAGTACCGTTACCACCACCCATTTCATAGATGATCAAGTCATGGTATGGGTAATGACCGTTTAACTTGTAGTTCACCAAGAGGTATCGGGCCAATGCTTCTCCATAAAATGGACTGAATAATTCTGTGGGAGTGTGCCAAAGTTGAAGTGAATTCTTCGTCTGTTGGAATTGCCCCGTTCTAGCAAGCTCTTGTTGTTCGATGGTTTTGGCTCGGGCAACAAACTTACTGGTGGATGTAGCTGGTGTAGATTCCTCCTTTGTGGTTGACAGGTCAGCCGCCCTTTTCCGGTTGGCATTTGCCTCTTTGGTAGCCTTTATTTTAGGATCCTCATATTTCGCATAGGCTCTCAGCCAATGTTCCATAAAATCATCAACATCAGCAATGTTATTATAATCGAATGGCTTATCCTGATGGAAAATCTCAACTTCTTGAGAAAAATATCCATAGTTTGGATTGTACAATGAATCTTCTATAAAGTCCAGTGTAAGCATTTTTATTTTCTTGGGACGTGTCTTCAGACGACCGAGCTTGAGCGAGTTAATCAGCGGGTACCTATTGAAAACCTCTTGTGGAGTCTTGTCTTCAAATGGATAATTTGTAGCGTTTCTATAAATGAAATCCATGACATTGTATGCCGAGGTATCAGTTCCCTTTTGTAATGGATGTGACTTGGGAAGTTCCATCTCGTCACCCCCAGGGGAAGTGCTCGTGTTGGGCGTCCTCACCGTCAAAGATCTGCTCTTTTCATTGGCTCCAGACACCTTGAATGCAAAAGTATCGGGACGGATCGAATACTCATGATGGAATGATTCGTCCTTCTTAAAACTCTCTACCCGCTTTTGGGCCAGTTTAAACTTCCCAAAAAGTGTTCTACGTGAAGGTAGCACCAATCTCGAAGATTGGGCCCTGTTTGCCCTTACAAGCATTATTTATTGGTCTACTAAACTTGATGAATGGAAAAAGGAACAATGGTCCTTGGCTATAAATTTAAAACATCTCTCTCTCTCTCTCTCATTCACCGAGGTTGTATATACAGGAACTCTGTGATCCGTCCATTATATCTCTATTATACATTGAAGAATGCCGTTGGTGGCTCTATATGTATGCGAGGCCACCAACATGCATGTGTGCGTGTGTGTGTGTACGGTATGTGTACGTTTCTCCTGTCCATGGACGGCTAAAAAGAAAATGAAGCAACAGTACAACAAAAGTACTCTCAGCTTTCCTCAAACAAGAATTCCTTCTTACCATCGAACTCGTCCATGCACTCGATGATGGTCTTGATATTGTCTATAACGTTGCTGACTGCAACTCTAATGACCCTGTCACTTACACCAGCAAACTGGCATACCAAAACGGACTTGTCAGCGGAGTATGACACAGACATCTCGGTACCTTTCAAGATGGGATCGGGTGACAAGGTTTCACGGGCGATGATGGCCTGTTTCTCGGTTTCAAATGGAATCCTGAGCGTTATCTTGTAGTCCAACGACATTTCTGAGTGTTCTCTGTATAATACCAGTGCAACTTTGAAAGAAAACTTCTATTCAACCTGTCTCATTAATCTCGCGCTCTTTGAGAACTAACTCTATCTCATAGTCGTGTTCATACAGGAAATAACCTTATTGCAACCATACTCTACAAAAAGTTTCTTCTAATAACTTTATTTCAATATACCTATTAAATACTTTTACTTCGTCTTCTTCTTCTTTAAAATTATGTCAGATTACTTTGATTTCTTATTACTGTTGTTAGCATTGGCATCATTTCCCGTGAATGGACGTTTTTGGGAGCCTGGACTACTGGTGCGTTCTTCTCCAACTGGGGTCACATTAAGAGTTGGGGTGGTTGGAAGTGAACTGGGAGCACCAGCATTATTCTTTTGAGCATTTAATTGTTCAGTAAGTTTAGAAATCTTCTTGTTTAACATCTTAACCCGGATTTCGGTAGATTTTTCCGTCAACTTACGAGTATCCAATCTTGCCTTTTCCAACTCAGCTTCAAATTCCTTCTTCAATGAAGCAGTTTCATCTTCAAACTTCTTGGTGAGCTCTGCAACATTGTTATTGGTCCCTCCTACCTTAGCAACTTCTTCTTTAACACGAGCATCTAAGGCTTCTTTACTTTCTTGTTCAACCTTGGCCTTAATAGAATTGTACAATTCATCATGTTTGGCACGATATTCCTGTTCAAGCTTTTCCTTAATTTCAGAAACATCGCCTCCACTTGATTGTTTTAGTTTTTGCTCATAATCTGATTTCAACTTGTTAAATGCATCAAGAGTGACTGTATTAGCTAAACGACTTTCTAATTCTGCCTTCTCCTTGGTCAAGCTAACTCTATTACTTTCTGCATCTTGGTACTTCTTTTCAAGTTCTTGAAGATTTTGTTGGCCATCATTTGAACTTCTCAGAGACAATTCTTGATTTGCCTTTTCTAAACTAGTTTTCAATCCTTCAATATTATCTCTCAATTCTTTGACTTCGGCAGATCTACGCTTCAACTTCTCTTGAGCTTCGCCCTTAAGTTTATTAAACCTTTCCGTCATTGCAGTTAATTCCACACCAAGTTGTTCAGTTTCCTTTTGACTGTTGTCGACCTTTTGTGTGAGCTCGCCGTATGAATTCTTTAAAGTTTCCAATTCTGATTTAGCATGGTCACGTTCAAGTTTTAAGGATTCATGTTCGGCTTTGTCAACTTCTGCACTTGCAGATCCAGCTTCCTTCACAATCGTCTTGTATCTTTCAACCTCTTCATTTGCAAGTTGAACAGCTTGCTCCTTGATAGCAATATCAGTAGAAAGATTGGACAATTGTTCTTGGAGCTGTGGTACTTGCTTTTGAGCAACTTGTAACTCGACAGTTAATTTCTGGACACGTTTGATATTCTCTGCGTTCTCTGAACGTAAAGTAGTGTTACTTTCACGCAAAATATTCAATTGTTGAAGTTGTTCCATTAACTTCTCATGCTCACCGTTGATATCACCCAAACTAGTAGTACTTGCAAGTGCTTTTCTCAAGTCAGACTTTGCAGATTCGAGTTCGAGGGTAGTGGCTGCCAAACGTTGTTCTAAACGACTTTGTTCTTGTAAATGAGCACTCAATTTTGCCTCGGCTGCATCCTTTTCATGTCTCAAATAGCTAATAACTTCACGAGATGGGTTATCATTCAGTTCTCCTTCATCAGTGCGCATTTCAGAAGTTCCTTCAGTTAATTGAATTTGGTTAAGCAAAAGATTGTTTTGATTCTGTAATTCCTCAATTTTAGTTTTTGACTTTTCCAATTCTTCATTGACCGCCAGTTGTGATTCTTCAATCATTTCAACCTTTCTTTGCAATTCTTTCTTTGTAGATTCTAAAGAAGAGTTCAGCTCGGCATACTTTCCATCTAACTCAGTATATTGTTGTCTGAGGTTATTGACTTGTGATACTAATTGATCATTTCTATCCAATTCTGACTGATATTTCACTTGAATATCAGCTACAAATTTAACTTGATTGGTTAAATCTTCGGAAATTGTAGCAAGTTTCTTTTCATAATCTTGTTGAAGTTCATCATATGCGTTAGCCTTGGACGAATATTCTTGAAGTTCGGTCGTAAGTCTTTCGACTTCAGCAGTATGATCTTGACGTTGTTTTGTCAATTCTTCCTTCAATCCAGCAACTTCTTGATGGAGTTTGACAGATTCACTTTGCATGGTTTCCTTTTCAGCGATAAGAGTAGCGCGCTTAGATTCAATTTCAGTTCTAAATTCTTCAAATGCATTTGTAGAATGGATTAAGGCATCTTCAGCAGATTTAGCAATCTTGGAGAACTCTTCTGCTTGCTTTTCAGCGATTGCCAAATCACTCTTAGTGGTATCTAAATCAATACGAAGCTTCGTGTAGTCAGAATCGTTGGCACTGCTGCCAGCAACAGGTACTTGCACTCCACTAACATTACCACTGACACTTCCACCGCGAGCACGTCCTTCCAATTGGGAAATTTGATGGTTCAAAGAATGAACCTTAGCATCCAATTCTCTAGTCAAAGATTCCTTGTCAGCAAGTTTACCACGAGTTTCCACTAACAACAGACTAAGTTCGTGTAATTGCTCCAATTTTGTATTTTGAGCCTTCATTGATAACTCAGATTGACTAGCAAGAATAAGAATACGCTCTTCCTTTTCATTCAAACGTTCTTGTAAAGTTTGATAGTTTTCAATCGATTGATTCAATCTGTCAGCAATTTGTTTACTTGAAGCATCTCTTTCCTTTATAAGTGCCTGTAAATTTGTTACAAATTCACTGAGTTGATTTTTATCAGTTTTAGCTTGCTCTAACTCAGTCTCCAAGTTCTTTTCCACAGATTGCCAAATACTACGAGCAGTCTCTAAATTATTGATTTGTACTTTCAATGAAGAAACAGTTGCTTCACTAGTTCTCAATTGAGTAGTTATATCGATCAAGGCTTTTTCTTGCTTTGAAGATTGGGACTTCCAAAACTCGGAATCACTACTAATACGAGCAATTTCCTTACGAGATGTTTCTAAATTAGTCTCCAAGTTGGAATATCTAGTCTCGTTGAGTGAAATTGTATGCTGAAGTGTAGATACTTTCAAGGAAAGTGAATTTTTACCCTCTACAGCATCTCTCAATTTTGTGTTAAGGTTTTGGACTGTAGTTTCAGTTTGGTTTCTTAATTTTTTCATAGAAGTTTCTGCGTCAGCTAATTGAGCTTTGAGATCCTTATTAACTTCAGTTAAGTAATCTAAATGCCCACCACCATTAGAAGCAAATCCATTATGGTTATTTTTCTCACCGATGGCCTTGAAAGCATCCCTTTCCTTTTCAATGGCTTCTAACTTGGCTGTCACAGTTTCTAATTCTCCTTGTAATGTAAGAATAGCTTCCTTTGCTTCATCCACAGCCACTGATTCGATACCTCTAGAAAATTCAGCATCTTTACTTTCCAATTGTTTACCAAGTTGTCTCACAACAGTAAGGAGTTCTTGGTTCTTTTGTTGAAGCTCAATGACATTAGAGAATCCAACAAGTCTATCAGTTATTAATTGATCGGTATCACTTTCAGTCTCATTACCTGTATTTCCACTTTGAGCCAAGATATTTTCAATGGCCTTTCTTTCGGTTACTGTCAAAGGTTCTTCTTGACTATCTCTAATTTTGGAATGGATTAAATAATAACATAACTGCTTACCAAGATCTTTACATAATTTCTTCATAGAAACTAGTTCACTCTCTAAAGCAGATCCTCTTGATTCTAGTTTGTTTGCGTATTTCTCAGAATCAATTTTTTCCAATCTAATTTGTTCCACTTGAGAAAATGCATCTTTAAGTGATCCTTCATAGAATTTAATTTGATCACGATAACTTGAAATTGCGGGCTTCTTAGCTTCTAATTCAACCACAAATGTTTCTAATTGATGTGCTAATTTTTCCTTTTGGGATCTTTCCAACACCAATTGTTTCTTCAAATGACTAAATTCAGAATAAAGAGCCAGTAATGACATACCATTAGGATTCTTTGCAGCAAGAGACTCTGCCAGTACTGAAAGTTTAGGTAATTCAGTTTCCTTACGAAGTTCTTCATCTAAGACTGCTTCAGTACGTTTTAACTTCTCTTGAAGAATTTCAACTTCTTCCAGTTTTCTTTGAAGGGAAGTGGTGAGTTCATCAACTGATCCACCAAGCTTGGTCTTAATCTCTTCTATATAAGTTTCAAGTTGATTGATGCGTTCATTTCTTTCTTCTGATTGGACTTGAGTTAATTCTAAAAGATCTTGTTTCACCTTTAAATCACTAGAAAGTTTCCTTTGCTCAACGTCATGATTAGACTCCAATTTGACTAATTTCTGTCTGACTTCATCTAAATTATGTTGCAAAGTTCCAATTTCTTCCTTTTGTTCAGTTGATAATTTTTCAAGTGCTCCACGTTGAGCTTCACTTCGACTCAATCTGCTATTAGTAGTGACATATTCAGTTTCATGCTTCTTAATTAAATCAGTATATCTTTCTTGAATGCTCTTCAATTCAGCTTCAAACCATTTCTTTTGAGTCTTGGTATATGAAAGTTCATTAGTAATTTTATTAAATTGAAGTTGAATGGAGAATTTATCATTTCTAGCAGAGTTCAACTCTTGAGCTAATTCATTCAATTTAGTACTTTGCTCAACATTAACCTTTGTAAGGGAATCATTCGATTTACAAAGTCTAGAAATTTCTCCATCTCTTTCCTTAAGAGTGGAATCTATGGTTTCACTATTTGATTGTTGTTCCTTAGTGATATATTCCAACTTATTTTCAAGTGATTGACGTTCTACCAATATCTTTTCTTTATCTATATTCTCTTGTTGAAGTTTTTCTTGCAAGTTTTCATTATTTGTTGTAGTTTCTTTCAATGATTCTTCAATTTTAGAAAGTTTTTCTTGAAGAATTTTCATTTTCTTATCTTGAATTTGAACAGATTGTTCTTGATTAATTCTAGCTAATGAAAGTTCACTTTTAAGATCTTGACATTCTGATAATTTATTCAGAATTGTTTCTAAGGCATCAACTCCAAGCAGAAGAAGTTGTTGTGGATGAATATTTAAAGTATGAGAAAGGTTATTAATCAATGAATCATCAATGACGTTTGCCACTGCTGGATAGTATTGATTTGCTTCATCATTGGTTTCTTCCTCTACAAGACTTCCTAATGGCTTAGGAACTGCACTGACAACTGGAGATGATTGATCTTCAGTATCTCTAGCCACAGAAAATGATTTAGGAGTAGTAATGGTTTCAATATCTTTAAGAGGTGGGAGTGCCTTCAGTGGGGTGGTAAGAGCAAATTGAAGTGGAGTTGGGGATTGTTGACCATGGAAACTTTGATTGGCAATATCTTCGTCTATTTGACCTTGTGCATCTTCTTCCATGGCATCTGATGGAGCAACAATCACCGGTTCTAATGAATGTGTCGTCCCATTCTCAGATTCCAGTGGTACTTTGGCTGTCTCTGCCTCAACCACTGGTTCTTCTACAACTGGGTCTACTACTTCAATTGAAGAAGTTTCAGGTTGTGGGTGTGTTTCGTGAGCTTCCTCCGGATGTTCTGTCAATTCATCAACTACTGGGGATGTCTCGGACTGTTGTTGTTCAGCTCCTTCCGACCCAATGCTGGATGGTTCAACTGTGGATTCTAGGATTTCTTCCACTGGTTCAGCGGGTGTTCCATCGTTTGGATGTTCTTGTTCACTCATCTTTTAAAAATTCCCTCTATCTTATCACAAAGTGAATCAATTCAATTGAAGATACAGATAGCGGTGTATAAGCCTGGTAGACACTATTTTCGTGACCAGTTCCAGAATCAAACACTGAAATTCAAAGTGGGTTGAATGATGTTGCAAAGTTTAAGGTTCGTATCACCAACAATCGCTATACTTTACCAATGGCAGTAAAAACAGATGTCGCATTTCGCACTTGCGACATTCAAAACATGCGACATTCAATACCACTTTAGGAAAGTACCGACAAAACATTATTAGCAACACAATTATGTACAATTGCAGCAATTGATAGGCATTTTTAAACTTTACATTAGGGTGGTTTCCAACATATTATTAAACAAAACCATTGTGATATCATTTACATTCTACTACTTTGCTAATTGCAATACTACAGCATATTTTAAACTGACTACATATTACAATTCAAACATCTACTTTTGTTCTCTCTTCTCCTTTTCCATTCAGAAATATAATGTCATGACTCTTAAGATATATTCATTTTCATGATCATCATACTTTACATTTCAATCATTTATCAGATATTGAATTAACTCTTTAACTCAAACGTTATCTCTAGCTATCTCTCTATCTATAACAGTATACAGTCGCACCTGCATAAACATCACTGGCTGTCCTATCCTGCATCTCACCGCAGTCACTTGATTTACTACCATACTCATTTTCAATATTAGGGCTTCTGCCCTAATGCGCAAAAATTCAATTCCTTTGTGTAATCATTCCCACCTTTGCGCGACGAGAAATTTTTCAATTTTAAACTCTTTAACCATTTTTGATACTTGTTTCTTACCTTTACAGACAACAAGATGATTGAACCATCCTTAAAGGCCTTGGCCTCCAAGTACAACTGTGAAAAGTCTATTTGCCGTAAATGTTACGCTAGATTGCCACCAAGAGCCACCAACTGCAGAAAGAGAAAGTGTGGACACACCAACCAATTGAGACCAAAGAAGAAGTTGAAATAGATGCTTTATTGCGTTATGTGCTGTCTTTGGAATGCAGTCCTTGTATTGCCCTAGTTTTTTAATAAATGCTATACACGAATCAAGTGTAGAGCTGGAGAGTAGAAGCGAGACGTTCAGCCAAGATGGACGGAGAGAAAGAGAGCAAAAGAAGAGAACAGAAGGATCAGTGAGTCCTAAGAAAGCACCAAGATGATGCTATACAGTAAACCATGCTCTTATAAGCACTTGGCATTTAGTGGATACGTTCATTTAATGCCAAGGACGTAGAGCTTTATGGGTCAGAGTACATCGTTTTAGAAGCTTTCTTCACTCTATGTGATCTTTTATTTGTCATTCTTGAGTGTCTCGCCATACTCATTATCCAGTTTGATTGTAGATTGGTCTATTCAAAAAAATACCAATTTTTATTTGTAGATTACCTTTTTCCTTTTTTTTTTCCCAACCTACGATTTGAAACATTTCCTCGGTCTGTGTGGGTTCTTTGTTTTATTTTCTGGATGTTGCATATCTTAAAGCTTCTATACGAAGGTTCTTAATGGTATATATATTACGACTTGACACATGATAAATCTCGAGATCGGTATTATACTTCCTTTTACTTAGTCTTGGCATAGAGACTCTAAATCATTCCGGATGACTCTTGATATTTACCACCTATCTAGTATCTACATCTACATCTCCAATATATTCTACATCCCCCTAGCTATTCTATCCCTTGCACGCTACCCCTAAAACGTTTATTTTGCCCATTTTCGTCTTCCGCACCCTGTCCGCTCTGATTTGTAAAACCACCTGTTTGATTTTGTGACAGTTGACCAACAACAGCGCATTTACTAAAGTTAGTAAACTCTTTCAAAATAACTCCTGTAATCAAGTCTGTTTGTAACGACCATTCACCCATCAATTCATCTTGGACCTCTTTGATCCCAAGAGAGGTACACTACCCCTAGCATTTTTGAGAAACATCTAGTTTTCTTGTCAATTCCCCCCGCCCCGCTTCGTCTAGACGTTTTCATCAATCGGCGCCACAAACAAAACTCATCCGGTGTTTGATCTTCTCAGTAACCGTCACCCCTCCTCTCCCTGTCCTATTAAAAATCTGGGAGATCCGAGTACCGATCCACCACCATCTCCATAGATTGCCACTCTTGTTCCATGAACACAGACAAGTCGGTAGACCATTTCTCTCCATGCAATCAACAGAAACGTCAATCGTCCCTTTCCGGTTACCCTCTGAATTCTAAACGACAACCAAACCCTCTACAATTGCCCATGGGAATTAGCGGTCCCGATCAATCCCAACCACATAATCTCAGTACTGCAGCCCTGTCTCCGCGTCTCAACAATATCATGCGTAACAACATCAGACGTAATCTCATACAACAACAGCAACAGCAGCAGTTGTCTCAACAACAACTCCCGTTTGCCAATCAAACACCAACTCCTTCTGCATATGGTGTCCCCTCTTCTCCGGGAATCCAAGCTCCTGCGTCGTCATCTCAGTTAAACAACTCGGAACTGCCTGATTCGAACGATGATACCACTCCTTACAATAAGGGAGCCTCCCCATCTCAAACAGGTTCAGCTACCCCATCAACAAATGCTGCATCTACAACTACAACTACTGCCACAGCTGCTGGATCTTCATCAACGCGTACCATGCTGGATGAAGAACAACAACTTGCCACCAAATTAAAGGAGACATACAAAAACATTGTCAATTATGAAGAAGTTGTACAAAAGAGCTGTCTTGATCTTACTGCCAAAATCAACGCCGTTTCATCGACTGGTGGTTCTGTCACGTCCCATTCACATCCTTCAACATATCTTAACAATGCCCCCACTACAACAACAACAACTATGTCTGGGGTAAATACCACCACCACCACCACCACCACCACCACCTCAAGCACCACGGGATCGATGGGTGGAATCAACACAACAAGAACGTCGGAACTATCAAACGATCTCTGGACTGTGTACCATCATAACATCACTCTCTTGGATAACTATTACGATTTCCTTGTCACTGCCCTCAAACCTTCCTCAAATCAAACACACTTCAAGACCGGGAAAAACATTGTTGATCTTTATAAAATCCCTCGTAGAATGTGGGTCTATGGGATTGTTGGATTTCTTGAAGTTCTCAAGAATATCATGAACATTTTCCAAGATCATGAGATTTGTCTGTGTTTTATTTCATATTGTTTCAATATCATTTCCAATTTGACAGATCCAGTATTGGAAATGGAAGGCTGGTGGGCAGAAAAATTGGGAGATTTGAGTCGTATGGCCATTGCTCTTTATCTGTCACGTTTCATTGATTGGAAGATTTCAGCTGAGCATTGGTATCAAGTTGCCATGAAGACCTTGTATGGCCACGGGAAGATCTATTATCACATGTGTACCGTGCAACAGGACAACTTGGATGCATTGGTCAACATTGGGAAATCTGTATTTTGTCATGATCCATTTGTACCAACTCTGCAATATTTAAGACTTGTGGTGGAGAACATTTGTACACAACGGAATATATTATCCTTATTGGAATTACCTCTGATTGATTTCATCAAGATCCATAAAGTATTATTGAGTATCTATCCTGGTTCTACATCTTCTTCCTCGTCAGTTGGATCCTCTGGTATACATGATACTCAACTTCAATATGGAATTGATTTAGTGACTAGATATGGACTTACATTTGGATCTGATCCAAATGGTTATAATTTCTTCACCAAGGAATTGTACGCCCCACAGGGGGTTGCCATAAATGATCCGCATCATCCGTATTATTTGCAAAATCAGAATGGAGGTGGTCAGCCAAACCCGGCCACTACTATCCACCAACAGCAGCATTTGCATCAACATCATCAACAATTGGGGGTGAATAACACTGCCGCAGCGGCTGCCGTTGCGGCTGCCACAGCTGCTGCTAATACAAATAACCTTGAAAAATTGAATTTTTGGTTTAATAAAGGTCCACTTTTCGCCATTGCCAATATTAATCATTTAGTTGGACTTGGAGATGCAAGAAATCCATTTGCTAAATTATTTGAACTTCCAGAAGCACTCAAGGAAAGAAAAGATAAAAAGGATAGAAAGAGAAAGTCAAGAACTTCATCATCTGCCTATGAAGATTCTGCCAGTGGGGCAGGAGGTATTTCTGCCGGAGGAGTTGATGGCCAAACGATCACGGCATCTGATCTTTCCACCAATGATTGGTTTGTATGTCTTCAATACATTAATCGATCTGTATTGGAACTTTCAATCCGGATTCTTAATAATTATCTTGTTGGGCCGAAACAAGCACTGACGTGTCATGTCATTGTATGGCTCTATTTCCTAGTGAGTGTTGGTGAAGCAACCAACAAGTACCCCAATTCGAAAACTATGATGATGTGGATCATTCGTAAGTTTTTACCATGGACTTCGATGATTAAGTATTTAAATTCGATCCTTCAAGTAACCAAAAACAGTTTAAAACTCAAGGGTATGGTTCGTGATTACTTAACTTATCATCCAAATTATCTTCAAAATTTTAATGAAACAGAATTTTTACCTGAAGTATGGAAATGTTGGGGTACTTTATGGTTTGATTTCATTGCTGGAAAAGTTGATTATACCAATATGAAAGCGGCAGGAGTTTCTAATGAAAATTTATTTGATTTACCTATTTGTGGAACCTCACCAATCATCAATGTTGGGGGAACTTCTTCATCGGGGCCAACTGGAAGTAATAGTACTAGAAGTCAACAAGAGGAACATAATGATGAGAGAATCGTTAGAATTGTACTTTTGGCTAGATACATTGCCGATACGTATGACTTCGGCTTGGTACGGAAAGATGATGAGTTTCTGTTTGATAAGGACATCTATGACAATATGGATAAATATGTATCACCAACAGCTGTGGGGGAAGCATTCCCATACATTGAAAAGTTCTTATTAATTGATGGGAGATTCATTCAAAATAATTTCTTACAACCAATCCCAATGGATTTCTTAACTGATTCTAAAAATAATGTTCGTCAACTTCTGGCACAACAAAAGGATGAAGTTTGGTTTGGAGTTGGTACTTCACGTGATGAGGATGACGTTGAAATTGGTGATGAGGATGATGAATTAGAAAGTTATGGGGATTCCGAGTTTGATGATGAAGAGTATGTTTATGATCAACAACAGCAATCATTACAACAGCAACAACAACATTTACAGCAACGTCCATATACACAACAACAACTACAAGGACAACAATTACTTGACCAACAAGTACATTTGCATCATCTTCAACAGCATCAGCAATTACACCACCATCAATCGAATCATATGATTGATATGGATCCATTTATGGATGGGGATTATATGCTCCCACCTGGACCAGGGGGTGGTATGGGTGCAAACCAAGCCACTTCAAGTGGAACCGTATCATCTTACAAGTCCTTAGAAGGAAATTTAGGTCATCGTATGGATACAAATATTACTTATATTACGTTAGATACGAATATTTGGCTTAAACATTGTGGGAGAATTTTTAAATGTATTAGAAATGGAATATTTAAAATTCTGATCCCACTAATTGTTTTCCAAGAACTTCGATCTTTACGGAAATCTGCTGAAGCTACGATTGCAGATTCTGCGACCCGATCGGTAATTATTATTAGAGAATTGTATCTCAGTAGAGAAATTCTACCCCTTAGATTTGATGGTACTGTTGCATCAGACATCAATGAAACCACAGAATTTGAAAACAATTCTAATTGGAGAACCAGTGTTGATGAAACCATTCTTAATTCTGTCAATGAACATGATGAAATAGGAAAGAAGTTATTAAAGGGGTTAAATGTACCTTTACATAATACTGGAGATAATTCTACACGAGTCTTGCTAGATGCCAAACTGGCCAAGAGTTTCAGTTATTGTGTTTTAATTACTGATGATCGTAATATGAGATTACGTGCAAAGACTATTGGACTCACCAGTTTCCAAAGCAGATGGTTATTTGCCATTTTAGAAAATATTTTTGCAGACAAGTGCATCGATTAGAGGATAGATCTGGTTGGCTAACCTCCACAAATGAATTGCATGAATGGCAAAAAAAAAAATTAAAAAAAAAAAAAGAAAGAAAGAAATGCAGACTGTTCTATCTTTGACATGGAATCGAGATCTAGTCTCCTTTTCTTTTAAATTAATATATATATGGGTCATTGTACCTTTTACTTAGCATTCAACATGAATATACATATTTCAGCATGGTCGACGAGGGCGAGAACAGCCCTACTGTAGAGCTCTGTAAGAAAGGAGTCAGATGTACAAAGGATGTAACCACTGCATGATAATGCATGTGTGCAGGACCCGTACCGATTAGGACAAATTAAGTGCCTAGACCTTTTCCTGTCCAGAGCGACGACATTAGGTAAAAAGTCAACACACATCAAACGTAGGAAGACTGTGCCACACACACACTCTCTCTCTCTCTCTCTTTCTCTCTCTCGATGAACTAGATATTTTCGATCACTAATATGTAAGGTACCGCGTGGCTATCTTCGCGGTAGCGCCCTACTACCGCTGAAACAAACAGCCTCAACTCACAACGATATCCCTTCAACGCGACCGCGCCTAAACACTCCTTTCCTTCTCTTTATTTTTTTTTCGGTTTTCCCACATTTTTTCGATGGTTGCAGTTGACTAAGAACGCAAAGTGAGAAAAAGTCTACAAGGGGGTGCGATTTAGCCCATTCTGAAACGCACAAACTGCACGTTGTAGTGGAAGAAAAAAAAAAGTTCTCGCTGTATAAGACCAAGCGAATTGTCGCATTAATTTCAGACTCTTTTCTTGAAATCAGATCAAAATCTTCCCACAGCAGCGTCCTTACGTTCTCTCACTCTAGTCTCTCCTTTGTCTAGCTATCCCACTGTCTGTTTGTCTAGTCCTTCCTTTATCTAGACGACTCACATCACACTCTTTTGTATAGATCTCTCTCTTTGCTGATACCCCCCCCCCCAAAAAAAAAAGAAATTACACTAAAATGAAGTTTGCCTATGTTTTAGCTTTAGCCGGTGTTGCTTGTGCTGTTCCAGTTCCAGCCATCAAGATGGTTTATGTCACCACCTACACCACTGTGATGCACACTGTCATCAATGGTGTTGAAACTGACGTTCCTGTCCCACCAACCTCCACTGCTGCTCCACCTGTTGTTGCTGAAGTCAAGCCAGCCACCACCACTTCCTCCCCAACCACCACTGAAGCTCCAGCCACCACCACCGAAGCTCCAGCTACCACCGCCCCAACCACCACCGTCTCTCCAACCACCACCTCGCTTTCCAGCAGTGCTTCTACTTCTACTTCTGCTCCAGCTCCAACCACCACTGGTGGATCTTCAAGTGGTGAATTCACTGGTGACGGTACCTACTACGACACCGGAATGGGTGCCTGTGGTGGTGTCAACCACGACACTGACTACATTGTTGCCATTTCTCACCTTCTCTTTGAGCCAAAGACCCCTAACGGTAACCCAAACAACAACCCATTGTGTGGAAAGAAGATCAGAGCATTCCGTGACGGTAAGTCTGTCGACGTGACTGTTGTTGACCAATGTATGGGCTGCAAGCGTGACGACTTGGACTTTTCTCCTGCTGCTTTTGAAGCCATTGGCGACAAGGCTTTGGGTAGAATGGATATCTCTTGGGAATGGTTATAAACGGAATATATAGCAAAATAAATACGGATAAATGTTAGCATCCATGTAGAACAGTGACTTCGTCTCTCTCTTGTCCATAGACGAGGGTAGCATTCCTTGGTAGAAGGAGTAGGATTCCAACCCCCAGTTGTCAACGAGGCGGCCTGTAGGGTAACAAGAACTCCCACTGTAGGACGCTCCGCTGGCCCCTACCCGGGGAGGGCCACTGCGTGGTGCCTAGCTCCTCTACGAGGAGACTCGTAGGGCATATCCAGAACCTCGTTGGGTAGATGTAGGGCCCCCTCGCATTACTAACGTGGCCCACGAAAACCATTCCTCGCTAGAGGAAGGTGGCCTCCATGGCTATTGGCCCGCAGAGTACTGCGGCTTGCTAACCCTGTAGGGGTGCCTAGCTCCGCTACGAAGTGACCAGGGTTATACTTCCGTACGTGTGAAGGGTGTTACAAGGAAGGGGTCCCTTCAAAGTCTATTATCAATTTCTTATTAGTTATATAAATATTATCGTATGTGTAAGACATCTAAAAGATCCAATGAAGGGCATTTTTGAACCAACCCTCTGGCTTCTTAGATTCACTTTCCAATTTGGCGTAGAATTCGTATTCGTGTTCTTCAATTTCTTCAATACCGGTGAATAAATCAGCATCTTCAGGCTTAACAAACTTTGTACGTTTTAAAAGTTTCCAAAAGATGTAAATGGCAATGTTAACAAAGATCATAACATAGGAGAACAAGAAGTCATCAATAGCCCACCAGCCAGGTAAGAACACGGTGTAACCCAAGATACCAATCATGATCCAAATGAAAAATGCAGCAATGTAGATTGAGTATGGTTGGAACCAAGATCTGTAAGGGAATGTGGTTCTATCTAAACCTTGGACCTTACAGGCACGGTAGAAGTGCATGTAGGTGATAGTCATAAACCCGTAGTTAAGAAGTTGAGAACCAGTACATAAACTGACCATGTAGTTAAGCACAGTGGCACCAGAACTACCCAATTGCATCAAGGATAACATGGAGAAGGCAATGGCAACACCAACACAATAGAGAGGAACACCATTCTTGGTACAATAGGTCAAGAACCGTGGGGCAAAGCCTCTTTCAGCTAATCCGAAAAGAGCTCTAGATGAACAATAGGTGTAAGAATTACCAGCAGATAAAGCTGAGGTCAATACAACTGCGTTAACAATGTGTGGTAAAACCTTAATGTTCAAGTTTTGCATGGCAACGACATATGGAGATGAAGCGGCATTGGAAGAATCAGCGGAAAGAGCAACGAATTTTGGATCATTATAAGCAATCAAGATTGAAACTGACAAGGCACCACCAATGTAAAACAAGGCCAATCTATACAAGACTGTCTTGAAAGCAGTTGGCATGGTCTTTCTTGGGTTCTTTGCTTCTGCGGAAACCATAGACATATATTCAGGGCCAACAATGGTGAAACAACTTTTCAATAAGGCAGCCAAAAACCCTTGGAATTTCCCTAAGGATCCAGTAGTAACATATTCACCCAGCAGCGTGCCAATTACGGAAACCAAAGGCATCATGTTGAGGGTTCCCTCCACACATGACAACAACAGTGAAGATCAACAACCCAATACATAAAATAAGTTTAGAGATGGAAAGCCAGAACTCCAGTTCTCCGTAAAGTCTAACGGCAAAGACATTGATGACAGCATACATGGCGATTTGGACACACAAGGTAATAGCTGGAGAATAATCATCTCTCCAAAAATGGATCATACCATTAACCGCGGTGATTTCAAAGGGGATATACAAGGCTTCCATAATGAAGAAGTTCCAACCGGCACAACATTCAAACGCCTCATCAACAACTCTACCGGCCATGGTGATAAATGGAGATGCCACGGGTAAGAAGGAGACCATTTCCCCGACAGCAGTGGTAAGCATCAAAATGATACAAGTCCAAAAAGTATAGGCCAAAACTAATCCCAATGGTCCACCTCTAATTAAAGAGGTACCAATGGTAACGAAAAGTCCTGTACCGATGGAACCACCAATGGCAATCAATTGGACATGTCTCAGTTCAAGCTTTCTTTGCATTTGAGCATGAGATTGAGATTTTTCTTCTCCTTCACTTGGGACCAGGTTCAGCACCAGAGAATGAAGACTGGGGGTACCAGCCTTGCCAAACTCATTTTTGGCCTTGGTTTTTTCGAATTCTGTGGAACTTTGTTCCTTGTTAAACAAATCGGACATAGTTTGAAAAAGGTTGTTATCGCCGTACGGGGAAGAAGTGATTTGTGTGAGTGAGTGAGTGTGTGTGTTTTTTTTTTCCTTTAGTTAAGATTATGGATGCCAGTCCGTATAATATAAATGCAAAATAATGAAGGATATTCAATATCTATGAAATAGAATTATAAATTAAGATAATCAAGGAAGATTATATAATGATTTTAGCGATGAGTATAAATTTCCTAAGTGGAGGAAGTGGGGGCGTATTTTGGTTTTCGCTATCTAAAAATTTGCCAAAAAGGATAAAACGTCCCTGGATTTGCAACTTGATAAGGACAGAGTCGCAAAAAGGTTAAAATATTTGACTGGGGTCAACAAAATTCTTTAATACAAAACTTGCATATGCTATCGAAGAAAGATGAAAAACTTGAGAGATAAAGTTACAACTGGCGTTTGGGGCCCTTATTATGGTTTTTTTTTTCAGAGAAAAGTTTTGCAGTGACATTGAAAAGCTCTTCTCTAATAAAAGCAGGGTTCTGTGTCAGTGGGTGCATGATACGGACTTAATTTCAGGATTTTTTTAGTCCTGTATGCCGGACTTTTCCTGGTAAGAGTAGTTTTCCAGGAAGGAGAGGTGTTTAGTTGCGGTATTCCGCGAGCCATGATGTCATAATACATTTGAGTATGTTGAAACTCATCCATTTGCCCAGAAATAGGTATTGTTCGACTTTTAACCTCATGTTATATTGTCCGTTTTAGACGAACTCTAAGAATTCAGCCTCTGCACCTCGGAAATGTATTCGGTAAGATTAATGTTTTGGTAATCGAGTGACCATTGGAGATAAATTGGAATCAAAATGTGGAGAAGTGCATTGTGCATCCCCTCGGACATGCCAAAAAAAAAAAGGAGCACCTGAAAATAGCAAGGTAAAAAAGCAAAGAAAAAAAAAAAAGAAAAAGAAAAAGTAATATGTGTATTAACAGAGGTCTTTCTTATTAGGGCTAATGTGTGATGGTTTTTTGGTCCGGCTGTATGCGAGGATCACTAAAACATCCAATATAAGATAGATTTAAACCAACCAAGTGATTTTTGTTCTTCCAAAGTCTGGTAAAATTCATTCTCGTGTTCCTCTATCTCAGCTAGTCCTGTAGTCAAGTCAGCATCCTCTGGTTTAATATGTTTCGTTCTCTTGAAAACTTTCCAAAAGATGAAAATAGCAATATTTAAAAATAATGCGAAGTACGAAAATAAAAAGGTATCAAGTGACCATCTTCCTGGTAATAAAGAGGAATAACCTAAAATTGCAATCAAGCTCCATATGAAGAACCCAGCAATGTAAACTGAGTAAGGTTGGTACCAAGACCTGTAAGGGAAAGTAGACCTATCCAAGCCTTGAACTTGGCAAGCACGGTAGAAATGTATATATGTTATGCACATGAATCCGTAGTTTAAGAGTTGTGAGCCAGTAGTTAAACTTACGATGTAGTTAAGTACAGTACCTCCAGATTTACCCAATTGCATTAACGATAACATGGAGAAACCAATGGAGGCTGCGACACCGTAGATGGGGACACCACTCTTTGTGCACCGGTTGAAGATTTTGGGCGCAAATCCTCTTTCAGCTAAGCCTAGAAGAGCTCTTGATGAACAATAAACTTGTGAATTACCAGCAGAAAAGGAGGAAGTGATTGCCACTGCATTTACAATGTGTGGTAAGACTTTAACATTCATATTTTGCATGGCAACAACATATGGAGATGATAAAGCATCTGAAGAAATCGCAGTAAGTTCAACAAACCTTGGATCATTGTAAGCAACTAATATAGAAACAGATAAGGCACCACCAATGTAAAAAAGCGCCAATCTATATACAACAGTCTTGAATGCCACAGACATTGTTTTCCTTGGGTTCTTCGCCTCGGATGCGACCATGGACAAATATTCAGGTCCCACAATAATGTAACTAGCACCTATAACAGCTGCTAAAAATCCTTCGAATTTCCCCAATGAACCAGTGGTGAGATATTCACCAATGGGTCCTCCAGCTACATTCCAATTACGGAATCCAAAGGCATCGTGTTGTGGGTTCCCGCCACACATTGTCACGACCGTGAACAACAACAATCCAATGCAAAGAATGAGTTTACCAATGGAAAGCCAAAACTCCAGTTCTCCGTAAACTCTCACTGCAAATACATTGATCAAAGTGTACAACACAATTTGCACGCATGTTGTAATGGCTGGGGAGTATCCATCCTTCCAAAAATGAATCATCCCATTTACGGCAGTGATTTCAAACGGAATGTACAATGATTCCATGATGTAGAAGTTCCAACCGGCGCAGCATTCGAGGGCTTCGTCTACCACTCTTCCAGCCATAGCTGCAAATGGAGAATGTATTGGCAAATAAGATACCATTTCTCCAATAGCTGTGGTGATCAAAAATATGACACCAGTCCAAAATGTAAAAGCTAAAACAATTCCCAAAGGTCCCCCCTTCACCAAAGAGGATCCAATTGTGAAAAATAAAGCTGTTCCGATTGAACCTCCAATTGCTATTAACTGGACATGTCTTGGCTCTAGATTTCTTTTCGTACGTGGTTGAGATTGATCAATCTCTTGAGACAAGTCTAATTCCACTGAGTTTTCATCAATTATCTCTTGAGCCTTTTCCTTCTGCATCTTGAGTAAATATTTAAAAGCTTAAACTATATAGTATTCCTTAGAGGTTATAGTATCGCTGGAATACTGGTGTGGGATACGTTACTGCCGGAGTGGCTATATCTTTATAGTTTACGAATTAAACTACGCTATCAAGATTTGACAGGTCTTTTATAGTTAATTGACTACTTGAATAGATCCCGAGAAAGGCTTGCTCTTCATCTGATTTAGGTCATCCCGCCTGATAAGACTGAAATTTTCAGATCGTACCTTTGTTTAAGTTTGATTTTTTTTTACTTCAGGGAAGTTGAACCCGAATAAAGTGTATATAGGACAAATGAATCCTATTGTTGGAAATGCAGCAATAAATCGAGTTTCAAAAAAAAAAAAGGATATATATTTTCTCCGATACTACTGTCATTACAAAAAGGGAGGATTAAAAGGATTATTCTTTTGTGGTATAGGGAGAGTTACTCACTCGTAAAGAATGTATAACGAACCATGATTAAGATAAGTTATAACTACCTGGCCTTATTTAAGACAAAAATATGTCATTCCTACGGAATATGCCGACAATGACGGAATATTTCCGCTTCACGCAACCGTATAAGACGCTTCATTATACATCTTTATTGTTAACGCTAACAGGTACGAAATATGACGAACGGAATTTTTTTTTCAATTTGAACCTTGCATATTCGTATATGGTATTAATTTGCTCAAATTAGTCTGATATTTACCTGGTAGGTCTCCTCACACTACTGAACTGTATGGAAAAAAAAAATTGATTCAAACAGCTCTCAAGATAACTTTAACTGCAAAAAATGAAAAAAAAAAAAACAAAGTGATTTCGCCCAGGATCGAACTGGGGACGTTCTGCGTGTTAAGCAGATGCCATAACCTACTAGACCACGAAACCATTTGTTGAACTTTTTTTTTTGTAGCCTTTAAATTGTGCCTTTTCTACTTTTATCGTTCACGCACGACGTAAAAAAAATCTTCAGATTGAATTATTGGCTGCAAACTCGAAGTTGTCAATTCTAAAATCTATAAATGTAGCGAACAAGTGAGTGGAATTATGGTAGACCCTGAAAAGAAAAGCCCGAAACCAAAGGTAACCATGAAGGACCCTACTACAGCAACAGCCGAACCACTTCGTACAATCACTCGCGAAACATGGAAATTCCAGCCAGTGTGTGTCATGGTTCGGAATGTGCAGATAGAATGGGGACATTTCCCCCTGAACAGGTGTTTCGCTCGGTCGATCGCACAATTCCACCTAAGCACGACTTTGCTAAGCAGGAGAAGGACGACATAGCCTCTTGGGTTAACTAACCTTCCTTGGCCTAAGCATATAAATAGTATCTTATATATCTTACGACTCTCACTACATAGCGACGGGTGAAGAAGGTAACCATGATTGAATTAGATATATTACATGACGAAAACTTTAAACAATCATTTGCAATAACTACAGGAATCATTTTAGCAATATATATAAATGTACTTTTGCCAGGGTTTATCTTTGCTAGTACTTATAGTACACTCCGTGGTAATGGGAGAAGTTTTGGCACCGATTAATAATTGATTTCGATTCTGTCACTGGAGTCGGTTCAAGTTACAGCAGTGAGGGTGCAGCAGGTAGTAGCATGTTTGTGGTAGACACACCAGGGTACTCGGTGACTGTCGTTGACCAGATATGAATACCAGCCTTATGATACGAATACTACCATGAATAAGCGAGAAAACGCGAAAGAATGTGTCATATTTCTTTCTCTCTTCGGCTACAGCAAGTGGTACGTGAGTACAGGCACTAGGTGCGATAGGAGTGATAGTGTATGATCAGTCTAAGCAAAAGTTTTGCGGACTAGTGCATGATATCGTTGCCAACGGCAAGATAAAATACGTGTATGCTGCTTCCGGCAGTTGTGTGACAACGGCTAAACTATAGAAGGAGCGTTGGATAAAGCGTATAATCAGTAAGAATTATAATGACGTCCACTGTATTACACTTACTCACGACAGGAAGTGAACTGGACACTTGTTGATTGGACCAAATACTGAGTGGCCGGCAGACTTGACTTCTGGAGGTGATCCTGGTGGCAGGTGTGTTAAAGGAGGAAAGAATGATGTAAGCAATGAGTTAGACTTCAGATATGTGCTAGAATATCGTGAAGTATATAGCAAGCATGTTAATCATGACAACTATGATATAGATATAAAAGAGTTATATAGCCAATGTAACCAACAATTGCATATTATAAGAGAATATACATCATGAAAACCACCTCACTAAAAACATAGAAAGACTATACAATGCAAAACGTTTAAATACATTCTTCTTAGCTCATCCACCTTTATATATATTGAAAGCTTCTATTATTACATCATATTATTTATATCTTTATTATTAAAATTTTCTATATCATCTATACTTCTTCATATGTAACCAAAGTATCCAAAAGCACAATTAACTTCACAAGTTCTTGTAATCCGAGGAATGACAAGCTTTCTGAAGAATATGCTTCTGAGAACTTCTTAGATTGCTTTTGATTGGCCTCGATCATAGAATCTCTTTTGACTACACCAACGGCAAGTTGTTTAAAGTGATGCAACATATCCTTACCTTGAGTAATGCTTGGTTTATACGATGGGCCCATTGATAATAAAACACCAGTAATAAGTTGAAAGACAGGAACCAAAAATTCATAGTACGAAATCTCATCCTTTCTTTGAATTTCATCGCCATTGCTATCACATAAGGATAACGGAGTATCTAGAGATAAATGAATCTTGACGCCATTGACTTCCGACTCATCTAAATGCAAGTTCAATCCCAAGTCAGGGTCAATCAACAAAAACTTTGAGTTTTTAATTATTGGGAAAAGCTCACATTGCATAAGTTTAGATGCACCTAAACGAGTTGCAGAAATACGTAACAAGAGATAAATTGTAGCCTTGAAAGCAGTAAGCTCATACAAAAGATTATTCAATGTTACACCTGATGAGCCAACATGGTCACTAGAACAAAGACTCATCATCTCATCTGTTCTCTTGATGGATCTCACAAGAAGCAGAAGTGAGTTATTCTTAATGAGTCTTTCCAAAACAAAGTTTACTTGACTTTTGGATGAAATATGGATTAATGACTCCAAAAGCAAGAGTGAGGTTACTCTTGGGGAACCCTCGGCATAAATAGAATCATTACAGACAATGTCTATAAATTTTGAGTCAACTGATTTGATAGAAAGCGTCAAACTCTTGAGGATCTCATTATTTTCAAAGGATTTCTGCAAAAACTTGTTCGCCAAAACATACAAATCAGATCTTAATTCAGGAGTTGAGTATGAGCATAAAATTCCTGCAATGCATGTTTGGAACAATGGAAATAATCTTTGTAAATACAACGCGATGCTTTGGGTATCCTTGAGGTTATCTTTCTCATATAAGTCAAAAAGAAGGACACTCAATGATATTAACTCCTCGGCAAATTGAATATCAAATTCAAGATAATCATTAATCTTTGGTAAAATAACCAGGAAAATCTCAAGAATGAAGTTGGATTTGCGAAGCACAGACATGGTCCCATCAGTAAGTAAAACTTGAATAAGTTGTACCCACGAGTGAAGACATGATAATTGAATTCTCTTGAAATCATTATAAACAACATACTTTGTCAAAAATTCGGCAATTTTTGAACCCTCTTCCATAACTTCCTGTGAGAATGATAATCTCATTTCCTTATTATGAAGCTGACCAGTAGCCAGTTTACATATGATCTTATAAATCTTTTCAAGGATAGACAAATCAAGAATACTATCAACATGTTGATTTTGTCTCATGTAATCCAAAATAATAGGAATATTGTATTTCTGGTTAAACTTTTCGTACTTAGAAGTCTCCAAATTTTCAAATCTGAAGTTCAATATATCCAAGAAAGAAAGTACCCTAGGAGATCCATCCAAGAATGCATTACCATTCAACAACAAATCAATGTAAACCTCTTTACGATGAAGTGAACCTTGCTTGCTTGTACTATGGAATTCCAAGGACAAATATTGAAGGATCAAGTTACGATGTTGAATGAATGAAAATAATGCACTTGGTCCACTTCCCCCTTCACGTTGTATAAATTCATTTGAATGTCTTGTCAGTAAATCACCATCAAACTTTGCATTTGGTTTGCTGGCCCATTCAGTTGATAAGTCAATTTTTGGTTGACATTCAATTAACTTGGCAAAAAGGTTTCTGGATTCAATTTCATAATTACGCAAGAAATTAAGAGTTACTTCAGATGAAATTGGATCTCTGCATAATTTGACTAAGATTGCCAAAATATGTGCTGACAATTTTGCAGGGGCCAAGTCTATCACATGGATATTACCGTTATTATAGTCGATTTGAGAAATGCTGTTTAATGATGAATTCAAAACGAAAAGCAATGTCTTGAGGAGTGTGTTGCGACTGTCACGGGTATCTAACCCAAGAGTATTTCCGCCACCAAACTGAAATCCGAGAAGGAAATGAGCAACCCCTGGCTCATGCCCAGATTGAGGTAAATTTTCTAACAAGAAGTTCAAAATAGAAAATTTTGCTTCCAAGTCTTCGAACTGTTCAATAGAACGATCTAACTGTTGCATGAATGCATATTTAATTGCATCAGATTCATCTATACTCATGAAAGTTGTGAGAAGTCTGTTCTTTCCAAGAACTGGGTCTGTGGAGTTTCTATCAATGACGGTGACAAAAAATGATGAGCTACTAATATAGTGGAGAATACTGATTGCAGCCTTCGCAGTGTTAATATCACTTGAGCCCACAAGTAGTCCAAGATTAGCCACTACCGGGAGGTTGAACAAAAAGATTTCATAAAAGTCTGTCACTCCTTGGAGACCGATATTCTTAGGATAGTAGATATTGTCATATGCAGTCTTTGGGGTTGAAAGAGCCAAACTCATGCTGGTTCCAAAGCCAATAGGTCCACCATTGATACTTGAAGGGGTGATATCATTGTTTTTCAATACAGGAATTAATCTGTGAATGAAAGTGTCTTGAAGACCTAAAAAGTGATCAATGATTTCCAATGCTGTGGCTAAAGTTGTGTCTTCTTCCTTCATTGACACTACTTTGAACAATGCTCTATAGGTTCTTTCATCAAAGAAGTAATTCATAATAGCTAAAGAATGATGAAGTTTGACAAATAATTGGAAAGAAATTCCATCCAGTGCCAATTCCGAAGATTTGCCAATCACAGCATTAAGGTTAAAGTTATTACGAATAGTAGCAGGGGCTTCGTCATTAAGGAACTTCCAGTCAACTTCTTTCAAAGATAACACTATCATTTCAAGAATAGGTTCTTGAAGTGAGAGTCTATCTTGTAAATCTAAAAGTTCTCCTGAGTTTGAAAAGACTTCAAGCATGAGATATTCAATATATGGCCAAACCCCAATTTGACCATTGGCTCTGTATCCAGTTCCTAAATCCGCTGGGTACAACAAGCGGTATTGCTTGAATGCCTTATTCTCGTTCTTCAATGGTCTTAAGAGCTTTGTAACGAGCTTGGTAAAGCTTACCACTTGGGAGAGTTGTGTGAGTGACAACTGGAAAAGTTGTGATACCCTTCCATTGAATTGGTTGTTGGCTCTGATGCTAATATTATTGCTGTTAATTGAGTTGGAGTTGCTGCTATTGGTATTGCTGTTTATAATGTTTCTGTTGCCGCTGTTGTTGTTGATATTGATAATAGAATTGCTTGTGAGACCATTATTATTTTCTTCAAGTGGAAGACCTTGAAATATCCATTTATCTAATAATTCCCATACTTCGTATCTGATAGTCAAACTTGTGTCATCCTCTCTAACAAAGCTCGAAAGTAAATCTAACATAAGGTTGGATAATACCACTCTGTTTGAATCACTAACAAATATTTGCTTATTATTTCCCGAGCTGGATGCAGTTCCAGTCTTGATAATCAAGTTGTCAAGCATCAAAAACTCAGTAATTGTAGACCGGAAACGGTGGAAGATTCTTGCCTTAACTTCTCTGGAACGTTCATTTGAAGAGGAAAGGTTTTTCACAATGGCACTCAAAAGTTGTATAAACCCAGTAATGAATACCACGGAGTCCTCAGCAAGTTCAATAAGAATTGGGGATGTAGAGAAGTCAGTGTTATCACCATTTGACGATTCATTACTAAATAGAAAATCTTTCTTTTGCTGTTGAGATTTTAACTGAAGGTCTTCTTTAAAGTTCTTATTCAATGAGTCGACGTAGTAATTCAATGAGTCCGCAATTGAATCTACAGATACCTTGGAATAATCATTCTTTTTCAAAGTATTGCTATTGTTGTTAACAAGAATATCCCAAATTCTATTGGCAGAGTCATCACCACCATATGAAAGAGAACCGAGCAAAATCAGAAATGTCGCCGTAATTAAAGGCGATGTGTTGTTAGTAACACCCCATGAAATAAACCCAAGGAGATCGTTCACCTTACTGGTATTGCCATCTTCCCTCCATAAATGGTTGCAAATATTTGGACGGTCTGCGTGCGCGTAAGCATATGCTAAATAAAAGCGTTCCAAGTCCGATCTAGATGCAATTTCATCCAAGTCATATTGTGGGGGTTCGTTTGAATGGTCTTCATTATTTTGTTGTCCACCATGGTGACTCTTTTGCTTTTGGTTGAATCTATCCTTCTCATCTAATTCGCCTTCATCTTCTTCTCCTTCTGGCTTCCTGTCACTAGTAGAAAGAAGGAAATCTTCTTCATTGTCCCTCAACAGGGTAAGAATAACAGCTGCATTACTGACAAACCCAGAGAAAAATGTGTGAAGGAATGGAGCCACCAAGTCATTACTAAACGATTCAGAAATTAAGTAGCCATCAATGCTGACCAATGATGACACGTTTGCTAATCCGTTTATATTGGCTATACGGTCCAATTCGTCAGCTCCAGAGTACTTTAATTTCAATGGAGTCAATCTTGGGAACGATTTTTGTAATAATGACCGGAAGTCATAGATACCTTCCAATTGCAATTGAGTGGCAGAAGTAGAAGTGTCGGCTGATATACAAAGAAGTTTTTCAAATGCACCATATGTCACACACCATTCTATGTACTTGAGGATATCATCTTTAAAAGAGTAGGTGGTAGTACGTGAAGGGTCAGCTTTACACCATGTAATAAATTGAGTAAGCGAGATTAATGAAAGAACTACCTCTGTAGGTGGAAGACCAGATTTAGACAAGTCTAATTGTTGTGTCGATTGACTACTAATTTTTGAATAATCAGAAGTGAGTCTACTGACAGTAAATTTGTGAAGTGCTTCAACTTCTGAATCAGTTTTATTTCTTTGGATGAAGTGAAGGAGACCTGGTAAGTAATGCACAGTAAAGATGTCATCATCTTGCAAGTGTTTTTGCATGTGGTCAAGTACTCTCTTGTAAGTATTTGTTGTGTTAAGTTTTGGATATTTATCAATCAAACTGTAATAAATTTGGGCCAAAATCTCATGCAGTTGGAACAGTTCACGCTTGGCATACTTGATAGATGCAACAAAGGCGAGATTATTAAGATCTCCGGTGGCTTTTTGTTTGTCAATATGTTCATTTAGACGAGTGAAACGTGCATATAACCTTTCAAAAGAGATGATTATGTTGTCGAAGAAAGTGTTCAAGTTTTTATTCTTGCCATCACAAAGTAACTCTTCTACTTGCCCTGTTGATATTAAAAAGCCAGCAATATTCAATATATATTGGAATCTGGTGTAGAATGCACACTTTGCACTATCCAAAAGATCGATACCAGTGTGGAAACTTTCTGTTGATCGGGCATGATGAAGTAATTCAGCAGCCGCAATAACATCCAAATCAAGATCAGAAGACAAAATAGTAGCAGCTTCCATGAACTCAGAGTTTAACTTGAACTTCCCATCGGAAAATTCCACCTCTTCGGTGATTTTCCCTGCGCCACTTTGCTTGGACGGAGTTTTCAAAAGGGAAAACAAATCATTTTGGATGGTTTGGATGATTGAAGCATTGACATTCCCATCGTATTTGATTGCATTGTAGCACTCCACGAATACATCCGTGGACCAATTTAACTTTTCAGTGGCCCCGAGCGACATATCAATATGAAGATTGGGTATATTAATTGGCTACGGGATATACAATGATGCTGGTATTAAGCGATGATAGGTTTTGTTTTTTTGTTTGTGTGAGTGCAACAATTTTTTGATTTGAGAAAATTCAAGAAAATTATACTAACCTTGTATACAGTATGTATGTATTTTTATACGCAGTTCTGTCGATTACGGGTGTTTGGGTTTTCAATTGGAGTGTTAACCAACGTGTGGGTATAATAAAAGTGTTAACATATCTGAATTGTATAATTAGTGTTAGTGTCACTATTAATATAATAATAACATGATTTTAAGACTCTGTATAGAAAGTATGAGCCATTCTCTTGATTTTTTATTTTTAAATTAAGCAGAATTTGTTTTTAAATATATTTATCCTACAATCTATGATTTCAGAATTAAATTATTTGAAGATTTATTATTAAATTTGCAGCCAAATAGTAAAGGAATTATTTTCGTTTCTTTATGGGTGATATTTCCACACTTGGGAGATCATGACCCATAACTTTTTCCGGAGAATTATCAGGAGAAAGTTCAAGTAGATGTCTCTTTGTAGGACTGGATTCAGCCAGTCCTGCTGACACAGGCCTTTTTGATCTGGATTGAGGAGGAGGTAAACGATACAGGAAATCTGGAGCCAGTTTGGGCAATTTAATATTAGAATCAGAATCAGAATCAGAGCTAGAATCGGATATAGATACGAATAAGTCATTGGTAACGAATGGATTTTCTGGACCTGAATTCAAAAGAGGAACGTCAGGATCGGAGATAACATTCACTACAGTTTCAGGTTGAGCTTCATTTTGGAAAAATGAAGTTAATAGTGATTGGCCAGGCAACAATTTTCTAGGTTTTTTGGGACTTCTTTTACGTGTAAGTGCCGGTTTTGCCTTGGGTATTGGATTTTGCTTAAGATTTAATGTAGAATTAGACACTAACGAAGTTCTCGTTGAGGTCACGATGTCTTTTGAAGAAGTTTTTGATAAACTAGGTGTAGGTAGTAATGTTGGAGTTTGTGCGCTAGTAGGTACTTCCTTTTTTGGTAGTTCAATTTTATCAAGAACATCATTTTCGAGGTTTACCAGTTGTCTTTTCTTCATGAATAGACTATCTAATGTGGTTTTTTGACTGGGTTTTTTCTTGGGAGAAGGTTTTTTTTGTTGTAATTGTGTAGCTTTTTTCACAAGAAAATCTGCTACCAAGTTTGGATTGACCAAACTCACCAGGTTGACTGGAAGCCATACGCTTTGCTCTTTAGAAGCGTCAGATTCTTCTTGACTTGGGTCATTCCCGGGATATACCTCACGGAAAAGATTATCTCCATCATACTTAAGCATGACAAATTGCTCATTGTCAATTACTTTTGAATTCGATACCCGAATCATTGGGGCATATAAATCGAACGATAAGAGCTTAAGAATCAAATATTTGATGTTAAAATCAAAACTCATGGGAGGTAAAGTCTGTGGAGATTGTTCTCCAAAGCTAAAACATCCTGCTTTGAACTGAAACTTCTCTGATGATACAACTGGGAAGAGATACATCATTGTGAATGACTCTTCAATAAATAGGTTCTCCAAGGTCGCCTTTCTTTCAAAAATATCTCTTGAACGATCAATGATGCTTGTGTTAAGAAGCTGAACTAATCTTTGAAGCTTGATTTCTCGTTGTTCCCGTTTACGAATGTTTTGCATTTGGGTTGGGTCTACAAAGCAGTCCAATAACATTTTACTAAAATCAGGAAGTGGGTCAGATCGTCTAGCAACTCCCTTTTCCGCCTTTGTAGGTGAACGGTGGTAAAAGGACGCAAATGTAGTTCCACAGAGGGCCAACTTCACCGATCTAGTTATCCCTATTTTTTCAACTCCACTAGAATAATCACCTCCTCGTAATGTAGCTATGAGAATAAGTCGAGTATAATCCAAACCTGTCTTTTCAGTGACTTTCTTCATGTGTACAGGCGTGACATAGAATTCACTCTTAACTTTGGTAGTTGTAATTGCAGAAGCTGGCTTATCTTCTTGATATCTTGAGAAGTTTCGTAATACTTGTACAGCTCCAAATACAAGAGTATCTACGTCATTACTCAAAACATAATCTGCTATTTCAGTTTTTTGAAGCATTGCACATTCAGCTTCAGCTTCTCCTGGACTTTGAATAAAAGATATCAGTGCCTGAGAAAGAGCTAATTTGAGCTTATGAATGGTTTCATGTTCAAAAGCAGGGGTTAATCCCAGGGGTTGAAGTGAATCAATTTCAGTCCCAGTGGAATTTGTAATGTTCCTCATTTTAAATGGCTTTTCTACCCCATCTAGAACGACAACATAAGATATATTTAAAGAACTTAAATACATAAGTTTTGCCATAAAATTTCGTATTATCGCTTCATCAGTCCAATCTGTAAGATTTGAATGTTTCGATTGAAACAAAAACATGAATCCATCAATGGCCAAACGTGGAGCACGGCCATGTTGAGAGATGAACCTCGATACAAACACTGGAACCGTTACTCTTTCATCAAATCCAGGATATAGAACCGACCAGAGATCGTTGATCCCCATAAGTAAAGTAGAGATGAACTAAATCCGACTTTCAACCGTACGTTTGTCACGTTCTCACAACCATGAGGTAGAATAATACAGTACTTTGGACTATAGTACCTCGGTGGGATATGAAGGTACACAGTTGAGAGTGCAGTATTATAGTTGTATAAACCTTACAAAACCAGGTGATTTTGCAACCCACCCGTATATCACAACAACCGCACCATTCCATTTTTCTGGGTTGGAGGTTTTTTAAAAAAACATTTGAGAATCCCAAATTGATAAACATCGAGCGAGGAACAATTCAACCCCAGTGTTTTTAGCTAATCTATCTTTAACAAGTGAATTGACTTGGCCTGTTTAAGAAGGGATAATACATAGCCCTCTCTAAAGGACTTAAAAAAAAATTATAATATTAAACTACTGATATTTAATTTGTTATTTGCTTCATAGTGTATAACCCATACTATTGTCCGAATGTATGTTGGTCAACTTTTATGTGCTGGGTTCCAAGGAACCAGCGTCACGCCACAAGCGTACAATCTTATAGTACAACAACATGTATCCACCTTGATTCTTCTGAAAAAGAACTTTTCTTCAGTGAAACAAATAACAAAACTTATCCGAGATCTTCAATATATTGCCATGACTCAGGGGAATTATGAGTATCCTCTTATATTTGCCGTCGACGAAGAAGGGGGGATGATGAACTCCTTATTTGATCCCGAGTATCTTACACAATTCCCCGGAGCTATGGCTATGGCGGCTACTGGAGACTTAGATTTGGTGTTCCAAGTACTGCGAGCACTTGCAAAAGAATTGAAGCTCATTGGGTTTCTGATGCTCTTAGGGCCCGTATTGGATGTGGTGACCAAATTAAGCCATCAATTAGTTGGGGTACGTAGTTTTGGTACGACTCCAGAGGATGTGGTGAAATTCGGAAGAGTCTGTTGCAAGGGACTCCAACAGGGGGGAATATTCACAATGGGGAAACATTTTCCAGGAATTGGTAATGCAAGCGTTGATCTGTTGCTTGAACTCCCCATGATGGCAGACTCCTTGGATCAGATGAGACTACAAAATACGGTTCCATTCCGAGAGCTTATCAAGGAGGGACTATTGGACGGTGTTAGTGCTGCAGGCTGCGCAGTGCCCTCCATCAGTCCTGATGAGGTACATGCATGTTTATCACCAATACTTATAACCGAATTGCTTCGGAAGGAGTTAAACTTTAATGGAGTGGTGGTGAGTGAATGTTTAGAAATGGATGCTCTTTTCCATTCTATTGGTCTTGGCCAAGGTGTTATCCTCGCTCTTTATGCGGGGTGTGATTTGGTGATGGTTTGTCACAATATGACGCTTCAAAAAGAAGCGATAGAGTCTATGGACAAAGCTTTAGCCAATGGTAATTTGGATTTGGAATTAGTAAATGGATGTTTGGGAAGAATCAATAAATTACAAAAAAGACTTCCAACTTGGGCTGAGATGTTTCCCGAAGGTGAAAAGTCTGCAAGAGATGACTTAATTCTCTTTAAAGACAAATATCACGATGTATGGGAACATCATCAACAACTATCTGCATTAGCATACAAGAAATCAGTCACATTAGTCCGAGATTACAAAGATTCTTTCCCAATTACTAAATTCCTTAGTCTTGATGATACTAAACCAGATATGAATAACGTTTTAATTCTTTCTCCTTTACTTAATCCCTTGTATAAACACGGTGAGGAAGATGGTCCTCAAAAGGACGGCCTCTATACTGGAGAAGATGTGTTCCAGAAGTTTGGTGAATTGCTTGCCAACCATCCGTTTAATTCTTCTCCGGCCATGAAGGGAAAATCTTATAATGTATTACATACTACTTATACTGCCAATGGACTTACCGCATTACACGAGTCTCTTATTGAAAACTCTCAAGTCGTTATCGTCTTAACTTCTGAAGCATCTAGAAATATGTACCAAATTGGTATCGTCAAGTATGTTTCAATTCTTTGTGGGGCAAATCCATATTCCTTCAGTAATAAAGGAGGCAATAGAAACAGTTCCCAATTGACTAAACCGCTCATTATTGTTGCAACTCTGTCGCCATATGACTTTTTTTACAATAAATCTATCGGTAGTGCGTACCTTTGTTGCTATGATTACACAGACAATGTCTTAGAACAACTTAGTGGAGTCCTTATGGGTGACATTCAAGCGGAAGGATGTATCCCAGGGGAGAAGAAGTTTGTAGGAAGACCTAAAAAGAGAAAGTTACTGGGAGGTAATTTGATTCCATCACTGGGTCTTACCAACTCTTCTAGCTCATCGAAAAAGGTTTATAAGAGAAATCCAACACCATCTAGAAGGTGGTTAGTAGATGAATTAGATCTCCAGCGTGATTGGTACGCACTTACTAAATTGTGGATGAGTAGCACCACCGAGCCAACTACGTCGAAAGAGATCAGTTACCAAGACCCTTACTTTTACAAGATGCTTTACCTATTACTCAGAACAACTAGTAACAATCAAAAACATTTCGTGGTAAGAAATGCTTCTTTGAATATTATATATGGGGTAGTAATTACATGGATTGTTGAAGAGCAAAAAGTACTGAACAGCTCAATTAAAAATGAAACAAAGGACAACGTATCAGCTGAAAAAGTTGGATCTGTTTTATACCTTCTTGTGGATAAATCTAAGCGATTACAAAGTATCGGTAAAAATTTACACGCAAGAGCAATGAGATACTTGATAGAAGAAAAGAAATGCACAAAACTTACCCTCGGAGGTTCATTCCCATTAATATCGTTATCGAACACTTCACAATTGATTCTTGAAAGAAATTCTAAAGTGATTTCATTTTTAAACAATGTGGGATGGGATTTGCCAGAAAAAGGTCTTCATAAAAAACATATAATGGTATTGGATAACTTGAGTACTTGGCTGGTTCCTAAGAAGATTTTTAGAGAGTTGACTATAGTTGGAGTTCGATTTGACATTTGTTCAAACCCAGATAAATTGATGAAGTTAATTGAAGGGAGTGATACGAATAAATCGGGCCCGGACGCATCTGGGAATTCGACAAAAGAAGAGAGTTCAAGAGATGAGGAGAATAATGCATCAGGTACTTCAAACCAACCTCAATCAAGCGGTTCCAACCTGGATGAAACTAATTACACTAAGGCTCTCTATATGGAAGCTATCAAGTATCTTAACAACAATTCATCAAACGGAGTGAAAATTATTATTGCTCTTGAACCAACTAACCAAAATGTCATTGGAAGTGTAATTCTATTCAATAACATATGTCCGCTTGCTAAATTTTTCCCATTTATCAACCAGGCAGCCAGTGTTGGGAACGTATCAACAGAAGACCCAAATCCTGTTATAGGAGGGATCATAGGTCCAATTATTGACCCTTCTTATTCAAACCTTACAGAGATTTTCAAATTTGGACTTGTTTGCAGTGGGATAACATTTTTGAAGTCAAGTAATGTTGAAGGCCAACCAAAGATGAATAAGTGTGTCATGATTGGAATTGAAGAAGATAAGAGTAGTAATATTAACGGAATAAAAGATATTGGATTCCAAGAGTGGAAACAATACTATGATTATTACGAGAAAAAGGCAGATGCTAGGACCTTATTAGAGAATTAGTGTATAATACAATACAATACGTTATATGGAATTGGATGTAAATTTAGAAGAGTGGTTTCATAAAATTTTTCTTTTACTTGTATTATCGGGTAAATTTTCATTGTTATTGTTTACATGTTGATTGCATTGACTTGTCAACTTAAATTAGACGTATGCAAGAACTTGAAATCTTACTACGGTGTTCGTAATACTCTTAAGACATTCCCCCCCTTTTTTAGACCGGAGCCCGGGCAATCCCGCAAGCGCATTGAAATGTTGAAATGTTGAAATGTCTTATTGTCAACTCCGAGAAGTTGAAATTCCCATCAATCTTCCTCCTCCTTTTTGTTGACAGTATCAGTCAAATTCAATTCAATTGAGGTTTTTCGTGAGTCATTTCAATACCAGATTTAGCATTGCTTCATTTTGAAGATTTCTTATTAAATTTTGGTTGCGACTACGATTTCACAAGCTTATATTATAAGATAATAGGCCGGCATCGAGAAAAAAAGACTCCGCCGCGTGTATACTAATAAATTTTTAGACTTCCCCACACATTCCATTCCTGCTTCCCCCGGACTACTCACGCGACATTAGTATAGCTGTACCACCAAAAAAAAAAAGAGGAGTGCAACGCAGTACACTTACACTTTATTAACATTCGATTAATTTAGATAATCTCGTTGTTTTAATCTTTTATGGGGTGTCATTGAATGTTTTAATTGTTTCCCCCCTTTTTCCCTCTTTGTAGATTAGAACACCAATAATAAAGACCGCAAAATAAGAAAACGCCTCGGGCATGCGGGAACTTCCGTATGGGGGAAAACACTTTAATACATATACCGACTTCCATTGATCCGAAATCATTCTCCCGAGCAAGACCGGGACAAAATTACATAATAATGCACATAAGCTTACGTAAAATTTACACCAATTACATAAGTTGACGGCGTATCATTACCTAATCGAACCCCTTGCGGAAAGATTCGGAAGAAACTTCACCCCAGATTTCAAGTTCCGATCACACCCTATGCACTCCTGAAATGCACTTCCATTTCCCCGGGACTGGGGTATCATCAAGAATTGAGAAAATATCTTTGTACCAAATGGTATATATACTGGGGTAAGTTCCCCCAATTATGCAAGTATATAAATATTTCTATATCATACATTTACATATATTCATCAATACACAACAACAAAGATGACTCCACCTACAGCTGTTGAATCCTCCATTAACTTTGGTCAAAATTCTAAGATCAAGACTACACAAGATCCTCTTGTAAAGCAACTTTCCCTCGGCGAAGAAACTTTGATTCGTCATAATGTTCCACCTTCAACTCTTTACGAAGATGGTCTTCTTGAAAAGGGAACTACCATCTCTTCCACTGGTGCTCTTTTAGCATACTCTGGTAAGAAGACTGGTAGATCTCCAAAGGATAAAAGAATTGTTGACGAAGAAACCTCCTCCCAAAACATTTGGTGGGGACCTGTCAACAAGCAAGTTGACGAACTTACCTGGAAGATTTCCAGATCCAGAGCTCTCGACTACTTGAGAACTAGAGAAAAGTTGTTTGTTGTCGATGCCTACGCCGGTTGGGATCCAAGATACAGAATCAAGGTTAGAATTATTTGTGCTAGAGCTTACCATGCCCTTTTCATGACTAATATGTTGATTAGACCAACCGAAGAAGAATTGGCCAACTTTGGTGAACCAGATTTCACCATCTACAACGCTGGTCAATTCCCAGCTAACGTCCACACTAAGGGTATGACTTCTTCTACCTCTGTTGAAATTAACTTCAAGGATATGGAAATGGTTATCCTTGGTACTGAATACGCCGGTGAAATGAAGAAGGGTATTTTCACTGTCATGTTCTACTTGATGCCAATCAAGCACCAAGTTTTGACTTTACATTCTTCTTGTAACCAAGGTACCGAAAAGGGTGATGTTACCTTGTTCTTCGGTCTTTCCGGTACTGGTAAGACCACCTTATCTGCTGACCCAAGCAGAAAGTTGATTGGTGATGATGAACATTGTTGGTCTGACAACGGTGTCTTCAACATTGAAGGTGGTTGTTACGCCAAGTGTTTGGACTTGTCAGCTGAAAAGGAACCAGAAATTTTCAACTCTATTAAGTTTGGTGCTATCTTGGAAAATGTTGTTTACGACAGAGATACTAAGATTGTTGACTACAATGACTCTACCATTACTGAAAACACTAGATGTGCATACCCAATTGATTTCATTCCATCTGCCAAGATTCCATGTTTGGCTGACACTCACCCAACCAATATTATCTTGTTGACTTGTGATGCCTCTGGTGTTTTACCACCAGTCTCTAAGTTGACTAATGCTCAAGTTATGTACCATTTCATTTCTGGTTACACCTCTAAGATGGCTGGTACTGAAGAAGGTGTTACTGAACCACAAGCTGTCTTCTCTGCTTGTTTCGGTCAACCTTTCTTGGTTTTGCACCCAATGAAGTATGCTCAACAATTATCTGACAAGATTTCTCAACACAATGCCAACGCTTGGTTGTTGAACACCGGCTGGGTCGGTGCTTCTGCTGCTAGAGGTGGTAAGAGATGTTCTTTGAAATACACCAGAGCTATCTTGGATGCTATTCACAGCGGTGAATTGAGTAAGGTTGAATACGAAAACTTCCCAACTTTCAACTTGAACGTTCCAAAGTCTTGTCCAAATGTTCCAGCTGAAATCTTGAACCCAACCAAGGCTTGGTCCGAAGGTGTGGATTCATTCAATGCTGAAGTCAAGGCTTTGGCTGGTAAGTTTGGTGAGAACTTCAAGAAGTATTCCGATCAAGCCACTGCTGAAGTACAAGCTGCTGGTCCAGAAGCTTAAAACCCGGAGAATTAGATAGCATACGATATAACATTACAATAACATAATATTTAAGTGAAGTTTTTACTGTAGTTAGTGTTGTTTGAAAAATTTCTTGCCCTGGCGATAGCTAGGTACTTGGAAAGCTAAAACACATGCAAGATTTGTTTTTGGCGGGTGACAAAACATTACGAGCCCAGGCGATCCCCATGCAGCATTAGTTCAGAAAAAAACGAACTCTCAGATGCAAATCATGGAATTATCGAAACCTCCGCTTAACCCCTGTTTCCGGAAAGTCCGATTTCTTAAATACATTCAAACAATAATTATAATCAAAAACTTGGAAACAACTATTTTTAAGCCTAAAATGTACTTTTCTCTAAATGTTGGGTTAAAGTAAACTATAACAATTACAGTATTGATAAGGGGATAAGGTAAATGATTCTCATAACCCGGATTATAGTTTAAGTTTGTAAATGTAAGAGTTGTATGTTAATGTTATTAGTACCGTTATTTACCTACTACTATAAGCACAAGCTAGTCAAAATATAATTGATTTTCTGTTACAAAGGGTTATGTGGCCAAAACCTTAAATTATTTTAAACTATGGCAAAATTAGCCCCCCCCCCCCCCCGTGCCCCTTTACTGTTGTCTTCTACTAGCCATGGCTGTGTTCTTTTCTTCTTCTATTACTGTAGTAAAATAGCTAACCTCGGTAGCATTAGTACTTTTTACATGCTACGGCATTATGTCCGATACTTGCATTTCGGACTTGAATTTCTAATGATGGGGAAAAAACACCCCGCGATCATCGTTCCATGTGAGGTAAACCTTTAAAGTTCTCCTATAAAATATTAATAAAAAGTATAAAAGGAAGATAAGATTCTGCCAATATGTTATTAGATCTCTCTTCTCTATTCAAAAATGTTGTCCTTAGATTTGTTTACTGAACATCGGTATGTTCTTGCAGTTGTTCTTTTCTTCACAATTTATCATGTTGTAACACATTTGCGATATGCATTAGCTGCACGTAAACTAAATTGTAAACCACTTCCTGATAGAACTCTCGCTTTTTGGGGGATCCCTCTCTTCTTCAAGGCTCTCAAGTTGAAGAAAGAAGGTCGTATGATTGATTATTCCAAGGAAAGATTTGACACAACTGGACTTGACACATTCAAATTTAGAATCGCTGGCATGCGTCTTTTTACCACTCGAGACCCTGAAAACATAAAAGCCATGCTTGCCACTCAATTTAATGATTTTGGTCTTGGTGCAAGACATGATCAATTATTCCCATTTTTAGGTGACGGGATCTTTACTCTTGATGGTAATGGATGGAAACATTCTCGTGCAATGCTTCGGCCACAATTCGCACGTGAGCAAGTTGCACACCTTTCTTCATTAGAACCACATGTACAACTATTGAAAAAGCATATTCAAAACACCAAAGGAGGTAAGTTTGAAATTCAAGAATTATTTTTCAAATTGACTGTAGATAGTGCAACTGAATTTTTATTTGGTGAATCTGTTTCAAGTCTTGCAGATGAAACAGTGGTAAATAATTATTATGAACTGATTAATTTTGATGGGAAAAAGGGATTTGCTGAAGCATTTAATACCACTCAAAAATACTTGAGCACAAGGCTCTTGGCTCAAAGGTTGTATTGGATATTTGATAGTAAGAAATTCCGGGATTATTGTGCTCGAGTTCATAAATTCAGTGATTATTACGTTCAAAAGGCATTGGATGCTTCTCCACAGGAATTGGAAGAAAAGGGCAAAGATGGATATATCTTCTTGTATGAATTAGTCAAGGAAACAAGGAATCGAAAAGTTTTAAGAGATCAACTTTTAAATATTTTACTTGCTGGGAGAGATACAACTGCCAGTTTATTATCATTTGCCTTTTTTGAAATGGCACGGAATCAACAAATTTGGAAAAAATTGAGGAAAGAAATAGATGAAAATTTTCTGTTGGGAGATAACGTTGACTTGGACTTGATAACTTTCGAATCATTGAAGAAATGTGAGTATTTAAAGGCAATTATCAATGAAACTTTACGATTGTATCCTTCTGTACCCCATAACTCACGAATTGCTACCAAGGATACAAGTTTACCCCGTGGAGGCGGTGAAGATGGACAATCTCCAGTGTTTATTCCAAAGGGACAAACGGTAACTTATGCTGTTTCTTCCATGCATCGATCCAAACGATACTATGGAGAAGATGCTGAGGTTTTCCGTCCAGAAAGATGGCTTTCTGGTGAAACAAAGAAGGTAGGTTGGGCATACCTTCCATTTAATGGAGGCCCTAGAATTTGTCTTGGACAACAATTTGCCCTTACCGAAGCTGGATATGTTATTTCTCGATTAGCGCAGATATTCCCCAACTTGTCATCATTTGATGATGAATACCCTCCGAGAAAGAGTTCACATTTGACAATGTGTCTTCAGGATGGTGTAAACATAAGTTTATCTTAGTGTTAATATTTTTATGGTTTAGAATTTTTTAGTACATATAATTAATCTTAATAGTTGTATATTTCAAACTAAATATAATTTAATTGTATGGAGTTGCAATGAGAAATATTTGCAATCTATATTTATTTTTTTGGGGTTATGTAGCACGCGCCGCGTTTATTCAGATATCAATCACACAGTCTCAAACAGGTACATTCCCAATTAATATTGTATATGAATTGATCATCTTTTCTTCTATAAGTCCAAAATGTCCTCCATGCCTTCAAAGAAGATCTTTGATGCGTCCGACTTGATACGGTTTAGAAGATCGCTTGCATATAAGCGTATTCATATGATCTTAGCTCAAGTGGTGACCAAAGTGCAAGGTTTCGATGTCCCAACAGGAGTACTTGATGCTGAATTAGTGACTAGACCTTCTACAAGACCAGAGCCAACTAAGGTGGTGGTAACTCCTGCCCCACCACAAGATGTAAAGACACAATCCGCAGGAGATATCATGGCAAATACAAATAGTTTGATCAAAGGAATACTTCATATTCTTTCAGAATTTAATACATACATTGATAACACACCACCAAAGGAGGGCCCCAGACGGTTTGGGAATTTGGCCTTTAGATCTTGGAATGGGTTGGTGGAAGAAAATATAAAGCTGCTAGTACTTGAACATCTCAATACTTCTGGAGAAGCTGTACATTACCTACAAGTTGCATTTGGATCATCTTTAAGATTGGATTATGGAACGGGCCATGAACTTTCCTTTTTAGCATTTCTTGGTGGGGTTCCTAATCTTATTGACTCCGCTTCCGGTCCAGAGCTATTAACTGTCTTTGCAAAGTACTATGACTTGGCTAAAAGATTGATCTTGGTGTACAATTTGGAACCAGCAGGGTCACATGGAGTATGGGGTTTAGATGACCACTTCCACTTGATCTACATCTTGGGGGCTGCTCAATTTAACAACAAATCTGGAGAGTCAAAGAGAGTTCTGAAAGTTCCTCCTCCAGTATCTCTGATTCTAAAATTACCCACAATCAAAACCTACAAGCTTTCTAATTTATACGTTAATGGGATTGCTTTTATTCAAAGGATAAAACTGGGTCAATTCTACGAACATTCGCCAATTATATATGACATCCACAATACTGTCACTTTATGGGCCAAGGTATTGTCAGGGTTATTGAAGATGTACGAGGTTGAAGTGTTGGGGAAGTTCCCTGTCACTCAACATTTCTGGTTTGGTGAGAACTTATACCCATGGAAGGATCTTGACACCGGAGTTGCACTTCCAGTATACTTTAAAGAAGAGGAAGAAGACAAATCCACAACAGTAGGATCAACCCTGCGAGACACGGTGACAGGTACAGGCACAAACGTAAGCACGGGCCAGTTCCTTGACGGGGCTGGGGTGAAGACTACAAGGACGAATGTTTCCATGACTGGAGCTCCTTGGGCTAGAAGCCCAAATACTGCAAGAGATAGAAACCCTTGAATTCAATGTATCTGGTATATATATATATTATTCTATTTAGTTGTAAATATTAACTTCTTCTAGTAAAATTAAAGGTCGAACGACATAATGGACATGTACTTCCACCTGAACTCTTAAACCATTTGTACAAACAAGCAGCATGGAATTTATTGTTACAAGTTGGACAATTCTTAGTAGGTAAGGAGTGATCTTGATGTAAAATGGAGTAACAGATTGCACAATCTTCAAATCCAGAAAAGTGCAAGTTCACATTCTTATTGAAAAGTTCAATTGCTTCTATAATGGAACCGTTGGTCAATGAGATTACCCTTTGAGATGCCAACAACCATGCTTTCCATTGATTTTCCTTAACACCAAGACGCAATGGACCTTCAACAGAAACCTTTGCTAAGGGGTATGTAGCAGGAATCTTGACCACCATTTCCATGTTCTGGTCGTCGATAAGATAGATCGAACGGATTTCATTGGTGACCTTGTTAACCTTCAAAGTCATGATTTCGTCAGAAGCATTCTTAGCCGATGATGATGCGACATCATCAAGGATCTTTGTGACAATAAGAGGAGAGACATACTTCGTAGTAAACTTCTCAATTTTGAGTTTCAATTGACGGTCTCTGATACCATTGTACCAAGTCAGAACACTAGAACCAAAATGTTCAAGCGATAAATAGTACAAATGAAGGAGAGAGAACTTAAATTCATGGATAAGAGAATCAGTAACCGGTTGGAAGGTTTGAATCGAAGTCTCTTCCAAATCCTTCAATAAAGCCATATCAGTGACATCCACTTGTTGAAAGATAAAATCTAATAATTCATCAATAGAATTATACTTCTTCAATTGAACGGTGTATTCATGACGGAGAGAATACGTGATATCAACAAAGTGATCAAATATAAGCGACCAAGACCAAATGAACAGAGCGACTTTCGTTGCCTTCTCAAATTCAATAAAGTCATCAAACTTAGATTTGATTAGCGAGAGAAGTACGGATGGAAGTTCAGCAATGATCGATTGTTCTTCTTCGTCCAGATTGTCATCTTTAATAGTCAGCTTCCGCAATTGATAGTCCACAACAAAGTCCTGTTGAGATTCTAAAATCAATCCGTGCAAAAGCAAAACACTAATTCTTTGAAGGTCAATGGATTCACATTCAAGAAGACCATATAATTCAAGGTTCTTATCCTGAAGAATAGATTTCAGAATATTGGCTTTCTGGAAAAATCTAACCAAGAGAGTATGACAAAGCAGGACTGATTGGTTGTTAAACAATTCGTCTTGACCTTGAACATCCTTATTCACCATAATATCAAGAGCCTCTTCATAAAACGTGTTTTGTTCTTCCTTCCATGTTGCCTCATCTAGATGACGCTTTAATGCAATAGCAAGCTTTAGAGTGAAATATTTCAATTCCAAATGAGCAGGTTCCACTTGAATTGTTCCAAAGTTATCGTGGCACAATTGGATAGCTAATTCAAACACCTTAGATGGGGTATCATCATATTCCATTAAGCCAACCAAGAATCTGGAAATTTGACATCTCATCACAATGAATTCTTCATCGTATGCGATGTCAGATTCCAACCAAGACAGAATCGTGTTAAGAACCATCATAAGTCTATGCGGTGGGATGAACTCGTAATTGTCTTCATTGAACAAAAAATTAATACTAAGAGTCAACCATTTCAATCCATCTGATAAGATTTTTGATTCACCACGAACTCCCAAAATCTCAGCAGCGACAAAATTACGAATTCTGTCAAACTTGGAGGAAGTGGCCAAAAATTGAGAGCAAGCTAAAAGAATGGAACCAAATTGTAATGGGTTTTTCGTAGCCAATTTACTCAAATTTATGGTGAACTGTGAATCAAAATTCAGGAGAGATACACCATCCAAAATAGAGGACACAATTAATTTGAGAAGACGAGCAGCATATGTCGAAGGTGAATTAATTATCAACGAAATAGTATGCTTGGACTCACCTCCATCGATGACAGACACTACATCGGCAAGTGAGAGACCAGCTGTTACACTTTCTATGAAAATATTGTGTAATTTTTCCTGGAGGGATACAATGTGATTATCTTCACTTTTTCCCAAAAAAATTACATCAGCAAAGTACTCTGAAAGCAAACCCGTGGCAAACAAAAGCGGTTCATTTTCTGCCACTTGCTTTAATCCAAGAAGGAAAGTACCCACACTTACTAAGCTCTTTTCAAGGTTAAAGGCAGTACTGTGAGTTGTACCCAAAACGATATTTTGCTCTACGGTGTTTGCAATTGAGAGTTGACTAGCAGGAGTTTGTAAAGTGTCCAGTTCAATCGTTAATTCAACCAAATCTGTAAGTTGTTGAGTTGGGAAGTATTCCGGTAATGATATGTCAAAATATTTTTGCAATTCTACAAAATTGGTAGTTGTAGGATTTCCAATGTGCTCAAACAATGACTTTTGAAGCACTTCGTCTGCAGCAAAACCGCTTTCTACGAATGATCTCGCAGATTTGCTGGAACCAATGTTTCTCCAGCAAATAGCTAATAAACTGTCTAAGTCGGTTGATTCCAACTGTTGGCCCTTGTTGTCATTGAGTAACAGACCAATGAATACTAAACCATCCTTATCACTTTTAGTGCTATTTTCCAACAAATTTTGGAAAATTGCATCATCTTGAGTATATGAAAATACAACCTTTGCTTCGTCTGCTGAAAGTTGTTCCGTTCTTTTTGACAATTCTACAACATACGCAAACATTTCAGGATGTTCCAGCAAGTTGAACTTGACTTCACTCAAAGTGACAAGGAACAGAGGAACCTTGGAAGGAGAAACCATTGTAAGCTTAATGAATACATCATTGACCAGTTCTCCTAGACGCTCAGTGGTTTCTTTATCATCGGAACCTCCGAATACATGAAGGATGACTGACATGAGTTCAATAGGAGGACCTACAAAATCTTCCTCAATATAAGCAGGGAGATTATCCATGAAGTCCAAGAGATTATACTGTTGCGTTGTAGCGGCAGCATTTTTATCTGGATTATGGTACAGTTTGAAGTATTCCGCGATAATGTAAAACGCTAATGAAGGACGGAGAAGTTCTGGGTCAAGAATTCCTTCAAAAATATCACCTACCAATGATTGGAGTTGGTCTTGGTCCTTTGATGTTGTGATAAGTTTCATATACATCGTTGCCAATACGTTCATATCCTTAGTTTTAAATGTGTACTGACCCACACTGAATGATTGATTTTCCTCCCTATCTTGTAGAGAATATGCGACTAAAGCCTCCTTGAAAGGTGCCCAAACTTGTTCAAGGTCAGGGAATGAATTTCCTAACAATGTCAACACTTCCTTATTACCATTGATAGAGTCAAGAACTTGGTAGGAGATGATTTGCAGGATTTCTAAAGAGTTTCCCACTTCTTTGAAACAAGCGTGAACTTTAATCAAACATGCCAAACACTTCAGTTTCCAATCGTTACCTCTAAGGGTACTGAAGTCCGATGCTAAAATATCCACGAGAATTTCCTTAGCGTCTTTATTGCTTTTAAAATCTATCACTTCTGTTTTCGTTGCCTTGGATAATTCCAAGAAAAACTGACCTATAATCAGGTAATAAGCAGGGTTCAGCTGACAACTCCCCAATTTTAGATATCCAAGAAGTCTCGATCTAGCCTTATCACTGAAATCCCAAAAGTTCTTTTTCACTTTCAGGTTTGGTTGACTTGAATAACGTGTCAATATCACCAATGTATCCCAGAATTGTAAGATAATGCTTGCAAGGACACTCTTGGAAGTAGTAGAAGACTTCAATTTAACGTGCTTTAAGAATTTCTTTGAAATCAATTTGTAGAGAGACTTTGGTTCTACATGGGAAAGGAAGAGAGATCCCCCTTCAACATTACCGCCAAAGATCGCTTTAATGAGGATAAGAAGAGTCTTAAAGAGAGACAAATTTAAAGTTTTCGTGGCGAGACAACGTTCCAAATGCCCATCCCAAACAGAGTCTGCGCTTACAAGCTGCTCTAAAGTGGACCAATCAATTTCACCAATAGTTTTTTCATTTTCCAGTAAGGTTCCATCATTGACTAATCCAATCAACTTAGCCAACATAGTGAGCGCTCCATTCACCACTCGATCGTATTTGGCAATCGAGTCATCTTCCTTGGTATATCTTGGGTCAGACAAGCTCTCATTAGTTTCCATTGTGAGCGCAGTACGTATATAGTTGACAATTGGTTCGTAGAATAAGACCCAAAGTTTGACGTCAACTTTTTCCTTGTCTTGGAAACTTTCCACAAGGGATTTATAAGACTCTCTACTGACAACATTGTCACTATCAAAGACACCCAGAAGCCACACAGGGATCGAACTTTTCAAGTAGCGACTAAATGCTTTCCCACCTAGACGTGAGAGAAGCTTAGCTTGAACTTGATGTGCTAATACTCGCGCATTTCTAGAGTTATCCATAGCCAACTTGGGATAAAGCTGAATCCACAGGACAGTGAAAATGTCATCCACTGGGGTGGATTGATCATCCAAGTACAGTAGAAGCTCGTTCAACGACTTCTCCTTGGTTATGGAATCCTTCTTGAGTAATGACTTGAAAATTATGGTGGCGTTTGGATCTTGTAAATGTGAAGGATCTGGAAGTGCTGTGAAATAGTTTAATGACACAGAAAATCCATTATAGCCCAAATCACCACTAGAGGTACCGTATGCATTTCCGGCCAAGTCTCCTAGCCCTCCTGAAGTACCAAACATGTTTTAAATAAAAGAGAATTCAAATACAATGTTAGTCATAGAGATAATTTTTCTTTTTTGATATCTTGTGCGACATACCGGATATTGCTACAAGCGACGATCCTAGCTTTATGCATTTTATTTTTTGCAACTACTCAAGCAAAGTATCTGATTGTCGTAAAGTATTGTCTATATATATATATATGAATGCTACATCTTTTCCAACTTATTGTAGAAGTCTCTAACCACATCAGCAACCTTGATTTTATCGGCGTTGAAGTTGACAATTTCGAGAGTTTCTTTACAAGTTGCTCTTGAAAGGGCGACATAAACTTGCCCCTTTTCGAAAACTGTTCTTAAGTTCACCCGGAGTCGATTAATTGTTTGACCTTGGGCTTTATGAATGGAGAGCGCCCAAGACAAAAGTAAGGGTAATTGTGACCTACTCAAAACATTGTCCTCGCTATTTCCCAGACGTCCTTGAACTAAATCAACTTTAAATTCTTCTCTTTGAACACATAACATTCTCAGTTCTCCATTCCGTACATTGAATTTGATCACTGGGAGCCATTCAGACTTTCTATCGGTGACTGCTAAATTACATAATTCCCGCATTCTAGTTTGTCTTTCACGAGGTAATTTCTCAAATAATTGTCTTGATTCTTCATCCCATTCAGCATTTACAACTCCACTTTCATATATTTGAGTTGGATTTGCTTCATTTTTAATTCCATTCTTTGCTCCAAGTGATGATAAGAGTTTCATTTCAGCAATGACTAAACTATCTTTTTGAAGTGCATCTTCCCCATACAATGCTAAAACCTTTTCCCATAGCGTTAATGTTAAAAAATACATGACAGTTCCAATGGATCCATTAACAATGTCATCGTCAAGATTTCGAAGATACATAACTTGAGCCCCCTCTTTCAAAATAAGTTCCTTCTCACACATCAAACTTTCAAGAGAGTCTCTAAATCTAACATCTCCTCTATCATCAGCTATATACACTTTAGCCTTAGTTTGAAGATTTCGTAATCTACTATCATTTGCAGCCTTAACTTCTCTTCTAGTGGGGTACAATTCTGTTGGTTCAATACCATCGTCATAATTGACTCTACGGGCTAACTTGGCAAAACTTGAAATCATACTGGTATCTCCATGTCTAACTGCATTCAACATATCAATAAGTTCAGTATCACCCTTTTGTCTAAACACCTCAGTAAGTAATACAGTCTTTTGAATAGTTTCTGTCCATGCATTAGTTTGGAAACAGAATTTAGGGGTTGCTCCATTCTTTGTCACTGGTGGAAGTTGATAGAAATCACCAGTACAAATAACTTGAATACCTCCAAATGGTTGGTCAGATTTTCTTAAGATTTTACCCAAAATGTTCAATTTTTCGAACAAAAGACCGTCAATCATTGAAATTTCATCAATAATTAATACTTTTATCCCCTGCCATCTCTTGTTATTAGTTGGATTTTTTTTAATGTTGGAAGCCAATTTTTCTGGAGTACCCTCTCCAATACCAATCCCCAAATATCTATGGAGTGTTTGACCACCAATGTTACATGCAGCAAGCCCTGTAGATGCTGTAACACCCACTTTTGTAATTGAATATTTCTCTCTTAATCTTTTAACCAATTCTTTTAAAACAACAGATTTACCAGTACCAGCACTACCAGTATAGAAGACATTCAATCTTTCCCCCACAATCAACTTAATTACCTTTTTCTGTTCCTCACTCAATGGTATATCTGTATTAGTGAAATCCATGAATGGAGATGTGGTTAATGAAGATCTATACGAGGCCAAGTTGACTCGCTTTGGAGCCTTTCTAGAATTCCCATCAAGAACATTCAAGATTTCAGAATGTCCTCTTTTAACGGGCCGTATATTTGTTGATGTAGATGAAGATGCAGTGATAGAAGGGTTCCGGCTGGAGGCAGTTCTACTAGCGATGGGACTACTTCTAGGATTAGGAATGTCTTGATCGTCAGTCAAATCAACCACATCTCTGGTTAAGTCGATGGATTGAGAGAATGACGTCGTATTGGTGGCAGTGGAGATTGAAGATAAGGATCTTGCTAGACTTGGATTTCTGAAATTATTAACTTCAGGTGATTCAAATGAAGTATCTGAAGAAATCAATTCATCAAATGCTCCTCCATTTGATGAATTTGCCCTCGCTAAAAACGAGTTTGCTCTAGCATTTGCTATCTTTTCCGGGGTCGTGGTGGGTATCGATTTGGACGATGATGAAGATATAGCGGTTGAAGTTCTATTCTTTGGACTAGGGTTGAAGAAATTTGCAATCAGTGGTTGTTTCTTCTTATTGAGTTTTATAGAAGACATGGTAAAGTTATGTAAAAGGAAACTCTAAGGATTCTAGGGAAGCTCTATAAATTCATAAGCATAAATACAAGAGACAATAGCTTTGATTTGGGGTGAAATGTCAAATTCTTTTAATAATGCTGTTGTAGGATTATAAGCTCGTGTTATACAAGTCGCCCTTTGTATAGAGATGTGCAAAAACAAACGCGTGAAATGAAAAGGAAAACAAAAACAAAATTTGAGTGAGCGCTGCTTAATCACTAAAAACACTAACACGCGAGATTAACCTACAGTTTCATCAAGAATGAAGTACAAGACTGAAAATAGAAAAGATATGCATCTGCGCTATAAAAATTAATAAAACAGATAGTGTTAACCGATGCCTAGTTAGTGTTTTTGGTCACACTTTACAACTTGACTACCTACTCTACTTTTGTAACTCCGAAAAAAAAAAAAAAAAAAATATTATAGGCATGATAGATAGGGTTAGCTTTGTAGAAAACTCCCCTCGATTGCACGACTCGTAACCATTGATCGATCTATTCAGCAACTTGGCACCAAACAGGAGTTTCAGATATTCACGAATTCTCGAAATCTTTGATTCTTAGCCAGCTGATATCCCACGACAAGATACGTGCCTGAGGTAAAAAAGGGTCGGTAAAAAAGGGTCGGTAACTACATGGGTGCAAACTTAATTACCGAGGTCAACTAAAAAGTTTTGCACATCTCACACGACAATTTTTTTAGGAGAAGATATCCTCCTGCCAAGAATAGGGGTTCAACATGAAAAAAATACGTCTATAATGCGTCTAAAAGTGTCTGAACCGAGCTGCTAAGCATGTCCATATCTCTTCACGAAATGTCCCTTTCAACCAGCAAGTTAGAAATCACTCGTATTACTGCTGGAATTGGTGACATTTACATGGTGATTTATTTTTTTTTTTCTTTTTTTTTGCTGCTTACGGCTGTACAGTTTTTTTTTTTTTGTTTCTTTTTTACATTCTGCGCCCCGTCAATCGAAAGTGAACCATTTCATAAAACATGGTGATAGTTTTCTAATGAAGGCGACAAACGAAGTGTTGAGGATTCATACTAGTAAGTCCTCTACTTCCACATAGCATCTGTAGAATTCAGCGAGACGACCATGGGCCTAATGCGTTACAAATCAGCGAAGCTCTTACTTCGAGTGTTGGTGGTTGTGTTTGGTGCTTCTCTTGTACTTCATTCATTTTTTTTCAAAAGTGATGACTATTGGCAGCATACTCTTGAGAAACAAGCTCTAGAAATGAACAAAGTATCCAAATTCCAACCTCGTGCCCCCGTCCACGAAGTTTTATCATTCATAGAGGAAATCCAAAAAGACCCTAAGGGCACATACAAACTTGGTAGTTTGGAAAAAGGGATAGCATTTCATTGGGATGATTGGATGGATTTGACCACTGGTGACGCTCTCTTGGACAAGTATAGAACAGAGCTCCCCATGGGCCAATGTGATGCTGTTCTTGACAATTATTGTTCGGTAAACCCTTATTGGATGGAACTGTACAAGACTAAAGTTCTTCGTCAAGCAGTGTATGCATACTGTAAAGCCGCTCTTCCTGACAGAGTGGTTGTAACCACCGATTCTCATTATGTGCATGTTCCAGTCAACTCAGAAAAGAGCCAACGTCTTGGATATGGGCACACATCACATCCACAGGAAGATGTAATTCTTGGAATGGAAAAAATCCAAGCTAAGAGTAAAGACAGTAAAAATTTCAAGACTCACCCTATTGTGAGGCTCCAAAGAGAGGTTGAAGTCCCAATGGAAGACTTCACCTACTCTCCAGAACAAGAAATGGTGAAACTTCAAATGAAGATGGGCGGCCATAAGAGCACTGACAAGAAAGACAATGATAATGACGACGTTGACTTGCAGAAATTGACCCGCAAGGAACAAGAATACTTCCATATGTTGAGATATGCCAACACACATGCTGATACAGCTGATAAATTTTTCAAATACCCCTGGATTTATTCCGATCTCTTCAAAGGTCAAGCCCATCATTTATCGGCTCCCTTCTTCAAGAGATTCATTTCTGATCGTGAAAGAGAAAGTGTTATCCATCATATGATCCGTGCATGGTTTGAATTTGCAGAAGCCCACGAAATTGTCACCTGGATCAATTATGGATCCCTTTTGGGGTGGGTGTATAACGGGGTGAACATGCCCTGGGACACCGATGTAGACATTCAAATTCCAATTGCTCAATTATCCAAATTGGAACAAGATTACAACCGAACTTTAGTACTTGAAAACCCTCGTTATGGGAATGCCAAGTATTATCTTGAAGTGAACCCATTTTACATTAGACAAGGTAATGGAAAGAACTTTATCGATGCCAGATTCATTGAAGTGAACTCTGGTCTTTACATTGATTTTTCTGTATTATCCAAATCTATTTACGAACCACCAGCGGAACTTTTTGAAGGATTAGAGGAAAAGGAAAAAAATAAGGCCATTGCACTTAATTGTAAGAATTTCAATTGGCAACTTTACCAAGAGATTCTCCCTCTCAAGTATACCACTTTTGAAGGTGGAGCATCTTATATCCCACATAAGATCTCACTGATTCTCGATAGGAAATATGGCCATGCATCTTACACATCAAAACTCCGTTTCATGAACCATAATTACCAACAAGATATCAACATGTGGGTCCCAGACAGAATTTGCAAGGCATCACCTTCGGACACTAATAGATTTGTAAGTGAGAAGGATCACTCTAAACTTAGTCTTGAAGGAGCATGTAATAGTGTCTTGTTACAGGATGAATATGAAATCATTTATCAGTCTGCGCAAAGACACATCAATATGGAGTCTAAACTTGACTCTCCAGTTGATTATGATATTAAAACTACGCAACCTCTACCAATTCTCCGAAAAGATGCCTGGGAATACTACAATGATATCAATAACCAGTATGTCGACAATGACAGATGGTTCATAAAACACACCATTTCATCTTTATAGAGAGAAAAAAAAATAACTAATGAAAATGACCCATCGTAACCAAAGTGTATACTCTAATGAAATAATAGACTACTTGTAAATCTTTCGTAAAGTATTCTCCTGTTGGTTGTGCTTGGTTACACTGACATCTCTTGGCTGACAACCTTAGAGATGAGTTAGCCAGCACTATATTATTTAGTCCCCCTTGAAACGGACATGACGTTAGTTAGATCGCGCTTAACTGTATAATTGTAAATCCTATTGTTCCCATTGTTCATTTCTGAGCAGAGCTATTGTTTCCCATCGATTCGAAAAAAAAAAAAACTAATCCTCCCTCTTTTTGCACAAGTTGAAACGCTTGACACGGACTACAAATATCCCGCATGATCCAAGAAGTCTTAGTTGATGGGTGTCTCGGTTGTTAATTATCAGGGAAATGTTATTTTTCTTACAATTTTTGTCAATCTCAACAGTCGTTTTGGCTGCGAAAACCATTCTTCTTACCAATGATGATGGCTGGGCATCGACAAATATTAGAGCTACGTACCGAGATTTGAAGTCGGCAGGATATGACGTAATATTGGTAGCCCCAGTGTCTCAACGGTCAGGTTGGGGTGGAAAGTTTGATGTTCCACAAACAAAGGAGTTGCTAAACGACGGGGAATTCGGATACGTTAAAAAAGGAGCCCCTTCCTGGGGACAAGATCAAGATGATAAAAATATATGGTACTTTAATGGGACCCCTTCTTCATGTGTGTCATTTGCATTGGATTACCTCTTCCCCGAATATTATAGTGATAAAACCATTGATTATGTATTTGCCGGACCAAATGAAGGTCCAAACTTAACCCCAGGGTTCTTCACTGTCTCAGGTACCATGGGCGCAACTTATTCAGCCATTTACAGAGGAATTCCTGCAGTTTCATTCAGTGGATCAGATTTCAATAACTCCTTCTTTAAGGATTCTCTTAATAATGATGAATCGAATCCAGCAAATATATACGCTAAAAAGGTTGTTGAAATCGCACAAAAACTCTCAAATGCAAGCACACCATTACCACCAAGAACCGGATTGTCCATCAACTTCCCGAAAGTGGGGACTCTTAAGTCATCTTGTACCAACCCAGTATGGCAATATACCAGAGTAGATGGCTCATGCATATTCCAACAGAACATGGCCTACAATAAGGATTCTGGACTTATGAAACTCGGAGTAGAATGCTATGATGTCCAGTCCGGCTACAAAGTGGATGATTATGGGTTAGCGGGAGAGTATCTGGTTTACCTTGCTGACAATTGTACTACTACATTAAGTGTATTCTCTACAGAGTATGATGCTTCCCAAGACGAAATTCAAACTATCCACAATATTTTAAATTTAGCATAATTATCTGACTCTCCATCAATGACTCACTATTACACATGTATTCGTAACTTCTATATGTAATATTACACTACGGCGTTACTTTTTTTTCTTTCTTTCTCATAACTACTTTAGCTTCCAAGAAATTTATGTATATAAATTTTGCGCTTTTCACTATTGTACGGGCTAGAACTAAATTAATTACTTACAAAAAATATACATCGAATTTTAAGGGAAAAAATTGCGCTTTGTAGTTCGTAAAGTTAATACTTTTACTTTTTTTTATATTAAAATATATTGAGCTCTCTCTTCAGTAACAAAAAAATTGCGCTTTTCCAGAGAATAGTTTACAAAATTCCCGCGCAATATTCCCATTAGGAAGTCCTTGGAATAATTTGACCAAATAGGTGAGTTTTATTCATTTTTTTTTTATTTTCTATTCCATAGCCGCATCAATTGCCTCACCGCTTAGAAATCCCATACTAAGTAAAAACATCTCTTACGCCGTACAGTATACTCGTTTAGAAGGAGTGATAACTCCGATATACAATCTAGAATTATAAATTAAAAGGTTTCCTAGATCCTTATTTTGTTTCCCATTTGTAAGATCAATTATCAGCTATTAGTCACTAATTTGTTATCAGCTCCTACATATACTTGACCACAAGCTTCTAAAGGTGTCTGATCTTAGTAGAAGAAGAGAAAGCATCCTATAGACAGGATATAACTAACTAATCCTTATCTATTAACTTGAAAATGATATCTTCCAACTTTCTCAAGGTCGAATCACAACATACAGTAAAGCTAGAAGTAAAAGATCTCACGGTTACTGTTGCCTCTTCAACAAAATCTAAGGATTTAGAATCAAATGGTGGCTTAAAAACTCGAATTCTAGATGATGTATCGTTTGACTTGGATGCCGGTCTGCTCATGGCCATTATGGGTGGTTCCGGTAGTGGGAAGACAACCTTATTAAACACCCTTTCTCAAAGACTTAACCATACCAATAAGGGCCTTCAATTTGAAGGTAGTATTAATTATGTTGGACCAGACGGTTCGAGCCATAATTATGTTAAGAATGCATACATGTTACAAACTGATGTTTTCTTACCTGGGCTTACTGTACTTGAGACTTTACAATTTCAAGCAGATTTGAGAATGCCTCAAGGTACTCCTTCTCAAGACAAAGCCGCTCTCATTGAGTCATTGTTTGAAATTTTAGAACTTCAACTGGCTAGAGATCAAGTAATTTGCTCCTTTACTTCACACACATCCAATCTCTCAGGTGGAGAACAGAGACGGGTCACCCTTGCCATTCAATTGTTGAGTAAACCTGCCATTTTGTTTTTGGATGAACCAACCACTGGACTTGATACTAGTAGTTCTCTTAAATTGGTGCAAACACTTCGGAAATTGGCATCTCTGGAATTCAATGTCACAATAATCATGTCCATCCATCAACCAAGACCTCAGATCTCGGTTATGTTTGATAAGATATGTCTTCTTACAAGAGGTGGGAGAATGGTTTATTATGGAAATCTTGTTGATTCATGGACTTATTTCCAACAATTGGACTTTTTAGCTGCAAACAACAACACCGGTAACATTTTGGAATACATCATGGACTTGTCTGTGAAGGATACAAGTTCTAAAGCCGAGGAAAAGACCTCTGCTGAAAGAATCGATAAATTAGTTGCTAAATGGAGACAAGTGGACAATCATCAAGCCGGGAAGGAATACGTTATTCTCTCAGGAAAGCAATTATCAAAGAAACTCGATCAGAACCTAAAATCCTTTAGTGCCAACAAGGAAAGTAGAGTTTCCTTGTGGCGTGAAATCGAGATTTTGACTCGTAGAACATTCCTTCTTACTTGGAGGGACAAGGCCTCGCTTATTGGGTTGAACGGAGGTTCTGTGTTACTTGCATGTATCACAGGATGGATGTTTTACAAACCAAAACACGACTTAGCAGGTCTTCGTACGATCACGTCCGTTCTTTATGTGATGTTGGAAGTTGTTGGCTTTTGTCCAATGTTCTTGGAAGTCGAGAGATTATGGATGACAGATATTATATTCTTCTATAGAGAATATCGTGAAAATTTTGTTAGTATTACGGGGTTTTTGATTTCTAGAAGATTAGGTAAACTTCTTCTTGAAGATTTACCCTTCCCGATGATCTTTTCTGCTATCCTGTACTGGATGGTGGGATTGAGACAAGAAAACGTAAGCTTTTGGATCTATTTAGTGGTGGCTGTGCTTATTCAATTCATTGGAATGGCTTCTGCTTTACTTGTGGTTGTTATATCTCTGGACTTTGCGATATCTTCAGCCGTTATCAACTGTTTTTATCAATTACAGAATTCTGCATGTGGTTATTTTATCAACGCAGCAACTATGCCTGTTTACGTCAGATGGACAAAGTACATTGCTTATTTCTGGTATGCATTTGGTGCATTGACTTCGAATCAATATACCGACTGGATGGGTGATTGTCCATATGATGACCCAGATATGTGTATTGAATTTAGTGGAAACTATCAATTGGATGTGTTGGGATATCCACAGCATTGGCGTACTGTTCCCATTGTAATTTTACTTGCATGGTTTGTCGGCATCCAAATCTTGGCTGGTGCTGGGTTGTACTGGAAGAATTCTGATATGAGAATTGCCAAGACCAAAACAAATAAGATTGGTGGAGAAGAGGACGAGGAGCAAGAAGAAGATAAAGAAATACAGGAAATCACTGAAAATGGCGAAGGTGTACCGGATAATGCATTGGTTGGACCAGAAAAGCTAAAGAATGTACTTTCCTCAGGTTGGTGTCAAGACGGTCTGGAATCGGATTCCATAGATATTTCACTTGAGCGAATTTCACTTGACGTTATGTTGAAAGATCCTCTGAATAAGTTCAATTTGTTCGCTAAGAATACTATTCCAAAAACCTTATTACATGAAATTTCTGCAACCTTCAAGGCAAATACCGTCAATGCTATTATGGGACCTTCTGGATCTGGTAAGACTACTCTTCTTAATTTCCTTTCTTCTAGACTTTCAAAAGCTTCACAATACGAACAACGCGAGGGTAGTATACTTTTCAATGCTTCCCAAAACATCACAAGATCAGAATTGGCACACATTTCAGCTTATGTTACCCAACATGATACTGCTTTGATTGCAAACTTAACTGTAAGAGAAACCTTATACTACCAAGCTCGGTTAAGATTACCAGTTTCTGAACACCCAGGGATCCCCACCATTATTGGAAGTCTTATTCGTAAGATGGGACTTGGAGATTGTGCCGAAACCCTTATTGGGAATGAACTGAGAAAAGGGATCTCTGGAGGAGAAAAGAGAAGAGTTTCTATTGCCATTCAGCTTTTGAGTAGGCCAAAGATTTTATTTTTAGATGAACCAACTTCTGGTTTAGATTCTTCTACAGCTGCCTCAATTTTGACTTTATTGAATGAAGTTGCCAGGGAAAGTAAATCTACTATCATTACTACCATTCATCAACCAAGTGAAGAGATTTTCCTTCAGTTTTCCAATGTCCTTCTACTTGCCAGGGGCGGTAGAGTCGCTTACAATGGTGCTAGTACTGCAGTCATGGACTATTTCCTGTCAATCGGATTCTTCTGCCCTAAAGAGACTAACATTGCTGACTACTTTTTGGACTTGGTATCACAAGGATTGGATGAAGAAATTTCAGTCTCTCAAGCGAGAGTTGCTGGATTGGTACATCAATGGAAGGATAGAGCCACAATGATAAAGCCATTATCTGAGAAGTTTGGAGAAGAAAGTCCTTCTGCATTATCGCAAATGATTGACATTCGTAAGTATGAGCATACAAGACTTCCATTATCTACAACTTTCCCAACAATTGCGTCACGTCAATTACTCAATTCTTTACGATCAAAGGATGTTCTCTTTGCTAGAGCCTTTCAAACTACATTACTTGCCATTATCCATGCCATATACTTTTCTCCTTTAAAGGATACCCAAGAAGGTGTTGCCAATAGATTAGGTCTTGTACAAGAAGTTATGAACTTGTATTTTGTCGGCTTGGTTAATAATCTTTCTCTTTTTCCCATTGAAAGAGATTTGTTCTTTCAGGAATACCAGGATAGTATTTACGGAGTGACTGAATTCAGTACCGCATATCTTATCAATGAGTTGCCCATGGAAATTATTCCTTGTTTATTCTTCTCTATTATGATTGTTTTTGTGGTCGGATTACCCCGTACCGTTGCCATGTTCTTTAGCATGTTCCTTACTACGTTTGTATCCATTAACTGTGGTGAATCATTAGGAATTTTTGTCAATAGTGTTTTTGAGCATTTGGGCTTAGCTACAAATATTTTAACTATTACAATTATCTTTGCAATCTTTATGGGTGGTACCATGTCCTTACATATGCCCATGTTTTTCCAAGCATGGAATTACATAAACCCTATGAAATATGCAGTTGGAATCTGCGCGGTACTTGGATTTGAAGACCAAAAGTTTACTTGTTCCCATACCGGAGGAGTGTGTTTGTTAAACTCCGGTGAAAGTGTCTTGGATTACTATAATTTGAATGTCAACCTAGGCGCTTTCTTTGGTGGTTTAGTTGCTTGTTTGATAATGTACAGAATAATTGCAACAGCCGCCCTCTACATTAAGGTAACCTACAGAAATTAATAGCAATTACCTTTTATTTATTTATATAATTATGATTTAATAGAATAATACCTTTAATATTGGCAATCTTCGTCATCAGCGACACAATCAATAAGCTCCACAACATCCAAAGTAACAGGGTTACATTGCTCGGCAATGTATTTATCATAAAGATTGTAGAATCCGCCAGAGGCACATTGGAAAAAAGTGGTAGAACCACCAAGTGCCAATTTTCCATCTTTAGTGACGGACCAACCTGCTGCATAAATTGCACCATATTGAGGAACAGGACCATCAAATTGAAATTGTCTACTGGCAACAATACTTCCAATTCTATTCTCTGAATCCTTAAGAATACCATTCTCAAGCACAATCAGAAGAGTAGTATCAGTAGCACATGCAACAGCATATACAGGGGATACAAAATCATCATCATCACAATCATCATCATAAGATCTTTTGGTTGAATATCTATCATCTTCACATGGATCAACTTCTTCTTCACAAGGTTCTACATCTTCACAAGGTTCATCACATGGGTCAGTATCTTCTTCACAAGGATCATTATCTTCTTCACATGGGTCAGCTTCTTCTTCCTCATCACAAGGGTCAGAGTCTTTCCAAGGTCTCCATTTTTGAGCTTCACTTTCATCACAAGGCTCAGGATCTTCATCACAAGGTTCAGGGACATCATCACAAGGCTCAGTATTTTCATCACAAGGTTCATCGCCATCAGGCTTTTGAACTTGTCCGTCATAAATTTGATGAACAATATCAGCTGTATGTGTTGCCTTTGGAGCCGAGGTGATCCCAGAGGTTGTGAAGGTAGTAAGGTGTGAAGTGGTGAACGTGGTAACTTTTGAGGTAGCAAATGTAGTAGTAACAGATCTGATTGGTTTTCTAACTTCTGGTTCTTCGTATACCCCATCTTCATTCAAACGGAAAGAGTTAACAACGATACCAAACTTGAAAGGAAGGGTGTCGTAACTCCCTTGAAGAGGTTGGGATTCAGGCAACAATTGGGCCCAATCTTGACCACTTCCAGGAACATAAGCACCTGCAACACTTTTCGCAGCCAACATGACTGCACAAAGAATGGAAACCTGTTTCATCATTGTAATATCTAAACCTATCTAAGAATTTCTTTCTGTACGAAGAGAGAGAGAGAAAGAGAAGTAATAAAGAAAAAAAGAAAAAGGTTAACTAAATTATAGTTGAAGGGCTCATCAAACAGTATTTGTAGGTTGAGTTTGTGTTAAACCACAATCTAAGATTCACAAAGTCAAAATGTGCACAAACTTAAGCCCATATAGTGCATGTCATATATCCGAGCAATGCATAAACCTAAATGAAGCAGTCAACCATTAGACAAGAATATATTACAAAGTGCTAATATTTTAAATTCCTCTACTTTGATAGTCTTATCTTCATAATTATACTCTTCTATATATTAGGACACAATTTCCTGCATGCACTACCCCCATACTAAAATATTTTCCCTATAAGCAAAGTTGAGAATCGGTGAATGAATCAAATCATAGTTATTAGTAATACAGTACAAACTCATATAGAATGTTCAGAGCTGCCTTAAATACCGTTAGATTTGTAAGTATGAAACGCCACGACTGCCTCAAGTCTTTCCTGCTACGCATTTTGAGCCGTTGTCCTGCCTAAGAACTGTACTAACCAATAAGCGTCCTTCTACTGGATTAGGATTCAAGAGATTCATCTCTACCGAAATCAAAGATGCCATCGATGGTGCCGTAAACTCCTCCAAGGTTGTATTGTTCATGAAGGGTACTCCTGAGTTCCCTCAATGTGGATTCTCCAGAGCTACTATTCAAATTTTGGGCCAACAAGGGGTTGACCCAGCCAAATTTGCCGCCTACAACGTTTTGGAAGACCCGGAACTTAGAGATGGAATTAAGGAATACTCCCAATGGCCAACTATTCCTCAATTATATGTCAACAAGGAGTTTGTTGGTGGATGTGACATTGTCACCTCCATGGCCAAGTCTGGCGAATTATCCGAATTATTGGAACAAAACGATTGTTTAGTTCCTGAAGAAGAGGAACTGCTGTCTGCCGATGTCAAGCCAGCCGAAAGATCCTAAGTATATAGAAGTGAATAGTAAGGAAAATAAAACAAAAAATGAAGATCGATTTACTTTATTGTACTTGACTCTAGGGAAAGATAAATGTCGCTCCAGTAATGGACGTTGACTTCAATTAGTTGTAGAGATGTATGGCCAAGGAGCCCACTTCCAAAGTTTCTATGCCATTCTCCACCCAATAGAATATATCTAGATATAAGAGAGAAAGGATTATAATATCATTTTTCCTTTTGAATTAGTAAAGGCCAATTTATACACTACAAACTCTACACTGTTGTTCTCAAATAAAATATATTCCAACCTAACCATCTAATTTATGCCATGTCCAACCTAAGTAAAAAAATGATATATAATAAAAATAAACATCTGTATCAAGAAGTAAAATGTGAATATTGTTTTGGCCCGCAACTAGTTAATTCACAGTAGTTCCTTCCACGGGAAAGAACCCTTCATTAACCCCAGGACTACTTTTGCTTCCCTTTGAAGACTTTCTTCTTCCTAATAATGACGAATCGTTCAAGTTGAGTGTGAATTTGTAATCACCATTGATTCCTGAAATGATTGAACTTGATCTAGTTTCCTTATCGTATTCAGCTGAATTCATTGAATCCTCAGAGTCATTAAACTCTGGCGAAACAAATAATGTTCTTGATTTATCGCACAAACTCTTTACATCGTCTTCTTCTTCCTCTTCATCTCCATTGTCTCCTTCTTCTCCTGAAGTAGCCCCTTCTTCCTCTATGGCGGTGCCCAAATTGGCGAAAACATTCTTAAAATTCACATTGAGTGGATTTGGTGTTTTAGGAAGTGGACCACGACTGATAGGTTCATCATCATCATCATCTGACGATGAAGATAAATTAAAATTCTTTTTAAATGTCGAATCATCAAATTGTACATTTGAAGTTGAAATGGCACTATTGATCATACCTGAATGTTCTCTAGCTGTAGCGGTACTGGTCTTATGAATCACAGGATTATTGAAAACCATTTTAATGGCATTTGCTCTTGGGGATAAGAGTGCCAAATTTTCCATTGAACGAATAGGTGGAGATTTCATTCCTCCACTAGCAACTTCAAAATTCTCAATATGTTCAGCAGATTCAAAAGACTTGGCAAGTGAGGGCATAGCTACCGACGAAGAAATAGGATGTAAGAATCCATTTGGAGATACTGATCTCGATGGAATAGCCGAGGTTGACCCGAAATCTCCCGCCATTGCTGCTGTAAGAGAATTATTTCCCTGTGAATTCTCCATATCTTCAACATGTTGTACAGAAACTTTAGAATTGAAAACATTGGAGAAATAATGATCTGGGAATACATATGACGAGTCTTTGGCGGTAGCCAAATTGGCTGCAGAGTCTTCTTCCTTTTCTTCTTCCAATTTCCCATTTGCAATCCATGGATGTCTCCATATTTCTTCAGCGGTGATTCTTTGCTCTGGATCAATAACCAACATTTTACTGATCAAATGCTTGGCTTCAGCAGATACTTCATCCCACCATGGGTTTAAAAATACATATTCTCCCTTGAGAATCTTCATGGTTAATTGATCAGGATTATCATCATAAAATGGTGGGAACCCACACAAAATGGTATACAAAAAGCACCCCAATGACCATATATCTACAGATTTAGAATAATAATTCTTCTTTGCAATACGATCCAGCAGTTCATATCGACTACTAATTCTCGAATTATTATCATGACATGTGATCACTTCAGGAGCTGTATAACCAGCCGTTCCACATGGCGTTTTCAAATTTTTATGCATGCTTTCCACTTTTAATTGTTTAGCCAATCCAAAATCAGCCAATTTTATGACCCCCACAGTACCACCACCAAACCCATCAACAAATGAACCTTCATCAACCTTGGTTTCATCATCTGAGGCTCTCATGGCAGCCTTGAATTCTTGTACAGGTCTCAGTTTCATGGGGATAGCATTGAACAACAAATTCTCGGGCTTTATGTCTCTATGTACAATGTTTTTCGAATGCAAATATTCAATGGATGAAAGTAATTGTTGAAACACATGTCTTGACAAGTCTTCACTAAAATAGGTATATTCAATGATTTTATTAAAGATTTCACCCCCATCACAATATTCCAAGATTAAGAAACAATTCTGGGCCGAGTTATGAGCGTCCAAGAGACGAAGAATGTTTGGATGATTCAATCGTTTCATAATAGAAATCTCATTCTTGATGTTATTAAGTTGTTTAGCATTGAGGTCACGCTTATCAATCACCTTGATTGCCACAGGTTTCCCAGTTCCTACATCGATTCCCTTGTACACCACCGAAAATGCACCTTCTCCCAAGATTTCAAGAAGTTGATATTTGTCTGGTAAATCCGGATATGGACATTTTGAAGAATGTGAATGCGAATTATCGTCTGATTTTTTTATACTTTGAGATTGGTGATGCTCAGTAGATGAATGTGAAGATATGGTAAAATTTGTTGATCTCAACGAATCTCTTGACGAGTAATCAGAGACATCATCTTTATTTGATGGTTTCTCTTGATTGAATAGCTTTTTAAAATTCTATAGTTAGTAGATGAACATTACAATAAAGAGATTTAGAATTTGGTATGAGTGACTAGTTGACATAAAGTCCCCTTCTTGTAGTGGCTGACCGTAGTGACTAGTTGTCATAAAGTCCCCTTCTTGTAATGGGACTGTAGTGACTCTTCTAGCCGATGTACTGTACTCTCGCTACTCTCATACAATGGGCACTGCTTCCACACACAGTACCAGTTCCAGGTCCAGTTCCAGGTCCAGTTCCAGTTCCTATACATACCAGTAAAAGCGGCATCTTTAGTATTTAGATATCATACATATATTTAAAATATATGTATATTATTTTTATATAAAAACTTGTACAATTTCCCTTGTATACGTTTGATTTAAATCAGACCAAAAATACTTCAAGATAATTTAATACGGGATAAATGTTCCCATTTAAAAAGAACTCTTTGAGGGGAGTTTGATTTCCGAGGGTAGCCGTTAAAAAAAAAAAAAAATACACGCAAGAAAAAAAAAAAGTGAATTTTAACGTCATTGTGCATCCCATGACACAAAGCTGACGTACGATTTGAAGATAACACACCATTTTGATAATCAAGAGATTTTCGTACAATAACGAGAAGTAGCGGTAAGAAACCAAAAAAAACCCAAATGGGTTTCGACCTCGAGGTAGTGAGGCTTATGTTTTATTGGGCGAGAAAAAGCGTTTACCTCGATATATTTCATCGTGAGGTTTGTAAAATTTCAAAACTTGAGCTGTATGGAATCGTATATCATGATATTTTATAGAGGGGAGGATGAAAGTTACCCTTATTGCGTGGGATACTTTTAAGGATCACGAGTAATTAGGAGACTGCGGCTGCTGCAGTTTAAGATTTTCCGGAATTGGGAATTGTTTTTTTTTCTGCTAAATTGAACAATACCCCAGTTTCTCCGGCACAAAGACAAAAATGTTTCCCTCTAATACAAATTAAATCTACTCAAGAAAAACAAATCTCGGAAATCATACCAGAACAATAGTATGTTGTGGTGGCGGCAAATCACCAATGACACATGAAGGAGCATAGATACACAACAAATGGCAGTTGTAGCAACACTAAAGGTACATAACAATCCTCTTGATGCCATACCATCAGGGGTAGAGGGGGGTAGGTGGACTTATTGTTGTAGTTTTAAAAATCAATGTTCGTAATGAACAACAGAGTGCATACGCATTCTTAGACAAAGAAGTAGGTGCCTGCATTCAGAATGGGTACCACCATATCGAATATCAGTTCATACAGGAAGAGGGGAGTGGTTGATTCATCGTGATTCCAAGTGGAGAAGGAGGGGAGTTTCGAAGTAGTGACAAGGTCTGTTGAATATTTTTTTATATGGTTATTTTTTTTAGAATGTTATTTTTTTTTTTTTTTTATTTTTTTGATTTCAATTACGATTTCCGGGACCGGGGGTAGACTCGAAATCCGAGCAATACCTAAGCATACAGGCTAATCGATAATTAAACTTTTACATATCCTTTAGGAAACAGCAAACATTTAAACTTTACAGTATCGCATCCTTTTTTTACTACGGCATTTTATCCTACGTTATTGTTATCGAACTACGGAGCCACGGTCACATGTACCTCAGTTCAAGGGCTACTAATATGGCATGCAACCATGGAACTTGCTGATATTAAAACAATCCAAATAGAATCTTTGCTCTCCGCAATTCCAGATAAGACCTGCAGTAGAGCAAATTTACGTTACTGGAACATGTAAATGGAACGGAAAGCCTGTTGTATAGTCAAGAAGAATCGTGTTATGTAAGTCTCTATTGTTCTCATAACTCTTTTTTAAATATTTTTTAATTTATATGCTGAACTAGAATGCAAGCGACGGAATGATTGAACTTTGAAGTATAGATTAGATATAAAGTTGCGGCAGGATATCTAAGCAATATCGAGGGGGTCGGAGGTTTCATGGAACATGTGGCTCAATCTTCATGTTCCAGGAACAGAAACGGATGACTACTTTTTCTTATTTTTCCTTATTATTTAAAATTACTACAAGGTTGTAAAGAACTATTTTTAGGTTGTTTATCTAAAAATAAATGCCACTATCAGTCGGAGTAGTAGAACTGTGGACTACACGGCGTAACTGTAAAAGAAATAAGAACTAAATTTAGGTTCACTTATGAATTTTATTGATTGATGTGATTTTTTTTTTACCAAGCCTCAATATCTTCATGATATCTTGATGATCATTTTTGGTAATTCCTGATCGCTCTCAAATCCACACCGAATAATTTTTTCTATAAAAAAAAAAATAAAATATTTGTGGATATGTACAGGATTTGATTTTTTATTTTATTATATTTAATAATTATCCAAGATCCTGTATATAGACTAGTTGATATTTGTAGATTATTTTTTCCAAATGGAGTGCACATAGCAAGCGATGGCATCAATACAACAGATATTTCTTTAAACCAAGGCATTCAATCTCTATACTGTTGGATATATAACACAGACGATCATTAGCCATGTCATCGACTTCAGCACCCTCCTCGGACAACAGGAAGCAGAAGTATATGCGTGCGCCAAAGTCTGGAAACTTGGACACTTCTACTTTAGAAAAGCTTTCCAAATTAAATGAAGCTCCACAAAATGATGCAACATTTGCCGAAACAGTTTCCTTTATAAAGTCTGGGTTGGCATCCAAGGTCTTATCCACCTGGTCGTTCTACGCATCATCCAACGACCACGCTGAGCTTATTCAATGTACCGTTCAGATATCCAAACTTACACAGTTGGTCAATGCTGGTAGTGGATCATACCAACATGGTAACACGGATATCTCTGCCTTGACTGCAAGTCAACTTGTTTTCTTGGAAGCTAAGTCGGCCATTGTCGACTTCTACAAGGAGATCTTGAGCAGTGCATACCTCAAGGTGATATACAGAGCGTTGAACAATATCAAGCCTTCACTTACAAACCCAACACTCCGCATATTGACCAATATTTTGAATTATAGTTCAGGTGCTCTTGTAGATGAATTCTTGAATAATTTCGATATGAATTTGTCATGCTTACCAAAATTGGCCCTCCCATCGACTAGTGCTTCAAATGCCACTGGAAACAATAAAAAATCAACCCCAGATCACCTTTTGGTTAGATTCAATTTTGTCCGTTTCTTCTTTGCCCTTTGTTCTAACGCTAATCCGTTCACAAGAAAGGATATTCTTACTACTCATCATAAGATTTTGAATAACATCTGGAAACATATGGCAGACACAGACTCGGTACCAGCACTCAACCAACTCTTGGACTTTGTAGAAAAGTTTGTTCTCGAAGAATCAACTTTTAAAAAGGCTACCAAGTGTAAAATCTTAAGTGAAAACTTTATGTACAAAGTTCAACTTTTATTTGGAAGATTGGATGGTAATGAAGAGTTCTCCAAGAGAGTTATTGGGTTTTTAACTACATTGGCTACCGATTTCAAAAACGGTCTTTGTTTCGTTAACGATACCCCGTTCAAGGCACGTCAAGAGGGTGGGGTTCCTATCACTGTCAATAATAAGACCTTCCGCATCAATAACAAGCTCATTTATACCTTTTTGACAACATTAAAGCCATGGGAGTCCAATGCTCAATTGCTGTTGGTGATGAGTATCTTGGAAGTCAATACCGAATTGATTGGTCCTTACACTAATTGGATTGTTCAAACTGGTGGTGGGTACCATGATCCTTCTCTCACAAGTTGGTGGGTCGGTCACACTTTGTTGTATAATAATATTCTTCAATTGAAAATCCAAGATTTCGAAGCTGATTCTGAAGATATCATTTCAAACAAACCATCTTATGAAACCCGTCTTCTCGTGGAAACAATTTGTCTTGCACCATTATCAAAGGGAAGTATTACCAAATGTCTTACTGGGGATCATCCTTTAATCAGACAATTTGCTGCCCAACTTCTTGTTCTTCAACTTAATAAGACTAACGAACTTCTCAAACATACCTCCACCCGTAAACAAGAGCTTGTTGAGTCTGTGATAAGCAACTTACCAGATGTTGCAACCATAGCTTCTTGTCTCAAGGAAGCTAATGAAAAGAATGGTCTGAAACTTTGGAAACTTACCCTTTCCATGGTAATAAGTAAGATGGAGCAACTTCTGTCAACGCCCTCTGCTTCTCTTTCTAAGCTTATAAACTCAGAAATCGACACTTTCCTTGTTAGCAGCGAAGATGGTAACACCTCATTGAGTGGTATGGACTTGGTCAAATTGGATCAATTTCTCTCAATTCAAGCTGCTCAAAACGAACAAGAATTCAAATGGTGGAATAAAACTTCCAACAATAATAATTCGTTCTTTACTTCGCTTATCAAATTATGCTCATCTCCTGACATCAATGAATCTTTAATCTATAAGAACTTCAAACTCTTGGAAACTTTAACGAATCGTACTTTGGTGTTCAACAAGGACTTGATTGTAAGTCCTATATTTGCCATTCTTCAACTGTCCAAGTCAAACAATGAGCAAGTATGGAATCTTTTAGACAGAACAATTTCTCGTGCTATTACCCACCCATACAAATATCTTGACTTATCCCATCAAAAGTATAACGACATTAGTTTGTTCGTTATTATTCTTGTGGAACAATTCAAGTTTATTTTCAAAGCTGATTCTACTTCGAACGATGAACTCGTGGATGCCACAAGATGGCTCATGAGGGTTTTCCGTTACTTAGCTGTTATTGGCGAACCTCAATCAGCCCTCAAACTGTTGATCGGAGAATACTTGAAGGGTGAACATGAAATCACCAAATTCAAAGAAATTGTAGAAAATGAAGATCTTTTGAATAGGGCATTCAACTTTGAAGCAAGCGAACAATTGGGAGAAGTTGAATCTGATTCATTCTTGAATTATGTGATCTCAACCAAACTTCCTCAAGATTCAAAACGTATTCCAATCACCAAGTTTGACATTGCTGGATTATTACTCAAGTTGAACATCCTTATTGAGAATGAATCATCATCTTCCGTTATTATCGATTTAATGTTGAAGTTGGGTAACTATTTGATCAGTGCTTTACCAGAAGATCAAGACCTTGGAAAATATATTCTTTCAAATAGATTTGTCCAATCATACTTTGTTACTAAGGCTGAATTGAACGCAAACTCTGCCACAACTTCTAAATTATTGGTCAGTAATATGGTGAATGAAATCTTCCAACAACTTCCAAAAATTGTTTTTGAAGGATCTAATGATTTCAACTCTTTAGTCTTTGAATTATTTACTGGATCTGAAATCACTTTACCACTTCAACTGTTTGTTTCCAAGTTCACATGGGTATTGAAGGACTCTCAAATCCAACAACTTATTGGCAATGAAGTTAAAGTTCTGAATGTTTATTTGTCAGTAAGTGTATGCAAAGAAGCAATCAAGAGAGGTTTAACTGTATCATCAGAATTATTTTCACAAATTTCAGGTGGAAACTTTGCAGATGATCTCATTCAAATCTTGGAGTCTGGAAAGGTAGAATTCATCACCAGTGCTACCCTTGAAGAAACAATCAATGAAGTATTGCAGGATACCAGTAAACATTATTTACTTAAATCTTTTATCATTGCATACAACGATAGAAATATTGTTCAGTACTTGGTAAAGAAGTCTGCTGTATTGAATGATCAAAGTTTATTGACGTTTATCGGGTATTGTATCTCGGAAGAATCTAAGCAATTTGATTCCGTTACAGCAGAATTCTTTGCAAGAGTGATTCCAATTGCTATGGAACAATTTGAATCCAACAAGTCTGTTTGGAACCAAACAATCTCTATCTTGACCAGTGGATTGGAAAACGTGAATGAATCCCAAATCGAAAGAATGATAGACTTTGCCACAAAGGAAGAAACCAAGCAAGGGTTTACCTCTGGATTTGCAAACTTTGCATTGGAAGTTATCAAGAAGAACCCCGAATCATTAGAGAATGGGGATTCCGCTCTCTCAGTTTGGCTTCATAAGTCCATGTTATACATTACCAAGAAATTTGCAATTTCTACTAAGATCACCACCAAATTTGACTCATTTATACTGTCTATTGAAACCATTGTTCAATATTTACCTTCTATTGGGTTATCAGTGTGGAAAGCTGCCCCAATTTCAATTGTAAATGCCCAATTAGAAGTTATTCTTACCCACAACCAATGGGTAAGTGACTCAAAGGTATTGCAATATGTTAATTCTGTTCTTATGACTGGACTGAGAAATATTGTTCAATTTGAAAGATTATTGCAAATTTTCTTGAATAATGAATTTATGCCACTTGGATCCTTACCATCCGAAAAAACGTTCGAAAGTCGTTTCCAATCTAGTTTGGTAATCTTTAATCTTTTCTCAATGGATATCCAAAAGAACTCAACCATGTTAGTTTTGAACAAGTTGATTGCTATGTATTTGGGATCCGTTCGTGCTGAAGATTTGATTTTGAAGTCCATTTTGATCCGTATTGAGGCTCAATTGGCAGTCTCTTGGATCTCACAAGTTAACAATTGGGAACTTTCTGAAGAAATGTCTAATGAAGAACTTGAAGTAGTTGGAGGTGATGAAAGATTGATTTTGCAAGACAAGACTGGTCTTGTAGTTAATTTACACAAGAACTTTATTAGAAACTCAAACAATGGTGTTATCAGAGAAGACTCCACCATTGTTCCCACAAGTTTAATTGACTATTTTGGCAAGAAAAATGCATCATTCACCAACTGTTGGAAGGACATTCAATCATTCCAAAACACCAATAAGCTCTTTGTGAACCAAAATTATCAACAAACAGTATATGATCCAGAACTTTTGATGATGTTGATTATAAATAATGAAGAATTAGTCAAATTTGGAGAAGAGAATAAACCTATTGTCGATGTTAAGAAGTTGGTTGAAGCCAATTTACTTCAATTTATCGTTAATTGTTTAGCCTTGCCATCCGTGTCTAGGTTCCTGAAGGTTATTTTGGTTGGAGTTTTGAAAACTGTCAGTGATTCTGAATATTCTTACAAGGATAAGAACATTTACCGTGTATATGTCGCCAACATTTTGAACACCTTAAGGGATGCTGAAACTTCATCAGAAATTTCCACTCTTGTTTGGTACTTACATGGTGCCATTGTTCCTATTTTGTCCAACCCAGGTCATTTCTTGTATGAGCGTGCCTTCAGATACGTTTTGTCACACCCAAAGATTCAAGCCAAGCACATTCCTATGTACAGTAGTATTAGCATGTCCTTGAGTAGTGATGCAGAACTTGGTGGAGATGATTCTCATTTTAAACAAGTGTCATGGATCTTACAACAATTCAGCCAGGGTCTTAGTAACACAAAGGATTTGACTTTACTTCGTTTCAGTGGAGCTATTGAATGGGCCTTGAATTTGGCCAACTCTCCATACACCAATTTGAGAGTAAGATCACTTGTCTACAGACTCTTGTACAACATGCAAGCCATTGACGAAGGCTCTGACCTTTTGGTGGCTAGATTTGGAGTTTTAACTAGTCTTGAACAACAAGTCTACATGGTTGAGCAAGCCGGGGCTTCTAGTGCTCCAAAGGCTCAAGCAGAATTGGCCAGTAAACAACTTGCTCTTAATATTGAAGAGTTGGCAGTGAGGTTAGGAATTACCGTAGGATCGAACAAGAGAATTAGAGAATGGACAGGTGATGATATCGAAGGTTTTGTCAAGAGAGTACATAGAAAGACGGAGTCTATTGACGCCGCAAGCAGTATTTAATGGGATACAAGTATAGCATAAAATAATTAATAGATAATCATTCCCTCGACACTCTGTAGTATGTTGTTAGTACATTGGTATCGCGAACCAAGTATACACAAACAGGGGAAAAAATGTCACGCACACATGACGTAGATACATGTATTAATCACTACTACACAGATTAACAATTGTATTTATTCAAATAACCATGGCCGTAAGTAGGGGGACGTTTGTACAGACTATTAAGAATTCCTGGGGACTCGTACTAACACTTTAGTTTGGAAAATTAGCACACTATTCTTTTGATTTGGTACTCATTTCAATTATCCTTGCGGGGATCCACAGAAACACAGGGCTTGTATTTGACACCTCCCACTTTCTGTCTGTAGACTTTAGACGTTGGTTTGGGAACTATCTTGCATTTGGTGAGAAGATGTATGACCAGACAGTGTCGTTGTTGAAGTTGACAGGCTACTTCAAACAACGTAATTTGGTGTTGGACTACGTTTCAAATCAAGCAGGCAAGTATTTGAAAGAACAAACAGGAAGGGATTTGAATGAGTTCCCTAAGAAAGACTTGTAGTTCTATTCTGAAAACAGGCTTACGGTATGGTTATGGTTTATAATTAATTTTTGCTTATTTAAATAGTTTACAGGTGTATAAATTTTTTTGCAAGTATTTTGGAAGAACTGTAGAATAAACTTGCAAGGTGAGTTTGGTTCTAGTTATTAATTATCAACAGTATTTCATTTTGGTGGTAGAATTTTCCCATCTGAAGCTGTATTCAAATTCTGTAGTACTCTTCAAATTCCTACCAAGAGTCTGTGAAAATGCGATTACCAGATTTATCGATCTTTAAATCTCCCTCTAGTTAACCGTACTCATCTTCCTACTCTATTGTGTTGTTGGTATGTATACATACTTAGTAGTCGATATCTTTCATGGTTCGCTCAGGAGTTGGGATTGGACCAATCAGTGAAATCGAAAAGAGAACCTAGTGCCACCGGAATTATAAACACGGAACTCGATGCCATGGCTAGTTGAACACCTCCACAACTGGACTTGGAAAAACAGATCCATACATCTTTGCAAAAAAATTATAATTACTAACCCCCCCAGCGGCCATGGGACAGGTACTGCTCATAGAGGCATTCAAGAATGCAATTGCATTAGAACAGAAGGCAGACCTGCTGCTTACAGAAGAATACTTGAAGTTATACTCTCCCAAGAAACTTTCACAATTGGGACTTGCGGTTGTTAATTTAGTAGTTTCCAACTTGAAAACGGGACTTGGTGGAAAGACCTTGATTGAATTACAGCAAGACCCTGCTACCAGTTCATCCCCCGATGAAGATATTCAACCGGGTACCATTCGAGTGGGAGACATTGTTAAGGTGTCTCGAATGAAGGCATCAAATGTATCGAATGATACGACCACCGATTCAGAAGCGCCAATTGAAGCAGTAGTAACTAGAATTAATACCAAAACCATAACAGTATCCGTGGAGGAAGATACCAATGACGAGAGAATTCTTGCTCTTTATAACAACACTGGAAATGATCTGACAAGAATGTGGATTGTAAAACTTACTAATTCCGTCACATACAAGCGGATGGTATCAACTATGAACAAATTAGAAGAGTTGATTGAACTGGGGAAAAGTAATCAGAATCAAATCATTAGCCTTTTGATCGGCGATACAAAGTACAACAAGATTTCATCGGGAACAAAGATCAAGGATTCCGAATTTTTCGACCCAAACTTGAATGAATCTCAGAAGAAAGCCATCAACTTTGCAGTCAATGAGTCACCAATAACAATTATCCATGGTCCACCAGGAACAGGTAAGACATATACACTTATAGAATTGATTAAACAATTGAGTTTTAATAAGAAGGAAAAAGTATTGGTTTGTGGACCTTCAAATATTTCAGTTGATACAATCTTGGAAAGATTATCATCGGTGTTTACTAACGAAGACACAACTTCTGGTGAATCTACGAAAAGTAAGAGAAAGAGTAAGAAATCTACATCCAACCTGGGATGTTCTCCAGAAAAGCTTATTCGTATTGGACACCCTGCAAGACTTTTACCAGGAAATTTAGCCCATTCATTGGATGTTCTCTCCAAAACCAATTATGCTGGTGCATCAGCTTCTACTTCAGATAGCAAACAAATTCTTGCAGATATTCAAAAGGAAATCTCTGATGCAGTTTATAAAGTTAAAAAGTGTAAAAGATATTCTGAACGAAGAGCATTATGGACTGAATTGAAGACACTCCGCAAGGAGTTAAGAATCAGAGAGAAGAAGATTACTGAGGAGCTCTTACAAGGTGCCCAAGTGATTTTACTGACTCTCCATGGTGCTGGATCTTATGAGTTAACTTCTTTATACAAAAACGAAGCTCTTCAGTTTGGCCCAGAGAATCCACTTTTCGATACAATTATAATAGATGAAGTCTCACAATCACTTGAACCACAATGTTGGATCCCTATGATATGCCATTTAGGGTTCAAAAGATTGGTTATCGCCGGTGATAACATGCAATTACCTCCTACAGTCAAGTCAAAAGATGAAAGTTTGGGAAGGTTTAGTTTGGAAGAAGTAGCAGACCTTGAATTGACGTTATTTGATAGGTTAGTATTGGATCATGATGGTGATTTATACAAGCAGCTTCTTGATACTCAATACAGAATGAATACGAAAATAATGCAATTCCCATCCAGTGAATTATATGAAAATAAATTGAGGGCCCATGAATCAGTAGCAAATATTTTGCTAACTGATCTTCCAAATGTGAAGGGACTGTCTAGAACTGACGATGACGACGATATAGATGACATAGCCACAACTTGTATCTGGTATGATACGCAAGGTGGCGACTACCCTGAGAAGTCGACAGATACGGACGATTCTGTTGCCGATATGACTGGCTCCAAATATAATGAGTTAGAAGCGCTTCTCTGTATGCAACATTTGGGAAAACTTCTAGACTCAGGTGTTGCACCTGGTGACATTGGAATAATTTCGCCTTACAATGCGCAGGTTTCATTATTGAAGAAGTCATTACATAGAGAACGACCGGAAATGGCTATTGCCGACCAGGTAAGTGGGGGAAAAGTTGAAATATCTACAGTGGACGGGTTTCAAGGTAGAGAAAAGGAGGCGATCATTGTATCTCTTGTTAGGTCGAATGATAACCGCGAAGTTGGGTTTTTGAAAGATAAACGTCGACTTAATGTTGCAATTACTAGGCCAAAACGGCATCTCTGCGTAGTGGGAGATCTTGAGCTCATGCAAGTCAGTGGGGTAAAATTTCTCAAGAACTGGGCTGAGTTTGCAGAAGAGAACTTCGAGATCAGATATCCTCAACTAGGTGATTACTGATTCAAAATGGTATGACGTGACGTAATGTCACTAAAAAAAAAAGAAATTTCAGTAGTGTCAGACTATTGTAAGACATTCTCTACATCAAGAACTATAAACATGTCAACGATCCCAACGGCTCTACATTCCAAATAGTGATACTGGTCATCGGGCCAACCTAAAGTACATAGTACACCATACATACTGCTCATTGAATGTTCTAGATACACATATTATAGTGGTAGGATAGGGGTATAGATCATTTCAATATCTACATTTCCTTACTGAATGCAAGTTTCTTTTTTGTTTCAGATCATTTCAGAATTTTAGAGAGAGATGCAAAAATTATCGTAAGAGAAAATCAAAAAAATTAAAGTAAAACGTATGTAGAATATGTCTAACCAAACTCCTATTCCTGTATCAGAACAATCCTCATACACCTTATTCTAATTATGTGTACTTTATTACATTCTTTACCTTATTTTAGTACCCGGAGACATAAAAAATACTGCAACTATTGTGCACCACATAGTGAGATCAAATACAGAAAATGGGCAAAAATCAAAAAAAAAAAATCAAAAAAATTCTTATTTTTACCTTTCGCGTTTAGTAAACAACACGTTTCGGCCCCCAGTAATGAACGAGGAAGTATTTTTATTTTTGAAAAAAAGAAAATAATAATAATAGTTGGAAAATTGGGGTTAAGGGTGGCCTTGGTAGGAGGCTTTTGCCGCCAAGGTGGGCGTAAGCTGGCTGGGTCAAAAATAATATTTATCACAAGTGCTTAGCATTGCCGAGAGAACAGTCATCGTGAAACAAGCCCATAGACTGAATTCGCAAGTCTAGGTCTAATTGTAGAAGCCTTAGCCGAAGAAATGTAGTATGCAAGAATCAACTGTGCCCTGAGCTTCAAATACGTACATACATTATTGTTAGATGTATGTAGAGGGAATTTGTTCTACAAAAATATTATCAGTACATTTTCTTCCCCTTACGTTTCAATAGTTGCGAAAAATTCCCAAATTATAAACACCATGCATAGCAAACGCGTTTTTCGCATTTTCTGTTATGGAGCCCTGGATGTACAGGGGTACAAACAATCTCATGTTGCACGAGGACCTACGCATCGGGCGGAATGCTACCTCGAGTATGTTCGGTTCATATATTTCCCACAGAATTCTTCTGCATTTATTCGTTTTAGTTAAATATTTGCTTTTTATCATCTTTATATATAAACAGAGAGAACGATTTATCGTTAGATTTCCTATTCGCTTCTACATCAACTCTGTCACTAACTGAATTCACTCCTTCAACGTCACTTAACTAACCGAGTCAACTTCTTACAATGCAATTCACAATTTCCTTAGCTTCCGCCTTAATGGTTTTACAATTCGTCGCTGCTCAAAAGACTGTTTATGTGACTCAAACTCTTTTCACCACCATTCTTCCAGGCCAAAGTGAACCAACCACTGTAGCTGCACCTGTTGCCGTTCAAGTTGAATCTCCAAAGGTTGAAACTGAAGTAGCTACAGACTCTCCAGCTACATCTCCAAAGGTTGAAACTGAAGCAGCTCCATCTCCAGCTGTTGCCGAAACCACACAAACTCCAGCAAAGAAGGAACCTGCTGCCACCACCACTGCCACTACTGCTGCTGCCCTGACTCAAACTAGTGGTTCTTCAGACTCTGGTATTTATGCTGATATTTCCAAGTCTAGTAACCTTGATGCCTCCTTTGCCAAGGCTATCTTGGATGCCCATAACGAAAAGAGAGCTTTACATTCCGCTCCAAACTTGTCTTGGGACAAAACCGTTTATGAATACGCTCAAGCTTACGCTGACAAGTACGATTGTCTGGGAGGTTTGACCCATTCCGGTGGTAAGTATGGTGAAAACTTGGCTGTTGGTTACGCCAATGGTCCAGCTGCATTGGATGCTTGGTACTCTGAAGGTTCCAACTATGATTACAGCTCTTTAACCGCCTATGACCATTTCACTCAAGTCGTCTGGAAATCAACCACCAAGCTTGGTTGTGCCATCAAGGACTGTTCTGCCAACAACTGGGGCCACTATGTTATCTGTTCTTATGATCCAGCCGGTAACATGATGGGTGCCCAAACCAAGAACGTTTTTCCAAACTAGATAGACAATTTAAAAAATAACTATCGACCACTACTATACCCTTCAATTCATATACCCCACAATCACGCCCCCGGTCTCCATCAACTTCATCATTTTTTGGATATTTCTTGTTATAGGATTTTATAAAATAAAACATTTTATTTTCGGTTTTTTTAAACATCATTTTGTAAGATCAATCTTTGATTATCATGGGTACGATTTACCAGAAGATAGTACAAATTTTTCGGGAATTCTTTATAGAGAGCATCAAATCCAATCAAATTTGAGTCCATTGAAAGATGTTTAAGAGTCTGGGGGAATTTTGTTTGTACATCAATCGATGTAATTCGATTATTATCAAGGTATAATCTTTCCAATTGATTGAATTGATCAAAGTCACAATTTAGAATGCCAGTTTCCCCAATGTCAGATATATCCAAGTCACGTAGACCTTTAGGAAGCTTGGAAAGTAGTTTATTATCAATAGATCCCAACATCAAGCCCGCTAAAGTAAGCGATTCCAAGGAATCGGGCAATTCTAAATCATTTACATCAACCACATTATTATACGAAAGATCTAGAGTTGTTAAATTGGTTTGGAATTGGAATTGGAATTGACTCAATTTATTATGGTTCAATTTCAATGTTTCTAATCCAATTGGGAATTGAATCCCGTCTAATGAAGATATTTGATTTCCAGATAAATTGAATTTCTTTAAAGTTGGTGGAAGGGTAACACCCTCGAGAGATATTAACCCAGTAGATGACATCAGAAGTACATTCAAGTTTGGAGTCAATATGTTATCCCAATCAAGATAATCTATTTCATTATCATCCAAGATAAGTTCTTGTAATGAATCAGGTAAGGATCCTAAATCATCAGGGTCATCAATTCCATTCTCGGCCAAACTAAGTATCATTAGTTTATTACAATTTTCAAACAAATCTTGAGGTAATGACTTAATATTATTACCATCAAGATAAATTTCAAGTAAACTATTAGGTAATAAATCTGACAGAATTCCAAAATCTTCAAAGATGTTTAAATTATTATTTTTGGAAAGTGATAAAGTTTCCAATTGTCTTGGGAGATGAACTCTACTGATGTCATGGATTGAATTGTAATCCAACTTGAGATGTTTTAATGCTATGGGGAGAACTCTTACGTCATCCAAAGTTGCAATGGCATTTATTGAAGCATCCAAAGTATGCAAATGAATCAATTCATGCCAATTTGGCCCCGATAAAGAAGTCAAGGTATTTGAAGATATCAAGAATTCAAGCAATGACTTGGGGAGTGATAATTCTCTCAAGGAGGTAACATTATTACTTCTGATATCTAATATTTGAAGATGTGGGGTAGTGTTACGCAAATCTTGCTTGAAAGAACCTTGGATTCCATTATTTACAAGATGTATGGTGGTTAGATTGGAGAACCCCAAGGGGTACAAGATATGTAAAGGAGGTGGGCTTTGAGATTGTGATTTTGATTGTCTAGATCTTTCTTGGATTGGCCTTGCTCTATTAGTAATAGAGATTTTATTCATTTTACGGCCTAATGATTGGATTCTTTGAAGAATTTTATTATGGTTACGAATCCCACGATCCAATACTCCGGGTGCTACATTGTACCAGATGGTCACGTTAATTTTAGGGATAGCGTCTTGATAGTAATTATCAAAGGCTAAAACTTCCAATAACTTGCTAAATTGATCGATTTCAATATCCAGATGCAGCATTACCACGAATGAAAGGGTAACTTCAGGAGGGAAAAGCATATCGACCGACTTGGCAATGTTATTTCTCATGAGAGATACCAATACCGAATAACCATGTTGGAAATCATCCAATTCAAATGCTGTGAATCCCTCAGAACTGGGGCCAAATCTTTGAGATTCTAATTCCTTTTGTGCACGATTCTTAACTACAATTGGGTATTGAAAGATACATGTATAAGCAAGTTTTTGGATTTGATGGTCTAGCAGTTTGTATGGACGGATGAATTTATCATAGAGTTGATTGGGGGGCACAAATGAGAGTACATGTGCGAGTATATCATCAGGAAGCATCAATGAGTGCTATGGGAATAAACAGTATGAAATAACGTATCAATTACCGATTGATATCACTTTGAATGTATATAAATATATCTGTATACATATGTACAAAAAAAAAAAAATGAAGGACTAGGATTGATAATTGTAAGCATAGAATGGTTAGTGGCGCATATGTTTAATTTGCTTTTTTTTTAGTGTTCCAAGATCGCACCTTCTAAGGCAGATCCCACTCCACAGTAAATTATGACACACACTCACATGTTGCACCAGCTTTAGAGTCATACAATTCACGGACAAAAAGACATAGGGATTACACTTATTTTCCATTGGTATTCTCTCACCAAAAGCGAACACTTCTTAGTACATTTGTAGTAACACGTAGTGTAGTAGAACAGTTACCAAATAAAATGTTAACCCCCCCCCCCCACACTGTGCACACACTCCTAAACTGTTTCACTTATTAGAGTGGTGAAATTTAACGGTTGACACAAAAATAATTATCAGTACTAAAAAAAAAAGTCTCAAAAAAAAAAAAAGAATGCGAGAAGCTGGCCAGCTTGAGTAAAACTAAAATAGTGGCAGTTAAAACAGAAGGTAGACACGCTATCCTTTCAAGGCAACTTGCCGTAGACATTCCGATAGTTACGCGCTGAAAATAGCACGCGTCTAGTGGAACATAACTCCCCCCACAGAGCCTCTCCCAGAGCCATTCACCATGACTGACAGAGTGAGTATCAAACCCGACGTAAAGATAGAGGAGTCGAATGTTGACATACCCGGTAGAGAGGGTACCCCGACGAGACTTGAAGGCACGACTCCACCCACTGCAGGAGCGGCAGATACCCCTGGGCCTGGGTTGGACTCAGCCGAGGCCGCAGACGCCGCCGTGTTGGCTGAATCGATGGCAGCCACAGGTTCAAGTTCTGCAGCACAAACAGCTAGACAAAAGAGGAACTCCCTTGCATGTATCCGGTGTCGTACGCGTCATATAAGATGTCCAGGTGGAAACCCATGTAAGAAGTGTCAGCTAGCCAAGCACAAGTGTGAATACGTAGAAGCAGATAAGAAGATTGTGGTGTCAATGAAGTATATCTCCAAACTTCATGAAGATATTGCCCGACTTAAAAAGGACAATGCCACTTTAAGAAACAATTTAAAGGAGGAGGAGATGAAATACAATGAAGCGAAGCGCGCAAACCCTCCGTTCAAGGCGTCACCAGCATCACAAGCAGCGGCCGCAGTGGCAGCCGTAGCTGAAGCCACGGCTTCTATAACACCGTCAGGAATTGGAGGTAGACACAATCCAAACAATGTAAACCATTACAACCGACCAGTAAACAACAAGGGGGAACTCACTACTGATGGATACTCGAGATTCAATAATACTTTTGGCAATAACCAAAACTCCTTGGCAGTTACATCCACATCTGGGTTCCCTGAAGTGATCCAACCATCACTCGATAAACATGGAAGACTTATTCAATCAAGAACAGGAGAAAAATTATACGTTGGATCATCTTCAATGACTCTTTTCGGTCTTGAAATTCAAAATATGGTACCGTCATTCTCATCATCTCGACTTTTAGCTAGTGGTAACAGTCAAGCTAGTACACCATCTGAGAATGGTTCCACTTCATCCACAACATCCATACAATCAGCTGCACCATCTACAACTCCAAGTACAAAATCAACCAAGAGAGAATCACAAATCCTTGAAAAGGAAGGAAATGCCTACAAGATTATTCTTGCCAAGACCAATACTAGACCTGGGATTTCTATAAACTTCACACTCCCTTCATACTCTTATGCTATGCTTTTGGTGGATACGTTTGTCAATTACAACGATGGATGTTTTTATTTCTTCAATGAAGGATTAGTCAAGAAGTTTCTCATGAATCTTTATTCTGGGAAAATGGAAGATAATAAGAGGATTTTGAAGCGGAATATCCCCATTAATACCCGAGGTCCTTCTGTAGCGGAAAATTCCATCAAGAAGGATATGGATGATGAAACGATTTTGGAAACAATTTGGTTCTGTAAGATATTACTTATCTTCGCCACGGGAGAAATGTATCTTGGTACCGAATCTGATACTCATATAAAGCAGAGGAAATTTGCCGATAGAGCTAATATACTGACCAGAAAGCGGAATAATGGAGTTGCAGCCGCAGCTGCTGCCGCCGCCGCAGCTCATGCCACAGCAACGGGGAATCCTTTACCAGAAGGTGCAACTAATAACACTGATAAAGATTCCAAGGGAAGAAGAGCTAGCACTGGCAAAGATACTTTACCAGGAGCTGGATTCTTCTATCAAGCATCAGAACTTTTCACTGGTCTTTTCGCATCTGGAGCCATTGATAATATTGCCAAGGATGGTGGTATTGAGGTAATGTTATTGTATGCGTTCTATTTACAAGTTGCTGATTGTACAATTGCCTCGTACTTCTACTTTGGTTCCGCGCTTAGATCCACTTTAATTCTAGGATGGCATGTTGATGCGGATAAGGAGAATTTGAACCGATTTGAATTGGAGCATAGAAGAAGAATTTGGTGGACGGTATATATGTATGAACGAATGTTATCATCTAAGGCAGGACTTCCATTAAGTTTTGCAGATGATAGTGTTTCTACGGAATTCCCAGTTGATTTCAGTATGACGGTGGAAGATTTCCCTCGAGATGAAGCTGATGTAAGAGGATACTACGTTTTCCCTCCAGCAGAATATATTAATAACTGTGTTATCATCACACAAATTAACGCAATGATTTTATCGTCCTTATATACCAAGCAACCAACAATTAATATTTTACCAGTTGTTTCTGATTTGGTTCAAAAATTAATGAATTGGAAAAATGGACTTCCTGAATTCCTCAAAGTTGACTTTACTATTGAAGATCTACGTGTGACAAGATTGGTTGTTAACTTAATGACTGAATATTTCCAAGGGATGAATTTGGCAGTAAGACCGTTACTTTTCCATTTTGCAACCAATAAACTTCAAGAATTACAAGCCAACCCTACACAAAGCAATAAATATATTGATTTAACGAAGTATTCAAAGAATGTGTTGACATTATTAAATGCATCATTCCAGGCATCGATCAATTCTATTAGATGTATCTGGGCTCTTGTTCCAGAAAATATGGTTGCCTTATTTGGATGGATGGATAGAGAATATTTATTCACATCTGCATCTACATTAATTTTGTTTAATGCATCATTTGGAGTCCATGAAGCTACTAAGGATCATCTTGATCACGCATTGACGATATTTACCAAGATGAAACGTTTAGGAAACTATCCAGCTGCTTTGAGACGTTCACAATTATTAAAGTTAATCAGTGTGCTTGACTTTAACGGTGTGATGAATGACTTATTACGTAAACATGACGATGAAGGGCTTTATTATACCGAAAGTCCTACTGGAAGTGAATTGGACCATCAACCATTAGATGATGAAGGTATGAGTCAGGAAGCACTGGAGCAAGAGATTCTTAGACAACAAAGGTTGCACCAAGAACACCTCCAACAACAACAAGAGCAACAGCAACAGCAACAACATCAGCAACAGCAACAGCAACATCAACAACAAATTCATCAACAATTGGAACAACAAAGACAAGCCATGATGCAAGGTCCTCCAATTGATCCTGTTGCACCAGAATTGTCTTCTGCTTCAGTTATGGATTTCTTGAACTTCCCAGGAACTACCCCTCAACCAAACACGACACATCCACAATCACATTTCAATATTCCTAGCGTCGAAGGAATGGAAGTTGAACCAACTGGAATGGGAAGCAGTAGTATGGGTGAAGCGTATATGAATTCCGATCTTGCTGGTATCGAAGGATTGACATATCTTGACGAGGAACAGAAACTTTGGAGTGACATTACTAGTGCTGCAGGCTGGTTGAGTATGCCACCAACTGGACAACCACAAACTGCAACTGATGATATTCACCGTGACTTTGGCGGAACCCTTCAAAATATGGCCCCTAATGATCATGGACTTTATGGAGGTGTGCCACAGAATGGAAATGACGTGAACATGGGATATGGAGATATTATCAATCTGGAGTTCCAAACTGATGAATGAGAGAATAAAAATAAGAGACCATTTAGATTTACTCTAATAGTTAGTTTTGTATATTAATACTATTATTACATATTGTACAATTGTTCATTTTTTTTTTCGTTTTTGTTTAAAAGAAGTCCAACATGCCACCACCGTTTTGGTTCGCGTTGGAGTTCTGATTGTCCATTTGAAGAAGCAGCAGAGGAGAAACATTGTTCATTTGAATAGGGGCCTGTTGTTGGATAGGCTGTTGAGAGACCATATTATTGTCAAACATTGATGAGTTGGTCCCATTGATTCCATTCATGCCGTTGACTCCATTGATGCCATTGCCTCCATTAAACAGTGCATCATTATTGTTATTTTTAAAGACTGGTTGTGTATTCATCATCATTTGTTGTTGTTGTGGTGTATGTTGAGCATGTTGCTGAGAAGTCGGACGCTGTGGTGGTAATGATTGTTGTTGTTGTTGTTGAGGAGTTCCCATTTGTTGAGGACTTTGGTTTGGAAATTGACCCTGAGATTTGCGTAATTGTTGGATTTTCATCTTGAGGAATTGAAGGGCTTCAGGATAAAGTTCCTGAAGTTTTGTATATAATTGGTTAAGTTCAGGCATATCTGGTGGAGCAGACATGATTACTGGGAATTGAGGTCTATTTGGAGGCAGTTGATGATTTGCATCTGCATGATATTTCTCGTTAATAAATGTCAATACTGACAAATTGCAATGAATACGTCTGGTACAATTTTGGTACAGTTCCATGATGGTTTGTTTATTTTGGGGAGGAATCTGTTGAAGCATTTGTTGATTAGTCAACAAGTTTGAGTATAAATTAATTGTTTTCTTCATAAGCTGTGTGTTTATAAGGAGGAGACAGGTGACTCTTTCCCTGTCCACATCAAGCATTGACCGTTCGCTCATGATTGAAGTTTGAAATAAATAAGTTTGATAATTAGGTCCTAGTTCTTAACCAAATGGAAATTGGGGGTATATTTGTTGCTTTGGGTAAGTGAAGCTCAATACTTCGTATGTTTACTTTCTAGAAAGAAAATAAATTACAATACGAAACCCAAAAAGATAAAGTAATATTCAAGAACTTTAATGGAAATTGTCCTGATTAGGTCGCGAGAATCGTGCCTTTTACTCTTGATTTTTGTAAAAGAATATCACAAATAATCAGAGTACTAAAGTGTGTGACAAAGAGTGTTTGCCTAATGACAGAATAGAAAAATGTACAAAAAATTAAAACTTTCAGGTGCGCGCGCGCGCGCGCGCGCCGTTTCTAAAATAGTTGATAAAGAAGCCGAGCCTGGGCTGTGTGCAGGAGATCGGTCCCAACTATCTAGGTACGGCTACAAGACAAAGCATGGGTCTAACCTTGAACGGATAAAATTAATTATATGTATATACATATATATATATATATTTGAAACTTAATACTATATATTTTGGTACGGGAGATTTACAATTTTTCGGTCAATTCTGGAACTGCTTCATTGAGATCAGCCACCAATCCGATATCGGCAATGTTGAAAATCGGAGCATCTGGGTCCTTATTTATAGCCACAATAGTCTTTGAATCCTTCATACCGGCCAAATGTTGGATGGCACCGGAAACACCAATGGCAACATATAATTCTGGGGCAACAATCTTACCAGTTTGACCAACTTGTAAGGAGTTATCACAGAAACCAGAATCGACGGCAGCTCTCGAAGCACCGACGGCTGCATTCAACTTGGAGGCCAATGGTTCGATCAAGGCTTCGAAAGTTTCCTTATTTTTCAACCCACGACCACCTGAAACAACCCTACTGGCAGAACCCAATTCTGGTCTTTCTGAAGTGATTAATGACTCAGAAACGAATTCTGTTCTGTTTTCCGAGGGAGTGGTGGCACTGAATTCCTCGACAGGGACTGAAGAGGCGTCCACGGTAGCTGGAGCAAATGCAGAAGCTCTAACACTGGCAAGAATGACCGAATCATTGGACTTAACTGTAGCCAATGCATTTCCAGCATATATTGGTCTAACAAAAGTATTATCGGAAACAACCTTGATCACATCAGAGACTGGTTGAACATCAAGCAATGCACCTACACGTGGCAAGACAGATTTACCCACAGCAGAAGCTGGAGTGACTAAATGGGTGAAACCTTGAGCATTGATAATGTCCTTGAAAAGTGGAGCCAATTCTTCAGCTAAAGAGTGGGAGTATTGAGAGCCGGATGCAACCAAAACCTTGGACACACCACTTACCTTCGAAGCTTCTTCAGAAGCATCCTTTGAAGTGATCACAGCAGTGACTGGCTTGCCAATTTGAGAAGCTGCAGTGACAGTGGAAAGGGATGCTGGTGTTATTTTTGATCCAGAGGATTCAAGGAAAACAAGAGTGTCCAAACGGGAGGCCGTGGACGAGAAGAACTTCTTTGAAACTCTAAGCATTATAAAGGTTGATGACTATAATAAGGTCGAGTAGTTTGAAGGTTTACAACAAAACTAAAACTAAAACTATGAGTAAGAGTCAATGTATGCAGGCGACGGGAAAATTTATGGAGAAAATGGTGTGCATCTAAGGAGGGGTAATAAAGCAGCCATACATAGTTGAATAATAGTTTGGGGGAGCAGTAACTCAGAGTATGAATGGGAATTTAATATAGTAGATACCCCCTTTTTTTTTTTAGTTGGTGGTGTTGTCCACCATAGTTTAAATTATGTTACTCTATAATGATTAGTAGTTAAATGTAAAAAAATCGTTCCTGATTTTCTTGACTCCTCACAAACTCTAATTTTACATTTGTGTTCATTTCCTTTGTTCCTCCCCTCATAAAGGGTTGGGGGTGGAGATGTTAATTAGAAACAACTAAAAATCTAATTTAACCCCAATTAGAAGAAGAGAAATTGGCACCTAACTACAACTTGAGAGATGTTTTCTATATATCACTCTAAAGGGGGGATTACCTTATACAATAATTCAAATATCATCTATATATACATTGTTCTCTATATATAGGATCGATTTGAATTACCCACTATATAATTCGCACTACCGTTTGTGACATCTCCACAGTGTACGTCATTTACAGGTTGTTAAATCCGCACAGAATTGTTTTAAGCTATTATGTCAGTTTGTGAAATTCTATGTACATATATACATAATAGTAGTTTTCTCTTGGAGTCACAAAATAAAATAACCGCCTTAAACCGCTTATTTCCGTGCTTATTATTTCTTGGTTTTCATTCTCTCTATAGTAATTGAATACCCCACATACATACTATTCCTTGGCCTAGGTTTCAGCCGCCTGCATAAGAAGGAACACGTTTCGCTGTCTGTATAGACTATAGACCTTTTCTTCATTCCACTACAACTACCCTTTTGGTCTATTATTGACAGGAAAAAAATGCCTGGGAAATCTTCGAGGGAAAGGGCTGCGGTTGTCAGTCCCACCCCGAGTCTTAGACACATTTCCCAAACCAGAGTTAATCATATCGGAAATTCTCCAAGTTCACAAGCGTCCGGAATGTCTCCATCTCCTTCTGGAGATTATAGTGATTACATGACAATGCAAGAAGGAGAACCTAGCGTAAATATGGAACTCCCACTGTCCCACTCAAACGACCAGGCAGACGTAGAGTCCATTATTTACAAACTGTCTCGTAATATATATCAAGGTCGTCCACATCGGCCATCTCATTTATCACATCAAATTAGCTTTGGGAGTGTTGGAGAACAACTGAGATTATTACCACCATCTAAAACCAATTCTTTTCCCAATAAATTCCCCGGTTTAATGAACATAACTTCAAATGAAACTACAGAATATAGAAACTCATCTAATTCATATGAAGAATGTACCGATACTTTGGATTATTCAACGTTACTTCCATACTATCTTCCATGTCTTTCATGGATTCCACACTATTGTGTCGAATTCTTTCTAGGAGATCTTTTGGGCGGTCTATCACTTGTATTCTTCCAACTCCCACTCTCGCTTTCATATGCCCTGTCATTAGCTCATGTACCGGTTCTTTGTGGATTATATTCATTGGCTATTTCTCCTCTTATTTATATGATTTTTGGAAGTGTACCTCAAATGATCGTTGGCCCCGAGGCTGCCATCTCATTGATTGTTGGACAAGCAGTTGAACCACTCCTTCATCATGCGACGAAAAAGCATCCAGTAGACCCCACAGAAGTGGTGGTGGTGATCACATTCATTTCAGGAGCTTCGTTATTGGGGTTTGGCTTGGGTAGATTTGGGTTCTTGGATAATGTTCTTTCTGCATCACTTTTGAAAGGTTTCATCAGTGGGGTGGGTATTGTCATGATTATCAATGCTCTTATTGTCATGTTTGGACTTTCAGGTCTTTTAGATGAAGTTTCAAGTGATCCTTCTGTTCCAGATATTCATTCTCCATTTGATAAATTTAGATTTCTTTTAGGGAACTTTAAAGAATTACATCCACTTACTTTCCAAATATCGCTTGTTGGATTCATTACAGTGTTACTGATTCGTATATTCAAGAAATGGTATGCTAAAAGATGTAAAAGAAAAATTAATTTGGTTGTTTACATTCCAGAAATTTTACTTGTGGTGATTTGTTCCACTTGGTGTGTGTCTTATTTCAGATTAGATAAACAAGGTATTTCAATCATTGGAGATGTTGCTAATGATTCTAAGGCTAAAATCTTACACAATCCACTTGCGTTTAGACTTTGGCCATTATTCAAACAAGTTACTACTTCTGGATTTCTTTGTGCTATGTTGGGATTCTTTGAATCAACTACTGCTCTGAAATCTTTAGGTTCCACTTATGATTTACCCATTTCATCTAATCGGGAATTAGTAGCATTAGGGTTCATTAACATTGTTGCTGCTATGTTTGGGGCGTTACCAGCGTTTGGTGGATATGGACGTAGTAAAATTAATGCCATATCCGCTCGTACCACCATGCTGGGGGCAATAATGGGTCTTTGCACCTTTTTCACCATTACATGTCTTATGGATTATCTTCATTTCATTCCTAAATGCACTTTAAATGTGGTGACATGTGTCATTGGTATCCTGTTAATTGAAGAAGCTCCTGGTGAATTATGGTTCCATTGGAGAAGTCGTGGTTATAATGAACTTATAACATTTGGTGTAACGGTTACAACAACTCTTTTCTTTTCCATGGAAAGTGGGATTGCAGTTGGATTAATTTATCTGTTGATACGAGTGATTAAACATTCAGCAGCTTCAAGAATTCAAATTCTTGGAAGAATTCCTGGTACAAATACATTTTTGAATGCAGATTCAAATATTGATCAAGATGGAAAAATTAAAGAATTTGAAAGACAATTAGAAGCTGAAGTAAATGATGAACTAAGAAAATCACATATTAATAAGTCTAAGTCACAATTAAATTTCTTTACTGACAATCATTTCACTCAATTGAATTATCAAGCATTAGAAGAGATTGAAGGATGTCTTATTGTTAAAATCCCTGAACCTTTGACTTTTACCAACACAAATGATCTTAAAAGTAGACTTAAAAGAGTCGAAATGTATGGATCTACCAAGGTTCATCCTGGTAGTAAACGTACAAGAGATGCTGCAATGACAAAATACATTATATTTGATCTTAATGGAATGACAGAAATTGATTCATCAGCTGTTCAAATTTTGAGAGAAATCTTGACAAATTATGAAGATCGGAAAATATATTGCTTCTTCATTCGGGTTAATAAGGATAAATACTTGAGAGATCGATTCGATAGAACTGGGATTACTGAACTTTTAATGCGTGATTTAAGAGATATGTCATATTTTGAAGTTCAAAATATGCAGAGTATACTGAATGATACAAGTGGTAAGATAGATGCATTAGACATTTATAATCTTACTGAAAGTCTTCAATTACCTTATTTTGAACACATTAGTGATGCACTCAAGGTCATTGATTATTTTGAGACTAATAATGGAGAGAGATTAGACGAGGTTTAATAGATATAGAATAAAGACCATCAAAGTGAATATCAATCTGAATATGACTGTAGAGGATACAATTAGGAATGTAGATAGAAAGTGTATAAAAAAGGGTGTAAGAGGTTTGGCGTGTATACTAATTACGTGTTTTAACATGGAGCGCGCGCGTGTGTGTAGTCGCGCAAAGGTTAAAAACATGAAAACTACAAATGATTATAATCCATCAAGTTAATATATCTAATTAAATTTAATAATGTCAGCAGACCAGATCTTGGAAAAGTTGGATGAGGGAGCTCAGGAGCTTACCATAAAAGAGGAGTACCAATTATGGAGGAAAAATTGTAGATATATGTATCAATTTGTGACTGAGACTGCCCTTACTTGGCCTTCACTTACAGTTCAATGGTTACCAGAACATTCCATAGATGAAGACACCGGAGCAATAGATGCCAAGTTGCTTCTTGGAACACACACTTCGGGTGAAGATAAAGACTTTTTGAAAGTTGCATCCACTCAACTACCATCAAGCAAATCATCGGGTGGAAATTCTCGAATTAAAATCACGAAAAAGTTTCAAAATTCATCTGAAATCAATAGAGCTAGATACATGCCACAAGACCCACTGACTGTGGCTACCATCAATGGCTTGGGTGAAGTAGACCTCTACCGTCTTGACGATGATAAGAAGTCCAGTAGTGTTCAATTTAAGCCACATACTGAAAATGGGTTCGGTTTAGCTTGGAGTCCACATAAAAAGGGTCATTTACTTACAGCATCAGACGATAAGACTGCAGTAATTACAGATACCCTGGTCAAGTCTAGTGAAAGTATTGTTGTACGTAGTACATCCCACACTGACGTTGTGAACGATGCGAAGTTCCATCCATTTGATGAAAATCTTTTTGGTACAGTATCTGATGATAAATATACATACATTTTCGATATTAGAGATGGTGCTACCAAGCCGGTATTGAGCTACTATAGTGAAGATTCCAAGGGAATTAATTCATTGGCATTTTCACCATTTTCTCATAATCTTTTAGCAACTGGGAACACAAATTCTAACATTAGCATGTTGGATTTAAGAAATATGAAACTTTTACATACCTTGATGGGCCACAGTGGAAGTATTTCAAGTTTGGAGTTTTCCCCTCATCGTGATGGAATCTTAGCTTCTGGATCAGAAGATAGAAGATTGATATTATGGGATTTGTTTAAAGTGGGTGAAGAACAAGCACAAGAAGATGCTGAAGATGGGTGTCCAGAGCTCTTTATGATGCACGCTGGGCATACCGGGGCTGTCATGGACTTGAACTGGTGCCCATACCGTGATTGGACTCTTGCTTCAGTGGCAGATGACAATATTGTACATTTATGGGAAGTTGGAAAGAGTATTTTAGATGATAAAGTTGAAGTTGATGAAAAGGAGTTGGAATAAAAGATGTGTACAGTAGACAATAAAAAGTAAATAACAAATAAGAATAAAAAACACACAAAAGAGAGATAACTATTAAATGTAAAGATGACTTTAGAGTAGTGGTAAAATGTGTTAGATTCGTATACTACAATAACTTTACCACCTGTCAAATAACCCCGCTAATTGTATGCATAGTCGCACGTGACTACCATTTTCATTCCATAGTTTCAAAACTTTGGTTAGAAAATAAAGACACACATAGAAAAAAAAATAAAAAAAAAAACCAGGGGCGATAAAGAAATCAAATCTATGGATTATTGCTTTTGAAAAATGAAGAATGTAGCTTCATAATGATTTCACTTATTGCAAGTAGGACTAAATCAGTAATTGTTTAATGTAGGTCACTTTTAAAGATTCTTCTTATTTGTAAATTTGTTTGTGTTATATAGGTACCGTACATATATATATATATAGAATTATCCGTTCGCTGTCCGTTCCCGGGTTGTTCTTTTTTTCTTCCATTCCTGTCTGGCAAACAATTGAGGTAAATTATAAAGAAAACGGCTGATATAAAAATTATATATTTTGAAATATATACATATACACTCAGTACTACAAATAATAACCATGGCTGACTTCCCACCGAACCTTTCGATTAGACCGTTAACAATTGAAGATCTTGACGAGTGTGTCTCATTGGAAGCTAGAGGATTTCCTGAGAAGGAAAGAGCCACCAAAGAAAAGCTTCTGTACAGACTTACTGTGTGTCCAGAATTATGCTCAGGATTATTTATCCGTGATTACACTCCACAATACAAGGCCATAAACTTACCAGCAGTTGCTGCCAAGCAAAGCAAAGAAGAGCAAAACGAAGATAACGATGAATCCAAGACCGTAGATTCTGAAGCTATTCCAACCAAGTCTTCTGTCCTTAAGGAAACCCTTATTGGACACATCATTGCCACCAAAATCTATTCTAACAGAATCACTTCTGAATCTATGGAACTTGGTTCAAAGGAAGACCCTAAGGCTGGTCACATAGAACACTCTAGATACATCGGAATACACGGATTGGTGGTTGATCCAGAATGGCAAGGTAAGAACTTGGGTACTTTACTCATGCACGATTACATTCAAAAGTTATCCAATCAAGATTTGGGTGACAAAGTGATCATCATTGCTCATAAACAATTAATACCATTTTATGAAAAGATTGGATTCAACAATCTTGGTGAAAGTGATTGTAAGTTTGCTGGTGAAGTCTGGTACGACTTGAGCATTGACTTGATTCCTGAAGATGATGATTAAGCTATTTAGATAGATGCGTTGGAGCTTTTACATATTAAATAGTGATGTACGAGGATATTCTAGAGAATGGTTGTTTGTGTAAAAATGAAAGTTGTAGTCAAAGTTAGAGTAATAAATGGAGATTGTGCCAATAGTAATAATCGATCATTTGTACACTTCAAGGTGTAGTAACACAGCTGATAATCTATATATACGTATATTACAATTGAATGGTGTAATATGTGTAAAGCTTTGTATGGTTGCATATAGTAGTGTCTCTTCCAAATGATCAATATGAATGTGAACGCATTCACATATACCAATATTCTTCCAATTTGACTGCTACTACCTACAGCAACATGCGCGTACCTGAGTCTATCAAGACTGTCTTTGACACTTTCCCTCTCAAGACATTTCCTGCGGTTCCTGTGGGATCTCCAGACCAAACTCAAGCGGTCGAAGATCAAAAATTTTACTTTCGTGGAGAACCATCCAAAGATGGAAATAGTTTTATTCTTGGGGTACATAGCATATTACCAATCGAAGTAGATGGAATCACTAAATATATACCGTCCGATCCGATTTCATTGGCTAAATGTTTATCGACTTGTCATAAAAATAATTTAAAGTTGCCCATTAGTGGAGATGAGAAATCTGGTGAATCGAGCAATTGTATGATGGCATTTGCTCACCAAGCTTCCCCGGATCAAGAACTTCCACTACTTATACATGACTCTAATGGTAGGGATAGAACTTTCATAACTTCAAGATCAATGAGTAGTATTTCCATTAAAAAGGTGACCAGTGTTACTGCGCAAGTGGTACTCGAAATGATTGAAACAAAGTTATATGACCTATGGATACTGTGTCTTTTAGTTGAGGCAGACGAAACTTCCTTAAATAAAATTTTCCGACTTAACTCACAACTGTCTTGGACAAGTCAATTATATACTGTGGCACTCTTTCAAGAGATTCCACTGTGGAGAAACTTCAATATTAGACATTCCAATTTATTCACTACTTCTAGGGTGAAAAAGTTAGCACAAGGTTCGAGTATGGCCTCCACGTTTGGATCTACTTTATCTGCATTAAGAACAAATGTGAGTTTAGATCACTTTTATAAAGATCAACTTATAGAATTTGAAGCCATATTACAAAGCTTGACTGATTTCATAGAGAATAATGAGGATGAAGACCCAGTAGTAGAAATAGAAGTGGCTGCATTCTTGATCCTGGTAGACCAGACTTTGAAAGATACGAAATTAGGGAAATTGATCCAAACCTCACTTTTAGATCGTTGCTACTTACTTTTATCTAAATATTAATATATTACATTTATAGTACAAATCATCTTCTATCAATGACCATCAGTTTATTCAATCTCTCTTTCTCCAAACCAACAAGTAACTCTCTTCAAGGAATAAAAGATCTCCATTACATGGTTCAATATCCAAATCATGGATACTAACCCAATCATTTCTATTTCTTCTCACCAGAACTGTCCAATCATGCTTATCGTCACTCCTATCCAATTCTACACCCGGGATCAGTTCATGTTTGACATGTCCCACAAGATCATAAACATGGGGAGATGTATTCCCACCTAATACGTATGGACTCATATCCATTGGCAGTTCAAATTTCAATACTTTAGGCGCCTTCAGATTGCTCTTGATATCTTCTTTCCTATCTATGTGGAAAATTAAATAAGGTGGAGCTGGTCCTACAATCTGGAAAGTATTCAATTCAGATTCAGTGGCTTGAGTGATCGTTTCTCCATCATATTTAGATAAAAGACTTTTGAATGACACTTGTGTAATATGGTCATTAATTGGATTTTCATCATTACTTTCCAAAGTCTTTTGGAATGGAGATGAATCCGATAAATCCAAAGTAATCATCCAGAATTTTCTTATAGTAGTGGTAGTTTCGGTCTGTTTATTTACAGGAGTGGCTTTAATTCTAATCTTACCTTGGAATGATTTTGAAAAAACCGTCTGTTTCGTACCTAATGCCTTGGCTAATGTCATGTGCAATTGGTTTAATAACCAAACCAAAAAATGCTTAGGATTGGGTTGACTTCCCAATGAGAACTTACTTTTAACTAATTGCATCAATTCATGTGGTGAAATATGGTTTCTATAAAGGTTTTTGGACCATATCTTACGCACCAAAAGACCAAATTTAGCATTTAGTTCTGATTTTGAATCTAATAATTCACGTTCATCTTGTTTTAATGTAGTTGATAACGAGAGGAAATAATCTCGAATGGGTGGGATATGACTCAATAGTTGAAGTATCACATTAGCATAGGTATTACAAGATATATTGTTCAATCCAACATACCCAGGATGATATACCTTATGATGTAAGTCGTAGGAAACTTGTAATGGTGGGATATCCTTCGTATTATAGTTGAAATCATCAGATACTTGAAGTAAGGCAATATCCTCCATGGTATATTGCGGATTTATTAATGATCTTATTTCATCAAATACCTTGGCCCTGCCGGTTAACTCTTTGTTTTCTGGAAGGATGTAGCACTTGAGTGTTTCCATATTGATAAACACATGATGATCCATATTTACTGCATGAAGGTAGGCATGTGACGTTCTTGAACGACCTTGAAAGTATTTCCCACATACCAAGCAACAATAAACATTGACATTTGAAAGACTAACCAGACATACTTTTTCATAATCAAAATTAAGTAGTTCTTTATTGATAGTCTCCAAGTAATGACGGTTTGAAGACTCTACAACTATACCATCGGAGGCTTCCACTCTGGGTTTCTTCGTCTCCTCATTACTATCGTCTTCCAAGCCATGCTTCCCATTCATATTAAAAAGAAATGGTGATATATTTGTGCTTTTACTTGTACTACCTTCAATATGTTTTACAAATATTTTATGTGGTCGCACTTACAAAACAAATTATGTTCTCACTTTGTTATACATTCTATTTTTTTCTATTTAAAAAAAAAATTAAAGATGAAGTATCATCAATGGATAGCTAAACCATTGACGTTTCCTGTCAACAAGGAAGTAATGTTTTCCTCGATGGCCTTTTCTGCGGTATCGGACAAATGCTTCTTTGGATCTTGTTTCCCCACGTATCTAGTCTTCAATTGATCTTCCAGTAATTCCTTTTCTTCAGTAACTCTTTGGTTGTATAATTTGGCAATCTTAACCATACTTTCAGTATTTTCCAAGTTCTCGTGTTCCTTATGTTCATAATCAACCATCTTTAATCCAGATTGCCAATTCTTCTTATGTAAGTTTAATAACATATTGGTTTCATTCAGAGTCTTGTGGTAATCTATGTTCAAAGAGTAGTAATGACGGTTCAACCCATGGATCAAAGCTTGGATAGATGGCTTATTCAAGTGACCAACGTTGGAAGTAGTTTGTCTTGGTTCTTGACCCATCATCAAGGTGGTGGTATCGATAGTTCTAAAGGCATCAATGACAACCTTACCCTTGACAGATTGAATTGGATCCACAACAACGGCAACTGCACGCTTGTTCAATTGTTCAAAAGATTGTTGTGTGTTGACATCGACTGACGATAACCAACATCCAAACCCAGGATGTGAATGGTACCATCCTACAACCATTTGATCTCTTCCTGTTTGTCTCAACATATCCATCATCTTAGTTTGGAATACATCGTCAACGGCTTCGACAGAAACTCCAGTACCGGATTGGGGCATTGCGAAGACATCAATGACATGGATTGTGAAATCATCTACAAATTCTCCCAACATTAATCCCATAACTTCCATAGGAACACCAGCTCTACCGTGCTTAAGCATCTTGAGAAGAGCAAGTGACGATATATAAACGGTTTCGGCATTATCGATGGCTGGTCCATCGCTTGGAGGTGGGGCAGCACCACCTAATCCTCCTCCAGCTCCTAAAAGTCTTTGTAATCTTTCCATATTGCTCTATTCTATTTGTCTGTTCTTCGTTTGATCCTTTTTATGGTTTATCTATACAGTAAGGCACTTCGCAAGATATTCTTCCAAGTGTGTACTTCTAATTGCTCCTGTAAGTTATGGCTCAATTGAATATAATTAAGTGTAAAATGTTTTACCAGATTTAAACGATTTCCAGGTATTCTTTCAAACCTTCTAAAATTGTTGGTGGCGATATTGGAGGCACATTTTGGTGATCGGCAATATGCAGGCGCTTGAGTGTTTTTACCTAAATCTTTTAGTTTTTGTGAACTTTATGATATTTATTAAACAAGGGTGATAAAGAATCGAGTTAATGATTTTGGAGAAAAGAGGATTATGAGTATTTTCGAGTGAATGTATATGATACTTATATTGTAGCTGTAGCTGTGGAGTGACAAAATGACATTCTATTGTAGGGAAAGTTTAGGCCAACAATACACAGAGGGTAATAACTGATCCTTTTTTTTCTTTTATTTTCTTATTTATTCAATTGAATTTGTTAACATAAACCATAAAAATAAATAGATGATTTGACCATGTATCAATGGTTTATATAAATATCCATGAACATTTATAAGTAACTACTAGAGTGGTAAGTCGGGGCCTAGGTAGAAGATAGCCGCCGTTTATTACCTGGGTCGCACAAAATTAAATATAAAAAAAAACGCCGCAGAGCCATACACGGCCTACATAAGTGAAACCGTTAGATCCCCGGTAACTAATTATCAGCTTGTATATTCTTTTTCTTCAAACACCGAAATCGTAATATGTCTGGTCCACCTACTGGGAAGTACCCAGCTAAAGAGCACGCTCAAAGAGTTCACAAGCAATACGTTTCTCATGCAAAGTCCACCGATGAAGTCAGTTTCTTCATCTCAGGTGAAGATTTAGAACTTTACCAATACTGTGACCAAACCAAACCTCTTAGACAAAACAGATACTTCTTCTATCTTTCTGGTGTCAGCATTCCAGGATCTCACGTTATGTACCAGGCTAAGTCTGATACTCTTACCTTGTATCTTCCAAACATTGATTACGATGATGTCATGTGGTCAGGACTTCCTCTTACCATTGAAGCAGCCTTGGCTAAATACGATGTTGATGAAGTCAAGTATGCTTCTGAATTGAAGAATGACTTTGATCTCCTTAAGTCTTCTGTTGTTCTCACCACTGATATCAACAAGAACAATGACTCATACAAGGAATACTTAACTGCTGGTAATGAATCCTTCTTCCATGCACTTGATGAATCCAGACTTATCAAGGATGAATTTGAAATCAAGTTGATGCGTCATGCTGCCCATATCACCGACAAGTGTCACTTGGCCGTCATGCTGGCTCAGCCAATTGAAAAGAATGAAACTCACATACACGCTGAGTTCATGTACCATGCCCTTAGACAAGGTTCTAAGTACCAATCTTACGACCCAATCTGTTGTTCCGGTGAAAACTGTTCATCCCTTCATTACGTCAAGAATGACGAAGAAATTGACACCAGAAGATCTGTTTTGATTGATGCTGGTGCCGAATGGGAATGTTATGCTAGTGATGTCACCAGATGTTTCCCAATCAATGGTGACTGGACCAAAGAACACTTGGAAATCTATAACCTTGTATTGAAGATGCAATCTACTACCATGGGTATGATCAAGCCTGGGGCTTCTTGGGATGACCTTCATTTAACTGCCCACAAAGTTTTGATTGAAGGATTCTTGGAATTGGGTATTTTCCGTAAGGAATTTACTGCTGAAGAACTTTTTGAATCAAAGGTTTCTGCTAGATTTTTCCCTCACGGTTTAGGTCATCTTCTTGGTATGGATACTCATGATGTTGGTGGACGTCCAAACTATGAAGATCCAAACCCACTCTTACAATACTTGCGTTTGCGTAGAACTTTGCAAGCTGGTATGGTTCTTACTGATGAACCAGGTTGTTACTTTAACCCATTCTTGCTTGAAGATGTCTTGAACGGTCCAAACAAGAAATACGTCAACACTGAAGTTTTGGACAAGTACTACTCTATCGGAGGTGTTAGAATTGAAGACGACTTGTTGGTCACTGAAGATGGTTATGAAAACTTTACTGGTATCACTTCTGACCCAGAAGAAATCTCCAAGATTGTTAAGAAAGGTTTGGCTAAGGGAGTGGAAGGATTCCACAATGTCGTTTGATTGTATGTAATAGACAGTGTAACAATAAAAGAAGAAAAATTTATACAATTTTTAGGTTACTCGATTTTGGCTGCAAATCATGATCATCGTATCACATTTCATTTCACATATACATAATTCATTTTCACTCAATATCTGTTTCTCTGTCGTTGGGTTACTATACTATTTTCAAACCCTCTTTTATAGATTCGGTAAAGTAACATAGCTGTTCTTGCGTCTTCAATTGAACAATGTGGTCCATTTTGGATACTGACACCCAAAAATCGTTGTGAAAGAGCCTTCAACGCTGGTGGACGGCCACCACTTATTTGTCTAAAATAGGCATAATTAGAGGTATCTCTTATATATTGTTGTGGATATCGTATTCGTAGCACTTTTAAATCATTTTGTAAAGCATGACCAACAAGTATCTTGCCCTGTAGCATAAATTCCGCACGGCCACGAGCCTCTTCAAACAGAACTGCATCAATCATATTAGCTGGAGTCACTCCACTTATCCAAGTTCTCCAATCCACAACTTTTTTCTTTGGCCGTACAAAGACATCATACAAGACATAACCATAATAATTTATTATTGATATTCGTGCAAGTTCATTTTCAATGCCATTAAATCCTCTAACTCCCACATACTCGCAATCTATGCCAATATAACTTCCATATGATTTTCTTGTATCATCTGGAACCACTTCAAGCTTTCTTGGGCGAATATCGGCACGAGTGAGAGGATCGTGTGGGTTCCAGAGTGCCAGTTCAATTTCGGAAGCAACATTATTCATGGTGGTGTTGTTTATGGTCAATTTCTACGATTAATTTATGGATTCTATACTATATGTACATAGAACCCACGACATATATTTTATACAAGATACAAATACTAAAACTTCCTTAAAATATTTACTACACTTTAATTAAGGATAAATTAATCCAAAAGAAGCGAATTGAAGTGTACCAGTTCTAATTCCAAGCCTCTCGTAAAAGTTTATCTCACAGCCACTTTCTCCTCTCTTCCCGAATTTTTGAGAAATCATGAGCTGATTGACTGCAAAATAATTTTTTTAAAAAAAAATTGTTAGAGTGTTGAAGCACTTGATAAACCCATATTGATTCAATGTGAATAGATGATGATGTTCATTTAATTGAAGTTGATTGGTAACACAAAGAATTACAATCAATATACTTTAGTTAAAAGGTTATCTAAGAACAAGTATTGCAAAAAAGAACTTCAAAATTTGTTGATCTATCCACTTAGCAAAGAGTGATATATATAAGAGTATATAAATGCAAATATAGTTGTATTCTCATAAGGAACACTATATATTTTGCCAGTTTGTACTTTTTTATAAAATCTTTTATATTCTCTCGCTAAACGATGTGAATAATGTTTGTTTTTTTCTATATAATTTTTTCTTGTATAATTCATAAACAATTGAATTTGCCGTATTAACATAGTAATATCTTGCCCTTGATCACACACTATTTTATGATTCTAGCTTCTGATTGTAGGACAATTAATCTTCATTATCTCCAAGATTATTAGAAATATATTTTTTGCAACATATTTCTCAATTAAAACAGATTAATGAGGACATCTTTTCATCTCCATTCCTTTCCAACTAAAATCAAGTCTTTACTTACCCCACTCAAGAATAATCCCACTAGATCATTCTTATCAACAACCATTTCAGTCATACTCCCCCTATAATTCTTATCGTCCCTCTTTCTTACACAAAAAAAAAACAAAAAAAAAAACACCCCCCAAAATTACATACACAAAACTAAATTTATCTCTCTATTTTTATTTTTGCATTGTAAACCATTTCATTTCATTGAATTGTCCGACATACAATCAAAGCAATTCAGGGTTTATACGAACTTAAAATTAACAACGATTCCAAAAAATTATAAAACAGTGTATCTTAATTGGCATTATATACATAATATTTTTTTTAGTAATTCCCGTATTAGATCATCTTAACTAGAAACACTATTAATCATGGATGAAGAATATGACGTTATTGTTCTTGGAACCGGTCTTACCGAGTGTGTTCTTTCAGGGATTCTTTCCGTAGAAGGTAAGAAAGTCCTTCACATTGACCGTCAAGACTTCTATGGAGGTGAGCTGGCTTCATTGAACATGTCACAACTCTACAAGAAGTTCAAGCCTCTGGCTCAAAAACCAGAGTTTCGTGGTAGAGATCGTGATTGGTGTGTAGACTTGATTCCAAAGTTTTTAATGTCCAATGGTGAATTGACCAACATTTTGGTCCACACTGATGTCACAAGATACATTGAATTCAAGCAAATTGGTGGTAGTTATGTTTACAGAAACGGTAGAATTGCCAAGGTTCCTCTGAATGAAATGGAAGCCATTAAATCTTCTCTTATGGGAATTTTCGAAAAACGTAGAATGAAGAGATTTTTGGAATTCATTGCCAAATATTCCGATGATGAAGTTTCCACCCATCAAGGTCTTAATTTGGATACCAACACCATGAATGAAGTGTACACTCATTTCGGGTTAGAAAATGGTACTAAGGATTTCATTGGTCATGCCATGGCTTTGTGGCCAAATGATGATTACTTGAACGAAGTTGCTCGTCCAACTTATGAAAGAATTATCTTGTACGTTCAATCTGTTGCCAAGTATGGTAAGTCTCCATACATTTACCCATTGTACGGGTTAGGTGAACTCCCACAAGGGTTTGCTCGTCTTTCTGCCATTTATGGTGGTACTTATATGTTGGATACTCCAATTGATGAAGTTTTATACGATGAATCCACTGAAGGTGTAAAGAAGTTTGCTGGTGTGAAGACCAAGGAAGGTACCGGTAGAGCGCCAATAGTCATCGCCGACCCAACTTACTTCCCAGAACTTGTTAAGAAAACTGGTCAAAGGGTTATCAGAGCCATGTGTATTTTGGATCATCCCGTCGCTGGTACCGGTGACTTGGACTCTTTACAATTGATTATTCCTCAAAACCAAGTTGGACGTAAGTCTGACATTTACATCACTGTTCTCTCTGAAACTCACAAGGTTGTCCCCGCAGGATACTACTTGGCCATTGTCTCTACTATCATCGAAACTGACCAACCACACGTTGAATTAGAACCAGCTTTCAAACTTCTTGGTAACCGTGTTGATACTTTGATGGGAATTGCTGAATTGTACGAACCACAAGAAGATGGTAACACCGATGGTATTTACTTATCCAAGAGTTATGATGCTACCTCTCATTTTGAAAGTACTACAGATGATATCAAGGACCTTTACTTCAGAATCATGGGTAAACCATTGGTATTGAAGAAGAGACCTGGTGTTGAAGAAGAAGATGCCGCTTTGAATGGTTTGGAATAAATAGGTTATACAGAAGAATAATTGCTCACGAGATAAAAGAATTTTTGATTGTAGAAGAAAAATGGTGTGTATATCATCCTTTTTTCTTTTTCTTTCGCAGCCAAAAAGAGAAACCAGGATAGGTGGTTCGAATATTTGTCTGTCAATGTATACCATGTAACCTCACCCGGAGATGTTAGTCCCGGAATGCTTATCGGTTATATGGATTAGAATTCGTGACCCAATCAATACCACAGTCAAATCTTAAAAAGAGTTGTGGCACACGGATCCAAAATTTTGAACCCAAATTTTTTAGAACCCAATTAATTGCCGATTTACCGATAAGAATAACTAATCAATCACACCCTGTGAGAAAACGTGTTGGTACAAATATGTCAGGTGGCCAACCTAATGAAGAAATCTACGATTCGGCTTGGGAAACGGGCTTATTGTGAAACGGTAAGAGAAGCATTTTCAGTAAAGGGAAAATTTTTTACCCTATAATTAGATTCGATCCGAAAATCAATCTATGTGGCATATTGGGAATATCTTGGGGGCCCCTACAGTACCTACTTTTTTTTGCCACGAATGCGTCACAGACTCAAAAGAATGCAGATTGTCCATGGACACGACACAAAACACTCGTATAACGTGATAAGACGCGGCCGATATCCACAATGCGGATATCTTTACCGCCAAATCTCGGTCCTTAAGCGCCTAAATAGAGAATTTTTTTTTTTTTAATTTTTCCAATCTGTCACCGGGACTTTGGTTATAAATAGAGGTGCATGTATCGTTTTATTAGTAGTTTCAAGGCTACTCAGCAGTTAACACGCACTCAATATTTGAAAATGACCAACGCATTCACCACTAAATCTGGAAAGCCACTTAATATCGGAACTGGTACTGGTACCAAGTGGCAATGGGCCAAAAAAGGTCGTCCAGAAGATGAACAAAATGAAGTTCACCAGGATCTTGTAGACCAAATCCTGTTGGCTATTAAGACTGGTTTCCGTCATATTGACACTGCCGAGACATACACCACTCACCCAGAAGTTGCTGCTGCTGTCAAGGTTAGTGGTATCCCACGTGAAGACTTGTGGATCACCACAAAGTATATTCCTGGATCAAAAGTTATTGGAAGTACTGCTTCCAGTAAGGGTCCTATCGATACTATCGACCAAGCTCTTACTACTTTAGACACTGAATATCTCGATCTTTTCTTGCTTCACACTCCATTCTTCGATCCAGAGCTTTCCCATGGTCTTACTATCACTAGTGCTTGGAAGGAAGCTATTCAAGCCAAGAAGGATGGTAAGGTGAGACACATTGGTGTTTCAAATTTTGCCATTCCTCATTTGGAAGAAACTTACGAAGCTGCCGAGGGAAATAAGGAATATTATCCTGAGTTCAATCAACTTGAATTCCATCCTTATCTTCAAAACCAATCCAAGGATATCATCAAGTATTGTCAAGATAACAACATTTTAGTTGAAGCCTTTGGTCCATTGACTCCACTTTTCAGAATCAAGGAAGGTGAAAAGGAAGTTACTGACCATCCATTGACCAAACTTTTACCTAAACTTTCAGAAAAGTATGGTAAGACTGATGCACAAATCTTGTTGAGATACACTCTTCAAAAGGGAATTCTTCCAATTACAACTTCTTCCAAGGAACAAAGAATTAGAGAAAGTTTGGAAGCATACGACTTTAAGTTGGATGAAGAGGATGTGAAACTTATCGACGATGAAGGTGCCACTTACAAGTTCAGAGGATTTTTTGGAAAGAACTACGAACAATATGAATAGAGACACACAATTTAGTTAGAAAGTCAATAGATGATTTTTTTTAAAAAAAAACCAAACCAAGTAGCATCACTGTGGCTTGCAGAAAAGATGTATTATGCTTCCAATGATTATTTAATTTGTATCTCGATAATTTAGATTGATTACTAATTTGAGGCTTTTCATTGTGGTACATATTGCGTATTTATCGATAAGGATCGGTAAATAATTAAGCGCCGCCATAGTGTGCGATAATATAAAGTAGATAGGAAAAGGTGATCTTACATTATGTTCGTATTTAATACACCATTTCTATTATAAAAATGACTAAGATTGACTCTTCCAAACCAAAACTTACAACCAACTTTAAAACCAAATCAGGAATTCCAATTACTCTTGGAACTGGTACTGGTACTAAATGGAAGGATCTTAAGAGAAGTGATCCACAAAATCAAGATGGACTTGATGCCATTGTTCAATCATTAGTTGATGCTCTTGAATCTGGATACAATCACATTGATACTGCAGAGGCATATACCACACACCCAGAAGTTGCTAGAGCTATTGCACAGACTGGTAAGAATAGAGAAGATCTTTGGATCACTACCAAATATCTGCCAGGACTGAAGAACTTTCCTCCAAGTTCCAAGGGACCACTCGATTTTCTTGACAAGGCATTGAAGGAATTAGAGACCGAATACATAGATTTGTTACTTATTCATCATCCATTTCTCACCCCTGATCATTCGGTTGGATATACAATCGAAACTGCTTGGCAAGAATTAGAAGAAGCTAAAAAAAGTGGGAAAGTTCGAGAAATCGGAGTATCCAACTTTAGAAAGATAGATCTCGAAAAGATTGCCAAGATTTCGACTATTACACCAGCGGTTAATCAGATTGAATTTCATGCCTATTTACAAGACCAATCGCCAGATATTGTCAAGTATAGTCAAGATAACGGGATTTTGATAGAAGCTTTTGGACCTTTAAGCCCAATTTTTAGAATTAAAGATGAAAAAACTGGGGAAGAAATCACAGATCATCCACTTACAAAAGTATTACCAGAACTTTCTACCAAGTATAATAAGACAGACGCCCAGATTTTATTAAGATACACTCTTCAAAAGGGAATTCTTCCAATTACAACATCCTCAAAGAAGGAAAGAATCCAACAGACTTTACAAGTATACGAATTTGAATTAGACCAAGAGGATTTTGATAGAATAGATCAAGAGGGTGCAAAGTTCCATAATAGAGCCTATTTCAATGGAGCATTCTAATTATTATGTCTTTTAATTTTTTATTAAATTCTAAATTCTAACCAAAGAGTAAAGAGGCAGCCATTTCAACGTTTCCGTTACACAGATCTAATGCTTGAATGGCTTCTTGTTTAGAAAATCCTAAATTAATTAATCTTTGAATATCTTCTTCCTTGTAACTTGATGTAGGAGATTGTGTAGATGTAGAATTGGAACTATTAGTTGTAGTTCTTTGTCTTTTTGCAGCTGCGTCAGCAGCAGCACTGGCAGCTGGAGTACCGCCTGCAGTATTCAGTGATGAAGTCTTTGCAGGTAATGGTGCACCTCCCAAAATAGTACCAGCAGGTGGATCTCCATTACCACCAAACATTTCACTTTTGGGTATATCCTTTTCATGTAAAAACTTGGTTTCAATGTTCCCACCCACTACCAACACATCTCTTTCCAAATCAATCACACATTTATGCCTTCTTAACATATCTAATCCAAATAAGAGATCCACCGAAGTTTCTAAAAGTACAAATGAGCAAGGAATTGGAGTTTCCGAGTCTCCAATAGTGATTGGAACACTATGAATCTTACCTTCGATTTTTTGGGAACCAACTCCTCTTGCCTCTCCTACATATCTCTTGTCAATGAGTCTTGCAATACCGATTTTCTCAGCCAATCTGGGAGAGATAATTGTGGTTTGGGCCCCTGAATCCACAAATGCTTTCACAAGGTGACCATTCACTTTAATGTTGATATAGAGCATATTCACCGAGGTGAATGATTCTGGAGATATTTCATATGCCAATCTCATGTTCTCCTCCACTTGTTCTTGTTGAATTAATTCAAGAATCTTTGCTTGACTTTCTGGATCATCAGGGTTTTCTTGCAATCTACGGAGCTCTGCCTGTTGCTGGGAATTGTATCCACCTTGTCCAGCAGGCCCGTATTGATCAAGAGAGGCAATTATTTCTTGTTTAAATTCGGCTGGGTTATTAAGTAACGAATGAAGACGAGGATTCGAAAGCTGTACCTGCAGATTCAACCGAGGATCAGTCAAGATCCTTTGACGTAAATCTTCCACTTGTGCATTAACAGGGTTAAATTGACCTCCAGCTCCGGGTTGAGTTTGAGGTTGAGCATGTTGTTGATGAGGTGGAGCTCTTTTCAGTTTTAAGACCAACAAGTCATCATCCTTGAACCCTAATTCTTCAATCTGTTTCTGTGCCGAAGCCCCTAATGCTACCTCTTTGGATTGGTGGAAAATGATTTGGTCCTTTGGTTCCACATCAGTTTCAGCTTGGAGATAAGCCTGGAAGTCTTCAACGGTCAATGATCCAGGAATATCTACGGTTATGATTGCACCTGAATCTTCATTAGAAATCGTTAACTTCATATTACTAATATTTTTTATTGTTATTTCCTAAAGTCAATGGGTGGCGTTATGTCAAATTAATGTAATAAGCGACAAAGATATGGTGGGGGGTTCCCCCATAAGTACTTTAAGATTCATATTGTGGCGAGTCCGGTGTATAGACAATGGAACCTACTAGATTGTTACAAACATTGAGAGAACATGTTGAACTAAAGGAATATTAATGTCACGAGGACAGCATATGTATACATAAGAGCAACAAGCTACTTGTCTTTCGTCTACTTACATTATACTTAATATCTTAATATCTTTCATTTGATTGTTTTTTTTATATACATCTAAAAAAGAAAAAACACATACTTAATAATATACAAGGAGACGTATAGCCTCGCTAATCGATACTCCAGACTCTAATGTATCCTAATGAGATCAACTATTCTAGTAGAGACTATTCAATACCCTAAAGTTTAGAGCCCCTCCATTTCCATCTCATTTCACCACTCTCAAAAGTTAAACTTTTATTTGTATTTATTTTTATATTTGAGGAACCAACATGGAGACTTGTCCTCCGTTCAAAAGCATCTTCTTGATAGTCTTTCCGGAAGGACTAGCATTATCGAACTCTTGGACATTTTCTAAAACCATGTTGACGAAATCATCGAATCCGATTAAAGTACCATGGAATTCCTTGTCATTGGACATTAAGACTTGGATTTTCTTTCCAATAGATCTGTCAAGAACTTCAAGTGGAAGAATGGTGTCCAATGGTGTTTCAGATATTTCAGACATGTTTAATATATATGTAATCAGGTTATGAATGTTTGTTATACACCTATCTTTTAATTGTGTGCTCAACACATTTCTTCTCAGTTTTGTTCCTCTTTGATATTGGTAGAGGCACGATCACAAAAAAAAAAATAATAAATAGAATAGTTAGAGAATACGATTATGCAGCTGCACACACCCAAGTCTAATCTGTGATGAAAGGATTTACTTGCAACACCATCTACAAAATAATATAATTTTTTTGAATTTTATTCTAATATTGTAAAACTCAAAGAAAAGAATAAATTCGATCTATACACCACATTCTAACTCTTTATCTCTCGTGGAGCAACACCACCCAATATCATGCCTTTCTCATTATGTTGCAGTGGTACAAAACTTTTTATAGTTTTCTTCTCTGTTTCACCATTACCACCTCTTTTATGCCAACCATCAAAATCAATTAATGCTTGCATACATCCCCATTCAGTAATCTTATTTTGTAACCACACCAAATTAACTGGTTTAGTCAAATAATCATTACATCCAGCCATCAATGCCTTCTGCTTATCAGATGACGAGTTTGAGGAAGCAGTTAAAGCAACAATAATCACCGGTGATCTAAATACATTTAAGTCTAATACTTCATCTTCTTTCAATTCTGATTGGTTTGGATAATGATTATTTACAAGAATTTCATTCTGTGCAAATACCCCAATTCGGTTAATTTTTTCCAAATGACGGATTTCTTTAGTGGCTTCAATACCAGATTTAACGGGCAATTGAATATCCATAAGAACAAGATGGAATCCTCCCTTTCTCCATTTATCAATTGCTTCTTGTCCATTCTTGGCAATTTGGTAATGAATCTTGTGTTTTCTCAAAAATGCCCCTAAAATAGCTTGATTAATGGCATTATCTTCCACTACAAGTACTGAAATAGATGGAAGGACCCGTTCAGTAGCGGATTTAGATTTCACATGTCCATTTGCATTGTTAGATTTATTATCAGATCCTTTGCCACCTAATGTCTTGAATAATGGCTTACTAACTGCTTTATTATTAGATTGAGTTTCATTTGATTTTTCAGTTTTGGTATCCACAGGTGTCGACTTTGCCACCTTCCTTGAATCTTCGGTAGATGTTTCGACCTTGGTCGACTTCTTATCCTTTTTATCGTCATTGACATCATTTTTGTCTTGCTTTTCTGGAATAGATAAATATGATGTCAGTCCAGAAGTTGGAGAAGTAAGACTCATACCTATGTTAGTAATGTTCGTACCCAGAGTAGATGGTTTTAACGAAAAGCTTCCTCTATTCTTACGAGCATACCCGGAATCTAATGATAACCGCTTCTTGTCCCTATCTATCCCTGACCCATTATTTTCGGAATTAGATCCTCCCGATGCTAATGAAAAATTTTTGGGTAAAAGTAAGATTGCTTGATTATTTGCAGCGCTAGAATTGTTACTTTGACTCATACCAACTGAGTAATTGACAGGTGATTGTGGAGGGTTAGAATGTGCTCGTCTATGCATCGGACCCGGAGAAGCCCTTGTATTTACAGTGGATGGCGACACAGATCTATCCTTTACCAATTGGTCAATTGACGTCGTATTATTGGCAAGTGACTTATTGAGGAAAAGATTCTGTGGCTTTGGTTGGAAGTAAACTGGCGTGTCAGTAGCCAGTTCCTGCGGAGATTCCAATCTAGTACTAGCATTATTATTATTCTGTACTGTAAGATGTTGTTGAGAAGTATTCGCTTGAGGAACATGTGGGGTATATTGATGTCTACGTGGTTGAGGGTGTTGAGGCTGTGGATGTTGTGGATGTTGAGGTTGTGGATGTTGAGGTTGTGGATGTTGAGGTGGAGGATTTTGAGCCTGTTGGTCGTGATACTGTTGATCGACATATGGAGCAAGAGTAGGAGTATCAACAACAAGTGCCTCACTCAAACTAATCCCATTAGGATAATAATAGTCCAACAAATTCCATACGTTTTGATCCGGGTCTAAATTGATGTAGAGATAGTTTGAAGGAGGTGTGTTCTTTGCTTGAGTTTGTGGGAATGGTGATGTTATGGGACTCTTATGCGTAGGATCAGGGGAGAGTTTCCCCGTTGATGAAGCGGCCATTCTCTTAGGGGTATTTTGAGAATTTGCATTCGCTGGTGACCTTGTCAGTAAATCCATCTTAATGAGTAAATCCGCCGGGTCAAAATATCGACCTAATGTGTTGGGGAATTTATTTGTAACAGCCAGTTTCAAGTCATCTATTATATCGTTACGATGAATGATAAGAGTCGTGGGTGTCCCATTGATACGTTTGATCCATATTCTTCGTGTGGCATATAAATGATTTGATGAGTCTGATGTTACTGGATGCATGTGTGGCATTGGTGGGAGATTTGTATTGAGTGGTTGTATTCCCTTTGGATGTCCTCCACTTCTCTCTCCTCCAATATTCTTCTTGCCAGGTATTCCAGTCATTTTTTTCGTTATAACCAATTATTTCCCGGTAGCGGCGGTGGGACTCTAGTATATGGTCGCTCTTCAATACTAAACACCACTAAAGGACGAGTTTCGATATATTTGAATTATATAAAGAAAAGTTAACCTCTTCCTTTATCGACAATCAATGTAATTTTTAATGCTGTCTCGCACCGATATTTAAGATTCGTATTTGTATTTATTCCTTAATGACAGTATATATACTCCAGAACAATATTTCCTCTCGTGAATCTAATGTATTTTATCTGGTTATCTTGTTCTTTTCATTCGGTCAATATCCTAAGGGGTCTAAAACATCCGCACTTACACCAGATATAAAAATCCGATATGACACAAAACGAGGTTCCGTGGGTATAAAAGTATATACCAACTAGTAGTATTGTCAACAATAACAAAGCGACCACAAGATTTTGAAACTTAAAATAAATAGCCCATGAACATGTAGTCAATTGATATAATAACTACAGAGCACATTAAAATATATATGTTTATTTTTATTTTTTCTGAAAACACACAATGGAAATAGAAAATAAATAATGACTCGGGCACGGGCACTTGTCTTTTTCTCTTATTGTGAACAAATGTGTTATTAAAATATATAGCTAATCCTTTGCAACCACTTCATCTTCATCTTCATCTTCATCATCATCCCAGGTAAACTCCTCTTCATCATCTTCATCATCAGAACCTTCAGTAGACTTCTTCTTTTCAAGTAATTCTTTTCTTTTAGATTCACTTTCCTTTAATGCACCATCTGCTGTGAAGTATCTGTTCCAAAAAGTTTCATATGAAACTTCAACCGGAACTAATTTGTTCATTAATTTCTCAAGGGTATCTGGGTACTTTGATAAAAGGTTAGAGATCTCTTCTGTTTTAGATTCCACCTTGAATCCATCAGTAGTAGTTCCTTCAGTAAAGTATGTGGCAGTCGTGTGTAATTTCAAAAGATCTGCATCATATCTAGATGTACCGTAACTTTGAACGTTTCTGGTGCTGAAAAGGGTTTCTGGTTCTTCATTAGAGTCACTTTTCCCTACAACGGGTTCCTTGACATTATCAACTCCAACACTAACAATCCCAGAGAAAAATGATGCAAACAGACTTACATATTTCCCAGCTTCTCTCTCCACAATTTCCAACTTTGAGTCTAATGTGTCCAATGCATTGTTGGCTTGTTCCTGTAAACTCTTCAAATCGATATCTTTTGGAATTTTAAGTGAAAGAGATTTTAATTGATCTTCAATTTGTTGAAGGTTCTCCTTTAAATGTGCCTTTTGGTTGATGGTGGTGGCCGTACTGTTTAATCTTTCTACAAGTTGCTTACGGTGTTCTTCAAGCTTGTACTTCTCTTGCAATTCGGATGCTTGACTAGATGCATTCTTCCATAATCCTGCAACTTGGGTTTCTACTGCTGTGTATGCCTTGTCCACTTGGGCTTCCAATTGTTGGACGGTCTCTTCAGTTTTCTGGTTATTGGCATCTGTTACGGTCCCATCTTTGGATTGGGTAGCAGATCCAGAACCAGCCTGTTCAGCAACAGGTTCAGGTTGTGGTTCGTAAAAATCCATTGTTACAAAATGATTGAGTGTTTGGATAAGGTGATTATTATCAAATCCGTGTTCTGATTTCTCCTTGTCTCAGAATATACTTCCGATCATGCAGGCACTCACGATAATTCAAGAAAATCGATGAACCATTTGTGGAGTAACAATAAAAAATGTTTGATAAGAAGCATAGATATCTCTATACTGAAGACATATAATAACATATTTTATAATTGATCAGAATTGTTTATTCTTGTAAAGTACTTGCAACTTTATATTGTTGTTTAGACAATTGTCTATTTATGAGATAATTTGACGAATTCAAACATTGTCTTGCATTATTAACAATTAGGAAAAAGTTTTCCCATTCTATACTTTAATTGAACTAGAGTGTATTACTTCTTATATATCGAATATCAAAAGAGTGTTTATGTATTAGTACTATTGAATCAATGAATGTAAAGTGCGAGATCATATTTGCTGTGCGATTGTGCGCACAAGGTTTACACAAGGTATACATAAACACCATTGATTTCCCCACCAACTACATAGTACTAGCCACTGTAACTACTAAAAGATACTGTACCGCCGACAAGGTGAATTTATTATTTCGAACTTCAAGTCTCGATTTTATCCTTGTAACCATCCATAGAGCATGTATCTGCATGTTTTCTTTTTATTGAAACACTTTTTTATCCATTAATTATGACTAATATAATGAATTCCATATTATTACATATGCCATAGATCAAGCACTATTACTTTTCATAATCTTGCAGTCTCGTATCTAACCCTTTCACAGTATGTCTTATTAATGTGTAACATAACGAATAATTTTGATTTTGCGACACCATGCCGGCCCGTTCCCCGGTGTATGAGTCTTTTTCCTATATCTATCAAACGAATACTTATTCATTATTTTACATCACATTTTAACTAAAAAACTCACTTAATATGATACCTTCTAGAGCTTCACTCCAGAATTGTATTGTTAAGATAAAGGATGGACTTTTCCTGTCATCAAGATATAACAAGTCTCAAACATATCTCTTTACTAACCCAGTGAAATCATTTGAAATTTATCGGCCTCCAACTAAACCTTCCTTTTGGGCGATATCTGGAACTCATAAAACTCAATTCCTCAAGGTTATATCAGGACAATATATACCACATCCACCATTATCAAGAACATATCCCTCGTTTTCTGAAAATTTTCAATATGATCAGATTCAATTTCTCAATTTTGCAGAGTCTTCAGGTTTAGATAAGGTTCATTTGCTGGCTCGTTATGAATCATTTCTGTACAAGGGAGAATTAGAAATGACTGATGATGTAAACTCGGTACGTAATTACATCACGGGTGCAAATAACTACAATACTAGTCATGAAATCATAGACACTGAATACGTTTCAAAATTACTTAAATTGTTCGATTTAGAACATTTACAAAACAAATGGGTAAATAGTCTTTCCAACGGCCAACTAAGACGAGCTAGATTAGCAAAGTCACTTATTAACAAGCCTAGTTTATTGGTTATTGATGACCCATTTTTGGGATTAGACCCAGATGCAACCATAAGAGTATCTGAATCCATTGCCAGAGTTGCAGATGAGTTTTCCATTGCGGTTGTATTGGGATTAAGAGGTCAAGATAACATCCCTGAATGGATTAGCGACGTTGCTACAGTTACAGAACTGGGATTAGAAAAGATATCGAAGAGAACAGATTTAAAGGAGAATTCAAATGTTTCTAAGGTTGAGTTAAAAGAACCAAGAAAAAGTAAACCTATTACAATTGACAGCCTTAAAGGTGAATTAACATCACATATTGAATTTAAAAATGCTTCAGTTGTTTATAAAGAAGTACCAATTCTCACTGAGTTTAATTGGATTGTTCCAAGGGGATCCAAGTGGAGAATCCTTGGGAACAATGGTACCGGGAAGACTACACTTCTCCTGCTTATCACTGCTGACCACCCACAATCTTGGAAATCTGTACTTTCCATTAATGGACAAGTACGTAAAACAGGATCAGGAGCTTCATTCTTTGACATTAACAATAAAATTGGGATCACTTCTCCCGAGTTACATGCATTGGTGCCTCCAAGAAAAACAATGATGCAAGTCATCATGTCGGGACTTTGTAAAGATGTGGGGAATTCAAACTTTTTATACGTTGCTAAGGAGGATAAAATTGACTCATTTGCAAGATCTCTTTTGGATATATTTGATGATAGATTATCAAAATATGGAGATGTTGCATTTAATGAATTACTGCTTACAGATCAAAAACTTGCGTTATTTCTTAGAGCTACCATCAAAAATCCAGAGATTCTTATCTTGGACGAAGCCTTTTCCTGTATGGACGATATAGATGTGATGCATCGTTGCCATGATTTAGTTCAATCATGGTCAGAAATGACAGTACTTGCAATTGCACACATTGAATGGGAATTGCCTACATGTGACTATGTGTTAAAATTGGTCGGCAATGGGAAGCCACATAGCGTAGAAGTATACACAGAGTAGATAAATAATAGAATTTAGATGAGAAAAAAGCCATCAAAAAGCAAATGTATAGAATATATAATGTACACCAATTGTGAAAAGGTCGTAAATCAAACACTTTAGTGGAGAAAAGTCTCTCAAAATAAAAAAAAAAAGTCAAATTTATTTTTTTGTCCACAACAAGAGACAAAAAAAAAAAATAAAACCCGACATTCTAAAAATGAATGAATAGAACATACAATTTACTTTATTTAGGAGGATCGAATGACACCATGAAACTTCTGGAATACATCGAAGAGAAGATGTACGTTCAAGCACTAAATTCCAGCTGATCTCAGCCTGTACATGTGCTGTATTACCCTTTTTTCTTTCCTATTTTATTTTTATTTTATTTTATTTTTGTAGTTTTTTTTTTAGAATCACCACCCAAATTGTCGGATTTAACTCAATTTTAAAACCTTATGGAACCTCCGGCATTGTGCCCCTATTCATTCACTGCACACCCGCATATGAGTGACAGGATTCTGGAATCGTTAACCAAGAGAAATAGTATGTCTTACCCGACCTACAGTTAAAAATGTTTCTATTACTATTGGTATTTAAATGTCTGGAGGTCTGACTAATTAGCACTCCCCCCTAAAAGTTTACATACATATATATCATATAAATGTCTGAAAAATCAGTAGCTATTTTGCTATGTTAACAAAATACTCGGCTAACTGGTACGCCCACACCTAACGTACCATTCTTTTACTTACCTGCAGTACATTGTTAAAATTTCGAACCAGAACGCGTAGGTCGTGCAAATTGTACCGGCCGACGATGGTATACACATACACATAAAATGTTTATTCCAATATTTTCTTTTCGTACTCTTTGATTCAATTTCCATCAGAGTAGGGATATACTCTGGACCATCCTGTGCATACAGAATACATAATACACTCATTCATATCTCTTATACCTTAGAACTAGTACCCACCCCAATCTCGATTCTACACCTACCAGTTAATCTTGAGATTTTGCTGTTTTCCCTGTTATTTTTGAAGCAAACTTAAATCTGGGATCTTCAAAAGCATATTTGTACTGGTTTGGCCAACATGTCTAAACTTATTCCAAATGCCCCACATGACACTCGTTCACACGAAGTGTTGGCAGAATTAGAGTACGGGAAACTTACTTCCAACGATTATCTCTATGTATCCAAACATCCAGTTGGAGAAGCACTTCCTGAACCAATTGATGATGAACCACAATATATCATTTACATCGCCACATACGTCAACTATCTCATTTTAATCATCATAGGACATATTAGAGATGCATTCGGTAAGATTTTTAAACCTCAAGATTATAAAGATTTGGTTGAAGAAAATGGATATGCTCCATGGTATGATGGATTTGAAAACTTTTATGTTCGTCGGTTGAAGCTTAGAATAGATGATTGTTTTGCTAGACCAATCCATGGTGCTCCAGGTAGATATATTAAATGTTTTGACAGAGTCCGTGCTGACAAGAATGGTGAATACACCTACACTGGTACATCAACTGAATGTTTGAATTTGTCATCATACAATTACTTGGGATTTGCACAATCCCAAGGTGTATGTACTGATTATGCTCTTAATACTACCGATGCTTATGGTACTTCTGGTTGTTCTGCTAGACTGATTACTGGCTCAACTGATCTTCATCGTCAATGTGAGGAAGTTATTGCTGGGTTTGTTGGAAAGGAAGCTTCTATCATTGTCAGTCAAGGTTACGGTACCAATGCCAACCTTTTTGCATCTCTTGTCGATTCCAAGTGTCTTGTTATTAGTGACGAATTGAATCATGCTTCGATTCGTTTCGGGGTTAGAATGAGTGGAGCTGTTGTCAAGGTGTTTAAGCATAATGATATGGATGCATTAGAAAGATTACTTAAACAACAAATCTCTCAAGGTCAACCAAAATCTCATCGTCCATGGAAGAAAATTATCATTGCTGTTGAAGGGTTATACTCTATGGAAGGTAACATGTGTAACTTGCCAAAGCTTGTAGAATTGAAGTATAAATACAAATGTTACTTGTTTGTTGATGAAGCCCACTCCATTGGTGCATTGGGACCTCTGGGACGTGGTATTTGTGATTACTTTTCCGTACCACCATCCGATATTGATCTTCTTATGGGTACTCTTACCAAGTCATTCGGTGCTACTGGTGGGTATATTGCTGCTGATAAACAAATCATTGATAAATTGAGATTGAATTATTTGAGTAATTCCTACAGTGAAAGTGTTCCACCTCCAGTTTTGGCACAAATCATTTCTTCCCTTCGTGTCATTGAAGGTTCATTGAACCCTGGTGAAGGTCAAGAAAGACTTCAAAGAATCGCATTTAACTCCAGATACCTTCGTTTAGGATTAAAGAAACTTGGTTTTATCGTGTATGGTGCTGATGACTCTCCAGTCATCCCACTTCTTTTATTTTTACCAGCTAAGATGCCTGTTGTTTCAAGAATCTTATATGACATGAAGATTGCAGTAGTCATTGTTGGATATCCTGCAACCCCATTAACAAGTTCTAGAGTCAGACTTTGTGTTAGTTCAGCACTTACCAAGGAAGATTTGGACTATGTATTGGAAAAATTCAGTTACATTGGGGATTTAGCATTCTTAAAGTATAGCAGTGGTATAGCTGGTGGATGTAAAGTTCCCGGTGAAGCACCAAGATGGGCTATTGAAGATGTTATTGCTACTAATGTCGAAGACTCTAAGAAACCAAAGTTGCCATAATAAAATAAAGGCTCTTTCACCATATGCTATGTATCTAGATAATAATAAAGTAATATAATAACGACGAAATTTGAATGGCAAATGTAGGATAATATGTCTGGATCTGACCTGACCTAGTATGTATATTGTGCAGAAACTGCCCTCGTACTGCATATCTGTGCAGTATGCATGTATCATTTTAAATTCAGTGTATAGATTATCAAACTGTATAGCTCCACCATCACGTCACCGATACATATATATTGACGCAGAAATGTCATATCTTATACCAGATCCTCTTATCCCACCTTTAAAGTTTAACTCAATTCAACCGAATCTATACCGAGGAGCATATCCAAGAGAAATTAATTTCCCCTTTCTACAAACTTTAGAATTAACCACAATCATATCACTTACTCCAGATCCTATAACTGAAGAAACTGATCCTTTACTATATGAGTTTGCCGCTAAGAATGACATTACTTTGGTTCATTTAGAGTGCACGAAACTGGGGAAGGGTAAGAAAAGAGGAGTGCCGTTGGGGTATCGGGAAATCTTAGATGCTCTCCAATATATAATACATACCCAACATGCCCCTGTGTATATACATTGTCTTAATGGTGGCCAAGTTACTAGTTTAGTGGTGGCATGTCTACGTAAACTCCAATACTGGTCCTCGATTGCCATATTCAACGAATTCATCAACTTTACGTCAAATATTACTATTAATGATCGTAGTTTTGTCGAATCATTTGCTGGTGAAATACAAGTTCTGTCGAAAACTAAAGTGAATTGGCTTTGGGCTGGAATGAGTAGAGGTGTTGTTAATAATCACCCTAACTTGAGAATTATAGAGAAAGCTTAATGGACCCAATTGGTGCACTATATACATTTCCATTTTAATTAAAATTATCTATTATTAATATAATTTATATCCTTTGATAAAATAAGCAATAGGCATTGGCGTTTAAAACTTGACTTTCTTTGCAATTATAAGTCACCTTGGCATCATCGAAATAACACCAATCACGTTTCTTTTTAGCATCACTCTTTTTATATACATAAGATGTATAATGACCAGTAGAAAGGGTTCCATAATGATTCACTACTCCATACAATCTATATCTGAATGGGGGCAGTTGGTTACGGTTAGGTAATGTGCTCAACACTTGCAGTTCCTTCTCGATGGTCATTTCACTATTTTCTGATAATGTAGTACCAACTTCTGGCCAATATGAAGTCAAATCCAACACAGAATTCACAGGATATGTAATCATCGTATTCAACTTATCAAAATTACCTGTCTGCATGGAAATCTTAAACCGTTTAAAGTGTATAATAAGCACTTGGGGTAATCTCGTTATACTTATCTTTTTCGTCAGTCGAGTAAATTTTTTACAACGAGGACAATGCCATTTATTATTATTATCCAATAATTCAGTAGTGGTGAACTCTTTCAAGCAGTCATCAAGTGAAAGATTTCTCAGGGATCCAAGTCTTTCTGGAACTGGTAATGATAAAATCAGAAATGCATTATATGTAGTTGAAGTGAGTTGACATTCCAAACATTTCAATTGGGAAAGATATTGACCTTGAAAGTAATCTACCACTATTGAAAAATTCAATTTTAAATATCTCTCCCATTCAATGGTCGAAGCTAATCTTACAGGAAGAAGTTCTCTTGTCTTTTCTTGGTCCGGAGTAAGTTCCATTATAGACTGTTTTTCCTTTGCATTATGGATTGCCATTTGATTTAAATCTTCATGAAGACCATCGAGAACAAAATTAAGAAATTCGATACAATCTTGTTGGTCAAACAGAGCAAATTGACCACCAGGAGATAATGAACCGATAACTTTTTTGAAATGCAGAGGGGTAAAGAACTTCCCATTGTTCGAAAACATGTTGGTAAGTAAAGTTACAAAAGTTGTGGTAAGAATTCCCTTAGTACCAAGAATGTTGTTAACATTAATATGTTGACGGTAAGATTGTAGAGCAGAGCCCTCTGACGAAGATTGACCACTCTGAATGACTTGTGGAGGGAAGAAGAATCCAGTGAGTTGTGGTGTGGCACCTAAGCATTGAAGTACACAATTCATGTAGCATGAATTACCCAAATTCGTGAGCCCTGTGGAATATTGTTCAAGAAATGAACTAGCTGAAGTTGAAGGTGATGGTGTTGGTATTGGTGATTGAGACTTCACTGGGGGTGACGAAGTGGATGAAAACGATGGAGACTTTTTTATTCTACTGGAAGTTTGTGGGGTGGATTCAATGGAATTTGTAGTGGCTGGACTAATATTAGACTTGGTTGCAACTAAAGTCAGTCCATTATTTGTACTGTGCTGTGACTTTCCATTAAAATTTGGCCCAAATATAGATTGACTGTTCTCTGAAATTGACAGAAAGGGCACAGATTGTGGGGTACCTGCTGAAGTCGCTGTAGATATATACTCACTAAAGTTTCGTAAATATGGAGAATCTGAGCGGCCAAGATTCAACAGGTCTCCATTACTTTGGCCTGTACCATTGTAACTACTACGTCTCGAGATCAGACCTGGGGTGGAACCCTTCGAAAGAGTGGCTTCTGGTCTAGGGAGTGGTCTAGCAATCGTAGTTTTCGAGATGGAACCTTCGCCGAACTTTTCAAACCATTGAGAAACACCACCTCCCAAGTATACTGGGTGGCGTTTTAGTTTAGTACTTAGGTACTTATGTCTAAAAGTTATCAAATCAACTAATTTTGTAAACGGAGAGGAACTTGCAATTCCATTTTTATCAGAGTTCTTTAACAGATTTTCAAGAGCAGAAAATTTTGATGTAGTGGCACCAAACTTCAAATTATAAATTACTATTAATTCATAAGAAGATCTTCTGCGGAATTTCTCATATTGGTCGTCTTTCATGAGCATTTGAAGTCGTTCGTCCAAGTCCAGATCAGTTAACGTACCGGTACGAAGATCCAATCCATTGAGCCAAGTAGGATCAACATTCACAAGATTCGTGAAGTTTATATGATTGTAATCAAATTCCTTTTGTGTTCTATAGTCTATAAGTAAAACACTCTTGGATAAGTCTTTATCTGAGAGGATTTGATGCAATTCAGTAGCACTTATACATTCTTTGTATTTGTACTTATCAAATGGAGATTTAAACACTTTTTTCGCCTCTCCATTGGTGGTGGATTCTGGCAGGGTTTTAGTGGTTAATTTATTAAATCTGGCTAATAGAACATCTTCTGTAACGGTTGGCAGTGCTTTCTTTTCCTTCAGATTCTCATTGATATACTTCTCCACATTGACTAAATCATTACGCTTTTGTAGAAATAAATCGTCAAGACTTTGAATGAATTCTTTTGGTCCAAGATCTTTTGACTCGTTGAATAATGTAATGGCTACATTATATGAAACAAATGCTAATTCATAATCACAATATCCCAATTTCGATAACTTTTTGACCTCATGGTCAAATACTTCAAGTAGCGTTATTTGATAGCCAAGTAATTTCGATGTTCTACCTCCCAGAACCTCTCTTAACCCATTTGTCATTGATATGACTATCTGGCCTAGTTCAAATACAGGAGTACATTGATCTGAAGGCGACATTTTCTTGGTATTAGTCTCCCTTATCTGTTTCGTTCTTGCTTCTTTTTTTTTTGTTTCTAATCTCCCTTCAGAACTATTTGGATCTTTCTAGAATATATTATACAATAGATCTCAAATGCGTGTCCATAATGGTACTTCTATGTACAAGTGAGTTATAATGGTTATTGAAGGAAATAGAAACTGATATGAATCACCTACAAACTGTAGTTCGAGAGTGCAGGTGGAGGTCTGGGTGGCACTGGCTTGGATGCAGGAAAATCGCGACCAATTTGCAGCATCATATTAAATATCTTGCAAGATTTAAAAGGGGGTACAAAATCACAATTGTGTGAGAAAAAGTTCCATATAATGAGCTACTCCTCTATTTGCTTACGTCAATCAAACATTTTTAATTCTTATGGCAGTTCATTGATTTTTTTTTTTTTTTTTTAATTTTGTTTAACCCTCTACAAACATTGACTTTACCAAGCTCAATGGAATATATCGAAGGTACACACATATCCAATTGAACTTCATAATACAGTTTAGCAGACATATTCATTTAAAGATACAAGATTCGTGTGATACTACCATGTACATAAAATGATTACAGAAGTCTAAATTTGTTTTTTTTAGCTGATGTTGCTAACTTCCAATTAAAATAATAGAAGGGTTCACAACGTGGTTTCATGAACACGGGTAAGTTGTGTAATGTGCACTCTTATTATTCCTGCAATGATCGGCAGTGTGTTATATCACTGCACAATATCTCGGCCATAAATTATTCTCACTAATCAGAATGAGATTCAAATTTTGTTAAAGCCGTATTTCAGTATATAGACGGAGAAAAGAAGCTTCGTTATATGTCAGGGAAGCGATAATCTTCGATCCCCTTCTATTTACGCTCATTATTGACAGCTACCTGTATAAATAACAGAGCTCGGCCGAGCAATATGCACCTCAGCCTTAAAATCTGGCATATAAGCCATTAACACCGAGTTCTAATATATTTTTTGAACTATAATATCGATGTACAGAAAATTAACTCCGTATCCACAGTGCCATAAATCTAATAAGCTGACAAACTTAACTCCGCATTGCGTTCATACTAGACTTAGCTTTCAAACTATATAAACATATCATCTGTAACAATTAATCGACATTGTAATTTTTATTATTATTAAATCTATTTTATACACACAAAAGAGCAATGTCCGTCACAACCATCAATCAAATCTTACTTAAAAACCCAGTATCCAAGGATATTGTCTACGAATTTGGAAAGGAAGACTCCACTTTTGAACATGGATCAGTCAAGTTCGACGAATCTTCTCTTAAGGAAGGACAAGTCCTTATTAAGACCATTTTACTCTCCAATGATCCAACCCAAAGAGGATGGTTGCTGAAGGAAACCCCTGAAAAAGTCAGTCACAGAACTTATGCTCCAGCAATCAAGGCTGGTGAAGTTGTTCGTTCTTTGGGTCTTGGTGAAGTTGTCTACTCTAAGTCCGAAAAGTATGTTGTTGGGGACAAAGTTTCAGCTATGATCACCTGGGCCGATTACACCGTTGTTCCAGAAGCCCAAGTTTTCAGCAAGATCGATGAATCAAAGGGTCTTCCATTGACTATGTACTTGAGTGCTCTCGGTATGACTGCCTTAACTGCTTACTTTGGTTTAACTGAAGTTGGTAAGGTCACTGAAGGTCAAACTGTCGTTATTTCTGCTGCTTCCGGTGCTACCGGATCTGTTGCTGTCCAGATTGCCAAGCATATCTTAAAGGCTAAGAATGTTGTTGGTATTTCCGGCTCTGACTCCAAGGGTAAATGGGTTAAGTCTCTTGGTGCTGACCACGTTGTCAACTACAACTCTCCAACTTTTGCTAAGGACCTTGCCACTGCCATTGGTCCAGATTTCGCCGATGCATACTTTGACAACGTTGGTGGTGAAGTTTTGGACACTGTCTTGCCACTTCTTAAAGACCACGGTAGAGTCATGGCATGTGGTGCTATTTCTGGTTACAACGACCCATCTTTGGCTGCTGTTAAGAACTGGTTTGCTATTATTACTCAAAAGTTGACCGTTCAAGGTTTCCTTGTTATGGAATTCTCCGCCAAGGTTCCACAAGCAATTGGTGCCCTTGTACAAGGTATTCAAACAGGAAAGATTAAGGCTGGTGAAGGTCTCGACTTGGTTGATGTTTCCAAGGATGAAAACCCACTCGAAAGTGTACCAAAGGCTTGGAGCCGTTTGTTCTCTAAGGATAAGGGTCCAGGTAAGTTGGTTACTAAGTTGGTTTAAATTGTAATGAACGATAAATGAAATACATACAAAAAAATATTAACGAATCCATATACGACATAAATTGTAGCTAAATATGTAATTATCTTCACCGCTTATCCTAAGAATTCCTCCAATCCTTTATCGAAACCTTGTTCCCATTCCCAGATATATTTCAGGTCACCCTTCTGCTTGATGTGTTCTGCTCGTCTTGCAAGCTTCCAGGCTTGTTCTCTTCCAATAGTTGATCCATTAAACTTGGCAAATTCTTCTGAATCCTTCCAGGCGGTAGTAAAACCATCTTTATATCTATCGTGTTCATATTTCTCATTTGAATTTTGTCCATTCCAGTAGTCTGAATGGGCCAGAAGATTGCCTTCCAATTTTTCATCAAATTTACTCAGATCTGGAACACCGTTCAAAATAGTTGTTGGTACAATTGCACCCTTATCAACCATGGTCTTGAAGTCCCATTCACCTCCATTACCAGATTCAAACTTGAAGGTCCAGAAATAGGATCCAAAACCTGCTCTTCTCCCAATGATTTCACTTTGACGTTTACCATAGTCGACAACTAATTCGTCACGCTTAGAATTGGCATTGTCTTTGTTCCAAGACTCACCATCTATAACACATGAGTATTCACCAACCATGAAATCAACTCCATTTCTATCGATGTTTGTAAGTAAATCACTATCCAAATCCTGGATAATTTGTGGAGGAGACTTCTTCTTATCATCATCAGAGAAACATCTGTAACAATGAGAGTCTACAACTACCCCAATTGATTCATTACCGGATTGGTTCAGTTGTACCCACTTGGCCCATTGACCTGGCCACCACCCATCAGAAATAATTACTGGAATATCCTTGTCTTCCTTACGAATGTGAGAAAGGGCGGCTCCATAGAATCTACTCTGTTCCTTTGCTGGGTCATTAGCAAATTCAGCCTCATTGACAATTTGAAGACCTGCAATATTATCATAAGACTTTAAATCCTTGGCAATGAATTCAAACATATCACACATTGTAAGTTGGGCAGATTGATCCAGCCAGAATTCTGCCTTACCAGATGACTTTTCTCCACTATGATCAGCTCCATTGGCACCTCCTGGGAGACCATGGATGTCTACAACGACACTAATATTATGAGCAGCAGCTGGTTCAATGAACTTCTTCTTGAAAATATCCCATGCATTCAGATACACGGTTGTAGCATACTTTTCGAATTTCGTTCCCTTGGCATACTTCCCACCATTTACGTCCCAGTAACCAAGAGGTACTCTAACGGAAGTCACCTTATGTTCTTGTAACCATTTCCAGTCATCTTCACTCATGAAACCTGACCAATACTCTTCAAACTTCTTTTTCGTTTCATCTGTATTTGAATCTTTAACCAATTTAGTAACAGCATCTAATTCACAATCGGTTCCTTCAGGGAACATTTTATGGAAAATCCATTTTTCCAAAACAAAGCATCCACCTAAATTGACCCCAAAATTTGATCTAGATTGGTAAATCTGCTTCTTTGAAGGACCACTTCCTGGGGTTGCAGCCGGGTTTGCAGGTGCGATATTGGAAGACTTTGATTTAATTTTTAATTTATCGAACATATCGTGGTATTGAATTGTAAGTAACAATGAAGAATATATAGGATGATTTTATTATTTCTACAAGGATATATCTTTATATAAATGTGCGATTTTTCTAACTTGCTGTATTGCTCTACTCAGCCATTTTATAATTCAATATGACGTATGGGATAAAAGTGCGCGCAGGAAGGTAATATTAGGTTGAACTTGCTACACAAATAAAGAAATATATAGATTGTGTGTCATTAATTTTACCCCACCTGTCAAAGAGAGCGTTTCGAAAATGGGATTATTAGGAAATTCTATGAACTTCCTTACAAAGATACGTGTAATTGATATATATAAAGCTCTTGTTAATTAGATGATGTATACAACAAAAACGTGGTAGGATTTAGTTGTCATGGCAATATCATAAAGAGACCACTCTCTAAAGTCCCACATATCGATACTTCTTGTAGATTATGTACATTGTAGTCGAATTAGATTTTTGAACAATAATTGGACTATTCTACTATATTACGGTTTTATTGTCAACTGCTTGTGATTTTGATCCCTTCAAAACTTTTCTATAACATCTGGAGATATGCGCATAACGTACAAAAAAATATATCACGAGTATACATTTTGAGCAAGTGATAACAGACTCCTATTTAAATACTCGATTTCTATAAAAGGAAGCTAAGTGAAGCATGATATGAGCTTAGTCTCCAGTTCAGATAATAATGAGGCAGTCATATTATCTAGTCGTCGTCTCTTGAGATTATTCCATCAGATCAATACTCACATGACCTTTCTTGCCTCTCATTCTAGATCCACTATCCCCACATACGATCTATTAAACAAACTTAATTCAGAAATTACCAAACTTGACCTTGCAATTATGCGCCATATATTACCAGATGGAGATGTGACATATGAGTATGTGGATGAAAATCAAGTTCTACTCTCTCTTAAAGAAAAGGTTCATTTCGATTGGAACACTGGCTACAAGCAGAATGAAAATAGTACTGTTGACGACGCTTATGAGAATGTGGCTAACCATAATGATCGTAATAACTCTCCTTCAAAGCAACTCTTAATCTTTGATTTCAAGGATGTGAAAACACATGGTATTGGGGCAATTATGAAGGCACCAAGAAAGAAGCAAAAACTTGCCAACACTATTGATCGCAACGAATCCTTCTTCCTTTCTTGTAAGGAATTAAGTGTGAAGAATTTGTCCAGTAAGCAACTTCTTTCTATAATATTGGCACGGGATCAGAAATTTCAATCACGTCTTGATAACTTTTTGGCAGATTATAGTGATGAAATAGAAGCTATGCAAGCCTTAAAGGCAATTTGTGAAAAAAAAATCCCAGAACCAATCGTCTTAAATGACCCTATGGATTTCCTTCCATCTGAAAAGTCCTTAGATAATTCATATAAACCCACTGTGAAGGAAATGATGACTGCATTAAAATCGAAAAGCTTCTACAAGGACCAAATTATCCACTCGTCATTGTTAACAAAAACTACAGACGCACAATTTGGTGGGTTAAATATACACAATTCTATTAAACAAGAAGATGAAATTAACTGTTTAGAAATCCACCCAGATCTTAAGAATGCATTGTTGGATTATAAAAATATATCCCTCGAAGATGGACTTTACCTGCATCAGGTGGAGGCTATATCTTCATTGCTTGTCCCGTCAACTATCAAGCAACATGTCATAGTAAGTACTTCCACTAGTTCAGGGAAATCTTTGATATATCAAATCCCCATATTAAACCAAATATTGTGGGATATAACAAATTATAATGACCATAAAAGACACAGCACTGCATTTTTCATTTTCCCCACAAAGGCTCTTGCTCAAGACCAAAAAAGACATCTACAAGATCTTGTAGACCATATAGCTATCAACTGCAAACGAAAGATAATCATTGACACTTATGATGGGGATACTCCTGGTAAAAATAGACAATATATTAGAAAATATGCTGATATCATATTCACAAATCCAGATACTATTCACGCCTCTGTCCTTCCAAATCACAATCGTGTTGAAGATTCGGGGTGGATAGAATTCTTGAGTGGTTTACGTTATGTTGTCATTGATGAATTACACGTTTATAAGGGGACATTTGGTGTGCAAGTTAGTTATGTTATGAGACGGTTAAATCGATTGGTTCATATTCTTCAACTGGAAGACATGTCACAGACCCCACAACCTCTTCGATACATATCATGTTCTGCAACCATTCTTAACCCAGTTGATCATTTCCGGGTTCTTTGTGGTATTTCTGACTCAGACAATATAGTACATGTTTCTAAGGATGGTAGTCCGTGCGGGGACAAAATGTTTATAATGTGGAGCCCCCCTGCTCTTATGAGTAAAATAGGCCGAACTTCTACTCCCTCGGGTAATCAAGATGTTACCATCAAATCCCAAAAGCAAGACAACTTTATTCCAAGAGAATCTATAATTCCAGAACTGGCGAAAATTCTTCTCCATTTACTTTCTAATTTTCCTGGGATTAAGGTAATTGTATTCTGTCCAATTCGTAAGATTTGTGAGCTCTTAATGCGAGAAATTATTCTTCTTCTCCCAGACCACCCATCTCTATCAGAAAATGATATCATGTCGTATCGTGGAGGTTACTCTAAATCAGACAGAAGAATCATTGAACAACGAATGTTTAATGGCCAACTTCGGGCAATTGTTGCAACTAATGCTTTAGAATTGGGGATTGATTTGTCAGAACTTGATGTGGTAATATCTTGTGGGTACCCCATGCTGAAGCTGAACCTCCATCAACAATTTGGTCGTGCTGGAAGAAGTGCGAATAGTAACAGTTTGGCAATATATGTATGTGGCTCCACGCCAATTGACCAACATTTCAAGGCCCATCCAGAGGAATTGACTGACCGAGATGTATATGAGGATTTATGCGTAGCGGGTATGATTGAACGGGATTCTCTGAAAATGTTAATTTTAGAAATGCAACTTCAATGTGCGGCCTTTGAATATCCAATTGATATGACCCGTGACATAGATTGGTTCGTTACCAATACGAGGTCGACTGCTCTTTGCAATAGTTTTGTAAAAGCTTGTCAAACAAAACTTAGCAAGGATGGTAATGGGAAGTACAGGACTCACCATCTTTTCTTACCTTGGCCAGCTGACCACGTTTCCATTAGAGCGGTAGAGGAAACAAATTATGCGGTTGTTGATATTACTAATGGTAAAAATATTGTTATTGAAGAAGTTGAAGCTCTGAGAACAAGTTTCACACTATATGAAGGGGCGATATTCTTACATCAAGGGCTTCCATATCTCGTGAAAGAATTCAACGCCCGAGACTGCTTTGCCAAAGTTGAAAGGGTTAAAGTTGAATGGATTACTCAACAACGTGATTTTACCGATGTGGACCCAATAGAAATTGAATATATTAAATGTCTACAACCTGAAATCAAAAGTCATTCACTGGGGTCTGTCCCAAATGCTGATGTACCACTTTTTTATGGGAAAATTGAAATAGTTACCATAGTATTTGGGTATTTTAAGGTTAACCGTAGACTGGAAATCTTGGAAGCAGTTGAAGTTGATAACCCGCCGATGAAGATCCAATCTAAAGGGTTTTGGTTAGACATTCCTAGAAAGGCACTAGATCTAATACGAGAAAAGAATTTAAATCCTGCTGGTGGTATTCATGCAGCACAGCATGCCATTATGAATATACTTCCTCTCTTTATTAGTGGGGGAGCAACTACCAATCCTAATGTTAGATTTAATTCTAGTATTGGGGAAGCTGAGTTAAGAACAGAATGCAAAGCCCCACTTAAGGAATTCGCTCAACGAAATACTAGTAGGAAACGACCAGCACGTTTAATCTTTTACGATGCTAAAGGGGGTTCCACCGGTACGGGTGTATCAGCGAAAACATTTGAACACTTCGACGAAATACTAAATACCACATATTGCCGAATTCGTGACTGTGATTGTGAATGGGGGTGTCCCATGTGTGTACATGGGTCATTCTGTAAAGAAATGCTGTTAGTTATTTCAAAGCCAGCAGCAGAAATCATTCTTGGAACTTTGATGGGAGTCAGCCTTGAAAATCTCCGTGAAAAGGTAAATGATGGGCCGGAACCAAATTTACCAAATATCAATATTGAAACTATTGATGATTCACGCAAGTTTGTTAAAATGGCACCTGATGTGGAAATACTAGAGGTTGTTCATAAACCAAAAGCTGAAAAGTTTGAAATTAAGATGGAGACTTCAGAAGAAAAAATTGATTCTCTTGATTAAGTTTGGAGCATAACAGCCTATGTTTAAATTTTATGTAATGTCTATGTTTATTTAATATTTACTTCCCTTTCTTTTTATAAGAGATGCTTTCCTGGTAAGTCGTTTTGCAAAACTCTCTGTAGCTGGTGGATCTTGAGTAGGTTTCGCGTCAACAATTGGTTCGGGGGTGATGCTCTGTCTCTTTTGCAGCCCAAATCGAGAAGGCCTGCTTCCTGTAAATGCCGTACCTGCTGTTGAATTCATTGCAGTGTCACCCATCGAATTTGGCGTGGACAGCAGTTCTCTTGTAGGCAGTTCTGAACCAGAATAAGTCGGGCTTCTAGCTTGTAAAGCAGGACTCCTTATTAATTGTTTCTTCTTGGCTAAGCGGAAGACATGATGTACAGGTTTTAAGTAAATTGATGCAAGAGTACCAATATTAAGCTCCAATTCTTCCAAGATTTCTGGATCAATCTTGTCGCTATCTGTTGTAATTGAAAGCTTTGTGTTTAATAGTATTCTCTTTGTATTTGCTTGGAACTCTCCATTTGGTCCATTTGCCCCTTCAGCAGAAATCAACCTCCAATAGAAAAACCCACGATCTCTCACATCAGGATTATCGACTTCTTCAGTAGCACATTTTAACACCCTCAATACAAGTTTTTCTCCCTTTTCGGGAACTTGGAAATAAAGCTTTGTGGCTGTTGTTAAACTTGCATACTGAACTTCGGTAGGTTCATCCTTAAAATTATTGGTAAGATACTCAATTATTTCTGCTGCATTGGAAATTTCTGTACAATACTGACCCAATATCCAGATAAGGGCAGTCTTCGAATCTGTCTCATCTATAAGCTTGTAATGACGAAGTAATTCAGTGATAGCAAAGTTGTATTTTGCAGGATATCTTCTCAAAATATTCTTGATGACAATTGCCGATTCTTGGACGATATATGACATACCATTTGATATGAGATCTACAAGCACCTCCACGCATTGATCACTTACACTTGGAAGTTTGACCGCCAAGTTCCCAATTGCACGGATAGCCTTCCGAGCCATTGAAACATCGACTTCAGTAGCATATTCTTCCAATTCTCTCAAAACTATTGGAGCATTTCCCTCGTTGGCTAATAAGTAAATAATTTCCAACTTTGTATCTTTAACATATATTGGTTCATCGTATCTGCAGAAAAACATCTGAACATCGAATGTAAGTAGCTCACGCTTACCTAATAGAAGCAAAATTACATTACGTAAAACCAAAAATTGAATTTCAGGTTTCTTGGAAAGTAAAGATACCAATGATGATCCTAACCTTTTAGGTAAAGTTGGGAATATTGACTCTGGGTGTCTAATGTAATTACTATAATAGACGATTACTTTTATCGTATCGAGTACTACTGCAGAATTTTCGTGTTGTAACGATGGCATCACTGCATCAATTAGATCCATAGCCTCCTCTGATGTCTGGGGAACATAAGAAGTCAATGCATTTAGCAAGTATACTTGACACCATTCATTTACTTTGCTCAAATACAGACATAACGATAAAGCGTGACGTTTGTCGATTGTCAATGTGAGAGTCTTACCTTGATCAGTGATGAATGAAAGTGCAGCTAGGGCATTCGAAACTACTACCGGATCGGAATCGTATAATAAATCATTCAAGTTATCAATTAATCCCAGATCAGTTGTACGACGTGCATCGTGTTGATATAATTTAGATACAGCGTAACAACTAGTTTTTCGAACATGAGCATCCTTATCCGTCAACGCCCATGCACATAGCTGGAACATAAGATCGACGTATGCCTTGTTAGGTACGGATGATAAAGTCCTGATCAGTAGAGCTCGTAACAACGGATTCGAATCTTCCTTTATGAAACGTTGGAAAAATGGCAAGGCCTCGTATGCTGCTGTAACGTGCATAGGCGCGTAAGCCACTATATAGTGGAAGCACAACTTCCTGATCTCCAAATCATCAAATTTCATTAAGCTGACGATATCTGGAAAGAGTGACACGAGTTCATTGTTGTTAAGGATGATGTTAGCCACAACCTTCTTGAGGACAATTTTTACTCTTGCCTGAGGTTTACTTTTTTTGAACGCTTGGTCAAGTTCTGCCTTGAGTTCTGAGCTCTTTGATCGAGCAAATAACTTACCGTCACTCATGGTATATGCCTAGTTAAGTTAGAAATAAATTGGTATATGTCATAGGCGGAGTTTATTTAGATACTAGAATCCGAGATATTCATGCAGGATTAGCATTTTTCACTGTTAATATCCGATTATTCCTTGAACGCGCGCGCCCGTACCACCGTGCAGGGAAAAGAATGATATGGTTGTTATTAATAGCACTTGTCACACCATAGAAGATGAAATCTACGACGGGGATAGTGGAGTATAGTATACCTTACTGAGTGATTTGCATACTTATTAATATATGAATATATTACACATGAGTTAATTTCCTTAGTTTCTTTAACTATTTTTTTCTTTTCAATTCCCCCCCCCCCCATTTCAAAGTATTGGTTGCAAACGCTCATATAGAAATGACTACAATTATTTAGGAATAATTGGACGTGTAGTTCATGAATGTATACAGAGATCAGAACTACACCATACAAACAAAGTTTACTACGTAGTTAAGGTACTAGTAATAATATTAATATAGAAAACAATGATCATGTAATAACAAGGTATCCTGATGCGTAACTAACGCTACTGTCACTGTAGGAGAGTGCTTTACTACTTTGAGAATATCCCAACCATTCAAAGTAGCCGGCAGATCCCGAGCCACTACGTTGGTAAAGCTCAAGAGTTCTCAATACAATTGCAATCGGTTTCTGACCGCATATGGTGTTTCCCGTTGTCGCGATGTATTGCTTCCAATCCTTGTAGGACCCAGTGGACACTATCCTCATGCCCTCCTTATCTAATTCTTCTATGGACTTGTATATTGGTCTGGGGACTACGCTGGAACGCGTAAGGGAAACCAAGTGGTCCTTTGTAATGATATCATCGTTAACTTTCATAGGAAGATATTTTGTATAGTCAAATCTCAGACCCCAATGACAAAAGTCTGAACTAATTACAAACGTATTCTCTTCATCTTCAAGGTAAGGTAGTAAGGACTTTGCCAAGTTTTCATTAAGAGTGGTATCAGTTCCACAAATCATAATTGGAATAATGTGGGGTAATCCTTGTGGTAAATCCTTAGTGGCATAGTATATAAATGGAGCATGCATTTCAAATGAGTGCTCATCCTCATCTACCCCGGACTCCATATATTTGAAGTAACCGCTCTTCACTAGAGCTTTAGTGGTCTCTACATCTACTGGTAAGTTCCCTAGGGGGGTTTCATAATGGTGGAATCGAGAAACTAATGCCTTCCCACTAAAATATACATGATGAGATGGACCAAGAATAAATACCCGCTTTACCTTGGTTGTATCCCAGCTACTAAATGTTTCTGCTAGTCTTTGGCCAGCATACGTATAACCAGCGTGTGGGCCAATTAAAACTCTAGCTCCAGCAACTGTGCCTGCGCCTCTAGTTTGTTTGAAATATAAATCTAATTGCAGGGAAAGTTTGGAAAACGAGCTTGAATACCATGAGCCAGCATGTGTGGCTGGTCTTGTCGACATTAGTAGCTTGGAATTTGGAAATTGTTTGCAAAATTGTATAGATAATAAATTTAGGGTAAGCGATTGATAAGAGAATTAATTCTCAAAAAAGAAAAGATCTAAGTGATGTAATACAAAGTATGCGATCATGCGAATCAAGAATGACATTCAATGGAGTTAACAAATTTACGGACTGTATTAAGCAAGTGTTTGACATATGTAGTAAGTTTAAAAAAGAATGTTTTAATTAATTATTGAAAGGGTGCTAGAGCGCAGGGAAAAGGATTAAAAGATTAACTGTTAAGATTCATAAGAATGAATGTCATACAGTTCTCAATAGTGGGCATAACAAAATTTTATCATTATCGGAGATCAGGATAGAATTCTACTTCAACCTATGATATAATTGTGCATGTACCCGCCTTCGAAAAGTCAAGTCTATAGTCTCTCTGTGTCGGATTAATAATATATCTGAAGTCTCTAAATAGTGGGGTAATTGAGGGGTTGCAATTTTTTTTTTCTCTAAATATAGGAGAAGAAATAAGGTGCTGATAAAAATATTTTGTAAGTTAATGCAATGCAATACAAATTGAAGTTAGAGAATTTATATGTTCTTTAGTAATCTACTATGGATCAAAATGATACTCAGTTATATTTTTCATTATTTTGATCTTTGGAGAACATTTATTTTCTAGAATCTTCAGATTTGTTTCCCAAATAATAATTTGTATTCTTTCCTTCTCTGAATAAAATTCCCACATTTACAACTAATATTATGGTCGACTGATTTTCGCCAATACATTTAATTCTTTGTTGTTATTTTACCCCAGGTTTGGTGACGCAAAGCAATTGTAAGAAAAAATATTCCGAAAAATAAAATATACAAAATCTATTCTGGTTCATTTTTTTCACACATCTATGGAAATTGATGTGGGCTACAATAAAATAATCATAAGGATCGTACTTTACTTATCGGAATTTCATCTGAAAATGAAACCCCCTATATTCTATACAGTAAGTATTTCATTACTTCTTGGTAATTTCTAAAGTCCATTCAACAGAGTAAAGTAATTCATCACCGGCGTAGTAAGTAGAGGTGGCTGGGAATGAACCTCTAGTAGCCCATCCACTTGGAGTTACGTCTTCAGCGAACTTCTTGGTGTATGTTTCGGTAGATGGTGCGAAAGAGTCACCGATTTGCAAGTCACGTTGCTTGAGAACAATACCCAACTTCTTGATTACTTGAGTATACTTCAAGTCTACTAATTCTCTGTTCTTAACATGGAAATAAACGGTTATGCTATATTTGGAACCTTCAGGAATCTTGATGTCGATTTTTTCAGCGCCTTTGACGATAATATCTTGAGGTTCACTGCCTTCGACTTCTAAGACATATTTCAAGATTTCTAAGTCAGGGTGTGTAGGAATTGGCATTATAGGTTAATTTAAATTGTAATTGAGTTGATAATTCAAGAATGAATTGACTATTCAGGCTGATTTGAAACTATTTATATACTTCGGAAGTCCTCGGCTTCACCACAGTGGGATTTCACATGCTACCGTCGGTAATTGCTTTTATGCACTACTACATGTTCCGAGACAGTTTAGACTTAAGATTATCTTTCTTAGGGCGGCGTTTTGACTATTGGCAGATTCAGGGCTAATGACGTATGCGTATAATATGTGGATCAGCTAACAGGCTTACCCCACATTGGCTTTTTTTCTTAACTGTGTTTCTGCTTCAAAAAAATCTTTAAAATAAAATAAAATGTTATTGTGTGGAGATTAAGTGGAAAAAAAAATTTAATGTATCTAATAAGGTTTAGCACATATTTACTATTTTCAAATTTATATTCTACGCTAAATTTTCAATAAGTAATTTACTATTAAGATGATTCAATTATATTTAAATTTATTTTCTGCTCTTTCCTTTTTAAATGCTTCAACTTCTTCATGTAGTAATATTTTTAACCCAGACATTGAAGTTCCAGATCCTTCAAAACTGAAATCAAAAGGTTCTGAACAAACAGGTTCCGAATCAGGATCTCTTATTTTCAGTAAATGCCGATGTTCGAGACATTGATCAACTGTAAATCGACTTTTAGGATCCCAACATATCAAATTATCAATAAGATCCAAGGCCAGTTTTGATGCAAATGGATATAAATTTATCCAATTAACTTTTTCATAATGTGGTTTAGCTATAGTAGAAAGGTTCCATTTATTTCTTGAAATAACTTCTGGACTGGGTGTTCCTAAAATTTTGATGATTTCATGTAGTTGATGAAATTTATCCTTGCCCATTAATAAAGGTTTACGGCCATATAATTCTGCAAGAATACAACCAATTGCCCAACAATCAACAGATTTCCCATAATTCCTATGTGAGAGAACTAATTCGGGAGCTCTATACCATCGGGTGGCCACATAATTGGTTATAGGAGATGTCTTATGGTTGAAGTATACGGGATTAATCCCGCGTGCCAATCCAAAATCACAAATTTTTAAAGTTCCCTGAATAGTTACCAAGATATTCCCAGGCTTCAAGTCTCGATGGATTACATCGGCTGAATGAATATACTTCAATCCACATAATATTTGATAAATAAAGCTTTGTATATGGAATTCTGAAAACTGAATGGCAGAATATATGACTCGTGCTAAATCATAATCTGCAAGTTCTTGATAACAATAAAGACCTTCATATGGCTCGATATAAACTATATCCAAATCAATTAAATTTACAATCTATAGCACAGTTAGTTTCATTGTATCGGTTTATTCTATATGTCTTTTAATAGGTGATTTCATATATCTTTTTTGTAAAAATATATTTATGTTCGAAATATTGTTCAGGGAAAACAAATAATACATACATTTTTATGCCCTCTAAAATATCTCATTAATTTCAATTCTCTGACAGCTCGATTTAACAAGACTTCTTTCTCAAAAATGTTTGTCACTCTCTTGATTGCTATTTTCACGGCCTCTCCTTCAGCCGAAGAAGATTTTGTGTCAATAGCTGAACAAACAGTTCCATAAGTACCCTTTCCAAGAAGTTGCTTGATTTTATATCTCAGATCAACTGAGAATTTTGCTTCTTTAAATACTGTGTAGTTTTTCTTTGTATTGCCTGACATTACTTCCAAATAATTTATATAGGTATACTTAAAATAAATCTGGAATTCAAAACATTTTCTTTTGTAAAGTTGTTCACAAATCCATATTGATTGGCTGCAAAACGAAGGACACCGTACTAAGTGAAACATCATTTTTGTGTTTTACAATCAATACTTTATCTGCACACCATTCAATTTTTTTAATTTTTTTTGTCTAACTTTTCTTCCTCCATTACATAATCAATAGATTTGTGACACAAAACCAAATTTTTCATGGTTTACTTACAACATCGGATCGTTTCAAAAAGACTCACTTTACAACCATCATAGCAACACAGAATTAAACATACAAGATGAGTACCTCCAACTGTAGATACTATGAAAACAAATACCCAGAGGTGGATGAGGTCGTTATGGTTAACGTCCAAGAAATCGCTGAAATGGGTGCCTACGTTAAGTTGTTAGAATATGACAACATTGAAGGTATGGTTTTATTATCTGAATTATCTAGAAGACGTATTAGATCTATTCAAAAATTGATCCGTGTGGGTAAGAACGAAGTTGCCGTGGTGTTGAGAGTTGATAAGGAAAAGGGTTACATTGATTTGTCTAAGAGAAGAGTTTCAGCAGAAGATATTGTCAAGTGTGACGAAAGATATAACAAGTCCAAAGCTGTACACTCTATTTTGAGACATTGTGCTGAAAAGTTCTCCATCTCTTTGGAAAGCTTATACCAAACTATTGGTTGGCCTTTAAGCAGAAAGTATGGTCATGCTTACGATGCCTTCAAATTATCCATCACAGACCCAACTATCTTCGATGGGGTTGATGCTCCAAACAAGGATGTTTTTGAAGAGTTGAAGTTGTATATTTCCAAGAGATTGACTCCACAACCTATCAAGATCAGAGCTGATATCGAAGTATCATGTTTCAGTTACGAAGGTATTGATGCCATTAAGAAGGCTTTGAAGGCTGCTGAAAATGAATCTACCGATCAAATGATCATCAAGGCTAAATTGGTCGCCGCTCCATTGTATGTTATCTCTACTCAAGCTTTGGATAAGAACCAAGGTATTGCTTTGTTAGAAAAGTCTATCGCCAAGATCACCGAATCTATTGAAGCCTCCGACGGTATCTGTAAGGTCACTATGGCTCCAAAGGCTGTTACTGCCACTGAAGATGCCGAATTGCAAGCTTTGTTGGAAAGAAAGGAAGCCGAAGAAAAGGAATCTTCCGACGAAGAAGAAGAAGATTAAATTCTTTGAAACTCATACACCACACTCTCAACCACCCACATACACTTCCAAATTGTAGTCTAGACTCTACTTATGTATAATTATAATACACATTTAGTGAACACGAAAAGGACAACGTAAATATCTAAATAGATAATAGTCGGAATTTGATTTCAAAGGAAAGTTCATAAAGCATTCTATCACATACAAACTAACTATATAATTAAAATATTTTAGTAGAAGGAAGTTACGCTTATTGTCAACTGTCTTCTGTTAGCCCTTTCAATAATATATCCTGGTAAGTTTCCAACTTGATGTTCAGCAACGTAAAGGTCAGTGACGGAATCAGGAACCAATAACATATCAACCCCCATTAATTCATTGTTCCCACCCAAGTCCAATACCTTCAAGTTACGACCAAGCCTCACATTTCGGATAATCTTCAAGTCATTATATGCGAGACTAAGTTCTTCTAAATTATATGGGAATTCCACCGATTCTAAACTTTTTATCTTATGACCACGTAATCGTAACACTCTTAAATTAGGTGGGAATACAACATCTTTTAAAGTTGTCAAATATTTCTCATGTTCTTCCCAATTTGGATCCATATTCATATCCAAAACTTCGAGGGTCATTGGGAAATGTATGTTTTTCAATGTTGTAACAAGATTATCACCAAGATATAATTCTTTTAAACATGATGGGAATTGAACCTTGTTTAAGGTTTTGATATTATTTTGACCCAAATGAAGATATTTGATGGAATTAGGTAATTTAAGAGGATTTATACTGTTTACCCCATTTCGAGCTAAGTTTAAACTGATTAAATGAGGTGGTAACTTTAATCCTCTTGTATTGGTCATGGATTGTTGTAAATTCAAGTTCTGTAAATGATCAGGAAATTTAACCCCGGTCATAGATTCATTTGGAATATAAGATACATCCAAATATTCTAAACTTTCAGGGAATTTGACTCCTTTTATGCATTCTATGGGGTTTATAGCTAACGACAAAGACCTCAAAGATCTTGGGAAATTTACTCCTCTGAGATTATCGATTCTATTTTGCGATACGTCCAAACTTTGCAAGCCGGTTGGAAGTTGAACATAATTTAAGAAATATATCTTATTATCAACCAACTCTAGTCTTTCCAAAGTTGGTGGGAATACAACGTTATCGATTGAGGTGATAGAACCTTTCGAGGCAATTAAAACCTTCAAGTGTGGTGGCATCTTAAACCCTGAAAGGGTTTCAAGAGAGTATCCACCTCCAATATTTAGCACTTCCAATGAATCTGGAAATCGTACACCGGGGAAAAAACGAATGAAATTTTCTCCATAATCACATATTTTCAAATTCGGCCAATTGGCACAATCTTCTTGAATTTCTTGTCCCAATTTTGCAAGGTCCTGCTTGTCTGTGAGGTAGATCGTGTTGAGCTCGTATTTATTTATGATGGAACATTGATGTACTTGAGAAGCAGCCGCAGTACTGAGAACCAGAAGGAACCGTTTATATGCGTCACGTTCATAAGTCAGAACATCCAGCCAATTTTTATCAAAGTCAAAATGAATATGATATGCAATTTGTGGAATTTTTTTAATAATAGATGCACTTGTTTCGATGAAATCACTCAAGAGTTTTAAATTAGCTTCGAATTCATCGTTATATTCAACACAAATGTTTAAAGAAGAATAGCCTTCCTTCGTTACAGTTTCATTAGACCCAAGATCACGAAGCAGATCCACTACAGTTACAACTTCATTTGGTTGTTTATGTAAGTCTTCAATTTGTTGCTTGGTGTGTGAAAATCTAGGCTGGTCATAAAGAATTACTAAGCGATTACTCTTTGGAGGGGTTGAATTTGTTGTTGTATGATCTAGAGTTTCCGCCTTTGGTTTGTAAGACTCAAGAGGATATGTCGGTGTTGTACCACTCGGTATCTGGGTTGAAGTATGTCCCTGGGTATGTACAGGGGTATGCTGAATGTTTTGCAGGGTGTGTAATTCTTGTATACCATCCATTTCATGTTTAACTTGTTGTGTTTGTTGATGTGCGACTCCACTCCTATCAATACTATCTGTTACATGCAAGATTGAGTTAGGTCCCTCATCTTGTGCTTGCAATATCAGCACATGTGGTATCTGCAGTGTCAGAGTGCCCGGCTCCGCCATTTTCCACAAATCTATCTATAAAATAATACAGGTCAAAGTATCAAGACATTGTATACTTTCTGATATCCTCATCGGTATAACCGTAGGGACAAAATACAGGTATAAAACTACACACAGGACATCATATTTACATTAATCAAGGTTACTAACAGTGATGATCCTACGTTAAAGAATAGAAATGTATAACGTTTAATACGTCGGAGTGATTCCCCATTGAACATTGAGGAATGCTTCTTTTATGATATTTCATACCAACGTGGCTGGCTTTGTGGGTATGAGAATATTCTACATTTTTTTCTTTCCTGTATTTGTCATTATTGAAACTTGTGCGGAATGAACTGAATGAGAACTTCAATAATCTACTGTGTAAGGTTTTCATAAAAATATGTATGGTACTATGGTAAAAAATATAATGTTTTTATATACTGAAAGACAAAAATAAAACTGGGGCGAGCTGGGAATCGAACCCAGGACCGCGCGCACCCTAAGCACGAATCATACCTCTAGACCACACGCCCAAGATTTAAGTTGTAAATGGGGCAAGCTGGGAATCGAACCCAGGACCGCGCGCACCCTAAGCACGAATCATACCACTAGACCACATGCCCCTATTACACTATGAAAAAATTTTAAAATGAGCCGAGTTTGCTCAAAAGTTTGTTTAATATTTTGGCCATTTTCTCGCTGTAGAGAGGAGGTATGGATACATTAAGATATCAGGCATTTGCTACTACTATGGGCCCAGTAGCTGAAGTCTTTTCAATCCCAGGAAGAGAACATTAATGGCGTAGAATAAGTTTTAAGATTTTCGAAAATTTTGAGATGCTACTCGCAAATTTTGTGATTTAAGAGGTTTGGCAAACCCCAAGTTCAGTAAGTGATATTGCAGCATGGTATAGAGAAGGACTCCATGTCGAACGAATCTTGACTCTTAGTGTTGTGTTTTTAAGCCCAAGAAATGAAAATTTGTTAAATTTGTAAATTATTTCATATCAGTCCGCTTTTCAGGAAAATGAAAATTCAAGAAATCCAGAATATTGCCATAGCGCAAGAATCGATACATTGACCAATGCAGAATATGAGGCTACCGTTATTAAGTCTTCATCATAGTCTAAGAGTCTGTACAACGAGAACGTTACATACCACGAATATTCTCTACAATGAATCTGTACTTAACTCTGTACCCATAAATAGAACGAGGAATATCGGGATTATTGCACATATCGATGCTGGTAAGACAACTACCACCGAGAGAATGTTATTTTATAGTGGTAAAACCAACCGTATTGGGAATGTAGATGAAGGTGATACAGTTACGGATTATCTCCCAGCGGAAAGAGACCGTGGAATTACAATTCAACTGGCTGCCACAACCATCCCTTGGAATAACCACAAAATCAATATCATTGACACTCCAGGTCATGCTGATTTCACCTTTGAAGTTATTAGATCTCTTCGAGTATTAGATGGTTGTGTCACAATTTTGGATGCTGTCGCAGGAGTTGAAGCTCAAACCGAGAAGGTTTGGAAACAAGCACAAGAATTGGGAATTCCAAAGATTTGTTATGTGAACAAGATGGACCGTGAAGGAGCAGGATTCAGCAGAACAGTTAAAGAGATAATTCAAAAACTTCAGACTAGAGTAGTTTTATGTAATATTCCATACTTTGAAGAAGTTGAAGGGAAAGAAGAAGATGGTAAATTTATTGGGGTATTAGATATACTTCATAAGAAAATGTTGAAATGGAAACCAGATGAAGACGAGACTGGAAGAGATATGGCCGTATTCGACATTGTCGAAGGGGTGACACCACCAGAAATCTATGAAATGGTGTATAAAAGTAGAGAATCCATGATAGAAACACTTGGAGAAGTGGATGATGCATTAATTGATTCTTTCTTTGAAAATGATGAGGATTACATGAAAGTTCCATCATCGGTAATTAACCAAGCCCTTCAAAAGGCAACTTTGCTGAAATTTGCTGTTCCAGTCTTCTGTGGATCCTCTTTTAAAAATATCGGTGTACAACCTTTGATGGATGCCATTACAACCTATTTACCATCTCCCTTACAAATTAATCTCCCTGAAGTAACCTCAGAAAAATCTCAATTCAAGGGAAAGGGGAAGAAGAAACGGAAACAAGCTACCTCTGGAAATGATGAAGCAAGTACTGTAGAGGTCCCTGTACTGATGGATGCTAAAAAGGGTCTTATTCTCAACAAGCTGCCGAATCTTACTGCCGCTCTCGCATTCAAATGTATTACCCACCCTATTCGTGGACCAATGACTTTCATTCGTGTATACAGTGGAATGTTAAAGGCAAACACTACCATTATAAATACTCGTTCAGGAAAGACATTTAAGTTAGGAAAACTTTTGCTAATGCATGGTGACCAACCAGAAACTATCTCTCTGCTTAGTTCAGGAAATATTGGAGTTATCACTGGGATGGCAGATGAAATTGTTACCGGTGATACAATTGTTTCACTTGGTACTCTGGGTAAAGGATTTGGGGCATTGGAAAGTAATTTGAAGATGATGCCGATTGAGATCCCACCACCAGTATTTAGTGCCTCAGTGGAACCTCTCACTGCTGGTGATGAACGTTTTATGGATGATTGCATCCAAGTACTTCGTAGAGAAGATCCTTCTTTACACGTTAATGTGGACGAAGAAACAGGGCAGACAGTTTTAAGCGGAATGGGTGAATTACACCTTGAAATTGTTGGTGATAGACTTTGTCGGGATTTAAAGGCAAAGGCTCAAATGGGAAAAGTTGTCGTAACATACAAAGAAACTCTCACTACACCAAGCAATACAACCACATATAATACCGGAGAAGAAGGAGTCTCTGTCTCATTATCATTAGACTCATATGAGGGGCCATCTGAAGAAACAGACCTTTTACATGAAGACGGGTCTTTCTTACTTGAGATGGACAATAACGTCGTTGTTATCGAGCCGTCTGCCACTCCACAACATATTCTTCTGGCTTTAGAAGAAAGAAGATGGAAATCAGAATTTTCTATGGAACAACTTCATGATAGTATGATTCAAGGATGTGTGGCAACATTGCAAACAGGGGGTCCAATTACCAGACTTCCTCTTCATTCTACGGTAATTAGAATTTCCAAATGGGATTTCCCAGTTGAAGGTACATCCGTACAAGCTTCTCAACTTTTAACTGCCACAAGATATGCAGTTAGTCAAGCTATCAATTCCCATTTCGAGAAAAATAACAACAATTTTACTTTACTTGAACCAATTATGAATGTCAAGGTATTTGTGAACTCTGACACCATGGGTGAAGTTGTTCACGATCTTAATTCCCAAAGAAAGGCAATTATCCATTCAATTGAAGATGAAAATGAGAACTTGGAGACAGCGTCATGGGCAGCAACTGAAGCTGAAAAGGTTTATCTTCCTCCTGATTACACCATGAGTTCAGTAACTTCTGAGAGTCTGAATTTAAGAAACAAAAAGAGAATTGATGCTCAAGCTCCATTGAAGGAAATGATAGGATATTTATCGAAGTTCCGTTCTATTACACAAGGAAGAGGAGCATTTGATATGACTTACCACGGTATGATGAGAGCATCCAAAGATAGAGTTGATAACATTCTTAACGAATTGTAAGGTATAATCAGAACCTAAATGTAATTAGATTTGTATATAAAATATAAAGTGGAACAAAAAATATTCTGAAGCTAGTGGCATTCTATAAACAATTTCTACTATGGTACATATGTCATTACTTTCAGAACATAATTTTCAATACTTTTAAAGATCGATATACAACAAGTGTTGCTACTAGCCAAAAAAGAAAGTATTTGGGGTAGTGAGTTTGGTTTTTGATAATTGTACCTAAAATGTAGGTGACAAGTTGTCCTATTACGTAGGCGATTGGAACTACAAAGTCATTTTAACATACTCTACACTTTTTTAAACTAATCCAAGATTTTAAGATCACTACCCAACTGTTTTAGCATGACGTCTCAAAATCCGCAATCCACACCCCAACACCCCTGGTGAATTGTCCCTAATATGATATTCTAGAATGATTGTTCGTGGCAATTCCTGCATTCAACAATCTCGTTGCTCCTGCTTATCCCGCACGCCGTGTACAAAACTATATATTCTCCACAGAACCAATTGATTTACTTTACCGTAGAGTATATTCAATTAGATATCAAATTAAGAATGTCTGACGAACTTGCACTCCCCCCTCCAAGCTTGGACGAGGAGATTATTTCCACCACGAGCTCATCCTCTTCATTTGTCCCGGTTGAGCTGCACATCCAAGATGCAATTCAAGTGATTAACGAACGTAAAGAATTCAACAATGAAATTCTTGAGTACATTAACACTGCTACTCCATCTGCGGAAGTGGGAAACAATTACCATATCATTTCTGTGTTCGGCTCTCAATCTACCGGTAAGTCTACTCTTTTGAACAAATTGTTCAACACCAATTTTGATGTTATGGATGAAACTAATCGTCAACAGACGACGAAGGGGATTTGGATGGCCTACTCACCTCATATTTCCAGTACCGGTGCTCAAGTAACGCCTCAAAAGCAACAATTAAAGGAGAATGTATTTGTCATGGATGTCGAAGGTACTGATGGGAGAGAAAGAGGTGAAGATCAAGATTTCGAAAGAAAGGCTGCTCTTTTCGCTCTTTCAACTTCAGAAATTTTGATTATCAATACATGGGAAACACAAATTGGGCTTTATCAAGGTGCAAATATGGGATTACTTAAGACTGTTTTTGAAGTTAACTTGTCGCTTTTCGGTAAATCTAAAGTAAACAATGCTTCAAATGATCATAAGGTTTTACTTCTCTTTGTAATTAGAGATCATATCGGAGTTACTCCAAAGGAAAGTCTTGCAGCCACTGTGAAGCAAGACTTGCAAAAAATTTGGGAATCTTTGAATAAACCTTCTGAAGTTGCACACCTCAAATTTGCTGATTTCTTTGATGTTGGATTTCATACTCTTAGTCATAAGGTTTTACAAGCTGATAAGTTTTTAGAAGATGTTCTGCTTCTTGGTGATAAACTTGTTGATCCTAAAAATCCAGAATATCTTTTCAAGCCTTATTATCATCATAGTATCCCAGTTGATGGTTGGACAATGTATGCCGAACAATGTTGGGAACAAATCGATAATAATAAGGATTTGGATTTACCAACTCAACAAATTTTGGTTGCCAAGTTCAAGTGTGACGAGATTTTGAATGGTGTTTATGAAGAATTCCTTGATAAATTCCGTGGAAGAGTTCTTTCACAAGAGATTAGCAATGAAGTTGAAGTGGATTACAAGGAACTTGGGTTATTGTTTACAGATTTACAACATGATACTATTGAAGATTATGATATTTCTGCTTCAAGATACAACAAAAATGTATTTGAACAAAAGAGATTAGTACTTTTAGGTAAGATCACTGAGAAATTTAAAGAAGTTTTCGATCAACATATGAAGAATTTGACTTCTTCAACAGTGAAGCAATTCAAAGAAAAATTAACTTCAAAAAGAAAGAGAGCTGCTAATGCTTCTACTGGATCTGCTGAATCATTTATTAACATTGTTTCAGAAACAAAGTTATCTTCAATTCAAGAATTTACTCAAAAGGCTAAATTTATCTCACTTGATGGTAAATTGGATTTCAAGGCATTTGAAAATAAATTAAATACAAAATTGGAAGAGGTTGTTAGCGGACAACAAGTTTCTGAGTTGAATAATTTTATCAATAAGGCATTGAAAAAGCTTTCTAGCGGTATGACCAAGACTGTGGCTGCCCAATTGAGTGAACCTGAAGAACATAGTTGGGACGCCATCCTTGGAGTTTTCCACTCATTGGTTGATGAACCCTTAAAGAAGTTTGAGACTGTTGATGGTAAATATGATTTCCAATTGGGAGCTTCTGATGAATTGAATTCAATTACTGCAACTACTTTTAAATTTAAAGCATGGACTAAATTTTATGATGTTGTCCGTAAGTATGTTTCCAAGGAAAATCTCTTGACAATTTTAAAGGATAGATTTGAAACCAAATTTAGATATGATGAAAATGGTTTACCAAAGTTGTACCAAAATGTTCATGAATTAGGGATCAGTTTCAAGGAGGCTAAAGAGTACGCATTAAAGGTTGTTCCATTTGTTTCATTTGCCAAACTTAGTAATAGTAGTGCTATTTTACCAGAATTTGATATTTTCGATAAGAAATTAAAGCGGAAGTATAACAATTCAAACGGGTTGTCCAGTGCTGCAACTACAATCGAACAACATGTATCTGAAGATGAAGACGATGATGACGAGGAAGATGAGGAAAATACCTTTTCAGAGATTATCAATGAAACAGATAAGGCTGCTGTATTGGCTAAATTTAAGAGGGAAACTGATGCTGTATTTGTTGAGACAAACCGTTCCATTGTTCAGCATATTACCCAGATTCCATATTACATTTACTTGATCATTGTACTTTTAGGATGGAATGAGTTTATGGCTGTCATCAGAAACCCATTTACATTCCTGTTGGCATTGATCTTTGGTGCTGGATTTTACGTTATGTGGACACTCAATTTATTACGTCCAGCATCAATTGTTGCGCAAAAGATGGTTGATGAATGTATTTTGTTGGCAAAGGAAAAGTTCCGTGAATGGGTTGTAGATGAACATCAAACTCACGGAAGAAATCTTGGAAAGATATCTGGAGGAAATGAGAGCGAAGAAGAAATCGAGCTCGACGATCTTTCAAGGACCAATAGTGAGTAGTATTAATATCATGGATATCAATATATAATGAAGAAAGAAAAAAAAAAAAAAAGAATAAACCACATAGTAGTAGAGGATCATACGGATTCAACGATAAGCGAGAGATCTAGCGAACCCGGACCGAAATTTACCTTTAAAAATTTAATTTTCTATTGGTAGACATTAGTTAGAACATTGAAAAAGTTGTAAAATATAACGTTGTTGACTCGTTACAACAAATAAATACCCCATCTTTAGAAAATTAGAACGGGTAACTGATTTAGTACCTGATAGTAATAATATTATTGTGGAGTATTTTAGACATGCAGTAACAGGGCCTGGCCAACAATACTACGTTGCAGGCGTGCCTTCACCAATTAGAAAAATGGAACGCGCAATCGCCTAATTTTTTGAAGAGCAAGATGGAGCAAAGAAAAATGCAACATGAATGTTGCAATGCGAATTCCCGCTAGGGTTTGCATTTCTCGGAAGTTCTGTAACTTGAGATTTGTAGAAATATCTGCACAAATTGCCGCCCAATCGGGTGTCCCTAAGTGTCATAGACCGACATTCACATCACATGATTGTGTAATTCAGAATAATAATATGAAGAGGAAGAATGTAGAGATGGACCCGACAGTAGTCACCTCATAGATGTTACTATGGCAAAAAAAGTTCGCGGACCGGATGTTATGTTACAGAATGAGAAAAAAAAAATACAACTTGAACTTTTACTACAGTGAGACCATTGTATATCTATGGTACTATGGGATTTAGTAGAGCCCCGGTGGATCCAAATTAGCAATTCCTCCACTTTGCTGCTTGTTTCGTTCTCACAATGCTGCATTAATTGAGTGTCAAGATACCAGCGTGGGAAGGATTAATCCCGTTGCCACAGCCCGAAATGCCACTCGCTTTTTTTGGATGATATTCTTTTTTTTTTTTTTTTTTTTTTTTTTCTGTGAGTGTGCATCTTTGGCATTTTATGTTTCATTGAGATCACATCTGCAACGGTAGGATTCTTATCAAAAAAAAAGGTCGTCGCATTTCGTATCTGCTAAAATCTCGCCCAGACGTGCGGTATATATCTAGTGGGTTTGCTGCGTACAAGGGTACTAGGGTGACCTAAATCATATATTTTTTTTACTTTCATACAATTCATTCTTTTTAGAAGCATTAAGGGTTGACATAGTGTACTATATTTCCCCTATTGCATTTTCCCAACTACGCTAAAAAAATACAAAATTGCATATACCCTATACCCAGTCCAGTCCAACTTGACTAGCTGACCACTTCATAACATGCTTCACGTTGATATGAACTTACCCGTATCCAAGGATATCCTTCTGCCACTCTCAGAGCCTCTGCTTGAATCTGACTCAGTGCTCTCTTCTTCGTCCTCCTCTACGTCAGTTGCTTCTGACCATTTGGACTATATTTCTTCTTTCCATGTAAGTGCTTCCAATCTCAGCAGACATTCAGATAGTGTATTTGAATCATTTAATGAGGCACTTTCTCAAAACTCAAGCATTACTATGCTTCCAAATTATGATATCAGCCCAACAGGAGAAGAATCAGGAGACTTTTTGGTGATTGATTTGGGTGGATCTACACTTAGAGTGGCCGTTGTATCTATTGACCCAAGGAGTGCTAATAAGGCTACTGTTGTTATTGAAAAGAAATGGCTTGTTGAGAACAGTTTCAAGTTGGTAGACTTGAATTTTTTCAAGTGGATATCAGCAAAAATTGTGGAAACATTAGGTGAACAATCGGTTCTTTCCACAAAATCTGTATTAAAGACTGGTATTACCTGGTCATTCCCATTAGATCAAACATCTTTTAACAAAGGAAGAATTCAAGTTATGGCTAAAGGTTACACTGTATCCCCTGACGTATACAACAAGGATTTGAAAGATCTTTTAGAATCAACAATGAAAGAATCTTACGATATTGACGTGGATGTTAGAGCTCTTGTTAACGATTCCTTGGCTGTATATGCAGCAGGTGCTTATTTGGATAAGTATATGAAGCTTGCTATTGTTCTTGGGACTGGTCTCAACATGTGTTGTTCGCTTAAGACTTCAGATAAGTTCCATGAACACAAGACTTTAAACCAAGAACCTGCAGTTCTTCTTAACAGTGAACTCTCATTATTTGGTCATCAATTAATCCCAGATATCTGTACAAAGTATGACAAACTCATTGATAGTAGATTAGATGCTACTGTTTCTGACCTTGGTTTCATTCCATATATGGAATTACCTGAATCAAAACGTAAAATATTACAACCTTCAGAACTCACTACAAGTGGAAGATACTTACCTGAAATTACAAGATTGATTCTTGTAGATATGATTAAAAATCACGAGATTTTAAATAATATTCCAAAGAAGTCTATTCAGCATCTTTACAATGCATATGACGGGTTTTCTGGAGAAGTGATGTGCTTCATTAGTGAAAACAATGATGAAGTACTTATAAAAGAAAAACTTCAATCCGTTTACGGTTGGGACTCTGAATGTGTTCTGTATGAAGACATTTACAAGATTAGAACTGCAATTCAAGCAGTAATTACTAGAGGTGCATACATTGTTGCCAGTATGATCATTGCATCGATTAAACTTATTTCACACCACAACGGGCAAATAAACCAAGGCCCTGGCCCTCAAAAGCTTCACATTGGATTTGTGGGATCTGTTCTTGAATATTTCAATGAGTACAGAGAGTTGATCTTGAAGTTTATTCGGGAGAATGAAGACATACAAAAAATGGACATATTTGTCGATTTCAAGTTCGTTGCCCACAGTTCCATAGTAGGAGCTGCCGTGGGTGCTGCTTACTACAGTAGCAGCTCATAAGAGCATATATAGCATATCAAAAAACAAGAAAAGCATTAGAGAGATTTTTGTAAAAAGTACAACTAAGAACTATTATTTGAAGAACAAACAACTGATGTTTCACATTTACAATTGACATTTAAAATTTTCAAAAGATATATATATATATATATATATATATGTCATTCTTCTGATACAGATCTACTAGTATTATTTCATCATTACGTGTCTATTATTATTGAGAAATTCCATATATACATATACATAAACTCTACAACTTTGCCTTAAGGCCAGCTGCAGCATTGTCACATACAACAAGAACATTTGAATGGTCTTGTAAGTATGATGATGGGAATCTAGGGTCATTCTTCTTACCATTTATGGTCTTTTCTAAAGCATAAGCCTTTGCCTTGCCCAAAACAATAATGGCAATTTCGTCAGAGTTATCCAAAATTGTGGAAATACCAACTGAAAGGGCAGACTTTGGAACCTTGGAACGATCGTTACCAAAGAATCTAGAGTTAGCTTCAATGGTTGATTCGACAAGGAAAACTTCTCTGGTGATAGAGCTTCTTTCGGAGCCAGCTTCATTAAATGCAAGGTGTCCCTCTGGACCTAATCCTCCCAAAAAGAGATGAATTCTACCAAATTTCTTGATTTCAGCTTCGTAGTTGGAACATTCTTGTTGAACATTCTTAGTCAAACCATTAAGAATATGAATGTTCTTTCTTGGGATATCGACATGGTTGAAGAACTTGTCGTACATGAAGTAATGGTATGATTGTTCATTTTCTGGGGAAAGTCCAAGATATTCATCCATGTTGAAAGTTACCACATTTTTGAAACTGATCTTCTTGGTATTGTATGCTTCAATGAGTCTAGCGTAAATACCTTCTGGAGAAGAGCCTGTTGGGAGACCAAGTACAAAAGGTTTGGATGCAGTAGGCCCAAAATTATTGATTTTGTTGATGATGTATTGGGCAAGGTACTCAGAAGCGTCTTCAGAGTAGGAAAATGTAGCTTGCTTCATATTTGATGTGTTTATTATATTGGTTTTAATGAATATACGTTAAAATATTATCAAATACTATACCTTCCGTCAGGCTCATCTTACATATATATATTAAATGTATGTCACTTACTCTGGGGTGATCCTTTTGAAATGAGCAATCGCGTGCAACGTTACATTTTTGTTTTTTTCTCTTGTCTTTTTCTGAAGTTGCAACAACAACAAATTATAATTCTGTTGTTTTTCTGATACACGTTTGTTGTGGTGCGGTAAGTACAGTTGGTCATATTAATCGTGTGACATACAGTCTCAAAGCTACGTTACAGGGTATGATAATAGTAGTATGTTACAACAAATACGTATTTTTTTACAAATGACCCCAAGAAAAAAGAAAGACAGTCAACAGATAAGAAGTGTTACAGCCTAGTTACAACCATTGTCTGAAGTCACAAATAAATAGTATTCTTATATAGTATTCAGCTTAGCTACACTTATAATTGTAAAATTGTTCCCTCTCCCGGTCTTCCATTAGCTAACTTCTTCCCCATTACTGGAATGGTCTATAAACTTCTAAGAAAGATAAGACTATGCGTCGAAATTTCTTTTGTGCGTTTTTTTTTTTCTTTTTTTTTTTTCTCTAGTCCCCTATAATTTGCCGGTCACTGTAAGGATGTTACATGTAACATCAAGCCGCACATCTGCGATGTTTGATGTACTATCCACAATGACCAAATAAGATTTATAGTTCATGTTTTCTTCCGATGACTTCTCGTGACATCTTTCTATAATATATATATATACTAGCTCTTCTTACTGCCTATAGGGGTAAATTGAACTCTTGTTGTTTCAATCATTGCATATTCTTTACACTTTACGATCCTTAGTTATCGCACAACTAGATTCTTCTTATCTTAGGTTGCAAAGAAAATTGAGAAACGATATTACCGAAACTACCGGCAAGAAAATTAGATAGAAATTATACACATAAAATGCTTGTCAAATTCACAAACGCCTTACTTTGTGACAATGCACAACTTATCCCAGGTGATCTTTGGGTTGACTTGAAATCTGGTAAGATTGTTTCCCCAAACCCAAGTGCTTCTCACGAAACAATCGATCTTCATGGTGCCGTCCTTTCTCCTGGTTTCTTGGATGTTCAAGTGAATGGTCTTTATGGACTTAACTTTTCTGACCTTAAGCTGACTCATCCGAAGGCTGTCAAGGAATTCAAGTCTCACTATGATGATGCTATGACAAAATACTTAACTACTGGTGTTACTTCTATTTGTCCTACTGTTACTTCCAATTTCCCTGAAGTTTACGAAAGTGTTTTACCAGTCCTTAAGCCTAGCAGATCTACTCATCAAACTGATTCATTGGGAGCTCATTTAGAAGGGCCATTCATTAACTTGAAGAAGAAAGGTTGTCATCCAGTGGAAACATTTGTTGATGCCCATGAAGGTCCACAAAAGATGCTTGAAGTTTATGGTGGAGAAGATAACCTTTTGGACAATGTTTGCATAGTTACCGCAGCTCCAGAAATCCCAGGTGTCTTAGAGGCAATTCCTGAACTTAAAAAGAGAAATATTACCTATTCTATTGGTCATACCACTGCTGAATACAAAACTGGTCTCAAGGCTATTGATCAAGGTTGTACCATGATCACTCATTTATACAACGCCATGCCACAACCACATCATAGAGATGCTGGTGTTGTTGGTCTCATTACATCTCCAGCGGCTGGCCCTGAGAAAACCCCATACTTTGGTCTTATTGCTGATGGTGTGCATGTGGATCCATCCATGGTTACAATTGCATACAAGGCTGCACCAGAAAAGTGTATGTTAGTTACAGATGCTATGCACTTGATTGGATTACCAGATGGTACTTACAAGTGGGATGCTCAAGAAATTGTGAAAACTGGTCCATCCTTGAAATTGAAAGGAACTGATACACTTGCTGGTGCTGCCACCACCTTAGATGCATGTGTAAGAAACTTGGTCCATTGGGCACAAGTCCCATTGGAGGTTGCTCTTGCATCTGTCACCAACATTCCAGCAAAGGCTATCAATGTTCAAGATCAAAAGGGGTTCTTGAACGTTGGCTGTGATGCTGATTTAGTTGTATTGGATTTGTTTGGTCACATCAAACAAGTTTACAAGTTGGGGGTTAGAGTAACTGAAAAAGAACAAGTTCGTGCTCAATTGTAATTGCATTATCATACATATCTACATAGGAATATAATACCATCATAAAGAAGTAAACATTGTAAAACTCTTTCAATAGACCATACACTGATTTATTTTTTTTTCTTCATCTTTTTTTTTTTTTGGCTTTTCCATGAAATATGCGCATAATATGCGCATTATAATGAAAACTGTAAATGGAACACAATCCGCACAGTAACATAAGAATCTTTTATACAACAAAAGGAACATAAGAATCTTTTATCCAACAAAGGGAACATTATAATGGTCTTATCGATCAGAAAGTCTGTTTCTATTACACATATTCTGCAAGTGCGTCACTATGCTACATCTGGTGACTATAGAAGGGAAAGACAAGCACAAATAGATCCCCATATAAAGGCAGGCTTACCCCCTTGGCCGAAATCGAAATTACCTTCACCAAAGGAACTTTTTGACTTTGATACCCTTAATGATATAAATTTTAAGAATGATATTAAGAATAAGTATCAGAAATATGTAAAGATATACCATCCGGATGTGTCACTGAAATTGGAAATAAAATTTGAGGGGAAAGTTTTAACTAAAGAAGAACTTAGACAAAGATTTGATCAAATTTCTAGTGCTTATGAGATCTTGAGAGATCCTGTGAAAAGATCAGCATATTGGAGATATGAGAATTCTAACTGGTCACAAGTACATCGCAACAATGCACGTCATAAGGCAGCCACAGGTGGTGGAACTGCTTATCAACTGAGAGCTACCTATGAAAGATATAGACAGGCCAGTAAGACGGCTGGATATGGATATCAAGATGACGAAGCATTCTGGACAGCAGGTTCTTGGGAAGATTATTATAGAATGAAACATAAACGTGAACCTCCTACCGCTGAAGAAATTGAAAAAAATAAATACAAGATATTAGCCGGAGTTATAGCTGTGGCCACCATTTCTACTGTACTTCAATATTTACGTGCAGTTAAAAAGACTGAAGAATTTCATGCAGAAACTGCTTATTTGAATAAGGAGGCCAATGCAGACTTGAAAGGAAGTAGAAATAATTATGAGTTTGGTACAGGGCAATTGGATCGTATGGAAAGGTTCTTAGTTCTGAGAAGATTTAATTTTTTTGATAGAGGTGATATGGATAAACATCAAGATATGAAGAATGAGCAAGATAAAATTATGAGGGGATTGCAGGCTGGTGTAAATTAATGGAATTATGTAACACAAATAAAATGAATATATGACACAATAAATGAAAGAAATCTAAAATATGTTAAGAATAGTTTATTAAGGTATCCTCTTATCGGGGTGCAAAAAACATTTCCGGTAATTTAAACTGTGAGCGATCAAAATTCTTGAGATTTCTCTCGAACATTAAAATTGTGACTTTTATTCTTGTTGAGTCATTGTAATACCACAAAGTAATCTTAAATAATAGACCACAACAGCCATTATGGATTTTATGAAACCAGAAACCGTGTTGCAGCTTCCCAACATTCGTCAAGCCTTAATTAGAATGGAAGACACCATTGTCTTTGATTTGATTGAAAGATCACAATTTTATTCTTCTCCATCAGTATATGAACCAAACAAGTATAATATTCCAAACTTTAATGGTTCCTTCTTGGATTGGTCCCTTTTACAAATGGAAAAGACCCATTCTCAAGTCCGTAGATATGAAGCTCCAGATGAAGTTCCATTTTTCCCCGATGAACTTTTACCTCCAATCTTACCCCCAGTGGAATACCCATCTGTATTGGCATCATACACTAAAGAGATCAATGTGAACAAGGAAATTTTGAACTTTTATGTCAATGAAATTGTCCCACAGATTTCTTGTAAGGCTGGCGATCAACAGGAAAACTTGGGTTCTGTTTCTGTTTGTGATATTGATACTTTACAAGCTTTATCTAGAAGAATTCATTTTGGTAAATTTGTGGCAGAAGCTAAATATCAAGCCGATAAGGAAGGTTACAAGAAATTGATTCTTGCTAAGGATATCAAGGGCATAGAAGAATCTATCACCAATTCTGCTGTGGAAGAAATGATTTTAGATAGATTGGTTGAAAAGGGGAAAACTTATGGTGTCGATCCATCCATGAGATATTCTCAAAACCCTCAATCTAAAGTTCAACCAGAAATAATTGCAAAGTTATACAAGGACTATGTTATTCCATTAACTAAGAAAGTTGAAGTGGATTACTTATTGAGAAGATTAGAAGATGAAGAGTAGACATTATATGTATACGTGATGATAGATATGTACTAAAGAAACATTGAATGTAGGGAAATATACATAGAACAATCTAACAGCCTTGTACACGAATAGTAAAGTGTGGCGGGGCGGCCCAAAAAAAAAAAAAAGCTTCCGCACACTGAACACTGAATAGTATTTGTGCAACCACCTTACACTCTATTTTAGATTAGTAATAATAAAAAGTTTTTGAACAACTTCTTTTGGAAACAGAAATTATATAGTATAGAGAAATGGATAATTTTGAAATTGTATTTGCAGTTCCATTGGAATGCAATGCCTGTGTGGAATCAGTATCAAATGTATTGAAACCATTGAGTGGTCTCGCCAAATATGACATTGATTTAGAGAAGAATCTTGTGACCACCACAGGATCAATTCCTCCTTCTGAGATCGTTAGAGCTATCCAAGAAACCGGTAAAGATGCTATAATACGTGGAACAGGAAAACCTAACTCAGCTGCTGTTTGTATCTTGGAATCGTTTGATCCTGCTGACGTCGAACAGCCAGTTAAAGGATTAGCTAGAATTGTGAGTGTATCCCCTTCTAATCTTTTCATTGATCTTACCGTAAATGGTCTTCCAAAGGGGACATATTACCCATCGATTCGTGTTTCAGGTAACTTGCTGGAAGGTGCCAAATCTACTGGTGATGTTTTCTATGCACTCGACCCAGTAGAAATCAACCAACCATCTAATTCTTCCACCACTATTAACTCACTTGGAGCAGGAACTGAATCTACAACTTCATATTTTGGACAAAGTTTCTTACGTGCAAATTTGGGAATTGATGAACTTATTGGTAGAAGTGTTATTTTATCAAAATTAAAGAATGAAATTAGTAATGATTCATTGTGTGGCGTTATCGCTAGAAGTGCAGGCGCTTGGGAAAATGACAAACAAGTTTGCAGTTGTACTGGAAAGACTGTTTGGCAAGAAAGAGTGGATGCCGTAGGAAAGGGATTACAAGTATAAGAAGTTTATGAATGATATAAAATATAATACAATATAAATGATAAAATAAAATGGGTATTTAAATGTAAGGCTAAATACTATCAGAGAAAATGTGCGTAATTGTGATATCGCTTTACAAAATTGGCGTAATTGTAATACCGCGAATAGTTTCATTTTAATCGCTTGAGTTTACATTATAGACGTTTCGATCCCGAATCACATCAAATTATATTGATCGTTTTCAATTCAACCAATTTCCCACCTGCCACCTCCTTTATATTACTTCCTTGAGAGAAGGAACTGACGAGTGCAGTTTAGTTTGACTTTTGTTCAGTACTGACGTCTGTTCCAATATGTCTCGTCAATACCTTTCGGTTAAATCCCGAATCGGTCAAATCATCAATGACCAGCTTGATCAAATTAAGTCCAAGAAAACGCTCAAGTTGAATAATTATGCATCGACTATTTCACTGCTCTCTTCGGACAATACTGCAGTTGTGCCGTCACTATCCGAGGTGGTGGAATGTATTCATGAGATTCTCTATTCGCATGAGCCCCCTCTTGAGTTAGAACGACTATCATTTCAAAGTAACAATATTTCAAGTCTTCCAAGTAATTTTCCAATCATTTCGATGAGTCTTAGGTATCTTGATCTTCACAATAATAACTTGACTGAGTTTCCTATTGAAATCTTGGACTTCAAAGGGTTGGAAATCCTTGATTTGTCTAATAATAGTATCTGGGCATTACCTCTGCAAGAATTAATTCAATTAGAAAATCTTCGAGCCTTGTCACTTAAAGAAAATAAATTGAAAGTTCTCCCAGCAGCGATTGGCCATTTACCAAACCTTAATGTATTAGAAATTTCTGGTAATCCATTAATCAAGCCACTGATGGAAACTATCAAATCATTTCAAAAACAAAACCCTGATTTAGATTGGGTTCAAGAATTAAAGAGTTATCTCCGTACAAATGCTACTCTGTTGGATAAAAAGCAAACAGATATTGCACAAGAACTGCTGCAATCACTCCCACAATATCCTCCCCATGCACCATTACCTGTATCACAACTGACATCCCAAATCCCAACTTCACTGTCGATTAAGAAGTCACAATCTATTGCGCGTCCAAATAGTCCATCGGAAACCCGTAGTAAATCTTCAAAGGCAGCAAGAAGAATGGGATTAATTATCAAGAAACCTGATGATAATGGTGCAGTTGTTGAACAACAAGAAACGAAGGAACCTTCTGGATTATTCAACTCGATAGATATTCTCAACACTCAACCTCCACAACCCATAACTGCATCGGCGGCCGAAACTACATTCGATCAATCCATAACCACTACACCTCCGCCACCCGCTAATAGTGTGCCTTCTATCACCCACATGTCCACTACGTCACCAAATGCCCCCACCATCACGAGACCCGGAAGTCGTAATAGAGCACGATCAAATACCCTTAAAGAAATTGATCGTATATTGGAAAAGAATGATATTGTCGATACTGAACATAAATCAGGAGCTTATTTTAGGAGACTTTCCACCTTACAAGAAGTTCCGATTGACGAAACAATTTCCTTCCAATCAAATATTTCTCGTCAAGTATTTGCTAAGTCGCCATCTTCAGCAATTGATGATGATGACCTTAAACAACAAGGTAAATCACAATCTCAAACTAATTTGCATTCACAAGCACAACTGCATTTACACCCCCAACATCATACACAACCACTGCATCATACTTTACACTCACATTCGGCGTCCCATTCTCTGCAGGTTCATTCTCGTACTGGGAGCTCTTCTTCGGGAAAATCCCCAGCAACAGCGACAGCAGCAACATCAGCAGCAGCAATAACCGCAACATCAGGACAATTGCAAAGTCCAGTAATTGCCGAATTATCACCTACAAAGCATTCCCAACAACCACTTAAAAGAGTTACGCACCACGACGCCACTACCATAATAAAAGTATCTAGAAAGGTTCTTTTCTCATTCAGTGAATTACATTCATCAATTCGTCGATTTACTGGATTTTGCGTGGACAAGAAAATCACCATCAAAATGGTCACATTGTTATACACCACCAAATCTAATATAGATTCACTTGTTGAAAATTTGGAATTAATGGAAGATAAGGGGGGAAATGTGGATCAAATTATGGTCTCATTACATAATAGTATAACTTCATTCAAATCAATTATGGCTGTTTTGAATGACAACTTTGCTAATTTCGTTATGAAGATTGATATTTGCTTCATCCGGATGTTATATTTGACTGTATATGGGTCATTTAATGAACTATTGAATGCTTATAAAGTTCTTGTGTCAGCTCCAAAGGTGACAGACCCCTTAAATTTCAACTCTGCTACAGCAAATGGCAGTAGTGTAGCAGGTCCAGGGCAATCATCATCATCGGTTTCATCTTCAGCTCCTGTACTGAATGGTATAAACACCAACCATTTAACTTTGGATCCTAAACATACAATTGGAAAACATCTGTTATCTATCAATACAGCTTTGGCAAACACAAACAATGCTGACCTGCTCCCAAGTCTGAATTCTGTCAATGTTCCTTCCACGTCTTCATCAGTATCGAATGCTGACACTGATTCACCAGACGTAAATGTAGATGAAAAGCTTTACAATGCTATTGATATCGCTACCTCCAATGCTCAAGTTGTATTTTTAGAATTAACTAAAGCAATTGGTAAGAGTGCAATCGCTAGTGCCAACAATCCTCAAATTGGACCTGCAGTGGCATCAAAGGTTAAAGAATTAACAAATGTTTGTATTACGTCCATGGATGTTTCCAAAAGGCTACAAACCAAATTAATTACAATTCGTAATAACCCATCATACACCACTAAAAGTTTATTTTGGGAAGATGTTAATTTATTTTTGAAGGCAATTATTCAAACTTTTTCATCAGTAAAGGCAGTCATGAAAGATTTACCAATTTTAAATGAAATCAGAGCATCTATGGCTACCCTTACCAAAGCTACAAAGGATGTTACTATATTGATTGAAGTTTCATCGTATAAATCAATGTCTACTGAAGGATCTAGCTCTGCAGTTTCTTCTCATCCGCCACTTTTGGCATCCATTCCTAGTGTTTCTAACATATTCACCCCATCTTTGGCATATCCCCCACAACAATTACCATCCCGTACTCAGTCTCTGAGTAATCTCTCTCAGCAGAATTCGGCAATTCCTGCACCAATGCGGACTCCACTCGTTGCTACATTAGGACCTGCTGCTCTGGTAATAATGCCAACCATCAGTGGTGAGGCTTCACCAATGGCTAGCCCTGGAATTGTGGGAGGCTCGTCTACTCCTCAAACCAGTGGTCAGTATTACGCTAAGAATGGTTTGAATCCCTTTGATGGGTTGATTATGGCTAATAAGGAGAGAGAAGAAACAAGAGAAAGATAACTATATAACGAAAACATAAGATTTTTTTTTGATATTTTATGATTTGTAACTTGATATACGTTAAAATTATAAGCTCACTTTATATTAAATTGTGTCACCCCCTAATTAAACTATCTAAAGCACACCAAGACAATTGTATATCATTTCGGCTCAAATGAGTTTTTCGTCCGATTTTTTTTTTTTTTTTTTTTTTTTTCCTTGTAACTCCGGGCATTGATTCCCGATAAACTATTATAGCCAATATGGAATTCAAATCCCCTCTTCTACATTTGTCTCTTTTGGAATATAGTTGAAAAGTACTTTGAATATAGATGACAATCGAACTTGAAGAACCCCGTTTAGAGGAAAACTCACAAGTGGCTAAGGACTTGTTTGGTGGTACCATTGGTGGGATCGCCCAAGTCCTTGTTGGTCAGCCGTTCGATACAGTTAAGGTGCGGTTACAGCTGGCTCCAGAAGGTACATACAATGGAGCTGGAGACGTTATTAAGCGTCTTATGGCTACCGAAGGTCCAAAGGGTTTTTACAAAGGTACCATTACCCCCTTGATCGGAGTTGGTGCTTGTGTATCTGTACAATTTTCAGTCAACGAAGCCATGAAGAGATATTATGATAAATCTCTCAATGGTAAGGAATTAGGTTTACCACAATATTTCGTGTGTGGTGCCACTGCTGGTTTCGCAAATGGTTTCCTTACTGGTCCAATCGAGCACATTCGTATTCGCTTACAAACTCAAACTGCTGAAACTAAGGCATTTGACGGACCAATTGATTGCGCCAAGAAGTTATACCGTGCTAATGGCCTTTTCAATGGGATTTACAAGGGTTTGTCCCCAACATTAGTTAGAGAATCCGTTGGTTTGGGTATATACTTTGCCACTTATGAAGCTCTTATTAAAAGAGAATTAGGAAAAGTCAAGAATATCACCAGAGATGATATCCCACCTTGGAAGTTGTGCTTATTTGGAGGTTTGTCTGGTTACACCCTCTGGATCGGAATTTACCCTATCGATGTGATTAAATCGAAGTTGCAGACCGACTCCTTAACTGCTCCAAAGTATAAGGGACCTATCGACGCCTTCAGAGACATCTGGGCTAGACAAGGGGTTAAAGGTTTCTATAGAGGATTTGTTCCAACCATTTTGAGAGCTGCACCAGCCAATGGTGCAACTTTCGCTGCGTTTGAATTAACAATGAGACTTATTAATTGATAGAATACTATAAAAAAAGGAGAAGATTTAGAGAAAGAAGCAGAATTAAAGTAAGAAGTGACATAATTAAATTATTAGCATCTATTATATTGTACGTTATTTAAATAATCATTGCATCGTATATCATTCTATTCCGTCTTATTATGATGGAGTCTCTCTGATAATCCATATCCTTCTGGATAAGGTTGATAATCTGACGAGGTACCAGACCGTGATCCTGCCACTACCAGATCTCCTGTTATGTATTCATCTTCCACTGGATAATCATCAGGCAGGATAATTTTTATGAACTCCATGAAATCCATAAGGAACTCCCCATTAAATTCATAATTATCAGTTCCTAAAAGCTCCCATTTCTCTGTCTCATTCACCGTATGATGATTTTGCTCTTGAGCTTCAACGTCCAATTCTGCCCCCTCTACTACTTCGCCCTTTTCTTGACGTTCTCGTAATAACTTCTGTTCTCTCATTCTCTTGTTAAAATCCTTATCGATTCTTAAATGTAAAAATGGAATCCAATCAATAAGGTATAAGAAGGCACAACTAAGTACAAATACATATACAGATGTGACAACTGATCCAAGAAGCTGGTAACAGATTTGTATCCAATGACCTTCAACCCAACCACCTTCTGATTCATATCGAGCAGTGGCGAATATACCGGTCATTATGGAGCCAATGATCCCTGCCACGCCATGGATGGCAAATATATCCAAGGCATCGTCAACATGCATATAATACTTGACTCTAGTTGATAAGTTTGTAAGTATAGTTCCAACTATACCAAATAGAAAAGCCTTCCAGAATTCTGAAGATGATGAAATGTAACCTCCTGATGGGGTAATAACTACCAACCCGGTCATTACACCTGAAGAAAATGAAATTAATGAAATCTTTCTTCTAGGATGGGTGTTTGGTCGAGAATGTGAATATTGATTTAAATTCACCCCCGTTGGAGACATAGTGGTGGTCACTGCAAGATTCCCATCAGGAATTACTTGTTGTTCTGGTATAACTTCACCTTCAAATGGAATGGCAGAAAAATAATAATCAATCATAGTCCATATTACTCCACTTACACAGGCACATAAAACGGTATTAACCGCTATATACCCTGATCGGTCCAGAAACTTATAATCACAACCAGTAACAAATCCAACCCAACCACAAAGTGAGAGAAATGTACCTAATAGAACCCATGCAGTGTTTGTATTCCTGTAATTATACAAGATCTTGGGGTTTCTAGGTCCCAAAATGTATGAATATGCCAAGGCAGTAAACCCACTAACAATGTGAATACAATTCCCTCCAGCAAAATCAAGAACTGGTAATCGGTCCTTTTGAGAAGATAGCCAACCACTTTGGTTCCAAAACCAATATGTTACAGGATTGTAAATCATACAAGACCAAAAGAAAAGAAATACTAACATCGGTATTATACGGCCTCTTTCAGCGATACATCCTGGAAATGTCAAGGCAACACAGATGGCCTTCATCAACCCGTTAAAGGCAAAATGATTTACCGACAGGATGGTTCCTCTAGGAGTCACATATAACGCATTCAGAGTGTCCCTCAAATGGCGCAAAACAACAAACTCCATAGAGCCTATGAATGCATTTTTGGCACTGGCATAACTCAACGAATAACTCCATATAAACCAATCAATAAAAACCAAAGGTGTGAGTAAGATTGGTAATCCAAGCATCGTCAAGGAGGATCTTCTTTGAGTTAACCCCCCATAAAATACAGCTATTCCAATGATGACTAGTGGGAGAAGCGAAGTACAGTACAACATAAACAAGGAGTCAACCACATTCTCAACGGTGTAAGTGGATGTCGCTAAAGTGGACATGTTGGCTCGCTTCTTATATTTTGATGGAGAAGAGCCACTATCACTATAATAGAGCGTCCAAATTTGTCGTTTAGATCACAAAAAGCAGTTCTCTCTTCCTTTTAGACCGTTAGATTGCCTCTTGATACCGGTTCAAATATTTTCAATCAGTAATCATTCATATATGAATGGAAAACAATATGCCAAAAAGAAATTGAAAAAAAAAAAGAATTAAAAAAACAAAAAAAAAAACACTGCGTAAATGAAACACGATAAACGTTGCAACATGCAGTGATGCGGCGATAGTTAAACCCAAATCAATAGCAATAAGTTTGGAAACAAACCTTGCAAAAGGTTGGTATGGTGAAGTTGCTCCGTACGGAAACAAGTCTATCGAATTCCCTTTTCAAGATGGCACAATTTATACAGGTTGCAAAAAATGGGTCTGTAGTTCCATTTTTATGGGTTGCAAGGTTGTAGCCGTTCTCAACCATACCTAACATCTCGCTTCTAGTGTATGAAAGTTGGAATGTAGAAGTATTCGAGGCAAATGAATGGTTTGTATTACCAGTGTATACAATCAAGGGTGGTGTATAGTTGGGGTAATAGTACTCAGGTGACGATGTCTTTGATATTCCATTCACAGTGGGGTAATCCTTCGCTAGATCACATCCAAAGAAAATTGGCTTTTTATTTAATCCTTTATCAACAAATTCTTCGCAACTAGGAACAAAGGGGAATATCGCCTTGTTTATAGTTGAATTGAGTTGTTTATTCAGATAGAATGGAACTTCTCTCCTATTATTATGATACTGTTGACCTATTAGAACTAGACTTGTTCCATTGGGGAAATTTAGAAAGTCCCCAGACATATCAAAGGCAAATATTACATCAGTGGGTCTTGAGGGTTGTAGAAAGGGATGTAATGGGATATTCTGTCCATCTTCACCCCCATCAGTAAGGTAAATGTTTCTTTGAGTCAGTAAAGTTCCTTTCATTCCATTCGACAAGCCAAAAAATGGGTTTGGTGATATCAATGCATAATCTGGGTGATCTTGTGGTTTCTGGAGTGATTTCTCATTCATTGGGCCAAGACCAAATACTTTTAGTATGGTTGAAAATGCATTTAGTGTGGTCAGTCTAGTTTCAATGACATTATCATATAAGTAAACAATAGCATTATTGAACATTGAAGATGATGTGCCGGTTAAAAACCCCAAGTTATCATATCCGGAAATACACAGTGTATTAGATATCGGGATGCCATTTCTTAGTTTAGTTCCCAAATATTTGATATCTACAAAAGCATTCAAATATGAATTCCAAGATCCAAACTCGTATGGATTAATTTCAAAAGTATGTGAATAATTGGGTGATGAATGGGTTTGGGGGACCGTTTCAACTGCACAAATTATAGGGAATGGCTGTTCGAAATTTTTAAACGAAGGGAGAGTTGATGCAGATGAAATAGTTACTCCTGGTGACCTTACATTTAGGGGAAATATTCTTCGTGCAAGTGCCCTGCCCCAATAATCTGTAATTGAAAGGGGAAACCCTGATTTTTTCTTGGATTCAATCTCAACGTGTATATCTTTATAAAACGATATAACTTTTCTCCAAGATGAGCTTATGGTGGTAATCAGATTTGTTCTATCGGGAATGGGTTTCTTGTAGAAAATTGGTCGTAATAGATTTTCTAAAATCCCAGGTTTCCTATCATCTGTGGAATCAGAACTTTTCTGAAAACTAAGTACATTTAGTAATGTTTGTACAATACCAAGAGTTGGCTTCTTAGTGGTAGAGTTGGTTTGAAGTATATTTTGAGAAGGTAATGATTCCAAGTTGAAGCTTGGCACACCTTCAAGTAAAGGTTCAGAGGTAACCCATCCAGAATCTTCTTCGTGGACAACTATAGACATTGGTTTAAAATCGCTGATGAGACTACTTGCCACTAACCACGAGCCCCCGGAAATTCCTGCAATGTAATTTGTGGCCTGTAACAACCCACCAAGATGGTGCATTTGGGTAGAGTTGGGTGATCTTTCATCATATGCAAATAATACACCAGCACCGGTTAACATTGATCTATATCCTCCGCCAGAAAATGATAAAGATATATTGATCCTTTCAATAGAAATGGCTTGAGAATCGAAGCCTGGGATTCTATTTCGTGATAACAATTCCGCAAGGGCTTTGGAGGTTTTCGCTCTCCGGCCGGTAATATATGCCCTCTCCTTGTCGCCTAAAGTCTAAATACTTGTTAGTGTTTTGTGCCAGAATTCACTATGAGCTACAAGGTTGTACTTACTTTATTTGCAATTCTAACTACCGGTGTGGTTGGACATTGTACTTTAAATGGAGAGTATGAAGTCCTCCATATACTTTGATCTCTGGCAATTACTACAGATAAGTTTTTCGTCATAAATTGATAAGAACCGGTATGCTTTGATTCGATGAACAGTTTGACCAGTGAGTTCTGTGGTATCCCATAGAGAGTTTTGAGTCTTGAATATTGCCCTGTGGCATTGAACGTCAATACAAATGGAAGCGATAGTACTAACAAAACTACACTTGTAAATCTTGACATCGTGTAAGTATAGAGAATAAAAGTATTAGTATTCAAAAGCTGTCCATTTATGGGCTTCACCAACTTTTGCAACCAGCTAGGATCGCACACAAACAAAAAATAAAAAATCAGAAAAAATTAAAATCTACAATGTTCTTTAAAATAAATCTATAAGATTGAATATAGAAATAGACAACTAAACTAGAAAAAACACATATTATATATAATTCAGATTTCGAGAAATCAGAAGAATGACGGTATATTCTAAGCTGGCTTAGAACTCTTCATCAGAAGAGACGTAAGCATCACCCAATTCCTTCTTCTTCTTCATTCTTTCCTTCTTCTTCTTTCTCAACTCAGCGGAAGATAACTTAACCTTCTTCTTAGCAGAGGCAATCTTGTTACCCATAGCATCGAACTTGTCTTCTTCGTCTTCCTTCTTTTCCAATCTAGGACCGGCACCTTGACCTTGGACCCAGTTGTGACCAGATGGAGTCATCTTACCGTCCAAGACAGCCCAGACTTCTTCAGTCAAATCCTTGGTGAATTCGGCGGAGTGAGTAATGATAACAACACCACCTTCGAAGGCCTTGATAGCCTTGGACAAAGCTCCCAAGGAGTCACGATCCAAATAGTTAGTTGGTTCATCCAAGACGATCAAATGTGGTCTTTGCCAAGTACAAGCAGCCAAGACCAACTTAACCTTTTGACCACCGGACAAACCTCTGATTCTGGAGTGAGAAACTAATTCAGCTTCCAAACCCAACATAGCACAGTGTTCTTCGATTTCCTTTCTAGTCAAAGGTCTGAATTGACCAGAAGCCAAAGCTTCCTTCATGTCAACTTCGGCAACCAACTTAGAGTGGGTTTCCATCAATTCACCTCTTGGCAACCAAGTGTTGTCAACAGACATCATTGGGACCCATCTTTCAGTCTTCATACCAATGTTGTCACCCAACATCCAAGAACATTCGTATTCGTAAGAGTTCTTGAACTTTCTTCTGGCGTGAATACCTTGGATTCTTCTTGGAGTACCTTCAACCTTGAAAATCTTGTTCATAGAGTTTTCATCGTTTTCGTTGATTTGTCTAGAAGCTCTGTCCATGGTTTCTCTATCTTCACCAGTGTGGAATCTCCATTGAATGTATTCAGATGGAGTACTGTCCAAATGGTTATCAATGTGAGCGAAAGCATGTTGCTTAATGTAAGCAATACGACAGTTTTCGTGAACGTAAACGTCACCAGTGGTTGGTAACAATTCACCGGTCAAGACATTGATCAAGGTGGACTTACCGGCACCGTTAGGACCAATGACGGCAATTCTAGAAGACAAAGAACATTGGAAGTTAATGTCTCTAATTTGAGGCTTGGTGGTACCTGGGTATTGGAAAGTCATGTTGTTAACCTTGACAATAGCCTTTTGCTTGGTCTTAACACCTTCCAAGAAACCTGGTTCTGGGAACTTGAATTCCAAGTCGGAGGCTCCTAATTCGTAGTAAGATTGAGCAGATGGACACTTCTTGACGAATTCAGACAAGTTACCCTTGTACTTTCTCAACTTGAAACCTTCGTAATGGATAATGTATTGGGTAACATTGTCCAAGAAACCGGAATCGTGGGAAACAATAATGGAAGTAATACCACAAGTGTTCAAGTAGTTGACCAACCAAGCGACGTTAACGGTATCCAAATGGTTAGTTGGTTCATCCAACAACAAAATGTCAGCGTTCTTCAAGACGGCACGGGCCAAGGCCAACTTCATCTTCCAACCACCAGAAAGGGATTGAATTGGCATGTTGATCATTTCTTCAGTGAAAGCGAATTCTCTCAACTTTTCTTCGACAACTTCCTTAGTCAAACCAACTTCACCATCTTCAATGACGAATTGGGAGACAGTGGTGTCAGCGTGAGTACCATCAATGTCGTGTTCGACGTAGACGGTCTTACATTCTTGTTGGGTTGGGAAACCTTCGACTTGACCGTTAGCAATAGCTCTCATCAAGGTAGACTTACCGGCACCGTTAGGGCCACAAAGACCATATCTTCTGTTTCTCTTCAATCTGAATTGAGTCTTGTTCAACAAGATCTTAGCACCGTAGGCCAAGGAGAACTCACAGTTACACAAGTCTTCACCTTCATCTTCTTCATCTTCGAAAGAAGGTGGTTCAGGAATGTTGTCAATAGCTCTCTTTCTGAATTCTTCAATGATTTCCTTAGCTTCCTTTTCGTGCAAGAAAATGGTAGCGAATGGCAAAACGTTCTTGATCCAGACATCTGGGTGAATCAAACGTTCATCAATCAAATCACCAGCAATACCGGCAATGTAGGTCAAAGCAACGTCGAATCTCTTGGCAATTTGCTTACCTTCCAACAATTGGGTGAATTCGTTAAGGGTAACTGGAATGTCACCAGCAGTGGAAACTTCTGGAATAACATCATCATCACCAACAGCACCAACTCTCTTCAAGGTGGTAAGAGCTCTCAAGGTAACTTCTCTAGCTTCTGGGTCAGCAATAGTGGCAACGTTACCCTTCAAAGCTGGCAACAACTTGTCCATGAAAGGAGCAACAACTTGTGGGTCATCGACCAACTTACACATGTTGTCAACAATAACAGCAGCCTTACGCTTGATGGAAGTTTCACGTTCAGCAAGACCTCTGGACAACAATGGAGCCATAATGGACAAAGTTGCCATGGTAACTTCGGAAACGAAGGTGGTGGCACCCAAGATGTGGACGGTTTCTGGAACTTCAGTTGGCTTAGCAATACATTCAATCAACTTTGGAATAAACTTTTCGATATCCTTGTTGTCAATGGTTTCAGTAGACTTAGTCATGGTCTTGGTGGCGGCTTCCTTGACTTCCTTCTTGGTGTCCCACATAGCTTCGGAAAGAACTGGGATCAATTCAGGCATTCTCAAGGCAATTGGACCCTTAGCGGTGTCAACCAATTGGGAGATAGCAGCCAAAATGGCAACCTTTTCGGTCCACTTGTTAGAGGTGGAAAGGTTTTCCAACAACTTTGGCAAGATAACCTTGACAGAGGTTGGGGTGATGGCAGTGGCAATGGCCAAAAGAGCAGCGGCAGCAGCAGCTTGAACTTCCTTGTTCTTGTCACCAGCCTTGACAGAGACATCTTGGACCAAGTCAACAATGAATGGTTCAACAGATGGAGACAAGTCGTTAGCAGAAGCAATGTGAGTGTAAGCAATCAAAGCAGCAATAGCGACTTCAGTGTCCTTCTTGTTGTTGATTTGAGTCTTCAAGTCAGCGAAAAATTCAGCTGGAACATCATGTTCAACGATAGACGAGTTCAAGAAAGAAGCAACGTTAGAAGCGGCTTCTTCCTTGTCATCGGCGACCTGCAACTTGCTCAACAACTGAGAAAGAACCTCAGTGGAGTACTTGGATTCAGCAGCAGACATGGTTTTAATATGTGCGTTGGTAACAAACAAAAAAAAAGAGAAAATCCAAAGAAAAAATTTCGAGAGCGAACATAATTTAATATATATCAAAGGAAAATTTTTTTAGCTCATCAGGTATGGTGTGCATGTAGCACTTTATGCGTAAAAGTGGGTACGTTTTCGCAGTGCACCGTACTTGATACCTACTAGAAACGTTTCTTCCTGAGTAATTTTCAGTCTAGTGATACCATATGATTACCCTTGTTAAAAGTTTTATTCTTTTTTTTTTGATACGTAGATGTTTTTTTTTTTTTTTATTTTTTTTTTTGGCTTTCTAACTGTAACAGATTTACTGACGTATGGATATGATTCATTATCTACAAATGGTAAGAGAGTCAATTGAGGTCTAAGTAAAGAATAAAAGTTGGCAATTGCATTTGTATGTTCGTACAAATGTTAACCAATTGGGATTAAAAGCTTTTCGGGAACATGTGTGTTTCCAATTGCTCAAACTAACAATGATAGGGTAACCCATTGATTTAGGTGCTCTTAATTTATTATTACTTTTTATTTTTTTTTAATAAAAAGAAAAATTTGCCTCTAGGGTTTCTTTTTTCTTTTTTTTTTTTTTTTTAGTTGTTCGGTTTTTCTTCACTTTTTAGTTGCCGTTTTTGCCTCCTTGCTCTACTGCATGTAATCCGGTTCAATTTTGTAGGTTTTTGAATAATTATTCAATTTAGGTTTAATTTTCCATTTGGATGTCATATTTGTCTGCAGTCCGTGCAACCAGAAGTTCAACTTAACAATAAAAGAGTAGTTGGAGATATTAAATATTAAGTCTAGAAAATAATATGGTTTTTGTTAGTAGATAAGGAAAATAATAACAATTCAAAGGAAATTTCAAAATTTAAAGAAATTACAAATAATTTTGATTAAATTGATTATATATTCTTTTAGAATCATTCTCTTATATGTAAAGTTTATCTATTGTTTGTCTTGTTTTATTGTTCATCCACTAGGAAATATCAATATGAGTTTACTTCATGATCTCCAGTGTTTTTTGTTTGATTTAAAGTTTATACCTCTTTTATGGCCTGGACCCCACCTCTTTTTAAAGGCTTGCCTCCTTGGCCACCGTCTACAACGTCATTCTTATCGTTTCCAACTACTGGGGCTTCATTGGCAATGCCTCCCTTTGGAGCTTCAGCTACACCCATTCCAATTTCTCCCTTGGATCCTTGAGCCAAATTTCCCGCTAAGCCTACTTTGTCGGCCTCCTTGTCAGCATCCTTGGCTGATATGACCATTTTATCCAAGTTTATAGAAGCATCTGGTTTCACGACGGTGTATACTGGATCTGGTTGGGTCTTAATATCTTGAGATATTAAGTACATGCATGTTCCGAAAAGAAAAATCAACACAATATACCCCAAGACTTTCCTTCTTGGAGTACTGAAAAACAGTTGTGGCGCCTTATTATAAGGCGAGTTCTTCTTCATGGCAGTTGGCTTCATATAGTATGGCCTTGGAAGACCCTGGTTCTTGTAACTTCCTTGCATATTCAAATGTAATGAACTTGTTTCAACTATGTGCCAGATATCAAAAAATTAATTGTTTTCCAACGTGTATGCAATAGATTGTGGATTTCTTTTTTCTTTGTGGCTAATTGTAAGTGAGGATATGTGAATCGTTCAACTTACAAGTTCACACTGGTTGGTGTTGTTTCTGAAAATTAATATTTTTGTATACTTCAAAACACTTTGGCATTAGACCGCCTTGGGCGCCTGTTTTATTTTTTTTTTATTTTATGTTTTTGGTGTATGTGTGGACAATATACAGGCATGATCTCCACCTTTTAAAAATATCCTGGAGAAACGATGAAACTGGCGAGATTAAACGGAGATAATTCTATGAACATCTTGAAATTTAATTGGAGGTTATGCATGTATATTAGGTAATGAATCTGAGAGGTTTTATATGTGTGTACGTATGTATAAATTCTTAATTATTCCATTGTCCTTTCAATTCACCAATTTTTGACTTTGTGTACCTTTACCTGGTATCTTATTCCGAGATCTCCGATCTTAAAAAGAAATACATAGATTTGAAGTATTTAAATCCATTGAGAACATTTCAAGTATGATTGATCATGTTTACGACATCATTTAATTAGATTGTATGGATTTATTGTATAGAATGAAAAAAAAAATTGTAACTCTTTATAATTTTAATAAAATATATTTAATGGATACTTTGAATAAGAATAATAATATATTTCTTTCTAATTTAATGTAAATCTTTGATAAAATGTTTCCAGAGAATGACCAAAAAAAACAAGCACCTCGTATTAACAATAGGAAGAAATAAAGGACGTATAGATCCTGATATAGCTACTTATTTTTTTATACAAATATAACACAACGTTTATATCTGTTTGTGTTTTAAAACTATTTTGTACAAATAGAGAGGCCATATTAATTTGAGATTTTGCACCCAATTCTCTCTAATCCCAATTCATTTTACCAGATATCTACAAAAATATTTAACAAAGAATGAAATCAATCTCTTTTTTATTCCTTCTTACATTGGTGACTGCAACACCTCCTGCTTGTTTCTTAAGTTGTATTAATGAAGTAGCTCATACTTGTCCAAGAGAACATATAGATATATATACTCTTTGTGTCAAAAGAGATTCAGTAATTGGTTGTTTGGTTGACATCTGTCCATATGGGAACTTTGAATCGGCAAGAGATCATTTCCTAGGAACTTGTTTAGAACATATCCATGATAAACCATCGAAGCCAGATTTTATATCGTCTTTACCACCACAACATACTGAAATTATTGATCATTCTAAAATTACTTTGCAACCAACTAAAATATTACAAATCCCAGCAGAGATTACCGTAATTCCAAATAAAAGATTGAAAATTGTTAGAAATTCAAAGAATTCTCCATCAGAGAATCCTCAAGTTATTTATGATCTGTCTCATGGAAGATCCAGAAATGCTCCTCCTCCCGCACCAGGCAGAAATATTATTAAAGAATCATCTTATCTGGAAATTGAAAGGAAAGAATCTGCTTTCAACTCTAATAAGAAATTATATAGAAAATAAAACATATAAAATGATTATGTCAGAGAATTACTTTAAGCCCGTTTAGTAGCTCTCAAAACTTTGTGTACAGATTCTTTAGGAATACTAACCAATCCAAGTTCTCTTTTATGCTCTGACCCATTCAAAAGATCCTTAGATGTTTCCCAAACATCTCCTAATAAGAGGTTTCCAAATGGATCAATTGCCGTCAAAACACCATCAAGGGTTCTGGTGTTCTTTAATTGAACCTTGAGGGTAGTGCCAATAAAGACTGATGGATGTGGCGGGGTCCCTGAATCACTCATACCGCTGATTGAATGATCTGTAGCTATATGGAGTCTCTGGGGTGTAGAGATTTGTTTCAAAAATTGGTTTTATTCAATCTTAATTATTTTTTGACTTTTTTTTTTTTGAAATTTTAACCATAAAAGTAGACATAATTACCTCATTTACCCGGCCACGCGTACTATAAAAGAGTGAAAAGTTGTTGGAATTCTTAAAAGTTTCTTACACTTTTTTATTAACATCAATCGCATATTCACTCTCTACAAAAAGTTTGTTGATATTTTCTATATATCAGCTGATGGGGTATTAACCAGTGAATGAAAGCGTATAAAAACCTTTATGGAGCACGTTTCTGGGCGCCTGATGTTGACACCTTCATGGAACATTGGGAATCAGTTGTGACTAAATCTTTTTTTTTTTTAATAATTATGGATGTAGATTGTAAAACAATACCACTTCTTCTTTATACTCTTGATTTATTTTGTAGGAATTAAACCATATTAAATATAATATTTTTATTTCGGCATGTTCATTATTTGACATTTGTTTGACAAAATCATTTCTATGCATGAAAAAGGGTGAATATGTATAAACGTTTTGACATATTTTTCTTTCCTCAACTCCACTATTTTTGATCTTCATAAGAATGGATAAAACCACTCAAATTGAGGAACTTGAAACGCTTTATAATGAGTATAAACCATTTTTCCCTTCTTGTGATTTACATTTGAATTCTACAAAGAATACGAATCAAGTCCCTGGATCAAATAATACAATCTATGATAAATTATTACAAAAGAAACTTAATAATTATATACAAATAATAATAAAGGAAGGTGAAACAATCCAAGTATCAGTCGATATTAAAGGTTGGTATGTTTTAGACAAACCTCAAGGTCATTATGAAACTTTTGAAGCATTATTACTGGAAATTTCCCCTGGGTTTAGAGATACATTTGGGAACTCATTAGCTATGAAATTAATGCAATTGCAGGACAATTAATACACATATATAGATATATATACATGCTTACTATGATTTTAATTCTTATTCGTTCTTTATTATGTATATGTACAGGGTTATATATATGTGATCTATTTCTTTCTAAGAGTAGCTTCCAAATCTCCCACATCAAGTCTTGTGTTTCTAATGTAGTAATGCTTGGCTCTAGAAAGATATTTCTTTGGTTGAGAAATCAACTCAATATTCTTGATCTTTGGGTTAAATACTGGGATTCTAACTTCACATCCTAACTTTGTAATTTTATTTCTTAATAAAATGTTACTGTCTGTGAAACTTCTCTTAATGGCAATCACTTGTCCCAAAACAGTGGATCTGTCGGTATAAGTGACTCTGATAACATCACCGGAACGCAAACGGGAGCTGCTATCCTTTGCGATTAAAGCTCTTCTTTTTCCAGTAGGGTCGAGCTTGGCATATAACTCCTTATGCAAAAACGACAATGCCAGTTCACCGTCTCTCTTAGGAGGTAATGGTTCATATACTGTAGGAACAGAACCGTTCTTGAATGGGATGAAGGTTCTGACAGACTGAAGGCTCATTCTAGCCGGCACAAGGCCCACTTTGGTAAGTCCAAACATAGTCTAATTTTGGTTATAGATTGACAAAGTTCACCTAACCTTGTTGATCATTTTCAAAATTTTCAACTTTTTTGCGAACACTCCAAAGAGGAAAAAAAATATTAAAAATCTATACACTCTAGATGCTTACATGCAGGCAACCCACATAGCCAATATAACCAGTAGGTTCAGCTCTTTAGCCTACAACACTTCATGCTTTTTTTCTTTTTTTTTTTTTGGTTTATAATAATTAATTGAATAGTTGATCAATCTATTCTCAACAATAATCTAATGTACATATGAATAATGAGTAGATTAGAAACGAGCACGTCTCTTTCTACCAGTAAATTTGGAATCTTGTGCAACCTTCTTACCTCTTCTCTTCATGGTTTCCTTCTTTCTAGCAATGAAATCCTTCTTTGATTCAAACTTCTTGGAAAGTTTCTTATTAACCTTTTTAACCTGTTCTGGAGCATCCATTTCAGCACCTGCCAAATTAATGTTTCTTTCAGCTTGACCAGCAGTAAGAACCATGTAATACTTCTTATGTCTCTTAGATTCTGGATCATCGATGATCAACCCACCACCAAAGCCGGCAACTTTGGCAGCTCCTAAAAGTGATTCAGTTTGAGCATCGTTCATGGGGTAAAATTGTGCAACAAATTTCCCTCCTCTTTTCAATGATGCATATAAAGAGTTGAAGAAACGTAACATTCTCTTCTTAGGATCAACATTGGCAGTATCAGCGTTACATAACCATTGAATGGCAGAGATAGAAATAGCTGCATCGAAAGTACCAGCTCTGAAATGAACTCCATTACCCATATCACTAAGGAATAAATCTCCTTCTACATCACGATCCAATCCAGTTGCCAACATACTTGGTGAAATATCCATACCAAGCCAGTTATATCCTTCTTCAGTCAAGATTTCTCCAGACAATCCTGAACCACATCCAAGGTCTAGTATAAAGTGTGGTGCTTCCTTTTCCAAGTTTAAGAGTTCTAATGCTCTCAAGGTCATCTTAGCTTGAATATGCTGCACACGAGTGGAGGCAGTATACTTGAACGACTCTGAGTCATTGTAGAACACTTCTGGAGGTGCAAGTTGTTCAGGTCTCGACATTTTTACTACTACTTTTCCCTAATATATGAGTTGTGATGGGATCTTTCCTTCTTCTAAAAGAAAAAAATTGAAATCCAAAAAAGATCAAAAAAAAAAAAAAAAAAAAAATACATTGATGTAAATCATGATGTACTGCATCTAACACGATGAGTAGTATGGGTGCAAAGATATCAACATATTTACAAGTTGTAATACAGAGTATTTCTAATCATTTATCATTTATATATATATATATACATCCATTGTAATTCAATTCTTTAATCTATTTTATTTTCCGTTTTCTTATTTTTTTTTTTTTATTTTAGTTTTGTTCACTTTACTTTTTTAAAAGATTAAGTAAAGGGTGCAAATAATTGCAGGACCTGAAATAAACCCAAACCAACATATAACATTTCCTAAAACCTTCTTATCTCTCATATATTTTGTTCTACTCATCATAATCAAGGGGATTTGAGACATTTGTAAAAGTAAGAGATATCCTCTTAATCGATTGAAAATCACATACATGACAAATTCATGTACCAAACTTGAAATAATAAATGTCATCAAGGAAGCTTGATATTTATTCAATTCTAAAGTGCTCACAGAAGAATGATACACATGTCTAAGCAAGAACTTATGGACTGGTCTATTCCAAATTCTAGCAAATTCTGACCAATCAGTGCAAGACCACCATGGACCATAAAAGTCACGATCAGCAAATCTACTCAATTCAGCAATATCATTCAAAATAGCATCCCAAATCAAGAAAAATGTGAAAAGATATTCCATTAAAAATGGAGGGATCATATCTAATAAGATAAAGAAAAATGCTATTAATCTTTCATTTGCTGGTAATTGTCTAGCAGCACTAGCTCTAACCACAAGTGGATACATTGAGTTTTGTGCCACTAAAATCATTAAAAAGATGATTCCAAATACTCCAGCAGTTTTCTCAAACACATATGACCATCTAATACGTTTTGTTCTAGTAAAATTTAATGTATAAACCACAGTAGGGTACATTGAGAATTCAAAGAAATTATAAAGATTAATATTTGAAGGGAAATGAATTTTTTTAGATAATGCTTCTTGATCAATATTAGCATGAACTTGTGCAGCATGTGTAAGAACTGCTCTAGATTGACATTCTAATTCAAATTCACAAAATGTAACACTATCATTCAATGTTTTACGAACATTTTCTTCTTTAAATTTCCCTGGTAATGTAACTGGTTTTACACCATTTAATTTTTCCAAAAAAGATTTGGAAAATTCTAATTCATCAAGAATATTCCAAAGATATCCATTATAAAATCCATAAGAATGCATTTTCATAAGAAATACAAATCCATGAAGACATAAAAACACCTTGGCAATCCAGGGGAAATCTTGATAGGAGGCAAAATGTGACCAAAAGACCAAATGAACAAATTCAAATAAACAATGTAATTTTATCCCACTAGATTTCCATCGAATATATTTCTTAAGACATAAAACTTGAATGAAATATGCACCATAAGAAGTTATATACATGGCAATATCAGTTAATCCAACCTTAAATAAATCTTTTCTTAGTATAGAAATAACTTGTAATTGAGCAAATGGGATTGAATTATCAAAATATGCATGGGCCATACTAGAAAGCATTAAAAAGGCAGTTCCTAACCAGAATAAGACATAGATACCGAAAAATTCAGAGTTTTTAAAATAATCTGCATCAAATATAGTTGATGATTGTGAGAAAAATTCTATATCACCAAACTTTGATCTAAAATTATGAAGGATTTCATTTTTTTCAGTTGGTTTGACTTCAGTTAATGGGTCCACTTCTTCTACTTCAATGCTTGGTTTCTTAGCCTTTCGATTCTTCTTCATTCGATGATTTCCAAAACTACGATCAATTTCAGTTATTGAAGCTTCAAATTGATTATGAAGAATCTTATCAAGATTGCTAATTGTTTCTTTGACATCTTCAGGTGCTAATCCATTTGCTTCTTCCGCATTTAAACCTTTCTGAGATTTCTTCCTACTTTTAGAGCGTACAGTACCACCAAGGGGCAGCTTTAACTCGGGTTTTGGAGCACTGCTCAAATGGTCATCAGAGTCCAGAGTAGACAGAGCATCCCTACTCTCAAGCAATGTTCTATAATCATAATCGCCATCTAGTACAAGGGATTTCCGTTTCCCTTCATTTCGATGAGTTATCAAGGATAGATTTTGTTCTGTATTTAATCGTTTCATTGATATCCTTTTATTTCTCTATTCAAATAATTGGAAAATTTACAATAAAAAAGATAGTCTAACAATCTCATCAGTTGATACCTTGGTGACAATTAGCTTATCTTTATATATGGGGTACATGCAGGAAGGCACCGCAATTGTAAGGAGGGGGGGGGGCCGAGTTACAAAATGATGTCACTAAAGGCAATGAATGAGTAACCCGAAATATCCGGGATATAAACCGAAATACCCCTCATATATTACAAATGTACACTAGAAATAGATAATATACGTTTATTTTGTCTATTTACAAGTGGAATGTTTTAAAAATTAATGAAATTTGTATGCATAAATGTGGTTATTTAATGCCACACATGGGTAGGTGAGAATGAAAACTGATCGTCTTTCACACTAAAAGTTTTGTGTTTGTTTTTCTGTGATTTCGCACTCATTACCTTAACGATAAACTTGTTCAAAAGGTCTAGTGTCATTAAAACATGATTGCCAAACAGTATCAACCACTCTTTGTGCTTCTTCCGGGCCAGAACAATTAGGGTTGGCTTGCACCGAGAGCACAGCTCTTCTTCTTACGCAAGTTTGGAATTTACTTCCGAAATTTCCTAACCCAGTTTTCTTGATTTCATTAAATATTCTACATTCTCCACTAAGCATGGAAGCTCTTATCTCTGTACATGCATGATGTTTAAGGTTTGTAAGATCTACTTTGAATTTCAAGTAGTCATACGCATGTACCAACTCATGGGCAAGAATATCTTCAAGTTGCCACTTGTTCCGGATCCAATTTGAACAAAGTAAAATCCCCATTTCTGGATGGAATCCACCACCTTTAGTATCGTCACATACATCACAATTAATGTTGGTGACATTAAGATTACCTCCAAGTTTTCTAACATGATCCATCATGAAGATAACGGTGGGGGAATATTGTAACATCCAATCTCTACCTTCTACACAGCTCTTACACATATCTGGTAAATTCTTTGCTGTATAATCATGTTCATATTGTTTCTGTTCTTGTTCATTAAGTCCTAAACCAGTTCTATAGGCCAAGGAACGTCTCCACCATTCAAAGCCAGTAAGTTTTTCTGGCAGTGATGTGGATAACTCCGATGGTTTATGTTGACTATCGTCAGAAGAAATGGCCATTTTGCAAGGTGGAGAGATGTGGAGAGAGAGTGTGTCTATTCAGTGAGGAACGATTTCTACAACTGTTCGATAATACTTCAGTTCAATTTTGTGTTATTTCAAAATTCATTGATGAGCTTTTTTTTATTTTTTTTTTGAATTTGATGTGCAGGGCAAATCAATGAGTATACCAAAAGAAATAGGACATATGTTTTTCTTTTTTATTTAATAGAACAAAGTTAAAAGATGGTAGCCAATATTTGGGTTGCAGCTGCTGATAATGAAGTTGAAATAGTGAAAAAGCACCTTGATGCTGGATTTAGTGGGAATTCAAAGGATCCAAATGGATATACTCCAATACATGCTGCCGCATCTTATGGTCATTTAGAACTTTTAAAGCTTTTAATATCCAAGGGAGGTGACATTAACATACAAGATAATGAGGGAGACACTCCATTACACCACGTGGAAGAGCTCCGGGTGGCCAAGACCATGGTGGAAGAATTAGGAGCCGATTGGAAAATCAAGAACAATGATAATCAAACTCCTGCTGAGTACATAGAAGAGGAAGATGAGTTCCCAGAATTATCACAATATTTACGTTCCTTGGCTCATGACAAGCCAGAAGTTGGATCCTCCTCTTCTGTTGACGCTGACTTCCTTGCATCATTGCCATCACCAGGTACCGTTGATGGACACCAAATCAGATATACCATGGAATCTGAACCACAAGGTGAAGAAATTGGAATTAATATTATGGGTGATGAAGAAAAGAGAAAGAAGATTGAAGAAATTTTGAACAGTGAAAACCCTGAAGAAGGTTTAAGAGAGTTGATTCTGAATGCCGTTGCTGATGGTATGGCTCAATACAACGCAGGTGAATCCAAGTCTGCCGAGCCAGAAGAAAAGAAGAGAAGAAAGTAGGTAAGAAGCTAAGAAGTTGGTCAGACCACTTGTGGGGGTGCTACCACTAGCATCATTTAGATATAGAGATTGTAATGATAATAATGTAATTACTAAACAGAGTTTTGAAAAAATGCTGTAGCAAGAAAGATAACAAAAAGATAGCAAAAAGATAACAAAAAAGTCTTTCAATTTCTATAATTACATATATACATATTGATACATTCCACTTACTATTTTAAAGAGAATACTTCACTCACTTACTCCATAATAATTTTATATCTCTCTATTGTGGATACTTATCATGCAACAGTCGTGCCCCGCCGGAAATTCCAATCTCGACATTTTGCGTCCAAGAAAAATGGACCAACGATTAACGACTACCACTTTTTATTAACAAAGTTAAAGATAAGCTATGATTGTTGAATTGATTGAAAAGTTGGGACTCTCGTCCTATTTCTCTGGCCAAGATGTGTATGTTTTTTTTTAAAAAAAAAAGAAAAGAAGCAAACTTTTAATGATGTCTTTGTTTTTTATATAGTCCACTAACCATTTTCAGGCCTTACTCTCAATTGAGTCTTGAACAATTGAAGAACATGACTATTCTTGAACGTATCCAAGCCAATGATTGGAAGTTGGAATACATCACCTTGGCCTTCACTGCTGTGTTTGTCATTTTGTTCAAACTTGGTGATTTCTATAACCAATGGTTGGTTACCAACTACCTCAAGGCTCTTAAGGGTGTCTTTACCAAGAACTTTGCTCAATACGGTGTTTCTAGTGATGGATCCCTTTATGTTAAGGATAGTTCTGAAAGTTATTCATCTTATGCCACTGGAAGAGCTAACATTGCCAAGGTTGACTTAACCTTTAGATTGGCTCCAAGACATAATTCATTCGTATGGATCTTGGAAACTCTTCTTTCTATCTTTACTGAATCCGTACAAGCTCCAACTGACAGAGTTGACATTGTTATTACTCCTTCTGCTGAATATGATAACTTTATTCTGGCCATTGTTTCTAAATTGGGAATGAATGACTTCAGAAAGTTTAACTATTACCTTTCATTGACCAAGACTTCTGATAGTGCTAGATTACCCGAATCATTTGTTTTCATGAGTGAAGCTGCTGAATTCCAAGACAAGACCCTTACTGAAGAATTGCGTCAATCTTTGAAATTGGACACTGCTTCTTTCTTGAGATTTATTGCCATTACTGATCAACCAACTGAAAAGCCAGCTACCATTCCTGAATGTCAACCAGTTCGTAGAATTGTTGTATCTACCAAGCTTGTTACTGGATCTGATCAATTAGCTCAAATCTCCAAGGTTTTGAACTCTGTCTTCAACTTGGTTGATCATTTGGCCACCAAGAAGATTCTGTTCAAGCCTGAAGCTTTGAAGAAGATTGTCAAGACTAGAGAAGTTGAAATTTCCAAGATTAAGAAGATTGATGAAGAAATTAAGGCTGAAAAATTGGCTGAAGAACAAGCCAAGTTGAAGAAGCAAGAACAAGCAAGATTGAGAAACTTATCTTCTGCTGAACAAGAAAAACTTGAAAAGAAGGCATTGGAAAAGAAGCAAAGAAAGGCTCAAAGAAAGCAAAAGCTTAGAATGTAAATATTCTTTATTTGTCTTTTCCCTTCCTTTGTTTGAAAATCAATACAATAATAAAATTACAATATAAGATTAATAAATATTAAAGTCCCTTTTTATTCTATTATTATTACATTTCTTTTTATTTATCCTTCCGTTTCCGTTTACATTTTACCAGTTAACCTCCAACCTCTACCAACTGGAGTCCTAAAGACTTCAACCATTCCAGCACCAAGTGCATCAGCTAAGATCCAATAAAGTTCGAATCCATAGTATGGTTTTCTAAAATTATTCATTTTAGAGGTAAATTGAGTATCAAGTCCATGATTGTTTTTAGTTGTAGATATTCCTTCCCATTTATCAAATAATTGATCTTCCAAGATCTCTTTATATTTTGCCTTGGATAATAACTTCACCAACCATGCTCTACCAGCATTAATTAATTTAAGATAGGTTCCACAGGTTGGATATGCTAATGCATATTGATGTGATTCAATTTCATTGAGATGGTTCGAAGTAAGGGTAATATATCCAAAAGTTACCAATTTATTAATATCATCCTTGGTAAATTCATCAAGTCCAATAAACAAAGAAGTTGGGTTCTCCTTAACATATGTACTGAATTTAACAAGACATTCAGTTCCATTTAAATCACCCTCAATGTCTTTAATCTTTGATTCAATTTGTTCTAAATAATTGTCCAATTTTACTACGACTTCAACATTTTCATATCCATACGTTACTTTCCCCTTTTGAAACTTTTGAGGAGATCTCAGAATGATTGGTGAGGCATTTGTAATAATAAATTTTTTAAGTTTACCTTGTCTTATTTTCAATTCTAATGATCTATCAACAAAAGTATGACCTTGTTTTTCAAAAATAGAATAAAGTTGGTTTACTGTAACCAACCCATGTGGTAGTTGGGTAGTACGATATTTCATGATTTCTGCCTTTGTTGCCATTGAAAGTCCAGTAAGCAGAAATAAAAGTTGTTCCATATCTCCAGACTTTTTAAGTTCCTTATCATGGAACCGATTGTGAAGTGTACATGATTCTGACCATTGTGTTTCCAAGATGGTATCTATTGCTGTGAGAATGTCCTCATTCGAAGAGAGTTGGTAATCGAGCTGTACGTTATAATCCAAGACAGTTAAAGGTTCTTCCACTTTGGATTTCTTCTTCTCATCAATAGCTGGTGATGCTGCAAGTGATTGCTTTTGCTTCTTCTTAAGATTCTGTTGATATTTTGCCAGTGACGGTAGCAAGTTCTTCAAAGAGCTAGGTAGTACAGACTTCTTATTGATAGTAGACGACTTAGCTGCCGTGAATCGAAGATTACCTGGCATTTTAAAAGAACAATGATCAAGAAGAGGAATAGGATTGATTTGACTACTTTTCTTTTTTTTTTTTTTTGCCGTTACACTTTTTCTATGCGAATGATAGTTATACAATTATAGCAGGAGATTTAAGATGATACATGATGGGTAAAGAAGTTCACGTGATATAATGTATTGGTATGAATATTATACGATGTATTAGATGAGGAATATTTCTTGTATTGGTGATTCGAAGAGTTGTAGGTATTTTATTGGGATGATCTTGTCCGTGGGAGATATGAAAACAAGTACTTTCATAGTGATCCGTCTCCAATCATAGACGGGCCGATTCCAAAAGTATGTATTTATATATATATATATATATATATATATGACTATTACTACAATAATTACACAATCTTCTTTTATATGCTTATTGTTTATTGATATTATATACACGATGTTTTATGCCTATTGCACAATCACAATTCTTTCAACGGCTTCACGTTCACCTGGAATCTCCAATGATAAAATGTACTTACCAGAAGAGTTGATTTCCTTTACTTCACCTTCCTTTTCATGACCCAAAGTAATGGTAGAGACAGGGATGTCAATACCTGACATGTTGTACATTTGCATGGCTAACAATTCCTTGGTGACAGGAAGGGTAATTTGATCGGTTAATTGGACGTAGAAAGTTTCCGGTATATCCAGGGAAATATCCAATGATGTGTAAGTAATTTCACTTGATTCAACAACTTGTTGAGTAGATTTATCCTGGATTGACAGTTGTTGTTTACCTCTTTTACCGGAATTCTTCATGGATTGGAACAAGTTAGACAATTCATCCAAGGACAAGGCTCCGACCTTACCAATTTCTTCTTCTCTAGCAGCCTTTTCAGCAGCTCTTTGCTTAGAAAGAGCCAATTCAGCAGCCTTTTCTTGTGCAAGTTGTGCTTGTTGTGCTCTGAAATCAGATTTGTCAACCACGGGGATTCTTGGACCCACTTCATTGGTAATATACGCGGCACCGTTACCCATATGTAAGTAGTTTCTCATCACAGATGGGAGAACCTTAATAACTTCTCCTCTATAGCCAAAGTTATCAAAATCTTTCAAAAGTTGTACGGGGATTTTAGGGTCTGGACGTCTGGGCGTTTTTCTGGAAGTTCTGGTTCTAACGGCTTGTTTAGTACCAGCGGCAGCTTGGCGCACTGCCGCGGTTGGTCTGGACCTAATGGACGAAAACATTAACGTTGATATGGTACGATCAAATCAACCTTTCAATTGTTAAATCCTCTCTTGGACGCAAAAAAATACTCAATCGAAATATTGAAAATTTACATGACACAAAACGAAAAAGCCAAAAAGCCAAAAAAAAAAAAAATAAAAAAAAAAAAATATTTTGAAAGTACTGTATGAAAATATTATATACACTACTTTTGTATACAGATAGATAGGGTCATCTCATCACATGGATTGTGATCTATCTATACAATATAATACCTAATCATATAATTGTTAACTATGCAGTGTTCGATATGTCAGATAAATCCTCTGAAGTATACGTGTCCTGCGTGTGAGGCCAAGACGTGTTCTTTGAATTGTATTCGTCAACATAAGAAAGATGCCAATTGTACTGGTACAGTTGATCAAACCAAATTTCTTGCCAAAAAGACACTTTCATCCGATGATGCTCATATCAATCGAGACTATAACTTCCTTTTACAAGTGGGAAGAAAGATACACGTAGGGAAAGATGACGTGAAATCTAATGCTCGTAATGTTTTCAAACGTCAATTTAGAAACGGTAGTAATAATAATAATAATGGATCAAATAATAAGAGACAGAAGCCACAGACTCCATCGGTAGATCCAAGGACTTTCCTTGTTAATAAGGTATTCCCCAACGAACCGACTACTGCAGTCAAACGTCACAATACATTGGTGGTACAACTTCCACCGGGAATGTCTAGAGCAGCTTCCAACAAATCTGGATATGATAAGAAGATGGGGTCATTCATTTGGACAATTGAATGGGTATATATAGACAATTCTGGAGAGGAAACCACTAGATTCTTGAGTTATAGATTGAAAGAAGGATTATTGTTGAGAGAAGCTGTTCCATTGAACATATTAAATAAGGCAACCAGTACCAGTGAGAATTGCGATAAATCAGTTGATATTGATCGTAATGAATTAAGATTTTATTTAGATAATGTGTTGGATAAGGGTAAGAGGAAAACATCAAAGTCTATTTTAAAACTTCGAGCTGATGTATCAATTTCAGAAGCACTTACTGATATGGTTGTTCTAGAATTCCCAACCATATATGTGACAAGAAATGAAGAAACTTGGAAAGAATTTGTTTCTGAAAATCAATTGGAACAAGACCATAGTGAAGATGATCTGAGTAGTGAGAGTGAGAGTGCAACTGATAGTAGCAGTGATGATAGTAGTAGTGAAGAAAGTGAGAGTGAAGATGAAGGACCAGAAGTTGAATCGACAAAGGAACTGGATTTTGTTCCTCAAGTTGTCATTGATACAAATATAATAAACAAAGAAGATTCTTCCAAGGAGGTCAATGGTGAACTAGCTCAAGTAGATGTCGATGGGTTGGAAAAGGAGACAATTGTACTGGTCAATGAGATTGAAGAAACTTCTGAGATGCAAAATAATGAGAAGGTTGATGAAGTAGAAATATAGACAAAAAAATTAGAAGGAGTCATGGTAGTATAGATAGAAAATATGTATAGTAAAATGAACAGGAGAAACTACTATTTGCATACAGTGCATCTATACAAAATGAATATACTCTCTCAGTGTCGTCATACACACATGTATAGAAAATCAAAATTTTGTAACAGCCCCACTATTTTGGTCTATCATTATTTTCAACCTTCTATATATATATTTTTTTTTTCTTTTCTATTTTTTTATCGTGTATCTCTTTACTGTTTCATTAAAATACCGGGTACAACATGAATAGTGTATTCAGAAAACCAGCCGACTCGGATAGGAATGTCCAGGCCACAGTGTATATAGGGAATCTAGACCCACAGGTGACGGAACCTTTACTTTATGAATTACTCGTACAGTTTGCACCTGTCCGAACTTTAAACTTCCCTAAAGATCGAATTCTTAAAACACATCAAGGTTATGGATTTGCAGAGTTTCGAACTGCAGAGGATGCAGAGTATGTGTTGGAGGTCACTCGTGGAGTTAGATTATTTGGTAAATCATTAAAATTTAAGAAAACTGAACTGGGTGGATCAAAGACATCGCAACAAGATCAACATCGTTACCAACAACAAGCAGCTCTTACCACGTCAAATGCTATCGATGTTGGAGCAAAATTATTTATTAATAATCTTAATCCATTGATAGATGAGCAATTTTTACAAGACACATTTTCTAAATTTGGCACCCTTATACGGCCACCCATTATTATTCGAGATGAATCTGGAGTTTCAAAGGGTTATGGATTTTTAACATTTGCAGACTTTTCTATCAGTGATGCAGTGATAGCAAAAATGGCAGGAGGAATGCTAATGAACATGAAGGTTGATATAAACTACGCTTACAAAGAAGATGCCCTGGGTAAAAGAGTGAGGCATGGTGATAGAGCTGAAAGATTACTTGCAGAGAGTGCCAAGACCAATAATCTTTTGAAAAATGAAATAAAAGTAGAGGGGAAAAAGGGAGGTAGAAGGAAATGATGATGATGGGATATTGGATTTCAAGCTGTACTGGATATTATTATTAATTAATAGGGGTTAAACCTAGTATTGGAAATGTGGGGGGGGGGGAATAGTATTATATTTAATAGATTTGGCATATTAAGGCTGAATTGTGGAGAAAAATATACCACAATCCACAGCATTCACCACTCTAATACCTTATTATTATGTACATTGTCTTTGCCACAGGTTGTATTTCCATGGATTAGTAAGACTATGTTCAAGAATGATCGGACCGCAACCGCGGCCCGCGTTTGATAGCATCGGACCGCGTTTGTGAGCCACGAATCGCACGCCTGACAGCCCAATTTTTACCAATATGGTTGCAGTTTTATTCATTTTAGCTCAAACTTAACAAAACTTACAGGGGTATATAAACCATTGTATGTTGCAACAATCCAAATTATTCTTTACCAATATACTTCGTATAACTCCTGTATCTCACAGACTTACAACTTTCAAATTTTTTACTTCCACCTCAATTAAAATGTCTCTTCCAACAACTCACAAGGTCAACCTTATTGAAGAAAATGGTGAATCTATCGACTTAGTTAAATATGTGGATGTTCCTACTCCTCAGATTGAAGGACCGACTGATGTTATTGTCAAAAATAAGTACTCTGGTGTCAATTTCATTGAAGCCTACTTCAGAAAGGGTATCTACCCATCTCAAAAGCCATATGTTTTGGGCCGTGAAGCAACTGGTGTTATTGCTGCTATTGGGAAGGATGTTAAAAAGTACCAAGTTGGTGACAAGATTGCCTATCTTTCTGGTTCCACCATTGCACAATATACCAAGATCCCAGAGTCTCATATTCAAGTTAAGAAGTTACCTGCTTCTACAACGGACGAAGAATTGAAGGATCAAGCGGCAGCTTTATTACAAGGTTTAACGGCATTATCATTGATTGAAGAAGCATACCCAGTCAAGAAGGGAGATGATATCTTGGTTTGGGCTGCTGCTGGTGGTGTAGGTAAACTTTTGGTGCAATTGGTTAAGAGAAAGGGAGCTAATGTTATTGCCATCGCATCAACCGAGGAAAAGCTTTCTGAGGCCAAGACATTGGGTGCTGATTATTTAATCAATTCTTCCACTACTGACGATATTGCTGCCAAGGTTAAAGAAATCACCAAGGGTAAAGGTGTTGAAGCCACATTTGATTCTGTTGGAAAGGATACTTTTGAAGCTTCGTTTGAACTGGTTGCAAGAAAGGGTACTTTTGTTTCGTACGGTAACGCTTCAGGAGCAGTTCCACCATTTTCTATTGGTAGATTATCTGCCAAGAATATCAAGATCATTAGAACATCTCTTTTCGGCTACGTGTCTACACAAGAAGAATGGGACCATTATTCTACTGAGCTCGCTCGTTTGATCTCTAGTGGTGAATTAAAGGTTGATATCTTCAAGGTTTACCCATTATCTGATTACAAGCAAGCCGCTACTGATTTGGAAGGTAGAAAGACTACTGGTAAGTTAGTTTTAGAAATCCCAGAATAAGTAAACTGAGACCTTAATATTAATTACATTAATTATATCGTTCAATAACACTTTTTATTTTTTTAATTTACAATCTTGGTCTGGAGTTCTCGTATTTCACAAGATCTTCAGGAGTAGCTACTCCATAGACAAATGTCCCGACATCGTTAGTTACTATGGCAAAGTAGTTACCACCGTTGAAGAACTTGGAAAGTTCTTCCAAGGGGGTTAATGGAGTAATTACAGCATACTTTCTTCCCTTAGTTGGTGTTCTAATGGTGGTACTAAGACTAGTTGTAGTTTTGTTACCTTCTCTTTCTTCACTTTCATACTTCTCGCGAGCCTTTTGATGGAACCAAAGCATGTAGTTTTTCACAATAGGCTTCAAGAATTTACTTTTCTCATTCTTGAGAGATTCAACGTTTAAAATCCCAAGTAATTTCTTATTATCTTCATGAATAACTGGCAAGTTTGTAAATTCATTTTCAAATGCAATTTCCACAGCTTCATCAAGAGTGGTGGTTGGGTTTATGGAAAGGGCAGGTTTAATGTCGAGATCTTCAACCGTAGCCCCACGGTAGTCTCTAGTATGGAAAAGGGTTGGCATTATAGACATGTGTGGTAAATAGAGAATGATGTGAACTCTTGGTTGTATGACTCAAATAGAGGGAAAATTAATATGGAGCTAGAAAAAAAAAGAAGACAATTTAATAGGTGATTTTGATATATACAGGAAATGTAGTTAACAAAGTCATAGTAGAATCTACGTACTATTCAAGTAGAAAGTAGTACATTGAGGTTGTATATGATATTATTTCTCAGTAAATAAGTTACTCGTAGACCTTTTTTTGGTAGGAGTAAAAAAAGTTTTATAATGTGAATACATTTTTTAATACTGTGGGGGTTGTAAATTAATCAGCGAAATTGCGAATTCGCAGCCAAAAACGACTAGATAATGAGAAATCTTTAAAAAATTGAGACATACTACAAAGGATGGCCATCAAAGGTATTATATTATTAGTATTATTATATATTATTATATATTATTATCATTATTATTAGTAGTATTAGTATTGTTAAAAATATTATCATTTAAGCCCATTATCCCTTTATGCAGCTTCTGCTGTACGATATTGCCCACTCTTTCTTGACTCTCCATCTTGTATATTTCCTTCTTCTTTAACTGCCCTTCTCCATACTTCTTCATCATTACCAACATCCAAAACACCAATTCTCATTGTAGCCAATAAATTACTGGCTGCAGTCAGATGTCTATAAACACCACCGAAAAAGGCACTAGTAGCATCTTTCCCATGCGAAGCCTTCAATAATTGAACTCCACCTGGATGTTGTTCCATAAATGGAGTAATATCATGAATGATGTTCAGAATTACAATATAACAACGATCACTATGATTAGAAGATGCCATGATACGTTTAAAATCTCGTGGAGTAATTAAGGGAAGTTTCGAAATTGGAGTACCCCAGTTTAATTGACTCTTGGCTCGATTAATCACAAGTTGTTGTTGTTGAACTCTTAATTGAGTTTCTAACTCCGTTGGAGTTTTACATAAATCTTCAATTAAACCAATTTGATATAAAGTCCAAATACACCATTTGGTTGGATCAAACATTAGTACTGAAGAATTATTACGATAATCTCTTGGGAATTCATGATGATAATTTTGATATGATTGACCAAAAGTTAAAATTGAAATTAATGGATTATGACAATTTTGAGATGAATTTTTTTCATTAAATGGTTGACCTGGGATTGTTAAAAGCATTGGTTTATGACAAATCGATTCTGTAAGGAGTATACACTGTTGAGAACAAAACATTCTTAAAATTCCTGGGAATAATACCCCATTAAGAATTGAATCTTTACAGACAAATTTTGCAACCATTATTGGGACCATTATTGAAGTTACAATGAAATAAATCATGTAAAAATTTGATTGAGTAGATACAAGTTTAAAGTTGTATGGGGTATTCAATTCAACATCATTTAGATTAAATTCATTATTATCGATAACTTCATTTAAATCATTGGAAATATCTATAGGTTTCAAAAATTTAGGAAATTCTTGTTCCATAAATTCCTCATAGAATGTTACAATTTTAGGCTTTTTCAATAACCAGCCCCAATGAGCCCACAAAAGGCCTCTTTTAATTGAATATGGATCTCTTTCAGTATCATCAGTAAATCTATGATGTGCACGATGTAACGAAGCCCACCATCTAATAGGACCTAACCCAATTGAACTTCCAAATATCACAAAATAAAGCTGAAGTATTAATGAATTCGTCAGAAACGAATTATGGGCATAATATTTATGATATCCACAAGTAAATGCCAAAATTGTGAAATTGAAATATATAAATGTGAAAATCCATGTTGCTACATTCGGAAATTGATGATTAGGATAAAAGGCACACAAATATAGCACAGACAAACCTGGGAGGACTACCGCTGTCAATGCATTTGAATAGTTGATTCGATTCAAAAAATCTCTCTTACGCTTTGTAATTTGAGTATGTGCATTTTTGAGTTGAGTACTTGTATTATGGTTAGTTGAAGATGTGATCACCACTTTCCGTTTGATCGGTGGTGAATCAAATCTTTGCATAAGAGACAAGAAACGCTAATCGGGCAAAAAAAAAAGAAAAGAATAGAATAAAAAACGTATTGGATATCAGATAACCAATAAACCTATTTAAACTCGGATAATCTAATCGCACTTGTAAATGTGTATTTGGGACCCACTCCAGTGTTGGGTTAACTGTTGGGGATTTGGTTGGTATATCATTTTCAAATGGATTAGTCGCGTGTAAGCACCAATTGAATGGTGTCACAAAAACGTGAAAATGCGATTTTCATATTTACATTAAATAGGAAAAACAATACAAACCTCAATTTGTTTGTAAGGTAGATTTCCTCCATTGATTGAACGGCTATAAAAGAAATGTCTCAAGCACATGCTATGCAACCTGGTGCACAGGGGATGGCCGCAAGACCACGCGAAAACCCTGCCCCCGCACCAATCATGTCGTACACCCCAACCGACATAACTATACCAACAGCCCTCTACAATAAAATCCCAAACCTTGAACTTTACAAGAAGCTTCAAGATGCCGAACGTAAGATTGATCTTCTTACTACAAGAAAGGCTCTTGACTTCCAAGGGATTCAAACAAAAACCACCCACCCTTCGTCATACCAAAAGCAAACTGGGATTCTCCGTGTTTTTGTATACAATACTTGCGAGAACCAACCATGGCAGAAACAATTAGCCCAAGAAAAAGGTATTCCTGTAGCTGACCCATCCGCGGAATCGTCATGGACCTTACGTGTTGAGGGAAGGTTCCTTAATGACAAGGGTGAGCCAGAAAGTTCGGCTCTGGCCCACAGCTTCAGTAGTTTCCTTTCTGGGATCTCGGTGGACTTGGTACCAAATGATAATTATCCAAACCTTCAAAACTCACAATCTAATGTCATTGAATGGCGTGATCAAAGTCTTGACCATCAACCAGACATGAAGGTTGCCTCAAGTGGCCGTCAAGCAGCCTTTGACGGATTGGACGTTAAGAGGAATGGGGTTTTCAAAATCAAGTGTAATATTGCATTGTTGCCCAAGATTCAATCTTCTCTTCTTCAACTCAGTACACCAATGGCTCAATTTGTAGGGAAGCAAGAATGTAGTCAACAGGAAGTAATCTATACAATTTGGCTGTACGTCTTGTATAATGATTTGCTCAAGAAGTCAGATTCATATACCAATGTGCCTGCACTTTCAGTTACTGGTGGTAATGGGGTCCTTGGTAACGATGATAATTCCGACCTTACCGTTGTTGAATGTGATGCTACTTTGAGGAAACTTCTTAATGTGCCTTCCTTTAGATTCACAGACTTATACAAGGTAATTCAACCACATTTCAAACCAAGAGAACCAATTGTGCTTTCCTATGAAATAGACACTGGAAGATCAACCACTTTAGGAGATGTCATCATTGATATTCCAGTGGACCTTCCTTCCACTCTCTCAGAATTCCAACAAGGTGTAATTGAATCAAGTAAGGCAATCTTTGAGAAATTGACTGCATCAGATGCTCTCATCCAAAACTTAAACACCAAAATATCTTTAGGTGTTGTTGCTTTACAGAATTCAAATGCTAGAGAATTGTTTTACCGAGAACTTAGTGAAGATCCAGTTAAATTCATGGAGAACTGGATACAAAGTCAACTGGAAACTTTCAAGGTGTTGAAGAGTGACGAAGGATACGACGAAGAAGTGGTACGTAGAGCGGAGTACTACGAGAAGAATGAACATATTCTCAGAGAGAATATCAACTTACTCTTGGGTTCTGGTAAAATCTAGAAAAAGTTTGTTTTGTATTATATTATTATTATAAATGATTATCCATTATATTGTTCGATTTGTACTGTGAGTGATACTATATAGACTAGTAAAACATGTCTATCTACTCCAGGTAGTCTTCATCATTTTCATCAATAATTTCATCGTCTTTCTCATCAAAGTACTCATCTTGAGAATCTTCTTCATCATATCGTCTCAGTTTATGCGCGTTTGACACATCACTGTAATCAATATGTCTTTTTCTGGATGACCTATCAGTTTTATTAATGACTTCAGCAGACTCTTGGGCTGCAAGTAATGGTTCAAGTTCAACCAAATAGTTGTGCATCGTTTGCATTTGTCTATGAATCAGTGACGGCAACAGTTGTATTCTATCAGCTAAAAAGGTGATGAAGTTTTTGATTTCTTCCACATTGGATGCAACCTCATACCAATGACATTCTTCTTCATCGTATATTTCTTCATTATTATTATTATCCCCATTTTCATCTTTATCAGGATGTACTTCTTCTCCATCTTCATTGAATTCTACTCCAAATGTTTCAAACTCATTCAGAAGTACCTGATGAATATCTTCGACATACAATTTGAATGAAGAGGGTATATCTTTGAGTTCTCTAAAATTGGTGAACAGAGCCTTCATTTTCTTTAATGATGAGAGACCCCCTCCATTACCTTCGGCCATACGACTCAAATAGAATCTCCCAATATGGAACCCACCATCACCAATAAACATCTCATCAACTCTCCATCTAAGAGGATGTTCGAGAGGATCTGAGGTAGGATCAACGTACTTAGCAAGTTCAGGATCTTGGGATGTCAGAGCAGGTGGAGTAGATGATCCTTCCGTAGGAGTTTGTACTCTCTTGGAGGCATTGTTGATTTTCTTATTAATTTTTATTTCAGCTTCCTTCAAGGCATCTTCAGCATTTTTAAATCCTTTCAACATTGAACGCGGAGCATAGTATGTTGATCTGTCTCCACCAATATCTTGGTAGTTCGAATTTTCGTTGATATATGCCTTTAACAGCTCAGAAGTAATCAATGACCATTGTGCTAATGTGCGCAACATGATCAATCTATCGACAGGTAATAACCCTCTTAATCCGTATTTCTCAAATTCCGGATCTTTAAATGGGTTGTACGTGACAACTGAGGTATTGTATATATAATTTTGACTATCCAAGACTTCTGGATTCTTAGGATCGACTGGAGTATCGACATAATCCTCAGCCACATCTTCACCAGATATAATACCTTGCGTATTTACATGCGAGCTATCTTTCCATTCCTTCGGAAATCCTAATGAACTTGCACTCGATTTTAATTCGCCAATAGCTCCCTTTTGAGAAACTTGGGAAATATCTTTCTTTTTGTTCAATACTAACCCGAGGAGTTTACAGAAAAGATATACCATTAATGGCGAGACAAAGTTTGAATCATACGAATCTTCTGATTCGGGGACATCTCTATAATTAACAAATTCATTAGAATTTTCTTTCAGAATATATTGTGGTAAACTTAAGCCAATTTCAAAGTCTTTAGGCCCAATGTAATAAATATCCTTGCCGAATATAACTTCTTTATAGCGATTAAGGAACGAGATTAATATCATTATATCTTCAGCATATGGGGCAGTTTTCACAGGAAATCCTAGCGCGAGCTTTTCCTTTGAGGCTTGATCATCTTTCATCATATTTCCGTCGTAAGCATTATACGTGAGACTTAAGAGTGGACCAGGAAGTACTCTTAAATTCTTTGTTCTAGTAACACGGACAGTGGTACGACTTGGTTTGATACTCCAAGTCTTAGATCCAACTACCGATTTTTTCTCTTCCTTGGATTCATTCTCTCTCGATCGGAGTTTTGAGTTCAATGCTCGGGTCTGCAAGATTGTCGCTTGTATAGATTTCTGGGGAGGGATTGCTTCAACAACATTTTGTAAATCCCTTTGGACTTCTTCTTCTGATTTCAAAGTTCCATTTAAATCTGGCGATTCTTGTTGAGGATCAATTTCTCCCAACTTCGTAGTTATGGAATTTATAGGAATTTCATCTGTGGACGCGGAATGTGAATTATTCATAGCAGATCTTCTACTACGCCTAACCTTTGGCAAATTAGATGCCATATCACGTTGTAAATCTTCTTCAGTGTATATCGGACCCAAGTTATCGGGAATGATACCATTTTTCATGACAATTCTTCCACGTGGACTAGATCTAGCACCTTTTCTACCTCCTCGAGACCCTGGCCCTTCAATAGGCAAATAATCCAATCTGAACTTGGATACCATGGCCTCATTTACATTTTGTACAGAATTATTTTCAGATGCATTTGGCAAATTTGCAGCAAAATGCTTACGTGGACGTCCCAATCTCTTTGGTTTCTCCATTGGGTTATACGGCACCATCGTTACAAATTCTTGCTCTGGAGCTAGTTGATGTGTATCATTAGAAACTGAGTGCAGATGGGTGACATTTGAAGGTATTTCATAAACATCTGACGCAGGTGGAGCCATTGACATCCCACCGTAGTTGGAGTGATTATCACGATGAGAATGAACTTCGTGGTGGTGTTCAGATTCTGTAGAGATTTCATTGTCGAATCCATAATGAATCATATTGAGAGCCGCTGCAGCTGTAGAGTTTTCCTCGCCTGGGACGTGTTGAGATTGATTTGTATTTGAATGTTCAGATACATATTCATTCAATCGGAATACATTTGGAAGCTCTTCTCGAACTTGTGAAACGATGTTTGTATGCTTATCGGGCTGGTCAGGCGAGTTTGGAACATGGAAGAGTTCCTGCTCTGTAATTGAAGGATCTATATTAGACTCCATTTTCTATTAATGTGTGGAACGTTTTATAGCCGGGAATCTCCACGATTAGTATGCGATAAAATTAAAACAAGTTTTTTCCCCTTAAAATTTTCAAAATTAGTCTAAAGCGACTGGGTGCTATTATCAAGAAACTTCCTTAGATTATACAATGGTATATCGAGTATGTGTTGACATCCAAAATTGCAGTCCCTACTTTATTTTTCTAAATTTTATTTTTTTTTATTTTTATTTTTTTTCTGGTGCTTGTATTTTTTAGCGACTATTGCAACATTCACGTTTTGATAGAGAAGTGCATACAATAATCTACCCGATGAATTGTAGTATGGGAAAGTGTACCTCGAGAGGAATATAATAGATGTTGATTACACTGTAAGTCGTAAAGAGAAGAGGAGGAGACGTCGTGAAGTAGATGATGGCGCGTAGTTTCCCATTCTATCTATCAAAGGATATATAAAAAAAAACAATACTTGGGGTACTGGAAGGATAGAAGTACATGGTTTTTCAAATTAATTCGATTGATCATAAGGAAGAATTTACAATTATCACATACCAACATGCATCTAAATAATTAAACTTTATATCATTTAATGATTAAGAGTACTCAACTACTATGTCTTAATGCTACCTGCATAAACCGTTTCGTTTGCAATGTAGTTCGCGTCCAAATATTTTCACGCGTTATTTGAAACCAAAACATTTGAAACTTGAAGGCAAAACGAAAAGATTTATTGTAATCTCTTTAATTAATCAATATAACAAAAGAATGGATGACTTTAGCTACAACAATTCCGGTGGATTCAGTGCCGGAGGTGACGACTTTCTGAACGATAACGGATCTCAAAAACAACAACAAGTGCGTTCAAGTCTCACACCTGTTACTATCAAACAAATCAATGAAGCTACACAACCAGTACCAGATGGAGAATTCCAAATACATAACGTGGAACTTAACTTAGTTTCCTTTGTTGGTGTAGTTAGAAGTGTCCAGGATCTCACTTCTGCCATTGTGATAAAAATTGAAGATGGGACTGGTTCCATTGAAGTAAGAAAATGGATCGATGATGCAAGTGATACATCAGCAAATGAAGCTGCTGGTCAAGCTCATGAATTAAACAAATACGTTTACGTTACATGTGCATTGAAGGAATTTAACGGTAAGAGAAGTTTACAACATGCCACTATCAGACCAATCACAGACCACAACGAGATTTTATATCATAATCTTAGTGCCATTGAGAATCATTTAAAAGCCCAAGGATTAGGTACAAAGCCAGCCAGTGGCCAGGATAATGGACTCTTTGTAAAAGATTCACATGGAATGGATGCTCCAAAGTCTATGCAAGATAAGATTCTTGCTCTTATCCACGAGAATAGTGTCAGTATGCAAGAAGGTGTCCCAGTCCCATTTATATCACAAAAGTTGAATGTAACTAATGATATTGTTTCACAACATTGTGCTACTTTGGTGGAAGATGGTAAGATTTACTCAGGTTATGATGATAGTGCTTATTTGGCTATTTAAATTAAGTTTCTTATATATTACAATAAATAATGAAGTAATACAATATTTCGTAATCTGGGTCACTTTGTTATTTCATATTATGGAATTCCTTTACTGGTGTGTCTGTTGTAGAAGTTGCACTGAAAAATGCATTCCACAAGTCTCCATTAGTTACAGATTCACCTTCTGAATGACTCTTGTTTACTAATGTATCAATACCTCCACTTTTCATCATGGTGATAGATTCAGCATTAGATAAATCCTTTTCATTCGTATTTGATATTCGATTGGAAACGTCCTTTTCAGATTGTGGCGTTTCAAAATATTGTAGTCTCTTATTAGTTGACATCAAGAGAATACTTTCTTCCACGGTATTTTCAATGGCAAACATCCAAACAGTAGTCGGTTTAGTCTGGCCAATTCTATGTATTCTCGAAATTGCTTGTAATTCTAAAGACGTATTAACCAATGGTTCACAAAGGAAGATATGTGTGGCATTGATTAAAGTGAGTCCACTAGCCTGTGCTTTTGCATTAAGCAAAAAACAGGTAATACCCAAAGTGGGATTTTTAAATTGTTCAACACTGTCATATTTATTTCGACGACGACCTCCACCAATTTCTGGGGTTAATGTTCCATGGGAAGCCAAATATGAAATATTCACAGTTTTCAATGCAGTTCCAATGATATACAACAAATCTTGCCATTGACTAAATATGACAATCTGTACATCTGGATTCTGGTTCTTCAAATATAATACCTGCTTAATAATCATATCAACTTTCGAACTATAAGAGGTTTTAAGCTCTATCAGTTGAATATCTTCAATAACACTAGCATTTATGGATTTGTAAATGGAATGCAAAGTGGCCAGTTTAGCCTTAACAAGCTCACCTTCATTAACAGTATTGGCTTTTAAATTTGGCTTATGATGGGTGAAATTATAGATAGTCATCTCACTGATCTGAGTTTTACACATGGGACAAGATCGAGAATTTCTTAACCAATGTTCAAGACAATCTTTACAATATTTATGCCCACATTGAGTTAAAGATCCAATTGTAATTGAAGATCGACAAATTGTACACATGTGGCTATCTTCGTCTTCCTCGATTCCACCAGTATCGGAATCGACTGGTTGCACTAATGATTGAAGATATCTATATTTCGCAACCGATTTAGTCATTCTCTGCACTATTTCAGAATGCTTACTCACAAATCTGGTAAGAATAAATCCAATTTCTTCCTCTTGCAATGTAGATTGAAGGGTATATTGAGAGCCAACACTATCTGAAATTTGTTGCAATTGTTTAAAATATTCAATACGAGTATTGAAAACTGCATTATAGTTAACTGTAATTTCCTTATGGAGAAGTACCTGTGCTAACTTTTGATTGTCAAATATCTTTCTAACCTTTAATGAGAGTTGTGCAAATAAATCCTTCTCAAAACCAAGTCCATTTAGATGTTCTGCATCAATATTCACATTATCTTCCAAGTCATTCTCAGTTGCTTGAGTACTAAGAGCAATCTCTTGGAGTGATATAGACAGGGTTATTTTTTCTTCATTCAATTTTTCCTGTAAGCTATTTAAAAATTCTGTATTATTTACGTTGTTAAGTTCACGATCCATCATTTCCTTCTGCTGTTTTTTGGTATTGATAGTCTTGTTTGTTTTTTCTCCACCTAAAATCGCATCCGATCTATCGTTAATCGTTTTGGTAAGAACATGTAAATAACATAATGCCTTTTCTTGATCTTCAATAGACTCTTCGTATTCAGCCCCATCTGGAGTTTTATCGTGGCTCAATAATGGTTTACATAAGATTCGAAGCAACTCATCCATCCACATATTGATAGTTCGAGCTTGCTTATTTAATTGTTTGCTAATATTTTGGATCTTATTGTAAAATAATTTTGATTTCATCCCCACAACAGATGCCTCCAAATATTCAATATCGATCAATGGCAAGTATTTAAATAGTTTCTTAGAATTCTTTGGGAACTGAATTTCTCCTCTATCATAGAATTCCGATTCTTGATAGAGACCACGGGATGTAATTCGCAGCTTTACAGATTGCATCACCGCTTTAATAGAGCCTTGTAGAATTCTTTCACGAACTCTTTCAGCTAATCCATAGTATTCATGTTCGAGGAAGCGATTTTTTGCAGCAGAAATGTCTTCCTCTGATTTTAATTCTTCTCCAGGACTGAAGTTTGTAATTGGATCTATTGTGACTGAATCGTTAATATGAATTCCACACACAATTGCGGAAATTTCATCTTTTGAAGTATCTTTCACTTTAAGTTTTCCAATACCTTCAGAATAAGGAATATTTCCAAATTGAGAGTCTTTAATTTTTTGCAAATATAATTCATCATAACATTGGAAATGACATGAAGCTATCAAGAAATAATATTTATGTAGTAAGACATTCCAGGATCTCAATTTGAGTCTAGTAGCCTTTATTTTGTCTTCGTACTTAATAGCTTCCTCGGTACTTTCATTTCGAATTGGAGTTGTTTGGATAAAGTCAGACGTTTTGTACGTATTCTCATTTGTGGAAATATCGTCGTCTTCAAACTGATCCAGTTCACTCTCATCTTTGTCAGATGCAATAGAACTATCGATCTTTTTATACGATTTATATTTCTTAATGTATTGTTTAAGTTGAATGTTCAAACGAGCAATTATACGTTCACAATCCCTAACACCAACTTTCAAAAATTCCAAGGCATCAGCAGGCGATAAAATATATTCTTGAAATTCAGCTAAATCAAGATATAATTGAACCTTTTCCTTCTCAGCTTCGGTGATTTGATCATAAGCACGTCCCAACATATCATCGAGAACATTCTCAAGTGTTTTCAATTGTTGTACCGTATTTACCAGCTTCCCATAGAATAAATGATGGTTTCTGGATTTGTATCTTTTAAAATTTAGATTTCCAATTTGTGGATTACAACAAACTTGACGTAATTTCACTAACCAATATCTCATATGTGCAAGAACCATATTGGTAGGCTCCCAATCATTTAATACAGGGTTACCCTTTTCATCTAAACATATAGCTGCCAAACACTCTTCAAACATCTGATTGTAGTTTTCCTGCTCAACAGGATTAAATGGTATGGTCATTAATACTCTACTTTGTGGAGGAAGTTTGATATCGTCATGTACCATCGCTTTAGTATGTCTTAACGATATCATAGACCAAAGTTTAACGAAATCTGAATTATCCGTTGAAGAAATTAACTTTTCCCAACTGTTTTTGGCATAATATTCATTTCCAAATGGCTCCACACTTAAGAAACGAAGAACAGAATTTAGATCACCGAAATCTTTCTTAATCGGAGTTCCAGATACACCCCATGCATGATGCCTTGGAATTAAGGCTGCACTTTGAAATGCTCTTGAAAGTCTTGAAGAAACCATTTGCACTTCATCAAGTACAACTCTCCAGAAATGAGTTAACATCAATGGTGACTGGTATTCTTGATCATGATAAATATTCGGTATACGGTTATGTTTTAAAGCCAACATGATTTCATCCTGTAATGCCTTTTCATAATCAGTTTCCACTTGATCTTCTGTTGCTCTCTCATTTGCAATTTTTGGTTTTTTCAATTCAAGTGTTAATTGGAAAAGAGATCTGTATTGATTCAAAAGCTCAGATTTATCATACTTAGTTCCTGAACCATCTGGAGTAGATGATTCAGATTCTTCCGTGGTATCATTCACTTGCTCAATTGTTCTTTTTCTCGTTGCACTTGTCCGTGTTGGCTTTTTCCTTGTTGAATATAAAGCATAATCCAATTCCTTGGATATAGTAGAATATGTCGTGAAAACTATATCGAATCCACGCAAATATTCGGCAATTAAACTAGCATTATTGTTCAACTTTTGGTATTTATCAACACCGTTGTATACAGTGACGGCCAATGATGGTGCCAATCTTACGATTTCCTCTACCCATTGTTTCAAAATTGAATCCGGGGATATAATCAATGTTGTTTTCGCCTTTGGAATTGTTTTAATATCTCCATACGGCTTCAATGAAATATTAATTGGTTCGTTAATTTCTTCTATTGGTCTTTGGTTTAAAATTACAAGTGTAGTGATTTCCACAGTTTTGCCGAGTCCCATCTCTTCAGCTAAAAGTCCCTGAGCTGGGAAATTCACATTTGAAGATTCTTCGAAAGTCTTCAAGATCGTATCATACACTAATTTTCTGGTACTTATACAACCAGTGTATGGGTTATACCAATATACTTTATGGTTTAATTCAATCATTGACCATCCAAAACACATCCTTAATAATAGAGCATGTACTTCGTTATCCAAATCCGACACAGCCATTAGATGGTTAAATTTTTCCTCGAATTCCTTTAATTGTCTTTGAATAGAATTTGATAGTAATTTTTTTGGTTCACATCTATTGTTGGTACTATCATATTGAACCCCTTCTCTATCTAATAACCACTTGACTGTTTTACGTTGAAACCTTAATAGTTGGGTTTCCAATTCAGGTATATCATACCTCAGTTCTACAGAATTTAACGATCTTGTGTGGTCTGAAACCGTCCTATAAAATAGTTGAGGACTTATAGGCTCAGTTCTACTTATATTTGGATTTTCAAGTTTCTTTTCATACTCAGTTGTCATTCGTTTGCTAGAGTCAAGTACCACACCACGTATCGAATTTACCAAGTCAATGGAGTATTGTTCAAATATCAGTTCAAATATTTCAATCTTGTAACTTATTTCAACTAAGATCTTCGGAATTAATGTACCACTATCGCCACCTCTTATCAAAATTCTTAACAGCGGGCCCGTGATCAAAAGGTTTTCGGAACGTTTTGATACAGGGAGTTCCTTCAACAAATTCACTTCTTTCTGTATACTTTTCCAATCAAAGTCAATTAAATTTACTGAAAGTAGTAATTCTGAACGTTTAAGACCTGATCTCGTTTTATTCTTTAATGGGAACAAAGATATCGATAATGATTGTATTGTAATCTATTGATTTGCAAATCATTAAATTCTTCTAGTTTCCTTATGAACTTTTATAAGAAGTATCACATCTTTTTATTAAATAATTCTATGATTTTCCTATAGTTGGTAACCATTATAGTAGAGGTTATCCAATCATTTCCTTCTACATCATTTTTATTCTTCCTAATTATCGAATTAGTATATTACTTTTCACGACTTTCTATATAGTTGCAGTTGTCGTAAGGAACTGCCTTTTTTTTGGTTCATATAGTTTAAAACGGAGACCAATATATGCCATTTTTTTTCAATTTAAATTTTGATTACGGATCAACTTTTCAACATTAAAATTCTGATCTTGGAGAAACATTCTTACGAGAATACCAATGTACGAAATCTCTAATAGAAGTTCTGATTCTGCGGTTATCCTTATTTGGTAAAGATACACTGACAGTGTTGATTAACTTATCTAATTCTTTACCACTTACATTTGGTAAGGATTTAACGACGTCAGTAAGCCAGTTAATGGAAACGTTTGAATCAGGAATAACAGTAAGAATCTTTAAAAGCAAGTCACTTGCGTCTTGTTGAATGTCGTTATGGAAATGATAGATAAGGCCCTCAATAACAACCTTCATTAAATGACCTCCATTATTATCCAAAATTAAAAATTGTTGTACACCTTCACGTACATGTTGTGGGTTTTCATCAAAGAATGAAATAGGTGGGGTAGGTAACCCCCATGAGATTAAATCAATTAAGAAATGCAAGACAGCTACTAAAGGATTGACTTGATCAAGGGAATTCAAACTCACGATACTTGAATCCCAGGTTGGTTTCAAAAGATCAAAGTTAGAGATCATTTTGAATGGATAAAACATAAGTAAATCATTCATCATTCTAAAGAAATCTTCAATAACATCAGGAATATTCTTCAAATTCTGTTCTGCCTTCAAAATATCATAAAATAAGGAACATTGAGATAATGCAAATTGATAAATAGATTCTTTAATATCCTCAGATGAATATTCATCACCATATTCACGAATCAAAATTCCGGAAACCCAAAGATAACAACCAAACTTTGTCTTTGCAAATCCATCGTGTAATATAGTGGCGATTGCTGGCAAAATAGGGTTCAAGTAAGTACTGAAAGATTGTACTGAATTTTTAATGAGTTTAAGGGATCTTTCACTAACAATTAAAACATTACCAAACTTGCTAATGATTTGAGAAACAACTGGCCATATAGAATCGATGAAAAAATTACAAACAGGCGAGATTGGCTTTTCGAAATCTTTACATCTCAAAACAGTGATGAACGTTGTAAGAACTTCTAGTTGATCAGCAAGTAATTTATAAACTTGATCACCTTGTTCATTTGAATTAAGAATTGAATTTAAAAGGTCCAAAGTTGGTTTACAAAACATTCCCAATGTTTTATATAAGTTTTCTTCTGGAAGCTGTTTAATCACATGAGCTAACCCATCAGTAAGTTCATAAGTAGACTCAATATCCAATTGATCTTTAACTTGCCCATAAAGTAAATATAACGGTTCAAGATAATTAACCAAAAGTTCAGAGCAATCTTGACAGAAATACATTAAAGCATGGGATGCAGCAACAATAATGTCTTTATTTTTACTTAAATCAGCACCTTCAAACCCCTTGATAATATAGTTCAATTGCGGTTCTAAAAAGGATGGATTCTTAGCAGTCCATTCGGTATAACGACCCAAGACCAAGGTAGCGGCATATCGAATTTTAGGATGTTCTGGAAGCTGAACAAGAAAAGTCATAATTGTTGGTAAAATGGTCTTTTCCTTTAATGGAACTTCCTTAGCCATGGCTCGCATAGAGAATAATGGAGCTTCTAAATTTTGCCATCTAGCCAGATTATTACCAGATTGTAATATAGTTTGAATTTGTTGGAATGGGATGTTTAATGCTCGAGTTGGACCAACTACTGCACAACAATCTTTTAAAACATCACCCATTTCATATCTAAATTCTTTGAATTTATCTTCTTGTTCTTTATCTCCATCGAACAAATTATCATCATCATTTGAATCTGTTGGATATGTTAAATGACGAATAATAATTTCAATTAATTTACCATAAATTTCACTAAATTCTTGTTTAGCATCAGTAAACTTTGGCAATGTTAATAATTGTTTTAAAAGATACCAAAACATAAAGGTAAACTTAACCACATCTAAATCTTCATTACGTTGACAACATTCTAATAAGATTTCAACAAGAGGTTTAAAATGTTTTGGATTTTTGGCAATAAGGACGTGCCATGCTTCACCTGCTTCAACATATAATCTAGTAAGACTGCCGAAAGTTTCAGGGTCCTCCAATAATTCCTTATTCGAGGACATGTAAGAATGTAATTGTAATAATTGTTGGAAAAGTGCATCAATCAATTCATGATTATCAATATCTCTAGTTTCACTCATAATGGTACATAAACATTCAATAGATTTTTCAAATGTATCTTCATTATTAAGAGATTGGAAAATCAAATTTGTAAGGGTTGTGATTTGTAAAATACTTTCAATTGGACATTCTTTAATCCAACTGTTTAAACAATCTAAAATCAATGAGTTTAATTTTGAATTACCTTGGTTTGAGGTAGTTAAATTGTTAAGAATCATAAGGACCTGTTCAACGTTGGAAGTAATGAGTGCTTGAGTTCTTGAATTGAATTCATCATCAGTTAAAGAAGTTTTCTTTACGTCTGAAAGTTCTTCAGGTAAAATCTTTAAGAAATCAAGTAATGAAGTAATTAATTCTTCTTTTGAAAGTTTTGAAATAATTTCAGTTAATGCATTTTCCCAAGTCAAATATTGTAAGGCAAATTGAGAAAGAGCAATACAAAGTTGAGTTCTTATAATTCTGTGGGGTTGATCTGGGTATTTAGTAAGCAAATCAATGAGAGAGTCTTTAAGTTGAGGGTAAGAACCTTCAGGAAGTTGTGCAAGATCATAAGTAACCTTTGATCTAAGGGTTTGCGCAGCAAATAAACGGAATTCAATCGATTCATTACTGTCATTCAAAATAGTATGAACGAGTTCCCAAGCTTCTTGAGATTTTTGAAATGATTCAAGAAGTTGTGTTGCGGTTTTCTTTTCTTCTTGGGTACCATTGGAATACATGGTAGCCAAGGCAGTTTTAACCTGAGTTAATGGACTAGACATTTCGGATCTTATTATATATTTCTAATTTCAATAGTTGGATTATGTTTATGATTATTGATTTTCTTCCAGGAACTCGATGGGGTGATAAACGGACACAACTAATTTAATAGCGGTTTATAAGCCAATTTTTCGAGACGTCTTTCGAATGGTTAAATGAGAATAACTCAAACAAACTATAGCCTGGATATATAGTTTATATGAATTGATTAAATTATTCCAAAGTGGTATATTCACTCGATAATATATATAATTGGTTAATGACAGTAATATTTTATGATATTCTTATTGAATCAAAATTCTCTGGGTAGGAATAATTTCAAATGACACAAAGATGAAAAAAAAAAAATGATTGAGAGAAAAAAAGAAAACTTTTGGGAACAAGTATAGTAGAAAGGCTTTAGTCAAAGCATAATACACAAGTAAAATACGCAAGAGACTTACAACGAGAATGGACTGAAGTACTCGGGAAATATTATACCAACCCCTAAGGAGTAACGTTTATTTTTAAAAATTTTTACTCTTCTCTTGCTGATTTTGGTGTTTTTCTAGTTGTGTTTCCTGTTGTTGATTTTGCAGCAACATTTACAGTGGCTTCAAATTGACTCCGATTAAGTAGCATGAAAAACACGAAAATAGAATATGAATGATGTATATATATACAGTACTTCTACATTCTCCATCTATTGAACGAATTCAATCTATAATTCTTCAATTACTTGAGTATTTGCTATTAGTTATTGTATCTTTCTATCCTTTCAAACTTCTTGAAATTATCTCGACCCCTTAGTTCGGAGTCTCAAAATTTTAATATTCTATATTTTTCTATTATTGTTTTTCTTTTTTTTTTCAGAACGCGCCAATGCGCCGTTTGGATATAGATTATTGAATATTTTTTTTAAGTTCTATTCATAGCTACGTGTTACACATACGCTCAACCTACTCATGTCTCGTCCTATTGTCATCTCAGGCCCATCTGGTACCGGAAAGTCCACCTTGTTGAAGAAGCTCTTTGCTGAGTACCCAGACAAGTTTGGTTTCTCTATTTCCAACACCACTAGACAACCAAGAGCTGGTGAAGTTGATGGAAAGGATTATCACTTCACTACTGTTGAAGATTTCAAGAAGGCTATCGAAGAAAAGAAGTTTATTGAATGGGCCCAATTCTCAGGTAACTACTACGGTACTTCCGTCAAGTCTGTTGAAGACGTTGCTCATACCGGTAAGGTTTGTCTCTTGGATATTGATATGCAAGGGGTCAAATCAGTCAAAAACACAAACTTGAACGCTAGATACTTGTTTTTGAGTCCTCCATCCATCGAAGCTTTGAGAGAAAGATTAAGTGGTAGAGGTACTGAAACCCCTGAATCTCTTGAAAAGAGAATCAATGCTGCTAGCGCTGAAATGGAGTATGCTAAGACTGGTGCTCACGACAGAATCATTGTTAATGATGATTTGGAAAAGGCATACGTTGAATTCAAGGAATTTATCTTGGAAAACTAGTTAAGACTTTTGGGAAAGAAGAACAACACATTATTTTAAGAAAGAGGAACAAAAATTAATTATATCTTACTATAAACATTGTAGATACAAAGTATGTACTAACAATCTATTTGTGTATATGAAAATCAAAAAAAAAAGTAAAGCCACTTTCCTCCAGAAAAAAAAGTGAGAGCAGCACATGACCATTTTTAATGGATCGTCAGAGTGAAAGGAAGAACATTTTTTATATTTCCTTATAGCATTGAATTGTTAATAGCTAACTAAATAAAAAAATATTCAAAATATGTCTACCGATCTTCCATATTCTGCTGAAGGTATTGTCCATGATGAAGAGTAAGTGATATTAATCATGAGGAGTGAATACGTGCAAAGTAATATTAACATAGATTTCTAGTGAAATGGATCTTCTTCAAAAGATGATTCTTAAATGTAAACAACAACCATTGGTTCCAATCGGAACTCTTTTAACCACCGGTGCCATTATAATGGCAACCAAGGCAGTAAAGAAAGGTGACAGAATAAAGTCTCAAATGTATTTCCGTTGGAGAGTTGGGTTCCAATTAGCAACCTTGGTTGCTTTGGTTGTAGGAGGATATTACTACAAGACTGAGGAACTCAAACAAAAGATTACCAGAGAAGAAAAATTAAGAGCAAAGGCCAAACTCAGAGAAAGTTTATGGATTGAAGAATTGGAAAGAAAGGATGCTGAACTTCAAGAGAGAAAGAAGAGATTTGAAGAATCACAACAAGAATTAATTCAAGTAGCTCAAGAGGGATTCAAGAAGGAGAGAGAAGTGGAATCTAACAAGTAATCTGAAAGTCTTCTACACTCGAGTGTCTAAATGTATATAGTATAACAATCTTTTTAAGAAAGTGATGTATTTGTGTAAATAATAAATAAACGTATGAATTATATTGAATATGTTGCAGGGGCATATGTGTTTAAAGATGGTAAATGATTTGATAATTCTTCATTTAAGGATTCAATCAATGATTTGGAATATTGTTCTTGTCGTATGGTTGAAATAGACTCGTCATCTCCTGAAAAATATATAGATTCAATCCCAGTTGTAAGGGCCCTTTGTGAAGTTACCATAATGGTTTTATTTGTCTTTATGTTCAACCAACTAAAATCCAACCCCCATTGTGAAAATTTAACCATTTTCAAGTTATTCTGAATCACAAGAAATGAGTCGGGCAAAACCCTTTTGACTAATTTACATAAATCTTCCACATTGATAGATGAGTTAGACAATATTTCATTTGATATAAAAATCAATTTATATTGAGACTTTTCAAGTAATTCATTAAGATTTTTAGAGAGATCAATTGTATGATCTATGGAGTTGCTGATATTAATAAGAGCCTCCAGATATTCTGACCTATTACTACCAATCACAAGTATCTTATCATCAGTATGAAGTAAAGATGAAATGATCTTAATTTCCAATCCATCGTGTGATATTATCGGCTGACTATCAGAATGTTCATCATCTCCAAAGACTTTCCTGACTTTTAAAAGAGTTTCCGCCAACATATTAGTAGCGTCACTTATACCATTCAAGTTTGGTCTATGGCTCGTATATGCCGTATTGTTAGGGAAAGAACTCCTATATATGGAAGTTTCATGTACATATGATTTGATATTATCCATAGTAATTGAGCTAGTAATAGATGGCCCCATTGTTGATTGGAAATCACTTTTTGACCATTTTTCTCTCTCTGTTTTCAGCAAATACGGGAATGATTCCTGTACATCCTCAGGCTTTGTCTCTTTGATATGAGAATGTAACATGGAAAGTCGTTCCAATGGTGTGGTCATCTTCTATAGTTGAAAATTTAAAACACAATAAAATGCTGCAAATAAAAAATGCACTGGAAAGACGATTAGGACCAAATGATGCTATGGATTTATAACAACTAAGTATTATCTATAGATGAAAATTAGTATACGAGGATAGGGTTGCCGAATGAAACAAACAGTGACTAGGGTCTAATTCACCCTTTAAACACGGATATAAAGAGGTTTGTCATTGCATATTTCATAGTTTCATCATGTCTCGTGATCTAACATATACAGGATGCCTATCAGGATATAGATAACATAGATCGATACTACTCCAAATCACTTGAACTACAATACCCAAATCCTAATTTCTCTCTCACTCTAATGTATTAGTACATATTCTAATAAAAATAGAAACTTACTCGTTTCATCACAAGCAAAACAAAAATATTTGATTATCTTTAAATTTTCCTCCATTCATCATTTACTTCACACTTTCCTCTAATTATCAGCTCCTACAATATCATAATCTTTGAAAAATTGATAAACATCATCCATCATATCTGTAATCCCATGATTACCAGCATCAGTTGCAGAAGTATTAATATTGTTCGAGTATACCGCTTGCACTTGTGATTGGATTTTGATAAGTCCTTCCTTTGACACCAAATCACTCAAGATATTAATTAAAAATGGTGAAAATTCACAATACCATCTATGGTTCCAAACTAATAATTTGATACAACATTCCAAGATTTTTTCATTCAATTGATTTACAATTTTAGCAAAATTGTGAGAATATTGAGAACCAGAGTTGGTTGATAATGATGTAGAGTTCTTATTCAATACTTTAGCTCTTTCCATTTGATAGTATTTCAACATTTCTCTTGTAGATTTAGCAGAGAATCTACCACTTAATGCATTTGCAAAAGCAACGGATCCTTCCTTGTGATGTTTTAATCTATATGCGATCAGGCCAAGAATTTCCCATTCTAATGTAGTCTTTTTATATTCCATCTGTTGTGCTTGGAAATGAACATATTCGGCTTGCCACATGGTGTATGCTCTTAAATCTTCATAAAGCAACATAAACAAGTTATCTAACCATCTTTCACACAATCTCTTCTTTCTAAATTCATTTTCAAGCGATTCATCACTATTGGATTTTCCAGGAGATTTCACACCAACGGTAGATGAAATATCTTCTTCTCCATCCTCTACAGCAGCATTACCATTACCATTCAATGTTGTAGTTGAAGATTCACCTTCTTCGTTGAATGTTTTACTGGTGTTTCTATCCTTTCGGTATTCTTCTTCCATCACAAATACCTTTGCACGATACTTTAAAAGTGCTTCCCATCCTGTTTTATTAACAATTTCAGTTAATAATTCATAAGATTTGGCAAAAGTAGATTTTAAATTTGCTGCTGGTAAATTAGATAATTGGGTATCTAAATTTCTTTGTTCAAAACTAATTTCACTACTTTGTAATTTAGAAACTTCATCCAAAGTCACATCAGCTGGAGAAGGTAAATGTAATTCGTCCTCACTTCCTCTCAATGGAACAACTCTTTTAAGGGAATATTTTTCCTTATGAGAATTCATAGGACAAGAGTTCAATGTTAACAAGGCATTTTCAAAATCATTTAATTTAGTGTAAACTGTTACTAAAATTGACCATGCTTTGAAATCAGATGGTGAAGATTTAACGGTTTGTTTAGCTAATTCCAATGCTAAATCATATCTTTTCTTCTCAATACAAAATTGAGTTTGTAATAATAATAAATCAGCATCTCTCTTGTTATTTGAAATCCCTTCACTAATAATTTGAACTGCTTTAATTTCTTCATCCTTTAAGAAATAAACTTTAGCAATAAGAGAAATAATTGATGGTTCAATTTTTTCTAATCTTTGTAAGATTTCTAACCCTTTATCATAATTTTGAGTTAATTGAATACATTTCATAAATCCATCAACCAAATAATTGTTAATAATTGTTGGTTGAGGAATTTCTACTCCACATCCCAATTTAGGACCATCCCAGAATAATTTTTCAAAAGCATTCATAAATGATTCAAGTAATTTAACTGAAGTTTTCCCATTACCAAATGGGTTTAATTTCCTTACTTCAACTAAGCCACCAATTTTATTATCATCATCATCATCAGAATCAATGAACGATCTAACAATTGAACTTACAAATGTTTCCAACCATAACTTTTCCAGTTCAACATCACTAATCTTGTCATGAACAAGTTTCCCGTCATTATTAACTACAACACTTTCAAATTTACCAGGAATATGAACTGTAACTCTCATATCGACCTTGGAAAATGCATTATAACTGCAGTACGTAAGTTCGGGAACTTTCCAATGTTTCTTCTCTCCAAACCAATATTGTGATTTGGAACTAATAAGAGTGGCCAATCCTTGTAAGTGGGCCGCAATTGATGCAGAATTCGAAGTATCTACACCAGTGAAATATAAAAATGTTCCAATTTCAGGACTTTTCTTTGAAGCAGATTGCTTATGAATGTTACATAAATCTGCTGGACCTAAGTCTACAAATGCATGTAATCTTGAAGTTCTTTCAATGATTGAAGATCCAAGGTAATCCTCTTTAGCTCTATAACGATGTTAGTATAAACAAAAGATCACATGAAAAAAACAAACCCTAATAGATAAATGAATAAATTGATAGAGAAGAATCAAGATGTAACACCAGGACCAACTTTGCCAATTGTTCAGTATTACTTCTATTCAATTCTAGTCTATCATTAACCCAATAGATGATTTATTCTGACGCGGATTGAACAAGTAATCAATTATTTGACGAACAAATCAGTGATCGATTCATCTATCTATCTGATCATACATACTCAGGAATGGACAGTAAGGTCGTTTGAAGCATATTCAATGGATATATATGGCCAATTACAAAGAAGAACGATTCTTGATTGAATTATTATATCTTGAATAAAAATTATGTTCGTGTTTAAACTCAGTTTCAAACTCTTGTATTATTTTGTACACAGTGTATAGTTTACTCCACGCGAAGAATGCATATAAATATCCAACAATCGACAATTTACTTAGCCACAAAATCTAAACTGGTGCTTATTGACTGACCATGTAAAATGTAAGCTATACATCAATAAAATCAAAGTCATTAATTCTCCAACTCTTTTAATTATATATTCTAATTAATATATTTTCTAATTTACTGCATTTCAAATTTTTCATTATTCTTGTTATTGTTCATTTTATCATAACATATCTATTGTACATAAGGGGATAACATTCTGTTAATGGGATGTATAAAATAATCCCATTCATCATAATCATAATTGAAACTACTTCTAATTGAATCTTTGTTTCTTGGAATTTACATTATCCTTATCTTCATCATCTATTGAATCCCAATCTTTACCAGTCAAACAATACTTTTCTGGCGGTAAATTTAACCCCCATTTAGGAATGACAGGTGGCAAAGGTTTAGAATTTCTTTCTTGTGCTAATTCTAATAATAATTCCTTTGGTGGAGTTGGTTTGAATTGATAATTGGTTCTAGCAGCAATTGCAAGACGAATATCATCAGTATTAACTGTACTATTAGAGCTTGAAGAAATACCGGATGAAGTCGACTTGGAATGATCGTTATATGTTAAGGCATCTTTCAATACACCAGTGGTATATCCTATAGAGATCGTTAGTAAAAACATATACATAGAATCTTTTGTAGGAATCTTTCTTATACATACTATGTGCAAAATCCATTAATTGAAGTGGTACATGATCTTGATAATTTTGAATACCTTGCGTGGCAAATATCAAATGTAAAAGTCTCACATCTCTGGGCACAACACTTGCTTGACCCCCATCATTCGATGAAGTGGGGTTAACACTCATATTGCTATTATTGAACAAACCTGTTGTGATTATTAGTCAAGTTCAATTTTTTGAGAAATAATACCAGAGATATATATTGGTAACGGCACGTATCTTTTGAAATAGTTGGATACACTAAAAAGACTTAGAAGTCAACTAAAGTAATACAGTATTTCCTCCATATTTTTTAAGAGGAAAACTTTGGATTGATCTCTTATACATACATTTCAATCATGAAATAATTCAAGTTTATCTTTCTGGAATATTCTTCTTCAACCTTGAATGTCTTATTTGTACTATATATAAATAATAGCCATAGCCTGCATATATTAGTCCTTGCGAACCCATCAGTTGATAACCAATTACCCCCAATTGGTGTCCATAATATCCTGTCCCATTAAACTCCAAAGTTAAAAGAACTTTAATAGATTTATATAGTGTGAAAATGGCGGAACTTGAAGTAATAGAATCCCCCGATACAATCGATATTCCTAAGCCAAGCGACTTGGTTCAATATAATATCATTGAACCATTTCAATATCTTGAATCTGATTCAAAATCAAGATCAGTGTTATTAATCTTAAATCAAAATTTAGATGGGATAAATTTCCAGCAAATATGGAATCATACTGAATTAAAAATTTGTGCTGATGGAGGTGCAAATCAATTATTCAATAGTTTCCAATTAGAAGAAGAAAGATGTAAATATATCCCACATTTCATCACTGGAGATTTTGATTCATTGACTGAACCAGTTAAACAATATTATCAAGAAAGAGGTTCAATTATTATCAAACAAGCAACACAGTATGCCACTGACTTTGACAAGTCACTTCTGCTTTGTAAGTTGTATTATCATTCATCAGAACTGAGATCTTCTATAATTGTTTCTCATTCAAATATTTCAACAGATAATGGACTTGCAGATTTAGAAAATGTATACCATATTCAATCCGATGAAGCAACTTTACCCATTCAAATATTTGCATTGGGTGGTATTGGTGGTAGATTTGATCAAACAATTGGGTCAATGCATCAATTATATAAATTGAGTATACTGGCACCTTATCTTCATATTTATTTCATTACCAATTCAGACTTGGTACTTTTACTTCCAAGAGGTAAAAATTATATCTCTTATGCATCTAGAAATCTCTGGAACCAGCAGGACCTTGTTCCAGTTTGTGGACTCTTACCCCTTGGCAATCAATCGGTAGTATTAGATACATGGGGTTTGAAATATGACGTTCGAAATTATGAAACTGATATGTTTTCAAGAGTTAGCTCAAGCAATGGTGTATGTGGATCCGATGGTTTCATAGTACATTGTACCGATCCAATTGTAATGAATTTAGTTGTAGATCATCATTCTATATAGCATTTTGTTGCAAAAATGATTATATAAGCATTTAGAAAATTTAGAAAATAAAATAAAGTAGGAAAGAAAAAAAAAAAATTGTTAGTTGAAATTTATGAAATTACACAAAAGGTGAAAAGTTGATCGAAATATCAAAATTGGTAAAAGAAAAAAAAAATACACTAACAAGACTTATTTAAACAAAGTGTTTCATACTATTTTATACAATAAACATGTTTAGAACACTTGTATCCAAGGGTATGATCCCTGTCCGTACATTTGCCCCAATGTATCAAAGATTCATGCATACTGTGCCCAGAACTGTTTCTGTTTTGACCACTCCAATTTCAACTTGGGGATACAGATCAGTTAACAATGTCAAACCAACCATACAATCATTAATCCAACCATTTGCTCCTGTAGAACAAGATCTCCAAATGGAAGAAAAGGAAGACAACACCATATATACCGACTCTGTGTTGAGGAAAAGAAGATTGAAAATGAAGAAGCATAAGTTGAGAAAGAGAAGAAGAGCACAAAGAGCCTTGATGACCAGACTTGGTAAATAGATACAAAGCCAAGTTCAATGCCGAGTCTTACAAACCATATGTATATATTTTAGACAAGAAGGCAGGAGAATAATACAAGATATATTAGAAGAATAGTCAGTTCAGTTCAAATGTAATTTGTAGAAACAAAGTGACTCTTATCTAGTTGTAAGATATTTATATGTAGCTACCACTCGAGAATATATGAGTTAAACAGAGTTGACCATGTCATTATATCAAATTTTATGACGCACAAAAAAAAACACTACACCCATCTATAATGAGTCTTAACGTACTTGATATGAAAATGCGAAAAATAATTACAAAACTATCACTTCAATAAATTCATTTATCATAATGACTACCATCACATTTGTTACAGGGAATGCCAACAAGCTTAAGGAGGTTGTTGCCATCCTCTCTAATGGCTCTACTGATGGCTCAGCTTCAGTAGGTAAATTTACAATCACCAATGAAAAACTTGACTTGGAAGAAGTTCAAGGTACCATTGAAGAAGTTACCATTCATAAAGCTAAATCCGCTGCCAAGATCATGAACGGTCCTGTTCTCGTAGAAGACACATGCCTTGGATTCAATGCCTTCAAGAACTTGCCAGGTCCTTATATCAAATGGTTCGTTGAAGCCATTGGTTTAACTGGTCTTGTCGATATGCTTTACAAGTTTGAAGATAAGTCTGCCAATGCCATCTGTACATTTGGATACTGTGAAGGACCAGACGCTGAGGTGAAATTATTCCAAGGGGTTACAAAGGGTAACATTGTAGACAGTAGAGGTCCTACCAATTTCGGTTGGGATTCCATTTTCGAACCTGAAGGTTACACTGAAACATATGCTGAAATGGATAAAAAGATTAAGAATACCATCTCCCATAGATTTAAGGCTTTGGACTTATTAAGAGACTTTTTACAATCACAATAAACAAAGAATGTTCTATACATACATAACTATTATATAAAATAATATTAATAATAAAATAGGATAAATCAACTGAATAATCCCTTCAATTTCCCTATAAATGATTTCTTCTTCCTTCCATTATGCAAATTTCCTTCATCATATTCGTCTTCTTCTCTTATCTTCCCTTGACTTGAAATGGAAATCAATGCTGGTTGGTGGTCACCGGTACCACCTGAGTTTTGACTGGTTCTAGATTTTGTTTGTGACATGACATTTCCAAATCCTCCTCTACCAACAGAGAATGACTTGTTAGATGCAACGGCATATAATTCGTTCTCTCTTTCCTTTTGAGTTGCACCGTCCACATCCTGAAGTTTCCGGGTGAGTTCTGGATCACTGTTTTTGATCATATTTCCATATCCTCCACGTCCAGTAGTGATCTTTTCCGAATGAAGTTGTGGAGTATTTGATCCTTGTGGGACTAATTTTGGAGATGGGAGAGATGACGATGATTTAATGTTTCCGGCTCCTCCTCTACCAGTGGAATAATAAATTCTTTTATTCCCGCCGTTTTCTAGTGGTGGAGAACTAGTATTATTTGTGCGAGAAGTAGCAGGACTAATAACATTATTCTCACTGGTTATATTTGAGGATTCTTGAATATTCCCAGCTCCTCCTCTTCCAGTAGAGTAAGGCATTTTGTATCTATTTGATTGTATTAAATTTTATTTTTCCTTTATCTGTAAAATCTAATTGGAAAGTCACTCCCAAATATATCTCAAGATTCAAGCTCTATTCAAAGGTCAATCAACTAATTTTAATTAATGAGTATTTGTACTTTATCTTTTGTTTGTTCACAGTGTTGGTCATTTACTTGGCAGGACTTGTTGCGATTTGCACGTGACTACGCCGCTCCGGCGGCATTTTCTTATTTCAAACTCTCTATGTGTTTTTTTTTTTTATTTTTTCCAACTGTGGGGACTATGGGCGCGGAAGTACAAGCCCGGATATACTTCTATCTACATAATAAATTACAATTCAATCATTAAAATATCTTTCTATAGAATATGGTTGCTGGTTATCTAATTTCTTATCTTACATTATAATATATCCTGTTTTATCCAAATTTAAACCTTTATTTTTGGGGGGGGTTTCTGTATTTTACTTTCTATAAAGTTGTCTCGTTACACATATGATTTTTTTTTCTATTTTCTTATTAATATTTTTTGGCAAGTTCAAATTGATCCCACCCATTCATTCCGATAAGGATAAATAAAGGCTTGTTCATCCAACATTATTATTCAGAATGAACCATTATTCCATTATTTCATGGTAGCTTTATCACATCCAATGATCTGGTTGTATTTATTTTATTTATTTTTTTTTTCTCCATCACAAATCTGAAGAACTTGATTGTGGTGGATTGAACTTCAATAAAAGCTTTGAAAACCTGTTCGACTTATTGAATAAAGAAGTTGAAGGTCTGGAGGAGCCTGGTTTATCTTGTAAATGTGTTATATATAGTAATGCTCCCTGTAAGTCTTCATTACTACCTTGATCCCCCATCCCCAAGAAATGATCTGATGGATAATTTGATCTCTCCAAATAATTTATCGTATTAATATTTTGATTATTTTTGGTAATCTTATCATTAGTTTCATTTTCAATTGGATCACTTTTATTTGTAACTTTCTTCTTAGGTACTTGAATTTCTTCAAGTTCAAGCTTTGTACGTAATTGAATTGTATCTCTATCGATTTCATTTGAATGATCAACTTTTGGTGATGATCTCTTGAAAAAATGACGAATTGTATGAACTACAGGATTAGGGGGTGATTTCTCTACTTCCTTTTTCTTTCTTGGAAATAATCTTTTGAACAGCTTTCTACGGTTCAACCGTGGAGGTGGTAGTAATATATTGGGAGTCTTGGGTAATATTTCATCCTTTTCATGAGTTTTATTTGATCTACTTGTATATTTTTCAATTTGTTCCAAGATTTGATCATCTTCCTTTGATGGTGGGTTTGGAGGATGACAATCGGGTATAAATGGCAGTTGAGATTCCTTTAGTTCGGTAGCCCGTGGTACAGAGGTAAAGTACAGTGAAAATGTAGGAGAATATTGATAAGAATGAATACTTTCAAACCTCGATAAAGGATGGGTATTTTCAGGGTCACCAAAGGGATCACTAAAGGGAAACTTGGGTGAATCCACTAAAACATTCGTATTAATATTATCATTGACATCTAAACTAGTTAAGGTGGCTACATCATCATTCCGCCTCATTCTTTTCATTGGAGGTTGAAACATGTTACTAAACGATCTTCTCTTGAGTTGTTTGGGTGAAGGAGTGACTGGAGAAGTTTTTGTAGATGATGGACTATGAATTCGTAATTGCTTGAATTTAAGATTAATATCTTCTGTCATGATTTAGGAATGTATATATATGTAGAGGAATGATCTGAAGGGATGATTGTTGTTATTGTTATGCTTACTTTTTTTTAAAAAAATTAAAAAAAGACGATCAGGTTATTTGAATTTACGTATAAATTGTACATACCAACCCTCCTTTTTTTTGTTATACAATAGGGGTTTGGTGTGTTTGAGGTACTTCATGGTTTCAGATTAGTTTACAAATGCAAGATTTTGCAACACATTTCCCAGCGAAACGAGGAAAAATTCAACACTATTAAAATTCAACCGCGTTTATTATAGGGGCTCGTAACACATTTAGGCATCATTCTATACATTAGGTCTGATTTAACAGATTTAGATACATTATGGAATGTAATATAAAACAAGTGTACGGTAGGAAATGATTGTCACGAATTCTCGATATGTATTTAAATATAATTGGCTACACTTGAATAAATTATTTTACAATCGTATAGATAACACGGTAAAAAGAAAACATACCCACATTTACGTCAAGTATGACTGAGATAACGATAGAGATAATGTACTCCATTGGTCACGGTACAACTATCAGAGATTGATACTACTGAATTAAATAATCTCTCATTCTTCAACTTCTCTTTTCAAGGCTTCATTTAATTTCTTGAATTGACTTTCACTCTCTTTAATAATCCCCGTAGCTAAAGCGAAAAATATACCAATAAATTGTTCACTTTGAATTACTTTTGTGACTTGTTTATTATCAATTGTTAAGGGAATAAATTGAAATGAATGCACACCTGATGCGATAAATTCGAAAAGTAAAGTTCCTTTCCATTTCAAAGACTGTGCGGTGAGTTCCGTTACATACGGTTTAAATGTTTGCGGCAGTCGGTTTGGAAGTTGTATTTCAACCTTCAATTGAGATCCAACTTGTAAAGATTTGCCGTCTAATACTTCAATTGAATTGAAAAACGGATTCCAATTCTTATGATTTGGAAAATCAAAGAACGTTTTTGTAACTCGTTCTATAGGAGCATTGATTATAATTTCAGTATTAATAGACATTTTGTGTTTATTCTACGTATAGAGAGGCAATTGTTTATTATACTATCATCCCATCTTTATAGTATCACCTACCGGATGTTAAATTAGTTCGGAATCGGAGATGTGCGGCTCTTGCACGGTGTTTAGACGGAGTAATAAAATTGTGTCAAAGTTTGTTTGTAAGTACAAACTTTAATGTAGATAAAACTGAATTATCCAACTCTTTAGAAATTTATAAAATATACCACAAGTTCAATCACGAATACTTTTGGTAGGATCAAATATCCTCGGTTGCTTTAATCAACAAAAATTCATAAGTACAGAGAATAAAAAAAAGAAATTAAATATTGTATGAATTTGTGTTCGATCCTCGGATAACGCCGTTAAGATTTAAATACCAAGAATGGTGTGCTTAAATGAAATAGAAAGATTGAGTTTGAGATAAGCCACCGAAGCAATTGAAGAGAATTGATTGGTAATATCGATGTAGAGCGTTAACACTATATGTACTGATAATTTTAACAATAAGACATTTCTAGTTCTATGTAATATATCTCTTGTGTGTGTGGGGAAAATTTGAGATCCCCCACGGTTTATTCCCTGCTTTTTGTGGTACAAAATGAAAAAGAATCACGATCCCGCCTTAGCAATATCCAAGACCGAAACTAAAAGGTTGCTAAATGGGTATTCAATAAATAAAAAATAAAACCAGCACGTGTATGTATTATAATATCGCGGGATAACTCACATATCCTCCGAATCGTGATATGTTATTATAACTTTATTCTTTAGATTCGCGTTTCTCTAGATAAACAAACTAATTCTGGAGTTATTGGTTGTTAGCCGCTTAAGAACTTTTTTCTCTTCACGATATCGTGGAGAAAAAAAAAAAAAAAAGGCTATGTTAAGAAAAAAAAAAGGGGGACAAAGGGTCTAACAATGCATCTACGCCAGTAAAACCCGAAAAAAAAAAAGGTAAATTTCTTGAGGAATTCAAGAAAAATACAATTACGAAAGCCACTGAAGCATTCTCGATACGCGTTTCCTTATTTCATCGATAAGAGACACCGTTTAGGACAAAATCGATGACGAAATCTATGGTAAGTGGGCTACAAACATTCTATTATTCTCTAAATCTATATGACAAATTTAATAGCAATTCATGTGAGTTCATTAGCTTCTATGCACATAACTACACTGGAGTAGTGTACATTGATATTACCCTACATGATGTACATACATATTTGAGCTGTCTAGTAGTAAATTTAAAAATGGAAAAGTAACGTGAAGTACATTTTTCTTTTTTTGATATAGTAAAAAAAAAAAAAAAAAAAAGAAATCTCCTACACGTTCCTCAAGAATATTACCGAGATTGTTCCCACAGGTTATACTTTTTCTTACCCATGATAAACGCGATTCTTCTACAATCCAGATGTGGAATATTGAAATTATTCAAGAATGTATAGAGAGAGAGAAAGAGAGATTAATCATAACGTAAAGGTAATATCACATACGCACTAAAGGTTATCGTGTGAATATTATTCATTTAAAGCCATCGCAATCGTTTTAATAGCAATAAAGGGGGCAAAGCCGGAACAGACTTCAGATGATGTCAAATGTAGAAGAATGGGAATGGAAAATATTTCATATGCAATATTATATAAGAGTGTAACTAAAGTTACGTAAGAGCCTATGTAATCAGGAGGTTATTAATACTAGATAGCGAGGATTATACGCCTCTAATAGCAAAGTGTATTATGTAAGCTTGCATATTACAGGTATTCTTACCTTCCCTTTTTGAATAATAGGATTGCAGATAAGGAAAATCCAGGCGCACCTTTCTTGTTTTGCTGTATTTTTAATGCGCAGCCCCCCTAGCCCCACACAGACCATTCCGAGTCCTAATTGTTGCTATGTGAGGCCACATTTCCGTTTTTTGTCTTGGAATGGCAGGGTGTACTGGTTATGTATCGCACTAAAATTGTACATTACGTGCACCAGCATAGCCTTCCTGATGAAATTCATGCGTTTTTTATGTACCATATCTATCTTCCATTCTCAAGAGCCGCGTTTCTATATTTAATACTAAGCAAAAAAAAAAAATTAAAAATTAAAAAAATTAAAAAGGGAAAAAGGTGCAATCCCTTTATCCATTGTAAAATATATAAGAGCACTGTTCCCAAGTAATTTCAGGATAAAAATTTATTTACCCTTTATCAAACACACAACCTATTCACATTAACAATGCAATTCACCAAGTTTATCGTTGCCTCCGTTGCCACCGTCGCTTCCGTTCAAGCTGCTAACGCTTCCAACTCCTCCTCCTCCTCCTCTGGTTCCAATGGTGTTACTTACCAAATTGGTGCTGGTGCCATTGGTGCTGCTGTTGCCGCTGGTGTTGCTTTGCTTTACTAAGCGTTTTAATTCATTAGCGCTTTTAGCAGATTTTAATACTCTTGAAGAGTACTAGCCTGTTTTCTATGTATGTTTATTTGGTTATTATTTTGTATAGACGTTCACTAATAAATCCTTGAATGTTTAGGCTTAAAAAAAGAAAATTGTAAGAAAATCATGTGATTAAATGAAATAGTGTGATTATATGTAACGAGTGTATGTATTTCAATGATGGTCATGGTTTTCAAAATGTATATTCAGAACCTGATTCAGTATCGGATACTGAATAATTTGAGGCGGACAGGTAGCAATTATGTCTACTTTCCAGCTTGAAGTACCTTAAATGTAACCGGTTATCAATATTCTTATCTAAATTCTCTGTCTTTTTTAAACTTGCTTTCTCATTTAAAAGATAATCAGTTACAATATGCAACTCTTCCTCGTTTTTCATTTTCATCCTATTGTCTTCGTTTATTGAACAAACCAACTTATTTAAATCTTCAACTATCTTAAAGTAATCTTCAAGTGTTGGATTTGAATAAACAGTTTGCTTTAATTGCGATAAATCGATCGGTTGAAGTTTGATTTTTTTTAAATGTTTAGCAACCAATCTTTGATTTAATTTTATCTTTTCAATTTCTTGGTAATGAGTTTGAAGTAAATCAAGTGAATTATCTTCAAGGTTTATATTTTCCTTATCCAGGGAATTAAATTGTTGATTTAAATTAAATTTTGCTTTAGAATTTTCATCTAAATAGTTTGATACAATTTGTTTGAATTCTTCTTCAATTTTTAATTCCCAATCATTTCCCTTTTCTGTATTTTCTTTACCAGTTAACAAAGTAAAATTATGTTCGATATTAGGTTTATTTAATGACATCTTAGAGATAATTTGTAGATAATAGTGGTTTTAATAATTTGGTGTTTATTTGCAATTTGTACCACTATAAATTTATGTGTGCAACCACAATAACAAATCTGAAGTTTTGTTTGTATTAGTAACATTGTGTACAATTTTATTAAAATGTAATGATTAGTTTGATAATAGTTCTACCAATATCTTGGAGTATTTCTTAATGTGAGAAACTTTGGAATTTACATTAGATTAAATTTATCGTATTTGTAGTAGGTGGTCATTGATTGAAGTATATGTAACTCGCATTTTGGGACAATAAATGTAATCCCAAGTAAGCACCACCCATTAAGAATTACAGGGTAGCATATGATCCATGTTAAAAGAGTGTGTCTCGTTAATTCTTCTTTATAACATCTACGTTCATTTTTCTTCTTCTTCATCTTCTTCTACAACTTACGCATTAGCTCTTTATTGTCTATTCTTTTCCATCCAATATACATATATAAATTGTTTTAAAATACATCTGGTAATCTTTCAATAACATATGAATGTCCACCTACACTCATAAGAGGTACACCAGGAACCTTTCTAATTCTTCTCTTCAAATCAGCATCATTGGTAGCTACAATATAACACTTGTGTTGCATGACTCTGTGCACCAAACAATCATCCGCATAGGTACCTTTGTGGGAACAAGTAAGTCTTTCAATTCTAGGATCTCTTGCAAGTTTTAAAGCAATTCTATATTTTGGTCCTAATTTTTCTAATTCTGCCATTACACAATCAGTGATCATTGGGATACATTTAGCATACAAAGTATCCATCATACCTTTCACAATATCTATCTTCTTTTGAATAGAAAAGTTGATGAAATTAGTATCGATTAGCACTTGATAAGGAGGTTTAATAGACTTATTAAATTGAAAGAATAACGCTGATGATACTTGTGGTACATCTCTAACAAGTTCAGAATCGTCAGTGTTCTTCTTTGGTTTGTCCTTGTTTTTGTTTATACGGGGATCCTTTGAGTTGATGGTACGTTTCACCAATGCAAACTTTCTCGTCTTCTTAGCCTTACCCATGGTTTATGACAGTTATTGGTTCTATAAGTAAAGTGTGGTTATTCGTTTGTATAACTATTTATGTGTGTATTTTATTTTTTTTTTTCATCTTCCTTTTAAAAATGATGAGATGGGGAGAGCGAATTTTGGTCACGTGTCCATGCTGCAAAGAGTTGCAATAAATTTGTAGATGGATATAAAGAAGTGTATTAAAAATCAAAGAATAGTAAAGAAAGGAATGGACAGAGTTCAATGAGGTACCTTGATACGTTTATAAATCAATTAAAGTGCAATAGAAAATAAAAAATTGTGAGAGGTATGATGTAAGTGTATTTCTAGTATTGGATTGAGGTTGATATCGTTCTGTGAATGTGGGTAGTGAATAAGGTTATAAAAAAGTACTAGAATTGATAGCTGGAGAACATCTTCAACTGTATATTACTGTCGCTGCGTTCCTTCTCTTGCTTATTATACTTCAACTTGTCATTTCTATATATATATCCATCGTTCTACAAACATACATCCTAGAGAACTATTGTTCCTACAAAGATAATATTGTGGGTGGTTCTGGGCACTTTAAGTAGCACCTAGAAGGATGAATGTGGCTTGGTATCTATGCAGAAGGATGTCACGTGCGGATGCAAGTGACTGGAACTGTGAAGATAAGGATTAGCTTGAAGCTTCAGAGAAAGGTCAAGGTAATTATGGATGTGATTACTAAAAACGAATATATTGTTTATCATAATACAAAATATCTGGAACTCCTATAAAATCAAACAAAGTTGTCGAGAGAGAGAAGCAATGAAAAAGAATTATAACCCAATATAGAATAATACTTACCATGTAAAGTAATTCTAATTTAGGGATCAACTCTCTCTCTAGTGTCTTTTCCTCCTCCTTTTAATATTCATGGATCATTTGATGATCAAATGCTCCCTTTAAAGCACTTCTCTTCCAACTGAGCATTTGCTTCTTTTCAAAATCAATTTGAAATACTCGTAACTTTCTATCGTAGTCAACGGATGTACCTACACTGGCACCGGCTCCACTACTATAACATAACCACATAGAATTTATAACAGTGTTACGGTCAATTTTTTCACTAAGAAGACATAAATCATTCTTATATTCATGTCCTACTGATACAACCTGATATCCCAAACTAGCAATATCATCTCTAAATTTCATATCAGTCTTCTTCTTTAATGGTTTCTTATCATTATAAGCACCGATTAATTTGAATTCACCCTGTGGTCTGTAATTTGGTAATGGATAATGGAAAAATAATAATTTGAATGGATCTTTGGATTTAAGTGGTTGATTTTCTCGATACAAGAAATTTATTTGAGATGAATCAATCTTATGATTTTCTGAATCCAATACAGTTATAATTGCAGCGGGTTCATCAAGTTTTAATTGAGTCTCTTCATTCACTGGCATTTTGAATACTTTCATGTTATAATTGGTTAAACCATGTAGATTTTGATTATATCTCACGAATTTATTATAACAATATGGTAATGAAGATATGAAATTTAAAATATTTAATTTTAAAATTGTATCAACTTTTAAATCACTTTCATCAGGTGAATTTTCATCTTCAGGTTTATCTTCATATAATGGTACTTCATCCATTTCTCCAAAAGTGAATATAAATGGAATTTTTTTAGACAAAATTGGTGATAAACTCTTTAAAATTGAAGATTTGAATTCTTTAGTTCTATGACTATCAATTAAATCTCCCGTGATAACAACCAAATCAATTGGTTTTGATGATGATTCACCTTCAAATGAACTTTCTAAAAATTCTAAACTTTTCAAATCAGCAGTACAATCAATCAGAGAATCTAAACAAAAGCCAGTATCAGGACCAATATGTAAATCTGAAATTTGAACAATTTTTAAACTATTAGATTTAGCAAGTAAAACTTCATTTTGCTTTAAACTTTGAAATTCATGAAATTCTGTGAAAATTTTATTATGTGAAGTAAGTGGTACTTTTAAAAGGGTTAAATGAGGTAAAACAGGAGCATTAACTGGAATACTAGTTCTTTGATATTGCCAATATTCCCTTGAATCTTGTAAATCATCCATTCCAAATAAAATATCCAAATCTCGAACAAGATCAACTTGTTCAAATGTTTCATGTGATTTACTAATAAATTTCTTCCAAATTGTATAAGAATCATAATCAGTCAGTACCCAACCTTCATTACTATCATTGATGGGTTCTCCTTTCAAAGTGATCTTAACATCAACTAGAGCACTGTCTACAGTTTGTGCCAGGGCTTGCTTGACAAATACAAACGTATTAAAGATGTCCATTGATCTCAGAAGACTTCTGAATGGTTTAGCAGCATATAATTCAAGTGGTGAATCAAGTCGACGCCATTGAAGTTGTTCAACCTTATTTAATTGACATGAGCTATAATAAAAACATTTTTTAATCTTAATATCCGATATCACCGTATTACCCTTTAATGAGTCAACTAGATTTGGATATGATTGAAGATTAACAGTAGTTAATTCATTGAATGGATGGAAAAAGAAAACGATTATAAAGATTATGAAAAGAACAAATATACTAGCAGTTGATTTCTTAAACCTTACATTCAATAATCTTTTATCCATCTTAGACAATCGATCTGATATACTGGATCGCATATATACAGAAAGAAACTGCCAGGTCCCTGGGTTAAATATGATTCAAATGAACGTGAAGGGGTGGTGAAGGTGAAAAGTATAAATTTAAATATTTCTTTGAAAAAGCCTCTCTCACTCCCGCCTTATAAAGTGTATCGAAATGTTTATGAAATCACACCCAAATCAAGAATTGTAATAAAATATCTAAATTAAAATAAATTAATTGAGAAATAAATATCTATAATGATACAAGTAGGGAGAGTTATTTGTTTAATGAAGTAGGGAGGCGGATCTTTTAAAATATGCCTGTCGAACTATCTTCCAAGCTAAATGTATGCATACAAAAAAAAAATATTCTCGAAAGATCCACTAACTGTATAATTAACACCAACACTAAAGCAGAACACCATACCAAGTTATATGGGGATCATTGCTATATTTTCTGTTTTTTTTTTTTTTTGAGTGCGCTAAAAATATTATTTTTCTATCCGCATATCACATGAACGAAAGCCGCGATACAAGGCAGTAGTCTACGTGCAGGGTCTTCAAGAACAATATACAAAGTATGGAAAATGCATTCAAGGCGGTAAGGTGTAGCTTCCCTTCCAAACGGCGTACAAGGATCTGAGATTCCAGGCTAGGAATTTCAATCGGTACACATTTATGGCCCAATATTCTATCAATTGAATCTAACTAATCTACATGTACACATCGCCAATCTTTCCAATCTTTCGAGTTTTTGGATTTTTCTCGGTTTAATTTTAAACTGTAAAATTTTTTTTTGTCTGCAAGTTTATTTTTAACTCAATTGATTACGGTTACATTAATTGTACTGACTTTCATTGGGGGGGCTCCATTTCTTCTTTTTGATTCTTCTTTAGTCTATATTATCTCTTTGTTTCTTTGCTTAAGAAGCGTTTCATATTTCATTTCCACATTTCATATAGCAGAAATCAGTCTGCTCAATAATTTCATATAATACGAAATTGAGGCGGGGGCTGTCATCTTCGTAAATAAATCATTATAAAATAAAAATTAATTTTCTTCAACCTCAGGCGTCGCCTGTTCTCACCCGTTTAGATCTAGGCCTTCCCCGCAGGATGCCACGTAATTTTTGTCATTTTCGCAAATATTACACTTTGGGACACAATACTGAATTAAACCCAAAAATATTACACTAATCGTACAATACACAATATTAACAATTGCAAAAGAATTACAATATATGAATTTTATTTATCTACTCAAAGAATATTCATAATAGTAACAGCTCTTATCTTTTTATAAGCCACTTTCTGAATTTACATTCCAATTAGTGTAAATTCAATATGCAAATTGAATCATTTGTTTGATTCTTATGGTAATTCATTGATTGATTGACATATCCTTATTCCTTAATTGGATCATCTAATTGAATTAAATCTTTATCTTCCAATTGCTCTTTAACTTGATCAACTTCCTCCTTCTTATCTTCATTATTTTTCACTTCATTCTTCTTCTCTTCATCCTTATTTCCTTCCTCCTTTATCTCTTCATTATTTTCCTCCATTTCTTCCTCTTCCTCTTCCCCTTCCTCCTTTCCGTCTTCACCATTATCTTCTCCCTTCTCTCTCCTCACATTTTCATCCATTACTGAATTATCGCGACCGAAAAATACACTAAGTCCATGAGGTGTTGATGGTGTACACGTTAAATCATTCCATATTTCACCTTTAACATAAACACATGTTTGTGTACCATTAGTATGTAATCTTGGTTTGAGATCTTCAAAGCTATCAAATACTTGACACTCCGCATCAACCACTTCTTTAGAATTCTTAACAATATACTTGACACTAACCCATTGTTTACTACCTCTTTTACGATAACAATATTCTGTATTAGAATGAATGATCCCAGTTATAATATATGGTTTCAAAGAATGTCCCTCATTCTCAATTCTCTTGATCACATTCTCTGGTACAGTAATATCGGATTCTTTGAATTGTTGTCCAATTTTTTCAATCTCTTCATTAACAAATGATTTTTTCCCCTCTAAAACTTGTCTAAAGTTATCAATATCCAATTTTGATTCTCCTTCAAGTATTAATGATGTCTTATCCAATATTTTTTCTAATTTTTTACCTTCAAAAAAATTCATATGATTAATTCTTTTAACAAGTTCAACTTTCTCTGAAAATAATGATTCTCTTAATTTATTCATTTCAACAATTGTACCAACATATTCAGATGAATATATCTCTGGATAAAATTCTTCAAGAATTTCAAATTTTGAATTCGATTGATTCCCATAATATGAATTATATTGATCATCTCCAATTCTACTAACAGTTAAAACATCTGCAAGTTGACTAAACATGATTTGTCCCAATTGTTCTAATTCATTACCCCAAACAAGTTCATTGAATGATTCATACAAGTTGGCATGATGTAAATTAGATTCTATGTCAATATGACATACGTCATTCTTTTGATCTTCTTCTTCATTAACCACTTCAAACGTAAATATTTCATCTAATAATTCTTTAAATCTTTTGGCAATTTCAATATCTTTTTGATTAATTGTTTTCAAAATATTCTCCTTTAAAATTTCAAATATTTTAGGAATAATTTCTTCAATTAATAAAGTATCATTTAAAAGATTTTTGAATTCCTTTGGTAATGTTTGATAAAAATTTTTATCAGATATTAATAATCTCTTACTATCATTTTTAGCTATGAATCCAACAAGTCTTTGTAATTCAACCACAAACTTGAATGATGGTACTTGTTCTTTATTAATATCAGTTGGGATTAATAAATTTAAAATTCCTTCATTAAACCAATTCTTATCCCATCCATAATCTTTATTTTCAAATTGCTTATCGAAAACAATTGATTGAAATTTAGTAATTTGGGAAAGAATTATTATAAATGGTATAAAATAATTTTCCTTTTGTAATGGATTTGAAGGTATAATTAATTTTGGAATTGAAGAATCAAATTCATAAGTCTTAACTTTATCAAATAATGATACATTATCATCTATTGATTCATCATCCAGATCAGAAGGACTCAAATTCTTGGAAACAGAGTCTTCCATTGGGTGGTCTTTATCATAACCTTCTTCTTCTTCATCTTCGTCATCCTCTTCTCCTTTTAGTTGGCGTTCGTTCACAACGTGCAATTCATTGATATCAAGTTCATCTGGAGTTTGTTCACTATCAGTTTCATTCACCTCTTGTTCTGTTCTATACGCTTGTAAGGCACTGAAATCTGGTATATCAAGTGGATTCAGAACTTGGATCGTGTCTTGATCATTGTGTCTAGATGGTAATGGTGGCTTGGATTCAACTTCAATTGGTTCTTCAAATAAGTATCCAATGGCATTTTCTACATCGTTATTGGTGGCTTTTAAAGCTTTCAGTGCTTGTTCTGGGGAAAACCCCATATCCACAAGTTGTGCGATTTTATCTTCAATTGATTCAGACATATTCCTAATCTATCACTGGATATGTGTAGCAAGATATTATTCACATATAGATGTATAAACCATTTAAGGAGATTAGACTGTATATAATACTAGTTACACAAATCATGATAACATAGATCGATCATGAAACTGAATCGTCATGATTAAACTTCAAAAATTAACCCAATTCAAAACGTTCCATTATTACTAGAAGCATTTCTAAAAACTAATAATGACTAGTTCCATGCGTCATCCTAAATTTGGTTATACCTGAGATATTTTTACTAAAATGTGCCCTTTCATGGTATGACTCAACTGTAATACTCATACAAAATCAGAAACCCGTGACTTTTTTTTTTTTTTTCCGCCCTTTTTTTTTTTTTTTTTTTTGGTGGTAACATTTTTTTCTGGTGATGTCTCATCTTTTTCCATGACAAAGGCTCAAAGATTAGATCTTTATTCTTTTTGTTAATGAACTATTTGAGAACATCATCCTTAATAAGACGAGTTCCCATATTATTTCAGAGAAAAACACCTGTAGTATCGACCCTTAAGTTTAATTTAAGATATATTCATCTGCAGTTTTCGCATCGTCCAATCAATATGTCCGTTCAAACTCTCACTTCAAGTTTGAGCAAATTGGGTTTAGACCAACCTGAATTGGTTGAAGGCTCCCAACCTGAGTACAATGTCATCGATGTGATGAGAAACTACATCACCGATGAGTTGCACAAGGTTTCTGGTGTTTCTAAGGACATCATTTTCCCAGCTTTGGACACTCCAAACGTCATGGAAAAGGGTGACTTGATCATTCCAATCCCAAGATTGCGTTTGAAGGGTGTTAACCCAAAGGAAAAGGCCGAAGAATGGGCCACTGGTTTCGCCAAGGGTGAATACTTGAGTGAAGTTAAGGCTGAAGGTCCTTTCATCCAATTTTTCTTCAACAAGAAGGTTCTTTTCAACCTTGTTATTAAGGATGTTTTGACCAGAACCACCGATTATGGTGCTTTACCATTGGGTGTCGGTAAGAAGTTGGCCATTGAATTCTCCTCTCCAAACATCGCCAAGCCTTTCCATGCTGGTCATTTAAGATCTACCATCATTGGTGGGTTCCTTGCTAACTTGTATGAAAAGTTGGGTTGGGATGTTTCTAGAATCAACTACTTGGGTGATTGGGGTAAGCAATTCGGTTTATTGGCCATTGGTTTCGATAAGTTTGGTTCTGAAGAATCCTTGGAAAAGGATCCAATTAACCATTTGTTTGAAGTTTATGTTAAGGTTAACCAAGAAATGACTGCTGAAGGTCCAGATGCTGTTGGTGGTATCAACGACAAGGCCAGAGAATACTTCAGAAAGATGGAAGATGGTGACGAACACGCCCTTAAGATCTGGAAGAGATTCAGAGAATTGTCTATTGACAAGTACGTTGACACTTATGCTAGATTGAACATTCGTTATGATGAATATTCTGGTGAATCCCAAGTTTCTAAGGAAAAGATGAAGTTTGCCACTGATCTTTTCGAAAAAAGAGGTTTGGTTCATGAAGATAGAGGTGCTAAGTTGATCGATTTGACCAAATTTAACAAGAAATTGGGTAAATGTTTGGTTCAAAAATCTGACGGTACTTCTATTTACTTAACTAGAGATGTTGGTGAAGCCATGGGTCGTTATGAAAAGTACAAGTTTGACAAGTCCATCTATGTCATTGCCTGTCAACAAGATTTACACGTTGCTCAATTCTTTGAAATTTTGAAACAAATGGGTTTCGAATGGGCTAAGAACATGGAACATGTTAACTTTGGTTTGGTTCTTGGTATGTCTACTAGAAAGGGTACCGTTGTGTTCTTGGATAACATCTTGGAAGAAACCAAGGAAAAGATGCATGAAGTTATGAGAAAGAATGAAACTAAATACGCCCAAATTGAAAACCCAGATAAGATTGCTGATTTAATTGGTATTTCTGCCGTTATGATCCAAGATATGCAATCCAAGCGTATCAACAACTACGAGTTCAAGTGGGACAGAATGACTTCTTTTGAAGGTGATACCGGTCCATACTTGCAATATGCTCACTCTAGATTGAGATCTGTTCAAAGAAAGTCCAACATTGACGACTCTAAGTTGGCCAATGCTAACTTGGACTTGTTGACCGAACCAGCTGCTGAATCCTTGGTCAGAATCTTGGCTCAATACCCAGATATCATCAAGAAGGCCCAAAAGACTCATGAACCATCTACTGTTGTAACATACTTGTTCCAATTGAGTCACGTTGTTTCCCAATGTTACGACATCTTATGGGTTGCTGGACAAGAAGAAGACTTGGCTGTTGCCAGATTGGCCTTGTATGCCGCTGCTAGACAAGTCTTGTTCAACGGTATGACCTTGTTGGGATTGACTCCTGTGGATAGAATGTAAGTAATTCTTTTTTTTTGTAAACCAGCTAAAAGTACGTTCGTAGAAAAAAAGAAATACGTCATAGTAATATAATAAATAATAGAAATGAATTATCGCTGTAGACAACCTCGGTATATAGATCTAAATAATATTACTGAGAAGAGGGGGGATAAATATTTTATTTAAAGTGTTTCAGATGTACTATCTGAAACATTGGCAATTAGTTGAAGGGAGTTCCAAAATAGCGCGCCGCCGTTTGAGGATCTTGAACGGGTAGGTTGTTTTTTTTTTTTTTTTTGATAGAAAAGTTTGCGGGTATCAAATCAGTGCCGTTTGTGTACACTATAGATCCATACAAGCTGTGTGGATATTGCCCCGTGCAAATAATCCTTGTATAATAGTTTGGGCACGTACGATCCCGCAGTGATTATTGAAATAGCCAACACAACATGAGTACGCCGCCCATATCACTTACGATTTCCCCAGAGGAGTACAATGAAACAATCCGAGATATCCAAACCATGAAGGTATCCCAATTAAAAGATCTTGCAAGAGCGTTGGGGTTAACCGTCTCCGGGAAGAAAATAGATCTTTTCGAACGGATCAACACATATATGGATCAGGGCCAACGATTTGGAGACTCCATTAGAATTGCATCGATCCGTGTCTTGGTGTCCAAGATCTTTCAAAACAGTCCACTTACAGACTACCGGGCGCTATATGAAGCGTTGAGGAGCGGTGCATACCGATACTCTCAGAACGATACCACCAATAGTGTGCAGTCGTTGCCTTTATCTCAAGTACGACCAAAACCTAAACTGGCTGTGAGAACTTCAACTGAAACAGAACCATACCGTGGACATCAACTTTATTTCAAGGAAAGTCCATTCTATAGACTTAAACGGTTGATCCATGGTAGTCCAAACTATGCGCCAATAAATGAGCTGAGAGGGACGTGTCAACATCAGTTTGTACTTACACAAGAAGAATCTAGTATGCTCGTCAAGGATAACATTGAATGTGTTTTACTTTGTGGTATACCAAACCTTTCATCCCCTTCTACTGCATCTGCATTTGTCCAATACCCCAGTCCAATAGAGCTTAATATTAACGGGGAAACGTTAAGTACAGGGGGTTTCAAAGGAATCAAGGGGAAACTAGGAAGTGCTCGACCTGCAATTATTACAAAATATCTCAAGTTGGGGTTATTAAATACTATAGAAATGGTTTATTTGGGCACAAAAGATCCATATTTATTATATTGCTACCTTGTTGAGATGATTCCAACTGTAGACATCCTTCGAGAGGTATCTTTAAGACCTCATATTCATACCAGTGCAACCCAAATGCAAATTAGAAAGGAAACAGAAGCAAATGATGATGATGACGATGATTTGATAGTTGCTACCACCTCTATATCGTTAAAATGTCCATTATCATACACTAGAATGAAATATCCAAGTCGGTCCATATATTGTACACATATCCAATGTTTCGATGCTTTGAATTTCTTGCAACTTCAAGAACAACTTCCAACTTGGCAATGTCCTATATGTAATAGAGAAGTTCAAGTGTCCCAACTTGCGATATCGGACTACTATATGGAGATTTTGACCACGACGAGTGCCGACGTGGAAAGTGTTTCACTTGAGAAAGATGGTACGTGGAAAGCTATGGAAGAGACTCCAAAGGATCAAAATCCAAAATCTCAACATGATGAACTGTCACTGGATGAAGAGACAATTCCTGCAAAACGTCCAAGGCTGCCTGAAATTGAAATAATATCCTTGGATAGTGAATCTGAAGATGAAGCTCCTGCACCACGAGTCGTACCCGCTGTGCCAACAGAGTCTCCGAGTGTACCTAATCAACCTCAGCCTCAACCTCAGCCTCAACCTCAGCCTCAAACTCAGCCTCAAACTCAACCACAATCTCGAGTCGAAACTCCCACGATTCCCCCAATTACTCGACCTCAATCTCAACATCTCCCTGGGACAGGAACGGAACAAAACTCGGAGCCTTCGCAATCTCAAATTCCTCCTCGTGTAAGCACGTCGCCAGTTCTACTACTGACCGAACGGCCATCACCAATTCAATTGCCTGATTCCCAACCCTCTGTTGTTCCTACTGCCTCAGCGTCTTCAAATGTACGCATGTCTTTCCCTGAACTCAACTCTCAATCATATATACCTCAACAACCTCAACAACCTCAACAACCTCAACAACCTCAACAACCTCAACAACCTCAACAACCTCAACAACCTCAACAACCTCACCAACCTCAACAACCTCAACAACCTCACCAACCTCAAACAAATGGTGAAGAGGAACAAAACGAGAGACAATTAGTGAGACGTTCTTTGGCTTCTCCGGTCACGGAAACACGTGAGATTAGACAGATTGAAAACAATCAGAATACAGAACCACATCATCCCCTGAACCCTCTGCTTCGTCAAGCACTGGTACTGAAAATTTCGGATCATGGTGCATCGAATACAGTAGCTGCTACCACACCCGCTACCTCGGTTGTCCCAGCATCCGAATCTCGAGCTCACTCAACTGAGAATCAATTCATTCAACACCACTTCCATGTAAGTACTCCTCAAAACTACTTCGAGCAACAACATCAACGCAATCTCCAAGTGCTCAATCCTAATATGTACGTTCGAAATACACAACAACCATTTCAACATTCTCATGGACAATATCCGGCACAAGGACCATGGGAGTTATTACAATATCAACCTCCACTTCAATCGTCAAATGTGCAATCTCACTTGTCGAATATCCATCTTCAACAACTTCAAGAATATCAAAATCTTCATAGGCGCATAATAGAAATGCAGAAAGTACGGAATCCTCTGCCTTTGGTTTTGCAACAGCTTCTGCGCGATTCACAGCTATTTGCAACTTATACGCGCTACATGCAACAGTTAGATCACCAGATGCAATCTCTTCGACAGCTTGGATCGCCGCAGCAAACTCAGCAACCGCATGGTTACAATGTAACACATCCATCCAGACTACAGGATTTAACTCTTGAACAAGCAGGACATCCCTCTGTACGCCCTCATGCACAACCAACACCAAAATCGTCGGAGCGAAGAAGAGTTCAACGCAATATGTCAGAGTTGCCAGTTCGTCAATTTGTACCTACTGGTACTCGAAATTCAACTCCAGAAGAGAGTGGGTCACTAAATCATGCTCTGAAGAGTATCGAACCGCACCCTAGACCTCACAGTTCCGAAACTGGCATGAATTCCCCTATTTCAAACCAAATTCCAGTAGCTGAAAGGGGTACTGTATATCCAACTAATTCTATTCTCAATAATCCTCCCACGGATAATTTGCTAGATAAGACTTCGCAAAGTCTGGGCCCAGAAACAAATGTTTCGAAGACAGCAGACTCCATCCCGTATCAAGATAAAGAACTAATCGTATGCGATCTGGAAAGTGATGATGATATGCCATTGGCTCGCTTGCCACAACATCCCATTCAGCATCAGCGTACTCGACCCCCTGCAATTAACTCGGATAGTGATGATTCGCATGATTCAACTGCTAACGATATGCAATCAGCTAATCCAGTATCTGATTCTCCTGATGATAATAGTGAGAGAAACTCTCATTCTACCGCATGCAAATCTAATGGAATTGCTACGACTGCCAATGAACTCTCAAAGAGCACAGGAATTAGAAGTAAACATCCTTTAAATAAAGACAGTGGTTCACTCCCACCTTTACCGCCACCACCGGGGCCTCCGCCACCAGGCCTGAGGTTAACAGCTCAGCAAATTGCTCTAGCAGGAAAGCGCATGAATCTTTCTCAAGCACACCTTCATATTGCAGAATCAAATAAAGAGGATGCCGTGCCTGGTAGTAAAAATACCTCGTTAGCTTCCAATGCACCTTCACTGAGAATCGATGAAAATCACAGTTCATCTGTTGTGAGAAGCCATGTTGCTAAAAGCAGAAATAATTCATTGGATAGTGACTCGAATGGATCGAGAAGAGGTCTGTTTACAACATCTCGTCCATCAAATTTGTCTAGTAGAAATAATTCTTGGGATAACAACAGACAAACAATACGAAAGTCTGTGACGTTCCGAGATGAGGTACAAATACGCGAATGCTCGCCGAATCCAACGGGTTCTGAAATTGTTGAAGAGAATATTGAAATGGAAGCAGTTCCTAGTACAGCCACTTCACCCGAGGCTGCCACATCTTCTGGGGTAGCCGCCTCTTCTGTGGTGACCCCTAGTACAGCCACTTCGTCTGGGGTAGAGACTACTTCGATTGCCACTCCTAAGAATACCGTCTCGACACCAGTATCTGAAATTTCCACACCATCACTCCAAGTTCAGAGTCAAGACTCGTCACATCCGTCACAAGCTGACCAACGATTAAAAATCCATATTCAACGTCAAGAAGAGCAACAACAGCAACAGAGAAAACAATCGCAAATGTATGCTAGACTTCAAGAGAAAATGAGATTCAGAATGAGAAACCAAATTCATAAATCTGAAGAAAATGTGAGGTCAAGTTCATCGGGTCAACTTCAAACGTCTAAAGATCAGTCAGCTGTTGCTACTAACAATCGTGAAAATGGACAGCCTAATATGACAACCATTCCTGGGCAAAAAGTTGGTACTGATCTGAGAAATACTTCAACACTCAATAACTCTAGTTCCCAACCAACGCACGATCATAATAATGGCCACCCTATAGAGACTTCCAATGTTGCACCGACCGCACAACATATTGAAGAGGCCCAAAATCGAACATTTGACAATGGCAAATCAAGTTCAATATCTGCTGCTTCAACAAATCACCCTAAATATTCGGAGTCTGTGTTTGGTCGAGCACGTAGAGATATAAGTCCATTAACGACGCAATCCAATGATGAAAATGGTGGTAGTGATGATTCTAGTGGTATACCTGAATCTGAAAAATACGGAGTATTAGGATTTGCTGTTCGTCCAAAGGCTCTTGGACGATCCCTTTTGAGAGCCAATTCCACGGTGGAAGTTAGCCCTAATTTGTCACCTTTAAATGGACAAATTGATAACATGTCAATATCATCCAGCAAGAAACGGTCAACCCTGCCTCATAGACTGTGGAATAAGAGGTTAAACTCTGATCCCGTCATTCATAGCATTGAAAAAATTCAAAGAATAGAATCAGAACGTAATCAGTCAAAATAATTAGTTACATATAAATTTAATATTGATTTATTCTATTTTTATAGAGATTATAATACAGTATTTTATGAAGAGTAGGTTCATTTTGACTTTAACAACTCCTTGTTGTGCTTATTTTTTTTCGCTTTTCCTTTTGTTCATATTTTTGTTGGTTGTTATATCTTTAATATACGGGCACACACCATCCTTACATTGGACTTGGACCCAAGTAATCCTCCTTGATACTTCCAATAGCATAGATTTCATTCACATCTGTTCTTGTACCAACAATCTTCAAACGTACTCTTGAACCCTTTTCAATGTTTTCGTCTGGACTGACATAAGCAGGAGGGTTCGCAGATGGATTGAATTTCATATCTGATGGGATTAAATGAGTACTCACAAACACAGACAATGGACCTACGTCTGCAAAGAACCCCATTTTATTCACTGTTGTTACAACAGCATCTACCACTTCACCTTTGAACGGTTTCCATACAACTGCACGGTATTTGACTTCAAACTCAGCCATACCTGACCCGGGAACAATACGTCCCTTCCCTACATCGATGTTCATGCAGTCAAGAACACATACAATGTATCCGAACTGCCCGGTACATGTACCTTCAACGTCACTTAACAACTTATCTCTTAAAAACTTATCCATTTGTGGTCCAAAATAGGATGGATGTAAAGTTAAATTCAATGACAAATCCTTCAAGAAAAACATGGTTCAAGTGTGGGGGTTATTATATGTGAAGTTTCTGAATTTCCTCTATTTTCAAAAGGTGATATATACAGATATATATATGGTTGTAGATATATATAACTGGGGGATGGCAGTAAGGCAAGCGGAGGGGTATAATATAATTAAATACCCGTATTTGGAAATTGCGAGCGATTTAATGAAGATGCGTGAAGCCAAGTAAAATATAAAAGAGTGTACAGATAGCACTTAAGTTCCCAAAAGACCCAACGCTAATCTATTCACTAATAAGACACAGTAAGTATACAGGTGTGTAAACCTTTGAAACGAGTGTTTTTGTTGAAAAATCATATTAACCTCTAAATATGACACAAATTGAATGTCGAAAGCAGGCTTGTACACAGGAAACTTTCCATTTCGTAGTTCAAATCTACCTTTTTTTTTTTTTTTTGGAGATTTTGAATTTTTAATGAAGAAATTCAAGACAAAAAAAAAAAGCTTCAACAACTTGAAAACTACCAACATATATCTATAAGCATGTCGCAAAGAATTGGAACGTCGGCAGTAGCATTGACCAGGGTGTGGCACCACGTGGACGTGGCTGCAGACCCTAGAACCTTGGGTCGTTTAGCTTCAGCTATTGCCATTACTTTACAAGGGAAGCACAAGCCAACTTATTCTCCAAACAGAGATCATGGTGACTATGTAGTGGTTACCAACTGTTCCCATTTGAAGACCACTGGTAACAAGTTGACAGACAAGACTTACTGGTCCCATACAACCCGTCCAGGTTCCTTGAAGTTGATCCCAATGAAGGATATGATTGCAAACAAGGGACATCATGAAGCACTCAGAAGAGCTGTGAAAGGTATGATTCCAAGAAACAAATTGAAGTGGGCTCGTTTGGATAGATTGAAGTTGTACGATGGTGATGAACATCCTTACAAGGAAAACCTCATTGCATTTGCCGATGAAGCACCAGACATGAGAGCCAAGTTGGCAGAATTAGAGAGAAAGGAAGCTTCTATGGAAGCCCTTCGTCAAAAGTTTTTATCAAAGTAAATGAGGAGATATCCTTTTCGTGTATATATAGTCCGTTTGTAAATAAACATGGTAAGTTATTTATTGTAGACATTCCAATATTTGACTTGGTGTCGATATTCAGAAGACGGGTTGTGAGAAGTGACCTTCCGAAGGGACCTTCCTTCTATGTTTATATATGTCAACCAACTACGACAATTACAATTATAGACAAGTTTAAAATAAATTTTGTATATTGACTTACATAAAATACAAGTGATTGTACCCCCAGGGCACCCGGTATGTTACTTCTTTTCTTTTTCTTTTTTTTTTTCTAGTTTTTAGTGTTTCGACTTAAGACTGTACTTTGAACGAACACCTTATATTATGGATATGCTTTAAAAACGTACACTCACTCCTGATCTTTCGGTGTACAATCTAGGAGAAATGTTCATAGCCATAAGTTCTTGGAACAACAATTTGGCTGCATATGGGATATGGATTTGGTAGATGTTAGTCTTATTCTTACATGACCGACATTCGAATTGGTTCTTCTTCAAGTTGGCAATGACAGACATCAAACCACACATACCACAAACATGAACTCTGAAAGCATCGGATGCTTCCATTAATCTTTCCTTCAAGAATCCGGCAGCACCATGAGCAATCATACAATCTCTTTCCATCTCACCGAAACGTAAACCACCATCTCTAGATCTACCTTCTACAGGTTGTCTGGTCAAGACTTGGACTGGACCTCTAGCTCTGGCGTGGATCTTGTCATCTACCATGTGTCTCAATCTCTGGTAGTAAGTTGGACCATAAAAGACTTGTGCCATCAACTTCTTACCAGTGTGACCGTGGTACATAACTTCAAAACCTCTAGAGTGGTAACCATGTTCTCTCAACAACTTCGAAATGGCTTCAGCAGTGACATCAGTGAAAGGAGAAGCATCACCTTCCAACCCAGATAATGAAGAAACCTTCGACAACAAACATTCAATTAAATGGGCGACTGTCATACGAGATGGAATAGCATGCGGATTAATAATCAAATCTGGAACAATACCTTGAGATGAGAATGGCATATCTTCGTGTCTATAAGTAACACCAATAGTACCCTTTTGACCATGTCTGGAAGCAAATTTATCACCAATTTGAGGAATCTTTGTTGTTCTCATTCTAACCTTGACAAACTTAGCACCATCACCGTTAGTAGTTAACAAAACTTGGTCAACAATACCGGATTCGGTACTTCTCAACGGAGTAGAAGCATCTCTCTTTGTATGGTACTGAGTTCTTTGACCAAGTTCTTCAGTGTCAGGAGGAATTGGCGTAGTCTTACCAATGATGATATCTTCACCACTGACTCTAACACCAGGAGCAATTAACCCATCATCATCCAACTTTTCATAGGTACCATGCTTTAATCTTAAGGTATCAGATCTAGTTGGCTTTTCAAATGTTTCTAAAGCCTTCATACCTTGTCTCTTTTCCAAATCCATATAAGATCTAAAGAACAAAGATCTAAATAAACCACGATCAATAGAAGATTGATTCATAATCATAGAATCTTCTTGGTTATAACCTGAGTAACAGGCAATAGCTACAATAGCGTTTTGACCAGCAGGCAATTCACGGAACTTCAAATGTTCCATAGCTCTAGTGGTGGCCAAAGGCTTTTGAGGATAGTACAAGATATTAGCCATGGTATCCATTCTGACGGCATAATTGGTCAAGAATACACCCATAGCTTGCTTACCCATAGCAGATTGATATGTGTTACGAGGAGATTGGTTATGATCTGGGAATGGAATAATAGAGGCAGCAACCCCTAAAATCATCGATGGATGAATTTCACAATGAGTGAAAGTATGTGTGCTACCACTAAAGGTAGGCTTAATTCTCTTGGCAGGGTCAAGCTCTTGCTCTTCCATTTGTACGGTTTTTTGCTGAGTTTCAGTCATGGCCGATCTACTTGCTTCCAAATCTTCTGGAGACATGGCGATCATAATAGTTTCTTCTTCTTCAGCATCCACATATTCAACAATACCTTCATTTACCAAAGAGGTCCAATTATAGCCAGAGTTTTCAGTATCATCATCAAATTCATCGTATTCAGAATTCAATAATTGATGAACGTTTTCCTTTTGTAATTTCAATTCTCCCATGGTTTCAGATTCTGGATCATCATCCACAACGAATAATGGACGATAAACACGACCAGCATCAGTGAAAATTTTGAATTCCTTTTCTCTGATGTCTCTAATAATAGAAACTTCTGGAGAAATATCACCTCTTCTTCTTAAATTACGCATGGTATCAACCAAATGTACAGGCTCTCTATGAGTACCAACCCAAACACCATTGACGAACACTCTGGTGGAATCTGGAGAGTTAGAAGGAACATAATCTTCCAATGGTTCCATACCCCATTCTTCTAAAAAGTATAAAATTGGTTCTGAAGAAGTACCAACGGAAATACAAGACATTAAAGATAAATTCTTGACCAAACCACACGCTTGACCTTCAGGAGTTTCTGCAGGACAAACAAGACCCCAATGGGTATTATGCAATTGTCTTGGCTTTGCAATCTTACCATCACGGCCAATAGGAGTATTTGTTCTTCTCAAATGCGACAAAGTAGAAGAATATGTGTAACGATTCAAAACTTGGGAAACACCGGCACGAGAACTCATAGCCTTCTTTTGTTCACCCCAGTTACCAGTAGCCAAAGAATAACGTAAACCATCGGTAATGGTTTGAGATTTCACTGCCAAAGTCAAATTAAATTCTTTATCATTTTCAACACATCTTTGCATATAGTTGTAAATATCCTTGGTTAATTTTCTGAATAAGATTCTGAACAAGTTGGCCAATAATGGACCAGCTAAATCCAAACGTTTCTTACCGAAATGATCTCTGTCATCTGGTTCCTTTCTTTCCAATGCACAAAGTAATAATCTATTCACCATATAACCCAAGAAGTAAGCCTTTCTAGTTTCAAAACCTTCTTCTTGAGTGATATGTGGTAATAATTCCTTTTGTAAGATATCCTTTGCATATTGAATACGTTTTTCTCTTCTGATACCTAAAACACCTCTTCTACCAATGAAATCAAGGGCAACTTCACGTTCTTGAATAACAAACCCTTCTTCTACACATGGCTTTAACATTTCCAACATTTGCCAATCATTAGCATCATAACAAATATGTTCCAAAATATCACCATCTGGAACAACTCCCAAGGCTCTAAACACAATTACAATTGGAATATCTTCCTTAATGTATGGTAAAGTTGCCTTGATGGTTCTTCCTGTAGTTCCCTTGTCATCTCTACCATACAACTTAATTTGCATAGAAGAAATCAAACGTGACCCCTTTTCAATGGCAGATCTAATTTCGGCAATATGAGAGATAGGAGAAGGAGCTGCCTTCTTGAAAACTTGTACAATATTTGCCGCACTTCTTTCTTGGGCAATAAGAACCTTTTCAGAACCATTGATGACAAAGTAACCACCCATATCATAAGGACATTCCTTTAATTCGTAGAATTCGTGCTCACCCAAGTCACGTAACATACAAAACTTAGATCTTAACATAATTGGTACTTTACCAAGGTATACTTTAGTTTGTGGTTCTTCAACTTCAACTTTTTCTTCAATCCATTGTAATTCATTATTCACACGCTTGTTGTCATCGGATTTAAACACTCGCTTGGTCATATCAACATAGAGTGGGGAAGAGTATGTAAGGTTACGTAAACGTGCTTCTTGTGGGAACATTGGATGAGTAGTACCATCACCTTCAGTTTGAGTAGGCTTAGAAATATAAATTTTCCCAAAGGTAATTTCATAACGTCTATTTTCATTATCATCTTCAGACGTGTGTTGTGCTGGTTGATCTAAAATCAAATGTGAGTCTTCCCAAACCAACTCTTGGATGGTTGTTTCGATGAATTCATCAAAGGAGTCTAATTGCTGGGAAACCAACCCCTTCTCATGGAAAAATGATGAAATGACAGTCCAACAATCTTCTGGTGTAATCACCAGCGAATCGCCGTCATACATATATGGATCTTCCTCTGACATACTAGCAATACCTAATGAAATACGATCCGGGGTTTGTCAACACCTTTCAGTTTGATAGCAAACAGTAGACTAGAGACTTTAGTATATTAGATGTTTTGTGTATAGTCGCCGTCGTTGTGTATAGATTTTAGATTTTCAACGAGATTGGTTACCCGGACAGGAAAAGAAGATTTCTCACAAAAATCAATACTTTATATGAAGGATTTTATTAGTATAGAGTGAATGCAAAAAAGATGTAAGGGGTTTACTGATTAATTTAACCAAGATAATAATTTGATCAAATATATTCATACTTATAAGTATTCATGCTTATTGTAAAAGGATTTGCTACTCCTAATTGTTATTCTTTATTCATTCTTTTTGTTGTCCTACAGTTAACATTTGTAAAGACCTGTACAGTGCGAATTGGAACTCACCAAATTAAATGTTAAAAAAAAAAACTAATAAAAAAAAAAAATTTAGGACATTCAAAGTAAAATCAAAAAGTGGAAACTTGAGGTGATCAACAAAGTTCCTATTCAACGAATAAACATACTTGTAGAATGTCATTTTGGAACGTTGTGCGTTTTGCACACTTTAAGTCCGTCAAGAAGTACCCAAAGATCAATGTAAGCGACGTTGTGCTTTCCAAACCAAAGGTGTCGAAGCGTCAAGAAAGACAACCACTTCTTTCTCAATCAGTGAAGGACACTCTCTTCCCAGCAGAAGAAATTGCCAAATTATACAAGGCCAATAACAAGCCAGTTCCAAGAAAGTTTGACAACAAGAGTGAAGAAATCTCAAGAAGAAACTTTGAACTTTCTCAAGAAGCATTTTCCACTGGTCAACCACATTTCAGAGTTGGTGAAAAGCAAATATACTTCCCAAAGGCTAGAGTTGTTCTTTTAAGACCAAATGCCAAGCATACTCCATACCAAGCTAAGTTTTTGGTTCCAAGAAATTTCAATAGAATGGATTTGAGAGATTATCTTTGGAATGTTTATGGACTTAGAGCCTTGAACGTAACTGTCCAATTATTATACAGAGGATGGAGAAGAGGTAATAATGATTACGCTCGTTATAGAGGTCCTCAATTCAAGAAGATGACCATCGATATGGAAGATCCATTTGTATGGCCAGAATTACCTCAAGGCATGATTGAAAAGAACCGTGAAGTGAGAAATGCTCATTTGAAGGCTGTAGAACATAACTTTTCCACTGGTTCTGATAAAAATAAACCTTTGGAAGTTTTCGATGGTGTTTTCAACAAGATGTCATTACCAAACAGCTTTATTTCTAAACTGGCAAGAACAAAGGGTTCCAAGGATTTGGAAGCTTATAAAAAGGAATCTTCCAAGATTGACGATAAAAACTTGGTTTCTCAGTATTTGAATTTATAAATAGTTAGATATCAAAATTCAATACATGTACATATACAATAACAAATTATCATAACAATAAATATCAATAGTAACAAATAAAATAAAAAAGAAATATACATTGCATATATAAACCCATACGAAAGAAATGAAATATAAAAAGGAGACACATATTCTTCTTCATATTCTCATTAGTATTACCAAATCCATCCCTTCTTGTGCATATTCTCATGTACTTCTGGCTTATTTCTAGATTTAAGAGTATCATCTATTGGTCTATCAATCATATCATATTCATCTTCCAATTCAGTGGTGGAAGTATGAATGGAAGTAGAAGTAGCAGAAGTTTCAATAGGATTTACACTAGGACCAGCCTGTGGAAAATATTGACTTAAATGAAGAAATGAACCTCCATTTTCAACTATCTTTGAAGTTAATGAACTTAAATTTGATGATGTATCTCCAGAATTTGAATTAGTAATCTTTGATAAAAACATTGTAAAGAATCCAAAGATTAATTTAACATTTTCTGAAATATGACCAGATAATTTATTCAAATCATAAGAATTTAAAAGGGAAACTTCTCCTTCAAGCCATGGTTTAAGATATTGATAATAACAAAGACCACATCCACGTTCAGAAAATGACATCCAATCTTTTGATATATTTGTGGTAGAGATATCTTCCGGAGAAGTGAAGATTGGGTAGATCAACCATGCAAAGAATATACATTTCCACAAGGAATAAAGTGGTACAGTATATTTCAAGAACAATACAGACTCAACGATAGAGTATGCAGCATAAACAATCCAATACACCAACCACTTTTGTGTCAGAAGAAGACGTGATTGAAGGAGTTCCTCTTGATGAAATAATGGGTCACTTGGATCGGTTGAAGTGGTTGTAGCTCTTCTCAAAAGAGATACAATTGGAACTTGAATTCCTCCAATGTTAAGATTTCCAGAAGAAACAGCACTGGCAGACTTTTGATAATTTTCAAAAGATCTAAATGAAGCAAAAATCGGGTATATAGTAGATATCCCAGTTCTATATTGTTAGTAAAATATTCAAAAGCATAGGTCAAATTCATTTTGCCCCTGTCTGCGTACATAAAATTAAATTCTGAGGGGTATTTACAACAAGATAGAAGAAGTAGGAGTACCAATTATCTTCAAATGAGTTCAATAAGAACGGAACCGACTTACGATATCAATGAAAATAAGCCAATCATACTTTTATAGGTCTTTTTTATATGATAGCAGCTTATTCTTGTATTAAAATGTTTAATATTGTCCTTAATATCAGTGTATTATATCTGATAAGAGTACAATGACACAAATTTGGCGATGTCACACATATTTTAATTACACAAAACTGGGGCCACAGATAGATAAGAAGGGGTTAATCGAATGTACTGAAGAGAAATGGATAAAGCCACATGAAACTTTAAATGAAATAGAAGGAAAGAATATTTATGGGATATAGTAGTGATTTTGAAATGTTTAGTAATTAGGCTGGACTACCAAAATGTGTAGAAATTATAGCTAATAAAAATATGTTGATGAAGGAGGTATTTAATGTTTATTTCTACGTTAATGACTGTAGGGTGCGTATCAGTCTTTTGTTCCAGTAATGTAACTAAGAGGATACAATTCATCAAAGGTATACGATGAACTTTGATTATTAATCTTGCTATATTTCCATGGAAAAATACCAGCAATGATCGGAAATAAATGGTCTTGAGTATGAGCCCTTTTTTATTGAACCACCTACTTATCCTACGATATTGTGACCACGCATGGTACTAAGATATTATATGTGGTGCAACCAATATAATTAAGCAATTCTATACCTATTTCTTCTTAGGCGCAAGCTTGCTTCATCTGTTATTTTTTTTTCTACCCTTCTAATAAATGTATATATATATATATTTTTGCAGTCATTCAGATAAAATTAATTAAAAGTATACTGAAAATAACTACGATCGATTGCATAGATATACTCCTCGATGCCATGGTTCCTGTAGAAGATTTTTCACTCTTTATTTGAATATATATATATATTGTCTACATAATTAAATTTTGAATCAAATCATCCAAAATTCCAACTGTTTCAGCAGGGTTTGCAATCCAAACAGTACATGCACTAAGTCTTGCCTTGAAATCATTTGCTCCCACACTTGCAAATTGATCTCCAATGTGTAAACTCTCTGCTTTCAAAATTGGACAATAATTATGAGTATCTGGGGGTATATCTTGGCATAAGTATCTTTGTAAAGATTCAACTCCAAGACTCTTATCTCCAATATCAACCCAAACATCTGAACCTCCATTGAATGCACATACCCTAATATCATCTGCTGGGTTTCTTTCACGGGTTTCGCATACTGTGTTTCCATTGTGTAACTCAATTGATCCAGAATGGTCAGTTTTGGTTAAAAGTACTTGTAATTTAGCCAGACATGATAATACCATTTCCTCTAAATGCTCTCTAATTATCTTATGACCCGGGTTAGGTATAATTCCAATAGATCTTTCCTTTCTAATAATTGTAGACTTCTCTGTAAGTTTCAATTTATTTTGAAGATATTTCAAATGTTGATCTGTAGTTTCCATAATGTATTCAATCTTCTTTTTATCCCAACTCATCATCAATGGTAAAAACCATTCTTCAGCTTCAATGAATTTAAAATTTCCTAGCTCAACGTCATATCTGAATAGATAATTTGATTCACCACCCATAACCAAAAGATTATGCTTTTGCCAATCAGTTAAAGTAGTATCTTCCCTAATAACGTCAACCAATCCCTTGAGACGTTCATAATATTTAAGTGCTCCAGATTGTCCAGGATATCCTGCAGCTGTAACTACCCCAACAAATAAGTTCAAAGAAAGAAGTTTCACCAAACGCTTAACCACTGGAGAGTCCACCGTTAACGAGCTACCGTCGTTATAAAGGGTCACATCACCATCAAAAGTGATCAATTTCAATCTGGTTCCTGTTTTTTCAACCAGATCTTTATACAATTTTGAAAGTGATAAGACTTGTGCTGTGTTCAAGATAGATCGAACGTCATTAAATGAAGGCAGTACAAGTCTTCTTTGGGACATCATTCTTCTTTGATCCTCAATTAGAAATGCTTGACATAAGGGAAGTGGTGTGAAAAATCGACCAAGTGATGGAACAAGTTTCCGGAGTCTACTCTCCAATACGTTTGAATTTCTGGTTTCATTCAAGTTATCAATGACAATGGTGTGCTCAATTAATTGTTCAACGTCACGAAACACCAGTAGGTATCCCTTTTGACATTCAGCTTGGATTTGGTCTTCCTTGGTACTAACATATTCTTCATATAAACTTGGATCATCAAAATGGCTATCGAAAACGTTATCGTAATTCTCCGCATCAGCTCTTAATACAAAGGGTACAGCCAAAAGACCTTTAATCCACTCAATGAACTCGTCACGTCTGTGTTGTTTCAATGCATATTCCACTCTATACCTAGATGTCATTCTTGCTAAATATTCTTTAATAAGTAAGAAAAAGGTGAATAAAATGAATAATTTTTTGAAAACTGGGCTTTGTCGGTACTTTAAATCGACGCAACTATACTATGACACGTTCATGCGCACATACAAAAAAAAAAAATTATTTACGATAACAAAAATTAAAATGTTGCAAACTAGTTTGACGATATATCTTTTACTTATTTCTTCCATTAAGTACAAAAGTACTTACTAATATACATGTTAAACTAACTTATTTACAAACCGGATTGAGCTCTTCTTCTGTCACGTTCTTCAGAGATAGATAACTTAATACCCTTACCCTTTGGCAAAGAAACATATGGCTTACCAGCTTCGGTACCAATAACGAAAACGTTAGTCAATCTGGTGACGAAAGTGTTTTCCAAGGTATCCTTGATGTGAACCAAATCGAAACCACCTTCGTGCTTTTCTCTGTGGGTGATAACACCAACTCTACCCAAGTTACGACCACCAGTAACCATAACCAACTTACCGGTGTCAAACTTGATGAAATCAGTCATCTTACCAGTAGCCAAGTCAATCTTGATGGTGTCGTTAGCTCTGACAGCTGGGTCTGGGTATCTGATGGTTCTACCGTCGTGGGTAACAACGTATGGAATACCACCCTTACCTAATTGGACCTTCTTGACCTTGGCCAACTTGTAAGAAGCTTCTTCAGCGGTGATTCTGTGGACAGCAAATCTACCCTTGACATCGTAAACCAATCTGAAGTGTTCGTTGGTAGCTTCCAAGGAGATAACATCCATGAAACCAGCTGGGAAGGTGGTGTCAGTTCTGACCTTACCGTCAACCTTGACGTGTTCTTGCATCAAGATAGCCTTGACTTCTCTACCGTTAAGAGCATACTTAAGTCTGTTTCTCAAGAAGATAACCAATGGTAAAGATTCTCTCAACTTGTGTGGACCAGCAGATGGTCTTGGTGCGTAAGTACCAGACAATTTGTCCAACATCCAGTGGGATGGGGCGGCTAATCTCTTCAAATGCTTCTTTCTAATTACATGTTAGTATATTATTCCTAAAATCTTGTAAAATTGTTTACAACAAGATAAAGACAAAGTGGATAACTCTTGATCAAGACTTCTTGAGTGCATATATTGAGAAAACAAATCGATCTTATATTTAAGATTCCAATGTTCAAATTAACCGTATAGACCCTAAATCCTGTTACAATAGATGTGGGATGTGTACCAAATTCATTCAAAAATTGGACATAGCTTCACCTAATTATCCTTTAAAGACAGTAAGAGAATGGGAACTATAGCGTTTCATTCCACCAGAAGGTGCCTCAAAACAGCTCACTCATATAAAATCTATCACAACAATTATCAAGACAAGGCTCCCATCCAAGCTGTTTCCGTTTTACGGGAATGCAACTGGTTACCGTTAAAATCAGACCCGAAATTCAAACAATAAAGTTGATTTCGAATGTAATTCGGTATATGTGTGTTTCCCTTTTTTTAAAAAAAAGGTACTCCGGAGTTGTCGCACTTTCCTTTCCAAGTGGTCAGAATAGTAGACTTACGGGCCTCTTGCCATTTTGATAATGTGTTCTAGTAATGTAGTGAAAACTAAGGAAAAAGAAAGTATGAGAAATTGAAAATTTCACATTCTCAGTGTTTAATTTATAGATGAAATATTTTTTTTGAAAAAAAAAATTAAAAAAAACATTATTCCCTTTTGTCACGTGGTAGTCGGTGAGGGTTAGGGTTAGAACCCCGGCTTTTGCAGAAAATAAGTACATCAGTAAATATATATGGGGTAACATAATATCCATTAAACATAATACGTATATACCTAAATAATGTAATATAGTCAAATATTGACTTACTGAAAGTTCTTGGAGATGAAAAAACTCTACTGTCCTTCGTGTATTCTCCTCATTTTAAATAATTTAGTTATCTTGTGCGCAATCCTAAATTAGTATGAAGAGGGGAAAGTCCGATCATGTCCGGGACATTTCCGGCTTCGTTTACCCCAGAATTCAATTTTAATTTCCATATCTCAATAAAGGAGGGGATCAGAATGGGGGGTAATATGCAAATGCAATATTTTGTTCCCCGTAATTCTCTGATGGCTAAAGCATGATTCGAAAATTTGAAATGACAACTTGTTTCTTGTAACAATAACGCAGAAACAGAAGAAGAATACACATTAAAATACTGTAGACTTTGGATCTTCAAACTTGTTTGAATTTAAGGCAGATCCATGTTGTGTAGGAATATCAGTCTCTACCTCATCAGAATCGAAAGGAGTATCAATGGCCAATCTTTCAGTTCTAGAGCTATGTGTCACTTTTTCAACTTCAGCGCCTGTCATAACCTTGATCCAGTCAACGTTTAATGAGTAAGGTCCATATTGTTTATCAAGTAAACCAACTCCAATTGTTTTGATTTCACTCTTGTTAATTTCGCATCCATCTTGAATAACACCCCAGTTAGTCATGACAAAATCATTTAATGGAATTACAACGGTTTCCCATTCACCAGGATGATTCAAGAATAATCTATGTTGGAAAAGATCAGTAACCAATGGAGTATTAGCTTGAATATTAACCAAATACTTTCTACGATCACCTTTAACTCTCATTACCAAGGATGAAAAATGAGACCAGTCCCAATAAGAATCCCCAGAAAGCCAAGATTCAACTTGGTCCCTAGTTCTAAACATAGCGTAACCCGATCTGGTAATATCTGGTCTATCCTTTGGCAAATCCAAATTCAAGTAACCATGGAAGTGTCCAGATTGATCTACGGGATCAATATCAAAGTTAACAGTGGAGAATCCGCCTAATTCACTATCGCATCTAGTCATGATGTTGGCAAGTGATTCTTCAGGAGTGCGCTTGAAGTCCAACACAGTCTGGATGGACTTGCTCAATTCAACAGCAGGTCTGGCAAAAAGCTTGTTCAATGGTGAGTTGAATCCTAATGTTCTTAATGACATGTTAATTCTGTTTATATTGTAGATAAATGTGGCAAATAGTATTGATTTATTTGTTTTATGATTTAAACTTCTCTCTTTTTCTCCTTTAGTTTTTTTTTTTTTTTTGGGTTTTATCTTTTTTTTATGATTTGTTTAAAAAACGTACTGTGAAGGAACCACGTGTGAAAGCTTTAAAGACTAGCCGATAACTAAGAAATTTAGAATGACAAACTCTTGAGTGTTTGAATGCGTTTCTGATTCCAGGATTCTTTTTTTCACTTTGATTTTAGTCTTCCTACTTATCCTCTTAAACTGTGTAGATAAATTCTGTTCTTGAGGGTTGGGTGATGTATACAAACTGTTGCAAAAGGAAGATACAATGTATGTAAATAAATAAAAAATTTCAGTTCAGATCAACAGAACAGAATCATTCAATTGAAAACATGGTACTAATCTAGGCCATTTATAGGATTTTGGAGCTCGGTGTCGGACTACTCCCCCGTGGTGGGGTAAAACCTTAATCTCAAAAAATACTGTAACCATTCAAATTGATAAGCAAATCTACACCCAGGCGCGCATGATTAGGAGAAAGTGTAGATTTTGGAGTAAGATAAACTTCCTGCACCACAAAAGTTTGACCCCACAGTGGCTATTCTCTAATCAGTAATGTGGAGATTCTATAATGTGGAGAAGAGAAGATGAAAAACTTTATAGATGTGCAATACCACTTCCTGTTCCACTTTAGCAAATCCAACATAGGGGCTGAAGTTGATGGAAGAGGGGTGAATACATAAAGATTTATCTGATATTGTGGTAATGCATCGAGGATCAACAAACATTTCCTCATATCATTTCTCTTACGTCTTGCTGTTTCATTTACATCTACATCCAGAAATATAGTTATCGTTCGATTATTACTATGATGTTGCCGATACTTGTACCACTAAGGTTGCCCGTGAAAAAAACACATGTGAGACGGCTTTAATACAATGTAATTTCATGGTTATGTACATAGAATTTCATAAACTTCCACCAAACTACTAATCGGCAGTTTGTTACCCTCATTAAGAATAATAAAAGTATAATCTCCGCTCGTATATGTGTCGTCATGTCAATTTATTGCACATCTGATTTTGTATCAGATCATCATTTGCGCACTAAAAAAAAACCTTTTAAAATTTCGAAAAAAAACAAGCTCCGATACCGGGAGTCGAACCCGGGTCTGCTCGGTGAAAGCGAACCGTGCTAGCCGTTACACTATATCGGATGTTTGATGTACTTTTTAAACAACGTAATTTTGTACAGCTATTAGAACATCCCTACACCGTTATCACGTGAAGAACAAAACGTGATCTCATGCTGTAAACTCTACCTCCAAGCTATTTGTCGTTTTTTTGAAGAACATCGATATACTTCAACAACATTAAGGATCACCTTAGTAATCGCGATCTAACAGCTTGCAGTACGTTGTTTAAATAAACAAAGTATTTAAATAATTATGAATTATACCGTGAGAGGGTTTCAATTTCACACTTTTTCCATTTGCTCAAAAAGATAATATAGCAACCATGAAATGGATATACAAAAGAAGGTTATATAGCCAATATAACCAAGAATTATATAGAGATATTATAGGATAATAAACATCGAATGAAGAAAAAAAGGTCGACTTTTTATCTCGCTCAGTTTAAATTTTATGAAGTTGTGAAGTAGTTTTACTCTACAACGAAAGAGCTTTCATATTTAAGAATATAGGAGAAATCTTTAGTAATTCTCCGTTAGAAAATGATCAAGTTTCAATAAATGGTATTCTTTCAGACTAATACAAAAGACGATTTTAATCTAGGACTTATACTGTAGTATATAATAATTGTGTCCCCGTGGTTTTAAAAAAAAAAAAAAAACAGAATAGTCTAAAATAATCAAGAATTTCCTAGAACTATCTCAGAATGTTGCAGAATTGATTCTTATTCAAGAGATATCCTATGTTGAACATATTTTACTTCAGTAAGCTAGTTTTTTGAAAATTTGAAACAGTGACCTATTTCCAATCTTGGTTGCAAATTCGCTCAGAACACTTGTGCAAAACACAAGCAACTATCAAACCTTCTGCTTAGAAGGTGCTTACGAAAATAGCACAGGACTCTTATCTGTCTATAATGGTATATAATGAATGTAGTTAAGAGCTGAATATCGTCCCACCTTTATAAATGTCTATAAAACCCTAAATATATGAGCTATCATGAAGAATAGGGGAATATAATTTGTTCTTTTTTTCACTGTAAAGAAATTATGTTTTTGTTGAATTCCGACCCCAGTTTTATACAATGAAGTTGAATTGATAGACTCCAATCAGAATAAGTTTGTTTATTCTCTTGTTAATTTCTGTTTTTCTATTTTATTCAATTTTACAGAATTTGAAATAAATTTATGTTAAATATGAGAAATATTCTTTTACAAACACATGCAACTCTATCCGATTAAATTTTACGAATACCAACCATATATAACTTAAATCTCATATCCTGTAATATTAATAGATATAACCACAACGGTGGTAGCTTCATACTTTAATTCAAAATTTCATTTAGTGGGGATATTCGGCTCCGCATTTCTGATAAAGTCTACATAGAAAATATATTTTTGGTGCCGCACGGAGATAACTAAAATTTCCCTTTGATAAGTGGCGACAAACTCAATTGCTCAATATCTTTCTTTTCTTAACAAACCATAGAAAATGAAAGCTGTTTACTTGGCGGCACTTGTGGCATCAGCCAATGCGTTTCAATGGCAAAACCCATTCTCAAACAACCCAGCAATTGATACCTTCAAGCAAGAACTTGGAATTGACTCCTTTTTAAGTGAGAACAATGTTCTTACCAGTAAGGATGAGTCAGTCCATGTTCCTGAATTGATGGAAGCATGGAAAGACCTTTTGAACGAATTTGGAGCCGATGCTTTAAAGAAGAAGATTGACCATTACAAACAAGACTCGTACCCGGGAACTTTTAGCGAAAAGGTTTCCCAACCAAAGAAACAATCAACATTTGGCTCTAAGGAAAAATCCGATGCTTACGAAGTTGTTGAGCATAAAGAGTTCTCGAACTACCAACTTAGAATAAAAGAAAGTAACCCAGAAGCACTTCAATTGGATTGGGTACGTCAATACACCGGTTATTTGGATCTTTGGGATGAAGATAGGCATTTCTTCTACTGGTTCTTTGAATCGAGAAATGACCCTAAGACTGACCCAATCATCTTGTGGTTAAACGGTGGTCCTGGTTGTTCTTCTTCCACCGGTTTGTTTTTCGAATTGGGCCCTTCATCTATTAATGCTGACATTTTACCAGAGTTCAACCCATATTCATGGAATTCTAATGCTTCTGTCATTTTCTTGGACCAACCTGCTGGTGTAGGTTACTCATATGTTGGGGAGGCCGGTACTAGAGTGGGAACTTCCGAAGCTGCCGGTAAGGATGTATATGCCTTTTTGGAATTGTTTTTCTCCAAGTTCCCACAATTTAGAGAAAACAAGTTCCATATTGCTGGTGAATCGTATGGGGGCCATTATATCCCAGCTTTTGCACATGAGATTATCAGTCACGAAGATAGAACCTTTGAATTGAGCTCAGTGTTGATTGGTAATGGTATTACAGACCCACTTGTTCAAGCTGGTTCATACAAGCCTATGGCTTGTGGTGAAGGTGGATATAAACAAGTTATTTCAGATGAAGAATGTGCTGGTATGGATACTACGTATAACAGGTGTGTTCCAATGATTAAAGCCTGTTACAACACGAAGTCTGCATTCACTTGTGTACCTGCATCGTTATATTGTGGAAGGCTTGTGCAACCATACCAAAAGACTGGACTCAATTGGTACGATATCCGTAAGCCATGTGAGGGTACATTATGTTACCCAGAAATTTCTCGTGTAGATGAATTTTTGAACTCGGAATGGGTTAAGAACGTATTGGATGTGGATCCTGCTGTGAAACTGTTCCAATCATGTAGTAATGAGGCTGGTATACCATTCTACTTGTCCGGGGACGGTCAATTTCCATCGCAAGAACTTGTTGCTGACTTGCTTGAACACAATATCCCTGTTCTTCTTTACTCTGGTGACAAGGATTACATTTGTAATTGGTTAGGTAACCATATGTGGTCCGACAAGTTGGAGTACAGCGGACAATACGAATTCCAAAGAGCTACCTTTAAGCCATTTGTCACTGAAAAGAATGTCAAGGCCGGTGAAGTTAAGAATTATGATATTTTTACATTCTTGCGTGTCTATGATGCTGGTCACATGGTTCCATATGACAAGCCCGAAGTTAGTCTTGATTTCTTAAACAAATGGTTAGCCGGGGACTTTTCCTTGGGAACTGAAAAGAGCAAGAAAAAGGTTGATTAAAGAAAAAAGGAAGAGGGTTAAGCGTATTGAGCGTTCTAGTTTAGTGTCTACTGTTTTGTAGAGAAGGCATTTATTACTTCTGAGTATACCTCCTTCTTATATTACAATTTTATAATTTTATATGATGTTATTATTTCTTAATTGTAGTGTATTTAGACGATGATTCTACGTAACGGACTACATGTCTAAAAGAAGAAGTATTGGCTTGTACGTCTTTTTCGTCAATTCATAACAACTTTCCTTGAAAATGCAAAAAAAAAAAGTAAAAAAAATAAATTCCAGCCCCCGTTCCTATTTCAAGTAGCTTTGTTAATTTTAGTCGCACAGAATCCTTTGTGCATTATTCGAAGCTTCGCTGCGCTCAAAAAGGCAACTAAATATAAAAAAAAAATATGTGTTACTCCTGTGCACGCCGCACATCCCTTGGAAAGCAATGCATCTAACTCACAGACTCATCCCCAAGAATGACGCTTACATTTAAGCAACATAATCAAAAACTTCGCAATTTAATATATCTATTCTTTTCAAAATTATTTTCTTTATACAATTGTAAATTTACAGAAAGTTTAGTGATACTTTTGAAGTGCAGCCTTTTCTTTCGGGAACCACTACACAAATTTATTTTCAATCAATTGTTTTTATTTGGGTTACTTTTTCGTCTAAGTTTTCTTTTATATAACAGACTTTGTGACCTTAAATATGAGTAACGCTGACTATTATCAACAGAGTCAACCTCCTCAATACTCCAATGCTCCACAGGGCCAACATCAAGATTATGAGGCTCAACAAAAGACTTTTGATACTGACCAACCGCAACCATCAAAAGATTTTGACCAATCATTCCAAGTAACAAAGCCAAAGTTTAACGATTGGCCATTTACAGTGTTTTTCTTGGCTGTTGTTGGAGGATTTATTGCCATTGCTGGTATCACCCTTAATGCTCTTAGACAAACCTATGGATTCCAAGGCTCCTCTATCTACCACAATACCAATGCATTCACCTTGAATACCAACACGGTGATTCTCTTTGCCTTTGTTGTAGTTGTGGGGGTAGTTTTATCAGCATTAATTATTGTTTATGCGAGATTGGCTCCAAGGGTATTCATTACCACTGGTTTAATTCTTAATGTGATCTTGGGTCTAGGTTCTGCAATCTATTATTTTGTTAAGGGCTACTATTCACCAGCTATTGTGTTTTTGGTATTCACTTTAATTACCGCTTGGGGTTATTGGTGTGCAAGAAGTAGAATCCCATTTAGTGCTACTGTTCTTGAAATTACCATTGATGTGATGAAACGTTATCCATCTACTTTAATGACTTCATTCATTGGTATTCTTATTTCTGGTGCTTTCAGTGCCTTGTTTTCCATTGTGGTGGTTGCCACTTATGTCAAGTATGATCCAAATTCAAACAATGAAGGTTGTAGTGCCAGTGGAGGTTCTTGTTCTCAATCCAAATTAATTGGTATCCTTGTGTTTGTATTCTTTGCTGGTTATTATATTTCTGAAGTATTTAAAACAATCATTCATGTTACCATTGCCGGGATTTATGGTACTTGGTACTACTTGTCTAACTCTGATCAAGGTGAACCATCCCATCCAGCTCTTGGTGCATTGAAGAGAGCCTTGACTTATAGTTTTGGATCTATTTGTTTTGGTTCCTTAATTGTTTCTTTAATTCAACTTTTGAAGGCTGTTATTCAAATGCTTAAACAAAATGCATTTAATTCCGGAGATTATTGTGCTGGATGTGGATTACTTATTTTGGATTTCATCATTGGATTAATTGAATGGTTGGTTCGTTACTTTAATCATTATGCTTATTGTTATGTTGCCCTTTACGGTAAGAACTATATTCGTTCTGCAAAGGATACTTTTGATTTAATCCGTTTCAAGGGTATGGATGCATTAATTAATGATTGTTTCATTAATACTTCTTTGAATCTTTATTCTTTATTCGTTGGTTATCTTACTGCTTTACTTGCTTACTTTTATTTGCAATTCACTGATCCTGAATATAATAGTACTGGTGCATACACTGCACCTGTGGTTGCATTTGCCTTTTTAATCGCTGGTCAACTTACTCGTGTTTCCATGGCGGTTATCGAATCAGGTATTTCTACCTTTTTCGTGGCCTTGGCAAAGGATCCTGAAGTTTTCCAAATGACAAATAGACAAAGATTTGATGAAATTTTTAGAAATTATCCACAAGTTTTACAAAAACTTACCGGTAATCATTAAAAGCACAGAAATTTGCAAGTGCATTTCAAATAGATTATCTATATATGTAATAATCAAGTTAATGGTATACAAATGGAAGCTCCTTTGATTTCAAACATGTAATTTTTTTTTTAATGTTGTGTTTTTTGTATCTGTAGATTTCACCTTATCAATAAAATTGAGGGAGTATGATAAAATCTCAAAATTCAATAAATTTCAAATTTTGGTGGGTTTGGAAAGTATCTTTGTTTGGCCAATATATCCTATAATCCATATGTTAACTCTAGCCATTGGGGATATATACATCCCAGACCGTGCGTTGAACTTACCTCCAAAGTTCTGTAAGTTACTCTGTCCTAATCCCGGAACATATCCATCAAATAACAAGATTTCTAAAGTGATTTGTTTAGGGAACATAACACAATCTCATGAAACATTGGAGTTCTTATACAATCTATCTCCATCACTCAATCTTGTGAGAGGTGAAATGGATGATCCTCAACTTCTTGCCCAGCAGTTGAGCCTGTTGTCTTCAGTGGAGACCCAAGTTCCATTATATCAAACCACCACTCACGATAATCTCAAGATTGGGTTCACTAATGGCCACCAAGTGGTTCCTAAAAACGATCCATTATCTTTACTCACATTAGCGAGGGAATTGGATGTAGACATTTTGATTTGGGGAGGTACCCACAAGGTGGAAGCATATACTTTAGATGGGAAATTCTTTATCAACCCAGGGAGCGCCACCGGCGCCCTTAGCTTTGATTGGCCGGAACAATACGAAGATGAAGATGAAGACGAAGAAGAAGATGAAGAGGAAGAGGAAGAGGAAGAAACCGAGAGGGATGATGAACAAAATGGAAAATCCACCACCGAAGAATTGTCAAATTCAGAAAATAATATTGAATCTGGCTCAAAAGATAATATAAAGGATGGAAATGATGGAGCAGAATTGAAGGAAGATACTAAAATAGATGCGGATGCTGAAATACCAGCTATACTTGAAGACCCAATACCTTCGTTCTGTCTTTTGGATACCAAAGATTCAACATGTACGTTATATATCTATACATACTTAAACGGAGAGGTCAAGGTCGATAAGGTCAGCTATACTAAGGAATAGGCCAGGTTCCCGCAAAACCACTTTAAAATAAACAACAAGATAAAGAAGAAAAATAAATAAATGAAAAGATGATTTTAAAATACTTTACAAATTGGGGAATAATTTCAATATATGTGTAGGTTTGTTTGTAGATAATACATTCTAAGCTTGAACGGATGAATAATGTAGCACAAATTCCTTCTTGATCTTCTCCCAGTTGTGTGGATCGAAGAAGATATATACACCCTTTTCCACATCTTGACTTATTAATACAGGCTCAACATTACTATCCTTTGTGAGCCACACTTGGATGTCCTTATGATATCTCCAGTTTCTTGCCACGAGCTCTCGGGCAGCATACTCCTGCAATGTATCTCTTGGCTTCATGTAGAAGATGTAGAATAGCGTTTCATCGGAAAATGATTGGATTTTATTATCACATGGTTCAGGTGTTGGTATGATGTTTTCCGCACGAATAGAGGCAGGCAATGAATAATAAGGTTCCACCTCTGAACGAGAAGTTTCAGCCCACGGGGAGGGCAAGTTCTGTAAGATTTTTGAGTCTTTTGATAGGTCTAATCCTAATAAATTTATATCCTGACCGATAGCAAACGAAGTTTGATCATTTTGTTCCATATTGGTGAGTGAAGAAAGGCCCTTCAAACCAAACTTACTCATTTCGTCCCATGGTTCCAGCAGTGACGTTGAGCTAGAGGCTAATCCTGGCGGAAGTGTAGCTATTGTATGTTAGTAAAAATTGAATCATTGCTAAAATTGGAGGTGAATATCTCCTCGTTGACAGTATTTGTACATACGCATGATTTTGTTGAATATCTATTAAATCCTTGTATATGATAATGGTTTCCAACGTTTTTCTAAAAATTGTACTAGGTTAAGATATGTTGCTCTTTCGGAACGTTGTTTCCTTCTTTCAAGTATAACCCTTAATGTATATAGATTGTTGTCTAGTCTCTAAAAGACTCCAAAAATGGAACGGACTTACACCTTCTGTACTCGGTCCACACACGACACAAGATCAACAACTTAGCTGAGGCACGTGAGGAAAAAAAAAAAAATAGTAATAGTAATACACAGGATAGACTACAGTTAGGAACATTTGTGAAGCGAGAGATATGAGAGCTGAGGATGAGTTGATAAAATAATTTCTCAAAGTCATCTCATCTTTTGCTTTCCAAGGTATTTTTTTTGCTTATTACAAAGGAGAATTATAGAAAATGTCTAGACGTTATCACCCCAACATAATACTTACTGGAACTCCAGGATGTGGTAAAACTTCTCATTCCACAACTTTGGTTTCTCAATTGGGAGCACCATATCAACATATCCCAGTTAGTGATGCTGCAAAGGAAAGAAAATGTATTGAGAGTTATGATGAAGTATTCGATACTTCCGTGGTTGACGAAGACAAACTTTTGGACTCGCTTGAAGTTGATCTTGAAAAGGGAGGAATCATTGTAGACTGGCACTGTTGTGACATCTTCCCAGAAAGACTTATTGATTTGGTTGTAGTGTTGCGTACAAACTCTTCTTTATTATATGAAAGATTACAAAAGAGAAACTATAAGGAAAACAAGATTCAAGAAAATTTGGATTGTGAAATCATGGAAGTCATTTTACAAGATGCACGTGAATCCTATATCCCAGAGATTGTGATTGAGTTGAACTCCAACTCTGTTGAAGAGATGGATGAGAATGTAGACAGAATCAGTGCTTGGGTTGAAAACTGGGTTAAGGACCACCCAGAAGGTGTTACCAATGAATTAGACCCAGAAGTTGCAGCAGCTGCAGCTGCCGCCGATGGTATGGATAGCGATGATGAGTAAATAATGAATAGATTGATATAATTCCCACTGTCTTGTAAATTCTTAACCAAGCTACAATATCACTTTATGCATATATATATATATTTATATATATTTATTTTCATATATCCGATATATCCCCTGTATTGTCAATTTGATCGCACCTGTGCGCATATATTTACAACATCTTAGTATTATTTTCCTTTTTAAAAGAATAACCCTGTCACAATTCTCTTGGTGTAGTATAACACTGCCAAGATGGAAAGGAAAATGAGTACATAATAGCCCTTCGTCACAGCAATGTAAGACCATTTCTTGGATAATCTTACCATGTTGTGTCTTTCAAGTTCAGATACACAATTACCATTTTGTTGAAAGATATATTGTGATTCAGCAATAATTTCTAATTTCTGATCTTCAGTCAAATTAGATCTAGTCAAGATTTCATAATCTCTCTTGTAAATGATTCTTAACAAGTTTTCATCAGCAACGTCAAAGGTAAAGAAATTGGCACCCATTTTCACAATTTCTTCATGTTTTAAACCATCCTTTTGTGGGAATAAACCCAGGGCTTTCGAAATGGAAGATCTCATGATTCTACCCCCAGCAAATAATGCCAAGTACATCACATGCATGTAAGCCAAAAGTAAGTAAGGCTTTTCATCAGTAACTTGTTCAATATGCTTGGAGAATTTGATCTGTTCACTCATGATTGGATGTTCAAACTTTGATTTATCATCATCGTAGTAGAATAAAAGATCCTGTTCTGCCTTCTTACTTCTAGCGATTTCAGGCTTCCAAATTTTCTTCAAAATATCTGACCATTCATTATCAGCTTCAAATTGTTTATAAAGACATCTTTCAATAGTAGCAAAGACATGATAGAAGGATTGAAGACCTTGACGATATATCTTTGGATCTCTGAGAGCTAATGCAAGCTTTAAGGTCATCATCTTGTCGATCTTGTTGTGTAATTGACGGGTATCTTTATTGATTCTGTTTCCTAATGCCCCAACATCACTTGCAAGCGGAATGATTTCATGTTGGTTAAGCTTAGTTGTAGCTCCGTTACTTTGTACAGTGCTCATGTTGTAAAAAAATATATATGTATGTATTGATTTTATTTATATATATATAATGAAAAGAAATCAGGAATAATGGGCAAACCATTTATATATACTATGTTAATGGTGGCGGGCGATAAGTCCGAGATGAAGGTGCAATGCGATGATTCTTGCAACATTTGTGTAACATTCGGATATATCGCCTCGTACCGCGTTCTCTATATATAGTGTATTTTATTTTTTTTTTGGTCTGGGACCGATATCGGATAAAAAAGTGGAGAAGTATATACAGATTGTTTATGTCACGAATTTAATGAATAGGTATGTATTTTAATATTTATACACATTTGTGGTTCCGATTCGGAGTGTGAATGAAAAAATAAAATGAAATTTAATAATGCAAATCCTGTTTGTTTGTTTATATGTTTGTATATCTCGTTATTTTTTTTTAGTTTAATCAAACATGAAAATTAAAGCCTTCTTCCAGAAGGATGCGTTTTGCCAACGTTGTTTAAGTTCTTGATCTTCCATAGCCAATATCTCTGGATCGTAAATAACTCTTCCAAGATCTATTTCTATATCTTCCACTTTAATCCAGAATTTCCAATTCTTAGTCCAGATTTTATGTCCAATGTAGAAAAGAAGGAAGAAGAAAATTCCCAAAAAGTTTTCAAAGAATGAAAGGACTTGAGGAGATCCATCACCTCCATATGGCCATAAAGCAATCCAGAATTGAGCAACAATAACCAAAATGTTTAAAACAAGAGAAATTGTAGACCCCCAGACTCCTGTCCAAGCAACAAATCCAAGTGATGAAAGTTCAATTTTATTGTACTTGAGAGCAGCACGGAAACGAATATGGCATAAACAAATACAACCCCAAGTAAAAATAAAACTCAAACCTGAAATAGATAAAAGCCAAGTGAAAACAGTTTCTTGTTTTTCAAATGCAGCAATGTAGGAGAAAAGAGAAACAACAACTGTAAAGATAAAACATCTAAGTGGTCTTCCTTCTTTATCAACATAATCAAAATATTTTGGTGCATAACCTTGCTTTGCCAAGGAGAACAATAATCTTTGACCAGAGTACATACCAGCGGTAGCAACAGAGGTAACAGAAATCAAAATAACGGCGTTAATAATGTGTGGGAGTACAGCAACTCCATGCATTTCTGCTGCAATGACGAATGGGGATGCATGAGTTTGGGCATCACCAGAACCCATAAGTTGATCAGAAGTATAAGGAACCAATAAACCAACCATGGTTAATGAACCAAGGAAAAGCACCAATACTTTGTAGAACACCAATTTACATGCGGCAGGAATTGCTTGCTTTGGGTTTTCTAATTCAGAAGCCAGAAGGGAAATAAATTCTGATCCACCCATGGAGAAGGCACCAGTTACGAAAACTGTACATAAACCTTTGAAAGTGGTGTATGCACCAGGATGGTGCCAATATCTACCACCAATGAATCCAACAGGACCACCACCACAATCAATAATAATACCAAAGATCACAAATCCTGTTAACATTAAGATTTTACATGAATTCATAATGAATTCAGCTTCAGCATAAATTCTTGACCCTGACAAATTGATCACCACAATAACTACATAAAGAATTGTGACAATGACTTCCGGGTTAAGCGATGTGTTCCAGAATTTTACTGTCATACTGGCAGTAACTAATTCCAATGAAATAACGGTTAACCATTGAATACAATAGTTCCAACCAACTGCAAATGCCATACTTTCATCGATAAATTTACTGTAGTAAGATTGGAACCCACCTGGTAATTCTGTATATGCCACTGAAAGCTCACCGACAGCATTTATACATGGCATTAATAATAAAAATCCAACGATAATATAACCCACAAGTAAAAATAATGGTCCAGCAGTATGTAATTTTGCACCAGCACCAACAAGTAACCCAGTCCCCAATCCTGTAGAAAGAGCCATGGATCTTAAATGTCTCTTTGAAATTCTTTTATTCATCTTATCACCACCGATGGAATCTTGTCTTTGGAAACCATCCATATATTTAGCCCATCTTGATTCTGGTTTATCAAATGGTACTATGTCAGCTAATGAATCAGAACAGTTTGATTCTTTACCACTTATTTGAGCACTTGGCTCAGTCAGTGAAACTTTTTCAGTCATCATTATGATTTATAATTTTAGTATGGAAGGAAAAATTTTAATGAATGAATATATAGAACGTTTTAAATGGAAATAGTAGTTTTCGAAATGATTTCTTGGATTATAAATGAATATATCCAATAATCGAAAAAGAGTAGAGGTTAAAATTGAAGAAAATTAAACTGTTTATATCATATTTGGAAAAGGACTTCCCCGGAGAATACTCCTCTGCAATGAGGATGGAAAGAGCGGGGGTGTTGAAATCATGCAGTCTATCGATAGCCATTCACAAGTAGGCAATGTGAGAAATTTGCAGCCTGGTACGGCATTTTACAAAATCCAATTTTTAAGGCTTTAAAAATTTGGAAGTTCAAGCGAGGCCCTGCATATATACGATGTGATGAGTCTTTACTTTAATTAAAAGTTTATGAGAGTTCCTAACAGTAGTGAATATTGACCTTTGTTATGCTTTGCTAAGTGTCAAAGTACTGTCATATCGAATATATATATATGTAATAATAATAATTGACAGAGTCGCTACAAAATATTAAAGTACCACAGTTGAGAAGAATTAAGGTTTTGATGTTTAACAGTATTGTTCTTTTGGGTTGACTTTTCTTGGAATCTTTTTTCTTGTACTTTTTTTTGGTTTTTTCTTTTTTTTTTCGGCCCGGACTACCTTTGTTCTAAACCTTGGTGGAAAACCCTTTGGTAGTGCCTGAACCGCGTATTTTACGTCATATTTTCTAAAGATCAGATCATACAATTCGTAAGGGATCGGTTATTTCCCCACAAACTCGTTTCATCTGAACCCAAATCTAGATTAAGCCAATTAAAATAGAAATTTACATATATAGAATGAATGATGTTATGTTCCAAGGGTAAAAATGGAACTTAATCAGGAGATTTAGTGTACCTATGCTTCCCTTTTTATTTTTTTTTTTAATAAACTTTGTTAGTTGCAAAACTGACACAAAAAAGGAAAATTCTACAAAGGTGGTAGAGAAACGAATACATAATACAGAGTTAAAAGCAGAACCAATATACAACTAATAAGTAAATACTATAAGATTTTGGAACCGAAAATGATTTCAAATCATTTAACGTTAATATTCATTATTCATTTGATTCATTATTCATAATTTGTCTTATAAATGAATAAAATACAATAACGTGACCCTCACACCCCTATACTCGGTTGGAACACTACCCTCCAATTATTGTACAGGAGAGTCTTTAAGCTTGGAAAAATAAAAAAACCGTTAACTACTTGAACTAGATATTAGAAACTTACCCCCACATTTAACTTACAATATACTAATTTATAATTAGTATACATCAATAAATTTGTTGCATAATATCCATATATTACCCTTAACTTTGCCTTACATAATCCGGAAAAAGAATAACCATCATTGAATTAAATGGTTCAAATATATGAAAATTCCCATGTATTTAACCATGACTTTGCCACAGTCAGTTTAGCATATTTAAATAGATATCCAAACCCTTTCGCCAAACATGTGTTGAGTCTGGACACTCTTGAATCATTTGTGGATGAAAATGGGTGTTTGAATACTACTAAATTTGTCATTAAACGTGGAAGATTACCAGAATTTATGAAACCATTTCTTGGTGGAAGTTTAGATTCTTGGATTATTGAAAAGACTATGATCAACCCAAAGACCGAGGTGATGCTTACATATACTTCCAACATAGACCATCGAAAGTTTATACGGGTGGAAGAATATTTACGTTACAGTAGTTCTGGAGATTCTACCACAAATGTAGTTAGTCGGGTGAAATTCTCATCAAACTTGTTCGGATTTAAAAGACGGATTGAAGAATGGAGTCATAAAAGATTTGCTAAAAACCTCACCAACTCAAGAGAAGGACTTCGGTTTGTTATGAATAGACTCAAGGAGAAGGGAGGATGGACTCAGCTTCAACAATAAATTGCATAAGGGGTAATATATGTCGGAGACATCTTATCCTCGGCTGTAGCAAACCATTGAGTTTCGGCCGGAACATATGAAAAAGGAAAGAAAAAAAAATTATGAGTAAAAAAAAAAAAAAAACTCTAAAATTAAAATTGATCAAGTCAGAAAACTAGAGTGAGAGCATACATGTATATATTAAATAAAAGATGAAGATTGCATAGAAAGTACAAATTATAAGTGTAGTTATGAAAATGTGGATATTTGTACCTGTGTGGTACTGTGGTGTAAATAGAGAGAGAGCGTGCACACGACTTGCGGTTAATCTGCAGTCCATAGCTTTCCCCATGCGTTAACTATGGGTGTATATGCGGTGCCTGTCTGCGTAATCTAATCGTTACAGCAGATACAAAAATTGATTTGATTAAAATAAAGTATAAACCCCTCCCAAAGCGACAAGATATATAAATATAGAATCATCACGATGGTTAATTCATTTGCAACGTATGGAATAGAGCCCAGCGAGCAGCGGCTCAAGACTAAGGACAAGCCCGTTAACTCCCCCACAATGCAGCAATCAGTTGATCGCCCGATAGATCCGGGAAGCAAGAGACGTAGTTCTTCGTTTGTTTCCAGTAGTTCACCATGGTTTCGAAGAAATTCTTTCCTTTCACCTACCATGATTCAGAATGAGAATTTCTCTGTGTATGAGGCACCGTCATATTATTCTGAATCGGCCAGTTATAACATCATATCACTCCGCGAATGCCAGGGGTTTATATTTAATCAAGATTTATTTGCATCACCTTACCAACAACTGAGAGCTTTAGCAAATGAGAAACGATACCGAACAGCCAGTTTCAACTCACATACTTCTCGTTGTAAGACCCCTAGTCGTTCGGGGAGGGGATCCACTTCTTCGGACCATCATTTGTGTCCCTCTGCTGACGTTAAGGTCAACCAAAGAAGACATACATCGTATCTAGAGTCAAGACCATCATTTTTCTCAAATCTTCCAAAGGCTAACAATGATTCTGCTATTATTGACGATGATGACGTTAGTATGAATATTCTTTCTGAGGAAGAAGGAGAAGATGTGGAAGAGCTTGAAGATGTGTCAGGGGTGGATAGACAAGTGGAGGGCGATATTGTAGAAGATGAAGACGAAGAAGAAGAAGAAGAAGATGATGATGACGACGACGATATCGAGGAAGAAGAAGAGTATGGAGATATGGGATATGGCGGAGATTCTGTCAACCGCAGGTATAAGGTCCATGTGACCGAGATAATAGTCAATGAAGATGACGATAGTATGTTTCCTTCAATGAACGGGAACTAAGCACCCGAGTACTAATATAGTGTTGAGTTCTAGATACCTAACTCGGTTAATTCAATTCTAAACCTACTCTATACAACCACATTTCGCATCATCAAACCATTTCCGGAGCTGTCATTCTAAATTTTTTTGTCCTATAGAAACCCATCACACTTACCCACCCTTAGTTAGCATCATCATGATACCCCATTGTTTATATTTGTTTGTAATCTCCATAATATATCATATCTAATAATTATGTGCCGTAGTAAATAACTAGCAAAGATTTGTAAATTGTTGGATCGCGAAATAAGTTTCTATACATTTCCAAAGGTTACAATCCATTGTATAGATAATTTCTTCCATCTACAACCACAACAAATATGTCAGACAAGGAACAATTCGAACAACTTTCATTGCTGTTCAGCAACCAACAGAATAATGTGAACGAGTTGCTTACCGCTAGATCTCAGTTGGAAACACAATATCAAGAAAATAAAATCGTATTGGCTGAATTTGAACATTTGAATGATGAGTCCAAGATCTACAAACTTACTGGCCCAGTGTTGATGCCCCAAGAATACGGGGAAGCAAAGATGAATGTCACCAAAAGATTAGAGTTTATTGAACTGGAAATCAAGAGAGTGGAGGCAAAGATCGGTGATGAGGAAAAGAACATGGAATCCACCAGAAACAAGTTGTTGGAAATCAGGGCCAAAATCAATGGGGAATAGATGACCCATAGACCAAGGGTTGTAGAAGTATCCAGTCACTTGTGAAGCGGAAAAGAGCCTAGAGAAATGTTGATTTCATTTTATGTCCTGCTCGACAAAGTGCAGGTGATGAAACAATCATGTCCTTGAGAGACTATGGATAGCTTCTAGGAGACTCTCCACCACATGTATAGTAATTGAAATTATCTAATAAGAAATAAGAGTTGTAGCGATCAAAACCAAGCAAAAAATTACACTGGTGAAGACATAGACAGAATGACTTGGAACAAGACATCAACCCTTGATAATATATTGTAATATATAATCTCTTTTAACATCATCTCTACACGTATTTTCTATGATCATAAACCTTTACTATATACCTATTTAACCTCTCAATAATTGAGATTTGATAAGGTTTATCAACCCCATAGCGTTGAAAACACCCCATTGTTCAACATCAGAATAGACACCTCCTAAACCATTCAAACCTTTGACCTTATTATCTACAAATTCCATTGTGTTCTTGAATCCTGCACTGGTGTCTTGCAACATGTATAATTCAGAAGAAACATAAATGGAAGAAAATCCAGCTCTCTTGGAATACCAAGCAAAATCATTGGATGCATCTCCAGCATAGTAGGCAATATCATCGCTTAAACTGTGCAATTCTTCAAGTGATTGAGGCATGTTGTAAGGAGCAACCAACTGTGACAAACCTCCAGATAATTGTCCGACAATTGGTTCGTTGTACAGCAATCTCTTCTTAATCAAATAGCTGACTCTGTCATATTCATTTGCAATGGAATGGAACTCACTCTTTGGATCCATAACATGGTCTTCTAAACGTTGACGTTGGACCTTGAGCCAATGAAGCATCAACTGGAATTCTAAAGTTCCTGTGGATGAACTAGTCAACACTGAATGCGTAGAGTCGGGATACTTCAATTCTCTGATGGCCTGGGTCACACAATTGGAAGAAAATCCATACGTTGGGATGTGTTTGAGAGAACCAGTCAATATTATGGATTCAATACTTTTTGGGTTAATGATTTGGTTAGAAACAGGATGGTCCACCAGGTGGTATAAACGTGCAAAAGCACGGGCTGTAGCTGGACGGAAGGATATAGCTTTAAACATGACAGGGAGTATGTTGGTATATGATATAGGTTTACCTCTTGATAATATTCAATCGTATACTTTGTGTAAACCATACGATATTCAACTTTGAAATTCGTGCAGGATTTTGATTTCTATCGTTTATGATGGCAAACCAATTCAAGAAACGAGTATATCCATTATAGAATAGTAAGACCAATTGAACTTACATCATGCTTGTATGTGTTGTCATTCCCAGAACTATAAGACTTCTTATACTAACGATTTATAGATCAAACCTTGGAACGATTTACCTACACCTCGTCATGCTCTTGAAGAGGATTCAAATGAACAACCTCAAGTACCAATCGTTGACATTACCCTTGACGAGACTGTATCAGAAATTGACCATTTCTTAGTGATTCCATCATCGATTAAGGTAGTTGAAGATGGACTTGTGGGTCGTAAAATCGGTTCTATCCGCATATATTATAAGGTTGAGCCAAAAGTAGACGCTAAGATCGGTGATGACGATGAAGAAGAAGACTACGATGAAGATGAACAACTCTATAAGGTGATTGTTGAAGGCAAATCAAACACATACGAGGAAACAATAATCCCTATTGTCCACCTGTTAAACTCAATTAGTATAGTGGTGCCAAATTTTAAGAATGTTATTGCTAACAATTTTTTAGCTCGTAAATTGATTGAACAATTCGACTCAATTATCACCAAATCTTGGATAACATTAGCACCATGTCACCTTAACAATGGACAGACTCTCAGTAAACTTGAAGCTTCACAGGTGAAGATAACGGGCAAGGGATCTAAGATTCCAGAATCATATACTTTTGTTCCTAAGTTGAACCCTCCACATTTCATCACAGGTATATCTGCCTCTGTTAATTCTGTTTTAAATTTACAGAAGGAGCCTAAATTGGTCTCTTTAGTATTGAATGCAGATGGTCAACCTGGATATGAGAAATTGGATTCAGATGCCATTATGGATGCCGCATACGTAGTAGGAGACTTTATTACTATTGACGCAGCTGGTAAAGAAAAGTATATTCAAGCTATCAGCAAGCAAGTGAGGAAGTTTAACAGTTACTCCAATTCGGGGATGTATTTATAACGCATATGTATATGTAAATATATATTAATAGGAAGAATAGTCTTTTTTTAATTCTCTTGAGAGTTTCTCATGGATAAGAAACAGTTCCATAAAACTGAAATCGAACTACTGAATGGTACTTGGAAACTTCTCGGTACAAACAAAAAGTTTATGAATTGAATGGGGACCCAAACTGAATAATTGATCAATAATGTTTTAAAGTAAATTTTCGACAATTTAGACTTTGTATCTTCCCATGTACCATTCTCAAGCATCATGGTACCATAGGTAAAAAAGCAGAAAAGTGACACTGGGGAGAAACAAAGTTGGTCAGTTAAAACTTTACGCAAAACCTCAATGAATTTAGGATCTTTTGAATAAATTAAGAGAAACTTGTACCACCAACATTGAGCAAAGGACATAATTAACCCCCAACACATAAATCCGGCAAGTCTATGGAAATTATAATATGAAAGTGGAACATACGGAATGGTAGCGGGGAATGGAGAATCATATGAATATCTACCAGGATCGCTCATCGAATCTGGTTCTTCTTGAATGTAATCCAAAAACCTTTCTACACCTTCATCGTCACTATCATATTCATAGGATGCAACAGAAGTGTTCCCATGATGTTGTGGTTGAATGTCATTAGAATTGAACCCTAATCCAGTGTGACTAGGTTCACTTAAATCGTAGGCTATAAGAGGTCTAGTCTTATTAAAACACAAAATAGATTGAGCCAACGATTCAGAAATTCCATATAACACTAAATTGGTGACTATAATTGTTATAAGAGAGCTTCTCATATACAAGGAAGTATACTTTGTTGTAAGTTTCATTAAAAATGTACCCAATACCCCCATGATTATAAAGTTCAAGATCGGTACATTAAATATTCGAACCGAGTTTATCAACCTGGTGAATATACTAATCAGAGCCAATCTCGGATATCCTCTAGACTCAAGATCGGGGATGCTAACATCGTCTTCCAATTGGATGGGCATAATATGATTTATTATAAATTAATGCTTTGTATTCACTTCTATGGCTCTTTTGATGGCAAAAAGTATTGACAATGTGATAATGGAATTACTGAACGGAAAATTAGAATGTCAACGTATATTCAGATATTTCCATAATAATACAAAAGAAGTACAAGATGAATCTTTCTAATAATCTTTATACCTTGAAATCTATATCTATAATGTATTACCACAACTACTCTCTATCTCCCCTATCTATCATGTACTGCATAGCTCCAAATATAGCATCATTGACCTATATGCCGTCTGAGATTATCAAGCAAAAAGACAAAAAAAAAAAAAAAACTTAAAGTACTTCCGGGTAACAAAAAATTGTTAGTTGGGTTTGCACGACTAACTCTCCAATCAAATTTTGTGAATTCGCGGTTACAGAAGTGGTTGTAGAATGAATGAAGTACATCGAACACAACCATTGAGTTTCAAAAGAAAGTTGTTTAAACTACACAGATAAAGCATCATGTCCTACACCGCCAACAGCATACCTGTCAGAGGCCCATCTGCTCCTACTGAGTATGAGCTCATCGACCTGGACCCTCATTTCAACAGAGTCGTTGGTTACTTTAGAACTTCCGACTATGGTGTTTGGGCTGCATCTACTGCTGGTTTCCCATTAGCACTTGCTGCCATGGAAAGACTTGAATCCAGTGCCGGTCCATACAAGGCTCCAAACAAGATTCCAGGTGGTGCTTTGAGAGTTGCCACCTTCTTGGGTCTTTCTGGTGGTTTCCTTTTAGCTTACATTAGATCTTCTCAAAGATTCCTTGGATGGAAGGAAAACGCTAGAGAAGTTAAGTTGGACAGATATGAAATCAAGAAGAGCTTGTCAGAAGGTAAGCTTCCATACCACGAAAATGAATCTCTTTTGGATGACAGATTGAAGGATGTAGCCAACAGAAACTCTCAAAACTCTGTTGCTATTGCTGCCATCATACCATGGTTCAACTTTGTTCATCACCCTTACCACGGAATCAACATTCAAAAGTACTACGAAACCAGACCAGGTGAAGAAGATTGGGGATTCGGAAAGTTGACCCCATATGAAGAAATTAAGGCCAAATACGCTAAGCACATAGAATAAGTGTTGAGATAATCACACTGGAATCAAGGATGGTTAAAGAAGAAGAAGAGTTAAAAAGAAAGTCAGATAATGTTTACCTGTCCTGATCCACGCTACATTTGCATTTTGCAAACAACCCCTCCATAGTGTACAATAGAGACCTCTCTGGATTTTAAATTAGTGATCTCCCACCTTTTTTTTTATTGGAAGAAGCTAATTTGAAAAAGAACTCCCCCCCAACGCATAAATACATGATATTAAGAAAAAGAAAGAAGAATAGGAAAGTAACCAAGTTGTAGAGAAATTCCTGCTAACTGTAATGTATATATTCAAACATGTCTATCAAAGAGCTACCGTCTATGAAGGGGTCGTGTCGGAATCGAAATCACTGTTTTTGTAAACAAACAAAAGTTTGATGGTAAGTGACATATTATACCCATTGAAAGAGTAGGTAATTAAAAGATATTAGAGTTGGTTCAAGATGTCGGACGAAACAGACTATTCTTCCCTTCCACTCGAGGATAGACTTGGTCACAAAGTTTGGAAAGTTAGACTTGAAGCATATGAAGAAATTGCGAAACAATTCGAAGGGTCGCGTAATGATAAAGATGAATGTTTCCAACGATTTAATAACCAACCAGGTGAATGGAAGAGAATTGTGACAGATGCCAATGTGGTAGCACAGGAAGCTGGGATTTCCGCATTGCTCAAGTTCTTGGAGCTTGGTGGCACTACCAATAATGTATCAAAGCTTCGAAGTGCAGGAGTTGTGACTGCACTCTGTGAAAAGGGTTTATCATCGTCTAGAGCTGGGACAAAAGATAAAACAATTAATTGTATCTTGTTATTTGTTGAGATATCCAATGAAATCGACGGCGTTATCGAAGATATTTTGGCAATTGTAGGAGCCAGACTTCCAAAATTAGTGGCTGGATGTGTCACTGCCCTTCATACCATTGTTGCAAACTTTGGATGTCAAGTAGTCCCAGTAAAGTTAATAATACCAAATTTACTGAAATTATTTGGACATGCTGATAGAAATGTCAGAGCTGAAACTACAAAACTCAGTGTTGAATTGTATAAATGGATGAGAGAGGCATTGGTAACAATATTATTACCAGAATTGAAGCCAGTTCAACAGAAGGATCTTACCAAGGCGTTTGAAGCAGTACAAGGTGAACAGCCTTCTCAATTGAGATATACTAGAAAGCAACAAGCTGAAATTGCCCGTAGAGAAGAAGAAGCACGCGCAGCTGCGGCAGCAGCAGCAGCAGCAGCAAAACTTGAAGGAGATTCAGGTGATGTTGAAATGGTTGATGTTGAAGATGGAGTCTTAGTATCACACCTGGCACCAGAGTTCAATCCATTTGATATGATGGATCCAGTGGAAGTCTTATCAAAATTACCATCAGACTTACATTCCCGAATCTCCTCAGCCAAATGGAAGGATAGAAAGGAAGTTTTGGATGAAGTTCATGCAATTCTTGAAAAATCAGTAAAATTACAATCATCTGATGATTACTCTGATTTAGTAAGAATATTCTCAAAATGTATGAAAGATGCAAACGTTCAAGTGGTACAATTGGCAGCTAATTGTGTTGAATTTTTAGCTAAGGGACTTCAAACTGGGTTTGCTCGTTATCAACATTTTGTATTGGCACCAATGCTTGAAAGAACAAAGGAGAAAAAGGCATCCGTTGCCGAGGCACTTGCCAATTCACTTGATTCTATATTTGCTAGCTCATCACTTAGCGATATATTGGAAGAAACAATCAATGGGATGAAACATAAAACTCCACAAGTTAAGATTGCAACCACAAATTATTTACAAAGATGTCTTGCCCAAACGAAAACAGCCCCCAAGAGTTCTGAAATAGATTTGATAATGGAGACTGGGGTGAAATTATTGAGTGATTCCCAAGAACCAGTGAGACAAGCATCTACTGAAATGATTGGGACATTGATGAAGATCACTGGTCCAAGAGAATTGAATTCATTTTTAGAAAAAGTTGATGATAATCGTAAAGGGAAAGTAGTTGCATTTTCAGAATCTGTCACAGTAAAAGCCAAGATGGGTTCAGGTGCACCTCCAAGAGCAGCCAGTGGAGTTTCTTCTAATACCAATGCACCCCCAAGACGTCCTGCTGGTGGGCCATCTACATCCGCCCAAGCATCGACTGCTGGAGGTCTGGGGCCTTTTGGTGCCAGACAACCAATGAGAAGTAATATTGGAGCAACTCCAAGTTTAGGAGGGGTCAATAATAAAAAATTGAGCTTACCAGCAGTTGCAAATACATTAAAGAAACCTAAACCTGTTGGTGGATCTACCCTTCTTCCAGCGAAAAGAGGTGCCACTTCACCGGCAAAGAGAACTGAAGTAGATCCTTCTAGAGGTACTCTTGGAAGAAGTCTTCTTAGTAGACCTACACCTGCCAATTCAATCCCAAATGCGTTTGTTGACTCTGGTATTTCAACAGCAGAAAGGGAAGAATTAGAAGAATTGCGTCATAAGTCACAACAATGGAAACAAACTGAAGAAAGATTATTACAAACTCAAAGACTTAAAGACGAAGAGTATCAAAAGGCACTCAATGAAATTTCCACATTACAAAAGATTAATGATAATATGACGAGAGAACATAATACCGCCACGCTTACAGTAAAGCAAAGAGATACCCATATTCTTCGATTAACAAGTGATCTAGAAAGTGCCAAGTTAAAGATTCGAGATTTGGAACAAACTATTGAAATGCTGAAATTACAACTGCAACTGCATCAACTGAATGCACAACAATTATACAGATTACCTAGTCATTCCACCTTCTCCAACCCTGAAATAGAGCATGGGCGAGAATCTACGTCGCCATTCCTCAATCGCCAATCGTTTCAAGGGATTGGAAGTGGTGAGATTGGCAGTAGAATCACATCTGGAGAACTTAGCTCACGAGTTAATCGACTTTCCATTGATCCAGAACATCATAATAGTTCTGAAAATATTAACCTGGGAATAACTACCACTAGGTTTAATACTAGTCCATACAAGACCACTGAGCACAGTAATAATTATACCTCCCATTTAAACAAAGAAACAATGGATATTAATAGTAATGACGAAAGTTGGAAACGTGCAGCAGAAGTTACAAACCAATTAAAGGCCCGAATTGAAAAAATGAAGGCAAGATCAAGATCAAATTTCTCATAAAGAATTTTTGTTAAAAGAGTAGGAGGGAGATGATATATATATATATATATATATAATTGGACGAGATGAAATAACAATAATATTAATAATAATAATAATGAAATGAAAAGTAGAGTTAGTACTAGAAAGTTACTTTAGTAGAGTCCCGGGACTTTAGAAAAGTCCCGGGAGTAGAGTGTAGCGTGTGCCTGCATAATGTAAGGCTTTATTTTTTTTTTTTTGTATAATTCTTTTTATTTCGAGTGGTGGAGATTATGACTCGCTCTTTGGGATACATTTTAGAATATACAACTCCAAGTATTTCTAAAAAACAATATACCTAAAAAGATGTCTAAATTGAGGATATTGGTGCCTGTCAAGAGAGTAATTGATTTTGCTATCAAGCCTAGAATCAACAAGGCTCAAACCGGTGTTGAGAAGAAGGGTGTTAAGTTCAGTATCAACCCATTTTGTGATATTGCCTTGGAGGAATCATTAAGAATCAGAGAGGGTAATAAGGACCTTGTAGAAAACATCCATGCTGTTTCCATTGGTCCAACAAAGGCACAGGATGTGTTGAGAACCGCACTTGCTAAGGGTGCTGACACTACTACTTTGATTGATGTTGGCGAAGAAGAAGTTGAACCACTTACTGTTGCCAAACTCTTGCAAAAAGTTGTAGAGAAAGAGAACTCCAACTTGGTTATCTTGGGTAAGCAAGCCATTGATGATGATGCCAACCAAACTGGTCAAATGCTTGCTGGTTTGTTGAACTGGCCCCAAGCTACCAATGCATCCAAGGTTGAAATTTCAGGCGACAAGGTCACCGTCACAAGAGAAATTGACGGGGGTGCTGACACTTTAAGTGCCACTTTGCCAATGATCATTACTACCGATTTAAGATTGAACGAGCCACGTTATGCATCTTTGCCCAATGTGATGAAGGCCAAGAAGAAGCCATTAGAAAAGTTGAAGGCCAGTGATTTACAAATTGAGTTGTCCAAGAGATTAGAGACTTTGAAAGTGGAAGAACCAGTTGCTAGAGAAGCTGGTGTTACTGTTGAATCCGTTGATGAGTTGATTTCCAAGTTGAAGGATGCCAAGGCACTTTAGGAGAAGATACGATGAGAATAGAGAGGGACTATAATAAAATAAAAGTTGAAAGTACATAACAATAGGTCAAGTAAGGCAATTGTAGAATAGAAAGTGAAGGATTTGTAGATAATCTGAGAGAGGGGTTGTTTGTTTTTTCTTTGATTGAGAGTTATCCCGAGAATTATTTGAAGTATTTCAAATAGAGTTATGAAAGTTGGGGTAAATTTTTATACGCTGTACGCGAAAATGAAAATGCAAAAGGTTATAAGTTGTAGAAGCATCTAGTTTGTTTAGAGCTGTGTAGTTAATCTGATATAGAAGAATTGACAATGTCTGTCTTGACTGCATCTGTGGAGTTCGTCTCTCGTATTGTGGAGATGGAGGCTGAACTAGCAAAACCTGTGATTTTGGGTGTATGTGGTCCACAGGGATCGGGGAAAACTTATCTTTCAGAACATCTAGATGAAGAAATACGTACAAGATTCCCAAAGCTCAATTGTGTTAAGTTCTCTATGGATGATTTGTATTTGACCCATGATGAGCAGGCAAAGCTAACAGAAGAAAGTGAGATGACCAATAACTTATTATTGCAAGGAAGAGGATTACCAGGAACACATGATGTTAATCTTGGGATTGAAATATTAAATAAATTGAAATATTGGGACGGAACCCCAGTGGATATCCCTATATATGATAAATCTGCATTTTCTGGAGAGGGGGATAGAACCTCATCGTTTCAAGTAAGCACTAGACCAGACATTATAATATTTGAAGGGTGGTTCAATGGATTCCAACCATTGGATGAAGATCAAGCCCGGGTCAGATATTTGACTTCTAAAGCTACCCAGTCATGCCTTCAAAAGCACAAGCTTTATGATGTATTAGATGTGAATGAAACATTACAAAGTTATAAAAAAATTTGGGATATGTTTGATTACTTTATATATCTTGATAGTGACTACAAGAATGTTTATAAATGGAGACTTGAGCAAGAACATGATTTGATCGCCAAGAGTGGCAGCGGTATGACCGATGAACAAGTTGTCAAGTTCATTGATAGATATATCCCTGTGTACGAGCTTTACTATGATGATATGTGTGAAAAGGGTTGCGTCACCGAGGGACAAAACCTTCGTTTGGTGATTGGAGAAAATAGAGAGCTTTTAGTTGTACAAATTGTTTGATTATTCTCTAAAAATACAATTAATGCTATAAATGCTGAATATATACATGTATATATATGAAATGTGAGTTTTGAATTAGCACCAAGTGTTGTATACTCGGTAATAGAATGGCTTCTTGGCCAATAAAGATCTCTCTTCGGCCAATTCTTGTTGAAGTACATCTGGATCAATATTGATTCTACCAGTATTAACGTCGATATCCTTGGCTCTAATGAACAAAGTCCAATCACGCTTCCATACCTTGTAGGATAACCAAGAGGCCATGACGACTGGAAGACCTAAATATGACAAGAAGAAGTCGTAAGCATTTGGCTTACCACCAATTGGGAATAATCCAATCCAGAATTGAGCAATCAAAACTAAAAGGTTTAAAATGAGACCATAGTAAGATCCAATAGCACCACCTTGGGCAACATAGATTAATTCACCAGTGTTTCTACCTTGACGGTTCAAAGCAGCTCTGAAACGAATATGACTGACATTAATGGAAATCCAAGTGAAAATAGAACTTAAACCAGATAAAGCAAGTAACCAGTTGAAAGCTTCAACTTGTTTGTCTGAAGCGGCAATAAATGCAAAGAGACCGAAGACGTTAGTGATAAGAATTGCAACCAATGGTCTACCTGCTCTGTCAACGTAACCTGTCCATTTTGGAGCCATACCTTGTTCAGCAAGAGAATTCAAAGATCTTGAAGTAGCGTAGACAGAGGAGTTACCAACTGATAAGACTGCAATCAAAATAACAACGTTGATAATACTAGGAACAGCCTTAATACCACCGTTAACGACAGCAATAACAAACGGAGAAGCAGTAGCATCGACACTAGAAGCACCAAGTAATCTATCATCATCCCAACGAACTAAAGTGGCAACCATAGTCAAGGAAACCAAATAAAAGATACAGATTCTCCAGAACGTGGCCTTGATGGCCTTTGGAATAGCCTTTCTTGGGTTTTCGGACTCCAGCGCAGTTAAACCAACCATTTCGGTACCACCAAAACTGAAGGCAGCGGTGACAAAGACAGAACATACACCTTTGAAACCATGAGCAAATGGACTGGGATTACGCCAGTTGGTACCACCAATAAATTCATGAGTTGGACCTCCACCACAGATTAACACGATACTCAAGATGATGAACCCAATAACAGCAATGACCTTAATGAAGGAGAAAATGAATTCAGCTTCACCATAACCTCTTACACCAAGTAATGTGATGAATAAGACAGAAAACCAAAATATTAATACGAAAATATCCGAATTTATAGTATGGTTCCAATATTTGATGGTAATAGAAGCGGCAACAAGTTCCAAAGGTAACAACACAAGGAATTGCATGAAATAATTCCAACCAACGGCAAACCCAATAGCAGGTTCGATGAATCTAGTGGCATAAATATTAAACCCTCCACTAACAGGGAATGTGACAGAAAGTTCACCAAGACCTTGCATTGTTGCGAAAACACCAGTAGAAATTAAAGACCAGGCAATAAGAAGACCAGCTGGACCACCGTTGCTCAAAGCACTACCAGACCCCACAAACAACCCGGTACCAATTGAAGTTCCAATAGCGATCATTTGTAAATGTCTAGTCTTCAAAGAACGGGATAATTGGGAGTTTGCAGATCTGAGAGCAGCTCTTTCAACGTCAGTTAACCCTCTTTCTTCTTCTTCGGACACCATTCTACTGGTCATACCAGTGTTCTGTACGGCTGGCTTGAACGAATCTACAAGAGATCCCCATACACCATTATTTGAAGAAGTGTTCTCTTGAGAACTATTTTTGGAATTTTCATATTGTAAATAACTTGTATTTTTTGAAAGTATGTCACTTCCAGACTCTACAGGCTTTGGTGAGCTCATTATTAAGTCAAACTATACTTGTGAAATATGAATAAAGAGTAAAAGAATAGAAACACTACATCTAAAAAAATTTTCATTTATAAATCAACCGACATCATGTTCATCGTGGTTGACTGACCATGTTGTAAAAGTCTTAAGGCAATATCGTGGATTTTTCGCAATATTTAAAGCAACATCTGCAAAGATGACTCATAATTTTGGAAACACCGTTGTGACTTCATAATGTGCAGGAAAGCTAAGAGAATGGTTCCAAATTTGAAATGTTCCGGCAGTTTTTAGAATGGCAAGTGATCGCGCCCATTTAAAGGCGGGTTCTGCATATGGTTAAGAATTCTCCTTCGTTTAATTCCTGGTTGTTGTGGAGATTCCAATTCTTGAGTTTCTTGTTCATTTAATTGAGAATCTGGCAATAATATAGTTTTATTTTCAATTGAATTGATACTTTGAGGAGACTTTTCAAGAAGGTTAATAATATTCAAATCATTTGTGTTCATTCTATGACAACAATTTTCAATGTTTATAATTCTTGGCAATAATAATTTCAAGAAATATTTAACATCAGATAATTCGGAATGTTGTTTCTCAATCGGTAATGTTTTTGTAATATTGCCATCATTATTTCTTGATAATTGCATATTAATACTTTTACATAATTCTTCTTGAGATCTTTTCAATGTATCAACTTCAGTTTGGAAGCTTCTAAATAATTTTCTTTCTGGAACATCATCTGAAAGTGTTTCAATTTTAGCAGTAATTTTAGTGATAATTTCTTTAAATCCATTTGAATCAAATTCATATCTTTCATTATTTAATTTCTCTAATTTATTTATCTTTTGAGTCAACTTATCTATAGCATTATTCAATCTATCGATTTTTTTTTCCATTTGAATGAGTTTCTTATTCCTAGAATTGGGGATTTCATTAAAGTCAACATCTTTTAATGATGAAGAAATGATTGATTTAAAAGATATGAACTCTAATTCAATTCTGGCAGCCCAATCAATTAAAAATTGTGTATCATTGGTAGTAGAATTCGAATTAATTTCTTCTTGTTCTTGTTCAGCATCTGATATTTGGGTACTATGCTGAGAATACATTTATAATTGATTGTATAATTGGTGGAGTGGTTGTTATTGTTGATGTTTCCTTTCAGTTGTGTCTTTTTTTGCAACATTATTTAGTTTTAGGGGAATTTTTGGCAGCAGCATCAAAAAAAAAATTAAAAAAAAAAAAAGATTATTCCGCACTTTTGTGTCACATACAAACAATTTACTGTGAGAAGAGAGATATCTAAACTTTAGTGTCTATCGATATATAATCTCCTTGTGAGTATCATGTCAAGTCTTAAGGAATTCTTAGAAAGTATGTATATGAATGTATGGAACTAATGAGATTGGAAAATTGTTCTGAGTTACTAACTAAGCTTATAGAAAAGGTAAGAATCATATCTACAGATGCGAGGCTTTTTGAAGGTACTCTCCAAGGGTTTGATAATTCAACCAATATAATCGTATCGAATTGTATAGAGAGAATCATCTATCCTGAATCCGATGAGGAGACTCAGGAAATCCCCATGGGTTTGTATCTCTTACGTGGAGGGAATATCGTTTGCATTGGAGAAGTTGAAGATCCTGATCCAGTCGATTGGCTGACTATCCATGGTGATGATTTAAAGGGAACCAAGAACCCCCTTTAATTTCATCCAGTATAAACCTCATCTTCCATTCATAACCTTCCAGTAGCAAATTCAAGAAATTTGTGTTGTATCATAGAATTAACAAATAATAAACATACAAGGGATACCCAAAATATATCCGTCAAAAAGAGAGAAGCCCCATACACAAAACAAAAGTTGAGAATATTAACGAGTTGGGACATAACCAACAAAAAACAGTTAATATTCATCGATACAGTTGATTTACTCAATCATCCTACTACTTCTTATATTCATAAATAAAATACTTATTTAAGCCTCCTTAACCGTGGCAATTCCTGATTGTTTCATCTTGACTGCCAACTCAAGCAAATAATCAATTGCTTCATTGTAGACCTTGGCCTTCCATACATCTTCTCCCCAGACATAAATCCCATGTCTTCTAACCAAAACTGCGGTGGTTCCAGGATACTTCTTGATTGCCTCTTGAAGACTATCGGTTAAATCTTCTTCATGTGGAGTGTTCTCAATGATTGGAATAACAAGAGTATCATAAAATTGCATACTTCCAACTTTTTCAATCTTCCCAGTGGATTCATTGACAGCTAATTTAGGAAGGGCCTTGATCTGTTCGATATGTGAAATTTCAAACTCAACCTTGTCACCCCATAAGAGAGTGCACATGACAGCAGCTTGTGAGTGGGTATGGATACATGCACCGGCATCTCTGAGAGTATAACAGCTCATGAAAAGTGGAGTACAAGCAGAAGGCTTGTACTTGTATGACTTGGTGAGTTCAGGTGGACAACTGTTTGGAGTACGGATGAGTTTCTCATCTGGAAGTTCAGCAACAAACATTTCCCATGGTTGGAGTCTTTCCTTTTGGATACCTGATGGGGCAATGTATACCAAGTTTGGGTTTGGTCCCTTTGTATCACGGATCGAAATTCCACCTCCTGTACCGGTGACCCAATTATTATCGTAGAACAAGCGACATAATTCACAAATTAAGTTGGCAGGGTGATGAGGATCACTAGAGATATGTTCATCGACATATTGTGAGGTTCCCTCACTCTTCGAGCAATGACATGGAGCAGACATGATGATAAGCTTACAGTATCTCTATAATTGATCGGATTTATTTTTTAGTTTTCGGACTCTCTTTTATCTTCGCTAGAGCACGTTTTAATTTTTTTTTTTTTTTTTTCTTTTGGGTTCCTGTTCTTACAATTAAACGTTAAACCAATTGTGGAGATTAATTTTACAGAATGAATTTTTCAACAAAACTAATATATTAAACAACGGTCAAAGACCACACTATAGAACAATATAGAAGGGTGGTATCCAAAGATACCAAGATATACAAAAAAATTGTAGAATGCAAATAATCTAAAGATCTAGTTTGGGATTTATTTCTTGGACTTCTTTTCCTTCTTTTCCTTCTTTTCCTTCTTTTCTTTCTTTTCCTTCTTTTCCTTCTTTTCTTTCTTTTCCTTCTTTTCTTTCTTTGGCTTTACTTCTTCTTCTTCTTCTTCATCGTCTTCTTCTCTCTTTCTCTTCTTGTCCTTCTTTTCCTTCTTTTCCTTCTTAGATTTCTTTTCTTCAACTTCAGCTTCAGATTCGTCATCAGAGTCAGCTTCAGCAACTGGGGCATCGGCGTCAGCGTTGTAAGCTCTAGCTTCAGTGATGTCAACCTTTGGTTGTTCTCTCACAATCTTGGAAGTGGTTCTCATGTCACGACCTTCCAAAGCACTCAATCTAGATTCAACCTTGGCTCTTACAGACAAACCGAAATCACCGGAATCGTCACGTTCTTCAGCCAAAGAGTCGTATCTCAAGGCAACAGCAGCCTTGGCGGCTAAAACTCTGGCAATCTTACCCTTGTTCTTACCGGAAGCTTGTCCGACCAAGGAAGCATGGTATAATAAACCATACTTTGGTGTGTCATGCTTAGTCTTCAAAGCTCTGAATAAAGCCTTTTCAGCACCCAAGATTTGGATGGTGGAAGCTGGGGCCTTGGCCAAAGAGGTCAAAGAACCGGCGTGGGCAATCAATCTAGCACCAACCAATTCACCAACCAAAGAGGTCAAATTTGGAGCAATAGCCTTCATACGAGAAGACAAGTAGTTGGATAATTGTTCTCTGTAGGCAGCAAAGTCAACGATTTGATCAGCTAAAGCTCTAATGTTTTCCAAATCAATGTCAGTGATTTCAGTACCCATGGAAACTTCAGCAGCAGACTTAACTTGTTCTTCAACTTCTTCAGGTAAGATTTCAGATAAATCAGTTTCAGAAGCATTGGATCTAACACCCATGGTCAAAATGATTCTAGCGTAAGCAACAGAGTCGGTAATCATCTTAGCCAACTCTGGGAAATGCCAACCGTACCATTCCTTACATCTCATGGCATAAGTGTTCAATTCCTTGTCCAAGTCATCCAAAAGGGCAATAGCTTGAACAATCATGGTATCCACCTTGTCAGCAGAGAACTTCAACTTGTGACGACCAATGGAATGGGCCAAACCAAGAGACATTTGCTTCAAGGCAGTGTCATCTAAACCTGGCAACAATTCAGGCAAAAATTGCTTGATAGCTCTGTGCAAGTCCAAAGAAGCAGCGTCAGAAACAACAGAGTAGTTCAACCCCAACTTGTTAATGGCATTACCCAACTTGGTTTCAGAAACAATCAAAGTAGCCTTCTTATCATTCTTAACATCTTCCAACATCTTTTGCAAGTTGTCAGAGACACGGCCTTCAATGATGGCGTTGGCTTCTTCCAAGGCACTGGCAGCAGATTGGAACTTTTCAAAACGATGGATTTTGAATTGTTCAGCAACTTTTTCTGCAGTGTTCAAGTCTTCAATCAAAGAAGAAGACTTGTGGATTTTCTTGTCGGAGGCCTTCAATAAGGCGTAACCGGCGGCGGTTTCTGTTAAAACGTAAGCCATCTTGTATCTGTATGTGCGATGTGTCCAGCAGTGCTATAGAATATAAAAACTAACTTGTAGTAAATAATCTGCAACGGCCAAAGTGAAGAGAGAAAATCTGTATGAATAGATTTGCGCACACACACACTCTTACTCTTCCTCTTCAAACCCGATGAGTTTGAAAATTTTCTTTTTGTGATTATTCGGGGTGTGTGCAGGTCGAGGGGGAAAAAATTGAAAGGTTCTTCCTCTTCTTTTTTTTTTATTCGCAGTGTTTTTTTTGTGTTTTTTTTTTATTTATTTCCCATTTATTTTTTTGGGATATATATGAGAAAAACTAAAAAAAAAAAAGAATTATGGCAGTCCTGTTTATAAAGTAGATCAAAATAGTAAACGCGTTTGTGTGTAGGAATAAATATCACTATGAAGATAAAGAAAGGTTGTATGAGTTGGATTTAAGGTATCGAATACATTTTACATAATTATTTGTAACTTTCTTATCATCATTCATTGCAAGTCGAGTGGCATTTCATTTACATTGAAAAGTTAGTTTCAATTCTAAACTAGTTGTTTTTTTTTTAAAAATAAAGAAGAAGGTTCTCTCGATGCAATGGATAAGAGACAAATTCAAGATTCGCCTCCCAAATCCAAAAAGAGGGTCAAAAATGGTATAGAATCCCGACCAAAGCCAAAAACAACGTATTTTTTCAAACCAATCAATAGACTTGATCCTCCAACCAGTATAAGATCTGTCTCTCCTGAAGAAAAGAATTCAAGACGTGATAATGATGTACCAGATGTTGAACAGAATGTAGAACAGTTGAATACAAAATTACAACCACAACAAACTCCAACAAAAGATCGGAAACCACTTCTGGAATATGAAAAGTTACTTTTAGAACAACAATCATCAGATGATAGTTTTGATGGTATTAGATGGGGTACACCAAGAAATCAAAAGGTTGGTTCCAATAATGGTACCAAGCAACTTCATCAAAGATTAAATTCATCATCCCCACTTAAAAACGTAAATTCCCCCGTAGTAAACGAAGAAGAACTGAAATACTCTGCAACCTTAATAAACGAACAAGTGAATTCAGTGTTGACAAAGTATGGTGGTAGTGGATTTAATAACATTCTTTCCCAAACTCCGAAAATGAGTAGAACCCATAGTGATGGACTCTCTGGAGAAAGCAAACGACAAAGAGATCGTGATTTCCGAAGATTAGAAAGCTCACCAACTATGGTACGGTCTAAAACTACGGGGCTAGATGCAATGGGGGGCTTTTCCTTGTCTCATTCAAAATCAAAGTCTTCCACTCCACTTGAAATTGCACCCTTAAGCTCCACTTTAAATAGTTGGATAGATAAGTTTGATGTGAAAGATCTGGATCTGAGTTCAGATCCTAAATATACCGCGGAATCGGTCCAAGGTAGTGGTGGTGGTGGGGGGGATTCTCTGGTCAAATTCTCTGAAAACATCCCTTCGCAAAATACTCAAAATATTCTTGATGATATTGATTTTGAGGATGATTTCAGTGATTCCAGTGTAATAGCAGTGGAAGATGCCCCTATAGAAGGATCTCCGAAGCCAACTTTAGCAAGTGTGAATCTTATCAATGAACAATCAGATGAATCAGACGACCCATTTTCTGATGATGACCTCACTGGGATTTTGGGTGGATCCATGTCCACTTCAATTCCAAAGTTACCAACATTACATCAAAGCAATAGTATTGTTCTGGATATAAATCTTACTACTCAACAAAAGAACGACAGAGTTCATGTAGATTTGTTTCAAAATGGTATGAAGAGTATTGAAAGTCGTAATTTAGCACCCGACCGTGAACCAAATGACCACCCTAAGGCTGAAGTTGCTAACGAGGCAAAACTTTCATACAAGAGAAGGGATTTGCATAGATATCAAATTAAAAACATATTCAGAAATACTTTCCGCGTGCAAGATCGTCTCAGAGATCAAGTCATCTTAACGGTCCAAGACGAAAAAAGTGTAGAACTGAAAATCGTGGTCCGTGGTGAATATGTTCAACTTGAGTTTGAAGTGAATGATGTAATCCATCTAATCTTGACGTCAGAGAATTCCCCCAAACTTGTTGATGATCAACACAACTTATTGATTTGGAACCCTGATGTTCTTATATCAGCTACTACTGCCTCACAACAAATGAACTGTCCTAGAAAAACGGTACTTACAAGTAGATTTCGATTCCCAGGTGAAAGTTCGGTACCACTTGTGGTTGGGACCATTATCCATATCATTTTCCAAGCCTGTTTGGCGAGTGACAATTGGTCCGATGACTTTTTACAACAAACAATGAATGATGAGTTGAATGATCATTTATTTGAAATATACAGTATAGGTAACGAGTTGGAGAAAGTTCGTATGGAAATCAAGGAACAATTACCTTACTTGAAAACTTGGTCCAATACTTATTTCAAAAAGCCGCTCACTGGATCAACGAGGATCCCTACAAACCAAAGAAACATGCTGTCCCTTTTCTCGGTGAGTAACGTTCTTGACGTTGAAGAAAATATCTGGTCACCAATGTTTGGATTAAAGGGGATGGTTGATGTAACTGTGGAAGCGAACTTGAAAAATACTGATATGCAAGGAAAATTTTTGATCCCCATGGAAATTAAAACAGGAAGGGAACATATCAGTCATCATGCTCAATCCTCATTATATGCTTTGTTGTTTAAGGATAGGTACGATATTGATGTGAACTCATTTTTACTCCTCTATACTAAAGAGAAGTTATTAAAATTAAACACCATCAGCCAAACTGATCTAAAATCCTTGGTCAATTTACGAAATCGTATCACGAAATATATGAAGGAAGACACCAGAGAACTTCCTGGCTTGTTGAAGCAATCTGCTTGTGATAGATGTGAGGTTCAAAAGAGTTGTATGACGATAAATAAATTAGTTGAAAATGGAAATCAAAGCGAAAGTGGTTTACAAAATGGTTTATATGACTCTTTAACTATACATTTAGATGGGAAAGTCAATTACCGTGACTTTTACAATCATTGGGATGAGCTTTTAACGAAGGAAGAAAGTGTTGTTTCTCTGTTGAAGAAAGACTTATGGACTCTTACTGCCAAGGAAAGAGAAGAAAAGGGTGGTAAAGCCCTCTCTAATCTATTTATCAAAGAGTCAGGTGGTGATGATGATTTGCAAACTAAATTTACATATACATTTGAAAGGGCCAGTAATGTCGACGCAAATACCCTTCAATTATCTCAATTGTGCAAAAATGATAGAGTAATTATCAGTGATGAAAAGGGTCATTTTGCTATTGCTCAAGGTTTTATTTTATCAATAAGGCCAAGTTTCATTGTCATCTCTAGTAATCGGAGAATTATCAATTCAAGTGTTAAGACGAACAGCTTCAATATGAACAATAATCAAACCTTCCATAGTGTCTTGCATAAAACTTTGGGGAATTCAACATTTCCACTCGAACAAAAAACTTATAGAATTGATAAAGATGAAATGTTTCATGGTATGGGGTTAGCCAGGTACAACATATTAAATTTGTTTTTGGAAGGGGGTGATGAGATGAGGCGTGCCAGTATTGTGGATAAGAAGGAGCCGAAGTTTTCCTCTGGTACTATCAAGCCTGATATAATCAAGGACTTTAATAGTGATCAAGTCAATGCATTTAATAAGGTGCTTAATACGAAAGATTATTGCTTGATCCTTGGAATGCCAGGCACTGGGAAGACCACTGTGATCGCAAGAATAATCCAGTTCCTAGTTCAAAGTGGGAAGAGCGTACTTCTTGCTGCGTATACTCACTCCGCTGTAGATAACATTCTATTAAAAGTAAAGGATTCTGGTATAAATATTTTGAGAGTGGGACACCCTGCTAGGGTACATCCAGATATTAGAAAATTCGTTGCAGGTTGTGCAAATGATAGTGCCAAAATTTCCAATTATAGTGAGTTCATTAGAACTTACATGAACCCTCAAGTAGTTGCCACTACCTGCTTAGGAGTCGGAGACATTGCATTCAACTTAAGATCCAATTTTGATTATTGTATCATTGATGAAGCATCACAAGTGTCTATGCCTGTAAGTCTCGGACCCCTCAGATTTTGCACGAAGTTTGTATTGGTCGGTGATCACCATCAACTTCCACCACTTGTTCAACATCCAAGTCCTGTAGTTAAGAATGGACTTTCTCAGTCCCTTTTCAAGATTTTAAGTGAGGAGCACCCACAAAGTATCGTTGAACTTTCATACCAATATCGTATGTGTGAAGAAATCATGTTACTATCAAATTTATTGGTGTACAGTGGAAGATTGAAATGCGGATCTTCAAAAGTTGCAAAACAAAGCTTAGCAATTCCACATCCAGAACGCATAAATTCTCAAATATCAACCGAGTATGACTCAATCCTTCTGAAAAATGATTTGTGGTTAAACGATGTACTTGAACCTCAAAATAAAGTTCTATTTCTCAATCATGATTCAGTTCCAGGAGAGGAAAGAGTGGTCGGTGAAAAGGTGGAGAATCCGAAAGAAGTCGACTTGATTCATCAAATAATTTCAGCTCTCACATTATGTGGGGTTCAAGAGTCGAGTATTGGAGTCATGTCGCTTTATAGAGCACAATTACGACTCCTTACTCGTCGATTGGTTCAAAAGCCAAAAGTTGAAATTTTGACTGCTGATCAATTTCAAGGTCGTGATAAAGAATGTATTATCATTTCACTTGTACGGTCAAACAAAGAAAGTAGAGTCGGTGACCTTTTGAAGGAGTGGAGAAGAGTAAATGTTGCAATTACAAGATCCAAATGTAAACTTATCTTAGTGGGATCTAAATCTACTTTGAAAACTATTCCTACTTTGGCTGCTTTCATGGGACTAATTGAAAGTAGAGGTTGGATGCATGACCTTCCTAAAAATGCAGACAGATTCTATAGCTTTCCATTTGATGTCGATAGCCCTGTCAAAAAGACTAAACTCTCGACAACAAAAGTGGGTGATAAACTTGTTGGAAATCATCCAGTGCTAAAGGATATTTTTAACGAACTTACGAATTAAATATTTATAAATACTTTTTTTTTCCTTTTTGCATTCTTCTACATCCTTCTTGTAGCGATATTTATTATTATAGTTCCCAAAAATAATAGCTAAAGTGCAAAGAATTGAAATTGAAAGTTCCCAACTCTGGCATTCAATCCTGGGACTACCGGCTCATTTATATTGGGATTTTGATCATTATTGTTATTGAGGTTTGGGTTTCTCATTCTCCTCAATTGTTGGTATAAGTTGCGTATAAAGATAAAGAAAAAGACAACAAACGTAACAATTACCACTAAGTAATCAATAACGTCGTATTCTTCTTCTATGAACGTCTCACCTTCATGGTGTGCATCTGCCCTATTTTCGGTGAGTATGTTGTTTTCGCTAACTTGATTGCTTTGCGTACGAATACTTTTGAAAGCACTTAGCCAACCAGTATTCTCTGGATTTGGATTCTTTTGTCTAGAAAAGATATATTTGAGACGAAGTTTCAATAAAGCTAAATTAACGGGAATTTTATTTTTTCCTCCATATTTCAAACTAAGGTCATAATATCTTTTTGCCATGAAATAATCTACTGTATTCCCTGGCCCTAAACCATATTCATACATCAATGCCATGTTAAAACTAGCATGGGCAGAATGTTTGGATTCAGCCTTATTGTAGTATGCAAATGCATTGTCATAATCTTGTGGTAATACATCCCCAAGACCATTGTAATACAAATCACCGAGCATCACTGTAGCATCGGTATTTTGATGAGTTGATGAAAGTTCAAGATACTTGATGGCGGCTTCTACTCTTGGTTTAGAATACTTGGCGTTCTTCTTCTCCTTAAGAGATTTTGCTTGGAAAAGTAAGAATGATGTTGATACCTGAGCATGGTCAAATCCAAGTTCTGCAACAATCAGATATCCTAACAATGCATTTTTGTAGTTTCCATGGCGTAATTCATTAAATGCATATTTCAATTGTGGTAAGAAGAAACTTTCCATTCTTACTAAGAACATCCTGTAGAAGATAATAGTATTTTCACATGATATATCCTTCTCCGGTTCAACCTCTCTGGCCAATCCTGATTGAAGGAATTCCCCGAAATAGTAGAGAGCCTCGGCATTTCCAGAATACACAGATCCATACACTAAATCATAAATTTGTTTCTTTTCAGCTGATTGAAAAACATTCTTCCCTTGGGTTTTCTCAATGGCAATTTTTGCATAATTAAGTTTTGCTTGGTGAGAGTCTAATTTGATTGCCCTTCCATAGTATGTAAGAGCTTTTGTTTTGTTACTGGTTTCTGGTAATAATGCATGTTCATACATGTATCCAATATCAGTAAGACATTCTGCAGTTTTCTTAACGCTGGCAGAAATTTTAAGATACTTTAAGGCTTCATCATAGTTCTTCTCAACTCCAAGTCCCTTCAAGTACATATGACCTAACTTAGCTTGACAATGGACAAGGAAAAATTGATCAGTGGCATGCATATTCTTGTAACCCTTCTTTCCAAATTTTTGTTCTCCGTGATCAAAACATTCTTTTAATATTTCAAATGATTTGGTATAATTACGAGGAGTGAAATAATCACCTTCATAACTTTCCATAGCTTCATAATAATAATTTGTATATGGATATTCATCGATTTCATCTCCCAAAATATCTTTAGGTGAACTCTCAACTATGGAGGATTGGATTTCGCTAACAGGGCTACCAAAGAGCCCACCATTGAAATCAGGTAAACGGATATTATAGAATCGACCTATTTCTTCGCGTTCTTCGTCACGTTCTTGAAGTGCCTTCATGCCCAAGTTAGCTAGTCTCGTGTAATAAAACAAAGCCAATTCACAATTTACCGGGGTTCCTATACCCTTGAGCTCTTTGTAAGCCAACGCAAATAGAGCATTTGTATCTCCATTCTCCACTGCAAATTCGTAGTAAAGAACACCTAGAGCTTCATCTATGGGGAACTCTCCAAACATACCAGTTGTGTAAATGAATCCCAACATGAAATAGGCATGTCCATGGCCAGACACAGACACGGCCTTCTTGTAGTAGTCATGTGCTTTCTTGTAATCTGCCTTGATCGAAAAATTTCCAAACATGTATATGTCACCAAGTGCCACCAAAGAATCCAAATGATCTTCTTCCAAGGCGCACTGTACTAACACTTCAATTGCTTCAGAGATTTCTGTTGGTATTTCCCTATATATCACACCTTCATAATCTTGGATCTCTTCATCGTATGAAGGTATCTTAAGATTGTTATATATATTGTCTTTGGTATAAATTGGACTTCTAGTTTCCTTATCGAAGTTTTGATCTAAAATAGATTTAGCCTTTTCATATTTTTCAATCACAGGAATCGATGATGACATAATCGGCACTAGTAGTATGGTCAATACCACTGCTAGAATATGTCTAACATTTCTAATCATCTTTAATTCAAATTATTCTACACTATGATATAGTAAGCTGTACTGAACACATAAGTCTAGATAATGGTGTACTACATACATATGTGATGCACGTGACGAGGGGGAAAAGGGGATCACAAAGCAATATATACACGCTTGGCAATATGTGTTCTCTGCAATTTCAAAGTTATAGTGTTTATATAACTTTTCTTGGACTAATAGTTTTGTTTACCACCTAGATTGTTACTTCTTGCTGACGTGTATATACTAGCGTAGGAAGGGGGAAGAGAAAAGGTAAAGGATATTATTTTGATTTTGATTTTCGTACTCAATTATCGGGCCGATATAGGATCATTTATATCCGTTGCAAGTCTAGCCAATTAGACCCATACACACAAATATTTTGATATTTAAAATTGATATTCTCTTTAATTGAGAGTAGCATCAAAGGAAGCATTTAAAATTGTATTGAGATGGCCTTCTCGGGTATACTGTTGCCTGATGAGTCGGCAATTCCTCTGCAAGAAGAATCAATATTCAGATCTGCCCCAATGACTTTGGTTCAATTCTATATGACATTGGAATTAGCAAGAGATGTAGTTAACGAATTGGGTACTCTAGGAGATGTTCATTTCCGTGACTTAAACTCCAAATTGACTCCGTTCCAAAGAACATTTGTTATGGAATTGAGGAAAATAGATACAGTTGAAAGTCAACTTTCTTATCTTTTTCAAATGATGGAAACTTATAAGACAATTAGAAGTGATTTATATCTGTCCTTTAGTCCTGGAGCTGAGCCATTGGCTACAGCAACAGAAGTGGATGACATGGTAAATAGAGTCAAAGAAATCCATCAACGTATTCTGCAACTCCATGAATCTTACACTTCATTGGAACTGAAAAAGTTTAAATTGATCGAGAATAGATATGTCATCAATGCGGTAAATAACTTCCATTCGCAGTCCTCTGGATCCAATCGTCCACGTGAACAGGCTTTTGATTTTGAGATTCATGATGAATCAGATGACGAAGACGACGTGGCTCTTTTAAATGGAAGAAACCATAGCTTGGAACTTGGAGGAACTGTAGAAATGGACTCTGAAGCATTAGAGGACTCTGGATTCAACTCGATTTCAGGCTCAATTGTTCGAGAAAAGGTCCCATTGTTACGTAAAATTTTATGGAGAACATTAAGAGGTAACTTGTTTTTCCATGACGTTCCAATTGAAACAGAGTCTTCTTCAGATTCACAATTAAATGAGAAAAATATCTTCATAATCTATATCCATGGAGACTTTCTTAAACAAAGAGTAAGAAGAATTATTCAGTCATTAGATGGGGTAATTTATGGAAATGTCGATGGCAGTGCGAGTGTAAGGAATGAAACTCTTGCACAACTTAATCACAATATTTCTGATTTGGAAAGTGTTGTGGAAAGTACTAGAAGTCACTTAGTTTCAGAATTGGTTATTTTTCAAGATTCTTACGTCCAACTCTATTTTGCTGTTCAAAGAGAAAAACGGATTTATCAAACATTAAACAAGTTTGATACAGATGGTACCAGAAGATGTCTTGTTGGAGAAGGTTGGATCCCTAAATCTGAATTGAATAAAATTCGAGGCTCTTTGAAGAATTTGATTAGAAGAAAAACACATGTCGCTTCTCCTTCTTCTTCGTCACAAGAATCAATTAGTTTAACAGGTACTGGAATTTCTTCTGCTACAGCGGAATCAGCCCATTCGAATTTCTCACTTGGAGTTGATGATGAAGATATTCTTGGTGAAAATGATGAAGAAATTGGAGGATCATTAATTGCAGTTGTCAATGAACTTACGACAAATCGTACCCCTCCAACTTTCCATAAGACAAACAAATTTACAGCAGCCTTCCAACTGATTATTGATGCCTATGGTATTGCAACATATCAAGAAGTAAACCCTGGATTGGCATCAATCATTACATTCCCATTCATGTTTGCCATCATGTTTGGAGATTTGGGTCACGGTTTCATTGTATTTCTCATTAGTTTATTCTTGATCAAAAACGAATATCAATTTGGTCTCATGAGAAATAAAGATGAAATTTTTGAAATGGCATTTAATGGTAGATATATCATTTTGTTGATGGGGTTCTTCTCGATGTACACTGGGCTTATATATAATGATGTATTTTCCAAATCCATGACATTGTTTAAGTCTGGTTGGGAATGGGAGTTCCCAGAAGGATATGATTATGCTAAAGATGGTGCAATTACTCTTACTGCTAAAAAAATTGTTGGCAAAACCTACTGGTTTGGGTTAGATTGGATATGGCATGGAACTGAAAATAATTTACTATTTACTAATTCATACAAGATGAAACTTTCTATTCTTATGGGATTTATTCATATGAACTACTCATTATATTTCAGTTTGGTTAATTATAGATTTTTCAAATCTAGAGTTGATATTATTGGTAATTTCATTCCAGGATTTCTTTTCATGCAAAGTATTTTTGGCTATTTGACCCTTACCATTATATATAAATGGTCAGTTGATTGGATTGGACAAAATCGTGCTCCCCCTGGGCTTCTTAACATGCTTATCAACATGTTTTTAGCTCCAGGAAAAATCGATGAACAATTATATCCTGGGCAAAAATTTGTTCAAATTGTTCTTGTTTTGATTGCACTTGTATGTGTTCCGTGGTTACTTGTTTATAAACCAATGGTTTTGAAAAGACAAAATGATAATGCTGTGCAATTGGGATATAGTGATTTGCATTCTCAATTACATCATGATCTTCAACTCCATGAAGAAGAAGAAGCATTGGAACTGTTGGAAAACGAGCTTAACCATGATGGTGGAGATGACGAAATAGATATGTTGAATGGCGATTTTAGATTTCCGAATGATATTGAACCATTGAACATCAACTCCACTTCCCATGGAGATCATGATGAATTCAATTTTGGTGACATCGTTATTCATCAAGTCATTCATACAATTGAATTCTGTTTGAATTGTGTTAGTCACACTGCTTCATATTTGAGATTATGGGCATTATCACTTGCCCATGCTCAATTATCATCTGTTTTATGGTCTATGACTATACAAAATGCATTTGGTGGAGGGACTGGTCCTATGGGAATTTTTAAAGTAGTTGTTCTTTTTGGCATGTGGTTCGTATTATCTGTGTGTATTTTAGTGTTGATGGAAGGTACTTCCGCTATGTTACATTCTTTAAGATTACACTGGGTTGAAGCCATGTCCAAGTTTTTCATTGGAGAAGGCTATGCTTACGAACCATTTACATTTACCGATATAGATTATTAGGAATATTGATACAAATTTAGATTTCTTTGTTTTTAGTCTGAGTTTAAATTTTAGTTCGAGCTAAAAGTTTTGATTTGGCTGCGAATTGAAAATATATGACATTCAATTGCCTCATTAGGAAAATAAATTTAAAAGAATAAGTAGTGGTATTAAGAAAGAATAGCAGAACTAATGCTTGTAAGTTTAGGGAGTATGTACTATATATTGACAGTAACAACTACAGCGACTATATGGCTAGCGTATATATATATATATATATATATATATATATATATATATTCCAAAACGATGATGGTGAAGGATAAAAAATATTTGTGACGTCTGGTGAAACTCAAATGTGGAGAAACCTGTAAAAGCCTCACCCCCTTTTAAGAAAGTTTCTCTCTATCCATAGTTTTTTATTTTAGTCCGTATACAGTTAGTCCATATGCATTAACGAAATGCTGCTATTATTCTTGATTATGTTTGTTTGACTCAATTTAATTACATGATTGCACATTGTGAATGATATCAAAAAGCTCTAAAAAATATAATTTCTATGAAGTGTTTTGTTTTCATTTCCGTATTTCTTCAAAGGAGCAAGCTCTATCGTGTAATGGGTTACGAAATTGTGTGGGTTATTCAAATATTACTCAACCAGAATGATAAATGTTAATAGAATTGGCGGGGCTTTCTCACTCTATGTATTAACCTCAAAGGGAAATTTTCTAAAGCCTGAATTTCCAAATCGAGCGAAAGGGAACATTATTTTTTTTTCGATTTGAGTGGGGCATGCCTAATCAGGAAGTTGCGAAAATGCAGCAAGTCCTCTCCAAGTCTGCAATAAATGTTAAACTTCCAAAAGTTTATAAAGTCCTAGAGTCCTAATTTTTTTTGGTTTTATCTTTAAATTTTCCTTCTTCATAGCAGAGTCTTCAATAAAAAATTTTACATCACTCACTCTTTATCCTAAACTTTGATCATGAAGTTTAGTAAGATTGTTTCTCTCGCTTTCGGCGCTCTGCTTGTAAGTGCTGCACCAACAGGACATTTTGATATATCACCAAGAGAGAATGATTCGAACTTAGATCTCGACTTGATTCTCCGTTCCATTTCCACATACGATGCTGCTGCTGAAGAACAGCTGGGTAATCTTAGAAAAAGGAATCATTTCGATTTCTTTGGCGATCTTGTTGGTCAAATCACTGATGCTGGTCTTCATGATGGTTTCCTCGACAGGGTTCTCAATGCTCCAGATTTCGCTCACCATTTGGTCGATTCTGTCGTTAAAGGAATTGAATCCAAGAACATTCCATTTGAACAGGTAAACATTGCCTTGGATAATGCCAATCTTATTCCAAGATTGTTTGAAGAAATGTTACATGACTCCGATATGACAGAAATGACCAAGTCTCATGCAAAGAGATTATATGACTCTGGTGATCTTAAACTCAATTTCAATGAAGATGGCTTCGCCAAGCGTGAAGAAATAATGATTTCTAAGAGAGACAGCTCTGCTCTTTCTAGCATAGTTTCTTCTTTATCCAACTCCGGTTTGTTGGAAAAGGCTGCTAAATATATCCTTAGTAACCAAAACTTAGCTTCAACTGCTGAAAAGTTACTTGAAACTGCAGTTAAAAAGACTGACTTCAAAACTCTCTATGCAACCATAAAGGAATCGGGAATTGCCAACAAGTTGGTAAAGAAGGCATTATCATCCAAGTCTTTACAAAATAAACTTGCGCAAGCTATCAGTGAAAAGGCAAAGAGGGATTCTTCAAAGAATGCATTGATTGCCTCTTTGGCTGTACGTGCTTCCATGGCTGCCCCTGGACCTACTCAAATTGTTGCAAGAGATGATGCCGCATTTAGCCTTGAAGGTGCAGTCACACCTGACTCTTTGTTTGGAGATGGTTCCGCACCAGCTCCTACTGATTCTTCTCAATTAAATGGTGTTTTGGGCCTTTTTGGTGGTCTTGGTGGTAGTGGTGGTAGTGCTGATGACAGCTCATCTGATGTTGTTGTTTCAACCCCAACTTTAGCCGTTGATCCTAGTATCGTCGCACCATTGTCATCTTCCCCTCTTATTGTTCAACCATCTGCCTCGGTCCAAGCTTCTGTCTCTGACCCAATTGACCTTTCCTCGCTTCTCGATGTAACATCGGCTGAAACTTCTTCCCCAGTTGTTACTTCGTCTGCTTCTGTGTCTACGTCAGGCTCTACCTCATCTGGTACTAACCTGTTCAGTGATCTTTTGGATTCCTTGTTTGGAGGGTCAAGCTCTAGTTCTAGTGGGTTGTCAAACTCTACTACAACGGGTACTGTTTCTTCTACATCACCTTCTTCAACTTCTACCGATTCCTTGATTGATGACATATTTTCCCTCTTTGGAAACTCTACTTCCTCTGGATCTAGCGGTAGCTCCAGTAGTGGTCCAATTGATTGGATTGGACTCCTTCAAAAGCTCTTCAGTCTTTTATTCGGAGGTTCCGGTTCTGTTGACCCAAGTGTTCCTGGATCTTCTGATGGCTCTGGTAGTCTTGGATCCCTTTTCAGTAGCATTTTAGGGTCTTTATTTGGAGGATCATCTAGTTCCAACTCTACATCAGCTGATACCAGTTCTGGTGGTGGTCTTGGCTCGCTCTTCAGTAGTATTTTGAGCTCTTTGTTTGGTGGATCAAGTTCGAACTCCACTTCAACTGCATCAGGGTCCGGTTCCGGTTCTGGTGGCTCGTTGTTAGGAAGCATTTTCAGTGCATTATTTGATGGCTCTAGTAGTGGGGACTCATCCAGTGGCTCTGGAGGTTCCTTGTTGGGAAGTATTTTCAGTGCCTTGTTCGGCGGCTCCGGTAGTAGTGATTCATCTAGTGGTTCTGGTGGCTCCTTATTAGGAAGTCTTTTTAGTGCATTATTTGGTGGATCGAGCTCTAGCTCTGGTGCTAGTTCATCTGGTTCTGGTTCTTCTGGTTCTGGTTCTTCATTGTTGGGTGATATCATTGGGGCTCTCTTCGGTGGCTCTAGTGGTTCTGGTGGAAGTCTTTTAAGTGATATATTTGGTTTGTTCTTTGGGGGAAGTTCTGGTAACTCTACTTCTTCCGGAGATAGCTTATTGGAAGATATCCTTGATGCATTCTTTGGTAAAGGTGATGGTACTTCTGGTTCTTCTGGTTCTGGTTCCAGCCTTCTTACTGATATTCTTGACTCTCTTGTTAGCGCACTCGCTGATGGAACAGGATCAACAAGCGCTCCATCTAAATCTTCAGGCTCCTCTGGTTCTGTCTTTGGAGGAGGCTCTTCCACTGGCACTAAGAAGTGTTGTAGTCCAAAGGGATTGAAGAGAAAGAGAGCCAAGAGAAAGAGAATGTTACAAGAAAAGGCCAGAGAAAATTTTAAAAGAACTTTATTAAGCAAGAGAGCTGAACTCTCTGGTGAACTGTACATTAAATTTTGATATATGATAAAAACCGTATATATACCCTTTTAAGAATAGAAAATATTTTAATATCTACTACACACATGTACGTATATTATAGAATGATTACCAATAGAGACGTCGAATTTTCAAAAACTGAACTACATTAAATATCCAACCCCCCTTAAAGTCAACTGTAGAACTCAGGTGATAACCAATATAATTATTCGTAATATTCCTTGTTAACTATTTAACATACCTTCAAAACATTGGCTGCAATATTCGTATTCAATTACTAGTTTAGATTAAAATATTATTTTAGCACATATTTATTGTGGATATTTTTGAGCCTCAGATCCACCATGTAGTAAGCACCCCAACTTGCCAATAAATTATAATTTCTTGTCTCCAATATGGGAGCTAAAATTATATTAATTTGCTTTCGGCTAAAGTTGGTTGCATTCCATTGAACTCACTTCCCTTTTAGGTAACTCTGAAAATTTCCTCAAGTAGCATAATTCTCAAAAAGTCCAATTTTATGCAGGAATATCTCGTTTTTGTTATGAATCTGTTTTCCTTATTAAATCGTCCCACTGAAAGTGCTGCATATAACAAAGGACAAGCACTGGCAACACTGAGATTTTCCTTTTTAGGTTCGAAAAATCATTTACTCGATTGGGAAGTAGTTGCAAAAATTGGGGTAAAGCAGGATATTTTGTATATCCATTTTTTTATATATGACAAACGGGATTCCCAAGGGGTTACTTGTTGTACTTGCTCTGGTATTTTGCTCGTATTCATCCAAGTACTATTACATTCATTCGCTCTTTTTAAATAGGTGTTGTACGAAGAAACTATAGCGGGTTGCAATTATCATGAAAGTCTCCACTCTCTTGCACGCTACAGTCCTTTCATCAGCAATAGTTGGAGCTGCAGAAATTGATGACTCCAGAAATTATAAAAGGTCTTTCTTTGACAGTTTAAGTAATGCTTTGTCGGGTTCAACCGCCAACAAGGATAGCGGTGTAGCTGCCGCTGGTGCCCCAGCAGCAGCACCTGCACCATCACCTGCGGTAGATTCCACTCCTGTTGCTGCTTCTGCTCAAGCTAATGCGGGAATTGTTGCTTCTTCTTCCCCAACTGCTGCTACAAACGCTGGTCTTGGAGGCACAAATATCATTTTTGGAGATTCATCCAGCGTCAGCTCAAGCTCCCAATTCAGCTCTAGCTCAGAACTAAGCTCAAGTTCGGAATTTAGTTCAAGTTCTAGTTCAAGCTCAAGCTCAAGTTCAAGTTCAAGTTCAAGTTCTAGTTCTAGTTCTAGTTCTAGTTCTAGTTCTAGTTCTAGTTCCAGCTCCAGCTCCAGCTTAAGCTCAAGTTCTAGTTCTAGTTCTAGTTCTAAGATCACAAGCTCAAGCTCAGCACATAGTTCTAGTTCAATCGCATCATCTAGTGCTACCAGCAGCTCAACATTGGAAGATTTAGGTTTTGGTTTGTTTGGTGACTCTGCAACTTCTTCCCTGTCCAGCTCAATAGCGTCCGCAACTGAGTCTACATCTGAACCAGTTGCAGCTGCATTTTTTAGATTGGGTGCAACAACCACAGATTCAACTTCTTCCTCTATTATCAGTAGTTCGTCGGCCGTACCAACTACTAAAGCATCAGTTGCCTCTTCAGGGCTGTCTCCTAAGGGCCTCTTCGCGATTTTGGCCGACAGTCCAAGTACGCTGGAATCTTCCAGTTCTGCTGACCCAGCCTCATCATCTTCTGGACCACAATCACTGGACTCCGCTTTTGACGATCTTGACTGTGAAGAATCAGGTGCTTCAGAGCCTCCAACTGAGCCAACATCTACGCCTGATGTTGGACCCACCTCGTTGCCACCGGTAGTGATTCCATCCGCAAGTGATGGCTCTACACCTCCATTGACCAGTGGAAGCCCTATTATTCCTTCTCCTAGTGATGACGTTGATTGTGAAACTGAGACTGACACTAGCGATGTACCTACCATCATTCCATCCGGTACAATTGTTCCACCAGGACCCCTTGGTCCATCAGCTATTCCAACAGCTATTCCAAGTGATTTGCCAATCTCTTCAGATGACGTTGATTGTGAAACTGACACTAGCGATTTACCTCCTATAATTCCATCTGGTACAATTGTTCCAACTGGCACAATTATCCCAACTGGTTTACCAATTTCTTCAGATGACGTTGATTGTGAAACTGAAACCGACACTAGCGAATTGCCTACTATTATTCCATCGGGTACAGTTGTTCCATCTGGCACAATTATCCCAACTGGTTTACCAATTTCTTCAGATGACGTTGATTGTGAAACTGAAACCGACACTAGCGAATTGCCTACTATTATTCCATCGGGTACAGTTGTTCCATCTGGCACAATTATCCCAACTGGTTTACCAAGCTCTTCAGATGACGTTGATTGTGAAACTGAAACTGACACTAGCGAATTGCCTACTATTATTCCATCTGGTACAGTTGTTCCATCTGGCACAATTATCCCAACTGGTTTACCAATTTCTTCAGATGACGTTGATTGTGAAACTGAAACCGACACTAGCGAATTGCCTACTATTATTCCATCGGGTACAGTTGTTCCATCTGGCACAATTATCCCAACTGGTTTACCAAGCTCTTCAGATGACGTTGATTGTGAAACTGAAACTAGTGAGGTTCCAACTGTTATTCCAACTGGAACTGTGATTCCAACAAATGTTCCTGGTTCTACCGATGATGTTGATTGTGAAACTGAAACTGAAACTGAAACTACCGTGCCTACTGTAATTCCAACCGGCACTGTAATTCCTACCGGTACCGTAATTCCTACCGGTACAGCTATTCCTACTGATGACGTTGACTGTGAAACAGAAACAGAAACAACCACACATACAACCACGGTACCAGGTGGTGGACCAGGTCCTAACCCAACACATGGTGGTGGTGGAGATGACGTTGACTGTGAAACTGACACTGTGACCAACTACCATACCACTACTTCAACAATCATTCCTGGCCAGCCGGCTGCAACTGATGATTGTGAAGAAGAAGGTGGTAACGGTGGCAACGGTGGAAATGGTGGAAATGGTGGAAATGGTGGAAATGGTGGAAATGGTGGAAATGGTAGTAATAATGATGTTGATTGTGAAACTGACTACACTACTAACTACCATACTACAACTTCAACCGTTTATCCTGCACATCCAACTGGGGGTTCCCCTGGATATCCAGTCTCTCCATCACCCGCAGATGATTGTGCCGATGACGATTACGATGATTCATCTGATTGTGAAGAATGCCCTGAAGACGACGAATGGGATTGTGAAGATGATGATGAAGATGATGAAGATTGTGAAGTGTGCGAAGAGGAACCTTCCAGTCCTGCAAAGCAAGTTGAAATTGCTTCATCCGTAGCCCCTACTCCTGTGGCTGCACCATCAACAACCGTCGCAGCACCTACATCTTCCCCAACCGTGCCAATAGCCAACTCTTCGAACAAGGTTGTATATTCAACTGGCGTGCTTTTGGCCTCGCTCCTTACCGTCCTATTCATCTAATAAGCTATAATTGCAGGTCAATTTATGAACCAATAGCAGTTTAAAAGGAAAACAATACTAAAGAGCTTTAGAGGTTGATGTTTTTTTGCACCCAATTTAAAAAATGATTACCCCAGTTTACCAAAAAAAAATAATGATTCTTCATTAACACATCATACCAGTTACACCCAATAACTTCGTTTTATATTTCTTTTGTCAACCTTGACATTAATTTTTCTCATTAGCTACACTATGATACATAGTTAATGTAATTATTAAGCATTATTAAAAGTTTGTAGCAAAAAAAAAACAACAATGGTTGTAGGTTTTTTTTCTATATATACTGAATTTCGTGTTCCTGCATATACACCCACTAATATCAAAAATATGTTTCTGTAATTTTGCCATCAGCTTATAGATTCAATTTTGTAAGGAACACCACTAACAAGGAAGGGGGTCACATATTTTTGGTTTGGTTGAGAAGGTAAATATTACAAGTTTAGTTTGTTATTGAATACAATCTACTGTTTCCAGGCAGTTTGCTAGAACTTGAAGTTAAAGATATATAAAGACTAAATCATAATGCAAATTGACAAGCAAACGTTTATCTTCTTTGTGATTATGTTCATATTCCTATCTGTACCTGGAGGAGGTGACCAGCCACATTCGGATAGGGATAAGGTGACTCTTGAAAAGTTCAAACAATGCACTGAGTCTGCGTTTGCCGAACTTTCAAATACCACCTATACAGGAGGGTATGGGAATGTTACGGGGTTTTTATTGTCATACAATGACTCCTTGGAACATAAGAATGCTTCCAATTGGCCCATTCATGAGTATAACTCTGAACATCCATGGGTAGAAGATGAGAAATTTTCAGTGCTTCCTAATGTTGTCAGTGAAAAAGTTCAATCATTTTGGAGTAAAGATAGAGTTGGAGAAGGAGACGATGAATTGGCCTACATGTTAAATATAACTGGTAGAACATACGGAAAATTCGTTAGTAATGGTACTGAATTGGGTGTTAAACCGGTAAAGTTGTCCATACCAAGCTATTTGAAAGACTATGCGGCAGAGTACACTGATTATAAAAGAAGAGAGGAACAAGAAAGATATGATAATGATCCTGATACGAATGATCCCCCTTCAGATTACCCACTTGGGGATTGGGAATCGAATAGTAGAGATGGGAATATTACTGCGACAGATGGTAAAATTTATATAGGACTTGAAAATATGGATTACACTTTTAAAGAAGCTGAATTTAAGAATATCAAGGAAGAAGATCACATAAATAATGCTATGTTTGTTAATGTTGAAGTTTTGCTTTCTGATTTTCCTTCGATCGAACAGCATCGTGTCACGATGATTGGGGTCTATCTCCAAGACTCTGGGAGTTTACTAACAGCCACAACATCTGCCAAATTTCGGTCAAACTTTGCCTTACCTCATTTATCCATGACTTCGGAAAATTATGATCTCTCACAAAAACTTTTGAGCCAATTAATGAATCTAGATGGTTCTGATAATAATTTTTCAACTGATATTTTAAATCGTCATATAATTAAGGCCAACGACCAATGTGAGTACATTCTATATGCTCAATTTGAGAAAACCGAATTTACTAAAAAGGAATTGAGAGAAATTGATGATGAATTAAGAATTCCTACTGGAAGACCATTAAAGTCAAAAATCCCAAAGTTAAAAATAAAACAGTTTTTGTTATACTCTCCTGATTGTGGTAGAGTTATTCAATCAGCCCCAGGTGTTATTGTTGAAGGTGACAAGAGAGAGGTGTTCAATCTTCGTATTAAGACTATGCTTACCTTATTTGCTGGTTTACTCATGCTTCAACTTATTTTGTTTATTAGACAGATTCAAATTGTTAAAACCCCTGGACAACTTTCAACTTTATCAAGTACCACAGTTTCCATTTTTGGCTACCAAGATTCACTTGTTGCTTTGTGTACTTTGTTGACTACTAATCTTTATTATGGGTTATATTTATTACCTGTTTGTATGTGTGTCTTTTCATTTATTATGGCTGGCATCTTTGAAATGAGATTTCTTGTGAACATTTTAGTGAATCAAGCAAATGAAAGAGGAATCTCCTGGTGGGAAATTCTTAGATCTTCTTCCAGTAGACAACAAAATGAACAAGCACAAACAGCAAATGAGAATACTGGAAATGAAACTACAGAGGGGGCTGCTGCTGCTGCTGGTACTGGAGTTATAAATAATACCACTGGAACTGCAGTAACAATGGACCAAACTGATGAATCCAGAATTGCTAATGGTCTTTTCGCGAAGACATTCTTCTTAACATTAACATCTTTTTTCTTTTTGATTACAGCCTTACAATGGAGAAATTCTTTTAGACACATTAGTGAATTTATTGGATTGATTTTGATGAATACTTATTGGCTTCCACAATTTTTTAGAAATACCTTGAAAAATCGCCGGCGATCATTTCTGTGGGAATTTATTATCTGTTCATCATTTTTAAGAGTTTGTCCAGTTTATTATTTGACCCTTTATGAAAACAATCCAATGAGACATCATAAAAATGTTCCATTGGCTTTAACTGTGACTATATGGTTAGTTTTCCAAATGGTTTTATTAAAATTACAAGAAAAGTTTGGCGCCAGATTCTGGATTAATGACAAATGGCTTCCAAAGGCGTATGATTACCATCCAATACTTAATGTATCAGATTTGGAAAATGGATTCTCATCAGATATTCTTGCCAATATACGCGAATTACATGAAGCAGATGATAGTACAGGAATTGTTACATGCAAGGTTGATTGTACCATTTGTATGAATGAAATTGACCTCCCAGTGATTGTGAATTCAGAAGTTAAAATTACAGGCCCCGGTTCGACTGATCGAGCTCACGCACAGGAATATATGATCACACCGTGTCATCACATATTCCATACTGAATGTCTTGAAGATTGGATGAAATATAAGCTTCAATGTCCTGTATGTCGATCATCTCTACCACCGGTATAATGACCAGAATTTCATTTACTCGTGTGATATACAATGTACAATGTACAATAATTTTACATTTATAGTTTCCATCAAAGATGAGATTTACTTGTAGAGAAGATTCAATAAAAAAAAGGCAATATCTATAATTATTAGGTAGACCCTTACCAATTGAAATAGATGCAAACGTCATCCATCAGTCTTTTTAAATGTACAAGCGGGTAAATTGATAGACACGAAATGCAATGTAACAATCGGCCATATAGGTAAAATCAAGCGATCGATCATGCTAAATAATAATAATAAACTTTGAAGAAGGAATTTTAAAAATAGTGTAGATTTTAAAAAGAAATAAGCACACATACAGTGTTAGTCTCCGAATTTTCCCCTACTTCGTCAAATTTCTCCGGAAATTTCCGCACTATGAATAGAAAATTGAGAAAGTCTTGTCACGGGTTTTGTGTAATTTGCTGACCTGCGCAGGAAATGGCCTGATTTCTAAACCTTGTTATACACATTCATGCCGTCTCAAACGAGATGTTTAATTTCCAATTCGCTAAGAATTAAAACGTTTTCATTTCTACAAATACAAGAGGAAAAGAAGTTCACGTCTGGTTTCACTATCTGTTATTCATATTTTCAGTCAACGTCCCAGATTACCTTCAATAGGCAGTTCTAGTCACATTTGATTACTACCACCCTAAGAACATTTCACACATTTCGCACCACGCCACTTCACTTCAAAAGTTTTGATTAGTTTTTTTTTGCTATTCGTTTTATTGAACAAAGGATAAAGAAACCTATTGGATTGTCCAGTGATATACTCTTTGTTGATACAAGAGAAGCCCTTTACGTTTTTGTTGTTCAGATTCCACCTACTCCATAAAATCGGAAGATTACCACCACGCCAGGGGATCGTATATTATTATTTTTTTTTTAAGTGCTGCTCTTAAATTTTAAAGAACAGGGTCCGAGTTAATCTCTTTTGAAAATTAAACAATAATAATAATGGCAACTTTCTCTGATTACCAACCCGTCTATGAGTTTGACGCTACTGATGATTTCCTTCAGTCTTTGAGTGGAGCAGTTCCAAGTTTATCGCCTGTACTGATGACTGGGGATGATAGTCAAGTTATGTTTGGAGTTCCAGAAAATAACCAGAACAACTATGTCGACCAAGTCGACTACATGAACCCCAACTTTGGGAACCCAAACATTCCCAATATGACAAATGATGCTAATGGGGTAAATTACCCTACAAACCCTATTGAATTGTTCCCAGAGTTTAACAATAATGGAGGACAATCGCAGGTCATGTATCAAAGCAGTAATAGCAATGAATATTCCCCAACGGTGGAAGATGAAAGAAAATCCTCACCAATGTCCACCACAAATTCGTTTTCTCATTCCTCTTCAAATGGACTTACTCCAGTTTCACAAAATTCTATTTCATCTACTCATACATCTCCAGTATCAGTACATGTTAAACGTGAAGAAGACAGAAAACCTATCCCAACTCCACAATCGGTATTGGTACCAACTCCAAGTGAATCGTCTACTACTAGTGGAGGTGTAAATGTAACGAATTCAAAGATTACCAAGCCAGGCAAAAAGGATAGATGTTCTCATAATATGATTGAAAAGAAGTATCGAACCAATATCAACTCTAAGATTTTGGCTCTTAGAGATGCAGTTCCATCTTTGAGAATTGCTACTGGAGATAGCAAAGATATTTCATTGGTTGATTTGGAAGGTTTGACTCCAGCTTCGAAATTAAATAAGGCTAGTGTTTTAACAAAGGCAACAGAATACATTAAGCACTTGGAGAAAAAGAATGAAGTTTTGAGAAGACAAAACTTGGAATTACAAAGAATCATTCAAGAAGCTAATTGTAACTCCAAGCCACCTACTCCACCACAAGGCTTTGGATATGTTCCACCAATGAATGAACAAAGCTTCAACACGACAGTCAATCCAATGCATCAACAGCAGCACCCACAACCACAGCTCCAGCAGCAACATCAACACCAACAGCAAATGTATGGTGGAAACTTTGTGTATGCAAACCAACAAGGAAATGTGTCCCCTGGTCTTTCAGGTGGACAAAAGGTTCTTCTTGGTGGTTTGGCCACTGTAATGGGGTCATCGATGTTCTCTGGAGACAATGACTTTAAGGGACTTTCGGCCTTGCCTTTCTACCAATTCTTGCCTCGAGCAGTAGCACATCCATCACCTATGGTCGTACAAGGCTTCCTGTTGATTAAGACATTGATACTTTTTGGGGCAATAGCAAACATTGTTTACCCCCACTTTATTAGCTCATTTGCTGATAAAACATCCAAAAAGACAACTAAACTGTCAAATATTCTTATTTGGAAGGATTTTCTACTTGTAAACTTGGGTTTACAACTTCCACATATTATTGACCCACAACAAAAACTGGAGATTTTGAGCATGTTGGTTGGTGGATCAACATTTTCATATCCAAAGTTATTTAACAACTACATTCTTCTCTCGTCTGCTGAATTGACATTTGAGAACTGTCTTCTTAACTTGGTTGTTGGTAAACTTTTAATTACTAAATTCCCATTATTAAAGACCATGTTTAACTATAATTTGAGTATGAAAGCTTCCCTTATTTCTAATTTAGAACAAAAGGGAGGTGATGAATTCTTGGTTCGTTTGAATAAAATGATTCACAACATTGATGGAGTTTCTATTTTCGGATCTGATTTGATTTTCAACAAGTTGATTAATGTGGTTGAAGGTAAGCCAATTAATTATAACTGTCGTGACGGATCAAACCGTTTGAAATATGTTGAATTATATCAGAGACAATCTAGTAACATTTATGGTATTCTTTTCTCCTGGAGAGTATTGGAATTAACACACCAATTGAATGTGAAATATTTAGATAATGTTGCATCAACTGAAGATGAAGATACCAAAAAAGAAGTGTTTGAGAATATCTACAATGATACTGAATCAATTAACGTTCTCATGGATGGGTGTACTTTTGGTAAATTAAACAAGTACTTTAAACTTTTCAAAGCTGTTATAATTCCAGATGAATATGCAATCGAATTGAAAGAATCTATTCAAAAAGATATTGAAACTTGTTTGGGTAATTTCAAGGGATTGGCAGGAGAACTGGAATTGACTGATTCTGATACCCTTGGTTCCTATGACGATTCTTCAAGGGAAGATTCCTTTGACGAAGAATTTGGTGAAGATGTTGCAAAGTCATTTGCTGTTAATGAAAAGACTGGTTCTGGCATTGCTTCTCAAAAGTCATTGATCAGTTCTTTGAGCCTCATTACAGAAGAAGAATTTTTTGTTCTTACCTCATCTTTGGTTTTGTATTATCATAACAGAAATGTCGACCAAGCTAAGAAATTATTAGGACATCTTTGTTTCCGTAGTGAAAACACTGAATTATCCTTCTTATCATTTACTGCCATTTTAAGAGTTATCATGGCACTCTCCTCTGATGATTGTCAGCATGATGAAATCTTGGACAAACTTGTTAGAATAGTAAGAGTTTGGCTCAATGATAAGTCGAAGAACAATGTTTTAGATTTAAACACCAGAGGTTCCCTTTCTGATCTAGTTGTTGAAAAGGGAATGGTGATAAATGGGATTAGCGAAAGCGAGGATGAAGACAATTAATTAGTTTATTTTTTTTATTTATTGGGTTTGTTTATTTATACTATTGAATTATTTTATTTGTAGGTAATTTAACAAGTTACAGTGGAAAACATAAAGATTTTAAGGACGGCTTCAAACCAATTTTGAAGAGTGTCTTGAACAATGAGTTGATTTGAGGAATGTACTTGGCTCAAATTGTGGTGGTGCGAATTAGAAACTGGACTATGTAAAAAAAAAATTGTGCACTGTACAGAGTGATTTCTTAGAATTATCTCCACAAGTTAGCTATATTTTTTCTTTAGATAATATCCAACATGAGACCATCTTTAGTAAGATTAGTTAAACCCCGTAGACCAGAGCGTAAGACTGCTGCATTGTATCCTCCTTTGGAACTTTACAAGCGTATTCTTAGGGCCCATGCTATCAAGTTACCTGTTGAGTTAAGAAGTTTAGGAGATCAATACGTCAAGGCCGAGTTTAAAGCCCATCAAAAAATTGATAATCCACTTCATATCGTTGGATTCTTGACCCAATGGCAAGATTACTTGAGAAGTATCGATGGTGGAGATTGGGTAGATGGAAAGTTATCTAAGCAAGAATTAGACAAGATGTCTCCAGAACAAGTTGGACAACTTTATGAGTTGATGAAGGAAGCCAAGAGAATTGAAGAAGAATAGTTTGAGAGAAGTGAAGTAGAATAGTTTCGATATAAATGAGGGTGGTATTCGAATTGTATATAATAATGAAAGTTAAAACGTATTGAAAATTATAATGTAAGAAATGAATGTATGGAAATACATTTTTTGGTCTGGGTTTCTGGACTTAAATTGAATTCTTCTATCTATATCTCCTACAATATAAGCTCTAATATCTCATTTATATTTGTTCATGTTCTATATTATCATCTACAAACCCTTTCCGTAATCCCCGGAAGCAAAGAATTCAACAATATTCTTGACAATGGCTTCTAAGGCAGACAACCAGGCTTCCAATTGCTTAGCAACCTTGTCTTGATCAGCACCCAACTTTTCGAAAAAGTCCTTTCTGTAAGGACAAGCCTTCATGGCCAACTTGAAAATTGGCTTAACTAACATACCATGGTATTTGGACAAGGTCTTGGAGTATGCATCAGTGAAGGTCTTGGTCAATTCGGAGCTTGGGTTGTTGACGGTTTCTCTCATGGCTTGACTGGTGAATTGTAAACCACGGGACAACCAAAGTAACCCTTGGGTGGCATTCTTAGACTTGGTACCAGCCTCGCTAAGAACCAAGTCTTGCAAAGTGCCAGAAGTGACAGGGTCGGCCAATAACTTGGCACGGATCTTGGAAATGTTCCCGGTCATATCCTTTTGCACAACGGCAAAGGCAGAAGATCCCAAAAGGTCAAACAACTTGACCAAGGACTCAGCCGCTTCTAAAAATTCAGCAGTGTTGACCTTTCCATCAGTAACTGCAACGTCAGCGAATGACTTCTTTTGTTCATCAAAGAATGTAGACATGGTTTATATGTATATGTGTAAAGTTTATAATAATTTTATGGGAAAAAAAAATCAGCTAAAGCAATTGAAATTTAAACCTTTTCGAAATTCTTTAATCCTCGTTTAGATATTAGAAAAAATACGTCTAATCGCTCACTATAATTCGATTCGTGTTATTATTTATTTTTATTTACATAAAAATAGTCAGATCACGTGGCATAAATCACAGCCACTATCATATATAATAGGTTGTTTTTAACTCAAGATACAGTAAAGGTTGAGCGTCTTATTATACTTTAATTTTTATTATTATTATTATTATTATTATTAAATTCCTCTATCATATTATTCCCTATGTATATATATTTATTCACCATTCTAATTGATCTGCCCATCTAACCTTGAGTCGTTGACGTTGTTCCTGAGACCCTTCAATGGTTGAATTACTGGTAGAATTAATTGTAGATTCCTCTGGTGATTGTATTTGACTTTGTACAACTTCAACTCCATTAGAAGTTTGAATTGTCTTTGAGGAATTATTTATGAATTTTTCAAATTCTTCCTTTGTATAAAACCCAGCTTTGGTAAATGGTTGAGTTGTTGGGATTTTATTTTTTGAACTGTATTTATTATGGAATGCCTTAATGATTGCCATTTTCTGTTTACTCTTAATTGTATCATCATTTGTAGGAATTTGAACTATTTCATTTGTATCTTCTGGAAGTAGGAATCCTTCACAGTTTGATGCATTAAGTTCGGTACCAAATTGTGTGGCATCATTGATTAATCCTGTCAGAGAATCAACAAAATAAATATGTGATTGAGTATCCTTATATTTAATGCTTGGTTTCAAGTTATTCCCTGAATTCCATTTCTTACTTGGTATGCATATTCTCTTTGGAGATCTTTGAGGGTTTAATGTTGGAAAGCCCTTGGTAAATTTATTATTATTATTATTATTATTGTCATTAATTCGAAGATCAACATTTGTAACATTATTCAATGGTTTTAATACTGGGATAAATGATTTTATATCTTTCTTCCGTCTTGGGGTTTTGAAAAACACTTTCCCTGATTTCTTTATTGAATTATTTTCAAGATTTCGTACACTTTTCAATGGATCTGGTTGTGGCATATTTTCCTTATTTTCATCCAAATATACTCCGATTTTAGAATCCATATCATCTTCAAGTGGTCTAAATCTACCCTTGTATATTCTTGTTCTTACTTGATCATCCATTTCGTAATCGTCATCTCCGTCTATCTTTTGTTCTAATTCTTGTACTAATTTATCAATTTTAGAATTATTTAATCTCTTACCAGAAAATATATCTTCAAACATATCTTCATCATTACCAAAGAGATCATATTGTTTAACCTTTTTTCTTGGTGGAGATGAACTACTTCCTCTTAAATTATGAGTAACTTGGAAAAGTTCATTAGTGACTGAATGATCTCCCATTACTTGAAGATTGGGTGTATTCAAACTGAATAAGTTATTTGAAATTGGTATCGAGGTGGGTATTCTTCTTTTCTGTGGACTTTCTGGTCGACTTGAGGTTGTAGATGAAAGTTGTGATTGTTGTTCTATTGGTTCTACTTCTATGTCATCTTCAATCAATGAATGTAAATCTAATTTGAACTCTTCACAATCTATTTCAGGATGGGAATAATTATCTAACGAAGTGTCTTCATTAGGGTAGCTCATGATGTTCAATACAATTTTGTAAAGTAAAGACAGTCTTTTGTTTAGATAGTTAAGATGATTCCTTTGATGAATGTTTATATTAAATTATTATTATAATTATTTTTTTTTTCCGATTCTTGACCTTTTCTATATAGCGGTTGCCCCTCCCTCCTGACTAATGTGGGACTTAATAAAGATAGATTACCTCTCACCTTAACGAGTGTTTTGAAATTTCGATAAAAGAGTCTGTCAATGATGTTTACAAAATCGCTCATTTAGTCAAATTCATACATAAACACAAATCTGTGGCCTGCATGTTGACTCAATTATGGAATCATTTTACGCAAGAATTTACGGCTGCCCCTATTAAGAAAATCTTTAGGAATGTAGATTTACTAAGGGGAATAGAAGTGTTGATTGATTAAGGTTTGAATGGTATAAACAAATCATATTTCCGAAAGAAGCAAGGTTTTATAATAATAAAAAAAGAAATTTAATGATTTTATAAAAAAATCAATAGGTGTCCATTAGATGAATGTGAGAATGTACAATACAGATAATAAATCAACTTATCTGCTGTTTTTAGAAGTATAGGCTGTATTAATATTTTATTTAGAAGCACATTATTTCTAGAGATTGTGTATCTGTTATAATTAAATATAATTGTACCTTTAAAAATAAAGAAAAGCAAAATTTAAAATAGAACCAATTTTAAAATCTACAAAGCTATTCATGTATGTATTTAACGCTCATAGTTTTGAATTATTTAATTACTTCTCTGATTGAAGTTTACAATATCATCTTTTCTATCGAGCTATCTCCCTTCTCATACTTGTATTTTCTGGAATATTCCGTATTCCTTTGTGTTCAACTTCTTTCTTTTGTGAATTTGAGTTTGTGAATTTGCAGCCACTATAAATCTAATCCAATCTACCACTGTCCAATTAATTATTTCTACTTCTTCTCTCTACCCTTTTTTCTCTTCAAACATTATCAAAAAGATATGACCTTATCTATCATCCAACCAGCACCTGTTGCTCCAGTTACTAATGCTGCCGTAAACCCTGTCCTCACCCCTAGAGAGATTTTCTTGGCTCACTTTAGACTGTATCCCATTATCAGTTCTACAAGAGAAGCCATCTATGCGGTTCCAATTACCAATAGACTTGCAGGCATTGCTACTCCTGTACTTCTCGCCGTAAGAGAAACTCAACCTATTAAGGCTGTGATGGACAGAGGTGATTTGATTGGTGATTACACTCTTTCTCAAATTGATATTATTTTCCCAACCTTGACAACCTTAGAAGTCCATGATTTGACGGATCCTGTCACCGTTCCTATCAATGGTGCATTCAAGGCTCTCTTTGATTCGGTTAATACTCTTAACACAAGTTTAGGTAAGTTATGTGTTGAACCATTTGCATCAGTGATTCATGGATTAAGTGCTCAATTCAATGCACTTGTTCATGATGCTAATGGTAAAGGTATTGTTTCATCTCAATTTGATCCAATTTTCTTGTTGATTAACAACAATTTGGAAGCTCTTACTGATCGTTGTGATATTAAAACTGTTCCAGAAGAAGGTCTGACTAGTGAGATGTCTCGTACAAGACAAATCATTTGTAACACCTTGGCGGGAATTAAGAATGATCCAATTGTTGTTGCAGAAGCTGGTGTTGAAACTGAAATTCCAGCTTCTGTTCCTGAACCAGTTCCTGAATCAAGTGTCTAATCCTAATTCATGATTTATATCTTCCCCACCCCGCGATTGGTTTATTAAAGTGAAGTTAATGTTTGTTGCCTCATAGATTTGTTTGGTTTTGAATTAAATTTATACTTCGGTCTGAATTTTTAGATTTATGTGGTTGCAGATTGGGCTTTTTTTTGCATGTACGGTCTTGATTATTATCAATGTGGACGTATTCGTCACTATATATTTTTCTATGGTAGGTTATTTACGAAATATATTTATTAACATGCAATACAAATAAAATAAACTTAGTTTACAACAGAATTTATCAGATTAAACATCACGATCTTGTTTAATCCTTAGACTTCTTAGACTTCTTCTTCTTTGGAGCTTCTTCGTCTTCAGCCTTTCTCTTCTTTTCCTTCTTTTCCTTCTTTTCCTTCTTTTCCTTCTTTTCCTTCTTGTCCTTCTTTTCCTTCTTATCCTTCTTGGAAGACTTCTTTTCTTCTTCTTCATCATCGTTGTCTTCAGCAGCTTCGTCAACAACGATTTCATCGGCAAGATCACCAGACAAAGCCAAAGCTTCCTTGATGGCGTCAGAGTTCTTCATTGGGGCGGAACCAGTGTCGTAGAAGTTCAATCTTTCTTCAACTTGCTTCTTCAAGATTTGACCGAAGGCAGTGGATGGTTCATCACTGTAGTTATCGATTCTGGAAGCAATAGAACACTTGTTAGCCAAGTATCTGGAGATTCTACCCTTGTTCTTTGGAGCAGCTCTACCAATGAAAGAAGAGTGGTAGATAAGACCATACTTTGGAGTGTTACCCTTGGTCTTCAAAGCTCTGAACAAAGCCTTTTCAGCACCCAAAATTTGGACGGTGGAAGCAGCTTGCTTAGACAAGTTAGTAAGAGAACCAGCATGGGAAATCAAACGAGCACCGACAACTTCACCAATCAAAGTGGACAAGTTTGGAGCAACAGTGTTCATCTTTTCAGTCAAGTATTGGTACAACTTGGTACGGTATTCAGAAATAGAAACAACTCTAGCGGCAAAGGTAGAGACGTTTTCCATGTCTTGTTCGGAAATGTCTTGACCCATAGAGATCTTGGCATTGTCGATAACTCTTTGAGCAACGGCGGAGTCGTCGTTAAGCAAAGCAGCAACGTCATGCAAGGATTCGTCGGTCAAAGAAGCCTTATCCTTAATGAACAAAGCTAATCTAGCAAAGTTGTAGTTGTCTGGAACAATCTTTGCCAATTCTGGGAAGTGCCATCCGTACCATTCCTTTACTCTCATGGCAAAGGTGTTGATGTCCTTGTCCAATTGATCCAACAAGGCGATGGCTTGAATGATATGGTTATCGTTCTTTTGAACGGAAAACTTCACCTTAGCACGAGAGAAAGCATGACCAAGACCAAGTTGAGCTCTTTCGATGTCACCATCTTGCAATTCCTTCAACAACTTGTCACCGTGAACTCTGATACCTCTCAAGAAGTCTTGAACGATTTCGTTGGACAAACAGTCAACGTATGGGAAAGATTCCTTAATGGATGGACCCAAGTTCTTGTCAGAAACACCCAAGGAGATCTTCTTCTTGGAAGAAGCCTTTGGCAAGTTCAATTCTAAAACAGACTTCAAGTAGTCGGAGACCAAACCTTCAGAAATGTCGTTGGCATTTTCCAAAGCTTGAGCGGCACCCTTGAATGGAGCAAAGGAAACCAATTCAATCATCTTGGAAAACTTGGCCAAGTCATTGGAAGCTTCTTGGACTTCCTTCAGTCTGGAAGCGATGTCATCTTGTTGAATCAAGACCTTAAAGATAGCGTAGCCGGTAGCCTCTTCAAAAAGAAGGTAATCTAATCCTGCCATCTTGTTAAGTTGTATGTAGAAGTATCACCTGTATCTCTAGCTTTCCTCAATCTCTCAAAAATTTCTTCTAGTGAGTGAGATGAGCCTGAAAATTTGATTTTCCTGCAGGTATGTTGGTTGAGGCACGAACTGCTTATTTTTTCCTTCGTAGTCACGTGGGAAGAGAGAAATAAAAGAAAAGTAAAAAATGAGAATTTGGCTGGAGAATTTCAGTACTATCTATATGCAGACAATGATAACGGTTATATGGCATCATCAATCTCCTCCTACATAATCTTGATTTAAGACATATTAACTATATTAAATAAACTAGTAATATTATTCTTATTCTATGCAAAATTAAGATCCCAATCAAATTCTTTCAATATGGCGTACCAATCAACAACCTTATCACCAACAGGGTTGATTTTCCATACTTCTTCCATTATGCATTGAACTCTTTCAACGTTGGATGCACGATAACTACTTCTATATAATTCAATTCGATCTCTCATTGCATTCCTAGACCGTGGAGTCACACAATGGATACCTGCCATGAACACTGGAAGCACAAGTGATGCCTGTACCGACGTACTAATAGTGATGTCCAAACATTTGATTAAATCATTCACCAACATTTGTGATTCAAGTGCTGATGGATTAATTTTTCGAATTGCTTGACGTATAAATAATTTGGCAGTGATTTGAAATGCTTCAAACATTGTGAGTTGTAATTCTAATTCTTCATCTGTTAAATCAACTAAATCTTCGGTATTTGGTTTGGCACAATCTATTTCATCTTCTAGTTTATTGGAACTTTCAATCACTGATAATAGTAATCTCCCATTCCTTGTGTGAGCACTTGATTGTGAGGCATTGTCTTCATCAAGTTCGTCGTCTCTACTTACAAGTTCATCTTCAGGTGAAACTGCAAGCCTTGTATCATCTTGATAATAATCTCTCAAGATTTTTTTACTTTCAAATACTAAAGTTCCAATATCTCCCAATATTTTATACAAAGACTTTGAAATTCCAAGTAAAGGATTAAGTCTACCTCGAGATATTCCTTCCTTGTCTTGAAAAACCAAGTCATATTGTTCTGAGGGGAAATATGTTCCTCTATTTGAATTAGATGCTGCAAGTAGATCATGATATGCAAAGTTTGAAATAAGCCAATGTTCTTCTTGACTTTGATTAAATTTTAAAATTCCTCCATGAGATGATAAAATTTTCCACCCCCAAGAAAGATATACAGACCAATTCTTCACATCACCACGGCAAATCTCTGCACCACATAAAATAAGTAACGTTGCTAATTTACACACTGTAAGGTTTCGATCAGAATTTAACACTTCTTCTCCTTCATCTTGTCTTCTTTTAGAATTAGTAAGCATCTTACTAATATGATCAATGGCTAAATCCACATATTTTGCACCCTCTTCTGCCCATTCACCTCCTAAATGGAAACTGGCCCAGGCTAAAATTCCATAAAGGACCCCCTTGTCTTGATGTGCTAGTGGTAAGAATACTTTCTGATATGAATTGGAACCTTGTGATGATGGTGCAATAGAAACCAGCTTTGATACAGTGTCAGCATAATAATTGTACAAATGATATCCAGCACCTGATAGTTCCGGAATGGTACTTGGGGTATTCATTGGGTCTGGTAAAAGCATATTACTCATGGTGGCAAAGATTTGATTGAAACTTGGAGATAAACTTTCTTCTAAGGAAGAATTGTCAAAATTGGCTATTCTATTCTCATATTGGCGTACTTTACCAAGTATATCATCATCTGATTTGATTGAATCTATATCGTCTACGTCATTCATATCGTCATTTAATAAAGTTATCTTGTGTTCATGATCTGTTTGTTGATAATGGCTCAAATCCTTTAGGAAATTAAGAAATGAGTTCGGTGAACTTGGTTGACTTGGGTGTTGTTTGGAGAGAAAATGGTTCAGATTTTTCTCGTTTTGATCAAGAATTGAATCAGGGTTTAATAGAGAAGTGAATGAATGTATGCGTGAAATTGCTCGAGGTGGTGACAATTTATTGTCCACGGCCAGTGGTGAGTTCATAGGAGATGTAGAATGATTAGTTGAGGTATGTAACGCTGTTGTCGCCGCTGCTGCTGCTGATATTGGTGACATTGGTGGTAAATTCATTCTTGGTGAAAGGGGAGAAGGTGGAGTTGTTGGATGATATGAAAATGGTGAAAGTCCAAGATTGTCAAGTTTCACATCCTGTTCTTTCGTAATCTCTGGCTCTCCGGGTTGAATTCCATTCGTGTCATTCAGCTTCCCCTTCATCATATTATTATTAGTATGTGCTTCATTATCGTTATTTGTAGGATTCGTTGTATCGTTATTTTCTGTCTTTACTTTCTTTAAACCTCTAATTCGTAGCTTTCTAGATTTTTCGTCCTCTTCAACCTTTTCAGTCCAATATTTCACTTCAGCCTTGGTCATTGAATTTTCAATCCAAACACATCTTTTTTGTAATCTCGAACAATCTTTACAAATTGGTCTCTCTTCATTACATTTCTTCTTCCGGACTTTACATGTTATACATCCTTTCCTCGACCTAGGTGCCTTTTGATTTGTACAATCCACATTTTTAATCTGGAAGGTTAACATTCCCTTGGATGTGGACGACTTATTGGGTTCAGGGGAACTCTCCTGTTCATTAGACTCCATCATGTTAAGCATCGTCCTTTCTCTTCTCTCTCTATATTGTTTATACCTAGGTTGGTACCAATTGATTTAACGGTACTATATCATTTATTAGTATACTAGGAGCACCAGTATTCCCGTATTTAAAATAATTATTCAATTCAAAGATGAAAATATGTATGTATCCTCTTGCAAAAGTATATGTTTAGCTTTAAAATAAAAAATATTTACGTTTAAATTTTTTTAGATAAGCCATACACAACTTACTGCGAGTTACATGATTTTCATTACTTTAAAAGAAGAGTTAATACCTAAATATATCGTAAAACTACGCGAACCAGATCGTTTATCTGGCTTGTAAATGATTTTACTCTTGGAAATTAACTTCACTCTACTGTTTCTTTTTACGTAATTCACACAGATCAGTTATATACTGTTTTTTTTTTTTTAATGTATATGAAACTTAACTACACAATGCATGTATATGATCATTGTAATAATATTGTTTTTCCCAACCATTTGATTTTATTTTTTTGCCTCCTTATCCGCTGAAGTGTGTGAGGTCGTGTCTTATCTGATTTCAGTGTATTGTCCGATTTATCCCGCTTATATACACGATTTCGTGTATTTCTTCTACAACATTCTACTCCCTTCCGGGACTGCATGCAGTCCGGTTCCATTTTAGTGGTCACTGGATCCCACCACGTCGACGAACTTTGCGGAATCTGATTTTATCAGCGGCGATAAATCTACGTATCACTAAAGGTTTTTTTTTCGAAGAACAACTTTATATACATATTCTCAGAGTTTCTAGCTTTTGATTTTGTGAATCTTGTAACTATATCATGTCTTTAAAACGTATTAACAAGGAATTAGCAGACTTAGGAAGGTATGTGTGATACTATAGCGGGTTACCCCCCCTTACTTTTGTTCTTCCCCCCCCTGGGGAGTGCAATCTGAACTTAGCAACGGATTACAAATGAGAACATATATTTAATATCAAGTGATGCACTTTTTCATTTGATTTGATTTAATGTGATCTGACTCTAGTACATGGATGTGTATTCGTTAAGGATTTAGACGATGGCAATATATTTTCTGTGTACCTATGTCTGTTCAAAAAAAATCTATCTCGTCAATATAAGTACTAACAAGTTTTTTAGAGACCCCCCATCTTCCTGTTCCGCAGGCCCAGTTGGTGACGACTTGTACCACTGGCAAGCATCTATCATGGGACCACCAGACTCTCCATATGCCGGCGGTGTCTTTTTCCTCTCTATCCACTTCCCCACAGACTACCCATTCAAGCCACCTAAGGTTGCCTTCACCACCAAGATCTACCACCCTAACATCAATGGAAACGGTAACATCTGTTTGGATATCCTTAAGGACCAATGGTCTCCAGCTTTAACCATCTCCAAGGTTTTGTTGTCCATCTGTTCCTTGTTGACTGATGCTAACCCAGATGATCCTTTGGTACCAGAAATCGCTCATATTTATAAACAAGATAGAGCCAAATATGAAGCCACTGCTAAGGAATGGACCAAGAAATACGCTGTATAAGGGTCTGTCTTCTATGATAGTCTCTGCCTGCATCTAGTTTCTTAGTACAACTATGACCTAACCCCCCTTAAACCTTACTTCAACCCCATCAGTATGAACATAACACGATTAACGCAGTTGAATTTCAAATCTGGCAGTTGAGAACGTTATGGTTATCTCTTTTCTCTTATAATTATTTTAAATAGATAATTTAACGATCGCATAATAATTTGATCTGTAGAAGCAAAACACTAATGAACCTAAAACAAAACAGTATGTATAATTCTGAATGGAATGGAAGAAGGGATATTGAAGTAGTTTAAAACGGTATATTCATGTACAATTTGCAGAGGTTGATTACTCTAACCATGTATGTGAAAACCCGCATAAACTAGTTTTTGTGATATTTTATTGAATTCATCGAAAACTCAAACCAAAAGATATCTACGAGAGTACACACAACAATCACATTTATTCAAACAGGAAACCAATAGGAGTGTTAATCCATAATGGAAAAATTATCTTCTTTCCAAGGGAATAATTCTTGGAAACTCTTTCAATTGGCAAAAGAATTGGATAAATCCAAATTTTTCCTGACCTTATTGACAGAATTTCAATATAAAGTACTTTCATACTTACTTTCTAAAGATGATTATAAGTTATGGACATACTTTATTGAGGGGAACTGTACGTTGAGGATAGACAAGAAGGAAGTAGAAGGGGCCGTGGATAAGCCCCAGGGATCCCAGAAGAAGGATAAAGACGATGAAGAAGAAGAAGAAGATCATTATGAGGAAGGCTATGAACCCTTAAAGTCCCTAGCATTACACGTACGTTATCTTCTTTGGGAAAAGGCTATCGATTTCTATTACTCTTGTAAGGATCTTGATAGGTCAATGAACACCATTGAAGAAGTTTCTGACGATTATGAATTGATAGATAGGATTGATAATGCCGAAATGGAATCTTCAAAGGCTGATAACGTACCAGAACTGAATATTGAAAAAGAGGTACGAGATGTAGATGATGATTATGATGATGATGATGAAGAAGAAGAGGATGAAGGAGAAAAGGGCAAAAATGACAAATCGCCAGGGACAAAAAAAGATGAAGATGAATCTTCACAATCAGAAATTAATGATCAAAATCAACTTGTATTTGAAATCCCAATATCTGTATTCCGTGATAAGGAAACAAGTTCGAATAATAATAAAGAGAATCCTGAGGAAAAGCCTACATCCAATAACTCCATTTCTGGTACCAATGTGGCTGCAGCAAGCTCCATGGCAGCTGAGGACTTGGGAGCTTCCGTAGAAGATCAAGAACGTTTAATTAAAGAATTCAATAAAGTATATCATAACTTTGAGTATGATAGAGAAACTTTAAGTAAAAGAAGAAAGTTGGAGAAGTCAGATAAACAATTGGAAGAATTATCAACATCAGGAATCGAGAATAACATTAATGGGGGGAGTCAACAAAATACGTCAGATAATCAAAAATTGGGGATTAATTTAGGTTCAGCATCACTTTCATTAAAGCATTTATTGAAAACAATTCAACAACAAAGAGATGAAATTGATCTTAATGATTTTGAACTTCGGACTTTATTTATGGATGTACGAAAAAATCGAGGTAAATGGGCCAGTGATGAAAGAGTAGGACAAGAGGAACTCTATGAAGCTTGTGAAAAGGTTGTTATGGACTTAAGAGGTTATACTGAACATTCAACCCCATTTTTAAATAAAGTGTCTAAACGTGAAGCTCCAAATTATGGACTTATCATCAAAAAACCAATGGATTTGAATACTGTGATGAAGAAATTGAAAGGTTTACAGTATAATTCAAAGCAACAATTTGTGGATGACTTAATGTTAATATGGTCCAATTGTTTAGCATATAATGCTGATCCAAAACATTTTTTGAGAGCCCATGCTATTGCTATGCAAAAAAGAACTTTGAAATTAACTCCTTCTATTCCTGATATAACCATACGAAGCAGAACCGATGTTGAAAAAGAGGAAGAGATGGAGAATGAAGTTAAAGGTACACCAGTTGCACTGGGAAAAACACATTCTAAAAAGGGTAGAAAACGTACTCGAGAGGGTGGAACAGGTGAAGATGATGAAGTTGACGATAAACAAGGAAATGGTGATTCTGCAGATGGTACTGTTAATGAGAATCAGGTTGAAGTGAAATCTGAACAAACCAATACAGGTATCAATAAACAAGATCAAGAATCACAGAATGGGGATACTACACATGAAAGAGGAGATTCAGAAATGGTTGACACAAATGTTGAACAAATAGAAGAAGATGATGATGATGATGAAGATGTAGAACATCGTGGTGATGATAATGAAGAAAATGGTGATGAAATTGATTTTGAATTGCAGGCATGGAGATCTATGACTGCCAAGTCGAGGGCAAATTATTGTGCTAAAAGATCTGATCTTTTTGATGAAAATATGAAATTAAGACCAGATGCAGAAGCAATATTAAGAGAGTCTGGAGAAATGACTAATTTCAAGTATTATTTGACCAATGAACATGTAATTTCTAAAAATAATAATCTTCTTGAAAATGATGAACCATATTTATTAGAATATGATATTATGGGAGGATTACCTGGTTATAAATATTCCGGATTCAATGAAGAAAGTGAAGAAAAGAAAGAACAAAAATTAGTGGACATCTACTTGCAGCAGGCTGGCGGGGATGCAAACAAGATAAAATCAAAATTTGTTCTACCAATAAATAAAGGGTTAAACAAAGTATATTATGAAATCATTGGTAAAATTCAAGAAATTAGAAAGATTTGTTTCAAAATTTCACTTATTAGACAAATGCAAACCCAACAATTTGTACATCATACACAAATGAAACAACCAGAAGTTGAATCAATAAAGGAAGTTGACATCGATCCAGTTTCAAAGCTTTCAAATCATGAACCATTTACTCAAGAAATTCAGTATGCCGTATTAAGAAGAGCAGTTGGTAAAATAGCTATGCAAACAGGTTTTGAAAGTACTGAGCCATTTGCTATCAATGCATTAACTCAAGTTGCAGAAAAATATTTTGCAAATTTAGTTAAAACTCTTAAATTACATACTGAGACAACTTCATCCAACAAATTAACCAAAAAGGAAGCCTTATTGGCAACCTTGCTTGAAAATGGGGTGAATAAACCAGATGATCTTTATACATTTGTATCGGAAAGAATCATAAAACAAGAAGAAAAATTAAAAGATTTAAAGGTTAAATTATCAAATTTTTTAAAAGAATTACTCAGACCAGGATTGGAGAATTTTAATGAGAAAAGTTTTGATGATAACAGTGAACAATTCATGACTGGTGATTTTTCAAGTGATTTAGGAGATGATTTCTTTGGATTTAAGGAATTAGGGTTGGATAAAGAGTTTAGAATGTTGAGTTCATCTATCCCGATTTATTTACTTCATTCAAGGTTGCATAACAATTATTCTTCATCTGGAAGTGTTAGTAAAAAGAACAAATATGAAGATTTAATTGAATTAAAGGATCCTAAGTTATTTGCATCAGATATATCAAAGCAAATTTCAGTCTTACTGCAATTTTATAACAATTTACTTGAAAAAACTAAGGTTCATTATGTTAAACAACAAAAGAAGAAGGGTGAAAGTACAGAATTACCTGAAGATGATAAATTCCCATTAATTGAAGATGATGAATTACCTCAAAAGCAAAGAAATATTCGTCCAAGATTGCCACCTACAGGGAAAATTGTCTCGATCAAGAAAAGATTATTATCAAATGCCTTCTTTTTACCGGATGAAGCAGAGGAAGAAGAAGAAGAAGAAGAAGTTAAACTCGAATTAAATGAAAACAAAGAAGATATGATCTAGTTGAATATTTATAATTTAATTACAAAGTTTTTGTGTTGCAATTTTACACATTGTAGATGTTCGATATTGAATAAATTTGCAGCATCCTGTATGTAGGTCGCCACGTGAAAGTGATATGGTAGATAAAAAAATTGGATACACTTGATTTGAAGTGAATGATAAAGAATTTATAGTGATTCCCAGGCTACAGTGTACATGGAAGGATAAGGATGTTGAGTTCAATGAGACTTGAACGCGATACTGACGGAAGAAGGGAAAATTCATGTTCTTCTTCTCCTTCATCATCTCCCCCACCAGTCGAACTTCAAACTTCAATAAATCGTAAATCTCAACTGACAGCTGCAACACTTTCGGCCCTTTCCAAGCAAGAGTTGTTGAAACGAGATGTATTTGGTAGAACTATACTACACTTACTTATCTTGTCAAATAGATACGATTTGATGAAAAGATTGTTCAAGAACCCAGAGATACGAACAATTCTTACCCTTGTAGATTATGAAAATGGCTGGAATTGTATGCATTATGTGATCTTCCATAAGAGGTTGATGTGTTTTAAATCCATAATGGAACATCTCAAGAGTTATCTGACATCTTCCACGTTGACAGTTGCCAATAACTCGACTCTTTTCGATTTGCTCCGTACAAAGGACCGTAATAGACTTACTCCACTTCAACTTTTGGATAACGATTTCAAAGATTTGATGTGGGTTCCAACTTATATAAATGAAAAGAACGAGTTTCATTTGAATTATAGATTTGAAGCTTTTCACAATGACGAGAGTGAAGTACTGGGTGACCAGCAGCAGGGGCAACAACCACAACCAGCTGGTGGAGCTGAAGTACAACCAAATGTTACTGCACCTTTACCTGCCCCCATTCAAACACAGAATCCTCCAGCCCAGGTCCCTGCAACACATAATACAACACAAGATCCACCACAGAGTCAACCTTCATTGAAACAGATACAAAAAAGTCAAGCGTCTATACGTGATAATGAAGATTGGTGGCAAGTAACTAGAGGAGGGTCGGATTTAGTAGTGTTTGGGTCTAATAAGAATAATAATTTGGGACTTGGAGACTCCAGTGATAGACCAGTGCCGTCTAGAGTTCCACTTGAGTACTTTCAAGATACCACATCGTGTTCTAGGATTCAAGAAATTCTTTGTAAAGCACGATTCCTTGAATTGGACATTTGTAAATACCATTCAATTGCGCTAACTAATGAGGGTGAATTGTATACCTGTGGGATTGGCTCTAGAGGGAAGCTTGGACATGGTGTTGATGACACAAGTAATTGTTATCGATTCAAAAAAATCGAATTTTTCAGTGAAACTGAAGAAGAACCAGCTAAATCTATATCTAAATTCGCTACTGCCAACTCCCATACAATTGCTTTGACAAAAGATAATGTATTATACGCATGGGGTATCAATACACAAGGTCAACTTGGGGTGTCAACTATATCTTCTTCGTCAACCAACTCAAATTCCAACGCAAACTCTTCGGAACAAGTTGAAATATTCGAAGCACTGCCCAAAAGAATCATATCAAGGGAGTTGAAAAAGAATCTGACCCCATTTAAGGGTGTAGCAGTGTCTACCATACATTCCCTTGCCTACACCAAGAACGAAATATACTTCTGGGGGTTATCTGTTGGTCAGATGGGGGCAATTACTGACCATGGAGCCATACCTGGGGAAAGAAGACGCCAAAGTATAGTTCATAAAGGATTCTTACAGACAATTCCTAAAAAGATAACTTTGAGAGATAACATAAAGTTTGTCAGTACATGTGAAACATGCACCTGTATCGTTACCTCCAAGGATGATATCCAAGTTTATTATCAAAACCAACATATCAAACTTCCAAAAATTCTCCCAAAGAGTAATACCAATGATAATTTTGATCTTTTCAAGCCAAGAGCATTAACAAAGGCTATTGAAATTAAGAAAGTTTGTATGAGAAGTCACGGATTCATAGTTTTCCTACTTGATACTGGAGATGTTGTGAGTGTGAACTTGGCACTGAGTGAGTTTGAAGACTACGCTAGTTCTAAAGGATCTAAAAACTTGAGATACATTACACTTTGGAAAGCTCACAGTTATGATCTAGCTGCCATTGATATAGATGTTTCCAATGAGGGTTCACTATTATTGTGCACTAGAAATGGTTCTGTCTTTCTTAAGCAACTGAACAATGGATCATCTACTCTGAGAAAGAATTCCATGTCTGATGCAACTTTAAACATTCCTTTAAGAAGTAAATTTAAGAAAATTGATAATATTAATAAAGTTGTCAGGGTTTCTTGTGATGATAATTTTGTATCGTTTGGTTTCATTAGAGATGAAATTGATCCTCTTCCGGTCAAATTACATAAGAATTCATTTGTCAATGACATGAAATATCTTCAAAGTTTCCAAGAATCAGATTTATACAGAAAGCAAAATGAATTATTTAGTTCAGATGGACCTGGAAATTCGTATGTTTCTGATTTCATATACCCAAAAAAGGAGCATAAACGAAAAAATGATATGTTTGACTTTAGCAAGAGATTCCATGATTTACATGTTGATGATGATGAAGATATTGAAGAGGAACATACTCTGGAAGATAAGCAGGAGAAAAATCTCAAAGATACTTTACATACCACACATCAAAATCGATTTGATTCGAAGAAATACAAAGAAACTGCGCCAAAACACACATATCAACTAGTGCCAAACTCTGATAGAATGGTAGTATTAGAAGAGGTCAAATCTGATATGTCATACCTTTTACACAAATATAGTAATATTGATGAAGCAAAGCATTATGATTGTTTTATCAAACTTGAAGAATATCCTGATATTTCTATTGGAGTTCATAAATATATCCTTGAAGTAAGATCACCTTCATTTTGTGGTAAAATTTTCAATCCTAAAAATCCTGGAGAGTTTTTTAAACATGAAGGGTTACAAGGTAGATTTGACCCTGATACTAACTATCTTCACTTCACTACCCATTTGGATCTCAAAGCATTGATAGTGTTTATATACTTTCTTTACACCAACGATGTCCTTTCCATATGGTCCGAGTATCCAGTTGGAATTAATTGTCCTCCAGAAATCAAAGATTTGAAAGCTTCATTCGATAAATTGGTTAGTTTGTTTGGGGTTGCAGATGTATTTGGAAAACTTTCTAAAGATGAAGTTTATTTGAAAAAGATGCGTAATTTGTTGGAAGAAGAGGATGATGAAGCCAATGAAATGTCTGAAAAAGACCTCAATCAAGATGTGATGGTTATTCTTAAGGATGGTGAAGTTAAATGTCATTCTGCTATACTTGTTGCAAGATCTGCATATTTTGAAACAATTTTATCAAACCGTTGGGAAATTAGGAATGAAAAGGCAAAATGTAAAATTGTTAGGCTAGAAAACATCACCAAATCTCAGTTTCATGTGATCCTTAGACACTTGTACGGTTTCAGCAATAACACGATTTTTGATAGTTTTACTGAAGATATCCAAGGTATAAATGAATGTGATGAGTTTGTCAACTCTATGCTTGAATTGATTGAAATCTCAGATGAATTACTTCTCTTTGATTTAAAAAGTTTATGTGAAGTAGCAATAAAGGAGTTTATATCTACTGATAATGTTTTATTGCTCTTGATGCATGCAGACTTATTATCGGCTCAGAAACTATTCATGAATTGTTCTTGGTTTATATTTAACAACTTGGAAGTTTTACTTCTAGATCAAGCTTTCAAAGAAATTCAATTTGAATTACTTCGAAAATTGGAAAAGCAAATTAGATTCTTAGACAATTGCAAGAGAAGTGATTTCTCTGATACTCAAGGTAGTTTGAATGAGTTTTATCAAGGTAATTGGATAGAAAAGCAGTCTAATGTTCTTATTTCTAATTTTCTTTTCAAGATGGATGATTATAATGAAAATTTCATGTCTGATAAGAAGGGGCATGAATTGTTTGAACCATTATTTGATTTGCGGAAAGATCAAGAGAAATCTGGAGGTACAATCTCTGAACCAAAGAAGAAGGTGAAAGAAAAAAGAGCTCCATCAGTTAGTTTCAGAGTTGAAAGTAACGGTTCAGCTTCGGGAACTGATTTCCAATCTGGATTGCTTGCATTCAGAAATGCATATTCTGGCCGGAATAATTCTGCATCTGGTTCTAGTTCCATGTCCATGTCTATGTCTACTTCTGCACAATCACTAACGTCTGCAATTGATGATAATGATGAAGAATTTGAAACCGTATCCAGTACTAGAAGACGTAAGTCTTCAAAGAATTGTGGTGAAGTGATTCCTTCTGAAAGGAAATCATTTAGTTCTAATTCCAACATTATTGTTAGGAACCCAGATGAGAAACCACTTGTTCGTTCATCGTCAAATTCTACTTCAAACACAGGATTAAGTCCACATTCTAATTGGGCTTCACCTGGTAGTAGTAATGGTAATTCCAGCATATTGAAAGATCAGCCAATTTTATCTAAAAGAGGGACAGAAGAGCCTAGAAAAATGAGCTCGAAGGCTAAAGTTGTACTGGCACCAAGATTGTCACAGAAAGAAAGGAAAAAGATGGCACAGTTTGATAATTCCAGTGAAACAACCACGAATATACCGTCATCATCTGGGGCATCAGCTCCATGGTCTACTCCAAATAGTAGTACTTCGTCACTTAATCGAAGTAGTAATAGTAGTTACTCGAACCTTCCTACTCTTGGATCACAAGATAAACGTTCACAGAAATCTAAAATGCCAAGGTCGTCACCACCTCTTGTGTCAAACGTATCTCAGTCCAGATCCATACCATTACAGTCTTCAGGACCATCTTTGACTGAAATTATGATCCAAGAATCTTTGAAAATAGAAGAGCAACAAATTAGAGAAAAGGAAAGAAAATCATTACAAGAGATTCAACAAGAACAAGAGTTTGCCAAATGGTGGAGTGAAGAAACTGCCAAAGTCCAACAAAGTATGGCGAATTCTTCTATAAATGAAGGAAATAATTCAGGTTCTTCTCTGAATTCTAAGAGAAATAAGAAAAGAGGGAAGAAGTTGATTTAATTAGAAACATAGAATATACAATATTTAATAGAATTAAACAAAAGTTATGATTTTTTTTATATGTCTACCTCTTCAGGGAACCAGCCAAAGGTGTCAAGATCTATAAATAATGCATTCAGGACATCAACGCCTTCTTGTTTGAGCAAATTACTCTGTCTAACTTCAGAATTTGAGTCACCTCTTGGAGAGATCTTACCTGCACTCAGAACTACTCTCCACCAAGGTAATGTTGAGCTATCTATCCATTCATTCTCAGGCAACTCTGAGTTTAGAGCTGGAACTATGGAAGATATGAGTTTCATAGAAGTACCAACTTGACGAGAGTTCTGTGGTTTATTGACAAGATGTGCTATATGACCTATTAGTGTTAGATTGTGTTAAGGTAAAAACAACAAGAACAGCAAACACATACCATATGAAACTACATGACCAACTGGGATTTGATTAACAACATGATACACAGCAAGATAGAAAGCCTTAGCATCATCTGTCAACTTCATTGTAGTCATTCAGAGTTATATAATAAAAAGTTAGATAAAGAAAAAGTTACAAGTGTTTTTTATGAACCGAAAACTCTAATATACATTAATAATTAATTATATATAAGGCGCTTACAAAGCCAACAAAGCACCAGCAGCCAAAGCAGCAACACCAGCAGCGGCGAATTGACCCTTAGCGGCACCGTTTTCAGAAGCAGTGGTGACGTTAACTGGGACGGTGTAGTTAGAAGCAGAGGTGTGCTTGGCTGGACAGTCAGTGACGGTGGAGTCACAAGAAGTGATGGTGACCAAGGTGGAAGAAACTTCGGTTTCAGTCAAGGTGGTGGCAGAAACAGCGGCGGCGGTAGCGGCGAAGATGGCGACGGTGGAGAATTGCATTATGTGTGAGCGAAAGACTAGGTTAAGTTTGTAATAAAGAAAGGTTAAAATAATTTTCCAGGGTGAGCAGATGGCTCTGAATTTATATGTGGATGGATAGATGTGGGCGGATCTGGGAGCAAAGAAAATTACTCATACATATCGTCCCCCGAAAAAAAACAACGTTAAAAAAAAAAAAAACTTCATGCATGCACGTCTTAATCAATTCAGATGAGTTTTTGATTGCCAGGCTTGCATTCACTAAAATGAGCATTATAGCCAGGTCGTGAACAACATATTAGGGGTCTAGACCATTCGTTAACATTGTCGATTAAGTTTTCACGATACAATGTTCCATCATACTAATTTTTTTGAGCCTTTTTGTTCCTCCTATTCTACTTTCAATAACGGTATTCTCCCAATATTTTCCCTTGCTAAAGCTTCTTGTGTCTAAATCTTTGTTGATGAAGCATCTGCAAACATTTCGAAGCTTGCCGCCCAGTTGACGAATGCGGAAACCACCCAGCCGAATTGGGCGTGTCGTCTGCAAAGTGGTGCGAGTGACACTGCATATATACACGAATTCTAGGTAGACGGGATGGATTGTGAGCCCGAATCGGGTAACCGCGCCGCCATAAAAAGAAACAAAAAAAAAATTTGACGGGTACTCAATGTTGCAATACTCATTTGTGTAAACCTAAGGTGGGACTTCCAAAACGTATTATTGGTGAGTGGTGAGTGGGAAATTTTAAGATAAAAATAATCTCAATGTTATTGAATGAATAAAATAAAAGAACATTCTCTGGTACTACAAAGCCACTCTGAAAGCAACTAACCACTGCAATTTCACTCAGGGTGCACTTGCTACAATATTAGACAATGATTATCATTCTCGGAATAATAGGTTTCGCGTTCTTTTGTTTGTGTATATTATTAGGAAAGGTAATCTTATGCCGAAGTTTTTTTTTTTCTAAAAAAAAAGCTATTAAAAATAATTGAAAGGAATGTTTCAAATAATTTTTCCACCAAAGGGGGGTAGTAAGGCGGGACTGGGAGAGTTCCGTCTCACGTGCAAGCTACTACACCCATTCTTTTGAATCCCTTATCTAAAAATTGTCGTTTTTTTTTTGCTCCCCTCGTGACGATTACTTTCCTCTTTCGTCTGCAGATAGATTGTTTATGTAATGCTGTCTGCATCTAAAGAGGTACACGGTCAATGTTCATTTCATTCAGCAATCGGTTGACCATTGTGGATTGCACGCAGGAACACTTTCTGTACTGCTCGTAATTCTCTGTATTGTGCAAGCAGAATTTGGTAGTATTCTTCTTTAGATTCTTCCAAGCCTAAGCTTTCAATATCTGTACCAAGTTCACCCAAATTTACTCTACCAAGAATCCCCTTTAGTAATTCATCTGGGGTTTTCTCATGCGTTCCATATTTGGTTTGGTACTGTTCAATCACCGCTAGAACTTGTTCTGTATATATATCAAGTGTAGTTTTTAAATCGGCACTTTCATTAGCCTTCCATTGTTCTGTTCTTGCTTGAATGAGTGCTTGAGATGAAGGGAAAAATGATAACCCCATCAACAAAACATCTTTCCAAAAGCTATTCCAAGTGTCACAAATATAGAACCAAAGATTATCAGTACCATCATCATGACGAACAATAAACTCGTATTCATGTGGTCTTGTTACTGCTATGGTGACCAATTCGGAACGTACTACTGATACAAAGAGTTTAATAAAACTTACCAAACTATTTGTATAACGAAGTCCGCGTACTAAAACTGAAACAATTGAAGCATCAAACCCAACTGCATGTTCTGGTCTTTCCCGTAAAAAGTTTGCCTCAAGCCAATTAGTAACTCTATCACCAGTGAAAAACATTACATAAATACTTCCCCATATTAACCCAAGAACAAGGAGTAGTGAAGACGAGTTTAGCAATAAGGTATGGAGTCCGAGCATATAGAGTATAATGGAGTACCTAATTACCGCACTAAGTATATTTTGCATGTTTTCATTGGCAAGCTGGAATATACGGCGGAATACTCTAGGTTGGACGTTGTTGTCTTGAAGGATAACACCATTCCTTATGGCTGGCCCCCGAGCTGCTATTGGATCTTCTTGCACTGTAGGGGTAGCTGCGGGTACGGGGACTTGTTCCAGTTCGGATACCCCTGCTCGTTCAACCACTATCGCTGGTTCTGTTGATACCACACCATGTCCATCTTGTCTACTTCTAAATTGGTCACTGGCCAGCAGTTCAACTTCATCTCTAAAATGAACTTGTAATTTTTGTAGACCTGAAAGATTAGCCTTCTGAACTCCTGCTTTCAATTTGGCAGCCCCCGCCGGATTAAGCAATACATATGGTTCATGCTGTCCATTGTCAACCACAATACATTGGGATGACCCTAAAGTTACAGAAACTTCTCTATCTTTATTCCTTATTCCAAACACATAGTCTGTGGAGGATAAGTCTGCTTGGTTTATCATAGTTACATTTCCTCCATCTTCCTCTACCAAGCTTTCGTACGTTTCACCATGAATATCAAAAAATTGACCATTCTCAAATTTAACTTGTAATGGTTGATAGTATTCAACTTCAGGAGTCTTATCAACATCAACAAAGTATTTTGCACCTGGATCCAAACGAAATTCCTCATATATTTCCTTATCAATCTGCAATTCAAGCTTGATTGTTTCAAAGAGAACTTCTTTATCTTCTGTAAATTTAGTCAAATTATCAATTTCATCATAAAGTGGCATATCTGACAAGAGGAATTCAATTCCCTTCCATTTAAAATGGAAGTCGGCCATACGTGTCATTCCAAGTAGAGTATGAATTTGATCTCTCAATGCGATTCCTGTAGCATATCTATTCATATGAAATTCATGTTGTTGCAATTCTGGAATCCATGAAGATATAGAAACACAATACTTCCATGGTGACACTGGCGGACACATGCTAGCTAAGATATTCACCTCATTTAATGGGCATACATCCAATTGTAATAGTTGAGAAAGACTCATATCATCATTCTCATGGTCAAGCTCCACTTTAAATTTTGTATTCTCTATAGAGATACGCACAAGATCTTTCCGTTCAATATTCTGAACACTTGAATACAAATACTCTTTGAGCAGCAGAACCGTACATTTCAAAGATTCCCTTAGTTTGATCTTGTGTCCTCTCCATAAGATAACAATATCAAACAATGAAGTTGGTGGATATCTGTTTGGGATAATTGGAGAATTTATTAATGTTAAGTCTACCACAACTTTAAGGTTATCCAGATTTTCAAATCCAAAATATGATCCAATGATTTGAGAACTGTTAACTTCTTGACCATTAAAATGAATTTTGGTAAACATTGGTTTAAGATAGGTATCTGGAGACATTGTCCATATTGCTTCTTGTACTTGCCACCATGAATGTAGAAGTGTAACGTTTACCTCCACCGTATCAATTAACCATTCTTGGTTAAAGTCCTCGGGTACATTCAAATATTCAACGTCTAGCCGAAGTCTCACAGGCATAGCCATTGGATCCATCATGATTTAATATATCCTTTTATTATATTTGTACAAAAGGTGGATTGGGATCACTAACATTATATTATAAATGCCATGTAACCGTTTATTATATGCAGGATATATGCTACTAAGAATTAAATGTATAAAATAGATAAAGATATAAAGTAAATTTGAAATTAAGAGATTGAAAAAAAGGGTATAAGGATACTAAAGTGGATTTTATTGGTATGAGAATCTATCAAGGCATATAGGGTGTAGTTTTTAGTAATTTTAAAAAAATAATAATCTATTTAATTTTATTACTAAGAATCATTTAAGAATTATTATTTATAATATTAAAATCAAGAATAGAGATTAATTATAATGATCAAAACAGACCAAATGAACTAAATACATACATTTAAACCCAATAAATACAATCTAAAGAATCTCTTATACCCCTTACAATGCTTTCTACCTCAACTTAGACTTATTTTAAGTGTTTTATTGATAGATTTATGTATACTGATGGATGTTTTCCCCGCTATACATCGGTACACCCACCAAAATCTCGTTTGCAACCGAATTTCATACACACTAAAGAGCAATATATTTCAAATACTACAACTATCTTTTTTAGAAACACATACAGTAGAACACTTTCTATATATTTTGAATTCTTCTCATAAATTATCTATTCTTTATACAACTTTATCAAACTATTTACAGGCTTCTCCTATTTTTTAATTGCATGGTATCTCTTTCCTCTGACAGCAAACATATTATGGTTTGCTTGGAAAGTTTCAGTTGGGTTGATATCAACCAAGTCCAACTTAGTGGAACCGAAGTAGTTATCGGTTTGTTCCATCAACACATCCATTTCTGGAGCTAAAGGATGCTTATGCAACCAGTTATATTCTCTTTGCGCATCTTTAGCATGATATCCGGTCACGTAGATTGGGCACTTGGAGTCCAAAAGACCCTTCAAGGACTTGTCCCAGTGGATCTCGTCAGCAGTGGTGAACCCAGGATGGAATAAGAAGAAGGAATCTAAGTATGGGTCGAATGGGAAAAGATCTCCCATTTCATAAAGTTCATGGAAGTATGCGGTGTGGTAGTGCATGGTGATTTGCTCATCAAATCTTTGAACAAGGGCTCTACCGTGAGGTTGATCGGTGGCACCGAATTGTCTAGTGGCAGGGTCAAAGTAACATTCTGGACCAATGAAATGAAATTCGAATTTGGTGTCTGGGAAAAGATATCCAAATTGTTTCCAAACATATCCAGGAAGCATAGCTTCCATCTTGGCACCAACAATGAAGATTCTCATAGCTCTGTCCTTGAATACAGTGGAAGTTTCAGCATTCTTGGTATATGGTGGATATAAGGTATATCTCAAAGCAGCCAAAGACTTAAGCCCTTCCAATGTCACAGTTCCTTGTGGTTGGAATTGGTATGGAGAGAATTGATGGAACACAGAGGCTACAGTAATTGGATAAGTCAATACCTTGGAGGCAGCAGCCAAATTGAACTCGGTGTTCATTGGACTGAAATCTCTCGTATAGAAAAACGCATCCCATGAAGACATGTTTGGAGTACAGTCCATTTCTTGTTGTCCAGGGAAGACAAACTCGTCAAACTTACGTCCTGAACGCAAGTCATGTTCATAAAGGTTTACTTTCTTCAAGAGTTCAAAAGTCTTGTTCTCATGGTAGGCTCTATCTTCCTTCCAAGCTTCCTCAGAATGATGGGTAGGGATACCAGAGTATGGACAGACAAAGTTCACAGACTTACCGGTAGTTGGACACCTTGCCTTTGTTCTGATAAATGCAGCACGGGTACGGAGATCTTCATATGGTGATTCGTCCCATGGGTACATCTTGTGAGTTTCAAGAGGAGTCTCAGTTTTGTTCAACGCAAGCAAACTCAATGCACCTTTCAACAAGGAGAATGGTCTGCACTGAACGATTCTACTGGACGACACAGTGGCCTGTGACCTGATTGCTACAGTGTTCAATAATGACATGGCCTAGTTGGCTTACATATACATTTGTATTAGAAATAGAATGATTTTTCTTTGTCATGCACCGAGGGTTCTGAAAATTACGCGTGCACACAGAAAAAATTACCTACACTTCGTATACGGTATGAACGAGTACGACTAACATAATGTATTAAATTTAAAACCTTTTAATTCATTCTATTTATCTTTAGTAGGTAATCTTGAAATATGGGGCTAGAAATATGGTACAGCTAATTATCTTCTCACCTATAATTCGTCATGCGTGACTTCTTTTATGGTGACTGTCTCCGTGATCGCATCTAGAGTTTTTATCTCCGTAACAGGAACTTGCTCAATGATCACAGTTTGTGTGATAGGATCTTTTTCAATGATTTTTGTTTCAATCACAGGATCCCTTTCAATTATTTTTGTCTCAGTAACAGTATCTCTTTCGATAATCTTTGTCTCTGTAGCCACCTTCTCAACAAATACAGTTTCTGTAATAGCCTCCCTTTCAACAATCTTCGTCTCAGTAACTGGATCTCTTTCAATAATCTTTGTTTCAGTGGAAGCTTCCAATGACACTGGTGTAAAGTCTATTTCTATGTTGTTTCCATCCGTAACAGGATCTACAAATTGTACATCTGTCTCAACTGGTTCCCGTTCAACAATTATTGTTTCAACCACCGGATCACCTTGTACAGTTCTTGTCTCAGTAATTTGCTCACCATGAATAGTTTCTGTCTCAGTAACAGTGTGTGTCTTCAATTCAACCTCCTTTTCAACCTCGGTTTCATCCTCATCATCCTTAATGTCATTCTTTACTTCAGTCTTTTCCTCTACACTATCATCAGTCAATATCTTTGTCGACCCACTAACAAACATTTCAAAGTTGATTGTTCCACCACGTTTATAACTTTCTTCATCAATGGTTACCAAATCCCCATCAGTATCTAACATGGTTTCGGGATCAACCAATTGAATGTACAACTTTTCGTTTTCATCGGTACCATCACGATGTATCTTAACCATTGTAAGAAAATTCCCATTGTAATCGTATAATTCAAACCAAAAAATAAAAGTATCTGACCACCAAAGTAGCAAATTCCTTCCCTGTTCATCAACCTTGGGAGAAATAAGAGTTCTACCAATTCCATTGCTAATCGTCTGTCCAATTTGAAAGATCAATTCTTTATCCAATCCATGGAAACCATTGTATATTATAGGGTGTCTACCATTGTAGTAGAAACTCTCCGTTACTCTTTCACTACCTTCATAGATGGCAAAATAGAACCCATTACCCATCGAGATCATTGAATGTTCTGCAAGAGATATCTTGCTTGATTTACTAATCGGGAAGAACTGATTAGGAGGTAAGGAAACGACATCCCTTGACGTTAAAAAATCATCAACTGAATATTTATCAGGGATATAAGTATTGTGTCTCCTTTCCTTTACAATTTCTTTACATCCAATCTCCAAAATTTCATCTTGTACATTTTTGGGTTTGAATTCTTCAAGTTGACATAACCGTGGGATATTGACCACCAATTGGTATTCACAAGTGGTGATTTCAGTTACATCATACACTTTAACATGTCCATTATTTCGTAAGTCACACCGATATATCACGTCTACTGTTCTAGGCTTCCTTGTATAGTCACACAATTCTCCGTCCTTGAGCGTGTGTTTCACGTATTTCTGAGGACTGTTCCGAATGTTATACATCCCTCCGGAAAGCGGGTTAACCACATCTTCACCAATAGTAAATTCCAGACGATCAAGGGTGTTATTTGACCACGTTGATTGGTTTTCAATTTTCACTTGAGTGAGTTTCTTCTTCGATGGGAATTGTCCCAAGACATATACAAAGTTTGGGAATTCCGGTTTATGAACTTTATGCTTAATGAAATATTCCATATTTTCATGGAATTGAATCACTTTATCACCAAAGCAATATGCATACGTCCAATAATCACCGTTTGACCCGAAATTGAACACACATTGGGAAGTCGAGAGTGATTTACTGATAAGATCCAATGCTACATCAAGAAGTACACCGTCAGGGGTTTTCTTGGTGCCTTCCAGATCTATATCTTCTTGTATACTGGAATTGACTTGAACGGTTTCTGGGACATAACACAAGTAATCTCTATCATTTGCAAGACCAGCTTTCATCATTTGGAAACTACCACCTCCAACTTGACTTTGAGATTGAATGTATTCCTCTGCCACTTGAGGACTGATATTTGTATCATGGAACTTGAGTGTGTACTTGGGAGGTGATTTCTTAAAACCGGTTACTATGGGTAGTAGACCAACTCCAATTATCACTACGGTTTTGAAATGCATTAATGATGATTGTGGTTGATCAAATGAGTTACGTGGTGTATAACTATATTTCCTTTTTTTTTTTTGGGAGAGATCAAGAAAAAAGAGACCTTTTCTTCCTCAAATGATGTATATATATATAGGTATGTAGAAATAGGTCTATGGATATTCCCCCCAGTTAAATGGTCAGTGCTGATTGTAGGAATGTGAAAGTTAACTCTAATCACCTTATCCAATCTGACTGTATACTGGGGTATACAGAATGCGAAATTTGTGTAATCTTGAGAATAGTTTGAAGGAACGTTGATATATGTCTATAATAACAAAGTAATACTAGAAATAACATGACATCTCCTGAATACTCTACTGGGATTGAATCCCCCGCTACTGCAGTTTCTGGACTCACAACTCCACATTTGAAGAGTGGAGAATTTCCGGAAAGTTCCAATTCTTCTCTGTCAGATGTGTCTCAACTGGATAAGTTGACGGATGCACAATCCAAGCCTACAAACTCAAATACACAAGCTGGCAATGCTGCGCCTTCTGTATTTGAAATTTCTCTGGAATTAGACCAGAAATTGAAGGATATGGCCAAAGTAGTAGAGCTGCTGGATAAGGAGATTAATAGTCGTTTAGATACACTTTTATCCAAGGTGAAGGCACTCGAAGATCAATGTCGTACATAATGAAGATTTTGATCAGGAAAAAGCCAGACGGATGAGAAAAAATGTACTTGATTCTCCAGGGAGGGAGTTAATTAATTGATATGGAAGTTGACATATTCAATACTTCACTTCTCGAGAATAACTGACCCCAATTGAGCTCGCTTAGGATTCCGAAAGACTAAACAAATCGAATTAATGAAACCATAGCATATAGATAGAGCTACAAAGCTTTACAACTGTGAAAACTACTACAACATCTTCATACATCTCATTCACAGGAATTGAAACTTTCCTCCCCAGTAACACAATTATTAAAAGAGATATTTTAGATTTTTTTCACATTCTAGTTTAGTAATGCAAATAGCACCTCATACCTTCTTCCTATGAACCTATCTCTTACCCATCATGTCTCTGACTTTTCTTTATAACTTGATTCTTCTACATTTATATACATAATATATATACAAAATCCTGCATATAATACATTTAATATGGATATGGGTTTATAGAAGATCATCACTTGAAAGAGAACTCATTTCTTCTATTAAAACATAGCCATGAGTAAAGTTAAGAAGTCCAAAAATCAGCTTAGAAGAGAAAGAGCAAAGGCCAAGAAGGCTGAAGGTGAAACTGGCGAGGAGAGTAATATTAATGAGACGAATTCAATCAAGGATGAGAAAGAACAAGTAGTAGAAGAAACATCAAAAACTGTAGAAGAGCCCAAAATTACATCAATTGATGATATGATGGTTGATTTAAAAGATCCACTTTTTGCAGAATTTCAAAATGTATTCCAAAAGTTTGAGTCAAATGGGACTGAAGAAACAAAAGATTTTGATATGGAGCAAAATGAAGTTAATGAAATAAATGGAAATTCCAACAATAACGATACATCATCATCAACATCATCAGACGAATCAGATGAAGATTCAGAACCAGAATTAACAAAGAGACAATTGCGTAAACAAAACAAGATCCCCCTTGCAACCCTTAAATCCAACACGAAGAGACCACAAGTGGTGGAATGGTACGACGTGGATGCACAAGATCCATATCTTCTTGTAGCACTTAAATCCCAACCCAATAGTGTCCCAGTTCCATCACATTGGACGAATAAAAGAGAGTACCTTGCTGGAAGGAAAGGAGTCGAGAGACTTCCCTTCCAACTTCCAAAGTTCATTGCAGACACAGGTATTCAAGATATGAGAAATGTAGGTAATGGTGATGACCAATCGTTGAAACAACTGCAAAGAGATAGAGTTGCTCCTAAAATGGGTAAATTGGATATTGATTATCAACGTTTACACGATGCATTCTTCAAATTCCAAACCAAACCGAGATTATTTGGATTTGGTGATACATATTACGAAGGAAGAGAAGCCACTGACGAATACCTGGACGAAGTACTTAATATTAAACCAGGTGTATTATCCAAACAGTTGCGACTGGCCTTGGGCATACCTGAAAATGATAAATCTCCACCCCCATGGATTGCAATAATGGCCAAAGTTGGGAAGCCACCTTCGTACAAACAATTGTATATCCCTGGTCTAGACATGGAGTACTCCAACACTGGGTACTCTTTCACAAAGAGTACAAAGCATCTGGATAAACCGGTTCATTGGGGAGCCATGACGCTGGATGTTGAAAGTGAAGAAGAAGAAGAGGAGGAGGAGGAGGATGAGGTAGAGGAAGAAGAAGGTGAGGAAGAAGTGGAAGAAGAGGAAGAAGAAGTGAATGTTGTTTCTGAAGATGAAGTACCTATTGAACAAGATGCAAGTAAAATTTCTATTAATGAGTTTGGAGGTCATAAAACTACATCCAAGACCGCTACAACTACCCAAGGGTCCAGACCATTGTATCAAATAATCGAAGAACAAAAAGCTAATGGGGGAAGCTTAACGGATATAAAATATAATATTTCTTCAGATAATAAAAAGCGAAGTGCTGAAGAAGTGATAGAACAAGAATCTACCACGACGACACAAAAATCTGGATCACAACCAACAAAGAAATTTAAATTCTAGTTGCAAACCTTTATAAATTATTATTTGTATCATTCTGCGGTGGGAATGGAGTAAAAGATAAGTCTGGTAAGCTTCCACTCGCTGATGAAAAGAAATTTGCAAAATATGAATCTGCAGCGACCGTGGGTGCATCCACAGAGGGTTGTCCAACGGCTGCGAGAGAGGTGGTTCCACCCATACCACCATCAGCATTACTATTGGATTCCAAAAGGTTAAGGTAATTCATGATATCTAAGTCGATTTCCTGGAAAAGTTCTTGGATGGAATGTGGTGGTTGTGAATCTATAGGGACCAAAGAATGTTGTGCATCTGAAGTGGTTACTGGTGGCTGTATCAGATACGTGTTATTCTCAGTTTTAACCTCTACATCATGTGGCACTTCCAATGCCTCGATCTCTTGATGTTTACTTCGATCCATCAAGTTAATCAACAAACTACTCCTATGCGTGGATTTCCGACTATCATTGATACCCATTGCCGGGGAAGATGTGGTGGTATATTCTTCAGATACTTTGATCCAACGTTCAATTTTGGTGAGGATTTCTTTCATAGCAAGACTAATATCCAGACAAAATCGTTTCTGATTATCTGAAATAATGGCAGAGATTTTTTCATAATAATGCTCCACATTTATCTTGATATTCCCAATATCTGGATTCATTCTGATTGCAGCTTGGGACTTGATAAGAAGTCTCGTTCGTATAAGTAGCACGATTGCATGCATGGGTCGATAATATACAAATGTCGGATAGTTGACGGTTTCTTTGACGTTTAATTGAATATAAGACTCCAACATATTTTCACAAATGGTGATGAGTTTTGTTGTGAGGTTGATGTACATTGGATCATCTGGATACATGGATCTTTCAGATGTTTGATTATGTCGTTCATACTCAGCCAAATGGACACAGAGTAGCTTATCATACATAGCCAAAAGAATTTGGTAGTACATTATTGATAAAAGGTAAGCTTCTCTAGAATATTTGGATGACGTATCTGTAGATAGGAATCCACTTTCTGTAAGTAGTTGATAGAGTTGTTGTTCATAGTTTTCAGCAATAAATACTAATTTAGATAGTGGGAGTGTAGACAGTTGTGATATTAACAGTATTGAAGGTGTTGTATGGTGTTGTTGATTGTTTGTTACACCACCTTGTGAGTCAATTGCTAATGCTTGGTAGATCTCCTGTCCCAACTTGATGGACCTTGCATAATAAACTAGAAACCTATCTCCACGATTGTCCATTAATTTAGATAACTTCTCCACGGCTATGTGGTGGTTATCAGACCAAGTTACAAGTTTGAATCTTGATAAAGAAAGTCCCAAAGACCCACAATTACAATAAACGCTAATGAAAGTTCTCAAATCATTTCTTTCATCAGATTCATCATCAGAAATGGAACCAGCGTACGTGGTATGAGGATCTCCAAGTCCAATACATAACGAAATATTGAGACCCATAAGTAAATTTACCAGGTTCTTAAAGTGTCCCAATTTATTTGGCGGAGGGCTCCATGTCGAAAGAACCAAACAAACTTGAATTAAACGGATACCAAACCCATCTGATTGTATATAAACTCGGTGTGATATGAATCTCTCAAGATAGTAATTAAGCAAATCTTGTAATGATTTATTATGAGAAGTTGACTTTGAAAATCCATTATCATGAATGGTGGTGACTGTGATACAGGCAAGAAGAAGAAGGGGCCCAGTTTCAAAAAGATACTCAAAATTAGACAGCTTCTTAGAAAATGAAACTATGGGATAATATGGGAGCATTTCATTAATGAAGAACTCAAATCTTACCTTAGCCTCTGAGAGATCAAGAAGCTTGTGGGTAGATACGAGCTCTTTGGCAATGTTTTGGGTATATGGAATGAAAGGATATCGAGGCTCTCCTTGGTAATAGCCCGCATAGCCCGCATTGCTATGATGAAGACTACTATTATAGTTGGTAGAAATATCTGAGTTAGATTTCTGGATAATGTCATTGACCTTTTGAGAAGCAATTGTTAGGTTTTGACGTAGAGTCTGTAAACTTTGAAGAGGAGCACTCAGCTGCACAGACTTTCCTTGTTGGACTCTCTCAAAGACTCTCAATGTTTCTTGGTGTGATGAGGTCAATGAATCAAGCTTGGCTAATAGCTCCTTTTCATTCATCTCCAGAGGTGTCACAGACTTAAGATCAGTAGCAGTAGTCGAAGAAGCTGCGGCGCTAGTACGTTTCTTTTTCGCATATCTAGCGGTCGGGTCTTCGTCAGGAGAACACTCCACCCCTATCGCAAAGCAACGTTTACATGATTTATGTGTGGGGTCAATGTATGAGCATCTCATCTTGAGCCGATGACATCGAGCACATGCTCTTACTTGGCGCCATTTAGATTCAAACTCTTGCACGGAATTCTCGTTATTAAAGGTCCCATTGGGCCCCAGAGTTTCGTCACCGTCCGGTGCCAGACGCTTAGCAGGATTCATAGGTAGGGGGATCAAATTAAATGCCTATATTAGGATTGATTTGAATCGGTTTACTTATCTATTCTGTAAACATGGAGATAGCCGAAGGTGCGGATTGTTTATCGCACACAATCATAACCATATCTGATCAGAATGCTAAATAATAATCTTGATAAATCTCCAATCTCTACTATAGTGTAAACGGTAGAAACACACAACAAAATACTCTCTACAATAATGTTCTAACTGTATATATATTTACTGATAACCATCTACATGCCTCAATGGGTACATTGGACGCTAATCGTATGCTTAAAATGATCCAGGGATCCGATATGATCAACCTGCGTGGTTGCAGATCTTCAAATTAATGTGAGTGGGTGGTGGTGGAAGGGGGGAAATGGTCGACTATGGTACTTTTCTGAATATGATATGAATGGGGCATTCTTAAAAGTTGATGTCTGGTCTGGTGTCGGTGATCTTGTCAACCTTGGCTCCGAAAGAAGCAACACAACGAGCCATGGTGGCAGAAGATCTAGAAATCACATCTGTGAAGTAGAAGTTTTCAATTGGGTTCTTCAATGGAGCACCAACTGGGGAGACACCGTGGTTGGACTTGGCCAACACATCGACGATACCAACCTTGGCAACTTCTGGAGAAACAGTTTCAATAACATCATGTCTAATCAAGTGAGGAGCAACTTCGCTCATTCTGTTTCTGACTGCGTACAAGTCATCGTATGGCAAGGAAGCGTTCAAGTATTCGGACAATGCTCTGATAATCTTCCAATCTTCACGGGCAGAACCAGGAGCATTGGTAGCAGCACGGGTAACTTGGGTTCTACCTTCAGTGTTAACGTAAGTGGCAGACTTTTCGGTGTAGGCGGAACCTGGCAAGATGACATCGGCAAAAGAAGCACCGAGATCACCATGGTGACCTTGGTAAACAACAAAGGCATCCTTTGGAATGTCCTTGTTGGCTAATTCATCAGCACCCAAAAGGTAGATAAACTTAGCTGGAGCAGAGGCTTCCTTATGACTAGTGTAACCAATGTCCAAGGCAGCAGCACGAGAAGCTTCACGGTGCAACAAGTTGAAACCATTCCATTCTGGAGTGGTGAAGTTGGCGTTCTTACCAACAAATTCACCAACAACGTTGTAAATAGCTTGGGCATCTTCAGAGGCAGCAACACCAGAACCAACAATAATCAATGGCTTCTTAGCATTGGCCAACTTCTTACCGTATTCACCATCCAAGGCCTTCTTCAAAGCGTTAACATCTTGACCAAAGTGTTCCAATTCAAAAGTAGAGTCGAATTGTTCACCAACATGACCGATTTCCAAGTCAGATCTTAACCAAACCTTTCTAATTCTGGTGTTCAAAACAGCAGCTTCATGTCTTGGGTTGGTACCAACAAGTAAAATTTGGTCAGCATCTTCAATACCTTCAATAGTGGAGTTGAAAATGTAGTTAGATCTGATATCAACACCGTGAGCACCAGTGGCTTGCTTAACATCAGTGGTGACGTTTTCAGAACCCAACTTGTTAACCAAGTCCTTCAATAAAACCAAGGATTCAGCGTCAACAAGAGCACCGGAAATAGCCTTCAATTCATCACCAGATGGCTTGATCTTGGCGTAAGCAGCGGCGATGGTTCCCAAGGCTTCATCCCAAGTACCAACTTCGAACTTGTCACCATTTCTGATCAATGGAGTGGTTAATCTTTGGGTCTTAAGAGCATCACAGGCAAATCTGGACTTGTCAGAGATCCATTCTTCGTTAATCTCATCGTTAAGTCTTGGTAAAACTCTCATGACTTCAATACCTCTGGCATCAACTCTGACGTTGGATCCAACAGCATCCATAACGTCAATGGTTTCAGTTCTCTTCAATTCCCAAGGTCTAGCTCTAAAGGCATAAGGCTTAGAAGTCAAGGCACCAACTGGACATAAATCAATAATGTTACCAGACATTTCAGAGTTAATGTTTCTCTCTATGTAAGTACCGATTTGCATGTCGTTACCTCTACCGGCAGTACCCAATTCAGGAGCACCAGCTACATCATTCATGAAACGAACACATCTGGTACAGTGGATACATCTGTTCATGGAGGTCTTGACAAGTGGACCAATGGCCTTGTTTTCGACAGCTCTCTTACCGACAACTTCGGTGAATCTACCACGGTCGGAACCATATCTTTGAGATTGTTCTTGCAAATCACATTCACCACCTTGGTCACAAACAGGACAATCTAATGGATGGTTTTCCAACAACATTTCGGTGACACCTTCACGGGCCTTGGTGATTCTTTCGGACTTGGTGTTAACAACCATTCCATTTTGCACAGGCATGGCACATGATGCTATAAGTTTTGGCATTCTTTCAACGTCAACAAGACACATTCTGCAATTACCAGCAATGGCAAGCTTGTCATGGTAACAGTAACGAGGGATGGTGACACCGGCCTTGTCAGCGGCTTGGATGATGGAAGAACCGGCTTCGATAGACACCTTTCTTCCGTCGACAGTAAGCTCGACCTCAGCTCTGGCTACACGCGAGGTCGAAAAGTAACGACCCATAGGTCTCAAGGCCCTAACGGTGGATCTGGCGGAAAGCATTTTATTATGAATATGAATTACTGATGGTAGTAAACAATGCAGACTATTTCTATGTGAATCCTTTTCGTCGTCCTACCCAGAATCAACTAGCTTTATTTAGACCTTTTTCTATGTAATTCGTTTGTATTAACAAACAGAGTTTTCCTATTAACTCGATATGTGAAGGGTGTGTGTATGCAGTTTAGCGATTTTACTAGTAATGCGAATGATTGAGTTCTGATTCGCTAATTTTGGGCCGGGTAACGGTCCATATACAGGTTTCGCGATTTTCCATTTACATTTATTTTATTTTTTAATATTTTTATTTGTCATTAAATCTATTAGTTGAGATTTAATGTGGTGATTATTGTCATGGTTGCAAATATAAATCAGGTTCCACCATGAAAATTTCATCTATAGATGAATTAATAATAGATTTTGAGGGGGTATATTTCATGTATTATGCTACTATATACCTCATGACTACTGATTGTTGTTCTTTTCTTACTTTCTTTTTCCCAACCGGGGGTGCTCTTTGTTTATTATTTACCTTCCTCTTGTTCTCCTAATGCGAAAAATAATATGAGAAGTCCAGGAACTATGTACATCCAATTCTTTTGTATAAATGACCTATTGTCTTCTTCTTCTTCTTCTTGCTCTTCCTCTTCTATTTTTTGACCCTCTGTCGCACCTTTCCCAGTACCAGCAGCCTTCTTCTTTTTATTCTTATCATTAAATGGATTCATTACAGGTTTTGGACCATTTTCAACTTTAATTATCTCCACAATGGGAGAATTTGAATTTGGATTAGTCAGAATTCTTTCAATTTTACTGTAATCTTCTGTACTCTGCACTATAAAATGAAGGTTTTCAAATTCTTCTTGTGCTCTATATAACGCAAAGCAATCATGATTTGGAACATCATTAGTAGATATACAATAATCAATTCCTGGTTCAAGAAATTCCCCCTGTGAGAATCCTTCCACGTCAAAGTTCCCAAGTGCAACTTCAGACAGTCCATCAATGGATCGAGCAAACAAGTTCACCTGAGCACTTACCGTCAAGGCTAGCGTCAAGAATGTATATGGAACAATCATTTTGTCTCCTTTAAATTGAATACAAAATGGAATATAAATTATATATTGAATCTCAAATTTCTCAAATTTCTTAAATTTTAGTACTGTTTGAGTTTTCGGTGGTGTGTAGTTGTAAAAGATTGAGATACGCGTAATATACCATCAACCTGTTTATTTATTGGAATTTCTTCACTTATGTCTTAATGCTAAGCTTCTATGGTCGACATCTCCGTAGATACGCGTCATTAGCGGTCCACAAGTCACCATCGACATTTTCTGCATCTTCAACCCCATCAGTAGTTAAACTATCTGATCCGTTATCCAAATTATCAACCGTTTCAAATTGTAAAACATATCTTGAATATGTTCGTGATAAACAAATTAATATTCATTCTTCTGCATGTCAGGGAACTCTTTATGAGCTTCTAGCTGGCAGCCAATTATCGCATCTTCTAAACTTGTATGATTTGTCCTGGACTGGGGGTGCCCATGATCAAGGTATTGATCTTTTAGGATCTTGGGATTTATCCAAATTTTGGAATCATGTGGTGGCCAAAGGTGATATAACTCCCAAGACAAAGATTCCTCAGACAAAAATCAATGGTTCACCGGTACGACCCATGCTTCGGGCTTCAATAGAATACCAACGATTGGTGAATCCTACCAAGATCACGAAGACTGCAACTTCAATCGAGACTTTGACAGCATTAGTTCAATGTAAAAATATTAAAAGAGATATATCTCCAGCAATAATCCGTGAAATGGCAGGTATATATCATTTCCATGTGAAAAATTCCAAGGATATGAAAAGAACTTTTATGTTTCTTGTTGGGGCAAATAATCTTACTAAGCAAGGCAGAGTACAATTTGATTCATCAAATTGTCCTCTAGTATTCTGTAAGGTTCTCCCCTTGAGATTAATAGAAGGAAAAGATGCATACGATATAGACAATTGGACTGGAGGAAACATGGAATCTTTCTATTGTAATCAATTTGCAAGAGCCATGCTTTCCGGGTTACAATTGGAACAACAAGTTCAACAAACCATCAGAGATCAATAACAAAAACAAGCATTAAATTAATATAGATACCATTAATAAAAGTTTTAGTATAAGCAAGGAAAAGATGAGATGAGAATTTCTTACATTTTACAACTAGATATCATCAATAATTTTTATTATAGTAAACACGTATAGTCATTAAGGTCATTATGGGGCAAAGAATTAGGGATCATTCTTCTTAGAACCACCGACGCTTGGCGGCTTGAGTAGGCGAAGCTACCAATGTTTCGTAGGTGGTCTTATTCATAATGGTAACGGTTTTCATAGTGGTACGGGTATTAGTGTACAGGGTTACAACCGATGGTTGGTTAACCTGTAAGGCAGTTGATGTTGAAACAAAGTTTACCTTTGTGTGAAGGGTAACGTAAACGACATCATCCCCATCATCATTTTCAGTTGGAGATGGAATTGCGGATACTTCAGATTCACTAACAACTGCGGTTGTCTGAGAAGAAGCAGCTGGAGTAGAGGAAGAAGAAGAAGAAGTTGGTACAACAATCTTATTAACTTCAGCACTAGAAGATGCAACTGCAGAAGTTTGAACTGGTTCAATTGAAGTGGAGACAGAAGCTGAGACTGATTCAGCAACCGTTTCAGAAGCGATTTTAGAGGCAGATTCAGTAGCAGATTCAGTAGCAGATTCAGTAGCAGATTCAGTAGCAGATTCAGTAGCAGATTCAGTAGCAGATTCAGCAGTAGTTTCAGAAGGAGTTTCAGTAGTGGCTTCAGTGGAAGTCTTAGAGGTTGTTTCCGATGAAGCAGGGGTAGATTCAATTAATTTAGCTTCAGTAGTAGAGGTGGTGGTTGGCTTAGCTTCAGTGGTAGATGTAGTAGTTGGCTTAGCTTCAGTGGTAGATGTAGTAGTTGGCTTAGCTTCAGTGGTAGATGTAGTAGTTGGCTTAGCTTCAGTGGTAGAGGTGGTAGTTGGCTTAGCTTCAGTGGTATATGTGGTAGTAGACTTAGCTTCAATAACAGTTTGGGAACCATTGATAGTGGTGGTACGGTCAACAGTAGCAGTGGTAACACTGGTAGAAGTAGCGGTATAAGTATTAGAAGTAGAGTCAGATCCACCCAAAAGATTCTTCATTTGTTGAGCAAAGTTTACACCACTACTATCAGTATTAGCCCAAGCTTGAGAAGCATCCCACAAAGAAATTCCACCCAATTGAGCACCAGAAATGGTAGAGATGTACTTTGAAACAACATCAGAAGTCACATAACCAGAGCCAGCGGCAGATGGTGCACCGGGCAATCCCATATAAAGCTTAATGTTCTTGTTTGGAGAAGTGTTTTGAGCAAAGTTGACCCAAGTGTCCCAGTTGAAGTTAGATCCGAGACTACAGTAGTTGTTGTAAAATTGAATGAATGCAAAGTCAACATCGGCACCAGCAAGGAAGTCACCAACAGATGCATCTGGGTATGGACATTGTGGAGCAGCAGAAAGATAGTAGTTCTTGGAAGAGTCTTTGGCAAACCAGGTTCTCAAGGCCTTACCAAGGGCAACAGTTCCCGTTTGAGCATTGTTTTCCAAGTCAAGATCAAATCCATCAACAATAGCATCACCAAATGGTCTTTCAGAAGTAGTACCAGCACCGAAGGTGTTCCATAAAGTTTCAGCAAAGGCAGTAGCTTGAGAGTCAGAGCTAAAGCCGTAATTACCAGAAGCACCACCCATAGAAAGTAAAACAATTTTTCCGGCAGCTTGACAAGTCTTTATGTCAGCAGCAATGGCATCACATTTGAGAAGACCATCATCAAATCTGGTGGTGCATGCATTGGCAAAGTTCAATCCCATTTTTGGGAAGGAATCAAGGAAGGACAAAATAACAATATCAACTGCATCTGATTGACAATAGTATGAGAGGGGTTGTTGAGAACCAGCAGAGTTCTGTCCCCAGTATACAGCAACGTTGGAGTCCAGTGATGCGTCAAAGGCAAACAGGGTGGGTACTAAGGCCAAAAGGGCAGACAAAGCGAGAGTAAGAGAAACCATTTCAAACGATCGAAAATTAAGGTTTGTGTGGGGGTATAAAAAGGAATGGCAATGAAGTTCACTGAAAGGAGTGGCAGCTAGTATTCAAATGGTTTAAGGAGTGACTGAAGTCAGAAATGGAAGCGAAAAGAGAGCTTTGTCTGGTAGTTATATATTGAAAACCATTTTAAAACCTTGAAATAAACTAGGTGGTGGGCCACACATTTATAAGATTCGTGTTTGATGTTAGTTGCAACCATGCATCACTAGTCGCGCAAACTTAGATTTAATGCAGATGCATCGAATCCATTCCACCGCAGACGTTGGAGCATGAAACGCTGGTTCAACATTCCGATCAGGTGTTGGAAATGCTCCACTTGGAAGGTTGTACCATATTCAATGGCATTGATTTTACTGTAGCAATAGCCATTTACTATACCCAACTGCCTAATTGGGACGCAGCGCCAGCGCTAAAAAATAAAACGTTCTTCAACCAATTTCTTCTTCATCAGTGTTCCTATTGTGCGTTCCGTAAACGAGATATTGAATGATTGTCGAGCAAAATGTGTAATGATGTATTCTGGTAGTGAATGAAAGCTTGTTTCAACATTGTCATTATGTTTAATGTTTACCCCCCATTTTTGTTTGTAACCCTCCCCCCCCCTTTGACAATATGTTTGTTAGTACAAAAATAGATTTGTGTGCAGTACCTAAGCCTTATTATCAATGTGCAACAAATGATGCGCGACTGTAACAACCAGCACTACCAGGCAACAGGAGGCATGGGTATACAGTATACTAGCGAAAAAAACAAACATCGCTTAATTTAGCACAGGCTATTCCACGTTAATTTCCGGTCTTCCTAATTGAGGTTTGAAAGTACCCAAATAGCCATTTACGACACTATATGCTGGTTTTATGAGATTTAAAAGATTTAGTACTTTGAACGTTTGCGACCATGCAAATCGTCCTATTTCTTGATACACTCATATTTTTCTCAGAATATGAAATTACATTTGACATTCCGATCAAATGAACTATATACCACTTGGAATCTTTGATCCATGTAAAATAGAAAGTTAATCTACATTTGCGACGCAAAGGAATGTTGGATTACCACAATTCTCAAGAAAATATTTGCTATTTTGTACGCAGCCAAAATGAAGAAGGGCTGTGCAGGAATTCGATAATGTAAGCCCCCATAGTTCATTAAGACTACTACAAGAGGGGAGATAAAAGTGTATGTGAAAGTTTCACTTTTCATATACGTGGATTAACATTTAGAATTCCTAAGTGTGAAGCACACACTTGATTGAGTGGTTTAGATAATTTGCATACGTATAGTTTTTTTTTTTATCTAGTTTCAATTTAGTTTCATTTAGCTCCTGACAGTGACACACCATGATATTTTGAAAGTTGGTGGATTACAATCACTTTTGTGAATAAAGTCTTACGATTTGTAGTTGAATATCGACTTTTGTACTGAAAAAAAGGCAAGACTTCATAATCTGTGTATGATATGTAGAGAATGCGTACGACAGAGGTTATTTTCGTGGCAAAACAATCAAATATGAGTATCACCTGGTTTCTGAATATTGTACAAGGACTATATTTGGAATGAAATGAAATGTATCGAGTTTTAGATCATATGGACAATTGTAAAAGTTCTATTATGTTTGAAATTTACTATGACGTAGAAGTAGAGACGCGGCAGATGAAACTAACAATACGAAATTCACATTCAAATATGGAATAGTAGACTAATTGTGTTACATAGTTCATGGAAACGCGTCAATTGATTGATCTCAATACCAAGTGGAAGTAAAATAGAAATTGATTTGAAATCAAACCCGAACCATTCAAATTACATACCAATGTATATCACTCCACCTTAATATCGAGTGAAATGTGGATTACTAAATGGAATTATTCTGGAATCATTAAACGGCATTACTTACATATCAATAAATCCAAAGTCAAACCAACATGCGGTTTTTGATAATATTAAGATTCTTAAATTATTTTTGTAAAATATCTCATACAGCTTAGGTACCAGGATCGTTTACTATCCTAATTCTAACATCCACTTAAGGGAACAATAGAGTGAATCGTTATTCATTTTTAGACTTGTCAATTGAATGGGGGTAACATCCAAAAACAAAAAGAGTTTTTGCTCATATTATCACGATTGTGTAAAAGTTAAATTGTAAGATATGTGGTAGGGGTTAGCAATGATACGAAACCTTACAAAATGCGGATTGATGGATATAAACCAAGAGTTGATTTGTCCAATGAAATCCGTTTTCGCCGAATTTACTACACCCCCTATCCGCGTTTTTCCCAAAATTATAAAATACAATAACATTTAGAGAGTGATAAAAACACATTTGAATGCAATTTGAATTATAATTAGTTTAGATAGGTATAGCGATATTGGACTCAAAAGATAGCTACATTCACACCGATATGATTTATTTCCTACAATACCCCCCTTTACTAAACAAGTTTCGACTAAATCAACCAAATAAACCTCGTCAAATCGTGCATGTGAATATAGTTACACGTGCATATTTTCGCCGAAATTTCGCCGGGTGTATTTGTGGCTATAAACTTGCAACCAATAAAATCTTATTCCCACCTATTGTTTAAAAAATACCGCAGTAACCGTAAAGGAACTCGCCACCTATATAAGATAGAGCAGATGTCCTCTACTTTGTCTCACTGTTATTTTATCTCCAGTCATTTGTATTCTATACATCTATTTTATTTAATCATATCCTAATGTCTGCCTCAATTAAATTCAACTCTGAAAAGTCTGTTAAGAAGGACAATACTCTCTACACCAAGTTTACATATGAGAGCTCAGTTGTGGAAACTCTGGAAGCTGGAACTTTCTCTGTTACCCCAACAAGCACTGACTACCAATTCAAGGTTGACTTGGAAACCCCAAAGACCGGGTTACTCTTGGTTGGTTTAGGTGGTAACAATGGTACCACTTTAGTTGGTTCTGTTCTTGCCAACAAGCACAACATTTCTTTTGAAAATAAGGAAGGTGTTGTAAAGCCAAATTATTACGGTTCTGTCACTCAATCATCCACTCTTAAGTTGGGTGTTGACAAGGAAGGTAACGATGTTTATGCTCCATTCAACTCTATCTTACCATTTGTACACCCAAATGATTTTGTTGTTGGTGGATGGGATATCAGTAACGCTAATCTTGCCCAAGCCATGAAGAGAGCTCAAGTTTTGGATGTTACTTTGCAAAAGCAATTGTATCCTCACATTGAACTGATTACTCCTTTACCATCAGTGTACTATCCAGATTTCATTGCCATTAACCAAAAAGAACGTGCCAACAACGTTTCTAATGTTGATGAAAACGGTGAAGTCTCCACTAAAAACAAATGGGCTGATGTCGAAAAGGTTAGAAAGGATATCAAGGATTTCAAGGAAAAGAATAAGCTTGACAAGGTTGTTGTATTGTGGACAGCCAACACTGAAAGATTCTCTGAACTTATTCCAGGTGTCAATGATACTGCCGACAACTTGCTTGAAGCCATTAAGAATAACCATGATGAAGTTTCTCCATCTACTGTTTTCGCTGTTGCTTGTATCTTGGATAAGATTCCTTACATTAATGGATCTCCTCAAAATACTTTTGTTCCAGGTGCTATTGAATTGGCTGAGAAGCACAAGAGTTTTATTGGAGGTGATGACTTTAAGTCTGGTCAAACAAAGATCAAGTCCGTTTTGGCCCAATATTTGGTTGATGCTGGGATCAGACCCGTGTCCATTGCTTCCTACAACCATTTAGGTAACAATGATGGTTACAACTTGTCTTCTCCATTACAATTCAGATCCAAGGAAATTTCCAAGGCATCTGTCGTTGATGATATCATTGAAAGTAATCAAATCTTGTACAACAAGGAAAAGGGTGACAAGATTGACCATTGTATTGTCATCAAGTATTTGCCAGCAGTAGGGGATTCAAAGGTTGCAATGGATGAATACTATTCTGAATTGATGTTGGGTGGACATAATAAGATTTCTATTCACAATGTCTGTGAAGATTCTCTTTTAGCTACACCATTGATTATTGATTTGGTTGTTATGACAGAATTTTTATCTCGTGTTCATTACAAGAAGGAATCTGATTCTGATGATAAATATGAAGATTTCTACGCAGTTTTAACTTTATTAAGTTACTGGTTAAAGGCACCATTATCAAAGCCAGGCTATAAGCCAATCAATGGATTGAACAAACAGCGTTTAGCCATTGAAAACTTGTTACGTCTTTTAGTTGGTTTACCAGTTAATAATGATTTGAGATTTGAAGAAAGATTAGTTTAAGTATCAAACACAAATTTAATAAATATAATTAATATGAGAGAAAGAGTAAATAAAACTTTAGTAGTATCATTAGTAACAATTGATCTATTCACTTATCCTTGTGACTGAAAATAATGTTATATTTGTTACGATCTCGTAATTTCGGATTTGCAGCCGGTCCTGTGCATAAACAGAAAATGGCCATCGCCTGCATGTAACATTCATCTAATTAAAATTACTTTTCCCCTTTTCCTTTTGTTTCAGATCGTAAATCTCCTCTAAATAATCCGATGACAGGTTTTTTTTCCTTATCAATTATGAATATAAATACTACGTTTCTTAATGTTGCACTCCCTTCCTTGGTAAAATTCAAGAAATATTTGGCTGTAAAAGTGACAACAATTTTTAGATCCTAGCTAATTTCCTATTTTGGAAATGTCCCGAGGTTGTGTATTGTTCGCTCCCTATGTTTCTATTGTGCATGTTAGATCCCCACTCGAGAATAAATTTGTTGGGTATTTTTTTGCACCAACAGATCGAAATCCTGCACAGACGCATCATTTTGCTGCAATGTTTAGTGTTTGAGCTCTGGGCACATAGATTGTTGGAAGCAAGGGGAGCCGAAGAAAGAAAGTATAAAGGTCATTTTGGTCGCTAAAAATGAATGTGAAGTTTAAGGGAATAGTTGGGGTGGCAAAATCGCGGTATCGAGAAGATGTTGAATGTTTCAATTGGGAGATGTTGGATTTCCCATGTGAATGATGGCACTTATTAGAATTCATTGGGATGGAATATATTTTTTTATTATTTAGTCTCCATCATATATATATTTCTGAAACCCGTAGTATTTAGTTGTCCCCTCATACTGTTCTCTATAGGGCATCAATTTACATCACTCCACTTGTAAAACATTTTATTTTTCCTTGGATAGTCACACTTGTGTACGATTATTATTATTTCTTGGAAATCAAACTTCAATTTAAGACGCACTTCAGTTCAGAGAACACTTAGCCTGCGTATATATTCACCCCGCTGTTTACACTCTACTACCGAGGGGTTGATCTGTGTCCTAAAAATACAAAATTAATTCACTTATCTATATATATACCCGTTTCAGTTACCCCCTTTTCTGACTTTTGAGAGCAATCCAAAAAGCGTGCATTTTATCTCGTCTGACATCTTGTGGCTTTGTATTACTTAAAGGAAACACTGTCTACCATCCTGAAGCCAAAAGACAACTTTCCCCAATCCCGAAAAACAAACTTAAGGTTACTATAATTTCCGTGGCATTTGCATAACACCCCCCACAAAACTTTACTCGTTAAAGAAGTTTTGCCCCCTCACAATTGCATCCATTTCCATTCATATTTGTTCTGTTGCCGTTCCCTAAAGTTTTTTTTTTTTTAATTTTTAATTTTTAATTTTTTATTGTTCTAGTTGCCCCGAAACACTATCTGTTTCTCCCATCCCATATTTGTTTTTTTTTCCCTTAAAAAAAGCAGATAAACAAGAATTATCATCCATATAATTACCAATGGTTGCTCTTACTGTTCCAGTTGGTGAAGCCAAGGCTGGCGAAACCGCCCCTAGAAGAAGAACCGCTCAAAAGGACGCTGCTTTAGTTCGTCCACTCGACTCGAAGGCTTCCACCTTGCCTGAATTCTTTGAAGAAAGTGTCAAAAAGAATGGCACTCGTAACGCCATGGGTTGGCGTGATCTCATCGACATTCATGTCGAAAAGAAGGAAATCACCAAGGTTGTCAAGGGTAAAGAACAAACTGTGGAAAAGGAATGGATTTTCTATGAAAACTCACCATATCGCTATTTGTCTTACCCAGATTTACTCACTTTGATCAATGATTATGGTAGAGGTCTTGTTGCTCTTGGATTGAAGCCAAACCAAGAAGATAAGGTTCATATTTTTGCTCAAACTTCTCAAAAGTGGATGCAAACTTATTTGGCCACTCAAACCCAATCTATTCCAATTGTCACTGCTTATGACACTTTGGGAGAATCTGGTTTGACCCATTCTTTGGTTCAAACTGAATCTAATGCAATTTTCACCGATAACACTCTTTTGACTCAATTGGTTAAGCCATTACAAAAGGCCAAGAGTATCAGATATATCATCCATGGTGATGAAATTGATCCTAATGACAAGCGTCAAGGTGGTAAGATGTACTCATCTGCTAAGCAAGCAAAGGAAAAGATTTTGGAAGTTAGACCAGATATCAAATTTTATTCCTATAATGAAGTTATTGCCTTGGGTAAGAAGAATAAGGATATTCCATTCAACTCTCCAAAGCCAGAAGATTTGAGTTGTATCATGTACACCTCTGGTTCCACTGGTGACCCTAAGGGTGTCGTTATTTCTCATGAAAACATTGTTGCTGCCATTGCCGGTGTTTCATGTGTTGCTGGTAGAGATTTGGTCAAGAGAGGTGATAGAATTATTGCCTTCCTCCCACTTGCTCACATTTTCGAATTAGTTTTCGAACTTATGACCTTCTGGTGGGGTGGATGTCTTGGTTATGCCAACGTTAAGACCTTGACTGACACTCTGTGCCGGAACTGTCAATCAGACTTGTCTGAATTCAAGCCAACTATTATGGTTGGTGTAGCAGCTGTGTGGGAATCTGTGAGAAAGGGAGTTTTGGCTAAAGTTGCCAAGGTCCCATCATGGAAGCAAAAGTTACTTTGGCTGGCCTTCAAGGCTAAGCAAACCTTTGCCAACTATAAGATCCCTGGTGGAGGAATCTTTGATGTTGTTTTCAAGGAAATCAAGTCTGCTACTGGTGGTCATTTGAGAGTTGTGTTGAACGGTGGTTCTCCAATTTCTCAAGATGCTCAAGTCTTTATCTCCACTCTTATTGCTCCTATGCTTGTGGGATATGGTTTGACCGAAACATGTGCCAATACCACCGTTGTTGAACATAATCACTTTGAATATGGTGTTTGCGGTACATTGACTGGTGCAGTGACTGCCAAGTTGGTTGATGTAGATGATGCTGGTTATTTTGCCAAGAATAACCAAGGTGAAGTTTTATTAAAGGGTAAGTGTATTACCAACGAATACTACAAAAATGAAAAGGAAACTGCTGATAGTTTCACTCATGATGGTTGGTTCAGAACTGGTGACATTGGTGAATGGACTGCTAATGGTGCCTTGAAGATTATCGACCGTAAGAAGAATTTGGTTAAGACTTTGAATGGTGAATATATTGCATTGGAAAAGTTGGAAGCTATTTACAGATCCAACCCTCTTGTTTTGAACTTGTTGGCTTATGCTGATCAAACCAAGGTTAAGCCAATTCTTATTGTATTGCCAAATGAAGCTCACTTGAAGAGTTTCTTGGCCAAGGAAGGTATTTACTCTGAATCAGAATTAAAGTCCAAGGACTTGTCATATTTGTGTGAAGACGAAAAGGTTCACTCTGTTGTATTGAAGAGTTTGTTACAAACCGGTAAGTCTCAAGGTTTGAAGGGTATTGAATTGATTCAAAACATTGTTTTGCTGGATGATGAATGGACTCCACAAAATGGTTTTGTTACATCTGCACAAAAGTTGCAAAGAAAGAAGATTTTAGCTGCCTCCCAAGAACAGGTTGATCAAGCTTACGCCGACTCGTAAGTAGATAACATTTAGAGATTTGTCTCTTAGGTATGATTTATAGTTAATATTGAATATAATGTATATGAAATTGAATGTAAAATATTTGAAGATTACGGATAGGTTTATTATTTAATAGGAAGTGCTGCAATATCCCAATAATAAATAATTTAATCAACACAATTACCACATTTCTGATAACAAATTTACACATGCATGTATAATTAATCTACAGTCTTTGAAGTATTTTTTATCGTTTAATATTCTTTATTAAATATTCTATGAGATTAACCTCCATAAACCCCCTTGAAACAATCCTTAATCTGCGGAATATTCATTCTATCACGTAAACATAATTGAAGAAGAATTCTACTCTTTTGTGGATTAAGGTACCCTCCAGCAATATTATTTAAAAATGGTGATTTTGTACCATCTTCAGCTTCAAATTGTACTGGAAGTGACGCCTTTGGTACCATTCCATCTTGAGAACGTTTAGAATAAACAATTGGAATGCCTCTTGAATGTGCTAATCTTCCAGTAAAATCATTGGTTTTAGCACTTAAGGAACCAGCACCCATAGTAGCAAACACCAAACCTTCAGCTTCTAATTCATCTATAGCCAATTGTATAAGTCTATTATTAAGTTGTTGATGTGCGTATATAATTGGAACCTCCGGGAGGGTCGAACCTGCGGTGAGGTGGAAATAAGTAATCCCTAAAGGTTTAGCTGGTGGGAAATAATAATGAATTTCATTATTGACAAAATGACCTAAATCTCCATTATTACTTGATTTGAATGTATCCAATGAATTTGCATTTGATTTGGTGATATGGAATCCAGATCCAATTCGATCGTTGAGTGCTACCAAAACCCCACGCGCACGTGAAGATCTATTGGCTGCAATGACAATGGCCTGATACAAATTCATTGGTCCATCTGAAGAAATCGCAGTAGATGGACGCATTGATCCACATAATACAATTGGTTTATTGGTATTTACAGTTAATTGAAGAAAAAAAGCAGTTTCTTCCATAGTATCAGTACCATGAGTAATGACAAATCCATCATATTTAGATAAATCTTCAATAATTTTCAGATGTAAAAGTAAAAGCTCTGGGGTACCCATTTCTTTAGAATCAACATTAAGTACCTGTTCATACTCCAAGTTACAAGTAGTAGAAAGATCAGGAATCGTGCTGATAAGATCTTCAATCGTCAAATCGACTTCATACCCAGCGGTCTGATGTGCTGTGGCCCCCTTGGATGCTATAGTTCCTCCAGTCCCCAATACTTTAATTGTTGGTAACCCTTCAGAAATCGATCCTGTATCTGAAAAATTTGTACTCACTATGGAGTTTGATCGGTATTTGATTCTGAATAAGGGTCTATGGGTATGATGATGATCATCTTCTTCAATCTCATATTCTGATGTTACACCTTCAGATTGGTTAAACTTGGTCATTCTGTTTATATCCTATAACAAAAAAAAGAGAAAATCTTACTAGTTTCAAAGATGCCTATACTAACGGCTTTTTTTTAAGCGGGAAAGTGGGGAAGGGTAGCCCGATGCATGGAGAGTCAGCTGACACCAGTCAGGTGCGCACAACAAACACTTTCTTTTGTGTCTTTTACCAGTATTGCCTTTGTAATCAAATTTGAAACTAAAGTGATAATCCTTTCAAATAATCTTATCAGAAAATCTTTAATTAATATGGGAATTTTTGCTAAAGAAGAAGATAAGCCATCGCTTCCTCCAAACAAGGTTAAGAGAAAGGAATGTTGGGAAAAAAGAGATCTTTTTTTTGAATGTCTCACTGCCAATAATATCGATAATTCTTTAGATCCAAAGCAAGAGAACAAGGTTAAATCCGAATGTGGCGCTCTTAGAACTGAATTTGAAAATAAGTGTGTGGCCAGTTGGTTCAAGTACTTCCAGGAGAAGAGATACAGTGACTTGATCCGCCAAAGATACATTGCAAAGCTTGAATCGGAGGGCGCTCAACCATTGCCATTTAAGCTTGGTTCTAGATAGGTCTATAAGTTCATCGATCTTTTGCTCTATTCTATCTTGTATATATTTAAAATGAACGGTTTATGTAAATGATATGTACGGTTGTAATCTTAATTAACTTTTTTTTTTGAATGTTCTCTCTATGCAGCAGTAATCATGACTGGTTCACGACTTACTATTTGGATATCGGCATCAAGAATAGTGCCCCATTCATATTGGCCACGTTCAAGGATGGTGAAACTGAGGTCTTCCACCATAGTTTCCCCTGGTTTGATTGGTTTGACAACTTTTTGAAGCACACCATGAACTAGTACTCGACGATCAATGTTAAGTTGAGGTCTAATATACCCACTATGATGAGGTTGATGTTGCAAATCTGAAAGAATAGGGAGATGTCGAAGTACCCCAGATATTTCTCTTGTAGATTCATTGCAAACTATCGTTCGAAGTGTATAGAATTCTTCAGTTTGCAATTCATAATTGCTTCCATCCTTAATCATGCCATTCCTAATCATTTTGCCTCCATTCTCCATATATACTTCATGCTTTATATGAATGGTTGATTTGGTTAAAGTTTTGACCATTCTTGAACTCAATCTTAAGGCACGTAAATCAATAATACCAGATCGATTGGATCCATCAATTTTCTCAGATGTACTCCAATCCCCCAGTAATCTTTCTAATATGGTTTCTCTTAACCAAAATGTTTCTCTCATACTCATTTCTTCATCGTCAGACATCAGGTAATTCTTCACGAACTGCTTGTTTGACAATGAAGGAATCCTTTTAGTAACTTCAACGTCATGATCCGAGATTCTATGTACCGGGATAAAAAATCTTGCAGCCTTCCCAGCTTCAATTTTTTCACTAATGACATATTCAAAACCTTCAAATTTATATTCCAAATGAGTCCAAAGAGTCTCTTGCCAACTATTCTTTAAATCAACCAGTAAGACACAAAAGTCAGAAATTTGTTTCTCACGAGAGAAGAACTCCAATACTTGAGCGATGCTCTTATGACTAGATTGTAACTTTTCCAATTGGGATTGAGCCCCATTATTTTGAAGCTCATCCACCCAAGTTTCAACCAAGGGGAATATGTCAAATGCTATCATTTCCATCGACGGTAATATAGTTAATTGAAGGGGGACATGAACAAATTTAACAAAACTTTTCAACGGAGTCTCTTGATCTTTATTGGAATATTCCAAGATCATTTTCAGTTCACGAATTCCTCTTTTCCCCGTGATTTCATATTCAATTACAAGATCATCTTGTGGTAAAATGGTTCTATACTTATCAGTGATTTCATCCTTATTGGTGATTCTGAAAGGCTTGAATTTCACTAGGTACCACTCAAGTTCATACACATCGGAAGCAGGTAATTGTAAACTAGTTGCAGCGGAAAGTCTTGCATTGAGTTGATCAATAGTAGAATCCCAGAATGAAAAGGAAAGATAATTAATTTCTTCAGATGAGACGTTACTGAGTCTAATCAGAAAGTTATATTTCTCACCTTGTAAAAGCATCAACCAACCGTTATCAATCAGCATACTTGTCAATGAAAGTGAAGGTTGTGGCTTGATGACATAGAGGGTAAGAGATTGCGTCGAAGTCCGAGCATCAACTTTATTGTCCTGTAAATTATCGATTAACGTCGTGAGTGTATCAGTTTCTGAAGTTGTGTTATGTACTTTAATTTTGGAAAGGTTAGTAACCAGTTCTTCATCAATTATTTGAAATAATTGACTTGTACAATTACACATTGACACTTTGAATCCAACGATACGAAGTTCCCCGACTGACTGTGGTTTGAAGGGGACAACGAATTGACGTGATGAGTTTGGTGCAATATACATCGATGAAAGTGATTGTGGGATCGATGAAATGGCATTGGCATTAATGTTGATTGCAGTGGGGACTCTTTGTTTGGTGGTGTTGGAGTTCAGAAGTAAAGGTTTTTTCCTACCGCCAGGGGTACCAGGAGTAACTGGGAAATTAGTTTGCACTACTGAACTTACCGGTCTTAGTAATTGTTTTAAGGTTTCCACTTGAACTTCTCCTTCTGTTTCAATGGTCACATCATTGACCTCCACTTCAAATGCAAATGGGTTTTGTAACGTCACTTTCAAATGATATGTATCATCTTTGATCAACAATTTGTCACGATCCATTGACTCGTGACGTTTAGTCTTGTCATATGGATTGAAAACAAAAGGCTTTGTTGACGACGTATTTGCGGATTTCTTCTCCGCAAGGAGTCCCTCTCCTCCCTTCATGTTCTCAGTGAATGGCACCAATTCTTCTGTAGCTCTACTACTAATGAACTTAACACCACGTACCAAATATGGGTCCCAATATGGACTAGATATGGCAAGGTTATTCCGTTTAGCAAATTGCAGAATTGAATCAAATTTGTTCTTGATTTCTACTTGATCTTCAGATGAAAGACAATGAGTGAATCTAGTTAAAAGCACAGTACAAATTCTTATGGCATATGCCCAATCCGCCACTGCCTCACAAAGACGGAGACAAAGTTTCAATAATGGAACTTGGATAGTGTGCCAACTAGTCTCTGCGTTATTATTTGCGTCCGAAGAACTGCTCTCTGGTTCAAGAGCAATGCCGTACACTTTGAAAAGGTCTTCCAAAATGTCCCTGAACCCATACAGCTCAGCCAGTCCATCTTCAAAAGAAATGGAGGATACTGATGAAATACTATTACTCAAATCCTGAGTATTTTTTTCAAGTTGTGGAAGAACTCCCATAAGTAAAATTCTCAAGATGAATGCTCGTTTCCGTTCAAGACCCAAGTCTGAATATACACTGGCTAAGGCACAATAGACCCGACATTGTTGGATGGTGTCTAGATCAGCCAATTGAAGTGAAAATACCTTTTCAAGTTCACGTAGGATCTCTTGTTTGGAGAAAATTGGAGATGTGGTAGATGTGACAGTTCCACCAACTTTCACCGGTGGTTGTGGGGTAGAATTGACAATATTGTCGATAACTTCCGGAGTGAACTCCCCACCGAGATAGACATGAACCATAAACTTGATGTACCGGAATAACGTGTCCACATAGACAAGATCAGGGACCATATTTTCAAAATCATTTGTACTTAAATGGTAACATTGGAAGGCTTTCGACAGAGTGAATCGTATGAACTCTGGCACTGGAAGAGCGTCGAGGTTATCTGAGTTTGAAGGATGGAAGTTGGCAATACTGCTTGCGGTAGAGTTTCTAGGGGAGTACACAGAAGTTCTTCTAGTTTGTGAAGATTCTGATGAATGACGATCATTTTCTGGGAGGTGGAGATTAAGTCCAGTCAGTATCAGAAGTCTATTTTTCGGCACTTGTAAGATTGAGTGCAACAACGTTGAAGGGATTTGATAATTAATCCCAAGATGCAGTAAAAGTAAGGTACACACAGATATGCCTTCAAGAGAGCTCCCAAGCCAAAGTTGATCGTCACATTTCTTGAGCGCTATGCTTGCTTCAGTGAAGTGGTGTAGGGCATCTGAGTACATCCCAGCAAGTAAGTAGAAGTTCCCCATGAGTTTTGCCTGACGTCCCGCTTGTCTTGACGGTTTCGATTTATCTATACTGGCCAACGACCCTCCATTATTGGATTGTCCCGAACCACTTCCTCCGACTCCTATGCCTCCACCACCGTTGGAGGATATGCTGATACTGGTGCTACTACCGTTTTTGAAAGAACTGGAACTGAGTCTCTTTTGTGCCTTGGCAATGGTTCTTGGGAGCATTTGACTGGTGTTACTGATCGATACGGGTGATCGAAGTGTGATGTTTGTATATGACGATGCGTAGTTATCTAACGCAATGAGAAAGTTGTCGGCCACGCCACACATGAGTGACTGAATGCAATTTGGACCCGTATGATAGAATAATGATTTCAGGGAATGATCATTGGGAGGCAGAAGTCGATCAATTTGGTCAGTTGGGGTATCGAAAACAATCGAGTTGTGGATGATAGCCGTAGGATGAGCCTTGGCCAAATCGATCAAGTCTGAAGGTACCGTGTCACAGTATTTGGAGAGACCCAACACGACAAATTCCTTACGGAATGGTTCAAAATCATGAAGAAATAACGATTCAGATTCTGGAGAAGTTGTTACAAATTCGAATTTTATCCGGCCCTGGGGGAATGATTGGGCATTGAAATACCTAAGATCGGGTCTTGCAGTCATATCAAGAAGTCGTACTTCAGAGGCCCCGGCCCGGATCGTTTCCATGTACCGATCAAAATCTCCTCTAGTGCAACCATGAGTCGGTACCACCAATACCCGTACAGTCGCGGGAATGATGTAGGAGTAATTGGACATGATAAATAATACGTGAGTACAAAAAACCCAATTAGAAATGTTTTGTCCCGGACTACCAAAGAAAATAAAACTAATCTACTGGTGGGTTTAATTCACTAGTTGAATCACTGACCTTAGTCTACTAGATCCAGTATGTTCCTGACTGTGGTCGTCTGTTGGTAACACGTCTTGGACCCATATTGGGGCACAGACACGACCCGCACAGAAATCACAGATTTCGCACATTTGAACCACACGATTGAGGAAGGCAAATCTCAAAAGAATCCAACCTGAACCCAAGATATTGAATTGATTACTGGCTTGATTACCCTCCTCCTGTTCATTCCCGATTACTGCTCGCCATCCGATTGAGTGAAAAATAAACTAAACAATAGAATACAACTAGATATACACACACGAACATGCCCGGTTTAAGTTTTGATAACTACCAAAGAAACCATTTTTTGACCACCAAGGGATTTGGTGCCCCCACCGCTACTTCCACCGGTACTACCATTGTGGGATGTAAGTTCAAAGGAGGGGTTGTCATTGCCGCCGACACAAGAGCCACTGCTGGCCCCATTGTGGCCGACAAGAACTGTGAAAAGCTTCATAGACTCGCCCCCAAGATCTGGTGTGCTGGTGCAGGTACCGCCGCTGATACAGAAATGGTCACACAACTCATAGCGTCCAATTTGGAACTTCATTCTCTTTCGCAGAACCGTCAACCAAGAGTCATCACCGCCTTGACCTTGTTGAAGCAACACTTGTTCAAATATCAAGGACATTTGGGTGCATACCTTATTGTTGCTGGTACTGACCCCACTGGAGCCCATCTTTTGTCTGTGCAAGCACATGGTTCCACCGACATTGGCCAATACCAATCGTTGGGTTCTGGTTCTCTTGCAGCCATGGCTGTGTTGGAAAGTCATTGGGTGCCTGACATGACCAAGGAGGAAGCCATGAAGCTTTGTGCTGATGCCATTGAACTGGGTATTTGGAACGATTTAGGATCTGGTTCCAATGTTGACTTGTGTGTCATGGAAGTTGGTAAGGATGCTGAATTATACAGAAACTACTTGACTCCTAACGTGAGAGCTGAAAAGGCTAGATCTTATAAGTTTGCCAGAGGAACCACTGGGGTTTTACGTGAAAGTGTACGTGATATATTGCATGTCGAAGAAACAGTGATAACTTTTGCTGATCAAATGGAAGTTGATGCTTAGAACGAATGAGATAAAGAAGAAGAAGAAGAAGAAGAATTGAAGAATTGAAGTTGAAGAAAGTTAAATATTTGAAAAATTTAAACAAGATTAATTTTTTTATTATTGAGTAGATATTAAGTAGATTAGAACTATATAGTAACCAGATCTAGCTAAATTGAATCTTCTATAGTAGAATATATCTATCATATATATCTAATTCTCTACACCAAACAACATTCTAGAATGTTCTTTTGTGGTCTTATATACACTCCATGACATATATAGGCTACATATCATGGATATATGTTTCCATTGATCTATACAATATAAACCACATTATAAACATTAAAAATGGTCGTGAATAATCCTAACAACTGGCATTGGGTCGATAAGAACTGTATTGACTGGACAAGAAATTATTTCAATGAAAAACTTTTACAATTAACCGTTGAGGATGGAAAGCAACTGGTTGGAATTAAATCTATTTCATCGGTTGAAGGTGACGTTGAAGTATGTCAACGTAAGGGGAAAGTGATTTCATTATTTGACTTGAAATTGACGCTTGAGATTGGAGGAGTTGCTGGAGAATCCGAGAGTCCTTTCAAAGGTTCTATTGTTATTCCTGAATTGGCTTACGATACCACTGAAGATGAATTACAATTTGATGTCAGTATTTACAATGAAGACAAGGAAAATGAAGGTATGAGATCTGTAGTCAAGTCCAAATTGATCCCACAATTGCGTCAAGCCTTGGGACGTTTTGGTAAGGATTTAATTTCCACTCATAGTGAAGATATTCAATTATCTGAAGATAAGGTCAATTCTGCCTTTACCAAGGAAAATCAACAAAAAAGTGGGTCAACTGCTGCTCCAGCTAAGACTACACCAGCTCCAACTAAGGCTGCTCCAGCTGTTGTAAAGACTGCCCCAACTCCTGCAAAGGCTACTTCTACTGAAAGTTCCAACTCTTCCATTCCAAAGTATAACACTGCTACTCTTCATTTGGAGCCAACTTTCAACACCACTGCTGAGCAATTGTACATCACTTTGCTTGACCCTGCGCGTCTTGCCGCATGGACCCGTTCACCACCACAAATCGATGCGTTCCCTCCAGCTGAAGGTTCATCTTTCAAGCTCTTTGGTGGCTCGATCTCTGGTAAACTTACCAAGTTGGTCACCAACGAACGTATCACCCAACTCTGGAGATTGGATGACTGGAAGTCTGGTCACTACGCGCAATTGGATATCCAGTTGGTTCAAGGGGCCGGTGAAACCAAGATGGTTGTAAAATGGTCAGGAATCCCAATTGGTGAAGAAGATCGTGTTCGTGGTAACTTTGAGAATTACTACATTAGATCCATCAAGATTACTTTTGGATTTGGTGCTGTATTGTAGATAGAATGAAATAAAGAATGAGTATATATTATGAAGAAGGAGGTGTAGAAACTCAATTGTAGTCTACCCAAACAATTGAGGAGATAAATTGTGTACTTCGGCAACGAGTAGTCTCGTCACTCTACGGAGATTGTAAGACGCTCCGCTGGCCCCTACTCGGGGAGAGCCACTGCGTGGTGCCTAGCTCCTCTACAGGACACTTGTAAAAGCATTCCTCGGTAGAGGAACATGGCCACCACGGCTAGTGGCCCACGGAGTGCCAGCGGAGCGGCTTACATGCCCCGTAGAGTGGCAAGCTTATCTCCCTGTGGGGCTGTACGACGCTCCGCTGGCCCCTGCTCGGGGAGAGCCACTGCATGGGGCTTAGCTCCTCTACGAGGAGATATTTGCAGCCTACTACGAAGTCACACACTCGACTGTTTTCTCTCTATCTATTTGTTTCTATTTTTCTTTGGAAAAGTAAGTACATGTGTATATCACATCTCTAATACTACTGTAGATAACCAACTCTTCCTAGCTAATGCCATTCTCTAGAAACTTTCCAAATCCGAGTCAAGAAATTTCGAGCCAAGCTAATTGAAAAATTTGCCCTCCCTCACAAAACCACCTAACGTTTTTTTTTTTTTTTTCTTCACTGTTTTTGCTGCCCTACATTTGTCCTTGCCCATGGCATTGCACTCAACTTCTCTCTATCACTCTCTGGATCATCCAATTGATCATATTTCATCAATGAATTCCGCCCCCACCATCTTCATGTAGCCGCGCGGAATCTCTCAATTAAACTAATTGAACCGGAATTCAAAACTTCCGGGCTACTTCTCACCTACCAAGAACCACCAACATACTTTGAATTTTAATAGACAAACCATATTTTCCTAAAAATATAAATCAGACTAACCTCCACGCATAGACATGCTCATCACGGTACATATTGGGAAATCTAAAATTTTCAACAACACGTTTGTGTTATATATACTATGGTATCTTTATCTAATTCCGGGCACCGATGGAGATAACGAGGGAATTTTTATCCGAATCCGGTAGGCCAACGAGAACCAAATTTCGCATATAAATTGTTCATGCCAGTTCATCGATTTGAAACTACCAGTACTCTTTCTTTATAGAAAACCTAATCAATTCTACTTATAATGTCTGACACCACCGGAAAAGTATGTATTCTATAAGCCAATATGTGGTTGGGTATTGGGATGAGTGAGAACCACCAAGGTGGCATCATCCGATCCCAATTCCGATCCCGATCCCAATCATGGCATTTTTAATTTCTCTTCCCGCTTTTGTGACTAACCAACCAGACCATCACATGTAAGGCCGCTGTTGCCTGGGAAGCAGGTAAGCCATTGTCTATCGAAGACATTGAGGTTCTCCCACCTCGTGCCCATGAAGTACGTATCAAGATTCTTCACACCGGTGTTTGTCACACTGATGCCTACACCTTGAGTGGTGTTGATCCTGAAGGTGCCTTCCCAGTGGTTTTGGGTCATGAAGGTGCTGGTATTGTTGAATCTGTCGGTGAAGGTGTCACCAACGTCAAGGTTGGTGACCACGTTGTTGCCCTCTACACCCCAGAATGTGGCGAATGTAAGTTCTGTAAGTCTGGTAAGACCAACTTGTGTGGTAAGATCAGAGCCACCCAGGGTAAGGGTGTCATGCCAGACGGTACTTCTCGTTTCAAGGCCAAGGGTAAGGACTTGTTGCACTTTATGGGATGTTCCACCTTCTCTCAATACACTGTTGTTGCTGACATTTCTGTTGTTGCCGTCAACCCAGAAGCCAAGCCAGATAGAACTTGTTTGTTGGGTTGTGGTATCACCACCGGTTACGGTGCTGCCACCATCACCGCCAACGTGCAAAAGGGTGACAACGTTGCCGTCTTTGGTGCTGGTTGTGTTGGTTTGTCTGTAGTTCAAGGTGCCCTTGAAAGAAAGGCTGCCAAGATCATTGTCATTGATATCAATGATAAGAAGGAAGAATGGGCCACCAAGTTTGGTGCCACCGACTTTGTCAACCCTACCAAGCTTCCTAAGGGTACCACCATTGTCGACAAGTTGATTGAAATGACCGACGGTGGTTGTGACTACACTTTTGACTGTACTGGTAACGTCAATGTTATGAGAGATGCCTTGGAAGCATGTCACAAGGGTTGGGGTACCTCCATTGTCATTGGTGTTGCTGCCGCCGGTAAGGAGATCTCCACCAGACCATTCCAATTGGTTACCGGTAGAGTGTGGAAGGGTGCCGCCTTTGGTGGTGTCAAGGGTAGATCCCAACTTCCAGGCATTGTTGACGACTACATGGAAGGTAAGTTGAAGGTTGATGACTTCATCACCCACAGACACCCATTGGAGGGCATCAACAAGGCCTTTGACGATATGCATGCTGGTGACTGTATCAGAGCTGTCATTGACTTGTGAAGCCAGCAGCCGGCACAAAAGGGCAAACTATCGAAATTGTCCAATTTGTCCAGATTGTAGGGTGCCGGGCGCAGGTCCTACGATTAGTATAGAGGAGTAATAGTGGAATAGAGGAGATTAAAATGATTAGACTTTGTAGGTGATTGTAGAATTGTGCTTCCTCGGTAGAGGAACAGGGCCTCCGCGGCTAGTGGCCCACGGAGTGCCAGCGGAGCGGCTTACAGACCCCGTAGGGTAAGGAGCTAGTCTCCCTGCGGGACTTCAGGACGCTCCGCTGGCCCCTACTCGGGGAGAGCCACTGCGTGGTGCTTAGTTCCTCTACGTGGAGTCAGTTCATAGTCACGTGATTTCTCCGTAGCCACCACGGGCTTGTGACCCAGGAGTGCCAGCTTAGGAGCGTCTCACAGACCCCGTTGGGTGTATCGGTCTACGAGGAGCGTTCTTCCTCGTTAGAGGAACAGGGCCTCCACGGCTAGTGGCCCACGGAGTGCCAGCGGAGCGGCTTACAGACCCCATGGGGTGAGGAACTTGTTTCCCAGTCGGACTAGATGACTCCCCTATGGTCCACTACTCAGGGAAAGCAACTGAGTGGTGCATTCATCCATGTAGTGTCCAGAACCCAACTCCTACCCTCCCTGTTGTTGTAAGTACCCTAAGTGTAAAGTCTACTAGCAAAATTTCTATTTCTCTACATTTTGACCTTTTTTTACAACCAAATTATTTAAATTTGTGGAAAGAGGTCACTTCTAATCAAAATACTTCTCCTATTTTCCGTTTTTTCTTTCTTTTTTTCTTTGATTCATAGGGGAAGAGTTTCCTTAATAATAGATACTTCTTCCCTCCACTTGTTCATCCCATCTATCGTATATACACCTTTTCAATTAATATACTACTTCTTACTACACTAACACCCACGCATCCTGCACATACCACAATCCTACACATAACCTAGATTCATTTTATAAATTTTATTTCCACTCCGACAACTCCGATAATAATACTTCATGCAGAACTCCGCGATTTAATTTGCAACCGACAATTCTCCCTATCCAAATTGACTGTACACATTTAATTTAACAGACAACTAAATCCAAAAAAAAACAATACTTCATACTTTCAATCTTTTCCATCTTAAATGTACCTTCCTTCAAAACCTATATAAAGAAATAATATCCCTTCTCTTGTCCTCTCTCGCCGTTTTCTCTTCACTGTTTTCTCGCACTTCCGAACACCCAAACACCCGCACTCACCCTTTTCTCGGAACCGAACCCCTTCCAAACGTTCCCATTGGCTGGATCAACAATTGACCGGGAAAATTTCAAAAATTATTAGCACTATCTGCAGTACATATCAAAATTTACTGAGGAAAGAATTTTTGGTGAGAGCCAATCATCCCTAAAAGCCAAAAAAAAACAATTTATACATAGTTGAACTTTCTTTTCAAATAGTCCCATCTATACATACCACCCCCCATCGCTATGTTCAGACAATTAACCAGATCGGCTGTGTCCGCTCCAAGATTCACCAGATCATACATTGCTGGTCAATTCACCGGCCAAAAGGGTCCAAACGGTAAGTACACCGTTACTTTGATCGAAGGTGACGGGATTGGTGTTGAAATCTCTCAAGCCGTCAAGGACATCTACTCTGCTGCCAACGTTCCAATCGACTGGGAACCTGTTGATGTCACCCCATTGTTGATTGACGGTAAGACCACCTTGCCTCAACCAGCCGTTGATTCCGTCAACAAGAACTTGGTTGCCTTGAAAGGTCCTCTTGCTACCCCAGTTGGTAAGGGTCACACTTCCATGAACTTGACCTTGAGAAGAACCTTCAACTTGTTCGCCAACGTCCGTCCATGTAAGTCCATCGTTGGTTACGAAACCCCATACCACAACGTTGACACTGTCTTGATCAGAGAAAACACCGAAGGTGAATACTCCGGTATTGAACACACCATTGTCCCAGGTGTTGTTCAATCCATCAAGTTGATCACCAGACCAGCCTCCGAAAAGGTCATCAGATATGCCTTTGAATACGCCAAGACCATCAACAAGCCTCACGTTTTGGTTGTCCACAAGGCCTCCATCATGAAGCTTTCCGATGGTTTGTTTGTTCAAACCGCCAAGGATGTCGCTAAGGAATACCCAGATGTCTCCTTGGACTTTGAATTGTTGGACAACACCTCTTTGAAGTTGACTGCCGACCCTAACGACTACAAGAACGTTGTTATGGTCATGCCTAACCTTTACGGTGATATCATGTCCGATTTGTCCTCTGGTTTGATTGGTGGTCTTGGTTTGACCCCATCCGGTAACATGGGTAACAAGGTTTCCATTTTCGAAGCCGTCCACGGTTCCGCCCCAGACATTGCCGGTAAGGGTTTGGCCAACCCAACCGCCCTTTTGTTGTCTTCCTGTATGATGTTGAGACACATGTCCTTGTTCGAAGACGCCGACAAGATCGAAAACGCCGTCTTGAAGACCATTGCCTCCGGTCCAGAAAACAGAACCGGTGACTTGAAGGGTAGTGCCAGCACCAAGCACTTCACTGAACAAGTTATTGCCAACTTGTAGGTAGTATAGAGAATAAATAGCCTAACGAAGGACCTGTAAGATATATTCACTAGGAGATAATGTAGAATGAATGAGAGACAAAAGAAGAAAAATTAAAAAAAAAGTGGTGGTGGTGGTGTGAGGGACAAATGTCGATGAGAGTTGGATGTCACCTGAGAGATTGAGAGTGTGAGTGAGCGAGAGAGACTGAGTGTGAGGGGGCTTACTACTGGTAGACTACATACTCAGGAGAACAGCACAGAACGAGAGACTGCTCGCGGGGAGTCCATTGCTTGAGGATAGAGTCACTAGTGCGATCTCTTCTAAGAGGAGCCTTTTCGCAACCAATTCCTCGGTAGAGGAAGAAGGCCCCCACGGCGAGTGCCCCACGGAGTGCCAGCGGAGCGGCTCACCGACCCCGTAGGGTGGAAACTAGCCTCCCTGTGGGACTACAAGACGCTCCGCTGGCCCCTGCTCGGGGAGAGCCACTGCGTGGAGCCTAGCTCCTCTACGAGGAGGTCTACTGCCATGAAATTCCTCGTCAGAGGAAGAGGGGCGTCCACGGCTAGTGGCCCACGGAGTGCCAGCGGAGCGGCTTACAGCCCCGCAGGGAATGACCACTCCAGTCTCTCCCAACATGATCGTAAGACTCTCTCACTGTGCGACCGCTGACCCCCCCTCTCTCTACCATGGTTCTACATCATTGTCACATATCTCATGTAATGTCTATGTACATCCTATCCAGATGGATATACCACTTAGGCCAACTTCAATTTGTCAATCTTTTCATCCAAAGTTTCCTCATCGTCCGATTTCTTCTTCTTCTCCGCCGTCTTCTTCTTTTCTATTATTTCATCCAAGGCTAGGTTAGTTCCCTTGACAATGGCAACATGCTCAACCTTATGCACTCTATCCTCGTACTCTTCCAAAGTTTCTTCCTTCTTCAAGTCAATTTCTTCTACAAGAATTGGTGCACCTCTATCAACCTCGGCAATAACCTTGTGGATCATAACCCCTCCCTTGGTGATTTCGCCGTCTTGTCCCGCCTTCCATGCTCTATCAATGGCATGAGTCCCATCGAATGCTCCTGGAAGTGCTGGATGTAAATTAATGATGGTTATCCCTGCTTGTTCCAATGGTGTAAGGACTGCCGGAGATAAAATAAGCATCCATCCTGCACACACAATGAGGTCGGGTTTAATATAATTTGTATCTTTATCATCTCCATTAATAATAAGATTTGCTAAATCTTTATTGAATTGTTCTCTTCTAATTTGACGTTCTTTCTTTTCTTCCTTGGTGGTTCCCTTGTAATAATCTTTTAAAATATGTGTTTTAGATTTAATTCCTGCCTTTTCTGCTCTAGTGAGTCCAAATGCAGTAGCACTAGAAGAGATGACTTGAGTAATTTTCCCATTGAGTTCATTTTTCGCTTCTTTATCTATCAAGGCCTGTAGGTTAGAGCCCGACCCGGATATAAGAACGGTTATGATGGGGGTCATAATGAGTGTTTCAAATAAGTATCAAAGAAGAATAAAGAAAGTCTGGAGATTTTGCTGTGAGATGAATCATTTTTGCGATAATGACTCGGGAATGGAGATTACACAAAGGGGGAAATTACAAGATATAGACAGACAGTCAGACAGACAATCAGACAGACAATCAGACAGACAAAGTGAGTAAAATACAAGAATTAGAATAAATTATATAAAAAAGATGTAGAGGATAAAAATTGTAGATTGTTGATTATTGTAGGTTTAAAGAATTCTTCTTAAGAATTCTTCTTAATAATTTTCTATTTAATAATTCTCTTCTTTATTTTGTTTGTATATGTCTTCTCCTCATTACCCCCTTATTTGTCTTCTCCTCATTTCTCTTCATCTATTCCATAGCAACAACAATATTAATATTTCAATTCGGGTAAAGGAGGTTAAATTGTCATGCTTACCCACTTTTAACCTATCATATCTTATACACTCCCCCCAATTATTGTCATCATCTTTTCTCTAACGAATCGGCCGCCACGTGATCACTCCTCTCTCCTGATAGATAAGCACGGCCAAAAAAAAAAAAAATATAATTCTTAAAATGGGCAAAAATTTACAATAGTAGCGCCATATCTGCAGGATTTAACCACTTTTATTACAAGAATGAACCTATGAATAGACTATCAATATATCTATAAAACTCCACTACTCATTTCTCCATGTCTTCTCTCTTGACATTCTCTATGAAATAGCAGCTTCACCCATCTATCAACTCTTATTATTCCCAATTTCCCAATCTAATATATCTCTCTCTCTCTCTTTTTGACATTTCCTGCGTGGGAATTTTTTCCGGGTAATGGGTAACACCCATACCAGACCGTAAATTACCCGCAATTTGACAACAGGAAAAATTTTTTCGTTTTGAGGCACGCATCGCCAATCCTACCACCACCAACTCCCCTCGTGTCGTTCTATACTTCTTATAGAGGGCTTCTCTTCTCTTTTCTATTATTTTTTTTTTCTTCAGCTAACGTTCAAAGAAAACAAAATGGGTATGTAATACATCTCTGAGACTGTTCTGGATAGCTTTATGAGCTTTCTAGCAACACAATTGACGGCTTAATAACCGGTGGCGTTGGCTGTAGCACATCAAAAATTTTTTGGGAGTTTGATTCAAAGTTTCTGCTTTTTTTTTTGGGTGTGACGGGCAAGCCAGGGAATCTATCTGCCATGTGCTAGCCATGTCTAGACAAGGCTAAACACTCTAAGCATTTATCTTGAGCTCACACACCTGCTTTTTGTCCCGCCGTATAAGCACGATCTTTGACCAAGTTGGCCACTCTGGCTCTTCATTCTCCTTCAATTACTAACATCATTCAGTCGCTTTTACAATTGAACAAATCCGTGATTTAATGGACAAGGTTACGAACGTTCGTAACATGTCCGTTATTGCTCACGTCGATCACGGTAAGTCTACCTTGACTGACTCTCTTGTCCAAAGAGCCGGTATCATTTCCGCCGCCAAGGCCGGTGACGCCCGTTTCATGGACACCAGAAAGGATGAACAAGAAAGAGGTATTACTATCAAGTCTACCGCTATCTCCTTGTACGCCTCTATGGATGACGATGACGTTAAGGAAATCAAGCAAAAGACCGAAGGTAACTCTTTCTTGATTAACTTGATCGATTCCCCAGGTCACGTTGATTTCTCTTCTGAAGTCACCGCTGCTTTGCGTGTTACCGATGGTGCCCTTGTCGTTGTTGACTGTGTTGAAGGTGTTTGTGTTCAAACCGAAACCGTCTTGAGACAAGCTCTTGGTGAAAGAATTAAGCCAGTTGTTATCATTAACAAGGTTGACCGTGCTCTTTTGGAATTGCAAGTCACCAAGGAAGATCTTTACCAATCTTTCGCCAGAACCGTTGAATCCGTTAACGTTATTATTGCCACCTACGTCGATGCCTCCATCGGTGATGCCCAAGTCTACCCAGACAAGGGTACCATTGCCTTTGGTTCCGGTTTGCACGGTTGGGCTTTCACCGTCAGACAATTCGCCACCAGATACTCCAAGAAGTTCGGTGTTGACAGAGTCAAGATGATGGAACGTTTGTGGGGTGACTCTTACTTCAACCCAAAGACCAAGAAGTGGACTTCCAAGGACAAGGATGCCGATGGAAAGCCATTGGAACGTGCTTTCAACATGTTCGTCTTGGACCCAATCTTTAGATTGTTCTCTTCTATCATGAACTTCAAGAAGGATGAAATCCCAACTCTTTTGGAAAAGTTGGAAATTCACTTGAAGACTGAAGAAAAGGAATTGGAAGGTAAGGCTTTGCTTAAGGTTGTCATGAAGAAGTTCTTGCCAGCTGCCGACGCTTTGTTGGAAATGATTGTCTTGTACTTGCCATCTCCAGTCACTGCCCAAGCTTACAGAGCTGAAACCTTGTACGAAGGTCCATCTGACGATGCTTCTTGTATCGCCATCAAGAACTGTGACCCTAAGGCTGACTTGATGTTGTACGTCTCCAAGATGGTTCCAACCTCCGATAAGGGTAGATTCTACGCTTTCGGTCGTGTCTTTGCCGGTACCGTTAAGTCCGGTCAAAAGGTTAGAATCCAAGGTCCAAACTACGTTCCAGGTAGAAAGGAAGATTTGTTCTTGAAGTCCATTCAAAGAACTGTCTTGATGATGGGTAGATTCGTCGAACAAATCGATGACTGTCCAGCCGGTAACATTATCGGTTTGGTTGGTGTTGATCAATTCTTGTTGAAGTCTGGTACCATCACCACCAACGAAGCTTCCCACAACTTGAAGGTCATGAAGTTCTCTGTCTCCCCAGTTGTGCAAGTTGCCGTTGAAGTTAAGAACGCTAACGATTTGCCAAAGCTTGTCGAAGGTTTGAAGAGATTGTCCAAGTCTGACCCATGTGTCTTGACTTCTATGTCCGAATCCGGTGAACACATTGTTGCCGCCACTGGTGAATTGCACTTGGAAATTTGTTTGTCCGATTTGCAAAACGATCACGCTGGTGTTCCATTGAAGATCTCCCCACCAGTTGTTTCTTACAGAGAAACCGTTCAAGCTGAATCCTCCATGGTTGCTTTGTCCAAGTCTCCAAACAAGCATAACAGACTTTATGTTAAGGCTCAACCAATTGACGAAGAAGTTTCTTTGGCCATTGAAGCCGGTAAGATTTCTCCAAGAGATGATTTCAAGCTTAGAGCTAGAGTTCTTGCTGACGAATACGGTTGGGATGTCACTGACGCCAGAAAGATTTGGTGTTTCGGTCCAGACGGTAACGGTCCTAACTTGGTTGTTGACCAAACTAAGGCTGTTCAATACTTGTCTGAAATCAAGGATTCCGTTGTTTCTGCTTTCCAATGGGCTACCAAGGAAGGTCCAATCTTCGGTGAAACCATCAGATCCGTCAGAGTTAACATTTTGGATGTTACCTTGCACGCTGATGCTATCCACAGAGGTACTGGTCAAATCATGCCAACCATGAGAAGAGTCACTTACGCCTCTATGTTGTTGGCTGAACCAGCTATCCAAGAACCAGTTTTCTTGGTTGAAATCCAATGTCCAGAAAACGCCATTGGTGGTATCTACTCTGTCTTGAACAAGAAGAGAGGTCAAGTTATCTCTGAAGAACAAAGACCAGGTACTCCATTGTTTACCGTCAAGGCTTACTTGCCAGTTAACGAATCCTTCGGTTTCACCACCGACTTGAGACAAGCTACTGGTGGTCAAGCTTTCCCACAAATGATCTTTGACCATTGGTCTGTTTTGTCTGGTGATGTCCTCGACCCAACTTCCAAGCCAGGTGTCATTGTCAAGGAAAAGAGAGAACGTCAAGGTATGAAGTCTGAAGTTCCAGGCTACGAAGAATACTATGACAAGTTGTAAGCAAGCTAGCTAGGATATACTGTTTATAGTTTGATAATTGAATACTGATTGACTTAGAGAAGAAGTAGTTTATGAGTTTTTGTGTAATAGAGGAGGTTTTGTGTAAATAACGATATTATTCAATTACAATTCCTAAATTGATAAATTAGTTTTTGTTGTATGACAAAGTGACACCCGTAAGCTCCGAACGGAATCGGTGAAGATTTGGAGAAAGGTACCACTTAAGCGCAAGCAAAAGACAAATAACGAGGCAAAAAAAAAAAAAAAAACAAAAAGAATTGATGACTTTTCGGTAATATCGGAGGCACGGCTAGAAAGGAACAGAAAAAGGGATTGTAAGACGAAATAGGGTTAAAGGGGTTGCATAATCAGTCGAGATGACGCACAGCTCCTCTCACAAGATCCCCATGTGAGTGGGAAGATTGGTTATTGCGCCGGAAAACACAATATCATGAAACCGAAATATCCAGACATTCAGTGAACCCTTGTGCAAAAGTGGTGTGCATGTCGTTTAATCGCATCGGCTTTTACTTCTCGTTCCGTCCTCCGTCATCCAGCCAAGCTTACAAATCATACAGAGAACAAGTGTGCATTGTTTATATAGAAGGAGCTCCTCCAAACAAAAATACGCCAGAGCATTGTCCAGACTCCAACACACATACCCATAATCGAGTTCCCGCCTCAAAGCCAACATCCCGGGTTCCTTTCTTTTTTTTTTTGAATCGGTGGCTAAAGTTCCTTTATTTCCGTTGTTTCAAATAAAAAAAAAAAATAACAGCAAATAGAAAATAAAAAGCCCCCTCCAAAAAAAAAAAAATAAATAAAAAGGTTGCAGGTGTCCTCGTACAGAATATATATAAAGGTAAAATTTGTACTCGAAACTTTTTCCAAACACACACACACACACACACACACACACTTTCTAGAGCGCGAGATGGATAGGACATTTTTGGTAGACACCATAGTGTCGTATGGCTTGACCGCAGTAGCCGGATGGTACTATTTATTCCGGTATCGGAACTCTAAACATATACTTGGAGTGTCCGATGATATGCACTACTTCACCATGTCAGTAATTACTTTGGCAATGTGGAATGAGGTACTCACCATCATTACAAGCATTGCCGTAAGTAGACCTCCTTCAGGAGAAACAAAATCAAGAATACATTATGACTTATCGTTTGTGTTTGTCACGTGTATATCGTTATGGCTCTATCGAGCCTTTTCAAGAACTATTCTAATGGTGGTGGAGTATGCGTATTTCCTATCCCAGCAGAAACGAGACCCATACCCCAAGCATCAAAAAGGTCATCGCAAAACCGTCTCTTTCAACGAAAAGACTCTCAAATATTTGTATCTGGATACAAATCTTTCCATCAGTGATTGTTCAATTCCTATTAATCCATTCCATACATCATATTTAAAACGAATTTTACGTTATTGTTTGGTGGTGGGATTAATTTTCTGCGCGTGCGTAATTCTTATCCCGTCGCTGTTACTTGGTGCTTCAACCATAACCATATATGAAAATAATCAATTTCATATCAAAACTGATCATATTTTGGTGGCTTTAGTGGGGGAATATATCATATTTCTGATCCATAGATTCTATCAAGTAATGAATCATCCACAATTAACCGCATTCCCCAAATGGACTTATATTGCCACCCTGTTCACTTGGTTGTATGCTTGTATTGTATTAATTTCAAGCTTATCATGTATGGTTCTTTTCAATGATGGATTGATTATATTCAATCAAATCATTACCAATAGTTCAATACAATATGAATCTCCATCTATTTTTACATCTTTATTTGTTGATTTTATCCTTCACTCGGTCACGTGCGACCCCGAAGATTTTAGTCAATGTGAAAATATGGCTGCCAAAGTTGATTGGATTATGACTAAATTAGCCAGTAGTTGGTTAGTTTTAAACTTTATATGTTTTGTGGCGTTGCCGCTACTTATCTGGGTTATGGTTATTGAGATGAAGGTATTAAGGAATAAGGAAATGAAAATAGATGTATGAATTGGGGGATACCCTTTACGATAGTTATGATAGAATAAAAAAAACAAACAAGAAAAGAAATAAGGAAGTAGGTATTAAAAAGAGATTTTAGAGCAAATCAGAATATGGATACTTAAGTAACATTAGATTAAACAATTTAAGAAGTCATCCAAATTAGGCATGTCTTAAATTTTTCGGTATTCTTTTATTCCATCCAATGTATTGGATACTCTTACTACTATCATATTATATTTTCCTGCACCAATCATTTCCGTGATATCAATTTCCTTCCCACCGTTATCTAATCATAATCTAACACTTCCCACCACCCCATTTTCATTTTCCCTCAGGTTTCCTACATGTTTCATTTCATTCTACAATTACCAATGATATTACTTCTCCAATAGGTCATACTACACCCGCGATATCTTTCCGCTTGACACTAAAGAGGCGGATAATTAAAACCTATTTGGTGTTCTTAATATGAATCCGCTCGGCGCGTACACACTTTCCTATTTGAGCAGGACGTACCGCACAATCGCAAACGGATTGCACTTCCCGATTTGGTGCGATAAGGCGAAACTGATTGGAGTTCATCGCTGCAACCCTTTTTATTTAAAGTAGCCCCTCTGTCCTAGTTGTTTGTGTTTCTTATTGTTACCCATCCAACAAATCGTCTCGTGCTCACCTCAGCCATGGAAAGATTACAACAGATTGCTTCTCAAACAACTTCTTCGGCAGCTCCTCCAGCCTTGCCAGCTCATCCTTTGGACCCTCTTAGTCCACAAGAAATCCAAGCGGTTTCCAACGTTGTTAAGGCCCAATACTCTGGTAAGCTGATTATTTTCAACACCGTTACTCTCAGAGAACCGGTCAAGAAGGCCTACTACGACTGGAAGGAACACAATGGTCCTTTACCTCCACGTCTTGCCTACTTTGTGGTGATTGAAGAAGGTGTCACTGCCGTACAAGAAGGTGTGGTTGATATCCCAGCCGGTGCCTTGATTGAATTAAGAAAGACCGACTCGGTACAACCTATCTTGACCCCAGCTGATCTTCAACTTACTGAAGATATCATCAGAGCTGACCCAGCAGTCATTGATCAATGTGTTCAATCCGGTGTTCCAAGAGAAGACATGCACAAGATCTACTGTGACGCTTGGACCATTGGTTACGATGAAAGATGGGGTGCTTCCAGAAGACTTCAACAGGCTTTGATCTACTGGAGATCCGATGAAGATGATTCTAACTACTCCCATCCTTTGGATTTCTGCCCAATTGTCGACATGAATGCCGGTAAGGTGATTTATATTGATATTCCAAACCGTAGAAGAAAGGTTTCCAAGCACAAGCACTCCAACTTCCATCCTATCCATATCAAGGACAAGTTCTCCACTGCCGAAAACCCATCTGGTTTCAGAGATGATGACACTCCAATCAATATCACTCAACCAGAAGGTGTTTCCTTTGCCATGGATGGTCATGTGATGAACTGGTCCAACTTTAAGTTCCACATTGGGTTCAACTACAGAGAAGGGATTGTTTTGAGTGACATCACTTACAACGACCATGGTAACGTCAGACCAATCTTCCACAGAATCTCTCTTTCGGAAATGATTGTTCCATACGGTTGTCCAGAATTCCCACACCAACGTAAGCATGCGTTGGACATTGGTGAATATGGTGCTGGTAACTGTACAAACCCTCTTTCTCTCGGCTGTGACTGTAAGGGTGTCATCCACTACATGGATGCCCATTTCCCAGACAAGGAAGGTGCCCCAACCACCGTCAAGAACGCCGTTTGTATCCACGAAGAAGATGATGGATTACTTTTCAAGCACTCTGACTTTAGAGATGATTTCCAAACCACCGTGGCCACCAGAGGTAAGAAGTTGATCATTTCTCAAATCTTCACTGCTGCCAACTACGAATACTGTTTGTATTGGATCTTGAGACAAGATGGTACCATCAAGTTGGAAGTTAGATTAACCGGTATCTTGAACACCTACATTTGTGACGAAGATGAATCCACCGGTGTTTGGGGTACTCAAGTTTACCCACAAGTGAACGCCCACAACCATCAACATTTATTCTCCTTGAGAATCCACCCAAGAATTGACGGTGACAACAACTCTGCCGCCACTTCTGACGCCAAGTCTTCTCCACATCCTTTGGGATCCCCAGAAAACATGTACGGTAACGGATTCTACTGTGAAAAGACCACTTTCAAGACTGTCAAGGACTCCATCACCAACTTTGAGTCTGCCACCGCCAGAACTTGGGATATTTTCAACCCTAACTCCATCAACAAGTACTCTGGTAAGCCAGCCTCTTACAAGTTGGTTTCCACCTTCTGTTCCCCACTCTTGGCCAAGGAAGGTTCTCTTGTCAGCAAGAGAGCCCCATGGGCCTCATCCCACACCCAGGTTGTTCCATACAAGGACGAAGGTAACGGATACGGTAGATTGTACCCATCCGGTGACCACGTTTGTCAATGGAGTGGTGACGGTATGAGAGGTATGAGAAAGTGGGTTGGTGACGGTTCCGACAAGGTTGAAAACACCGACATTTTGTTCTTCCACACTTTTGGTATCACCCATTTCCCAGCTCCAGAAGATTTCCCAGTCATGCCAACTGAAATCTTTGATCTTATGTTGCGTCCAAGAAACTTCTTTATTGAAAACCCATGTCTTGACGTCAAGCCATCGTTTGCCAGAACCACCAAGGAGGTCAAGGCCGGTGCCCAAGGTACCGACACTTGCTCGTTAAAGGTTGACAAGACCTCAAGATTGGCCTTCAGTAACACTTCAGCTGCCGGTTCGTGCTGTAAGAAATAATCAGTTTATATAGAATGATGTGAATATTTAATATGAGAAAAGTTTAAAAATGATGACATGTAAAAAGTTTTCCCCAAGAATCTATTTCATGGTATACCTTTAGTAGATCATTTTATTCACCGAAGGAAAGGTGATACAACAACAGATGTGGACCTATGAATACCGGTAAGTGAATCACTTGATGTGCACGGAGTGAGAAAGACGCTCCGCTTGGCCCCTACTCGGGGAGAGTCACTGCGTGGAGCCTAGCTCCTCTACGAGGAGTTCCCACTACTTTGGATTGGAGAGCCTCGACGGCTAGTGGTCTTTGGAGAGGCCGTAAAGAGCTCTACTAGCTTTTAGAGAGGATTCATAGGGAGTCTGTGAGACGCTCCACTGGGCCCCTACTCGGGGAGAGCCACTGCGTGGAGCCTAGCTCCTCTACGAGGAGAGCCAACCACCAGATGTCTTATCAGCCAGTAGAGGAGAGAGCCCACCCGCTACGGTTAGTGCCACCAGGAGTGTCTCTCAAGGGTCCTGCTAACCTCAGAGAGTCCCCCCTAAGGGGTGATCGAGACGATACACTCACCCTGAACCACTGGAATATATCCCAGCTCTTCTACGAGGAGTTACGTTGGAGTTCCACCTTCCTCGTTAGAGGAACAGGAGCCCCCACGGCTAGTGGCCCACGGAGTGCCAGCGGAGCGTCTTACTGACCCCGTAGGGACTCTACAATGTGCTCCCTTGAGACCCCTCCCCCCCTCCCCCGCAGGGGCTTTACGTGCCACCTCTTGGAGGTTGTATTTGCAGCCATAGAGCAAACCCGTTTTCGGTGTGCAGGATCTGGTCTTCGGGTTCGATCCTGGTGCGCGGCAAGACTGTCAATTTTTCTCGTGCTGCTCAGAAGAGCTGCTGCCCAGATGGAGTAGCCCTTGATAACTAACTAGCAAAACACAACATGAAGTACATTATAGAACATATGGAGGAAGGATTCTCCGAATGGGTGATCTTGGAATACACCCAGATCATCCGCGAGGTGGGAAAGGAAAACCTTGTGCTTACATCGTTGCCCGCAGGAACCACCGAGAAGGACATCCCATCACGTCTCTTGGACTTGGGACTCCAGTGGACCACCAAGGAGTGTGTGGAGATCGACGCGGGAAAGCTCGAGACCAGCCGGGTGTGTCTCTTGGACCCTGCTGCAGAGGTGGACTTGGTTCCGGAAGACGGCGCCAAGTTTGATTACTTTGTGTTTGGAGGGATTTTGGGATCACATCCAAGAATCGATAGAACCGGGATCTTGAGAGAAAAGTATGGGTTTGCCGGGAGAAGATTGGGCCGGTTGCAGATGACCACCGACACCGCGATCCGGACAACCCAGAGAATCGTCGAGGACCAGAAAAAGTTTGAAGACATCAAGTTTTTGGACTACCCAGAGATCAGATACAATCAGTATGAGTCCACTGAAATGCCGTTCAGATACATTGTGGACGGCAAGGGCGACCCTATTTTGCCCGAGGGGATGTTGGAGCTCATCAAGAACGACGCCGAGCAGAGCATAGACGATTTGTTGATTGAGTAGAGTAGTGAGATAGAATGATATTGTGCGATAGACCTGACGAGTGTGTAGGATGGTGGGAAGGGTCACCAGAGCGTAGATGGACCGGCTTACAGCCACGCCGGGAATGGAGTAGCAACACCCTGCGGGGTAGGCGAGACGCTCCGCTGGCCCCTGCTCGGGGAGAGCCACTGCGTGGAGCCTAGCTCCTACGAGGAGATCTACAGCTACGTGGTTTCCTCGTTAGAGGAAGAAGGCCCCCACGGCTAGTGGCCCACGGAGTGCCAGCGGAGCGGCTTACAGCCCCGCAGGGAATCGAGTAGTAACACCCTACGGGGTCCTTGAGACGCTCCGATGGCCCCTGCTCGGGGAGAGCCACTGCGTGGTGCCTAGCTCCTCTACGAGGTGATCTACAGCTACGTGGTTTCTCGGTAGAGAAAGAAGGCCCCCACGGCTAGTGGCCTACGGAGTGCCAGCGGAGCGGCTCACATACCCCGTAGGGAACCAAACTTATACCCCTACGGTGTCTTTGGGATGGCCCACTCCTACCCATAGAGTGTCAGTACTGGCATGCAGGCCCCACATCAACTTCCGGGGAGAGCTTGGAACGCCCCTACAATAATCTATGGAATAGTTTGTATATGAATTGAATATTTGGTATTTACTTCTTCTTGTCCTCTTCTTCTTATCTACTTTTTCACTTCTTCTTGTAAACCACAACCTTTCTGCTGTCTTCACAATCGTCTCCACTGGCCAAAACCTCTCGCAAAAGGAACCCAGCCGTGTTGGTGTCTTCAAAGTACGACACATGTGCACTCACTGCAGAAACAAGGGATATGTCAAACACCCCCATGGGCAAGCAGTAATCAATCCGACCTGATCGGTTGAGTTCGGTCAACGTGGAAAGATCTCTGTCTCTCATGTCAACCTCATTGGCAGGCTCGTCTTGTGTCTTTGGTTCCGATACCAATGACGTGAGAATATCACCAAGTGCATTCTCATCCCAAGGGTCTTGATGTTTGGCCTTGGTTTCATCCTTTTTGAACCAACTCGATGCACTAGAGATCTTTTGTTGGATGCCCTCACCAAAACTGGCTAGTCCCTTAATTTGAGAATGGATACTCTTTGTGGCAAAGGGAACCGGCTCAGGCTTAAAGTTGGCAAATCGTGGAGAAACCAACGGCTCCATCCGGTACCCTATGGGGTCACATGGATGGAACAAATTGTACAAGTTGACACATTTAGGGGAACTGGCAAGATTGGTTGGATCTCTTGGGTCGAAATCTGGTCCAAGAGATGCTCTAGATCGGATATTTCTTTGGTTTAAGAGCTTGAACACTCCAACCGGTGATCCAATACAAAAGAGTGAATCTACATCGAATTTGAGATCTTGCGAAGTTTCCTCATTCACCTGGTCCACCTTCTCTCGCTGGTTTGCCACTATATCAAAGGCTATGGCCGAACCAAGCGAATGGCCAAGAATATGTACCTTCCCCTTGAAATGAGGGTTCCTCTCCTTGTAAAGAGAGTACACTCTGTTCAACTCGGAAACCACCGCATGGAACACCTTCTCCACATACCGGGGCTCGTAGTAAAGGAGAATATCCAAAACAACGTCCCCCATGATGTTTCTCAAAGACTTGACCCCATCCACGTTGATTTGCGAGAGTGACGGCAACCTAAAGTTGCCATTGGCATCATACAGTTGAAAGTTTTTCGTTGGATGGAAGTCAATCTTGTGTCGCCATGATACGGGTAATACTTGTAACGTGTTATTGTCAGGGTATTGGTTACTGGTCATCTTCTTGTAAGAGTCATCCGATGTGTACACCTCCTTCATTTTGTTCCGCAAGACATTGATGCTGTGGGTAAAGTCCACCAGCTCGTACTTCCCACCAAGTACCTGTCCAATCCCATGGATACACAAGATGAGATGGTCCACCTGTCGGTTGGCCTTTGAGTCTGAGGTTTCTCGGTCATAATCAGACTCCAAAACACTCTTCATCTGCGAATTTTGTTTCGATTCGTTATGATCATTCTCATCTGAATAATTGGTCGATTTCACCATGGGGCTCTTGGTTTTTGCTTCCTCTTTCGATCCACCACCAGTCAAGTACAGCCCCACTTCGGTTTGGAAGATTTCAGAGAGTCCTGGGATTGGATTGGAGGGTAATTTCTCAAAAATGGTCTCATCCAAATCACTCGTGTATCCTCTTTGGATTTTTTCCACCAGAAGAAGCAGCACTGGTGACGTACAGAAATTTCTTATCACGCCCAATTCAAACTGATTATTCATGGTGTCGGGGAAAATCGCCGCATACTTGGCGTCCAGGTACAATACCATCTTCAGACTTTGGCCGTTGTTGTCCTCATCGTCTTGCAACTTCATCAAGTCATCGTAATCATTGGTTGACACCACTGGAGGCTCGGTGATTTCTCGTGGTCTATCCTTACGATTGAATTTTTGCACTGCATCCTTGCCAAACTTCAGCAATGTATCGCCTACATCTGCTCTATTGAAAGTGTACGGCCGTTTCTCATGGTATCCCTTCTCCACCAAGTCACTGATCTTCCTACTCAAGGGCAACCCATCGGAATTGAACCATGTTCCTCGTCTCACCTCATACAGCGAGCCTTCCCAATATACTGGTGATAGAATGTATTTCTGAAGGTCTACTTGGAATAACTTGTCTTCATTCACTTCTACAATTGGGTCTACAATGGTATCTTTAGTCGCACTAGACACCCGATCCGCGGCCGTGCCGTGGGCCGCTCCACTGAGTGCACCCTGGCCCTCCAATTGCTGGAATCTCTTCTCCAACCTCTTTGAATCAAAGTCTGAAAATGGGATGAATTTCTCAGGTTGTTTCTCTTGTTTGTAATCGAACCATGATGGCTTTGTTGTGGGGATATCAGTGGCATAGTACCATTTGATATGAAGTTTTGGTGGGGTTTTACTCCCCGTGGCAGCCTGTACCCCGCTAGAATACCTCCGGATACACACACGACCAGTCACACGAATAAATATCATGCTTTATATATAACACCCTGCTGATACAACCAAGGGCAATCGGTTCTATAATGGGAGATGGCCTATCTTGGACATGTGATTTGATGCGCTTCCATGGCAATCACCGTGACGTAAACATGGGAATGCGCTCTACATACAGGAATGGGTGCAAATTAGCCATACCGGGGGCATAGTAAGTTGTTTATGAATAGATATATAGAATATTCTAAGGAAATGAAGAGTGACACTGATATAGTACATATGGAACTGGACAGCTTATGTGTGTGAGATTCCTGGAGGACAGGGGACCCCGTGGAGTGTAAGTCAGTCCCATGGGGAATGGAGTTGTTCCCACCCTACGGGGTATGTGAGCCGCTCCGCTGGCACTCCGTGGGCCACTAGCCGTGGGGGCCTTCTTCCTCTAGCGAGGAAACCACGCGGTTGTCGATCTCCTCGTAGAGGAGCTAGGCTCCACGCAGTGGCTCTCCCCGAGCAGGGGCCAGCGGAGCGTCTCAAGAACCCCGTAGGGATATGACCTGACCACCCTACGGGGTATGCAAGCCGCTCCGCTGGCACTCCGTGGGCCACTAGCCGTGGTGGCCTTCTTCCTCTAACGAGGAACTCCCGGACTATATATCTCCTCGTAGAGGAGCTAGGCCCCACGCAGTGGCTCTCCCCGAGCAGGGGCCAGCGGAGCGTCTTGCTTACCCCCCTGTATGGTGCCTCATCCACCTCCCAAACCGTTTGCATGGCAGGAGCTGGACAATGAATACATCCCAGCAACACCATAGAACCTGCCGTGGAAGTGGGAGACTAGGTTACTCCTTCCTCTGGGATAGTGAAACCTCCACTGGGCCATTTTAAAACAGCCGCTAAACTGAAGTCTCCATAGGTGGAACTACCCAACATCTTGCGTCCAATACGAAGGTAGATTGGGATATCACCATTCTTGTCATGGAACCCATCCTTCATCGATTTTTTGATGAAGGGGGAAAGAGTAGAGCCCTGCAATAGTTTCTTCAAGTTCAAGGAGGTGGCCAGCCCTGTGTATCGTTCCACGTCGTTTACAAGAAGCGAGACGCCGTCCAAGCCATGGAGGGCAATGCTCGTGGTGCTGTTCCATTCCAAAATACCAGTGATGTTGTTGTATGAGAGGAAAGATGGAGGAAGTAACACACCTTGAGGGTCGTCACGTTTCAATGAGGAGACGGTTTCTACAATGGATGCTAACCCCCAACGCAGTGCTCCCGAGAGGAACAAGCCAAGGAGAATGCCCTGGAAGGCTAGGGCCGTTCTGCCCCGAGTGGCACAACCAGGGATAAGAATCAAGGCTAAGATATAATGATGGATTCTCAAGATCAAGCCTGGGATGTTGGCTAGGATAAAGATCACCAAGGCAAAAGTTATATAGATCAGAAGGTATTTTTTGAACCGATCTGGGCCCGAGAGCCAAATGGAATATGCTTGGATAAGAGCACAGGTGACGATGAGTGTGACTATGGAGCCCACAGCCAAGAGTGCTCCCGGTTGAGTGACTAGGTCAGAAACCGTCAATCTGTCAACGGGGAGCCTATCAAAGGTGATATTGTTGAGGACCCCCAACCAAAAGAGTGGGTAAAAGAAAAAGAGACAGTTTAAGGAAGATGGACGATCAGTAAGAGTTGTTGATTGACGACGAGGACCATTGGCATGACGCTCTCTTTGATCTATGAAGTCGTTGTCGTTGTCGTTCTCTTGCTCTTCTACAACCACCACCTCCAGATCTCTTTTACTTAATGTCCTTCTCACAGAACAATGCCACATGACATACAAGATGAAACAAACGGGGAGAAATCTCTCCATACATAAACTGATCAAGGCTGCGAAATTCTCATTGTCTGAAGCATCAACGTCCATGGGAGGATCAGTTGCCAAGGCAATGGTCCAGAAACCTACAATGGAGACCACCCAATACGTCACTTGGCCCAGGGCAAACATCACTATGGGGACCCCCAACAAGATGTTCATGGCCAACACGAAAAGTCTTGGATCATAACATTGAGTGTATTCCCCAACAAGTTTTTTAAAAACAAAGGAATTGGGGAAAAATGAAAGGAATGGGATTGATTCATCTACTCCATAATGACCCAAGGCCAGAGGGAATTTGGCTTGTGGTCCTGAGGAGGATAATTTGGTGCAACCTCCAAAGAACGGAGATACAAGTCCGGCGTGAACAGCAGCTCCACAGGGGTAAGAATCCAATCGATAAGGGTTAGATAGAGTTGATTTAGGGGAAGAGGATGCTTGTAATGAACCACCACCAACGAAATAACCTCGATATTTAATTAATTGATCTCCAATGGGGATCAAGGAATAAGTCCAACTACGATCACATAATGCGGGACACCGGATCACCACATCGGTTTCAAACCCACTACATAATTCACCATTCATCCCACAAGCGGCGTTTTTCCCACGCCAGAACTCTTCCTCTGAGTAGCATGAGGCAGAATATACTTCGTCGCCCAGAGGACCCTGGGGAACTATGGTCCAATAGGGGATGAGAATACTACATGCCAACGACAACCAAAGTGCCAAATAAAGCACAAGTGCGGCCATTTGTACCGGACGGCCCACCCGTTGTTGGATGAGACCAGAGAGTCTTTCCAAGCGCCAGAATATCTGTATGGGCCTTGGGAAGTCATCACGGGCCACCGAGGGACCCTGCCAAAGTTTTGTCCAAAATCGACGCACCAGGAATTTTTGCCATGTCATAGCCGTTGATATCCGAGTGTTTGAGTTTCTACGGTGCGACCGGTTCTCCGTGTCCTCAACGGAGAACATCAGCAACAGCAGCAGCAGCAGCAGCGGCAACAGCAGCTGAGCGGCGTCGAGGTGGTGATCTCTCGACATGTCGGTGCTGTTTCTACGGGAAAGATCGTCCATACGGTAATACTGTCCCCTTTTAGGCGCCATCTTTAACTCTCCCTGGCAATGAATTTCTGATAAGCCTCCACCCCACGGAAGTTCTTTTTAGGTTTAGGCTCTTTCCGGAAAGGGAACGGGCAGCGGACAAGGAGGAAAAAAGAAATGGCCCAGGCTCCAGAGTTTTTTGTATGCACGATAGACAAACCTGCAACCAGATTGAGATAATGTCGTACGAGACATTTCTTCAATAGATAGTAGCACCCAACACTTTACTACTATGAATACCCTACTACTTGCACACCTTTCAAGTGACATACATGGCGGGTCTACACTCCTAGGCTGGATCTCAAACCTAAAAAAGCAGGAAAAAAGGGTCCCATTGTTGAAATACGGGAGAGTTGAGATCGTCCGGCATTAAGACGGTTGGGCCGAATGTCGGCGATTTCCAGAAGTGGAACAACCGGCCAAGTGGTCAGTTGGACAGACAAGGACTAGAGGGGTAGGGTTATTGGGAGGGCTTATCAGTTCGTCTCCCAGGGACTTGGAAAGAATCTAGGATGTCTGTTGCTCGCGATTCGGGACTTTGACTATTATCTCTGGCATGGCTGCAAGAACTCCCGGTAGAGGACCATAAGCACCACAGGGCCCTGGAAGGTGCCAGCGTAGCGGCATACAGCCCCGCAGGGAACCGAGCTTACATCTATACGGGGTAGGCGAGACGCTCCGCTGGCCCCTACTCGGGGAGAGCCACTGCGTGGGGCCTAGCTCCTCTACGAGGAGATCTACAGCTACGTGGTTTCCTCGGTAGAGGGAGAAGGCCCCTACGGCTAGTGGCCCACGGAGTGCCAGCGGAGCGGCTTACAGCCCCACAGGGAATGGAGTAGCAACACCCTACGGGGTCCTTGAGACGCTCCGCTGGGCCCCTACTCGGTGAGACCTACTGCCAGCTCCTCTGACGAGGAGACTGCTATTGGTCACGTGGTTCCTCGCTAGAGGAAGAAGGCCTCCACGGCTAGTGGCCCACGGAGTGCCAGCGGAGCGGCTTGCCTACCCGGTACGGTGTTCAGGTCACTTTCCTACGGGTCTGTAAGACTCTCCCATGCATCCTTAGGGTGCTCCCAACGAGTACTACATTTATATCTCTCTCTTAATTACCTTTATTAATATACAAAACTGTTACCTAACCAGAACACATGGTACAAGATTCTGGGTTATCGATTGCACAAGCAATCACCTTGGAACTGAAAATGTCCCCATCTTCCTCGGTTTCTCCTTCCTTAGTAGTGGCGTCAGAAGCATCTGGTGCTTCTCCAGCCTGAGCTTCCACTTCTTTATCTTCGCTGATCTTCAATTCAGCAACAGAGTTTTCAATGGAGGTTGGTTCTGTAGATTGCGATCTAACAGAGTCATTGTCACTAGTAGTACTTGATCTGGCAACGTACTTTCTATTCTTCAACTTACCCAAAGTGGCAATGGTGTTACCAGCTTCATTGACCGAGTTTTGATCAACTGTGAATTGGATGGCAGCAGCGGCAGCTTGTGTTCTCAAGTAGTACATACCGGTCTTCAAACCCTTCTTCCACCCGTAGAAATGCATCGAGGTCAACTTACCCATGGTTGGGTCTTTGATGTGGATATTTAAAGATTGAGATTGATCGATAAAGGCAGCTCTATCAGCAGCCATATCAATGATGTGTTTCTGTGAGATTTCCCATACGGTCTTGTATAATGCTTTGATTTCATCTGGGATGTTTGGCAAGTTTTGTACTGACCCGTTGTTGGCAATGATATTGTTCTTCATGTTGTCGTTCCAAATACCCAAGTCAACCAAGTCACGCAACAAGTATGGGTTGACGATTTGGAATTCACCAGCAAGCACTCTTCTAGAATAGATGTTGGATGTGTATGGTTCGAAACATTCATTGTTACCCAAGATTTGAGAGGTGGAAGCAGTTGGCATTGGAGCAACAAGCAAGGAGTTTCTTAAACCATGCTTGGCCAACTTTTGCTTCAAGGAATCCCAATCCCATAATTCGGTTGGCTTTCTGTCCCACAAGTCAAATTGTAACAATCCCTTGGAGGCAGGGGATCCTTCATAAGATTCATAAGCACCTTCCTTTTGAGCCAATTCAATAGAAGATTCAACAGCACCATGATACATGGTTTCGAAAAGTTGAATGTTCAATTCCTTAGCTTCTTGAGAATCAAATGGAATTCTCAACGCCATAAAAGTGTCTGCAAGACCTTGAACACCCAAGGCAATAGGTCTATTTCTCTTGTTGGAACGTTCAGCTTCAGGAACTGGATAGTAGTTACGGTCGATGATTCTATTCAAGTTACGGGTAACAATCTTGGAAACTTCATGAAGTCTTTCAAAGTTATACCATGAAGTTTCACCATCCTTTTCAACAAAGGATGGCAAGGCAATAGAAGCCAAGTTACAAACAGCAACTTCATCTGGAGAAGAATATTCAACGATTTCACAACACAAGTTGGAAGACTTGATGGTACCCAAGTTTTGTTGGTTAGATTTCTTGTTACATGCATCCTTATACAACATGAATGGAGTACCAGTTTCAGTTTGTGCTTCCAAAATGGCATACCATAATTTCTGAGCCTTAACGGTGGAAACAGCCTTACCTTCTCTTTCATATTTCTCATACAAGGCTTCAAATTCATCCCCATATACTTCTGGCAAGCCCAAGACTTCATTAGGAGAAAACAATGACCAATCACCGTTTTGTTCAACTCTCTTCATGAATAAATCTGGAATCCATAAGGCTGGGAACAAATCTCTAGCTCTAATTTCTTCCTTACCATGGTTCTTACGAATGTCAATAAAGTCAAAGATATCCGCGTGCCAAGGTTCCAAGTACAAGGCAAATGCACCTGGTCTCTTGTTACCACCTTGATCAACGTATCTGGCGGTGTTGTTGAAAACTCTCACCATTGGGATGATCCCGTTGGAAGTACCATTGGTACCGGCAATGTAGGCACCAGTGGAACGAATGTTATGGATATGAAGACCAATACCACCAGCACTCTTGGAAATAAGAGCACAAGTCTTCAAAGTGTCATAAATCCCATCAATGGAATCATCCTTCATGGCTACAAGGAAACAAGAAGACATTTGTGGGTTAGGGGTACCAGCATTAAACAAGGTTGGAGATCCATGAGTGAAATAACGTTGAGACATCATATTGTAAGTTTCAATGACTCTTTCGATATCATCACCATGAATACCCACGGCGACTCTCATGATCAAATGTTGAGGTCTTTCAGCAACCTTACCATTGATTCTGAGTAAATAAGACCGTTCCAAAGTCTTGAAACCAAAGTAATTGTAGTTGAAATCACGATCAAAGACAATGGCAGAGTTCAACTCATCGGCATTCTTTTGAATGATATCAAACACTTCCTTGGAGATCATTGGAGCGTGTCTATTAGTTTTTGGGTTGATATATTCGTACAATTCTCTAGAAACTTGAGAAAATTGCTTGGTGGTTTGCTTGTGAAGATTGGACACAGCGATTCTGGCAGCCAAGATGGCGTAATCCGGGTGGATGGTGGTCATGTAGGCGGCGGTTTCAGCAGCCAAATTGTCCAATTCAATGGTATTTACCCCCTGGTAGACACCAGAGATGACTCTTTGGGTGATGGCAACGGCATCAACATGATCGGTATCAAGACCATAACAGAGTCTTTGCACTCTGGCAGTGATCTTATCGAAGCGAACTGGCTCCTTATGACCGTCTCTCTTATAAACGTACATGCTAAAACTTTAAGGAGATGGATGTGGAAAGAAAGAAAGATGGCGGTAAATTTTTTTAGAGAGGAAATCGCGATCGAATTTATACCACGCGTTGAATTTGATCACAAAATAAAAACAAAACAAAGACGCGTTGAAAAGGAGGTAACCCGGAAAGACGTGCTGACAAATGTCCCGCGAGGGCGGGGGTTTTGGCCGGGTACGAGGGGGCAACGCGCGGACAGTGCGAGGAAAACCCGTTTCATCGGGAAGTGTTGTTTACCTTTTGAGACGCGACTAGTCAACAAACGGAAAATCATAGAAAATAATAGACGTGTGTGGCTTGAAGACGTGTCGTTGGAGGAGATGGGGGAGACCCTTTCCTCGATAGAGGAAGAAGGCCTCCACGGCTAGTGGCCCACGGAGTGCCAGCGGAGCGGACCTTTGGGCCCCGCAGGGAGGAGAGTTGAAAGCCCTACGGGGTCTGTGAGACGCTCCGCTGGCACTCCGTGGGCCACTAGCCGTGGAGGCCTTGCTCCTCTACGAGGAGATTTGGTGGGAGACGTGATGTCTTTTTGCCCTTTTTTCAGTTAGAATGGGAGGGTGGTAGAGAGAGAGTGAGAGAGAGAACGAGATGGTGGAGGAGAGTGATGATTGGTAGAGATTTGTAGAGTATATTCAATGGGTGTGATGGGGTAGATAGCCGTTGTTTACCCGTTTGATAAGAGTGTAGATAACGTAAATTGCACAGATCAAAAGATAGCGTGTGTATCTGGCATCCCACTTAGTCCGGATCGGATTGCTTTGTCGCTCAATAGGGAAATTCCTGATTGGAGGGGGACAATGAGAAACAACAAATAACCTGCACCATGGATGATTGTTGCTGTTGGTATTAACGTTATAGTAATCAGTCATAGTAGTTTGGTAATGAAAGTAGTAGATATGAAGATTATTAGTAGTCTATAGAGTTTAAATTCATCGAAAGAGTGATACTATTAGATGTTCCGTAGAGTGCACGTGACACGCGTCACGTGATCACATGGACTTCCCCAATGAGTTTGAGAAAGAATTTTGCCACTATCTATAGAAGGGGAGAGAACAAATAAAAGTAGATATGCTTGTAGGTGTACTTAGCAGATCCTTCCTCGCCAGAGGAACAAGGCCTCCACGGCTAGTGGCCCACGGAGTGCCAGCGGAGCGTCTCACAGACCCCGTAGGGCTTTTAACTCTCCTCCCTGCGGGGCCCGTAGGTCCGCTCCGCTGGCACTCCGTGGGCCACTAGCCGTGGAGGCCTTGTTCCTCTGCCGAGGAATTCTCTATAGGAGTCTCCACCTCGCGTCAGTCGTGGGGGGCATTTTTTTTGGTTAGATTCTCTCTAATAAAGGTATGCGCATACAGGGCAGGGCCCAGAGCACCAAGCGTCGGGTATACAGGAACACTCCTCGTCACACTTCTACACCTTGAAGGTCCCTCCTTTTCTGGGGTAATCTCCAAGTGGGTCTGACTCCCCTCCTCGGAAACTGTCTACACGCTCCCCCATGGGCTCTACACTCACTCAATATTCAAAACTATTTTTGTATTCATATTTACTTTGATTCTTCCTTGGTGAAGTCACTGGATTTGGGTTAGTAGGGAGAGAAGAGGAAAGTCCATATAGACCAGTTAATACATACCTGAGCAACTTTTCAAGGTCGAAATCGTCTTCCTTGACAGCAGGAACAGCGGCTGGAGTGGCAACTGGAGCTTCCTTAGCAGCACGGGGCCAGGCAACAACACCGGCAGTGGCACCTAAAGTAAGAAGAGCAAGCTAAAAGAGAAATGTGTTAGTACCGAAAACGGAAGGTGTGAGAACCGGGACCGGGTAAGCCTCACAAAGAAGGCCAGGTCCCTCGCTTTAAACTACATGTGGTCACTTACAACGTGCGAAGGAACTTGTTTCCCGAGAATTGTGTATGCGGAACCCATGATAATGACTTTTTCAGCTATCTATATTGTTGAATAGTATGTTTCTATTGGGTTTGTTCATTGATGATCAAATTCCGATCTCCGATATTGGCCACCTCCATGCAGGTTTAAAAGCAATACGCAGGATGGAAACCGGAACTCGCAGTCACGTGACAACGATAGCTTCTTTCATTTCCGAGGGTGGTAGGACAATCAACAAGAGAGAAGATAATCAATACAAATGATAAGGTTAATATTTTCCATCTTGGATTCAAATTCTATATATAATATCTCTATAAATGGGCCATTTAGTTTCTTTACCTGTAGCGAGGAAGCACGTGACCGCACATCTCCTCGTAGAGGAGCTAGGCCCCACGCAGTGGCTCTCCCCGAGCAGGGGCCAGCGGAGCGTCTTGCCTACCCCGTAGGGTGTTGCTACTCCATTCCCTGCGGGGCTGTAAGCCGCTCCGCTGGCACTCCGTGGGCCACTAGCCGTGGGGGCCTTCTTCCTCTAGCGAGGAACCACGTAGTCCCCAGGGGAACGTCCCACCGGCACCTATTCGGGATGTTGTTTCAGTTAGCGGCAGGGTATGCAAGGCGAGTTGGTGGCACTTCGCGGGGGCCACTAGCTGTGGTGTGAGGAATGACTGCAAAAAGGGACTTCCTCGTAGATGTGTCGGGCCCCATGCAGTGGGCTTCTCTCCCCGAGTAGAGGGGGGATCCAGCGGATCGTCTGGTCTCCCGTAGGACCCGCAGGGAACGTAAGCTCAATTTCCCACTGAGTCCGGGCCGTGAATGGCCTCAGCTTGTCTCCAATGGTTCTCCACATTGAACCGATGCAACACCTGTAGAGCTTCGTCGTCATCACGAGATCTCATGATAGACCATTTCTTAAACCCAAGCTCTTTGGATTGTCCCTCCCAAATGAGGGTGCACCTGTTGGTTGAAAGATCAACATTAGCGTCTCCTTCGACTCCCTGATCCTCTTTGGGCTTCACATACTCTGTCCATTTGATCCGTTGGGTGAGAAGCTTCTTGTAGAACTTGATCGCCTTCTCACCACCCGTGGCAACCACCAAATTGAATTTTGGGTTGCATAGACAAATGCCCACCAACTCCAATTGTTTGGCATTGAGATCAAGTTTGTAGAAATGCTGCCCATTGGCAAGACTGTCTATCTTGAATACAACTGTGTGATAACCCCTTTGGAGGTCCTTATCTCGTTGTGCATGGTCCTTGGCATGTCGTTGCTCTCTAGTGAGCTTCCGGGCATCATTCGCGCGCATGTGGGTTTCAAACCTTTCCTCAACCTCCTGACGGACTCTCATTTCCACTGCCGTGGGGTCTTGGATCGCCTCGTTCGTGAGAACGTTCATAAGGTTGGAAAGCTTCACCTTGGGCGGTGGAGGTGGGTCAAGGCCAAGCTTGATCCGGTCTTGCTTATCCTGGAGTGCCGAGAGCCTGTTGTTACGACGAAGACGTTTCCGTTCCTTGGGAGTGAGCATGAGGGTGGAACCCTTCTGTTGTATGGATGCCTCCTCATGGCGCTCCCAAGGAGCGGCAAGGAACACCGGATGTTGAATGTATAAAGACACGGGGGCGTCCTCATTGTCCAAAACAAGCAGGGATGTGTCTTCAAGGTCTGCCACATACCCCTTGAGTGGGTCCCGAAGGTATGGCTTATCCCACCATTCCACAGTTGGTGGCGGGACTATTTTATAGAGATGTTCTGCAAGAGCCTCGTTGGCAGTTAACCCGGCATCCTTTTGTTGGAGGAAATGATCCCTCTCGCGTTGTTCCTGTGCCAACGTCCGTCTCATCTGGTCTCCCTGTGCTATGTATTTGCCCCTCGGGTTGAATTGGAGCGGTCTCGATGGTCTTGAGATGATGGTGCCACCTGCCGCCTGGTCGAGGTACGGGTTGATTGCTGAAGGGTCAAACATCGACCGCACGTTTCTCTGCTTCACAGGGTTGGCAGATGCCTTAGTGGGTGCCATATTTCGAAGCAAGGGATGCAATTCAATCGAAAGCCCACCTTGAGTCGTTCCTGAGGATCCAGTGGATCCAGAGGATCCAGAAGCTCCAGGAGCCACAACAGTTGCAGCAGCAGCAGCAGCAGCTCTCTTCTCTCTCAATCTTTCCTTTGCTCCGGAAATCGCAGAGTTGGAAGTTCCACCAGTCAGCGTCTGTTCTAAAGGTCTTACCAACTTATTGGGAGGCTCACCAGAGAGGAGAGTACCATCCCTCTTGCCCTGCGGGGCTGTAAGCCGCTCCGCTGGCACTCCGTGGGCCACTCGCCGTGGAGGCTCTTGTTCCTCTACCGAGGAATCACCTCTCGTCGTCCGGGAACTTCTAGTCGAAGATCTGGGTCCCATGCCAGTGTCCCCCACTGTGCCAGTGGAGAGTCCAGAAGGTCCATCTCGGCTCCTCTTCTCCAGAGCTTTCGCTCCATCTTGTCTCATTTTCCTTTTATTTTTTCTTCTTTTACCGTCGATCTAAAAATCCCACCGTTTATCTAATCGTTCTCAACGTTCCCAATGATCAAACTTACCAAAAGTATATCTCTCTCTCTTACAGTCCCTCCTTACTTTACTTCTCTAAACTTACCTCTCCTTCAAATCTACTACACTCTGCTATTCATAAAATCCTGCACACACACATTTAGCCCCCGCACGACCACCAACATAAAGAAGATACCCATTACAGTCCAAAGGGGATCACAGATATTTTCCCCTTTTTAAAATCCATTGAATCATTAATTTTTATTGATCTAATTCACGGTTAGAATTGTGGAATAGATACCTTAGGACTGTAGTTGTGCCCCCTTCCCGAATCCCCAGAACTGTTGGATAAAAAAGAACGCGGGAATTCCTCAAAAGCAATTGACCGGCCCTTTACGCCATCTATTGAAAAAGGAGAACCACCCCAATTAAACTCCAACCTATACACCCCCAACTGCCCCCCTAAATAACAACCACACCTTCTAAAATCCTCAATATGATCATTTCTAAGAAAAAATACTTGGAAAAATTCGATTTGACCCCAAAATTCATCGCCTACATTGAAGAAGTTTCCGATTGTCCCGTCGAATCATTACCCGAGGTGCTCTCAAGATATGCTGCCAATCTGTGGGAAAGACCAAGGGGAGACCTCAACCATTGGGTCACGGTGCTCAACCGGTTCGACCTGTTGTTCGAGCTGTGCATAGCCAAATATCATCTCGATGACGAGTTCCCTTCCTTGGTGGCAATCTCGTCTCTGGACAGACGGTTACTCATCTCATGTTTACAATTCACCACCTTACTTCTTGAACATTGTACCAGTCGGTTGATTTACAACTCGGCCGAACGGCTCTACTGCTTGATCAACACTGTGGATGTGGACTTGCGTTTGGCGGCTCTTGAAACGTGTGCCGCCATGGCTGAACGGTTTGATCTTCCTCCACCTTCGAAATATCGGGCCCCAAAGGCGGTCCGTATGAAAGTCTTGAAGATTGCCAAGATGTACCCACCCTTGGTGCCGATAACTTTTATTCAACGTGAAGTTTCCCGCAAGGATTCTGAAGAAGAAAAGAAGAATTCTGGTGAACATTTCAGTTTATTGGATTCTATCACGGGGAAGAAGTATCCAGGGAAATGGAGACTGATCAATTTCCAATATTTCAAGTCGGAGGATGAATTGGAGACTGAAAAATCAAACAAGAAAAAGAAAAAGAGTAAGTCGTCTGACAAGTCTGAAACCAAGTCTAAGAGTAAGTCTGACAATTCCAAATCAAAGCCTACTGATTCTGATGAATTGTCTTCTTCTAGTCTTTCTTCCTCTTCTTCAGGTCTCACCACATTCTACCTTTCTGAATCCAACGTGAAATCAATGTCTCTCTCGCAAATCTACTCCAAGGGATCTCTGGTCATCCCACCTCATCTCTGGTTTGAATTTGCCCTTCATGCACAAATCGCCAAATCTTTCAGCACAAAATCCCCAGAACTGATGGACCTTCGATGTAAACTTCTCCGCATGAAGTGTCTCCTGGTGGCCTTCATCCGATGCATGTGTCTGACCGACTTCACCCTGTCCCATTTGTTTGAACTGCAACCATTTGTGTTTAGTTTCCTCGTGGACTTGATTCTGCCCGAACACTCTACCAAGGTGCCTCATGAGGTCTACCTAGCTGCGGTCAAGGCCCTTGAATGTATTTCTCTCAAACGTGGGATCTGGGGTAGTGACCTCATCCGGTGTCTTGGAGGGAACGTCAACCACGGTGTTCTCTTCCAATGCATCCGTCACATCAACCGCAAGGTTGTCCAAGAAGACCCACAATGCTTTGAAAAGGGATACATTCAATTCTTCAACATGTTGGGCAATCTCATTGAAACCAGAGCCCTTGTCCCACGGTTGACCTCTGCCGGTCTTTTGAAAGAATTGATGAGTTTCTTCAATGTCAAGTCAAAATTCAGATGGTTGACCTCTGCTGCCGTGCATCTCACCGATCTTTTGTTCTATTCGAGTCAGGAATCGTTGGATGAATTCATCAATGAAAATGGGTTCAAGCTTTTGATTGAAACGATCCAGTACGAGGTGAACTTTGCCTTGGAGAACCCTGACTTTGGCGGCGGTGCCCCGAAGGATGCAGCAACCGTCTACTACACCATAACTTTTAGACAACAGAATTATATCCGGAACTTGATGAAATTGGTATGTCATTTGATCAATGCTGATATTGGTGATCGAATCAGAAATCTTTTCGATTCTCCTCTTCTCCATTGTTTCAATCAAATCTTGTTACACCCACAAGTGTTTGGCCCATTGATCTTGGCCTCAACCATTGATTCTGTGTCATACATCATCCATAACGAGCCCACGGCATTCTCCATTTTGAACGAGGCCCGGGTGTTTGACACAATCTTGGACAATTTCGAAACCTTAATGCAATTAAGTGACCTTCTCATGTCCTTGACCGAAGTCTTGTCGGCCATCTGTCTCAATAAGGAAGGTTTACAAAAGGTTATCGACAAGCAAACCATCCCATCGTTCTTCAAGCTGTTCTACAATGTTTCCATTGCCAAGGAGTTGGTGAAAACTGACATGACCATCAACATTGGGTGTTCCATTGACGAATTGGGCCGTCATTACCCGGTGTTAAAGCCCATTATCTTGAAGGAAATTCAGAACCTAGTCAAGCAATTCCCCTCCTTTGCTAATAGTCAATTGAAGGATGGCATCCAATTTTATAAACTGACGGAGCAAGAAAATGGAAGTCTCTATCACGCACCCGAGGATAAAATCATCGAAAATGAGCCTAATTCTCTGGAAATCGATAATTGGGACACCTCAGACCTGGCATACCTCGTCGATAATGTCTGCTTCTTCTTTGGTGGGCTACTCCAGGACTCGGGCCAATGGGGGAACGATAGCATCAACACCATCAAGTATGAAGATTGGGCTGCATTGCTCACCTTGGACAATGCGCCCTATGATTATCTCACCGCCAATGGTCTCTCGTCGTTCATTGGGGTGCTCAAGTACTTTGACGATGAGAATAGAGACTATGGACTCCCAGTTCTTTTCAAAATGATCATTGACCAAATCAATTTACCCCTTGTTCAAACGTTTATCCATCATGATTCCACCTCACATTCATTTTTCGATCAATACGACGGAGATGAGGAAAGTGGTACCATCTTGTTGAAACAACTCAATGTCTTGTGTGTTATGTTGTACACCTTGACCGACATCTACATCCAACCGGGGCTCATGTTCAACGAGAGGTACCATCAAGTGAGTCAACTCTTTGGATCGGACGAGGGAATTTCACTCTTGGAAGATTTCTCCAAGCTTTTACAACGTTGTGCCCTTGAAGAGATCTTTATTAAATGGAACTTACCGGACCAAGTTGCCGCTCAAACGTCACCAGTGACCGGGAAAACCATTTCGGACTTCCCCCCAATCCAAATTTACAAGTCTGAACCACTGCTGACCCCACCAAAGCAAGATTATACGTCGGCCAAATTCAAGAATACCTTGCAATTGAGGTTCTTTATGCTTCGGTTCCAAACTTATGTCACCACCGTGTTCACCAGTGTTGCCCGCGTGGCCATGTTCAAACGTCAAGACTTTGTATCATTTGAATGGAGACGTAACGCCGTTAAAATCACCCTCAAGTTGGGTGAACTCTTTGCTGAATTGATCGACTTACTGCTCCCTTCAGATAGCCAGAACCACGCGTACCAACTCACCATGACCAACGTTGTGTTGTACTGCTTATCCCAGAAGGAAAGAGGCAAGGACGTAGTTCAAACCACATTGGTGATGGCATTGCTCCAGGCGGGTTACTTCCCGAAATTGGGCAAGATTGTCAAGTATGACTTTACAAACTTGATTAGAATGTCGAAAGAGGATGTCGATCCAGCCAAGAAGTTGACATATGTCAGCACCTCGGAGGCACTGTTACAAAGAAACTTGTTGCTGCAAGCCCTTATGATCTATCTGAAAATTGTTAATGCCGACTGCTTGCCCAGCTTGCCCTCAGCCAAGTTGTTTTTCTTTCAAGGTTATGACGGCGCGGCAGATTCAAACTTGGTGCCTTCTCTTTTAGTCCAGACTAGATTGTGTGCGTTCCGTCTCATTGGCCAGATCATGGACCCCCTGGGGGACGTGGTTTCGGACGATTGGGTCAACGAAGATGGTGTGCGCCAAATGGTGGCCAACCATGCCAACATCCCTTCGTCGGTGGCCGAGCAATTGGTGACCATCAACAACCATTGTTGGAGCGCCCGCAAGGAGAACTTGCTGGTTAAGTACACCCCCTTGACCGTGAATGGCGTGATCCCACCACTCTCCCAAATCAACCAATTGATGAACCTGGGGATGAACCGTACGCAGGCTGAACATTTCTTCAAACATGCCAAGGACTTGAGCGGCATCAAGAATCGTAATTGGCCTGGATGTCCAGAGATGGGTATTTCTGATGAGAAATGGGAAGAAATCGCCAACTCCATCAATGCCGGATCGGTGGATGACAGCGATGATATGTCATCTGGTGACCGGCTGTCCAATGCCTTTGTTTCAGACCCAAAGATGCTCGAGCAACTTCGTCAAAAGAACTTTAGAGAAATCACCGCCAGATGGACAAACTTTGTTCAATTCTTCCCCTCGAGTGTTCCATCAGTGGCCACTTTTCTTGTCGGGATGGTGTCTAAGCCAAAGGAGGTTCTTCAAGAGGTGTACCTGACAATTCTTGAGGTTGCTGCTGATAAGCCAGACCGATTGGCAGCCGTCTACCACTTGTTTTGTCTTTTGGTGAAGAGCTGGGAAGATGTCCCTGTGTTTGAAAAGTTTACTCAGCACATGATTTCCCAGTTGGAGAGCCAACCACAAAATTTCGAAGGTGTTGGTACTACCTCCGCCACACTGTATGACTGGTTTGCCTATGGGTTGTCAGTCTTGGAACAATTTGTGTGTTACAAGACATACCCTTCAGCCGACCCAGACCTGATGAACATTTTAAACAAACAGATACTCGACCTGAAGGTTTTCACCATGACCGACGACCAAAACCAGCGGTTGTTGGCTGGGTTACTCCAACTCAAGGATATTTCTAACGTGAAGACGGCCATTGCCGTGGCCAGACTTCTTGTCTTGTACAGCCGTGAGTACTCACAAGCGGTACAGATCTCAAGCTCACCACTCACGCGCGAACTCATTCAGTCGGTGCAGCGGTTTGTTAAGGAAAACGAACTGTACCTGATGCTTCAGACCACATTGATTGTTCTTTGCAGAAGATGTTTCGAGACAACCGAGGTGTTGCAAATGAACATGATTGCCGAATTGCCCGGCTACTTCAAGGCATTGTACGGCGAGACCGGGCTTTACTCGGTGTTGAACGAAACAGCATCGTTGGCCCTTCGGGAACCCAACGTTTATTTGGATACGATGCTGAAGGAGGTGATCATGGATGGGTATGACGGTGGTACCATTGATGATATTAGTATGATTCAGTTGTCGTTGAAGAAGAAGGATAAGGAGAGAGATGCGGCGCAAGCTGCTGGTACCTCCAGTTCTATTTCTGAAGATGTGGAGATGCTTGACGCTGGATTGGGACCTTCACCCGTCGGTACCGGCTTGATGCACATTCTTGTCAATGAATTGATGAAGGTGAGCAAGAATGATTGGGTTTCTGACCCAAAGGTGGACGAGGAACTGGGACCTGCCACGCCTGAGGCATTGGCTTCCGCCTCGGCCGTGTTCAAGAACCCACACTTTGCATATGCGTGTTTCCTTCTCCAGACCATCACGGAGCTTCTTGCGTCGTACAAACAGTCGAAATTTGAATTCATCACTTTCTCCAAGAAGAAGGTGTCCAATGAACATCTCAAGCCAAGACCAACGGCGCTCAATTTCATTATTCATCAATTGATTCCTACCCAACCGTTGGAACATAAGAAGGGCCCGGAGAATGATAGAAAGCTGGCCATTGCCTCGTTGGCGAAGTTGGCGGTGTTGGCGTTGGTTTCGACGCCTGTGTTAGACGAGAAGAACTCTCCTGTCGCCACCAAGGAGGACCCGGACATGATGTATATTCGGAAGTTTTACGTTGACATTTTGCTGAAGATTTTGAGAGAAACGTCGGACTCGACGCAGCAACCAATCACGGTGCGATACTCCAAGTTGATGGACTTGTGTGAGCTCTGTGGAGCTTTGATCTCCCCAAAATTCAGAGACTTATTTGGCCCCGTGTTGAATAAAAGCGCCACCAAGTACGACACGTATTACTTGGCCCGGTCGATGATTGACAAGAGTATCCCACAACAAATTGGTGGTATTGTGGCCGAGTTGGATTTGAACTTCCCCGAGGTCAACCGAGTCGTTAAGCTTTGTCTTCGTCCGTTGAGTTTCCTTGGCAAGATTAAGCAAGAGTTACAAGAAGAGTTTGAAGAGGAACACCAAGGTGAACGAGACGAGGATGACGATGTTTTGGTGGACGAGGAGGACCGAGACGAGACTCCAGATTTGTTTAGAAACTCCACCTTGGGAATGTATGACGCTGATTCCGAGGATGAAGACGAGGATGATGAGTTTTATGACGATGAGGGACCATTGGAGGTGTTGATGGAGGATGAGGTTGTAGGTGATGAGGACGATGATGATGATGATGATGAGGATGACGATGATGACGATGATGACGAAGACGATGAAGATGATGAAGATGATGATTCGGACGAGGACATGGATGACATGGATGAGGACGAAGCCATTGAGTTACTTGGAGAAATCGACATTGATCGCGAAAGAGGAGCTGGAGGATCGAGAGTCGGGTCCAGACGAGGATCCATGATTGTTGAGGACCTCTCGGATGACTATTCGGACGAGTTCTCGGACGACTACGATGAGGAAGAAGGGTCTGGCGACTCCATCTATGACTTTGATGACGATGAGTCTGTGAGTGAGTACTCTGACGCGGAATTGGACGGCTGGATCGAGGCCTTTGAAGATGGTGAGGACGACCAGCATGCTGGTGTAAGTGGAAATCGTAGTGCTGGAGGTGTTGGCGGCGTTGGTGGAGATGACGACGACGACGCACCGGGCGGCGATGCAGACAACTTACATGTTAGCGTTTCCGGTCCATTCTTTAATAGTAGCGGACACACACATCGTGACGATGATGTCACTGGAGGTCATGAAAGTAGTGACGACGGTGATGACGCGGACGGCGATGAGGCCGACGCGCTTGGCGGTAGTGATGATGATGAGAGTGGCACTTGGGATGAAGTGGCTGGAGGATTCAGCGATTCACGCCGAAGAGCCAGAGACTTTGCCAATACATTTTTCGATGCGTTGCGCCCCGCTATGGGTGGAGCTGGTGTGGGTCCCGCGGTAATTGGAGGAGGAGGTGTCAGTGGCGGCCAGCCCAACATTGCCAGCATCTTTGGCGGTCTCTTTAGTGGCACTAACGGCACTGGCGCCACCAACGGTATGAGAGGACGAATCCAAGTTGGAGGTCCTGGTGGACCTATGGGCGGCCGTGGCCGGGTTGATTACGTGACACGGTTTGTCGACAGTGTGCTTGGCGTTGGTGCCAACAAGCGCATGGACAATGATTCCAACAGCGACCCGCTCAGCAACATGTACATCAAATCGACCAAGGAGAGATGGATTGACGGGTTGAAAATGTACCAGGACTCGATGAAGAAGGAGTTCACGATCCGATTGATCCCTGGCATTGTCAACCGCACTGCCGACGAAAGTTTTGCCATCTACCAATTGAAGAAGGAGAAGGAACAGGCGTTGAAGAAGGAGCAAGAAGAGAGAATGAAGAAGAGACAGGAGATTGAGAGAATCCGCAAGGAGGAAGAGGCCAAGGAAAGAGAGTTGCAGGCAGCCAACGAGCCGCCAGTGACCAGCGAGCCGGTGATGGTTAGAATTGGAGACCGAGAGGTTGACATATCGGGGACCGACATCGACCCTGAGTTTTTCGAAGCACTCCCAGACGACATGAGGGAGGAGGTTTTCACTCAACATGTACGTGAGAGAAGAGCCAACGCCACCAGTTCAGGCGGCGAGAACACGCGAGAAATCGACCCTGATTTCTTGGATGCTCTCCCGGAGCAGATCCGAGAAGAGATCTTGCAACAGGAGAGTATGGCCAGAAGGTTCAGTGAGATGGGAGGCGATTTGGAAGGAGATTACGATGACGAGGATGACGACGAAGAGGACGGAGATGACGACGAGGATGACGACGACGAGGCCATAGAAGACGACGAGGAGGACGACCTTGCGGTTCGTTCGATGGAAGGGATCGACATGCTGGCGGCTACCGCGGGAACCACTCTCGCAGCACGCCGTAGAAGTAGCACCCATCGCCGCTCGTCGGTGTCGCTCAAGAAGAAACCCAAGAAGACTTTCTTCACTCCACTTGTCGAGAAGAGTGGGGTTGCTGCATTGATTCGTCTTCTTTTCATTCCTCAACCCATGAACCAACGAGACACCATCCATCACGCGCTTGAGTATCTCTGCCACAGCAAGCAGAGTCGTGCCGAGGTGATGGGGCTCTTGATATCAATTCTCCAGGACGGTCTAGCCAACCAGAAGGCTATGGAAAGATCTTTCTGTCAAATCACCGTGAGGGCTAGACGACAAGAAACGTCAAGCTCTCAGCAGTCCAAGAAGGAGCTTGCCACGCAATTCCCCTTGGGCGGCACGCCGCTGGTGATTGGATGCCAAATCATCGAGGCCGTGCACCATCTCCTCATGCAGAATGTACACATGAGATACTATCTTTTGACCGAGCATGAGAATGTGGTGAAGAAGAAGGATGTCGCCACTAAGGAGTCCAAGTACCCAATCAACCATTTGTTGTCGTTGTTGAACAATCAGTTGGTTCGCGACGAACAGCCATTTATGGACGTGTTGGCCATGGTGTTGCAGATCGCCACCAGGCCGTTGAATTTGTTGAACAAGAGCCGCGCCGCTGACTCTGACGCCAAGTCGAGACCTCCATTGACCCCACCAGAGATCCCAGAAAAGAACTTGAGACAATTGATCAAGATTTTGATCTCCAATGATTGTCCAAAGGCCACGTTTAGAACAACCATCAGTGCCATGCAGAACTTGAGTGTGTTGGATGGAGCCCAGAAGGTGTTCTCAGTGGAGCTTTCCGACCAGGCGACTTCCTTGGGGAAGACCTTGATCGGTGAGTTGACCACATTAACGAGGGAGATCTCCAGTGACAAGACGTACGACACCGAGGCCAGTTCGTTTGCCAAGTTTTCAGCCTCGAGCTCGGACCAGGCCAAGTTGTTACGTATTTTGACCGCCTTGGACTATATGTTTGAGAAGAAGGAACAACAGGAAGATCACGTCACTGATGAAATTGAAGAGTTGACTGGATTGTATAAGAAACTTGCCTTGGGGACGCTTTGGGATGCACTTTCGGAGCTTCTCCGAGTGCTTGACGAGAAGCAGGAGGTGACGAACATTGCCACCGCACTTCTCCCATTGATCGAAGCCTTGATGGTTGTTTGCAAACACAGTAAGGTCAAGGAGATCCAGATCAAGGATGTGTTGAAGTACGAGTCCAAACGGATTGATTTCGCCAAGGAACCGATTGAAAGCTTGTTCTTCTCGTTCACCGACGAACACAAGAAGATCTTGAACTCGATGGTGAGAACGAACCCGAACTTGATGAGTGGGCCCTTTGGCATGTTGGTGAGAAACCCACGGGTGTTGGAATTTGATAACAAGAAGAATTACTTTGACCGGATGTTGCACGTGAGCAAGAACGAACAACAGAAGCTTTCCGTTTCTGTGTCCAGAGACCAAGTGTTCCTTGACCTGTACCGGGCTCTTTTCTTCAAGCCACAAGAGGAGTTCCGGAACAGCAAGTTGGAGATCACGTTCAAGGGCGAAGCTGGTGTAGACGCCGGTGGGGTGACCAGAGAATGGTACCAGGTGTTGTCCCGACAAATGTTCAACCCTGACTATGCGTTGTTTACCCCTGTTGCCTCGGATGAGACCACGTTCCATCCTAACCGGACTTCATTTGTCAATCCTGAACATCTTTCGTTTTTCAAGTTTATTGGTCGAATCATTGGGAAGGCCATCTTTGACGGGTCATTCCTTGATTGTCATTTCAGTAGAGCCGTGTACAAGCGGATTTTGAGTCGTCCTGTGTCTCTCAAGGACATGGAGACGCTTGATCTTGAGTACTTCAAGTCGTTGATGTGGATGTTGGAGAATGACATCACGGACGTCATTACCGAGGATTTCTCGGTGGAGACGGACGACTACGGTGAGCACAAGGTGATTGAATTGATCCCCAACGGGGCCAACATCCCGGTGACCGAGGAGAACAAACAGGAGTATGTGAAGCAAGTGGTGGAATACCGGTTGCAGACCAGTGTCACGGAACAGATGGACAACTTTTTGATGGGATTCCATGAAATCATCCCTAAGGATCTTGTGGCGATCTTTGACGAGCAAGAGTTGGAATTGTTGATCTCTGGGTTGCCCGACATCGATGTGAATGACTGGAAGAACAACTCCACCTACATGAATTATTCTCCTTCGCTGCCACAAATCCAATGGTTTTGGCGGGCGGTGAAGTCCTTTGACACAGAGGAACGGGCTAAATTGTTACAATTTGCCACGGGGACTTCAAAGGTTCCATTGAACGGGTTCAAGGAGTTGAGCGGAGCCAATGGGACGTGCAAGTTTAGCATCCATCGGGACTATGGAGCCACCGATAGGTTACCATCTTCACATACTTGTTTCAACCAGATCGACTTGCCTGCGTATGAGACATACGATGAGTTACGTGGGTCCTTACTATTGGCATTGACCGAAGGTCACGAAGGTTTTGGATTAGCTTAGAAGAGAGGAGCTGAAGTTGAAGAAGTAGAAAGCAGTTTGCAAAAGTTCGATTTTTTAGATTAGATAAAGATAAAGAATATACGTTTTATATTATAAAGGAGAGTGGTGTAGAGTTGTGGAGGTGGATGAGCAGAAAAGTGTTGGACCGTAGTGGACGGGTAGCCATGCGTAGATGGTCTACGAGGAAGTCTCACCTGTAGTCAGAGGAAGAGGGCCCCGCCCTACAAGGTTAGTGACAAACGAAGTGACTCACAGACCCGGTGGTGAACTGGAATTCCAATGCGACTGCAAGACGCTCCGCTGGCCCCTACTCGGGGAGAGCCACTGCGTGGTGCCTAGCTCCTCTGACGAGGAGACCATTCATAGTCACGTGCTTCCTCGGTTGAGGAAGAAGGCCTCGACGGCTAGTGGCCCACGGAGTGCCAGCGGAGCGGCTCACCGACCCCGTAGGGTAGATTACTAGTCTCCCAGTGGGGCTGTAGGACGCTCCGCTGGCCCCTGCTCGGGGAGAGCCACTGCGTGGTGCCTAGCTCCTCTACGAGGAGACCATCCATAGTCACGTGCTTCCTCGTTAGAGGAACAAGGCCCCCACGGCTAGTGGCCCACGGAGTGCCAGCGGAGCGGCTTACTGTCCCGCAGGGTATGGAGTGGCTACATCCTACGGGGAAGTCTGTGAGACCAGGCTCTCTACCTCTGGCCTGAGTTGGTCTACTAAGGCGTAACTCAGTAGAGCCATTCTCATCGATTGTCAGGATTTGCAGCCAATGTTCCAGAAACAACATAGAAAGCTCTATGCAGCCACCACACCCACCCCCACCCCAGGACTCACAACATGAAGGCTTGCCCATCGTGTATGATGTGGCCACCCCTTATCTCCGCCGACCCTCCCTACAAGCTCCTCAGACTTGACGACGAATATTGTATTGTTCTAACGCTGCTCTATAAGATTATCTACAGGATATCTGCTCTCTCTCACTTCATGGCCATGGCCAATTCTTCCAACTTATCAGTGGTGGCCATGTCCTGCACAACTGGGTAGTGCTTCTTGTTCAATTGGTCAACTTCATCACTCCAATAACCGCACTCCTTGAGCATTTCTTCTGGACTTATCGTCAATCTACCTCTCTTGAACACATACTTTGTAATGGTGATGGCACAAATTTTTTCATCACCCTTTGCCGACTTGGTAACGAATTTCGACAAGATGAAAAGCCATTTTTTATCCCAAGCAAGTACTTGAGAATGGATTTCAAATGGTTGGAAAACTCTTAATTCATGTTTAAAATGAGTTTCCACTGCTGCCACGGGGACATAGGGGAAATTACTAATTTTACCCGCTTTAGGGAAATGACCATTGTCGTTATCAAAGTAGCGGAAAAAAAGTTTTTGAAACACTTTGGTTACAAGATCAGTTCTGGCAATATCCAAGTCAATGAAGTAGGTTGAGTTGGACTTGTGGAGGTACATATCAATCTCCAAGGGAGACACATAGGTCTTGGTGATTGCTGGTTTGAATACATCTAATGGATTTGTGACCCCTCTACCAAAAGTATTGAGTTTGTTGTTATGGTTGTATTGAGATCTATGGAACAACAAGTTGCGCACAATCACGTGGTAGAACCGGATGACATATGCAAATGGGAGGGTCTTGTAGGTTGATAGAAGGAAGATGTAGACCAAGATTCTGAGCGGGGTCATGATTGAAGAAGGGTAGAGGCGGTTCCAAGGTGAATGATTGTGGGTATTATTAGGACAAAGAGAGAGAAAATAAATAGAATATAAAAAATAAACAGAAAAAAAAAAAAAAAATTAAGGAGACGCTGTCACAGAGTGAGTGGGGGAGAAGGGTCTTCATGGGGGGGCACTGCCCATCTTTCTTTTTTTTTTTTAAGATTTGAGGAGGGTGAGGAGGGTCCGGACAGGGCAGGGGGGGCGTGACACAATAAGAGTAGTGGGCTCACACGAGAGTTTAAGGTATCCAAAGTCAAATATGGTCTTTAATTAAGGTATGGTTATTACCTATTAGTTTAGATCTAAGCCCAACAAAATATTCGGCTTATCACCGATCGGCCGAGCATGATTTTGTGTGTGGCGCCACATGCAGGCCGTTACTAATGAACAGAAAAACCGGAAATGAAAGGTTCGGTTTAGAATTTGTAAAGAACCGTGAGAATTTTAGTAATTGGTGACGGCGTACATGCAGGACGCGAGAATTTGGCAGGGGGGGCGGGAGGTACAACAAACACGGGAACAACACAACACGGTAAGGAGTTACCCCTGGCGGGTGAGCGTGGATGGGTAGGGGTAGTTGTAGATGTAGAGGGTGGAAGGCTGGGTCCTGCATGTGATTCCTCGCTAGAGGAAGAAAGGCCACCACGGCTAGTGGCCCACGGAGTGCCAGCGGAGCGGCTTGGTGACCCCGTAGGGAAGGGGACTAGCCTCCCTGTGGGACTGTAGGACGCTCCGCTGGCCCCTACTCGGGGAGAGCCACTGCGTGGTGCTTAGCTCCTCTGACGAGGAGACTGCTTCTTATCACGTGATTCCTCGCTAGAGGAACAAGGCCTCCACGGCTAGTGGCCCACGGAGTGCCAGCGGAGCGGCTTGGTGACCCCGTAGGGAAGGGGACTAGCCTCCCTGTGGGACTGTAGGACGCTCCGCTGGCCCCTACTCGGGGAGAGCCACTGCGTGGTGCTTAGCTCCTCTGACGAGGAGACTGCTTCTTATCACGTGATTCCTCGCTAGAGGAACAAGGCCTCCACGGCTAGTGGCCCACGGAGTGCCAGCGGAGCGGCTTACAGACCCCGTAGGGTACCAACTGGGCTTTCCGTTGGACTACAGCTCTTTCCGCTGGGCCCCTACTCAGAGACAACCACTGACATGAAGCCTCGCTCCTCTGACGAAGGACAAGGTCGTCCCTCCCCTGGGACTCTCTCTCTCTCCCTCTCTCTCTCTACACTACAAACATGTTCTCATAATTCGTGTTCATTGTAAAGTCATATAAACCTATATATACATTTCCTTTTTCCTTTTTCCCGTTTTTGAATTGGGTTGCCAATTTGTTTGTTGTTGTTGTTGCCGCCGCCTTTGTGGTTAACTCTTGGTGAACTCGCCTGCATACGGACAGGCGTTCTTCTCGACATGCAGGACCATCCATTCATCAACGTTATGAAAGTGTTGTTGACATGCTCTACATGTGCCTGCAACCTTATTACGTTGATCCTTCTTGGTGCCCAGAGGATATTGGAAATGGATTGCCTTCAAATGGTTTTTGAAAGTATCACATCTCAGGAATATCCCAGTTGAATGGCAACAATGATCTCCCCCTTGAACCTCACCTTTGAATGGACATTTGAATTGTCCCTTGTCAGATCCGGTCTCCTTCCAGTGGCGCTTCACGTGACGGAACAAATCATTGGGTCTGGCAAATCCTCGATTACAATATTCACAAACATGTGGTCTTGATGTTGGTTTAAGATGGGTTGATTTATGGGTTGCCAAGTTGGAGAAGAATAAATGACATTCCGGACATTGTCTCTTCTTCCGAGGTTTCCAAAGGGATTTATTTACTTTGGGATTTGATGATTCATTGGCAATTTCGAGGGTGGTGGTGGTGGTCGGAAATGGCGCGGCGGAACTTCCGGATGAAGATTGTTGTGCGCCGCCGGATGCAGGAGAGTTAGCAGTAGACAACTTTAATTCTTCTTGATCATGTTCTTGCTTGGTACCTACCTCATGGTAAGTGGTATCTTGTTCCTCTTCTTCCGAATGAATGGTCAGAGATCCCATCAGAATTGGAGTATGGGTAGAATTATTTATCATAAAGTTGGTTTTTGTGTCATTATCATTGAATGGGGTCGTCGTGGTGGTGGGGGCCTGTCCTGCACCTGCGCCGGCAGCAGCGCCGGCAGCAGCGCCGCCAAATTGGGAAGGATCACTCGATCGACGAGTTGCAACGGCACACAATGTCGATAATCCTCCCGCGGCGTGGTTGTATGCAGGCGACAGAATAGGAGATATGAAAGGTATACGAGGTGGGGATTTCAAAGATGAACCAGAATGAGTGAGAGAAGGTGCTTGCACCAGCGGTTGTTGTTGTTCATATTTAATCGGTTGAAGCATGATATGTGGCAATCCTAGTTGATGTGTAGTGGTGGTGGAGCCGGTGGACCCTGCCGATGAATATTGTGATGGCTGTGGTTGTACCGCCACCACCAGTGGTGAAGGGCCTGACGGTTGGCTTGATGGTTTGGGACTGTAGTACGAAGCGTAGGCCGGCGCCACGTTGGGAACCGGGAGATCCAAGTCCAACGAGTGGATCGAGGGAAGACGGTAGTGGGCTTGTGTGTTGGGGAGAACAGACATCGTTGCTGTTGTTATGCTATGCTAAGGGAGGGGGGAGGGGGGGTGTAGAAAAATATCTGGGTCACCAACTTGGTCTCGCAGGTGCAAGTGGAGATCTGTTGCTTATAAAGGGAATTGCTCGCTGGGCGAAGCGGGATTCGGAACGGATGGATGTTTTGCCCACACGGCTGAGAAATCCAGCGTGTGGCTGAGACCCTTTTCATCGGGACTCGGCCATAAGACGGAGTTTATCTGGAAACCCGCGCGGGTACAAAAAACAAATCCGCGCACAGTTCGGGCAGTCGACCATGTTCCCGTCCCCCCCCCCCTTCTAACTCCCACGTTGCTACACACCCCGTCCTTCACTCGACACCACCACTGAGTCGACCCTACACTGCCATGTCACCCCTTTTGTTTCTCTCCCTCCCTCCGTCTCCCTCGACCACGCGCGCCGCCCCCAAAAAGTGCTCGGCGTGCTTGCGAGATTCTCGGCCGCAACTCCTATTTCTCTCACCTGGATTATTAATTTTTTTTTTATTTTTTTTTTTTTTTCGCATTTCTTTCTCTTTATTTTTTCTTCCAAAGAATTTCACGTTCGCTCTCTTCTGAGCGACAAATCCCCACGGCTTGGCTGCAGCCGCACCCTTCGGTTTTCACATTTATTTTTATTTTTATTTTTTATTTTTTTATTTTTTCTGAATCTACGAGTGGCGGAAACAAAAGATCTGCTCATCTGGAAATAGGGGTAATTTTAAAGATAATGTTACACAAATAGAAAGTCTGGTACTAGTAACACAGTCCTACAGTCTGTCCATGCCATGTCCTGCCCTGCCCCTGACGCTGGGTCTTGACTACTACTGGCACTCGCCTACATCGTGTCGTCCCCCCCTCACGACCCTGCCCCTGCCCCTGCCCCCTGTCCTCCACGCCCATCCTCTCTTGCTTGCTACTGCTGCTCGGATTTTTATTGTCTTTAGCGGCACGGATCATCCCGTACGTTCCGCCGCAAATCCAAATAAAACCTTCAATCTCACTTTTTTTTTTTTTTATTTTTCTCAATTGTTTTATTTTTGGGGTCCTCGTTCGTCCTGCATGGCGCCTACCATCTTTAAACTTACAATTGCCATTTCAGCGCTTACTTCCAAAATGGGACCACCCAAATTTCTCCTCACTACAAAGTATAAGCCTACACTCTATATACACTGACAGTAGTGACGACACTAGTGAAGGTCTCTCCATCGTCTGTTCTCTTCCAACAGCCATACTCTCCATCATCTGCGCGCTCCTCGCCCTCTCCTCGCCCTCTCCTCGCCCTCTCCTTGCCCTCTCATATTCCCGCAATCTCCTCCATCATCCGGAGATTCCCATCAATCCTGAAATTTTCTAAACTTTTAGTAAACGGCGCAATACCCTGTCGAGTTTCTTAGGCACGCCACTCTTTCATAAACTCTCCCTCCCCACCTAGACCCCCACCGGCTCTCGCCCTTCTACCCCACATACCTCGACTCTCACTAGCGCCTCCCGTCAATCGTCGTCGCCCCCCTATTCCATCCCTCTCGTCCTCCATCGTCGTCGTATTCTCTTTGCTTGGCCATTTCTCTTCCCTGCTCACAGCCGCGCCAATTCTCTCATCGCTTCCAAGTTCCCACCTCTGCCATGTTCCGGCATGAACCGCTATGTACCCCATCAGCCGAGTCGACCCCTTCCATCCCGATTTTGCCGTGCCCTCGCCCTCCCCTATTCTCTCCCCCATCCCTGCGGCTGTATGTCCCGCACCCCTCCTACCGAAATATGTCACATTTCTCGCACGCAGATTTTTATTTTTCTCTCATCCGCACGGACCGATCGGCGAGGTATTTTCTTTAAAACCGTTCGACGGCCTTACTAAGCACGTGCAACCCCGACAACAAATCTGAGAAGGTGCTAGAAATTGTAAATAGCGGCCAAATCACTCCAACAATTTTTTTTTTTTCGATCAACAGCACCGCCCGTTTGGTTTGGTTTTAGAGTGTATCATTTGTCCTCGGGGTTAGCCAAACTGGTCATGACTAATCAGCGCTAAGGTTCAGATGGGCAGTAGGTTGGTTAGCTTTGCCCCCCGCGGTCTGTTACCCTGTCGTATACTCTGTCTCTTCTGCTCCACACACACCCACACGATCTCAAATCGATTCTTGTCCTGCAGACAGCCGAATTGATAAGCAAGGGATCTCTCTGCCACTTCTCTCGGGGTCATAAATCCGGTAAACTCCGCCTTCACGGACGGCGTTTGCCTTCGCTACCAACGGTGCAGAGTCAATAGCGAAGAAGATGGACGGCAAATCGCTACGATACGGCCGAGAGTGTGTTCACTTCCACCCGAAATATATGGTCACGTCTTGTCAGATCTCCTCGTAGAGGAGCCAAGCTCCACGCAGTGGCCCTCCCCGGGTAGGGGCCCAGCGGAGCGTCTCACAGACTCCCCCGGTAGAGTGTGCCCACTCCATTCCCTGCGGGGCAGTAAGCCGCTCCGCTGGCACTCCGTGAGCCACTAGCCGTGGAGGCCACCTTCCTCTAGCGAGGAACCACGTGACCACGAGCAGTCTCCTCGTAGAGGAGCTAAGCACCACGCAGTGGCCCTCCCCGGGCAGGGGCCTAGCGGAGCGTCTCACTAACCGCGTAGAGTGTGGCCTCTCCATTCCCTGCGGGGCTGTAAGCCGCTCCGCTGGCACTCCGTGGGCCACTAGCCGTTGGGGCCTCCTTCCTCTAGCGAGGAACCACGTGACCACGAGCAGTCTCCTCGTAGAGGAGCTAAGCACCACGCGGTGGCCCTCCCCGGGCAGGGGCCTAGCGGAGCGTCTCGCAGACTCCCCTGGTATAGTGTGCCCACTCCATTCCCTGCGGGGCTGTAAGCCGCTCCGCTGGCACTCCGTGGGCCACTAGCCGTGGTGGCCTTCTTCCTCTAACGAGGAACCTCTCCCCTCTCTCCTCCTTCGCAGTCGCAGCTTCTCCTCGTAGAGGAGCCAGGCTCCACGCAGTGGCCCTCCCCGGGTAGGGGCCCAGCGGAGCGTCTCCCAGTCCCGCGTTGTGTGTCTATGCCACGGCTCCCTCTCTTCACTTTGTACTCTCTCCACCTACACTCTACTCTACTCTACTCTACTCTACATCCTCGTCCTCGTCTTCCTTTCTTAAATTATGTTTATTTGATTGGCCGTACGTACTCACCAGCGAAAACTCTCCGTGTTGCAAATTCGCCGCTCATTTTTAAATTTCTCCTCAATTTCTCAACTGTCGTTTGTTTTCTTTTTTTTTGCAACACAATTTGAATTTTTTTTCTGTGCGGGCCCCGGGGGGACCCCCCCTTTTCATTTTTGCAGCACCACCACCGATAAAAGAAAGTGTATATCCTCCTTTTCTCTCCTTCATCTAAGCCTTTCTACTCTTGGCCTTGGTGACATTACCTTCAACTCCACTGGTCTTACCCTTGGACTTGACCTTTGGTGAAGTAACAACTGGTTCAGAAGAAACCTTGGCAGCCTTCTTGGCACTCTTTTTGTAAACTCTAATGTAGAAACTAATGAATAATACCAAATAACTGGTCAAAATCAAATATCCATAAGCAGCAGCTAATTCACTTCCATGACAATCACCAATATGTGGCAAAGAGGGGAAATAAGCATGAGCATAATGAGTATAAGTGGCAAAATAAACAAACACTAAATCAATCAAAAATTGAATGATTTGGAAACGAGTGACCCATTCTTTCCACCAAACTCTAATACCACGAGCACTCAAGAAATAATACCAATACATCACTACATGTACTGCCAAATTCAAAGTAATTGGAACCCATTCAACCGAAGTACTTCCTGTCAATTGAGTGTAACATAATAAGGCAGTGGCTCCATGATGATAAGTATGTAAAAATAACAATTTTTTCTTTTTCAATACTAAAAACACCGTGTCCAATAATTCCAAATATTTGGTAAGATAATTCAAATAATATAAAGTTACCAATTTTGGAGCAAAGGAATCTTTGTGACAAATTGCATAAAATAATCCATGTTTAATAAGCATTGGTAAAATTTGTTCAATACACAAAAGTAATAATCCAAGAGAAACAACCGTAAGTACAAGGTTATGTAATTGGAACAAGAAGTTTAATTTCAAAGGAGCCAATTGTAACTTGTCGGACAAGGCTCTACCACCAAAAATGACAATATAATAGACAATAATGACTCCAATTGCATGGTAACCATTAGCCATAAAAGTATGATGATGAATGAATTCGAAATCATCTGCCGAGTATCCAACGATTTTCTCGAATAAAGCAGAGAAAATCGGCCAGAGATGGACACCAAACGGACGATCCACGGACGGTTTGGAAACCTCTATGAATGATGGGAGACTAAGAGACATACTATGGAGAATGCTTAAGTATAAGAATAAACAAACAAGATAAAAAATTCTTTTTTTTTGGAAAAGTTTTTAAAATTTGAGCAAAGTTTGGAAATAAAGAATAAAGTTTGAGAGCGCGACTAAGTGGGAGGACTCTGGGCTAGGCAATCGAGGGTAGGTACCGTGTGAGGTGTGTACACACTGTAAATATTCTAAGGTAGTAGCAGATGACTCGTAAAGCTTTTCTAGTTTACTCCTGAAGGTTCTAAACTCACCCCCACAGCCCTTTGTCCAACTTGGAAGCACCTCCCTATCTGTCAAGTCATCAGTCCTACCAGTACTATTGTTTGGTTAACTGGGAAGCAATTAAATAAAACTGGGAGGTACTGCACGTACGTCGGTAGTTTCCCAGAAAGTATAAAAGTACCGAAAATTAATTCTAGAGAACATGGAGGACCGCGGAAGATAGGAGAGTTTGTTACGACGGATCGAGGGAAATGAACCGGAGGCGGGTTTGGAGAAACTATTTCTCTTTTTTATTTTTTTTCTGATGGCCGTGGTTAGGTGCTCAGTACCAGCATAGACTCCTCGGGGGAACTACGGGGATCTAGAGGGCGTCCGGTGGACCTTCTCCTCGTAGAGGAGCTAGGCACCACGCAGTGGCTCTCCCCGAGCAGGGGCCAGCGGAGCGGCTTGCAGTCCCACGGGGAGGCTAGTTCCCACCCTACGGGGTTTGTGAGCCGCTCCGCTGGCACTCCGTGGGCCACTGGCCGTGGAGGCCTTGTTCCTCTAGCGAGGAATGGTGATGCAGAGGCTTGGTTACGCGCTCATATGCCTTTTTTGCACCCAAATACGGGTGCGTCAAATGCGAAAGGGCTACATTGGTGCTGCTAAATGCTGCTGTTGTACTGTTAATGGAGTGGAGAGTTACTGGATTTTCTATGATGGGGTCCCACAAGCTGGCGGTAGGTAAATACCGTGTATGAAGACTTGCCCCGGTATGCTAGTCGCAGCCACTAGCGTTTGTCAACGCCCTATTGATCTATAATGGATTGTAGTATATGTTCTGCTCTATTCTGGGGAAAAAATCCTCGGTTACAAGGACATCGACTAATAATTACAACAATGGAAAGGACCCGGAAGTTCCGGTCCAACCCACAAACACAATTTTAGGAAGTATGTTTCTTTGTACCCCCATCATGGTTAATACTTTTGCATCAACAACTCTCTCGTGAACCTCTTTATTACCTTCTGTATCATTGATACCAACCTCCTAAAGTATTCCTTGCTCTCGCCGGTTCTTTGGGTTGAGGGAAATTCCACCCGTCGGAAAGAATCATTTAAATGTGACTCCTCATCATTGCCAACATTCTATTGGATAACTAGAGCGACAGAGTTCGTTTAAGCATTTCATACCATACTTCAGGGCTACAAGCCACGTCAATGACATTCTATTGGAGGGGAAATAACCAGAAATGTTGTGGGAAGATGTCTCATTCACCACTCCCTAGATGTTCCTAGAGACCTGTCTCATAAAAATCGTAGTCTTCTTTCTCTCTCCCAACATTTGTTCTCTACTACAGTCTATTTTCATAAATGTAAATTAAATTTTATCTACTCTAAGAGTTATGTCTTTGTCTGCTTTGGTTTAAGGTTTAAGAAATCAATGGAAACAATGATATCGTATCCATTCTCCTCACATGCGTACAAAGCTTCGTGTTCGTTCAGATGAAGGAATCTGATGTTGTCTCCTACAAGAGCCCGCAAGAGACTGGTCAGGTCAAGGTCTCGAACTTCAATGAAGCCCGGCTCGAACGCCAATAAGTATGGGTAGAACAAGGCAATGTTCTGAGGGTTTCCCTCCCAGAAAATGCCCCAATCATGACTGGTACGCCAACCGTTCCTGTTGATCAAAAATGAGAATTCTGAATAACTGACAAGGAAATTGAAACCCAACCGATGAATGGCCAATGGAGTCACAGACTCACGTTGGGTGGCAAAATCCAATGAAGGGTCAGCCTCATCCAAGATCGGTTCCTTCTTACCCTTCTCAAGCGAAAGAATCTCAAATCCCTTGGTACATCCAACACAAAGTTTGGTCTTGAAGAACGAAATGGAAACAGGTTCTGAATTGAAGATAAACTCTCGAATGTCATACTTTTTGTTTCTATTTTTGATAGATTTGGCGTCAAATGGGTTCAGAGGCTCGAAAATACTGATGGAATGTGCGGCACCACCTCCTCTTTTCGCAGCAACTACAAGTAATCGACCATCACAGATACCCAGTTTGAAAAACGAGACATGGGTGAGGATTTCCTTCCCAGACCGCGTGTTCTTCACGTGGTCCAACGAGTCGGTACATGACAAGTCAAACTCATACAAGGTCTTATCAGAAAGAACCAACAATTTCTTGTATTCCACCAATACTTCAATCTGTGTCACATAGAGGTTCAGGATCACCATGGTTGGATCTGAACAGATCTTTTCATTAGAGGTGGTGCTGATTGTTCTCACGGTGGAGACCCATACCCCAGAATCCGTCCCATAGAGCAATTTCTTTCCCCCATAACATGGCACGGCACAGTTGATCTTGTTGTTCCCATGGAATCTTCTCGTTTCGTACTTTGAGAGCAGAAAGATGTCGTTTTGTTGGATCAACTTCTTCTGTTGTTGGTAGATTTGCAGCAACACCTGGTTCTGGTTGGTCACATCATCGGCAAACAACGTGGTGTGCACCTGCAGGCCCAAACCCAAAAAGTTCAATTGTAACTTGGGAGAGGTGTTGGTGATGTACGAGTTTGGTTCTGCGGTCTTGACACCGGTGTCACTTACAATCAGCCCGTCCAATCGGTATCCCATGATCAGTCGCAACGTGGGGAACTCATATCCAGAATTGACAAACAAAAGTGGCAAATAAATAGGTTTTTCAAACACCTTGTGTTGTTCCCGCTTGTTCTGCACCTTGTGTTTCACCAAAAGTAATGCATGTTCAAACAAGTAAAGGTCAATCTTCTCCGCACTGTCACGTTTCCTGCTGAGGGTCACCTGATAGATGATCCGGTTACTGTACGAAAGCTTGAAGTTGTACTTCTCCTCCAAGGTTTGTTTGCCCAAGAGTCGATGAAGAACCATAATCTTGTGACGATCCGTCAGTTCACCCGTTTGAATGTTGATCTTGGTGAGAACCTTTTCGATTTCCTCCTTTGCCTTCAAAAGATTCTTGTAATCGGGAGACTCGGGTTTCGTATTCTTGATGATCCCCAACAAGAGCAATTGATACCGTGCCGGTCTTTGCACCCCCTTGATCAAAAATGAGTTCAAATCTTGCTTTCTTGACTCTGGTTTCTTTTCAATGGCATCCAAAAACCTTGCGTATTTCAAATTCACTTGTTGTTGACGTTCATGTTCAAAACTAGCAAACACCTTATTCCCGGAATACTTGATAAATGGCTCAAACCCGCCCACATACTCCAAAAACACATCTGCAAACGTCTCCACCGCAGGTTTCTGCTGTTGTTGTCTTCTAGTCAACGCATCACTCATGCTTTTCGCTAACCGAAGCAAATCATTGACCCCACCAAACACCGTCCGGATGAAAATCTCACGTTCTCGTTCAGGAATGATGTTATTGGCTGGGTTTCTCAAGGGCATTATATAGAAATCAGTCATGAATTCAAGATCCTTGACGTAATCCCGCTCGGTGTAGATAAATTCATAAATAAGTTCTTGACGCATTTTCTCATGTTTGTCAAGTTTATCCAAAATCGATTGTGGAACGGTCTCATGCCACAAGGTTTTGTTTTCCTCGGTGTCATGGAGTGAGAGTCTCGATACGGCTCTTTTCAACCCTCCCTGTGGTTTCATGTTGAGTCTTGCCTGTTGTTCCAATCTTCTTGGACACGAAATACTATAACAGAGTTTGTTTCTAGTACAAGTTGGCGAATAACAATCGGTAAGGATGGTGAACACCCCATTGATCGACACTTCCTTGTGGTCCTTGGAATTATTATTGTTCAAGTTGGAAAGTGAGGTCAGAGAGTCGGTTGGTTTATGAAGTGATTGTTGTTGGAGAGTTTGTTGTTGAAGTGTTTGTTGATGAAGACTTTGTTGAAGATTTTGATGTTGTTGCTCGTTGAAACTACCATGTTTCGAGTTCCCTCCACTGACATTTCCACTACCATAGCCATACAACTCGACTCCAAACACATGATTGAACTCATATGCCTCATGAACACTGTCACGAAGTCTATGGTTGTAGGTGACGTCGTGGAAAAACTTCTGGGCATCCAACGACCGTCCAAGAAGCAATGCCAAGTTTCTGTCGTTGGTCCGGATGATTCTACAGATGATGTCAACGGCACCCTTCCCGGTGAACGTGTCGTGGTACTCCAACCCATCCTTGGTGTTGATGGTGAGGATGATCGACTCTTTGAACACCCGGGCGACCCGTGAAAGCATCGCAGGGTACACGGACGGCTTTTTGGGCACGGCAGTCTTCTGTGACAGAAGTGTGCCCAGAGACACCGTACGGTCGAATTTGGTGGTGGAAGAATTCTGAAGTGATGCCAGGGAATTGAATTTCTTGGTTGAGAGTGATGAAAGTTTGGAAAGTGAAGTGAAAGATCGAGATTTCGAAGAAAGTGAAAACGACCGGCCCGATGTGTTGGAGGTCATTTGATGCGTGGAGGTGGTGGGCAGGTGGTTAGGCAGGTCCGATCTCGATTGTAAGCCAGGGTATTGCTTGGCAGACGGTTTCCCGCGTGGCGTGGCTTCCGGGTATGATCCACGTGAAGGTACAGATTGTTGAGTCATGGACATCGACAGTTGTGACATTTGTGGAGATGAGACGATTCTACGGTTGGTGTTATTATTTTCAAGCACTTGGTTTGTTTGGATTGGCGGGAGGTTATGAGAGGGTGCTCTTCTGGCAGTGATTCGTCCGTTACTCCCAGGGCCGTTGGGGCCTGGACCGTTGGGGCCTGGACCGTTGGGGCCTGGACCGTTGGGGCCTTGTGAATAGGTTCCAACCTGAGATTGGTATCCTGGATGCTGTTGTCCCGGTTGTTCTTGTCCTTCATCACCGTAGATACCTCCTTTACCCATGGGGGAACCAGTTAAAGAACTCATCGATGCTAAACGGCCTTGGGACTTGGCCTGGCCATTGTACCCATAAACAGCAGCCTGACCGTTCGCAGGACTTCCTTGAGCTATTTGTCCAGAGCCTCCAGAAGGAGCTTGAAACTCTTGAGATCTATACCCTTGCTGTTGGTAAGGTTGTTGGAACTGTTGCGGTGGGTTCTTCCCACTGACCAACGACAGTAATGAATGGTTTCTGGGGCTATTTGAATGTTGTAAGGGACCTCCAGGGTTGGCGTGAGTTAATGAAGAGTTTGATCCGGAGCCGGTTGAGTTTTGGTAAGGAGATCTACGACTTGGACCTGACTGGGTGTGGTTAGAGCCTGGCTGGCCGTAGCCTGGATGGCCGTAGCCTGGATGTCCCTGTGCTTGAGGATGTCCCTGTGGATGTCCCTGTGGATGTCCCTGTGGATGTCCCTGTGGATGTCCCTGTGGATGTCCCTGTGGATGTCCCTGTGGATGTCCCTGTGGATGTCCCTGTGGATGTCCCTGTGGATGTCCCTGTGGATTTCCCTGTGGATATCCCTGTGGTGCTGATTGGTACTGATACTGTGGTCTAGCTTGTTGTTGAGGTTGAGAACTTTGCTGGTGATATTGAGGCTGTTGGTGATATTGTTGGGATTGTGGCTGGTATTGGCCCGCTTGGCTTGAATGCTGTTCGGCCCGTTGAAGTGCCTGTTGCTGATGTTGCGCATCCTCCTGATAATTTGGATACTCCAGACCATACGGAGCTCTCCGAGCTTGAACTTGAGCTTGAGCTTGAGCTTGAGCCTGGCCGTACCGCTCACGCTCACGTTCACGGTCTGCCTGGGCGTCCATCATTGCCTGCGGGAGAAGATGTGCCGGGATATTCACCGTGGGCGACGTGGCCCTTTCTCTTCTGTGATCCATCGTCTACTATTGGTCGTCGTCTCTTGGATGTGTGTCTCTCTTGTGGGACGGTTGGCCTGTGGGTCTCTCAAACGACTCGCTATGGATCTCTCGCGGTAGCCTTTCAACAATCACCTCTTCTGTGAACCCGTCTGTACGTCCTATGGTCCTGGTGGGGCTGAATTGAAACTCTATCGTTGGTGGTAGCCCTTGATATTCGTCAGCTCCTAAACGCAAAACTTTGGTAATTAAACGCTGCGGATTGCTCTGGCCGGCTAGTCTCTGGTCTGTTCTGGAGACTGGATGGGGCCCGTGCGGATGCGTCTACGGACTGTGGTGTAGGGTGCGCAGAGGTGTATATGGCAATCCCTTGCTTTGTTAAGTCTCGACGTCAGGGTGGCTTACTTTTTCGGGTTGGGCCTCAAATGTCTCTCTCTCACTCTTTTTTTTTTTTTTTTCCCTCGTCCTTTTTTTTCTTCTCGTGATTAATTTTTGGTGCGAATTCAGTTGCCTAATTTGGCGGGGCAGGCTAAATAAAAAAATATCCTACGGGTCAGGGGCGAAAAAAGAAAGCAAAAATAAAATAGATAGGGACACAAGCGAGAGAGAGGGAGAGTACTCTACAGAGGGTGGGTGTTGGTTGGTGTGCGTTTCCCTGGGAGGGAGCAGGCACTCACACAGTGTGTGGGAATGGCCAGATGGATGTGGTAGTTTCCATCGATGGATCCACCGGATCCGGAGAGGAACATGAATGCCGTTTTTGGACTAGACTTGTCCAAAAGCTGTCACGATAGTTCCCACATTTCGCACCACTTGGGTGCATAGAATGTTACACAAAGGGTCTACACTAACTAACTCCGTTCGAGTGAGATAGGGAGAAAGAAGTAGAGTAGAGAGAGACGTAGGTTTAAATAGAAGGGGGGGGGGGGACTTGTAGAGGAAGAGAGAGGGGGGGTGGGGAATTGTAGAGCATGGCCCTGGTTGAGTTTAATTTAGGGGGCGCTTTCCTCAGAAAAATAAACATGTGGTGAATTTGATTTGGCAACCAGAAAGTCGCAGCCAAATTTAAAACACAGGGGAGAATGTTAAATAGACGAGATGGAGAGAGTGTCGTAGAGGGTCGTAGAGGGTCGTAGGTGATTGGGCGGGGTATCGTGGGAACGGTAAGAGGGAGAACTCCTCGAAGAGGAGCCAGGCTCCACGCCAGTGGCCCTCCCCGGGTAGGGGCCCACGGAGTGCCAGCGGAGCGTCTTTCTGTCCCACGGGGAATCGAGCGGGATGTAGGCGGGAGGGTAGCCCTACGGGGTCAGTAAGACGCTCCGCTGGCACTCCGTGGGCCACTAGCCGTGGAGGCCTTGTTCCTCTATCGAGGAAAGTCGGGACTACTAGAGTGTGTCTTCAAGTAGAGGAGCCTATGCACCACGACAGTGGTCCTCCCTGGGTAGGGGCCTCCGGGTTGCAAGTGGAGCCAACTTGCAGTCCCACGGGGCTATGAGGAAGCAGTGGTAAGGACAGTCCTACCGGGGGTCGGTGAGACGCTCGGTGCACTCCGTGAACCACTAGCCGTGGAGGGCCATTTTCCTTTGACGAGGCATTGCTGAAAGGTCCTAGCATCTCCTCGTAGAGGAGCTAGGCTCCACGCAGAGGCTCTCCCCGAGCAGGGGCCTAGCGGAGCGTCTCACTGACCCCGTAGGATGTTGCCAACTCCATTCCCTGCGGGGCTGCAAAGCCGCTCCGCTGGCACTCCGTGGGCCACTAGCCGTGGGGGCCTTCTTCCTCTGACGAGGAATTGGGACTCCTCGTAGAGGAGCTAGGCTCCACGCAGTGGCTCTCCCCGAGCAGGGGCCAGCGGAGCGTCTCACAGACCCCGTAGGGTGTTTCTACTTCACCCCCCTGCCGGTCCGTTCCGCTGACACTTCGTGGGCCCTACCTACTCGGGGAGGGCCTTCTTCCTCTAACGAGGAATTGCCACATCCCCTCTTCTCAGACCGTATTTTTTTATTCCCCCCTCCCCTGCTCACTTAACCTCCCTTCTCGTTATCTCCCGCACTTTACCCCCTTGTCCAAGCGCTACCCTCGTTCGCACTTTTTCGTCCGCACACAAACTGAGCCCCCCCTAGCTAACACACACTCCACGGGCTCAATCGCTAACACACACTCCACGAGCACAATCGCGAACTCTCACTGACTCTCACTCTCACTCTCACTCTCACTCACTTAATTTGTTAGTGGAAACCTCCACTCACTCGTCAATCTCCTCCCTCAAAAAAGCCCCAGAACATGCCTGCCTACCACTCAACCTTCTTGGCAGAAGAGTCTGCTGACGCCAGACAAGTTGGAAACATCGCCCTTCTCCCCATCCACTCAAAGTTCCGTGGACCCCTGTACCCACCACAAAGTGAATACGACATCATTGAAGAGACCCTTGACCTCTTCAGAGCAAACTGTTTCTTCAAGAACTTCGAGATCAAGGGCCCCGCCGATAGATTGCTCATCTATGGCATTCTCTTTGTCAGTGACTGTCTCTCCAAACTCACACGTCTGGTCAACTTGAAGGAGGCCGTGAGGATCTTGAATAACTTGGCATTGGACCTGTTCCTGTTACCAGGGGATGTTGGATTCCCCTTGAACTCCCTCTACCAGGCCCCGGCCACTAAAAACGAAGCCGATTTGTTGCGCGGCTACTTACAACAATTCCGCCAAGAATTGGCCGACCGTTTGTTGAAACGTGTCTATGCTGACGATGAAGCTGTCCCCAGCAAGTATTGGTTAGCCTTCACCAGAAGACGGTTTATGAACAAGAGCTTGTAGGGCTACACTTGAAGACGTCTCGCTCGCGTCCCTGTCGTGCCAGCGGGATCCATCCGATACGGAGGGGGTTTGCCACCAGGGACAGGTGTATAGAGAGAAAAGGAGTAGTGAGTAAGGAAGGAGTTGTATATGTACGATGGCTCGCGAGGTTGTAGAGGCCCTAGCGCCAGAAACTAAATAAATGAAGAAAGTTATGAACTATTTAAAGAATTTGTAGCACCTTCAGGGGGGCCTTCGCAGGCGGGTGGGGACCTTGTAGAGGAGCTAGGCACCACGCAGTGGCCCTCCCCGGGCAGGGGCCAGCGGAGCGTCTCACAGACCCCGTAGGGTGTTGTCAACTCCATTCCCTGTCGGGGCAGCAAGCCGCTCCGCTGGCACTCCGTGGGCCACTAGCCGTGGAGGCTCCTGTTCCTCTAACGAGGAATGGAGGGGTTACGAGCAGTCTCCTCGTAGAGGAGCTAGGCACCACGCAGTGGCCCTCCCCGGGCAGGGGCCAGCGGAGCGTCTCATCGACCCCCCCCCCCCCGGTAGAGCGTGGCCACTCCATTCCCTGTCGGGACAGCAAGCCGCTCCGCTGGCACTCCGTGGGCCACTAGCCGTGGAGGCTCTTGTTCCTCTGACGAGGAAAGTCTGACTACCTGCTCCGTGTGGGTCGCTCCCTTGGGGTCAGCCGAACCCATACAAAGGGGATCCAGACCCAAACTCGTTCACTGTACTCAACATACGGTTGTCCATAGATCCGGTTCACCAAGAACCATTCTTCAAAGGATATCCTTCGAGAAAAGAAGAAATGGAGTGCAACCAACCCTGCAACAAGACAGATATGGTTGCCAAGTACCAATTGGGTGCCTACAACCCAGAGCCAAAACCCAAGGTAACTTGGGTGTCTTGTCAAGGAGTAGACCCCCGTGGTGACCAATCGGTTCGAGCTGTTTCCCGTGGTTTCCACGAGATGTGAGAATGATTCCCCACAAGTGGCCATGGCCATGGAACGCAAGCTTTGGCCCAGGACAATGCATAGACATCCAATTACCATGGCCAAGGGGTGGTGTAAGGGGAGATAACCTTGGTGGGGGGCAAACCGACTGTGACTCCAGAGATACTCCCAAAGACTCAAGAGTTGAACCATCATAAACTCACGGTTCCCACGATTCCCCCAAATGAGAAACAGGGTCGTTTTCACTCGAGATGGTTGGAAACGAGCCGTTTGAACAAACTCCATCAAATGGTACACACAGATCGATGTGATGAAAATGGCCACTGCGGGGCAATCCACTGCAAACACCAAACAAAGTCCAACCACAAGTCCTAGCGCCATCGAGGTGCCCGCAATGACGGTCAACGAGTTGTTCTGAGGCAAGTACATGATACTAAGGAGTCTCCCAATGGTCGGGCCAAACTGAGACTTTTACTCTATTTTATCTAAGGGGCAAGAGTCCCTTAGCTGCATTGTTGACACGCTTCTGCTAATTGTGGTTGTAAATATTAAATTTTTTTTTTTTTTTTTGGTGCTTAATAGTCAAAAAAATTGCCAATAAGTCTCCATAAACCGATCAAGGGTCTTCCAAATCATGACAACTGAGTTGCGAGACGATCTGGAAGTTCTGGACCACGTGTCGAACGACCCGCCATATGACGCGCGCAAGGTGAATCTAGCCGTGGTAGCGGTAAAAGCCATGGGGTTAGGAATCATGTTTCTGACATCAATCACTCTTGCCCTACTTCATCATCAGGTTTCTGTCTGTTTATTCATTGCAGCAGTGGTGGTTTTCCATCTAGCAGAGTTCTTCTGTACCAGTGTTTACAACACATCAGCCACTGATGATGATTCGTTCATCCTCAATGATACCGATCTTCTACTTGCTTACTTAGTTTCCATTATTGAGTACTGTGTCCGTCATTGGCTTCAACTGGTTTTCCTCCCACAGACAGCCGCGAATGTGATACCCATTCTTGCATTTGTTGCCTCTCTTGTAGGAGGTGTGGTGGTGATCTTGGGCCAGACATTCCGTTCGTTGGCCATGTGCACTGCCAAGGAGTCATTCAACCACTACATCCAAAGACAACACGAGGACAAACATGTTCTTGTGACCCACGGTATCTACGGTGTTCTGCGCCACCCGCTGTACTTTGGCTTTTTCTGGTGGTTTGTTGGTCTCCAGATCTGGTTGGGCAACCCAATAACCCTCGTGGCTGGAGGCTACAAGCTCTGGCTGTTTTTCCGTCATCGGATCGAATTCGAAGAGGCGTTCTTGGTTCTGTTCTTTGGTAAGGAGTACGTCCAATACAAAAAGAGAACCCCCGTTCTCATCCCCTTGATCGGGTAGAGGTGTATACCTGTAACATTTAATTCATTGATAGAGTAATACAGTTTAGTTGTTTTTTTGTTCAGTCTTGTTAGACAACTGTGTAGACAAACAACGTACTACCACACTACTACGCTCCCGCTAGGCCCCCACGGCTAGTGGCCCACGGAGTGCCAGCGGAGCGGCTTACAGCCCCACAGGGAATGGACTTGGCAACACCCTACGGGGTCAGTGAGACGCTCCGCTGGCCCCTGCTCGGGGAGAGCCACTGCGTGGTGCCTAGCTCCTCTTCGAGGAGAGTACCTCAAGGAACTGTTCTACGGAGTTCTACAAGAAGCTACTCGTTGATAGAGTATATCAGTACTTCCCAGGGTGTAATATCTTCCTTATTCAAATATGGCCATGGAACTTACCGGGTCTGTGTCTATTGCAGAGAGTATTACGGTTGAACGAGAAGAGAAGTTCGCTCAGCTCATCGATAATTCTATGAGGCTGCAAAATTCTGCTCATTGTTCACCTACAATTCCAAATCCTTTCCAAGGGGGTCCTGCTACCTGCTATCTCTTGAAGTCTACTATTCCTACTCTACATGATCATCGGGTGGCTCTGAGGGGGCGAAAACATTTGGCTGCAAAATTCTGTGCACCTACTAAAAAATGAGAATACCCTACAAATCCTCACAGAACCTTCCCCTACCCCCCCCCCCCCCCGGTGGACAACTACTCGGTGGGCAACTACTCGTGGCTTTCCCTCTTCCTCTATCCAGTTGCATAATCTCCTCGTAGAGGAGCTGGGCCCCACGCAGTGGCTCTCCCCGAGCAGGGGCCTAGCGGAGCGTCTCACTAACCCCGTAGGGTGTTGCCAACTCCATTCCCTGCGGGGCCTGTAAGCCGCTCCGCTGGCACTCCGTGGGCCACTAGCCGTGGGGGCCCTGCTCCTCTAGCGAGGAGTTCCAGCTGACAATGAGAAGTCTCCTCGTAGAGGAGCTAGGCACCACGCAGTGGCCCCTACCCGGGGAGGGCGTAGGGCTTCCAGCTCACTGGTTCCTGAGGCACTAACTAGGCTTACAGGAAAAGTTCGTTATCATATGTATATGTATCTCATTCATTGAATATATAAAAATATATATATCTAAGTTGGCTTAACTCCTAAACCATTGGTGTTTCTGTACATCAACACCCCGTTGTCCCCGTCAACGAATTGACACCAACGACCAGAGTTCCAAAGTGCCTTCCACATGTTCTCGTCGGAGTGCATGTAGTGCTTTCCCATAACCTTCTTGATGGCTTCCAGGGCTTCTCTAGCGTTGTAGAATGGGATTCTGGACACGTAATGGTGCAAAACGTGGGTTTCGATGATGTCATGGAAAACAAAGGAGCCTACAAATCCAAATTCTCTATCGATGGTGGCGGCAGCACCTCTAGCAAAGTTCCATTGAGAAGCCTCGTAATGAGGCATCTTTGGGTCAGAATGTTGCAAAAAAGTGATGAAAACAAGCCAATGGTTGACCAAAATGTATGGTAAAAACCAGTTGACCAACACATTGAACCCTCCAAACTTTTGGTACCAAGTATACAAGACAAATGATTGAATGGCAATCCCCAAGTCCAGGAGAAGAATGTAGTAATAGTCTCTTGGTTCAAAGAGTGCAGATGCAGGATTGAAGTGGTTTTTCTGCCACAGACTCAAATGTGGCAAAGCTTGGCCAGTAACATTTGTGAAAAGGTACATAATCCAACCAAAAGTTTGTTGAGTAAATAATTGAACCAAGGTATAAAGTGGGGCATCACCCAAAAGATCATCAATATGTTCAGCATTGTTAATGGCTAAATATTGTTCCTTAGTTTTAGGAACGAAAACCATGTCTCTGGTCATGTGACCGGTGGCCTTGTGGTGCTTACCATGAGAGTATTTCCAAGAAAAGTAAGGAACCATCAAGTACAGGTGCAAGACCCATCCAACGGTATCATTGACCCAACCGTAGTCGGAAAAGGCTTGGTGACCACATTCATGGGCCAAGACCCAAAGACCGGTTCCGAAAAGACCTTGGAAGTAAACATAGGCGGACCAGGCAAGGAATCTAACGATTGGTTGATTCAATTGATGGATGTATGTGTTGGCCAAGTATCCTGCAGTTAACATCCAGAAAATATCTCTGGCCACATAGTAGAGAGATTCAAATAATCTTCTTTCGTAGCAGTGTGCAGGGATCACGGAAAGGATATCCTTAATGGAATAATCAGGAGCTTCAAATGTGTTTCCAAATGTGTCGATAGCTGTGGCGTTTGAAGTGAAGGTAGCCACGTTCCCGCGCTTGGTGACTGATCCGGATCCGGATCCCGAGTTGGATCCCGAGCCGGTGCTGGATCCCATAGATGCTACGTTACTCATGGTTTAAAATTGAAATCTAAAACGGTAATGATGAGGAGATCTAAGGAGAAGAAGAAAGAAGAGAAAAACATTTCAAGATAGGGTCAAAAGTCTCATTAAAATAAAAATAGCTAAGCCGTTCAAGGCAGTTGGGAAAAAAAAAAAAAAAAAAAAAAAGAAAAACGAGCAAAAATAAAAAAAAATTTAAAATCTATATCCGGCCTCAAAAGAAACTTCCGGTTCCATGTGTTAATTGGAAATTATCGTATGGTATCAGGCATTGTGGTTTTATACAGAGGCAATTGGAGCTCTCAATGGTAGATATATCTCAGCTTTTATAACTGATTATGTCACGTTAATGACAGGCTATATACTATGGTCACCTATTGAGTAACCCTCTTCTTTATGCTACCGGTTGTTCTCATTCGAGGCCCGGATCTAAGGATAATTCCCCGGATTGGAATTTATTACTTTTTATTTTATTATCTTTTCCTTTCTTTTCTTTTGTTGGCAATCTTTGCTTGGCATATAGTAAAACTCGTGGGTGGGTGTCACGTGACATGCCCAAAATTTATTGATGGGTTCACCAATTAAGGGTAACATAAAAAAAAATGAAAAAAAGAGTACGATGCATGCATTCAACGATCAAATCAGTTATCAGATGATTATATTCAATATATTTTCCTACTACCAAATACTAGGGAATGGCCTCATTTAAGTTTGGGTTTTCGATTTTAAGGGATATTTAAAAGATTAGATAATATTTAGGTTTTAAAAAAATTTCCTGCTATTGTGTGTCACGTGCTGAACAACCCTTTTTTCCTCGGTTAGATTTTTGTATACGAGTCAATTAATTAGATTTTGGGTTTCACGCATGCAGGACGTATATGTAGAAAAAGGAGATAAATACGAGAAAAAAATTGAATTCCGGTTCTTGGGGTGTCCGGAATTCCTCTTGCGGGTTGCAAATTCGGGCGGGAGTACAATGAAGAAGAGCAAGCAGAGCTTTCTATTAGATATGCAAGGAGTGAAACCGGACGGTTTTAGTTGGGATTTATTGCTTCTTTTCAAGTATGTCTGTCTATGTGGTTGTATTTGATTGTTTGTATGATTCATCTGAGATTGGAATATGAGCCTTGTGCTTTATTCTGTGGGGGAAAGGTGAGTGAATAGGGGGGGAAGGGGGAAAGGGGAATGTACAATTCAAATTCCGTGGGCAAACAATTCATGGCGGAATAGAGAATGAGAATGAGAGTGGAATTGGAAGTGGAAGTGGAAGTAGAAGGGGAAGTGTAATAGAAATTTGAATGTGTTGTGTGAGTGATTAGGAAGAGAAGATTTCTAATCCTTCTCATTGGAATTGTTGAAAAGGTGGTTTTGAAGCATCCTGTATTCTCATCGTCTATTACTCTATTATATCTCCTCGTTTTTTTATGGTACACGTATCTCAATAAGTGGTGTGGTTGATTGCTAGTGGGTAAGCCGTTGGCCGTTTGTGCGGCTGTCGTGTGCACGCACTCGCACTTTGGCTGCATTTTTTATATTTCCCATTTAGGAAAGGTTATCAACTGCCCTCTGTCGCTACTTATTGTCAAAACCTTAGACTGTATTTCGAGATGTTCATCAAGGTATTGTAACATGTTCACCAGAGCAATCGAAGGTTACTTCAAGCAAAGTATGCTATTTTAATTGTAATATTCATCCTTTTAATGCATAAAGAACAAATCTAATGCTTTCTGCAAGCTTAATCTTGTGAATGGACTGTCATACGTACCATTGAGCGGAGAAGGTAGTCTCTATTGTATATTCCTTCTAGTATTCATTCTTGGTATATTTCCTCGTTACAAAGGACATTTGTTCAATTCGGGTATTTGTTCTGTGGCACGTGACGAATCTCTCTTGAAACTCTTTCAAGCTGTAAGTGTTGATCCTAAAATTTAAGGAGATTTATAAATGTCTTTGTTGTCTGTATTAGTCAGCCATGACCTTATAACATGTCATGCTAATCTCTTTATGGTGTAGATTAATTTTGGTGGTACCCTTAATAAAACTTTGGAACATTACACTACCACTATTCAATTACTTGAACCATTTGCTTAGTACAATATGTTCATGTCAATGTCTAACCCCATATACACTTCCAAATACTTCCTCATACTCACACCCAATTCCATTCTTCACAAAAGGTTCTTTTAATAGCTTTTACACTCCAAAATTTAACAATATATATATATATATATCTCTTCATTTCCCTTTTCTTTCCCCTCAGAAATAATCCACCTGTTATCGTCTTCTCTTCTTGTATCTACTCTATCGCCGTATATGTACTCCGGGTTTTTCCCGGTACACCTTTTTCAAGCACAATACTCCGAAGTTCACTCCGGATTCGAGTTCGATAGGAGTGCATATTTTTGACGTGTTGGGGGGAAGGAAAAAAGGCGCAAAGAAAGCCGCACTTTTTGATGAACACATTATTCACATAATCTGTTTATCCTCTTCAATTAACGTACACATCATTATCATTCTCTCCCCTTTCTTTCTGCTAAATACATGGTGGATTTGGGGAATTATCACCCAAATATCCCAAATTCAATTATCTCCTCATATTCATTTTAAGCTCCTCCACATATTCTCATCGCGATTTGTCTAAATCTCTTTTACCCCGGGGTAGTTTCCCGAGACTCTCCGCTCGCGCCCGGGCATCACCGATACGCATAATCAACTTGGTTTCACATTTATATACCTTAGTTCACCTATACCCCACCTTGCCATATGTGGACCCTCCACCTCTAACTTGCTTCTACCCCGCTGGATCATCTATACGATGGTCCTGTCCACTCCGGGACCCGGTCGTGTTCATCTCAGCCGCATCTTTTTCATTCATTTCCTGTAATCCGCGATTTGATTCCAATTCGACAATTACTCACTTTAAATTTTCCTCGTTCCCTGCTTTAACAACTTTTATTCTTCTCATTTCTTCTTACTCCACACAAACTTACACACATAGTTCTTAATAACCATGTCGTCTAACACTGAAATCAAGAAGAAGCCAGTTTCCTTCTCCAACATTCTTCTTGGAGCTGGTCTCAATTTGGCTGAAGTCACCACTTTAGGTCAACCATTGGAAGTTGTTAAGACCACCATGGCTGCCAATAGATCCCTTACTCTCCCCAATGCTGTCAAGCATGTTTGGTCCAGAGGTGGTTTCAGTGGTTTCTACCAGGGTCTTATTCCTTGGGCATGGATCGAAGCCTCCACCAAGGGTGCAGTTCTTCTCTTTGTTTCAGCTGAAGCTGAATACCAATTCAAGCGTTTGGGTGCCTCTCCATTTGTTGCCGGTATGGGTGGTGGTGTTTCCGGTGGTCTTGTTCAATCTTACCTTACCATGGGTTTCTGTACATGTATGAAGACCGTGGAAATCACTCGTTCCAAGCAAGCCGTCACTCCAGGTGTTCCACAACAATCTTCTTTCCAAGTCTTCAAGTCCATCTATGCCAAAGAAGGGATCCGTGGTATCAACAAGGGTGTCAATGCCGTTGCCATCCGTCAAATGACCAACTGGGGTTCCCGTTTCGGGTTCTCCAGATTGGCTGAAGATGGTATCAAGAAGTTGACTGGTAAGGGTGAGAAGGACAAGTTGAATGCTGTTGAAAAAATCGCTGCCTCTGTTGTTGGTGGTGGGTTATCTGCCTGGAACCAACCAATTGAGGTGATCAGAGTGGAAATGCAATCCAAGACCTCCGATCCAAACAGACCAAAGAAGTTGGGTGTTGGTTCTGCCTTCAGTTACATCTACAAGAACAACGGTTTGAAGGGTTTGTACAGAGGTGTTGCCCCACGTATTGGGTTGGGTGTGTGGCAAACTGTCTTTATGGTTGCCTTTGGTGATATTTTCAAGAAGCTTCTCAATACCGAAGGTGCTGGTCATTAACGATGTTTCTCCCATCACATTGATATTGAACTGTCTTAGTTTTATAGAGATTATATCAAAATTACTCAAAGCTATATCGTAGATAGACCCCGTAGGGTAGTCAATTACTTTGAGAGAGACTGATCTTAGAGACCACGCGTAGTTCCGAAGTACTCGCTAGAGGAACGTCCCCTACGGCTATAAGTGCCAGGGGGGCGTCATGAAGACACCAAAGGACAGTCCTACTCTATTCCCTGCGGGGCTGTAAGTCGCTCCGCTGGCACTCCGTGGGCCACTAGCCGTGGTGGCCCAGCTCCTCTACGAGGAGAATTCTAAGTTTCGAGGTATTTTACTCGGAATGGTTGCCTTTCTTGATATCCAAAAGAACAGGAACAGGGAGTGTTGTTGTATGAGAGAAAATAAAATGTTATTGAATGTGACTAGGGTACTTACTTAGGTTTGGCCGTGCCCTCTACCGAGCTTATTGTATATATAAGCCTTAAATAATTAACGTTGGGGTTTCCTTTTTTTGAATTTGGTTGCAAAAAAATAAAAACGTGTTGACATCTGCTAGTCAGTAGCCCCTAATTGCCCTTTTGTAAAATTAAGAAAAAATAGAAAACACCCTCCTTAAGTATCCTACAGTCATTAGAAGTACGAGTGCTAAGTCCAATATCCTCTCAGTATTGGGGAATCACTAGATAAGATAAGTATAGAAAAATATCTCTGAGTAAGAGTTTATTTCCAATTTCTCACAATGTATGACAAAGGTTATATATTTAGAATATTTAATAAGAGAATCCTTCATTTAAGATGGCTACAAGACTATGACTTCATACATACAAAGCGTATACTTATTGTCTAACTGATTATCTACATGTTCTAGCTCAATATTGTTTTATAATGTAGACATTAAATGGAAAGAGAATTGCTAATGAGAATGGAAGATTGAAATTGTATTGAATGTGGATTATTTCCTGGAATCTCTCAATAGTGAAGATTGTATTTCTATCAATGAACAGTCACTAACGCTGGATTAGAACAATAATGCAGCATTATCGCCTAATCCTGTAGTTATTCCACCAATATCTCTACATTCCACCACTCTTCTTAATATAATACATATGCAAATTGATAATCTATTTAAATTAATTATTTATGGGTAGTCCCCCATCTATCATAGCAATAAAGCCCAATCATTGTTAGTATCAACCCATATCCTTGGAGTGAAGTCACGCGTTGACCTTCCCAAAGAATGGCAACCACAATGACAATGATTCTCTTCATGATGTTTGCAATCAGATAATTCACAGGGGAGATGGACCCCAAGATTTGGAAAGCTAATAAGGATTGAAGAAAGTGTGATAATCCATTAATGATCATGATTCCAAAGATTGAAAAATTCATTTGAGATAAGGAAATGGAGTCATTCTTAAATTCCAGAAAGAGATAGAATGGGAGAGTGAACATGAACCCAATGAGGGAGCAATAATATAAAATGGTTAGTTTATCCAATTTTTTCTGAGATGATTCAGCATGAACAAATGGATTTATGGTGGGGAGTTCAATTGTTTTCTCAATACAAGTGAGGATTTTCTTAGCAAAGATGTTTTGCAGAACAAAGATAAGCATGGAGACAAACGCATAAACGAGACCAGTCTTGTAATATTCGGATGAATTAGCCGTTCTTTTCGGTTTGTAACAGGCAAGCATGATTCCTACAATGAGTGGGATCAAGGTGACATAGGTGATAAGTTTGTACTTGACTTGGAAAAGACATCTGTAGGTGAGAACGGTTGTGATTGGAGCAAGGGCCTTTACTGTATGGACCATCGAGACTGGGATCAACAGGGTTGCCTTGTGGGATGATAAATGTCCGACAAATTGGAACATCCCCATGGGGAGGGTGGTACGGATGATAAGGGAGGTTGGGGTTATGAATTGCTTGATTGAGCAGATTTCTTGTGGGGCAAAGCCATGAGGGAGCCATGAAGAAGTGGCATATTTGGATTTATATGAAAGGTATAACTTAAGTCCAACAAGACAAAAGACACAATTTAAAAGAAATTGAACTTCAGTTAAAGTCACTGGATGACTAAATTGTTTGAGGATTGACTTTGTTGAATTGTTTGATACTGCAGAACAGAAATACCAACCTAGACAAAGCAGTACTATACGCGCGTCTATAGGAGGTAACCAAGATGAAGTTGAAGATGTGGTTGTGGTTGTGGATAACGGCGTTGGTTTGGCACCAAACCCGTACGAGTCACGTTCCTTCACGGGTGACCCCCGATTGGAAACTGGTGGGGTGAGTGGTAGTTGGAAGCCTGAAAAATTCCCAAATGAAGGTGAAGAAATCATGGTTGGTCTATTGATTTTGGGATGATGAATTGATCGAGGCTTGTAATGAGACAGAGTATCGTCATGATGATTATTTTTTATCTGGTGGAGATTCGTCGACGACGAGTTCGGGTTGGCCTGCGAGGACAAGTACATAGCGAATGGATAGGGGTGAGGAGAACGATTGTGGAGAAAGGATACCCTTTAAACTGTAGATGTTTTTCTGTTAATATAAATAGAATCGAAAATAATAAAAAAGATGAAAGTGACACAAAACGGGGGGCTTATGTTTTCCTTTTTCTTTCTTTTTGGGTTAATTTCTTTTTTTTTTATTTTTTGTTTTTGCGGTCAAAAAAGTAAGGCAGCTTGTTGATTAGACGACGTGATAAGGAGTTGTGCAGTGACAATACAACCCAGACTGATCAGATAAGGACAATGCGGTGTCGGGTGGTGGTGTGGGTGGGTGTTGTCAGGAGAGCTGTGGGAGTATAGAGGTTTAAAGATCCCAGTAAATTGATTATTTGAAAGAGAGAAGAAGATAAATAAAGTGGTGGGGGGTGGGAATAAATTTAGTGTGTAGATTGTGGCAGGCTTAAAAATTATTTTTTATTTAAAATGAAAGGTTCCTGCAGGGGGGGTCGCAGGAAGTTCTCTATATTTAGAACGGGTAAGAAAATAGTGGAGAGGTAAAGTCATACATCTAGTAGGCAGGTCTTCCTCGTTAGAGGAACATGGCCCCCACGGCTAGTGGCACACGGAGTGCCAGCGGAGCGGCTTACAACCCCGTAGGGAATGGAGTAGCAACACCCTTCGGGGTCGGTGAGACGCTCCGCTGGCCCCTGCCCGGGGAGGGCCACTGCGTGGTGCTTAGTTCCTCTACGAGGAAGTAGAGACCAAATGTATTATATTTAGATTGTGGGGCGATTTAGGGGGTATTTATTGTGGAGAGCAGTTCTGTGCTTGGGATAGGGGGAATGGAATTGGGGGGGGGGAGTCATAATAATTCTCCTACTATGTATGCATTGTAGGATAAGCCTGTCAGGGGTAGTAGCTTAGTGTAGGAGTAAGAGGAAGTTGTGGGTGGATGAGATGTAGTAAATAGCCAAATTTGGGGGTATGTTTGTCGTTGTTGTTGTTGTTTCAGTCATTTGAGTAAGTATTCCGTTTTGTGCAACTTCAGTCCTAAAGCAATGGACCTTTTAAATGTGAAGCACCTTGCCTAAATGAATTTTGAACTGTGATACGTTTAACGGCCCGGAGTTCAGCGGGTTCCCCTGCTGTGCTCACTATCCAGTTGTTGTACTAGTCGCAAATTTCTGTTGGACAGAGACCCCCCCTTGGCGTGGCTAAATTCTCTAAAAGTTCGCGAACTGTCAAGAAATTGACAGATTTGCAGCCACGTCAACAACAAGAAACCAGATCCTAAGCCAGATCTGAATATCAGAAGTAGGAAAAGGGGCTTATCGGAAGCTCTCAGGTAGTTATTAGCAGTTCAAATCGTAGGATCCTAGATCTAATGATAGATGGGTACCTTTCATTTAATAAACTATTTATAATTGAAATATCAAAATTTGCAATGAAAACTAAATATTCTGTTTAGCAACACCCAATAAACAAATTTAAAGATTGGAACTTCCTACGGAGGCAGTAAGACGCACTACTGATCTAGGGAAGAGCCACCGCGTGGTACTCAGCTCCTCTAGCAGACAATTAGACCCCCCGAGTTCCTCGTTAGAGGAAGAAGGCCTCCACGGCTAGTGGCCCACGGAGTGCCAGCGGAGCGGCTTACCGCCCCGCAGGGAAGTACGCTTGCATCTCCACGGAGTCCGCAAGAATGGTCCATATCTCTAGAGAGCGGACTTCGTGGTGCTTCTTCTACAAACCTCTTCTTTATCATATGTCATAATTAATCGCTTACATAAAATATTTATTCGAGGGGTGCCGATTAAAGCTTCGATTCAAGAATCTTCCCAGCCTTGATATACCCTGGTTCATCCTTGATCTTCTCAGACCATTTATGGATGTGGGGGAACTTCTCAACAAGATTAATACTCTGTCCAAGTGTTTGCAGGGCCCTCTCCGGGTTGGCAAATGTATTCTCATACAATGGGAATGAAAGAATGATATCTGCTGCAGAGAGTCTATCTCCAGCAAAATATCCACCACTTTGTTTGGCCAATTGAGCATCCAAAAACGAAAGATTGGAGAGTAACTCAGGCAAATAATAGGCTTGATTTATCCCACCAACCAATTTATTCATTAAAAATCCAAATCCAAATGGTGCACTGGATTTGGCCTTTGAGTTTACCAAAAGAGATACCAAGAGAGATTGAAGAGTTCCCTCGGTGTAGTTCAAATAATATTTGACCAACTCACGATTTTCTGGCGAGGATGGTACCAATTCCCCAGAAGGATTATAGTGATCAAGCAAATATTGAATTATGTATCCAGTTTCGGCCAACACTACGGGTTTGGACGTCCCTTCTGGGATGATTTCAACTAGAGGAGATCTTCCTAGTGGGTGGATCTTCTTAAGTTCCTGTGGTGCACGGTATTGCAGATCTCTTTTATAAACCTTAATTTCATATGGAAGTTTCAATTCTTCTAAAAGCCAGAGAATTCTGGTAGCACGTGAGTGCTGGAGCCTACTATGTTAATAAGAGTATATATACAAGACACCCCACGCTAGAGCAATTCCCTTCCCTGCGGGGCTGCAAGCCGCTCCGCTGGCACTCCGTGGGCCACTAGCCGTGGAGGCTCTCTTCCTCTAACGAGGAACTTCTGAGAGCGAGTGGTCTTCTCGAGGAGGAGTTAGGCACCACGTAGTCGTTCTCCTCGAGCAGGAGCCAGCGGAGCGTCTCAATGACCCCGTAGTGTCTTGTTGCTCCATTCCCCGCAGGGCTGTAAGCCGCTCCGCTGGTACACGGACCACCAGCCGTGGCTTAGATCAGTCCCCCCCCCCCCCCTACAAGTTCTACGCTCCATACATACCAATGAAGGACAATCTTATCCTTAGTTTCGCTCATACTCATATACTTGATGTTTAAAAGTTTTTTGGATTCGTTCTCTACTCAATTATAGCAATCTACACTGCACATGCAAACACATCCGTGCACCACAAATCGCCTATTCAAAGGGTTCAATGTCTCCTAAAACTACAAATCCCAACCAATCACTCAACGCGTCAGCGAACTGCCGTCTGAACCTCAGAGAATCTTATCGCCATACCACCCCGTCTCTCGCTAGTCCATTCTAGAATCAAATCAGTACGGGAAATCCTGCCCTCCTGCACAGAATTCTCCTCTATTCTGCCCTTCTTCAACATTCTCTGCTTTTCAAATCCCGGTCCGCGTTCGCGGCTTTATGATAAGACTCGAAAGATCAACCATACAACATTTCACCACCATCTCTTCCTCCAACGACTAACCGGCCCCCACCACTACCCAATTCAACCACACCGACCCCTCCACTCCACACTGAATCCCAGATCGAATCTCAGTCTGCCAGCTTCCCCCCCTTTACCTTGCCTCTCTTATCGCTCCGACATACAACCCATCCCTTCCACATCAAAAAGTGCCACAAAATTTTCTTCCACTAACAAATTTCCTGCCATTTCATTTCACAATCGGGACGTTCGCGCATTACAATAAACCAAACAATCGCATTTCGAGTCTCCTTCTATTACTTGCACATATCTTTTTAATCTCCTGCAGTTGAACCAGTGAGCCTCCACGACCCACCCTCACACTCTCTACCCTGTATCTCCTCGTCAGAGCTTCCAACCTGGTCCGAGAACCTGCATTGATATCCCCCAATTCTGTGCCTGGCAGTTTTCTTTTCTCATCCTTGTAAAACACCACCCCCCGCGCGGACCATTACGAACACGTACCTAAAAAGGAACTACTAAAAAATTCAACCAAATCTAAAGACAGACTGACACAACCCCCCTTGTCATGTCCTCAATTGCCATATTTGCTGCCAAATTAATCGCGAAAAGAGCCCTTGGGGCCATCAGCGGCGACCCCGATATGGAGGATGATCTCCCAGACATCGCACCCCCAGACGACGACCATTTGGACGATAGTAATCCCGTGGTGGAGGAAATGTTCTCCTCGTGGGCCTTGTTCATCCTCCTTTTCCTATTGTGCCTGGCGCTCTGGTCCTCATATTTCTTGCAACAGCGTCGAATAAAGGCCATCCACGAAACGGTGCTCTCCATCTTCTACGGGATGATCGTCGGGCTCATCATCCGGGCCCTGCCGGGCCACTACATCCAAGACGCCGTTAAGTTCAACTCGTCGTATTTCTTCAACATCTTGCTTCCTCCGATCATCTTGAACTCCGGTTATGAGTTACATCAGGCCAATTTCTTCCATAATTTGGGCTCAATCTTGACCTTTGCCATCCCAGGGACCTTCATCCTGTCGCTAGTCTTGGGGATCATCTTGTATATCTGGACAAAATTGGGTCTTGATGGCATTAATTTGGAGTTTGTCGATGCACTTGCCGTTGGTGCCACGCTTTCCGCAACCGACCCAGTCACCATTCTTTCCATCTTCAACGCCTACAAGGTGGACCCCAAGCTCTACACCATCATCTTTGGTGAATCCTTGTTGAATGATGCCATTTCCATTGTTATGTTTGAAACTTGTCAGAAATTCCATGGCCAAACGCTTCATTTTTCATCCCTTTTCGAAGGTATTGGACTCTTCTTAATGACATTCACCATCTCCACTTTCATCGGGATTCTCATTGGGTTCCTTGTAGCTCTCCTCCTCAAACATTCTCACATCAGAAGATACCCTCAGATTGAAACTTGTCTTGTCTTGTTGTTTGCCTACGAGTCCTATTTCTTCTCCAATGGTGCCCACATGTCCGGGATTGTATCTCTCTTGTTCTGTGGGATCACCTTGAAACATTACGCATACTATAACATGTCCAGAAGAACTCAAATCGCCACCAAGTACATTTTCCAATTGTTGGCCCAATTGCTGGAAAATTTCATCTTTATTTACTTGGGACTTTCCCTTTTCACCGAGGTGGAATTGGTATTCAAGCCCTTGTTGATCATTGTCACTTTTATCCTGATTTGTATTGCCAGATGGCTGGCAGTCTTCCCACTCTCTAGGGTGTTGAACTTTTTGTATGCGTCGAGATACAAGGAATTGATCCATAGATCTGGAGCTAATGGAGGCATTGCCTCTCTGCCAGCATCCATGGGTGCTGAAGAAATCTCACATCTGTATCAAATGATGATCTTTTGGGCTGGATTAAGAGGAGCCGTCGGTGTTGCTCTTGCCATGGGGATCCAGGGCCAGGCCAAATGGACATTACTTGCCACGGTCTTGGTGGTGGTTGTCTTAACCGTCATTCTCTTTGGAGGTACCACGGCGTCCATGTTGGAAATCTTGGGCATTAAAATCGGTTGTGTAGATGAAAATGATGAATCTGACGATGAATTTGAAATTGAAGCACCAAGATTATCATCCTCCTTACCATCTGTATCCCTTGGTGGAAGAAGAAATAACCAATTCACCGCCCCTGTCGGTTTGGGTAAGTCATTCAAGACTCTCAACAAGGATGCGGTACGTCTGCGTAATGACTCAAACGTAAGTCTTGGATCTTTTAGACATCCATCTCCACACCATAACGGCTTGGGATCGATGAACAGTTCGACTGCCGATTTGATGGATGATGACAACGGCAGCGATATGGACGATTTTGGAGTACAACGCTCATCCACGTCCCCAGAAGATTCCAATTCTGGAGGTCTTCTCAACGCCTTCCTTGGTGCTGATGAGCATTCTAAATGGTTCACCAGGTTCGATGAACAAGTGTTGAAACCGGTGTTGTTAGATAGCTTGCCCAGCGAGAATAGCAGAAGAGGTGGCAATCAAGGTGGACCAGAGAATCCAAACCACGACTAAATAAAATGAAATATAAAATAGAGTACTACGGAGTTTTTATATGGGGAATGTACATATTATCTATATATTGAATGTAGAAATAGAAACTGCCTCCTGGCAGTTGTTCCGAGAAACCCCACGGGTTCAACAAGCCGCTCCACTGGCACTCCGTGGGCCACTAGCCGTGGTGGCTCCCCCTGAGCAGGGACCAGCGGAAAGTCTCATTCAGAGAGGGCGTTGGTAGGTGCTTACGTGGTTCATAGATCAGGAATTTATTGCTTGTAAGGTCCAATTCATTAGATATATATATATATATATATGTAAACCTATTTCTATGTAGGAGGAGAATTTCTTAATAAGTTCTTCGTTTCAACTCACGTTGTTGCTGGGCAATGGCAGTGTCAATGACGCGCTTAGCGAGCTTGAACACCCGCGAGGACAACACAAGGTCGTTCAATTTGGAGTTATATTTGATGCACACGTCAAAGAATTCCTTGACACACAAGTCATGGAGCAAGGCAACCACATGCTGGCTAACAAGCTCTGGTCTTGCGCGTTGAGTAACACTGAGATATACGTTACTAGGGAGGGTTTCCGAGTAGTTGTGGAAGGCCCTGATTGGACGCTCGAGTACCGTGAGCACCTCGGCAATGTGAGTGGACAGCACAGTTCCCCTACGGTCATCCTGAGCTGCATGCTGAAGAAGATTGGCAAGCGCAATGACCGCATTGCCAAACGTGACCGGGTCGCGTATTCTAGCCTCCGCATCACGTTCTGGAGTGATTCTGAAGGGGGCCCCGACGACGGTCGAAAGAAACTCTTGATGGTATGTTGAGTAGAGTTTAATGAGTTCTATGCGAAGAGTGGCAAGCGACTTTGTACGAGATATGCATTGGTTGAATCGAGCCCAAAAGGTGGTTGGAAGATATTTTTGGATGTATGGGGTTAATTTGGTGGTGATTGATGAGAGGGGAGACACAGAATCGGTCCCGGTCCCGCGCCCGCTCGTGGGTTTACTGGTGGTGGTGCTGTCAACATATCTTCTCAATGGAGGAGATGGAGATGCAGTGGCCAGAGAGACGATGGAATTCCCGAAAATATCATCTTCACGAGTCGAAGAAGATTCTGGGGTTTCTTGTTGTTGTTGATGGACCAATTGCAGGGACACCAGAGTTGGTGGAGCAAACAGACTATATTCTCTGAAGTTGACTCTCAGAGTGCCCTCTCTAATGACCAAGGAACATTCTTCGACGATGGAAGACCAGAAAGAGGAGCCATTTTTTGCATTATATATATTCAATCTCAATTTCTTACCAATATCTTCGGAAGTGGTGGCCAAATAAGCCAATTCTTGGAAGGCAAGAACTCGAGGAAGACCACCTTCAACGCCTCTCAAGCCCGATAAAAGGGTATTGATTGGGTCAGAGCTGTACGATGACAAAGGCTTGTCTCCGTCAAGACACCCAATACAGGCATACACGGTGTAGAAATGGTTGAGCAAGTCCCAACCCAAGACACAAACAAAGGAGGTGATGGCGGTATGGGACAAGATGTTGAATGAGATCCAAGGGTGCAGGGCCAGTGATGCGGTTTCTAATTTCAGAATGACCAAAAGAGGCCACATGGCCTTGTAGATCAAGGATCTAGCGCCATAACCGGCGAGGAAGTAATACACCAAGACGGAGGAAATGGACACCACAAGGGATTTGACCACACTGGCGACGGGCAACCAAAGTTGATTCTTATTCTTGAACAAGTATTGTTGAGGATTCAATTTGGCGACGCCGATTTTGATCAAGGACAAACGTTGGTATTGCCAGACCACCTGGTGTAACGCATAGATGAAGGCCACGTAGGCGCCACTAAAAATGTAAAAGATGAAATCTTCATTGACCTTGTCTCGGTGACGGTACTCCTTGGCAACGATTGACCAGCGGATGGGGGACTGGATGTACAGGACAAGGTAGATAAGGAAGGACAGACCCACGTAGAAAAGAGAAGTCTTGACCCATTGCAGGGATGACAATGTGGAGGCGATCCATTGACCGGCCAAAGATCGGGACGATGCGCTGTATGCGGTGGTTGCCTTGGCCAGATCACGCGCTAGCCGCACCACAATGAGGGCTATCCAGATAAAGGGCGCTCTGTAGACTAGCACACAGGCCAAGGTCCACCACACGGACGACTTTTGGGGTGTCACTGGGGCTTCTGGTTCAACGTGATGTTGCGGAACAAACATCGAGAGAAGAGTCGCCAAAACAAGCGCCACCAACACGGCGATCTTGTTGATGTACCGAAGTCTCTTGGCCTGGACACGCGCGACGAGCACGCTGTACGACGTGGGAGGTTTCTCAGGCTGGAACGACATGATGGGGAAGGTTAACGTCTGGTAGTAAACAAGAGCTCCACAGGAAAACAAAGAAAAAAAGTCCAAACACAAAAACTTTGGCCATCCATACGCGCGCTCTTCATGGGAGCACTGCAGTGCAGGACAGAGGCCCTCAAGGTGTGAGCTAGATTGGAAGAACAACAGGGTTAAACAGTCGATACAATGAGTTTGAGACTAGAAATTGATATATATGTATTGTAGAGACGCTTCTGATAAGCTATGCAGACTTTTTAGAAGATTTTGAACCGCGGGGGGCCTTGATCACAGAGGTACAAGATCCCCTGATACCAACAGAACCGCAAGGGATAACACCTTGCACGAGGTGTGTATGACGCTCCGCTGGGCCCCTACCCGGGGAGGGCCACTGCGTGGAGCCTAGCTCCTCTACGAGGAGTCCTCCTGTAGTCTAGGCTTTCCTCGCTAGAGGAACAAGGCCTCCACGGCTAGTGGCCCACGGAGTGCCAGCGGAGCGGCTTACTGCCCCCTCTACAGTTAGTCTCTACAATGATGTCTGTCCGAGTTATCATCGAATAACTATGCTATATATATATACAAGTGTGTAACTTACAAAAACCAATCCTGTGTTGGCTTAGTGCGTCTCTCGACGCCGCCCTTCTTCTACTCCAAGGTAGTAGCCCCCCTTCACTGCTCTCCATTCACCAAACCTATTGGTTTTGTTGACTGGCCATGTATTGGGCTTCCAATCTCAAACGTTCGATTTCCCCGTCCAAGGTGCTTTCAATGGAGTCCAAGCCTGGTTGACCGTTGATCTCACCCAAGGCATGGTCCATGACCAACCCTTCGTTGGTGGTTTGATGGGTCACGGCGTACGCGTGTCCTGCCAACTTGTTCTCGATGGCCATTTGCTTGGATTCAAACTTGCCCACATTGACCTCAAAGGCATCCTTGATGGCTTGGTCCAATTCGGCTTCAGTGGTGATGAATTCAGAAGCAGCATGGTAAAGATCCAACACATCCAGCGCCCGTTGTTCTTGCACGGCCAAGTCTTGTCTCTTACGGTTGATGGTACGTTGTTCTTCCATGATGGCACGTTCTTCCGGAGTTCTTTGTCTCATCAAACTACCTTGCAAGTAAGAGTCCACTGTGGGGAGAGTGAGCTTTGTGGCATCAGATTCCTCATAAACTCTTTCTCTGGCCTTTTCCTCTTGTGCTCTCTTGGCCTGCTTTTGCTTTAATTCGTCAAGCTTGACCAATCTTTTCTCTTCAGCCAAATAGGCGGCACGTAAATGTTCACGACGGATTTCATTCTTCTTTAATTCCCATTCGAAATCGCTAGATTGACGTACTTCTGGCTTCACTTGAGAGGCCTTATGGGCATCCACCTGTGCTCTACGGTCGATGGTGGCGGCAATACGCTCGCTCACAGTGACAACCGGCTTGATTAATGGAGCACGAGGGAACTTCATCCCAGCACGTTGAGGTTCAGGTACCCCTTCAGCATACCCTTGTTCCAACAGTTGTGCATGCTCACGTTCCTCGGCAGTTGGTGCACGGATCGGGTTCCGTCTGAAAATGGGACGTGGTGTTGGCAAGATCCCGGACTTTCCTCCAAATTTGAGTGCTCCCTTACCCATGTTAGATATGTGATGTAAGTATTGGTTGAATTTAGAACGTAGTGTTGATCTTTGGACTTTCAAAGTGTTGGCGGGTTCTTTTTTTTTTTCTTTCGTTCTCAAAATTTTTTTGAAAGGAAATGTGAGGGACACGACTTTTTTAGAATGGCTGCGAAATGGGGGGATACTCCTATGAGAGGAGCCGGGTCACCTCCATGGAAGTTGTTCTCTCTGAGTAGGGGACGGGGACTAGCGGCGAGTCTTACAGTCGCATGGGGGAAGGGAGTGAGTATGTACCCTACGGAGTATGTGAGCCGCTCCGCTGGCACTCCGTGGGCCACTAGCCGTGGAGGCCCTGTTCCTCTAGCGAGGAAAGCCTAGACTACAGGAGGACTCCTCGTAGAGGAGCTAGGTTCCACGCAGTGGCTCTCCCCGAGCAGGGGCTAGCAGAGCGTCATAAAGGCCCGTAGGGAAGGGGGTGTGACCTACCCTACGGGGTATGTGAGTCGCTCCGCTGGCACTCCGTGGGCCACTAGCCGTGGTGGCCTTCTTCCTCTAACGAGGAACTGCCGGACTGCACATCTCCTCGTAGAGGAGCTAGGCTCCACGCAGTGGCTCTCCCCGAGCAGGGGCCAGCGGAGCGTCCCACAGCCCCGTAGGGATGAGAGAGCCTCCTACCCGACGTCGCCGCAACTGAACTGCTTCGATAGCCCACTTGCCGCGGGGGGCTATTCTCCACAAGTGGAGTATTGTAGAGACGACATTTCGGATGATATACTCATACTTGATGCTCGACGTATAGCCGAGATCCTAGCTTAGTCCAGACTTGGCTGCTATTTGGTCATTATTCGTTAACTTTCTGGTCGTTTCACCTTCCTCGTGGTGCGGCTCATGTGAGATAGTCCACCATTTTTCATGAGCCCTCTCGCTCTTCTGCACATGGCTCACCATCAACGGTTTTAGATTAGATCTACCGTTTTAGATTAGATTCATACGGTCATGAGAATAGACTCATGAACGGGAAACTACGTGTAGCTGATAGTTTTGCTGGGCATGCCCAGTATGGATGTAAATCACACCACCCAAATGGTGTTGGCCAACACCACTACAAGGATTGTCACGACATTAGGGTAAACGAGACACCTTGATGACATGTAAGTGCATATGGTGGGAGCCAACGGAGATCACCGAGTGTATCGGTGGATGTTTAGGGCGTTAATTCTGTACCCCATCGGGTACAAATTTCAGGTTGCAGGGTTTCTCGAGCCACATCCATACACCTTGCATACACGACCATTAACGATATTTGTACCACACAACAGACGTATCGACCATGAAATATAAGTAGAGCCTGATGGGAGCTTCTTAGAAGATGTGGAGTGTTGTACTTCTTCTACTACCTGAATCTAACCCCCACAAGAAGGTAAAAAAAAAATATGAAGCTTTCACTTGTTTTTCTTGCTGCTGTTGTTGGTGTTGCTCATGCACACGATGACCAACAAGACCAAAATCAGAACCAACAAACTAATGATCATAACAATCATCACACCCAGACTCATACTCAAAATCAAAACCAAAACCAACAAACCCAAGACCATGACAATCATCATTCTGATACTAACAATCAAAATGGCCAAAATGATCAAAACACAAAGGACCAAGTTGCATTTTTTGCAACCGCTTTTACTCCTTATTACGGAGAGAACCCTGGATTGAAAACTTGGTTCTCGTCGTATTCCTCTCTTATTAAGCAACTGCCTGAGAACTACAAGCTTTACCAAACACTTTTTAGAGACCCTGTATTCACCAGTTGGCAAACTGAATATGACCACCAAAAGACAGCTGCTACCACTTCTCCAAAGAAGACTTTGGATGAACCTTCTCCAACAAAGACAGAACAGCAAATCATCTCGACTCAATCCACAGCCACTACCGACAAATTGGTAGAAACTTTCCCAACTGCCATTGAAAACCCATCAGCTTCAACTCCAGAAAAGGTTAAGAGTGCTACTGATAAATCTCCATCAGAGACTGAAACCCAACAAGAAGTCAATGAAACAACTTCAACCAGTAGCACTACCAAGGGCAATAAAGCTAAAACAACCACCACCGCTTCTACAGAGAGTGCCAGTACCGGTTCTAGTAGTGCCACGTCCTCCTCAACTACCAGTTCTGCGAATCTTGGGTCCAATGACTTTGCTCCAATGGGAGCTATTATCGCTGCCTGTGCTATCGCACTTCTTTAGAAGTCTTAGATATATAGTCCATATTTTAAATACAGATATCGAATTGAGTTATAAAGTAGTACTCTGCATCTATTCTCTTGACGGATACACGAGTGTTGATCAACAAAGAGATCTATCATTCGCTACGGGACGGACTGTTTTCTGTGTTCTATAAAGCTTGATGATCATGTCAATGGAGATCCACTAGTCGATGTTGGAATGGGAAAGATCACCAGGTCAATAAATTCTTACAGTGTAGTATCCAACTCAGGGTTACATTAATTCATTACGAAACATATATTGTGGGCTTGAAACATTTGCAGCCACACCCGGTGGGTACAGACAGTGAGACAGCTAGATAATGGAGAGGATTCTCGTGTTTCATATGTAGCGGGTCACGTTGTCACCGCTGCATCCTTTTTCTCCTCGCTTGATGATACCTACATCAGTGGCAGACGGAAATGTGGAAGTCAAGAAGGGGGACAGTATGATTGTTGAGCTGAAGTGGGCGGAATTCGAGGGTCCAGGCCCAAACCTTGCAGTTCTTTTTTTAGGTACTATCCACCAAATATCAACCAGAATTATATCATTTTGGTGGCCCAACTTGCACCTGTCGTACTTTTAACTTAGGAGTGGCTTGGCAAGCATATTAATACTACGGGGATAGTCAGGACTAGAAACTAACAGTCGAATTCCAGGCAGTAATGCACATCTCCATGCGGCTTATGAGAGAAAGATCCACCTAGCAATCCATAATGAGGCCCGAAGCTTCCTTGAAATTTCAAGTTGGTAATTCCGGTCATGAAGTTGTAGCCAAAATTCCGAAAAAACATGTAACTAGGGACAAGAATCGAGGCGGGTTTATTTGGAATGTGTAATGACTACACTTGAAGGGAGGACAGGGTCCACAAACCTTCAATATATAAAGGGTAGGAGAGTCCCCTTCTTCCTCGTCAGTTTCCATTTCACTACCACTATTCAGCTTTTAAAAGCATTAGCCCCAAAGCTGCAAACGAATAAAAACACAAACAAGTAAAAATGAAGTACTCCATCGCTATCCTTACTGCAATTCTCGGGGTTGTGGCTGCCCAACAACACGAACAACATGAACAGCACGAGCAACACGTCCAACACTCTCAAAACAACAACCATCACACTCAAGACCACAACAATAACCATAACAACAACGACCACCACAACAACGATCACCACGACAACGATCACCACAACAACAACCACAACAATAATAATGATCACCATCACAACAACAACAACAATCGTGAGCTCCATGAAGAAACCACTAATGTTCAAAATGAGCGTAGAGGAAATGACATCAAGAAGATTGAATACTTTGCAACTGCCATGGCTCCTTATTACGGCGAGAACCCAGGTTTGCAACCATGGTTATCTTCTTACTCTTCTCTCGTTGAACAAAACCCAAGGACCAGAGACAACAGGCTTTTCAAGACTCTCTTCAAGGATCCAGTCTTCACCAGCTGGCAACACGCAGAAAATCAACGTACGAAGACTGCTAAACCCACCAAGACCAAGACCACCAAGACCAAAGCTCCAAAGACCACCAAGCCACCTAAGCTGGATGAACTAAAGGATAACGATATGAAGAAGGTTGAATTTTTCGCTACTGCTATGGCTCCTTATTTTGGTGAAAACCCAGGTTTGCAACCTTGGTTGTCCTCTTACTCATCTCTTGTTGAACAAAACCCCAAAACTAGAAACAATAAGCTTTTCAAGACTCTCTTCAAGGAAAAGGTGTTTACCAGCTGGCAACATGAGTACAAAAAGTATACCAAGACTGCCGAAAAGAGGGATGCTGAGATTACCGGTCTTGCCGAACGTGAAGACAAACAAGAATCAGTTACAACTCCTACTGCAGGTCGTTCCACTAGCAACAAAAACGCTGGTGTTGTTGAAGTTGCAGCTGCTGAAGTTGTTTTTGCAGCCGTTGTAGCCGCCCTTCTCTAGATATATTTCCTTGATGTCATTCTTAGGCTCACCTTTTGTTGATTGATTTTAATACGATGTTTCCTATTAGAAGAGTGTAGCTGTAGCTGTAGAAAATGTACCATCCATGCACCCACCACGAGCTTATTTGATGAACTCAATTTTAAGTTTGGTGTCCGGAGGGAACAAATAAACTTATGATAATGTTCTTCGGCAATAACTATTTCAAATTTCAGTTTCAAGGTTAATTTCGAGCATATTACTCAGGTACAAACTAAATTTTAGAAACCAGCCCCTATGAAGTTCTTCTAAATATAGAAGTGAAGAATGAGAATTTTATGAAATGCCGGTGACTAGCAAATTCCATCAAAAGACAACCAGGGGAGGGGTATCCTCGACAGTGTTGTATGATCACAATACGAACCCCAGGTGTCCAGAAGGAATATATATACATATCAGGGGGTTAAATTAGAGAAAAAGTATTCCACCACAAGGTCACAGAAAACACAATTTAACCTTCAAGAGGGCAGTGCCGTTGAGGTGGCTCAACTCCTTGGATGGCTACTGCGGGATATGGTGAGTTTATCTTTTCTATCAATCACCACACATAATGCGGCTTGAGCCTGAAATTTGACAGCATCAGTAATTTTTTACTAATTCACAAATAAGCTATCAACGAAACTACATAGCCTGATTTTGTTCTTATGAGAGGCACAATTTCAAGTTGCCCCAGGAAAAAGATCTGTAGCCACAGTGTTGGCACTGGCTATTTAAGGAGCTTGTAATCATCCCTTGGTTCCAAAAAAAAAATGTAGAAATCAACTATCTATCACACAATGAAGATATCTATTTTACTTCTCTCCACATTTATCGTTTTTGTTTCCGCTCAAGGATCCGACAGTCATTCCGATTCAAATCATTCTGAAGAGGATGAGACTAGAAGGGTAGGCTTCTATGCCACTGCGTTTACACCCTATTATAGTCAACTTCCAGGGTTATCATCGTGGCTATCATCATATTCGTCTCTTATTGGCCAGAATCCAATCAACAACCAACAGGTTAATTCTCTTTACCAGGACGCCATCTACACAAGCTGGAAAGCCGAATGGGATAGTCTGTTAACTGCAGATTCAAGTGCTGGTGGTGTTACCAGTGCCGTAATCGGAGGAGCGTCTGCAGATTCAATTGCCCCACAAACCACTACTTCGGATACTCAAGGCGGTAGTTCAACTGAAACAGGCACTACAACACCAACGTCCACTGTAAGTACTGACGCAAGTAGCAGTGGCAGCGCTAATTCCAATGTCGCCAGTAGTAGTGTTGGTTTAACTTTAAGTTCCACATCATCTGGTTCTGGGACTGCGAAATTTGCACCCATTGGTTTGGTTCTTGGCACACTTCTTTTAACACTCTTTAACTAAATAGTACCTCAACTTTCCCCTATTCTCCCCAGCGAGCGCGTCTATTCTTTTCTTCTTCTCTCTATTAGCCTTTCCAATATACTCAATATGACACATTATAACATTCCAGTATTGTAATCCCGTATCCGGTATGCGTATCCGCTATAAGAACCTTGGCATTTGTGCCTACGCAACACCCAAGCACCCGCCATACAACAGCCGCATGTAATAAATTAATGTGCTCATATCTTTGAAAAATAATAAAATGCTCATCTTGAATCATCATACCAGGCATGTGGAGTGAAATTTAAATGGACGATTGGACGATTGGAGAAACTCGTGGGGTATGTATAAATATGGAGGGCTTCCCAATACAATGGACAACTTGTAGTTAGATCAAATAACAAGTTGATTGAGATGAAATTTGTATTGGGTTTAACATTTGCAGCCGTTGTTGCTGCCCACGCTGGTCATGACCATGGGGCTTCTGAGTCAGCCGCACCTAGTGACGCCATGGGAGATATGAACGGCCTGTCCATGGAACATGCTACCATGAGCCATGCCGTATCCGGTTCTGATTCAGCTGCCAGTGCTACCTCTACAGCTGGCTCCACTAGTTCAACTAGCTCCAAGTCATCTAGTTCCACAGAAGCATCATCCTCTGCTGCCTCCTCTTCATCCTCAAGCAAGGCTGCTGCATTTGCACCTGGCGCAACCAATCCAATTGGTGCTGTTTTGGGAGCTCTTGCAATTGCCTTGCTCTGATTCTTTTTTGAAAAGGGCAAATATAATTAGATTAAATAAAAGTTTTATAGTAACAGCGCTTATTCCTTAGAGTTACATGTAGCAGTGTTATTCTCTTGTATCCAGAGTATCCGGTTTCGGGAACGCGATCTTCCCACCTGGAGATTCCCTTCTTTCTACATTCAATCTTTGGGTTATTCTATAATGATATTAATGGCTACGTTTGGAATACTTTCACTTTCGATATACTCTTATTTTTCTCCTTCCTTTCATTATTGGAGGGACTTCCTCTTAGCTACCATTGAATTCAATAAGATGAACTATCTCTGTATCCCATATCAATTCCGTATCGGACTCGAAGTTCATCTGAACATCCTTGGCATTTGTCCGTTGTAGTAGAGAGGTCCAAAAATTAAACGCTCAGACAATTAAAACATATTTAGACGCCCATAATGAGCTATTACCTTATGCGTGCCTTATTAAAGATGCGCTACTGGGCATCTATACTGCTGATGTATAAATATGTGGAGAAATCAAACCCCAGGGATAAGTCGAGTAGCTATCCAGTCAATCTATAAGATAAATTAGAATAGTATGAAATTTGTATTGAGCTTCCTTTTTGCAGCCTTAGTTGCTGTTGCACATGCCGGTCCACAAAACGTCGCTCCAGGTTTGAAAGACACTAGAGACATGGATGACCTGGATCTTGTTGTTAGAGACCATGGGATGTCAGGGTCTGAGTCAGCTTCTTCGGCACCAGCGTCGTCTACAACTTGTGGTCGAGCCTTAGCTTCTGCCGCTTCCTCACGTTCAGCTGAAGCCGCTGCTGCAAGTTCTTCTCAAGCTTCTTCCTCGAGAAATGCTGCCGGGAATGTTATTGGTACTGCGTACCCCGCTGGTGCGGTCTTAGGTGCAATTGCAATTGCCTTACTTTAGAATATTTCCATAATATGAATTAAACCAATTGTTTTCTATTCCAAATTATATCTTGTAGCCCCACATCTCGTAAATTCTTTCAGATACCACAGGACCAATTTTTTTATTCCCAACTTGATCCTTGAATAAGTTTGTTAATAGTAATTTTTTTTCCTTTATATCCAAATGCTTGTGATCTTCGAAATAATCCAATAACCTTAGAGGAGTACCAAAATGCTTCTGAATGGTGATGGCCTTATCTAAAGAAACTCCACGAATACACATAAGCATCAGCATGAACGTTTCGCCCACAGTAGTCATGGATTTGGCCATCATGACTTTGAAGGTCTCGAATGGATATACACATTCATATTTGGGTAATTGCCCCGATTCAAACTTATCCCGGAAAAGTTTGATAATTGGCTCGTAATCGGCTTGGTTTTTCAACGTTGTAGGTTTCAACACAAGTAATTTATGCCTCGATTCGTGTTGCTCTTTGATCACCTCTGTGACACTTGCCAAAAAGGAAATTGTTTCTTCAATTGTCTTGAATTTCCGAAGATAGAATTGTGAAGCTGTCATGGTCATGGAAATAGCGGTTTGTATCAGTTCTCCAGGAACTGCCATCTGATCGATACCAGACGCTTCTTCCACAATATAGTAGACATGCTTCATAGCAGCCATTTTAAGTCGTACTTTCTGTTCTTGGAACCTTCCATCTCTGATAGAAAATGCCAAATCATCAATACGTTTACGTTCGAAGATATAGTTAAGTACAACCTGTCTCCCCGTTTGTTTATGTCTAGCCAACCAAACTCCATCACCAACGGAAAGAGCCTCTACTTCGCAAGTAACACCAAGTGCTTCTAATCGTTTTTGAAAGAAATCTCGTTCAGTTTGTGATCTTACTTCTCTGGTGTCGATTACAAGAACAATATCATAATCAGTGGCCCCCCACAATTCATACTTGACACCAGAATACGTCTTATTTGACGGATCATGGAGATGTTCAAGTGGAGGTGCTACAAACTCACTTGGTTGCCGGTTTTGTTGAATTGGAGAACTAACCATCAACAGATTATCCAAGGTTATATCTACACTATGGGAGTCCTCTATACTCGGACTCTCTATTCCTTCTGCAACTTTTAATTGCCCCGCCAAGGCTAACCCTTCATCTGTTAAATAATATCGTTTGGGTCTCCCATTACATTTCAATAAATCATGTTTTTCCAATTGTTTCACTGAATTCCATGCTGAATAGAATTGATTTGCAGCTGGATTTGCCTTGAATGAACGATCACAATATGGTGTTGCATGTTTAATAATCTCCTCTTGAGTTAACCCATTTCTCTCCAGATCCTTGGTGTACAATGCAAGTAAGATCGAATATCCACCAGACCGTCTTGCTGGGATATAGGCTCTTTTTTTCCTCTTTTTTGTGGGTGGCATAGACGCGGTGCTGACTCCATCCTTTCCATTTGTATTCTCATCTACATCCTCAGCATTTGCCTTCCGCTTCGATTCAAACGCCTTGGGGAACTCCAAGCCTTTCTCTACACAATGGTTACGAAGCTTTTCCAACAATTGCTTGATGGTTCTATCTCCAACATATTTGATATTACGTAAACTTTTAAGATCTTTGATTTCCGATGCGTGTGATCTCACAGAATCCATGGCTTTATGATACTGGAACGCCGCCTTCGATCCCTTTTGAGTTGCCAAAACGGCCTCATCTTGAAGCCAGCCACTGAAGAGTACCCTTAGATCTCCTAGAGGATCTTCCTGTAGCCCAGCCATATACACAATAATAAGAAAGACAAATCAAATTACATGCATCTACTTCAAATACTAAAGACTAACTTACAAGTAAACATCAGACCTGCACAAACCCGCACCGCGGAAAATCCCACCAAGCATCATTTTTTGTTGTCTGTATACAGTCGCAGTGATGAAAGTCACAAAGGAACACACAACTTTGCCCTGGAATGGTTTACTTTAATCCATCAATCGATTTAGAACCTTTCCCAGGGATAAGCCACATATATAGAACTACACAGGAACGATGTCGGGGAAGCCAAAGAGAACAATGATCCCACCGATCAACTTGATCTTCAAATACTTACAGCAACAAGCACCCGTGACGATATGGCTCTACGAACAAACACAGCTGAGAATACAGGGCAAGATCCGTGGGTTTGACGAGTTTATGAATGTAGTAGTTGACGATGCGGTGGAGGTTTCCACCGAGGACGGCACTCGTGAGTCCCTTGGACGGATTCTCTTGAAGGGAGACAACATCACGTTGATTTCAAGTGTGGAAATGTAAAGAGTGAGACAGAATTAATAAAAGATGTATATTAGATAGGAATAGAATAAATACGAATAAGGCGTACACAGATATAATTGTAACGGAGGTAGTCCTGGAGACAGAGCGGAGCAAGCACAGCGGAGCCATACCCAGTCGAGTGGGCAGTCACTCACTTCCCCGTGAGACTGTAGGACGCTCCGATGGCCCCTGCTCGGGGAGGGCCACTGCGTGGTGCGTAGCTCCTCTACGAGGAGACTTCCGGAAGCTAGAATTCCTCGCTAGAGGACCAAGGCCCCCACGGCTAGTGGCCCACGGAGTGCCAGCGGAGCGGCTTTGCAGCCCCGCAGGGAATGGAGTTGGCAACACTCTACGGGTCAGTGAGACCCGCTAGGCCCCTGTTCGGGGAGAGCCACTGCGTGGTGCCTGGCTCCTCTACGAGGAGACTTCTCTTAGCCAGCTGGAACTCCTCGCTAGAGGAGCGAGGCCCCCACGGCTAGTGGCCCACGGAGTGCCAGCGGAGCGGCTTGAATACCCCGTAGGGAAGCCGTACTCTCTTCCCCGTGGGACTGTACGACGCTCCGCTGGTTCTTCCTTCTCCATGAAGTGAGCTTATCATTCTTTTCTCAGCCATTCTACTCAAAGAGTAGGTGCTCTGGCCCCTGGCAAGCTAGACTGCCCATTCGATTGGTACCCTCTAGAATTCAAAACTAACTCTTTTCCTTTTACGTGGCAGCACTTCTACATCGCTACTCCCAGGCTCTAATCCAGCCAGTTGTCTTCGTCTATTGATACGCTTCATTCTTTCTTCTTTCAGAAGAAGTGTTTTATATTCACCAATTTGCTTTTGTCGGAGGTATGAAACATTTTCACGTTCTACCGAAGTCTTGGGCTTGTTACGAACAAGTTTATCTTCTTCATAAGACTCTTTATTACCATAAGAATCATTATTGTGGTCCGTAGGTTTAGTCTCTGGCTTACATTCAATATTTTTAATATTGTCCGTTTTTGAAGAATTCGATGGTTTTAAATATATTTCAACTTTCAGCAGCTCAGTCTTATCAGTAGCCATTATCTTATATTCATTGTCTTATATTTATAGATGATTATATAGGAATAGATTCAAGGGAATCCTTGGGGGGAGTTGACATGTTTGGTATGTAATATGAGATATCGAGTCATGTGATACGTAGTCAGGTGACCACTTCAAATAGTCTCTTTCTCTGCTATATATCACAAAACGGGTCTGTAGTTGAGGTATTTACATTTCACAAAACCTGATTAAACCATTAGAAAGATCCATTAAACAATAGAATATAATCATTCATATATATTGTGAATTATGTCAGGAGTTGGTATTAACTCTAATGAGACTGTTCCAAGACCCCAGGGTCAAATAAATGGTCCGGGACAACCACAAGTTCATGGCCAGGCCAGTGTAGGATTAGGTAATGGATCAAATAACGCGTTGCCACCAACTGGAGGAAGATCAAACAATATAGCCACTAATAATAATAACAATAATAATAATTCTACTAGATCTATACCGCGACCATCACAGCAGCAACCTAATGCCAATAGATATGGTCAATATGGATCCAATGGATCTAATGGAGCAGGACGAACACCTAATGGATCTGGATCTGGATCTGGATCTGGGTCTTCAAACAACACCAGTACCAATCCTAGAACCTTCAAACCAATCCCTTACACAGAGGAAGAACAAACTAAGATTCTGGGACTTCTAGATAAAGTTCTTGGTCCGGAATATGTGTCCTTCCGTCCTGGAGGTGGAGGGCAAAAAGTGTCCTATATTGAAGGATGGAAGGCTTTAAATCTTGCCAATGAAATATTTGGATTCAATGGCTGGTCCTCTGAACTCATATCCACACAAGTGGACTTTTTCGATACCCATGGGAACAATGGGAGGTTTTCAATGGGTCTTTCAGTGGTGGTCCGTATTACCATCAGAGATGGAACCTATCATGAAGATTTCGGGTATGGATATATTGAAAATGCTAAAAGTAAAGCTATGGCGTTTGAAAAATGTAAGAAGGAGGCATTTACCGACGGATTGAAGCGATGTTTGAGATGTTTTGGGAATGTTTTGGGGAATTGTTTGTATGATCGTACCATTATTCCTAAAATACAAAAGGTGAAGCTTCCTGGAGCGGAATTGGAACCAAAGCATTTCCATAGAGATCCATGGGTTAAGGAGAGAATGGCCAAAGATGCACCCAGAAGCATGGATCCACCAAGACCTCAACTGCATCAACCACCACCACCACAGTCTCAACCAGTACTGACACGTCCTCCCAACAACCCACAGACTCCATCTGCTCAATCTGTTCGGACCAATGCATCGATGGCCAATTCGGCTACATCCTCTAATATCAATGGTCTGCATGTTCAAAGACCAGGTCTGGGTGGCATTACATCCACACTGGCTCAAGCTACAGTACAAACCCCTCGTCCTCCAACTCATTCTACCCGTACTGCTCCTACAACACAACTGCCTCTGAGACCACCACAACCACCGGCACCAGAACTCGACGATTTTGACGATTCATTTGTCTTTAGTGATGATATTCAAATGGAAGAAGAAGATATGAGTCAAAATGATGGTCTTGATGAGTATGAGTTACAAATGCTTATCCATAAGAATAGAGAAAATGGTGGTACTGATGACCCAGCACTTACGGCAAGATCCAAGTATGCTACCGCGTCACCATCCACAAATGTACAAGATGAACCTCCGGTAAATATTCCTCAATCGGTTTCATTTGTGTCTGCCAAGGCTGCAGACCTCATTCAAAAGAATCCAATCATCGATGATCCTTCCAAACTTCCACAATTTGATCCAAAGTTTGTTTCTCCAAATATGAGAAGAACTGTGGATCCAACAAAGTCGACTCCTATCAAGCGGTCAGCGGTAACTGCCCCGCGTACAAGACTGGCTACACTGGCGACTACAACAGCTCTGTCCGCCACCACTCTGTCTGCCATGGCAACGCTGGTTCTGGCACCAGTAGGGCTGGCATCTGTGGGGCTGACATCTGTGGGACTGGAAGATCAAACACTGTCTCTGACATTGGCATTGGCCCTGGCCCTGGCCCTGACACCAACAATAGGTCTGACCAACATGGCTGCACCAAATAGTGTAACTGCACCTGTACTTGGTAAAAGAATGTTAGGCTTACCACCATCACAAAAACAAACATATAAACGATTACATAGAGATTTATCACAAGTTTCACAAGTTTCACAAGCTTCTCAAGGTCTGGATAAGGAAAATCGACCAGAACCAAATGCCGCTGAATAATCTTATAAAAGATATTGCTATAATATATGGTAGTATACTAAGTAAGCGATGATGCTAGTAATTGGAAGATAAGTTGTTTGGGAGAAGAAGGTCAGAGAGGACTACTCTTATAGAGTTTTACTTAGTCAAAAGGAGGATTTAATTGATCTCAATACAATCTAATCTAGAGGTACCTACGTAAAAACCTCCTATATAATATGGATTTCTAGTGAAGTACCATATCAAATCCCTTATCAAATAAACACTTTTCAGCTTTAGAAGATTATACTTTACCCCATAGAACCAGATAAGAGACCAACTTCCAATGATCTACCAGGAATATACATCTAGGGGACACCCTCCTAAAGCTTTTTTCACACTGGTCAGTAAGCTCTATCTCATAACAGGGAAAAGAAAGGTTTGTTCGCATTTTCTTTTGTCCTCCAATATCTTTGCAATCAACCCTTTCAATTTCTTCCAAACAAAACAAAATCAATTCATATTTCACCGTCCACCAAATATACAACATACCATCTTTAAATTAATATATATATATAAATAATATATACATTCACAATATACCTATCCCATCTAAGCTCTATTCTCTTTCTAGAAGCTCTTGTCATCTCCTATAACTATGTTAAACTGATAAACAGATAATCTCGTTTTCACGTGACCGGTGGGTCTCTTACAATTTTCTTTACAAACTCGATTTCTAATCTACCCTCTAGTTTCTTATCTCCTCCTAATACATACAAAATTCTTAATATGACCTTAACATTGAATGGAGACATGTCTTCCATAGTGACTCCCCTACTTCAATTAGGTCCATTCAACGAATCTCCAGATGAATACACTAAGGAATTTGCCTTGGAACTGCTTGTTGCGGCCAAAGTCTTGGTGATTGGAGCTGGAGGTTTGGGTTGTGAAATCCTCAAGAATTTGGCTCTAACCGGGTTTAAAGACATACACGTCATTGATATGGACACGATAGACATTTCCAACTTGAACAGACAGTTTCTTTTCCGTAAACGGGACGTTGGGAGATCAAAGGCCGAAGTGGCAGCACAAGTGATTTCAAACAAGATTGGTAATGATCAAGTTAAAATCACTCCTTATTTCGGGAAAATCCAAGACAAACCCATTGAGTACTACCAGCAGTTCACGGTGGTGATCTGTGGCTTGGACAGTGTAGAGGCCCGTAGATGGATAAATGCCACGTTGGTGTCCATGGTTGATGATGAATTAAATAATTTGATCCCGTTGATCGATGGAGGTACTGAAGGATTCAGAGGCCAAGCCAGAGTCATTCTCCCAACCTTAACTTCTTGTTATGAATGTCTGTTGGATATGTTGAGTACAAGAGCAACGTATCCAGTGTGTACCATTGCCAACACTCCTAGACTCCCTGAACATTGTATAGAATGGGCCAGTGTCCTTGAATGGCCCCAACAGTTCCCAACTGAAAAATTTGACTCTGACAATCCAATGCATTTGGATTGGATGTACCATAAATCTCTCGAAAGAGCTCGTGAGTTCAATATCGATGGTGTAACAAGATCGTTAACTCTTGGTGTTGTCAAGAATATCATTCCAGCTATAGCGGCCACCAACGCCATTGTAGCGGCCGCCTGTTGTAATGAAGTGTTCAAAATCGTCACCAATCTGAACCCAATCCTCACAAATTACATGATGTATTCTGGTGACGATTCCATCTTCACCTATACGTTCAATCACACGAGAAAGCCGGACTGTCCCGTGTGTGGTAATTCTGCTAAACGAGTCGTGGCACAGAATTGGTGGACTTTACAGGAATTCATCGACAGCATTAGTAATAGTCATGAAGTTCAAATGAAGAAACCTTCGTTGACCACATCAAGAAGGAACTTGTACTTGAGGGCTCCTCCTAGTCTTGAAGAGCTTAGTCGTCCTAATTTGACCGTCAAATTGAATCAATTGGTTCTTCCAGGGGAAGAGATTCTTGTCACTGATCCTGCGTTACCATTATCTTTGAAACTAGCTGTTTCCTTTGAGGGACATGATGAAAGACCAAATACTTTGAAGGAGCTTTTATCTTGAATTTAGAGAGTGTGACTCAAATTGGAGTGGTACCTCAGCACCACGACCCCTACGGGGATTGTAAGACGCTCCGCTGGCCACTTCTCGGGGAGATCCACTGCGTGGTGCCTAGCTCCTCTACGAGGAGACTGTCCGTAACCCTTCCTCGCTAGAGGAACAGGAGTCTCCACGGCTAGGGGCCCACGGAGTGCCAACGGAGCGGCTTGCTACTCCGACAGGGAATGGAGTTGCCAACACCCTACGGGGTCAGTGAGACGCTCCGCTGGCCCCTCCTTGAGGAGTGCCACTACGTGGTGCTTTGCTCCTCCTCGAGGAGATTCTACGTGTCGAAGGTCTTCCTTGTTCCTGGCCCCCACGGTCAGGGGCCCGAACGGGTTACACCCACGCAGGGAATGGGGCTGGTCGAGGGTGACATTCGCTAGATTCTAAGTCATTGTTACATCTACCTATCAATGTATACATATATCGCTTAAATATTTGCATTCTACAATTTCATTCTATTGTTCTACCGTTTTCATTTTATTTACCTATTAATTATTTTTGTTCTACTTTGTCAAACTTACCCATTTCCTTGATCATTAACTCATTGAATGCTGAGATGTTGTCCAAATAAACATGGTGTCCCGAGTCTTCAATCTCCATAACTTCACTGTTATACCCTGATTTCCGGATGATCTCTGAACATTCCTGTCCTCCTTGGATATCCATCCAATCTTCTTTCCCGTAACACCATAAAAAGTTGCATCGAAGTTTATCCATCCCTCGGTCCACAAGGGGATGTCTAGCATCCGCTCCTGGTGCAAGGAGATAATTCAACATATACTCCCCCGAGCCCGGAGATTGGAAGATTCCATACGCATACTTGTGGAGTCTAAGTGCTTCTTCTTCTGGAAGCTTGGCAAATCTACGTGATGACCAAAGTGAGACAACTTTCGATCCTAATGGACCTGCCTTTCTCACCAATACAAACGGTGATATGTTTCGTTCCCAAAGTTTGGCGAAATACGTTGGTACATTGACTTCAACCCGATGTTTGATCACCGCTCCTGGAGATATCATTAGAAGCTTTTCACAAAATTTAGGATCTTTACGGATCCCATAGGTTGTCATCAAATAAGCACCCATGGAATGAGCCATAACTAATATTTGTTCTCGAGGCACTTGGTCTAATCCTCTTTTCCTTAACCATGTTTGGTAAGAGTTATGGAACCAATCTTCTACATGGTCCAAAGTTTCTTCTTCAAGTTCAAATGGAGGTCTCAGTGAACATCCATATCCAAGAAGATCTATCGCATGAATACACCAATTATCAGATTTGAGAGAGATTTCATCAAAGTTCTTGAGAAAGAACCCCAACCCACCTCCATACCCATGGACCATGATCAAATGGTTCATTGAAGATGGTGGGTCCGCTTCAGATTTCCCCTCGGGATAAATGCAAAATTCATTGATAAAATTACCATCTTCGACTCCATCTTCCAACATCACTTTGAACACTTTACTGGATCTCCCAGTAGCCATATCTGGCTCGGGATAAAATGGTAATAATGACAAGAGATCATGTTGGAAAGCTAATGGATTCTCTCGATAGGAATAATCATTGACTGAGTCCGTTACCGAATACGGGAAATTCAGCGAAAATAATTTGTTTAAGGGCACTGAAGTTGGATGGGTTGATCTTTTATAAACTGGGGCTGTCGGAGTAGATGAATCCTTTGAACTTGGGACACTTCCCTTTGAAGCAACATCAATTTTGGTGGTGTCTTTTTTGGAAATCTTTGACAAGATCGTGTTCAAGTACAGTTGAGTCTGAGACGACTGAACACTTTCGAGTCTTGGGAAAGAGCTTGAAATCCATCTTCTAGCAATCATAACGGGTTCTATCTAAATGTCTATTCTTTCTAATATCTACTCTTTTATTGCTATGAACTCATGGAAGCCGGGAAAGCGCCAGAAATAAAAATAAAAATATGTATCCCTATGTCAGTGTTGCTTGTTGGTCAGTTGAATTATTTTGGGAACACTGATCCAACAAAAAAAAAATTTATTACTGTTTTTGCAACACTCGAATGATGTGTTGTCTTTTAAATTCCAATTTTTTTTTTTTTTTTCTTTTTTGGATTCTCTTGTAAGGCTGTGAACTTGTGACCTCGTGGTAATTTGAGCAGTTGTTTTTATGTTTGTTGTTGGGTGTCACGTGGGCGGGAAACGTTACTTCTATATGTAGGAAAAACGTCGAACTCGTTAAAACGGGAAGAACTATCATTCCTGGTAGGAGGGCTGCACTTCAATTCCTTCCCCGTGGGACTATAAGACGCTCCACTGGCCCCTGCTCGGGGAGAGCCACTGCGTGGTGCCTAGCTCCTCTACGAGGAGACTTCTCATAGCCAGCTGGAACTCCTCGCTAGAGGAGCAAGGCCCCCACGGCTAGTGGCCCACGGAGTGCCAGTGGAGCGGCTTACAGCCCCGCAGGGAATGGGATATGACCACCCCACGGAGTAGATGAAACGCTCCGCTGGCCCCTACTCGGGGAGAGCCACTGCGTGGTGCCTGGCTCCTCTACGAGGAGATCAACACTTTCTCGTTAGAGGAACATTTCCCCCCGGAGTGTCATCGGAATGTCTTACAGGTTGGGAAGGGTCAGAACTAATCCCTTCTGTAGCCTATAAAGCGGTGATCTGCTCCTTTGGATCCATACTCGAGGTAGTTCCTCACTATGTGGTCTCTTCTACGAGCAGTTCGAGCATGGTCGTCTATGCTACATGCTATATGGACCACGAAGTAGAATTAGAATCCTGATAGGGAAGGTACAACTTTTACCGTTCAGCCTTTTTTCAAATCCTTTGTTAATCGGATATTTGTGGAGTTGGAGGTACAAAAAGTGGGGGGGAGTGTCAAACTCAAGAAAACCCACTAGAGTGGAAATTATCAGTTATTATATCGAGGCGCACTATATACCGGATTGGCTAAATAAAGAAAAAATAAGCCGAAAATAAATAGCAGAAATTTATTATCACGATGTGGTACTTTAAGGGTTAATCGATTCTTTATTAATGAGAGATATAATAAAATGCGTGTAGAGGACTATTAGATTGTCTGCATAGTTAGTACGTAGCACCGCGTGTGAGTGTGAATGTGAGTGTGAATGTGAGCGTTCATTGGTTCATCATGTGTGATGGTTAAATTCTCGGACGAGCCCCGTACGGCTGCACGAAAGGAGACATGAAAGGAGATACATCACAAGAAACGGAAACATTAACTGAAAACGTAAATATACGTCTTGTTATAAAAAAAAGAATGTGGTATTCTGCCGTGAACGGCATCTTTAGAGAAACTAAAAAGACGAATAATCTTGAGTTTTGTCTTTTGAGAATCATAAATATCCGACCTCGCTACATGGACCAATCTAGGAAAAGGAAAGCGTGTTCGGGTAAGGGTTAAGTTAATCCCGGAGGAGAGTGGAAGCGTTTGGTAATGCACCCCGTCTCCATTTAGCCTTTCTTTATAAACTTACCTCACTATCACCCTGGGGGGCGGGGCCATTACCCTCGCCCTCACCCTCCAGCTAGCCACCTCTCATTTCCTCTTTATAACATCTTCTTCCATTCTCCCCCATCTATGTACCAATTAAAAATATTTTAGTCTTGAACACCACCTACTCAAAAACTTTATCCAATCGATCAGCGCATTATCTGATTTCATACGAGCGCGCGTGATGTGCGGCGCAGAAATATTTTCTTGGACTGGAATTTCTGACATCCACACCGGACGTCAACCAAACCCAACCCTCACTCAATGGAAATGACAAACCTCACTCCAGTCGACCTGCCTGCCCCTACTGCACCTCACTCTTCTGAACTGTTCTCTCTCCTGCTGCTGCATTATGCCAGCTCCCCTCTTCTTTATATCTATTCTTTGTCATCTCAAGATTGACTCTCAACAATAACCTTCGCGTTGAAACGCCTAATTGTTATTTTCTGCCCCGCCGCACAGCGCAGTGCGTCTCCTCATCCCTCATTGGCCCACACTTCTGCGAATCCGGCTCAGCAAAAATTTTATCTGATCAATCTGTATAAAGTACAATGTATTTGCTCGTTCTTGTCCTGATAATTTGCTCAATCAAAAGAGATTCTTTGAAATTGTATAGTCCATCTTTTTCTTTTTCTTTCTCCTCCTCTTGAGCAAGTATCATGAAGCTATTCATATTCCTACTTGCCCTTTTCGGCTCGACCTTGGCAGCTCAAACTACCCATACTTGGTATTATACCGCAGGTTGGGTTACCGCCAATCCTGATGGAGAATTTGAACGTGAAGTTGCAGGCTTCAACAATACATGGCCCTTACCCATTTTGAGAGTCAAAAAGGGTGACAGAGTCCAACTTTATCTTACCAATGGATTCCCTCATCACAACACTACGTTACATTTCCATGGGTTATTCCAAAATGGTTCTGCTCAAATGGATGGTCCTGAAATGGTTACTCAATGCCCAATTCCTCCTGGTGAGACCTTTTTGTACAACTTTACCGTTCCTGACCAAGTTGGTACCTATTGGTACCATTCCCATACCCAGGGTCAATATGGGGATGGGATGCGTGCTGCCTTTATCATTGAAGATGATGAACCTGTCCCCTTTGAATATGATGAAGAAGTTGTTTTGACCGTTGGTGAATGGTACCATGAAACCTCAGACCAATTGTTACCTAAATTCCTTGATCTTTATAACCCAACTGGTGCTGAACCAATTCCTGACAATCTTCTTTTCAATGATACTCATAATGGTGTTTGGGAAGTTAAACCAAACACCACTTATTTCCTTCGTATTGTCAATGTTGGTAGATTTGTTTCTCAATATCTTTACATGGATGACCATGACTTCACCGTGGTTGAAGTGGATGGGATTTATGTCAAGCCCAACGTCACCGACATGATTTATATCACCACCGCTCAAAGATATGGGGTCTTGGTGACCACCAAGGATGATACCTCAAAGAATTATGCCTTTATGTCGGCCTTTGACACTGATATGTTGGATGTCATTCCAAAGACCTTGGAATTGAACAACACCAACACTATCTCCTATTCTCCTGATAATGCCAAGCCAGAAGAGTTCTTTGTTGATGACTATGATTACCTTGACGATTTCTACTTGGAACCTCTTGAAAAGGAGGCTCTTTTGGATGAACCAGACCATATCATTGAAGTGACTGTTGAAATGAACAACTTGGGTAATGGTGTCAACTATGCCTTTTTCAACAATATCACCTACACCAAGCCAAAGACCCCAACCTTGTTGACTGCCTTGGCCTCGGACCCAGAAATCGTTGCCAATGAATTGATCTATGGTACCAACACCCATTCCATTGTGGTTCAACACATGGATACCGTTGACATTGTTCTTAACAACTTGGACACTGGTAAGCATCCTTTCCATTTGCATGGTCATGTTTTCCAACTTATCCACAGAGGTGACTCTGTCCCAGACGATGAATCTCCAGTGGCCTTTGACTACGATGACCACCCAGACTTCCCTGCCTACCCAGTTCGTCGTGATACCGTCTACGTTAAAGAACAATCCAACATTGTCCTTCGTTTCAGAGCCGACAACCCAGGTGTTTGGTTCTTCCATTGTCACATTGAATGGCATTTGGACCAAGGTTTGGCTCTTACCTTGATCGAAGCTCCAGAGCAACTTAACGCTGACCCAAGACAAAAGCTTACAGAAAACCATAAGGATATCTGTACCAAGGCTGGTATGAGCTGGAACGGTAACGCCGCCGGTAACACCAAGAACTTTTTGGATCTTACCGGACAAAACGTGCAACATAAGCCTCTTCCAGCTGGTTTCACTGCCCGTGGTATTGTTGCCTTGGTCTTTTCTTGTATTGCCGCCTTCCTTGGTTTGGCTTCTATCGCCTACTACGGTATGTCTGACATTGCCGATGTCGAAGCCCGTGTGGCCAGAGACTTGGATGTTGACTTGCTTGATGTTGACAACGAACAAGTTGACTCAGAAATCATCGAAGAGTCTTCCAACGAAAGACGCAAGAACTCTCTTTAAGAGTGTTCACAAACAAAAACACATTCCCCCCCCCCCCCCTCAAAGGCCTCGCAATGAAGTCTTTTGGTGTGGACCGGTCTTGGACGTAGATATGAAAAAAATTGTGTGTATAGAGAAGCCCTACGAATTGACCGATCCATAACGAAAGATGTTTGCAAATATTGCTCCCCAAAACATGCCTAATTTATAATTTATCACCCCCCTCCCCTCCCTACCCGGCTCCCCTTAATATAATATAATAGTACCCGAAAGAAAGATATGTAATAATATTGTAGCAATCAAAACTCTGCCCCCAGGAGACTTTTCATGGCCAGTTGGAACTCCTCGTCAGAGGAGCAAGGCCCCCACGGCTAGTGGCCCACGGAGTGCCAGCGGAGCGGCTTGAATACCCCATATGGTAGCCCTCCTCTCCTCTCCGTACACCTGAAAACCCATCTATTGGCTCCCTACAGTCTCTACCTCTCTGAAAAGTCCTCTAGATTAATCATAGCTATGTTTTCGCAGCCATTTCCTGGCCGATGTAATGATCTACCCTCAATCAAGTCGGAAACTTGTTCCCTTATATTTGTTTTGTTTGTGTTTTTTTTTCTCCTCCTGCCACTATCCTCCTGTCAATCCTTCCATCCAACCTCCCCTAAAGCCACCCCACTTACTATCAATCTCTACTTTAATGATATGTCTCACCTTTAATACCTATGGTTTATCCTGCATGTATTGCTCTCAGATTTTGAGTGAACTACGAGAAAGAAACGCCAGACCGAAAGATTAAAAATCTCTCACAAAGTTGAGAACTTTGTAGCAGCTTCCCCATTTGATAAAAGCATTTAAATTCTACACAATGATTGAGGCTCTCTATATAGCCGATACTACCAACACACTTGTGTTCGAGTACCTTATATCGAGATCTGCGCCTTCATTCAAGTCTCTCTGGGGAGTAATCGAAACAAATATCCCCACCACTGGATCAGAGCTCGAATTCGATAGTGTGGTTCCCTTCATCAAAATCAATCAGGATTACTTTGTGTGCTACCAAAACACATCCCTGCTCACCGTGTATGTGTTGTGTTCCACCGAGCAGAACCCAAACCCGTTGGGCCCCATAGTGTTCGTCACACGGTTATTGGCGGCAATGGAAGATTACTTTGGAAGTCCATTGGCAGTATCCAAGATCGATGCCAATAATGACACGTTGTATCTTCTTATCAATGAAATGGTGGATGATGGGATCCCCGTAGTAACCGACGCAAACCAATTGCGTGACCTCATCCCGTTCAAGAGCTTGTTGTCGAGGATATTGACCACCACCAATGAATTGGCCCTGGCCAAGAGTTTGGGTGCCTTGGCTGGTTCCATGCTGCTGACCAAGTCTGGACCTTCATTCGGTGGCGCAGGATCTGGAACACTCCATGGCAATGGAAGTCTCCATTCTGGCTCTAATTCGGGTTCTAGCTTTGGTACCGGTTCTGGTTTATCGTTTGCCTCAGCGACTCCTTGGAGAAAATCAAATGTAAAATATACAAACAATGAGATGTTTGTAGACATCATAGAAACTATCAACGTCATCTTGAGACCAACTAGGAACTCCTCGAAGGCGTCCAAATTGGCATCGTCGTCGTCGGCCTTCTACTCGACCTCTGGACTTCAAGGTGGTGGCACTTCCAAACTTGTTGCGGTCACAGGGACCATTGATGGACAGATTGAATTCACATCACATCTCACTGGAATTCCTGACCTACAATTGTCTCTTCAAACTCCCTATGGGGTTGAGATTTCTGGTACTTCGTTCCATCAATGTATCAGATCTCCCCTTGAACGTTGGAGTAGTAAAAATGGTGGCGTACTCTCATTCATCCCTGCTGACGGTAAGTCCACCCTTATGACCTACCAAGTGGATCTCTCTGCATCGAATAACACCAGCCAGATCGGTCTTGTTGATGTAGAATTCACCACGGGGCTTGGAGCACATCAAAACGAATTCGAAGTGAAACTCTTCATCAAACAAAACAAGGGCACCACCAAGATTGAAGACTTTACCGTACAAGTCGTGTGTCCTGCCCTCACAGAGGAACCATCATCGACGATACGATCGGGTAGAGTCACCCATGGGGACTTTTCTTACCGTGGACATGGGGTTGGAGAATGGAATCTTCGTGGTCTTTCCACGGGTGTTCAACCAATTCTTCGTGGTTCGATCACAGGCGGTGCATTGGATAGTGATGACGATTTGATCCTTTCCAAGGAGTCTGACGTCGACCGTGGCAGTGCTGCATCGACGCCAACCAACTCCTCTCAAGCCCCGGGGTCGACTGCTCTTCAACCGGAATACTTGAGATTGTCCTACAACACCAAAGGCCATGTCCCGAGCGGCCTCAAGGTTGAGTCTCTCAAGCTCATATCGGCCAGAGGCATGGGGGAAGCCGTGAAACCGTACAAGGGAGTGAAGTATATAACCAGGACTGGCGAGTACATAGTTAGAAGGTAAGGACAGGATCCTGTTAATATAAAATTTTGCACACTATCTGTATGACTATGTTTGAAATAGAATGAAGTTAAGCCATTCCACGGGATAACAGGGAAGAGAGTACCGCTACCCTACGGGGTATTCAAGCCGCTCCGCTGGCACTCCGTGGGCCACTAGCCGTGGGGGCCTAGCTCCTCTAACGAGGAGTTTCAGCTGGTCATGAGAAGTCTCCTCGTAGAGGAGCTAGGCACCACGCAGTGGCTCTCCCCGAGCAGGGGCCAGCGGAGCGTCTTGCACACGGCCGTAGAATAATAAGTACCCAATTGCATACGGGGTTGTTAGACGCTCTACTACTAATAATGGGTCCTGATCTACTCTTCAATATATCAATATAAATATCCTTCATTTCTATTTAATCTTCATGACTACATAATGGAACCGCTTCTTCGGAATTCCTCACGTTATCTAAAGGTTAATATTCATTATACAGTACAGATAGTCCAGCCCTGGCAGTCAAGGGTCGACGTGGGGCAAGGTGCCTGGGGGGTGTGTGTTTACTCACTCTTCTTTGCTTGCTTCTTCAATTGCTCCTTCTTGGCACTCTTGATCAAAACGTTACCGACAAAGGATCCAACTCCCAAGGCAGCAAGTAAGAGCAACAAAAATGGCAACTTGATGGCGTAGTCACGGCTCAAGAAGAAGTTTTGGAGGAAGTTGGACTCATCCACAAAGGGCAAAACAAAGACCCACGTGGTGTAGTAGGTGAATACAGCAGTAGCTACGGCCAACATGGAAAGACCAACCAACTTATCAAAGGACTGGAAAAAGAATGTTAGTATGAGATTTGGAAGTAAGTCAGAGGACTAGAAGTGTAGTAATACACTCAGATCGCACAATCAAGTAATCTATAGCCACTTACCATTGTAATTTGGCGCAAGTTAATGTGTTGAAAGACCCTTTCAGTTGTGCTTGACGTGTTTGTTTTATAAATTTAAACACCTACGTGTGGGAAAATGCGCGGTCACGTGATGGTAGAAAATATGATAAACTAAAGAAAAAGTATGCCAGCCGCTCTGTTGGAACTCCTCGTTACAGAGAGCTGGTCATGGTATGTCTCCTCGTAGAGGACCCAAGCACTATTCAGTGGCTCTCCCCGAAGAGAGGTCAGCGGAGCGTCTCACCGACCCCGAAGTGTGTTGCTGCTCCATTCACTGCGGGGCTGTAAGCCGCTCCGCTGGCACTCCGTGGGCTACTAGCCGTGGAGGCCTTGCTCCTCTAACGAGGAGTTACTCTAAGTCCTCCTCCCCTACTTTGCCCAGGGTCTTAGCTTCTCGTGAAATGATATATGTGAGTGTGTGCCAAGAGTTACTATACCCTACCCCCAATACCATCATGGTCTCTCTCTCAGTCTCTCTATCTATCTATCTCTCTTTATATATATCTATATATAATTATGAACTAGAATAATCCCTTCTTCCCCTTCCCCATCCATTCTCCACCATTATTCATCTTCATTCACTTTCCAATAATCTTCCTCGTGTCTCCCGATCACATGATTCCCGTTATCGTATATCACGTCACGTGATGCGCCCCCATTTTTTATAAACGTTCCAAAAAATGGCCCTAGAGATCAATCCAACAGTATTAAATCCTCATTCTATACCTTTAATATGTTTGATAAAATCAAATCAAGGAAGGCTCCGCTTTCTTTGAGTTCTGTTTCAAATGCAATTAAAACTCTGGGGACTTCGGATCTTTCTCCAAAGGATTTCCAGCCAAAACTGCTCGACCTTTTCACGTCGTTCCAATTGGGGTTGCCCACTCATTCTATAGTGGCTATTGCTCATGATCCAGTTCAATCCTTACTCGCAGTGTCAACCACCAAGAACGAAATCCGTGTATACGGTCAGGGCTCGGTCGAAGTGGTCTTTGAGTTTAAACAATCTGCGTCTTTGATGACCCATCTTTGCTTTGTCAAGGGAATTTATTTGGTGGCTGTGCTGCTGTCAATTGGTGCAATCACCGTCATTTCTCTTCATCTGAAACAAATCTTGGGAACATTCCTGGCCCCCGGTGGAGCCATCACTTCACTCACCCTGGACCCAAGTTTGGATTGGCTTGTGTTGGGCTTGTCTAATGGTTCGCTTTTGTTTTATGATGTTGATCGTTTAGCATTAACTCCGTTTAGAATTGATAATCTACAGAAAAGAATTTTACCTAAACAGAAATTATCCCCTGTTTTAAACGTGGAATGGCACCCTAGAGATATTGGGACGTTATTGATCTCTTATTCTCATCTGGCCATTGTCTACTCGATGGTCACTGGAGAGATCCAAAGTGCCATGGTTCGTCAATTGAATAAGGGAGACCCGGGATATGAAAGGGCTCAATGGGTGGCGAATGGTGGGAAAAAGAAACTCTTTGGATCCTCCAATCAAATCGTTCTGGAAATGACAACTGCTCATTTCCATCCCAATGGGTTACATGTGGTCACTGCTCATTTGGATGGAGTTTTAAAATTTTGGGATGTTCAAGGTGCTGTACCCTTGTATGAGAAGAATGTTCAAATCATTAATAACGAATCCTTTGACCCCATCCAATTTGATATATGTCCTATCCATTCTATAAAATGGATCTGTTCACAAGATCCAGAGTTAACTCAATTGGTCTATACCATTGGAGCCTCTACCCTCGAGATAATAAACTTTGGTTTAACCCTCAAGTACTCACTCACATCTCATGAAAAGCAATCTCAATTTTATTCCAATCCTCAGAATGGTCGTCAAACCATTGAAGTTCCCATGAATGCTTCCAATGAGCCAGAATACATAGTCAGGATCGTCCCATTGGCTGCGGATAACCTGCCATATTTCAACGGTGGATGGAACCCATCTAATTTGATTTGTCTTACCAATTTGGGATCTATTGTGGTGGTGAATCCTCATAATCCTTCTGCCAACTTGCCAACTTTACCCCCTTCCATGGGACTTATCCACCCACCAGTAACCGCCTCTGTCGTGCAACCAGCAAGGAAAATCGATTGGTACAGTGTTTGTCTGTCAAGATCAAATTATGCTTCCAATATAGATCGGTCAGTGTTACTTCGTGGTGGTGCACCGGTAGATAACCCCAAGGCCCCAAAACCATTGGGTTATGACGATACCCTTCGGAACATCTTGATCACTGGGCATGAAAGTGGTATTGTTCGGTTGTTGGACGTCACTAGAGGTGAACATCAAGACCCGGAAAATATGTTGGAGGTCAATGTGAAGAATGTTCTTGGTAAAGCAGTTTCCCGGAAACTGGCCAAAATAACTCACGTCTCTTGTGCCTTTGAAAGTAAAGAATTACTAGTAGGTATGGCCAATGGACAGGTTGTCATTTGTAAATATGGTAAGGCTCGTGGTGGTGGCGGTGGTGGCTACGGTAGTAGCAGTTCTGGGAATCCTTCAGACTTTTCAGACTGTCAAACTTTGCACCAAAACGGAGATGCTTCACTTTTATCGATACAACACCGGGTTGCACCTTCTTCCTCATCTTCATTCATCCCAACTGCACTTTTAAAACTTGAAAATTCAAATGATTCAATTTCATGTCTCAAAGTCAATGACACTGGATTTGCAGCAATTGCCTATACATCCGGAAGAATCGTAGTCTGTGACATCACTAGAGGCCCAGCAGTCATTTTCAATGCCGAATCTCTCTCCAAATTCCTTCCCTCGGTGTCTGGTGTATGCTACGCCACCACCCTTGAGTTTTCCATTGTTGAGTATGGTCAGGATGGATACTCTTCCATTGTATTGATGGTTGGAACATGTTCTGGTGGTAATCTTCTTATGTTCAGAATCGTTCCACAACCGAATGGAGCCTTTGAGTGTGTGTTTGGCGATAAAACCATCGGTCTTAACTACAGAAGTAGCAATGGTGATCAGGACCCTACCAAATCAAAATTGGATCAAATTATTCCTGTCACTGCTAAGGACGGGGTTTCTGCCGTGGCAGACCTTGGTATGTTCCATAAATTGGCTCTGGGGGTGGTCATTCCAGCGTATGTTATCACCACTTCAGAACGTGACATTCGTGTGCTCAAGGTTCCTAAGACTAAATTATCACACAAGGTGATAGATGATTTGGTATTGAGAACTGGAGTGGTTCGGTTCCGTCAAGGTGGAGTATTTCTTGCAGTGTTGGTGAAAACTGGATTTATAAAATTCCTTACATTACCAGCGTTAAATGAAATATCAGACTTTAAACTCCCTAAAGACATATACGTCTCCATTAGATCGGCACTTGAGTCTGGTGTAGCATCTGATTCCGCCGTTTTACCCAGTGGAGAACTCTTTATTCGTACCAGTAGCAGTGAATTCCAAGTGCTTACAGCCTACATAGAAGATCATAGATTGAGAAGAAAACATGAACCATTATCTGATCTTTTATTCAATGATACCGCTGTGATTCCATTACGTCCATCTGCTGGGCTGTTACAATGGGTCAAGGGCCAAACCAAATACGTCAGTGTGCAAGATCTCACGTATTTAATCGCTGGTCCTAACCGGAAACCTGCAAAGCATCCAGAAAGTCAAATGGCTTACAATATTTCGCCCGAGGCCAACCCTAACCAAGGATATGGTAATCTTTACGGGGGTGCAGGTGCTGGTGGATCTGGAGAAAATGATCGTGGGTACAAGGAACCAACCAAGAAATCGTCGGCAGTAGCGGGTGCTGGTGGTTACAATTTTGGCACCAAGGGCTTTATGAAATCTTTACAAGGAGGTATTGAACAAGTTGAAGAGTCTTTAAACGGTTACGCCAACACAGTCAGTGAAACCATGACGGAAAGTGTAGAGGGGACTAAAAAGAGCATGTATGGAGCAGCATTTAAAAGTAAATTTGGATTTTAATGAATATTAGAGAATCAACAGAATAGAAATGTAGAACGACATGACCTGGCGGTGGGACAATAAAAGAAGAAATTCATGACGGGAAAGAAAACAAACAAATGTCAAACAGAATGTCAAAGCAATCATCTTTCTTTCGCAGCCATTCAATCCGTAAACCCTAGGTTTGTCCGGGGCTATTTTTTCCTCAATCGGGGAACGGCTAGCAACTCTAAAAATCGTTATCTTTCCAAGTTGCATCTACATTCTCGGAACAATAGGTCGTAAGGTTTAGCTTCTCCCAACATTTGTAATCATTCCTGCAGCGGTTCATCTAGAAGTACCGGCCCTGTGATGAGCCTCATTGCCATCAGCTTATAATTTTCGCGGAACCGCCAGGGTTCGCAACGCGCCTTTGTCGGTGCAGATTCTTAGTGGTGGAAAGGTTTCCAGAATGCCTTATGGTTCATGTACCACAAGTACGAAACACCGCAATGGTGTTTTTTTATTTTCCCTGTTAAAAATTTCTTTTTTTGGAATTTGCACTCTTGCATAGTGACTGATCATATGTTAAGATGAGTGAAACATCGGAATTTCAATCTGGAAAGTCCAGGTCTTAGCGAGATGGAGAAGTGTAGTTCTCTGGAAGTGGTCTGATAGTAAGCAATCAGCCCTCCTTAGCTATTTTTTCTCCATTCAAACTCCCCTGGGTTTGTTTCTTGAGGAATTTTACACCAAAAAAATAAAAAAATTGTTTGTTCCTGCAAAAGTTTGATGTGCGGCGTCCCGCTTGCACATACCCGCCGACGGGTCCCAAGACCAAGAATGCCCTAACATGAAAAAAAAATTGCATTTTGTTCACAATACGTTATCCAAATCAGAGACTTCTGTTTGGTCGAATCCATTGACGCTGATAAGTAACGACGGTGTGTCATCGTGAAATATTGTAATATAACCCTGTAGTCATCTCTGTACTTTGTTTTGTAGTATCTGTCAAATCTCAGTATTGCTGGAGAAAACAAACGCCTAACTTCTCCCCTTGTTATACCCCTCTCAGTTAACAAAGTACCGTACCATCCATTTTCGGACATTAGCTAGTGCATATCTACCGTCTTGGAAATATACAAAAACATCTTCCTCCTGAAGTAACTTTTTTTTCCTTTCAAGTCTGTTTTTCTTTAGCACCAACTCCAGGTACAAAAGAACTTGACTGCAAATAGCAAATATTATAGGTTATACCTACTTCTATTTGTATAAAACCACATATTTGGCATGCCTGACTTCGCCAAACTCGAAAAAGCTGACTCTACCGTCGCCTCTAGGCCCGGGTCAGGGTCCGGGTCAGAGTCCTTCTCAAGTGCCACTCCATACAACAACTCTACCAAAATGGGTTGGGGTGCTTCATTCGTAGACTCTTTCAAGAGACAAGATGCCGCACACCTTGAAGTCGGTAAGCAACTCTCCAAGACGATCTCCAAGCGTCATCTTACCACCATGGCCTTGGTGACCGGTGTTGGTACCGGGTTGCTTGTTGGTTCTGGTAAATCTCTTCACAATGCCGGTCCATTATTCTTGATCGTTGGTTACGCCATTGTTGGTTCCTTCTTGTACCCAACCTTGCAAGCTGCTGGTGAATTGGCTGTTAACTACAGTGATCTTTCCGGTGGGTACAATAACTACCCAAGAAAGTTTCTTGATGAATCCATTGCCTTTGCTGTCACTTGGAACTATTGTATCCAATGGTTGTCTGTTATTGCCGTCGAGCTTGTCACTGCTTCTTTAACCATTAAGTTTTGGAATGATACTATTAACCCAGACGTATGGGTTGCCATTTTGTTTGTTGTTGTCCTTGCCATTAACTTTTTCGGTGCCAGAGGTTGGGGTGAAGGTGAATTCCTCTTTGGTACTTGTAAGTTGCTCATGATCACTGGGTTCATTATCATGGGTATAGTTGTTAACGTTGGTGGTGGTCCAGAAAAGAAGTTTATCGGTGGACAATACTGGCACAACCCTGGTTATTACACCAACTTCAAGGGATTGTGTAGTGTTTTCGTTACTGGTGCCTTTTCTCTTGGTCAATCCGAATTCGTAGCACTTTCCGCTGCTGAACAAGCCAACCCAAGAGCTGCCATTCCTTCTGCTTGTAAGTTGATTTTCTGGAGAATTCTCATTTTATTCTTGGGTTCTTTGACCATTGTTGGTTTGCTTGTTCCTTACAACTCTGACAAGTTGATGGGTAGTGGTGGTAGTTCTGCCTCCCATGCCTCTCCATTTGTGTTGGCCGCTGAGCTTCACGGGGTTAAGGCTGTTCCTTCCATCATCAACGCTGTCATTTTATTGTCTGTCACCTCTGTTGCCCTGTCTTCTCTTTACTCTGCCTCCAGAACTCTTCAATCTTTGGCTGAACAAGGATTTGCTCCTCAATATTTCAACTACATTGACAAGACCGGTAGACCATTAAGATCCTTAATTTTCTGTTCTGTTTGTGGGTTATTCTCCTTTATTGCTGCCTACAAGAAGGAAGAAACCGTTTTCAACTGGCTTTTGGCCATCTCTGGTTTATCTCAAATCTTTACTTGGGACATCATTGTTGTTTCCCACGTTAGATTTAGACAAGCCTTGAAGCACAACAACATTTCCATTGACTCCTTGGGTTATGTTGCCTCTACTGGTGTTTGGGGTTCCATCTATGCCATTGTTTGGCATTGGTTGATCTTGATTGCCCAATTTTACATTGGGTTGTTCCCAATTGGATCTGGTACTGCAAGTGCTGAATCTTTCTTTTCTGCTTATTTGGCTGCTGTCGTCTTGATTGTGTTCTACATTGGACACAAATTGTACACTAGAAACTGGTCACTTTTCATCAAGCTTGATGACATTGACATTAATACTGACAGAACCATTTTCGATCCAGAAGTATTAGCATTGGAAAGAGCTGAATCTGCTGCTGCTCGTGCCAAACACCCTTGGTGGAAGAAGGTTATTGATCTTTTGTTCAACTAAGTTAGCATAGATACCACAATTACGTAATGATGAATATTAATAGAAAATGAAAATATTAAATAAAAGTAGAGACTATACTTGTAGAGGAGATAGGTGTTTACCTCTCTTGGGTGAGCAGAGGGTCTTTCTGTCCCGCATGGAAGATATTATGAAACTACTCTCTAGCTTTATCTATGCAGACGTACCTCCTTTCCAAAAAAAAAATCTTGGATGAAGGTCTAGCATTATATTAGTAATTCCCCATTCCTTAGAGACAACTTGTCATTTTCTCACTCTTTTGCAGCCATTTACCTCAAAATTATATATTTCCATAACCATTCTTTCTCTTTACCTCCCCACCCCTAAATGGCATCAAGAACCATTACGTCCATCTGCTGGGCTGTTACAATGGGTCAAGGGCCAAACCAAATACGTCAGTGTGCAAGATCTCACGTATTTAATCGCTGGTCCTAACCGGAAACCTGCAAAGCATCCAGAAAGTCAAATGGCTTACAATATTTCGCCCGAGGCCAACCCTAACCAAGGATATGGTAATCTTTACGGGGGTGCAGGTGCTGGTGGATCTGGAGAAAATGATCGTGGGTACAAGGAACCAACCAAGAAATCGTCGGCAGTAGCGGGTGCTGGTGGTTACAATTTTGGCACCAAGGGCTTTATGAAATCTTTACAAGGAGGTATTGAACAAGTTGAAGAGTCTTTAAACGGTTACGCCAACACAGTCAGTGAAACCATGACGGAAAGTGTAGAGGGGACTAAAAAGAGCATGTATGGAGCAGCATTTAAAAGTAAATTTGGATTTTAATGAATATTAGAGAATCAACAGAATAGAAATGTAGAACGACATGACCTGGCGGTGGGACAATAAAAGAAGAAATTCATGACGGGAAAGAAAACAAACAAATGTCAAACAGAATGTCAAAGCAATCATCTTTCTTTCGCAGCCATTCAATCCGTAAACCCTAGGTTTGTCCGGGGCTATTTTTTCCTCAATCGGGGAACGGCTAGCAACTCTAAAAATCGTTATCTTTCCAAGTTGCATCTACATTCTCGGAACAATAGGTCGTAAGGTTTAGCTTCTCCCAACATTTGTAATCATTCCTGCAGCGGTTCATCTAGAAGTACCGGCCCTGTGATGAGCCTCATTGCCATCAGCTTATAATTTTCGCGGAACCGCCAGGGTTCGCAACGCGCCTTTGTCGGTGCAGATTCTTAGTGGTGGAAAGGTTTCCAGAATGCCTTATGGTTCATGTACCACAAGTACGAAACACCGCAATGGTGTTTTTTTATTTTCCCTGTTAAAAATTTCTTTTTTTGGAATTTGCACTCTTGCATAGTGACTGATCATATGTTAAGATGAGTGAAACATCGGAATTTCAATCTGGAAAGTCCAGGTCTTAGCGAGATGGAGAAGTGTAGTTCTCTGGAAGTGGTCTGATAGTAAGCAATCAGCCCTCCTTAGCTATTTTTTCTCCATTCAAACTCCCCTGGGTTTGTTTCTTGAGGAATTTTACACCAAAAAAATAAAAAAATTGTTTGTTCCTGCAAAAGTTTGATGTGCGGCGTCCCGCTTGCACATACCCGCCGACGGGTCCCAAGACCAAGAATGCCCTAACATGAAAAAAAAAATTGCATTTTGTTCACAATACGTTATCCAAATCAGAGACTTCTGTTTGGTCGAATCCATTGACGCTGATAAGTAACGACGGTGTGTCATCGTGAAATATTGTAATATAACCCTGTAGTCATCTCTGTACTTTGTTTTGTAGTATCTGTCAAATCTCAGTATTGCTGGAGAAAACAAACGCCTAACTTCTCCCCTTGTTATACCCCTCTCAGTTAACAAAGTACCGTACCATCCATTTTCGGACATTAGCTAGTGCATATCTACCGTCTTGGAAATATACAAAAACATCTTCCTCCTGAAGTAACTTTTTTTTCCTTTCAAGTCTGTTTTTCTTTAGCACCAACTCCAGGTACAAAAGAACTTGACTGCAAATAGCAAATATTATAGGTTATACCTACTTCTATTTGTATAAAACCACATATTTGGCATGCCTGACTTCGCCAAACTCGAAAAAGCTGACTCTACCGTCGCCTCTAGGCCCGGGTCAGGGTCCGGGTCAGAGTCCTTCTCAAGTGCCACTCCATACAACAACTCTACCAAAATGGGTTGGGGTGCTTCATTCGTAGACTCTTTCAAGAGACAAGATGCCGCACACCTTGAAGTCGGTAAGCAACTCTCCAAGACGATCTCCAAGCGTCATCTTACCACCATGGCCTTGGTGACCGGTGTTGGTACCGGGTTGCTTGTTGGTTCTGGTAAATCTCTTCACAATGCCGGTCCATTATTCTTGATCGTTGGTTACGCCATTGTTGGTTCCTTCTTGTACCCAACCTTGCAAGCTGCTGGTGAATTGGCTGTTAACTACAGTGATCTTTCCGGTGGGTACAATAACTACCCAAGAAAGTTTCTTGATGAATCCATTGCCTTTGCTGTCACTTGGAACTATTGTATCCAATGGTTGTCTGTTATTGCCGTCGAGCTTGTCACTGCTTCTTTAACCATTAAGTTTTGGAATGATACTATTAACCCAGACGTATGGGTTGCCATTTTGTTTGTTGTTGTCCTTGCCATTAACTTTTTCGGTGCCAGAGGTTGGGGTGAAGGTGAATTCCTCTTTGGTACTTGTAAGTTGCTCATGATCACTGGGTTCATTATCATGGGTATAGTTGTTAACGTTGGTGGTGGTCCAGAAAAGAAGTTTATCGGTGGACAATACTGGCACAACCCTGGTTATTACACCAACTTCAAGGGATTGTGTAGTGTTTTCGTTACTGGTGCCTTTTCTCTTGGTCAATCCGAATTCGTAGCACTTTCCGCTGCTGAACAAGCCAACCCAAGAGCTGCCATTCCTTCTGCTTGTAAGTTGATTTTCTGGAGAATTCTCATTTTATTCTTGGGTTCTTTGACCATTGTTGGTTTGCTTGTTCCTTACAACTCTGACAAGTTGATGGGTAGTGGTGGTAGTTCTGCCTCCCATGCCTCTCCATTTGTGTTGGCCGCTGAGCTTCACGGGGTTAAGGCTGTTCCTTCCATCATCAACGCTGTCATTTTATTGTCTGTCACCTCTGTTGCCCTGTCTTCTCTTTACTCTGCCTCCAGAACTCTTCAATCTTTGGCTGAACAAGGATTTGCTCCTCAATATTTCAACTACATTGACAAGACCGGTAGACCATTAAGATCCTTAATTTTCTGTTCTGTTTGTGGGTTATTCTCCTTTATTGCTGCCTACAAGAAGGAAGAAACCGTTTTCAACTGGCTTTTGGCCATCTCTGGTTTATCTCAAATCTTTACTTGGGACATCATTGTTGTTTCCCACGTTAGATTTAGACAAGCCTTGAAGCACAACAACATTTCCATTGACTCCTTGGGTTATGTTGCCTCTACTGGTGTTTGGGGTTCCATCTATGCCATTGTTTGGCATTGGTTGATCTTGATTGCCCAATTTTACATTGGGTTGTTCCCAATTGGATCTGGTACTGCAAGTGCTGAATCTTTCTTTTCTGCTTATTTGGCTGCTGTCGTCTTGATTGTGTTCTACATTGGACACAAATTGTACACTAGAAACTGGTCACTTTTCATCAAGCTTGATGACATTGACATTAATACTGACAGAACCATTTTCGATCCAGAAGTATTAGCATTGGAAAGAGCTGAATCTGCTGCTGCTCGTGCCAAACACCCTTGGTGGAAGAAGGTTATTGATCTTTTGTTCAACTAAGTTAGCATAGATACCACAATTACGTAATGATGAATATTAATAGAAAATGAAAATATTAAATAAAAGTAGAGACTATACTTGTAGAGGAGATAGGTGTTTACCTCTCTTGGGTGAGCAGAGGGTCTTTCTGTCCCGCATGGAAGATATTATGAAACTACTCTCTAGCTTTATCTATGCAGACGTACCTCCTTTCCAAAAAAAAAATCTTGGATGAAGGTCTAGCATTATATTAGTAATTCCCCATTCCTTAGAGACAACTTGTCATTTTCTCACTCTTTTGCAGCCATTTACCTCAAAATTATATATTTCCATAACCATTCTTTCTCTTTACCTCCCCACCCCTAAATGGCATCAAGAACCATTACGTCCATCTGCTGGGCTGTTACAATGGGTCAAGGGCCAAACCAAATACGTCAGTGTGCAAGATCTCACGTATTTAATCGCTGGTCCTAACCGGAAACCTGCAAAGCATCCAGAAAGTCAAATGGCTTACAATATTTCGCCCGAGGCCAACCCTAACCAAGGATATGGTAATCTTTACGGGGGTGCAGGTGCTGGTGGATCTGGAGAAAATGATCGTGGGTACAAGGAACCAACCAAGAAATCGTCGGCAGTAGCGGGTGCTGGTGGTTACAATTTTGGCACCAAGGGCTTTATGAAATCTTTACAAGGAGGTATTGAACAAGTTGAAGAGTCTTTAAACGGTTACGCCAACACAGTCAGTGAAACCATGACGGAAAGTGTAGAGGGGACTAAAAAGAGCATGTATGGAGCAGCATTTAAAAGTAAATTTGGATTTTAATGAATATTAGAGAATCAACAGAATAGAAATGTAGAACGACATGACCTGGCGGTGGGACAATAAAAGAAGAAATTCATGACGGGAAAGAAAACAAACAAATGTCAAACAGAATGTCAAAGCAATCATCTTTCTTTCGCAGCCATTCAATCCGTAAACCCTAGGTTTGTCCGGGGCTATTTTTTCCTCAATCGGGGAACGGCTAGCAACTCTAAAAATCGTTATCTTTCCAAGTTGCATCTACATTCTCGGAACAATAGGTCGTAAGGTTTAGCTTCTCCCAACATTTGTAATCATTCCTGCAGCGGTTCATCTAGAAGTACCGGCCCTGTGATGAGCCTCATTGCCATCAGCTTATAATTTTCGCGGAACCGCCAGGGTTCGCAACGCGCCTTTGTCGGTGCAGATTCTTAGTGGTGGAAAGGTTTCCAGAATGCCTTATGGTTCATGTACCACAAGTACGAAACACCGCAATGGTGTTTTTTTATTTTCCCTGTTAAAAATTTCTTTTTTTGGAATTTGCACTCTTGCATAGTGACTGATCATATGTTAAGATGAGTGAAACATCGGAATTTCAATCTGGAAAGTCCAGGTCTTAGCGAGATGGAGAAGTGTAGTTCTCTGGAAGTGGTCTGATAGTAAGCAATCAGCCCTCCTTAGCTATTTTTTCTCCATTCAAACTCCCCTGGGTTTGTTTCTTGAGGAATTTTACACCAAAAAAATAAAAAAATTGTTTGTTCCTGCAAAAGTTTGATGTGCGGCGTCCCGCTTGCACATACCCGCCGACGGGTCCCAAGACCAAGAATGCCCTAACATGAAAAAAAAAATTGCATTTTGTTCACAATACGTTATCCAAATCAGAGACTTCTGTTTGGTCGAATCCATTGACGCTGATAAGTAACGACGGTGTGTCATCGTGAAATATTGTAATATAACCCTGTAGTCATCTCTGTACTTTGTTTTGTAGTATCTGTCAAATCTCAGTATTGCTGGAGAAAACAAACGCCTAACTTCTCCCCTTGTTATACCCCTCTCAGTTAACAAAGTACCGTACCATCCATTTTCGGACATTAGCTAGTGCATATCTACCGTCTTGGAAATATACAAAAACATCTTCCTCCTGAAGTAACTTTTTTTTCCTTTCAAGTCTGTTTTTCTTTAGCACCAACTCCAGGTACAAAAGAACTTGACTGCAAATAGCAAATATTATAGGTTATACCTACTTCTATTTGTATAAAACCACATATTTGGCATGCCTGACTTCGCCAAACTCGAAAAAGCTGACTCTACCGTCGCCTCTAGGCCCGGGTCAGGGTCCGGGTCAGAGTCCTTCTCAAGTGCCACTCCATACAACAACTCTACCAAAATGGGTTGGGGTGCTTCATTCGTAGACTCTTTCAAGAGACAAGATGCCGCACACCTTGAAGTCGGTAAGCAACTCTCCAAGACGATCTCCAAGCGTCATCTTACCACCATGGCCTTGGTGACCGGTGTTGGTACCGGGTTGCTTGTTGGTTCTGGTAAATCTCTTCACAATGCCGGTCCATTATTCTTGATCGTTGGTTACGCCATTGTTGGTTCCTTCTTGTACCCAACCTTGCAAGCTGCTGGTGAATTGGCTGTTAACTACAGTGATCTTTCCGGTGGGTACAATAACTACCCAAGAAAGTTTCTTGATGAATCCATTGCCTTTGCTGTCACTTGGAACTATTGTATCCAATGGTTGTCTGTTATTGCCGTCGAGCTTGTCACTGCTTCTTTAACCATTAAGTTTTGGAATGATACTATTAACCCAGACGTATGGGTTGCCATTTTGTTTGTTGTTGTCCTTGCCATTAACTTTTTCGGTGCCAGAGGTTGGGGTGAAGGTGAATTCCTCTTTGGTACTTGTAAGTTGCTCATGATCACTGGGTTCATTATCATGGGTATAGTTGTTAACGTTGGTGGTGGTCCAGAAAAGAAGTTTATCGGTGGACAATACTGGCACAACCCTGGTTATTACACCAACTTCAAGGGATTGTGTAGTGTTTTCGTTACTGGTGCCTTTTCTCTTGGTCAATCCGAATTCGTAGCACTTTCCGCTGCTGAACAAGCCAACCCAAGAGCTGCCATTCCTTCTGCTTGTAAGTTGATTTTCTGGAGAATTCTCATTTTATTCTTGGGTTCTTTGACCATTGTTGGTTTGCTTGTTCCTTACAACTCTGACAAGTTGATGGGTAGTGGTGGTAGTTCTGCCTCCCATGCCTCTCCATTTGTGTTGGCCGCTGCGCTTCACGGGGTTAAGGCTGTTCCTTCCATCATCAACGCTGTCATTTTATTGTCTGTCACCTCTGTTGCCCTGTCTTCTCTTTACTCTGCCTCCAGAACTCTTCAATCTTTGGCTGAACAAGGATTTGCTCCTCAATATTTCAACTACATTGACAAGACCGGTAGACCATTAAGATCCTTAATTTTCTGTTCTGTTTGTGGGTTATTCTCCTTTATTGCTGCCTACAAGAAGGAAGAAACCGTTTTCAACTGGCTTTTGGCCATCTCTGGTTTATCTCAAATCTTTACTTGGGACATCATTGTTGTTTCCCACGTTAGATTTAGACAAGCCTTGAAGCACAACAACATTTCCATTGACTCCTTGGGTTATGTTGCCTCTACTGGTGTTTGGGGTTCCATCTATGCCATTGTTTGGCATTGGTTGATCTTGATTGCCCAATTTTACATTGGGTTGTTCCCAATTGGATCTGGTACTGCAAGTGCTGAATCTTTCTTTTCTGCTTATTTGGCTGCTGTCGTCTTGATTGTGTTCTACATTGGACACAAATTGTACACTAGAAACTGGTCACTTTTCATCAAGCTTGATGACATTGACATTAATACTGACAGAACCATTTTCGATCCAGAAGTATTAGCATTGGAAAGAGCTGAATCTGCTGCTGCTCGTGCCAAACACCCTTGGTGGAAGAAGGTTATTGATCTTTTGTTCAACTAAGTTAGCATAGATACCACAATTACGTAATGATGAATATTAATAGAAAATGAAAATATTAAATAAAAGTAGAGACTATACTTGTAGAGGAGATAGGTGTTTACCTCTCTTGGGTGAGCAGAGGGTCTTTCTGTCCCGCATGGAAGATATTATGAAACTACTCTCTAGCTTTATCTATGCAGACGTACCTCCTTTCCAAAAAAAAAATCTTGGATGAAGGTCTAGCATTATATTAGTAATTCCCCATTCCTTAGAGACAACTTGTCATTTTCTCACTCTTTTGCAGCCATTTACCTCAAAATTATATATTTCCATAACCATTCTTTCTCTTTACCTCCCCACCCCTAAATGGCATCAAGAACCCCCTCCCCCCCCTCCTCTCCACTTAAGATATCTGTCCATCTCGCTCACCACTAATACCTCCTCTCTTACTCAAAACCCCTCATTTCTACCCTTAAATCTATACTACACACCTCCTTTCAAACTATTTTGTGTTTGTACTACTTATCAGAAATTCAACCCATTCTCAAAAAATTTCCCGTTTTTGAGAGAAATCACTCCACATCATTTTTGGACTTGGTGTTTAAAAGTTGACCTAAAAAGACATTCACCCTTCTAAGTATGCTCAGATCCGCGTCGCTTATAAGGACCTCCACCCGGTCTATTACCATGAGAAGTATCCAAACTTTCGGTAAGCCGGATCTTGATTACCGTGGAGTTTTTGAAAATGAAAAGTTATTCAAAGATACAATTTTAAAGAAGAAATTATCCCACAATGTTTTGAAACAAGTGGACTATATCAAGGATAATTACCCAGTGGTGGCCACTTTGGGCAAGGAGTTGGGAGAATTGAAGAGAAAACGTGAGGAAATGACGGTGGAAATGAGAGAAGTGGCATCTACAAACTCCCACCGAGCAGACGAAATCAAACAAAATCTTCGTAACATCAAAAATTCCATCACAAAATTGGATAAGGAAAGAAATAGAATAAAGGACAAGATGCGTCTAGCCGCGGAGGACATGCCCACACTTGTAGATGGAACGATCCCCAAGGGGATCCGAGACGAAGAGGTGGTAGCCTTGATCAATTGTGAATCAATCGAACAAGTGGAAACCAATTCAGATAAAAAGGCCTTATCCCACAAGGTTATTGGGGAAAAATTGGGACTTTTGGACTTGGAAACCGCCGCAAGAGTATGTGGTCATGCCTTTTATTACTTGTTGGGAGATGCTGCATTGTTGGAACAAGCGCTTGTTCAGTATGCATTGAACTTAGCCCGTGCCAAGGGTTACAAGATCGTTGCACCACCAACCATGGTGAGACAAGAAGTTATTGGAGCATGTGGGTTCCGTCCAAGAGACCAAGGTGAAGAAACCCAAGTCTACGATTTGGTTAAAGATCATTTGAGTCTTACAGGAACGGCAGAAATCCCACTTGCTGCCTTGGAAAGTAAAAAGATTTTCACCGAGAAGGAGGTGGAAAAATTCCCCGTCAAGTACGTAGGGGTGGCCAGATCATACCGTGCTGAGGCTGGGTCTCGTGGTGCAACCACCGCCGGGTTATATAGAGTGCATGAGTTCACCAAGGTTGAGCTTTTCCATTTCACCACCCCGGACAGGGCCAGACAAGAATTGGAAGAATTGAGAGAATTCCAAACTGATTTCATTACCCTGTTGGGATTAAAGGCCAAGGTTCTTAACATGCCATCTTCTGATTTAGGGGCACCAGCTGCGAAGAAATACGACATTGAAGCCTGGATGCCCGGCCGTAAAACCTGGGGGGAACTCACCTCGTCCTCGTGGTGCGGAGAGTATCAAGCGCGTAGAATGGGGATCAGATACAGAGCCTCCGAGGGAAAGGTCAACTATGTTCATACTTTGAATGGGACTGCAGTGGCCGTTCCTCGTGTCATTGTGGCTATTTTAGAAAACTTTTATGATGCTGAAACGGAATCGATCGAAATCCCAGAAGTTCTTCGTGTATATATGGGGGGAAGAGATCGTATTTACAAGAATGAGTAGAGAAGGTCTACAGAGTATTCGATGTGTTAATTAATTGTACATAGCAAACATAAGAATAGAGAATGGGACAAGAAATGTAGAGAGAGGGAGATGAGTGGTAGGAAAGGATGGTATATTTTTTGAAATGAGGAGAAGTAAGGGTTGTTAGGACCCTCTCCTGGAGTTATATCATTCCTCTCTTAAGATATAGTAGAAGGTTTTCTCTAAAGTCTCCCATCAAATATTTCTTCTGTCTAGGAGAACTTTTTCTCAATCTGGGCCACTCTCTCATTCGAGGGTTCTGCTTTCTCTTAATTACCAGCTATCTGTTAAAACTCATCAGAATTATTATCATCTTCCCCTATGTACGTCTTGTTGGGCGTACTTGCTATTCTCTTTGCCAGGAACTTTTTCTGAGGAATAGATTCCAGAATTTCTCCCATTTTGGAAGAATGGAGTTGATGTAACTTGTGGAATTTATTCACTCTTGCTGATGCTCTCGGCACTGTGTATTCATCTGGAGTCGTCTGGAGTTCACGAACAAGTTCAACAAGACGAGAATATTGTTCTTCAAGTCCTTGTAAGGAAGTATACTTTGCGGTATAACTGTGACATAACGCATCATATTTCGATTGTAACGACGAGTATTTCTGCTCAAGTGAAGTTGTGGCCTGGGCCAATTTTGTATAGGAGGAAAGTTCAGAAAGAGCTGAGGTGAGTCTTTGGATTTCTATTGATTGTTGTGAAACAAGTTCTGTGAGTTCTTTGTTGGTAGATGATTCTTTAATGGAGGTTAATTCTGAGAATAGAGTAGCATTGCTGTTAAGTAATTCTTTGGATAGAGTAGTATTACTTTCCAGTAATTCTTTGGAGAGAGTAGCATTACTTTCCAGTATTTCCTTAGAAAGTGTAGAGTTATTCTCTTTGATTTCATTGGAAAGGGTAGAATTACTCTCCTTGATCTCATTAGAAAGGGTAGAATTACTCTCTTTGATCTCATTAGAAAGAGTAGAAACACCGCCCTCAATCTTCTCAGAAATAGTAGAACTACCGCCTTCAATCTCCTTCGATAGACTAGTTCTACCCCCCTCAATCTTCTCAGAAATAACATTAATTATCTCCTTACAAGAACTCTCTCTCCCTTCCTTCATTCCTTCCAAAAGAATCCCATTATTCACTCCAATTTCTCCTAGAACAACCGATTTATTCTCCTTCAATTCATCAAAGAATTTGGAATTCTTTTCTCTCATTTCTTCAGAAAGACTTCTCACCAACTCTTCAACTTTCCCTCCTTCTTCTGCCCCAGAAGTCTTGTCCTTCACATTGACGCTCATCTCCTGCAAAGTAGCTAAAACCTCCTCTATATCCTCTCTTGTGGAAAACCCTCCCTCGGATAATCCCAGCAATAATTTATTCAAATGAACGTTGTTGTTCTTCAGTCGATCACACAATTGTTCCAAATCAACTCCGGTCTGCGCCGTCTGAATTTCTACCCGCTGGAGTTGTTGTTGCATCTCCTCATGTGCCGCATGTATATGTCCAAAGTGTGAGTCAATGTTGTCATTTTGAAGGAAACTGAGCTTCCCCACGTACGATGTTCCTGCCTTATTGGGAGACACTGGCTTCAATGGCCATGCCGATGTGTTTGAATTGGCGTTGGAACCTTCCTTTTTCGGCGACCCGTTCGCAGAGGGCGTTGACGAGTCTATATCAATATTCTCCTTATCCATTAGATCCTAGTAGCCGCTATACGGTGTACAATTTGACGTGTATTGTGTGTTGTTGATGTTTTCAATTTAGAAATCATAAACATAAATAGTGGCGTATGCAGGAGGGGATGATTTTCCCCACCAGTCCTGTTCTACCCTACAAGACTAATAATTTGACATTATATGTATATACAAGAAGGGTTGGAGAATCCATATCATACGGTATGATAACACGAGGACTCACCATGGTCTAAAATCTAAATTAATAAATATAAAATATAAGATAAGCTTCGTAGGGGAAGACACCATCTCGAAGATTGCGAGCCGCGGGGGCCATCTTCCTCTAGCGAGGGATTGCCCCTAAGAGTCTCCTTGTAAGAGGAGCTAGGCATCACGCAGTGGCTCTTCCCGAAAGGGGCCAGCGGAGCGGTTCAGTGGCCCGGGACGGTATGCTTATTTCAATAGGATGAAAATATGGGTCGCGTAGTTTGGAAGATAGTAGACTGGTATTACTTTTAAAGCATGAGAATTAACGTGTTTTCACATGGTAGGTCAACCTAGCTCTCCTATTTGTCATTCTTATCTAATCCTTTCTTCCTATGATCTCCATCGCACGCTCATCTCCCTTACGTAACCCTTCATCTCCAAGGGCATCAGCTAAACATTCCCATGGATCCTTGGTTCCTCCCCATTTAAGAATACTCTGTTTATACGTTTCTCCTGCCTTACGACTCCAAGGATCATCTTTGAAAAGCCCATTCCAGACCTTTTCAGCAATGGCTCTGTCTAAGAGGTATGAATAGTACACAGACCCGTACAGGAAGAGATGAGGGAATTTCCCATGCCATGTGGACCATTGATCGGCAAAGACTTGAAGTTGTTGTTCAAGAGAATGGTAGATGTGTGTCGAATCGATTTCTCTGCCAGAGGCTACATATGGAACCATGTCCTCAGAATGAAGTACTTGATCAAGCATGGCCATTTTCAGTTGAATATACGTTTCACAATCATCGAGTTGCACTCGTTGATGTTGATGGGCTGCCAAGAGTTCTGGGTCCAATGGTTCATTCGTTTCGTAATGACGAGCAATCTTGGTCAATACCCGTGGGTCCTTACTGAAAAATTCCATAAGAACCAGCGGGAGTTCAACAAAATCAGTCAGACATCTAGTACCAGCAAGATTATGAAGTTTAGTACGACCTATCATGGAATGCATGGCATGGCCCATTTCATGGAAAATAGTGTCTACTTGATCGAGACTGAGTAACGTTGGAGTGGAGCTTTCCACTCCAGCAAATCTTCCAAGGTTTGTTGATTGTGAAGATTGGAAGTTACATAAGAGGGAGATAACTGGGAGTTGGTATGATTTCAGAGCGTCCAAATGTGCTTCTCGATCCATTTCCTCTGCCAGTTCACGGGCATTGAGTTCACGCAGACAAACAATGGTGAAATGAGAAGGGAGAACTTTTGGAGACCAAAAGTCTAGGTAGAGATATCCAAGAGGTTCATTGGATTCATTATCCATGACAGCCACTTTCCTCACTTGTGAATGGTCCCAGGTTTCTGTGGAATGAGTCGGTTGAGGTACAAGTGAAATGTTGTATAGAGACGTGAAAAGGGATGAAAGTCCTGAGACGATGGTCCCCACGGATAGATATGGAGAAATGTTTGCCATTGGTTTGGATGAAGTTTTCGAATTTTGAGCCTTTGCTAGGAGATAATCTCTGTCCCAGGGCTTAATCGAGGAGATTATTTCAAGAGGAGAAGCATCTGGCGAAGCTTGGGTCAATTCTTTCAATTCCTTTACCACTCCAGATTGTAAACTTTGCTGTAAATTAGCCAAAAAGGTCATGACATTTTCAGGAGTCTTGGCCATTTTATGTTCCAATTGATATTGGGAAAACGACTTAAACCCCAACATCTTGGCCAAAATCGTTCTATATTTCAAAAACCCATTCAAGAGGTCCAATTGTTCGTTGGTAGCGGAATGTAAGGCAATCCAGATTTTTTTACGAAGTTGTTCGTTCTCACAGGTGGTCAACACCGTATAGGGGATTTCTCCTGCCAAGGGGATCACTTGTGGGCTTGTCTTTCCTGCAAATACTTTCCCATTCTTCAATTGATGTCTAGTAATCAATTTTTGTAAATTAGTGGGGATTGACTCATATTCCTCCTTGGTGACTTCACACCAATAATTCTTCAACATTTGCACCCCATTATTGAAATGTGACCCCAATAACGAGATTTCTTGAGTAATTTCGACAAAGTTTTGTCTTTTCTGTGAATCTAAATCAATTCCTGATCTTTCAAAATCTTTGGCCAAATAATCTCCAACTTTTAATTCTTCAATGGATAATTTCTTGGTGACAGATTCATCTTGAAGTACCAATAAGAGATTTTGGTACAAGGGGACATTTGTATTCAATTGATTCATGAATTCAAACATGTGTTCGTGAGTCTGTTGTGCTGCTTGGATCCATTTTTGCAGTGGATGTGCCACTCTAATGAATTCTGCAACATCAATGACTCTACATAAAGTATCACTTAATTGATCGATAGTTTTAATAAAGTTAAGTTTCCCCTCGAGAGTGGCATTGATCTGAGGATCAACCATGATATCTACAAGTTCATTAGCTTGTTTCAATGATTTCTGTGAGAATTTTAAAAGTCCCTTCGGCGATGTAAGATATGAATTATTGAAAAGTCCCAGTTTAGAAGGTGAATGGTCTTTATCATTGCTGGAATTACGACTGGACAGTCTCAGGAAATACCCCAACCCGATCTGGTCAGTATTATTGAATTTCTTGAAAAAATTGGCGTCATCAAACACTTGACGTAATTTATCATTTGCATTTGCATTTGAATGGATGGAACGAGTGATCGATTTCTCAACCAATATCGATGCTCTCGAACTGAGATTCGGGATCCGAGATCTAGATACAATTATAGATTGACGAAGCATTTCAACAAACCTCTTACGTCTATATATATTGATAATATTTGAACTTGTATATTTTATGGGGAGACATTTATCTACAATTTTAATCGTTTGACAGATTTTGATGGTTTGCGATTTTGTGTAATTATTCAAGAATTTGGTGATGTTTGTGTAGATTGTTGGTGTTTTTTTTTTTGCAGCATTAAGGGTCCTCGCGCTCGTTGAGCAGGAGCTGCACGTATACCCCTTAGGGTGGGTGTGCCATCTTCCCTATGGGGTAGGCATGACGCTCCGCTGGCACCTGCTCAGGGAGAGCCACTGCGTGGTGCCTAGCTCCTCTACGAGGAGACTCCTAGAGGTTCAAAGTAAATGTTTTATTGCGTTAATTATTTGTTTAAGAAATGATGTAAATCCAGATTATAATATTTATAGAGAGAATTGTAAAGGAGGGGGAAAGTTTTAAGTGTACATTAACTTCCTAGCTAGAGTAATTTGGCATACACTACTAGCTGTCCACGGAGTGCCAACGGAGCAGCTCCATACCCAGTTATTTATACCTAAAAAAGGCGTCTCCTTCCTCAATATGGACTTGTATAACATCCTTCGACTGATTTAATATCACGCCTAGAGCATATACTTCTGTTGAATACACCTAGACATTCCACCTATAAGTTTAGCAAGTTCAACTCTACAAATCCCTCTCCTCTACATTGTACCACTACCTATTGAATTTCTCACCACTCATAAATTGACCAAGGTAAACCTCAATGGATCTCAACTTAAACCAATATCTGATATATGGACTTACCCAACTTCTACCGTTCCACAAGGTATACAATCCTGTCTTCTAACATACTTTTGGCCACAGTATCCATAAGTCTTTTAAAGTACGAATCACGTGACCATCCTGGTAGAGGAGCTAAGCTCCACGTAGTGGCTCTCCCCGAGCAGGGGACAGCTGGGCGTCATGCCTATCCTGTAGGGCGGATATACCCTCTCCCCCACCGGACTACTTGGCGCTCTGTAGACACTCTGTGGGTCCAAATATCTAATCTTCACCTATATTTAGATCTGGGCTTGTTTGCTGTCAAACAAAAAAGTAGTGGTCGCACCAGTTCGTACATAGTCAAATCCCAAAATGGGGGTAAGGCACCGAACACCGTGTTATACAATATTAACCTTTTCCACGAATCCATTTTACAATTACTATTGCTCGTCACCTGTCATGAGTAGACCATATCAGTCGAGCCAGATGGGAGCCCCAGGAGCTGGCCCCGTCAATGGAGGCTCCGCGGTTGGGTCGTCGTCCGGGCCTAGTTCAGGGCCGGGATCAATTCGACCACCAGTCGCAGGTGCAGCTGCAGTCGCACGATCTAATAAACCATCCCTTAGAAACTCGCCAGGTCTTCCCCCCGTACCAATTGCGGGCCAACCATCCGGAGAAGGACCCACAAGCATCAGCACCAATAACAATAACAATATTAACAACAACAACAATATGGCCATGAACACAGCCCCCAGGAAAAGACATGCCGGGGATTACAAGTTTGGGACCCGGATCGGTGAAGGGTCGTATTCCACCGTGTTCTCGGCGGTGGACATCCATTCACATAAAACGTACGCCATCAAGGTTCTTTCCAAGCTGCATATCGTCAAGGAGGACAAGATCAAGTACGTGAACATCGAGAAGACCACGCTTCACCGGTTGGGCCAACAACACCCGGGAATTGTCCAGCTCTACTACACGTTCCAAGACGACCAATCTCTTTTCTTTGTGTTGGACTTTGCCGAATACGGAGAGCTTTTGTCGATCATTCGTAAGTTTGGACTGTTGAGCGAGCAGGTGAGCAAATTCTACATGTGTCAATTGGTGGATGCCGTCAAGTTTATTCATCTGAAGGGGATTATTCATCGTGATTTGAAACCAGAGAACATTTTGGTGGGGTATGATTTCAATTTGAAGGTGACTGATTTCGGTGCTGCCAAGTTGGACGATGAAGGAGCTAGTGGAGACAGAGACGGGGCCGAGAGAGAGAATGATGTCATGGAAGGTAGTAGGAAGGGATCCTTTGTCGGTACGGCAGAGTATGTCTCGCCGGAGCTTCTCAAGCACAATATCTGTGGATATGCTTCGGACGTATGGGCGCTTGGATGTATACTCTATCAATTTTTCCATGGGAACCCACCTTTCAAGGGGTCGACGGAGTACTTAACATTTGAGAAGATTATTAATCGAGATTTTAATTACAACGTGGCCCTCCCAAGCCCGGTGACAGCACTTATTGATGAGATTTTTACGGTCGATCCAGAAACGAGACCTACTTTGACCCAAGTAATGGGGAGCCCATGGTTTAAAGAGGTGAAATGGGATGATCGGAATTATATATGGGGTCGTAAGGTGCCGAGATTGGAACCTTATCGCGAGGCTACTGGCCCCATTGCCGCCCCCACAATGAAAAATGGTTCAAATAGAAATATCAACAAGTCCAATTCTTATCAGCAATTGCATACACAGATTCAGAAATCGCTGGATTTTTCAATTGTACCGTTAGTCGGGAAGAGAGGACCTGGAGGACCTGGTAGAGCAACGCCTGTTCTGCCCGGGAAGTATCAGAGGTCTGGGCTTCAAGGCACTGGTCCACCAGGACCAGGACCAGGACAAGGACCAGGGCCAGCTCCCAATGGGATCATTGGAGGTGGACCACCAATTCCAATTGGAACACCAATGGGAAATAGACAAGCTATAGGAGGTCAAATGGGCCCTGGTGGCCCTGCTCCTAGTGGATATGTGACTGTACCTCCCCCTGGACCTGGACCTGGACCTGGACCTGGACCTGGACCTGGACCTGGACCTGGATCAAATGGGTATTCCGGACCATCTTCTGGAGGATATCCTGGAGGATATAACAATGGAGGACACACTAACCAAGGACTTATCCAGAGTCCTCAATTAACAGCCAATGCGAGTGGACCAATTGCAACCAAGGGCCCAGCAAAAGGACCAGTTAAACCGCCCCTCAACGTAGCTCCTACATCGAAGCCAAATGCTGGACTTGCTGCCGCCGCCGCAGCAAGTAGAAGAAACAACCCTATGCTTACCAGTGGTACCGCCAACTCCCCTAGTATGTCCACTCCCCCCTCAAAGTCATTATCTAAACCACCAAGTGCTATCTCTACCGCCACCACCAATTCCAATTCTAACACTCCTTCCTCTCTGCCAAAGATTCCACCAAAACTGCCCACAAAGCCCAACGTATCACCTACGAAGAAACTGACAAGCTCTACTGCACCAAGTATCACTCTTAGTGAAATATCGGGACTTCTTAAAGAATCAGAAAAGATTCTCAAGATGGATATCATTCTTAAGTCTCAGCTTAATCATAAGATTCTCCATCGGTCCGCCGCTCAACCTCTTGATGATTCCTTAATCGATGCACTCATTTCCGAGCATCGGTACAGACTTCAACGTGGCCTGATCCCGGTGGTTGCCGTGGTGACCAACTTGGCACGGGTCTTCTTTGTCGATGCCAATCTCAATGTTATGCTCATTGACTTGAAGGCTAACAATGGAAGCGATTATCTGATGTACGATTATGAGTTTGAAGAGGAGGAAGAGGAGGATCAAGGTAACCTTGCTTCACCAGAAGGATATCTTATTATTGAGCTTATCAAGGAAGGTGGAGATTTGATTTTCCTTCAAAGAATATCGAAACATGGTGAGATCTCTCTCAAGGATTCGGTCCGAGTGGTGAAGAGAAACGGTGAAGAGATCAAATTGGGCCAGAATTATGGATGGATCGATTGTTTATTGATGGCCAAGGAGATGGTGAGTGCAGCATCAACCACTGCACCATCGAAGGCTCGTGCATCTCAATCACCACCACCACAATCAGCCGCGAAACAAACTACGTTGCCACCAAGTGGATCAACTAAAAAGACAACCAAAAAGAGTGGCAAAGCAACTACTTCCACCACCAAGCCAAAGAAACCAACAAAGGGAGATGGATCTGCGGGGAACTCCCCCACCATCAAACCCATCAGTAAATTTGCATACGCTGCCGCCGCTGCAGTACATAAGTAAGTACATAGACAGAAGAGTTTCAATAGATGTATATTAACATGTTTTTTTTAGTAGCTATAGACAAGTAGATGTAGATATGTAAATACAGAGAAGAGACCATGGAAGCTCAATGATCACAGGTGGAAGGCGTTGACGGCTAGCGGTCCATGGAGCACCAGGATGTACTCTCAACTCCATGGGGTCTATGAGTCGCTCCGCTGGCCCCTGCTCGGGGAGAGCCACTGCGTGGTGCCTAGCTCCTCTACGAGGAGACTACTAGAGGTAGCCTTCCACATCAGAGGAACAGGCCCCCCACGGCTAGTGGCCCACGGAATGCCAGCGGAGCTGCTCGCATACCCCGTAGGGTGGATGTACTCTCCTCCCTGTGGGACAACAAGACGCTCCGTTGGCCTCTGCTCGGGGAGAGCCACTGCGTGGGGCCTAGCTCCTCTTCGAGGAGACATCGACAGCCCAATTCCTCGGTAGAGGAACATGAGCCTCCACGGCTAGTGGCCCACGGAGTGCCAGCGGAGCGGCTTGCAGATCTCGTACCCGTAGGGGGTGGACATGTCATATACCTCGAGGGGATACTAGATCCCCTTGATCCCCCGAAAAGGGGATCGGGGAAATGGGTGGTTTATCCCCTGAGGGACAGTTTGGTCGCCCGGTAGAAGTCACCCATCCAGTCTCGTTCGCCACATTTGTCGTTGAGAACTTCAATCGTTTGACCACGAACAATGGTTTCCACGGTTTCCTCATTGGAAGTCCATTGGCGCATAGTATCACTCTCTGAGTATTGTTGTTGTATACGTTCATTGTGTTCGCGAAGCGCATACGGATCGAGTCTAAGACTCTCGTTGGCCGGAGTTTCCGACGAGCCAGTGGCCTCGGTGAGCAGGGCTGTCTGGCGCAATTTCTGAGCTTCAGTCGCACAGAAGGAGATCACCTCGCTACGCATGGCCCATTGCGGAGCGATCTGGCGACGGAAGTAGTCGTGACAATCGTCAATTTCATTGAGATGTTGTCTGATTGAATCATCAGTGGCGATTCTGGAGAGACGAAGAAATGTCTTGATTTTCGTTGGCGTACGGCAGCTTTCCGTGGTAAGAAGCACCTCAGGAGCTCTGACTGGTTTATCTAATTGGGTGATTCCAGTCTTAAACATTAGTGGAGTTTAAAAAGTGTTAATTGAAGGTGTGTTGGACTGGAGTAGGGTGTTGCAAAGCTGATCAAAATTTGGTAAGAACCCGCGCGGGCACAGAAAAGGCGTTAATTTAAGGCTGGCGGCCCCCAGGTTCGTACCTGCGAACTGAAGCAAAGTTACAAGAAAAGTGCGAACACACTTCAAAAAAAAGTTTGTATGGGTGGTGTGTGACCCGGTTTGCGGCTTGATTACCAATATTGAATTGTAACCGGGGTACCAGAAGAAATAACCCAGTTATATATCTACAAACAAGTTTACACGGTATAGAAATGGCAGACTTGTTGTATCCATTTGCATTGGTGGCCAGGAAGGCCTTGGTGATGGAGAAATCCGCCAGGACAGAAAAATTGGCCTTGGTAGACACCCTGGCAGCCATTGAACTTCATGAATCATGTAATGATATTGACCATATTTTAAAGTTTGTACTCCCCAGGGCACTTGCTCAGTATGCGCGGGCTGAAGAGGAACGGACCAACGGAGGTGCCACCGTTGAATTGGAACAGTTGTTGAGGTTAGAGCACGAGTCCGAACGCGAAGTTGGCACTGGGATCATTGGTGGCGCTGATTTGACCACCGAGAAATTATTAGAGGGCCAAGCTATCGATAAGAAGGCTGAAGTGGATAAGAGGGATTCCAAGTTGGCAGACGTCTTGTACGAGGCCCATGGAAGGTCTGTAGCATTTGTACTGTCGTACCTCTCCAACCTTGTACAACAATTTGGCCCTGAGGTGTCAACGTCTGTTGTGGACCGGTTGAAGAGCCGTATCCCCGAGTTTGATGAAGAGGATTGGTGGGTGGCCTATAACCGGTTCAGGGAGACGGTAGGCGAGATTGTTACGGTATTGAAAGGGGTGCAAATTTCAAGTGCCAGCACCAATAGTTCTTCGACTCACCAGCATGAGGTGGCTCAACTCCGAGAACTGGGGAATAATTTAATGAGTAATAGAGCTTATCCACAGGCTATTGCAGTGTATACCGAGGCAATTCAAAAATGTAGGGCCGTCAAGACGGCGGCGGCGGCGCCTCTCCCTCAACTCTTGACCAATAGAGCCATTGCATACATGGGACTCAATTGTTTCTTCGAGGCAGTGACAGATTTGAACCTGGCCCTTTATGTTGACAATGAGTTCATCCCCGCGTGGTCACAGATTGGCTATTGTCATCTTTACATGGGTCTGCTGCTTTTATCTCTCAAGTGTTATCTTCGAGCCCTTGAAATGTACACAAAGAGAGACACCGAAGAGACGTCTGATGACTCAATAATGCCTCAGTTTGTTCAGAGGTTGATACAATCAGTGGTGCTTTGTGAAAAGAGAGCCAGACAACAGAGAGAACCACTGGATGGGATTAACCAAGTGGTTGGAGAAGTCAAGAAAATCGCTAGTAGATTACAATCGAAAGCTCTTGATGTCGACAAGGCGTATTATGAATACGGGTACACGTTCCCCAGCAATGACACGTTTGTTCTGGTGGCTGGAGATGCCAATAGAACTAACCCAAGTATATTGAACCAGGACACCGCTCAAGATTTATTGGCAAGTACCAGTATTGAAGCAACTGCGGTGCCAATGACTTTTGAAACAAGAATCCCAAGGCCAACTACTGCTGGGAATAACACAAATGGTGGTCCTGTTGCCACAGCGGCTGCATTAGCGGCAGCCGCCGCAGCCACTGCATCTGGATCCCCTCCTACAACGACGGGCACCCCTACAACCACGCCGGGGGCTGGACCAATTAGATTTGGAGCACCACCGATTGTCAGTAGATTAAGTGGGCTAAACCCAATGGGTAGATTTCAACAACCATCAGGACCGCCAAGATTCAACGATACATCTTCTACTCCTGGTGCAGCCATGCCAGGTCAATTACCCGAGGGGATCTTTGAAAGACATCAAGCATTGGTAGAAAGAAGCAGAGCATTGCATGCAGATGCTATTAGAAGGACATCAGCACAACCATCCACAGAACGAGAAGGACGCACCGTAGAACTGCGGGGTGGAAATGCCGCCGCTACTCTTCTTCGAGATTTTGTTCCCGGTGTTCCCGAGCATTTGGGTGGATTCACACGTGTTGGAAATTCACAAACTTTCACTGGACCAGGTGGTGCTGTTGTTAATGTTAGACAAGGAGGGACTCTCGAGTCCAGTGTGACACCACTGCCTGTACCATTCGGCGACACCCTGGACGCTCTGGATGATACCGACATGCCACCAGTGGATTTAGATTGAGCTATGGCGAGATGATAGAGGATGAGAATAACAGCTCGAGACACATAACCCGAGGAGAGCTTGGAAATGCAGTACTACTTTAGATCAGATAGAAAATCACCATATAGACGATGGAACATGATGAATGCTACCAACTCTTTAGAGCTTAATAAGAACATAATATATAGTTTCCCTTTAAAAGATCGGGGGAGTAACTCCTTGTAGCACGTACTAGTTGGCTAAGGATTCGAGGAATTGGGAGCAGCGCTCAAGAAGTCGAGGAGTGCAATTTGTAGACAGATGGACCAATGGAAACTGTATATAGCGACTTCAATAACACTCTCACTACTCAGTCGTGGAGGATAACATACCTCCCAATCGGGTCTCAATGTAGCGAACTTACGTGGAAGCTACCTACATGACATTTGAGCCACATCTCTAGCACTTCGTTGACGACTATCCGTGTTGGCCCAGTTTCTCTAGAGATCTACAGCCTACCATTTGCAGTCTCCTCTTAGAGGAGCTAGGCACCACGCAGTGGCTCTCCCCGAGTAGGGGCCAGCGGAGCGTCTTGCTGTCCCATAGGGAAGAGAGTACATCCGCCCTACGGGGTATGCGAGTCGCTCCGCTGGCACTCCGTGGGCCACTAGCCGTGGGGGCTTTGTTCCTCTAGCGAGGAATTTCAGACTACCTACCCCTAGGAATCTTCTTGTAGAGGCGTGAAATGGCTCGAGTAGGGGTTAGCGGAGTGCCACCCGGACCCACAGGGATGAGCTTCAAGGGTATGCTCTATCACACGTGCGAGCGACCATTTCGCAGCCAACCATTCGCCTCAAAAAAAAAAAAAAAACACTTCTCTCACTATGAATTAGCTACCTTGTCCGTCTGTCAATCCAAATATCTCTTCTCCTCTAGAGTAGAAGAAAGGACCAATCACAAAGTACCACCGGCATATCTATCACCTTCTATTACCCCACCGTCTCTTCAATTTCTATACATTTCAGAATATCCGGCATATAAAAATCTTTAAAAGGAAATTTAAATCAACGCCACTTACCGCCCCTGAGAGATAAAGGACGACCAAAAAAAAAATTGGCAACACCAATTAATATTCTCGCCCAAACCGACAATCATTTCAACTTCTACACACATTATCAACCTCCACCACATATCACATTCAACATGGCAGGGCTTGAACAATCACTTTTCCAATTAAAATTCACAGCAAAGCAACTCAATAGACAAGCCACAAAGGCGGCCAAAGAGGAACTTCAAGAAAAGGCCAAAACTAAAAAGGCCATGACTCAAGGAAATAATGATATTGCACAATTATATGCGCAAAATGCGATCCGAAAGTCCAATGAACGAGTGAATTTATTGCGACTCGCGTCACGAATTGATGCGGTGGCTCTGAGAGTGCAAACAGCTGTGACCATGAGATCTGTGACGGGTAACATGACCCAAGTGATTAAGGGGATGGATAAGGCATTACAAACAATGAATTTAGAGAGAATTTCGCTTGTTATGGAAAAATTCGAGAATCAATTTGAAGATTTGGATGCTCTGACGAATTACTATGAGAGTGCCACCAACAACGTGAGTGCCCTCACGACTCCACAAGAGGACGTCGACGAACTTATGAGTCAATTGGCAGATGAGGCAGGTATAGAAATGAAACAAGGTTTAAATGCCACCAAGGTTGACATTTCCACTCCTCCAACGACAGTGAGTGAAGAGAAGGAGGATAGATTAGCTGAGAGATTAAGAGCTCTTCGTAGTTGATGAGCAGGTTTTATTGCCGGGGGTGCCGGTCTAGTAGCTGCAACTAATTAGAAGAACCAAAAATAAAGACACATTTAAGAGAATAGTAGATTGGAGGGAATGGGTATAGGAAGTAGACAACATAGACTTGGAAAGGTGGCCACACAAATATTATGGATGTGGCGATGTACAATTCTCACATTGGGGGATCTTGAAGAAGGAACATCGTGTAGTGACTATCTTGGTGCACATAAGGACTGATACATGGTGTACGGAACTCTTTATGGGATCCTGCGGGATTGAAGGACGAGTAGGATGGTTTGTACACTCTCCCCCGTGGGACAGCAAGACGCTCCACTGGCCCCTACTCAGGGAGAGCCACTGCGTGGTGCCTAGTTCCTCTGCGAGGACACTACCAGAGCTACTCTTCCTCGCTAGAGGAACATGGCCACCACGGCTAGTGGCCCACGGAGTGCCAGCGGAGCGGCTCGCATACCCCGTAGGGTGGATATAATCTCTTCCCTGTGGGACAGCAAGACGCTCCGCTGGCCCCTGCTCGGGGAGAGCCACTGCGTGGTGCCTAGCTCCTCTGCGAGGAGACTACCAGAGCTACGAGGAACATGGCCACCACGGCTAGTGGCCCACGGAATGCCAGCGGAGCGGCTCGCATACCCCGTAGGGTGGATGTAATCTCTTCCCTGTTGAACAGTAAGACGCTCCACTGGGCCCCTCTCCGGGGGAACCATTGTGTGTAACTCAGGATCTCTACGAGTAGTGACAAGGAGATATCACGGGCCATAAGGCCAATAGTGCCGCCACGAAAGGAAGAATATGTAACGTTGCATTTTCTCTGACGTCGTAAATTGATAAAAAACAAAAGGCGAAAAAAAAAAAAATTAAAGGTCTCAAGACTTTAATCAAAAACGGAAAGAAAGTAAGTCCAGATCTAATCTGATACAATTGTAACGACTGGCAAGAGTTAACGCGTATGTTTACTCCACTTCAATTAAACTTGCGTATTGCCGAAAAGACTGTCAAAACTTGTCACGTTAGACATGGGGGCTTTGGAATTTTAGTGCTTCAAAACGGCTCTTCGCACCGCATTGGGAAGCATATCCGCGTCAAGACTCGTATACAGGCCCTGGCAGAAAAAATCACAAACTCCCAAGGGATAAAACGACGAACACATACCAAAATTTGAAATTCTATCTCAGGAAAATGCATGTCAAAGGAATAGTATGAAGGCTTAGGGAATTTTGTTGTTTCAAAAAACAAATTCCAGTTTTAGGGGTAAAAGCAAACTTTATTCAAAACCCGGTTATGAATCAAACACCGACGATGTGCGCGCTTTGTGACATGATCTGCATGCACAATCAACTATTGGAGTGACAGGAGAAGACATAGAGGACAATACAATAAATCATTATGTACAAGCCTTGCTGAAACTTTTGCCCGTGGTGGATTTCTCCTCATTGAAGGACACCAAAAAGAAAAATAAAAATAAAAAGCTGTAGGAAGAATATTGTTTCATTGAAGTGTGGCATTTCAATTCAGGATCCCACTAAAAGCCAAGCAATTTCTAAAATTCTTCCACTAGCCAACCAAGCCAACTTTGGAGGACACGACACAGATTGGAGTCCATACCTGCTAGTTGTAAAGCTAGTTGTAAGGCTAGTTTCTCAGTCACTTCTCCACTCCACTTCTTATTATCTTGCTACTCTCACTTATTTTAACCTTTACCCGTACATGTTCACTCACCTAACTGACAATTTGACACATAGGCCACAAAATTAAAAAAAAAAGCTTATGAAATTGGAGACCCAAAAATAAAAAAAAAAGGAGAACAAAAGCAGAAAAAAAAAAAAAAAATACAACCCCCTCCCAACTCGCACAAACATATGCACACAAAGTGGAGGGTATGGGATCGGAAAAATAAGTGCATCTCCAGCGCATAAGGCGTACATAGCACATGTGTAGTAGAAACATGTTTGCACAAACATACACTACAAATAAACACTTAATATCCTAATATTATTATCATTATTATTGGTCATATATTATCATAAAGTCTTTATAATAAACTTTCATTACGGGGGGGAAAACTAACACCTGTGAAAGTCGCCAGCGCCGCACCGCGCGCGGCACCCGCAGCTAAATGCTGCAATTCTTGGCATGCCAAGCTTTTTGACAGAATATTTTTAGTTATGTCAGAATTGTGTCAATCAGGCTATTACAAAGAACTTGAAAGGTACGCCCCCCAAATGACAGGGAGGCAAAAATTCAGAGACTCAGTGGAGCCCATCAGTATTGAGGGCAGGTAGCTAGAGTAGTTGTAGTTGTAGTTGTAGTATGCAAAGTATCCGTTTAATGGGTTTCAGTCTTCTTCAAAACCTTGATCTTTCTTCTTCTGGCATTGATAAACCAATTGGAGAGCTGTTGCTGGTTCAAGCCAGTCAGATGCATGAGCTGATTCTTTTCAAAAGAATTTGGGTATGGGTGGTTAAGATGTTCATTCAACCATTTGAGTAATGTGTAGGTGGTTTCCTTGGGGAGATTGTTTCTTGTTTTGCGCTTGGGGGCCGTTTGTGAGGTGGACAATGGTTGGTGATGACGTGGATGGTATGCCTGTTGTGTAGCGTGTGAAGGTGGAGGAGGTGGAGGAGGAGGTGGTCCGGAGACATGCTGACGTGGTTGCTGGGGTGGATAGTGGTGATGTTGCACAAGAGATTGTGTGTGGTGTGGAGGAGAGGGAAGCATCAGTGGGGAGTGAGACTCTCTAGATCCAGGACTGGATCCAAGTGGTGGCAATGTCATGGGTGCCATTCCCAGTCTACCCAAATAGTAGTTTCTAGGCTCTTGTGGAGGGTAAACCGGCGCAGCCGTTGGCAAATCCAACAAGATATTAGAAATGGAAGGGAGGGAAACCCTGTTGTTGTTGTAGCGTGGAGGACCCTGAGGGTGTACTAATTCATTGACGTTCATGGTTACGGTGTATATTGATTAAAACGGTTGTAAAAGAAATTTGACTTTGGGACAGTCCTCCCTATATATACTCTATGTACCCATCTAGACATATTTTCCAGAAATAGATGTTTGTGCGGAATATGCGTGCAAGAATTCAAGAAAAATGCATCCAAGAAAAATTGGCATTTCCTAATTTTGCCTTGATGTAAAACACCCCATTCATTAGTCAGATCAGATTTCCGTTAGCGAATTTCAAGCCTTTTCGATATTGGTCGAGATATATTGGGGTCAGCTAGATATGACAAACATGTACAGTGTTGACATTGGTGTACAAGTCTCTTACTGTAGCACCAACACCCTGGCCGAAAAACCAATACCGAAAAAAAAAAAAAGTTTCAAAAAGTGTCACTTATGTCACTTGGCCCTGCATTCATGCTGCCAAGACTTTTTCTGTTTGTGCGGTTGCGAGCGTGCGCGCCAGCTGATATTGACGTGAAGTGTTGAGTGGAGCCGCCGCGCGTGGCGCGGCGGCCTGCCAAACTTTAAGGTTGGGGCAAGTGATGTGTAACTACGATTGCTCAAATAGGTTGAAATGAGAGTACCGAAGGATGCGGAAGGTGTTGTTAGAGGAGAAATGTGGTACTTTTATTCGGGCAGATCTACCAGATGGGTTTAGATCCCTGTGTGGGTAGACTCTTGAGTATCTGACATGACCTTCTGTTAGGTGTGGGTTCAAAATATTTTTTGCACTTTACTAAGAGGCGCCTCCATCCCCCACATAAGGTTATTTGCCTAGAAAGTTGTTCAAAAGTTCCAAGGTGTGTCAAGATTCCGCATGCGTTACTGTACGGAATTAAGAAAAATCATCAAAATTACAGCCGAATCCGCCAGTAGCATGTGCAGGAATAGCCGTATTTTGAGAATTGTTTGAGAATTAAATGACAGGTTGTCTAGAGTAAAACTACCACCAAGTTAATCGAAGATTCCTGGGCATTAAAATCATTTTAGTGACCCAACAACCCTTTTTCTTAGTTTCTCTGACTGTAGATCTCCTACATGTTTCACTGCTCTTTGTTCAGCCCCCCTTGTCATCCTTCATCCCTTTTTATTTTTTTTCTCTCTCTTTGTTCTTCATCTCCGCATGCATTCAAAAAATTCGGTCGATTCCACCTAAAAATCGGTCTTTCCCTCGGAGATACCAGGAACATAAAAATCAGTTATACGAGCAAATATTTGAGCCGTATTTGTGATTACTACCGGGATGTATATACCGTTTTCTTCGCACTACATTACTAGAGTTACTACACTTTTTGTCTTTCTAATCCATACTCCACTGTCTACATTACTCTCTTATTCGATTGATTTCTCTCTTTGTTGTATATTTTGGTTTGAATCTCCGGGTCCCGAAATTACTTATTTATTTTTACCTGACAATGGCGCGTGCACGACCAAAATGACTTTATTCTTCAAATTCGAACTCTTGGCACCCTCAAACATGCTATCATAACCGAATGCGCTTTCCACAACCATCATAGTCTCGGCAAGCTCAATTGGGGAATCTTCTCACAATTTCTCTATCCAAAAAAAAAAATTGCGAACATGCCCCTATACACCAAACTACATATAGTTCCAGTTGTAGCTGCCCATTATGGGATGATTTGATGTGAGATCTAAAGCGTCAGGTTTAACAAATCTTCAAACGATTTCTTGTCATACTTGACATATTTAGATTTATTCTTGGTAAAGTCCGAAGTACCATATTTGTCGTAGAGTTTGAAGTACGTGTTCATAATAAGTTTCTTGATTTCATTTGCCAAGTATGCTCTCAAATTCTGGTCAGTGATGTTGAAATTCTTGTAGTTATTGATGGCATCTTCAAATGATTCATTAAAAGTTTTGAATAATTCCTTGATTTGTTCCTTTTCCTTCCCACTTGGTGGAGCGTTACCATGACTATTGGTATTGTTACTGTTACTATTATGAGCAATGGCTGCAGTGGCAGTAATACTGGTCATGTCTCTAATAATAATGTATGACGCATAATTCCAATCATCTAAAAATAATACCAAGAACCGTTTTTTCAATTTATTTAATCTTTCCATACCAGTTGAACCCAAACTCTTGAACAATTCGGATGATCTATTAATGATTTGTTCGATAAGAGTCAAATTGGTAATGAGGAAATACCCTTGAATTGATTTTTTCTGCAATTTCAAATCTCCTTGCTTTGAAATAATCTCCAAATTGATCATAATCGAGTCTATACAATCACTGAAATAACTCGATAAAAGGTACTTCAGATCATGTTCATTTTGCATTTCATTGGCTGGTAGCACACTGCTAAACACCGATATCGATCTAGGCTTTGGGGTTTGCATCATCCATGATCCAATCTTCATGCCTTCAATCACTTCTAAACATGATTCTCTAAAATCGGAAATCTTTCTTATTCTAGACATTAATTCTACCGTAACTTCCAGTACTCCATTATCATTTGGTAATTTATCCAATGCAACGATTTTCTGTTCAATAAATCTCAATAATTCTTTAAAGATCAGTTGACATAATTTCTTTAAAACCATGAAATTATCTAAAAATTTCTTAAAATTGGAATGAATTCCTGTAGATGCAATCAATTTGTATAAACATTTCTCCACTTGTTTGACATTAATGATTGTTTCCAATGCCAATAACCCATCTGTAGTGGTATTATTCTCAACATGTTTCACAATTCTCATGAGTTGATCACCACCATATTTATCATTGATGGTGTTGGCCAAAATACTGAAAAGATATTCATTGATATCCAATTTTGGCCCTACAAGTCTACGATTAATTTCCTCCACTTGTTGTGCCTCAATGACACATAAATCCATCAATGTTTTCGAATATTCTCCAATACCATTGGTACCTCTTTCATAAGGAATTTTATTATTTGTTTTCAATTTGGGTGCTGTGATGGAATCTAATGATGCAATGGTATCAAACAAATATCTTGATCTTTCCATCATATACATCCGATCTAACGATCGATCTTCCAGATTAACCCCATGGAAATAATCTAAAATCGCGCTATAATCCTTAATTTTAGATTGTGATATTTGTGGTAACCCGCCACTTTCTTCAAAATTGTATTTACGTAAATCCAATGGGGTTGATTCTCTTTTAATCAATTTTTGGAAATATGTAGTTAATCCAAATTCTGATTTTTCTATAGAATTTTGGAAATTGATAAGGATCCCTTTAAATTGTCCCACTTTAGATTTCATTTCCTTTAATAATAATTTGGATTGAATTAACACTGTCAAGTATTTTTTAATCCCTACATTATCAATGGTACCGTTTAATATTTGTTCATTTGTAGCGGCTTTGGATGCGTATTGTTGCACTTCTGCCACCAATTCCAACCCATTTTCAATCTCGGATTTCGAGTCATTGAGTTTATTGACCTGTCTTAACACGGGCTTGATTTTCCGTGATGCTGTGTCTGCCTTGGTGGATATTTTATTCAATGATTTGGAAATTGAATTGAATAATTCTTTGGATTTCGTGAGGTTTTGAGTAAGTACTGCCACATCTGCTTCATCAATATCAAAATTGAACAGCATGGTCAGATGAATAATAAGAATTGAAGCTATAAATGAGTGTGGATTGGGTTAATTTACTGGTATTGATGGTTCAAGGTGTTGCCTTTTTGTTGATGTTTTGGTAGGAAATTTACCTCAAAATCGAAATTTTGGTTGTCAAAATCGCACAAAGGGACAATTTCTTAACTAGTATTTACAACAATAATAGACGTGAAAGCGTATACAAAAATGGATATATGGTATCTAAAGGGGTAAATACGACTTTGAAACCGCCTCACTACCTATCTAATCCTCTTAAAATTGACTCATTCTATATCTATGACTCTCTTTCTTTAAATCAGTCACCCACTTTTTGGCCTCTCGCACGACCTCCACATATATACATATCAACTTTTACCTTTAAATACATCATCTCTCGATCTCTCTTGTAATCTACTATTTCTTGTATATAAAAATGTCTATAGACTCCAAGGAAGAGGTATCTTCACTTCTCAATTCTCTAGAAGAATATATCAATACCAGGAAAAAGGGTAGAAATAAGAAAGTAAATTTCACTCTACCATCTGGCGAAGAAATTACATCATGGAGATTTAGTGATTGGGATTATTATTCACCTACTTCATCCTTACCTACCAAGGCTAGAGGGATATTCACCACAGACAATAACAAGATTGTGGTCAGAGGGTACAACAAGTTTTTCAATGTAGATGAAACCGACATGACCCTGAGAAAACGTCTTCAAGAAGTCACACAAGGTCCATATACCTTGACATCAAAGGAGAATGGATGTATTATTTTCATTTCTGGGCTTGCCAATGGTGAACTTATAGTCACTTCGAAACATCTGGTGGCTCTCCCACTTCCAGAAGATGCCAAATTTGTGAATCATGCCGTTCAAGGTCAACGCGAATTGCAAAAGCAATTTGAAACAAATCTGAAACATCAATTATCAGATTTGGCAAAATATCTTTACCAAGAAAACTTGACTGCTGTGTGTGAATTATGTGATGATGAGTTTGAGGAACATGTCCTTGCATACACAAAGGAAGAGGCCGGTTTATATCTTCATGGCTTGAATCGTAATACCATGGAATTTCAAACTTTGGAGATGGACAAAGTGCTTGAGTTTGCCACCACTTGGGGGTTCCATCCAGTGGATTCATTCCAAGTCGAGACATTTGACGAGATGATGGCCTTCTTGGACAAGCAAGCAGAGACTGGTGAGTACAAGGGTAAGGAAATTGAAGGGTTTGTCATTAGATGTAAGGAAAAAGTTGCCAATGATGAATTGGTTGATTTTTTCTTTAAATTTAAATTTGAACAACCATATAGATTTTATCGAGAACTTCGTGAAGTTACGAAAAAATATATTATGGGTGATGAAATTCCAGAAATTATGATGGATAGAAAGGATTTTATCCAAAGTATCTACAAGTACTTGAAATTTGTTGCAGAACTTTTCGAACGTCAACCCGAATTGAAGGAGCCTTACTTGCAGGAACACGGGATCATCAAGGTTAGAAATATGTTTTTAGAACACATGAACTTGAAGGGTATTGAGTTGTTGCAAAATGTTCAACAGAATGGCGGTGATGAAGAAGAATTACTGAATCAAATGGAAAACTTACAAATCCATGATTTGAAGTATGTATTGATCCCTGTAGCTACACAAGGGTGTGGGAAGACCACTGTTTTCAAAACCATTCAAGGAGTTTTCCCCGAATGGGGTCACATCCAGAATGATGATTTGAGATACACCGGTGAAAGAATAGTTGATGTTGTTTTGAAGGATCTTGCAAGAAGTACAGATTTGATGATGTGCGACAAGATGTTCCACTCTAGATCGGAAAGAAAGACTTTCTTCACAAATTTCAAAAAGCTTCGAAAGACAAAATTAGACTCACATACTGCCGTCAAGTACATTTGTCTTAATTTCAATGTTAAAGACCATGATCTGGAGAAATTAGCAGAGATCACCATTTCGAGAGTCGTTGCTCGTGGTGATAATCATCAAAGCATTAAAATGGCCAGTAACCCCAAAAAATATAACGATGTAGTTCGTGGGAGGGTCAAGAATCTTCAACCGGTTGCCCTTGAGTATGAACCAGATGATCAGTTTCATTTAGTGATTGATTTGGAGGTTACTGAAGATGAAGACTCATCATTAACTAATGCTAAAAAGGTTATAGAGGAATTACATAAGAAATATCCTGAACTAGTGAAATCAATTCCAACTGATGAACAATTTGCAGAAAGTTATGAAAAGGCTAGGAACTATATACCAGAATTGAAACCAATGGCAAAGGAAAAGTTAAGTAAGAGGGAAAAAAGAATGGCAAAAGAAGCAGCAGCAGCAGCTGCAGCCGCTGCTAACGGAGATGTTCCACCTCCCCCCAAGGAACAAAAAAAGAAAGACCCCTTGAAAGTGTATCAATACCTCGGAGCAAACATTGTGGATATCCCAACTTTGGTTAGTAAAATTGACGAATTGGCTGGAGAAGACCCAACCTGGAATGAAATAAAATCCAGTGATCGCGTTCAAAAGGAGCTTCATGTCACACTCAGTCACATAGCGGACTACAAGTCCCCCAATGAGCCAAGAAAGAAAGAAATTTGGAAGAATCTCATTGAATTATTTGAGCCCAATGGGAACATTGTCACTCCAAAGCAAAGAACGAATTTCGATTTCTATTGTGATATTCGTGTTGATAAGGTAGTTATCGGTGTTGAGCGACTTGTTTGCTTATCTGTGACCTTGTTGAAGGGGTATGATTGTGACTTTAACGAGCTCCCCACTTTGGAAAGTTCCATCGATCATACTCACATCACCATCGGGACATTTTCACCAAGTGTCAAGCCTTTCGAGTCGAATCTTGTCTTGAATGGGTTAGAAACCGCTGAGGGTGAACATGGGGTATATAAGATAGAGGATGGAACCGAGGTACGTGTTATAGAGTTGAAAGAGCCTCTCATTTTGGAGAAGCAAAGGTGTTTTGGTAATAGATAGGGATTAATAGAAGATGTGTTGGGTGCTGTTGTCGGTCAGTACATACGCTTATATAGATAGAAATGAAGATTGATTTATTACATGATATAATTTGAGGGACAGTTGACTACAGGCAATATACTCTTGGGAATATGTACCGTTCCGCTGGTAATACATGGGCCATCGTATAGGTCCTTCTGGCTCTAGCACGGAGTTGTTAACTACCCCTAAGAGTCTCCTCGTAGAGGAGCTACCACGAAGTGGCTCTCCCCGAGCAGGGGCCAGCGGAGCGTCTTGCTGCCTCGCGGGGAAGAGAGTACATCCACCCTACGGGGTATGCGAGCCGCTCCGCTGGCACTCCGTGGGCCACTGGCTGTGGGGGCCTTCTTTCTCTAACGAGGAATTGCAGACCACCTAGCCATTGACGTTTTGTGGGGTAGTCGCTGTGCGATGCTCTTGCTCATCGAGACTGCATTCAACGTAGTGTGGGCAATCGAGCCTGTTAGGAATTGATCTTTCTCTTTATCCATATGTATCGTAGGATTGGAAATAGGAATCAAATGGTTGCCGTTACCAGGATAACAAGATCAAAGTCAAGCACGCCTCTGATGGAGATATCGAGAGTGGAAAAAGTGGAGGTGGAAACCTTGACCAAGGTTGGAAAGATAACCAAAAAGAAAACAGTGGCAAAAGTGGTTACCACGACGAAGCCAAAGGGTGATGTAGAGGACGCCCTAGCACATATTTCTGTTCCTGTAGACTTGCAGCTTCCTGAATCATTTAGGAAGTTCCACCATGACGATTTCTTGGACGGAGTCAAGCATATAGTGCTGGTGGACCCGAAATTGTATCCGGTCGTTGTGTACAAAGATTTCCCCTTATTCGCACGAGAAGGAAGTGGTCGTGTGAAACTGAAGCCGTATGGAGACGATGTGATCCTTCTGTATTGGTACTCACTTGTCTCGAGCGTCATCAGTCAGCAAGTGTCTGGAGCTGCTGCTCTTTCCATAGAGAACAAGTTCCGTCAATTGTTTGCCCCAAATGAACCATTACCAAAAGATGTTTTGCTCAAGACTCATGAAGAACTTCGAGGAGCTGGGCTCTCGAATAAGAAGGTTGAGTACGTACAGCATCTTAGTGAACACTTCAGTAATGTAGAGAACAAGTTGGCTCAACCAGAGTTCTATCAGACTGCTACAGATGAAGAAATTGCCGAAGAATTGGTCAACCTTAAAGGTATTGGACCCTGGTCAGCTAAAATGTTTCTTGTTTTCACGTTGCAAAGACTCAATGTGTTTGCCCATGACGATCTAGGAGTCGCTCGTGGTGCCTACAGATACCTAGTGAAGAGACAACATATATTAGAAGAAATAAAACAACAAGTGAAAGCTTCCGAGGATTTGACAAAATTGCTCGCGAAAAGGTCGAAATTCGCCACCTCCAAGGGGAAGCGTGACTGGACGCCCTACCATGACGTTTACATCAAACAATTGGGCGAGAGGTTTGAACCATACCTGCTGATCATGATGTTACTTTTGTGGAGGCTTTCAAGCACCAATGTAGACGTTTTGGAAGGAAGTAGCAACAAGAACGAAAACTAGGCTAGTTATCAAGTAGAGGAGAGGTGGTGGTGCAAATGTGGAACTTGTTCCACCTTTCACAATGTCTTCTTCTCCTCCAATTTGGATCGTTCTTGGTGGTGGAGCCTCAGCCTTATCACGATTAATTTTTTCTAATTCCCGTTCTATTTCATCAAATCCATAATTCAAATCATTTTGACGTAGGAAATCTAAATCCTCTATCGAGAACCCGTTGTCAAGGAGGTACTCCATGAACTTGGGAACGTCCAATTTGGAACTGGAGGCGTAATGGTAGTGTATATCTGATGGTGACGATGGGGAGGTCACCACCAATCGTCCATATTTCTTGTAGCTTATATCGTTATAGCGCACATCTGTGTCGCGGTTCTCCTCCACTATATGCTCAGTGTATGGTTTCAAGTCGTTTTGATTGGATATTTTATCGCCATAGGATGTGATGACCGTTTTGAGTTTTCCCTCGGGTGACCTTGGATCGGTGTACGAAGCGGCCTTAACTGGTTTATTTTTGGATTCATGGACAAAGAAATCATGGATGTATGATTTATGAGAGTTCAAATGAACTTTAACTGGTTGTGGAGACGAGGAGGAGGCAGAAAAGGGTGTCGTAGTAGTGGCAAGGCTGGAGTCCTGAGATTGAGATTCATTGTCATCGTCGTCATCAAATGATTTGGGTGGGGCTGACGATGACGATGACGAGGACACGATCTGCGGTTGTGGTCTTGGTGAAACCACCCGATGATGTGACTCTACAAGCTTGTGAGCCAGCAGTACTTTGGACTTCTCTTGACCAATCGATGGGTTGACCGGTGAGACCAATTGTGAATGAAGGGTTGTTGCAACAACCAACCCAATCATCATCACAAGGGTAGCATTAATTTTCTTCATAGCAGGTGTTGTTGATCAATAACAGCAGATGTAAAGTCATTTCAAAGCGCTGGTTTCTTGTACCACTTCCATTGGTTTGCAACCACAATTGCAGCCAAAGTGGGACTCTCTCTCTCTCTCTCTCGCAACACAAACTGAACTGCTGGCTCGGTATGGCCGAATGGGGAAGTTAACGCGCGCGCGAGCGCGCGTGTTCCCAACCGGCGCAGCCGCACCAATCGGGACCTCGCGTGTCATTAATTTTTCTTAGAGAAAGATATTTCTGTAAGGAACAATCGTCTAGTAAATGAGTCCAAGAAGCATTCCTGTTGCAAACCGTGCTAATTCACCTGCGATGTTGGATCTACGCCTCATGAACATTATTATTATTTTTTTTGGGGCTCTTCCATTCTTCGTGTACTCTTAATGGGACGATATTGGGCACCTGCCCGCGGCTCCTGCCACAATCACTCGCCTCGGGGCCCACCTGCAGGTCGTGCACCACGCCCCGTCAATATATCGACGCATGCCGTTAGACGACGAGTACCCTTGTTGTTAATTGACCTCAGCAACCACCTGTTTTGAGTTTGTGCTGGAGCCCTGCTGACCTCTACTCTCAGTTCTGTCGGAGACTACAGACACCCTCCGTGCCCTCAAGATTGCTCTCCGACGCCTATCCATTGTCCACTACAACAAAAACGTATTATTAGATTGTATTGTTTTTATTTATTTCATTTTATTTTATTTGTTTTAATTTTATTTTTTCCCTCTGTCTCTGTTAATTCAGTACACTTTGCGGCTCGTTGTTATTGTCTCAGTTACTTCCCGCCCGTTCATGCACATTCCGGTACCCCTGACCTATGTAGAGAGAGTGGATAGATGAGCAAGGGTTCCTGAAGCAAGCGATTAGGCCTGGTAATTTCCCCTGAACTGCGAACTGGAAACTGCAAAGTCCCCCCAATACATTGCCACCTGGTCTATCACTCTCGCCCACCTCACAACCAACAAGCCCCCCTCCCAGGTAACCACCCCACCGTGCAAACGATCTGTTTTCTTTTTTTTTTTTGCCCGCCCGCCCGCCAGCAGCCCTCTTGAAATGTGTCTTGTCTCTTTGTAGCATTTCTGATCCGTACAGTTTCTCGATTTGAATTATTTTTTTGCCAGTCAGAACGAGTTTTTAGTTTTAGTTTTGTTTTAATTTGATTTGTTTTTGTTCTTCTTGTTCGTTGTATCCTTTGTTCCCCCAACGCGTTGAGATTGCACATCCCCATCTGCCAGTCTCCCCTTAGCCTAGGCCCGTATCGTTGTGGCCGCTAAGCTTTGCACCACCACCCCCCCCCCCTTTTTTTAGTATTGTGTATATTGATGGCCTACGTGCACACCACGATCCCAACCCCAGCCCCTCGTTCAACTCAATTCAACCTAAACTCGTAGTATATCCACCCCACCACCCCTTGTCACTCGCTCACCCTTGTCACTCGCTATGTCCCGAAGGAACTCCATGACGTCCAACGCGTCCATTCTGACCACCGGGTCCACGTTCATGCGAAGCATGTCCACTGAACAATTATTGGGCTACGAGGATAAATTCACCAAGAAGAGCATGAAAAAGACCCCAGGAGTGGTTAATTCTGTAGGGGTCAAGAAACTGATTCTGGTTCTGCAACTGATCCAAAAGATCCAGAAATTGACTCCTAGTCCGCCACTGGCAGGCCTGGCAAGCCTGACAAGCCTGACCCCGATGGTACAAGGTTTGTCACTGCTGCTGCTGCTGCTGCTGCTGTCCAATGGAGGGTTCCACAAGACTCAGAATGGAGCCTATATATTCCCCAATGGGGAAGTGTTCAGGCCACGTAACTCGAGTTCTCCTGCCAGCACTGGCACGGGCATCACCTCTACTGCCACTTCCACTGCCACCTCCAATACACCTCCACATTCATCATCACCAACTCCAAAAACATTTATGACCAAATCCAATTCAATCAATAATATCAAGAAATTAAATTTAGTTCATTCCCTACGGGCCACCACCAATGACACCCCAACTAATATCCATATTCTGGCCAGTTCACATCTGGGTGCCAGTCAAACAACTCCGGGTGGACCGGGCCCCAATCATAGCATGCTGGGATCAGTTAAAAGACCATACCAATCGACCAATGTGGTGAAAGAGTCAGCCTCAAATTCGGTGGTATCATTAGATGATACAACAAATCCAACCCATCATAATTCTTCTTCTGATTCCAATCCTTCATCCCTTTCGAATTATAATCTCAATCGGTCGAGTACAAACACTCCAACCACGTCTATTAGTAATAGTATTGATGAAGGTACGATAGATGTTATACCTGAGATTGAGGAAAAGAATAGGGAGAGTAAGCGAGAAGATACTCATGTGTTGGAGTTTAATGTGGGGATAATAGAGAGAGAGTCTTTGAAGGTGTCTTCGAAGGAGTCTCCGAAGGAGATTCCTGAGAAGATTCCCCAGACGATATCGATTAATAAAGAGGCTGAGAAGATTAAGGAGAAGGAACCTCCAAAGGGATCTCCTTCTGAGATTCCTGAGAAGATAACCATTAAGAAAGGTAGTGAGAAGATTGAGGAGACTAAGGAGACTCCTAAAGATACTCCTAAAGAGACTCCTAAAGATACTTCTAAAGAGATTAAGGAGATAAATAATACTAAGGAGACTCCTAAAGAGACCAAGGAAAAGATTTCCAACGTTTCTAAAGAACTTTCCAATGAACCATCTTCAAATTCTAACTCTCTTTCTAATTCTTCTCCTTCTAATTCTACTAATCACACTCCAAAGGGAAGTATAACATCTGAGGAAAATGATAAAAGTGATACAAATGATACAAATGAATCCAAATACTCATCTAACGATGGGAACTCCTCCGATAATAAAAGTTCAAGTCAATTAAACTCCTCTGATGATTCTCCAGAAACTTCCAGTCCATCTGAATCCAAAAATTCCTCCTCTTCCAATGATTCTATTCATTTGAAAGACTCACCAGTGAATTCTTCAATCTATTCCTCAGGGACATCTCCAGATAATGCAATTGTATCGACCTCCAATGATACACTTTCAGTAAATCCTTCAAAGAAGGAACTTACTCCAGATACTCCCAAAAGATCAAGACTGGTTAAGTTTGTTGAACTCCTGGATACGTCACTTAGTTCATCTGAAAGTTCTGATGTTGGCTCTCCATCAGTTACCCCAATGAAGACCTCCATACAACGTATTATATCAAAGTTGGATGATCCATTGCACGATAAGTCACAGTGTGATGATTTAGAGAAATCGTCTCTGGTTCATAAGATTGACCTGGAAAAGAAAAAGGTGACTCCAGCCCCAGTTACCACCTCTCACTCTTTGAACAACTCTCTTTCATCCCAAGAATACTCAACCCCAACAACATCACCATTCCTTGAGGCAACCCCAATAAATGAACCACACAACACCTTCTATAAACTTCTTCATGATGATCAAAAGGAGGTCCCACCCCGTGGTGACTTGAAAGTTTCAGAAAATAAAGTCACTGCAATCCGAGGACTGGCCATATTCAATCATCTTGAAGCTTCGGATTATTCTTCCGATGACGAAATCGATATGGCTAGATCTTTTGAACCAGAGAGAAGAAACTCTGTGACATTCGACTCTTCTGTGGCTAGTAGTCCTGGTAGTTGTAATCCTTTCCCTTCAAGTCCGGCTTACAGCCATGAAGCTGACACCACGTTGATCGAGGAACTTGATGAGAAGGATAGTTCTCCATCCATTGTTGTTTCTCAAATCGATGAAGTGGATGAAGAGCAAGACAATGAAGTGGAGCAGAAGAATGAAGAATCAGCAACTAAGATCAATGACAATACTGATAATAATAATAATAATAATAATAATAATAATAATACGAATCTACTGACTGCCCCGGTTGCTGCCACAGTTCATAAGGAAGTTCTCCCTGCACCTATAATTTCAGAATCGACTACTACAGTTGCAGCTCCATCCACCAATACAATTATCAACGATGGGGCCTCGTGTCTTACAGGAATGATTTCTCCAAATGTTTCACCGGTGCTTCATCCAACTAGTGCAAACCCTTCACCCAAGATCACCACTGATTATAAATCAATGATTCCAACAAATTCAATTCCTACCCTTGGTTCGGAGAATGAGCCAAAGATAAATAGAAGGAATGTAGAGGATCCAGAGAAGAAAAAGCGGATTGAGAAGATGGATGAGAGGGTGCCTATGGTTTCTACAGCAGCCAAGTCTACTGAGAAGAAGCCTGAGTCTACATCTACTATTAAATCGATGATAGTCCAACCTGTGACAGCTCTGTCTGTGACAGCTCTGTCTTTGAAATCTCAACATGTTCCCACATCCACCAAGTCAGTAACTCCTACTTTCGCTCAACCCCGTACCCCCAACTCTAATTCTCGTGCACATGGCTTAAACCTCTCCAAACAATTACCCCCTTCACCAAAACTCTTTAAATCACATTCACAGGATCATTCACCAGTCAAATTAAAACTGACTCCAAGACTCCAAAAGGCCAAATCTTCTTCAGCTTTGAATAAACGTCTACCCCTGCAAACACATTCCCAGAAACTGGTTGACTCCTTGCAGGGAGACCATCAAGGTCAAAACCCAAAGTTTAAAAATTTCTTCAAGAAGTTCTTCAATAAAGCTGAACGTAAGGAGCTGTCATCTTCGTTGACCAGCACCGCATCCGCCACGGGGAAATGGGCCAGGTCAAGATCTAGCGACACGAATACACACTCGTCCAACAACTCCTCCATCAGCTCGTCAAAGATTACCGTGCTTCATAAGATGGCAGAGCCAATTATGGATGATTTGACCTTGACCAAACTCCCGAGCATCGAGCATGATGCCAACATGTTTGACGACATGTTACTCAGTTTCGATGAGAAATTCAATCGTAATAGTGTCATCACCACCAAGGAATCTACAAGGGATAATATTGATGCCATTTTCCGAGATGATGAATTGACCGAAGATCAGATTGCTGACCAACAAAAGAGAGATGGTGGTGAGGATACGGACAAGAGCCAGAGCAGTGAAGATATAGTGCAACCGGGAAATGAGCTGGGTGATGCGGACCATCTTTTACCTGATCATCTCAGACAGAACTCAGATGAACTCTATATCGATGAAAACATTCTCTTTGTACGTAATGAAGTATCATGGATGGACGATGTGCGGTCACTTCTAGACGACAAGAACATCTTGGCCCGGATCCCCACCAGTGATGATACCACAACCTCGAACGACGAACAAGAAGAAACATTCCTCATCGATAATGAACAATTGACCAATCTTTTCAACAACTTGACGGACATCCAGAGAAGATCTCTCCCGATGCACTTGAAGTATATTAGGCAATTCAAAGACTTTGACACATTGGAGATTACTGTCCGTACGGGTCGCAAGCCGTTAGTCCGTGGGGCTCAACCCGTGAAACCCAGCATTAGACGTGGCTACCCTGGCGGTAGTCACGAGAAGACGGCTGGTCCCACCAACAAACGACACGTCACCTTTGGGCACAAGATAAGCGTCAACGAGACGTTTGCGCCAGAGTTGTACAAGCGGTACAACAAGTCAGTCACACAATACACCTTGACCGAGCCGTACGAGATCAACAAGATCAAGGCCGAGTTGAATCACTACAAATGTAATGAGATGCTTGTTCATGAGAAATCGCAAAACAACACCCATTTCTTTTATTAATATACAAACGATTAAGTTAGAAGACCTTGTAGACATATCCACCCTGCGGGATTGTAAGCCGCTCCGCTGGCACTCCGTGGGCCACTGGCCGTGGGGGCCTTGTTCCTCTAACGAGGAAGTCTCAGTCTAGCCCTGCAGTCTCCTCGTAGAGGAGCTAGGCACCACGCAGTGGCTCTCCCCGAGTAGGGGCCAGCAGAGCGGCTTGCTTACCCCGTAGGGCAGTTCTTAGTGGTTTCCCTGTGGGGAAATTCTACACCCTGTATCAATTTCGTATTCTCTATTCTCTATATTTATCTATCTATGTACACCCTCCAAGCGAAGGAGGGGTGCAATCAGCTCCCACGGTATGTGGTGTAACTGAAATTGGACAAGAGTAAAGGAATGTGGTAATGGGCATCGGGAGGGTTGGCCACTGTGAATGTGATTTCTACAAAGGGGAAGAATGTTCTGCTGCTTGGACCCAAACGATGGAAATATTGGCCAGTAAGGAACTTGATTTTATAGATCCCTGGCTTGAGTTTCGTCCATTCGGACTCGGAGGCAAAACCCAACTCCAGGTTGAGCGTGGCACTGTTCTCTGGGTTGAGGACCCACCCTGTTATACGGCCATCCTTGTTTGTCTTACCCATTGCAAACGGTTGTGATGGAGGAACTTCATAGGCAGATTCGTCATCAGAGGGGGTAATTGGTTCGGAGACGTAATAAATGGCACAAGTTACCAGCTCGGCTGGCTGACCACGTGTAGTGTCAAGGATGTGGCAGGTAATTGGAGGCATAGTTGAATGAAGATGTATAAAGAAGAGTTGGGTATATTTGCTCTTCTCCCATCCATCCCCAATTTTGATCTCTCTCTGATAACATTCGGAAATCGCCGAGAATTACCCGATAAGGAGAATCCCGCACGTCCGGTATATAGAGTGCCAGTTTTGATTCTATACTGGCAAGGGTGCAAAACCTTCCCTAGGATACATCTTGTAAGGGTTAACTACAGTTGAGTTATTGTTACGTGATGTATCCTGGGTGTATATAGTCTGTAGGCTAGTAAATTTTGTTAGTTTCGCGTCTCTGACTTGTATATTTTCTGAGTTACTTGTAGTGTCTCTGATACCATTTCCCGATAATGCTGTCCAACTTCGGTGACCAGGTTAATCTTTAAAGGAGTACACGTCTTCTTATCATCTCGATATATATTTCGTAGGCAATAAAGTATTGTGTAATTCCTCACCCAAATTTCCCATGGTGCTTCAAAATAGTGACAAAAACCTTATCTGTGGTTCCTTCGGTCGTGCAGGATAATCTTTTGTTTCAGGGGGGGCTACTAATTACAATTCATAGTCTGATCCTTAATGCAATTGGATGGGAACAGAAAGTAAATTCAATCTGTATCTATCCATATGTCCGACGTTATGAGTGTAGATTGGTCTCAGTATGGATTGTCCTTCTTAAATGGGCCAGTAACGTACCCTTATGTAATCCATAGTGGCAATTATGAAGGATTGGTGAAATATGTGTCCGGGCCAGAATTGCCAAACAATGGTGCCATGGTTGCACTAGAATTGGAAAGTTCGATGATGTTGGTCGATGGAAGTTGGTATCAATTGACTCTCGACCAACCAAATCAGCAGTACTTGCGGTATCTGGACGATTTCATCACCAAAGTGTATCATTTATACAATGAAGTTGAAACTAACTACCCTCTGTTTGAGGAAGCATTAGACTATTTGAGAAGACAAGATGGTACGCCAGTTAAGCCAGATGTTGAGCAGGTAGTCGGTCATGTACAGCTCGTGTTGCAAATGAAGCAATTGGAAGATGATGGGGATGGTAGTTTGAAGAAGAAAGAGGAGTCATCCTAAGTGTATACGAAAGAGCTGATCTCTCCCGGTAATGGAGACGTACCTTAAATATATGTTTTAGCAAATCTAAGAAAATTCATATTGTACCGTAGAAGAAGTGGAAGTCTACTGGCGACCTGTGGAGTACGCTCAGATGGCCCCTACTCGGGAAGAACCCCTATATGAGAAAATATTCACAGCCAAATTCCTCGTTAGAGGAACAAAAGCCCCCACGGCTAGTGGCCCGCGGAGTGCCAGCGGAGCGGCTCGCATACCCCGTAGGGTGTTTAGTAGTCTCTTCCCTGTGGGACTGGCGAGTCGCTCCGCTGGCCCCTGCTCGGGGAGTGCCACTGCGTGGTGCTTAGCTCCTCTACGAGGAGAATTTCTCAGCCATTCCTCGGTAACTGAAGAAGAAGGGTAGCGACCCCGTGAGGCGGGCTTTGCTTCATTACCTGTGAGGACGGTAACTACCGGTTTTATACCGGACCGTTTATCTACATTGCGATATTCTGATTCTGTTTACCATGTCTTATATATATTTCAAGCGGAATATTCCCATTGGTCATCGTTCTCATCATACTTCCAATTGTCTTCATCTCTTACCGCCCATTTTACTATGAAATTCACATGTACCGTTGATAATCCACTAGAAACATCACCCTGTCGTTGTTCTACAAATCGTGTAGCCTTGAAAACTTTCCCATGTTGTCTGACCCATGAAAGCTCATCAAAGATTTGAGAACAAAGTCTTTCAAGATTCGTGCAATCTGCCACTTGAGACTTGGATACTGTGATTAATTCGCCTGCAATGTGAAGAATGTGTCTAATTCTATGGAAAAGATCAGGTTTGTTAGGATGTTCTGGATCTTGTTGAATATGAATGTCTAAAAGTTTGGATATTTGACGATCTTTATAAAGTTGGATTAGTTTAAATTTCTGTTTCCCATTGTTCAATATCCAGGTAAGAAATTCTCCAGATAATTCAATGGGGGACTTATAATTAACCATGGTAACTTGTGTGACCCATAGATCTTCTTCTTCTTCATCTTCTTCTTCTTCATCGTCTGAGGTTAATGATATAATCTCTATTTCCCTTTCATAGACCCATGCGGTTTGTAAGAGTTTCCTATCATTGAGAATTCTTTGCCAAAATTCAAGTTCAACCAGTAAATCACCAGATTGTCCCTCTACAGATATATAATTGGCAAGAAATTGTTTGATTCTTTGGAATCCATATTCTATCAACAATCCCTGGATTGATATGATCGTTCCATAAACAAGTTTATCTGGTAGGAAACATTGTAGATAGATTCCTAGATTCACCTTGACATCTATAATCAGTTTCCTTCCTGATGAATCATCGATCCTGATTATATAATACTCCTTTTCATCATTGTAATGAGTAGACAATACTTTACCAAAGATTTTAACTCTTTGTATGGGGTGATTACCAATCATAAAGAAATTTTGTGAAGATAATTCATAACCCAGAGCTCCATAAGTTCTTATCATACTTTGTGACAGATTGAGGTCGTGTATACAAAGGAAATGTTCCTTTGAATAACTGGGACAATTGTGTAATAATTCTGGAACGTAAAAAGTTTTACCGTCACATCTTTTATAAATATTTAAATCCCCTGGAGCAAAATCATTATAAATAACATTTTTTGAAGTCATTCATTTACATGGACAGGGAGGAAGGTACAGGATATTAATACAGAAGGAAGCTATAAGAACTCTTTTTTTCTGGACATACAGATATAATTAGTGGTTTGACTTGGTCCTAGAAGAGAAATAGCTGTAGAAGTTGGATAAATTTGGGACCTTTGACAAACTTTGGCAACTTTGGGAACTTTAAAACTTTTGATTTTGGTTGTAAAAACAAAAATAAAAAATAATGAGAATTAAGAAATTATGGGTGGTGTGCATATGTTGGTACTCCTGCATGGGTGTACACCCAAACACCCACGGTGGGATATATGCGATGAGATAATTTTAAAAAGAATGTACAAGTTATTATAGATTATACTAGTTTAAAACGATTATAATATGAACTTATTCCAAGTGGATGGTTGGGATTTGAAGGAGAAGAAGATTGCCTTTGGTGGTGCTTCGACCAAACCTTCGAAAAAGAGTAAAAAGAGAGCCAGAAAGGAGGAACATTTGAAGAAGCGTAGTTTGAGAGATGAGATTGAAAAGGAAATGCAAGAGACTGAATTTGATGAAGGGGATGAAGATGAAGAGGAAGAAGAGGAGAAACCTGTAGAAAGAAGTGTAAAGAAGGCAAAGATTGAGGGTGAAAAGCAGCAAAAGAAAAATGATGTAGATGGTGTTAAGAAGGGTGAAACAAAGAAGACTGACACTTTAAAAAAAGCTGACACTTTGAAGAAGACTGACACTTCAAAAAAAGAATCAGCACCAGCTGCCGCTGTTGCTGTGCCTGCACCTGCACCTGCTATGAAATTAACTCCATTACAACAAAAAATGATGAATAAACTCTCAGGTTCAAGATTCAGATGGATTAATGAACAACTTTATACAATCACATCTCAAGATGCTCTCCTGCTTATTAAAGATCAACCATCACTTTTCGATGAATACCATGACGGGTTCAGATCGCAGGTTCAATCCTGGCCCGAGAACCCCGTCGATGTTTTTGTGGAACAAATCAAAACTAGAGCTCGCACCAGAGTGGTTAATGCTCCTGGAGGGCTCCCTGGGTTGGGTGCAAACAAAAAAGTTGTTATTGCCGACATGGGATGTGGAGAGGCCAACTTGTCACTTCAAGTATCTCAATTTTTGACCGCCCACAACAAAAAGGCTGGTAAAAACCCTAGAAAGAGACTTGATGTACAAGTACATAGTTTTGATTTGAAAAAGGTCAACAACAGAATCACCGTAGCTGACATCAAGAACGTGCCATTACCAGATGAATCGTGTACCATTGTTGTTTTTTGTTTAGCTCTTATGGGTACCAATTTCTTAGATTTTATTAAGGAAGCCTACAGAATTCTTGCTCCTCGTGGAGAATTATGGATTGCAGAAATTAAATCCCGATTCTCCGACTCCAATAGTACCAAAAAGGATGCCCAAGTGGGGACTGAGTTTGTAGATGCATTGAAATTGTGTGGATTTTTCCACAAAAAGACTGACAATGAAAATAAAATGTTTACAAGATTTGAGTTTTTCAAGCCTCCTCCAGACATCATCCAGGAACGTAAGGAGAAGCTCGAGAGAAGACAGAAGTTTGTGGAGGTTGAGCTGGAACGTGAACAGCTTGAAGAGAAGAGAAACAAGCGTCCTGAAGGGGAATGGTTGTTGAAGCCATGCATTTACAAAAGAAGATAAGCAATTCTATATAGAATAAACATAAACAATGAAGTCATCCCTTCTGTAGAATAACAAAACAGTCGCTCATTCATTCCCTCCTAATGGGCCCAATAGGGAGAAACGGTTACCCTTTCCATCTTACCAACCAGCACCATGGGGTCAGGCCCTCCCCCCCCAGTTGGAACCGTGATGTCTAGATGTCGCGCGCCGCGCGGCGCGCGCTCGTAAATGTTCCAACTTAGTCCTGGCTAACATGCCTAATCGAGTGCACACTTGTGCACAAAAGTGCACTTTCGCACCCAATTTGGACGCAAAACCAGTCAAGTTCTGCACAAGCCGCGCGACGCACCGCACGCCGCATACAGGAAGCTGGTGATTTGCAACCAGCCATGTCCCCTAGTCCCAGATTCATATAATTACTTCGTCTTGTCCATGGAACACTTGTCGATTTCTTTTTTAGCCGCCCATAGAATAACATTCCTTCGACCGAAATACCAGGGGAATTTACAGAAGAATAGAGTAAATAAGATATGTCTGAATATTACACGCCAAACTTGCTCTTTAGACAGAATGCCATCAGACACAGTCCCAAGAGTTCTCCGAACTCGAGCCATTCCGATCTCCGGCTCGGCACCCCAGCATGGATGCTCATGGAGAATGCCAACGACTCACAGGTGATCAACCAATCCTGTTCGCTTAACCGTCTCAATATCAAATCCAATTACTGGAAAATCCCTGACAATAATATGAACCTCACGGCCATGGATGTAAATACGAGAGCTGGTAACAATGCTGCTGTTGGCCTGGAAACTCCAACTTTAGCCATCTCCTCGGGGAACAAACTGCAAAACTTGTTCATCTACCAACTAGACACTCAGAACAATTACCTCACCCACAACAACACCATCTCTCTCCCCAACATACATTCAATGAAATGGGTTCCAGAACCGGAGTCCCACACCTTGGCCACGGGGAACAACGCCGGGTATGCCCATCTTGTATCCATCCCACGCGCCGATGCCGTGGACGAAAATGCCGAAATTATCAAGAAATTCAACCATGCCAAGTACTTGAAGCCACACACCACTTCAAACATCACCAGGTTAAACTTTTTGGACGAGGATAACCTCTTGACCTTGTACCAGGGCCATTTGTTCCGCTGGGACGTGACCAGCGCCAAGTCCAAGCCCACCAGCATCTCCACGCTCCGTGGGGCCCGAAGCTTCGACGTGATTCCCTCCAAACGTTCCACCGTAGCCATCAGTGGAGACTTTGGGGTGTCGTTGTTCGACCTCAGACAATCTGACTTTAAAGTGCCCTCGTCAATCCTTAGAAACGCCAATAAGGAGAAACTTGTGTCCAACTTGATCAAGTGGAACCCAAACGATGAGTATGTGTTTGCCGCCAGTCACATGGACGGCGCCGTGCGTCTTTGGGACACCAGAATGCAGGGCCATTATGGTGTCTTACAGGGGCATGGGAACAAGACTGTCACCAGCATTGAGTGGAACAATGACGACATCTTCACCGGTGCTCGAGACGGGAACATTGTCCATTGGGACCTTTCCAATACTGCTGATGATCTTATGAATTGCACCTTGAAAGAAGGGCTTTCCAGTGTCAAGTTCAACAGTCAAACCAACTCATTGGATGACATGGCCCATCAAAGACAATGTGGGACCGTTCTCCCAGCATCAAACACAAACATCACCTGTATGGCGTCCATAAGTGACAATGGCGATGATTGTAAGATCTTGTCCATTGACGGGAGCTCCTTCTTTGGGGTGCACTCCAAGATCTACGACGCCATCCAATTGAACATTAACTCCGAGAAGCTCTACTACAACGCCAGCGATCTTTCCTTGTTGATGAAGTCAGAAGAAAAGGTTTCCCTGGAGACTTTGGTTGAAGGAGATGATGAGCTTAGTGACATCGAGTCCCTTGTCGACGAATGCTTTGTCACCAAACCTTTGGAAGTTTCCAGAAAGCCCACCATTGACTTCAAGACTGTGGTGGAGAGAGTTAATGAGCTGGACAAGCCAACAACCCTTTCAAGGAAACCAACATTGTTGCCTGCCTCAGAAAACCTTTCCAGTGACACCTTGTTTGACGAGGTTGCACCTGTCACCACTGACAACGATGGGGATGAGTTTGAGTTTCAATTCTCGGTGGACAACTCGCCAGGGAACTCTTCGGACACGCTGCACGAGTTCTCCGACAACGACTCGGTATCGACAAACCCAACGTTATTGGAAGAAGTTTTCAGCAAGCATGAGGCCTTTGACGTTGAGTTTGACTTTCTGGGCATAAGCGTATAGATATATAATTGGAAGAGGGCATACCCTTGATGGTTTACAATAGGATTTTATAGAATAAAAGGATTGGTTGGGTACTTGGAAATGTAGAGATGTAGTTAGTTCCGAAGGAGATCTGGTACCACAGAGTGCCAACTGAGCGGCGTTGTAGCCCCGTAGGGCAGCACTACTCCCTTCCCTGCGGGACTGCAAGACGCTCCGCTGGCCCCTGCTCGGGGAGAGCCACTGGCGTGGAGCCTGGCTCCTCTTCGAGGAGAGAAGGAACAAACTGATTGCCAGGTGATGGTTTAAGAGACTAGCCTTTATAGAAGCCACATATATATCAATTGCTACTCTGACCGGGTGTGCATTGCTCTCCTTGGGCTTCTTTACAAGCAATTGAAAAAGAGAACTACGAAGTCTCCTCGTAGAGGAGCCAGGCACCACGCCAGTGGCTCTCCCCGAGCAGGGGCCAGCGGAGCGGCTTGCAGCCCCGCAGGGAAGGGAGTAGTGCTGCCCTACGGGGTTAGCGAGCCGCTCCGCTGGCACTCCGTGGGCCACTAGCCGTGGAGGCCTTCTTCCTCTAGCGAGGAATTTGGCTGCGAACAGTCCCCACGCCAGTGGCTCTCCCCGAGCAGGGGCCAGCGGAGCGGCTTCCAGGCCCCGCAGGGAAGGGAGTAGTGCTGCCGTACGGGGTTAACGAGCCTCTCCTCGCACTCCTGTGACTCCCATTTTCCAACCATAAACAACTCTAGCCGCTAAAGACGTTGGCATGTTCCCCCACGGACCCTTCCCCCACTTGCTGCTCGTGTTGTATGCCGTCCGTGCCGAGGCGTGTCTCGTCTAGCCGCCTCTACTGCCACTGCCACTGGCGCCGCCACCGCCGCCCCCCCCCCCCCACCACCTTTCTCGCATTAACCACCTCCGTTCTCCAACCCATCCACCACCAGTCGGCATCACACGGCATTCTCATGTTCAATTCTCACCACCCGACCACTCCGGGTCCATGCATACGATTCGTATTTCTTTTAGTCAATTCTATTTTTCTGTCTGCAAGTGAAGGCGCGACATTATTAAGACATTATTAAGAAATTATTAAGAAATTATTAAGAAATTATTCCATCAGGTGAATCATCTGAAACGAACTCATCTCGCTCAGCCTCACTATATTAGTGTTTCTACCGCTAGTACTACACTTCATCTACTACTACTACTACTACTACTACCACTAATTCAATTCTCTTCTTCATCCTCATCTAATCCTCCTTCGCTACCACCTTCCCTAATTTACCCCTTTTTCTCTCTATGTCTAACATTTCTCTACTACTCACCGAACCCGCGCTGTTTTACTTTTTTCCCTCAATGTCTCTCTTTGTGTAATCTCCCTCCCACAATTGCTGTCAAATTATCACCCTGTCCCTAACTATAGCAACCACACACACTAACTCACACCCACACTCCCTCCCACACTCACTCCCCTAAACACTTTCTCAGCCTGCATCGTAGAAATTCCTCGTCCTCTCCTGCACACCAGCCCCATTCTGTCCACACCCATTCTCCCAATCTCCTTCTCTGTTCCGCCCCTTTACTACTTGCACTCCTTCTCTCCTTCTCTCTCTCTCTCTCAGGATTTGTTTTTTTTTTTTTTTTTGATTTCCAACTCTCATTTTCAAACCGCATTCAGAAATTTTGGTCAATTCGCCCTTGAGAAAAAGACAACTCATACCCCCCCCCTTAGACCAACCATCACACCCCCGAAACCCATGCCTGCGTCGTCCGGAACCCCGATAAACGTCAAGGTGGTTGCCGCCGAGTCACTCTACAAGCGGGATGTGTTCAGACAACCCGACCCGTTTGCCGTGATAACCGTGGATGGCTCACAAACCAAAACAACAAAGACCGCGAAAAAGACGTTGAACCCGTACTGGAACGAGTCGTTCAACTTCAGTGCCATGGAGGACTCCATCTTGGTGATCCAGGTGTTTGACCAGAAGAAGTTCAAGAAGAAGGACCAGGGCTTTCTTGGCGTGGTCAACGTGAGAATTGGTGACGTGATTGATTTGTCCTTGCTGACCAGTGAGGAGACCATCACAAGAGATTTGAAGAAGCTGAATGAGAACTTGGCTGTCAGTGGGAAGATCATTGTGGTGATCAGTCATAGAGCTGCCAACACCAGCACTTCCGGCGTGGCTGGTTCTGGCCTGGCCTCCGGTGCTATCTCTGGTAGTACTGGCGCCCCTAGCGCCTCCACTCCCAGCACTGCTGGTGCTGGCCTTGCCCCACCCATAGGTGCTCCATCGGCCGACGGCTCTGCCGCCGGTGCCGCCGCGGGGGCCCGTCAATACTCCTCCTTTGAAGACCAATACGGCCGGTTGCCCCCTGGATGGGAACGTCGAACCGACAACTTTGGCAGAACCTATTATGTAGACCATAACTCAAGAACAACCACCTGGCAACGTCCCACCTTGGACCAGAGTGAGAGCGAACGTGGTCAGCAACGGATCAACGCCACCGAGGCCGAAAGAAGACAACATCGTGGCAGAACCCTCCCGGGTGAGGGTCCTCAGTCACCCAACGTAACCGGTGGTCCAGGCTTGTCGGTGCCAGGTACTGCTGGCTCTGCTGGTGCTGCTTCTGGTGCTGCTGGCTCCAGTTCCTTGGCTGGCAACTCTGTCACCTCGGGGAACGTCACGGTGAACTCCACCGGGGCAAACACCCCAGTGTCTCCTGGAGCCGCCGTTTCCATGGCCGCCAGTGGCGCCACCACCACGGGGCTTGGAGAATTGCCCTCAGGATGGGAACAACGGTTCACCAACGAAGGAAGACCATACTTTGTAGACCACAACACCCGTACCACCACCTGGGTCGACCCCAGAAGACAACAGTACATCCGTACCTTTGGCCCCAACCATACCATCCAACAACAACCAGTCTCACAATTGGGCCCACTTCCTTCGGGCTGGGAAATGAGACTCACCAACACCGCAAGAGTGTACTTTGTTGACCATAACACGAAAACCACCACCTGGGATGACCCAAGACTCCCCTCATCACTCGACCAGAACGTGCCCCAGTACAAGAGAGACTTTAGACGGAAGGTGATTTACTTCCGGTCGCAACCAGCGTTACGGATCTTGCCCGGACAATGCCACATCAAGGTGAGAAGAGATCATATCTTTGAAGACTCTTATCAAGAAATCATGAGACAAACACCTGAAGACTTGAAGAAACGATTGATGATCAAGTTTGATGGGGAAGAAGGTTTGGATTATGGTGGGGTCTCAAGAGAATTCTTCTTCTTGCTCTCACATGACATGTTCAACCCATTCTATTGTTTGTTCGAGTACTCTTCCCATGACAATTACACGTTACAAATCAACCCTAACTCTGGAATCAACCCAGAACATTTGAATTACTTCAAGTTCATTGGTAGAGTCGTTGGGTTGGGTGTTTTCCATAGAAGATTCTTGGATGCATTCTTTGTTGGGGCATTGTACAAGATGATGCTTCATAAGAAGGTTGTTCTACAAGACATGGAAGGGGTGGATGCCGAATTCTACCGGTCCTTGAAATGGATCTGTGATAACGATATCACCGACGTCTTGGACTTGACATTCTCTGCAGAAGACGAAAGATTTGGAGAAATCGTAGAGGTTGACTTGAAAGAAGGAGGAAGAGACATTGAAGTCACCGAGGAAAACAAACATGAATACGTGGAATTGATTTCCGAATGGAAGATCAGTAGAAGAGTCGATGAACAATTCAAGGCATTCATCGATGGGTTCAACGAATTGATCCCACAAGAATTGGTCAATGTCTTTGACGAAAGAGAGTTGGAATTGTTGATTGGAGGATTGGCCGAAATCGACGTCGAAGATTGGAAAAAGCACACCGATTACAGAGGATATCAAGAAAATGACCAGGTGATCCAATGGTTCTGGAAATGTATCAAGGAATGGGATTCGGAACAAAAGGCCAGATTGTTGCAATTCACCACCGGTACCTCGCGTATCCCCGTCAACGGGTTCAAGGACTTGCAAGGGTCTGACGGGCCTAGAAGGTTCACGATCGAGAAGGCCGGTGAGTCCAACCAATTGCCCAAGTCTCATACCTGTTTCAACAGAGTGGATTTGCCTCCATACCTCAATTACGAGGCTTTGAAGCAGAAGTTGACCTTGGCAGTGGAGGAAACCGTTGGATTTGGCCAGGAATAGTTGCGTTGTGGTTATATAATATTGTTATACTTGTTTAGATATGATAAAGTTTCTAGGAAGGAAGACCTCCCTGTAGGACACCACGACCACCCTGGAGGGAAATGTCCATACGACCGCACAGGGTCCAGAGGAAGATGGCATCTACGGCTAGTGGCCCACGGAGTGCCATCGGAGCGGCTTGCGGCCATGCAAGGAAGTAGTGTTGCCCTACGGGGTAAGCAAGCCGCTCCGCTGGCCCCTGCTCGGGGAGAGCCACTGCGTGGTGCCTAGCTCCTCTACGAGGAAACTTCCCAGTTCTTCTAGGCTTCCTCGTCAGAGGAACAGGGGCCCCGCCCCGGCTAGGGGCCCACGGAGTGCCAGCGGAGCGGCTTGCTTACCCCGTAACTACTCTCTTCGCCCTGGGTTCCGCTCTGATGTCCCGTGCGCGTGAGAGAAAGTGTAATTGAAGACTCTGCTGTTGTTAAACGAGAGGTCCGTAGGTCTGATATTACTTATGTGTTTGGCCCTACCCATTCGTGATCTATTTCAAGAGCTGGAGGAGTGACTTGGTTATAATTTGGGCAGTGCTATAGACTTTATATACAAAGGATGGGCCGCTGAGAGATGAGCTCCTGTCAAATGTGGGCCTTGGTTAAACTACATCATTGTTCCCACCGCTAACACATTGGCCCGCGTTGTTAGCCCCACATTGATAGTTCTCGGGGAATCCAGCTTGAGGACCAACCAATAAATACCCGTGCCAGGCACCTCCATGAGTTAATTCAATACAGTAAAAGCTATTGTATCCCTTCAGGATAATTTGCTTGAATGCCTTGTCTAGGGCCCCTTGGATTGTTGATTGGAGTGCAGTGGTGCCACATGCACCACTGGCATGATACCTATAGTTCAATCTACCGAGTTTGTGGCCCACCCGCCCGCAGTAGTTGTAGTTGGATTGGTCCTTGATGCTGTAGGAAATCAGTCTTAAGCCATCAAGCCATGGCGGGGTTGCATCTGCAAGACTACGAAAGTCGTTCCCCGTTTCGAAATTCTTCAAGCATGCACGAACATCTGTTCTGAGCAAAGGGTTAGAAGGACCTTGATAGTTTGGATTGGGCACAAATACTGCTCGAATATCACTCAAATCAACCACAGAGGAGTTTGCCAAGTCGAGCCTTAATGAAGGGGCAAGTAACGGTCCCTGTGGCTCGTCGTTGCGGCTCTGAAGAGATGCTGCTGAAACCAAAGTTCCGTACAATACAATCAGAAGTTGCTTGAGAGAAAATAATGTAACCATGATGGGGAATTGGGTCAATGGAGAGATGATGAGGAATATTTTATGGTCAGATGGATATGATCTTGTATTAATACTCGCTCACTAGCCCCGCAGGGTATCGCCCCACACCATTCTCTGCGAGGGTAGAAAGCCGCTCCGCTGGCCCCTGCTCGGGGAGAGCCACTAGCGTGGTGCCTAGCTCCTCTTCGAGGAGACTGTTGCAAAGACCCCTTGAGTTTCCTCGTCAGAGGAACAAGGCCTCCACGGCTAGTGGCCCACGGAGTGCCAGCGGAGCGGCTTACACCCCCGCAGGGAAGAGAGTACGGTTGCTACCGGTCTAAGAGGCCTAATCAACGCTTCTTGACTACGAGTTTGCAATGTATACGAGTTCGTAAGTATCAGTTGTGGAGTACTTACTCACTCAGGAATCCAACTAAACTCCGGGATGAATACCACTTAGTTCTGACAAATTTCACCCAACCGCATTCTCTATACACTACATCCACCAAACTCGTATGAGCCACCATCATATGTCTCTGAAAACGCGGCAAGACATCCAATAGACAGTCAAGATATAATAGCCGATGTTCAAGGTAGTCCTTTCTTCTTCTCTTTCACTCTGTTTGCGGTCCACCTGGGTGCATATTCCGCCTCAATATTTCCAATTTGGGAATTCGTTGGCCACTCTTCTCATGCACCTACCCGCCCACGTACTTTATTTTTTGACATAACACGATCTGAGGCGTATCCCCTACACCATTTGGCCATGCGACCATCTCGTCGCACATATCTCGTACCGAAGGTGTAATGACAACTTTCGAGAATGTTCGGGAGCTTTGAAAAGGTACGAATGGGGGTAAATTGTCCGGGTGCTACCGGCTGATTTGATCTCGGACCACAGGGGAACTGTGAGCCTCCTTCCCTACGGGGTATGCAAGACGCTCCGCTGGCACTCCGTGGGCCACTAGCCGTGGGGGCTCCTGTTCCTCTACGAGGAATTTAGACAATTTCTTCTAGTAAAAGCTGGTCACCACCCCCCAGAACATCTCCTGCGGAGAGGTTATGGAGCTAGAACCATCCAGGGAGGATGCCTAGTCATATATATATATTTAGAAGACTCTTCATGTTCGACTTAGGAGTCGTTGTGCTTCTCCTCTCGCAGCTCGACTTTGCGACGAATTTGGTTACACAAAATTTGCAGCCAAATTTTTTGGTTGCAAAAGCTGCGCAGCCAACTTTTAGAAGGGTTTTCGTTATGTAAAACGCTGTTTAATTGCTGGAGTTTGCTCTACATGGGTTGGTATGTTGTTGGTCTACCTTCCTTTCTCTTCAAGTTCACTTATTTCGAATACATAAAAAAAAATTATTTAGCAATAAATTTCTATTTGGAAGAAAATCACGAGGACATTGTTTACTCACAAATCTACTCGTGGATGAGTTACCACTCCAAGTCTCCTCGAAGAGGAGCTAAGCACCACGCAGTGGCTATCCCCGAGCAGGGGCCAGCGGAGCGTCTTGCTTAGGGTGGTACTCTCTGTTCCCCGTGGGGCCGCAAGCCGCTCCGCTGGCACTCCGTGGGCCACTGGCCGTGGAGGCCTTGTTCCTCTGACGAGGAATTGTCTCTAGCTCGTTCGATGAGCGTCCTACAGGCCCCCCTATAGGGGTCACGGGTTTATATGACTATAGAGTGTCTTATAGGAGTAAACCGATTTATCTAGTGCTATTAACAGAACTAAAAAATGAACAAGGAGGCAAAGATGAACGCTATCATAGACATCGCATTGGAACCATGCACCACAGCCTCACCTTTCAGAGTAGTGTTATGGTTGTTGTAATCGACTGGCAAGGGAGTGTGAAGAACGGACGAGTTGAAGGAAGGCGTCGTGTAGTTTGTTGCATTTGTGGCACTAGGGATAGCCTTGGAGATGACTTCAATGTCTTGCTCATTGGTGTACCGGATGGGTGCAAGAGATACGGTATTGTCCTCCAAGTCAATCACCGCATATACCCTTCTTAAGAAGTCCTGCCCCAAGACAAACTCTTTCATCTCTGAGTTCTGCCAGATTCCGTTTGATATGTAACATTGGTCGTCGGACCCCCACACAAACTCATTGTAAGGGACATTGATAATAACACCACCAATATTGAAGTTGAAGGATATTTCCAGGTTGGTACAGGGAACCTGGAGAACATGCAGATCTGTGTGGTAATTACAATCAAGCTCAGCACAGATGTTGTCCAACACGTCGGCTGGGAACAATGTCATGTACAACCCAACGTCAATCATTGCTGGGTATGTGTTCCCATTGGTGAAATTAGTCTTTCTTCCACCTCCATCCGTGGTGTATAAATCTTGGACAAGAACTGACGGGAAATCATCACTCAAATTGGGAAATGTGACAAGAGGACCCTTGTACTTGGCGTGGTCAACACCACCTAATAAGACGCTACCAGAGGAAGACTCAGAGGAGTTCAAGAATAGCGAGTAGGCAGCCTTTTTGATGATCCCATGATTCTTCAACTGGAAGACAAAGCTTTCGTCCTCCAGTTCACCTTTGGCTGGGTGTCCAATTCCAAGAACCCGATCGTTTGTCACTGACACACTTTTTGTCACCAAGAAGGGGAATTCATTCATTGTGAGTCCATGAACCTCTATGGAGTCATGGCCCCAGAATCCAAGGGATCCTTCTGGAACCGATCTCTTGGAGTCATTGGCAAACGTATGGAACGTGGAAGACTTGGTTTCGTCAAAGACATCTTGTTCTTCGGTGGTGCAATGACTACAAGAATTACGAACCCCAGAATCAGTGATGTTCAGTGAGGACACTTGGATGTAGGATTGTTTACCGTCCAACAAGACATTGACCAAGTCCTTCTCGGAACCAACCCACACCTTCACATTGTACAGCATGCTTTCATGAATGAGACCAAGCTCAAAGGCACCCTTGGTGGAGTTTCTTCCTGTTTGAGAGACGTTTCCAACGGCATTTACGGCACTCACAAGAAGTGCCAGGGAAGCTGTGAGTGCAATTGCAAACTTCATTCTTAGTAATTGTGTATGGAGAGAAGTTCATTTTTTTTTTTTGAAGCTGCTGGCGGCGACCAGTTATGTTATAAATGCCCCACACCTCTACTTACGAGATGTTGTGTGTTGTATATATATATATACGTTTGAGTGGGAATGCAGAGAACAAACATCTCGCGTATGTGTTGCGACGGGTTCCCGCCTCAAAACATTGCATGAATTTCATAATAATCACGCCGGTTACCCATGCCACCAACGTGCATGAACCTCAGATATTCACCGAGACTGGTGACTATGCATGTGATGCTAGGATGGTGGGGATCGTATATCAGAGCGGGAAGATCGATGAGATGACATTCAAGAAGTGAGACAGAATTAAATATGAAAGCTGGATCCACATACAATCCTATAGACTCTATCTAGAGCTTCTGTTCTGACAATAATTTGTGCTCTCGATGTATATTCAGCATGGTAGATGGCACAGTTAAAGGCTATTCTAATCTACTTCACCACATCATTCTTCCCACCACTGCTGTAAGCGTAGAGAATTCTTCTGGCGACTGCGTGAACAGTCATACACGGTTCTACACAACTCTTGGAATTAACAATTCATGTGGGGGCTTCCTCGATAGAGGAACTAGGCCTCCACGGCTAGTGGCCCACGGAGTGCCAGCGGAGCGGCTTACAGCCCCGCAGGGAAGAGAGTAGTCCCAGCCCTGCGGGGCTTCAAGCCGCTCCGCTGGCCCCTACTCGGGGAGAGCCACTGCGTGGTGCTTAGCTCCTCTACGAGGAGACTGTAGCAAGAGCAGACAAGTGAAATAAAAGTGCAAGTTGCTGCCAAAAGGATGCCTAATGGCTGGGTGATGGGTGATGGGCTCTATGAGTGTAACAAAGATATTCAGATAGCTCTACAGAGTGAACTCCTCCCATCATGATAGTAGTTGGGAAACTTTTAAGCGCTTTTCTTAGATGAGTGAAAGTAGGACCATTCTTGAGTCACGACGTGTGGAGAAGCCAGAGAATCACAGACGTCAATATCAAGAGCATAAGTACGAAGAGATATCTCACCATCAACGGATACCTTCCTTGTTGACAAAGGGATCTTCTACATTATCCAGCCACAAGTCACTGAACAAAATGTCCGAATACCACTACAATACGGGGGGGAGTTGCTACTTGATCCGTTAGCAATACAGCTTCAGAGTCATGACAGGAATCTTACCGGGCCTCGTCGTCAGGCACGTGATACCTCCAGGCCTCCCCCAGGCCTCCATTACTTCATTAACAATATTGTCAAAAAGCACTTTGTTGAAGAAGCTGTCGTGAATCCGAACCCTGTAAAATTGAATGAGCACAATATATGGAGCATAGTGAGCGAGGGGCCATTCTTAGTGTATATGATATCTCTTTCTAATTCTTGTGGGGGGCTTCCTCGTTAGAGGAACGAGGCCCCCACGGCCAGTGGCCCACGGAGTGCCAGCGGAGCGGCTTACTGCCCCGCAGGGAAGGGAGTAGTACCACCCTACGGGGTCCGGGAGACGCTCCGCTGGCCCCTACTCGGGGAGAGCCACTGCGTGGTGCTTAGCTCCTCTACGAGGAGACTGCCTACCTGTTCTTCTCAATTTTGTGACTCTTGCTCGTCAGAGGAACAAGGCCTCCACGGCTAGTGGCCCACGGAGTGCTAGCGGAGCGGCTCACTCACCCCGTAGGGTTGAAACTACCCCCCTGCTTCCCTCCAGAGCAGTAGGAAGCTCCCATAGTGATAAACGTCCCTCCCTTGTAAACCTCTCACGTGCCCTATTTCACGTGACTATCTCCGCCAAGGTCGTGTCTCTGTCTCTTTCTATCAAGGGGGTGAGAGATCTCCACCTGCCTGACTGCATATACCCCTCTCCCTAGGTTCCTAATGAAAGTTGTCACACCCCCATTGTCCCTTTCTAGTGTCCGGTGAAAGCCTACAATCTAAGTACAATGTCATTCTATTCATTTGAAACGTCTATATATGTGTCGTCACACTCTCACCCCGCCCGGATTAGGTCTGGCTGGGGATCTCAGTTCTTGCCGTTAGTGTCGGACTTTGCCCTCTTGCCCGTCGGACTTTGCTCCGAAACAGGCAAGGATCTTGGTGCGGCTGACACAGCTTTAGGAACTCTGGTCCCTCCAACACCAATCGCAATCGAGGGGAACTCCCCCCAGAGCAGCCAACCATTTGCGCGGGTAAGCCCCGGCCTCCTCCCCCCCAATCCCCACACCAGTATTAGTAATGTGTAGAAGCCTAAAGATGACCTAAGCCGTTTTCCATTAGTGGCGTTGTTCCAGTACACCCATCGCCCCCCTCTCTCTATTCTTTTCTAGTATATAAAGCGCCAGCGTTTGCACTCCGTCTCCCCCTTCCTCTTATCTCTTTCTCTACTCAACTCAACTCCACAATGCCTGACTTGTTTGATAACTTCTTCGGCCGCATTGGCACCGCGCTCAATGGCGGCAAATCGCATGCCCACTACGGGGGCAGTTCCCAAGTAAACACCGGTAAGTTCTACAGTTACCATAGCAGTGTTAACAATAACAAGTCCTGGATGCCCACGTCCAAGTCTTTCGACACCACGATGGACCGGCTTGACGAAAGCAAGGCCAAGCCCAGAATGGGGTCGGTTAGTTCCATGGCCTCTGAAGACGGCGGTGCCGGCTCCACCAGCAGACACGGCAGCGTTTCGTCGGACGGCAAGATCGACATTTAAATGGAGGGGGACCAGGTGCCGGCGCCTCTTCTTTTACATAAATAAATGTTTGTACTTTTCCAGAGACATCCATCGGGATGCTTGTAGAGACACCTCTTTGTCCAGTAGCCACGAGGGGCAACTGTAGCTCGTAGACGAGAAGAGAATGTAGAGAGGGATATGTAGAGTAGCGAAGAGGGAGTGGTGTGGATAGGAGAGGCGAGGCAAGATCGGAACGGGGTAAGCCAGCCGCTCCGCTGGCACTCCGTGGGCCACTAGCCGTGCGGGCCCTGTTCCTCTGACGAGGAAGGCTCAGGGGAATGGTACGTCACTTCGTAGAGGAGCTAGTGGAGCGGCGGCCCACAGGCCCCGTAGGGTAAGCAACTGGCATCCCTACGGGACTGCAAGCCGCTCCGCTGGCACTCCGTGGGCCACTAGCCGTGGGGGCCTTGTTCCTCTAGCGAGGAATGGTTGTAAGAGATCTCCTCGAAGAGGAGCTAAGCACCACGCAGTGGCTCTCCCCGAGCAGGGGCCAGCGGAGCGGCTTGAAGCCCCGCAGGGCTGGACTACTCTCTTCCCTGCGGCAGGTTGTACCTATCCGTACATCCTGGTATGGGAAGACGCATCGTCAATGTCTTGGAATTCTTGAATCATTTGGTCCATGAACATCAAGTCTTCGCTCGTCACAAGTGGCACCGTCTGGGTGTCGGCCTGTGCAAAGTTCGAGGTCACGTTGGTCACGTCGCTGAAGTCCTTCCCAAGCTGGAAGTCCACGAGAAGCTGGTCCGCGATCGGCAGGTACCTCGGGTCCATGGCGCTCTGGAACAGCATGGGGATTGTGGCGTGGGATGGACTGGGGACGGAGGCAGTACCAGGAGTCATAGGACGGCCATAACTCTCATCATCATCATTGAGTAAGTTCAGAATGGATGGAGGAGTCTTGGGGAATCCAAGTGGTGGGGCAAGGTCATAACGTCCAAAGATACCAAACCCCCCCACATGATCGAATACCTTGCGATGGATCTCACTTTTGAGTACAACCTTCCCAGCCTCCCAAAGCTCTTCGAGTTGTTTGAGTTTGCCTCGAGAGACCAAATTTCCTCGTTTCTTCATCTCTCCCATGAGCTTGAGCAGCACACGGAGGTATTGTTCGAAGGAGTAGTTGTTGGGGTTGTTGGGGACCTTGAGAAGGATGCAAATGACAAAGACAAGGATCAGTGATGTGAGATTGTCCAAGTCCACAAATCCAAAGGTCCGGATAAGGTTTTCCTTGTAAAGGGCAACAAAGAGATTGACTGTGAGTTGGGAGGAGTTAATACAAATGGTGATGATGTTACGGATGTTGGGCGGGAGGCTAGAAAATGAGTTTATTCCTTCATTCGAGCTTGTACTTGAGTTAGAGCCACGACCTTGAGTAGGATGTCCAGTCTGTCCAGTCTGTCCAGTCTGTCCAGTCTGTCCAGTCTGTCCATACTGGCCCGGCAGCAGATCAGTCTGCTCTCTCTGTAATTCCCCCGCCAACCTAGTCTTCACCAAATTCAACAAGATCGGGATACAAGTCAAATATATATGATGAACATAATTCAAATGAAGGGTATAGATCAACCGATTGTTGACGTTCCCGGCCTCCAACGGCAACCGTAACGTCAAATGTTGTGGGAGACCATTTGACCATTCAACCAAACTGTACAAGGTGGCCAAGATCAGATTGAGATACTCCTTGTTATCGATCGGAGGCTTCAAACAATAGATATTGTTTGTGATCAGTTCGGCGATTCTTGCGAGTTGGATGTATGGCACCATCAAGGCTGCCTTGGAGAACTCATCCTTGGCCACCAGGGAGTTCCCACCGGTATAATCTCGTGGCAATTCAGCGGTGATCTCATGTTCATTCAACAAGAGTGACTTCCCGATCCGGACACACACAAAGCGATTGAGACAGAAAATCGACCAAAAGATTCGATTCTCTTGTTCTGTCTGGCCCGACCGTTTATGGAGATTGAGCGAGATACACATCTGGAGCGCATTGAGAGTGAACATCACGGCAAGGTTCTTCTTGTCAAGGATTCTCAAGTAGACGGCTGCCATGCCAAAGAGTTCGATCACGTCAAGGTTCAGCGTAAGGTTGGTTTTGGAAAGGTTGAAAGTACAGAAGATGGAGGGTAAGTGGTTGATCACTTGGCGGAAGTACCGAAGTCCTGGTGTTCTAGGGTTGGAGTCTGAAGATGGAGAATGGGCCAGATGATCCAGTGCCAGAGCATGGGCCAGAGCATGGGCCAGTGCATGGGCCAGAGGTCGAGGACGCGGCTGGTCGACTCCTAAAGAATGCAGTGGACTATAGACCTCACCCAAGGCACATGTCATCAACACCTTGAGCAAGAAGAAATGGTTTGGGCTATGGGTCGGGGTTTCTACAAGTTCATGGGCAAGGAAATGGCCCGTGGATGGGTCAAAGTGCGCATGGAGCCGCCGTCTGTAGGTCTCTGGGTCAATGGTGAGGTACCCTGAGTTGATAAAAAGCACGACGTTGTCGAGAAGGGAATGAGCCTCTCCCAAGGTCAACAGGAAAAGACTGTGGAAGTCTGTGGGCAGTGGCTTTTCCGTGAGGATGTAGTCATACACGTCCTCCTCAATGAACGAATTGAAGTCTGGCGAGACAAAGAATTCAGTTGAGGGTGCCAAGAGGAACCGTTTGAGGTTCCAACAGACAAGCTCAGGTGAAGCTGAGCCCAAATAGAGCGAGAGGTTGACGGAATTGGGACAATTGTTGGAAGAGTTGCCACCAGCACTTCCGCCACCAGTTCCGCCGCCAACAGCACTTCCAGCACTCCCAGCAGCACTCCCAGCACTTCCAACAGCACTCCCTCCTTCAACTGACGACCCATCACCACTTCCAACATTACCAATTGATGTACCAACCCCAATTTCTCCAGATTCATTGGATCGGGGTTCCGCGGTCCCTGGCCGAGAACTTGGCGGGGCGGAACCTGCTCCTCCTGCTGCTGCCACCACCACCTCGTTCCCATTATCCTGGTACCGGCCACGCAAATGGGCCTTGGGCATGGCCCGCATCAGCCGGACCTGGCCCTCCAACTGCTCAATCCGGGCCAAATACTCCTCGATCTCGGTGTCCAAAATCGACACTCGCTTGGCCTTTCGCTTGTACTCGCACGCCACGTCCAGCTGCTTGCAATGGCGGCACGGGGTCTCGCCCGTGCACCGGATCTTGCGCCGGCGACACCGGATACACGCCTTCTTGGCCCTGTCTGTCTTGGGCTGTGGGCTACCTGACTGTGTTTCCATGGTACAATCAGTGTTGTTGTCCCTACTTTGTTGCAACTCCGCTTGAATCTCCGGCGTCCCGATTGTTGATAAGTGCGCGCCCGCCCGTTCGCGCGCTCGTTCGCTGGGGAGATCGTTGATTTCCCACGCTATGGGGAAAATCAAAACAACAAAACAACTCGAGCGATCCCTCTGGCCACACTCTCTCTTGTTGGTCCGCTGCTCCCTTCTTCTACAACTTTTCTACCTTCTCTATTATCATACATATATTCTTACAAAATTTCTATAGATACCCATGGCACTTCTCGGGGCAGGAGGACCGCCCTACGGGGTTCAGTAAGCCGCTCCGCTGGCACTCCGTGGGCCACTGGCCGTGGAGGCCTAGCTCCTCTTCGAGGAGAGTGTGAACATTGTAGTGTAGAGTGTACTCCTCGTAGAGGAGCAAGGCACCACGCCAGTGGCTCTCCCCGAGTAGGGGCCAGCGGAGCGGCTTACAGCCCCGCAGGGAATGGAGAGTGCCACCCTAAGCAAGCCGCTCCGCTGGCACTCCGTGGGCCACTGGCCGTGGAGGCCCTAGCTCCTCTTCGAGGAGAGTGTGGTACATTGTAGTGTAGAGTGACTGCTCCCCCCTGAGTAGGGGTCAGCGGAGTGGCTTGCAGCCCCGCAGGGTTAAGGTCTATAGTGGAACAGGCACGTCTACCCGGAGAGTGTCTAATGCGGCCACAACCTTGTGGTTTGGTGGCTCAGGTGGTCATGATCTGGAATGAGTGTACTCTCTGGGTCTCACTGGAGATGCAATTTATAAAGGGTCCTGCTCACTCTCGCGGTACCAGATTTCTTCTTCTTCAGGTGGCGCAGTCCCATGGGAGTCACTCGCCTTCCTTCCAAAGACATCGGCAGGGGAGATTTGTAGGGTGAGCAGCTCAGCGCCAAGTGTCTCCTCACAGAGGAGCTGAAATGTCGCATAGTTGTCCATTTACACTGGGACCAAGCTACAAGCGCATGCAAATGTCACCGAGGGCTTGTCTCTTCTCCATATATAGTCCTCTATACATCTATATGACCGGTAGAGCCCCATGGGGAAGGATCCACGGTCACACGGGGTCTTTAGAATAGGACGCTCTACTGGGGGAGTCCCTGCAAAGGAATAACCAATGCAGACTCGACAGAAGAGCTCTCGTGGGGGATTCCTCGTCAGAGGAACAAGGCCTCCACGGCTAGTGGCCCACGGAGTGCCAGCGGAGCGGCTTGTACACCCCGTAGGGCTGTACTACTCACTTCCCTGGCGGGCTGTAAGACGCTCCGCTGGCCCCTGCTCGGGGAGAGCCACTGGCGTGGTACCTTTCTCCTCTACGAGGAGACTCCAGGGCTGGGCTGAGACTTCCTCGCTAGAGGAACAAGGCCCCCACGGCTAGTGGCCCACGGAGTGCCAGCGGAGCGGCTTGCACACCCCGTAGGGTAGCACACACCTCACTCCCCTGGCGGGCCTGTAAGCCGCTCCGCTGGCCCCTGCTCGGGGAGAGCCACTGGCGTGGAGCCTTGCTCCTCTACGAGGAGACTCTACGGAGTGCCAGCGATGCGTCTTGCACACCCCGTAGGGTGAGAACTTACTCCATCTGGCATGAGAAGCGTTGCTGGAGAGGGTGTGCCCCGCAGGAGAAGAACGCAGTCCGGAAGGGGCGGGCCTTCTACGGGTATGCTGGAGGAGGTGGTTCGCTGGAAACGTCTAGATGCAGCACCAGAACCTCCAACAGGGCTTTCTACGGGCAAACGAGGAACTGTCGGAGTACAAGTCGTCGTTGGCGTTGTTGCCATTGCTGGCGTGGCGCGGGACGTCGCGGCCGGGCGGTGGAACAGCCCCATAGTTCGGCACGGCGCGTTGCTTCAGAACGAGCTTCAGGGTGACCTTGGCACGTCGAGGGGCCGGGTTCCCATAGCCATGGAGGTTTGTTTTCTTGTTGAGGGCGGCGTCCCAGCCGCGGCCATTGTTGAGGTCCATCCAATCGTAGTGGACGGACGTGGCCAGCGCGGAGCCAGCGGTGGCGGCGGTGGCCTCACTGTCGGCGGTCTCGGTGGACAGCACGGTACGATGGTCACTGTCACGCGCACGTTCCATCAAGGCGACCAAGTAGTCGTAATCTGGAGTTTCATCAAACTTCAAGCCACGGACATACGCCAAGTATTGAGCGAATTGAACGGGGAACCCGGCACACAAGTCTGCCACCAGGGTCAGTTGCTTCTTGAGGCCGATTTTCTCGTATTTCTGCTTATTGGTCGGGGCCTTGAGCCCCTGCCAGGGGAGCAGGCCTCGGAGGAAGTACATGAACACATGGCCCAAGCTCTCGAGATCGTCTCTTCTCAGCTGTTCTATGCCCAAATGGGTGTTGATGGACATGTACCGGGCGGTTCCCAGAAGGGCCTTGCGTTCACGGTAGGCAATGTGTTGGAGCGTACGAGGGTCACGGTATTGTTTGGCCATGCCAAAGTCAACAATGTGGACCTCTTGCAGTGCTGCGGTGTCAGGGCGACCAACAAGAAAGTTATCGGGTTTGATGTCTCGATAGATCAACAGATGTTCATGAAGGGTTTGGATCCGACGGATCATCTGACATGCAACAAGCACCACGGTTGAAATCAGGAATCGACGACCACACCATTCAAAGAGATCTTCAAGAGAAGGGCCTAAAAGGTCCATGACCAAGACGTTGTGGACGCCCTCCTGACCGAAAAAATAAACGCGTGGGACGCCAGGCAGTCCATTGAGCACTTTGTACAGACGGTACTCGTCACGAAGTTGTGGGGCCTCACATTTGCGGGGCTCGAACTTGATGGCCACCGGGGTGTTGTCAAGTAGATTGACTCCTTCAAAGATGATTCCAAAGGAACCTTCGCCGATTTTTTGGCCGACTCTATAATGGACGCCAACAATGTGAGAGGAGGCCATGAGACGAGGAGCTAGTAGTAGGGTGGAGCTAGTAGTGTAGTCGTAGCGGGTAGAGCTAGTAGTGTAGACGTAGCGGGTAGAGCTTGTAGTAGCTGGGGATTGGATATACCTACACTATCCTCTCTGATCTAATATCTATCAACAGGGGGTGACAGAGTAGGGGGTGCAGATTTAAACAAATTTGAGCAAAAATGACCGAAAACCGCTGGGTGGGGGGTGGACGAAAATTGATAAAATTGACAAAATTGACAAAAATTGACAGGGAGGAAGTTGTCTGCGGAGAGCAGTTGCGGGTCAATGGGTCAGTGGCGGAGGACCACGGGATGAACGGTGGTAATGGTAAGGGGGTGCGCAGCAGACTCGAGGTGGTTGTGGTGTAGAAGTCGTACACACGTCTATGGGAAACCAGACTAGGTTGTATACAAAAGTCTAACGGTCTGACCACACGGATTGAAAAGTCCGCCTGGGCAGGGAAAAAAAAAACTACAGCGGGTTGCTTATGGGACGGGGAGTGCCGTGCGAATGAGGAGACGACAACGGGAGGTGCGATGCAAGAGATGAGGGCACGGGACACGGGACAGTCGAACTGGTGGGGGGTAGGGTCTGTTCAGCCAGGAGAAGGGGGTTGTGGGGGAGCTCGAGGACGGTGGATAGAACGTTGAATAAACTGAAAGCTTTACAAATGGCGAGGTTTTTCGGTTGACGAAATTTGGCGTTTGTTTCGCTTGTGTTGAAATTCGCAGTGGAGGGAGATTGCACGCAGGAAGGGTTAGTTGGCGGGGAGAGTTGGAGGAAAAGCGCGCGCGCAAACATGGAGAGGGAGAGAGGAGAGTGGGAGAAGGGAGAGAGGGAGAGAGGGTGGGAGGGTGAGAAGGTAGGAGAGTCGAGGAGAGTTCTAGATGGAGGGAGAGATGGATTCAGAGAGGGAATGGATGGGGGGAAGGTAGAGAAGGAGATTTCGTGTTGGAGCATTTTTGGGGGGTTGGCTGGTTGATTGGAAGAAATTTTTCGTTGTTATCAATTTGGTCTTCATGCAGGGCGCATGGAAGCCAGGTCACGCGAGATGAGTCACGCGATAGGGTCACATGACGAGGAGAGAACTAAGGGTGGGGAGAGAGTGGAGGGTGGACATCATCGGAGGACTCCTCGTCAGAGGAGCTAGGCCCCACGCAGTGGCTCTCCCCGAGCAGGGGCCAGCGGAGCGGCTAGCAGCCCCGCAGGGAAGGGAGTAGTACAGCCCTACGGGGTTAGTAAGCCGCTCCGCTGGCACTCCGTGGGCCACTAGCCGTGGAGGCCTTGCTCCTCTAGCGAGGAGTTGGTAGGGGATGGTCCTATAGACGCTCTGTTAGCTAGTAGTCGTCGGGGCCTACGAGGAAGGGATGATGAGGATGTAGAGATTACGTAGGGAGAATGTAGTGTAGGGGAGAGAAAGTAGGGGAGAGTAGGGAGAGTGGGGCGGGCACTGTAGACTAGAGGGTGAAGGCCTTGGTGAATAAGGAAGGTACGCGAGGACGTCCCGGGGGGAGCTGGCCTCAGTTCGGGGCAGAGCCACTGGCGTGTTTTCTAGTACCGTTACGAGGAGACCCTTAAACCTGGAATACTCCTCGCCAGAGGAGCAAGGCCTCCACGGCTAGTGGCCCACGGAGTGCCAGCGGAGCGGCTTGCACCCCTGTTAACTCACTCCCCGGCGGGGCTGAAGGACGCTCCGCTGGCCCCTACTCGAGGAGAGCCACTGCGTGGGGCCTAGTTCCTCTGATGAGGAGAGACTTGGGAAAGGGGTAGGATTAGAAGCGAACTCCTCGTCAGAGGAGCAAGGCCCCCACGGCTAGTGGCCCACGGAGTGCCAGCGGAGCGGCTTACAGACCCCGTAGGGAGAGAGAGAGTAGCCCCCAGCCCTACGGGGTCTACTAGTCGCTCCGCTGGCCCCTGCTCGGGGAGAGCCACTGCGTGGTGCCTAGCTCCTCTGACGAGGAGAACTTGGACAGAGGGTGGGAACTCCTCGGTAGAGGAGCAAGGCCTCCACGGCTAGTGGCCCACGGAGTGCCAGCGGAGCGGCTTGCAAACCCCGTAGGGTTCCCTACAGGGTAGTGAGACTGACTCCACTCTACTGTCCACACCCGGGGGTGGCCCTACTCTACGGTATCTACTCTACAAGACTACTCTACGGTGCCCACTATCTGACGGAAGTGCTCCCCTTCCCCCCCCTGTTGTGGCTGCGGTCTTTGTTTTGAGCGTTTAGCGACCGGCCGCGGTGAAATTGACACCGCGAGGGAGTGAGGCAGCGAGGGCTCTCCCAGCGAGAGATCGAAGGGAAAGGAAAAAAAAAAAAAAAAAAACACAGACGAGACGCTTGGACCAGGCAAACCAGCTCGGGACCATGACATTCAAACCCGGAAGCAAGGTGTTGGCGTACCACGGTCCGTTGGTGTACGAGGCCAAGGTGTTGCAGCTGTACGAGGCCGGCAAGACGTTCACGGAGGATGTTGACGGCCACCACGTCCCGCTCACGGACGCGCTCAGTGAGGAGTTGCGGGTGGACCACGCGTATTTTCTCCATTACAAGGGGTGGAAGCCCAAATGGGACGAGTGGGTTTCGCGGCTGCGGGTGATGCCCGTGACCGAGGAGACGCTCGCTCTCCAGAAGGAGCTCAAACTGCGATTGACCAAGAAAAAGGCCGTCCCCGCGGCGGCGGCTGCCGCCGCCGCGACTGGAGGTGCTGGAGCGGGAGGACTGACAACGACGACCACAGGCGGTGCTGGCGACACAAGCAAGAAACGGCCACGTGGCAGTACCACCAACGACGGCCCAGGATCAAGGGCCAAGGGTACTGGTGGCAGTTCTAGTGGTGGCACTTCAGGTTCGGGCGCCACGGCGGGTGGAGGAGGAACAGGGGCAGGGGGTTCTACGGGCTCCAGCTCCAAACGGAAACGTTCCTCGGGCGCAGACATCTCGATCCACATCACGCCCAAGATCAAGTACGTGCTTGTAGACGACTGGGAGAACATCACCAAACAGAAGATGTTGGTCAATGTTCCGGCCAAGGTCAGTGCACGGGACATTCTCGAGGACTACCGCGAGTTTGCAAAGCTGGACGACGATGTGTCGTCACCACTCGCCCCTCAAGAGCTCAAACAAGAAGCACCACCACCCCAGCTGAGAGGGTTGCGCCAGCGCGCCGCCCAGCAGTCAGGGACACCTGCTGAGACGGTGGACGAAATCGTTACGGGCTTGGAGACCTACTTCAACCAGGCGCTCGGGTTGACACTCCTCTACAAGTTTGAACGGCTACAATATTTAAAATTACTCAAGGGGCGGCATGAAGGCGAGTCGGTTGCATCGATCTACGGGATGGAGCACCTTCTTCGGTTGTTCACGATCCTCCCGGGGTTGATCGCTCAGACTACAATGGACCCGGTGAGCATCAAGGCGCTCACAGCCGAGTGTGACCGCGTTCTACAGTTCATAGACGACAACATGGCCAAGTACTCCAACGGGTACATCAACGTACTGCCGGACTACGAGAACTTGGCCCAGTAGAGCACTCACGGCTCCACCCAATCCCGCCAGCCTCGGAGAGAGAAGCCTCGGTTCCAGTAGCCACTCCTCGAAGAGGAGCTAGGCCCCACGCCAGTGGCTCTCCCCGAGCAGGGGCCAGCGGAGCGGCTTACAGCTCCACAGGGAAGGGAGTAGTACAGCCCTACGGGGTGTGCAAGCCGCTCCGCTGGCACTCCGTGGGCCACTAGCCGTGGAGGCCTTCTTCCTCTGACGAGGAATGGTTGTAAGGCGGGACGAGGAACTCCTCGTAGAGGAGCTAGGCACCACGCAGTGGCTCTCCCCGAGCAGGGGCCAGCGGAGCGTCTTACAGACCCCCGGGGGGCCGCGGCTACCTACACCAGGTGTACTGCAAGGTTTGCCCCCCCGTCTGGCGATGGCTTAGAGGTCTACAGGACTGGCCACCAGTTCTGGATCATGGTCTAGTACATAGCTACATAGTCTCAACTGAGTAAATTGTGTATTTATAAAAAGTCGTAAATCATTTCGTCTAGGGAGAGTGGTAGTGTTGTAGGGCGCTGCGTGTTGTGGACAGTGCGGTAAAAAAAACGAACGGTAGGTTAGCGAGAAAATAGGGAGAAAATTTAGTGAGAAATAGCGCGAAAACTTAAAACTTTGCGGGGGCAGTTGTTTACAGGGGGCTAGCGGGGGCATCTAAAAGGGTAAACTCTTAATGTCAACCTCAACCAATGGGTTCTCCCGGTTGGCCTTAACCTCCATTTCTATTCTCCAGTGTCTATGCAAGCGTTCCTCTTCTTCTTCGGTGAATCCGTGCAACCCTTGGTCTACAAACTTCAACTTCCAAGTGTTGAAATCTTCTTCGATTTCGCACTTGCCGAAATCCATAGGGTAGCCGGCAACCGTCTCCAACTCGGTCATTAAATGACGTTTGATGTGGTGTTGGAGATTACGTTTAAACTTCTTCGAGTTCTTGTTCATGGTGGGCTTGATCTTCTCCAAGTCGTCATGCACCTCTTGTAACACAAACGGTGGGTAGTACGTCAAATGCGCGTGGAAGTTGTCAAACTCGTTGTCCCACGTCTCGTCACGAACAAACGTCTCAAAGGCATTCAAGTCATCAAACTCACGGAGTGGTGGTGGGGTCCCCGTTCTATCGGGTGCCTCTCTGAGGGCTTGCATTCTTTCGCAATTGCTGAGATTCAAGGGTATACTTGTATTCTTATTCTTCTTTGTCATTGTAATATTTGAGGGGGTAATTTAAGGGGGGTCAGTAAATTTAGTGAGCTTTAAATTTAGTGAGGATATTTAGTGAGGTCTTTGATCTTTAGTGAGGATCTTTAGTGAGGCTTCAATGGATTTTCAGAAATCATATATTTTACATATCTACATATTCACAGCTTATATAGCAAAGAGGGGGTCGACAAACAAAAGAATCTCCCCACTAGTATGGTCACACAATGTACAAAGTCTCGTGAACCTGAAAGAGCAAAATGAAATGTGGGGAGTGGTGTTACATTGATCGATGTAGGGATGTAGAATGACCAGAGGACGGGGAAAAAAGAAAATAAAAGTCCAGCGCTGCGAAATTTACGCAGAGAAATTTACGATGGTCGCAAAATAGCGTGACAGTTCGCTGGGGGGGGAAAACTCCGGACGCAATGCCGCCGGGAAAGTTTCCGCGGAAACAATCAGAGATGGTGCCACTTTCGGGCGGGTAGATTCTGCGGGACAGCCAGCCGTGCATCGTGACAGAGCGTTGCGAGACTATATCGGAGACTGTGGTTCCGGGACTGCTACCTGACCGCCTTACAGTGATGGGCCTCTGTTCTCGGAAGATCTTGACCAGTGGCGGAAAAACAAATGTCGCCGCTCACCAGTGGGAAGATCTCACGCGCGCGTGTGCGCGCACGCTCCGCGAGTGCGGGCAGGTACACACACGCGAGTGAAGCGTCCCTCCCCCTTTAGAGAGTAAATAGGGGCACACACACTGGGAGGAGAGATATTTTCTTGGTTGCGAAGAGGGGGAGACGGAAAGGGGCGTGGGAGTCGCTCCACGGGCAGCACAATGTGGGTCTCTAGCAGTGGTGGATGTATTGCTTGGAAAAGGAGGTCACGTGGTGTGCTAAGGGACTCTTCTGAGAGCAGTGGGCTACATTGACCTCGTATATAGATGAGGACTTCCTTCCCTACGGGGTATACAAGCCGCTCCGCTGGCACTCCGTGGGCCACTAGCCGTGGAGGCCTAGCTCCTCTTCGAGGAGTGTCACGTGCGTCCTAGCGGTCTCCTCATAGAGGAGATCACGTGATACAAACTCTATAGCTCTCTTCTAGTGAGAAGAGCTTAGTCTTCAGGGTCAATGGCTCTGCCCGTATAGTGGACTAGCGGGATTCGTAATCTGTGGATCCCCACTCCCTAAATAACCGAGTCTCTTTCACCACCCCCGGTCTCGATCTCGGTGTCGGTCTCTCAATCTGCAGAGTAGATCACGTGCGCCACCCAATTTACAGAATGGGCACAGGTAGAAGTTGAGAGGGGTGGGGTTACGTTTAATTGTAGAGAGAAGCTCCCTTCACAGGTGGAGAGGAGCAAGTAATTCAAGGTCCAAGATAAACAGGTTGGAGTTGTACAGAAGAAGAATTATTTTCTAGAGGAACCCCTCACCCCGTAGTCGCGGCCCATGTAAGGAGGGGGAGATAAGCACGGTAAGCGGAGATGCATCAGTCTTTCATGGGAGTGGGGAAGCAGTTGGTCCATGGATTGGAAGAGTGGAGTTAGACAGATGATAGAATAGGGGACATGGTGCCCAGGGGGCGGGGGGAATGTTTGGCGGAGGTCGTCCGGCCTGTGCATGATGGAGGGTGTACGTACCGTACTGAGTACTAACAGAGAAGCTAGTATACTCACGTGGATTGTAAGTGCCCTACGGGGTCCGCGAGACGCTCCGCTGGCCCCTACTCGGGGAGAGCCACTGCGTGGTGCCTAGCTCCTCTACGAGGAGTTTCCTAAGACTCTCCCAGGACCCTCGTGACTCTCCTCGTGAGAGGAGCTAGGCCCCCACGGCTAGTGGCCCACGGAGTGCCAGCGGAGCGGCTTGCTAACCCCGTAGGGTAGCCCTTCTCCCTTCCCTGCGGGGCCAATGAGACGCTCCGCTGGCCCCTACTCGGGGAGAGCCACTGCGTGGGGCCATGCTCCTGTACGAGGAGTTTTCTAAGACTCTGGGATTGCCCTCCCTACGAGGTCAGTAGTTTTTTCCTACATATTTCTCAAAGAGAACCAGCATCAATTCTTTTAGCTATACATCTCTTCTAGATCTTGTCCGTGACTGGCCCCTAGCTCACTCCCACGGTTCATTCGCCAATGGTGAAGGAAACAAGGTTAAAGCTGACCCGAAAGTTGCATCTATACAATTCACCAATCGAGTACAAGCACAAGTAAAATGCATTGGCAGCAAAGTAGATACGTGCCACGCTAATGACGAAATGATCTTGGAGTCTACACGGAAGATCCCAGACATGGCGAGCACTGCACGCCAATATTAAACAGGAAATCAGAAGACGATTGAGCGCCACCAAGACACTCTGCTTCACGCTCCACAGGTCGCCAGGGTACAACATCCGTAGGAGTGCTGGGAAAAGATAGTAGGCCCATCCTAGCAACAGGTGCTCTATCCAAAGACATGGCCAATTCTCATGTTCTAGCCGGTAACCGTGTGCTTCAAATGGTGATTGGCTCATACCAGGAGATTGAAGGTATTTGTAAGGGCAGCAATGAGTTATAGGTCTGCTGCGAGCTTTAGGGGATGTAGCCTTTTATGTGGACACCAGGGGTGCCCTAATGGGTTCCCGCACGGTAAACTTTCCCTTTGCGTCTGGATGATCTGCGACCCTTCGCAGCGTGATGTACGCTCCACCTCCTCACATGCGTGGAGGCGCCTCGGTTTCTCTGACATGGCGTATGCAAGCCTTTCCGCTGGCACTGCGTGGGCCACTAGCCGTGGCTCTCCCCGAGTAGGGGCCAGCGGAGCGTCTCGTGGATCCCATAGAGCTGAGGGGAGAGCCACTGCGTGGGGCCTTGCTCCTCTACGAGGAGGTCAGACGGACTGGTAGTCTCCTCGTAGAGGAGCTAGGCCTCCACGGCTAGTGGCCCACGGAGTGCCAGCGGAGCGGCTTGCACACCCCGAAGGGTAGCCCTAGTCACCACTCACTTCCCCGTGGGACAGTAAGCCGCTCCGCTGGCCCCTACTCGGGGAGAGCCACTGCGTGGGGCCTTGCTCCTCTACGAGGAGTCTTCTATGACTCTCCTAGGACCCACGTGACTCTCCTCGTGAGAGGAGCAAGGCCCCCACGTCTAGTGGCCCACGGAGTTCCAGCGGAGCGGCTTACAGACCCCGTAGGGAAATGAGTAGCACCCAGCTCTAGGGGGTCCGCGAGACGCTCCGCTGGCCCCTACTCGGGGAGAGCCTCTGCGTGGTGCTTAGCTCCTCTACGAGGAGTCCCATCACGGGCTTCACAGCAGCTTCCCAAGACTCTCCTGCGACGCACGTGACCCTCCTAGTTGGAAAAGCAAGCGCCTCCACGAGTAGTGGCCCACGGAGTTCCTTGCATACCGGGTATGGATGAAAGTAGTCTGTGATCTACGGCATCAGTATAACGCTCCACTATCCTGATATGACTTGGAGAGTTTGACCCCGCCACTGGCGTGGTCTGCTGGAGTCTCACAGTGCCGTCGTTGTAAACAGACAGAGTAGCGTGTAGGTAGAGCTTACATAATCTAGCGAATTCCGGTTTGTTTTTCCGCGAGTCGCGACTGATGGCTGCGAAAAGATCCGGTCACCGCGACCTTCTGTTTTTGTTTGTGCACTTGAATTTTGGCAACCATGGACCCTAATTAAAATATCTTTTAGTCCTCCTTCTTCTTTTTAATCTCCATCTTTTTAATGAATCTCCCTTCCATTAGTCGTATGTCTCTTGCTGGAAACAATTCCTTCGATATGATGTCATGGCCAATCCCTATGATCATCCTTGTGGTCTTAATCTTGGTCCTAATCACCCCTTTAAAATCCTTTTGTAGAGATAAGATCTCCTCTCTTCATTCCTCCCACTTTGACGACAGAGTCATGTCCCAAAAGTTAAAGAGGAAACTCTCTAGCTTGGGCCAATACAATGAAAAATTGAAATCTTCTCGTCGTTTAGCCACCAGTACTTCCACTTATGTTGACACCGTGGGTATTAACGCGAGACTTGATTATTCAAATACTTTATATTTCTCTCGAAGTGGTCAACAAGTATGTGAAACGACCCATCAAATTTCTGAGTACTTGTGGAAGTTCACTCAAGTGGTTGATCGAATTCTGGCCACCATTTCAGATGTGACATCAGATCCCAATCCTGACCTTGACAAGACAAAGGAAGCAATTGACAAGATTACCCGTTTGGTTGGAGATATAGATCCTATAGATGATGGGCATTCGACTGCACTTGCTTGGTTACGTGTCATTTATATGAGTATGGAGGCAATGAAAAGGTATACAAATATACCGGAAGATGAAGTAACACTGCCCTCGCCACTAGGTGTGGTTGCTAGCGAGGATACTGACCCTCTCCATCATGTGGTCTCCTCGTTACAGGAACAGGCGTGGCCACACCTAGCGACCCATATAGTGCAAGCGTGACTTGTTCAGCGCCACAGCAATGTAAAGTGCCCACTAGCCGACCCCAGTACGCACTGGATGCTCCACTGGGGTGCTACTCAACACAACCTGGCTCCACTAACCCACGGGGGAGTATCCTGCGAGTCACGTGAAGCTACTAGCCAGAGGAGCTATGGCCCACCGGCTACTGTCCCACTTAACCTCAGCGAAGCGAGTTGTTAACCCTACGCTGTTGCACCCATTAGAGTCCTCCACGGGGCATAAAACCGGGGGGCATGGTCCGAGCTCTTCTAGCGGGGAGGGAGGGTCCCGAGAGGTTGATCTCCTCGTAAGAGGAGCAGGGCCCCCACGGCTAGTGGCCCACGGAGTGCCAGCGGAGCGGCTTGCACACCCCGTACGGTAGTCAGTAACCACCAGCCCTACGGGGTCCCTCAGCCGCTCCGCTGGCCCCTACTCGGGGAGAGCCTTTGGTACACGCTTCCGCTACACTCCTGCCACACTCCTCCAACAATCACCCAATACATTCTAGACATACATTCACAGTAAAGTAATGGTTTAACTAATGTTCATACAGGGTAAACTCGCGGTAGAACGGGCCCCAGCCTTCTTCACTGTGTACGATTGAACGCTCCTTCATGAGCTCCTCTCGTACGGTTCTGCTCTCGTGCAAGCCAATGGGCCACGTATCTCCCGTCACCTCGACGATTTTCTCCAATTTGCCGCTCGCCAGCATTTTGTCTGCAAGGGGGCCCTCGTACCAGCTCTTCTGTTGAGGAGGCACCGACGCAGTGCTGACAACCCTGTCGTTGTAAGGGTCACACACATGCATGCAGAGAATCTTTCTGTGTCCGCTTTTGGTTGCGTCTTCCAACTCAAACGGTTCCACCCGATGCTGAAACCAATTGGGGAAAACAACCACACGGCCCTCCTTGCACTCCACATCGCCAACCATCCTCGTCAAGGTTTCTCCGTGCTTGATGCCAAAGATGGCCTCGCATCCAATTGTGTCGTCCTGTTCGTGGGCAGGCGGCTCGAAGGCGCCTCTGAAGGAAAGCCGCGACTCGGTGACGTTGCTGGAGTCGTAGTAGTACACGACGGTGGCGACGATGTCCTCGTTGACGGTGCCCTCGACATGCCACGAGCCGCCGTTGTACCTTGGGCTGGCGGGCGTTAGCTCGATGTTGGCAAGCTTGACTATCACCCGCAACTTTTCAAACGTCTTGCGGAGGTCGAAGTCGTAATTCACCGGATGGTCCCTCGTGTACCTCAAGGGCCGCTCCTTGAGATAGGCTAGCTTTGTCCGCACAAACGCCGCTATTGCATCTTCGTCGTTGTCGTCGTCGGCAAGCACCTCTCTCAACTTGTCGTGGTATTCCTGGGTGTAGTAGGAACGCAACGGCGGCCGGATCCGCCGGGGCGACCCGGTGGCAAGCCGAGACAATGTGTAGTTCAAGCCGGGAAGCGCCAAGTTGAACACCCTTGCAATGGGTCCGTACAAACGACTGTGCTTGTCTGGGTCCAAATTGTTGATGTACGACACAAAGTGGTACGAGTGCTCTAGCGAGTCTCCGTCGGGCCCGCCACGGCCCGGTTTGCGGTCCATCAACGCCGGTAACCATTGGTATTTCCGGGAAATGGCCGCGGCGTCTACACCATGCTTCACCGTGCCGATGCGGTCGCTGAAGTCGAGAACAAACACCTCTTGTTCCGGCGGCGTGTCGGCGGGCCCCCGTTTCTGTTTCCGTGTCCTGGTCCTCGTCTGCGGGGTCACTCCGTATTGGAACGGGTACAAAGACGGGTGCACGAGATCAACCACTTGCTTGCTGGTGCCGGGATGGTAATCGCGGGTGTTGCCAAACTCAGCCTGGGCAAACCGCTCCACCTCGGCCCGCAAGCCGTTCTGGACATCGGCAGGCACAGCACGGTCACTACAGACGATTTTATCGTCGCATCCAATCACAAAGCCAGACTCCTTGAGCCCTTCAAAATTACGCTCTACATACTCGTACCAGGCAAGTTCCCGGAAAACATACTCGATCAACTCGTCCATCGATCCGAACCGCGATGTGAACCGCCCCCTGAGTTCGGCTCTCCACCGACTGGCGATGGTTTCGTCTCTGTACTTTACCTTCCAATCGTTTTTGGCCCTGATCAATTTGGACATTTCTATGATCGTCCACTCGTCCAAACACTTTGCGGGTTCCCCCACGCCTGTGAACGGTTCCCAGAAGGGGTGACCAAAGGGCGATGGTCCTAGGTTATGCACCATTGACCTAACACAGAAGGAAACACTATACAAACCCTCTATAAATGCACCACGAGATGTTTTCCAGGCGCTGACATATTGGATTCCTGTCTAATCCAATTACTCCTGTACAAAGATATCGAATACTTTTGCAGCTCAAATTAGTGTTAGACTACAATGGAAGCTGTTGGATATACAACCAACTACGAAACTTTCTCCCTGTTTCAGTAATACTTTTAATGATTATGGTATAAATGAGGAATCCGTCCCATTTATCACTATCTCACATATAATACTTTTCTTTACCTTGCTTAATAGCTCTTATTTTCGTCTCAATATACATTTATAACTTTAACTACCACTACTACCCCATATATCCAGCTGTAAGGTCAATAGACGGACATTGATATAACAACTTATACTATTATTATTATTAGCTTTCTACTGCTTATTAGCCTATTAGTTATACTTACATACCTATTAGGTAATATTGGATCCTGCATATCCAATAGACACACATACATACAGGAGCAGGACCACCACGGCTAGTGGCCCACGGGGTGCCAGCGGAGCGGCTTGCACACCCCGTAGGGTGGTGAGTAACTCGCAGCCCTACGGGGTCCGTTAGCCGCTCCGCTGGCCCCTACTCGGGGAGAGCCACTGCATGGTGCTTCGCTCCTCTACGAGGGGAGTGGCCTGACACGTGACACTCCTCGGTAGAGGAGCAGGGCCACCACGGCTAGTGGCCCACGGAGTGCCAGCGGAGCGGATCATATACCCCGTAGGGCTGCGGGTATCCTTCTCTCCTATCAACCCAAAGCCCCCACCCTTGAGACTCCTACCCTCTTCGTTCATATCCCCTCTGATCCCACACACACCCCCACATTCTCTTTGTAAACTGCCCCCCCCCCCGTTTCCGATTCCTCCCACTTCTCCTCCTTGTCACCCCCCACCACTACCTCCCTGTCACTCCCTCTCCTCCTCGCTCCCTCCACCCCGCCACCCTGGTCGGTCTCCCTCTAGCCCCCCTGGCACCTGCCCCCCCCCCCCCCCAGCCACCTGCATAAAAATCTCACCTGGTCGAAAATTTTTGGCAGCACCACCAAAAATTTCTCGCCCTCCCCCTGTGACCGCCTTCCACCTCCCCTCCACTTACACCACACCCACAACAACCATGATCGGAACCTACAACCCGCTGGCCGCCGCCAAACCGTTCGCCGAGATGTCCCAGGAGGAACAGGCCGAGGAGGGCGCCAAGAAGATGATCGAGTTCATGCAATCGTGTCCCGGCAAAACGGCCATGGCCGGGGGCTCAGGGTTCTTCCTCGGGGGGTTCTTTGGGCTCTTCATGGCGTCCATGGCCTACGACGTTCCCCTCGGGACAGACTCCGTCAAGCACATCTCCGAACTCCCGTTCAAACAACAGATGAAGTTGCAGTTCACCGACATGGCCCGTCGGTCCTACAGCAGTGCCAAAAACTTTGGCTACATCGGGATGGTCTACTCTGGGGTTGAGTGTGCCATCGAGAGCTTGCGTGCCAAGCACGACATCTACAACGGGGTCTCTGCCGGGTGTATCACCGGTGCAGGCTTGTCCATCAAGGCCGGCCCACAAGCTGCCTTTGTTGGTTGTGCCGGCTTTGCGGCCTTCTCCACCGCCATCGACTTGTACTTGCGCAGTGAGAGCGCTGCTCCTCCCAAGAACGACTACGACGACTAGTCGGCGCAACACGACTCTCTGCTGCGTTATCGCGCCCGTCTCCTTCCCTCCCCTGTATATATTCTGTATATTAGATCTAGAGCTATTGGTATTACATATGGTACATGACTGTTTTGTTATTGTAGTGGTGTCCTTTTCTGGCGCGCGTGTGCTTCCAGAGGCGTCTGTATGTCTCGTGGGTCCGTGCGCCCTCCCTGTGGGTGCACTCCCCACGTGTAGGGGGCGGAACCTCCTCGGTAGAGGAGCAAGGCCTCCACGGCTAGTGGCCCACGGAGTGCCAGCGGAGCGGCTTGCACACCCCGTAGGGTAGGGAGTAGTACCACCCTACGGGGTAGAGTGACGCTCCGCTGGCCCCTACTCGGGGAGAGTCACTGGCGTGGGGCCTGGCTCCTCTTCGAGGAGACTAGGGCTAGTTCAGCTGGGGGACTACTTGGTAGAGGTGCCGGGTCTCCATGGCTAGTAGCCCATGGAGTGCGAGGACCCCCGTGGGGGAAGCCATGTTTCCATGGGCTTGAGGGGAGTGGGTCGTTAGTCAACACGCTTGAACGTGAGTGGATGGCGGTCTCTGGCAGTTGTTACGGAGATTTGAGGTCCACGAAGGCACTGGGGGGTCTCCGCCAACGTCTGGGGGACGTCCGAGAGACTCTGTGGTGCTCTGGGAGCCTATGAGTGCCCCTGCTGGTTTGATGGGGCCACTGGATGGCTGAAGTCGCCCCTCGATGTTTCTGAGCTTGTCGGATGGTCTGGTAGACATTCCAGCCTTCTGTAGTGTTCTGAGGGGTTCCTGGAGCCAATAGGCAGTCTCTGAGAGCATCTAAGAGTCAAGGGATGTCTGAGCATCTGTAGGGGCAGCAGGCATTTGTAGACCCTGTGAGGGTTTGTAAGAGACTTTGGGGGGCTGCTAATGGGCTCCACGGGTTTGTTGAGTACTCACGAACGAGTCAGTCGGAGGACCCAGTGGTCTCTCGAACTGTACAGAGTCCGACACTGTCAAGAGTATATCCCTCTGCCAGAGCCATCCCGTAGATCTGTAGCTTATCTCCTCGTCAGAGGAGCAAGGCCTCCACGGCTAGTGGCCCACGGAGTGCCAGCGGAGCGGCTAGCAGACCCCGTAGGGAAGGAAGTAGTACCACCCTACGGGGTCTGCCAGCCGCTCCGCTGGCCCCTGCTCGGGGAGAGCCACTGCGTGGAGCTTGGCTCCTCTACGAGGAGACTTCTCTCTAACTGCTGAGGGTACTCCTCGCCAGAGGAGCAAGGCCACCACGGCTAGTGGCCCACGGAGTGCCAGCGGAGCGGCTTGCCTACGCTGTAGTAGGGCAGGTATGTACTCAACAGTAGTAGTAGCAGTACTGGTACGTGAGACCAGAAACGTAGACCGAGGAAGCCATGAACGCTAGAACAAGGGCTAGCACGGCCCAAAGCCATGGGCGCAGACTCGCTGCTCTGACCGCCCCACCAACAGTCCTCCTGACCGCCGTCGTTGCATGGGCCCTCGTCATCGTCTCTACGATCTTGGAGCCCACCAGACGCTCGCTCCCAACACTGGCCACGTCCTGGCGCCGGGACTCCTGTTCGCGTCTGATCCGGTCTAGCTCGTCAAGCACTGACGGAGGAGTCCATGGGCCAGCACCCTCGAGCTCAACTACACTGTCGTCACGGTCACCCGGTCCAGTGCCATGGCCATCTTCTTCTATCCCGCCCTGGTGATCCCAAGACGCACTGCGGTTGGACGGCTGCTGTTCCTGCTGGCTGTCCTGACGCCCACCAACACTCCGGAGCAAGATGTCCAACTCGGTCTCTATAAAGGCCAACGTATGGTCGACGTCGTTGTGGCCCTGGCTGGCGTACTGCTCCACCTTCATGAGCTTCTGGCGTATACGCAGGACCGTCGGGTCGAGGCCCATGTCCAGGTCCTTCCACTGGTGGTCGTCCACACGGCTGCCAGCTCCACTGGCACTCCGCTTGGTCCCACTACCACTACGTTGCAGCTGCTGAAGGCTACCTCCCTTCCACCGGCGGTCTGAAGCGCTCCAGGCCCTTGCCCCACCACCACCACCACCACCAATTCCTCCAGAGCCCGCACTCGCACTCAAATTCGCACTACTCGCACCACCAGTTGCCTCAACCTTCACCACCCCTCCACCACCACCACCAACGTCGTGCTCTGTGCCAGACTCTCGTCCGGCCTTGCGGAGCTTCCCCACCACAATCCTACGAAGCAGCGGCTTGAGAGCGTCCAAATCCTCGGCCCCAGCGCTTCCAACGTCCGCACCGCCAGACTGGCGCGACGGCACTCTGACCGGAGCCGCGGTGCCCACCTCGGTCTCCCGCTCTCTTTCTCTCGAGCGACGCTCCGTGGGCGCCGCCTCGGCCACCCGGTAGGGCAACGGGAGCGGTTCGCCAAGCACGGGCGCGTCCTTCTTCCTTATCCTGTTCATTTGGTCGTCTGTCTATGTCTCGGTAGACCCGTTGGTTGCCTTTGTTTTCTTTTTCTTTTTTTTTTGTTTATCTTTTTTTTTTTTATTTTGGCTCCCCCCAGCGCGGGCCCACGGCCACGCAGCCATTTTGCGGAACTTCGCACGATTTCGCAGCCAAACCCGCGCTCAAGCTCTCCCCCCCACTAGCAGCTATCTGCCGCTGCCGGCCATCGTACCTCTGGTCCACATTAGCGGTACACTCACTGATGTCGTGTGCACCTTGGGAATCATCTCGGTGAGCCGAGCAGGGGCCAGCGGAGCGTCTCCAGGACCCCGTAGGGTGGTACTACTCCCTTCCCTACGGGGTGTATAAGCCGCTCCGCTGGCACTCCGTGGGCCACTAGCCGTGGAGGCCTAGCTCCTCTTCGAGGAGAGTGTGAACATTGTAGTGTAAAGTGTACTCCTCGTAGAGGAGCAAGGCACCACGCCAGTGGCTCCCCCCGAGCAGGGGCCAGCGGAGCGTCTCCCGGACCCCGTAGGGTGGTACTTCCTTCCCTACGGGGTCTGCTAGCCGCTCCGCTGGCACTCCGTGGGCCACTAGCCGTGGAGGCCTTGTTCCTCTATCGAGGAAGCCTACAGGGTTCTCAGGTCTGCTCGCAGAGGAGCCAAGCTCCACGCAGTGGCTCCCCCCGAGCAGGGGCCAGCGGAGCGTCTCCCTACCCCGTAGGGCTGCGGACTACACCCTCCCCTTCCTACCCACAAAGGCTACACCCTCCTGTCTACACTCTCCGTAATCTAAGAAGCTTCTCATTGAATATATACAGCTCCCCCTCTCTCCTCCTCTCTCCTCCTCTCTCCTCCTCTCTCCTCCTCTCTCCTCCTCTCTCCTCCTCTCTCCTCCTCTCTCCTCTCGCTCTAGCGACTTCCACGAGATCTAATCTTTCGTGTCATACGTTGGATCAAATACAAAAGACACCCAATGAACCGGAATAGAGCCATGAACGCCACCGTCCACAAGATCACCGTCAAGAAGATCCGCGACCGGTCCGAAACCGTCGAGTTGGACGAGGTCAAGTCGTTGACACCCCCGGTCTCCAACACCACGGCGATGATGACAAAGTTCAGAAACATCCAAACAAGCACCGTCATCGACCGAACAAACGCATAATAGTCCTCGTTGGTGGGCTCGGACTTGTCCAAGCCAGGAGGCACCGGCTTCTTGATCTTCTCCAATTGGTTGAGGTATGACTGGTTGACCTCTTCCTTTCGGATTGGGAGCAGAACGTCGAAATTACCATCCTTACGTTGCGTGGCAACCCCCAAGTCTTGTGCCCCCGTGTCCCCCTTGGTCCCCCATGAAATGTCATCAATGTTACAAAAGGCATAGATGTTGAGAACGTTGATGTATGCGGGCGAGAGGAGAATGTATTGGGCAAACGATGTGAACATATGCCATGGCTCGAAGTAGATGAAACTGGCAATGAAGTAGAGTGCATAGGTCGAACTGGTACTGACGACCAAGTCCCGGAACTCTTCGTTCTTGAACACAGTGCCCACAGTGATTCCTCCGGCCTTGTAGATCTCTTGGATCGAATGCACCGCCATGAAAATGGCAGCAAAAATCATATACGCCATCAAAATGGCAAAGAAAATGACAATGACCACGTAGAACTTCTCGGTCCCCTTGGGCTTGTTCCCGAACGAAAGAACAAACGTGGTGACGATGGACGCAAGGTAGAGCCAGAGCAAGATCGCCAGGAACACCTTGCCGGGCGCAAACCCCAACGCCGGGTCGGAAAGCCCCGTGGTCAAGATCCGGAACACAAGAAAGTACAGGCCAATCAGAAACCACGACACCACCAAGTTCAAGAACTGGTAGAAGAACTCGATATGGAAAAAGATCTTCTTCCCGAGCGAATGCAGCGAGGTCCAGATCTTGGGGAAATGGACCAACGAGTAGATGGCCGCGAAAAACGACCCGTTCAACCACCGTCTCCGTTGGAGAATGAACTCGGCAAGGCCCTCGGGGACGTCGGTCTCGGCACTGGCACTCTTACAATATCTAAGCACCCACAGACACCCACGTTTTGCCACAAGTTCGTAACAAAGAATTCTATCTTCGGCCAAGTACATGTTCAGGGTGAAGATCCCTGCCTCGTCCTTCATCTGGTTCTTTTTGAGCTCGTACTCGTCGTCATTTGGGTCCAAATGGCCACTGCTATGGAGGAACTCCCCCTTGAAGTATTTTTCCAACGGTCCTCGTCCATTGACGTCGTTCTGGAGCGCCGTGTTCCGGTACGCCGAGAACGCCCCGGGCAACACCGAGATGAATCCAAACACACTTTCGGTTGGTTTATCGAGGATATTGGAGATTTTGTATTCGAAATTCTGACCATAAACGATCGGGTTGGTCAAGATTTGTCTCTTTTTAAGCGATGCCTTGATCTCTCCACATGCTCCTGCCACTTGTGGGTCTCGTTCAAACTCTTTCCAGAGATGATAGAGAGCCTTACCCAGCGGTTGGGTCCCGGCATCAAGCAAAACAACGATGTTTGGGTCGAGAACCTGACTGATTGCCTGGAAACACCAACGATGAGAATTGATCTTTTTGGCATTCACCTCCTTCAAACAAAAGAGAAGTTGAACGGGGACAATCTTCTCGGTGGTGAGCTTGACGGTATCATCCACAGACGAGATCCCCACCCTGGTGGTATGTTCATATATGTGGGCCTGGACGTTTCTATCGTCAACTTTACTCTTGGCTAGCCCCTCCTGGTACACCCCCAACCCTGCCAAAAGAGCCTGGGCTCTTTCATTGATCTTTGATCGTCCATCACTGACAATACAAACAACAATCTTCTTCCACAGATCTTTGCCCCATGTCTTGGATCGCGTGCGCGACTCCAAATGCTTGATATTTTTAAACACCCCCTTCAACGTCCGCGCAAGGAGAATGTCATCTTCGTTATACATTGTGATCACCACAAGCATCTCCGTCTGTCGCGGCGTTGGATAATGCACGGGCCGTAAGATGAACCCATTCCGGTAGAAGTTCAGCGGTCCACAGGTCACCGCCGTGTACCGCATGTGCAGAAACTCTCGTGGGAGCCCCCAATTGGGCAAATCTTCGCGGTAGTCGGGGAATTTTGACAACAATTCGGTGGCCACGGGACAATCTAAAACTAAATGTCCGTTAAATCCCTTTGCCACCCATTTCACCGGTTCGCGAATTTCTTGTTCTCCCTCTTCAGGGGGTGCAATTAGGAGATCGTCCGCACCCCCTTCCGCGCCCAAAAATGGATTCTCACCATTTGGGTCGCCAATCAACGGCGGTGGGTCCTCGTGGTCAGGGGTTGGTTCCCGCACCGTGTGTAGATCGTAGGAGTCCCCCTGGAAGTTTCCGTATTGGATACGTTCATCGAACTCGCGCTCGTCATCGTCGTCCTCGCCATAAACGTTGGGGACGAACGCCTGGTTGAAGTTTGTGTTGTAGTCATGGAATTGGTTCATTTCGTAGGAGTTATGGCCATAGCCTCCCGAGCCGTCCCTCACCCCGGCGTCGTCAAAGGGGTCCACCGGGTGCAAGCTCGGCGGCGCCGGGGCGGTGAAGATATTGGACGGCCGGTCCAAGTAGTAGTCCTCGTCGACCGGCTGGTAGTTGGACGTTTGGCGACGTCCCATGTTCGACCCATGAGCGACAGGCTGGGGCTGGGCGAAATTGATCGACGAGTCACTGCCGGCGTCGTACGCGGGCGCCGCGTACATCCTGTTCGGGTCGTAGTGGTCGTTGGGGTTGTAGGGCCCGTGGCGATGGTCCGACATGGCTGCTATATCTTTTGATTTTCAGTTCTTGTGCTCGAATCGCCAGAGAATCAAATTCGGCGCTCAGCGTTAAATCGGGTGCGCGTACAACGGAGGGGGGGGGTTGGTCTCTGCTCTCGGCGGCAGATAGCGTGTAAAAATAGCGCAGCGATCTTTTTCAGGCAATTTCCTCACGGCTGAGTAAACAGTGTCTCGCACGTCCCGTGCGCCCCCCCGCGCCCGCAACCGCAGGCGCACGCACGTTGCAACGGTAAAACAAACCTGATGCTGACGCTCCGCTGGGCCCCTGCTCGGGGGGAGCCACTGCGTGGGGCCTGGCTCCTCTTCGAGGAGAGCTGTCCGGGAGTCTTCTGGTCAGGGGAGAGGGGCTAGTGGCCCACGGAGTGCGAGCGGAGCAGCTTGTGGACCCTGTAGGGAATGGGGGAGCGTTTCTGGGAAAGTTTTCTTGAGTGTGCGCGCGGTGCAGAGGGGAGTGTGAAGGGAAAATAGCGGTGGATCGGGGCTCTAGCGGGGGCAAAGTGGGACGCTCCGCTGGCCCCTACTCGGAGGGAGCCACTGCGTGGAGCCTGGCTCCTCTACGAGGAGACTTCCCTTGGTCAGCTAGGGTACTCCTCGTCAGAGGAGCAAGGCCTCCACGGCTAGTGGCCCACGGAGTGCCAGCGGAGCGGCTAGCATACCCCGTAGGGTGGCACTACTCTCGTGATCATGGTGGTAGGGTGTTGGGTACAGTGCACGCGCGCGCGCGCTCTCACTAAACTGAAACATTTCCAAAGCCTCCCTGTGAAAATTTCGAGTCGCGAAAGTTTTAGGGCGGTGATTGAGGCGCGCGCCCCCACACAGACACAACACGCGTGGGTGGTGGGCCACTAGAGAGATTGGCTGAGGAGGAGGAATTGCCCGCGGAGGGTAGCTGTTTCACGGGGGTAGAGAAGAGGGACTGTAGATACTGTAGATACTGTAGAGATGTTGGCGAGGGAGAGGAGGTGAAGAGAGTGGAGGGGAGACAGATCTCGGGGATTGTTGACGAGGGAGCTTGACGAGGGGGAAAATGAGTCGCACGAGGAAGCTCCCACTAACATGGGGGAGAGAGAATAGGGGGGGGGGGGGGGGAGATGGGAAACATATACACCAGAGGTGGGACGGTTGCTAGAAAAGCTGGGCATGGAGCCAGTGACTCTCCTCGACCAGGGGCCCAGGGAAGGGTCTCGTACGGCTGGGTCGTCTACGATCACGGGGGAGGGGAGTTGCGCTGGCACACCGGGGGGACCACTAGCCACAGCTCACTTCCCTGCGGGGCTGTAAGCCGCTCCGCTGGCACTCCGTGGGCCACTAGCCGTGGGGGCCTCGCTCCTCTGACGAGGAGGAGTGTCAAGAAGCTGGGCGCCATGGTGGGTGTTTTCCCGAGCACAGAGGGAGCTCCTCGTAGAGGAGCCAGGCACCACGCAGTGGCTCTCCCCGAGCAGGGGCCAGCGGAGCGGCATGCGGCCCCGCAGGGAAGTGAGTTGCAGGGGCTCCCTCGACTGCTTAACTGGGTTTACAAAGAGAAGACGAGAACTTGTAGTGTAGGAAGGCGTAGCTGTAGGAACGGCGTCGGAGATTCTTGGAGGGGGCATAGTACGAGCAGGCGGTCCCTACCCATAGCCTCGCCGGCAGTCACTCCATAAGTATGCCAAGACCCTATGAGACGAGGCTGTCACAGATTGACACCGCCTCGCTGTCTCAGGTAGAACTAGGGGCATCGTAGTCCGTCTAGCGTCGAGAGAGAGTGGAGTGCCTACGCTAGGAACTGCTGGGAGTCCTCTCACTGAGCTGTCACCAAGCGGTCTCCTCGTCAGAGGAGCCAGGCCTCCACGGCTAGTGGCCCACGGAGTGCCAGCGGAGCGGCTACCAGACCCCGTAGGGTGGCACTACTCCCTTCCCTGCGGGGCTGCAAGACGCTCCGCTGGCCCCTGCTCGGGGAGAGCCACTGCGTGGGGCCTAGCTCCTCTACGAGGAGTTCGCAACGTTCTCTACTGTCTCTACTGCCTCTACTCTGTGCGTCTCGGAAACTCCTCCCAAGGTGTGTCCACCCTCTACATAGCTCTATACAGTATCTACAATCCAGCCACCGACAGACCTTCAGTCAGGGTGAGGGTCCTTCCTGTCAAAGGCTTGGGAAGATCTCACCTGAAGCCCCTAGCCGACACAGCACTCCCCTGTAGCTCTGTACTGTATATGCCAGACGTACTCTGTTCAGAGATCACTCCTGAACTCCTCGTCAGAGGAGCCAGGCCTCCACGGCTAGTGGCCCACGGAGTGCCAGCGGAGCGGCTTACGGACCCCGTAGGGTGGCACTACTCCCTTCCCTGCGGGGCTTCAAGACGCTCCGCTGGCCCCTACTCGGGGAGAGCCACTGCGTGGTGCCTAGCTCCTCTTCGAGGAGACTTCCCTTGGTCAACTAGGGTACTCCTCGTCAGAGGAGCAAGGCCTCCACGGCCAGTGGCCCACGGAGTGCCAGCGGAGCGGCTTACACACCCCGTAGGGTGGCACTACTCCATTCTCTCTCCTCTCCCGGTGGCCCTTTGCTCCTCTGTCGAGGGTGGCCACGTGACCTCGCCCTCGAATTTCCCCCACTGTAGAACTCTCTCCCCCCCCCCCCCACCCCCTTTTTACCAGTGGCCCAGCAAGACCAGGAGCCTGATAGTAGACCAGATTAGCCACCCCTGGGCGTTGTGCCGTAACTGAGAGAAGCGGGAAACCGATGGGAATCGAGGGCGGACAGGCGGAAAGGCGGCCCGGTTGGTGTGTGGTGGGGGAAAGTGCCATTTTGGTTTTTCCGGTCAGGCGCACGGTTTTGTGCGGTGTATGGCTTTGCGCTAAAGCGCGAGCATTTCTCTCTCTCTCTCTCTCCACAGACTTAGGTGAAAGTAACGGTCGCTACTACAAACATGCTGGACCTGCCGCTGGACTCGAGACTGAACACACCGGCGCAGCCGCCAGCCCATACACAAGCACACACACTGGCGGGCCTGGCCCACCGGGGCCGGCCGAAAATGCCACCGCTGGGGTCGTACTCAACATCCGCCCTCGTGACCACCACGACCCCCAACAAACCAAAACTGCGCAAGTCGGGCACAGGCCCATGGACCCATGGTCGGTCGCTAAGTCACACCAAGTTGCCCTTGAAGGGCGGCGGCGGCGGTGGCGGCTACACTGCGTCCGGAGCGTCGATGTCCCCGTCACCCATGACCCCAGCCACCAGTGCGGGAGGAGGAGGAGGTCTGTTTGTCGCGGCGCGGCCACATTTGGGGCGGTCCAAGTCGACGGACGGATTGGTTAAAACAAGAAACAACGCGTTGAAGCGGAGCAACCGGTCGTTGACCAAGTTGGCGGGCTTGCAGCCGTTGACCAAGACGACGCTGAACCAGCTGCTCAAGCTGAACAAGAGCAGAGAGCTGTTGAAGGGCATGGCGGTGGTTGGGTTGAAACGCAGTGGCAAAAAGGAGCGCGCGATTTTGCGGTTGAATGACGAGGATGATGATGAAGAGTATGAGGATGTAGAAGGTCCAGATGTGGTTGTACAACCGTTTGAGACTGGTATGATAGAGCTGGTCCCAGTAGAATTGGCTACACTAGACCTGGCCCCAGTAGACCTGGTCCCAGTAGACCTGGTCCCAGTAGACCTGGTCTCAGTAGAACTGGCCCCCTTGGAGCTGGCCCAAGGGTCGGAACTTTCCGGCGCGGGGTCGGATTTGGCCGCCACCACCCATCCTGCCAATTCCTCTACCACCACACTGTACCAACCAGGATTCAATTCTGAAAGGATGACAACTGAACGGCTGTTGTCTGGGTCTGTAGGAGAACCCGTAGGTGGCAATAACATAGACCCTGTCCCTGGACCGGGTACTGCATCTGGTCTGGGACATGGACCCTCCTCCACTAGCACTGCTGCCCCTGCAGTGGTTCCCACCACTTCCATGGACTCGGACTCTCTGGTGGTCCCCTTTGAAGGCGACGCCGGCGAGGGCGACGCCACTGGCGCGGGGTATGCCTACGGAGGCTCCTTGCTCCTTTCCCAGTCAACAGGAGTCACCAAGAAATTCAACAACAACAACAATGGCACCACCACCGGCAATGCCGGCCAGCCGACCCTCCAGCCGCAAGACGCGTTCAACTCACGGTCGATCTCGGGCATTCTGTTCCGGGCAAACCCCATGGACGACGCCAAGGGTGGTGGTGGTGCTGGCGTCCCTGGCGCCACTGGCTCGGGCTCTGACGACCTGAACTCCTACCAGCCGGGCCAAACCATCTACAATAACCTCCGAGGGGGTGGTGACAACGGCAGTTCGTTGAACGAAGCTGGGGCTAGGGACAGAGCCAGAGCCAGAGCCAGAGACGAGTCCGACGCGTTGGAGGACTCGGCCACTGCTGCCGCGGCTGCAGCCGCTGCCGCCGCCGCCGTCGACCCTTCAATGGCCACGTTCCAGGACTTCCTCAAGCACAGCAACAAGAACTCCCATGGCAACGGACATTCCTCCTCGACGTCCCATACCTCACATCGTGGCGGCGCCCACGCGTCAGACCATGGCTCGGGAATGCGGCCTGGATCTGGATCTGGTCCTGGCACAGGCTTGGGCTCGGGCACTGGCGGCTTTGCCCTGGGGTCGGGCTCGGGTTCCGGCTCCGGCTCGGCCTCTGCCTCTGCGTCCGCGTCCGCCCATGACAACAGAACGCAACAGAGACTCTGGCTCCAGCGTGAGAACTCATTGATGGACGTCCCCGGCTTGGACCCAACCCATCTCGGCAACTTCTCCAATCTCCTGCTCAGCAACTTGATGTTTGACGAGCTGCTGGGCGGGGCCCCCAGCGGCAGCGCCTCTGCCATCGGCTCGGGCATGTCCTCCTCAAGACAACACCAGCCACAGCTCCACCCGCAGTTCCAGCTCCTGCAAGTGCAGGCCCTGCCTCCACGCCTAAACGGTGCTGGAGCCGGTGGTGCTGGCGGCTCTCTGGCAACCGCCTTGATGAATGGGTCCGGTCTGGGAGGTGCGCTCTCACTGGCCACCTCGGAGTCCTCACTCAATGGGCTCCTCCTCAACGTCCAGAGCTCCAACTCCATCCAATCGCGGACAGAGTTCGAGCGCCTTAACCGGGAGTACCTCAATGTGCGACGGAACCTCAACCCGGTGGCCCAGCTGCTTTCACGGACTCGTGAGTACACACAGCTGCAACAACTCACGGTGGCAAAAAAGAAGAAGGATGCCGGGCCAGCTACTGCCGACCGTCGGACTTCCTCCCAGAGAACTACCGCTGGCACTGCCACCGGTTCTGGTGGTCCATCTTCCACCTCGAGCTCCTCCCCGGCCACCCTCGCATCCTCGCCAACCTCGACCACGCCCGTGGCAGACCGCCTGACCAACTCCTTCGACGAGTTCTCACCCGAGTACCACGCCAAGGACCAGGACATCACCGCGTTGGTGAACAAGCTCTGGCAGAAGGCGTTGATCTCACTGACCAGCAGTCTAGGGAACGTCACCACCCCGCTCCGCATCTCCACCCAGCAGCAACGCCCCACCAACCAACGGCTCCAGTCGTACACCCAGGCCACCGGCTACACCAACATGCGGTCTCCCCAGACCCCGACCACGCGTGCCGTCAAGCTCGCAGCCGCGTCGCAACAGAACTTCAAAAAGAACGACCACACTCTGGTCAACATAGCATAAATATATACACACGTGTTCCCCCTACGGCCCTTGTAGTGTAGGTGTATGACCTCCCTCTGTTCCCTCTCGCTCCTCTCTCTGTCCTGTGTGATCCTCGCGAGCTCTCCTATGGGGGCAACCGACTTCCCTGCGGGGCATGGAGACGCTCCGCTGGCACTCCGTGGGCCACTAGCCGTGGGGGCCTTGCTCCTCTGACGAGGAGAACTCCAGCTGACCAAGGGAAGACTCCTCGTAGAGGAGCCAGGCACCACGCAGTGGCTCTCCCCGAGAAGGGGCCAGCGGAGCGGCTGGTAGACCCCGTAGGGTGGTACTACTCACTTCCCTATGGGGTGTGCTAGCCGCTCCGCTGGCACTCCGTGGGCCACTAGCCGTGGAGGCCTTGCTCCTCTGACGAGGAGTACCCTAGTTGACCAAGGGAAGTCTCCTCGAAGAGGAGCTAGGCTCCACGCAGTGGCTCCCCCCGAGCAGGGGCCAGTGGAGCGGCTAGCAGACCCCGTAGGGCTGGGTGGCTAAAGAAGGTTATCCTACACGCTGTACGGAACTCACCACTGCTACAAGGTGTCCTACAGACCGTCAGGGAGGCGACTCGGTCTTGCCCCTACAGCAGGAAGAATTCCAGGGACACTCTAGCTACTCCACAAGCTTGCAACTCGGCCTGCCGCGTGCTCTCGATCAGTGCACACAACAGGACAGCGACCCGGCAAAGTGTCACTGGCCCAGTCTCGAGCTTTCCTCTCTGCCTCTCGTACTACAATGATCATCGTCTGGCGAAAGGACACCGGACAGTCCCAATTCAGAGGAGAGCCCTTGACAAGGAGGGTACAGTAACGTGGCAGCACTGGTGCCTTAGGGAAGAGCTCCAGTCCTTGTGTGCTCCTCCTGACGATCATCTTGGTGACCACCTACAGTGAAAACTACATAGATGTCTCTTCTGTATATAGAGCGACAGCCCCACTCGGTGCCGGACTGCCACTACCCATTTGCCCTTTGGGGCTCAGCTAGACGCCCGATCGGGTCCCTTCTCAGGGCCCGAAGGAGTGCCAGTGTGGCAGCTTGCCCGCTACAGCAAGACAAGAGTAGTACAAGCGCTAGGAGGGTGGTTGTGACGCTCCGCAGGGCCCCTGCTCGGGGAGAGTCACTGCGTGGTGCCTAGCTCCTCTTCGAGGAGACTTCCCTTGGTCAACTAGGGTACTCCTCGTCAGAGGAGCAAGGCCTCCACGGCTAGTGGCCCACGGAGTGCCAGCGGAGCGGCTAGCACACCCCGTAGGGAAGGGAGTAGTACCACCCTACGGGGTCTGCCAGCCGCTCCGCTGGCCCCTGCTCGGGGAGAGCCACTGCGTGGTGCCTAGCTCCTCTTCGAGGAGACTTCCCTTGGTCAGCTGGAGATCTCCTCGTCAGAGGAGCAAGGCCTCCACGGCTAGTGGCCCACGGAGTGCCAGCGGAGCGGCTAGCACACCCCGTAGGGCTGCGGGCCACTCACTTCCCTGCCGGGCTGTGGGACGCTCCTCGGGGTAGTAAACTACAATGACAAACATCCTCCTACACATCGGCCACCATGGGGCCCCTTCGTTCGAATCCGTTCTCTTGACTATATACACGATATTTACATTCTCGGAGCTAGCCCTGTCTTTGCTTGTGCTTCCCGTTGGACTTGCAGTACACGTACATTCTGCCCTTTCTCTTGACCATGTAGCAGTCCTTGCAGATCTTCTTGACGGCGGTTCTCACCTTGAACGTTCTGATGGTCTCCAACGGACGTGCCAAGGAGGCCGTGTACATGACGTTGGGGGTGGCCATGGCCGTCACTCTGGTGGCTGTGGCGCCGAGCGCTCTCTGTAACCCGGCACGTGCCGAGGCCAATCCTACCAATCCAAACATCTCGAGTTCTTTCGATGTTTTGTTAAATTCGCGACGATGTATCTCCGTTGAAAGTACCTCGTTATTGGAGGGGTAAGGCCCCTCCTGCTCGAGTGTTGCCAAAAAAGAAAAATTCGCAAAGTGAAACAAAACAAAAAAAAAAAAAAAAAAAAAAAAAGAATTATGATGCTTATGTGTAGGTCGTGTGGCAGTCCACGGGTCATTAAGAGGTTTGGGTGCAAAAGAGGTGCCATGGTGGAGAAGTGAAGGGGGGGTGGGGCCTGGGCCGAGAGGGAGAGGAAGGGGGGTGTTGTGGGGAGTTTGATATGAAGCATATGACCAGCGGAGGGGACTTCAGCGCCGCCGGTCAAAGGGAGTAGTGCCACCCTACGGGGTATGTAAGCCGCTCCGCTGGCACTCCGTGGGCCACTAGCCGTGGAGGCCTTGCTCCTCTGGCGAGGAGTACTCCCAGCTGATTGAGAGAAGTCTCCTCGAAGAGGAGCCAGGCACCACGCAGTGGCTCTCCCCGAGCAGGGGCCAGCGGAGCGGCTAGCAGACCCCGTAGGGAAGAGAGTGGCCGCCAGCCCTACGGGGTTTGGCAGTCCGCTCCGCTGGCACTCCGTGGGCCACTAGCCGTGGAGGCTTGGCTCCTCTTCGAGGAGTTCATCTCGAGGGACGGTATGGTAGAAGAACAGTTGTAGCTAGCAGGATGAGAGCATGGATATATTGGTGACCAGTCACTTACTAAGCGAGAACGTACGCACTTTACGAGTGCTTACGAGTGCCACGTCATCTCTTCAGTGGGGTATTCGGGCTCTTTTCCTTTTGTGGATCCAAGCTCGAATTAAAGATGAGCAGTCTAGACGCCTCGTGGGGTAGGGAGACGTATGAGCGGTGTACAGAAGACCAGACTCTCTCCACTGCGGATCTACAATGGTCAGTCTATGGTGCACGGGGTGGGTTTACCAGAGCCTCCCGTCTAGCCCCAGAAAGTAATGATCACTCCCCCCGGTGCGCCCCACGAGCCGCTTCAGCAACCTCCTCGTCAGAGGAGCAGGGCCCCCACGGCTAGTGGCCCACGGAGTGCCAGCGGAGCGGACTGCCAAACCCCGTAGGGCTGGGGGGGGCCCTCTCTTCCCTGCGGGGCTGTGAGACGCTCCGCTGGCCCCTGCTCGGGGAGAGCCACTGCGTGGTGCCTGGCTCCTCTACGAGGAGTCGTCGGCCTTTGTAACTTCCTCGGTAGAGGAACATGGCCTCCACGGCTAGTGGCCCACGGAGTGCCAGCGGAGCGGCTCGCATACCCCGTAGGGTGGGGACCACTCCCTTTCCCTCTCCCGGGCCACTCTCTTCCCTACGGGATCTGCTAGCCGCTCCGCTGGCCCCTGCTCGGGGAGAGCCACTGCGTGGGGCCTAGCTCCTCTACGAGGAGAATCCCCCCCCCCACTCAATTCCTCGTCAGAGGAACATGGCCTCCACGGCTAGTGGCCCACGGAGTGCCAGCGGAGCGGCTTACATACCCCGTAGGGTGGGGACCACTCCCCCTCTGAAATAAAGTTTCTCTTCCTCTCTCCCCACGTGATCGTCCACGTGTGTCTCCACGTGACCACCTGCATACACCGCACTGCCGGCCTGGGGGGGGGGGGTGTGTGAGTGTTACACAAAATCGTCGATTATTCAAACACGTCAAAAAAAACAAAACTCTCAACCAAAAAACCAACTAACATTTCTTTCCCCCCTCTAACGTCATGTCCACCTCCACTTATAAGAAATCGGATGCATCTGGACGTGGGTCTGGATTGCCCGACAAAATGGTGGTGTTCCAGGAATGTCTCCAACAATTCAATGCCCTGCCGGTGAATGCCAAAAAATGTCGTCATTTACTTGCTGAACTTTTAAGATTGATCTATCATGGTGAAGTATTCCCAGCTGCTGAATCAACCACCTTATTTTTCTCAATTCTGAAATTATTTCAACATCGAGATGTCGCATTGAGACAAATTGTTTATTTGGCCATAAAGGAATTAAGTGCCACGTCACAGGATATTTTGATGGTTACGTCATCAATCATGAAGGATATTCAAGCTGGGGAATCAGTCTACAAGCCAAATGCAATTAGAACATTATCTAAAGTTTTGGATCCTTCCACTGTATCAGCTCTGGAAAGATTATTTAAAAATTCCATTGTTGAAAAAAATCCAGTGATTGCATCTGCTGCCTTAATTTCTTGTTATAATTTGTTACCAATTGCCAAGGATGTAGTTAAAAGATTTACAAATGAAACTTTGGAACTGCTTTCATCACAAAAGCAATTCCCCGCTAATCAATTTGAATTACATGAATTCTACGGTAGTGCCACCACCAATTTGCCCCTGACCACATTTATGTATCAATATCATGCATTAGGATTATTATATCATTTAAGAAATCATGATAAAATGGCCTTAATGAAATTGATTACCAGTGTACTGGAGGGTAGTAACACTGGTAGTAGTACTTCATTGAAAAATTCATTATCTATTATTCAATTAATTAGATATATTGGTAAGGTTTTAACCGATGATGAATCGTTAATTCGAGTTCTTTACCCAATTCTTTCATCTTATCTTAAACATAAAAGTGATATGGTTGAATTAGAAGCTTGTAAAATTTTAATTCAAGTTCAAAATTTAATTAAAGATGAAGAATTTATGGGCATCGTCACGTGCTTGCAGAAGTTATTATCAGTCCCAAGAACTTCTACAAGATTTGCAGCCATTCGTCTTATTAATAAAATTTCTATAAAACATCCAGAAAAAATCATTGTGGTGAATTTAGAATTGGAAAATTTGATTAATGATTCAAATAGATCCATTAGTACTTTGGCAATTACAACCTTGTTGAAAACTATGGGCGTTGGCACCGTGGCAAATGTAGATGGTGGTGAAAATGTAGATCGATTAATCACCAAAATGACTTCTTTAATGGAAGATATTACTGAAGATTTCAAAATTGTTATTATTGAAGCCATTGAAAATTTGGCATTGAAATTCCCCTCCAAACATAAGAAATTGGTGGCATTTTTAACTGATTTGTTGAGAGATGATGGTACTTTGGGATTAAAATCCGCCATTATTGATGCTCTTTTCGATTTAATCAAATTCTTACCCGACCAGGCAGCAAAGCAATTGATTTTAATGAATCTTTGTGAATTTATAGAAGATTGTGAATTCACTGAACTTTCAGTAAGAATCTTACATCTTCTTGGAGATGAAGGTCCTTACACTGCCAATCCATCGTATTATATTAGACATATTTATAATCGATTGGTTTTGGAAAATTCCATTGTTAGAAGTTCAGCAGTTATTTCATTATCGAAATTCGCCGTGGTTTGTGGGGGTGAATTACTGTCAAACATTCAAATCTTATTGAGTAGATGTTTGAATGATGTTGATGATGAAGTAAGAGATCGTGCTGCTTTATCGTTGAGATTTATTGCCAATTCCACAAAACTGCTTGTTCTTCCAGAAAGTAAATATAATTTGGCAGTTTTAGAAAACAAATTGGCTCATTATTTGAATGATTCATCAAATTTCCAAGAAAAATTCAATATTTCTGAAATCCCATTGTTCTCTAATGAAGAATTGAAGTCTATGGAATACAGTAGAAAGGTCAATAAGATGGAAATTGATAATGATGAGTCTGGAAATAACGATGAATCCAAGAATTCTGAACCGGCAGATACCAATGCACAAGACGATCTTTCAGCTCAACTCCTTAAACAACAAGAATACTCTCAAGAACTTGCAGCCATTCCAGAGTTTGCCTCATTTGGAAAATTAACCAAATCAAGCCCTACCCCAATCTACCTTACTGATAAGGAAAACGAATACGTTATCACCGTGGTTAAGCATTTCTTTGTAGAGTCTCGTAAGTTGGTTCTTCAATACAACATCACCAACACCATCGACCACATGGTGTTGCAGGACATTTCCATGGTTGCTCAACCAGATAACGAGCTGTACGAAGAAGAATTCATCATTCAATTGGATGAATTGAGACCAGACCAAACCGGTATCGTGTACGTTGCCTTCAACACCCCAGAATTTGGCGACGAAGAATCTACCGCTGAAGCCGCTTTCGGTAACACCATGACCTACATGCACAAGGAAATCATCGACGAAGAGGGCAACATTGACCCTGCTGACGAAGGGTGGGCTGATGACTACCAAATCGAGGACTTGTACGTTCTCCCAGGAGATTTCATCTTCCCATTGTACAACTCTAACTTCACGGCGGTATTTGACCAATTGGAGCACGAGGACTCCCTGGTGTACAACTTGACCAAGTCCAAAACTTTGGAGGCATCTCTCAACAAGATCAGAGCCAACTTGAACATGATGGCGTTGGACGGGTCCGACTACGTTGCTGACGATGCTGTGTCGCACTCATTGAAGCTTTTGGGTAAGGATGTGTGGGGCGGTAAGGTTGCTGCGTTGGTGAGAATTGCCCTGACCAACGGTAACATCGTGGCCAAGGTGCAAGTCAAGGCAGAAAACAAATACGTTGTTGGTATTGTCTTGGATGGTGTTGTTTACTAGATGTGTGTACAAAAATGAAAATAGAATGAAATATATTGTTTTAGCCAAAGTCCATGGTTGTAGAGATGGTGTTAAATATTGAAGGATGTCGTCAAATCTCATGTCACTGTGAAATCGTATCAAAGTTGCAGAACCGCGCACTTACGAGATTGGGTTCCTGCGTAATCGAAAGTTTAAACTTTCCCGACGCGCGTCGAGGATTGTCTTTTCATTAAATGCATGAGACGAGTGGACATCTCTTTCACATCTCCGAGATTGCCCACCGACAACTACTCCTCGCTAGTATGAAGCTGGTACTTACTGCATCCTTGGTGCTCCTTACGGGAGCTCTTGCCTTACAGGGGAGAAACGATAACAACGACAAAAAAGGAGTCGTCAGAGTCAACCTCGACCACTCAGACCATGAGAGTTACAAGGTGGTCGTCGAATTAGGCTCTAACAGAGAAAAAGTGACTCTTTACTTGGACACCCAGGGTGGAGACATCTCAGTCCCCGCCTCAAACGCCACTTGCTACCAGGACTACTTCGACTACGAAGAGGCCCAGTCCACCAATTGCTCCCTCGAAAATTCTTTCGACCCATCACTCTCTTCTTCTTTCCAGGCCAATGGCTCTACTCCAAACAGCGACTACTATGACGGTAGCTGGGGGTATGATACCGTGGTCGTTGGTGGTTCTGAGGTTGACAATGTGTCTCTTCTTGTCAGAAGCACATTTGAGCTAGACGTCGAAGAGCCGGACGGTATTTTTGGAATCGGCCGCGTTGAAAACGAGCTTTCGTATTTCCATGATGACTACACCTACGACAACCTTCCACTCAAGATGACGAGCCAGGGCGTGATCAATAAGGCCGCATACTCAATCTTCTTGAACGCGAGCAACGCAACTTCCGGTGAACTTTTGTTTGGTGGTGTGGACCATGCCAAGTACGAAGGACAACTCACCACAGTGCCCATGATTAAGTTTGCCGACCAAATGAGAGAGTCTTTGGTTGTCCTTCACGACGTCTACGTATCAGAGCAGGGTGTCAAAAAGTTTGACGTGACCAACTCCAACCCGTATTTGGCGCTGCTTAACGCTAATTACCAGTTCACGCGCTTCACTCCTGAGGTATTTGATCGCTTCGGGATTGCCCTTGGCGCCAAGGTCAACGGGACCTCCACGTTGTACGACGTGCCATGCTTTCTTGAATCAGACTTGTCCATTGGCTTCAACTTCAGTGGTGTCATCATCGACGTTCCCTACACTGACTTTTTGACCACCTACAACGGTTCCTGTGTGATAGGAGTGGTCAATCAAAATATCAGCTATAACCCCGGCTACATTTCATTGGGCCAAAACTTTTTGAGAAACGCATACACTGTGTTTGACTTTGAGGATGAGACCGTGTCACTTGCTCAGGCCAAATACACCGACGACGAGGACATTGATGTCATCTCGGACTCCATCCCCAGTGCTTCGCAAGCTAAGTATTACTCGGCAACGTCTTACAACACCTCCTACTCCTTGGGCTCTGTCACTACTACGCTTTCTTTCGAACTGAGTGCCACTTTTGATCTGTCCATAGTGACAGAGACCAGCTCCTCCACTTCTACTCCGGCCCATACCGGGACTGCCACATCTTCTGCTTCCAACACGAACTCCTCAAAATCGAAAGGTGAAGCAGTCTCTCAATGTGTCGGTGCCTTGGGGTTGCTCTCAGTCCTCCTTGGTTACCTCTCCGTCTTTTAGTTCTACATCTATTGAATTTATATACATATATTAGTAGTTCCGTCATTATCTACCATAAACCCCGCCTACGTGACGCTCCGATGGCCCCTGCTCGGGGAGAGCCACTGTGTGGTGCCTAGCTCCTCTATGAGGAGACCTACCAGTTCCCCCTTCACTTCCTCGTGAGAGGAACAGGGCCTCCACGGCTAGTGGCCCACGGAGTGCCAGCGGAGCGGCTCGCAGACCCCGTAGGGTGGATAGTACTCCCTTCCCTATGGTGTGCCCGCTCCGTCACTAACCCCCTCTTTTCCAGACCCCCTCCCCCCTTCATCGTCAGAGGAAGGCCCCCACGGTTAGTGGCCCACGGAGAGCCAGCGGAGCGGCTTTACATACCCCGCCGTAGGGTGGCACTACTCACTTTCCTGTGGGCTGTACACGCTCATCTGGTCCTCCAGCACTCGGGGAGAGTCACTGCGTGCATACGTGGCTAGTTGTCTGCAGAGTGCTCCTTTTTAGGCGATTTCCTTTTTGGAGATGATGGTATTGCTCGCTTAGTGTGAACCTTCCTTGGAGTCACCGGGGGCCCCACTTTCCTAGGGGATGTAGACGGAGCATGAACTTGTAAATTATAAGATTCGGTGGATGGAGGTGATAACTTTTTATGATTTTTCAAATTTTGGTCATCACTCAATATATTAGTAGTGTTGAATGCCACTCGATACTCCAAATCATCTTCATCTTCATCCAAGGTCAAATCATAACTTATATCGTAAGAGTTAAACTTCTGTGCTCCCTCGCCAGAAGTATTCACTATATCATCAATGGTGGGGTATTTATAAAGGGTTCGTAATTGATTCCAATTGTCCATAACATTTTTAACAAATCGGTTAATGACCGAAATTCGATCTTTATTCAGCAGGATCACTTCATGACTGAGTGAATGTCCAAGACATTTGGAAAGTGTGTTCAGCGTATGTTTTGTTGTCAAAGGCTTGGAAAGGATCTTATGACAAAGATCAAACAATTGATACAAAAGTTGATCATAATTTGATTTAGAATGCAATTGCATTATGCTTATAAAATTGTCCTTTGTGAATTGCAAGTCATCCTTCATGGGCAATTGTATACACGATAATGGGATGATAGGTTGTGGCAAGTCTGTAAGGATTTTCTTGAAAACAGCTGCTATGCAATATAAATCCCAATCATTGATCCATATCCATTGGTTGCGATTGATACAATGGAAAAGAATATCTGTATTCAGTTTATTCCCCGGCTTATGGAAGATGAGTTCGGCCTTATCGGCATACATGTCGAGGATGTTGAAGATTTGGTAGAAATGATGATAAAATAAAGGGTTTTGAAGTTTATAAAGGGTGGTATCCTGGTTGAGAAGTAATGGAGCATGGTTATATAGTTGAATTTCGGGCTCCAATTGAAGATTATGCTTGTAAATGTTTAATGAAATTTTGAGTTTAGTTAATTCCACATGACGAGATAACTCGGAAAGATTACTACATCGTACAATCTTACTTCTTCTCTTGGTTGCCTTCATGCTGTTGATATCAAACGGATTGTTGTCGAATGGAGAACTCAAATCAAATGAGTCGATCATTCGCTGAAGAGCACTTAGATTTTTCTTGGTGTTGAATATTTGGGTCAATGATTTCACAAACCAACTGTCATGAACTGTATAGATTTTAATCAAATTACTTAAATTATCACTTTCAGTATCGTCCCCATCTAAAAATTGCTTTAAAAATTTTATACCCCATACCCAAGAGATCTTGTTGAGCCCACAATTGAACATCACCAACGTATACGGTTCCGCCGGAAGGTATTTCATCATGGTAGGAATGAACGCATCATAATTTATAAGGTCTGTAGAAGGTAGATAGGATGTATCAAAGACATATATAGGAAGGGAGGTGCTCGGATCAAGTATCCCGGTTTTAAAAAATATACGTTCCATTTATAGATGAATGGGGATGAGTCAAGCAATCGGGATTTCAGGGATTTGTGTGCAACCTTCTATGTGTATTATCGGTAGTTGAGAATCTAAAATATATCAGATATGTGTTTGTTTTCGTTGTTTATATAAATTCCAGGATGATTGATTTTAAACTTACCAATTCTCCCACACTTGGATCTCAAGAATTCGTTGTAATCTTTGTATTTGTATTTTTTTTATTTTTTTATTTTGGTAGTAATTTTCTCCAACTTTGTTCTCTCTATATTCTACTGATTTTTTGGATACAGTATATGTGTTTGTCCTAAATCTTAGTTCCTCTATATTAACTCACACCGATGATTTTACTGTATATGGGAAATACATAAACAGTGGATCTGATCATGCGAAAAGATTAGCACGACATTTGATCGAATGTCGCATTTTCATAAAGTTCGACTTTCCTTCATATAATCCAGCTAGTTTTTGAACACATATGTAGGTAATTACACAAAATCGTTGGGATTGTCTATATTTGCCATCCTCTACAATTTACATGAATCTCAACTAGAACTACGGTACATTTGTATATTCAATTGTAGTTATTTTAATTTTAAGAAATACAACAGAGTTGGAGGAAAACAAATTGATTTCACCTGCACTACACTGTATTCTTGTCATATATTTTTATTCATTCCTTGTTATTGATCCCTGAATAAGAACTCACAAACTACACACATACAACTACTATGGCCCCTGTTAAGGATACTGCCAACGAGGCCACTCAGGCCGTTGAGGTCAAGGAGACAAAGAAGCAACCTAAGAAGGAAGAAGAAGAGCTTTCCGAAGAAGACCAACGTCTTAAGGATGATTTGGAAATGCTAGTTGAAAGATTGAATGAATCATCTCAGACTGTGGAGTTTTATGGCAAATGTTTAAACACCTTGAAGGATTTCATTAAGGACTCTACCACTTCCATGACTGCTGTTCCTAAGCCATTGAAGTTCTTGAGACCTCATTACCCTCTCTTGACCGAGATTTATGATAAATGGGCTGAAGCAAAGTCTCCAATAGTAGATCAATTGGCTGATGTTTTATCAGTGTTGGCCATGACTTATTCAGATGACGGGAAACGTGATTCATTAAAGTACAGATTATTGTCTTCTTCCGACACAATTGCTGACTGGGGTCATGAATACATGCGTCATCTTGCTCTCGAAATCGGTGAGACCTATCAAGAAAAGTTGGGGGTTGATGAAGAAGCAATCAATCAATTGGTTTCTTTATCTCTTAAGATCGCTCCATTCTTCCTCAAGCATAACGCTGAAGCTGATGCAGTTGATTTGCTTTTGGAAATCGAATGTATTGAAAAATTGCCTGAATTTGTTGATGAAAGTACTTTTGCAAGGGTTTGCTTATATATGGTCAGTTGTGTACCACTTTTGGCTCCACCTGATGATTCGGCATTCTTGCACACTGCCTTCTCCATCTATCTTACCAACAATAGCTTGACCCAAGCCTTAACCTTGGCCATGAAGCTTGATGATGAAGATTTGATCGCTCAAGTTTTCCAATCTACTGAAGATGAATTGGTTCACAAACAACTTGGTTTTATATTATCTCAACAAAACACGAGTTTCAAATACCCAGGAGAAGATGAAGTTGTTCAACAATGTATTTCTAACGTGAAATTACATGAATATTTTGCCTATCTCGTCAAGGAATTGAACTTGTTGGATCCAAAGGTTCCAGAAGATATTTATAAATCTCATTTGGAAAATGCCAAGTTTGGAATAGGTACTTCAGGTTCAATTGATTCTGCTAAGCAAAATTTGGCTGCTGCCTTTGTCAATGCATTTATCAATTTGGGTTATGGTGCTGACAAGTTGATTCAAACTGAAGAAGACAACAAATCTTGGATCTACAAGACCAAGGGACATGGTATGATTTCCACCACTGCATCTCTTGGTTCCATTCATCAATGGAATATTAATGATGGTTTGCAAAACTTGGATAAATATACCTATTCCACTGAAGATGAAGTCAAGGCTGGTGCCTTACTTGGAACTGGTATTGTTTCTGCCAACGTACACGATGATGTTGAAGCTGCTTTGGCCTTACTTCAAGAATATGTTACCGATCCAAACAAGTTGTTGCAAACTTCAGCTATTAACGGTTTAGGTATTGCCTTTGCTGGTTCTTCAAATGAAGAAGTTTTAAACTTGTTGTTACCATTAGTCTCTGATTTGGATGTCCCTGTTGAAGTTTCTTCATTGGCTGCTCTTGCTTTGGGTCATGTCTTTGTTGGTACTTGTCATGGAGATATTACTTCAACTATTTTACAAACCCTTTTGGAAAGAGATTTCGTTCAACTTACCAACAAATTTGTAAGATTCTTATCTTTAGGTTTGGGTTTGTTGTATATGGGTAAGACAGAACAAGTTGAAGATGTATTGGAAACTATTGATGCCATTGAACATCCAATCAGTAAAACTTTGAAGGTTTTAGTCAATATCTGTGCATATGCTGGTACTGGTAACGTCTTACAAATCCAATCGCTCTTACAAATGTGTACTGCTAAGCCAAAGGATGATTCTGCCGAGGAAAAGCAATTGGGACAAAGTGAGGAAGATCAATTGAAACAAGAAGAAGCATCTGGTGAAGCTGATGCTGATGCTTCTGCAACTGCAACTGATTCGACCAAGGATGGTTCGAGTGCAGATGTCGAGATGAAGGACGCTGAAGAAGAAGACAACAAGGTTGATGAAGATGGTGATGAAGATAAAGAAAAGAAGAAGGAGCAAGACGAGGAAGATGAAGATGAAGAACTTTATCAAGGATTTGCTGTCTTGGGGCTTGCATGTATCGCAATGGGTGAAGAAATTGGACAAGACATGTCTTTACGTCACTTTTCTCATTTGATGCATTATGGTAACCCTCTCATTCGTAGGGCTGTGCCTTTGGCAATGGGGCTTGTATCCACTTCTAACCCTCAAATGAAGGTCTTTGATACCTTGTCTCGTTATTCACATGACCCAGATCTTGAGGTTGCACAAAACGCAATCTATGCCATGGGTTTGGTAGGTGCCGGTACAAATAACGCTAGATTGGCTCAATTGTTGAGACAATTAGCATCCTATTACCTCAAGTCTGCTGATTCATTATTTATGGTTAGAATTGCTCAAGGTATTTTACATCTCGGAAAGGGTACCTTGTCATTGACTCCATTCAATAGTGAAAGAACCATTTTATCAAAGGTTTCGTTGGCATCATTGTTGACCATTTCTGTTGCCTTATTAGATCCTAAATCTTTTATCTTAAGTGACAGTACCAGTGAAACTAGTCATCAACTCTTATACTATTTGACTCCAGCCATCAAGCCAAGAATGTTAATCACAGTTGATGAAGAATTGAACCCAATCAAGGTGAATGTTAGAGTTGGTCAAGCTGTTGATGTTGTTGGACAAGCTGGTAAGCCTAAGACTATTACTGGTTGGGTGACGCAATCCACGCCTGTTTTGTTAAACTATGGTGAGAGAGCCGAGTTAGAAAACACAGAAGAATGGATCAGTTTGAACTCTTCATTGGAAGGTATTGTGATCTTGAAAAAGAATCCCGAATACATGGAGGTTGATAATTAGATTGGAGAGGTGATGGAATTTCGAAAAATAATGTAATCCATAGGAATAGAGAATAAATGTCTTGTTACATTTCATTTTATATAGGACGTCCTAATGCAAATAAATATACAAACATAGATGTTAAAGTAATCTAATCAATAGAAAACTAGTATAAAAATGAAGTGGTCATTTATTATTTTAAAATCGGGGTTTTTCATAATTACATCTATAAACGTAAGAAAAAAAAAAAGGAAGAAAAGTCAAGCTGAGAGTGAATTAGGCTCTGGGTGACTTTATGGTAGGCATACTATCGTAGGATTCCCGTCGAAGTGAATATGAGTACAAGCCTATATCTTGCTATTGTTTGTTTTTGTTGGTGTTGGATTTGAGAGGATTTGTTTTCTATTGGAATTCAAGAGCCTTACCAGCCATTAATAAACCAACAATTAAACCAAACAAACCCAAAACAGAACCGAAAATTTCGATGACCAAGATCTTAACGAAAAGTGCAGAGTCAGCAGCATCAGAAATAGCTGCGGTGGAACCAGTGATACCCACAGCAACACCACAAATCAAGTTAGAAAGACCAACGGTTAAGCCAGCCCAGAACAAAGAGTAACCGGTATACAAGTTTTCCTTGGTAAACAAGGCATTGGCAGGAACACTGTTTAACTTGGATGAGAAGACAATGGCCATAATCAATCCATAGATAGCAACAACTTCACAAAAAATAATGGAAATCAAGTTCTTGGTGGTGATACGTGGCGCCTTGACACCAGCACCAATGATGGACGACCCAGTGATGAAAATACCCCAGGCAGCACCAATGACAGATAACCCAATGCAACTAACAATCCCCAAGTTTGCCCACATGTAAGGGGATGTAGTTTCAAGGAACCAGCCAACATTAAAAGATTCCCCAGAACCCGTGAAAAGTAAGTAGCCACCCACGGTCAAGATGGAGGCTGTAACAAGGTAATTAGCAACAGACATTACAAAGCGATTACGTGTTGCAATTGATAGATTGATGTCAGATACAGATAGGTTCGTTGATAAATTTTGCCGGCCAGGTGGGCAAAATTATAGATTGAGCGAGATTATGTGCAGGCTAGGTAGATTTTATTAGAATTCCCTTTCTTTGGTAATCTGTCTTTTTTTTTTGTTTTTCCACCCTTTGTCATTTCTTATCAATGTGAAGAAAAAGCGAAAAAGGTTGCAAAATTTTGTTATGGGCTACTGTGGTTAAAAACTCTTGATAGTATGTTTTATTTTTAATGAAAAGTATGTCTGAATTTATATCAGAGGTTGATCGTATAAAAATTGTAATACATGATAATGGAGCTGGTAGTAAGTCATTAAAGTTGATACTTTCTGTTTTTGTTTTGTGTTGTGAAATCTAAACAGTTGCAGTCATTAAAAAGCTTACAGGGTTGTTCGTCAAATGACTCTTTAAGAGTTGGATTTTGTAGAATAAGGTTGGGGAGTTCTCTAAATGTATGGTGTAGCTTATAGAAGGTGCTTTTTTTTATTTATTTAGGAAACATGTATTTAAATTGATCAACATTTCGAAAAAGTTAACCAAGAATATTCATATATATATATATATATATTCAATTTAAATTGATTTTAAGAAAGTGTGCAAATCAAACTTTCCTTCAGCGATAGCATTGTTGGCCAACTGCCTAACCCTTTTTTGGGAATTAGAAAGGTCTCCAGAGATTTCAAATGGTTCAAGGCCCATAGATCTAAGTCCTTCTTTACATGTAATGTTTGCAATATCAGCACCTTGGTACTCTTTTGCATCACCCAATTGAGAGCGATAATCTTCGGGCGAGATGTTAGCAAGGAATGATTCCTTGGTATCAAGAAGGGTTGGAATGTTTGTCACAGAGAGTGGAGTCACTCCATAGTAAAATACACTGGAGTGTCCATCCCCATTATGTTCCTTGTCTACTTCATGAGGAATGTCAGCATGCCAAAACATAAAATCCCCTTTTTGCACGTCAGGAATACCGACAACTGCTTCACATTGACGAAGATGAGGATAAAATTCATCATCGATAAACAATTGACCAGTTGAAGGAACTGCCCCAGGAAATTTAGGAGTTTCAAGATCAATTTCATAATCATCAATGTTACCCGATTCTGGATCCTTCCAGAACAATGGTCTTAACAAAATATACGCAATACCAAGTTTTACATTAGGGAAAACTCTAAGGGTACCTTCGCCTGTCTTATTATCACTAAGTGCTAACCAACCTTGTAAAGTACGGAATGATGAACAAATCGTTGGACGTTTTGTATCAAGGTGATGATATAAATCTTCACGTGCAAACTGTCTTTTATCAAGCTTATAAGGATCCCAATCTTCCCAATGCCCTTCAAAAATTTGCTTGTAAGTATCTCTGTAAGTTGCATCTTCCCATCTTTCAATAGAACTCGAATCTAAATGCAAATTGAGAGATGCTTTTGTTCCAGGCTGTCTAATTCTGATCCGATCCCCATAAACTACTTGGGTATCAAGGTCAATCAATGAGTTCTCAATATCTTCGACATAAAACTCATTCGATAACACTTGAAATAATTTTTTGGTGTTCTCATGGAATCTAGCTTCAGTTTGTGGTTTGGTCCAAAATAAATTGTACCAAGACGTTGGGTTTGGGAAAGTATATCCTGCAGTTTCGGGATGATCTTTGCAAAATTGAGCTAATTCTTCAAACCAAGTATCAATTTGAGGACGATCGATGACCCCTTTGACTAAAACAACTCCGGCTTTTTTGAATGATTCTGAATCCTTCTCTGTGAGTTGGAAATTATTCTTCTTAATATCTTCCCATTGAATAGTTGGAATTCTTGAAGGTCCAGCGTTTTCCATAGCTTTTGTTTCCGATTCGAGTGCTCTAAGAAGTCTTTTCCAAGAGTCTGTCACCAACTGCCTATCCTCATCCTTCACGAGATTTCTTTTCACTTCTGAAAATCGAGACTCTAAATCTGGGGGAACGATTGAAGCTGAATTTGCAACCATTTCTCTTTTTTGATAACTTTCTATGTTTTGTTTTGATTTCAGATACTAAATCAAAAAGGCAATTAACAGAGAACTAACTTCTATACTTATTTGTATTGAACCTTTACTTTTGTTGAAAATATATAACTTTATATATATTTATGAATCAGAAGAAGAGGGTTTCGTTGTTTAGGATTGTGACCCAAAACAGAAATGGATCCGAAAATACGCATGATAAATGTATAATAAGATGCTTGGATAAATTCTTAAAATGGCAACGAATCCGTAAAAGGACCCCAAAGAGAAGTCGGTCCGAAATGAAATTCACGTCATTAAAGGTGCTTTCTGTGGGGTCGAAAGTCATGTACGTTTAAAATTCGGTAATTACTGCTAAACAGAAAATAATGGGGTAACCCATTTTTAAACGTTTTTTTAGATATTGAGCTAATATAGAAATATATACTAAACCAGGTTTGGATTGTCCCCTACTTCAGAATTGTCCCCTGTGGATGGCTGTACATGAGGGAAATCCATGAAGAGTTCGTTATCAAATAGATTGATCGGTAATGAACCGAAATAATCGTCATACGATAATGAGCTAAAGTCCATAGTGGGGACACGGGAAAGTGATACATTACCGAGCGCTGGTGGTGCCGCAGGGGTTGGTGTGGGTAAAAGAATATCATGTACATTGTTTGGAATGGGTGGAATAGGAGGTGCAGCTGGTGTAACCTTACGTCTCTTTAAGTCATGCTCTATATTTTTCTTTTGGTTTATTTCCTTCTTCTCAAGCTTTTTACCAAACTCCGTAGATAATTTACAAATTTCATCCACAACCCACCAACGTTTGCAGTAACTATCCAATTCTTTCACATAATCCGTCCATTCGTAGTTCTGAGTTATGGAAACAGTATTATCCATGTCTTCCACCAGCTCAGTGCCTTCTGAATCCAACTTGTATTCAAGTACTTTTCTGGCCTTACTTTTGAGCGATGCGGCCAAAGCTAAGGATAAACACCATGGAATTATCGGGATGTTTATCATCATATGTGGAGGCTGGCGTTGGATATACCAAAGGATATTCAGTGACGCCTTTAACGAGATCGATTCAGCAAGACTATTAGGGATTTTTGGATCATCATATTTCGCCTTTTGTGATGCTAAAATGATCACATTTTTCACCACCCTGGTAACAAAGTTTACAGTAGATGCTATATATGTTTCACCTCCTTCAACTTTGTTGTCCATTTGATCAAGGTCACATAGTTTAAATTCTTTATTTTCGAACTCAACCATATCAAATATACTTTTTCTATAATGTGGCGCATTCTTATGATTAGGACGATAAACTTCATGTAACATTTCTTCTAATGATCTTGCCACTTCAACAAGTTTTTTCAAATTCAGATTATGAGGAGGGTCAATGTTGAAGTCATGATTTCGAATAAAGAGTGATCTACAGTTCACCAAGGCATTGAACCGATCAAAGACATAGACACACCACCACATGTCATTGAGATGGTCAATTCTTTCTTGAGTCAATTCCAGTGGTTGTCGTTTCATATGCATTCCCAACAGGAATGCCATATTGACAGCATCAGTAAGATCATGCGAGGCTCGTTCGTTCCCAAATCTGTCATATCCATAATGTAATGAGAGTAATAACAGTGATGATAGTCTGGTAAGTTTATCATAATCTCCCAATTGAGGCAAGATGAGCACAATTTGACGGATTTTATTTTGCAAGTCTGCTGTGAATTCGAGATACTCAACATCATATGAACGAGTACGCCCTTCTCTAGCAAACATAGCAGATAGCATAGGGGTGGCTAAACTGTCCTTCAGCATGAGTAAAACTATGGTGTACATTAAAACACTAGGGAGAGCTCCAGCGTTGAATTCGTCCCAAAATCCCTTGACGGAAACAAGGGGGAAAACAGAGTTAATCTTTGTGAAGTAAAGATCTATGAATTTATTTAGTTCCTCATTGGTAAAACTATAAGGTCCATGAGTGATACTAAATGCATTGATGGAAAGAAGATAATCAAACGTTCTTCTGTCTCGGATATGCGGTATGGGGGTATTAGTCGAATTAGATCCCCCTGAGGCCTTTTGCTGGCTCCAGTTGAATGATGAAGGGTTATCTGACTTCAAAGGAACTTGATAATCGACATGAATTCCAGATTCACGATATAATGTTCTATCATTATTAGTTTTGTTGGTGAAAATGACCTTGGGGTGATCATGGAAAACGTATTGATACGCTCTTTGAGCCAGCATTCCTGATATATTGAAGTTGTACATTTTTTTCAAAAATTGAGGGGTAACATTAGTCATCTCTATAGGTTTTGCTTGTGGGGTGGGAAGTGGTGGTAAATATTGAGCGAGTCTGCTACTATTCCCACTGTCATTCACGATATTTCTCTCTACATTGGGGGTTGTATTCACCGATCCAGTCTGCGTAGGTGGCAAAGTACTGACGGGTGGTTGTGTGGGGACAAATGAACAAGGTGATGAGCTATTGATACAACTCACGCACCCCAGGCCCTTGGATGCAACACGGCATTTCACTCTTTTTGTTCTACAACGTTCACAACATCGATAGACACGTTTCCTCGTTTGATAGTTGGAATCAAAGGCCGGGAATACAAACATAACAAGATATTAGCCGAGCAAATGAAAGATGCCCAAAAAAAAGGTTTTTAAAAAAGGATTATATATAAGGTAAAAGATAGATGAACGGGCTTTTAAGCTCCACTTTTGCAAAAATATGCTGATCTAAAAAGAATGGAGAAAAAAGAAAAAAATAAAAATAAAAATGACATAGCAGAAAAGTGACACTTACGTAATGTACGGGCCCAGAACAAAGGGAGTGTTTTTTTATAGGGCAACTTTACTTTCAATCTCAGATGAGCAAGATGGTAAGGTTGGACTGGGTTGGGTCAAAAAAAAAAAACGGTATTTACGTGGTGAAAATGTATTTGTATAAAAATGCATATGATTTTTTTGCCCCGTTATGTGTCCATTTTGTAGTGATCTCTCAATAACTTCGCAAGTCCGCCAGCCTGCATGAGAGAATTCTACGCGGGATCTGGGGGAATGAATTTGAAACGGCGATGATCAAAAATAAGTGGATACAACACATTATCGTATCATTTGACATGACAACAAACCACAGACCCACTCTTGAAGCGAAGAGGGGTAAATCCCAGGGTATCCGTGACTCGATAGCACACTCGAGAGCGTTGCCCCAACAAACAAAACTCAAATATAGATCCGATATAGATCCAGATGTAGCGAAGAGGGCAGTAGAGGAATTGAAGGAAGATCTCATAAGAAACAACAAAAGAAGTATAGACGTAGATGGAAACTCACTGAAACGAAGGAAAGATTTAGAAGGGTCCGAACTGGCTGGGGATGAGAATTCCAAGATAAATGTGGAGGATCTCAATATAGCAAAGAAAGAATCTGAGGATGGAAACGAGTCCCAAGATGAAGAAGATGTGAGCCAATCTGAAGATGAACTGGAATATTCCTCAGATGAATCTGATGATGAAACAGAACAACTTTTACAAGAACTTAATAAAATTAAAGAAGAAAGAGAAGCTGCCAAAAAGTTAAAGGAATCACAAGAAAGAACCTCCAGGGCTATAAATTCGAACCCTTTACTTAAAGTTGGGAACGAACCAAAGGCAGAAGTGAATATCAAAAAGGGTTGGAGAAACGCCACGGCCTTCAGAAATCAACAACCTTCGCTGGAACAAAGTAAAGAAGAATCGTACACCAGTAGCACCCTTAAATCCGACACCCATAAGAAATTCTTATCCAAATATATACGATAGAACATATACAATAGAACACACAAACGAGATACATATGATATTTCTTTTCTTATACTTTTACTTTTATTCGTTATAAAGTTTTTACGTAGCTCATTTCTGTAGCCACCATCATTACTATTTAAATTTAAATACTTAGGTCAAATCTTCGTCGTGACTCAATCTAGCATCAAGGTTTGCAATATCTTCTTTCAAACTAGCCTCTTCAACACTCTTCACCAATTCCTTGGTACATTTGGCAATGTCAAAGGAAATTCCTGCCAATCTTTGCTTGAAGTTCTTGTCAGCAAAATCTTGAAGTGCCTTGTCGCCACTAGGCTTGCACAAGATATTCATACGGTGGTTACAGTCCTCTAAACTTCTCACCACCCAGCTTCCATGTTCTTTCAATTGAGCATTACGAGTTTGATTCATAGATGTGTTAGTGGCCTCTGTCATTTGAGAAATTACTTCGGTGATAGCTCTGGCCTTTTGACACAAGTCGTTTCTAGTAGAATCTGGCTTCTTGATTGCAGATAATAAAGATTGAATAGTTGATATCACTTGGACTGTTTGATGTTCTAAATAAAGTAAAACTTGAGTCAATGTATTATCAGGATCTTCAATATCGAATAAATCAACATTGAAAGTAGCAGCAGCCATAGACTTACGATATTCTTGTCTCTGTCTTGCTTCGTTTTCTTCTTCATCTTCTTCTTCATCATCTTCATCATCTTCTTCATCCTCTTCTTCAGTTTCATCTCTGTTAGGTGTGAATGTTTGAACATTATTCAGGTATGAAACATTCTTAGAAACTGGCTTCTTAGCGGCTAAAGCTGCTGGTGGCGGTGGAGGAGCAGCACGTACTTCCCTAGGTTGATATGTCTCTTGTTCCTGTGTAGATACAGTACTATGGAAACTGGACTTAGAATCTGTCGATTTACTTCTGTCAAGAATACTTGGTCTATGGGCATCTTCAACTTCTTCTTCTTCATGTTCCTTCACTTTTGGATCGCTGATACTAACTACATTAACCTTATGTTTCAGGACGTTCATGAATGGAGTTTGGTCATCATCCTTTTGTACTGGCTGACTTCCGTTGATACCTCTTGTAGATGCTGTAGAAGTTTCGGCATTAGGAAGTGAAACAGATACTGGTGCAGCTGTTGGTACTGCTTCGGGTACAACTACTGCTTTAGTTTGTGTCACAGCGACAGGTGTAGCAGTTGGTACTGCTCCGGGTACAACTACTTTAGTTTGTGGTACAGCTTCTGGCTCAGTTTTTGGTGCTTCAGATTCTTTTTTAGGTACCACTACCAGTTTAACTTCTTTCTCTTCTTCAGTCAAAGGTTCCTCGTGTGGTGTGATTTTATCTCTAATACTTTGGAAAAACCCCTTTTCACTTTTGTTTGAGGCAATTGACAGGTTTGGATCTACAGGAGCAGTGTTGATTTCCTTTTCAACCAATTCAGGTTCTTCTTTACCTTCTTCATCCACTGAATCAATCGTCTTGTCTTCTTCGGCGGCAGTTAATTTGTCCTTAATACTTTGGAAGAGACTCTTACTTCTTTTGATCGATCCACTTGACTTATTTAAATCTTCAGTATCGGGTTTGGATTCCTGCAGAATTATAGAGCCATTTGATGAAGGAGTTACCTCCTTAGACTTATGATCATTAAGGATGCTTTTTTCTAATCTACCGGCAGACAATCTCTTAGGACTGTACTTCAGTGAATCTTCGTCATTTGGACTCTCAAATTGTCTAACCTTATCGAAGATATTCTTGGATTTGGTTGGTGTGGTACGAGATGGAGATATTGGTGAACTATCAGAATTGTTTAATCTATTCGTCAAGTAAGCCACTCCTGATCCAATTGATTTGGGTGGTGTACTCTTTGCTACACTGTCTTCGTTGACCTTTTCGAATTTAGATGCCAAGTTTCCAATATTCTTACTTACTGGACTGCTAGGACTTGGCGACTTCTGTACGGTGCTCAAATCTGGAATAGAACGTTCAACCACTGGATTGTTGATTTTCTTGGAAGTATCAACAACAAGTGGAACCAGTGAATTTGTTGGTGATGGGATTTGCTTGATTGGAGTACTACTTTTGATGTCACGAATTGGACTGGTTTCACGTAACTTGGTGGTCATCCTCAATGGTCTAACTCCAGAATTGGCCTCAGAAATATATGAAGTAGAAGGTGTTAAAGACTTTGTTTCGCCATTGGATGATCCTTTACCGGTTGATAATTTGTAAATGGATATTAAATCACAAACACTAAAACAAATTTCTCCCAATGATCTTTCAACAATAATCTTGGGTAATATGTTAGAGTAAACAGCATAATATCTTGTTGCCGTTAATGCAAAGCTAGTAGCTTCACGAAGAAGAATGGAGTTCTCATTACTGTTAAGGCTATGGTCATCTCCTTGTGCTGCAATGGAGTTTGCAAGAATAGATATTTTTGATATTTTTTCAAAAAGTGAATCAGCATCGAATGTATCATTCTTCAAATATCCCAATAATGTTTCCACAGAAGCTATAAGATTTGATACCAGTTCAAATGGTATTAAGCCAGAAGGTGAGATAAATGGTTTTAATTCGTTTTGTGACATAATCTTTTGAGATAAATCATTAGAGATTTGACCAGCTCTAACATCTTCGTACATTTTTTGCCATTTAGCAACATCTTTTTTCAATTCTAATACAGATTGATCACCTCTCTTATTTGGAACTTCAATATTGGCCAATTGATCAAGGAATCTCTCAATTCCTTGCTTAGTATTACCATTGCGAGAAATGGATTTACTTTCTTCTGCAACCGCGTGTGCTGGTGGTGCCAACTTAAGTGACGTTGGGAGTTCCTTGTCTGGTGTTTGAATATCTCTAGAGGTTGTACGGTTGGGGATGATTGAACGATCTTTGGCGGTACTGTTTTTAAGCGATTGGTTTTCCAACCTTAATGCTCCAACAGAAGACTTCAATGAATCATAATCATGAACAGAAGCTGCATGTGCTTCTAAATCAGAAATCTTTTGTACAAATGTACTCTTGTCAGCAGCCCATTGGGCCTTTTCCTCTTCGAAATCTTCAATCTCTTTACTCAATCGTTTGTTCTCGGAAATTGTAGTTTGATAATCATCTTGTAATAAACGATACTTTTGTTCAGATTGATCTCTTTCCTTTGAAACATCTTCTAATTGAGAACGAAGATCTTGAATTTGAGATTCTAATTTGGTTGATTCATCACGAAGATTCTTAAGATTTTCTTCATGGCTAACATTTGATTTCCGAAGTGAATTACCAGAAATCTTGGAATTTTGAGATTGTCTAACAAATCCATTCCCATTGACATCTTCATCTTCATTTTCTGGTACCCAACTTTCTTCTATTTCTCTTGATTTCTGTTCAGGTTGAGGTTCTTGAATGAATTTATCCCCACCAAATCCAGAGTGTTCTTCAGCTTCAGCTGCAATTTCTCCTGCTTCATCTTCTTCGTCACTTGACCATGTCAAGTTAGCCTTGGAGGGAATAACAGTTTTCAGCTGAACACCAATCGCTGGTTGTGGCTGTTGTTGTTGAAACTTGGAATTAGATGATTGCTGAGAAAGTTGTCTTTGATGTTGCAATGGTTGATTTGATGATGGTGGATGTTTCTCCAGTTGTGGAGAATGATTCACATTCAATTGTTGTGAATGCGAGGATTGCAGATGTTGCTGGCGGTGAGAAGGATTGAATTCCTTCAGATGATTTGAAATTGGAATTGATTTACGCAGATCACTTTCTTCATAAGGGGGTAATTGTTGTTGAACCACTCCTTCACCATTGCCGTTGGATCCTCTTTGTGGTTGTTCTGGGCTTTGTGTAGGGATATGGAGCTGTCTTCTTTCGATCTCATATGAAATATCCAGTACTAAATCCTTAAAACGAGATTGTGGCAATGAAGATAATTTTTGTCTCGCTTGATTTCTCTTTGGATGGAAAGAAGATTTAGGAAGAAGGAAATCAGGCTCACCTCTGGATTCATCGATTCTTCTTCTTAATTCGTCGTACACGTCTGTGCTGAGCTCTCTGAACTGGGCCCCGGATAATTTTAAAAGCTTTTCTCTTGCTCTGGCAGCACGGGAGGAATTGGTCTTTGTTTTGGAACTCAGATCATCCGAAATCTCTAAAAATTGTTTCAACACCCTATGGTGATGAACAAGATCCTTTTCGTTCATGGCAATTATATTTTAATGCCCGCAAGTGAAGTGGTATATATGATATGTCAGGAAAAGAAGTATTAACGAGAAAACTCTTTAAAAAATCTGTCTAATTTTCTTTCTGTTTGTGTGTTTAATAATACTATGTGCAACCTAATGAGAATGTTCAGTAATTTTTTTGGTAATTCACTCAGGATACAGAAGCAAAAAAAAAAAAAAAAAATGAAAGAACTGTCAGCGTATGGTTGTACGTTTCTTACGCGTTGTATTCGCTAGTTGTCAAGCCTAGTGCAAAGGAAATTTGACCCACTTCTAAGTTGTAGTTATAGAGTAGAATAAGAAAAGTTTACAATTAGTTTTGTTAGTGTTTGTGGTAGATCTTTCAACGTCATACGCGCTTTTGTCTTATTTAGCAAAAAAAAAAAAATAATAATCGGAAAAAGAAGGAGGAAAACATAAAAAAAACAACAAATGGCAGTGCACTCAGAAAGAGAACAAAATTGATAATGGACCGGATTGTTTCTGTCATATTTACTCAATTTTCTTTATTTAAGAGAGATATGAAAAATAGACTGGAGTTGTGCTTCATTATTCTAGAATGGAGTTCAGTCTTGGAATCAAATACATAGACATTATTGTCTATAGGATGAGTGGTACTAGTTCATAAAGGAAATTTTACGTATCTCAATGCATCAATAATAATTTTCGCGCGTGCACCGAGTACGTCAGAAAACAAAAAGACAATGAAAACCAAGACAATATCCTACTCTTGAACTGGGCATGCAGGTTGTGTGCTGAAATTAATTGTAATTATCCAAAAAGTGGAGACGTCGGTCTTGTAGAGGAGAACACCGCAGTAGTTGAATTATAATACAGTTTGAGCGTCAGACAGTAAGGTAAAATAAGCAACGTGAATTACATGTGTAGTAGTATTTCCTGGAATGAAATAGAAGCCTGGCTTAGGAACTAGACTAATTCTCCATTTCTGTGTAGGAATTAAAGATAAAGTTCTGCCATACTAGTTATTTCCGGCACATATCATAAGTGTGGTAGTATCTGTTCATTACTATCAATTTAATGGTACTATTCATTGTCATTGTATTTGCTTCGCACTATTCAACTCCTATTGAGTGATCTCCCTTAAAGTGACTTTCTTATAAATTTTCTCAGTAATTTTTTTATCAATTCTTTCAAAAATATCTATAAATCTCCACTAATCGTTTCATTACAAATCGCATATCTTGCTTGACTCTTTTCCTTCTCACTCACTCATTCTACACTTTCTAATATTATTTCATTCTTTACCGTTACTAAATACACGCTATGTACAAGGGTAGACTCCAACAACTAGTGTATCTTCATTCTGGACATCATACCTTCTCATGCTCTCACCTTTATTCTCACCTCTGTTTCTATTCTCCTCTCCTTACATTCTTCTTCCGTTTATATCTTATCACTTCTAATGTTTTCTTCGAGAAGTTTACTGGCAATTCCATCCAATGATGGGGTGGCATTGACAAATCTATCTTGGATAAATTGTTCAGCAACTACCTTACCGTGAGAAAATGCAACTGCTCCAACCAATGCATACACCATTTGAGCACTAACCTTGAGTTCACCACTACGGCCGAAACTCAAGTCATGATTATAAGACTTCCAAAACATCACCTTGTTGAGATTATTTTGTTGAGCAAGGAATGCCATGGGGGCTCTTTCGGACAAACTCTTGGTCAAAGGCATGCCAATACAATCCATATTCTTACCGTTTATAGCGGTTTCATTGGTGGTGGGTTGGTTGGTGGCATACTTGAGGAAAAATAAACTCACCAACTTACTACCCAATGCAGCTAATTTTTCATTGTATGGTTTGATCCCATTACCAAAGGACTTATGAGTCAAAACTTGAAGGGCAAGGTCGTCGGAGATCGAGTACTTGTCCTGCAAGAAAGCCTTGACATACTGTAAATTCTCATGACTTGGTCCGTATACGGCACCATTATGGGTCTTGAATACATCTTCCGGGTTCTTCTTAAGACCTTGTACTCTCTTGCCACTATGCAAATAGATGGTTCTGGCCGGATTTACCGCAAGTGTTCGGCTGCTGAGCATACGGCTCCCTTCACCAAAAGCCTTCAACATTGTGTATATATCAAATATAAAAAACTTTAAACGGTTATATATTACCCTGTTGTCACCACTCCAACCAATTTTTTTTTCCCTCTCTCTCTTTCATCGAGAGTTTTGTTTTTGTGTCATATGAAAATTATAAAATAAAATAATAAAAAAAAATTATATGGGCGCTTATATACACACCAAGTCAGAATTTCTAATTTTTTTGCCTCTACATCCACACCCACACATCTCTTCCCAGACAAGTTGATATTTGCGATGATCATCCAAAAAAAAAAGTTGTAAAAACTTAAGCCGATATATTTGATAGACATCTGATTCAATATGGATATCTTTCGGATTCTAACCCGTGGGGCTTCATTGAAGAAGTCCAAGAATGATACCATCAAACATGCAAAGGCACAAACAACCTCTCAACAAAGGAAAGAACAATCTATGCAACATCAAGTTGACAAGGAAACTGATTTCTTTCATACTAGAAAACATACTATAATTGAAGATGAAGACTCTAAAATTGGAAATGAAGAAGATGAGGATCTGGTGGCACCTCCACCCAAAATTGCAAACGAAGAAGATGCGGCAAAGTTACGTAGATCTTATAAATCAAAGGTTACTGGATCAGATGTTCCATTACCAATTGGATCGTTTGAAGATTTAATTAGTAGATTCCATTTGGATAAGAAATTACTTTCTAATCTTTTAGAAGCTGATTTTGTTGAACCAACCCCTATTCAATGTGAATCCATTCCTATTTCCTTGGAACAAAGAGATTTGATTGCATGTGCCCCTACAGGGTCTGGTAAGACTTTAGCCTTCCTCATCCCACTTGTACAAGCAGTATTAGACTCCCCAAAGACATCCAAGCTTCATGGAATCCGTGGGTTGGTTATTTCTCCAACCAATGAATTGGCAGTACAAATTTTCCATGAATTGGAAACATTATCTAAATCTAAAAAGGATCTTAAAGTGGCCATTCTTTCCAAACAATTGGCTAACAAGATTAACAATAACATTATTAATGCTAGTAAGTATGACATCATTGTTTCTACCCCACTTCGTTTGATTGACGTTGTTAAAAATGAAAAATTAGACTTATCAAAAGTAGAAGAATTAATTATTGATGAAGCCGATAAATTATTTGATCAAGGATTTGTGGAACAAACCGATGATATTTTATCTAATTGTACTCATAAGAAGTTGAGAAAATCCATGTTCTCCGCTACCATCCCATCAGGGGTTGAAGCTATGGCACAATCGATTATGAAGGATCCAGTAAGAGTAATTATTGGTCATAAAGAAGCAGCCAGTAATACCATTGAACAAAAATTGGTATTTACAGGTAATGAAGAGGGTAAATTACTTGCCATCAGACAAATGATTCTGGAAAGTGAATTTAAACCACCAATTATCATTTTCTTACAATCGATCACAAGAGCCAAGGCATTATTCCATGAACTTTTGTATGATAAGCTCAATGTAGATGTGATTCATGCTGAAAGAAGTCCTAAGCAAAGAGAAGATGTAATTAAAAGATTTAAAAACGGGGATGTTTGGGTATTGATTACCACTGATGTTATTGCTAGAGGTGTTGATTTCAAAGGAGTTAATCTTGTGATAAATTATGATGTTCCACAATCTGCACAAGCATATGTCCATAGAATTGGTAGAACCGGTAGAGGTGGTAAGAGTGGTAAGGCTGTGACATTTTTCACCAAGGAGGATGAAAAGGCTATCAAGCCAATCTTAAACGTCATGAAACAATCTGATTGTAAAGAAGGATACAGTGAATGGATGGAAGATCTTGATAAATTATCAAAGAATGAAAAGAAGAGTATTAAACAACATTCAATCAAGAGAAAACAAATCAGTACTGTACCAAAGGTGATCAAACAAAAGAAGCGTCAAAGAGCAGAAATGATTGAAGGATCAAAAAAGAGAAAGTATGAAGGAGATAATAAGAAGGAAAGAAAGGAGAAGAAAGAAGAAGAAACCGAGTAGATAGCATATAGTAATAGAAAAGGTAATTAGAACAACTTAACCCTTGGAGGGAACGAAGTCATTGCAAGATTCCATTTCCGAAAATCTTCTGCAACTCTCTTAATAATACTACTTGTCTCTGTTTTTTTTTTATAAATACGTGTATTTTCTAAATATCCTCGGACTCTCCTTTTATATGGTACAGGCTTAGTGGTGGTTGGAACCAACAGATGGGTAACCAAAGACGTGTCTTCTACCAATGATTTCACCAACAGAGAAAAAAGCCAATAATTGGGTACCGTAAATACCGGCCTTAACGGCACATTCCTTGGTTGGCTTGAAAGCAGCAGCCTTTTCAAGGAATTGCTTTTGTTGTTCACCAGACTTGAGGAACTTGACAGCGTTTTGGAAAACAGTTTCAAATTCCTTGGTGGTTGGTGGGGCTAATCCTTCCTTCTTGTAGATAACCTTACCGACTTCGGCACCAACCTTACCCCAGTAAACGGCGCAGTTAGCGAGCTGGGTGGACTTAGCCACAGTGCTGTTGACGAAACCAGTAGCCTTGGCGATGATAGCAGACATTTCGAATAGTTCTATTTGGTTTGATAGAGAGAACGGGTGATATTGTAGTGAAAATTCCTATATTTTTTTGGTTTGGCCAATAGAGTACTTGCAGTTCTAGACTGCCTAATCGGGAAATGCTATTTTCTAGGAAAATCTTATGTTATTTTTTTTTATTATTATTACTATTACTATTAAAATCACTTCATTTATATGCACTACAACTGTACACCAAATCTGTCGGGCCATATCACTGGAGCTATTAAACTCCATCCATATAATATGAAGCAAACCCAAGATGAAACGATTTTAACCCAACTAGAAAAGTAGGTTCTTCCAACTGGAACGAAATCGCCAAGGTCATCCTTTTGTACGTTAATGGTCAACAATGTAGCAACGTATTGAGTAGCAAGGAAGAAAATCACATGGAATAAAGCGTAGTTATATTTTGTAGTAGTTCTTTCATCTGATGGAAGATCTCCACCTGTATTTGGGGAGTCTTCATCGTCGTACAAGTCTAGTTGGTTGAGTGCGCTCTCTGGTAACAGACCTTCGTCAACTGCTTGTTTAATGGCTTGATACCGCATTTCTCGCCTGGAGTCAGCGGTTGGTTGGCCACTAATGTACGCAGATTGCAGAATACTTGCATCGATGTCAGCTTCACTGTCAAAGAAGGCAGAATTTCCGGCAGCTCTGGTGGTGGTATACGCAATGGCAATAAAGGTGAAAAAGGCACCCAACACAATACTTGCCGTTCTAGTACCCTTTGATCTAACCAATGGATTACACATCTTATCATCAGGTTCAGAAGCAACGGCACTCATGACCAAATAAGTACAGTAGAAAATGACCATTGAAGCTTGCGCTAACCCGGCATGAGGGTTAGATTCTTGAATGGTTTGATTGATAGACATGATTGAAATAATGATGGAAAGTACAAGGTTTACACTAACAGCGGTCTTATTCATGCCACAACCTTTCCCAGCAAAGAACCAAAACATTACAATCGTCAAGATAATACTGCTGATGTACATAGATAATGTTCCTCCAATTAAAAGTTTCTTCCAAAATCCAGCGTTTTCCTCGCCATTGAGTTCTTCCATTTCGATTTTTTCAAGACAAGTTTCAGCCCAGGCATGAGAAAAGTCCACAAGAAGGATAAGACCTATGCCTAAGAAGATTGTCGAGAAAATTAGGGCAATATGATTACCATAAAAGACAAAAACACCATCTGGAATCACGACAAAGTTAACCACGATGAAAACTATCCAAGCGAAAATTTTCATTTTCCAGCATCCATTCTGGATCACAGCTCTAGGGTTCGAAGTTGACTTGATATTGATCAATAACGCTGCTAGGATAAGATGAACTGTTCCAAGCGCCAAGTTTATCCGGTGTACGGAGGCAAAGCTTGTACATTCATCGCCATTGGGACCACATCGATTATTTATAAAACCAAAGGTGGCCTTCTCGAGCTTATGAACTATGAATGGTGACATCACGACCCACGATAATAACGAATTAAGAAGGAGAAGTAAGGCATAGCTTATTCTAGTCATGATTGAAGATTGGAAAGTACCTCCAATTGAGGAGCAAAACGCAGAACAAGCTGCGGCTCCACAACACGACGCAAGCGACGATATCGGCATAAGAGGGAGTGAAATAGCGGCTCCCATCGAATAAATTAAGGACTAGAGACTTTCTGAATTGTATTTAAAATCTACCTGTTATGTTAGTGCTATCATATTCGCCCTCACCCTGTTGATATGTATGATAAAAATATATTAGTTCTATATGCAGAATTTATAAATAAATAGGATAGACAGAGTGAGAGAGAGAGAGATAGGGAATTTTTACCAAGGGTTCACCCTTTGAATAACCAACAAACTTTTCTTTGTAGAAAGGAGTTAATGTGTAAAGAAATGATTAAATTCTGTATTTGTAGTTTGTCTGCTGTGTGTTTTTATGTCTATCAATCTTCCTGGTTAATAAATTTCATCATTCCCTCTTTTCCCTTGCATTAATCCAATTCTTTAAGCGCCAACTTTCTTCTTTGATCCATATTATATTTCAAACCCAGTTGCAGAATTGGTTTGGAATTACCTGATATCCAAGACAAAAAGTTTTCTATCTTGGATTTGGCGAGAGGAAGCGTGGAAACGTCCTCGACCCCCTTCAACGGAGACAAGTCGAACAATCCCGATTGAAGGTTATTGACATCTTCATAGGAATAATCATCTCCATCTTCTTCATCGTAGTCTGGGAAATCATTTGGATCTAGTAATTTATATTTCACTGGGACTTGGAATATCAAATTGCATACAATTTTAATAAATGACGAGAGTGGATAGGGGAAAAATGTATAGAATGAAAATTGTAAAGATCGATCTCCCTTTGTTGAAGTTGAATCAAGATCTAAAGAGATTTCACTCATTTGTGAACCGTTTGTAGAGGAAGGTACTTTGTTCACCAACTTCTCGGAAACATTTTGCCGTTTTAATCTGGATGAACGTTTCCTACTCAATGCAAATGGGAGTAAATAGGATTGTCTTTCATTTGTTCCAACTTTGAAGAATCTCAAATAAGTCCAGCTTACCACAAATGATGCCAATGAATGAGTGAAGATGATATTTACGTCCAGATCAAGGTACAGAAGGGCATAGGTGAACACCAAGGTCAAGAATGGGATGTATGTGACCTTTATACGGACGTTCCCCTGGAATAAAATGATGTAATGGTTAGCAATTCTTTGTTTCACAGCAACAAATAGCCCCATCACAATGGGCATAACTCCCTGTACCAAAGGAGGTACATAATCATGGGAGGATATACAGCATACTTTCAATCCATAGAATATATATACAAGAACATTGGTTATCACCACCACAAATATCACAAACTTGGTGAGTTCTCGTGACCCCCACAAGTTCTCGATATACTTCCCAAGATAGAATATGAGTACTAGACTCGAAATAAACCAGATCCCGATATCTTCTACCAACCCACTGGTGAGAAAGACCCACGGTCTACTCAACACAGGAGATCTTGTGGGGATGAAAGTTAGGAGCGGTACAAACATCAGGTGTGGGTGGGCCTCGTCACCAGTTTCTTGCGTGATCGTTCCGGAACTGGACAGCATTGAAGTTTGTCCATTCGCCTCTCCGCCTTCGCCAGAATGAACCACTGGGGGTCCACCTCCATTGTGTCTTGCAGACGCAACAATAAGCACAAAATAAGTGTACGACTTTAGCACAAAATTAAGAAATGAGAGCGATGCAAGCACCACCGAGAGAATTCCTGTCGCCCTGGGAACCTTCATTGTAAAGATTTAATATTTAGGGCGATTTGTGAAGTACTGTTGATTGCTGTTTTATCAATGACTCTCTCATTAAATCTGATTGACCTTCAAAGATTGATTTGATCTGGTTGTGTGCAGAATCTGTGGACCATTGTCATAACTTTTTTCCCTTTTTTGCCAACAAAGTCACACACCTCTTTCTTCTATTAGGTTCACTGTATCATGTTCAGACTGTCTCTTCGTGGCCCTGCTATACGGCAACATGTCAAGTCTCAGATCCGTAACCAATCGACTTTCAGACAAATTGTAAAGGCACCAATCTTCAAATCGATTTTTCTCACACTTTTGTTTGGCTCTGTTACAATCGATTTGATGAGAAGTAGAAAGAACCTTGAAGCTTTGGAGCTGGCATATCGGTCCAAAATTATGATCTATGAAGATTTGTTGGAAAAGTTGGAAAATGGCGAAAATGTGGATATATCTAAAGAGTTGAGACTTGCAAACTCATTAACAAAAAACATGTACAATTCTGTCACTGATGTTGAATTTGATGAACGTTTGGAGAAGTTTGTCACTGAAGCAGATTCTCTTGAATCCGAAATAGAAACAAAGAATCAAACTCGTGAAGTTCCGGTACCGGTAGTAGTGCAAAGACCCGCTCCATCAAGTGATAACACCCCTAAGTCATCTCCACCACCTACAAAATTAGAAACTTCCAAATTCTTGTAAATATAATAATACGAATAACACTAATAATAATATACACTAAATCACTACGACAACGCAATCTTCCGGATAGTTCTTCTATGGCTATCCCCGGTCTCTATGATTTTACCCTCTTGTTGTAATCTCTTGATACTTTCGCCAACTTCCAGACTTTCCACTCTGTAGGTGACCTTTTCATTCAATCTCTGTACCAAATCATTAAACTTCATGTTGTTGTTTGCCTCTCCCAAAATATTCATAATTTCACGTTCAAGATCTTCTTGAACCTTTCTTTGTGCTGAAGTGGTACCAGTTTGGACCATATCCATATCAATCCTTCCGGTGATTGGATCAGTGGCATATTCCTTGATGGCTGATCTGATCAATCTAACTGCTTCTTGAACATCCTTAAGTTCAACCTTGTTGGATAATCTCATCTTGGCATGAGCCTCGGATAATCTGATCATCGATTCAAGCTGTCTAGTGGTAGCAGTGACTCTTTTTTCTGAAGAACGAGCATCGTCTCCTAATTTTCTCATCTCAACATAACATTTGACTAATTCACTCTTACCTTCTTCAGTCATCACTGGATTATAATGTTCCTTGGCATATTGAATGTACAAGGTGAGAAATTCAACCGGTAACACAAAGTTATTGGTGACTTTTTCTGGAGTATCTTCCAAATACATATCTGTCAAATGTCTAGCCAATTGACGATCAATCTTCTCATCAACCTTATCTAAAATAAGATAAACCAAATCAAATCTGGAAAGTAATGGTGGTGGGAGATCAATATTGGCAGTCACAGGTAAATTTGGATCATATCTAGAATTGATAGGATTAGCAGATGCCAAAATAGATGTTCTAGCATTTAAAGTGGTGATAATCCCAGCCTTGGCAATGGAAATTGTTTGTTGTTCCATTACTTCATGAAGAACACTTCTAGTACTGTCACTCATCTTATCGAACTCATCAATACAACAAACACCCCCATCAGACAATACAAGCGCACCACTTTCTAACACAAGCTGCTTTGTATCAATATCTCTAGTAATGTAAGCTGTCAAACCAACGGCAGATGAACCCTTACCAGAAGTGTAAACACCACGAGGGGCGATTTTATGAACATATTGTAAAATTTGAGACTTTGAGGTGGATGGATCCCCACAGAGTAAAATATTCACATCACCTCTATATCTCCCACCTTTTTTGAAAGTCTTGTTGGTTCCCCCGAAAAGTTGCAATAAAATTCCCTTCTTAACGTCATCCATTTCAAAAATTGATGGAGCTAAAGATCTAGCTAAAACCTCATAAAGGTCAGGACGATTGGCAATTTCCTTAATTTGTGCTTCATCTTCACTGCTAATTTTACGGAATTCCAGAACTTCTTGTTCACGGTTGGTGGCTTCTTGTTGTAAAGTCGATGCATCTGCTCCCAATCTCTTCTTATCGATTTTTTGAACATGAACAACATCCAAATATGTCTTGTACAAATTCTTCAATGCTCTTTGTTTGGAATTCACTCTTACTGGAAGTGATCTGAAAATCCCACACACGTCAATACGATCACCGGCACGACAACAATCAACCAATTCATCGTATACACAAAGATTAATGGAATGAGGTGTTTGTCCGTCTGGAACTAAATCTGGAGTTTCTTGTAATTTGATCACTTGCTTGTCAGCAAAGGAAGAACGATTGTGTACAATCATCATTGAATTAGTTTGTCCACAAACTTCTCTAGGACATTTTGTTGGTTCTGAAATAACCCCTCTATCGATTTCAACTGCAATGGTATGGTCACATGCGTTACACTTGAAAAAGGCAACCTTCATGTCTGGAATGATGGCGGTGGCACGCAACACTAACCCCTTGACACTCACAAGCTTGTCAATGTCATTAGGATTCAATTCACGCATCCCACGTTCCACAGTATTGATGTTATATGGACGAATGGTGTAGATATTAGTTTCGATATCATCAATGTTCACTTCTCCATTGTAGGTGGTGTTGTCCATCACAAGAGATACCATACAATCTTTCACGGTTTGATCCATGATTGGAATCACTTCTTGAGGGTAATTAATCAATTGATAGTAAAGTTTTCGGGTTGTTGGGTATGCAAGAAGATTCTTTGCATCCAAATTCAAATTGGTAAGACCCAAGTCTCTCATATTATTCAATTGACTGACATAGTAAAGTTCATGGTCTTCTGGTTCAACAAATTGTTCATCCATAACCTTTCTATGTTTGATTTTGAACGACATAAGGAAATCTCGGAATGAGTTAGAACAATCTTGAATGGAAACATTTGTACCCCAAATGACTCTCACTGGTTCATCATTTGGTTCAATTGCATCTGAAGAAGACAGGAATCTTCCTGCGCGTGCTGAATTCCCCGTAGACCCTGCTTGCAGCAGAAGGATTGAATTGGTCGATTCGGTGAACACTCTACGACGCATTGGCGAAGAGGTACTATCTTGTAAATCACTTCTAGTGTTTCTTCTGACAATTCTATCAACATCACTCGTGATACGATCTGACCTTACTCGAGTACCATCTGTGCGTACATCCGAGGTATGGTGTGCGGAAGACGTGTAGTGTAAAGGAGAAGATATGTCTCTTCTCTGCGACAGAAGTTGTGGATTAGGGGTCGTAGCTTGGATAGCATCTGAAGCTGGTTGAGAAGAAGATGTTGGGAAGAAAAGTGGTGATGATGGGACTACACCAGCCGCGTGGCGCTGGGTTTGCGATTGCGATTCAGTGTCCCTCAAGCTGGGATCTTCAGGAAGATCATTGAGATCACGGATGGGTGAAGAGGACATGGTTGGAACTATAAGGAAACTTACTGATAAAGAAGGGCAAATGTATATATGGCTTGAATTAAATTTGAATTCTAAATATGGAAAGACAGAAAAATAAAATTAAAAAATTAAAAAAATGCGATTTTCAACGCGTCCAGCTCGCTATTTTTTCCACTTTTGGACTAATTGGACGCACTTTACGATAACAAACAACGCCCAAGAAGATACCACCAGTTCATTTGTTTATTTGTTTATATGCAGCCAGGAGTCTCTAGAGAGAATAATTCAAGGAAATATCGCTGTATAGAACCATGGGTAACCCTAATCTTGAACCGTATGATGTGAAGAAATTACGAGAAAAATATTCACCAGAACGAAATGTCCCACCACCACAAAGAGGCCCATCAAGAGAAGCACTTAAACAATATAAGGTATTTGCTACACATCCACAAAGATTAGGAGATCAAACACCACAATTGAAGAATCCATCATCAAACGATGACTTAAATGTGAAAAACTCCCACGTTACAAAACCACTCCCTCATGTGTCTCTCTCACTTCCAACACGTTCACGTGATTCGCTTTCGCCAACCAGAAGGAGTGGATCACCGATTAGAAGACAACAAATATCAGAATTTGAAGAAAGATCAAGACTGCCCATAAGGAAAAAACAAAAGGTAGAAGAAGAAACTGATAAACGGGTTCAATTCAATGAAAAAGTCAACTATAACGACACTTTGACTACAACTCCATTAAATGATATAGACGTGAGATTTCAACAATTGAGTGATAGGTTGGAATTAAAATTACAGAAATTTATGGATACAGTAAACGAACGCTTAGATGCCCTTGAACGACGGAAATGATTAAATAAATCAATTAAAATAATTACATGACTTAAAACTCGATATTCTTTGTAGTTTGTTTCTCTTCATCTTTAGAATCGTCATCAACTGGAATACCCCATGGTTCAATTTCAAACTTCTTTTTACCGTTTCTAAAGGCATATTCACCATCATGGACCATCATTAATCCTCTTTCTGATAAAATCGGAACCTTGACAATGTGTACCAACCCATGTTGAATCTTTGCGGGTTCGTTTTTGTAAGCCTTTTCTATGAGTTGAGACATTTCCTGGTTAAATGGTTGTAATTGAATGACAGAATCAGCCAAAGTTTCAAGGTTGAATGTCAGATTGGTATCTTTTGGATATAAATCAAGTGAGATGGAAGAAATCGCCACGAGATTATTCAGATATTTACGTAAAAGAGACCGAAGTGAATGCATGAATGGCATCATTACTTGAGGTGAAGAAAATGTAGGTGGGTATATGGAAGGATTAAGGAAGTTTGGAATCACTAAACGGATAACTTTCGACAGATCAGACTTGAGTTGGTTTACAAGAATCAGTTCTATTTGTTTGATAATACGATCTGATTGATCATTGACGGGGACAAACGTCACTTCTTGACTTGCTGGAGTTGGTACCAACCGCTGAGTTATATCAAATTGATGATTGTAGTCATCCTTGGCACCTCCTGATGAAACTTCTGTGTCGTCTGCATCTTCTGGCTTCTTATTTAATCCATATCTCCAAGCAATCTTTAAATCTTTATCTGAACGTGCAGTTGTTCCCGCAGTGGAATTGGACAAGTTTGATATACTCAATTTAGACTCGTTAGCGGCAATCTTGGCCTTCTTTTGTTCTTTGGATGATCCCTTGTACAATCCTGGTAATTCCTTGGCCCATTCTTGTTGGAAACCAACCACTATCACGTGGGTATTGATATTTCTTTTGTCGTTGAGTCGATTGTGCATGACCCCCTGTGAAGCGAAAACTCGGAGAAGAATCGATGCAAAATCGGTGGTACCTGATTCTTCTACAAGTAATGAAGTTCCTAATGGGAGTCCCAGATGTAAAAGTATTTTATCTAAATCCAGAGATCCCGTGGATACTGTAGGACGAGATGTGATGAGTGATGGCTTAACACCTGGATGTTGTAAGATCTTGGTTATTTCATCTTCCTTTGCCGTATTTGCTGGTGGTCTAGATCCAGAAAGAATTCTACCTCCTCCCATAATGATGGAAGATCTACCTGGAACTGCTCCAGGAATTCCACCAGGGATCCCTCTACCAGGAAGGGGGGCACCACGCAGGATTCCAGGAGCTCCAGGGGTGCCAATAATATCACTTCTCTTTCTGAATGACATTCTATTGAAATTAACTTAAAGAAAGAAAATCAAGATTTGGCCCTAGTTCAAACAAAGATGATCAAAATTTGAACCTTTGATATCGCAAAAAAAAAAAGATGAGAAAAGTAAGACACTTTCAAGAATATCAATTTAATCAATTGAACTCATATACTTGGTATATAGTATCTAATGTTTTTCTTCGGTTCCTGACTTTATGAATTCTTCTAGAAAACCGTATATCCTTGAAAACTTCTACATGTTCATACATTCTTTTTTTCTAGGTATCTACTACATATAGTTCTTCCTTTCGTGGAGAAAGTCATTCCACCTATATTCTCTTTGTAAGATGGCTCATTCTATTGAGTGTTCAACTCAATTAACCACTATATGTTCTATGCATATATATCTACTATCGATATTCCTCCTCAGTTGATATTCCTTTCTAATCATATCAATTCTCTACCGCCATCACGTCTTTATTCTCCTGAATACATCTCTTAATAAATCCCAACAAAAGATCTTGACGGTCATACCAATTGTCGGTCAACTCGTCAACATTATAGGTATATCGAATATTTTGAAGTAGCTTCTCGATCTGGTCGTAATTCTTCAATTCAAGCCATTCCTTCATGGAAAGTATATACCACATGGAAGATCTTCTATATCTAGTAAGACCTGCCAAATGAGCGGATTTCATATGAAGTTTATTCGGATTAACATATAATCCTTCAGAATCATCATTATTTATAGTTGGCTTCACCCAAGCTTGTGGGTCATGAGTTCCAAGATAAAAGCATTTCCCAAAACTATATCCTAATCGTTCATAGAGTAGAGCACGTATAACTTGAGTACCATTGGTTAAATGTTTATCAAACTCATTTAGACATTTACACAAGTATTTTTCAATCAAATCGTTCCACCACCAAGAATTATTATAATGAATACTGATACATAAAAGTAATTCTGTAAACACAAGTAATGCCTTAATTCCATAACTTTTCAAATTAAGTCTGGACTTGAATGTATATAACAAGTTGTCGCAATAAGGTTCTATAATATCATGACGGATTTTCCTAAAGGTATTCCGATCGGGAACTTGTGGTTGTTGAGTTTGTTGAGTTTGTGCTAATAGTAAAGATACTACACAGATTTCTTGTGCTGAGGCTACATATGCCCATGCTTTATCATTGGTGTAGTCCTTCTTAATCAAATCATATGTGGAGTAGGAATACTTAAAATCTTTTAATATTAATGACCAATCAGCTAGTTTTCGAATTATTTGTTCTGATGAAGATTTATGATAATAATTCTCTGAATAATTAAAAGAATTCGATGATTGCGATTGAGGTTCAGGACTATTAGAGTTATTGAATAACATTTTCGACACTGAGAAAAATCTGCCAGTGATTGACTTTTTTGGTGAAAGCACCAGATCATCCCAAATTCTTATTTTTTTCTCCATATGAGGAATAAGTAATTTATTGATGAATTCAAATATCCTTTTACGTATCACCAGATCTAATTGCTGAGGAACTTCCAAGACATCCTCATCTTGATCATTTAGAGATATTCTTTGTAAATCTTCTTCAATTGTTGAATTTTCTTTAATTGATAAACTGATTAATGGCTCTTCTGATGAAGTATCTGGCTTACCAAATGGAATCAAAGTACTTGCTATACTTAATTGCTTTCGAATCAAGTTTTGGAAATCTATAAGTTGAGATGTGTCTTTAACAATCTCCGGATCATACAAGATAAATAAATGAATTAATAAATCATCAATTTGGAAAAACTTTGGGAAATTATAATTGCGGAATTCTACAATTAATTTCCTGAGAACTTCAACAGTATCTCTATGATAATCTATGACAAAAATTTGAGATATTGGATGGTTAAAAGTTTCAAATGGAACTATCTTATTCGATGTGATAACCTTGCTGAAAAAATCCAAATATAAATTATCCGTGCTTCCATTATCACTTCGATGTTTAAGAAGAACTTCTAATGAAGATATGCTGAAAAGTTGACGCAATTTCGAATCTGAAACTTGGCTAGAATTAGAATTAATATTGGAATTTGATGATGCATTTAAAATAGATAAAAGTTCTGGAAGACATAATTCAAATCTAATGGGGAATGAGGGGTAATTCTTAGTAATGAGTTGCGAATTAGTGATCTTAAAAGATTGACCTGGAATTGTATGTTTGGCATTATTCCCATATGGTTTGACAAACTGAAGAAATGATAAGTTTGGATTATTTAATGTCTCTTGTACAAGTAAATCAGCATTGTATGACGATTGCACTGATATGAGTGGTGAGTATGTATGATGGAGAAGATGCTGACGTGATAAATACGGGTCTAACCCCAGTGGGAATTGTGATGAATCCATCTGCAAGAATATTTAGCCTGATATTTATCTTGATATTTCCCTTTCAATCAGTGATAATTCCAGATTTACGATGTTTCAATTCTCTTAGATCAATCATTTTTTGTATTGTTTTGTGAGGTCTATTCATATTTCCTTTATCTGACAGAGCGCACGTGACTCGCGAAATGGAAAACTTGGATTCTTTTTTTATTTTAAGAAAGCGAATATAGACGACCTGTATATATACAATTCATTTTTTTTTATTTCTTTTATTTGAAAAAAAAGTTTTGGTATAAAATTCCTGTATGTACCTCTCCGACCAAAAGAGATAAAATGTCAACAAACGCCTCGTCTATGATGATTTAGAAACTTTAGCTGGCTCGACAATTTTTTGAAGTGTTTAAAAAAAAGAAATTGGACGAGAGAAACATGGTAGTTAGATTATTTATTATCTAGTGGTAGACGAAGTACAAATCAACTACAAATACATAATTTTTTTCTTTCAACCCTTATTCTTGATATTTGTCTTCAATGACTTTCAAAATTGTTGCAAAATTTCTTATTGTTTACATATTTTACCTCTCTCTGAATTTCTACCAAGTAGAGAAATCACTAGATTACATTCCATGCTAAAGGAATAACTTTTACCCTCCAAACACATTCCCCAGATAAAGATTCTCTTTTTTTCGTACCAAAAAAAAGTTTACAGTCAGGGGGAGTTTGAAAAAAAAAATAAAGTTGTGCTACTAATAATAAAAGTTAAAAAGGGATATAGTACCTCGAGGGGGGGGGGATTTTAAAATAATTCCAGATATATATATCATTTACAACTGTTCTTCTTTTCTTTTTCCAAGCTTGGCACATACTTCGCCTTCTATTATTTTGTTTACCACTAGAAAATAGTCTCTATAATCTAAGTGTGAGTAGTAACCCCTAATCATCGGTTGTTTCAAATCAATCCATTTGGCTATTGTGTTATTTATTTTGCAATACGAAAAAAATAAAAAAAAAAAGAGGTGAATACGGCCAAACAACAAATAGAGAGTTGAAGTTAGCCGCTCCGTATACTAATTGAAAAAGAACTCAGTGCCCTTGGATAATATATCACCACTGGCTTGTATACCCTAGAAGGCAAGACGAAATAAACTCTAGGAAAGACCGCATCACAGAAACGAAATCAGCTTAATTTATAGCTTTTACATATAATCTTTTTCCAACCAATTATCATTCACATTTTATAATGTACTTCAGCAAATGGAGTACGCTACTTGGTGTGATAGCGTCGAGCTTGGCGGACCAAGTAGTTCATCCAGAGCTTGATCTCTCTGACCTCGGAGGAAGCGTAGGTCTTTTAGGATCCTTCACAGGAATTTCCATGTATAATTTTGACAACGCTACAAGTTTCATCCAAGCAGCCAGAGGAAATCGTTCAAGGTCCAGACCATCACAAAACTCACTTTACCTGAGAGACCCAAGTAACAATAATATCAATAGACTTGCAACGTTCAATGGTCAAGTGGACTCAATATACTCATTGGACGAAAATGATAATACTATGCTCATTACCGGTAACTTCACCGAAATAAATAACTCAACTGGAGTTGCCCCAATAATATTTAACTACACCTCGGGCGAAGCAACTCAAATATTTTCAAATGATTCTATAAACGGGTCAGTTAGAAGTGTTCTCATAGACAAAGAATTGGTCTATTTGGGAGGAGACTTCAAATTTAACAATACATACGGTGTGGCTGTTTACAACATCACATCCAAACAAGTCACTACCCCACCATTTCAAGGGTTTGGAGAAAACTCTTCAGTAAACACCATTGTGAAGATCTTCGACAATGCTGAGGATAATAGTGTTGACAATGGATCTATTGTCTTTGGGGGTGAGTTCAATACTTTGGGGTTAAAGGATCTTTTGACCCATAATTCAACCTCAAATAATACTATACCAAGAAACATGACCAATACCTCTCTCATAACAGCAGAACAGGTTGTTTCTCTTAAACATGGGATCTTCAGCAGTGTTAATGCCGCATCTCAAGGTACTGAAAGCGAGATGGTGTGTCCATCCACTGCGCAAGATTGGTCATTAGGAAATGATGAGGGAGGACAATGGTTGGTTGAACTTCCAGATGAAATGAAAGGTTTAACTCCTACAAAAGTACGATTGTATACCCCAACCTCGGGCGATGATGGAGTTCAATTGTTTAGAATTTATTCCTATCCTAATAATGGGATTATGAATCTTTCTTACATAGACCCTGAAACAAATGAATTACTGTATTGTGATGCTTGGTGTCCATTGGTGACAAGTACACAATTGAAAAACTTTACCTCTACTAATAAGGAAAACGTTGATGAATTGGCTAATGATAGCACATTTATTGATAAATCAGATGGTTCGTATGCGACCTATTATGATCCAACATCGAAGACTAAAGTCCTTGGATATGCGTCTAATTACCAAGAGTTTTCATTTGAAAATGAAGTTAGCATTGACAAGGTTGGTTTCACCATCCTTGGATGGTATGGATCAAAGGGTGTATTTTCTGGGTTCGAGCTTTTCCTGAACTCTATTACCGTTTATGGTAACAACACTTTAAACGAACCAAACTGTAATAATGCTGATGAGGAAGAAAATTACAGCTCAACATTTGGTGGAGACTGGAAGTCTGTGAAACAAATCTCCGCTGCGTCAATATCGGGAACTGATTATTTGGTGTCTACCATTGACAATGAGTCTCAAAAAGTTGGTGTAACTCTTTACCCAAACATTTCGTACTCTGGTAACTATTCCATTATTATGACAACTCCGGGTTGTATTCAAGATTCCTCGTGTGATCTAAGATCGATCGTAAACGTAACCGTATACGATGTTGAAGATGAGATTTTAGATTCTCAATTAATTTACCAAAATAATGATTACGATAAGTTTGATTATCTTTTCTATGGTCATATGAATGGTAGTGCAACCAGTGATGGTCAAAATAAGATTGAAATTACTTACCATCTGCCAATTAATGAAGGGTCTAATAATTCTTGGATTGTTGTGGATAAAGTGATTGCTGATATTGTTTCTTTGGATAAGTACTACGGAACAAACCAAACAAATACTACATCTTCTAAATATGGAAGCAACATCACACAACTTTCATTAAATGGATTGTTCGAATACTCGTTATCAAACTTCTCTTCATTTGATGAGAAATTGGTTCATCTGAATGTAAACAACAAATCAATCATCAAGTCCACAAACACATATGTTGGTAATTCATCCATTAACTTTTTAAGTTCAAAACTTTCATCATCTGCTAATGTTTCCAAGCTCTTAGTTCATGACGATTCATTATTAATTGCTGGAGATTTCGGGGTTAATTCTACCAACTTGAATGATAACTTGATCACTTTGAAATTATCCCAATATAATTCAACATCTAATCAGACTGAAATTTCGACATCTCTTAAGAAGAGAGCTGATGGGAACAATACTGCTCAATTATATGGTGCAAGCTTCTCAAATGAATTCAACGATATTGTACAATTTAATGATGAATTAGTCTTCATTGGAGACTTTAACATGACAGGTTCCAACTTGCAAATCAATAACTTATCTAACAACAATGAATCAATTTCAACTGCTTCTAATTTTGCTGTCTATAATAGCCAAAATAATGGACAATGGTATGGATTGGGAAATAACTATACCAACGCTCAATTTAATGACTTTGCCAATATTACCGTTAATGACGTTGAATTCTTCGTTTTCGCTGGTGATTCTCAAAAATTGATCTGGGATAATACCAATTCAAAATGGGTAACGAACACCATCGATTATACCCTCAATATCTCTCAGTCATTGTCTGTTGCTGGAGATAAGCAAATTGTACTTGGTGATGGATTCTCTATCATGGACTTGTACAGTATTGACCAAGCTAGAATATCTGGCAACAATACCTTGTCATCGATGAACTTCTCTATTAATGGGTTTTTCAACTCGATTGAAAGCTCTTACTATGTGAATGATAGTATTAGTGTAGTTGGGGGCCGTTTTAATACCTCAACTGCTCAAAATGTTGCTATACTCAACAATAATGATGGAAGCTTGCAAGGTTTAAATGGAAACTTAACAATTTTGAGAAACACGACTGTGCAATCTTTATATGCTGGGTCTGATACCGACTATCTTTTTATTGGTGTTAATGGTCTGGCTACTGCTGGTGGTGTTTCCCATACTGCAGGAGTTATAATTTATGACTTGACTAAGGAATCGTTTACTTCATTTCAACCTGCAGAATTGGCCACTTCCGATCAATCCTCAATTCAAGTGAATTCACTTGCATTACATGATACTGATATGAAGTTATTAGTTGGTGGTGCATTTTCTATGGCAGGTTCATTGGAATGTAATGGACTCTGTATCTATGATATAAGTAATACCAGATGGATACAACCAACCACGAATGGATCCCTTGAAGGTACTGTAAATGATATGATTTTTATCACCACAGATTCTGTCTTGCTCGCTGGTAATTTGGGACTTGGTAACGAAAATAGTTCGTTTGTATCGTATGACTTTGAAAGTAGTTCCTTTGCTGTACAAGACTCATTGAATACGTTAAATTCGACAGTTACAAAATTCATTAAGGTGGATAATAATGGAAATTTCGGTGGAAGATTCCTTGCATATGGTCCAGGATACATTTCTGGATATGATGGTTCAAAATGGACACGAATTGATGACGGTATTGATTACAGTTCAATGGCCGTATTCACAGATTTCAAATTGTTAACTCTTAAGGATAAGAATTCAAACAACACACAAACTTATTTTGATCTGAGCAGGATCCTTATTGTGACGGGTGCCTTTACATTAAAAAACTATGGTCTTGTTAATGCTGCGTTGTACGATGGAACTACATGGATTCCATACTCTTACACGAACATTCGTAGGTCAAATAGACTCGGTCTCGTTAAAAGTATCCTTGTTAATGATTTGTATGCGTTCAAATCTTCAGAAGCCCTTAAGAAACTTTCAAAGTTCATGTCAAAGGGTAAGGTTGTTGGTATTTCGTTAGCATGCGCTATTGGATCTACTGCATTCTTGAGTTTACTTTACTTGATCCCTTACTTTGCCCTTTTTAGAAAGTCAAAGAACGACGTTTCAGACCAAAGAATTCAAGAAAATGAAATGATGGGAGCTGTAAACCCAGAGGATTTGATCCATGAAATTGATTTACAAAAGAAGTAAATATATATAATGATATAATTAATTTTAAAGCACATTTGTAGAGTTTGATTTAAAAGTTATTTTTCTCATTTTTTATTGTCAACAATTTTAACAAACAGAATTTTTTAATTTTGCAACCAATTTACGAGAATAATGTTAAATTTATTTTTGATAAAAATAACCCTAACCTACCAAAAGCTTAGTTGGTACAATAAAAATATTGAACAATATATAATGCTATTTTGAGAACATTTTAAACAATTAATACACATTAGAAATGAAAGAATAGAAGTACAAAAAAATATAATCAACTACTTGCTGATTCATCACCCAACTCGGCCTTCTTAGAAGTGTAGGACTTTAAGAACAACTCATCAACTTCAGCCAATGGAATACCTTTAGTTTCAACCCAAAGGAATGCAATTATTGGAATGAATATTACGTTATAACCGGCGTTTATCATGTAGAACTTCCAGCCGATTTCAGTCATAGCAATGGGTAAAACAAAACTATTCATCAAGCCGAATCCACAATTGAAGACCATGAAAAAGGCAACACCGGCACTTCGGAGCTTATAGTTCCAGATTTCTGCTGGATAGAGAGTTGTCAATGGAGTGTAAGTAAATGAATAAAACCCGGTAAAAAAGAATATCATTGCAATTGAGGCATACATTCCCTTGGTATTAGTACTTTGGCCATATGCTTTGATGAGCCCTCCCAAAATACAAAGAGAACAAATCATGCCAACCATCGAGATTAAAGACTGCTTTTTTCTCCCAAGAAAATCAAACATATAAGAACCAGATGCTGCACAGATTAACCCCCAAGCGCTCATTACAATGTTAACTTGTAGTTTCTGTGTAGTACTGGTAACACCTGCTTGATCAAGCAAAATAGAGAGGAAAAAATTACCAACTGCAGCACCTGACATTTCAGTGATCGCTGCTTGAGATATCATAATTAAAACTCTTCTAATGTTTACTGAGCCATGGAATAATTCTCTCCAGGGATGTTTTGGAATTAAATCTTTATCCAACTCAATTCTCTCCTCATAGTATTTACCAAGGGAAGTAGCCTCTTCTAAATTTATTCCTTGGGATATTTGAATCACAAGAATTGCCTCATCCATTCTGTGGTGAGCAATTAACCAATATGGAGATTCTGAAACAAAGTAGATACTGAAAGCGGCAAGCCCACTTACGGCCCCTTGGACAATTGATGGAATTCTCCACGCCCATGTACCAGCCACATTTCTTGAACTGAATGTCACTCCAGATGCAACAAGACTACCAATATAGAAAGAAGTGAATGCAAGACCTAAAAATAACCCCCTATACTTTGCAGGAGCTATTTCTCCAACCAATAATGCCGCCGAAGAGACTCCAATATTGCATCCTAAACCTAAAAATATTCTCCCAACAACAAACATACCAATGTTTTGCGCCGCTGATTGTAAGGCAACTCCAATAAAAGATATTAAGACACTACTTAAAATTGCAGTTTTTCTACCAAGGTGGTCAATAAATAATTGATTCAAGAAAATGGCTGCAATTATCTGTCCCATCCACATAGCAGATGTATTTAGTCCAATAGTCACTGGAGTTAATGAGAAATAGCTTGTATACAGAGGTAAGTTAAGAATAGATCCAAGCATCATACTATCATATCCAAGTACAGTTGCATTAATAACAGATACCAATAGAAGTACCACCATAGTTCCGCGGTACCCCTTGGGGGCACAGCTACTTGTCCTGCTGAACTTGTCTACCAAAAGCATTGATAGAATTATATGTTGTTTTGCATTTCGAAAGTCAAGGGAAATCGTCTATAAATGCAGTTTTTGCAAATTCCTTATCTTTTCATGTATTGTAAAACATTACTACATATGGCTGTCTTATCTATTTTCCACATTTCCTCTTCTTTTTTCCGAATGGCACGAAAAATGCGGCGGCTAAACCACTCCATCTCCTCACCGTTTTTAGCTATTGATGCCCAGCATTTTTGATTCCGATAGCTCATGCGGCATCAAACCTTGAGTATATCTCCTTGGCAAATGAGTACGAAACTATACCATACTGGAACTCTCGCACGATGTCTGGCCCACCACAAAGTACAACCCATACTGAAACCATTTCTTCCGGATAATCTTCCTCGGAAATCTTTGAAATTCTCCTTTCCGATAAATTTAAGATCCAAAAAGTACAAGGGTGAAAACTGGTGGGTGCTCTTTATTTCTGTCTTCTTCGAATTAATAGACGTTCAACTTTAAATTTCTGTGGTACATTTAGCCCTTCAGCCCTATCGAATGATAAGAACTATATCGCAATTACAAAGAAAAAAACCCTTTATCTGGAAACAATGAAGACGGAGATTTCCGATACTTTAATTTCTTGTCGTTCTCATTGTCGGGGTAATATGGTAATATGTTTTCTAAGATATATTGACCTTGAAAGTTTATTTGGCATTAGGTCCAAAAAAAATAAAACATTGATTTCGCCCAGGATCGAACTGGGGACGTTCTGCGTGTTAAGCAGATGCCATAACCTACTAGACCACGAAACCTTTGTTTTTGATTTTGAAACGCTTTAGAATATTATACTACGTCCATATACACACCATATCACGTGATCCGATAAAGGAAATGTTAGAGGCAGGTTTGAAATATTTTTCTCAAGGGTGATGCAGTGGCTCAATGGTAGAGTTTTCGATTCCAAATCGAACGGTTGCAGGTTCGATTCCTGTCTGTGTCAATTCCTTTTCTTTTTTTTAATTTTTTGCACCTTATTAGTAGAGGAGAGGTTACAAGTTGGGTAAATTCAAAGTACCCAACGACAGGGTCAACTTCACACTATATAGACTTATCCAATTTAAAACAGCTTACCGTATTACCACTTTTATTAAGTTTTGACTTTTATCTTGCAGAAGTTTGTATTCATCTGTAATTACTTACTACAAGGTATTAGATAAATACCTTTAACATTTATTTTTATCTATGTAGATCTCATCTCTAACGGCCGCTGGAAAGGTCATCATCAGATTGATCATCAATATTGAATAATCTTGAGTCAACTTCCGTGGCATCCTGGTCATTACTTTGGAATTCCGAAAGATCTTCTTCATCTCGGAAATGGCCATCATCATCAGGTAATCCCAGCTCGTAGTCATCGCGGAAATCGTTAAACAATTCTTCGTCGTCGTCAATATCAGGAACATGGACATAATTTCTACGACTAACTCCACGACGGAAAATCAGTGAGACTAATTTATCAAACATCAACTTATCCACTTTCCTTAAAGTCTTGAAAAGTGCGATACCTCCTGCAACAGCAAAAATACCACCGCTAACAATTTTGTTAACTACAACATCAACTGCATTGTTTTCTATAGGCTGAAAATCGTCGTCCTCTGTATCTAATCTGATTTGGCCAAGTCGTTTAAAACCACCATTACGACGAATACCTCTATCGTACACAAACCAGACGGAAAATAAAAATACGAAGAGAGGAATTATCAACACCAAGAGTGCCTTTGTGCCAGATAGTTCTTTACCATAATGCTTGTTGAATTCCTTTTCCTTACCAGGGCATGGCTTTGAATCCCAACTGTCGAAAGATTTACCTCCGACACATGTTGACAATGGAATTTTTCTATATCCAGTAGGAACAAGGTACTCAAAAGCATTCTCTTTCTTGCAATACTCATTTTGGCGATCAGTTGGGGACAAACCAGCAACTAATTTACATGTATCATCAGTATCTCTAAAGTAGTTATAGTCACACTCAAAATCTCTTCTTGTACAAGAACAGTTTCTGATAGTCTTGAAACCTTCTTTCAAGGGTGCACTACCAATGAAACAATCATTATGACCAACTGCACGCCTTAAGTATTGAGCTTCATGCCCGAAGAGACAGTTGTCAGGAAGGTTGGGGTGTCTTGGAGTCCAGAAGTCGTAATCATCACTATTTGGATTATCTAAATCCAATTGACATTGTCTCTGATGAATATTAGTGAAATCAATAGAATAGGAGAGTGTATGACTCTGATCAGACTTGGATACAGCAAAAATAGCAAATTTCCGGGACGTGTCAGAAGGAATGGTAGCCAAGTCTAATACTTTAACTGGTTCTTCGGCAAACTTGAAATCTATCCAAGTGAGTCCTTCGTCTAAGGAATACTTAAGAGTATCAGTAGGCTCAGTGGATGGGACAATCACTAAAATCGTACCATGGTCTCCGTATTCCCACATGTTAACACCAGAAGCAATTTCCAGCCATGTAATACCACCATCTCTACTCAAAAAGGTGGCTGCTTTATCATAATGTTCCAAGTACTCACCAACATTTCCAACACCAATGATAAGACCAGTAGCTGAGGTAGAAGAGAAAGTGTCCCTATAATCTGCTCTTTCAGTAAATCCATGCAAATTCAATGAGCACTTTGCAACCAGAGACCCAATACAGCTGTATTTTTTACCATTTGAGCTCTTTTGCGGAGGGGTAATAAATTGCCATTCACCCCCATCGTTATGCGTAATTTGAGTCTTCAATCTTTTAGGTTCACGGTTATTAGACACGTCATCGACATTGGAAACAGTATTAGCTATGATGGTACCTTCTAAGCCATCAATTCTATCATAATCGACGTAGCCGATTCCGTTTCTGTTGACATTATCTAAGGACAAAACGTAAGAGGTTCCATTGGAGTTTGATTTAAGAATAGATCCAAGTTGTTGCCCATCTTTTCCGTTAGTGGTGACATGTAAAAATATAGAGTGGGATTCTGAATCAAGTACAGTATATGCTTGACTTGGACTGATCTTGAAATCAGCAGGAAAGTCTGCGTCTGCAAAAGTAGAACCATCAACCGTCACTTTAGCCATCAAAGATTTATCATCTTTAATGGTAGCAACAACCACAAAAACTCCAGTAATAGCATATCCAACAATATTGTCGAAAACTTCCTTTGTATCTTTGAAAAAGTTTGTACTACTCACTAAACTCAAAGATCTTGCCTTCCGATCTTCGAGGGAACAAAATATAGTATTGTTATTGGCAGTTGCAACATCGCCAAAGAATGGAGACACATAGTCACATTTTTGAACCCCTGATTTCAATTCTTCGAATGTATCACCCCCATCTTGAGTATGATAAGCAATGACTTTACACTTTTCACTATATTTATCTTCGCAATTCTCGCTAGCATACCAAATAAAATGATCAGTCAGATCTTTATGGAATGAAATAATACTAGAGCTGACACTGTTAGGAACAGAAGGTGCCTTGTACTTGTTGAAGTAATTTACGCCATCGGTAGAAACGTAGAAAACTTCCGTTTTGGTGAGCAAAACAACTTGACCAGGAATGTAACCAGTGACATAACCAACAATATCGTCATCCACTGGAATGCGCACGAAACTAGCACCCCCATCATTGGAAGCAAAAACCTTGTAATCATTTGTTTTCACAATAATATTCTCACTAGGAGACTTCTCGGTAGGATCAAAGTATGTATATTCCACAATTTGCCCTTCAAATTTTGAGATTTTAGAAGTAACTTTTTGCCCGGCAGGAGTCTTCTCATCTCCACCTGTTGGGGTATCAGTACACGAGATTTTCTCGGTTTTTACAAAATCACTTAGTTTCTTTCCATCCGTCTTACATTTATTTCCATTCACAAGTTGTTTTGAGGGAATAGAGAGTTCCTTCTTCTTCTCCTTGGCACACAATGTCGTGATTGCAACTTCATCGACGACACAGGTTTTACCTTCTTTATCCAAGGTGAAACCAGGAGCGCATTCAAAGTCTGCATCAGTACAAGAGCATGGCTCTTCAATAACTTCAATATCCAGGAAAACTTTGTCAACAAAACATTCAGCATCTTGCTTCCTTCTTTGAAATTTTTCCTTATGACCATAAATACAGCTGGGCTCACCATCAACAACTCTTGCATACACATCTTCAAAATCTTTAGAAGTACACTTCTTCCCTTTGAATGCACCTGAATAATCAAGTGCATAAATGATTTCTGTAAATTTATAGTCACCCTTAACTTCTGGAGTCTTATCGACCAAACCAGTAAGTAAGAATTTGGTAGAACTTCCATCTACTGTAGTAGTTAAAGTGAGCGGATAAATTGGGACTTCAAGAGTCGAGCTCTTCCAAGTTTTCCCTTGATCCAATGAGTGATAAACAGTATCAGTGGTGGAATAATCAGTGTCATAGTAAGGAATAGCGACGATGATGTTCCCACCATCACCAAATGAAAATACACATGGTTCATCCAAGGCAAAGTCCCAAGAAATACCACCATCTCTAGATACATATGTATGCATCTTGGAGATGTCTTGTTGAGCATATTTACCCTTGTTACCAACACCCATCAAGATTCCTGGTGTTGGCCCAGTGACCATTTTACCTTCTCCATCTCTTTCAGCTGGAGATAATAATTGTAAAGAACAATCATCTTTGATGTCACAAGATTCATCACCATTCAATTTCAATTTTTGCCAAGTGAGTCCATCATCAACGGATATCATGGACTTTGTGTTTTTACTTGGACCACCTCCACCTAAAAGCATATCAAGAAGACCCTTTCCAGTGTCTTTACCCTTTCCGCTTTCTCCCGATTCAGCAACATCAACGAACCAAACACCATCAGTATTTTGTACTTTCATGATTGTTCCACCTTTAATACGACTCATTAATTTTTTATACTTCAAACCAGATGAATCAGAAGAATAGAGAGAGGTGAGAGAATATTTCTTATCCTTGTTGGTGTACTCCATGACTGCCAAAAATAATGACAGAGGTGATGAATCAACAAAGTTCATCACTCCATATGAAATATCAATCGTCAAATCAGCCAATTCAAACAGAGTTGCATCAGTAGAAACTAAAAGTGACACAGTTGACTTTGAATTGAATTTATCATTTTGAACAACAACTGTAGCGAAATTTTGTTCCATACGGACGTCAATGATCTTCCCAGTTTTAGAAAGAACATGGTGAATAACATCTTCAGATTTGAAAAAGTTATCTGATCTAACCAACTCAGACAGGACAACATGACCGAATGAATTAAGTTTATTTCTAGAACAAATTATCGTTTCATCCTTTGCAGCACTAAATTTCGAAGATGATCTCACAAAGGTACAAACATTTACATTGGCATCCATAGGAATTGGATCATTTTTAAAGCCATCCTTGGTGTAAAAATAGACATGTTCACACAGTTCCGAAAATGATTGGCCCTTAGCACAAGTGTAAAACTCAAACAAGGCATAGTTTGGGTTCTTGGCATTGAAGATAACCTTGGGAATAGAGTCGATTTTCACGTGCTCTTTCTTGCTGTTCTTTATGGAGAACTTGTGCCAGTTCTTTCCCTTATCATATGTCACATATTGGTTTTTATCCGTAGTGAACGCAAAGGCTCTCGTTCTGAGAAATGGATCCATTTCCAAGTGTATGATTTTTTCATCCTTGGTGGCTCCTACATTTGACCAGGTTTCAGCATCATCATTCCAAACCTCAAGTTTCTTATGTCTCAATGCGAGAATGGTTGTTGAATCATCAAAATAAGCATATGCCTCCGCCACCTCTTTCTTTTCTGTCTTGTGGACCTTGGGTTCAAACGCATAGCCCGGTGCTAGGTTTAGAAGAAGCACCAACACAACTCCCCAAGTAAGTGTGTGGAATCTCGCCATATTCTTTACAATTGCTGGCTGTCTGTGGGGGTGTGGAAATTTAAAGCGAGGGGATTCTTGTCGATCTTATTCTATTCAATTGCCCAAGTGTAATTACCCTTTCTAGCTTCCTTGTTTCGAATAAGTTCTCAATTGAATAAATCCAGTAATAATAGTTGGCGATTTGTTGTACTATATACTTTCCTTTTCAATTAAATGTGTCAAATGTCACTGGATTAACTAGTCCCCGCCACTCCTCCTCCTAAATTTCTCGACTCTGATAAGTACATTATGCAGGAAATACTTTTTTTTTTTTTGGCTTAAAGCCTTGTTGAAACTACACTATTTAATCTTATACTATAGTCTACAAATGTATTTAAAATTCTTTAAAATTTCCTCTAAATCTCTATAAATTAATTATATTCACTCATTCTTCCCAATAATCTGATAATATCCCCTTATTTCTATCTTTTTAATACAACAAACTCTTTTCCCACCTGCCTTAAAAATCATTATCAAGTACAAGTCCTAAATAATCTGCTGATTTATTCACTCTAACGTGACATGCAGAATCTATTTCTCCTCCATAGGCACTCAACTTGAATGTAAAAGCCATCAAGCTATTAACAAGTTTTTCGTTGTCTTCCCGTGGAATTCTCACCAATACTTTCGCGGGTATATTAATCTTCAGCATATCCAAGATATCTAGATGTATGGATTCACCTATTATTCCATAGAGCTTCCCTAAACTTGCCTTGATGATACTTTTCCACGATATAAAGTCCATGCTGATATTTTTATATAATTCTGGTTGTTCCTTCACATACTGTGGATCAACCACTCTAATAGTATTTGTTAGTATACCTTGCTAAGCAAAAAAATAATAAAAAGTCAAAAAGTGGTTACATGGGACAACCCCTATACTTCACATACAATTCAAGATTAAGGTAGGACCATTCTGATCGTTTAAATATTTGTGGTGATGTTTCCATGGTCCAAATATATCTTTGTATATATATGTATGCTCCTTATCGTGATGAGATGAAGATAGTTGTATTCAGATAAAATTGTTACAAGTTTTCTACATACAGTCCTTTAGTATGGCATGTGCTTTAAAAATGTTTTCTATCATTTTCTTGAATATTCAATTTAATTTTCTTCTAAAAAGTGGATGGAATTTGAATCAATATGCTATTACTATCCGAAGATTCATCAAAGGAATTGGTACCATTTATCAGTTCTCCATTATTTGAAGTATGATATTTTTCGTAATTTGCTAAATTACTTTCCGATGGAATTACCCAATTGTCATGATAATTTACATGGTGATAGTTTTCATTGGCATTGTCCATGTAGACAACAGGAATGATGATGGCACCGGGTGGAACTGGCAGTCCTGGTCTGATACAGAGAACTTGCGATCCGGAGGGCACGTTCAACAAGCTAAAGAGGGGAATTAATGGTATTTGTAGTTGATGTGGTGGTGGAAGTGGGAGTGGTATTGAAGTAGATGATGAATATTGACCATTATGTATAGAGTCGGTATATTTCGTTTTTTTCCTGAATGTTGTATTTGAAGAAACTTGTTGCAAAGGCTTCACAGAGTTCCCTCTTGCCGCATTACCCCAATTAGATCGATTCAAGCGCTTATTCTTCACATGTTGATAAAAAGTTGTATCCTTATGACCAGCCTTACTGCAAATAGTTCTCATAATCAATAAATCATCCCAGAGATTATCTATTTCATGGCTATGTAAAGGTGATGAATGTTTCCATTTAAGAATCTGTGAAATAGTATAAACCGGCATACCTCTAATACATAAAAAATAATTAGACCATAAAAAGGACTAAAGAACTTGTACACAACCAACTTCTAGCTATATATATATATACATACATACATATTGGGTTTGTAACACCACCACAAATGGCTGCAAAACTTCCATTTTCTATACATGTCTAGCAATTCCTGTACATAGAGCACAAGTATCTACATAGGTAATTTTTCTGTTTAGCGCTTTTTTGCATAGAATTAGGAAGACTAGCACCCTAGGAGAATAACGAATATAGAGAGGGTTTATAATGGCTTCAGAAAACTGGGAAGCAGTCGTGGATGACGAGGGGAGAACGTACTACTACAATACCGTTACACAAGAAACTAGCTGGACGAATCCAGCTGTGGAGAGTAGTGGATGGAAAGCATATAAAACCGATGAAGGAAAAGAATATTATTACAATGAAAGCACAGGAGAAACAACTTGGGAGACTCCAGATGAGTTGAAAGACGATAAGTCTAAGAGTGCTACAACCGAAGAAGAAAATATTGGGAATGATAGTGCTCCAGAAGAAGTTGAACTTAAAAAGGAAGATGATAACATAGAGTCGAATGAAACAGAAATAGATTCTGAACTTTCCAAACAATCTGTATCTGGTGGGGATCTAATTGATGGCGAACTAAAATTCAATAACAGCAAGGAATCAGAAGATGCATTCAAACAACTTTTGAAAACAACTGGTGTGGATTCAACTTGGTCATTCCAATCAGTGATCTCAAAACTTATAGAAAACCCCATCTATTGGTCTGTACCGGATGCATTACAAAGGAAGAATTTGTACGAAGAGTATTTGGTGGAGAAGACAAAGCAAGAACTTTCCAATAAGTCAGCAGTAGTGGATACTTTCAAAGAAAACTTTGAGAACTTATTGAATTCGTATAAAAAGGACGGATATATCAAGTATAATACCAGATGGTCAAGCGTTAAAGACAGATTGATAGAGGAAGATAATCCAATCTATAAGCATTCTATTGTATCCGATCAAGAAATAGCACAGATATACCACACATATACCGATACACTCAAGAAAGAATACGAATCTGGTCAAGATGAATTAAGACAACAGGCTCTTAAGGAGTTAGAATCATATTTAGTTGAAATCAACCCTAACTTGGTGGAAGAAAGTGAAAACTGGGAGGCCCTTTATGATAGTTTAAACCATGACTCTAGATTTAAAGCCAATAAGCATTTCAGTATTCTCACTCAACTTGATATCCTTAATCTTTACAAGAATAAAATATACCCAAAGATTCTTCAGAAATTAAAGGACAAGATTCTGGACATTGAAAAGATAAATTATCGTTCCGATAGAGTTGCTAGAACACAATTTAAACGGTTCTTACGTACTTTGAACATCAACGCCAACACATTATTCAAAGACATATTCGGTTTGTTGGAGGGAGATGACAGTTTCTTTGAGATTTGTGGCAGAAATGGATCCAGTCCTTTAGAATTATTGTGGGACATAGTTGATGAAAAGTATCAAACCATGAAATTAAAGAAAGATTTGGTTGAGAATGCAATCAATGAATTTAAGCGGAGAGGAGCCATAGATGACTACAAATCCATTCTTTCCAGTAAGGAGAAGTTTAGAAACACACTTGGTAACTTGAAGCACGATCTGTTGACAGGATTTAATTTCCAAGAAGAAGGAAGCACTGAATTGGATGAAATCTATGAAAGTTTGAGAAGAGATTTGGAATTGAGAGAGGAACAATTCAATAAAAATATAAACTCTATGGTCGGTACATGTGGAGATTGGTTAGTGAGTGATTACATTCCAAATGGAAACGATGGAAATGACCCAGTGATAAAGATTATTACTGAGGAGGAAGAAGAAAGAGGCTTAAAGGAATCTGAGGGAATAATTATAATTATAAAGACAACCGGGAGTCCAAGTATACACAAATTAAGAAATGATATCGAGGATTTAGAAATATCTAATTTAATATCCACTATCAAGAATTCACATCCTTTCAAAAATCTATACAATTTATTATCTGAAAACGTTAGTAATGGATATTTTGGCACTGATATAGAAGATAAGTATAGTTCATGTGTGAGATTATCCGTTGGAAAATTAATTGAAAAATTAAATAAGAAGGCAGTTTCCAAAGTTCAAGAAGGATCCGCACCGGAAAATCCAAAGAAAAGAAGATTAGAAGATGAAACTTCTGAAACCAATCCTATAAAGCAAACGAAGCGGGTACTTCTTAATTATTAAAAGCTTTGCAACACACCACCAAAATTGTCTAAGCCAGTTACAAAAATAAAAATATAAAAATAAAATAAAAATAAAAGCGGGTAGTATGCACACTTTGTCGTGCAGTGGCAACTCCTCATTTTTGGAAATAGGGTAGTGTTAAAGTTGGAGAGAAACACACAATAGATAAAGCAAATAGATACTAAAATAATAATAATAACAGAGCCAACAAAATGGTATGTATAAAAAACAGGATATAATACGAGAACTCGGAGAAGCACACCGGGTAACACTGTATTGATTTCTGTAGTTGAAGGAATTTACTAACGGATTCAGTCTCAATCATTAAAGCCATATTTAACCGCTGTTAGATCTTCATTAACAGCAGCCATATGTTTGGAAGATTTCTCATCCCAGATCGTGGAGAGACACAATCGTCCAGAAATAGAAGTTGACAACACACACACACCGGAATTGATTCTTAACCCGATGATAATAGCAAGAAACGAGAATGAAAAGATCCTTATCGAACCATCAGTGAATTCAGTCAGAGTATCGATTAAAATCAAGCAAGCGGACGAAATTGAACAAATTTTGGTCCATAAGTTCACCAGATTCTTGACGTCAAGAGCCGAAAACTTTTTCATTTTAAGAAGGGTGCCAATTAAGGGCTATGACATATCCTTTTTAATTACAAACTTCCACACAGAACAAATGTTGAAGGATAAGTTGGTTGATTTCATTATAGAATTCATGGAAGATGTGGACAAGGAAATTAGTGAAATGAAGTTATTTTTGAATGCCAGAGCAAGAGTTATTGCCGAGGCTTACTTGACTCCGTTTGATTAAACTATATAGATTTACACCCATACACTGTTACAAATAAAAGATACGAAGTAAATTAGTTATGATAATTCTTGTAGTTCTACACTATAGACTATTTATCAGTGTTCCTATCAGATAATGTTGATCTATTATCATCATCATTTTGATGGGCATATGCTGGTCCAACGAATGGTCCTGGAGGGCTCCCTCTCGAGTCACCAAAAGAAGTTCCAATGCTTTCTTGATCCTCCTGGGTTGAGTTACCTTTCGTTACAGGATTTGGACCAACTGGTCTTTGTTGCCTAATAACCTCCTTTGGCGACAACCCTTGAGATGATTGAGGGGAGTTTACAATGAATTGTCCGCCACGAGACATAGTTTGTGGCATTGGTTGGACTTGAGAGTAGGGTGGGGTACTGAATTGTTGCGGAGAAGAGATGTAGGCCAGACCAGCACCTTGTTGTGATTGCAGTTGTGGTTGTTGTGTTGGGCGAGCTCCTTGGGGAGGTCTGCCGATTCTGCGATTGTTATTATTCGTAGTGTTAGTATTGTTATTGACATTGCTACCACTAGTCAGGTCACTATTGCTTAATCGTTTCCCTTGGCTTTGTGGAGTAAATTGGTTGTTTGGTCTGGCTTGCAGTTGTTGCAGTTGTTGCGGATGTGGTGGCAGTTGTTGCAGTTGTCGTTGGTAATCAACGGTCGGAACGTTCGGTACAACCATTGGCACGCCAACTTTGTCAATCAACAATCCTGGTATATGATTCAACACTAAATCCAATTTCAGGAGAGCTGCACCAACCTGATCAAATCCCTTTGAAGATATCTTTAAAATCCATCTATAATTGAAAACTTGGTCTTTATAAAAATCTTCTTCTTCCTTCGTAGTGGAGGAAATAAAAAGAACAGCAGCAAATGTTCCAATCAACGTGAAACTTGAAGATGAAGAGGAGTGCCAAAATGAATGAATGTGTTCAGGCTTCAAATCCCTTACAAATTCAATCGATGCCAATAATCTAGTTTTGGCAGCAGTACGACAAACATTTACCAATTCTGGTTGAGGAGGGTTATTCGAATGTGATTGTTGGAAGATTGTGGTGATAATTTTACGATGTAAAGTCAACTCGGTGGCAAAGTATGCCAATTGTAAATATCCATTAGAACAAAGTTTTCTTCTTTGAACAGAGCTCATTTGTAATTCCACAGGTAATGAATGGTACCAGTTCCGCAATTTCAATTGAAGGGGTTTAGCAAGTTTTAAAACTTGGGTCATATCGGTGATTTCATTCATAGCTTTCATTGAATAAAATTGATCTACAATGTCAGAAAGGATCATTGAAAGATCAATCAAGTTTCTGAATATCTTCTTCCCATTATCAATATCCGATGAACCTTCTTTCAAATCTCCATCACCATGCTTTTCTGGGAAATCTTCATCTGCCAAGGGGAGTACTATCCAATTGTTTTCAGAAATATGCGAAGGTCTTGCATTTTTTAAAGAGAGCCATTTATCTTCCATATAAACTGCCCATGCTAACCGTTTCCGGAGTCCACGTTCCCATTTAGGTAATTTCCACCCGTGACAGTCAAGTCCAAGACCTAATTCTTCTGCCAATGAGATAACTTGTGAGCATAACACCCAGTCATTATAATCAGTATCTCCCCCACTAGAATTAGGAGTTGGTTCCCCATTAGAATTTCCATTGGAACTAATATTGGATACTTGTATGATATGTTTACATTGAAGAAGTAACAAACCTGCTTGAACAGCACTTAATTTTGGTCGTTTAAGAATCTCCAATAAATAATTGTTAAGAGCAATCTTCAAGATTAGTTCTGAGTTAGGTTTGGGATATCTGTTAAGTTGAGGATCATAGTCCCACCATTGAATAGCCAATACATACACAGCAGCCAATAGAGGAGCACTAAATTCTCGATGTGTTCTGGAGTATTTTTCCAAAAATACCTTTTTGTGGAGAATTGGATATGATGGATGAATTATTCGGAAGTATAAATCAATTAAAATTTGACCATGAGGAGCAATGAATTTTTCAATATTATCAACATCTTGTGACATGGCCAGATACGATTGAGGGGATTGATCATCCTTCAATACAAACTGTACTTTGTCACTGACTTTACGAAGCGAGATAGAGTCACTCAAGTTGACTTGTTCAATCTTACCGCCAAGGGGTGATGCACTTGCCCTTCCATTGATACTGGTTGATTTGTTGGCACCTTGACTCTGACTAGCTCCCTTCTTAGAGGGTGAATTTTGTGACTCTATGATTAAATTAAGAAGATTCACATCGTATAAATATGACGTTGGTCCAACATAAAAACTTGACCTAGGGAATTGTAAAGATAATGTCTTTTTAAGTAAAGAGTTGTTTACCATGGAGTAGTCCTGAACCGGCGGGACATCTCTTATCTGGACATTTGGAGGAACAATTCCATTCGAAATATGATTCTCTCGTTGAAGTATTGACAAATTTGCATTCGTATTACCACTCATAGCATCATTAGTTGATGAGGTTTTAGCTCTTTTGTTTTGTGGTTGGATATTATTATAATAATCCTCTTGGAAATTTGGATTGGAACCTGGAGTTCTGCGCATTGGTTGATCGATATAGGTACATACCAATGACTTCGATTCACACTGCGCACAGTTATTTGTGTTTGGTATTATTACACATTTTGTCTTACGTCTTCTACAGTGGTCACAAGGTCTACGATGTTTGGCAGCACGTTGTTGTGCCCCAACAGAACCTGTAGATGTATAATTCAGGTCTGATACCATCTGGATATCTGTAGGGGTACCTTGGCTTTGTGAAAGTGCAGATGGAGTTTGTTGTGGATGCGAAGTTGGCCCTTTTGCCTCATTATCTCCGTGTGGTTGACCTGGGTGACCTTGTTGTTGTTGTTGTGGGGGTAAATGCATGTTTTCTGATGTAGGTGATTGGTATTGTCCTTGATTTTGGATGGCAGGTGCGGTATTAATTCCCATGTTTGGTGACGTAAAGTCCATCCCATAGAACATTTCATTGTTGGGGTCCATCAAAAGACTAGATGCCCAATTTGAGTCGAGATACTGCGCGCTGTCGTACTCTGGGCCATTGGGTGGGTGATCCTGATGTGCCAGATGTGGATGCTGCGAGTGCTGCTGATGATGGAGTTGTTGTTGTTGATGGTGATGGAGTTGTTGTTGTTGTTGTTGTTGTGGTTGATGGTGGTGTTGTTGTTGTGGTTGTTGTTGTGGTTGGCCCGGTGGTGGCTGATGTTGGAGTTGTTGTTGCTGCTGAATGTGTTGGAGCTGTGATGTTCTGTGTTGATGCAGCTGTTGTTGTGGAGTTCTACTATTGTTCTGTTCGGACGTATGATCCATCAGATCCTTTGGATGGTTATGGGTGGAATTGGAACCTCCTTGTTCCGGGACCGTGCTATGACTATTTGCGCCTTCGGATTTGGAGCCACTGTTCATCGCGAAATTTTGCGATCGGTTCCTGTCGTAAGTATAGACTTGCGTAAATTACTGTAAGCGCCTACAATGTGAAACTTCTTGATTACTTTTATGGTGATACAAAACGATATAAGCTAGTGATAATGTAAATGTCAGATGTCGTGCGCGGCTCAGAAAAGCTGCAGTATGATTTTCCTTCTACAGTGCAAAGAGATAATAATTTAAGTGGCTGTAAGTTGTGATAATCAAGAGGATTTACCCGTGCAGATTAAGATTGAATTTCCCTTTGGCTTTCGGCTCTGTTTCATAAACTGTTGAATCTCCTTTGAATAATAAAAATTTTTTTGTTTTGTTAAAAAAAAAAAACAGTAGTAGTAGTAGACTTCCGTTTTTTTTTTTTTTTTTTCGTTAATTTATTTTTATTCTTTAGTGCCGCGCAGTCGCGGAGTATTAAACGATGCACTAGATGAGCCACAAGTAGAAAGAGAGAGAGAAAGGGGAGGCAACACCATCACCATCAAAAAGACGGAGATAATTCAATGCAAACCAATTGAAAATGCACTTAAAGGAGGTGGGAAATAAGTAAATCAGATAGATGTAGAAGGGGGAGAATGATCGGGTAATGTATCCTTTAGTCTTAAGCACTGTGGTTAAAAACTAAATAGTTACCTTAATTCTCCTCAATATCTGCACGTGATATGTCTGCACTATAATGTTTGTTTCTATTTATCGCGGATGGGTAGGTAGATTTGGGTGTATGTATAAGGATATCAATTGACATGAACTTTATCATTTCCATCTAAGCATGTCACAGAAGAAAAACCCAAAGATGGGTGTGACTAAGAAACTGCCCGTTATTGGTCAGGCGATGTTGAAGCGTGGGGCCAAGAGGGCCATGAAGGCAAAGTTATCATTTCAAGATGAACTTGTGGAGGATGCACCAGCACCAAATCGGGAAAAGACTGTGAATCGGGTAGTTGAAGGATTTCCAGTATATATCACCAAAAAGCAAATTTCCGAAAAAACACAGCCACTAAATGAATCATCAGATATTAGTTCAGAACGACAATACATACTAGCCAATTTTAAACGATTTGTGCCGATAATTCTACTGGAATTATCACCATTACCAGGGTATCTGAAGGATTCATTAGTTGAAATCTTCCATTTATATTTATACGTGTTGCGCTATATGAAAACTTCGAGTACCTTCTGGAAAGTTGTTTCTTATTCCCCATACAAGAAGCAATTTGGTCGAATTCTTAATAAATTAATTACTGAGCGTTCAAGTATTGATGAAAACTTTATAGAATCTGGCAATACAATCTCCCAATCGAAGAACAAAGCTCCAAGAAGGATAATAAAGAAGTTTGAACCGAATCGTGCCGTGTTAACAAAATTGGGCATTAAATTAAAACTAGACATTAACAACAACACCAAGCCCAACACCAAATAACATTTGCATTCCTCATAGACTGAAGATGATCTCTTCATAGCATAATTCTTGCATACTTCAAATTCACATCAGAACGAGAAACATTCATATACCACTTATAAAACGGACTCACACATACACATCCAACTATCCCCATTTGGTGTGTTTTTTTTTTGTTTTTTTTTTTTATTAGTCTATAAGTGTTTCTATATCCGTCATTATCATATTTGATATACATTCCATAATCGTTCATTAACATTTCCCCAAAACCCTAAATCGTATATATTGACAAGATCCTTTTCCACGGAAATAACGGGCTCCATTTGAGGAATTGATTCATCTCCCTCCACGAAAAGAATTCGCTCATTTCGTAAACTTATATATGCCTGTAAGTAAGAATCGGTAGATTTATCATGAACCATACTTTTTTCGACATAATTCTCCGGGAAATTCTTATCAAGAATTTTGTAAAGAGTACCCAATTCAACAAGGTATTCTAATTCTGACCATTTATCACATTCATTGGTAGTAACCCCTAAATATAAATATCTGAGATGTAAAGCTGTGAATAAACTAGTGATCACCACAAATATACTACATAGAATGAGGAATACTCCAGTAGTTTTGTTGGCATTTGTAGTAGATGTGATTCTATGCCACCAACTAGTAGACGGGAATTGGTCCACAAGGGACCAATATGATAATAAACCTCCATAGAATAAAAGATTGATATTGGATACAAGGAAAAGGAAAAACCATCGATAATTGTAATATCCAATACAATTATTTACCCATATACAATGGTGATCATATAACATAATGCAATGGCCACAAGTAGAACAATGTTTCGATCTGGCTGGTTTTGGGAGTTTACATGTAGCACAATCCTTTGGATGGAAGATTAGATCATTGTAAGGGAAGAAGGTACTGGCTCTATGAGCCATTGTTGAGGATGAAATTCGTCCTGGATCTGTATATGTCACTAATATTGTCGATAGATATACAAGAGTAATGGTGGCAAAAATGTAGAGATTATGGAAAATAGAATGCTTTATATTCAATGGGAGTACCTCGAGATACGTTTCTGTAAAGAATAGATAAAAGCATCCAGTGATTACCAGGACATAAAACACTGGTATGGACCACTCCAAGCACCAAGTTAGTCCACCATTGGTTCTATTGTCCACAGATCTATAGAACAGAACGCTAGATTGAAGACTATTCAAGATCCATCTTCTAACTCTATGAATTAAAGAGCCTCGTAAAGAGGGAGAATCTCCAAATAACACAATACTAGCAGCAATGGAAGATCCTAGAATCACCACTAGAAGTAATTTATACAACTGCATAGCCTGTAAAAAAAAATTTAATTCAGTGATTAAGATCCATTATACATACATCAAGTATAGGATTGATTACTTAATCTTTAGGTCCTCTCCATATATTGAGACTAGTTTCCTGCATGTACATTATTTCGGTACCCTTAAAGTAGTGTGATTTAATGAGACGTGTTTGTTATATATTGAGAAAACCCTCCACAAATTATTCCTAGTACAGCCAAAAAAAAAAAAAAAAAAAAGACAGAGTGCTCGTCTATTAGCCTCACCATTGCTTTTTGAATAGGCACTTGTTCTTCAACTCCCCCCATCCACCCAGCTCCGAATAAAAATGGCCAGTTATCTTGATGTGGTCAGCGGAGAGATTGCCAGTATCAAGCATATGCTTGCAAGTCTCCCGTTTGACCGAACCGAGGGTCTTTCACACACCAAATCCCCATATTTTCTAGACGTGTATCGAGTACATCGACCGGAAATGCTGGCGTTAAACGAGGACAATGGGGTATTCCCACTTGATGCTAGCAAGCTTCTCAAGCTTGGAATATCGTTGGGGAACTTGCTCAAGTCCCTTCAACAAGACGAGGAACAATATCTCGAACAACAAAAGAAACAACAACAATTCAACAAGAGTTTAGGAGGAGCTTTAATTCAACCAGGTTCACATTCAGGCTTGTTCCAGCCAGCCAAATCTGCCCTGTACAGCGACCAGCTGGGTTCACCATACGCTCCTTCAAACGACCGTAGAATTTCCGCTAGTAGTGGGACTAATGGAGGAGCTTCATTCCAAATCCCTCCTCCTCCATATCAAACTAGATTTGTTCAAAATCTACTGAAAATCCTTAAAAACTATGACATTGGTACTGCCACAACCTATTCCAATACCCCAAACTTCAATTCTAATTCCAACAATACTAATAATAATAACATTCTTCAACAAACCCCATCTAATTTAAATCTGCAATCCCTGCAATCTCTGCAACCAGTGGCACTGAGTGGGAGTTCAACTTCAACTTTGAGTCAACAAATGCAAGGATCCCCCATCAAACTTTCTTCCAAACAACTTCTTATTGAAAAATTGGAAATTAATATTCAACTTGATAATTTATTCACATACAAAATCTTACTTAAATTGGTTCAACAAATCTATGAGATTATAGAATTACAATTAGAAGTTTCTGGAGGTGGAGGGGTTTTGAATGGAACCGTGCAAAAGGACGTTTCTTCTTCATCATCCATTTTCTCCACTGCGTCATATAGTTCATCTGATTCATCTATGACAAATGATGAATATCTTCAATTACTTCGACTGATTGTCAATCGAATATCTACCGGGATTATCGAACCATTTATCCAGGTCATAGTCACTCAGATAGCTGAAAGAGGAGTCATAGAGAGGTTTGGAGAACTTCTCAAGAGTTTAGATTGAGAATATATAATCATTTTCTTTTATTTATAGTTCTACCAATGTATTATTTTTTATTGTTCTAATATTACTACACTCTATTATCATATTCCATATATTACTTTTCATTTTATAAAAACCACCAATTAGCAAATCTACCCCATATAACGTGTGCCATTCTTCTACCAAGAAGCTTTCCTATCAAAGGAAATATTACCATATTTACAAGACCAGTGATTTGTTTGACACTTTCCTCCCATTGTTGTTGAGCTGATAAAGCATCATAAGAACTAGAGTCGTCAGAATCATATTCATAATCTTCGGAGTCATAATCATTCCCATTCATATCAATGCTATCTATCATCTGCTGCATCTGTGCCAACACAGAAGTATTGTCTACTTCAGTAGACATAGTGGCCACAAATAAAGTCTTTTTGGTGGATTATTTTAATTGTATGGAAATGAGATTAATAAACTGGAGAATACAATAATTGAGGATTCATGGGTGTATGCAGTCAAATTCACAAATATATATATGAAGAGTAATTATTGATGAATGAATGGGGGGTAGATTAATGATCATATAAGGGTGGATTTGTTATCACAAATTATATAAATATATATATTGTTTAATTATAATTGTCTATGTGTAAAAAATGGTAATGACTAACCTTCAATACTAATTTGGAGTTATTACATGCTTTATATAAATCTTTTTATGACTGACTATTTTAATACTATTTCAATACAATATGAATACTTCATATATAGTTTATTAATATCATTTCAACACTTTATAAATACTTGATCAATATCTATAATTATTCTTAATCTATCTCTCTATTCGAAGACTTATTGCCTCTCTCTCTACTCTTTATCAACTTAAAGCGCGATGAGCGAAAATCAAATCTTCACAAATAAAATTATCGTTAATGATCAAGACTATTAAATCACATCTACAAAGAATACTCCGGTCAAAAATGAGTCAAATCAACGTAGATGACTATGTCACCGTCAAGGAGGGGAAGGCAACCATTTTGTCTCTCAAGGAAAATAAAGTGTTTTATAATCCAATTCAACAATTCAATAGAGACTTGTCAGTAACTGCAATTCGTGCTTGGTCTGAATTATACTTACAATCTAAGGAAGGTAAGCGTGAAACCAGAAAGAGAACGATCTCCGAGGCTGAAAAGGAATCCACTGAAGGCGAGGAGAAATCTGCATCTACCACCACACCATTTATCACAATTCTTGAAGCCTTGTCAGCTACTGGACTTCGTGCTATTAGATATGGACATGAGATCCCACTTCTTAAACAAGTTGTAGCCAATGATCTTCTCCCAGAAGCAGTCAAGTCCATCGATAGAAACATCGAATATAATAACTTGAAAGATAAGGTGAGTTCTAACCTTGGTGATGCCATTCATTATATGTCTGGGGGACAAAATAAGTTCCATGTAGTTGATTTGGATCCTTATGGAACTGCCACTCCATTTATTGATGGTGCACTTCAATCCATAAATGAAGAAGGATTACTTTTGGTCACTTGTACCGATGCTGGGGTGCTTGCCGGTTCGGGTTATCCAGAAAAATGTTTTGCTCTTTATGGAGGTAATAACTTTGGTAATACATACATTGGAGGAGAAGCTAACCATGAAGCTGGATTAAGATTGATTCTTCATATGATTGCCACCAATGCAGCCAAGTATAAAAAGACTATTGAACCATTGCTATCATTATCGATTGATTTCTACATGAGAGTATTTATTAGAGTCAAGACTAGTCCAATGTCTGTTAAACATTTGGCATCATCCACCATGATTACATACCATTGTGTTGGATGTGGTAATAAACTGAATCAATTCTTGGGTAGAGTGGAAACCAAGAAAAATGGAACCAAAAAATTCCAAACTGCTCTGGGTCCACCAGTTGGCGTTAGATGTGAATATTGTACATCACTGCATCATTTAGCTGGACCTATGTGGGGTGGTCCATTACATAACCATGAGTTTATTGACACTGTGATGAAGATCAATGATTCACATGATACTTCTGTTTATGGAACCACAGAAAGAATTAGAGGAATGGTTACAGTTGCTAAAAATGAATTATTGGAACCATTTTATTTCAATTTGAATCAACTTTCAAGTTATTTCAAATCACCACCTATCCCAATTAATGATCTTTGTAAAGCTATTGGTAATTTGGGTTATGATGTATCCTTGACTCATGCTCAAAAGAACTGTATCAAGACAACCGCACCATGGAATGTTGTACTTCAAATCAATAGACAATGGCTTATCAAATGTAATAAGGAAGCCTTGGAGAAAACAAAGGAAATGTTGGAAACTCAACAAGATGAAGATAAAAAGGCTAAATTGGTTAAAAAGATAGAATCATTGGAAAATGATATTTCTATGAGTCCAAACTTAACTGAAGGAATGGTTGGTTACAAGATTTTAAGTAGGGCAAAGGAGACATTACCAGAATTAGAAGTTAATTTTGATGATAGATGTGAAGTTAGTGATAAAATCAACAAGTTCAGAAAGTTGAAGATTGTGAGATATCAAGAAAATCCTACAAAGAATTGGGGACCAAAATCAAGACCTTCAAGTTAAACCTTATGTAATTATTATAAATAGAAACCTACCTCATATTTTTTTAGTGTATGTAAGTAAGTTATTGTTCTTTCTTCATGTTTTTTTTTTTTTTTTTTTTTTTTTTTGCAACAAAAGAGAGAGAAAAAAAAAGGTCCGAGTATTCCCCGGTTCGAGCCCTGTCATTACACACATTTATTGTAGACCAGAAAAATTGTACAAAAAAAAAAAATTATATTATTATTATGCACAATCCCCCCTTATACATTGTAATTTTAATAATAGCCTGCGAATCATTTATCAAGTTTGTATAATGATAGTACGCAAGGGGGGGTTGCGCAAAGGGGTTTCTAGGAGGTTCGAGCTGCAGATTCGTAAAGTGTTTTGAATTTCTGGTCATGCCCAACTCTAGAACAAAATACCCAATTGAGGCAACTATAAACACACGATTTTACTCCCCTTACTGTATTGATATTTAGTTAAATCGCGACATAGTTTTTCCGCATTGTGCCGAGTTAAGGATCTAAGACCACTTTCCCTGACAATGGTTCAAAACCAGATTATTCCGAATATTTGTTCCTACCAATCATAATAGTGACGATGGGAACGATATAGGAGAGAGTACAATGGGTAGTCCGAGAGTTCCGCGGGTGCGGGTGGGGATTATTGGTAGACCAATTTGTAGAAACACGAGGTAAGAACAACGTAGTTACCCAAACCATCATTAAGGTATAAGATTTGATTTAAGAAATATTATTATTACACAGCCAATATATGCGCTAATTTCTCTAGGTAAGAATAGATCATGTGGTGTGGTCAGAAATCATACATTTCATGACACCCCTGATTAAACAAAGTAATCACTAATCAATTCATCTACAACTATTTTTTTTCGATTTTTATGTCCGACAGGTATATTATATTATTCTAACCAACTAAAAATACATTTCTTATTAAATATTAGGCTGTGCATTGCACTCTATCATTTTTAGTTAACTTACAACAACAAAGCAACACCGGCAGCGGCAGCGGCACCGAAGATACCAGCAGAGACGGCTTGGGAAGCACCGGAACCGGACTTGGAAGAAGAACCGTTGGTACCGTTAGTACCGTTGGTAGCGTTAGCAGCAGAGACGGCGGTGACAGCGGTCATGGCGACGAGAACTTGTTGAATTTGCATTTTTGATATATGTGTTTCGAGGAAGTTGATGATTTCTAAAATAAAATGATTCGAAATATTCGAGTGGCAAGGCAGATATTTATATGTTTCGACTCGGGCGGGTTGAAAATTTTACCTTGGTGAGTCAAAAAAAAAAAAAAAAAAAAAAGAAAAAACCCCGAAAAGAAAACACTATGCTGGAATGTTAGTACAGGACTTACAACATGCAACGAGGCAAAGTATAGGAGCCACTACTATGTAAGAGTGCATTAAAGTGGCAAAAATAGACTGTATAAAATTAGAATAAACAGCAAGCGGGACTCCGTTAATCACGTAGTATTCGCCACCTCTATAACTACAACTACAACTACTCCATCCCTACCTTTAACATGACTAATACGACACCACGTTACTGTATCTCGCTATCTTTCTACACACTTAGCACGCACAGCCTACTTCCTTCGACCTGCACCAAGAAACGATGACACAAAATACGTGCATCGTGCCACACAAAATTAGTTTACTAGGTTGTGGATGCAGGCGCGGTTAAATGAAACTGACGGAAGATTGAAAAAGTACCTATTCGTCTAATCGGTGGCATCGCTCGAATTGGTAGTGACAATGGGGATTACGTTCACGACTGAAGGAGGGCGTGAGAATAGAAAATGTAAACAACGGAAAGGTGAGTCACTCTAAGCTGACGAAATACCTTTCATATATTAGTTTACCGGCTAATCCTCGGCCCGTGTACCATGCTGTACAGGGTTGGCTTTTTTCCGCCTTCCCCCCCCCCCCCCCATAAATAGGAGTAGGTCCCAAGTTCTATAATTTCTAGATTACATTGTCAAAAAAAAAAAAAAATTGCGGGAGCTTCGAGGGGAATTTCCACTATGAGAACTCATTTGGGAATTAATTCCCCCAATCGGGAAGAGGATTACACGCCTGAAACCTATAATTAGCCGCGCAAGAAAGAACGTGGACGCGTCCTATGACCGATTAGGTAAAATTATTAAAAAATCGTGAATATTTCTATTATGGAGTGCATACAGTAATACGAAGACACATTTGTTCAATTATCTAAAAAAAATTGATAAGTGATTAGAATTAGAGATTAGGGAGATTCAATAACGGCGTTACATTTTACGAGTACTTCTAAATCTTCCATTGTGAAACTGAACCTTGAACTTGAGTGGATTTTCATTCTATTGTATTCTTTTGCAAAGCTGAAACTATAATTTTTTAAATATTCGTATTGTTTGCACTTAATTTCCTTTCTAATTCTCCGTCTAATTTCTCATATTTTCTGGTACCATAAGCCAAGTTAAGATCAGATTGTATGAAATTTGTATATGCAACCTCAACGTCATCTTTTGGTACCTTTGATCTACTTTTGTGACTTCTATGTAACCCTCTTAATTTTCTTATAGTTCTTTTTCTCAAGGTGGTTGGGGTAAGTTCTAGATCAAACGGTTGGTTATCCAAGTCCCAAATTAAATCATTGTTATCGATGGGGGCATTCCCCAAGTATTTCATTGTTAATGTGTGCTCACTAACTGAAGGTTTCATATTATTTTCTAATTCCAATCTTTGATGATGGCTGCGAAATGAGAAATATGGATATTTAAAAATTGAAGTATAATGATTCTCATCGTATAACTTTAAAGTTGATTCATTGTGAGGTAATTGTAGGTCATTAAGGGGGCTTTGTGGTTCATTATTCACGTTGTCGTGGTATCTCGTAGATAAATTCTCCATCATTCCTGAACCAAGTAAGTCATCGGTGTTTCCCAATGCTATAACCATCAGGTTTCCACTTCTTTCATTTTTTTTCAGTCGATGGAATAAACTTCTAATGTTGAAAGATTGTCGACATCCATCTCTGATGAACATAGATATATTATTTAAAAGATATATATCAAATCAATATCAGGTGAATAACAATCAGAGAGAAAAATTGAAAATGAAAAAAAAAACAACAGTACCAAGCAAGCTAGCCAATTCTTTCGCTCTGCTTAGATTTATTCAGTCTTGAATAGCTAGATAGCTCGGCTTTACTTTTAATGTATAAAGAATATATTAACCGCACATTTTATAATTGTGTACCAAAGTTGTCCTTCTTGTAGTTGTCGTTTGGTACAAATAAACGCGCGTACTTCAAACACACAAAAATGCAACATGAGATGCATATCAAAATCATGAAATTGATCACATAGTGTCACTCAAACCAGGTCAATATACATTCATATTTCTCGTATGAACATAAATCATGTCAATGGGTACACTCGGGTTCTTGGGAAGTGTACTACTGACCTTTTAAACCGAGTCGCAATCACATGTGGGTTCCAAGGTATGTCCCAAATATAGAGTATGGAAAAAAATACAAATCCCCATTACTAACCCAATTATTCAGTTCAAAAGAAAAAAAATGAAAGAATTCAATCCATTATAACAGGTCTCACCTTATCTTCTTCCCTTCCAGATAAATTCCAAGTTGTAGGGGTTGATATCGGACTTAAAAACTTTGCATTTTGTAAACTTGAAGTTGATAGAACCTCAAGTAAACCTCCCATCATCACTCAATGGAAAAAATTCGACTTACATAAAGTTTATTTAAACTCATACGAACCAATACTCAAGAGTCCCATTGAGTATGATCGTGATACCATCCTTGAAGACAATTTAATGGATTCAACGCGGTATCTAAGCTATTTATCAAGAAGGGTTCTAACTGACCATTTGTTCAATGATCCGAATATTCCTACATTTGCAGTGGTTGAACATCAACGTACAAGATCAAACATCATGCCTGCCACATTACCCAACGTTTTAAGGAATTGTCTTTTGGAAAATATGCTTTATTCTTCGTTTTATACCATGCAAAGCATGAGTCCGAAAAATTCCATCCTTAAAAATTCATTCATAACTCCAGTGTATTCTAATAGTATGGCACATTTTTGGATACATCGATATTTATCAGAATTAAATATTGATAAAAAGATTCTAACAAAGGATGTTAAATCGTTGAGAATAAAATTGGCATATAATTGGATAAATCGTGCCATTGAATGCAATCTTCGTAAGAATCTGTTGACCCTTCTGCCCTTTCGGTTCAATCTGGACACTACCAAGATCATTAATTTGGATCAAGACTTGGCTAAAAAGACATTTAAACAAGTACATTATAAACCGAAAAAATTACAAAAGATTTTAAATCTTGATGATGATATCATTACAAATTTTAAAATGGATGATTTGATAGATTCTTTACTTCATGCTCTAGCATGTGTGAAACGGTTTGAAAATCAAAAAAGATTAGTAGAAACGTTAGAATTATGTATGAACGACATAGATCTGTCAAAAAGACTTATTCTTGAGTTTATAGAATCTAGTAAGAAGGACCAATTAGAGCTAATGAGGGATTTAATGGAAGAAACTACCCAAGCGGCAATGAAACGCTCCAAGAACGCAACTTCTGTCTCCACCACCACCACTACAACTACTACTAACAATACTACGACTTCCTCTTCTTCTTCTTCTTCTTCTTCTACACTTGATGCTATGAAACCAACATCTAAGATGGTTTCTGTGCAAGTTTAGGTTGAAATTTTTACTATACACAAATTTAGTAAAGCCCAACGTGAAAAGAATGTGCTGATGCAGTTAATATCCTAGATGATATTCTGTGTCTCGGGTGGAATATAGGTAGTTTGATCGTCAGTCAAATCAAATATCATATCTGTTTTATCTTTGGTGTGATTTATCATCGATTTCAGCGAGTTAGTTTTATCGTTATCGTCATCATCTTCGTCGTCATCTTCATCATCATCTTCATCATCATCATCTTCATCGTCATCGTCACCATCATCATCACCCTCTTCTTCGTCGTCATCCTCATCGTCATCCTCATCTATTAATCCATTTCCAGCTTTCTCAGCAGTTGTGTCTTTATTCTCTTCATTAGCTTTCTTCAAAGCATTAATGCGTCGACGAACAATATCAACTATATCCAGCCATTCACGCATACCACCCATTCCAATATCTCCACAAACCAATACTTTTTCAACTGGTTTCAATATTTCAATTCCAAACCCATATTCAGGTGAAGAAATTTGTAATAGTTGCTTTGCTGTCATGGGGTGAGTGTACATAAACGTATTCATTGCTGGAGCCACTAATATTGGTTTCTTCACATTTGAAGAAGAAGGACCCCAAGATCTTATGATGGAAAGTAATAAATTGTCAGATATACCATGAGCAATTTTGGCAAGAGTATTGGCGGAAAGAGGTGCAATTACCAAGATATCTGCCCATTTCCTCAATTCATTATGTAAAATCAACTTATCAAATGGATTCTTTGGTTTCTTAGCTGCCAAATTGAGTTGACTGGTTGATTCAGTAGTTGTGGAAGAAACAAGATTAGGGTCATTATAATTTACCCATTCATCTTCATCACGCCAAATCTTCACATCGTTATGAATTTTTAATCCTTTCAAAAAATGTGTAGCTGCTTTTGTAACGACAAGTTGAATAGATACTTTAGAAGTACCGTACGTTTGTAATAACTTATCAATAATTAATGGAACTTTGATTGTGGCCACTGATCCAGTACATCCCAAAAGAATATGGAATTTCCCATCATCTTCCTTTGTAAGATATTGTTGAAAGGGCACTGGAGGGCCAACTGGCGATGCAACTATGGTTTTCTTGGATGTCTTTTTCGCCGGTACATCCAAGTTATTAATGCTAATAGGTTGTGGAGGAGACGATATAGATGAAGTTGTAGATGGAGGTGGAGGGGTTGCTGCAGCTAAAGATAATTGTTGAACTCCAGCAAATGGAGGTGGTGGTGGTGAAGTGGCTCTGTAAATCTTCCCACCGTTTGGTTTAGATGAATTTTCTGAATCAATCAGATATGAAGATTTAAGTACATTCAGTGGTAAAAGAGGTGGGGATTCCAACACTGGAGATGCAACCCTTGAAGATCCACCAGAAGAAATATAACCCGTATATAAAGAAGGTTGTTTCAGATGGGAGTTTGAAGCGAAAAACAGTAGCACATCATTTGAAACAGTTGAGTTATCTCTTGATGTAGATGTGGATTGTGGGAGTGGTTGGCCGCTTGCTGATGATAATGAATGACTAAGATGAGAATGCTTGCGCGAACTTGGACCGAAAACAATCGAATTATTTCTCGAATTCGTTCCTCCTCCTCCATTTGTATTTGGAAGAGCCGTTTGTGATGTGTTTCCAGAAGCTAGGTTGACTGCAGAAGGTTGAGCTGAGATTGTAAATCTTCGAGCTCTTTCTTGCCCATCCAAATCACTGAAGGAAACTTGTTGCTGCGAACGCGCACGGTCAGACATCTGTTACTCGGGATGGAAGTCAAATGTTAAGATAATACAAAATTTAAACTTCACTTGGAATTTCAACTGCTAGAAGAGCAAAAGTCAACGGGAATCCTTTTAATTATTTCGTTGTCTTGACGCTTGGCACTGTTTTTCTGTAGATTACAAATATTTTGATATTGATGATTTATGCAGGAACGCTTGTTTTTTGATTGATTACTGAATCAGGGTATCAAATATAGCAGCAGCTATAAAATAAATTGATTTATCTATAACAATAAATATAATGAAATCGGGATTGGTTTTTTAAAAAAAAAAATTGAGTTGTAGTTTGCTCTAAATGAAGATGGTAAGAGGATTCCGATTGTATAAAAACATACAATCTTCTCGTTAATATTTGAAATAGAAATCGGTAGTACAACTTCCCTGCGATATCTATAATACATCAACTTGCAAGGAATAGAAATTTACATCTAGTTAGCTACATGATACAATCCTTACATTTTGTGACTTAACTTACTTCGATATATATATATGTCTATGTATAATTCTCTTCTTACTGTAGTCAGGTAATCTAACTGTCTTTTAAGAAATCCGCCACCCTGTATATAACGTGGTTTTCTTTGCGGCACCAAAATATGATCCTAAAAATATGAGAGAACAAGTAGTCAGTTTCAGAAGTTGTAAAATATAAGGGAGTCTCAATAACCTACTCAAGTTTGAAGCAGTTCCGCATATTCCAATCAATTAAGGGTGAATATTATTATTCAACTGAACCATAGCGTGCATCTTAGAAGTGACAAAAAGGTGAACTTAAATTAATAAATACTCCACTTTTATTATTTTTTTTTTCCATAATGAATATCCGTCAACAATTACTCCAATTCCTACAACTTGCATATGTGTTATCCTCAGCATTTATGCTTTGGAAAACCCTCTCTGTCGTTGCCAACTCTCACTCCCCAGTAGTCGTTGTTTTGTCAGGTTCCATGGAACCTGCTTTCCAAAGAGGTGACATTTTGTTCTTATGGAATAGAGATTACCAAGCTAAGGTTGGTGACGTTGTGGTGTACGAAATCCAAGGAAAATCTATTCCTATCGTTCACCGTGTATTGAGAGAACATCATAATGAAAACAAGCAATTCTTATTGACTAAGGGTGACAATAATCCAGTAGATGATTTGAACTTGTACGCAAAGAAACAAGCTTATTTGGACCAATCCAAAGACCTTGTTGGTACTGTAAAGGGGTACCTCCCAAAGGTAGGGTACGTTACAATTTTGATTACGGAAAACAATTACTTTAAGTACGGGTTATTGGGAATAATGGGTATTTCAAGTTTACTTTCTAGTGATTGAAATATCACATGTTAAATTGTTTAGAGTATTTAAAAGCTAAGCTAGTTTAAATGTATAAAGAGATCACGATTGACTATTTGTAAGAACTAATTATAACCTTATGTATTCATTATTTATTCTGAAAGAAACACTATAATAAAAAAAATAGTTAGCAAGAACAACGTTCAAGCAAAAAAAGATGCCTTCAGCCAGATTCGAACTGACGATCTCCTCATTACTAGTGAGGTGCCTTACCAACTTGGCCATAAAGGCTGGAAATGGACGACCTCGGTGAGGGTCGAACTCACGATCTCAAGATTAACAGTCTTACGCCTTAACCAGCTTGGCCACGAAGTCCTTTCCATATTGTTGAAAATTTTTCATTTTGCTTTGCTAATTTGAAATAATACCAGTTTTGGGCAATTTTGGCCGCGCACGACCTTATTGACTTAATCTTCTTGGATGCAACTAAATTCATTTTAGGCTAATTCAAACATTTCAAGGGTCGAAATTGAAGTAATATATAGTAGCTTATGAAGACATATCCATAATGTTCCAATTGAGTAAAAATAATGTGAAAAGTTTTACAATGTTTGAATTTTGACGTAATAATGATAGATATTTTATAAATAATATATAAATACTCAGCTACCAAATTTTGGAAGTCATGTATTCTTCATTTATCACATAAGAACGTGGAGTATCTTGTAAGATCAATCTTTCTATGTTCCAGTACATTTAACTTACCTACGGTTAAATTGGGATGTTTATAGTGAGATGAAAAAAAAAACAACAGACAACATTACAATACAATTTCTAGTGTGAAACTTTCAATGCAAAATGGTAAGAGGGACTTCAAAAAGAGAACCTTTACAAAATGAGGCGATACTTTTAGGTATGAATATATCGAGACTTTACGAGATTTAGCTAGTATATATTCCAGGTATCTAATTCCTTCTGATTATTATTAGATCGGTTTTTATCCACTCTCCTCAATTAGGTAGTATCATACCCCAAAGGTTCATTATATATATATATATATATGTACATGGATAATACATCTCAGAACTACAACCGCAGGTAGTACTATGATTGCGGTTTTTGCAGCCAAAACATACCTTTAAGCAAATTTTTCTTTTTCTCTATTTTTTTATCGAAACAAATTTTATTTTCAAAACTATCCAAAAGAGAACATTTTAAACTAGCTCGACTGAATTGCCAACTGTTGTTGGGGGCCCTATATTCAGATTATGAATACTTAATAATGTGTCAGTTTCCTCAATTCTTATACTCGCACGAACAAAAGACATTCATTTTTTTGTGCGAATATGAAACCTGACCACTTTAAATATACTTCCTTATTACAAATGTATGGGAGACGATGTTTAATCACAGGCGCATCCCAAGGTCTAGGATATGCTTTATCACATAAATTGGCTCTTATGGGAGCATCAGTGACGCTTGTAGCGAGAAATGAAGATAAGTTGATCCGAAACCTTGAAACCTTACCTACAAGTGAAACCCAATCTCATTCGATAGTGCCATATGATCTTAATAATCTATTGCCAGACATGGCTCAAGAATCCAACAAAAACTACCTTAAATTGGTAGACTCTCTAAAGGAGATCTCTGTCTTGATTAATTGTGCTGGAATCACCACTCATAGTTTGCTACCTAAATTAAAGCCTGCAACTATTGCATCTACCATAAATTTAAATTTAACAGCTCCAATCCTTCTTAGTCAATTATCATATAGACATATGCTCAAGAAGCGTACCGCTAACAAACCAGTAATTGTCAATATCTCATCTGTACTCTCGTGTACCGGCACCACACTACCAGGTACAGCGGTTTACGCAGCCCTGAAAGCAGGTCTTGTCGGGTTCACAACATCCTTAGCTACAGAAATGCGTGGGAAAGTTAGAGTTAATGCAATTTTACCAGGATTAATTAGTGAAACAAGCATGGGTGCCGAGGTTAACAGAGATTTGGGTCTTTCACAAGTATCTTTGGAAGACGTTACCGATGCAACCGTTGATACAATATTGAATGAAGAATTGAATGGTGAATGTATTATTGTTGATCAAGATGGTCAAAGGTTATTTAAATTCAAGTGAAAAGGAATCTTTTACAGGTATATACACACATATTTAATGAAAACGATTAACGGGATTCGTCAGCCAGTGATTGTGTATCGGTTAAATTTACTACAAATGGACGACTATCGGACAAAGCATCAATAAGTGCCTTATAAATTGAAGCCACTGAATGTGACCAAAACCGAGGTCTATCTCCATAGTAACTCTTGTAGCAGAATACAGCCAATTTCTTGTACACTTCATTGCCATTTCCAGTGTCGCTGAGCCAGAATAGAAACTCATCGAACTCAACGTTACTATTTTTATGCCGAGGCCGTTTTTTTTGAACAATGGACTGTAATTGAGCAAGGAAGGAACTAGTCATCTCTAAATCCATATCTTGGAAGTGCTCTTTTAATTCTTCTTCAAGAAAATAACTTCGGAGTATAATGATAGACTGATACATTGACAAGATTCGTGATTTCCTAAATTTAGACGAAGTGTCATCTCCAATTGAGTTAGCTACTTTCAATGCATTCTTCGATACTTTAATCAACCCAGTAAAGATTTCGTCATTTCCAGGAAGGAAGGAGTTGAATACACACCCAGATGGTGAGAATCCTAACCATGTTCGGACATAATGCTTGCAAGATGTATAAAGTTCATCGATACTTTTCCCCTTCTCTAGTGAGGAAGTACTATATTCTAATCTATGTCGGTATTTATGAATGATACGACTAAGAATGTTTATCAAGATATTGTTAACCATCTTATTTTGAGGGCAATTTCGAATGATATTATAGATAAGCAATTGTACTTTATGATCATCCATGGCTTTACTTAAGGGTAGACCTTCGAGAATTAAGGCATCGTACGTTGAATTTACTTCCAGGCTGGAATAAGTCAGTTTGAAACCCAAATCTTCAATGAAAGCCCTCCAATAACCAGACTGAATGTACGAATAGAAGATGCGTTGTGATGGCAAAAGAGTTTGGAATGGGTCGTTAGTTGATATCTCCTTATACCAAAATTCATGGAAAAATGTACCAGCAATTGCTCGAAATTGTGGGGCTCTTGTCAGCTCTTCCACCAACCAGTGGATCAAAACTGGGATAAGGGTATAGAATAGCAAATCCAGGTAGAATACTAGCAAATGGATAACATATCCTACGATCAAGTCCGACCTATTTGGCGTTGTCACATGTAGTGGTTCCATCTCCAACCATTTATCAATATCGTCCAGGAACTCATTGTCTGTTTCCAAGTTCTTATCAAATAATAAAGAGTTACTGAGTTTATAGTGCGACGTCTTAGTATACTGAGCAATAGACTCACCAATCTTGAAAGCACATAGAGTTGAGAGCAGAGCAGGGGCCCGTTCAGATCCAGAAGATGAGTGTTGTTCTGAATGTGCGATGATCGAATTGATAATGGTTTTGAAAATCTGGAACAATTCCTTATATGATTGGAATAATTCAGGAGAAATGAAGGGTTTTAAAGAGTAAATTCGATCTTGTGACGTTTTAGGATGTAATCTTTCCGGATATGGATTAGGAACTGTATTGACAAATGATTCATATTGATCAAAATCAAAGTCTAAGATAGATGGGAAACTGGTATATTGTTCATTTAAAGTGTGGATTTTTGACACAAGTGGCCTTACAATTCTTTTACATTTGGAAATAGTCCACAACTCCACAGAAGACAGCTTAGCCATATGCGTAACCTCCAGTTCTAGTGTACTTATATATGTATGTTTTCCTTGCTTGTTTTTCTATTTTGTGTTGGGAACTACATATCTTGAATTTCGTTTTGATCCCGCGATCAAATCTGTACTGTTCGCATGTACGAGTTGAAAACGAAAGAGTTTATCAAAATCTGATATCCCTATATTTCATTACATTGCCTTCACTATGATTTTCAATGGTGTAGCATTGACTACATTGGCTTCTATTGTCATTACTGGGGTTTCTTCCGAAATAATTGGGGTACACCCTTCTCGTCAACACCTTTATGAACCAACCATAGTGAATGGGGAACAAGTTTGGAAATGTCTTGGGGACCCTTCAATAGTGTTGGACTACAGCCAGATTAATGACGATTTTTGTGACTGTCCCGATGGGTCAGACGAACCGGGCACCAATGCATGTCCGTACTCAGCCGATAGAGAACCGTTTTATTGCGAAAACAAAGGACACATTTCTGGATACATTGACCATTTCAAATTAAATGATGGTGTTTGTGACTATGAGTATTGTTGTGATGGATCAGATGAATATGCCAATGAATCATTGTGTCCAAATAAATGTAAAGAAATTCATGATCAATTTGAAAAATACAAACAGAATTCAAAAGATGAAATTCAAAAGTCTTTGGACGTCAAGAAACAATTAGTGCAAGAGTCTACCGATGTTAGAGAAAATCTTGAGAAATCAGCTTTAATTCTTAAGAATGTATTGGCAGAGGATGAAAAAACTTTGTCAGAACTCAAATCAAGACTTGAAAATCTAGTCGTTGATTCGCCAGAAACAGAGGTAGATGAAGAACAGGGCCATATCAATTTCGATCCACAATTTGCAAAGATATCATTATATATTCAATCACAGAAGCAAATTATAGATAAGCAAAAGGAAAAGGCACAAAAGTTGGCAGCTATGTTGGAAAATTTAGTAAACAATTATAACCCAAATTTCAATGATGCTGCAGTAAAGGAAGCTGTGCGTAACTATCAAAACTTTGCTTCTAATGACGATGGTACTGAAGATCAACTTGAATCTCAAATACATGAAGATGCCGACTCTGTATTGAATGAATTGAGAGAACAAGTTCAAATTCAACCACCAGTGGCCAGCACCAGTCCAACACAAGCACCACTTATCGTTGTCCCATCATTCCAAAATATGGTTCATTACTATTATGATAGAGTGATAAATAATTTCTTGAATGCCCCAAAGCCACCAAGTGATAAACAAGAATCCCCATCTAAAGAAAAGAATCTGAAACCAACTAAAAGGGTCAATTCTGAAGAAGCTTCGATTCTTTCAGCCGATATCAGTGGTATTGAATTGGAAATAAATGCCAAGAAAGCAGAGCTTTCTATTGTTGAAGAGGATCTTCAAACGAATTACGGGGAACAAGACATCCTCCGTTCTGTGAGAGGTAAATGGGTAGCAAATAAATTGGGTGAATACCGTTACAATTTGGGCTTTTTCGAAGCCATATACCAAGAGGGACACGGGAACAACGTCCTTATTGGTAAATTCTCTTCAATTGATGCCAACAATCGTTTGGTTTATCAAAGGGGTGAAAAATGTTGGAATGGACCCCATAGATCGGCCGTAGTTGAACTTTTATGTGGTCCAACTACCAAACTTTTATCAGTTAGTGAACCTGAAAAATGTGAATATTACTTCCAACTCATGACTCCTATTGTGTGTCAAGAAACTAGCGAGGACGAATTGATCAGTGGATTCAAAATAGACTACGATAAATTGTAATGATAATGATTATTTTAAATATGTATAGGATTTCTAAATAAACATAAAGTTAGTTTAATCAAATGTAATCTTTTTACCGGTAAACTTGACGTTTTTAAGTTTCTCTTCTGCCAATCTCTTGGCTTCCCAAGATGGATGTTCCTTTTTCTCAGGAATAGCTTGTGGAGCTGGCAGGGCAGTAGACGTGGAATCAGAAGTTCTTGGCTTTCTTTCTCCAAGTGGTGCAACATTCGATCCAGAAGGAGCATTTTCCACTGCCAATCTTGCCTTTTCTTCTCTCTTACGACATCTTTCTTCGTAATCCTTTTGTCTTTGTTCACGTTCAGATGCATATCGTATTTGTTCTTGTTTAACATGCTTGGCTTCCTTCCCGTATTTCTTTTCCCACAACTTTTGTCTAGCTCTTTGACCTCTTCTATTCTTTCTTTGTGTAACAGCAGCCTTCACCACTTCATCGTTATCCACGTCATCAGAGTCAGAGTCACCCCCCGAGAAATATCCACTAGCTAAATCAGGTAAGGCAAGCTTCTTAGATTCTTTCTTTTCCTTTTTGGATGTCTTTTTTTCGTTTTCTTCAAAGAAATCATCTTCAGATTCGTCATCATCAGATTCTTCATCTGCTGAAGCTTCTTCATCGGTAACTTCATTATAATTCACATTTGGATCTATGGCAAATTGTGCGTCACCTTCAGCTTCTGGATCAGAATTCTCATAAATTGCAAATCTGTCAAGATCCTCTTCAGTCATTTCTACATCTTGCTCAATTGCTTCATCATCAGAATCATCATCACTATCATCATCACTACCTGGTGCATTTTCATTTTCTTCCTCATCAACGTCCTTACCAGTTTGAGATTTTCTCAAATCCTTTTCTTGCTTGGACAAGTTACCTCTTACCACCTTGAAAGACCATTCTATTTCTCCTAAAAGTGGTTTAACTGTCTTGTTGTTCCAAAGATTAGAGATATATTTGTTCAAAGTCTTGTTATTCTGACAAGTATCTATAAAGAAACGAGATGGATGTGCCTTGTTATTCTTGTCTTTAATGATAGTTCTGACTTCTTCTGAAATGAATTTAGGTGGAGTCTCCTTAAGTTCCTTAGTGGTTAATATACTTGTTATCACACTTTTAACAAGTTTAGATGTCAACATATTTTGGATATTTTCTTCATTGGAAACAAAGTCTTTCACTTCAGTTTCATTTTCTTTACTCTTGATGATACGTAAGACTTCTTTCTCCAACTTCTTGTGTGCTCCATAGTATTTTCTTCCGAAATAGTCCTGTTTTAACGCAGCAATTTGTTGTTCAGCTTCAGCTCTAGTGCTTGGAAGTTTCTTCAACAACTTTGAGTTGTTTTTAGCATGAAGAAGTTTCTTTGTGTGGGGAAAACGTGGGTGTGCAGAGGTGAACTTTGCCTCAAGCAAGTCCAACTTCCACATGTCATTACTTTGCTTCATTTTTGTCCCTGAATTGTGTATATGATAGAGGCAGAGAAGGGATCTTCCAAATGATGATGTCTCTCTTTTGTAAAAAAAAAAAAAAAAAAAAAAATATGTCTTGAGATGCATCCGATGCGCAATGGGAATCAACCACAAATACACAATCGATAGCCAACTATTAATCGAGGAGATACGATATTAATGACCACTACACATACACCCGAGCCAGAACCTCCGGCAATCAAGAAACAAAAGTTGGAGAATACTTCAGAACAATGTGCCTTCTACTTGGCGAAAAAGAAAAGAACATGTCGAATGCAACGTAAGGCTGGAAATATGTATTGTTCAGAACATATGATCCAATCCAAGGACAGTACACCTGAAGTTTCCTCCAAGGGAGAGCGTGTCCCATGCCCGAAAGACCCAAGACATACAGTTTGGTCCAATGACGTTGAAAGACATCTTAAACGTTGTAAAAAAGTGGTGCAAAAGGAAGACCTTTGGTTTCATCAAGATTTCAATGTGACATTGCAAGACTCTAAATTAGAAAAGACTAAGGTAAACGAGGAAAATTCTACAGAAATCAATAAGAAGGATCTCTTACACTCTTGTATTGAAGAATTAAGGAAACATAATACATACCCACCATTGGAATTGAATGTACATGAACATCCTGGATTAAATAATAGATTGGAACAAGTACAACAGAAGAAACATCCTATTCAACAATCTTCCCTTATAGGGAACCTTAAATCCAATAATCTTTTGGGATTGGGTCATCGATATATAGAGTTTGGTTGTGGGAAGGCAGAATTATCAAGATTTGTAAATTTATCAATCTTGGAAGATTTGAAAAATAACAGTGATACTAATTCAATTGAGACACCCTACGGGTTTGGGTTTATTGATAGAGGAGTAAACCGTATGAAAATGGACCCCAAGATTCTCTTGGACGTCAGTGAGTTCCTGCAAATGAAAGTGACACCACCTACCATTGTTCGTACAAGAATAGATATTAAGGATTTACATCTTGATACGTTCTTGGAACAATTCCCTACAAATGACACTGGCATTGTATGCATTTCCAAACATTTATGTGGCGCAGCTACAGATTTAACTCTTAAACTGTTGTTAAATTCTCAAATTTTTGCAACCAAAAAATTTTCAGGATTACTTGTTGCCATGTGTTGTAGACATGTTTGTCTGTATGAACAACTTCTCCCACATTCAAGAGAATTCCTTGCCCAAAGAGGATTTAAAGATGAGAATACATTTGCTGTATTGAAGAAAATTGCATCGTGGGCTGTATGTGGTAGACCTGAAGGAATGGGTGATGATGATGGAAAGGACCATACCAGTGGACTTTCTTATAGTCAACGTGAAGAATTGGGACAACAGGCTAGAAGACTCATTGATGAAAGTAGAGTTTATGCATTAAAACATAGTTTACCATCAACATATGAAATCAAAATCAATTGGTATGTTCCAAAGGATATAACGTTGGAAAATGTTACGTTAAGCATTCTTCCTCAATGATACACTGGAGCTCTCATTTCTACATCAATAAATACAATGTAATAATATAAGTATATTTCAGAATTAAAAGTATTTAGACCTTTTCTTGCTTGATACCGTGCTTCCAGATAGCAACGTATGGAGTGGTACCGTCTTCACGGTAGTTCAACAAAACAACCATTCCATCTGGGTCCATGGATTCACCAGTGTAGAAGTCCCAGTCACCGAAAGAAGAGATAACCTTCTTGGCGTAAGCAGCGGCACCCTTTTCGAAGATTTCAACTTGTTCTGGGTCGTTTTCGGCCAAGTGAGCCTTAACTTGCTTCATGTAACCCTTAAGGTAAGTCAAGAAAGACTTCTTGTCGAATTGGGTTTGTTGTAATCTGAAAGAGTAAACAACGTTGTTAACGGTTTCCTTACCGTCTTCAAGGTCTTCACCAGCTTCTTCAGCAGAAGCGTTGGCACCAATGTCAACGTCATCACCACCAACGGTGACCATGTGACAGTCAGCTTCGTAGATAACGTTGTCAACGGTCTTGACGTCGTAAGCGTCGGACAACAATTCGTCACCGGAAAGAATATCTCTGAAAATAATCATTTTAATTAATCGTTATGTGGTATTTTTAAAAACAATGTACAAACTTTTGATCAATTTTCAATGATTTCCATCGATTTTATAATAAATTTTTTTTTTCTTCATCTTTTGGATGAGGCCACGTGACAGTTGAGATTACCCGGATACCGGGTTCTAGACTTCCCTATACGGTAATAGAGTCCATATATATACTGCAGGTAACGATTTTTATCAAAATTTTTTTCTTAATTTTTTCAATGTTTTTTTTTTATTCCATTAATGTGTCTTTTTTTTTTTCCTTAAAATTTAGTTGCAAAAAACAACGTTGAGGGGGGTTGCTTGCTAAATATAATTTTAATATTACAATTATATGAACTCTATATAATACATATTATTTCTGTTCTTTCAACTTAAATATACTCACCTTCAAATGCTCTCTTAAGCCAGGTGAGGAGTCTATCGTAAACCACAACCCCACCATTATGGTAGGTAATAGAATGATCTGAATCTGGGAAAATGTAGAAATCAAAGTTTTCAATTGTTGCTAAGTTGAATTCATCAATAAGTTTCAAACTATTTTGGAAATGTACATTATCATCTCCAGATCCATGTGCAATCATAAATCTAGTAACGTTGTGGAAGTTGGATAAATCATGAATAGATGCGGTTTCGTAACCCTTGGGGTTCTCTTGTGGAGTTCTCATATATCTTTCAGTATAAATAGAATCATACAATTTCCATTTAGTCACTGGAGCCACTGACATACCATAAGAAAATACATGTTCTTCAGAGTCAGTTTCTAAAGTTTTCAATGTCAAAAATCCACCGTATGACCACCCCCAAATTGCAATTCTATTTGAGTCAACATAATCTCTTTTACTCCAGTTCTTCGCAGCGGAAATTTGATCTCTTGGTTCATAATATCCCAATTGATCACGAACACAGAACTTGAAGTCGGCACCCAATTTCTCATTGAGATTATTGAATCCAGTACCTCTACCATCAACAGTGACAACAACAGCATCTAATTCAGCTGCCACCACTTCACTAAATCCGACTCCAAAGGTGGTACTAACCATTTGAGAACCTGGTCCTCCATAGACAAAGAACAAGACAGGATACTTCTTGGATGGGTCGAAATTTAATGGTAAAGTTTCCATTGCGTTGGCCTTAATTTCTTCTCCAGTTTCTTCATCAGTTGCCAAAGTAATAACTTGATAGTTGGTTTCTGGGATGTTATATCCTTCCAAGTTTTCAATCAATTGTTTGTTTTCTTCAATGATTGTAGACGAGGAAGCGTCTGATAAGTTATGTAAATCAATAAGTTTTTGATATGGGGTTGAAGGCCCTTGGTAATCTAATAATAAATATCTTGAACCTGAAGAAAACGACCCACTATACCAACCTTCTTGAGAAACATCGGTAACGTTACGAATGATTGTTTCTGAAGTACTGGAAGCAGCTTCAGCTAAATTGACAGAATAAATATGTCTTTCAATGGAAGATTTTTTGGTTCCAATAAAATAAACTTCATTATTGACATAATCAAGAGATGAAACACCTTCAATTACTTCCCATTGACCTTGAGTCAAGATAATACCATTAGGGTTTTGTGGTGGACTGAAGTAGGCCAAATGGTTATATCCATCAATGACAATTGTATCAATGTAACCATCTTCACGGCGGCCCTGAGTTTCATTTTTAGGAACATATATGGTATTTGAGGTGATTTCAAACCAAGAATTCTCGGCAGTATGACTACGAATAAGTTGGGCATCATTTGTTTTCGCTTCAATCAAAAAGATATCCAAAATATCACTGGCTCTATTTGAAGTTTTAACTAAAAGATATTCTTCAGAAACCCAAACAACTTCAGTGATTAATCTATCTTGCACAGAACTAGCTTTAAAGTCAGAAACATTCATTTCTGAAGAAGATTGAGCAGTAGTTTTCAAATCATAAATAATCAAATCAACAATAGGATTAGGATAACCTGCCTTTGGATATTTGATCTTTCTAATTTCGGGGTAGTCTTGATACTTTGATTCATCCTGAACAAAGTAAGGAAGAACATACTCTGGGACAAAAGTATCATTAGTCTTCAAAAATGCAACTTTATCTCCAGTTGGAGACCACCAAAGAGCAATGTCAGTACCAAACACTTCTTCTTCATAGACCCAATCTGGTTTACCATAGAATAATTCTGCACCACCATCGAAAGTTACTTGTTCAGTTTTGGAGGTATGAATGTCCTTAATGTAAACGTTATTTTCGTAAATGTAGGCAATATTGGTAGAGGAAGGAGACCAGCTCGTGGTGGCAATCTTTTCCTTAGTATCACGAAGTGGAGTGATGGTGTTTGCGGAAACATCTAATACCCAATAGAGAGCAAATGTAGAGTGTCTCCAATTATGAGTAGAATTTGTCTTGAGGATTGCTTTTGAAAGATCTGGCGAAGCGACAAGTTGATCGATAGAATATTCAACGTTCCCATAGACAAAAGAAGTATCATTGAAAAGATTGTATTGATAAGAATCATCTTCAATAGACTTGATAACGTATTGAGTAGCGTTATGGAACTCATTTTCACTCTTCAATACATATGTACCTTTATCATTCAAGATTGAATTAGGTTCCTTGATCCATTGTAATTGTTGATGGTTTGGTCTAAACTTTGCAGATCTAACCGCGTCAAAATCAAGGGGTTTCTTACCATTTTTATCCACCTGATGAGATTTCAGATTCTTGTTTGCTCTAAATTTTTGAAGTAAATCAGGGGAATTTTGTTGAAGAAGGAAATTTAATTTATCGGTGGCAGTTGTCTGTCTGAGATACGCAACCGAAGTAATAAGAGAGGTTGACCCCCATAAGATTATACAAAGGAGAACTCCTAGAAAAGCAATTTGTCTGAAGTAAGTCCTTCTTCTAGGACCCATACTTCCGCCGTCAAAGTCTGCCTTTTCAGACAAGGTATGAAGCATGTTTTTATTTAAAGGACGTGAGGAGAATTCCACTTATTTCTGTCTATTCAAGTATTTAGAAATAAGGAATATTCTTCAAGGAAAAAAAAAAGTACACTATCAAAGTAGAGGAAGGAAAGGGAATATATATATATATATATGAATTGCCATTTTAGTTCAGCCAGGTCATGTCGCATTATCTTATCCCACACAAAAAATATTGAAATTGAGGCATAATTACACAATATGACATAAAATCGCTTATGTAAGCACACAAGCCTTCTAGATACACGGACATTTTTTTGAAAGCCACATAAACGATGGGCTATAATGAAAGAAATTGAGAAATTGAATTGGAGGTGTTGCATTTGATAATAGATACACTGATAAATAAAGTAACACACTAATTCATAATATTAAATGTAGAAAGATTTTTTTTTTTTAAGCAAGGCATACTCAAGTTGAGTTCTAGATTAGTAAATATGTGAAACATGTAATGTGGAGAAAATTCATTTACTTGTTAGGCAGAAAAGTACATTAAATAATGAAGAAAAATAAAAACAAACAGTCATAAACTGTACAATGTATTGAAAAAAAAAGTAGAGTAATGAGAGTGAAATTAATAAAATACCAAAAAATAAAACCGTTGTGGTATAACTTTAATAAGCGGTATTCCATACATTAAACATTCTCAAACATTCCTGTTCAACTCAAATTTAAGTTTTGACAGAATATTGAACAATTTTGAGATCTACCAACCACATGGATTGATTCTAAACTCCGCGAAGAAATACCAAGTGTTTAGTATAAGCATTGAGCATAATAGGTTGCCAAGAAGAAACAGCTTCACTCTGAATTTCTATTAATACTCTTTCTGCCTGTATTTTTACGAATAAATTATAACATGCAACTATCATGGAATATCGTTTGAAATTCCTCTAAAATTCCACCAAGGATTATTGGTAAATTTAGATACTATCTTTCTACGCTTCCTACACAATTTGACAAACACAACACCAGAAAATAAAAATTATTTGGTACTAAATCTGTCCGTATAGTATTCGTTTGTCAATCTCCTTTTTGAAGATCTGTGTCTCTCTTAATTCTCTTTTTCCATGTTCTCTATTTTTTTTTTTTTTTGCAACATCTAAATTCCTTCAGATTGGCGCAGCATTCCTAATTCGGCACAAACATAAATATTCCACAAAGGCTCTAATTGTGATATCAAACAAAGGGAAAAGTTATCACTCCTACATTACTGATTACAAAACTTAATTGGACATTGCTTTAAATAACCAATAAACCAACTATCCTTTTACACACCTACTATATTTTACTACCTTCCTAAAGAATACAGCTTGACCCAATATGTCGTCTCGAATGGGAAATTTTTTCAACAGATCACCTAAACATTCACTGAATATGGACATCTCGGATGTGTCGCAATCCATGGAGAACATTTCCTTGAACAGTAGTGCCATGGAAGTAGACTCATACAGAGAGTCTGCATACCCTGCGGTGCCACAACTCAGACAATATGAAAACAACCGCAATAAGGAAAATATAACTCCTACTAGTTCTCCCACCAAATCAATCTTACACAATTCCCCCACACATAATAATAACCTATACACTGGGAATAGTTATATTCCTAGAACTCCTAACCAGCCACCAAAGGCTCCACAATACTTACAGCAACAGTACCAGCAACATCCAGCACCTCCACCCCCACCCCCACAACTGAAATTCGATGAAGAGTTCTATAGAAAGGCCAATGATCCGAAAACTAAAAGATTAGCATCAGTTGCTCAACTTTATTTCTTAGATTATTATTGTGATATGTTTGATTATGTCATTAATAGAAGGGAAAGAACTAAACTTGTTCAACATGAATTATCAAGTGCTCAATACATCAATGATCCTCAAAGTCAACAATTAGAATGGAAAAGTTATATTGGTAGAGAGAGAGCTCTTCTTAGGAAAAGAAGATTAAAGCCAAAACATAAGGATTTCCAAATGATTACTCAAGTTGGACAAGGTGGATATGGTCAGGTTTTCCTTGCTCGTAAGAAGGATACAAGGGAAATATGTGCTCTTAAGATATTGAATAAGAAATTATTGATGAAATTAGATGAAACAAGACATGTTTTAACTGAAAGAGATATTTTGACCAATACTAGGCTGGAATGGCTTGTTAGATTATTATATGCCTTCCAAGACCCAGAAAAGGTATTTTTGGCGATGGAATTTGTCCCCGGTGGTGATTTCAGAACTTTATTAAATAATACTGGTTATTTAATTCCTCCTCATGCAAGATTTTATATTAGTGAAATGTTTGCAGCAGTTAATTCATTACATGAATTAGGATTTACTCATAGAGATTTAAAACCAGAAAATTTCTTAATTGATTCAAAGGGACATATTAAACTTACAGATTTCGGATTAGCTGCTGGAACTGTAAGTAATGATAGAATTGAAAGTATGAGAATTAAATTACAAAATTTAGAAGATTTAGATAATTATAAAGTTCCATCAATTTCAATGGTGGAAAGACAAAAAATTTTCCGTCAATCACAACTTGGTGTTGGTGGACATAGAAACCTTGCCAATTCCATTGTTGGACTGCCTGATTATATGGCCTTGGAAGTGCTTGAAGGTAAGAATTATGATTACACGATTGATTATTGGTCGTTGGGATGTATGTTATTTGAAGCCTTGTGTGGATATCCACCATTTTCTGGAGGTAAACAAGATGAAACATATCATAATTTGAAGAATTGGAAAACTGCATTAAGAAGACCTCAAACTAAAGATGGGAGATTTGTATTTAGTGATAGAACTTGGAATTTGATCACCAAATTGATTGCATCACCATCTTCTAGATTGAGAAGCTTTAAACAAATTCAAAACACTCCATATTTCAGCGACATACACGATTGGGAAAGAATGAGAGAAAAGACTCCACCATTTACACCTCAATTGGATAATGAGGAAGATGCTGGATATTTTGATGATTTTGAAGATGAAGAAAGTATGCAAAAGTACAAGGATGTATTTGCTAGACAAGAACACAATGAACAACTTTTAGAAAAGGGAGGACAGAAATTAGGTGGAGCTAATAACTTTATTGGATTTACTTTCAAACATAAGTTGAATCCAAACAATAAACTTCAAGGAGAGATCAATTTATTGAACTTAGGATCGAATAGATTGGATCCATTAGCGACTTTGTATTAGAATAAAGAAATGTATAACGAAGAAAATATAAATGTAGGACACACAAATTAAATGAGGTGAGAGGGAGGAACTACTCTTCACTACAGAATACATATATATATATATTTAATTTGTAGTATTTAGTATTATAATGTACAGAGATAGGATATATATGTATATATGTAAATTTTATTATTTCCAAACAAAGTCCTTGGTAATCTTGTCAACAATGGCAGGTCTTTGATAAGATTTATGAACCTTTTCACATTCACGACTGGCCTCATCTATGGCCAAGTAGAGCTGTTGTTCCGAGAAGGAACCCTGTGATTCTACAAGAAGCAATCTGTCTGCCTGTTGGTCTTTTATGTCGTAAGATATAACGTGATGAGACTTACTATGCAAAAGTTGATCTATGGTTGGATTCACAATGAAATCTGAAGATCCTGGGGCAAGACATAAGGAAACAGATGCAAAGGAGTTGTGAAGGGCGACATTAGCGTCGATTAATGCAAAATAGCAACAGTTAATTGCGGCGTTAAGTTCACTTGAAGTTAAATCTTTTGAATGAACATCTGATGAAAAATCGCTATCTGAGGTCAAAAATTGCACTACAATTTGAATAAGTTGTCTAGGATACTTGTGTCTGATGATGACGGATTGAAGCAACGAGCGAAGCTTGTCTTCCAACAACTTTTCTCTGGTCAGCGCGACACCGGTAGCTGGTCTAACAATTATTTCAAGCGATGCCAATGTGGGAAGTTCTTGTCTAGCCTTTCCTTCGATGGGTCCTGTGACGGAACTAACTACCTTGATGGGACCCAAGACAAGTTGAGCAGAGCCATCGACACGAGTGAGCACTGAGGTGGATGGGGTGAAGGTCATTTGTTCTATAAAGGAGGAGGATGGGACCTATTATTGATGGTATTTAGTGGTTAGATATAGATTTTTTTTGTGAGCTCTTCCGCTTTCTGATAATGTAGCAAAGGGCAAAAAAAAAAAAAAATTAAAATAAAAACCAAAAAAGGTTTCTAAATACAACAGGACTACATGAAGGAAGAGTTTACGTAAAGCTACAAACTATCTTTATTTGGGTCATATAGAAATATGGATGAAGACTTGGAAAGTGCTCTTTTAGCCGATTTCGGCAGTGACGAAGATGAGAGTCAAGAAGAGATGGAAGTAACAGAGGAAGTTACGGTTGAGGATAAAGAGATGGACCAAGAAGTTCCAAAGACAAATGGTCACCAATCTAATCAAGAATTTAAGCATGAATCAATTGATGATGCTACTAAATTAGATATACTTCTCAAGGGAGTAAATGAAAAGAAAACCATTGAAAAAATCTTGGGAAAATTCGATATTACCACGATATATGATGTCACAAAGGATTCAAAAATTGCTCCTCTTATTCCATACTTGCAAGGACAAATAGCCAAATATTCGAGTGAAGAGGAGAGTGATTACCATAACTTATTAGCTTCTATAAGTCAAGATGGTCAATCCAGTGAAGAATACTCGTTCATCTTGAAGGTGAATGACATCACACAAGTGATTAACGATGAAATAGCAGCCATTGACTCGTTTATCAAGATGCATTATAAAGTTGTGTTTTCAGAATTAGAATCATTGGTGGCAAATGCAGTAGATTATGCCAGTATAGTTCTTGTCTTGAAACAGAATTTAAATGATGTTGGACGATACCAAGACGATTTGAAACGCATAGTTTCCAATGAAAAGGTATTGGTGATCACCATGTCAGCATTGCAGCAACAAAAATCTCAACATTTTGAATTGGATGAATATGATTTTAACATGATTTGTAAAGCATGTGGATTAATTTTACAATTGAATTCAATTCAACGTGAATTATCTCAATTCACATCATCTAAACTCTCAAAATTTGCACCCAATGTTTGTGCCATTGTTGGTCCAATCACATCAGCACAACTCTTGACGGCTGCAGGTTCATTGAGACAACTCTCAATAACTCCCTCATGTAACTTACCATCGTTAGGAATTCGAGACTTGTCATCTGAAAGAGACAATTTGGTTGCAAAATCTCGGAATGTAAGACAAACAGGATATTTGTTCCATAGTGATTTAGTGAAACATCTCCCGGAAGATGTAATGAAACCAGCAATGAGAATGATTAGTGGGAAAGTTGTATTAGCTGCTAGAATAGATCTTGCACAATCGTGCGCTTCTGGAAGTATTGGATCAAAATATTTGGAAGAAATCAACAAAAAGATCGATAAATTACTCACACCTCCAGAGAATCAAGCTGATAAGGCATTACCTATCCCAATTGAGCAGAAATCTAAAAAGAGAGCGGGTAGAAGGTTCAGAAAGATGAAACAACGGTTTGAGATGTCTGACCTTCGGAAGGCACAGAATAAAATGGCATTTGGACAACAAGAAGATTCTATTATGGATAGTTTTGGAGAAGAAATTGGACTTGGAATGAGTAGAGGAGGTCAAGGAACTCTAAATGTAAAGATGAATACCAATACAAATGCGAAAATGTCAAAGGGAATGGCTGCAAGACTCAAGACAAATAATACAAGGGAAGATATAGAAAGTCTTGTTTTTGCAAGACCTTCACAGTCACCAATAGAGACTACCACAATTACTAGGCCAATAAATACAAAGGAAACACATAATGAGTCAAAGTGGTTTACCGGAATGAAAAGGAAAAGGGAAGAAAATGAATGAGTCAAAGACAAAACAAACAAAATAGATTACAACATGAGTCATACAAAAAAAAAGTAATGTAAGACCGATTTATAGAAATATGTGGATTAGATAGATAAACGTGATTTAAAACCTTGTCTCTCTAAATTTCAATAGATTACTCATTAAACATAGTGTGTTACATTAGTTTCACCTGAGCGCATGAGTCAACCATATGGCTATAAATAACACAAAATCGGGGGTTTGAAAAAAAAGTGTAGGAATTTTTTTTTTGAGGTTTAAGAGGAAAGCTACAAAAAAAAAAAGTTTTGACCAGTTGTTGCATGCAATTAGGTAGAATCTGGCTAAGGAATCACACGCTTCTCAGAGTATATCAACGTCCTGTAGTGTTTAAAAGACAGTTCGCTAAAATGAGTGAAGTCACAAATAAGATTGAACAACAGGCTCAGCAACCAGCTGCCGCTGGTGCTGCTCCTGCTGCTGCTGCTGTTGGTGCCACCGCTGATGGTGCTCCAGTCAAGGAAAAGACCGCCAAGGAACTTGAAAAGGAACGTAAGAAGGCCGAAAAGTTGGCCAAGTTCAATGCCAAGAAGGCAAAGAAGGAGGCTGCTCCAGCTGCAGCTCCAAAGCCAAAGAAGGAAAAGAAGGTTGCCGAACCAGTCCCAGAATTCATTGATGAGACTAAGGCTGGTGACAAGAAGATTTTGGTTTCTCTTGAAGAGCCAGCCTTCAAGGCCTACAGTCCTAAGAACGTTGAATCTTCTTGGTACTCCTGGTGGGAAAAGGAAAACTTGTTTGCTCCAGAATTCACTGAATCTGGTGACATCAAGCCAGAAGGTTGTTTCAGTATTCCAGCTCCTCCACCAAATGTCACTGGTGCCTTGCATATTGGACATGCATTGACCATTTCTATTCAAGATTCCTTGATCAGATACAACAGAATGAAGGGGAAGACCACCTTGTTCCTTCCAGGTTTCGACCACGCCGGTATTGCTACTCAGAGTGTTGTTGAAAAGCAATTATGGGCCAAGGAAAAGAAGACCAGACATGACTACGGTCGTGAAAAGTTCATTGAAAAGGTTTGGGAATGGAAGGAAGACTACCATGGAAGAATTAAAAACCAAGTCAAGAAGTTGGGTGCTTCTTATGATTGGTCCAGAGAAGCCTTCACCTTGAGTCCTGAATTGACTGAATCCGTCACTGAAGCCTTTGTTAAGCTCCACGAAGATGGTACTATCTACAGAGCTTCTCGTTTGGTTAACTGGTCCGTTAAGTTGAACACTGCCATTTCTAACTTGGAAGTTGACAACAAGAATGTTGCTGGTAAAACTTTACTTTCCGTTCCAGGTTATGACAACAAAATTGAATTCGGTGTTTTGACTTCCTTCTCTTACAAGGTCGTTGGTTCTGATGAAGTTTTGACTGTTGCTACCACCAGACCAGAAACTATTTTCGGTGACACCGGTATTGCTGTTCATCCAAAGGATCCAAGATACACTCACTTGCACGGACAATTTGTTCAACATCCATTTTTGGACCGTAAGATTCCAATTGTCACTGATGGTGAAGCCGTTGATATGGAATTCGGTACCGGTGCTGTTAAGATTACCCCAGCACATGACACCAACGATTACAACACTGGTAAGAGACAAAGCCTTGAATTCATTAACATCTTGACTGATGACGGTTTGTTGAATGAAAACTGTGGTCCTGAATGGAGCGGAATGAAGCGTTTTGATGCCAGAGCCAAGGTTATTGAACAATTGAAGGAAAAAGGTTTGTTTGTTGACCAAAAGGACAACGAAATGACCATTCCAGTTTGTTCTAGATCTGGTGATGTTATTGAACCATTGTTGAAGCCACAATGGTGGGTCCAACAAAAGGACATGGCCACCGAAGCTATCAAGGCTGTCAAGGATGGACGTATTACCATTACTCCAAAGACTTCTGAAGCCGAATACTTCCACTGGCTCGAAAACATTCAAGATTGGTGTATTTCTCGTCAATTATGGTGGGGTCATAGATGTCCTGTCTACTATGTTGTGATTGAAGGCATGGAAGAAGACAGATTAAACAACGACTACTGGGTTGCCGGTAGAACTTACGAAGAAGCTCTCGAAAAGGCCCAAAAGAAGTTCCCTGATACCAAGTTTACTTTGGAACAAGATGAAGATGTCTTGGACACCTGGTTCTCCTCTGGTTTGTGGCCATTCTCCACTCTTGGATGGCCAAACAAGAGTGTTGATATGTCCAAGTTCTACCCTATGTCTATGTTGGAAACCGGTTGGGATATTTTGTTCTTCTGGGTTACTCGTATGATTTTACTTGGTCTTAAGTTGACTGGTGACATTCCATTCAAAGAAGTTTTCTGTCACTCATTGGTTCGTGACTCTCAAGGTAGAAAGATGTCCAAGTCTTTGGGTAACGTCGTCGATCCATTGGACGTCATTGCCGGTATTCCTCTTCAAGGACTCCACGACAAGCTTTTGGTGGGTAACTTAGATCCAAAGGAATTGAAGAAGGCTATGGAAGGTCAAAAGATTTCTTACCCTAACGGTATCCCAGAGTGTGGTACTGATGCTATGAGATTTGCCTTGTGTGCCTACACTACTGGTGGTAGAGACATTAACTTGGATATCTTGAGAGTTGAAGGTTACAGAAAGTTCTGTAACAAGATTTACCAAGCTACCAAGTTCGTGTTGATGAGATTGGGTGCTGATTACAAGCCTCCAGCAACTGTTGCTGTCACCACTGAAACTTCTTTGGTTGAAAAGTGGATTTTGCACAAGATGAATGAAACCGCCAAGTCCATGAACAAGAGTTTGGATCAAAGAGACTTTGCTGAATCTACCACTGCTATTTACAACTTCTGGTACGATTTGTGTGATGTTTACATTGAAAACTCCAAGTCTTTGATTCAAGATGGTACTGAAGCCCAAAAGATTTCTGCTCAAGACACTTTATACGCCTGTATCGAAGGTGCCTTGAAGATGATGCATCCATTCATGCCTTTCATCACCGAAGAAATGTGGCAAAGATTACCACGTAGAGAAGGTGAAAAGGCCATTTCTATTGTTACTGCCAAGTACCCAGAATACGAAGCCAAGCTCGACGATGTCAAGTCATTGGAAGCATATGAATTAGTCTTGGATATCACCAAGGGTGCTAGATCTTTGTTATCTCAATACAACATCTTGAAGAATGGTTCCGTCTTTGTGGAATCTTCTAACAAGGATATTGCCAACATCGCCAAAGACCAAGAAGATTCTATTGTCTCTTTGATTAAGGGTGTTGAAAAGATTTCTGTTGTTGAAAGTGCCAAGGATGTTCCATCTGGTTGTGCCTTGCAATCTATTAACCCTGAATGTACTGTTCACGTTTTAGTTAAGGGTCAAATCGACTTGGATGCTGAAATTGCCAAGGTTAACAAGAAATTGGATGTTGCTAAGGATTTCCAAACCAAGTTGAACGATTCTATTTCCAAGTTTACTGAAAAGACCAAGGAAGTTGCTAAGGAAGCTGCTTTCAAGAGACAAGAAAACTACAAGGCTGAAATTGAAGGTTACGAGCAAACTATTGCCATTCTTGAGAAGTTGAAGTTGTAGATTATATAAAGATTTGTTAGAAGCAATTATAATTAGTATTGAAATGCTTGTAGAGGAATAAGAAAGTATTGAAAGTAGTATGAAACTTTAGGAAGGTGATATTCATCAGAAATAGTCGCTGCATAATTAATTTCTAAAATGGTAAGTTGAGAGATTATTGGTCAATGTATTTAATACGAATTCGTATTCCCTTCTACAAAATACACAGCTACTGTGAACTCATAGAAAAATCCAGTATGTTTACTAAACCTTTTGTATTTGGAATAATAAACTAAAATGAAGTATTTGGCGCTCTGGCTGGTAGCTTGTTACCACAGACGGCTGCAAAAAGAGGATTCTTTTAAATAAAGTAGGCACTTCCCAAATCATACAAGCGAAATATATGGACACTACCTAGCAGGTACTAGTTAGTTGAGTGGTGAGTACTCTTATCTTTAGAGCTTCTCAATAAATGGGATTGCAATTATTTCTCTCTGTGATTTAGTGTTAGGCTCGCGGAGCAGTACCTTCCAAATTTGTTGGTTATTCAGGAAGTCGAGAAATTACTGATAATGATACCCCGGGGTTGACACTGCTTAGATAACATCGAACGTGAATTGACTACTTGATCTTACAAGGTTGGGATGTGCAAATGAGAATGGTGAATGTGTTTCTACTTTTCGTATGCTTTTTCTAAAGGGTTGGTGCTCAAATTAAGTCTCTACTGTAGTTTCCCGTCCATAAATTCATATGCCACAAGGGCATATTATAAATACTCTATCACTATAAATATGGGAGCTGCCCCGAAAGATCTTGACATATTTTTTGACGGGCTTTTCCAAATAATTATCAAAATAACAAAGCTAATCAACAACGAATCAATGTACACTGCAACTTACCAACGCCCTACTGCATTTGATGCGATGGGTTTCACTTACGAAAACCATTCCTTACAAATGTCTTCACTCGAACCAGACAAAGTATTCTGCAACTATTCTGAGCTCAACGTGGCCAGTCCAATCGAAACAGCCTGGCGCGGTGACACGTACCAGGGAGAATATGTTCCCTGTTGTCTTCCAACTGACCAATCCATAATGTGTGATTTATTGTCATCTTCATTTCAACTTGAATTTACACGTTACCAATCTATGAAAAATACGTTACCACGTCGTTTGCAACCTGATATTTCTCTATTAGCAAAATATCGAGAGAACATCAAATATCGAATTCCACAACCTAGACTTCATAGACGAAAAATCGGTAACGTTATAAAAAAACAAACTAGAGGAGCCAATCGAATATTTGATGACTTGGCAACAACTTTTCAAGTCATTGGAATCGAAATTTTTGCTGCCGTTACTCAATACAAAAAGGGCCGAAGAGGAAGGTCTACTATTTATAACAAGGAAAGAGGCATTGAAGAGCTCCTTACTGTTTCTGAGGATGATCCATTGTTACAAAGGAGTGCTTCAAAGTTCGATACCTTGAAAACAATATGTGATAATCATCTGAAACCGATGGATAACATGAATCTACGAGACTATGACTTAAATTACACGAATCAAGAAACGCCACTAGTTGGTCATAACAGCTTACTAATGTATCCAATTAGTAACGATCAATTTAGCTTTGAAAATACTCCTTGTTTGCAACAACTTCAAGATTGTGCACCACCTTTGTGTACTCAAGCGACAACTTACTACATTCGGAATTTAGGAATTCCAATGATCCAAGCTGACATGTTCAGTATTTCTACATTTGGAGATGAAAGTGATAATGACGGTTCATATGAAGATATATACCTTGAGTATCTCAATCCAGCATCAATTGATGGCTACAAAGAATCCACATCTCTTTTACGTTATCTTCGGGAGCGCTTGTCATTAACTAGAATGACCAATTGGATTCAAAATCACACTCGTTAAATACACCTAATCTATAGTAATATTACGAAAAAAAAAAATTAGGTAAAAACTAACAATACAGTGATGTGTACATCATGCAGCAATGTAGAAGTTGGAATTCTTGCCCGTGTGAAGAAGTGAAGTTAAAAATATTTAAAGGAAAATTAATACACATTCCAAATTTCACTTTATAAAGCCAAGAGGGTGGAGTCCGGGGAACCATTTACACTTTTCGTATTTGTGGTATGAGCTCTTGTTGACAGCATTATCGAACTTTTAGTGTTACTTGGTGCACGATCTATCCAATGACGCAAAGAACATCTCGAAACATATTATGAAACCAATCAAATTCATTCTTGTATAGAATCTCAAATTTGTACAGAATTGAATCATACATGAGAGCGTTTTTATATGTATGAATTCGCCTGATATTAATACCATTTAATGAATAAGCTTTATAAATTGTTTCAAATGAATATTGTACATGTGAGCCTCATGAAAGAACAAACTTTAATCAGGAGGTGGAATTTAATTGTAATTCAACTCATGCAAGCTTATATAATCCACTGAGGTATTTTTCTGTGACCCGGCAATTCATTAACGCGTTCAGTATGTAACTTTGCGTCAGTTACGTGCGTTGAGGGGTGTCTCATATGCAGCGAAAATTGGATTGGGCAGCAGCGCCCTGATTGTGTTAATTTGTGTCGACTCCCCCTGGTTGTTTGTTTTTGAGGTATTGTCGTGTATCCGACTATAAAAGGAGCCTCATATCTCCATTAAAATTAAATTCGTGTGATATTTCTCCAATTAGATATCTAATTTATTTACACACTATACACAATGGCTTTCGACGATTTGATTAACAAGGCTAAGTCTTTGGCTGCCGGTTCCGACGGTAAGCTTGACTCCAGTGACTACAAGGCTTATGCTGCTGATGCTCAAGATGCCTACACCGAATTCAACAAGAAGGACGGTACTTTCGCTGACCACGCCAAGAGTGCTTACTCTGAAATTCAAACCAACCACAAGGCTGGCGGTTCTTCAACTACTGAAGCTCCAAAGAAGGAAGAATCCAAATAGACTATATAATTGTTCTTAGATGGAAATGTACTAAATTAATTTGTTAAATGTTATTTGCCACAGTAGTTTTTTGTTTTCATTCTGTTTAATTTGTTCACCTTAAAGTTGAGCTAATATCGTAGTGCAATACATGTAGATATAGAGGAACAGCATTCAATTGGGCAGGCCCAACCCTAATATATTTGTATGTCAACATCCGTATACGGGGTGACGCACTTCCTTCCGAGTCAAGTATATTTACTGAATGGTATCCTCCCAAAATCTCTTATCCTATATATTAGCGGCTACTACTTTATAACTGACAATTTTCATCTTCAAATATTGATTGAATATACTAGTCAATTCCTCTTATAAAGATAATTACTTCACGTTCTGTCAGTTTATCCTCAATGACGTGTTAGCCCTAATCGTCATCCTTAAAAAAAACGTGCAATTACCATATCTTCTGTGGTTGAATTTCTCACGCACAGTGGCACACATTACAAGAATTTTTATTAGTACAGATCAATAGTACAGAGTAGAACCATACGTATTTATGTCCATTGGTAATCGAATAAATCATTCTAGAATCCCGTCTGAGATAATATCACTGTATCTTGCATACTTTCGTGCCATAGACAATGCGTTAAATTTATATTATGCTAATCATACATCTGATCCATCATTAGAAGAAATATTAAAATCTGCATCTGGATTACTTTCCAAGAGAGTAACTTTGACTTCAATATTAGTTATTCTAGGGATTTATCCAGGAGCATATGTATTGAAACATAACCACAAGGTGATCGGAACATCGGAATATCTTATTCTGTTACCTAATGATCTTCAATTGTTCAATGGAATGATTGTGAAACGATCTAATGAATTTGAGACGCGACTACTACAATGGATTCAAGAATATCCAGAAGCAGACGCGTTACCTAGTGCTTCTATTGTCAGCTTAACCTCTCTGACACCAAGTAGAAGAACATCACCTTCCAAAATCACAAAACTTTCGACAACATTGAAGAATGATTCCTCTAAATTTAAATTCAAGGCTAAAGATGAAGTACAACAACAAACATTAAACAATGGACTTACATTATTAGAACGGATACGACTTAAGGAAAAACAGAAAAATGAAGGACCTCAGGATACAAAGGAAACGAAGTATACTCGATATCTAGATGGGAAACTTGGAATGGTGTATGATATTATGTTTCAAACGTATTCACAAGACAACGCAAGTGCCAAGACCTATGGATTAAGAAAGTTTTCTGAAATTATCCGTGATAGTCTTCGATATCCCATGAGTATAGAAGAAATTTCAGATGTGGTGCATAGATTGGAGACTACTCTTGGTCAAGAAAGAATAAAAATCTTAACTCGAGGTGGAGTCACAGTCATTAAAATTAATGATCTTAATAGATCAAAGGATCTTGAACTAATCAAGAAGATTGAACCTAAAAAATAAAACAACCTTGGTGTTTCACATAACCCATTTAATTACTTAATACATAGCATAATTACGAATAAAATCGACTTCAATTAAAATCTATAAAAATGTTCAAGGTAAATCAATAAACTGTCAAACATCAAATTATTTCTTGTCTTCATCTCTCAAGGCAATGTCAGCTGCTTCATGGTTCATAAAGTTGTACTTAAATACAACCTCAATAAGCCAAGTGACACCCAAGTCCAACAAGATACATGCGGTCAACTTGGCCTTGAAGACCAAGTCCATAGGAACAAACTTCATGGCTTCATTCAATTCTGGGAAGAATTCAGTCGATCCAGCAAGAGCCAAACCAGCAACACCAAGTAAACCATAGTACATACCCTTGTTATCCTTGATACTTTCTCTGAATGGCAAACCTTGGTAGTTGACGGCAAATGTAGACACTTGTTGGGCCAATTGCAACAAGAACAAACCAGTGTTCAACAATGAAGGAGAAAATTCCTTTTCCAAGTCAATTTGTGGTTCTCTAGGTTCCAAAATGTAAATTTCCTTAGTGATATAAATCAAAGTAATAATGTGAACAGCGAATTGACCTAAAATAGATCCCATAATGTAAGTGTTGAAAATACCATCTTGAGGTCTTTGCTTGGAAAGCTTTTCAATTGGTTTACCACGAGAAATTGACAAGAAACAAACAGACAACAAGATACCAGAAACAGTTGCTTGACCATCACCAAACTTGATACCTGCCAAGTACAAGACAGACAAAGAGTAGGCAGAAATCAAACAGTTCAATGCCAAAATCTTGTACATTTGAATGGTAGAAACCAATGCACAACGACCTTGACGTACAATATTAGTAACAGCAGAAACAGAGCCCAATTTGGAAGTGAAAGGAGCGGCAACAGATGCATCACCCAATTTCAAAACTGGAGCTTCATCATCCATTTCAGCATCTTGCAATGCAGTCATGATAGATTCACCCAAGTTTTCAGATCCAGGCTTGGTCAGAGTTGGAGGAGGAACAAATCCGGTCTTGTTGGCAATTTCAACAGCCTTCTTCATATCATCAGTAATTTCAATACCCTTCTTTTCCATTGCTTCTAAATACTTAGGGTTAGATGGTCCAGGTGGATACAAGTGAGCAATGATAATAGGACATGGAGGAGCAGGCTTACCCCAGTTAGCAAATAATTGAGCTTGCTTGTCATAGACCTTCTTAGTAGTTTCAATTTTTCTGTTTTCAGCAATCTTCTTCATACCGTCTTCAGTACCGTTCAATAAGGCAACACCAATATGAGCTTGTTTCAAGGCACCAACATCATTAGTACCATCACCACACATTAAGGTGTTATATCCAGCGTCCTTCAAGGAGGTAAGAATGAATTCCTTTTGGTTTGGAGAAACTCTGGCATAAACCCAAGTGTGCTTCAACAAGTCGAGAATTTGAGAGTGGTCAACCAAGAATTTTAATGCATACCCAGTGACACAAATATCATGCTTTTCAAAAAGAGAAGTATCCAACTTGTCGGTACTCTTAAATGGAATAATCACAGTTTCGTCAACATTTCTCCAGACCAAATCTTCTTCTCCAGAAACATTATGGTGGTCTTCTGGGGCATCTAAAATAAGGACATCCTTAGTAGTAATTTCAACTTCCTTAGCAACATGACAGGCAGTCAAAGGATTATCACCAGTAATCATAACACAACGATGGGATGATTCATTCAACATCTTAATGGATTCAACGGCATCTTCCTTCAATGGACAGTGGAAAACAATGAAACCAGCAAAGTGCAACTTAGATTCAACATCCTTACGAGTGACCTTAACAACATTAACATTGGTGTCCAAATACTTATAAGCCAAGGCAAGGACTCTGGAACCAGATCTAGTAAACGATTTATAAACGTCTTCATAGTTGGCAGGAGCATCAATAAGCATTTCACGGATAGTTTCTGGAGCACCCTTGACCGAAATCAAGTTCTTTCCTTGCAAAGAGTTAACACTAGAGATAGCAGAAGATCTCTTTAAAGCAGAAGAAAATTGGAAACGACGCAAGATCTTGATCTTTTCAAGCTTACCATTAGATTTCTTTCTTTCAACAGTATCTTTGAGACCAACAGTCCAATCAGCAGCTTTCAAAGTAGCTTGTTCCATTGGGTCACCAACAACATCACCATCATCCAACTTGACCAAGGCATGAGCAGAACCCAAGACAAAGGAAGTAGTTTCAGGAGCTTCTTCACAAGTAGACAAGTGGTGGATATTAGATTCATCGAAACCAGCCAAACCTTCGAAAACCAAATCTTCAGCAGTTAAAGTACCAGTCTTGTCGAAACAACAGACATCGATTCTTCCAGCCAATGGGATTCTAAATGGTTCGGTACAGTAGATGTAGTACTTCAGCAAGGCAGACAAAGAGTTGTTAACAGCCATAGTCAATTCCATTGGTAATTCAGGAGGAACAACAGAGGTGATAACAATAATACAATCAAGAATCAATTTGGATTGAATACGACCCATTCTAGTACCTTCAACCCAGACATACCAAGAGGCAGCAATGGCGAAAACCAACAAGAAAAGGATAAAGAAGAAAGCTTCCTTATTACCAACAGAGACTCTTTCACTAGAGAAAATCATCATACGAACAAGAGAACCTTGAGAAGTTTCAAAACCAGTCTTGGAAACAATAGCCAAGGCACCATTATCTGGGGCCAAGGGAACAGTTGGGTTTTCAGGCTTAGAAACTTGCAAGGCCATAGTACCACCGTGTAACAAGGAGTTCTTATCGAACGATTCAATGGCCAAATTTTCAGTGGAAGGTCTCAATTTAATAGATTCTTTAAGCAAAGGAGTAGATTCACCAGACAACATGGCTTCGTTAACAATACATGAACCGTCAACAAGAAGCAAGTCACAAGGAATGGCACTGTCATCATTAGTTCTAGTAATAGAAACTAAATCACCTGGTAACAATTCAGAAGTTTGAACTTGTTTCCATTGTTTATCTCTATGCACATAAATATCATAAGGTTTAATACCCATACTTTGGAATTCAGCCATGGTAGTTCTTCTTTGGAAAACAGTAGTCATTTCAAAGGAAACCAACATGAAAAGAGAGAAAAGAGAGTAGTACCATTGTTCATCCATGCACCAAAGGGCCACTGAAAAGATTTGGAATACAAAAAAAGGAGCAACTGCATGTTCTTTGAACAATTCAAAAAAAGTTGGAATAGGAATATCAAACTTGTTCTCACCATAGTTACGTCTTAATTTATCCAAGTATCCTGATAAACCTTTAGATTCTTGAAATACAGAAAGGGGAGGAGCTTCATCAAAAAGAAATTCAGGAGGGGCAAATTTTTGTTCCTTTTCATGGAACAAGTGACGTCTCTTTTGGTACAAGAAGGACACTTGCAATTCACCGTCTTGGAACAGTTCACGGTTGATGGTGGAAATTTCACCAATTCCTGAGTTTGGAGCAGGGGTGATAATAATATGAGATGCTTCTTTGATAGTCTTGACATCAGAGTAGTTGAACTTACGGTCAATGTTGATGTTCCAATGAGGCATCAACCAGAAAAGAAGGTTGATAGAAATAATGGCAAGCAGATAGACAAAAGTCCATTCTGAGCCAACAATGTAGGTATCATAATGATCAAGGTAAATCTTCAAGAAGATTGGGTAGATCAACGTGAACGGCCACACGTATGGTCTAAAGATCAACGGCTTGGGTACCAACAACTGCGCATCTGCAATGGCAGGGTTGTTAACAAGCGAAGATGGCATTTTCGAATGTCGTATTTATCTCTTGTGGGTTGAAACAATAAAACAATATTTTAAGAAAAAATGAAATGGACAGGTTTGGGTACTTAGTCAACGTGTAAGACGCACACTAGGCGCGCGGGCGCGGCCGCGGGTTGAGAACGTCGATAGTTAGTACTGTTTTGTGCAACTCTACATAAATAGAAAAGAGTGCAGTCGTGTAGGAAACTATCTTCTAGGAGGTTCTACAGAGCAAATAATACATGCGACGGCAAAAATGAAGATGGAGATAACGTAAAAAATTAATCCAAAGCGAGTGAGGTATATTCTTTAGGTTTGCAGGAAGTTTTAATCTACATCCTGCAAGCTGATATTTTTAGTGGTATTAAACATCGGTAAATGCGCTCTAATCAAGCGGAGTTTTTTTCTAACAATTAATCTTTTCTGGATCTTTTTTCTCCATTCATAATTTTTTTTTTCACATAGATAATAATTCCGCTCTGCTAAGAAAAGGGAAGTAGGTGGTGTGCACCTACAACTTGACTGTGGCTTTAAAACCCATTGTACAAATATGAATTTTTTTTATATATAAGCCAATCCTTTTATTGACATCTCTTAGGCACCAAATCTATATGATATCGGGCTTACCGCATATAGTTACCTCTTTTTGACATTCTAATTTCTATGAAGTGTTCACGTGAATTTGCTAACCCATAAAAATGCAGCATTAAAACTGTGGCGTTTTTATTTCTTAGTAAGCGGAATCAACATCCGATGTTGGACCGTACTCACATCCATATATATATTAAGACAGATATGTATGTGCTTGACTGAGAATTCTTCACTTGTTAGTTAAATTTCATTTACAAGTATTTAGTATTTCTATAATATGTCGTTTCAAAGTATTCCAATTATCGACTTATCTAAGGCAAGTGATCCAAACACAAAAGCAGAATTCTTGAATGAACTTCGATATGCTTTAATAGAAGTTGGATTCTTTTATCTTAAAAACTATGAATCTGTAGGACCTTCCAAAGAGGATTTCAAAGATATTGCCCGTGAATCCGCAGAATTTTTTAATCTCCCTGAAAAAGTTAAAAATGAATGTGAAATGATTCATTCCCCACACTTTTTAGGATACACTAGATTGGCAAATGAAATCACAGCTTCCCAAACTGATTGGAGAGAACAAATTGATCTTGGAACTGAATTGCCTGCACCAAAGGAAGGTGAGCCAATCTACAAGAATATCGAGGGTCCAAATCTTTGGCCAGATTCGCAATATGCACCACATTTCAAACCAGTCATACAGAATTATATCTCCAAGATGTCTACTCTTAGTACGAATGTCAGAAAGCTTGTATGTGAAGCCATAGGATTAAAACCAAGTGCATTGGACTCTTACTTTAAGCCAAATCAACAAGCCAAATTGAAAATCATCGCCTACCCAGATACCCAAGAATTGTCTTCAAAATCATCAGCTGCTTTGGACGATTCTCCATCCACTGGCCAAGGTGTTGGTCCACATAGAGACTCTGACTTGATCACATTTATTTATCAGGTTACTCCACATCAAAACTCTTTGCAAGTTCAAAATTTCCAAGGTGAATGGATTACTGTGAAAAACATTCCAGGAACTCTTGTGGTTAATGCTGGCCAAACTTTGGAAGCAATTACTTCCGGTGTATGTAAGGCCACCATCCATAAGGTGTTGATTCCTGAAGCTGGTTCTGGAACTAGAATCTCAGTTCCATTTTTCCAAACTATTGACTTGGACGCTAGAAAGACAGCCGTGGAAAATATTCCTCAAGAAATCCTTGATCTTAAGAATAAAAGAGATGAAAAGATCAAAGATTGGGCAGTTGATATCGGATTTCAATTCATACCTGATATTTCAAAGTACCCAGTTGGTCATGCAGTGTTCCGTAATAGAATAAAATCTCATCAAGATGTCGCTGCAAAATGGTACCCGGACATTTTAAAGGAAGTTTTAGCAGAATATACTAAATAGATAGAATAATACGTACCGTTTAATGCCCTAACTTTATGATATTGTATACTTATTCATATTCATATACATCATCTTTGTTCACGTGACCCAATATGATTTTCAAAGGAACCCTACTTATCGAGGTATTCATCATTAATAGATTTAATTAATATTTGAATTAAAATCATAATATGGGAACTAGCAAGCGGGAAGATCACTTGAGGAAGGGTTCCGATGTGACGCCATATGAGGCACTTGCTGCTGGATCGATGTCTGGAGCTGTTTCACGGTATGTATTATGACCCGAAAAAAAAAACCCTGAAAAAACAACGTAACATAACAATCAAGATAAAAATCATAAACAATTACTAACTGTTTCCTTTTAGAGCCGTCACTGCTCCTTTAGATACCGTGAAGATCAGATTACAACTTCAGACAAATGTATTTGGAGAGTATAAAGGTGCTACATCAACAGTGATATCCATCATTAAGAATGAAGGAGTAAGAGCACTTTGGAAGGGAAACGTACCGGCCGAAATTATGTATATTATTTATGGAGGGGTCCAATTCACGTCCTATTCCATCTTGAGTAAAGCTCTTGCCAAGTTTGAAGATGACAATAGTCACATTAAACTTTCCCCATCCACCCATTCCCTCATTGTCGGTTCTGGTGCGGGTCTTTCCAGTACCCTCGCCACTTATCCATTTGATTTACTTCGAACTCGACTAGCCGCACACACATCCAGAGAATTTCTTTCAATAACTTCTACAATTAAAGAAATACGGCAAACCCAAGGTTTGAGAGGATTTTACACAGGTATGAGACCTGCTATGATCTCAGTAACGTCAACAACAGGGTTGATGTTTTGGGCATACGAAATTGCACGAGACGTATCCAACAAGTACAAGGGAGATATTCCATTTATAGAGGGTATTTGTGGCTTTGTAGCTGGTGCAGTTTCGAAGGGAATCACTTTCCCATTAGATACACTTCGTAAACGTATGCAAATGTATTCAGTCACCAATGGTCCTCAAAGAGTCTCTTCATTCAAGCTCATGGCAAATATTCTCTCTAAGGAGGGAATGTTTGGGTTTTATAAAGGATACGGGATTAGTGTATTGAAGACTGCTCCCACCAGTGCGTTGTCATTATTCATGTACGAATATTCCCTAGGAACTATTCGGTCATTTGAGAAGAAACTCGAGTAAATAGAGAGGAGAATGCAGTATAACTGATATAGGAGAATGATCGAAATGTTACTGTACATTAACAGTGTTGCTGAAACTAGTTCCACTAACCAGAAGTTCTCATAGCAGATCTTTTAGTTTTCATTCATGTTCCTTTTAGCTATTTATAGAGATCACTAAGAAATGTTCAAGAGATTTTGGAATGGGAATAATATTTATTATGTAGGATGTAATTACTTTTTGTGTGATACTATTTATCAATAGAGGCCATGCTAGAGAATCTCTACTTGACAGGTATAGCTGTTAAGAGGTCTCTAGATGTAAAACATTTTATCTTCATTTTCGTAGCAGCCTGAATACGTGCTTCAATTATGAAGCTCAGCTAAACAAGTAGTCATCATCTTCTTCATCTATGGTTCTGCCCGTTATTCTATCGGATTCACTGTCATGGAGTTTAATGAAGTCAAGATCCGGGAAATCATCATCGTCATCTCCCTCATCATCCCCTTCCAAGCCTAAATATCGTGACATCAGCGTGGGCAGTATGTATTCCTTGTCGTCGTCAGAGTCATATACTCTATCTGTAAGTTCATCGGATATAGTACTAGTTTGACTTTCATCCCTCGATGGTGTTCCAGGGTGCACCGCATCTCTGGAAATTGCATAGAGTGATTGAGAATTTGACAAGACATTTTTCAACCTGGAGGAAGGCTGTTTTGAGATTTCTTTCAGTGGGAGAGCTTCTCTGGCATACGATGTCAGAATTGAGTATTGCCCTGTAGCTTCTAGCGGAGGCTGAAGTGACGTCAATTGGGGAACTTTAGGCAGGACAGTTCTACTCTCAAGAACCAGTATTTTCAGGTTCAATGGCTGTTCCGGAGAGCCTAATTGTTGCCTAATATACAAAGGTAAACTATCACCAACCATAGAAGTTCGCCTAGCCTTGTCTTTGTTCATTCTTTGAGGTGATTTGGCATTGATCGAGGCTTTATCAAACACCGGTACCGAGTCAGGTTCCACGCTTTTCCTTCGAATAAATTTGAGTTTGTCCACAATTAGAAACGGTGAAGTGAGTGACTTCCTTCTTTGATCACCAACTGGTTTGGCCATAATACCTGATATTGCATCAGCCTTACTTAGAATATTGACACTGGTTATTTCCGCAGAAGCAGGCTTACTCAAGCTTGCACGCTTACTGGAATTATCTCCAGCAAAAGGTATGAGATTTGGTCTGTTTTTCTGGTCCATAAGATTTAATGAGACTTGCTGTTCCTTGTTGGTCATATTTGGAAGGTTCAAAGAAACTTTACGGGAATCTGGTGGGAGAGCTTGCAGGACTTTATCCAACTCCCAATTGGATTCCCTCATTGACTGTTGGTCCCTATCTTCTTCTATAAGATCCTTTTCTGTGAGGAACTCATGTAGTCCCAAAGCTTCCAACATGGAAGCTATCTCTCCAAGAAATGGATTTCCTTCTACTCTGGCCAATGCTCTGACATCTGATAAATCCTCATCTAGAAATATAGGGTTTGTATAAATGGCCTCTTTGTTTTCTTGGTAGAGCTCTTCAACCTTCTGCATAACAATTGATATGTCAGATATCTTGAACGTATCTTGAAGATAAGTCCAATCTATCACCTGATTGAGTTCTTCCAAGTTATCTACATGCTGGTAGCGATCTATGTATTCTCTTAGTTGGTCTAATTTTCGGTCTGTCCAATCCATAGAGGGAGAATGGACGTTATATAATATATGGGGTGAATAAGGACTGAGTTTGTTTCTATTTGAATTATAGTTGGCAAAGAAGTATGATAAGGTTTAATGATTACCAGTATGTCAATATGTGGAGACGTGTACATGCAGGAATCTAAGATAACACAATGATAGTGGTCAAACAGAAAGATGCTCTAATCTCTTACTTTTATTTTTTTTTTTCACTTTGGATTCGATACAATGAAAGGTATGTACCTTGTCAAGTATCAACTTTGGTCCTGGTAGATTATACAAAATGATTGCTTTTTTTTTCTATTTTTATTTGCCCCTCCTTAGCGAAAATGGGAGGATAGTATTCTCTATTCAGACTGCAGATTGTCTATAGAAAAAAAGTTGCAACTTTAAATTTTATTTTAATTTTTTTTTGGAACACTTTTTCTTTCAAGTATTGTAGAAGTTAAATGCCGATAAAGAGACTTCCAGATGGTATACGCTCTCAAATACAGTCACAGGTGTCCATAGTATCATTGGGAGATGTTGTACGGGAGTTGCTTCAGAATAGTGTAGATGCCCACGCTACGAAAGTTGAGATAGTGCTTGATTTCAAATCAAAGAGTGTAAAAGTAATTGATAATGGCGATGGATTGCTGCAAGTAGATTTTGACAGTATAGTGAAGCAATATTATACTTCTAAGAGTATCAGCGATGGGTGTTTCGGATTTCGAGGAGAGTCATTGTATGCCATGGCAACAGTGGCAAGTGTATCATTGAACTCAGGTAATTTTTCGTTGGCAGTAAGTGGAGAGCATCGAGAGTTGGATGAAGTAGATAGTAGTAATAGTGGAACAGTTGTAGAAGTGAAAGAGCTCTTTGTCAATATTCCAGTAAGGCGAGAACAATTGGACAAGATCCCAGTACATAAACTTTTGGAAAGTGTTCGTTTGGAAATATTTCAAACCATTGCCATTCAACCAATTGAATTAGAAGTGTATCGAGTTACAAATTCTATAAAAGAACTTTTATTTACAGTCAGCAACAATTGGTCATCATTAAGTAGAGCCCAGATATATGGTCATACAATGTCATCTATCTATGGAGAACAGGTTATACCGAATTATGAAATTCTCAAGGCAGAATTCCAAGGTTATAGATTAGAGGGGATAATTGGAAAGGAACCGCTGGCAAAACCGTATCAAACAATATTTCTCGATGGAAGAGTGTTGGTACTTTCTAACCAAGAATTCCGTACATTCCATAAATTATTCGTGGATGGTGGCGATGATCCAGATACAAAGCCTTATTTGAGACACCCCGTGTATGCAATTCTGATAACTACCCCAGTGGGAAAAGAAAAGCTTGAGCCCATAGAACTATTTCAAGATTCTTCCAAGAAAATATTCCATTCCTTCCACAAGAGAATTATAATAAGTATGATAACAAAGGTTTTCCAAAGTTATCTAAAATACAATGTTTGGGAGATTGTACGAAGTCCTCGCAAGAGGAAAGTGACTCCCGATTTAGAAAACGATAGGAAACGGCTAGATATATCCAAACAACCATTACCATGCTTAAATCTATTCAACGAACTTGCGAGTAAGATAGATACGGAGATCTCAACTATTGCTATACAACCAGGGAACTGGAGAGTAATTAAACAATTGGATGAGAAATTTATTCTCATTATAACGAATACACTCAAACCTCCACCAATGCTATTAGCGGTAGATCAACATGCATGCGATGAACGGATTCGAGTCGAAGATCTACTCAAAAATACTATAAAAGATGCTTTAGATGAAAACTCTGACACTAGTATTGAGTTAAAGCAACCAATAAATTATAATTCAATAACCACAGAGGAATCTGAGCTTTTCGCAGCATTTTGCAACAATTTCAAAATATGGGGAATTCAATATATCATTCTACCAGGGAATCATCTACAAATTACACACTTACCGTGCTTACTTTCGGAGAAATATAATGTGAATAAGCTCCATCCTGAGTTATGTCGAAAGTTAGTGCAACATGCAGTTGATCTTGATAGGAAAACTAAAAGTTGTCATTTATCTCAAACTGTCTGGACTGAGAACATCCGGAATATTCCACACGTTATATTAGAGCTGATCAATACCAAGGCATGTAGATCGTCTATAATGTTTGGGAAGAAATTGAGTGTCGATGAAATGACCTATATGGTGCATCTATTAGCGAAATGTCACTTGCCGTTCCAATGTGCACATGGACGACCCTCTGTGGTTGCGCTTGCTGATTTGAATTGTATACAGTAAATATGATGGTGATGTTTTTTTTTTGTCTTCTCACATTTTGTACTTTGTATTTTTTAATCTTTTTTTTTTTTTTTGAATCTTTAGTTTATTTTGTTTTCGACTCTTTGCACTCAATTTTAATAGGAAAGCTGAGCAATATATCCCGAAAGGACATTAGTTCGATTCATTTGATTGACCATGGCCACCCCAAGAAGGAAACCCCAGTACACGGAGTCGTTTATTGGTGATGAGTCGCTACTTGACCTCAGTCAATATGGTACACCATTGAAGAAGTTGACTACCAATTCTGTTCCAGATGTATGGAAGGGCCACGATAAAATTAAACTGGAAATCAGGTCTCCCACGATACCTACTTTCACACCCACATCGGCCCCTGTTGCTGCACAACCCGAAAACGTCCAGACAGTTCATCAATTGACACCTATCAGCGATGTAGCGTTCAGACTTCATCAAACCAAACTCATGATTGATTCCCATAAACAGCATTCACATCGAACCGCGATCGATGGGGACAATACAGGGGATGGACTGAAGCGTGGTCCTATATATTACAAACCTCCATCATCCATTCAATCAGGAGTGAAGACATTCCTCCCACCAACTTTCATTAAGCCAAGAAGCAATACTTCAATGGAGGAGTCTCTACAAAGTCGGCCATCCTGGTTGAATGCCCGAAAGAACGCATATATGTTGGCCGGAGGTGACAGTCTTGGTGGCAAAACGTTGGGAAAGGATGTGGTTGTGGATGACGAGTTAGTTGATGATAATGATGATGTACACATCGACGAGCCAACTGGAGAATGGTATAACCCCGTGGTTAAAATAGCTCTTCTGAGACAAATAAATAAGGAGAAGGAGTTCAGTAGAGTGTCGCATAACGTTATATATATCATTTTATTCTCTATATTGGTGGAAGTTTGGAAAAGATTAGTACTTTTGTACCTCACTCACAAGTTACCATTCCAAAACCCTTATGTCTACTATCCTAAAGATGTTAAAGTATCACCAGTCTACTCATTCTACGGTACTATATTTGTGAAAATTGTTGGGTTATTATTTATTACCAACATATTATATGGTAGTTATAAGCTTTTCAAGAAGCAAGATCAATGCACTGATCTCCCACTCACCAACAAACAAAGAGAAATGCTTGGATTAACGAAAATAACCGGTAAAGACCCACTAGACCGAGATCAAATTGAAGATGAAAGAGCAGACCTCGCTAGTAAAGAAAGGAAGTTCAAGCAAAAGTACAACTCGTTCAACAAACCGAGATATACTAAAACTGGGCTTTATACGTATGGTGAAGAGATGCCCATAGTTGCAGTGCCCACCCCACATTCACCATTAGACTCTCATATGAATCTGGGTAATATTGAATTGACATATTCGCAGCCAGCGGGGAAGACTCTTCATCCAATGAAGAAGTATCAACCGGACGAAGTTGAAAAATTGAACAACAAATTTAAGGGCACATACAGTATAGATTTCAATATTTCAGATGATGAATAATTAGCATATATAAACATAACACCATATCTAAATAGATATCGGGGTAATACCTACAATACTATTATGTAGAAAAAAATAAATCGGTGATTACGCGGATATAGAAAACTTAAAATGAGGGGTATACACTAACATATATGAAATGTGGAGTCTTCCATAAAATATTTACTTATACATGTTTTTTTTTCTTCATACTATTCATGATTAGCAATGGCTACGCTAACCTTTGAAGAGGCATTCCGAGTAGTTCAAGTAGATGAGAGCCACTATGTTGGTGTGCATCCGTTAAAACTCCCATTGACCGGAGCTAGAGGAGTATATGGAGGGCATGTTTGTGCACAGACTCTTTTGGTGGCCTTGGAATCAGCACCAGGATGGGTCTTACATTCATTACACTCACATTTTCTTGGACCTGCCAATGAAAAAATTGTATGTCAATATGAGGTGACTGAACTTCAAAGAGGGAAAAATTCATTACGACTGATCATTAAAGTAACTCAAACCACCAGAGATGGAACGCAAAAGGCAGTATATACTTGTATGGTTTCATTTGTTAAGAAGGGGATTAACGTACAAGCCATCGATGGTCAAAGAGATCCACCCAATGACATCCACTACAAGTACCCCGATCCTGATAAACTCACGGTGATCCATCATACGGATTTTGTTAAAAATGCATATGGAGAAGAACTTGTAGATTACCGCAATTGTCCCGAGGAATCCCTCCAAACTCCATCTGAACGATGGATAACATTGTTCAGTGGGATTGATCAACCGGAGTCATTTCTGGACCCAAAATTCAACTATGTTGGCCTTGGATGTATTTCAGATTCGGCATTATTGACCACCCTTGCAAGGGTGTTGCACTTACCATGGAACCCTACTGAAATGTTTGAAGAGGAAGAATTTGACGAGGGGAAAGATGCAAAGACATTGATGGGTACTTCAATGAATATCATTCACTTATTCCATTATCATGCCATGTCTTTGGACCATCATATCTATTTTCATTGTGATAAGGAAGAAGATTCCTTTGATGTGGTCAAGCAATGGTTAACGTTTTCATATCAGATGAAGACACTTCGAAACGGGAGGACATTAGTTCGTGGACATTTCTACAATCCCAATGGTACATGTGTAGCCACAATTGTGCAAGAGGGTATTACCTTGATCCATCCAGATGTTGCAGAAAAGTTATAAACAGAACATAGAAAAGAATCGAGTATCTACCTATTCAATAAAAAAAAATCAATATTCTAAGTATGTAATACAAATTAGATCCTTCAAATTGTACGTAGGTATCCACTCTAGTCAGTTGTTGCAAAGAAGAAGAACAATCCAAGAAATTCACTTATTCGCACATGCTATCATAAATATCACAAGACTCATCGCAATCGCAATTAATCCATACCACAATTATATTTCCCACACATCCGATTGAGAATAGAATCACAGTGGAATCCAGACCTCCGGCTAAGGGGTCTCTTATCGCCTGGTACTACATACAAGCAACCTCACTAACATGAAATTTTGGGCTCATTTAAGAAGAGGGGGGGAAATTGAGGGGCAAGTTGAACAACTAACAAAAAGAAAGAAAGAAAGTAATGATTTGTAAAGTTTAACATAAAATGTTGTTTGCCATCTATAGAACGGCTTTAAGACACAAACCAGCAATCAATGGAACACTATTTGAGATTTTGGGTTTTAATTTGTGTGTTTCACCTGCTACCGAGGAGAGGGGAAGACCTGCATTTAAACACTGTCAAGCCGGGTTTATACGGTTAACGGTGGATAATGGAAAATAAAGGCGACTGAGAGTTTTAGCCGAGGATGGAACATGTGCCCTTAAAAAGATATAAATAAAAATAATCTAAATACACATTATCAGTATTCCAAAAGGAAATATAAATACCTCTGTTGGGACCCAACTAGAAATTTACGCCTGACAATTGTGTATCCCTTTACTGATTTTTTTTTCTTTTTTTAGTTGTCACTCTTATTCATTTGAAAGAATAGTGAACTTTTTACAAACTCTAAGAAACATTTATCCGCTTGTGCTTCTGTCCATCAACCGTGGTTTCTTTTTTTTTTTTTAAGTATCTGAGAAGGTTGCACATAAGAATACCGATTGATAAAACTTTCGGATAATCTATATCTAAATATTTCCAGCAATTGTTTTTTTTCTTTATAACTCAATTGAAATGACTTCCTCAGTTAGCGAATATACACTTAGTCAGTCCAAACTTGAAAAGGCATTTGGAGTACGAAAAATCGGAGAATTAAAGTATGAAGGTTTGATACCATTAACCAAGCCTTCGGTGGGATCTCGTGGTGTTTTCGGGGGTAATCTCTGTGGACAATCGCTTTTGGTGGCCATGGAAAGTGTTGAGGAAGGGTTCACGCCTCATTCACTCCATTCATACTTTGTGAAAGCCGGTGATGATACATTCCCATGTCAATACGAGGTGGAAAAAGTCAGCGATGGGAAGAATTTTGCCAATAGACTAATTCGAGTGGTTCAAAAGGGAGAAACTAAATACCTTGTCATGATCTCATTGACGAGAAGAAACTCATTTTCCGATGCTGCTAAGCAGTTTCAAGCTGGAAAATCAAAAGGATTCCCCTTGGATTTCCAGATCCCTCCACCAAAGCAATTTGCCAGACATCATCATTCTGAATTAGAAACCAGACTTGATCATGATCATACAATGACTTTGCAGCATAAATTTGGTCCTGAATTCTACCAACCACATTTGAGTGAGCGTGAAGAATTGGCTAAATCGGCTGCTGAAAGAGATTTATCTTTCTGGCTTAGAGTTGATGACTCTGGTGTTGCGTCCAAGGAAAAGAAATTTAAATATGCTGGATTTGGTGCTGCTTCTGATTCTTTATTCTTGACTTCATTATCAAGAATTTTACATTTACCTATTGCCAAAGAATTGACTAGTGGTGGTAAAGGTGAGCATTTCTTTTCGGTGTCTCTTGACCATAGTGTATATTTCCATGACGATGAGTTTGACCCTAGTCAATGGTTTTTCTTCAATTTTAGAGCACCTAGATTTGCGAACAATAGAGTACTTCTTCAAGGATCTTACTACAATGAAGAAGGTAAACTTTTTGCCAGTATTGTTCAAGAAGGACTTGTATTCTTTCACAGTGGCTCGGAACTTAAAGCCAAGCTTTAATTTACAGGTCTACAGTTTTTTGCAACAGGTAATGTTATTTATTACATTTAGTTGATGCCTTTTTTGTTTTTCATTTTATTTTATTTATTATTAGGGGATAGATTGATAGGAATTTTTATATAGAGTTAATATTATTGTTAAATGGTATTTTGTTTTATTTTTATGTACATTAAATTTTTGTTGGGTGCAAAAAGTCTTATTATTTTTTCACTCATCATTTCGGAACTTGGCCGACTTTGTGATATTTATAATCCAATTATCCTGCACCGGAGATGGGTATTTTATTATGGACCTCGGTGTTGATTGCGGAGTCATAATCCGAGGACGCTGGTGAGGTAGAAAAAAGTATGAAAGGGTAAAGGCTGAAAGAGTAGGGAGGGGATATGCTAAATGGTACAGAACAATATAAATGAGGCTGTGAAATCTATACTATATAATCTGCATTAATAGATCTATAGATATCAAATTAAAAGGATCTTTCAAAAAAATAACAACATTAATTTAAAATTAAAATAGTCTTCGGTCACGTCACGTGCTTGTCAACAGGAAAATACTACAAATATAGATAGCCCCCACACAAGCATTTAAAAGTTACGGAACAATCAAGAACTGTAAAAATATTTACTATTATTAATAAAAGCTATGAATATTGAAGATATTAGCTCTATGGGAGCAGTATCCCATTTAGAAGAGAAATTTTCTGTGAAAAAGATTTCTGAGAATGTGTACGAGGGAAAGTATCCTCTTGAATCGTTTATGGAAGGAGCTCGTGGGACTTACGGAGGAGAATTTATTGCACAAAGTATCATAGCAGCATGGGAAACTGTTGAAGACCCAGGATTTACTCCAAATTCTATGCATTCATATTTTGTGCGTGCTGGGAATTGTGATTCTGTCATGAGATACGAAGTTCTTCGATCCAATGACGGTCGTAATTTTGCTAATAGAACCGTTCAATGTTATCAATCAGCCACTAATCAACTTTGTTTCACACTTATTATATCTTTTGCAAAGAATAATAGTGCAAAAGAAAAGGCAATTGCGTATGAAAATGACACTACAGGTAAAATAACTCCACAATTTGGATTCCAATCATCTCCACAATATTTCTTGAAGAAGTATCGTGATCATTTAAATAAATTACCATATTTTCAACATACCAATGAAAACTTACAACATATACTTCCAAAGGAATTCATTGATACCAAACTGACTGCAACTATCTTTAATCGTAAAGAGCCTGGTGACCGGAAATTAGGGGTGTTTGTTAGAGTTAATGATGATCTTACATTAGCCAAAAACGCCACAAAGACCAAATTTGCTAGTTTGGGATTTGCCTCTGATAGTTTCTGGTTATCTACAATTATTCGTGTATTGGGATTGCCAGTGAGTGGGAAGTATTTAAATTTCTTTAGAGTAAGTTTGGATCATTCTATTTGGTTTCATGATAAAGATTTTGATCCAACTGAATGGATGTTTATGGATTTTAAATTTACAAGACTTGAAAATGATCGGCTTTTAGCCCATTGTCAAGTGTTCACATTGGAAGGAGTGTGTGTGGCTACCGTTACACAAGAAGCACTTGCATTCATTCCTAAGAATCTTCTTGATAAGTTCCCATCCAAGAGTAAGCTTTAGACATTTTTAACTATTTATTTCATACAACTATAATAAGATATTAATTTTTAAAATATCCGTGGATATAAAATAATTATTGTATTACTGCCCCACATTGTAAAATCTGCATTGGCACATGATTGGAAAGAATCTGGGGTATCATTATAAAAAGAGCCTGGGCGCGCGCGGTCGACTCGGCCGAAATGTTACCCTTTTTAAACTACTAATAAGCCCCAGGAAATATACCCACCCATAAAAAATTTAAAGAAGAAAGTACCTATCGACTAGAATGGACCTTCAAGAAGCTTTAGAGATTGAAAAGATATCCGAGACTCGGTACAAAGGTAAGCATTGTCTTTCTAAGCCACATCCTACCCTTCCCGGGGTATATGGAGGTAATATGGCCGCTCAAGCATTACTAGTTGCAATTCGATCATCTCCAAAAGGATTCACCCCTCATTCACTCCACTCGTTTTTTCTTAAGGCAGGATCTGACCAAGAAGTGTTTACATGGGAAGTAGATAAGACCAGTGATGGGAGAACATTCTGTAATCGGATTATTAAAGGGGTTCAAAGTGATGGAGTGAAATATGTCGCTACAATATCGTTGACTAAAAGAAATTCAGTCAAGGGGGCAGAAAATAGTTATCGAGAATATCAAGAACAAATCAAGAACAATAAAGAGGAAATTGATAATTTATCACCGGTTGCCAAGCCGTTTGGGTTTGGAAGACCATACCCCAAATGGTTGAGTAAATATGATCCAGACTCTCTCCCGGTACATCCAAGGGTGGATAATCGACAAATTGTTCATAAACTTCCTCCAGAAATGACTGATTTGGAGTTAACCGCTAAGGAGGAAGAAGGAATGCCATTTTCAGAAAGACAATTATCATTTTTCGTTAAATGGGGTAAAAAGGATAATAATGAATTGCCCAATTTAGAGGAGTTTAGAGTACCAGGACTTGCAGTTCTTTCAGACTCACTTTTTTTAACTAGATTGGCTAGACTACTCCGAATCCCCGATCTTGACCATACCAATATCCGTCACTATTTCTCTGTTTCTTTAGACCATATCATGTATTTCCATGATGTAGATTATGATCCTACCAAATGGATGGGATTCAGTTTCAATGCTATGAGGTTGTCCAATAACCGGGTGTTATTGGAGGGAGAAATGTACAATGACAAGGGCCAACACGTGGTGTCTATCATTCAGGAAGGATTGGTTAAATTCGATGGACTTGAAAATAAGGCAAAATTGTGATTTGTTTTTTAGAATTTATTTATAATCTGTTAGAATGCATATATGGTTTTTATATATACATATAGTTTTCAATATGAGAGAATGCGCACACATTATCAAAAAGTATAGCAAAGTTATCAGCAATCTGCGAATAGGTTCACTTAATATCTCTTACAATTGCTCTAGAGATGACTCAAAATGAGTCTACTTTGACGGTGTCTGATCCTGTATTATCAGTGTTGAACAAAAAGTCTGTGGAAAACCTTCTTTCAATTCTCCAAACTGGGATATATACATCCAATAATTTACTTGTACTTGACCAACAACTATCCAATTTGATCAATTTCCTTACTCCATTTCTGAAATTAAAGGAAATTGGTAAGTTTGAGAAAATAGTATGGCTTAATAACGAACAGCCATGGTCTGATATCCTAGGTTCATTCAATGGATTGATTATTATGTGTCGTGAATCTACTGATAATCTCAACCTTGTTCTGAAATTAATCAATACTCTCCCTAAACTGATCAAGGTATATTTAGTGGTGGAGAATCTCTCCAAGGCATTCACTTATGAATTAAATCAAGAATTAAATGGTGACTTATCTTTCAATTCTACCATTGAATTGAATCTTGAATCTCAAAAATTTGTTAAATTAACATCAACCGTCAAATTATACAATTGGTCAATTAATCCTATAGTTCTTGATCCAGAGGATGGTCTGACTGGTGGATCTGTCTTATCTTTGGAACAACCATATGGAGGGTTGGAGTCATACTATACACAACCACTAGAACAAATATCACATCTATCAAAGGCATTCATTAATCTTTTACAACTTTCACCACATTTTACTATGGGTCATAAGATGTTAAAATTAAAAAATATATATGCCAAGGGAGATCATTCATGTTTACTTGCTAAAATAATACAAGACGAAAAAATCCCAGACTATTTAAATGAACAAATGTCACCATTAGAGCTGCAATTTTATCTTGAAAAAACCAAGGGCAATACTGATCTTGTCATTCTTGAACGGAATTTGGACTCTCTGGCCTTGGCATTCAACCAATTGAACTATCAGGGACTCATAGATGATTTGTTCAAGATTGACCTTAATAATGTTTCAATCCCTAAAGAAGAAACCGGTCGTGATGGAATGTTATTGGAAAAATTGACACTTCAAGATGAGCTTTATCATGATTTGAAACATTTAAATTTTGCATCTATTGGTCATAAATTAAACCAATTAGCAAAATATATTCAAAACGAGTTTCTGAAACGTGATAGTTTACTTCATAATGACCAAACTGAAAATTCTGACTTGACAGAAATCAAAAAACTTGTTAATAATTTGGGATCATTGACAAATAAACAAGAATTGATCAAAAAGCATACTTTTATTTCTGAATCTATATTGAATAGTATCAAGTTTGGTAGCACATCTACTAACCCACAATTGAAGTCAACATATTCTCAATTAAATGAACATGAAGAATTCCTTGCGTTCCAAAATGATTTATTTGATTTAGAATACAAGGCACAAATCTTAAAAGTTCGAGAATTCATTGTTAAGAATTTTGATAGTAATCTTGTTTTAATGGGGGTATTACTAGTTTCCATTGTCAATGATGGAATTAGGGAAAGAGATTATGAAATAATACTTACAGAAGTGACTCAAAACTATGGATTATTGATTAAATTTACTCTTGATAATTTGATAAGATACCATATACTTCGCATTCTTCATACTGGTGGTGGAGCTACTAGTGAACTTTTCGGGGCTGCACTTGCATCTCTTTCATTAACTGGGCATTCAAATGAAGATTCATCAACTACAAATCAATCAACATCTTTCCAAGGATACGAAAATCTTAATCTGTTGGGAATAAGTGGTGGTGGAGTTACAGGATTAAAGGGTAATTTCACATTAATTGATAAGTTCTTCAACTTACATCCACAAGAAGAACAAGTCAATGAAAGCACTGAAGATGGGTTATTGATACAAGAATACTCACATCCTACATTTGCCTTGCCTTCTTCAACAGTTCCACTTCTCACTAGAATTGTTGAATCGTTATATTTACGAGATTTCCTTACTTATAAGCCCGTCAATAATCTTTCAAGAAGACCTAATTGGGACAACCTTAACCTTGATACTTTTTTCGCAGGTAAATCATTGGATATAAACATTTGTGACACTCTGGATGACAAAAGACAGCAACAACGAGGGGTCGAAGGTCCACTTTCACGACAAGAATATCAATATGTGGTGATCATAATAGTTGGAGGTATTACAAGAAGTGAAATCAGTTGCTTAAAATATCTTGAACAAAGAATAAATGCAAAGAATCATGGAGAAAAGAAGAAAAAGTTTATTATTCTTACAAGTGGAGTGGTAAACAATCAAAAGTTATTAGACTTTTGTTCTCGTTAACAAGAATACTACAACTCCCTGGAGGGGAAAGTGTTCTAACAATTAATACATGTATTGTGATGTCTGTTTTTTCTTGTTTGTTTATACTTTAAGATAGTGCTAGGTAGTGATTTGAAATGGATAAGATATAAAACAGTTATGCAGCGCTGTAGGAATAGATACGGGACGTAGCCTAACTCAGTCCACTCAGTTCGTCTAGGCAGAGTTTTCAACCTCCTTCTCAGCAGCAAGCTTAGCATAGAAAGCTTCTCTCTTGGCAACCATTGGCTTGTGTTCACCGTACCAATAAACGTTGGCACAAACAAAACCGCAAGCGAAAGCAACGGTGATGTCGGTGATGATCTTCTTTCTCAACATACCGGTAATTGGAGCGATAGCCATCTTTGATTTATATTATGTAGTGTAGAAACGGTTAAAGTAACTAATGTTAATTTCAAAGGGTTTTTTGTATATCGTTTGACTTTTAATGATATATGTGTGAATAATATCAGTCGATATTGGGTCGTGCGCACGCCCCGCTGACCACCCAATGAAAAAGCCAATAAAAGCTCTTCGACTGTCAATTTTTTACGGGTATATCTATTTCGACCTGCATAGTAAAGTGGTTCGTTTTCACCTAAACCTCTTCAGTTTTTTTAGATTGAGGACTTACAAGATTCGATTAATCATAACATTAGAAAGTCAATAATCTATATCATAAAAAATGTTCGCCAGATCAAGATTGACCACCCAACGTCTCACTAGAAACTTCCAAACTTCTTCCAGAAGCATGAACAAGATCTTTGGTACTCCACAAGAAGGTGTTTACTCCAACATCCCATTCAAGGTTAAGAACAGAAAGATCCCTCTTGCTGTTCCATACTGGGGTGTTCTTGGCTTCTTCTTTGCCTTCCCATTCTTGGTCTCCTGGTGGCACATGAAGAAGGCCGGCTCTTTTGACATGTAAGACAGTTTAGCCAGAACATTTGCTGGAACAAAAAGGGATGGCCAAGTTTTATTAGAAATTGTTAGTTGACTTGGGTTCATTACCCCCCTGTTGCAATCTGTATATCGCATATCAAAGATGTTACGTCTTTATAATATACTTCATTTGAGGATAGAAATTACTGTAGTGATAGGACTAGTATGTTTGTGGGGTTAAAGATGATACATTTATTCAATATTCTCTATAAACTGCCAATTAATATCATCTGAAAACCTTACTCTTTTTGTAGGTTTGGGTTCTCCAAACAAGAAACTTCTCTTTTTCAAGTTGGATGGAGGTAACGATTCTGGTCGTTTTGGTATATGAATAGGTGCACTATCAGCTTGATTCATATCAACATCAGTTTCATTATTATCATCTGCAGATTCTCTTGAATCATTCAGATCCGTAGTGGAGTTAGAAACCAATGAATCGAATAAAAAGGATCCACTTGATTGAGGAACTCCTATAGGAGCTGGTGGTTTGGGAGACTCTTGTTGTAATAATTTTTGTTGTGATTTATCATGTTGTTCTCTTTCTAATTCATCTAGTTGAAGATGTATTAATGATGCATTTTCTTGACTTTCTTTAATATGTTTACCCCAATTCTCTACGCTATTTAAAAGCTCTTTATCTTCAGTAATTTCTAAAGTCCAATTACTGAAGAACTTCGTATTTGGGACTGGATCTATCTTTACATTTGGACTTGATTGTTGAAGTTTCTTATGAGACAAAGTATCGGATGATGGAACATTCTTCACTTGTTGCAAAAGTTGTTCTTGTATTTTCCTTTCATCTTCAAGTTGTCGTCTAAATCTCATAAGATCCTGATAAAATGGATCTGAATTTACTTCATATGAAGCCTTTGAGCCCAGAAGGATGGAATCACTAATATGGTTTATTCTTGAAATCATATTATTTCTACCCAAATCCATGGATATGATTTGTGTGTCATTACTACTGTTAGGGTCAAGTTCAACTTTGTCAATCTCCGCGGTTAACCCAATAATTATCTGAAGTAAAAGATTAGCTTCTCTTAATAAGACATCGGGTGGATGTACAGGAGTTGATTGTTGTTGTGGAGTTGAAACTCTTTGGGTTCCTAATGAGTCTAGGTTTTGTGAACGAGTTGGTGGTATTGGAGCTTGTTGTTGACCAATCGAAGTTGCCTTTATAATAAACTGCTCTATCCTGGCAATGACATCTCTTGGGAATAGCTCTAGCCCTGAACTAGTTCTAGCTCCGGCCCATGTCTTGAACAAATTGATAAGGTCTTGTCGCGTGGGAGTATCTGTCACAAGTAAATATGATTCAGTAAAGATTTTATAGAGCCGGGACCCAAAAATCAAATTGTATGGGTTCCCTATGTTTTTGCAAATGGAATCTAATAAATAGATTGAAAATAACTTGTGCTGGGGTAGACATTTCTTTATCCTTTCATCTATTAAATTAACAATTTCTTCGGCATGGTCTGGATGTCTCTCTGCTGCAGTGGTCAAGTCAGTGATCAATGCTCTCGAATTGAGTGTGAGTGAGGTCAAGAGATACTGGTAGTATTCTGCATCGAACGGCTCTCCCGTGTCCATGGCTAGTATACTAATTATAGAGAGTTGAAGGAAGGGGGTGGGAAGGTACTAAATGAAGAAGAATTGAAAAATATGCAAAGGGAAGAAAAACGGATATCAGAATAATAATGCAATAAGGATGAATTGTAAGAAGTGTTACCTGTTGCTGGACGTTCTCCAAAACAATAAATACTAATAACAAATCAAATTATTTGTAGAGTAAATTGATTGTGTAAGCTTTAATGTTACAGGTGTTTTTTTTTTAACTGACTCTCTAAGAAAAAACGATGTTTCAAATTGGATCACAAAAGCGAAATTATTACAAAAACACAGGACATTTATATTTTGCAGCAACAAGGGCAGAGGGAAACTTTTCATTTTGGATATAAAAGTAGAGAGAAATTAATGAAGGGGGTTTAAGTACTTTGAGTATTCACTTACAAACTAAATTCATTCAACTTCGGTATTTTTTTTTCGTATTTAATTATTTACTTATTTTACACTGTATCATGTGAGACACCTCATGAAAAGTATGGGGGGAAAGTTTGGTCATAAGACAGTATGCTTTCTTCTTGTACTGACTCAAATACTTCTAAATTACCACCTTTGGGTGAAGCAAGGGGGGTTGATTCTGCAATTGGGTGGGGATATATATTCAGTTTATATGATGATTCTAATTCCTCGCGAGCAGCTAGTAACATCATTCTTTGGTGTTGAATTTCCTTTTGAAATGATTTGTTTTGCTTCTTTATCTGTTCTAATTCCCTTTTCAAGCGGCTATTTTCTCTTTGGATACTTGAACTTGTGGTATATTGCTTGCATGTTGGACACGACAATTGAAAAGAAATCACTAGGGAGAATGTTAGTATTATCATAATTTATTGTCAAAATTTTGAAATTGATGTATTATTCTACCATACGATTTAATTTATTCAATTTTGCTCTTTTTGCTCTAGGGATTTTACTCTCTACACCTTTGGACATCCTATTAAGCTCAACCTTTTACAACGTCAGACCACTACAATATTCATTTGAATTATCTTTTACACCCTTGGTTGCAAAAACCATCAACGCACCAAATTACACAAAGTCTTGTTGAGGGGAAGGTAAACGAATGTTGTAAAAAAAAAAATTTAGCGAAAAATTGCCGATACCGGCGCCGCGAATTACCGCCTGACTCACTGTAATCGTTGGACGGGTGGAGACAAACCGATTATATATGAGGAAACATTATCTCTTTGATTAAAGAAATAAAATCTGTAAAATAAGCATTTTGATAGCAAATTGAAATCTCTTCAAGATGTTTAGAACTACAATTCCAAATGCTATTCGTGTGAATAGCAGATCTTTCACTACTTCGGTAGCTGCCTTAGAAAAGATCAAGGTGAAAAATCCAATTGTTGAATTAGATGGTGATGAAATGACCAGAATTATCTGGCAACGTATCAAGGACAAGTTGATCAAGCCATACTTGGACGTTGACTTGAAGTACTACGACTTGGGAATTGAATCTAGAGATGCTACTGACGATCAAATTACCATTGATGCTGCCAATGCTATCAAGGAATACGGTGTTGGTGTCAAGTGTGCCACTATCACTCCAGATGAACAAAGAGTTGAAGAATTTGGATTGAAGAAGATGTGGGTCTCTCCAAACGGTACCATTAGAAACATTTTGAATGGTACTGTCTTTAGAGAATCTATTATTATCCCAAGAGTTCCAAGATTGATTCCAGGTTGGGAAAAGCCAATTGTCATTGGTAGACACGCACATGGTGATCAATACAAGGCCACCGATTTGGTTATCACCAAGCCAGGTAAGTTGGAAATGGTCTACACCCCAGAAGACGGTGGTAAGCCAGAAACCCACACAATTTACAACTACAAGGGCCCAGGTGTTGGTCTTGCTATGTACAACACCGATGAATCGATCATTGGATTTGCTCACTCTTCTTTCAAGATGGCCTTGACCAAGAACCTCCCATTGTACTTATCCACCAAGAACACTATCTTGAAGAGATATGACGGTAGATTTAAGGATATTTTCCAAGAAATTTATGACAAGGACTACAAGGAATCATTCGAATCTAATGGATTATGGTATGAACACAGATTGATCGATGATATGGTCGCCCAAATGATCAAGTCCAAGGGTGGATACATCATGGCCTTGAAGAACTACGATGGTGATGTTCAATCTGATATCGTTGCTCAAGGTTTCGGATCTCTTGGTTTGATGACCTCTGTTCTTATGACTCCAGATGGAAAGGCTTTTGAATCCGAAGCCGCCCATGGTACCGTCACCAGACATTACAGACAACATCAACAAGGTAAGGAAACATCCACCAACTCAATTGCATCCATTTTCGCCTGGACTAGAGGTATTGCTCAAAGAGGTAGATTAGATGGTACTCCAAAGGTTGTTGAATTTGCCTCCATTGTCGAAAAGGCCACCATTGACACCGTCCAGGTTGACGGTATCATGACCAAGGACTTGGCCTTGGCCTGTGGTAAGACCGATAGATCTGCCTACGTCACCACTACTGAATTCTTGGATGCGGTTGCAGCCAAGTTGGAGGGTCAAATTAAGGTTTAATAATTTTTATATATTATACACATGCGAATAAAATAACTATATACACAATAAAAATAATGATACAACATACAATATTAATAAGTAGTCTTGTTCAAAATTTCTCTCAATTCTCTCAATGTATAATAAGTGCCCATTGAAATGAGAACAATTTTCCCAAATGGACGTGAGAAGTTACGATAAAAGGTGGTCTATAAGTTAGCGTCTAATTTTGCACCAAAGGTGGGGCTCGAGAGATCCGATACTTACGTGTGGACTAGGAGGTTTTGTAGACATATCTATGACGGGTGTAAAGAGGGAAACTAGACTGTCAATGGGGGCGTATCATCCTTGAGAAAGATGAACAAAGGACAACCCTCTACTATGCAGGAGAAACTTCTCAGAGGGAAATATATTATATTACCTAACCAAGGACAAAAAATAAGGTTCTTTCAAACATGCGATTATAACATACTGGGTTAAGTTGGAATAATTAGGATAATGAGTTTAAATAATGAAAGTATAGATCATCGTGTTTGAACATATTTCCTTGAAATAGCAACTTTTAAGGAATGACAGCTGATAATTTGATCTTGTTTCCCATTTAAGTTTTCGATTTTAAGTTTTTTTGAAACTCCGCAGGGTGATTTACGATGAAATTTCGATTCAGTTTTGGACCTATTGTTAACTCCTTGATAGGGTTACTAGACGAAATACTTCTTCAAAAGCACACAAACACGTTCTTCCTGTTTTTTACTGATAAGGATTGTCCTCGTCAATTTTGCATTGTAAGTATCATACTTCCGATTTTACCACTTTTTCTGTCCAACATTGTAGATATATTACTTGACAGTGCTTCCGGTTAAAAATAAAATGGCCGAGGGTTCTGGATTTGTCTCAATTTATTTTTTTGTGTTTCTGTTTTCGCCTTCGCTATAATTCACCCTTTTTTCTTTTATACTTTGTTTAAATCTTGTTGTAACATATTCATGTACAGATTATGATCATTTTATCCCTTCTGGATGTCATGCGGACCGAGTGACAAAGAAGGAGAGTAGTTTCTCTTGTAAAATTTCCCAATCTCAATCTTTCTTGAGTCCGAAATCGCGCATGTAGCGATGGAATTCGGTCAAACACACACAAAAAAAGGGTTCCAATGTACATGGGATGACACAACCCGAAACAGTTCTCAGATCTAACCCGTATCACACCTCGCCTCAAGCTTTATATTAAAGCAACTGTGGATGATAGATTATACCCTCAACTTGTCCTATATAAAATAAAGAATTTTGTGTAGGTGTAGTATTTGGTACCTGTCACTTTCCCGTTAATTGCGTTAGATAAGACGCACATGTATGTTCTGGATTCCAAAAAAAGGACGAAAAAAAAGTAAAATCAATCTTCTGTGCACTACACAAGGTGCATTGCTTCGGGCCAGATGGGTCACTCCTGATTTTCAAAGTGTTATCTTGAGCTCTGCGGGTTGTTCTATCAAGTGTCCCCCGTTAATTGTATTATCCATAGATGTCAATTTAACCCTTTGCACATGGTAAAGTTTTTTTTATCTTTTTGGGAGGCAAAGGAGCCAGAACTAGACCAATCCATGGCGTAGGTCTTTTTTCTTTTTATCTGATTCTTTTTTTTTTTTTTTTTTTTTTTTTTTTTTTTTTTCGGGGGTAGGTTCCACTATCTTACCCCCCTTTGTCCTCGATCTGCAAGTGTTAGCCACAACTTGCTGCACCTGAAACTCTAATCTCGAGCGATCCTGTATTGCGAGTTACGAAATTGCGGTGTGAAGAAGACATTTCCATAGTTAAAAAAAAATTCTTGAATCCCATTTACTTTGCTCTTCCCCTTCAACTATTTTAAATTTGCAAAGGTTGCTCGTGAATTCAGTGAATGTAGAACATTTTGGTTGAGGAGTTCAAGGTTGATAGTTTAGCTCTTACCCGTTAAAAGATCCGAGTATCCTTGGTTAACCTTCCCGAACTTTTATAAACCCTGTTCCGCCCCTTATCAGATATTGTTCTCTTCTAGAGTTGCCATTTCCAGCTATGAACCCATTTTTTTATTCATCACCAAAGCATCTGTCTGGTCAAACCCTGGCTGGTCAAGGGTCACCACAAACCCCCGAGAATGTCCAAGTTACCTCCCCAGTTTCTCATGTGCCCTATCCTTCACCCGGTTATTATTCAAATGTACATCAAGCTCCTCCCTTTGTTACTCAACCTAGCCAATATTATTTTGAATCACCAATTTATGAAATGCAATATAAATATGTTCCTTATCAACAATATCATATCCCACAGCAATACCCCAGAAGTGAGGTCAATCATAAGAAACCTGATTTGATTAATCGGAACAATTTACATTTTTCTCAGCCTTCGCAAGATCAGCTTCCCATGGCACTTCATGCATCTTCTTCGCATACATCAGGGCAAGACCTGCGCCAGAGTCAATCAGACCATCAACAAAGATCACAACCTCATTCTCATAAGCGCCATCGTAAGTCTAAACTGTTCCCTGATAAACATTATGCCCAGATGTTTCCCTCGAAATCAATGAGTAATAAAAAGTCTCACAATGCAGAAGCACCATCTTCGGAAAATGTCAAATTTCCAATCATCCCAATGCCTCAAACAACAAAGGTTTCTTCATCTATAGATCTTCAGTCACTTTACTCAAAGATTGAAGTTAAGAAATATTCAACTTCTGCCATTGATCCAGTAAGGAATTATTTGACTGTTTATGAATATCCAATCAATAAACATTGGGTTGTTTGGGATTATGAAACTGGATTTGTTCATTTGACGGGGATTTGGAAGGCATCTTTAGAATGTTCGCTGTCACATTCCTCTGGAAGCTCAGCGCCAGGATCCTCATCTTCAACAGGACATTCTGGAGGTGATCTGGGAGATCATCCACTTCCCAAATCACATTCTAAAGCGGATATTGTGAAATTACTTGAAACAACCCCAAAGCAGTACCAACAACATATCAAGCGAATTAGAGGCGGGTTCCTCAAAATTCAAGGCACGTGGTTACCATATTATTTGTGTAAAATAGTGGCAAGGAAGTTTTGTTATCATATTCGATTTGAACTCATTCCAATTTTTGGACCTGAATTCCCTGATTCATGCTTAACCCCAGAAGATCCAGGATTTGGGAAATTGAGATTAGACGAATGTCATGGTGAATTGTCCAAATCAAAGAAGCCAAATAGTTTATTGAAACGGAAATTGGATGATGAATTGAAACTAGAAAAGGGTTTAAATGATGAATTTGCAACCAAAAAATTACCTAAAATTGCCACTGAATCTTTTGGTGATAGAAAGGAACAATTTGGAGGGGTTTTAGTCAGGGAAAAAGAAAAGGATGAAGTAGAATCTTCAGAAGCAGAAGCAGATGAAGATCAAGAACCAGAAGAAGTGGAAGAATATGATCAAAGGAATTATTCTTCGAATTCAACTGGCGCACCACCTACTCTTGGATTATTTACAACCACAAATAATATTAGAAATTTAAATCCTGCAGAAACAACTGCCACATTAACAAATGATCCACTGTTGACATATCATGAAATGTTGGACATTGTTACCGCTTCTAAATGTCTACAATCTTTAAAACAACCATCTAGTTCTACATCTCCAACATCAGTTTCAGTGTCCCCAAACTTCTCTTTAGCTCCAGATATGCAGCTGGTCTGTGTCAATGGAATTTCATCGATTTTGGAGGCTGCTGGATTGAAAGAAAATCCTCCAAAAAGAAGAAGAAGTTTGAAAATACATGAATTGATATCGTGATACAATTTTATATACATATATACCTCCATCGATTTAGATGATTTTTTATTTTAGTTCTTATTCCATATACTTTCTTTGGGTGTGTGTATGTGTACACGCGAAATATAAATTTATTAAATGTTCAGAGATATATCCATGTGCCGGATTCTTAGTTATGAGAGAATTTTAGTGACAAGTAATCACAAAGTATTATAACGTGAATCAAGATACAAAAAATAGATGAAGTAGGGATGGATTTTATAGATTTCGACTCATTCCAAGAAGGTGATGAACTACCACAGCCACAACCAGCATTATCATTGCCGAATATTGAAAATTTCGGTAAGAAATTCACTAATTTAAATAATTTAACTCGTAATTTGTTAAGAAATAAGAATGATGAAGTTCAATCTAAAGAGGAGAAACTTGCAGAAAGATATGCAACAATGTCATTAAGTTTGATAGAGAAGGAAGAACAGGATAAACTAGAAGAACTGCATAAACATGGACAATCTGAAGACAAATCGTCGATGGTTGGAGATGAAAAAAATAGTTCAACTCTTTCCACTAGACTTTCAAGAGTTCTTACCAATCCAATGTCTGATAATTCCATTCGTGACATTTTCACATCATTAGAAGTGAAAATTTCAAATACAGATGATTTGGTGGAACCAGGTATCATTGGATCAATGTCAAGAAAGGCACTTCGTAGTGAGATTGAAAATGATCTTATCAAGAGTCAAGGAGCCGTATTGAAAGAGTATCTGACTGTTTATAAGTCATTTGCTGCCCTCGAGAATAAACTTCAAAAATTGAATGAATGTCATCTGTCCATGGTGACTAGACTTGATAAGGGATACGAATCCACTGTGGAAATCAATGAACAAGTACAAAACCTTATTAATGAAAAAAAGGCAGTTGCATTGAAAAAGCAAATCTTAATAACATTTAAAAATAAATTCACTTTGAATGAATATGAAGAACATCTACTTCGTGGTGGAGAAATCAATTCTGAATTTTTCTCTGCTTTAGAAAAGGCTGAATTAATCCATGAAAATTGTTCAATTCTTTTATCTCTGGATAATCCACAATTGGGACTTAAAATCATGGCAAAGACAAATAATTTAGTGACACGAGGCGTTGACCGGATCACGCTGTTTTGTAATAAAACCTTGGGGAATTTACATTCTCTTAATACCAAATCTCGGTTGGTAACTTTACATCAATGTTTAAAATATTTGAGTAATAGACCAAATTATTTGAATACCATTCTTACAAATTTCACTGAATCTAGACTGAAGATGGTTGTTGAGGAGTTTTTGGATCAAATCGATGGCGATTTAGAGAGGAAAAGAGAACGACTGGGTAGTGTTATTAGCGATAGTAGCAGCAGTACTGGTGCTGTCAATAACAGTAGACCAATAGTGTTGTCAGCACATGATCCTGTGCGGTTCATTGGTGATTTATTGGCATACGTACATTCAGTGGTGGTTAATGAACATGAAACAATTGAAAATATATTCAATGATTCTTCTAATGTTTCCAATACAACCATTGATAATATTGTTGCATCAGTACTTAAATCCTTGGTCAGACCGATTAAGACAAGAATAGATCAAATTATTAATTCCGAACTGAAAATTGCCACAATCTATTCCATTCATGGACTTCTTGAACTTTATTCAATGATGTTTACCAAACAAACAAATAATTCTGAATCTCCAGCTGCACAACCACTTATTAAAGCCTTTGATACCCTTGCCCATGCCACGGTTGAAAAAATCACAAACATCATCCAATCACAGTTGCTCACGATCAAGCATTCTAACCAAGCTCAATTGGATATAAATACAGACTTACAAGCACCAGAATGGATCATTGAATTCTATTCAGATATTCTCCCAGTGTTGGATAATATATCATCTACTACTATTATGAATGTTTCTGAAGAAGAAAATAAAAAATTAACCTCTATGCTTGTGAATGAACCAATTGAAATATTCAATACTCATATACAAAATAATTTGGCAAAGGTACTCGATAAAAGAGATCAACTTATCATAAGGGCCAACTTTTTAGATATCATTCTAAGTAAGATTACTCCAATCACGGTACTTAACGATAAGGTTCTTGAGTTGAGTGAAGCGGTCAATTTCATTGGGATAGAACTCACCAAAATCCAAACCCTTCAACTCTATGAAGGATGCAACTTGACAAACTATACTAATGTCATTAATATGATTTGTCCATTCACAGATGACTTTTTCGATGTATCAATATATCAAGCCATCACAGAAAATAAATTTTTCACAAAGGAACTTGTCAATGAGGTAAATGAATCAATTCAAGAGTTTTTACCAACGGCTTTACTTGATGTACAACAACAACTTCTCAAGATCAACTCACCCATGTTGGTGAATGACATTGTGACAAATTCATCGATTGAATTTGTTCAATTTTATCTCAAATTTGGTTTAATTTGTGAAGAATATTTAGGTGAAAAGGTTTTAACTTGGTCTGATATGGATGTTGCAACCTTATTAGGGGTTGAGACTTCATACGAAAGTGTAAAATCGAGAATGGAGCTTTAAATATTTAACTTGTGACAAGTATGTAAATATCTAATAAATGAAAAGATTGATTGTCATTATTTTCTCTATATATACATTCTATTAAACTACTTCACTATGATCCGGAACCTTACCTCTTCCATACCCATTCTTCGAATAATAATCCATAGGATAGTATCCTTCATCCCACATCCTGTCGTTGTCCAACATGACCATGGCTTCGTATGGTGTAAGTAAAGGCTTGTTGAATGCGTAACCCCAATCGATGGAAAGACGTGGACAGGCAACTTGTACAAAGGCATCTATATCGTCAAACATGGCCAATTTTTGCGGGAAGATTTCACTCAAGATAATCTTAACCACTTTGATTCCATGGCTAGTAAGTTTCTCTTCTAAAGTATCCAAAGTGGCATTGCTACCTTGACGACCTAATGCTCCAAGAATGAGCCCCACCTTACGCAGCTTGGAGGCTGCAGCGACAGCATCTGCTCTGACATCAATCAACTCCTTTTGGTCATAGTATTCACGAGTGAATTTCCGCAGATATGGATCGTAACGGTATGCTGGGATATCTGGGTTATGAATCATCGAGGATTCCATATGGAAACGACCATCCCCGACATAAATCATTCCTTGGATCTGAGACTTATCCAAACGGGCAGAGGTACATCCAAGGACTTCACCCTTGGATAATGGCATGGTTTGTGGTGGGATAAGGTATATAGGATGGTCATTGTCTTCAGCCAACTTGGCCCTTATACTATGGATGGTTGGGTTGAATTGAATGGTTCCAAACACAGCAAGTTGGGCACCACGGGCAAAGTTCCGTTTGATGGTATTTAAAAGATGCGACTCATCAATGTTGATCGTAACAAACACATAGAGTACCTTGATGGCTGTGATATCAATGGGGACCAAACATGAATGGGCATAATGGACAATGAAATCACAATCCAAAGATCTGGCCGTATAGTCATCTATACAACACGCTCCGTACGAGACATCCCCCATGACCACTGTTTCCACGCCACAGAACTGTTCGATGATGTCTGAAATGACGAGAGCGTAGATAAGAAGACCTTCGGGCATTTGAAGGGCCACTCTCTTGGCACCATGAGTTCTAATGTTCCATATGGTTTTATGAAGTTCAAAATTGTAATTTGATGGGAGAAGACCGATTGCTGCGTCGAGGTCCTTATCGTTAAGGATATCGTCTGGAATCTGGTTCATCAATCTTCCTACATGTTTCTTACGAGTACTTTTCACAAGTGATGATCCATCACTTGATGACACTTGATTTGGCTTACCAATGAATCTTCTTCTTGGTTTTGGGGCGGTTTCTGGAGCTGGAGCGCTCTCGATAGAGTTGAGCTGGTCCGTCAAGCCATCTCCTCCTATTTCCCCGTTGTCTCTGACCTCAGTTGTCATGATAATTATGTCAATACTTAATGCTTACCTTTCTCTTTCCATCTGTTTGCCATTTCTTTTTTTTTTTTAATCATCACAGAGTGTTTTTTTTTTTTTACTTCTTTATTTTTTTATTTGTGAAATCAGTGGAGACTTCATCATTACTCTTAAACATGATTACGCCGTTCTTCACAATCTCACAAGACGATGAGTTCATCTTTATCGATGTGAAAATCAGTCATGTTCGTTTCAGCGCTCAAAACATTGAAATGGTGGTGGAAAATGAATTGTTTATCTTCTCATTGGCTCCATATTACTTGAGAGTAAGGTTGCCCTTCCCATGTGTAGATGATGAACGTTCACACGCTGAGTTTGATTCCAAGAGTGAATGTGTCAAGGTGAAGATCCCCAAGGAAAACCGGGGCCAATTTTTCCCCGATTTAGATCTTACTTCAAAATTATTGGCAAGAGTCAATGAACCATCTACAACTGAAGTCAAACAAAATGGTACCACTAAACCATTGATTCAAGAACTTGATATTAATAACGATATAAGTACAGGAGAAGCTGGTCCCACAGAAAATACCATTGAAGCCACTGGTGAACAATTTAATTGGGAGATTTCTCAAACTGCAGCCACACAAGACTCATCTGAACCATCACAACTTACTCCAGATAACAACTATGGGTTCAATAACGTACATTCTGGAATCATCGGAGTTTCGATTTCGAATGGTAATGATATTAATGAGCTTGGTGACCCAGAAACAACATCATCATCCGATCGTATCATGGAACGACTTATTAAGGAGAATATCAAATTCGATCCTGAATATTATGCTGCTGATTATATCATGCAAAAATATCCTTCTCCAGATGATGATAAACTCTTTCTGAGACTTCTTGAATGGAAGTCCCCCACCACTAAAAAAGTTATGAAATGGTACAAGGAGAACAAAACGGGGATTATGACGGTGGACTTTTCCACCAAGGAACAAGAACAAATGCTTGATCTCCCCAGAAAATCATATATTTTAGAAGAACAACAAAAGCAAGAGTTGCTCACGTTGTTGGTTTCTTTGTTGTTTGCTTATCATTTCGATTTAAGAGAAACCGAAGGTGATAATAACATTGAGAGTGCATGGACAATTGGAAGATTAACTCCTCAAATTTCCTTCTTAGATGCCGCCATAGTGCAAGGAGCAGTAGAACAAAATGTTCTCAAGGCTACAGTCATCACCAGTGTTAGAAGAGCATTGTCATACCCATTACACAGAAACTATGCCTTATGTGCTAAAGTTTGGGAAGACGTGTACTATAGCTTGCGTGGTGGTAAGAGACTTATTATCAAATGTTTACTTGATTTGAGAGAAATGTTTAGATTTCATGATGTTTACTATGTATATTGCAAGATTTGGTTGGATGATCTTTGTGCATGGGTGATTAGTGATGATGTGAATGAAACATTGATCAGAGGATTGGCACATGATTTAAAGAAAGAATATGAAGGATTAAGAAAGTCAGAGATTACTTTTGAAAAATTGGATGATAGTGTTGAACGTGAAGACATTGATATGGAAGGTGAAGATGATATGATTGCATTAAATTTGGATGAAATAGAGCAAATGGCAGAAGAGCTGTATAGAGCTTATCAAGAAGGAAATTAGATACACGAATAGACAATATAGTAGGGAGAAGGGGGGGATATATAATAGAGACTGAGATTCGTCTACCAAAAAGTATACACATTCATTATTAGTATTTATATACACTTCTTGTACCTAATCTTTAAAGATTGCTTCCAATCCTTTACCCATGATACCTCTAACTTTCTTTGGGTCTTGCTTGGCAAATGATGCCAATACCATAAAACTTAAACTGAATGCAAGTCTTTCCACCATCAAATTGAACTTTGTTGGTTCACTAGGGACCAATGCACCCAAAGCTCTAGGAGCTACAAAGAGTGATAATTCCTTTCTTCTTTGGGCATTCTCAATGAAACATCCAAACCCACATCCCATGGCACCTGCTGCTGGAGCAATGGTATCGTCCCAACGGGTGATGGGGACATTGGGGAAAAGTTTAGGAAGTAATCTTGTTCTTGCCAAACAGAGTGAATACCAATAAAGGGCAATAAAAGCCCCCAAAAAGGCCAGTGAACGACAAGTGTTGATCAAATATCTTTTAGGACTTCCACGACGGATCAACCAAACCACAAAATTGATGGTTCCATAAAGGTTAAATGCAAACTTGAATCCACGTTGGAATCTCCAAAGGGCATGTAATTCGCAATTTTTAGTGGTGAATGCATGGAGAACTTCACAAGGGAGTGGGGTGTTTTTAATTAATGAACCCTTGGAAGGATCTTGTCCATATCTATCACACATTGAAACGAATACATCTTCATCAGGACAATGCTCACCATATTTCAAGGTGCCCAGTTTGATGGCTTTGAATGCGGTGACAATTTCTGGGTCCACATTAGCAGCTGATGTGATCCATCGATGATATGCTGGAGGGAGTTTGTTTGGGTAAAAGAACCAATAGTGCATGATGAAAAAGGACGACACCACAAACAAGAGTCCATCCCCATAGTTTTGGAGGAAAGGTGGAGGGTTCTTTACAAGAACTGGGAATAAAGATGTCCCCACGGTATCAAGAGCTCTTGTGAAAAGAATGAGGGTGAAATCAAGGGAAAAATATCGGTTATACTTGATGATATGGGCTTGAAATGATGGGAAATTGATAATAGCACCTAAAAACGAGGCAATGGTAGATACAATCAACTTATTGTTGGTTTTACGTTGCAATAACTTTTGTACAAACGGGGTCAAAACATTGGTGGTTGCAATCATTTTCGCAACCAATAAAGGGAACTTCAGCGGATGAAGCGCCCTATACAAAGTCTTGAGAATTGGATCAACACTATCTTGTGGTCTTCCAGTCTTTATTGCCCTTGAAACATGTTTGATGATTCTTGGTAGAACAACATATAGGTACGAGAAAAGGAACGCCTTTCGGGTTGATTTCAGAAACGCATTACTGGGAACTTGACGAAGAAGCTGACGAAGCAGCTGATGTGTGGCAAGTGTCATGATTTATATTTGTAAGGCGTGGGAATTTTGTAAAATATTGCAAAAAAAAATAAACCGTAACTTCGTCTAACAATTTTATGCAAGGAAATGTATTACACACATATAAGTAGCCCTATATATATATACATAGTCTAATAATATTAATAAAAATAATTTATATGTACGCTAAAAGACTTGCGATGAAACGCACATTTGGGCCCGGAAATCATAAACAACCGCGGCACAGACGCCATAGAAAGTGAAGAAATGTTCTTCCCTTGGGACCGATTGCTAGTGGGAATGGTCACTTCTCTAGGGTATTTACAGTGCTTTATCTATTCCATCAACATCATAACTAATTAGAATTAGAACAAAATGAACTCTAAATGGGGTTTCCATAAACTAAACATCATTGTGAGGCCACTTTCACATGCAATTTCAACGTTATATTCCTCTTTGATGAGAATTAGCGGTTAAAATTTCAAAATTGCAGAAAGAAAAAAGTCGCGGAGGGGGTGGGGCTTATCGAGAGAGAAGCACAAAGTGAAAATAACAACACCTTTAAAGTGTACACAACGTCTAAAAATTGACGACGAGATTTGAAAATAAAATACGGAATTCTGTATAAAACTACCTCTATATATATTGTAGATGTAAATTCCGTATGGACTCTTCATTTAAGAATTTATTGAGTATGAAGGTAGATGATCCTACCGATTAGACGAGGGAGAAGAAAGTCAACTAGAATGGAATGTAGCAAAAAAAAAAGAATTTAACTAGTTAGATGGTGTTATGCTCAGTTTCTCTCTGGTGAGAGAATGTTTGGGTATCTTATCTCACGCTCTTCCTTCTCCGTCACCATGGAAGTGTCCATACTGACATCTTCATCTATTTTCTCTTGCTTCATATCGATAGACATGTTTTCTGAATGGGATTTGTGTCGTTTATGGGTCGTTGATGGTGGTTGGTGACCCGATCCAGACCCACCATCCTCAGGTTTCCAATGGTGGAACAGAATGACATGCTGGAGAGATGTCATGGACTCTTGAGATGGAGGTTGTGCTTGTTTGGTTTGAGCATGCAATGGTTGTGCTGGAGCTGGTTTCACATATATTTGAGAAGTTGCACCCTGCGGCAGTGAAAGATTAGATGGTTGATTCCTGGGTGGTTGAAGCATGCCACTACTTAATTGTTGCATTTGTTGGCGGTATTTGGCTCCACTTTCAGGGATTCTATTTAAGTCGATGGAACGCCCAGGAGATCGGATGTATGACTCTGTGGGCATTGAATAGTATCTTTGATGGCCTCTACGGGTACGATATGGAGTTGTAGGGGTCGCCAAGTTTGCCACTGCCACGGCTCCGATTTTTGCCGGTGAAAGGGGTCGATTTACCTTTTTTGGTGATGAGGCAGTAACTGGACCCCCACCAAATCTATACAGCATTGGTGGGACAGGACTGGCTGATAATGCATCAGGACGATTTAATTCCCGTGAAGGAGTACGTGAATGGCCGGACTTCTCGGGTATTGGAACTGGTACTGGTCCTGGCACTGGTCTCGATGAAGTGGATGTCGTTCTTGTTGTCGTTGTTGTTGTTTCTGGCGCGTGTTTGGGAATAGGGGTTGGGGATGCAGTAGATCCTACGTTTGTGGATGATTGTGGCGGGATTTGAGGAACTTGTAGGTCAGACAGACCAACACACATACTAGGGATTAGATGGACTGGGATTTGTGCTTGAATGGCCATTTGTAAGATGGCAAGGTTCTTATTAGCAATCTCCAATTTATAATAATCTTGTTTGGCGCGTTCTTGCTCTGCCCGTAGCTTGATGGTTTCCATGTAGGCCTGTTCCGAGTACGGGAAAGATTGGACATCGGGCCCCAACAAGGCCAATAAGCCCGAGTTTAATTGAGGTGGTTGTGGTGAGATTTGAGGCAGAGTTAGTTTGAATTGTGGAGGTTGTTGGTAGGATAATGGAGGAGGCACAAACGAGCCACTGGCGGGTCCAGTGGGTCTCGAGCTTCCACTGCCTACACTTGGAGCATCTCCTGTAGATCCGCCCCTTCCAGATCCTGAACTGGATCCGATGCCACCGGACTGTCCGCCCGGATATCCCGACAGCTCATCAGGTCTAGGATGTTGCCTCAGTTGTTCTTGCTGGGAAAATTTATCAATAAGTGAATGAACACTCATGGAAGACGACGACATCGTGAAGCCATATGTACAATATTACCCGGGTGGTCGGCACTAGTTCAGTCGTTTTGATGGTCGACCCTTAAGTTCATTCTCTAAAGCCAAAAATTCCTTCTATGAAATCAAAACCTGTTTACGGTTTCGCACCCGCGCAGATTTCGCAGGGGGGGGGGGAGCAGAAACTTAGTGGGGCATCATCGTAGAAAAGGATGACAATAAACACAACAACAAGGGCACAAAACGGGTGCATTTACATAAGTTTCTTAATATATGATAGACTATTTACGGGATGTAGATGGCGTATCTGGTCCATATTGGCGTGATTAACTAGAGAAAGTACCTAGAGGGCCATGCGCAACCATGCCCAAAAGGGCAACTATTTCGATTAATTCGGAAGATCGTTCCACAACAGTACAGGACGGGAAAAAATAGCTACACTTAGTGCCCAAAGTGGGATATTGATTCAAAATAATATTAAAAATTTAAATCAAGGGTATCATTACTAAAAAAAAAAAAAAATGGGACTTAGAACATATATACATGGAGCAGTTGATTGATACATTTGTACAATTCAGAATTATAAGATTCATTTGTCATATCCATTCTCATTCACCAATTCTTACTCTCTTTCACTCTTACTCACTAAAAATCTTCAACTTTAAATATAACTTTTTTATCACTTGTCTTCATTTCTTTGATGATAGATCTAAAATTCTTTCTCCAATCTGCACATTTATCAACTCTAATATTCAATTCATCATTGAAATATAAATCTAATCCTTCAAGGATCCACTCTTTTTTAATTTCCAATTCAATATCTTGAAAGAAATTATATCTGGCCAACCAAGCATTGGCAAGTCCAACCGACCATTTCATGGTCCATGGACTACTAATCATTTCTGAAGACTCTTGAATCAAATCCTCAACAAGATATGATGGTTGAGAAAGCCCTTGCTTACAACAAGCCACATAACTAGACCCTAAACTCTTTGGCTTGAGAAGTTTCATAAGTAAAGGTTCCACTGTTGCCGAATGGAAAAGTTCGGAAAGTGATGATGATGTTGATATTCTCGTAAGATATGGGAACAGTAAAGTTTCCAATTTATCATATTTAATCGACAGAGTTTGGAAATATTTATTACCACCAATAATATCAATAATTGAATCAAGTTTATAATTATTAATTTCTTGTTTAGTAATTTTTCTTGAATGATCTGGTTCAGTCAAGAGTGCATCAATAATCTCTGAGGCGAAAAAAGTCGGTTTCTTATAATTGATAGGGATTTTCTCACCTGGGAGTACAAGATCTTCATTGGGGGAATCAAATGGAGTGAGATGGATGGTTTTCAGCACTGAAGGGTCATAATAACGACCAGAGGTGAAATGATGAATCAATTGTTCAAAATGATCGATTGAAGAATGACGTATCACCAAAATTATATTGAGTTTAGTCACATGTGAGTAAATAGAAGAGTTAAGAAGTTGAAGTATGGTTATACCCAAATCTGTATCAGCTCCATTGATGAGGATATTAAGGGAAGTTGCATGTGGGAGATGTGAAAGCGCCTTCTTAGCACGACAGTAATGTACTGGGAATGTAGTAAGAAGTGCTTCAGCGGGGATTTCAATCGATGAGGGTAATGGTGGTGGTTTAGATAATTTGGTGGAAGTAGAAGTTGTTACTGGTGATAATTTAACTTCTTCTTCTTCTTCTTCCTTGGTCGAGGTAGAGGTTGATTCTGGGTTAGTATCATAAGGGTTATCATCTCCTTCAATCTCCTTCTTATCTCCCGATTTAACTTGTTGTTCCACTTCTTCTTCATTATCATCCTCCAAATCAAATTTCTCCTCACCTTTATAACCCCAAGATCCTAATTGAAAAGTTTCCAATTTTTTCTTCAATTTCTTGTCCATTTCTTCATCAACAACAATCAAAATATCTCGAATTGGATTGACCAAAATAGAGGTGGAAAGAGCTCCCTTCTTCTCCAATGGCGACACAACACCAAACACACGTTGTCCCACATGGTACTGCAGTGTTTCTCCCTGATAATTCAAACCAACCTCACTGATTACCCCATAAAATTCATATCCAAGACCAACTTTTGCAGCACTTACATTCAAGATATACTTGTTCACCTTACCTAGATCGTATGAGTTCAATGAGGCATACTTCACATCCACAATAATCTTTGTAGGTCCAATAGGTCTGTCAATGGTTGGGTAGTTGAAATTAAGTTCAGTTTGCTTATTCTGCACCGATATGTCCTTGATCGTAAGTGCACGAAGATCACCCAATTCTTTGTATTTCTTGGTGGAGGCTTTAGGAGTGGGTTTGGAAGGTGGAGTGATTGGTTTGGGGTCAGAGGATTTCCCTCTTTTCTCCAAGTAGGCCAATTCTGGTGGGATTCGATGGAATGGGTTGGACTTGAGTTTCTCTTGTTCAATCTCATGGAGACGTTTATGATGTTCACGAAGATCTTCTTCTGGAGGGGGTGCAAACCCAACAGACTTTTTCACCGGGGTTGCAGTCTTCTCGGGTTGTTCAGACATGTGAGTAGGTGCAATTTAGTGGGGGGGTATACCAGGGATGTATCGAAGACTATCCTTATATTGCTTTGGATCGTACGGACTAAACGGAACCTAAACAATGACACAAAAAAAATATAAATACTTAAAAAGAAAAAAAAAAAGACAATTAAATCAATTTGGAGTGTTTCATTGAACCATGGGGAGGTTTTTAAGGATAGGATAAAGTTTCTAAAAAAAAAATAAAGGAAGGAGAAGAAGTTAGTGTAAAGTAAAATGTAGGTTTAACCGGGCTATATTAAAGTGGCTCAATTATATAAATTAGGTTTTGAGTAAAGTAAAAAGTCTTGCATGTATTAGACGCCTGGCCCCCTTGTAAAGCGGGCTTTAATTTGTCTCAGGATCTATCGGAACCAGAGAGAATGTGGATAAAATTGAAGAGCATTAAAGAAGAAAAAAAGAAAATAATAAAATGTGGAAAAGTAAAACCAATATGTGGATTGCAAATCCGTATACATTAATCTATTGAATGAATTACTCTATCTATCTCTGTTACTATCTAATCTCTTAAACTAGACTCTATGGGGATAATATTATTATCTCAAGTGCAATCTTCGCACTTTTTGCGCACGTGACCCCGCCACATGGAAAGTACCACATAACAATTTCCTAAGTGTTGTAGGATAAAGATCTAACCCACAACATATTAATCAATGTGGATTGCGCCGTTTATTTGCTACGTGGTGACTCTTTTCATCACGTTATGTGGTGTGCAATATCATATTAATATCTTCAAGTACCCATTTTATTTGGGTATCCCATTAACATTGGCGGTTTTCCTCCCACTTTCCATTGTGGTATTACTCCCATTAGATTACGTATCTCATAATGCCAAGGGCCCCATTCTGTGGTTTGAAATGCCCAAGAACGTGATATTGGTTATGTGGAAGTCCAACTATTGGTCCACATTTGCCCTTACTTGGCTCTTACTCCCAATTCTTCAAGAATATTATAGATCGGGTCATTACAATAAGTTGGCCAAATTGAAAGAAGCTGCAAAGAGGAACCTTAAATACCAGGCAATCATGTTGGGTGTATCACTTGCTGGGTTGGTGTACCTCCTACTCGAAGTAGGACTCACAATGGAGCATGTTAAGCTCATGATCATTGCCCTTCTGCATATCTATTCATTGGCGTTGGCTCTTTGGTTGATGGCCCATGGGTTGATTAGTATCCCGAGAAACCGTTGGATTGCTGGTAATCATGTCAAAAATTTGAATCATTATTATCTCCAACTCCCAAGATTGGTGGACTCTTTGGAAGACACAAAACTTTCATTTAAAGAAGAAATCTTGCAAGTGTTAATCTTGGAACAAAACTATACAAATCCTTCAGTTTCTGAAGACTTGAGGTTTAGAGATTGGATCTTGGAACTTTCCAAGCAAATCCCACTTGATTTGAGACCAATAGTTGAGGTTCAACTTCGAAATGATGTCAGTGGTAATAATAGAATCAGTAGAGATCGAATTACTGAGCTGTTTATGACAAAATTATCCGCTGGTTTCAATCTGAATTTAAGTAAATTGGTGGCATATGAATCAGAATTCAATATTCTATTCACAAAAATTGTGGAATTAGAAGACATTGTTGGTTGGAGATCAACAAGTCCAGATCAATTGGAACAATCATCAGTTCCTAATCATCTGTACAGTCGGTTTAGATTCAAACCAAGAACATGGCTCCCACCAAACACACATCTCCTCTATGTGACTCATATCAAACCGATTCTTAACCGTATGCTTTCGGTACTTCTTTTCATTTCATCCATCATTCTTATTGAATCAGAATTCCTTCATTCAACAAAATTTTCTTTAATGAATGTTTTAGTTTATTCCACTGGTTTAAACAAATTCCCACTTCTTCAACTTTTGGTTACTAGTATCACCTTTTCATACATGTTATTTGCCGCATTGAATTCTCTTACAAGAGTGAAAGTGTTTAATATGTATCATTTGGTACCACACAAATCAGATCCAGTCTCAGCATGTTTCTATGCAACCTACATTGCCAGACTTACACTCCCACTTTCATATAACTTTATCACATTATTTACATCGAGATCATCGATCTTTGAAGATTGGTTTGGTTCCTCGATTGTTTTGGATAGAGCAGGACTTTTCAATGTAATGAACAATTGGTTACCAAGGTTATTACTAATCCCAGTGGTGTTGACCATGTTTAACGTTTATGACAAATTGAAGAGTAAATTGGGGTTGAATTCGGATATTTATGATTCATGGGCTTTGGATGATGAGGATGATATTACCACAGATGAGAATGGGAATTCTAGAGTGGATAAACGTAAAGATCTTGTCATAGTGGAAGCCAAGAGAATGGTGAATAGAGAATGGCTCAAACGGAAAAATGAAACTACAAGAGAGGCTTCACTTCGTCCATTCAATTTGGCAGCTGCTGCAGACTTAAACTATGAGAACAATCGTACTCAATTCAACCAATCATTACTTGGGAATCGCATAGAATATAGAGACGACGATACCAGTTTGGAACCTTCCTCCTCTCAGGGTAGTAGCATTGGAGCTGATATGTGGAGCAGAATAGGTGGTGCTTTTACAGACATACGAGAGAATGTAGTTTCGAGATTTGGAGGTAATTCACGTCCAAGTTATCGGGATGTACAAGATGATTTTGATTATGATAATGATAATCTAGTTATATAGGAGAATTCAGAAATTAATGAGATACGGATCGAGAGATCTAATACCATATCTAGAGATAAAAATGTAGTTGTATAGCTATAGACTGTTTCTATAGAGGGGTAAGTGTACAGAGAAGAAAAAAGGAAAAAAAGAACAAAAAAAAAAAACAATATGTTACGGAGATGTACATCCGCAGCTACCAAGAAATAGATAACCCACAAAGTATGTGTTAATATTATAAATAAAGTCTACCGGGAGTGTAATAAAATTGTTATATATGACGGAGAACTACAGTTGTATGCCATTGCTGTCTGTAGATGCGTAGATCATAGATTATTAATAGAATTATATGTACTAACAAGTTAGTTATCCTTATCTAATAAGGGGGGTAGTACCCAACCAAATTCCACCACCAACAGAACAGATTCTCCACAAAATATACCCCTACTTAGTATTTTTTTTTCACTTTACAAGCTGTAACGTTCACCTTCCTGGCCTTAGCCCACCCCACATCTCAACGTTTCATAAAACGTTGCAAAATTTCTCCTCAACCCCACGCGCACATCTTTTTTGGGACTCTGGATATCAAAAGAGTATTTAAAAAGCTAAATTGTAAATTGTACTTCCTCCCACAGTCTGATAAAAAACCAAGAATAAAAAATAAGCATAAGATGTCCAGCAGTCGTATCTGTATGCGGACGACTGTCTTTGGTCTGCCACGCTTGGTTCCAGTGTGGAAATACCGGGTTGGTGGTCCATTGACCCGTCTGGTGTCTAGCTCAGTTACATTCACCGCAATTGATAAATCCCCGAGCACTCCAGCATCCGAAAATAAACCACACTTGTCGGGAAAATTAAGAGTCCCCTTGTTGAAGAGTCCATCACACCTCGGTCATTTCACCAGCAGGGTGAATCGACTATATAATGAGGACAAGTACAGTGCCAATGTCTTGTCGTTGAAGAAGACAGGGAAGAGCAAGACGGCTGGAAGTTCCGGCAACACGAAAAAAAGCAACCCTGAAGTGGATGCACATGCCACTGTATTCAATTTCAGCATATTTGACGGTCATGGTGGTGAACAATGTCTGACATTTTTAAAGGAAAATTTGGCACAAGCCATTGAAGATTCAGATCAACTCTGTGGGAAATCTGATAAGGAAAGAAATGAATTGGTGAAGAAATATTGGAAAAATATTGGTGGATATTGGAAAAGATGGTACAAGCATCGTAAGGATAACTTTGCCAAGATGATGGATCATGATCGGAATCAAATCAAACTTCAAGAGTTCCCCAATCTTCGAGATGATCTCTCGGTGAGGTTACCCATGAGTTTTTTAAAGTTAGATTATGATTTTTTCGAACTGGAGGATAACAAGTCTGGATCCACTGCCACTCTGGCCTTCATTGAGACCATTTATTCTGAACCAGAGCTTCATCTGAATGTTTTCGAAAACTATTATTTCAACCGGAAATCCATTCTGAAGTTGACGGTGGCTCAAGTTGGAGACACAAGAGCCATTATAGTTGATAAAAATGGTGAAGCACAGGCGCTTACTGCGACCCATCACCCTTCGAACCCAGAAGAAGCGGCTCGATTGAGGAAATATGCCGCCAATTTCTTTATGACCGACTCGTTTGGAGAAGAACGGTTTATATCTTTGGCAAATACTAGATCTTTTGGAGATTTGAATTTCAAAGAAGTTGGTGTTACATCTGAGCCTGAATTGGCTCAATTTATCATTGGAGATGAACAAACCATTCTGAAGAAATTGACTGATGACGAAATCGCCAAGTACACTATTGGTGGGTTAGGAGGTGATGAAGCGTTTTTGGTGTTGATGTCGGATGGAGTGACCAACGTGATCACAGACCAAGAAGTGGCTGACATTGTGATGGTGAATGTGAACATGAAGGGACTGCCCAAGGCCACGCCTCAATTGTGTGCCGAAGAGGTTGTCAAGTTTGTTGAGTACATTGGAGGCGATGATAATGCGACATGTTTAGTGGTGAGATTGAATGGATGGGGCAAATGGCCACTGATGGATAGAACTGGAGAATTGCGTCAAGAAAGGATGAATGATTACAATCCTAGAGGAGTAGATGTTGGGGCATGATTAAGGAGAAACTTCAAAAATTTCAGAGAGAGAGAGAGAGAAAAGACTTACATACGCATACTAGGCAGGCACCCGATTAAGAAAAGTGAAGAGTGAATGGAGGAGCATCTCAAATATAAGCTTCCATGAGAAGGGTGCCATTACCCTACGAAGTCAGTGAGACGATCAACTGGCCCTCTACTCGGGGAGAGCCACTGCGTGGTGTTTGGCCCCTCTTCGAGAAGTACAAGAATCTTCTCGCCAGAGGAGCGTGCCCTCCACGGCTAATGGCCCATGGAGTGTCAGTGGAATGGCTTGCAGCCATACAGGGATTACCTGGTCAATCACCTAGTCTCTGCACACTTCTTCTACACCTCTCCTATCTTCTCCATTTATTCACTTCTTCACTTATTCGGACGTATTCATCATTCCTACACTCTCTTCTTCTCTTCAACCACTCGGTGGTCTTTTCTTTATTATAGACACAAATAGAGTATCCAATTATATATACAAGGGCTATATGCTAAATCTTCTAGTTCTTGGAAAACTTGTAGGTGAATCTCTTTCTGGTGGCGGCAAATTCGCCCAATTTGAACCCCACCATTTCATCGGTAATGTCTACTTCGACATATTCCTTCCCGTTATGAATTTGAAACTTCAAGCCAACAAATTGTGGTAAAATTGTACATGCTCTGGCGTTGGTTCTTATTGGAGATCCGGTCTTACGGGCGTGGGCTATAGGTAACGGAACCACGTGAGGACCCTTCCAGGCAGACCGCTTAAGCAAATTCAAGGCAGGCTTCATGTTCTGTTTATAGTAATTTGGTTCACTATAGCCAAAGGTTTGATTTGTGTTGGTCAAAATTTATGAAAATATGTTTTTTTTTCTCGGGTCACGTGCGGAGCGAATAGAAGAAAAAAAAAAAGTAAATAGAAAAAAAAAAAAAAAAGATGAGGTTTGTGTGTGCGAGACCGCAGAGAAGAGGTTGGGGTGGTACGAAGAGAATAGAGTTGATAGAAAAGAGTAGGGTAGAAATGTTTGCACAAAGATTTGATCCCACTGCGGCCTTTGGTGGTGATGAGAAGGTGAAGAAGGTTTTGATTAAGCCCAGGAATGGGACAAAGAGAGCCAGAGAGGTAGATAGTGATGGAGATAGTGGAAGTGATGATGATGATAATAGTAGTGACAGTTCAGATTCTGACGATAGTTCTAGCTCTAGTGATTCTGACAGTGATAGTTCAGATGATACTTCAGCTTCCAATGATTCAGATTCCGACGATTCTAGCTCCAACGATTCAGATTCTGACGACTCTAGCTCTAGTGATTCCGATTCTGATGACTCTTCTGATTCGGAATCTAAGAATATCACCGAGGATGCAACTCCCATCACTGCTAGTTCTCCATCTGACAGTCCAGCTGAAATCCCTCCAATCTCTTCCACATCGAAGACATCCAATGAAATATCTCCTTCCGATGATATGGATGTAGATGTCCCTGAAGAAGATCCAAACTATATCTCCAAACATAGCGCCATCTTCAAGAAATTGAAAAAGGCAGTCAAGGAGGATGATGAAAAACCAGAGGACGATGGTGAATCTATAGAAGAAGACGTCATCATGACGGAAACTCAAGATCTTGCTCCTCTCCCACAACCAGAACTTCCAAGAGATAAAAGACTTCGGGCCACCGCTGCTCATTCGAAAAACTTGGATTGGCTTGCCACTCCAACTTATTCAAGTCCAGAACATTCACAGCCATTTGAAGATTTCCCACTCTCTTCATTCATGCTTAAAAACCTTAAGTCAATGGGGTATGATCACGCGTTTTCGGTACAAGTATCGATTCTCTCACTCATGATGGCTGAGATCAAACTGGCTAAGATAAGACCAGACAGTTGTAAAGGTGACATCCTTGTTAATGCATCCACTGGATCCGGTAAAACTTTGGCATATCTGATCCCAATTGTAGAAAGTTTGCATACAAGGGTTGTACCGAGAGTTAGGGCAGTGGTGCTTGTTCCTACCAAGCCTTTGATTTCACAAGTTAGAACCACCATGATGCAGCTTGCCAAGGGTACAAACCTTTCCGTGGTGAGTTTGAAGAACGATAAGAGTATTGCCGATGAGGGAGCCAAATTACTTGCCAATGAACCAGATATCATTGTTTCCACTCCTGGTAGATTGGTGGAACATATCCAAAGAGGATCCATTTCTTTGAAAGCTCTTGAATACTTGGTCATTGATGAAGCCGATAGATTGTTGAACCAATCTTTCCAGGACTGGTGTCAAGTGTTGGTACTGACCATTGCTGCAAACTACCCTGCGGGGGACAATATATCCAATCAATGGATGAAACCAACCCAGAAATTGATTTTCCTGGCCACTTTAACTACTGATGCCGGGAAATTGGCTCTGCTTAAACTTCAATCTCCAAGACTTATCATTGTCAATGACCAGAAACAACTTGTCAACGAAGTGTTCAGTGTACCACAACTGTTGTCCGAGTTCAAGATCCAAATCGGAACCTCCAAGGCTTCCTTAAAGCCACTCATTGTTGCCAAGTTTTTACTTCAACAACAAAAGAATGCCAATGTTTTAATCTTTACCAAATCAAACGATTCATCGTTGAGATTGGCTCATTTATTGACCCTTATATTTCAAAAATTGAATTCTGGTGAGCACCAACACACCGTGGCATACCTTAATTCTACAAACAATACTGCCAGTTCAAGAACTAAAATTTTGAAAGATTTCGGACAACAAAAGATTAACATTGTTGTTGCTACTGATTTGATTGCTAGAGGTATTGATCTTCTTTCCATTGAAACGGTGATAAATTACGACTTGCCCAACTCATCGCGTGAATACGTGCATAGGGTTGGTAGAACTGCCAGAGCTAATCAAGTTGGGTCTGCATACACCTTCTGTTTCGGTAAGGGTGAAGGCAAATGGTACAAGAAGTTGATGAGAGAAGTTGGGCGTGGTGAGAAGAATGTTGAAGACATTGAAGTCAATACCAATGAGCTCTTAGAGTCCAACGATGAAGATATTTATGATGAATGTTTACAAGAATTACAAAAGCTGGTCAGAGGGGAATAGGTGAGTCGTTGTATAGTTATAGATAGAGAAAGAAAAATTTGATAGAGTTTAAGATGGAATATGTAGAGATTTCATGGGCTTTAGAATGAAGTTGGAAAAGTTGGGGGGTGTAATGGAGAGGTTGATGGATATCTTATGAGGGTGGTGGATGTCCTACGGCAAATATGAAGCTTCTACTAGGAAGAAAGCCATCAATTTAATATGTCTATAAGACGCTCAGGGAAAGAAACCACTCCCTGAGTATTCTGTGTATTTGAAGCTAATCTGTTTCATACCAATGCTACATCCCCATAGCAAAAGAAAATGAAGTTTTAAGGACTATATACTACACCATCCAACTTTGCTGTCCAATCTGACTCTCTAGGATAGTACGGTACGAATTTCTTCAATACCATGAACTCTCTCTTTCGCAGCCAATTTGTTCTTGGTTCCAAAATGAAATCTATAGATGGACTAAATTCTTACAACAAAATAATACCTTGCAATTATCATGAATTAAACACTTACCCTAAGTCCATACTTAGACTCACTGCTAATTTCATAATTGATCAATATTGAAATCATTCGATCATTTCTTGTCTTCAAATCTTAACCTCGTAAATTGAGTAGAGATCTATGTCACGTGCTCATTACCGGATTTTAAGATATGGGTCAGAAAACAAAGAGTAAGAAGATGAGATATATCAATATAGATAAGACTTCCTAGCGGAGATTCGATATATAAAATAATTCTTATAACCTAGGTGTGACATAAACTATATCAATATGTCAGATTTGGAATCTCTCGGAGTAAAATTAGTGGATCAAAGTCATTTAGAACAATCAATCACTCAGAAGGCAAATCAAGTACTCCTTGCCAAAGATGCAGAACTAGATGGGAAACGATTGGAGAAAGCTGAAAAGGATTTGAAGAAGGTCATTGACCGCATACGGACATTACAACGACAGTTGGACCATCCAAGAACGAAAATATCTCAGAAAAAGGGACTTCGAGAACAAATCCAATGGGTTGAAAAGAATGAGTTGGAACCAGTCAAACAGGATATAAGTGATATCCAGGCCAGATTGAAAGAGACACACGACCAGCGGGTGAACCCTAGTGCCGGTGCTCCGAACGTGGATGCATCCACGGGCATGACTACCGATAATGTACAGCTTCCAGGAGAAACAGAACGAGAATTCTTAATAAGGACAGGGAAAATCACAGCCTTTGGGAATGAGAATTTCTTTCAATCTGGAGATCAGGGTGATGAAGAGCAGGCTAAGAGTCATACAAATTTAAGAGCTCCAGGATTTTATGAGGAGGATAATGACAGAGAGAAGGAGACTGGGAACAATGAGATGAATGATGACGATGATTATAATCATTCTGATGAACTGGACTCAGATGAGGATTCTGGTGCGTCGTCGTCTAGGAATGTAGACGATGGAGACGAATTAGTATTTCAGCAAAGACTTCGTCGTTGGGTTCGTCAAAGAAGTAAGCAAAGAAATAAAGAGAACACACAAATGGAAGACGACGAACCTTCAGGGGAAGATATAGATGAAGAATGGCATAAACCACATCCAAGTATTCCGGACTCGGTCTTAAATGAAACTTTCAAGCTTCCAGGGGACATTTATCCCTCGCTCTTTGATTATCAAAAGACATGTGTTCAATGGCTTTGGGAGTTGTACTCCCAGAAAACCGGTGGGATCATTGGAGATGAAATGGGGTTGGGGAAAACCATCCAGGTGATTGCGTTTATTGCCGGATTGCATTATTCTGGGCTTTTGGATAAACCTGTGTTGGTGGTTGTGCCCGCCACGGTGATGAACCAATGGGTCAATGAGTTCCATAGATGGTGGCCTCCCTTGCGGTGTGTTATATTGCATAGCATTGGTAGTGGGATGGGTAAACTGGGGAAGAAGAATGAAGAAGATGAACTTGAGGAGTTATTGGAAAAGGAGGAACCTTCTGGTACACTGACAATATTTGGCAGAAAGACCGCCTCATCCAAGCAAGCGCAAGAAATCGTGGATAGGGTTATGACCAAGGGACATGTGCTTGTAACCACCTACGTTGGGTTACGAATCTATTCAAGACAAATTCTCCCGAGAGAATGGGGGTATGTTGTTCTTGACGAAGGTCATAAGATTAGAAATCCTGATCTGGACATTTCACTCACTTGTAAACAATTGAAAACATACAATCGGATCATTTTATCCGGGACTCCAATTCAAAACAATTTAGTTGAATTATGGTCATTATTTGACTTTGTCTTCCCTGGGAGATTGGGAACCTTGCCTGTTTTCCAACAACAATTTGCTGTACCGATTAATATGGGAGGTTATGCCAATGCGTCCAATATACAAGTGCAGACTGGGTACAAGTGTGCTGTTGTGCTAAGAGACTTGATCTCGCCATATTTACTTCGTCGATTGAAGTCTGATGTGGCACAAGATTTACCTAAAAAGTCAGAGATGGTTCTCTTTGTGAAGCTCACTCAACTTCAACAAGAGCTCTATGAGAAGTTCTTGAATAGTGAGGATATACATGCAATTTTGCGTGGGAAACGGAACTTGTTGATGGGAGTTGATATGTTAAGGAAAATATGCAATCATCCAGATTTGATTGATCGAGAAGTATTGATGAGGAAACGTGGTTATAATTATGGGAACCCGGCAAAATCCGGTAAGATGCAAGTTCTCAAAAGCTTGCTACAATTATGGCAACGTCAGGGCCATAGAACTTTATTGTTTTGTCAAACAAGACAGATGTTGGACATTTTACAGAAATTTGTCGGCAATTTGCAGCCAGTTAATGATGATGGAGAAGAATGTGAGGGCCAATTCCAATATTTGAGAATGGATGGAAGTACCGCCATACATAAACGACAAGAATTGGTTGACACATTCAATGGAGATTTGAGGTTTGATGTGTTCTTGTTAACTACCAAAGTTGGAGGGTTAGGAGTGAATTTAACGGGAGCAGATCGAGTAATTATTTATGATCCAGATTGGAACCCATCTACCGACATTCAAGCAAGAGAAAGAGCATGGAGATTGGGACAGAAGAAAGATATCACCATTTATAGATTAATGACAGCAGGATCCATAGAAGAGAAAATTTATCATCGACAAATTTTTAAAACTTTCTTAACCAATAAGATTTTGAAAGATCCAAAGCAAAGAAGATTCTTCAAAATGAATGATCTACATGACTTGTTTACATTGGGAGATCCTGATGAGGTTGGTACTGAAACTGGTGATATGTTCCATGGTAGTGAACAAAATTATGGGGGTAAAGTTGATAGAAAGAGTAATAAATTGTTTAAACCTAAACATAAGAATGATGATGATTTCTATCAAGTTGCCGGGATGAATGGGGTTTCCAAATTGGATGAATTTGCAGGTGATGGTGATGAGAAAGAAGATGAAACAAAGGATGAAAGTAGAATTATGGAAGGGTTATTTTCTCAATCTGGAGTCCATAGTGCATTAAAACATGATGATATTATGGATCTGTCAAAGCAAGAATTGAGTATAATCGAGCGAGAAGCGTCTCGAGTAGCGTCTGATGCTGCTGAAGCGTTGAAAGAGTCGAGAAGAATGGCTAGAAAGACCAAAGTTGGTACTCCTACCTGGACCGGGAAATATGGAGTTGCTGGGAAATTTGGCCCCAAATCAAGCAAAATAATGAAGAAACCAATCTTAGGGAAACCAATGGGAAAACCAACAAAGGCAGTGGTGGACAATCCTTTATCATCTTCATCTATTTTGACGGAATTAAGAAGTAAAAAGGGAGTTAAATTTGGATCTGTCTTTGGTAAAAAGACAGAAGAATTGGAAAAACCAAGCAAAACTTCAAAAGAGGAAACAATTGAAGAGATTACAAATTTTTTGAATACTCAACCAAATCAATTTAGTAGTTCAGAAAATCTTTTGAAAGTTGTCAAGATGAAGATGGTCACACAACGGGATACAGTGATGATCAGATCAATGTTAAGAGAAGTTGCCGATTGGGATGTACTGAAGAAGGGGTGGAAATTGAAGGATGAATTCAAAAGATAATGAGCTAGATCCTATAGTAGTGGATCCCCTTGATATATTGTACTGACATCCGTAAGATAATTTCAAGTCTCTGGACATTTCTTGAAAAGCTTGTAGATTGAGCGAGGAATGTCTCTGCGTTGGATAAATTTGTTAGAGAGTCTTGAATAAGCAAAAAGAAACCAAATATCAATATCAACAAGACCACCACACCAGCATTACAAACCCCAAGGACTCCCAATGGGTCATTTGGTGCTGTTGCCCTTAGTTGATAATGTATGTATATACAGTTCCCCGTTACATAATTAACAATAATCATCATATATACGAAGAACATAAACACCAGTCCTTCGAGGCTATAATACCAATTGCAACAAAAGGAAATTTGAGCTTCAGATCTGCACTAGGTAGTTTATTCTAAATTATATGATAAAATAATTTTACAAAAGGCGTCCAAAGCAAAGCATGCACCGATGATAATTGTAAGAAGGGTTTCTAGTGAGGGCATGTTTGTCTCAACCTTTTGCATTTCCTTAGAAGTTTGGCTTCTACGAGTGGGAGCCTCATCGTCTCTATTTACGTACATCTATGAATCCGGGTAGCCCAGCCAAGATCTGGAACTGCAAACAAATAAATCAGTAGTCTCTTTATATAGTCTAATACATGACCCTGTATCGAGCAAAGAGATGGCCTATTGCTGTACATTGACTTGGGATTCTTTTTGAAGTAGGCACTAAGTGTTATAAATAACAAGCACTTCCAAATTAGATATGGTCTTTCGAAGCGGCACTTTCCAATTTAGAAAGGTATACCAGACGCTCCATTTTATTATCTTGTAGACTATATGGGCTGGAATATTTGCTGCCAGACATTTTTGACGCTATGCTAGTCGATGGCCCACGAAGACACGATACCCAGCTTGAACGGTAACAAAGGGGAGAGATAGAGAGATACAACCACAACATGTCACATGAGGAAGTCAAGAAAGTGAGAGCGCCTTGGAGGATGTAGTATCGACACCATCCGAGGTCTCCGAGCCTCCCTACTGACCCCTGCTCGGGGAGTGTCATTGTATGGAGTCTAACTTGCCTACAAGCAGACCACTAGCTGTCGGACTTTCCTCGTCAGAGGAACAAGGCCTCCACGGCTAGTGGCCCACAGAGTGCCAGCGGAGCGGCTTACAAATCCCGTAGGGTAGACTCCGAACCTCCCTGCGGCGCCGCAAGACGCTCCACTAGGCCCCTGCTCGGGGAGAGCCACTGCGTGGTGCTTAGCTACTCTACGAGGAGTTCCAATCGTCATAGGAACAAGTTCCCCCACGAAATTGACCCTACCATGACTCATAGAGAGCCCCAAACCCTTCGGACCGGAATCTCTCTTATCCTTTATCTCCTTCACTCCTTACCTAATCAACCTGTAGTTTCGTGCAGGATCGCCATCACATCAATCTCCAAGTCCCAAACAGGCAAGTCCAACAATTTCGAGTTCCATACTATTTACTACACCAGTTACCCTCTCTTTATTTTTCTCTTATTCTTGGCCTGGTGTTAAATATATATTTTTTTCTCTTGTTGTCTCGCCATGATTCGCTTTGTAAAACGTCAATTTCTGATCTCGGTTAAAAATCTACAATTCATCGATAGATGTCCACCACCTCGGTTTGATACCGGATGTACATATTGTTCACCCCCGGAATTCCCTCAGGATAAGCAAATTGATTTCACCAAGGATTTGAATGGTACCAAGGCTGATCATTGGAAACATTTATTGGTGGTGTCTTCTGAAACAAATGTACAATGGCCATCTAAAATCGAATTATCACCAGGATCATTGGTGGGGGAATTGACATCCCTTAAAAGAACACTCGGATCTCCTTTCCATCCGGTGATGGTGTCGAATGTAGACTTTTCCCCTCAAGATCTTGGTTTGGAGGCATCTGATCTAGACCATGATACACATACCGTGTTGCTCTTCCCAGAACGGAAACTCGTGAGATTCCCAAGAACTCATGTTGAATCATTTTTCAAGAAATATTTAGTTCCTAGTCGGAATTCAGATCAAGAACAAGATGAATTGGCTGTCCAATTGCCCTACAATCCTTTCAAGAAGATGGAACCTCGCGAGGTTCATGTAGACACTGCCGAGATAGTTGACACAAACTTTGAAGAGCTGGACTTCTCGAGGGAACTTGTAGCGATATGTGGTCATGGATCGAGAGATATTCGATGTGGAGAATTGGCACCACTTCTCAAGGATGAATTCACTCGAGTGATCAACCATCAAGGTTTGGATGTAAGTGTTGGGTATATTAGTCATATAGGAGGACATGCTTATGCTGGGAATGTGATTTATTTTGGTCCTGATGGCGGAAGAGTATGGTATGGTCGAGTATTCCCTTCCAAAGTTCAAGGAGTCGTTGAGGAAACTTTGATGAATGGGAATGTCATTAAGGAATTGTATCGAGGTGAAGTCCCTTCTTCATAGGAGAGACTTGCAACCCCTTAGGGTGGACTACTAACTTCCCTGTGGGACTGCAAGACGCTCCGCTGGCACTCCGTGGGCCACTAGCCGTGGGGGCCTTGTTCCTCTGGCGAGGAAAGTCTCAGTCTCCTGGGCACCACACAGTGGCTCTACACGAGCAGTGGCCGAGCGGAGCGTCTTGCAGCCATGCAGGGTGTATACTCAGATCAGGACATTATCCCCGGTACGTTCCTGTTCCTCTAGCGAGGATGTTCTTATAGAAAGCTTATTATTATTTATTATATTAGACGTTAAAAGTATGATTAGGTGTAGAGGAAGAGATGTCCCTAGGTGTCCCCGCTAGGGCTAATGGCCTATAGAGATCCAGCGGAGCGTCTCGCAATCCCACTACTAATCTCCCTACGGGACTGTGAGACGCTCCGCTAGCCCCTGCTCGAGGAGAGCCACTGCGTGGTGCCTGGCTCCTCTACGTGGAGATTTCCCAGTATCCAAGCCCGTCTTCCTCGCCAGAGGAACAAGGCCCCCACGGCTAGTGGCCCACGGAGTGCCAGCGGAGCGGCTTACATACCCCGTAGGGAAGTGAGTCTCTGCCTGTATGTCGGCTGTCTCACGCTACATCTACTCTACTCTACTCTACTCTACTCTACTCTACTCTACTCTACTTTCACACACTCCCTACGCCTTGGTTCTTCGCCTTGGTTCTACGCCTTGGACCCTACACCCCCCCCCTCTAGACCTCGCCAAAAATTGCACTCTTTGGTCTCTCCCCCCTCCAGCACTCGGGGTAAAAAAACAATTTAGCCCTGTCCACCACAACAAATGTATCAGGTGCTATCTGGTTGGTAACTCACTAAAATATTTAGACACGTAATTACATCCACATTTCCCACACCGTGGATCATAAGCCTTCCTTGGAGGGGCAGGGGGGATGGCAGGGGGCCACAGGCTCCCGGTCCGCTCCCGGTCCGCTCGTCAGACCGTCGGGGGTCCTGTACACACACCCGGCCCACACATCCTCTAGGTTGCGTAAAAAAGCTTTTTATTGTATGCTAGATCCAACGGAGAGTATGCGTCATGACATGCTGTACAGAACAACTCATTGTGAAGCCTGTCGCTAAGCTCCCACTTACGCATCGCAGTGCTGCTGGGAAAGCATCCCAAGCTCGCCATCATTCTGTTAGGCATCCTGCTCGTGGGACCCCCGCCTAACGGGCTCCATGCACTCCATTTTGTTCCTTTGCAGTGTCTCGAAACCCTATTCATCGTCATCGTGGGTCGACGAATCATGGGACTATCTTTCCTTAGTGCGTGCATGCGTGTGGTGGACAATCCCTTTGTCTTTTTAACTCTTGCGGCGTTTCTTATCTACCACTAATCCCTCGGTCGGGTTTAAATTTACCCGCAACAGCACGCACTGGTGCGAGGCTGCCGGTTCGAGTCCGCGCGCACGCACGCGCGCGCGCGGGTGCCATAGATCTACAGTGCGTATGCGATCTTGGCGTAAACTACTAACAGAAAGAAAAGGGGGGCTGTCAATACCACCAATTTTCCAACTATTTCCAACTCTTTCCATTGACTGGACTACCATCAATCCACATCTCATCATCCCCTCTTTACCCCTACTCATTCTTCCCCCTCCAATCTTATTCTATCCCGTCTCTCTCTCTCTCTATTTACTTTCCTCTACTTAGAGATTTACCCGCCCATGCCACAGACAATCAAAAAAAAAAAAAAAAAAAAAAAATAACAATTCAATTTTTTGTTTTAATTATTTATTTTTTTTTCTTTGTTGAGTCGTGCGCAACACAAACCTTATTCGAATGGATCCCACATGGCTCATGAGCAATGATTGATGATTTAGAGGTAATCAAACCCGCATGCATCCTCTACATAATATGGCCCTGAATAAAGATCTCCTATAACACATTCAAAGCTGCGTAGAAACTGCAACATGCGTGCTGCTTAGACAAGACGTGCTCTGGTGCGCACCAGCCGTTGATGGCCCCCCTCACATACAGCCAGACAACCAGCCGGTCCCCATTGCTCTCCCGTCTTTTCCTCCCCTACCAACCCTCTTCAACAATTGCCTTCCCCCCTGTGGGATCCCCTCCTGCTCCTCCTCCTCCTCCTCCTCGACTCCCCGAACAATCAAAAAAAAAAAAATAAAAAGAAATCGAGACTTCTGGCTCGCGCTACCAATTTTCAGTTTTTTTTTTTTTTTATTTTTTTGCTATTTATTTTTTATTTTCTCTCTTATTTATTTTTTAACCTTCTCACCTTTAGCACAAGTTGCACAGTGCACTCGCTCCAATTCTGCAGAGCGTCAAATATGCAATCAAATAACTGCACAGCTACCCCCACTATCAGCGAGGTTGTGCGTAATGATACTACAAACAGCATGTAATGTCCCTTCTGTTCATCTGGTACCTGTTCCTGTCACTGTCCGTCACCGGGGTGCGATCGTGTTGTCTCTGTTCTTCACCTACAAACTTCGTGCGCGCTTTCCCGTGCCTTCCTCTAATCCCTCCCCAAATGTGCCCTCCTCCTCCTCCCCCCCCCTTTCTTCTTCTGTCTTGTCCTACCCCGTCTATTCTTGCCCCATATGTGTGCCCTTTTGCAAGCATTCGGCCATCTCGCCGGTTCCTGTCGTAAATCCAAAAATTTCCGTCCTTGCTTGCTCATTCTTCTCCTGTACTCTCCGGCTCCTTTCCCGTCGTCCGTTTTAGCCCGTCCAACAGCGCTGTTCCCCCAACTCCTGATTGTACCGAGGTTTTAGTTATCGCTTATTCCCCCCCTACACATTGTCGTTTCCTACCCTCTCTTCTTCCCTGGCGCCCTCCGCGGCCCGGTTGCCGCTCTCTCTGTGCCGTTTGTCTTTTTTTTTTTTTTTTTTTCTGCCCACTATTTATTTTTTTTTACCTCGCTCTTCGTGCCCCCCTTGCCGCAGTGCCGCGAATTGAAATGCATTCATCCTCACGTATAAACATCCACGGCGCATCACCTAATTTGCCTTACTATCCTGCAAGTCCCACGGATTGTTCATGTTCGATCTGGCGATTTTCCCGCAACTATATACTGTAAGTGAACATTGTTGTACATATATCTCCAGGCAACTGTCTTCAAGTAAAATCTATCCTTCTCCCTTTTTTTTTCTCACTCTCTTCCTCCCTTCCTCCCTTCCTCCGTCTCTACAACCCTCCACTTCCCCTACTCCCTCCTCCATTTCCCCGACTCCCTCCTCTCTCCCATCTCTCACCATCCTCCGCCGCACATTGTAACGGTTTTCCTCCTACAAACCATTTACCCGCAAATGCAATCCAACCACAACCAAGTGACACAAACCCAAAAATTAAACTTCTCAAAAAAAAAAAAAAAATCTCTCGTTTTTTTTTTTTTTTTTTTTTTTTATTTTTTTTTTTTTTTTTCCTCATTAATTAAAAATCCACAAAACAAGTCATCTCACTTCCACGTTATATCCCACAGGTGCAAGCGTCCGCATTGCCCTTATCAAAATGCATATCTGAATCTCAGTGTACTCTTGCCATATTGCCAGGATATGGACCCCTCACCCCCTCCCCTCAGCCCGTCAGCCCCTCCCAGCACCTCCCATATGCCCCTGAACTCATGCCCACCCGCCCTCTTTTCTCCTTCTCTTTCTCTTCTCTCTTCTCTCTTTTCCCTTCTATTTTCTCTGGCTCTCTTCCCCCCCTCCATCTCTCGCTGTAATCCCGATCAAAACAAACCTCCTCGGAAATCGTCCGCGCATTCACACCCGCAGCGCAACCCGCATGAATTTTTTTTCTTCCCGCACTTTTTTTTTTCCCGTTCTCTTTTTGCATGGTTGTTTTTTTTTGACGCAATTGCGGTTTGATTCACAAACAACAAATCTACAGGGAGATTCTTCTTCATACATTTCTTTTCTCATCTGTACCATTCAACAGCTGCTTCCTGGACATTCTCCCGCACTCACCCCCCCCAGCCCGGCAAGTGTCCCTCAACCTCCCTCCCTCCCCCCCCCACGTCTCGCCGCTCCGCTCCGCACCCCCGCTGCTGTCGACACTAGCACACCCCCTGCCCTCACCTCGCCGTAGCCCCAGCCCCGCGCCCGCTCCCGTGTGTAATTCCCTTCCCATCGAAAACAGCGAGCGAAATCCCCGACCCGCTGTCGACCCCTTTGTGTTGTTTTTTTCTGTTGTGTTTTTTTACGGTTGCCTTTTTATTTTTGTACAACTGGAGAGCCTCTTCAACTTAATTGATCATGTCTAGTTCCACCCCCATTGGCGCCTTGGATGGCAATCCGAGCACCCAATCGTCGCTGGCACAGCAGGCCATGATGAGCTCAGACTACCGTGCCGCATACCAGCAGCAACAACAACAGGCCTATGGCCAACGTGTTGGCGTTGCACCCGCCACCTCTGCTGGTGGTGCTGCTACCTCTGCCGCTGGTGGTGCTGCCTCTGCTGCTGGTGGTGCCGCTGGTGCCGCCTCCGCCCAGCCCTACTACAACCAAGACCAACAGTACCAACAGTACACCCAGATGTTGAACGGGAACCCTGCCGCCAACCAACAGTATGCCTCGTACTACATGCAGTTCAACCAGGGCCTTCCTCAACAACAACAACAACAGCAACAACAGCAACAACAACAAGCTGCTGTAGTTGCCCAACAACAAGCTGCCGCTCAACAACAAGCAGCTGCCGCTGCTGCTGCCGCCGCTGGTCAACCATCACAGGCCCAATCTGATGCCTATTCTTACTCAAGATATCCAACCAGCTACGTCCCCGGTTATTCTTATCAACAAGCCGCTGCCGTTCAACAACAGCATTCACAACATCCACATGCTCTGCACTCTCTGGCCCAGACACAGCCACAGCAAGCCCAGGGCCAACCACCATTGGGTGGTGGTCCTGCCACCGGTGGTGCAGGAGGTTATTCTTCCTCTGCTGCCGGTTCAGGTGTCCAACCATATGAAGCTTCAAGTACTGCCAATGGCAGTGCCACCACTACTCCTGCTCCTGGAGATGCACTTGGATCTGGGGGTGCTCCTCCACCACCTGGTAGCGCCGGAGGTGCTGCTGGAAGTGGAGGTGCCGCCTCTTCCTCAGTGGGTCAATACCAACCACCAGGGATCCGTCCAAGAGTCACCACCACCATGTGGGAAGATGAAAAGACCTTGTGTTACCAAGTGGATGCCAACAACGTCTCCGTGGTGAGAAGAGCAGACAACAACATGATCAATGGTACCAAGTTACTCAATGTTGCCCAAATGACCCGTGGGAGAAGAGATGGGATCTTGAAACTGGAAAAGGTCCGTCATGTGGTCAAGATCGGGTCGATGCACCTTAAGGGAGTATGGATTCCCTTTGAACGTGCATTGGCCATGGCACAACGTGAAGGAATTGTTGATTTGTTGTATCCATTGTTTGTTCGAGACATCAAGAGAGTTATTCAAACTGGTGTCACTCCAAATGCTCCACAATCGCAAACCCTGGCACCATCTCAAGCCGGAGGACCTGTTCCTTCTGGCAGTGGTGGTGTTGCTGCTGGTGCTGCTGGAGGTAGTGCCGTCGGTACGCCTTCTCAAGTGGCCACTGCTCCTGCCGTTGCCTCCACTGCTGCTGCTGCTTCTGCCGCAGCCGCTGGTGTCAACTTGTCGAGCTATTACCAACAATACCTGCAACCATACGGAGCTGGACCCAATGGCATTGGCCAAGCTTCTGCTGGAGGCTCGCAACAATCCCCAAGAGCCGCGGTAGGTTCCACTGCCGGTGGCACAGCCGCCGACCAGTCGCACTACCAGCTTGCTCAACTGGGTCAACCTCAACAACAACAGCAACAACAACAACAACAATCTGTTCTGCAACAACAATCAGCACAGCAATTGTACGGGTACCAACAGCCATACTATGCGCCTAACCAGTACTACCAGTCGTACAATCCGAACGGAGCCGCGTACTCGTCGTACAACTCGCAACCAATGTACCTGGCTTATGGATACCCTGGCCAACAGCCACAACATCTCCAGCAACAACAGGCGTTGCAGCAACACTCACAACAACTGGCTCTGCGCCACCCACTCCACCAGACCGCTGGAGGAGCGTCGCATGAGTCTGGAGCGTCTGCCAACGGCACTGGTGGTGAAAGCAATTCTGCTGACGCCAACACGTCTGTGACTTCGTCCCACAGTGCGGATCACAAGACCAAGCAGGAGAAGGACTAGGCGCCGCGTATGCTGCGTCTGCCACCCCCTACCTGCGCCCTGCCTGCTAACCCCCACCTCACCCCCACACACACACTACATTACACTACACTGCACTGCACACATACACGAGGAGCTAAAGAAGAAGGAGAACAAAATGAAAATGCACAGAAGAAGAAGAAGAAGAAGAAGAAGAAGAAGAAGAAGAAGAAGACTGACCCGGACACAAGGGCACTGCTAGGAGAACCGCTGTATTTCGCCCGATAGTCTCTTGTGCCTGTTGATGAGAGTCTGCACCATTGATAGAGTTCGGCTTGCACACTTACTAGACTAAAATCTACCTGTATTATTAAATAATTGATTTGTATTCGTTATAAACTTATGTTAGTACGACTTTTCTGTAGACCACCCTCCCTTTATATCTCTGAGTTCCAAGCTTTGGAGCCTTCGGACCGCTGAGAGACGCGTATGTGGTCACCATACGGCTTGTAGACACAGTACCGGGATATGGGACGCTCCGCTGGCCCCTGCTCGGGGAGAGCCACTGCGTGGTGCCTGGCTCCTCTACGAGGAGACTCTTTCGCAGCCACTACTTCCTCGTAGAGGAACCAGGCCCCCACGGCTAGTGGCCCACGGAGTGCCAGCGGAGCGTCTCTCACACCCCGTAGGGGGGGAACTACTAACCTCCCTGCGGGCCCGCGAGACGCTCCGCTGGCCCCTGCTCGGGGAGAGCCACTGCGTGGTGCCTGGCTCCTCTACGAGGAGACCTCTAGTTGCTCCCCCGTGACTTCCTCGTCAGAGGAACAAGGCCCCCACGGCTAGTGGCCCACGGAGTGCCAGCGGAGCGTCTTTCACACCCCGTAGGGAAGCGGGTAGTCGGTCTACGCGGGGGGGTACTTGTAAGCAGCTCGGTTGTGTTTCTTCCCGCCTAGAGATTCTCGTGCCAGCGGAGCAGCTTGCAGCCCCCGTAGGGAAATAAACACCCCCTACAGATGAGACAGGGGGAAGTGGGCCGCTGGATGAGTTGCTTGGAGAGACGTTTGACAAAAAAGACAGACGACGGATGCGTTCGTGTGTCGTGTGGCTTACGTGTGGACAGAAGCGCCGGGCCAGGTGGACAACAGTTCGGGGTGACACGTGTGATTACATTAACTACCTGCTATCTACTCTATTTAATCGGACTTCTGGGTGATGGTAGGCTCGGTCAACAGATCGTACGCCTTTTGTAAGCCAACCACTTGTTTCTTGAACGTGGAGATGTCGGTGTCCTTCTGGGCAATCTGCTCCTTGAGAGCCGCCACATCGGTGTCGGTGGCAGTGGCAGTGGTGGTGCTGGTGTTGGTGCTGGTGGTGGAGACGGTAGTCAACTTTCTGTACTCCTCCTCCTTGGCAACCAATTTCCTTAAAATAGGCATGACGGTGGCAATGGCCAATTCCAAGTACAACACGGCACCGGTGATGTACAAGTTTCTCTGGGAGTAGAACTTGGAGGCCAATTGTTCGTTGGAGAGCTGGCCACGGAACACTGGAGGAGCCCCGGCGGCGTTCTGGGAGACGTAGTAAGGGTTGGAAACATAGTCCAATTTCTTCAAGCGTTGCAAACAGTCAACGAATTGCATGACAAGGAGCAACGTGGCAAAGATGGTCCCGATCTGGACGTTCTTCAGCGACCTCAAGAGAGTTTCTAGTTGAAGGATCTTTGTTCTGAAGATGTGAGGAAGTGGCAACACTAAGCCAAAGAGGACGATCATTTCGCCGCACAAGGTGGCGAACACCAAAGTCATTTGAATGGACATTTTGTAGGATGGGTGGCTAGTTAGAGGGTGCGGTGAATAGCTACCGAAAGGTTACAGAAATGATTGAGAAAAAAGAAGAGAAAGGGTGGTGGATGATGGTGATTGGGGGCTTTGCTGCTGTATCAATTTTGCGGTGTCCTTTGGACTGCAGACGAGGAGCGAAGGTTGCGGTGTACGGGTGTTGCGGGAGAGGGACAGTAGGAGAGACTAAGGATAGAGATAATAGAAGAGGGTGAGAAGGTCAGGGTGAGAGTGAGAGTGGGGGAGGGAGTTCTGAGCAAGGGCATGTAGTGGTGTGACTAGAGGACGTTTTGGAGGAGGTTCAGGGGCGGGAGCCTTTAACTAGGGTGGATATGGTCCAGTTCATGAGACTGAGATGAACGGACGGAGTTTGAAGGGTCTGCAGGGAACGTGGGTGTTTGGATGTTGCATGCAAGTGAACAGTGCACCAGGGTTACGATCTCTTGGAGAAGAGACTGTAACTCGGAGGAGGGGGGCTCAATGTTCCACCACTGTCCCACAGAGAGGAGAGTGAGTGCAACCCTACGGGGTCTTTTGGACGCTCCGCTGGCCCCTGCTCGGGGAGAGCCACTGCGTGGTGCCTGGCTCCTCTACGAGGAGACTCACTTGCAGCCAACACTTCCTCGGTAGAGGAACAGGAGCCCCCACGGCTAGTGGCCCACGGAGTGCCAGCGGAGCGGCTCACTATCCCGCAGGGAAGGAAGTAAGTGCTGACCCTACGGGATCTGTAAGCCGCTCCGTTGGCTCCTACTCGGGAAGAGCCATTGCGTGGCGTGTGGCTCCTCTACGAGGAGTTGACTTCCTGTAGTGCCTTCCTCGGTAGAGGAACAAGGCCTCCACGGCTAGTGGCCCAAGGAGTGCCAGCGGAGCGGCTGGTGGACCCCGTAGTACTGGTAGTACCCACTCACCTCGTGGCCCTTTGTTGTTTGCTCGCCCAGGGGAAAAAGCACTCGTACGGAGAGGTGACCCCAGTGGCTCTTACTATCTCGGGTATGAGCTAACAGAGTCCCGTACACAAACAAGCTGGACAGTGTGTCTTGAGGAAGGTGTCCTACCACTGATTATATATCAACATCTATATTTATACATATATACATCTCTCTACTTTCTTATAATCCCGTGACTCTCTTGGCAAAATTGTAGGCAACAAGACTGAACAAGATCATGGCTCCGACAATGGAATAGAACCATGTCAATCCGGGCACATCCTGGCCAGGAACAATACAGTTCATACCCCAGAGACCCGTGACAACATTGATGGGCAACACAATGGTACCAAGAATGGTGATCTTCCCCAAAACGTCATTGGTGTCATTGTTCACCTTGGTCATGTCAATATTGATCTGGGCCAAGTAATTGGAGTGGAATCTGGCCAAGAGCTTCTCGTAATGGTTGAGCGATTGTACCATTGTCACGATATGATCTTGGATGTCCCCCAAGTACATCCCAATCTCTTGCAGCTTCTCGGTCCGGTTACCAGTCTCGTTAAATCTTTTACTGAACCCCTTGATCACATCAGCCTTCGAACCCAAGAGTCGCAACACACTCATGACACGTTTACGACATTCTCCAATTCTTCTCAACATGTCACCCTTCCGTTTCCATCCAATGATCTTGAACGAACCCGAGCGACTCAGTGAGCTTTTGCTTGACTTGCTTCCCGATCTTGCCGAGATTCTACGACTAGCTAGCCCGCCACTAGCGCCTCCAAGCAACCCACGTTTGAAGTAATCGCCTCCTTCGACGGTGGATTTGGTTCTTTTGAGCTTGAAGAACACTTCTTGCGGGGTATTTCCTCCCGCTGGTTGTTTCCGGTGATGGTACTCACTCTCGGTGTTTCCATCGTCGTCACTATCATCCGTCTCGTCGTCACTGTCGGTGTCTCCAGAATGCATCTTCAAAATGGCATCTTCTATGGAATTCACTTCAACTTCAAGACTTTCAATCATTGGGGCAAACGAATCGGTGATATCATCGATCAAGGCATAACAGATCCAATCGGAACTAACGGTCAAAAAGTCTCTCAACAACCGAGCTCTTCTTCTCACGTTAATGGGGTGGGGAGTGGCTGAGAAGTGGAACGTAATCACCGCATCTTTAAACACAATCATGTACATGTTCAAAGGCAGTAATTCCCCATCTCTGATCTTCTTGTTAGTTCTGGACTTGATCGAACTGGATCCATGAGACTTACTACGATGTGAGTTCAGATGGAAATGACTGCCTCCACTGCCACCTCCTCCTCCGCCACTGCCACTTCCACCGCCACTCAGATACCCCAACATGCTGGTAAATTTCTTCCAGATACCTCTTTTCCGTTCCTGACTACCAAACAAGCTCGAGTTGCTGGTGTTGTCATACATTTCTTGCAACTTGTTCAACTTCTTGTCATTCTCCTTGGCCCGTTGCTTTCTTCGTTCATGGATGACGTCAAAGGACGTGAAACAGATGAAATAGTACGATTTGAAAAGTTCGACCTTTTCCCGTGCTTCTCCAAGAAAGATGTCTTCTGTGGTTAATGGATGGATACCAAATGTTTTGGAAATTACCTTCATTTCTTCTTCTGTGGGGTCCAAGACGTCCAACCAGAAGGGGTTGATCGCAGCTTCCGGGGTTGTTGAAGATGATCCCGAGGCTGCTGCTGCTGCTGTGGCTGCATTAGCTGCGGAAACAGATCCTCTAGTAGATCCACCAGCCGGAGTAGTTGCTGTTGGTGCTGCTGCTGCTGCTGCTGCTGCTGGAACAGATTCTGGAGATGTTTGACTGCTCAACTTCTCGCCCTCTTCGTCTTGCTTGCTCCCGGTGTCCATAGGAGTCATGGGAGCAAGTTCACTCTCTGGAATCTTGACGGAAGATGCAGAGGACGCCATCTTGGAGGGCACCGACGAATGATGCTGGTGATGATGATGATGATGATGGCCCTTGTGGGAATAGTACATGGGTGAAAACAAATCCTCCACGGTGATATCTGCGTTTTCCGCACCAGCGCCGGGGGAACCTTCTTTGATTTTGCTTGAGCTGTGCAAAAGCCCACTGATGTTGGCAGAATGGATCGTTTTATCCAAATCTTCTCTAAAGTACGTGTACCGGCACACGTTGGGATCCGCCAGCAGCAGCTTCCCACCGCCACTCTTTTTATTGGCGTCTGTTGGGTGGCGAGGATTGTTCAAAATGGTGGTGATCATCTCCTTTGACTTGTCCCACGGTTGGATTTGTGGTGGGCGTACACGGAACGAGTGCAGTCTCAGATTCATGGACTCCACCTCATTGATCTTCTTGTTGACCAAAAGTGGCGTGTCTTCAAAGGACTCGTCGTATGTGGGCAGGACAGGATCTTCTGTCGATACCGGTGGGAACGAGACATGTGCTGGGAAAGATGTTGGAGAGGTGCTCCCTGAGGTGGCAGCAGTGCCACTTTGCATGGCATGACGTGCCGCTTCCGCAAACGCCGCCTGTTGTGCATCCAATTCCTCTTGGAATTCCTCCAATTCTTCCCGAACAAACTCCTCCAACACCTTCAAATCTGGCCATTTCTGTCCTCCTTCTTCATCCTCGTCGCCACTCTCGTAGTAGTCTGGGAAGCAAACATCATCTAAAGACGTGGAATCGGAAGAATGATCCGACAGAGGGTTAGATTCGCCAAACTCCATCGAGTTCAATGACGACAGATCGCCACCACCATTGGTGTCTGACATCCCCCAGGGCTGTGAGCCAGCCCCGGCTAATTGTCGTTGTTCACGAGCAAATTGATCCATATCCAACGCCAATGACCCACCATTGCCATGTTCTACAGGGTACACTTCATTGGAGTACCCGCCACTAGTGGCGGCCACAAAATTGTTCAAGTTGCGATTGGTGAGTGGGAGGCTTTCTCTTCTGGTTGGATTATGTTGATGGTGGTAACCAAGTGGAGAATCTCCATGAGGAGAATGACCCATAGGTGTATCATCTCTTGCATTGGCAAAATAACTGTTTTGCTGGTGTGTGGCCACACTGTTGCTACCCTTACGGCCCGACAGAGTACGTCTTCTGGCCCGTGCAGGTGACAGATGAGTGTTGGCCAAATCATCGTGTAAGCGATGGTCAATGAACGCTCCCAAGTTTGCACTTGAATTGGAAGCTGACCCACTTTCGGACTTATCTGTGTCCTCGCTATCTTCCGTTTTGGTCTCCATTTTCGCCGGGAACCCTCGTGGAGTGAACGAGAACTTCTTGTGCTTTCTACCCATGGCTTACAGTGTTATATACTTGGAAATGAAATGCTTAGTTTATTGATGAAATGTGTAGGCACGGCAACGACGCAGGGACTGCGGAATTTGTGACAAAAAGAAGGAGTTGGAGCTTACAGGGGGGAAGGAGCTACAACGGGTCATTCAAGAGAACTATGCAATTTCCAATAGAATTGACAACGTGGTGTGCTTGACACTGGGTGGATGAATCGTCCTGGGCCCAACAATCTTGTATAACCCCAATAATTGGTGTACAATTAGTACTCTCTTATCAGAGATTTTTATTGTGGCGAGATTTTCTGTGCAATTTAATTGCTATCAAATTTTACATACTTAGCGGCTATATCTATACTAAAATTTCTGTACTGTCACTAATAATACAACCGCAATACGTAGTACTATCTCCTTTTTTCTCGACCTTTACTACTCAACTCAACTCTACTACTCTATTCAACTCTCTTCCAATACATTCTCCTTAATAATATATTACACTAAATACCTACCCAATCTCTAAATCTCCATTCATTCCTCATCTTCCTCTTTAACCTCCTCTTTAACTTCCTCCTTGACATTCTTTTCTCCCTCCTTCTCCTCCTCCTCCTTATTCTCCTTCTCAACTCTCTGCTTCTTTCCTCCCAACTCTTCTAATGCCCCCAGAATATCTCCCTGAAGTTCAAGCAATTTTTTCCAAACATCTTCCGTGAGAGAAATTCCCTTTTTGCCAGGCTTACGCTCTCCACTGTTTTTATCAACATAAAACTCCCGAATATCTACCAAACGAACGCCATTGAAAGTTCTCACAGAGACCTGTTTCTTCTTGTCCAACTCAAATGTCGTTTCAGGGGCCGTTGTTTCGGCTTCTGCCTTTCTCTTGAATGCCATTTTAGTTGCTGAAGAAGAGACCTAACCTGTCACTGGTGAAAACATGGGCCGCTAAAAATCCAATTCTCGCAATTTTTCTCCATAACACCGCCACATGGGCGTACATTCACCTCTATGAAAGCTAATACGTTGAGTCTCCATGCTGTATATCTAGTGTCTCCTCTACTGTCTACCCCTCTGTCACTTCTAATGTCTCCTCTACTGTCTCCCTACAATGCCTACAATACCTACAATACCTACATATGTCCGTACCCACACTACTGTATCTCTGTGTGTTCTAGACCCTTCATGTAAGTCGCTCCGCTGGCCCCTACTCGGGGAGAGTCTCTTAAAGCTACATCTTCCTCGGTAGAGGAACAAGGCCTCCACGGCTAGTGGCCCACGGAGTGCCAGCGGAGCGACTCGCTGTCCCCCAGGGAAGGGAGTAAGTACTACCTTACGGGATCGCTCGTTGGCCCCTTGCTCGGGGGAGAGTCTCTACATCTCTCATCTTTATATCTAAATTCTATATTCTTCATATCTATCGATTCTAATTATGTTTGATCCCACTCTCCCAGGTCTCATTGAAATGCTCGCCCAATTCTTCTCTAACTTTTTTGAACAAAATGTCGTCTTCTCGGTTGATAGGACCGTTTGATCTCACCAACTCAAAGTTAGAGATCGCATCTTCAAGCTCGGCAACATTGGAAACCCCCAACACAATCGAACAAGTTTCGTCCCATACAAGAGCTCCATTTTCTTGCTTCTTCTCTTCCCCTTTTTTAGCGGTCTTTGATTCAAATAAGGATCTCCTCAAGGCAAACCTTGTGGCCAAATCGGCCAATTCAACTCCATCCTCGCGCTTCAAGGTGGTCGCCACCTGGGTGACCCGGTCCTTGAGCGCCCGTGGAGCAGGATGGAAGTCCTTGGTGGGCTCAGATCTCAACAAGGACATGCTCAAAATTGATCCATTCATGATTTTCTTCACTCCACATTTGGTCAAGAAATCGTCGTAATATTGAAACATAAGTTCGTTCTGGATACATCCATTGGAGTATGACATGATCATATCCAAGCTCCCAATGTCTCCCTGTTTGCATTCAAGTGCTATCTTGTATAAGAAGTCCACTGGGTACCCAGAAACACCAATGTTCAACACCAACCCTTCCTCTTTCAAGAGCTTAAGCTCTCTCAACGCTTCGAAAATCTCTTGTTCATTCACAAACTCAATGTCATGCATGTACACCAAGTCAAGATATGTGGTGTCCAATCTTTGTAAAGACCGTAACACCGATTTCCTCACCGCTTCTCTTGAATAATCAAAATCATTCAACTTGACTCTCCCGGCCTTTGTACAAATCATGTACGTTTCCCGAGCCCATTTTCCCTTGATTTTCTTCAATGCCTCGCCCAAAATCTCTTCTGAGGGACCGTAGTATGGAGAGGTATCAATGGCATTGAATCCCTTGGCAAACGCCACCTCCAATATCTCCGTGGAACTCAAGCTATGAGGGTCGGAGTTGTATTGCGTGTTGAACACGGCTCCCCCGACAATAAGAGGCGGAAGGTCACCAATAGTTTTCGTGGGCATATCTGGATGGATTGGGTTGGTATTCTTTTTTTAAGCTTCCCCCATTAGATCCTTTTTGTCTCGATAACGATGTTTAAATTTTGAGCACAAAACGCCACAATGAACGGAAATTGCGAGAATTCCTAATATTTTTCCATTTCGCACCCACAAGATCGCGTCAATGTGGGACACTTTTCCAATTTGCCATCTCACTCTACAGTCTGTCATATGTTTTAGTAATACAAATCATAAATTAATACAGAGTACATTCTATAGTGTTTGGAGTTCCTACGACGCTCTGTTACCTCTCAGAGCTATGTACCACATGGTACAGCTCCCCAAGCAGGGACCCTCAGAGGACGGGACTTCACCTACACGCTTCCGTGCGGGATAGTGACGCTCCGCACGAACTTCGTGGGCTACCGACGAAGATGTGGCTACGAGAGACTCTCCTCGTAGAGGGCGTAAGTACCATGCAGTGGCTCTCCCCGGGTAGGGGCCAGCGGAGCGGCTTACAGACCCCGTAGGATCAGCACTTACTTCCTTCCCTGCGGGATACTGAGACGCTCCGCTGGCACTCCGTGGGCCACTTGCCGTGGAGGCCTTGTTCCTCTACCGAGGAAGTGGTGGCTGCAAGGGAGTCTCCTCGTAGAGGAGCCTGGCACCACGCAGTGGCTCTCCCCGAGCAGGGGCCAGCGGAGCGGCTTACAAACCCCGTAGGGTGACTACTCACTTCCCTGCGGGACGGTGAGTCGCGTGGCCCCTTTAAAAACTGTAATCATCCTTAACGTAGTTCCCAGGAACAAGACCTACTGTTCCAGCACCAGGCTCGTGAGCTAATTCACACACATACCAATTGTCTTCTTGCTTGTGAAGAACATACATGTATGTATTCTTTTTGAAGCCAAGCTCTCCGTGATGTTGTGGCTTGTATGAGTACATGGCCTTCACTTTACTCACATATGGCTGTCCAGAAGGTGTGTATCCGTTATCATCCACAGGTGGTGCCAGCTTCAGTGGAGAGTCTTGAATGAACGAGTGCAAGTTCGTGTACGACTTGGATGGCGTCTTCAGAAGACTACGTCTTGGCATATGGTTGCTTGTAGCAGCACTCTTGGTAGAATATACATCATCTCCATATTGGTTGTTACTGGACTCATACATCGATTGTGGTCTCTTCTTCTTCACCGTGCCACTCTTGCTGGGTGCAAATGCCTGTGTGGAAGGCGACTTGAAGTTGATAGACCCATATCTCGTGGCAACTTCATCGTGGTCATCCACATAGTCGGAGTTTGGTCTACGGCTTTCGTATGGAGTCGAGGGCGCCGTCTGTGAATATTGGTACTGTTGTTGTTGTTCTCTTTCCTTGGCTCTTCTCACCGATCTTCTATATTGGTTGATGTCCCCATTACCACCTGAATTCAAATCTTCGAGTGCCTTGGCAATGAAATCAATGGAGAAATCCTTTTGAATAGGAATATGTTTCTGCGCTGGTGGTTCCATGTCTAGTTCATTCATTCCCATGCTTGTGGGGAAATGAGGAAGTTCTTTGGAATTCCGATTAATTCGATCTTGAACTTGTTTCATTTGCTGTTGTTCCTTTCTACGTGGGGTGGCCCAATTCCTATCGGAACTGGTGGTGGAATACACAGACGAAGACGTATAGTTTGTCGGTTGTGAGTAATTTGATGACCCATTACTGGCGCCAAATTTGGGGTTGGTTGGATCATTCAAGGAGAAAACATCGCCACCTTCTGAAGAACTGTAATTGGATGAAGATTTTGGTGCCTTTCTGGTTGGTGATGGAGTCTTGGGGACTCCAAGTGTGTCGTATTGCGAAGAAGTTCCATACGACGATGTAGGTGGTGGGAGACTAACCTTGTCTAGCATGGTGCCTGTAGTTGGGAATGAAGTTCTTTTGAGGTTATTGTTATTGATGGAAAAGTCATGGGCCCCATTCTCTGGACGATGTTGTACAGTAGTTCCTTGTGAAGAGACAGACTTTCTCAGTTGACCCAGAGGCAGAGTCAATGTTACATCCGATGGAATTTGTTGGGGCAGGGGCACGTGTTGAGCCGGTGAAGCATGAGGAATACTATTTTGTGGTGAAGCATGTGGGATACTATGTTGTGGCAGATTTTGTTGAGGTACTTGCTGTGGCAGTTGTTGTGGCTGCATCAGAGAATGAATAGATTGAGATCTGGTGATTTCAGGGATTCCAAAATCAGCTATAACATAATCCTTCCCCTCAGGTTTCTCTTCATGACCATTCATAAACTCTACAAACTCTGGAGGATTATGGATCTTGTTCCCAGTACCATAAGCTTCTCCAAATTGTTGTAAATCTTCATTGGCATTCACTTGTGCGAATACGGTACGGGAAAGGTCCACTGCATGGTCATGTTCGACACAAAGAGTGGCTATATTGTTACAATATGTGAAACAATTGACCTTACAAACCTGGATTCTTTCTGCTTCAAGCAAATAAATATCTCTCAAGATGGCGGCCCAATCCCTCACATACGATTCGTCAACGTCTCTCAAGGTGGCAACCGCTTGGATGTAGCTCGAACGAGTGTTGACGTTACTGTTACGCAACTTTGTGAGTTTGAACTCAATCTTATCCATTTCTTTACCACCCCAGGTGGCCTGGCATTGCAACTGGAGAGACTTGATAAGAGCACATTCGTCCCGGTATTTCGTCTTGTACGTCTCATAGTTCTTGTAAGCGTCTGCTCTTCTCAGTACCAATTTGGACATGTGATGTTCAATTTTGGACGTACTTTTCGAATACGAAGCATAGAAAGTTGACAATTTTTCAAAGTTTGTATGAGCTACAGTCTTGGCAAACTTGGTGTTGAACTTGCACATCTCCTCGTTCTCATGTGAAAGCTTGTCCAAGGACACCTTGAGGGTCCCGGTCTCGTGTGACCCCAAGGTGGTCTTTTTGTTCAATTGCTCAAGTTTCTTGGTGTACTCCTTCTCAATGACTATTCTCTCCTGATAAAAGTCCATCAACTCCTTCATGGTGGCAAGCCCATGGTGGATCTTGGTCTGCACTACCCGGAACCCAGACTCCTTCGAGTTCCCCCAGAAGCTGTTGACGAACGTTGCTTGCTCGTGTATTTGTTCACGAGTCATCTAATGGCGTAGTGGTGGTGATGGGGCAATACGGAATCGTTCTCGGTTGTTTGTGTTTAAGTGTGTTATGGGTCCAGATCTGTTCTTTTGTTTTCAAAACAAAGGGGTGCACTCTTTTCTTTGAAACTGGATGTATTCTGCAAGCCTCAAGAAGGGTTTAGATGTGGTTTTTGAATCCCATGTACTCTTTGAATCATCTTGTTCTTTCTGTGGGTTCCAAATGTTTATGTTGCGTCCGAATTAGGAAGGTGCTACATTTAGTGCAGTTATCACATATTTTGTGTCATTTTAGGCGAAATCATATACAACGTTACTATTTGCAGGAAAGAACAAAGAGTAGTACTTTGAGAGTACTTTAGAGATCCTTAGTAATCTTTAGAAATTCTTTGTTAGAATTCCTTAGCAATCTCTAGAAATTCTCACACACCTCTTCATTCTCTTCTAATATATCTCCATCTAATTCTAATTCTTATATTATTTCAATTCTAAAGAATTTTCATTCTCAAATAATTTTCTCTACATTTATCAATTTTTACAACCAACTTATCAATTTAACAATTTAACAATTAAATAAGAATTCAATTCTATACTATTGCTAAAGCAAACCATACCCACCCCTTCCCTCTTGAATAACATTCATGGCTTTTCCTTTTCTTGACCCCTTTAACTCCCTCATTGTATAACTTAAACTGTGAAACAGTGACTGAAATTCGGATGTAAATCTATCCCTTTTCTTTTTTTCGCCTCGGTTACTCTCATCCGATACTAACCTCCCACAATCATTCACCATTAGAATGTGCTACTTTCAATTTACTCTATCAAACGTCAATCATGCATAGGTCATCACTGCAAGAAATGTGTCATTTCTGCACCTATTCACATAAACTCTTGCTCCGAAGGTCTGTATTTTAGCTGACCCGCGCTCGGCCCGACCATGTGCCAAATCCCACAAAGTCTCGGATCGACTATGCAAACTGCAAAACTTTTATTCTTTGTTCCTTTCCTCCCGGTTGCCGAGCGGCTGATCCATGCACCTTTAAATATATATATATATATAGACATATCAACGTTTATTTTCCTTGATGATACTAACAGCATCCCCATAATGTCGTACAAAGAGTCCAAAGCTTACAAATACTTTCGTAAAGTGCTGGCGTTTTTAATCAAACAATGGTTCTTCATCATGTTGGCAGTTTTCATCGCCTTGGCCCATTCATATCCAAATTTTGCCAAACAAGAGGGGACTATCAAGGCCCAATATACCATTGAATACGGGGCAGTTGCAGTGATTTTCCTTATTTCCGGGATCTCGATGTCCACCAAAGATTTGGCTAAAAATATGTTACATTGGCGTGCTCATTTCACCGTTTTGTCCCTATCATTTTTGATCACTAGTGCCATCATGTTTGGCATAGTGACAGGAGTTAAATCCGCCAATAACGATAATATCGATAATTGGATGTTAGTTGGATTAATTGTAACCCATGCTTGCCCCACCACCGTGGCTTCAAATGTCATCATGACGAAACAAGCGCATGGGAATGATGTCTTAACCTTGTGTGAAGTGTTCTTGGGGAACATTTTAGGGGCTTTCATCACTCCAGCACTCATTCAAATGTATTTGAAAGGCCCTTGGGAATTTGGGAATCCTACAAATCTGGCAGGTGATGGTAGTATTGGTAGTTTGTATAAACTGGTTATGAAACAAGTGGGACTTTCAGTATTTGTCCCACTTTTCGTGGGGCAAGTTATACAAAATATTTTCCCCAAACAAAGTAAATGGTGTGTTCAAAAACTTTATTTAGGTAAAGTTGGATCTGTCATGTTACTTTTAATTATGTATCAATCATTTTCAACCGCTTTTGCCCAAAATGCTTTCAATCTGGTACCTCCAGCATCAATTATATTTATTGTATTTTTCAACATTGGGATTTATTTATTTTTCACCATGATAAGTTTTTATTATTCACGTCCATTATTCATTATCAAGGTATTTTATCCCACCAAACCAACCAAAGAAAGCACTAGAATGTATCGTTGGGGGTACAAGATGTTTACCCCATTCTATTATAACAAGAGAGACACCGTTGCAGTGATGCTTTGTGGTCCTGCCAAGACTGCTGCATTGGGTGTTTCACTTGTTTCATCTCAATATGGATCAAATAATCCTAATTTAGGGAAACTTTTAGTACCACTTGTATTATATCAAGCAGAACAAGTGATGACTGCACAAGTATTAGTAACATTTATGAAGAGATGGGTTGAAGCTGAAAAGATTCCTGATGAAGAGGAACAAATAAATGATAAAGAGGACAATGAAGTAAAGGAAAATGAACCACCAATGGAAGAACAAGTTGAAGAACTGGCTCAAGAAGGGTCCGATTCAACCGTAGCCTATAGTCGATCATCCGAAGAGAACACTAAAGGTTAACACACAAATAATATTGGGATAATTGGCATATTTAATAGAGAATACAATAGTAAAGAACAGAGATAGACTGTAGTGAAAGAGAACATTCGTTCTACATATGACCGAGAAACCGCCACACACACACACACTTACTAACCCCACCCTATGGGGGTCTATAAGTCGCTCCGGTGGTCCCTGCTCGGGGAGAGCCTCTCGCAGCCACATCCTCGGTAGAGGAACAGGAGCCTTCACGGCTAGTGGCCCACGGAGTGCCAGCGGAGCGGCTTGCAAGCCCCCCAAGGGTGTTGTATAGGTACCACCCTCCGGGCGTTGTAAGCCGCCCCGCTGGCCCCTACTCGGGGAGAGCCACTGCGTGGGGCCTAGCTCCTCTTCGAGGAGATATCCTCACTATACCCAGATCTTCCTCGGTAGAGGAACAAGGCCACCACGGCTGTGGCCCACGGAGTGCCAGCGGAGCGTCTTATCAACCCCATAGGGTGGACCAATAACTTCCTTATGAGGTGTGAAAGCCGCTCCGCTGGGCTCCTACGCGGGGAGAGCAACTGCGTGGTGCCTAGCTCCTCTTCGAGTAGACCCTGTTTTCCTCGTCAGAGGAACAGGAGCCCCCACGGCTAGTGGCCCACGGAGTGCCAGCGGAGCGTCTTACAGAAACCCTTAGGGAAGGAACGGTCCACCCTGCGGGGTCTGTTAGCAGTATTTTCTTAACCCACTTTTCAGATTCGTTTCGAAATGGTATTTAAATAATTTATGTGGTTGCAAATCCGCATCGGGAATAATGACACATTTACACTTTTGTGTTGAAAAATAGTCAAAAACCAGCATATGCAAGCAAGTAACGACTACGTACCCGAGAGAGAAGATGACTCTATACACCCACCGTCTGTATATCTTAAGGTGGAAACCTTTTATTTCACTTGCAAACATTTCCAAATTCAAGTGTAATTCATACTTTGCCCTTATTTCCCCCACATTGTGCGCCTGCACATGGGTTATTTCCGAGTCCGGAAAGATAAGAGCCACTCGAAACTTACCAGATTTAACGTTTCGAAACAATGCAAAAATAAACCCCAAACCCTTTCTCAAGAATGAAAACAAGGCACAGCAAATCTAGACAGGACACAAGCTCGAGATTTCCCGGCTGTCTAGTGCTGATCCGTCGTCGTCTAGTTGCCACTGGTGGTATGTTGAGTTGGGTCGTCGCCCTCATGTGACACCCCAAGCTAAAACAAAAAAAAAAAAAAAAAAAAAAAAAAAAAAAAAAAAAAAAAGATATTTTGCTTTTTTCCCTCACTAAAAGTCTCAGGAATGCATAGAAGGTGCCGTGAGATAACCCGTAAATCGCAGCGATGTAAATCCCATCGATAACGATAAAGAAAAGAAAATGAAAAGAAAAGGGAAGTTAGTGAAACGCAAGGAAAACGCTGTGCAGCGAGTGGGGCGAGTCGGGCGAACAGTAGAGGAGGGTCTCCTTACGGAGCCCCCTCTCAAACAGCTCATCTCTCTACTCTTCTTTATTCCCCCCACCCATTATGCCATTGTGGTGATCACCGTTATCAGGTCCATAGCCATGATGCGGGTTTTTTCCATTTTAAATTTTCTGGGTGGCCCGCGCTCAGAACCGACTATCTAGAAACACACAATAAATCTCACCACTATATGGTGCACCCTCCCACTTTAAAGTGGGAGGGGCCCACACTTGATTGGCAACTTTTTGTACATTTTGTTCATTTTTTTACATTTATTTTTTTACAAATAAAGTCTCGGCTCGGATTCATAAAATATATCGACATTAAATAGGAAGTATTGTGTATATATTGCCACATTCCTCTACTCTGACCTGATCCCGTAGTACACTCTGTTACCGACCTTCCGTGACCACCCTCTCTCGTCCAGCCCAGCGACCGACCCCCCCATTGGCCGTCCTATCCACCAAGCCCTGCCGTGCCCATTCCAGTATCTCTCTCAAACGTAAGTGTGGCTAATTTTAAATTTTACATACATACAATTTTATTATTATTATTTTTTTTTTTTTTGTATTACCGGTGACTTTGTTTGATTTCAGGAATTTTTGCTACAAGGTTACTCTTTTTAGAATCCTGACAAGTTCTACTGTACTGACCATCAACACCGCAGCAACAGAGCTCCGATACAACATCATCTTTCCTACCATGAACTACTCGCTCTTCACGGAAGATTACGGGTCCGGGTCCGGGTCCGGGTCCGGCTATCCTCCAACACTTGACGGTGGCACAACCACCACAGTTGAAGAGGTGAATGCACTCAATTTGAACGACGAGATCTTTTTCTCCACCAACCAGCCGGACACCAGGGAGGGATTCGACGATCCTCAGAACAACAATAATAGCAACACTGCCAACACCACACCTGAGTTCCAGACCCCACCACAGCTGACAAATTATGACTACATGAACAAGAGAACACATTCAAATTCGTTTAGTCTCCCCATTGATCAACTCAACTTGCTCACGATACGGCCACTCACATCACAATCGTCCAATACATCCAAATCACCCTCCCCAACCTTATCGGGCGAGTTCCCTCATTTTTACAATCCGGACGCCGTGATGGAGGAACCAACGATTAACCCTAGACAGTTGTTTAATGATCATAAGCCAATCGCAGCGTCCTATAGCTCTCCTTCACTCACCACTTTATTCAAACAACAAGAATTGCCCCTGCAACAAGCAAGAAACATCAATACTAATAATAATAATTCTACTACTACTACGACTAGTACTTCTGTTCACCGGTACCCTCATAACCGTCACAGCATTAGTATAGGCCCATCTACTACCACTGCCATTGGTTCTGGCAACTCTTCTTATAAGAACTCATCCATGGAATCCCCAGTTGATGGATCCAGCGCAGGCGCCGGGATCCAAAATAACACCAATACCAACAATTCAATCACTCCAAGGTTTGATTTCATTATGAATGATGAATGTCTTAATGCCATTCATTATTGGCTCAATAGTAGTCTGCAGAAGATTTCTACTGACGTTGACAATGACAGCTGTGCTGAGATCATTGGGAATCCTACCGGAATTTTGAAATATCAAAGACGTCGTAATTCTATCCAAGTACCAAATGGGAACAATGGGAATAATGCAGTGGAGAGTAGAAGTAGTAGTAATTCTACATCACAAAAGAAGAAACGGAGAAAGTCATGTAATTATGAACAAGCTACTTCGGGACAATTTGCCAATACTTTGAAAGAAGAGGAATTTAATGAAGATTTGCTGTTTATCAAGCCAAATACAGCTCAATTACCATCTCAAAGAACCCCACCAAACGTTCATCAATCATTTTTCGCCCCCACAGGCCCAATGTTTGATAAATTGAAGAGTAATCAAGCATTCCATAAATCACCTCCACAACTCAAAACACAAATGAGACCATTCCAATCCCCCAAGGCTACACTCCCACTGCAATCTGTTCCACAATTACGAGCACAACATGACGAATTTACCTCAAATACTCCATATCATGGTGGATCACCAAGAAAGTCTAATAATGGGTCTGGGCCAGCTTTCAATAATGTGGATACTTCAATTAATGGGAAATTACCAGGTAATAACTCTGGAATTACTTCTTCTACCACCCTCACCACTTCTAAAAATGAAGCACCAACTCCAGCACCACCAACTCCAGCTCTCACCACAACCTCGTCATCAACGGGCTCTTCTTCTTCCACCACCAAGCTGAACAACCAATCGGACGAGGATGATGATTCTGATGAAGAAAAACCATTCCCATGTCCAGAATGCACCAAACAATTCAAACGATCTGAACATTTGAAGAGACATATCCGATCTGTTCATTCGAATATTCGGCCTTTCCACTGTAAATATTGTGAAAAGAAGTTTTCCAGATCGGATAATTTGGCACAGCATTTGAAGACCCATTATAAAACCTTACCCGATGGAACCACCACCATAATTCTTGGGAATCCCAATCTATATAACAGAGGAGGACGTAGAGGCAAGGGGAGCACCAGTAGTGTGTAATGATTTATGTATTGATTTATTGGATGAATAATAAGAAAAAATGGAATTGTAGAGTAAAAAGAAAATGGGAGAGTCCAACCACCGCTAGTGACGGAGGGCTAGTGGAGAGTCTCACAGTCCATCCAGGGAAGTGAGTAGGTGCAGCCCTACGGGGCTTGTAAGCCGCTCCGCTGGCCCCTACTCGGGGAGAGCCACTGGCGTGGTGCCTAGCTCCTCTACGAGGAGACTCGAGTCGTCAGACTTTCCTCGGTAGAGGAACAAGGCCTCCACGGCTAGTGGCCCACGGAGTGCCAGCGGAGCGGCTTACATACCCCGTGGGGTGGGTGTTACCCCCCGTCTCTACTCTACCGGGGAGCTCTGACGCTACATAGACCACCTACCCAGGGCCCTTAGAGAGCCACCAAGAGGTGCACCCTCCTCGAAAGTGATGATCTAGCAAGTGATGATCTAGTGTGATTCACTACAGTCTCATGTTTATAGTCCTAGTACGGTTCCAAGGTTGCATGGTCTGGCCTGCATATAATTACCCTTCTATGCATCATAACGTCATCAATCTACCAAATGATAAATAGCAAACTCAAAGCAAATTCCCAACTACTGGTTAAGTTACTACTTTCAAATCTTTCCCATAACAAAAATCTATTTATTTCATTGTATAGAGAATAAGTGAAATATCTAAATCTTCAACTCTATTCACTCTAATCATCATCACCCCCACACCTACACACACACAATCTTTCTATTTAACCATTCATTTCTTCTCTACGTTTGAAGCCCCGCGCCCACAATTTTTAGACGGCCGGTACATAAACTTCATCTCTTGCTTTGCATAGAAAACAAAAATATTGATGGCTGGATGGTTTCCACACGACTCTTACGGCACGATAGCAATTTGAAAGAGTAAAATGTCGCACAATTTGAGTGCGCGCGACATAATTTATAAGGGGGAATGAATGGGTGGTGATTGCCGGCGGGCGGAAAGAGAGGGGGGGGGGGGTCCCACGCACTAAGTGGGACGTTTTTCGCGTCTGCACCACACACCTTTCTGCGAACGCGGATGAAATGGGGCTGAAAATGGGAATGTTTTCGAAATCTCTTGCGCTTGCGATTTATTACTCCACCATATTATTTTAACACACACACATTTCCAAAATTCCCTCTACTTCTTCTTCTTCTTTCTTTCTTTTTTTCCAATTATATATTCCTCTTGCTCCCAGTTAATTTTATCGATACCAATTGAACATGTCGAATAGATCTGTGTACCTGTCCAATGGGAAGCCTTTGTCACAACAGGCTCTTTACCAACAAAAGCTTAAACAAGGGGTTTTCAATTCTCCTGGTAGCCCAATAGTAGGGGTCAATTCCAATGCTTCCGACACCGCTGCTTTACTTGCTGCATCCACCGATTTAACTGTCAAGCCTAGTTATGAACGGACCATTGCCCAAGAGGCACATAACGCTGCTCTGGCCGCTAGAAACGGGACCACGTCCACTTTTTCGTCCAGAACTGGAGCTGCTGCCGCTGCTGCTGCTCTTGGTGTCAATGGAGGAACTGGTGTACCAGCCTATAATGGACCATCTGTTTACAAAAAGGCTCTGTCCAACTCGACCTATTCCATTAGTTCCAGAACTGACCCTTCAGAAAGAGATTACCGTTCAGGATTGACCACTAAATCTGCTGCCACCAACATTAACATTTCTAAAATTAACCTGTTGGCCAATAAGAATTCATCCAAGTCTCTTAATTCTAGATTTAACCCAGAATTGGATTATCGTTCAGGTGTGGGTCATCAAAATAAAACTGCCACTGAGTTTTTAACTCAAGATGAAGAAAATTTGGCTGCCAATGGAGCCGCTGCATCATTGAAATATGGAGGAAGTTCTTCTACTGAAGCTTCTTCACAACTTCGTAATAGTAAATCTTTTACTGCCAATGATGTTGTTAACAAGACATTACTTGCCGCTGCCAATAAGGCTGCCGAGGCAAGATTGGCTCTGCTTAATTCCTCTCAACCGTTGGATTTTAAACAACAAGCTCAACTTTATGCCAAGGCCTTAACAGTTGCTCAAAAAAATTCTGATGATAGAATTGCCAATCATAAGGTTGGTATGATTGATTTGGGTGGAGGTTTAACCATTTCTCAATTGGAATTAAATAAAATGGCTGCTCTTGTTGTTCAACCTGTTTTAAATGATATTGAAGCTAAGGCTGATTCTCAAAGAGAAGCAGATGAAGCATCTAAAAAGAAACAACAAGAACGTGTCAAGGAACATGAAGCTTACAAGAAGGAAGAATTCCAAAAGAAATTGAAGGAAAAGGCTGACATTGAACAAGCTAAACGTGAAAGAGTTCAAGCCAATGATCAGAAAAAACTGAAGGAAGATGATGAATACACTGAATTCCAAAAGGGTAGAAATGAAGAAGTTGATGTTAAAACAAAGGAATTAAAGGCCATTGAATTGAAACATCTGGAAGAAAAGGAACAACTTTTGGCTGAAAAGCAAGCAGAAGTGGAAAGAATTGAATCTGAAGAAACAGAATTAATTAATGGTAGAAAGGAAGAATTGAAATCAATGCAAGATGAAAGAGATGAGATTTTGAAGCCTACTTTGGAAGAATTGGAACAAGAATTGGCCAAATTAAAGGAATTAACCAATGCTAGAGATGAATTATTAAAGGAAGTTGAAGCATCAGAATCTACCAATACTGAATATCATGCCAAGGTTAAGGAATTAACTGAAAATTTGGAATCCACCAAGACTAGTATTGAAGAATTCACGGTAAAATTGGAAGAAGCTACCACTAAACATGAAGAAACTTCAAAGGAATTGGATGAATTACATGTTTTATCTGGTACTGAATTACAAAAGGCTGAAGATACTCATAAGGATTTAGATACCAAGATTGAAGAACTTGAAAAAACTAAGCAAGAACATCTTGATACTAAGGCTAAACATAAGGAGGACATTTTAGCATTGATTGATGAACAAGTTGTCAATGAACACAAGATTAATAAGGAATTACCTGAACATTTACAACGTGACATTGATGAAAAGAAGTTGAGAGATACTTCGTCATTATTTTCAAGTGAAGAAGCAGAAGTTACCGAAGTTCCATTGATCAATAAGAAGGAAGAAGAAGTAGAAGAAGTTAAAGAAGAAAAGGATACCGTAGAAAAGAAGGACGCTCCAGTGACTCCTGTCAAGGCGTCTACCGATGCTAAGACCTCTCAATCTAGTGCATCTAAGAAGGATAACAGAGCCAAGAAGGGATTTAAGAAGTTTGCCAAATTTTTCTCGGCTGAACCATCGCAACCAACTCCTAGAAAGCCATCCACTGGAACTCCCAAGAAGGCCACTGTTGTTCCAGCTACTGCCGCTGCTACTGCACCAACAACCGAAGTTGCACCTACCAAGACTAAGGAGTCCACCTCGGCCCAGAGTGTTGTAGACACCATTGATGACAACTCATTAAAACAAAAGAAAAGTACACGTGGTGGAGTTTTCAAAGAAGAAATCTAATTGAAGAAATTATTCGAAACATTTCAAAGACACCATAAATTTTCAGTTCTAGTAAAATGAATTTTTCGATTCATTTTCTAAGTTTATTTCCCATGTTTTTATTATAATTGTATTATTGTTATCCATATAAATGTAGAACTTGCCAACAAAGCAAGAATAGTACCATTGGTCGTATGGTGTCTATAAGGTGCTCTACTAGACACCTACCTTACAAGAGCCACTGCCTTGTTCGGGACTAACCCCAGGAAGACTTTCCTCGGTAGAGGAACAGTGCCCCACGACTAGTGGCTCACGGAGTGCCAGCGGAGCGGCTTACAGACCCCGTAGGGGTAGACTACTTACCTATGCTACTGGGTTGCGAGACGCTCCGCTGGGCCCCTGCTCGGGGAGGGCCACTGCGTGGTGCCTAGCTCCTCTACGAGGAGTTATCAACTCTAATTTCAGATCTTCCTCGGTAGAGGAACAAGGGCCCCCACGGTTAGTGGTCCACGGAGTGCCAGCAGAGCGGATTACAGAGGTGTGTTGACACTCCTTTTTGCACCCATTCTCTTGTATCAATCCTCAACGATATACATCCCATTCTTTTACTCCAAAAAACCAAAGAAATGTAAAGTACGTCACTAGTGGCTAGAAACTAACTTCTCTACTTATATATATATATCTTCCTCTCTCTTTTAGTTGGTAGGACATCAAGTAATCAGTCCTCCTCCTACTATTCTAGGTATTTACTCCTGTACATAACTCTCATGAGAAATTGAAAATCCAAATTTTTGAGACCAAACCAAAAAAAAAAAACTTGTGGGAGAGTTTTTACCGCCATCAATTCCAAAATTCAACCCACAAATTAGAAACAAAATATGGATTTAGCAGAAAAATTCAACTTCAAGATAGCGTCTGCTAGTGAAGAATATAAACTCAGACGTAGAAAGCAGATGATTCTCTTTATGGGAACGTCAGCACTCACGTTATTTGCAACCAGATTGGCGTATAAATCATCAGTTGCAAGACAATACTTACCTACACTTTTCCAGGGGAACCATCAACCTCCTGCTAGTTATAGTTTTGTAGCAGATGCCGCGGTTGCAGTGGGTACAGGAACACTTCTCTGTGGTAGTGTTACCTCGATGACTGCATTTGGAGCATTTTGGATTTTAGATGTTTCCAATTTCAAAGAATTTGGATGGAAGATGAAACTGATGATGGGTGGATATGATAGAGAAAGGGAGTTGGCCAAAATGCCAATTGATCAAGAAAGTCGAGAGATACAAGAAGCCTTAAATGACATTTTGGAGGGGAAATATGAGGAGTGAGGAAAAAAGGATTGGGTTTTATTTTATATGGGACAGCTTGTAAATAGAGGAAAATAGAAAATTGAAATAGAGTAAGCGCAGATGTAGAGGGGAAGAAGTAGATAAGATGAAGTTGGATGTTAGGGTGGAAGATAGTTGGTATGTAAAATAATAATTGGTGTGTTAGGCCTAACAGTTACTGAGCGTGTCCAGGCCAAAAAATGGCTGGTTGGTTTTTGTTTTGTTGTTGTGCTACAAAAAAAAAATTAAGTTACATATAGAGGGCTGCTAAGAAGGGGGAGTGTTTGTAGGCCTTAAAAACAGAGATATACTTGTTGTACGACTCTACTATTGCTCTGTGGGATAATTGATTGCACCTTGTATAGGTATAGTAGATATAGACGACGCAAGTAATGGCTAGGTTCCCGAGTGCGAGTGCCTTGGCCAGAAAAGCCAAGTTGAATGCCGCGTATGAGCGGGGCCGCCGTATGGAAGAACAAGAAAATGAAAGCGGACTGGACGACAGCGGTGAAGAAGAGTCTTCGGAGGCCGACGAGCCGATTGTACGGAGCAGGATCAGATATGCGAGTCTGAGAGAGAGCCAGCCCGAGGAAGAGGAAGAAGAGGAAGAGGAAGAGGTAGAAGAACGTAGTTCTTCACGGTCCAATAAAAGACCCAGTAGCAGTTCCTCGAGCACATTCGAACGTAATATTATATCACGAAGTCCACTTGTTGGTCCACCACCCGTGAGGGTAGATCGTAGAGCTGGTAGTCTGACCAATGCTCGCGTGACAAAGCCCGTTGCTAGAACATCTAGTAGCAGTACACATTCGAGTCCCGCACAAACAACAAGCTCAAGTGCTAGGAAACTGACTTCTTCATCTTCGAGACCTAGTTCTAGTTCCAACTTAGCTAGAGGTACCTCGGGTATTTCATCATCGAGACCAAGTTCAAGCTCAATAAGAGATCGTTCAGGCTCATCATCATCTAGACCAGGTACAAGTTCTTCAAGACAACAGGAGACTGGGTTGTATAGAAATCAACCGGGGGATCCTGTACAACCCAAAAAGAGATACCGTCCAGGAGCTGCTGCACTTCGAGAAATCCGTAGATTTCAAAGAGGCACTGAACTTTTAATTCGGAAACTTCCATTTGCTAGGCTTGTTAAGGAGATTTCTGAAGATTTCATTGGTCCTGGATATGGTCTTAGATGGCAATCGAACGCGGTTTTGGCCCTTCAAGAAGCTTGTGAGGCATATTTGGTTCATCTTTTAGAAGACACCAATTTATGTGCAATCCATGCGAAAAGAGTTACAATTATGCAAAAGGATATTCAATTGGCAAGAAGAATTAGAGGAAATCTTTAAGCTACAAAAAGAAAGTTACTAGTGAGACTTTGAGAACGCGCTCAGTTCTCTGCGAGACAGGGTCGCGTGCGGCACCTAAGGACACTCTTCAGAGACTGACATTCCTCGGTAGATGAACAAGGGCCTCCACGGCTAGTGGCCCAGCGGAGCGGCTTGCAAACCCCGTAGGGTAGCTATAGCACTCCTTCCCTAGCGGGTGTACCAAGACGCTCCGCTGGCCCCTACTCGGGGAGAGCCACTGCGTGGTGCTTGGTTCCTCTACGAGGAGTTGACATCCTGTAGTGCTTTCCTCGGTAGAGGAACAAGTGCCTCCACGGCTAGTGGCCCACGGGGTGCCAGCGGAGCGGCTTACTTACCCCGTAGGGAGACTACTCATTTCCCTGACGGGACTAGCAAGTCGCTCCGCTGGGCCCCTGCTCGTGGAGAGCTAATGTGTGGTGCTTGGTTCCTCTTCGAGGAGACTCTAGCTGCCAGACCTCATTAGAGGACTTTTCACACGGTTAGGTGAACTGAGTTCCAACAGTAAAGCTTTGTATGGGTTGCGCGTCACATGCTCGTGCACGTGAGCATTTATAATTTGCCCTAATTGGGACCTCGGTTAAGCATGAACCGAGGGCTCAAAACAAAAAGAAGGAAAGTCACATATTTTACTCGACAGGAATCAAAAGAAAAAAATAAACACAGTGGGCTTGATGGATGGAATAACAGTACAGGTACTGCAACGTTCATATGTAACATTAACAAAGAAGGAGGGAAAATAACGACTATAGAAAGGATTTTAGAAATTTAATTAGGGGAATCCGTTTATGGGATCCTGTATGTACGAATATAAAATTAATTTATCATGCGTTTTGTAGTTGACTCGTCGTCAATGGGGGTCCTTGTGTGATGATCGCCCAATTAGGAAGGTTAATTGATTAGCACGGACAACATGGGAGTTTCAAGTGTGGCAGAAAATAGTTTCATACCAAGCCACTTTAATTGCTCATATGAAACCAATGTGAGGTGGGGAAAGGCTCCCTGTTTACATTGTGTCACTTAGCCAGCCATGGAAATAAAAAATACAATATTATAAAAAAAAAAAGGAGACCTAAAAGGGACATGGGGGGAATTAAAAAAAATCTGTCATACAGTTCCAATTTCACCAGGTTGTGACCGGCATGAGCTCGTATCTTTGCTGGTACCTGATTTAGGGGTATCACCGAAGGTGGTCAGATCAAAGCTGACACCGATAAGAAGGAGGGACTTGGAAGCGGATGGAAGGGGGATGCCGGTGGTAAGACGAGACCCACGCTAACAGCTGATCATGGACACATGACGAGTGCTTAAATTTGTTTTAAAAATTAAATAATATTTTGTGCGTGATAGATCAAAAAGTAACCATGTAGCTGCAGTAGTGTATCAATAGCCCATAGTTTTAACTTTTTTTTGGGGGGGATGTTGGGAATGCGACAATAGACGGCTACGATCGTATTCACAACCGGGTAATTTATTGTCAGGAGGAGGACCTGTAGGCAGCCGCTTGGAACCTGAGACGTCAACGAATCTGCACGACCAAGCGATTGGTATTGGCCGGGCCACAAGTAGTCTGATAACGATTTATGTACAACCTTTTCTTTTGTACCAAATTATTTTTTGTTTTCTCTGATTGTTTAAAGGAGAGAGAGATTTAATATTTTCTAGTACTGATAGTTTAACTTGTTTCTTTGTATTTTTCAAAAGGACAATTTGCAAGACAAACATTGCTTGTATTGACTTGAGGTTGTTGAGAGACGGCTCATTTATTAAAGGATAGTAATTTTAATTCGCATCTTCGTTTACAAAGACATTTTACCAGGGTTGATTCTCGAATGGCCACCACTACTGCCACCAAGCGGAAACTTGTTTACAGGCAAGACCCCGACGGGGTGTTCCGGTTGAAGAAGAGGGAGGATCCGATTGTAGCATCGACCACTCGAGAGAGATTAGGGACGAAATCATCCCATGATTATGTCAACGATCTAATCGCGTGCCTGGTTGAAGGTTTAGACACGGTTAACCCCGAACCGGAGAAAATCGCGACGACCACAACACAAATTAATAAACCTACATTGGAGGTCACCACCAAGGACAACAGACTGGCCATTGATTTTCTGGAGAACCAGACTTTGCTTCATACCGAAAAGACAACGACAGCTGTAGCAGAACCCTCACCCACCTCGACTGCATCTTCTGTTCATAGCCAAGCTGAATCAAACACAACCACAACAACAACAACAACAACGCCCCCTGTCATCCACACTCAACTGCCTGTTTCGACCCCATTCAGGACTCATCTTTTCGACACTCCACAATTCTTTACGTCTGATATGATGGCGTACACGTTTCATATCCCGAGTTTTGCTGGTGGTGTGTTGATGACAATTGCATTGTACTATCTGTCACCACTCATTGCATACTACACTCAATCTCTCTTGTACGTCTTACGAGTTGGAGTGATCTGGGGAGCCATCATTGGTGCCGTTTGTTGGTACTTGGGAATCATTCGTAGTCAAGACACGGTGGTTATCAAGCAACTTCTTGCACGCTTACAGGCGAAAGTGCCCGGTGGTGGTACAACAATAACCCCGGTGGCGATTGTAGAAGAACATCACGTACACCCAGACATTCACACTGATGACGACATGAATAGCATATCATCTGAAGATCATAAGGATCTGAAATCTGTAGAGATCTCCAGATCTGCATCACCAACGAAAGCTGTTGCTGCTGCTGCACCAATCACCACCAGAAGAAACACTTTGACTGAGGTGAAGCCATTTTTCTATACACCTCCAAAACATCAACAACATATGGACGATTATGACATGTCCAACCCAAGAAAGCAGTACCAACAACACCAACAACATTACCCTGAACGGCCAAACAGTGCCTCTAAACCTGTTATGAATGGAGCACCTCCACAATTGGCCCGGTATCAAACGGATGAACCAGTGCATGTGCCCAGACGTGAAAGAGAAAGACGTGGTAGAATGAATTCAAGTTCATCCTTGACAGATTTGGCAGTTCCTCGAGGAGGTGGAGGAGATAGAAGAAATGGAATATTGACATTGGCAGAATTGGGACGGAAAAACTCGTATCCAATCAGTCCACAATATCCAACCCATGAAGCACAAGAATTACCATTTGCAAATGAAGTTAAACTTATTTCTGAAGAATATGGTGAGGATGGTATTAGTGGGGCTGGTGTGCCCGTTGTCAAGACTGCAGAACCTTTACGGATCGTTAATGATGGGATACTTCGTCGGAAACATGATGTACCACCCAAATTCTCCAATGATAGTATCTCCAGACTGAATACAGTACTCAGTAAAAAGAGTGTCTTGGGGACAAGGTCCAATTATAACAAATTTGTGGCCAATGTCCATGGTGATGATTATTAGATGAATTAGGAAAAGAAATTTCAATAGCAAGTAGATCATCATCATTGGGAGTAAATGGGGGGCTTTGAACGGAGATAAGCAGGAGTTAAACCAAAAGGGTTCTTTAAGTGATGCATATAACAACCCAAGAGTATCGAAGATTTTAATATAATGAAGGTGAGCATAACCAAGGGTCTATTTACTGATTATTTAGGTATTTATAGTACTAATAGTACGATGAAACGGATTGGATAGAAGTAGAAAGAAAATGAAAGAAAAAGAGCCCCTCATTTTTTGAGAATATACTTCCTATGGCATGGATGTATTACTGGACGATATGTGTGGTTTGTCAGGATATAGTTGACATGTACGACAATATTGGTAATTCACTCATAGGTTTCGAATGGATGTAAATTCATAATTTTAATCATAATTCAACCATTTCTAAATTTGGATTAGCACAGTAGTGGATATTTTTCTATCTGTAGGTTAAGGACATGACGATCTATTATGGTAAGATTGTTATTTTACGTATCTTAATATTTATACAAGTAAATTTGTGTATATTTCTCATTTAACTTCTAAGAAACATTTAAGAGAATGAGTGGTTTTCAACAATGACAATAGAAAAAGATATAGAAACTTGAATAAAGAATCGGGAGGAGAAACTTTAAAGATCATGAAAAAGGGTTCGTGTACAGATTATCATTGTTGTTTCCACATACTTGGCTGTGAGATGTGGTAATATTTGCTCCAAACATGCTCAGTCCGGAGAGGAATTATACATGTGTCATAATGGAAGACCTTGGCAATACGAGGGAGGTTCAATGGTTTTGACATAGAACCCTTTTTAATTAATGTGGTGCATGAGTTCCGTGTTCCTCGGAAAGACCAAGGTTCTGCCTCTTAAAACGAGTATTCTTTTTTTTTGGGACTTTCCATTCTATGAATTTCTATGTTGGGAATTATGATACTAGTAACTTATATAAATACATTTGTTTAATACAGAGAAGAACTTGATTAGTCTGTTTTGTAGAATGGGAATAACAAGTGTGTGTATGCTGCATCGTAAAACGCAACTATTAGAATGGATCTCCGAGACGCACCAAATCTATTTTTGTAAAAAGTTTAGTACTCTTACTATCTTTTATTGGAAAGTTCAACTGTGTACCCTCAATCCTCTACGAGAAGACTATACATAGCCAGACTTTCCTCGTCAGAGGAAGAGAGCCTCCACGGCTAGTGGCCCACGGAGTGCCAGCGGAGCGGCTTACTTACCCCGTAGGGAGACTACTCATTTCCCTGACGGGACTAGCAAGTCGCTCCGCTGGGCCCCTGCTCGGGGAGAGCCACTGCGTGGTGCCTGGCTCCTCTACGAAGCGAAAGATTCACAAATGCAAACTCTTCTTACAGTGGAATCTCGTTATATTGTGTGGTTGCAAGTATTATCATAGTCGTGTATTGCATAAATAATTTGTATTGAGAAAAATAACAAACACCGCGCGCGCTAACAATTTGATGGTGGTGAATGTTTACCAGTGTAGGTTATAACCGATAGACATAGTAGTTATAATTGAATAGATAAAATGCCCTTGTATAGAGAAGACAACTACTTGGTGGTGCATCCTGGGTCGCAAAGCACGATTTTTTCTTTTGGCTTGCAAGATTCGTTGTCTCCACCACAATATAAAATTCCTTCCAAAGTTTATTACAATGAAGTTACCAAGGAATTCCGGTCAAAGAAGGAAGAGTCAACCACTTCAGATGACCTGAGTGCTGCCCAATGGGAAGAAATCTACCCCATTGTCCAAGGGAAGATTGTTCACTTGGACGCATTCAATTACCTTTTGAAGATAATCTTGCAAAGTGTAATCACCAAGAACCCAATCATAACCATCAATCAAATCCCACTCTTGATCATATCTTCATGTTTAACTTGGCTGCGTGCAACCACGGAATATGTCACCAAATACGTTTTGGAATCCCTCGAGTTCCCCGCCTTCAATGTGATAGATTTACTGTTGGCCGCCAACTTTGGATTGGGAGTTTCTCTGCTGTCTTGTGTGGTCAACATTGGTCAAGATAATGTACAAATTATGCCAGTTATCAATTATCAATCAATTAAATTTGCTGGGAAATATTTACCAGGAATTGGAGGTCAACTCATTAATAATGAATTGAAGAAAAACTTACCCTCGTTAAGTGATGAACAAATTGAAGAATTAAAGAAATCTGGGATCTATGAAGTAGTTATTAATGATAATTCATCCTTTTATTCTATGGCTGATTTAAAATCATCTCGTGGTGGGAAAGATGATGAGGCTGAGGAGGAAGATGATGATGATTTTGATGTAGCTAAGTTGGTTACTGAACTGGATAATGGTAAGATTGTACTTGATGAAAAGAAAAAGGAAACTGAAGATGAAGAAGATTTGAAACCAAACACAGAATTGGAAAAAAATTTCTTTATTGATCCAACCACTCAAGAAAAGGTTTATATAGGGAAGGAAAGATTCCAAGGAACTGAAAAACTTATTGCCTTGATTGCAGATGCCATTTATCGTTCATTATCCAAAATACCCAACTTGGAGAAGAGACAAGAATGTTTTGATAACTTGATCTTTGTTGGGTCTACTTTCAAGATCCCTGGCTTTAAGAAGGCATTACTTATCCATCTTGCCACTGAATACCTTGTGCGTGCTCCTGTGGAACACAACACCAAGAACGGTGGTGTTAGCAATGTGAACTCGGCCATTCTTGCGTATCAACAAACGGGGGACGTTGCAGGAGATTCTGAAGAATCTACTTATGCCTCTCTGCAAGTACCTACATCGATCAAAACGGTGAAATTACCTGAATATTTCCCAGAATGGAAGAAACCAAAGGAAAAGGGTGGTTCTTGGGAAGATGTATACTTTTTAGGAGGTGAGATTTATGCCAAACAGATCTTTGGCGGTAATTCGAATCAAAACGGTGAAATGTTTATCGATCACGATATTTACGAGGAGAAGGGACCACAAGGAATATGGGATGTTAGTATTTAGAAAAAGTGGTAGTCAAAATGAATGTACAATTAAGAAATAATGACAGAGTAGAAGAGCCGTCCGTTCGGGGAAACCAACACTAACTTTCTCTACAGGGGAGTGTGTAAGCCGCTCCGTGGGCCACTAGTCATGGAGCCCCTTCTAGCGAGGAAAGTCTGACTGCTCGAGTCTCCTCGTAGAGGAGCCAGGCTCCACGCAGTGGCTCTCCCCGAGTAGGGGCCCAGCGGAGCGGCTTGCGCCAGGGAAGTGAGTTGTCTCCCTACGGGGTATGTAAGCCGCTCCGCTGGCACTCCGTGGGCCACTAGCCGTGGAGGCCATGTTCCTCTTACGAGGAAAGTCTGGCTGAGTGTAGTGGCTCACTTCACCTGGCCAAGGCGATGGTGCGACTCTGTGATTACCGCGTGTGTGAGTTTTATATTTGTTTTAAATTTAATTTTATATTTCGAGAGGTGTTTAAAGAGAGAATTGTGGTTTATGTGTAAGAATTGGTTTGGATGTACTGTGTAGAGTGGTATAAAGAGATGAATTTGTCCATCAGTAGATCATTAAATTCGTAGGGGGTGTAGCGTGTGAACCTCTTAGGGCACATCAAGCGCGCAAACAGAAGAAGGCAATAAAAAAAAAAAAAAGATTGGACTTTTAACGCGTCATGTTTGCCAGTAGACTCCTACGACGCCAACTATTTAGGAGCTTCGCAGTGTTAAGAGTACCTAGAATGCCGCAGCAACAGAGTTTAGCAAGATTTTTCTCAGCCAGCGGTGGGAACAGCCGTAAAAAGGCCAAGTTGGACGAATCGGTGGCAAAGACTCCAGAGACTCCAGAAACTCCAGCGACTCCTGTAACACCAGTGGAGGTCATAAAGAAAGAAGATGTGGTGGTAGAGGAGATCAAGAAGGATGCTGAAGATGAGTCCATTCCCGTGAAGACTGAAGTAAAGAAAGTAGAAGTGGAAAAGAAAATTAATACTGGTGGAGTTATTCCCTATGCCAAGATCACTGAGGTGTTTGAAAATGTAGAAAATACATCTTCAAGATTATCAATTACAGCATTAGTTTCAGATCTTTACCTTGAGATTCTCAAGACCTCCACACCAAAGACATTGGCCAAGGTAGTGTACCTTTGTATCAATCGATTGGGTCCTGATTATGAACCAGATTTGGAATTAGGGTTGGGTGAAACTTTATTGATTAAGGCCATCAGTGAATGTTATGGCCGTGCTCCTGCGAAAACAAAGAGAGAATACCAAGAAGTTGGAGATTTGGGACTTGTGGCCCAGAAATCACGTTCCGGACAACCAACCATGTTCAAACAAACATCCTTGGACGTGGACATGGTGTTTGAAAACTTGACTAAAATTGCTAGATCTACCGGTAAGGATTCTCAATCACGGAAAATTTCCATTATTAACAAGATGCTCACGGCCTGTAACATGAAGAGTAACGAGGCCAAGTTTCTTATTAGATCTTTGGAGGGGAAGCTTCGTATTGGGCTTGCCGAGAAAACCGTTCTTATGGCCCTTGCACAAGCCTTTGTAAATTATGAAAAGATCACCAAGAACGGTAAAAAAGTCGGAGGTGAAGATTTGGCTCAAGCTGAAGATGTTATCCGTGAAGCATTTTCCACCATCCCCAATTATGAAATCATAATAGAAAATGCATACAAATATGGAGTTTTCAATCTTTTAGAACATTGTCAATTGACTCCAGGGATCCCATTAAAACCAATGTTGGCCAAACCAACCAAATCTGTAAGTGAAATCTTGGATAGATTCCAAGGTGAAGAGTTCACATGTGAATATAAATATGATGGAGAAAGAGCACAAATTCATTTCTTTGACAATCAAATCAAAGTTTATTCTAGAAATTCAGAAGATATGTCTCAACGATACCCAGATCTTCTCAATGTGATCAACGAAGTTTTCAAGAGCACCAATGGTGGAGCCATTGTTACCAACAAATCAATGATCTTGGATTGTGAAGTTGTTGCGTGGGACAAGGAACAGGGGAAGATTTTGCCCTTTCAAGTGTTGTCCACTCGTAAGAGAAAGGCAGTGGAAGAAAAGGATATCAAGGTGAATATTTGTTTATTTATATTTGATATGTTATACTTCAATAACACTGCCTTGATCAGTAGATCACTTACTGAAAGAAGAGAATTAATGATGGATAATTTACAAGTCATTGATGGGAAATTCCAATTTGCCACGTATAAGAATTCAACAAATTTAGATGAATTGCAACTCTTTTTAGATCAATCTGTTAAGGATTCATGTGAAGGTCTCATGGTTAAGATGCTTAATGGGAAGGAATCATATTATGAACCTTCGAAAAGATCAAGAAATTGGTTAAAATTGAAAAAGGATTATTTGGCTGGGGTTGGAGATTCTCTTGATTTGGTGGTTGTTGGAGCTTATATTGGTAAGGGGAAAAGAACTGGGACTTATGGTGGGTTCTTATTGGCCTCGTACAACCAAGACACGGGTGAGTATGAAACAACTTGTAAAATTGGGACTGGGTTTTCCGATGAAATGTTGACTACTTTGTATAATCAATTGAAACCTACTGAAATACCTAGACCAAAGGCATTTTATGTTTATGATTCCAATAATTCCAATGCATCTCCAGATGTTTGGTTTGAACCAACCACAATCTTTGAAGTTTTAACTGCCGATCTCTCGTTGAGTCCAGTTTATAAGGCTGCTCATAATGAATATGGAAAGGGGATTTCTCTTAGATTCCCTAGATTCATACGACTTAGAGATGATAAATCAATTGAAGACGCTACAAGTTCAGAACAAATATCTGAATTCTATCAAAGACAAGCCAGTGTCAACTAATAAACCTAATAAACGTACAAAATAATAGTATTAACTATGTAAACAAATATAAAGGCAAACAAATGCAAAGTAAAAAATTAATTAAAAAATACTCACCTCGTAGATAAGCAATTTATTAGTTAACATATGGGGGTCCCTACTCGGGGAAAGCTCCACTTCAAGGAGGCTACCTACATACAGATATTCCTCGAGAAAGGAACAAGGGCCTCCACGGCTAGTGGCCCACGGAGTGTCAGTGGAGAAGCTTGCAGCGCCCACTCTCTAAGGAGAAAAATCATAGAGCGTTTCCTTTTCTCAATCGTTCTTGGTGATTTTTTTTCTACCTTCTCTAACCTTATTACGGATTTTATCACTCAATCTCATTTTGGGAGTTGGAGATGCATGGGATGTACGTTTGGTAGGAGAGTTAGAAACTGGTTCTTGAAGCTTACCGAAATTAAGTTCAATTTGACTTTGAGAAGACTTGCGAGACAATGCAGGTGATTCTTCTTCAACTGATTCAATATCATTCAATTTGTTGCTAGAGGCACGGTTACTATGTAACTTGAAATTGAAATCATCAACTATAGATACACTCAGTTGAACATTTGAAATTGGTCCAACTTCAAATTCAGGGTTCTTGGCATTCATATGCAATTGATAATCTGAAAACATTGGGATATTTGTCAAGGAATTATCAGAATTCATCAAGGAAATACCATCGGATACAGAAGAAGAACGTTGTTCTTCCAAGGATAACCCGCTTTCGGTACTGTCTTCGCCCATTTCCTTCTTCTTTCTTTGTTGTTTCTCCAGTTTTCTTCTGTTGAGTCTTCTTTGACGTAAATCATTGGTTTTCCGTTCTTCTTCTTCATCACTATCAATGTATTCAACACCATCCTTAATCTTCAAATGATCCTTCATTTCCAACAAATTGAAATCATTTGGAAATAATTCAGGTCCAAAAGTATTCACCAATTCAGTGATATCTTCTGATAAATCATTTCTAAATTTCTTTAATTCTGTGACTGATGTCCCCGAAGTTAATGAAAGATATAATGGACGGATAGATTTGAAAATATCCATCCCTTGTTCACCAGTAAGTAATGCCGCGTATGTCACGGCAACACCACACATGTATAAAGAAAACCAAAGCATAACTAACCCCAAATTCTTAAAGAAATAAAGGTCAGACTTATAATAATACCAAGTCCCCACGGTAGCATAGAAACTATAGATCAAGGGAGCAAACACCATACTGATAAGAATCTTCCAAGTGGCAACCACATCATTGGCCTTGATCTTGACGGTAGAGTTGGCTAAGGCAGTTCTGGCCTTTTCCTTAGAAACTAATTTAGAAACAAGAAACACGGGTGAAAATAACGTTGCACCTGGTAATGATAAAAGGACAAGTAAGATCAATTTACAAATTCTGAAAATGAAAATTGGTAACACTCTCAACTTGTGCAGTTCATCACAATCTTCAACATGATGATCAGGTAAATACATTTGTTTAAGTAAATCATTATAATGAAGGATTTTCTTTTTAATGTTTTGAACTTTTTCATTGTTTTGGAAGGTTTGATATCCTAAAACCAATCTTCTATTCATTTCCACCACGAGGGGTAAGGGCAAATATTGGGCAAAGTTCCCCGCATACAATCTTCTTGCAGCCTGGACCACCATCAATGTTTCGTAGTCGTCACAGGTGACGGTGACAGCCTTCAACCCGGTGGAAATGATGTCCAACAAGTCCTTGACGGCCTCACGGTTGGTTTCTGGATTCTTATACTTATTGACGAGTTCCTTGGTGATATCGATTGGGATACCAAATTCCACCACTGCTCTCGATCTAAACTTGTGAGCATTGAAATAATTCATACCACAGGGGACAATTTTCACATTACAATTTGGATCATTTGCCATGGCTCCAAGGGCCATAACGGCAACACCAGCTTTCAAGGGGAGAAGATCAGTTCTATCATGGGATCCACCTTCAGGGAAGATTCCTATACAATTACCATAGGATAAATGTTGGAAAACCAGGGTATAAACTTGATTTTGATCAACTTTATGAGCTCTTTTGTAAGGAGTACCCTTGGATAATAATTTTCTCACTTGTTCAGTGTTTTTGAATTCCTTTCTAACAACCAATTCAGTATCAGAATTAATTTCCAACACTTCAGATGCACCAAGAGATTGTGGGAGGGCAATCATACCTCCCTTCATACATTCCTTGGTGAATAAAGTACCCTTCCCATGGATGATGGTTGGGTTTGTATCAAAGTCAACCGATATGGTACCGGACCCTTTCTTAAGGATATCTTGAGGTCTTTCCACGGGGATGGAAAGTTGACATTTGGATAAATGTCCAATGATATTTTGACGGTATGACTTTGCAGCAATTAAAAATGAAACTCTACGATTAGCTTCTCTTTTAACTTGATTCATCAAAATAATGGGGTCTACAAATTGATTGGCATGAGGAGCAGCCACGAAAATCACGGGGCCAGATCTGGGGAGTCTAAAGGCACCTCTAGGTCTGATTTCACGGAAAAAGCAGTCAAAAATGACTGAAAAGCACCAAAGGAAAAAATCATAAATCACCAATCTATACCAAGCAGGATTCGCAGAAAAGCCTGAGTTTGAGCTGGAGTTGGTAGAATTTGAGGTTATAGATGATTCACTTGTGGCCTTGGATCTATCATCTTGTTTGACTTCATCTTTAACTTCCTTGCTGATGGAAGCTTCTTGCTTGATGGCTTCTTGGATGACTTCATCTTGTTCCTTTACATTGTTGGTACTTCTACTGGTACTGGGCAGAATTGCAATATTTGAATTACTCGAGGTACTCAATTGTAGCCGCGGCACTTCCATTCCAGGAACACTCATTGCCGGGATTACCAAATGGGGAGGACACTGAGAGAATTTATTTAATGGTAATATCCAAAGTGTGTAAAAGGATCCCGCCTCTCTTTGTTTTAGGGAGAAAATGCGAGAAGTCTCAGATCGTTTAGAGTTTTAGTGGATTTATTTTTTTTTTGATTTTTGCCTGATCTGGCACGCATCACGGGATCAGAAAATAATGGAAATTTTCTAGGGAGTTAGAGGGAAAAGGTAAAGGAAGAAAATGTGGGGTAGGTAAGTTAAGAAGGGGAGTAGTAGAGAGGAAGAGGGAGAGGAGAAGAGATAATAAGGTATAATAAGGGGGTAATAAGTAGAAGGGGTGAATGTTATAAAGAGAGAGAGAGGAGTGTATTGGTGGTCATAGAAGAAGACACCGTGGTTTTATAGAGAAAGACACGGGGGTTATAGAGAGGAAGATGTATAAATAAATAGATAAGGTAATCATCTTAGAAGTAATTCTTGATTAAGACTTCTTACTAGATTATAGTGTAGTCTGGAACTTTAAAGAATGTCTATACAATTGTCTAGTTCTTACTCACTCCTTTCAAATTATTTCTTATTCTTTATACTTCCTCTAGTGGGGAATATCTCCGATATAATATCCCACAATTCGCAATATCCTGGAAAAACCCATACACCAGACTTCTTTACTTGTTCACTTTTCAATTCAAATTGTAATAGACCGGATCCTCGGAACCCCAGACATCTCCGCATGCAGTTCATCACCGAGCAATCAAAATACTTCGGCTGAAAATTAACGATCAAGGAGTTAATTACTACCATCAATAAACTCCCAATTTTCCCCCCCATAGACTTCATCCAGGAGTAATTCATTCCCCTTATCCGGATACTCTCATAAAATACATCTACTCTTAATCATATAGGTTTTATGTCCTTCCAATTTGACCAATTTCTATTACCTTCTACTATTCTTCTCATACTAGATCCTCGGTCTAAGTACATGCAGGACGGCGGCTTCACAGGATAACCCCGCAGAAAATTTGTCTATAAATGTGAAAACTTCCCCAGGTTTTAATTTTACCATTGTACCCTTTATCTACATTTAGGATTGATTAAAGATGTAAGTAGTAGTGTTTTTTTGATGGAGAGGCTAGTTAGATATCCATTGAAGGTGTTTCTATGCATGATTCGATGGAAATGGTCATTCTTTAGGATGCCACCTGGTGTCTTTACAATTTGAACGATTGGAAGCAATTGGAAGAAATTGGAAGCAACCCACCAAAGAGTTGGTGGGTGGTGGGGTACTCCACTGGTACTCATGGATATATGACTATATGACTATCAATACTAACAGACAGGTCCGAATTATCTTTTAAAGACAAAGTTGTTATCGTTACCGGAGCCGGTGGTGGTCTTGGTAAGTACTACTGTTTGGAGTACGCCAAGAGAGGTGCCAAGGTTGTTGTAAATGATCTTGGTGGTTCTCTCGGGGGCCAAGGGGGTGACTCCAAGGCTGCCGATGTTGTAGTTGATGAAATCAAGGCCGCTGGCGGTATTGCCGTTGCTGACTACAACAACGTTCTTGATGGTGACAAAATTGTGGAAACCGCCGTTAAGAACTTTGGTACTGTCCACGTTGTTATCAACAATGCCGGGATCTTGAGAGACTCGCAATTCAAAAACATGTCCGAAAAGGACTTTCAACTCGTGGTTGACGTCCATGTCAACGGTGCTTACAAGGTCACCAAGGCTGCTTGGGAATACTTTAGAAAGCAAAACTATGGTAGAATCATCAACACTGCCTCTCCAGCTGGTTTGTACGGTAACTTTGGTCAAGCCAACTACTCTGGTGCCAAGTTGGGTCTCATTGGGTTTGCTGAAACTTTGGCCAAGGAAGGTGACAAGTACAACATTATTGCTAACACCATTGCTCCATTGGCCAAGTCAAGAATGACTGAAAAGATCTTGCCACCTCATATTTTGGAAAAATTATCTCCAGAAAAGATTGCTCCTCTTGTTTTGTACTTGACCCATGATTCCAACAAGGTTACTGGTCAAATCTTTGAAGTTGCTGCTGGTTTCTTTGCTCAAATTAGATGGGAAAGATCTGGTGGTGCTCTTTTCAAGCCTGGTAAGTCTTATACTGCCGAATCTGTTGCCAAGAGATTTGATGAAATCTTGGATTTCAATGACTCCAAAAAGCCAGAATTGTTGAAGAATCAACATCCAATCATGTTGAATGATTACTCTTCTTTGGTTAAGGCTGCTGAAAAATTACCAGAAAATGATAACTCTGGTGTTGACCCAATTTCCTTGAAGGATAAGGTTGTTTTGATCACTGGTGCTGGTGCCGGTCTTGGTAGAGATTATGCCATTTTCTTTGCCAAGTATGGGGCCAAGGTTGTTGTCAATGACTTTAAGGACCCATCTGCCGTTGTTGAAGAAATCAAGAAGCTTGGTGGTGAAGCCCATGGTGACAAACATGATGTTGCCAATGATTCTCAAGCCATTATTGACAATGTTTTGCAAAAATACGGTAAGATTGACATTTTGGTGAATAATGCCGGTATTTTGAGAGACAAATCATTTGCCAAGATGACTGATGCTGAATGGTATTCTGTCCAAAAGGTTCATTTGAATGCTACTTTCAACTTGTGTAAGCTTGCCTGGCCTGTTTTCTTGAAGCAAAAGTATGGTAGAGTCATCAATGTTACTTCCACTTCTGGTATCTATGGTAACTTTGGACAAGCCAACTATGCCACTGCTAAGGCTGCCATTTTGGGTTTCTCCAGAACTTTGGCCATTGAAGGTGCCAAGAACAACATCAAGGTTAATGTTGTTGCTCCACATGCTGAAACCGCCATGACCTTGACTATTTTCAGAGAAGAAGAAAAGAATGTTTTCCATCCAGATCAAGTTGCTCCTCTTTTGGTCTTTTTATCTTCTGAAGAATTGCCAGTCACTGGTGAATTGTTTGAAGTTGGTGGTGGTTGGATTGGTAACACCAGATGGCAAAGAGCCAAGGGTGCTGTTTCCCATGATGAACACATCACCCCTGAATTTGTCAGAGATCACTTGTCTGAAATCACTGATTTCTCAAAGTCTGTCAACCCAAAGAACACCACTGAGTCTTCTATGTACATCTTGAGTGCCGTTGACCCAGATGATGATGATGATGACGATGAAGATGAAGACGATGAAGAAGATGAAGAAGAAGATGATGAAGATGACCCAGTCTTCACCTACGGAGATAAGGAAGTCATTCTTTACAACATTGCTCTTGGTGCTACTGCTAAGGAATTGAAGTACACCTATGAAAATGATCAAGACTTTGAAGTCATTCCATCTTTCGGTCACTTGCCAACTTTCAACTCTGGTAAGTCTCAATACTCATTTGCCAAGTTGTTGAAGAACTTTAACCCAATGTTCTTGTTGCATGGTGAACATTACATCAAGGTTGAAAAATGGCCAATCCCAACCGCCGCTTCCATCAAGACTTCTTTCCTGCCAATTTCTGTTACTCAAAAGGGTACCAACACCGTTGTTGTGCACGGATCCCAGTCTGTTGATAACAACACTGGTGAACCATTGTTCAGCAACGAAGCTACCTTTTTCATCAGAAACTGTAAGGGTGAAACCAAGAGTTTCGCTGACAGAAAGACTTTTGCCACTGCTCAATTCGTTGCACCAAAGACTGAACCAGACTTCACTACTGATATCAAGATTGATGAAGATAAGGCCGCTTTGTACAGATTGACCGGTGACAGAAACCCATTACACATTGACCCTAACTTTGCCAAGGGTGCCAAATTCGACAAGCCAATCTTGCACGGTATGTGTACTTATGGTTTAGCCACCAAGGTTTTGTTGGACAAGTTTGGTCCTATCGGTGAAATCAAGGCTAGATTCACTGGCATTGTTTTCCCTGGTGAAACTCTTAGAGTGTTGGCATGGAAGAAGGGTGATGTTGTGACCTTCCAAGTTCAAGTTGTTGACAGAAAGACCATTGCTATCAACAATGCAGCCATTAAGTTGCTCAGCGACAAGGCTAAGATCTAATGAATTTTATAGTTACTTTTTATATGAGATATCAATAAAGATAGTTTATTTATTGTGAATTTAAGATGTAAAGTACCACTCTCTATATGAAACACCTGTCTTCTTTTCCTATGGTTGGGTCATTAACAGGTAACCATGTTCTATTGATGACTATCTGAGCCTTTCAATCCGGTAAGAGCTTTAAGTCATTCCCAAGGCGTTGTAAGGCTCAAGCTGCTTACTCTCATTAATATATACTCTCTACATGATACTCTTAATGCTATGGAATATTAATTTTGTAGTGCTTACCTATTAATTATTAAATGGATTCTTTTGAATGAATTCGGTCGAGAGCTTGATGTCAGTTAATGTGCCATCAGCGTCATTGTCGTCCTCTTCATCGATCTCGTCAATGTCTAAAGAAATGAAGTTGTAGCACCCACTGGACAAGAGAGATCCTGATCTCCGTCTGGAATGCTTCAGATGCTTTGTTGGGACCAGGAAATCGACTGGTGTATCATTGATGGGATCAATGAGTGATGATATGAGTGTGCCTGAGTCTGATGCAGGAGTGATGGTGGAAAGTGGAGAGCTTATCACGGGCGATGAGCTAGCTGTTGGTAGGAATGTATTATGTGCTTGTTGCTGAGCCTTGGATGTGTTGATCCGGTTTAAATTAGTGCGAGATGTCTTCGGTTTAAGTCCTTGCATTGGGAATTTGAATTGGTGGTTGGACGCATTGGGTCTTCCAGGAAGTTGTGGCAATGCAGATGATGGTTTCTTTGCTAATGGGTTAAGTACAGAAGTTCCTGCTTTCGATAATGGGTAAGGGTTGAAGTTGGACTTCATATGATGACTTTGGCTCTGGCCATGGCCTTGGCCCTTTTGGTCGAAAAAGTCTGTAAACTCAGTCATGGGCGACGAGTACGAGTCAGACAATGATTCGGTTGACAGGAATGCAGATCCTTCGGATGAGTACGAGTTGATCGATGATGATGACGAAAGAGTATTGATGGAACGTCTATTCAATCCGTTTGAAGATTTGAAAAGTGCTGTAGGGGGTTGGAAATCTTCATCCAAGGTGGGGAACGAAGGGTTCGACCCATTGGCCAATGGACTACGAGTTGGTGATGAGTTGAAGATGGACTGCGAATATGAAATTGTGGAGGATCTTTGTGCACGTAAACTTGTGGGTGAAGATTCCATGGGTGATTGTTGTCCACTAGGTTGTGATGAAGAAGTAGAAACTGAAGCTGCAGCTGCAGCTATGTCCAGTAAATTCACCTTGGACATTGATCTTTGTCTCTTCAAAATTTTCAAGTTTTCAGCATGAGAGGTAACGGTGGTGTATGAATTACTTCGAGTATGTTGGAATGAATGTGGTCTCACCAAACTCTTACTCGATGGTCTATGATGAAGAGGAGGCTGAATACCGAACTGGGTGTATGACTTGGCTCTAGTTAATTTGCTGGCCTGACGAACCCGGTCCATTTCCAATTCACAAGCCTTACGATGGTTGATGTCCTTCATCTCGATGTAAGCCTGTGGCTCACAATGAGCCTTATACTTGTCATAAAACTTCTTGTAGCCACCTTCAAGGATGACGATATCCGGATACGTCAAGTTGGGGTAGTTGTTACTATTACGGATTCTATCACATTTCCGTAAATGAGATGCCATGGTGGGGCCTCTGAAAATGCTGAATTCACAGTGGAAAATCACCAATTTTCTTTTCAGGTCGGTACTTTCCACCAGATGGATGAATTTATTTTCCAACTCCTGTTGGCATGAAATGTTGACTGCTCCTTCGATATGACCTCCATTAAATTCATAATTGAATCTACTGTCAATTATCACAAAGTCGTCAAACTCGTGGTTATGCTTGCCAAGTAAGATGTTGTACATGTCGTCATGAGAAATTCTTGGGAGTAAATCATTATCAACCTTAAAATGGTTGAGGGTAGATTGTGAAAGGATTGAATTATCTTCCATACTGAACGTTTCCTTTTCCTTGTGGGTATGATACATGGAATGAATTCTTCTAATGGTTTTATTTGAATTCTTCTTTGGTGCAGTGGGTGAATTTGGTGGGGAAAATGCCGGTTCTTCCTTATTGGAAGATGATGTAAGGGTGGGGAGTCCAGGATTCAAAGTAGTTTGTGCTCTGGCTAACCCCTTCTTGGTGATATTGGTCACAAAATTGGACAAGTTCAAAAACGGTTTCCTCATTGATGGTGATTTATTCTTCTTGATAATCAGTTGATTATGATCAGAAGTATTATTCTCAATCTTGAGGAAATCAGCAAGATTGGCCGGTAATGTATGGGTAGGGGAATCCAAAAAGGAGGATTTGGGTCGTTCACGTTTGGTTTCTGTGGATGACATGGGTCTCATACGAGGCTTTGGAGATGAATGATGGTGAAGTAGAGAAGATATGGGGGAATCATCAGAACAAGACTCGTGTCTAGACCCCGATCCAGCTCTAGATCTAGACTCAGACCCGGATCGGGACCCGGACCGGGACCCGGTTCCCTGGGGATGATCATCGATATCAGCAATGGTGGTCTCTGTATCATTGCCACTGTCCTGGGAATCGTCATATCCCGACCGAATGCCAGATCGTGATCCTCCCTGACTTGAGCGGACCGATTGGCCTATATGTGAAGGAGAAAGCAACACCTCGGCCATCGATGCAATTGTATTCAATCTAAGATGCCTATTCACACTGAATAAGACAGATTGATTGATTAGAATCAATAAGAAAAAATTGCCAATGCTCTATAGGATAATTTTTTTTTGAATAATAATATTAAAAAAAAAAATCTAAAACCTTCCTGTTTTCCTTTTCCTTAAATCTGATTGATTTCTATATCCCGTTACCAGGCCAACACGAATGTCTTTTGAAGTACAAAAAAACCCGGTTACGAACCACAAACAGAGATTGGGAATGAGATTGAGACTGAGAAAAATAAAAATATCCTCAAGGTGACTCGGGGGGTGTCCAAACGAGGGGAAGTTTGCACCAGGGGTAGGGTCTAAAAGTTAGTATGACAAGATCGTCAACTGGTGTCAGGTGTCGCAATGACCGATTGGGAAGAATTGAGGAGAGTCCATGCGGTGTAGAAGACGAAAGATGGAGTTTCTGCGTGCTGCTAGAAAATAACCAGTATGTGTGTGAACCACAAAAGGCCTATTGTTAAAGTGGGCCGAAATAGAACACTGCCAAAAAGGAACACACAAAAAAAAAAAATAAAAAGCAAAAAAATAAAATTTTAAAAAATAACAAATAAATAATAATAACAGGGAAGGAGCGAAAAAAAAAAAAAAAAAGACAACATCGGGACTAAAAACGTAAATAGAAGGAATAGGCCTAAAAAATATCTTGAAATGGAGAAGGAAAATCAATATATGATTCCTTCCATCATGGTTGCATATGGCGAGTGTTTCAAGACGAGATGGAGAGTAGAGTGGGTTCATCATTCCGCAGGGTTGTCGTGGTAGCTTGGGATATGTGTCGTGTGCTGTAGGTTTGCTGTAGGTGTTCTCTGTGGGGCTGTCAAAATAGGTCACCAGACATGTACGGGCCGAGTACGGGAGTACGTGCCTGCCGCAGCTTGGTCCATGTTTCTTCATGCCAGTACTGGCACGCTTGTGTGTCCCGGTTGTTGTTGCCAGGCCCCGGTGCATGGTTTACGGTAGGTATTTTTTTGCTCAACACCCATTGTTAAGGCATCCATATTAGTAACAAAACACGCACTCGCACTCACGATCCCTCCCTCACTGACACCCGCTTAGAATACGATTCCATGATTCCAAACATCATTCCATAGAAGGTTTGTAAAACATGTATCATCAACCTTCTGTTTCTATACTCCACTCGTCGTCATCGTCATCGTTCTCGTCAGAGTTCGGTATTCATTCTTTTTCTTCTATGTCTGATTGCATTCTCCATTCTTTCTTCGATATTCTTTTCCCCCCTCTTCTATCTTCTGTCTGATATTTATATCTTCTCCAGTTTTTTCCAATCCTTCTGTTCTGACTCTTCTTACTCTTGTCTTCTTCTTACTCTTCATACTCTCCTTCTTACTCTTGTCTTCCTCTAAATACATACCAATATCCACTACAAATATTACTATTCTAGCGTTATAAAGAAAAAGTATACACTGTAGATCCTACACTACTCATATATATTATTAATATGAAACTTGGATGTTTACTGTTGTCCAGATCTGTAACTATTGTCTGAAGAAAACGGGATACAGCAATCAAGGTGTGCGGATGCAGGGTGTGCACGGGGAAACACGCGTTTGCAGTACGGCTCACCAAAGCTCCGAAAGAGCATCATTCGGATCTACGAAACCCCCGTTGATGCGGCATACTCGATCATCCTGGTGGCAGGTTGGTTTACACGTCCAACAGTTAAATATACCACCCTGAAACAACTTATTTATACGCACCAACGTGCCAAACTAACGCTCGCACTAAATTCGGAACGACCATGAAACAAACTTGAAATCCCCCAACATTTACACCACTTTGTTTGGTGAACTTCCGCATCTTTTACGTCGTCGACGTTTATCGTGATACCCCCCATTGTCCTCCGCTTTTCCTTCTCTCTATAAGATATTGTTTATCTCGCTTGCTTCCCTTGTTGTGCTTTTTGTTGCTTTTACGGGAAGCCAAAAATAAAAATTAAAAAAAAAAATAAAATAAAAACTTACAATAATCAATAAAATCTCAAAACACGCAATCTTAAGCCGCACGTCCAAATCAGCTGCTCCTATGGCTCTCTTCTTCATGAACTCAGTCTTCAAAGAAAGATCTACAAATGCAAGTGACTCTACGCCTCTACTGCCTATTGTACCAGAGTAATGTCGCCTGAGGTCGGACATCCTAAACACGTTCTTCCTCGTAGTATATGCACTGTCCCCCTAGTGATTCACCAATAAAAATAATATTCTCGCACGCTCTCTCTCTCTTTATTTTGTCCACTGTGCCTCACCTGGCATGAGCCTTCTGGTTCACCTCTTGACACAGGTTCTCTATCCCCTTGGCTGCTGCATCTTTTCTTAGCCCAGAATCTTTTTGACCCTTCTTACATGGTTTCTATTTTTGGTTCATCCTACTGCTATTATTCTCTTTCATTGTTTCCCAAGGTTGCCCAAAGTTAATTCCCAGGTGTGTTGTTCTGTTTCCTCGGCTCAACCCTATTTCCCTTCCTTTCTCTTCTCCCACCCCTCTTCATTCTATTCCAATCTCATCTTATCAACCTTATTCTATTTTGCTCGCACCCACGCAGCTCATGCATTTACCTCGGGGCACATCCCGCTTTCCGTTCCTTTATTGTTTTGATTTCCTTCTGTTTGTTTTTTTTTGTTTTTCCCAGCTACAGGGCTCAAGATGTATTTACCTTTCACTCGCTCCCGATCTCAATCTTCGCGTCCTAATCCTACACCCGGTACCCGTATAATAACAGGATGATTCCATCGAATGTAACCCAACTTGTAGATGCCCAAGGTTCCAAACTACATCCTATCCGCTCCTCTCTCTAAATATGTATTATTAATAGTAGTATTGCTATTGTTTATTTTTTGCTATTTGTATTTGTATTTTTACTTTTAACTACTGGACTGTCCTTCACTTCCTCATGTGATTCTATCATTGTCCTTCTTAATATGCATTGTATTCTGGTATCTGATCCTAATTCTCATTCCCTATATCCATTCTTTATATAGAATTTAAGCTTCCGTCAACTTCGGAATTATGTTGTTCCTAAAGTCAGATAGACGAACTAGACGAGAGATTCCCCCTCAATTGAATGGCAAGCTTTGTTCGAGTTGGTCGGGTACTTTACCCAGTATGACAATGGAAACGTCTTGTGGAGAAACTCCCCGAGTAGGGGCCCAGCGGAGCGGCTAACGGGCCCCGCAGGGAGGTGAGTCTAAGAGGTCTGCGAGACGCTCCGCTGGCACTCCGTGGGCCACTAGCCGTGGTGGTCTTCTTCCTCTGACGAGGAATATCCCGGAGAAATTAGGAATCACCACGCGGGGGTGCATGTGCAATTGACCATTTAATTATCAAATCTATCCAAATATTCACTCATATTTGGTCTTCTTCTTGGTATATCATCCATTGTAAGCGTCGTATTTGCAGCCTCGTCGATTTCGTCATCATCTTCATCGTCATTCTCGTCTTCTCCTCTCATTGTCTCTCCTCTATACTTCAAAGAATTAGAATTACTGTTCCGCACCGATGTCAAAGAATAGGAATCATCAGTCAAGTATCCATTCAAATTAAGTGAAGAGCTTGAACTGGTGATCCTACTCAATCCATAGGATCGTACCGAAGAAATAGAGTTCTTTCTCGAACTAGATGCAGAGTTGGGTGTAGAGCTATTAGTATTATTGTTATTGTTGTTATTGTTGTTATTGTTGTTGATATTCATCGTATGTCCACTGAACATGGTTGGAGGTTTGAAATCCTTATAATCATTCTCAAACGGTGATGACAATGAATTGATCGTAGGCTTTAAAATCTCGTCGTTTGATGATGATTGCTGCGATACTGGCAGTGCCAGTTGAGGTTGTTTCTTACCCAATCTTGAGAAAAACCGTCGTGATGGACTAAACATACTCTTGAAAGTGTTGGGAGAACCTGCTCCAATGGTTACAATCAGTTGTTTTATTTCACCATCATTCTTTCCAAGTGTATCTATAGCCATCACTGGATTACCCAAGTTAGGCTCTTCTGACTTCAAATTCATGGGTGAAGGGATAAATTTAGCCTTTTCCATCGATGAATTGGACTTCTTAACGGGGGATATCTCTTCTAAAATGTTAGAGGTATCCACCACTTCCACCTCATCTTCATCTTCTATAGACCCAAAGGATGAAGAATCATTGAAATATGAATCCAATAGATCATCAACTGGTTCAAGTTCAGTGTATTTCTCTTTATTGTGTACATCATCTTGTTTCTCCTCTTTAGTAGTAGTACTGCTACTACTTCCACCGAAAAATTTAATGATTTTCCCAATGGTTTTATTTTGTTCATATTTATCATTGAACCGTAAAAACTCTTTCCTTTCCTCCATGTTAAGATCGTACAAGGTGAATTCATGTCGTTTCACCTCGTCAAGACACGCTCTTTCCCGTGGGTCCTTGGTAAGAAGTCTTTGTATAAGATCCTTTAATAAACTCATCTCATGCATATCTTCCTTGGTGGCCAATGTAGAATGTCTAATCTTGGGGAAAGTTAACTTTTCACTAACAATATTCTTGAATAATCCAAATTCATTAAACCCATTGAATGGTAGACTATGGAAAATCAAACAATATAAAATTACTCCAAGAGACCAAAGATCAATTTTGGCATCGATTTTCCTTGTCGATGCAACGTCATTAATCATAGAGTATCGATTGTTTACAAACTGACATAACTCTGGTGCGAAAAAGGCTGGTGTACCCATAGATCTCCCCAATTCCTTGTCATCATTAGCATTATTCTCCAAAATCAAACTAACTCCAAAATCAGAAATCTTGATGGTCTTGTCAACCCCACTAATAAGCAAGTTGGACGGCTTCAAGTCTCGATGCACTATGTTCTTGATCCGATGGAGATAATCCAACCCATTGATCACATCCCGAAGAATCTTATTGATGGTTATCCCATCTTCCTTGTAATATTTCTCATTGTAATGATTATAATTCTTCCAATCTATCTCCCCGTATGCACAGTATTCCAACACAAGTAGAATCTTATCATACTTCAAATCGTCAATCACCTTGTACAATTGCACGACATTTGGATGGTTACATTCCTTCATGATTTGGATCTCTCGTTTGATCTTGGTCGTATGGTTTAAGTAAGTTTTGGTGATCAATTTGGTTCGTTCAATCCGATTGATGGTCTTGATCGCTACATACTGGAGGCTTTTGCCCTGTGGTGTGGTGCCTCCACTGGAGCGACTACGGCCACTATTGACACTGGTGGTACTGCCCAGTGGCGACACAATCTCGGCAAGCATAACCTTGCCAAACTGTCCCTGGCCTATTTTCCTAACGATCCGATACTCATGATTTATCACCTTCCGTTGCGATTTCGGGTCGGTTTCTATGCTGAGCGTGGATACGTCCATCCTCTCTACTCATGCGTCCCCTTGGTACGTGTAAGTCTTTTCTATTAAGCCCTATATATCTATCATCTACTCCAATGCGATTACAAAACGGCTGCGACGACATCGCCAAAAAAGTCTCCCTCTCCAAAAAAAAAAAATGTGATTAAAAATAGTACAAGCGCGACATTTTTGGTTCCGGATCTAGTACCTGACTAGATAAAGAAACAGGCATACTCGTACTCTGGGAACCCATTACCCTACTTGCGAGTCTCCTCGTAGAGGAGCCAGGCTCCACGCCAGTGGCTCTCCCCGAGTAGGGGCCTCAGCGGAGCGTCTTGCTAGCCCGAGTAGTAGCTACCCTACGGGGGTGTGTAAGCCGCTCCGCTGGCACTCCGTGGGCCACTAGCCGTGGAGGCCTTGTTCCTCTAGCGAGGAATACCTTTCTGGTGGAAGACTCCTCGTAGAGGAGCTAGGCTCCACGACAGTGGCTCTCCCCGAGTAGGGGCCCAGCGGAGCGTCATGCTTGCGGAAGGGAATACCCTACGGAGTATGCAAGCCGCGCTCCGCTGGCACAGTAGATCTCCCCAGGACGTCTTGCACTGTCTGAATCATTGTGTAGAGATCTATTCAACCATTTCTCCAACTCTGGCCTCATCCTTGACGCGCTTCATGTACTTCTCCTCTGTGGTCTCTTCGTTCAACTCCTTGATGATATCTTCTTCTTCTTCCGTCAACCCAGTGAGATCCGGTGGGATCTCCAGCATTTGTACCGATGGGGCATAATTTAAATATCTTAATTGTTCTAATACCTCATGTTTTACGCTTTCCAAGTATTTCTTGGAATTCTTGTTATCAATCCGTCCTTCAAGTTGTGGATGTAACAGATAATCTGGTCCAAACCAATCGTATGTGGGGAGATAGTTGGGGATCTTATGGTCTAACGTCACGTCATTAAGTACCGAGGTCTCATAACACCAAAGTCTTGAAACGTTTCTTGGTGTATAACCACCACCACCCAAGACAAGCATAGGTAATCCAAATGATCGAATGAATTTAACACATTCTCCATGTGCACGGATATTCAAGTTGAAACATCCTAAACGATCATACCCCAAGGAATCTGCCCCACATTGTTGTACAATACAAGTAGGTTGGAATTTAGTGATCAAAGGTTCCATGATCAGCTTGAAGAGACGAATGTATGAATCATCATCAATACCATCTTTCAAGGGAACATTGATGGCATAATTCTTCCCCTTACCAATACCAACTTCATCTACAGATCCAGTCCCGGGGAAAAACTCTCCATTAAACTTGTGGAAGGATACGGTCATGACTCGATCAGTGGTATAAAACGCCTCTTGTACTCCATCTCCATGATGTAAATCAATATCAATGTACATGACTCTTGGATGTACTCGAAGTAAATTCAAGATACTCAACACAATATCATTGACATAACAAAACCCACTGGGTTCAAACTTCTTGGCATGATGTAACCCACCAGACCAATTGATGGCAATGTCAGACATCCCAGAAATCAATTTCCTCAGAGCATCTAATGAAGCGCCAGCGTATTTAGAGGAATAATCATAAATCCCATCAAATACAGGACAATCGTCCCCTATATTAAATTGAGCCAATTTCTGGTCTGAAAGTTTGGCAGTCATTTCAGGCGTTACTTTCTGAAGAAAGTCAATATAATCCTCTGAATGGAACTCCAAGAGTTCTTCCTTGGTGGCACTTCTCGGCGTAAACAAGTCCATTTTCTCGTACAATTTGTACGAGATCACCAAATGGTCTGTGAGCATCAACCGGAACGGTTTCATGGGATGATGAGGTCCATAATGGTACTGACTGATGGTTGGATTGTAATGGTATGAAACATTGGGAGATGAGGCCGAGTTTGCAAGGTAAAGAGGCGTGTTTGACTCCGTCTTCGCATCGGTGGAGAATGTGGTCATGATCTAGACACTAGAATTCTCTCTCTTACGGATTATCAAACCAGGGAACTTGCAAATATCCTCTCTATATTTCAACTATTGGTGTCTACTCTGTCTCTCTCTCTATTTCTTTCTCTTTGTGGTGAGGTTCTTTACACTCTGCGGTTTTGTGTAAACTTTCAGGGTGGTTGGTGCACGACCGCGAATTTTGAGTGTGTGTGTAAGGAGGACGAGAGACAAAAAGAGAGAAGTCGCCACTTGATAGAGGGCGATAATTAACTAGTAAGAATATATTTATACATCAATTATAATACACAATGTCAGGTATGTACTGGATAGAAGGAGGAAATATTATGAAGTAGTGGTTGATTATATTGAGGGGGAGCTTTTGAGGGTGAATTTAGAGTGAGGATGAATGGATCTGTGAGTTAGAGGCTCGTGGGGAAAATGATTACATTGGACACACTCAGACTCAATAAAGAAGAGCTGAGGTATGTGGAGTGTGGCAGTCAAGTGGGATTGCCAACGCCAACGGAGCGGCTTGCATACCCCGTAGGTCTTACTAGCCCCGCTGGGCCCCTACTCGGGGAGAGCCACTGGCGTGGAGCCTGGCTCCTCTACGAGGAGACTCGAGTCGTCAGACTTTCCTCGCTAGAGGAACAAGGCCTCCACGGCTAGTGGCCCACGGAGTGCCAGCGGAGCGGCTTGCATACCCCGTAGGGTTAGCTCTCCTCTCCCCTGGCGGGGCTGTCAAAACGATCCGCTGGTACTCCGTGGACCCCTGCTCGAGGAGAGCCACTGGCGTGGAGCTCTCTAAAGCCTATCGCCCCGCTGTCTAGATCCCTTCTAGCTTCCCTCTGTTACGAACTCTCATCTTTTTTCTATGCGGTCTACTAACATGTTCTAGGATCTGCTGGTTTTGATAGACACATCACCATCTTCTCTCCAGAAGGGAGATTATATCAAGTAGAATATGCATTCAAAGCTATCAATTCTGCCAATATCACATCCATTGGGGTCTGTGGGAAAGACTCTGCTGTTCTTATTTCTCAAAAGAAGATCCCAGATAAGTTGTTAGATCCAAAGACAGTATCATATATCTTCAGTATCACTCCTTCCATCGGGTTAGTTGCCACTGGATCCATTGCTGACGCCAGATCTCAAGCCTTGAGGGCCAGAGCTGAAGCTGCAGAATTCAGATACAAGTATGGGTATGAGATGCCAGTCGAGGCACTTGCCAAAAGAATGGCCAACATTTCACAATTGTACACTCAAAGAGCATACATGCGTCCACTTGGAGTGGCGTTGACCTTTTGTCAGGTTGATACTGAAGAAGAATCTGCCCATAGTGGACCTCAGATCTTCAAGTGTGACCCAGCCGGTTACTACACTGGGGTCAAGGCTGTTGCCACCGGACCAAAGCAACAAGAAGCAACCACATACTTGGAACGTAAATTCAAAAAGATAGATCATGTTAAGGGTGATTGGAAGGAAACTGTGGAGTTTGCCATCACCTCTTTAAGTTCTGTTTTGGGTACGGATTTCAGAAAGAATGACATTGAAATCGGTATAGCTACCGCTGAAGGGTTCAGAATCTTGAACCCAGAAGAGATTGATGAAAGATTGGTTTCCATTGCTGAACAGGATTAGAGTAGGATATATAAAATGAAACGAATAAGAAAAAGAAAAAGAAAGAGAGGGCTCGAAGTAGATTCCATATAGGGTAAAGACCGTACTAACTACAAGGTGAGAGTAGTCTCGATAGTCCCGCCTTGAGGGGAGCGCTGTACTGATTACCCTACGGGGTTTACAAGCCGCTCTGCTGGCACTCCGTGGGCCACTAGCCGTGAAGGCTCTGTTCCTCTAACGAGGAAGTTCTGACAGCTAAAAGTCTCCTCGTAGAGGAGCTAGGCCCCACGCCAGTGGCTCTCCCCGAGCAGGGGCCCAGCGGAGCGTCTTGCTCGCCCCGTCAGTGATGTTAGTAGTGTGTAACTGTAAAGAGTTCAGAGTGAGGATTCATATTACTTGCTCGCCCTGTGGGACATAATAGTGGGTCTCTACATGATGTTTTCTAATTTACAACTTATTTTATTTGGGGTCTCACCACCAGGTGAGGTCTGATTCTATTTACCAGACATATGGAATGAACAAATATGGACAAGCTTCACAATATCTGTCCCAATCCTTGCCGTACTTCTTGACACACTTTCTAGAGTCTCTGAATGCTCTGTGGACCAAAACAATGGTGAAAAACACTGGGAAGAACCATGGGAATGGGGACTTGAACCCACAGATCAACCCCCAGGTCAAAGCTTGGGTCCAGTCAGCGGTGTAATGGAACTTTCTGGCATAAATGAGCCATCCATCGGTCAAAAGATAAGATCCATTGGCACACTTGATATACTTTGGATTTTCCAAATCACTGTATGGCAAGTATGGGAAAGTCTTTCTAAGGTTCTTGTTCCCGGCAATGGTTCTTCTGAATGAGTTCTTTTGTCTGTTACCGGTGTCAAAGAAGTAGTAGGCAGTCAAAAGAAGAACAAAAAGAATAACATTGACATAGATTGGCCATTGGTAATCCTTTGGATCGTTCCAGGCAAGATACAAAGTACAATGACAATAAGTGAAAGGAACCCCAGCAATGTTCCAGAAAATCAACATAAAGCCGAATTTTTCATAGGCCATGTCCCAGGTGGGGACAATGAGTTCTTCACCCTTGGCACAGGCATTGACATAAAGCCAATGGGCCAACAAGACAAAGGCAGCTTGAGGAGAAACATAACCATAGGTTTCATATTGTCTCAAACAACAAGCCAAAGAAAGGAAAAATAAGATGAACCATGGCAAACGAACTTCGAAAAACATCTTAAGATCCAAATAAGGACCGATTCTTGGGTTAAGTGGAGCACCCATAAAGATATCATACAAATGGCTACCAGTCATTCTATGGTAATCCTTGGTGACATAGAGACAAATCAAGTACAAGCCAAGGGAGAAGGTGAATCCATAGAAAATGGCAGTGGTCATGATTTCACCAAAGTTGTCCAAAATATAACCCAAGGGGAAAACATTGGTGAAGTGTAAGGTCAAGACAATGGCCACGGTGACGTAGAAAGACCAGACTGCATTACAAAAGTAAGGAAGTTGCTTGTTGTTCAAGTGGGTCAATGGTTGACCCTTGGTCCAGACACCTGGCAAGGTGACGTAAAACACTCCTTGGACAAGAATGAACAAGGTGAAGATGACAAAGGTCTTGATTGATGGAATACCATGACCAACAAAGTATTTGTAGAAAAGAGTATCCACAAGGAAATGAGACCATGTCTCACCATCAACGGGCCAAGCAGGCTTCCCGTCAAAGAACTGGGCACTGATCCACATGTAATACATCAAGAGTGGGAACCCAGTCATCATTCCAAAGGCTCCGAGGGAACCACCAAATTCCCATTCGATATCTTCAGGCTTCAAGTAACCCTTAGGGACCTCGACGGACTGGGATTCTTCGTCCAGAGAGAAATCCTCCTGCTGTTGCAGGAGAAGCGGTTGTGTTGCAGAGGCTGCCGTCACGTCTACAGTCATGATACAGTTAAATCTAGGAGAAAAGTTGATAACAATTTTTGTATTCTCGAGGACGGACTTTTGAGGTCGTATAAATGCGAACAGTGGAGGTTTGCTAAATCCGATCAGAAAAATTAAAATTAAAAAATAAAAAAAAAATAAAAAGAATTACAAAGGAAAATTTAAAAATAAACACTTTACTCTCGTTTAGCAGTGTAGACAAGCCCACGGATGCGGATGCGGGAGTGCGGTTCGCGGCACTGGTACGGATTTAAGCTTGAACGAGGTATACGAGAAGAATAGAAACAAAAATGTGGGACATTGATATTGGAAAAGTGGTGATGATTAGATACAATTGTTTTACAATGGGGATAGTGCTTATGTAATAAATAATACATTTTCTTTATTAATAATACAACTATGATATTTCTATAGATAAATCCGATGATATGACATTGGTGAAACCTGGGGTGACAATTTGTTGCAAACTAGTATCAAGAATAGTACTGAAAATTCCTCTATGAAAATGCAATGACTTCTCGAACCACCAGGGAATCCAGTCCCCCTTCTTCGGTATCACCTTCCAACTCCTGTCTCTCACGTCTTCTCCTGGTTCTCTCTCTCAATTTCTTGACCAATTCTATTGTAGCCAATGCACTCCCATTACCAAGTAATACCAACCCTTTGAAAAACAATTGTAATTTTTCAAAATCTAGATCATTCGATACAAACGACGTACAAAGACGGAACAGCGCTTGAATCATGATGCATCGGAAATCAAAGAGTTCTCTTGGAAGGTAAAAATTCTCACTTTCAGCCACGAGTTGATGTCTTTCCGTTTCATAGTCGGGGGAATCCTTCCGCTTTACGAAAAACATGTAGTTTATGATCCGACGAACTAGTTCCTGCACCATTGGGTGGCTCTTGGGGAGTCCAACGATCTCAGGCATCGACATGGTTCTCAAATAAATCGCATCGATCCGGATCTGTTGTGAGATATCGAACCAAGAATAATAGATCGGTTGGCCCTCGAGGTTTGTGCTTTTCACGTATGCAGTTTGTGGGAGAGTCACCTTATTCGACTTTTGGTAGTCTGGATGGCCTGCACTCGTCACTGGGACAGTCCAATTGGTGGTGGACGAAACCTCGGGGACAATGTGGGCCTCCTTGGCAGTGTAGATCAAACTCATGAGCTTGGCTATCCGGTCCGTGGGGACATGGAACCCTGGCTCGTCAATATTACTTCGAACCATGTTCAAAATCCTGATAAACTCTTGGTTCAAGTACACCACGTCGATGGTAAACCCCAAGAAAAGGTTGAATTCCGCCTGTCGTTGGATATTTTGACTAGGAGTCAATAACCCAATCCTTACCAACGTGTCATGGTACTCTGGATTGTGCTGGTATGAAAAGTACCCGGTATCCTTAAACACCTTGTACTTGTCTTCTTCGTGTGGGCCATCATATTTGGAGCGATTTTGATTTGAAGTGAGATCGGTTGGAGTGGAGGAAGAGTTTCCCCCACTGATGCTATTTCTGGAGGAGGTGGTAGTACTCACGTTCTTAAGAGGGTCATCTGGTATTTCTTCACTACGCTTACCATCCACGGTCGGTACTGGCTTACCTACTCCATTCTCATTCTTGCCTCCGACTTTGTTATCTTTGGAAGAAGTTCTTGGAAGTTCTTCGCCAGTTCCCTCTGAGTCTTTACCCTTCCCTCGAGCCAAAGTTCCCCCCATGGGAGACATCAACCCAGCAAGAGATTCAAGGGCGAAAAACCAAATCTTTGCCAAGGCCAAGCCCGGTGAAACTGTAGTGCGTTCCCTCAGATGCGATTTAACCGACGAATAACTTATAAGCAAATCTTTAGCACCACGAAGATGTGTTTTCCAAGAATTCAAGATGTTATCGTCACGATCTGAAGTGGCTGTGAAGTTCAGAGTCAACACAAGGACCGTCAACAAGAGTCTTTCGATATCATTTGCCAATTTGTGATTGTTTTTACTCGATCCTCCTCCATTGTTAAACTCTCGACTGAGTAAAATTAAACAAACACTCAAGTACTTCTGTCGGGACATGTCATGCACCGATTTCCCAGTCTGGTTGTACTGGAACGTTGCCGAGATCGCCAAGAGTGACATGAGCAAGTATGGACAATTGAGCAGGTACTCCAAAAGAATGTGAACCACTTCGTTTGTTTCCACTGAAATTGCAAATGGATATAAATGGTACGACAAGTCTGTGTTGGTCAAGATCTTCAAGTAAGTTACATGGGGGCCGGCAAGATTATGTTGCTTGATGGTCTCCTCAATAAGATGTGAGTTTGGTACAACAAACGCCAATCGTTTTATGTCGCTGGGATAGAAACTGTTGGGGGGGTAAGGGATGTTTGGGTCCATGGAAAGTGGTGACCGGTTGACTATATGATCTGTGAACTCCTCCAATTGGAAGTTATGCTTTTCATACGTGTCAGACATCAGAAGTCTCCCACTCTCGCTGCCAGAGTATGTTGCAAGTTGAGGTTGTCGATTGATGCTATTTTGTCTTGAGATGGAGAAATTGTACGGCGATTGAACTGGCAGGTCCAGATGTGGGGGGTGTTGCAGTTGCAGTTGCAGTTGTTGTTGTTGTTGCTGCTGCTGTTGATGTTGCTGTTCTGCAGTTTGCGTGTGGTCATTGTCCATGTATTGGTTTTGAGTGAGGAAATCCAACGAAACAAAATCATTAAGGTCATGAACCAACAAGCTTGCCTCGTCAAACACTTCTCTGAAATCTGCCAGGCCGTGTTCTTGTGGAGAATTGATGTCATTTGCTGCCGTTGGCGTCAAGATATCTGAGATGGAGTTTCGAAATGATGACTCTCTTCTCCCGCCTGAGCCTGTGTTTTGGTAGGATGGTGAGGGAATGTTGAGTGATGATGTAAGGGGTGGTCCAGGCACGGATATAGATGCTGGTGCTGGTGCCGGTGCTGATATCACCAGTTGAGGTGGTTGAACCGACGGATTTGATGGTGCTGGTGTTGGTGCTGGTAGATGTTGTGGGTGTGGCTGTGGATGTGGCTGTAACGACGGTACTGCCACCGGTTGTAACCGTGGGAGTGGAGAACTGGTCGTGGTCAACGGTGTCCCTATGGAAGAGGAGACATGTGACATCGAGGCACGAAGTTGTTGAGGTGTGTCGTTCTTCCCAAGGTGTGGCGGGAGTTGTTGGTGAAATGCATGAGGAGGTTCATGGATATGACCATGGCTGTGGATGGCAACGTCATGGAGACCCCTGGGTTGCATGGGGAACCCATATATTCCACCCTGGTCATAATACCGTGGTGAGACAATATGACCACCTGCTGCCGTTGTTGTTGTCGACGCCGTCGTTGTCGTCGATGCCGCGGCAAGAGGATGGTTTATGAGCCGCTCCTCTGATATCTGCCGGAGTTGAGTTCCATGAATCAGCGGGAGTATGAGAGAATGGTTCATTTCCCCCATGGAAGCAGTCAATTGTTTCCCCTTGATTGGCTCTATTATGGATGGCAGCTTGGGCTCAGTTTTCGGGTGGACACCCGGCACCGGGCCTGGCCCAGTGTCCATGACATACTTCTGCTTGCCCGGATACACACACTGCTTCTTGAGCCGCGTGCAATTGTCACAGAAGGGCTTAGTTTCGTCACATTTCATCTTTCTTCGTTTGCACTCATTACATCCACCGCGCGAATATTTGCGCTTCTTTATCGCCGGTCTCTTTTCTTCGTCCCGATTAGTCGGCATCGCTACTGCTGGTGCTGCTTCTTCTGGTTGCTGCCGAGGCGTGGGGTCCCTATGTGTCTGTGTGTGTCTGTGTGGTGCACTCCGGGGCTAGTGACTCGCTGCGCGTGGTTATTATTATTGAGGTAAACTCAAGTCCCTCCTCCGATTTCAACTCTATCGGTAATTCTCATTTTAGTTCCGCCTGTTTGATCGCAGAACAAAAAAAAAAACAATTTTACAGAGTGCCTGCAGGTAGCACGGAATTTCATATGATAAAGTGGAGTACAGCCTGTCCATTAACAGTAAGAATGTTTAAATGTTTAAATGTTTAAATATGGTCTAGATGGGTTTAGATGGTCTAGATGACCATCTAGCGTGCTCGTATTGTAAGGGGTCCCTCTCACAAGGGTGTCAACTGGGGAGTTGATGATATGTGTAATTCCTACACTTGCACGTGTAACTCCTTCTAATAAAAATCTCTCTTTATTTTCTTGTTTCAAATAAAATTTCCTCAATGAACTTGCCACTACTAAATAAAATGAGAATTAGTTAGTACTACCATTTGGTATTATTCTGTTTTCTCTTTATCTACCGTCTTTATCTTTAATCATTTTATTATTTTATTTCACTATCTGCGGTCACGTGCCGATGATCATCACTCAAATAAACAACTCATCACCTTACTCATTACTTCTCTTCACTTACTTCTCTTCATTTACTCCTATTCACTTACTCCTCTTTCACCATTTCATGATCGTTTTAATTCCAATTGCCACCATTGGTTGTGGTAAAACAACCACTTTCCAAACCCTTCAACTGGTGTTTCCTCATTGGGCACATGTTCAAAACGATAATATCAATAAATCATCCAAATTGAAACTTGTAGATCGTTCATTACTTGAATTTTCCCAAGGTAAACCAGTTGTTATGTGTGATCGAAATAATCATCAATTCCGTGAAAGATCTCAATTATTTAAATCATTCCATGATCTTGATTCAAATTACTTATCAAAAGATCATACCCCTATAACTTTTGTTTGTTGTAATTTTTCCACTTCAGTTCCTTCAAAGGAAATCCTCAAGGAAATCACTTATTCTCGAGTTTTAAACCGTGGTGATAATCATCAATCCATCAAGACAAGTTCGGGTCAAGCAGAAATGATTATGGATGGATTTCTTTCCCGATTACAACCTTTCAACGGATCCAAATATCCCGATAATCGTTTTGATTTGGTCATAGATATGACCGTTTCAAACACTCATCAAAGTTCCTTGTCAAATGCAAAATTGATTGCTAAAGAGTTGAATAAACATTATCCTGACATTGTTGGACATGTTCCATCCGATCAAGAGTTCCAAGATGCCTTTGATCTTGCTCTTAATTACACTCCAAGTCATACCAAGTCGTTTCTGAACAAGAAACCTCGTAACGATGGACCTCATGATAAGAACTTGGCCAGTGTTTCTCCAGAGAAATAGACTGACCGCCTCCGCCTCCAGTCTCGAGAGCCCTGGACGAAGTGAGGGGACCACCCTACGGGGTTAGCAAGCCGCTCCGCTGGCACTCCGTGGGCCACTAGCCGTGGAGGCTCTTGTTCCTCTACCGAGGAATTGAGTGCAAAGGTCTCCTCGTAGAGGAGCTAGGCCCCACGCCAGTGGCTCTCCCCGAGTAGGGGCCAGCGGAGCGGCTTGCAAGCCCCGCCAGGGAGGTGGGTGCTAGCTATCCTACGGGCTGTGTAAACCGCTCCGCTGGCACTCCGTGGGCCACTAGCCGTGGAGGCCTACTTCCTCTATCGAGGAAAGTCTGACTGCTCGAGTCTCCTCGTAGAGGAGCCAGGCTCCACGCCAGTGGCTCTCCCCGAGCAGGGGCCCAGCGGAGCGACTTGTACAACCCCGTATGGTATCCAGTACAGTACACCCTTCCCTGGAGGGGGGTAGCAAGTCGCTCTGCTGGCACTCCGTGGACCACTAGCGGTGGTGGCGGCTCCTGGTTCCTCTAGCGAGGAACAAGGACTCTACATCATAATTCTAATATAGCTTATATACATTGAACAATTTCAAACTAATATACAGTCTAAAGTACAGCTGGAAAGCGTCGAAATTACAAACTCTGGATCTTGGTCATGATTCTACGTCCATGGGGCGTGTTCTTGATGTTGGGCAACAACGGATGTAATGCGCCCGACAACTTGGCCAAGTCCTCTGCGTTCGCAACCTCTAAACTGGTTTGGAGAACATAGTTCCCGTAGGCATCGTTAAGCATTTCTGAGAAACGTTCCTTATTCAATAACAACACCTCGACAAGACTGTCGGTGAGTTTGTTGATACGCAATGACTTTTCGATCACGTTGGATCCAAACTTGTGTAAACTCAACGAGATGACATTCAATTTAATGTGTTGCAAGATGTTTTTAATCGATTCTTCGTCACCACGGGACAACACGTATTGAACCACATAGTTGCCAAAGGGGTCGAGAGACAAATTGGTGGCGTTCTCGGCCACTTTGAATGACAATTGTTGGCGTTGCTTGGCATTACCATGGTCCAAACATCTTTGTAAGACACAACATCCATGTCTATGGGTGGCAATCTCATTACAATGAAGTGAAGCGGTATCAAAGATAAATTGATTATCCTCTGGCTTTAATCTTTGTAAGCATTTCTGTACCACATGGTTCCCATTCAAGTCTCTAGAAAGAGAAACAATGTGTGGTGAAAGCAGATCAATGATCAATTTGGATTCTTCCTCGGTTGTGATACATTCAACAAGTTTTTGTAAGGCTCTGGTTCCATGGGGGTCCAAGGCAATACGAATGAACTCAGGGGATGCATTCTTAACCAAGATGATTCTTTGGTCGGTAGATACATTCTCGAAAAGCTTCTGGATCAAGTAATTCCCAAATGGATCAGTCATCAATTCAATAATCTTGAGATAAATCTCATTGAAAATCATCGTGGCGGCGATTTCACTACTCAAGACTCCTCCAGATTCCGTCTTGTTTTCTCTACCCAAGTCCAATTGACGTTGCAAGAACCGACATCCGTGCTGGTCCTTGCAGAGAGAGTAGATCTCCCCGGAAAAGTCCTCCAACTTGGCGTTGGCATACTTCGAGGCGTCATCTCCCTTGCGCTTGTGATGGTTGGTGTTGTTATTGTTATTATGCATTTTACGATGGACATTCATCCCGTCGTTAGTGTATTGGTTACGGTTACGGTGGCTGTGGCCATTGAATCGGTTGGAGTGGCCATTGTTGTGGTTGTTGTTGTTGTTGTGGTGGTGGTGGTGGTGGTTGTGATTGTTAGGGTTGTTCGAGTTGTTGGAAGGATGAGGGCTGGTAGAGTTGACATGGTTATTCTTATAGCCTCCAAGGGATGAGGCCACATTATCAACTGGTTGTTGGTTGATGCCGCCGTATTGGTTCCACATGTTCGTGGTGTCCATGAGTTGTGGGGGCAAGGACATTCCACCAAGGGTAGGGGTCGATCCTGCTACACCTCCAACGCCTCCCACGGGTCCGGCTCCGGTTCCGGCTCCTCCAGAACCGCCAGTTACGGCTCCTACACCCATCAATGCATTATTTGACGCCAAACCTTTGAATGGCATGAACTCAGGCTGGAACATATTGGTGAAGTTGGTATGCTGCGGGTGGGTTGATTCCTCGCCTTCGGGGGCAATACTGCCCTCCTTGATGAAGGGGGCGTCTCTCAACCCGTCGTGGAAGTACAATCCGTTCAAACCAAATGGCGGGAGATGCTGCTGCTGTTGCTGGTGGTGATGGGACAGTTGTCCCTCGGTGTCGTCGCCAGGCAATTCGAACGGTTTTATGGAAAGAGAAGACAAGTCTTGTTCTCCACTGTACATGAACGGAGGAGCCGAGGCTGGGATGAAGCTGTTGCTCCATGTGTTGGACGGGGTCTTCACGGCAAAGGACGACGTGGACGTTGAGCCGTTACCGTCGCCGGCGCCGCCAGCACCTCCACTGCCGCCAATGTTGGGGGTCAAGGATCCTTGTGGAGGGTAGGGCGAGTAGAAATGCGCTGGAGGGTGATGGTATGAATGGTCCCAGAATTGTTGATGTTGCTGCGAGGCAGCGACTGCAGGGCCAGTGGTGAAGGGCGTGGTGGATTTGGGGATGTCTCCGGAGGTCACAGGAGCATCTGCTGCGATAACAGACGTGTCCTTGGTGGCCAGTTCGACAAACTCCTCATCCAAGTTGAGGTTTCCCAACGCTCCAACAATGTCCAACAGAGCTCCGGTAGGCTCGTCGTCGGCAGATTCACCTCCATTGACAGAAGGTTGATCCACAGAAGTGGTGGAGGTGGGCGTGCTGGTGAAAAAATTGGAAGACGCTATGGAGGCCGACCTAAGGGAGCCGGATCCCGAGCCCGCAAGGCGACTATTCGTCTTGAGTGGAGGGGCAGGGGCGACCGGCGCACCAGACGATGGTGCATCTGTCAGTGTGTGGTCAGACATGGTCTCTCAAAGTGCTGGCACAGGGAGGGAGGGAGAGAGAGAGAGAGAGAAAAAAAAAATCGTTTCACTCGGGCTTGATCTGCGAGATGGGAAAACTAAAGCGAACTTTTGTGTGTGGTAACAGGGGCACACAGGAGGGCCAGGCTACAGGTTCGATTTCTGGGTCTATCACGGGGGGTATGCGGGTCTGGCTGGGGTGCCATGCACGGGGGTGATCTCGGGATGCTGCTCGTCGAACCGGGAGTGCTGAAAGTGGCTGTTTCCGACGTTCTAGAGGGGAACAGATGGAGGATTGGTAGGTTCAAGGTGAGAGATTTGGAGAGATCTCACTTTTTTTTTTCACAAACAAAATTTTCATGGGTGTTAAAAAAAAAAATTAGAGAGAAAAAAAATAAAAATAAATTTTAAAAAATCACAAAGGGCTCGCCAGGACGAAGGGAGTGTATGAGCGGGATCAGTGTGAGTAGGTTTATATGAGGAGGTATGTTCTGAGCCGGGTTGGGAGAGTGGAGGTGGAGGTGGTGTGGTTATCAGCTGGATGTTGTATAGGTTGTAGCAAGTTGGAGTGGTTGTAGCGGTTGTAGCGGCTGTAATGGTAGTGGGTTGTAGATGTAAGGACTGCAAAAAGAGACACACCTGTGGAGAGTCATGGAGGGACTAGAGACATCCGGTGGATTAAGCGACGGTCTCGTTCTCTTACCCTGGGTAGGAAGGGCAAAATACCCGCCGATTGGGTGATTTAGGAGAAGGGAACGTTGGCAGCAGCGGAATTGGGGTAGGGATTCCCCCCAACTCCTCAGTGTTGGGTGGAATGTGTGCGTAACGTCATAAATTGAACCCAGGGCTTTCTCCAACAATTAGAACCACCCCGAAAATTCCTCGTCAGAGGAACAAGGGCCTCCATGGCTAGTGGCCCCAGGGAGTGCCAGCGGAGCGGCTTGCAAGCCCCTCCAGGGAAGGGGGTGTACACCCTACGGGGTATTCAAGCCGCTTCGCTGGCCCCTACTCGGGGAGAGCCACTGGCGTGGGGCCTAGCTCCTCTACGAGGAGACCTTTGCACTCAATTCCTCGGTAGAGGAACAAGGGCCTCCACGGTTAGTGGCCCACGGAGTGCCAGCGGAGCGGCTTACATACCCCGTAGGGTAGGGAGTGCTCACTCCCCTTCTCGGTGGTTGAGGTTGCATTGTAGAGCGTAGATCTTCCAATTGCATAAGAGATAAAGTTTAGATCAGATGGGAGGTTGGTGAAATAGAGACTAGGTATGGTGTAGAGTAGTAGAATAGTGTACATCGTTCAGGGAGAGGAAACATGCAAAGTGGTTACAAGAGGAAAGGGTTGCTACGCGTACAGATAGTAGGTCCGCTAACTAATTGAAAGACGACCCATTATCCTGGACCACCTCTCTGAGAGAGTCTGTGAGTCGAAACAGACCAAACTACCAGGACAATGGCACATTCCTCGATAGAGGAAGAAGGGCCTCCACGGCCAGTGGCCCACGGAGTGCCAGAGGAGCGGCTTACACACCCCGTAGGGTAGTCAGTACTCCCTTCCCTGGCGGGGGCTAGCAACACGCTCCGCTGGGGCCCCTACTCGGGGAGAGACACTGGCGTGGAGCCTAGCTCCTCTAGAGGAGACTCTTGCAGCCAATTCCTCGATAGAGGAAGAAGGGCCTCCACGGCTAGTGGCCCACGGAGTGCCAGCGGAGCGGCGTACACACCCCGTAGGGTAGCTAGTACTCCCTTCCCTGGCCGGGGGCTAGCAAAGACGCTCCGCTGGGGCCCCTACTCGGGGAGAGACACTGGCGTGGAGCCTAGCTCCTCTAGAGGAGACTCTTGCAGCCAATTCCTCGATAGAGGAAGAAGGGCCTCCACGGCTAGTGGCCCACGGAGTGCCAGCGGAGCGGCGTACACACCCCGTAGGGTAGCTAGTACTCCCTTCCCTGGCCGGGGGCTAGCAAAGACGCTCCGCTGGGGCCCCTACTCGGGGAGAGCCACTGGCGTGGAGCCTAGCTCCTCTACGAGGAGACTCGACAAGTCCGGATCCTCGTACAGGACAATGGCCAGCACGGCTAAATGACCTACGTTTAAATCCCAATAAGAAGGAGATACGGACTTATAAAACGGTCAGTTCACATCAACAGCACCCCTGACTATCCGTCTGCACGGTTCCTGGGCTCGGTTCCTTGGCTCAGTCAACCAAGATGATGGTCACAGAACATGGTTCAATCTTAAACCATCAACCTCCACAAGACAAGGTGTAACCACCTTGTCACTTCATCTACAATCACTCTAAACATTATTATCTATTATTGTACTATAATACGAGAAAAAATTAAATATTAGAAATGTAAACGACGGGATGGGAATCAAAATATAAAAAAATTGGGATAAAAATGTTGTCCATTACTGAACGTGCGGGATGGGGGATGGGGAGAAAAGAACCTAAGTGGACTTTTCGTGTTGAGTAGAAACTCTTTGCATGGAAACCAAGAAATCTTCGAGGGATCTTTGGTCCTTCTTTGGAGAAGCTGGTCTACCGTTACAAATGTTGTCAAAGGCTTCGGAACCGGCCATAAGGTAGTAAGCACCACCCAAGACACAGAAGACACCGAAGGAGAACAACCAAGTTCTAACAACAGTGACAATGTCGGTCCAGTTTTGAGACCACCAGCCGAACAAGGTGAAACAAGTGGCAATGATGTCGACAATCAAGACGGCACCAGACAATTGCCAAGATGGAATGGAGGACCAGAAAGGACCTTGAGCTCTGGTGATGAAAATCAACCAGTTTTCAGTCAAGGAAATTTGCAAGAACAAGATACCGTCAAGACCACCAAAGTTTTGGATGATACCACCCTTTGGCAAGAACATGGTGGTCAAGGTGATCCAAGTACCAACAGCCAAAATGATTCCGAGAATAATGGACATACCCCACAATCTTGGGGTGTTCCACTTAACTGGAGCTGGGTCATATGGAGCATTGTCGTAAGCAATGGCCAAGGTGGCAACATCAGCGAAAATAGCAATGAAAACAATCAAGTTAATATCCATGGATTGGTTCAAGATAGCAATCCACAAACCAAGGAAGATTTCCAAGTGCAAGGACAAAGCAATTCTGTAAACAACATAAGCGTACATTCTGTGGAAAATTTGTCTAGAAGTCTTGATGGCATCAATAATGGCAGACAAACCTGGAGCAAGGAAAACAATATCAGCGGCGGAACGAGCGGCATCGGTAGCACCTTCAACGGCAATACCAGTGTCAGCCTTCTTCAAGGATGGGGCATCGTTAACACCATCACCAGTCATGGCAACCAAGTAACCTCTTTGTTGCAAGATTTCAACGGCATTGTACTTGTGTTGAGGGAAAACTTCAGCAAAACCATCGGCATTTTCAACAAAGTCAGCAATTTCAGAACCAGCCATGTCACCACCACCGGAAAGACCCAATCTGTCAGCATCATAAATGTTGGTACCAAGACCCAATTGACGACAAGTTTCCTTGGCAATACCAACGGCATCACCAGTCAACATCTTAACTCTTAAACCAAGACGACGGGCTTCGTTAACGGTTTGGGCAGTGTCATCTCTTGGAGGATCCATACATGGCATAATACCCAAGATTTCCCAGTGGCCTTCACCTCTCTTTCTAGCAACACCAAGAGATCTGAAACCTCTGGAAGCAAATTCAGCAACAGTGTTTTGGTAGTTTTCGTGGACATCTTCAGGGATTGGGTGGTCATCTTCAACAGTCTTCAAGACGAACAATGGAGCACCCTTAACACAGATAATTCTTTCACCTTCTGGGGATTCGACAATGGCAGTAACCTTCTTTGAGACAGGGTCAAAAGGTTGGAATTCAATAACCTTGTACTTGGTCAAGGCGGCCTTGGCACGTGGGTAGGAGATCAAAGACTTAAGGAAGGCCTTGTCAATGGCATCAAGACCCTTCTTCTTACGGGAGGCAGCGAGACAGGCAGTCAACATCAAGTCGTCGGCTTCGACACCTTCGACAGTGTATGGTTCATGCAAAGACAACTTGTTCTTGGTCAAGGTACCGGTCTTGTCAGAACACAAGATTTCGACACCGGCAAGAGATTCAATGGCAGACAACTTTTGGACAATGGCTTGCTTCTTGGCCAAGTAGGCGGCACCAACAGCCATGGTGGTGGTAACAACGGCTGGTAAACCAACTGGAACACCAACAATGGTGATAGCAAGAGTGTATCTCAAGATTGGAACAATCTTAACGGTTCTGTAGAAACAAGCAGTCCAGACAACCAAAAGAGTAACAATAACCAAAACAAGCAAAATAGTACCAATAGAGTTCAAAACTTCAGTGAAATGACCAGCGGCACCACCAGCCTTGTTAACAAGAGCAGCAGCACGACCGGTAAAAGTGGAGTCACCAGTGGCAGTGACAACCATAAAGGCTTCACCAGTCTTAACAGTGGAAGAAGAGTAACAAGAGTCACCACCCTTCTTGTCAACAGCCAAAGATTCACCAGTAATGGCAGATTGATCAACTTGCAACAAACAATCTTCAGAAACAATACGACCATCAGCTGGGATAACAGTACCATCTTCCAATTGTAAAATGTCACCTGGGACAATTTCATTGGATTGAACTTCAACAAGAGTACCGTTACGAATGACAAAGGCAGTGTTGGCCAAAGTCTTCTTCAATTCTTCAACAATGGAACCAGCTTGGTATTCTTGAATGAAACCAACAAAGGCATTCAACAACAACAAGGCACAGATAACACCGAAATCAACCCAATCTTCCAAACCAGCAGCCAAAATAGCAGCGGCTTCCATAACGAATTGGATAGGACCAACGAAAAACATAATAAACTTAAGAACCAAGTTTTCGGATTCTTCAGCCATTTGGTTCAAACCATACTTCTTTCTTCTCTTGGTGACTTCAGCATCGGTCAAACCGGTGGATGGGTCGGTCTTCAAGAGTTCTTCTGGGACAGCCTTGAAGGAAGAAGCATCTTCTTCTTCATCTTCATCTTCATCACCTTCAGCAGCACCGTGGTGAGATTGCAAGTCCAAAATCAATTGGTCAATATCTTCGTCTTCATCGTCAGAGACGTTCTTGTCGACCTTTTCGACAGTGGGTTCTGTAGCACTCATCTTGAAATGTAGATTAAAAGAGCAACAGGTGTACGAGAAAAGAAGAAGAGAAAAAAGAAAGGTATGGGAAGATGTCCAAAGGTTTATATATTGGTTAGACAGTAGGGGAACGGGACAACGTCGAATCTCAGCCAATAAAGATATCGGGGGATGCGGGAATTTGGAAATTGGAGGTGCGGTGCGGTGCGGTGCGGCGCGGCGGGGGGCCCCCCAAACAAGAAACAGCAGGGAGTTTCCGCATACGGGGCGGTGCGCCGCGGCGCGCGCGGCGCGCGCGCCTGTTTTGGTGCGCGCGACGCCCGAACGGGCGACCCGTAGGGTTGCTAGTATGCTTGAATTAGCTCTGGAGAGGTTCCTTTGGGGGGGTCGTCCTGTATGGTGCCTGGGCCTTCTTATCTGGAATTCGGGAATGTCGGGCAATTACAAAAAAAAAAATTTAAGATTAAACGGGAATAAAATAAATATGTGGAAGGAAAAAAAAAAAAATTTAGAATTAGCAGAAAAGAAATTTGAACAAAGAGAATGAAGTAGAGGAGGTAGTAAAAGTAGAAGGAGAGTTTGATAACTAGGAATATTTCAAGTTGGGGACATCAGTGTGGGAAGCGCTTTCTGCAGAGAGGACACCTCTCCCAGAAACCCAACCCATCGATAACATCACCCACCTCTTCTATTAGCTCATCACTAATATTCGTATTTCGACGGTTTCTTATCGCCCGGATAGGCTAAACCACAATATTTACTATTATTATTATTTATTGTTGCTTTTGTGTATTTTGTCATCATAATAAAATTTCTTGTTATTATTAAATTTTTTTTTTCTATTCACGGCTTTTTCGGTCCGAAATACATGGAAAACTTTTACGTTTCAGGATTATTTGTTGACTATTTTGTTACTCTGTTCGTTTCTTTTTTTTTTTTTTTTTGCTTTAGCGGGATCTCCGGCGACGCTAATCCAGCGTAAGCACTCTGTTTAGAGAGAATGTTTCCCGGGGAATGCGTGAAGTAGATGAAGGGTGCTTGTTGGAGACTGGTTACCAGCTGAAAGGGCAAAGACTGGCTCCGGTGTTCTGCCGAGCAGTGCTGATGACGAATCTGCCAGCTAATTTTCGTTTATTTTTTACCGTAGCACACGTTTACTCGGGGCTACAGGTTGCCCGAAGTGCATGGTAAAGTACGAGAGTTATAGACATGAACAAAGTTAGAAGAGGAAAGAAAAGTGAAAAGATGCGGGTTAAAGTGGGGGTGTCAAAATGAGTTAATTATAGAGTATATAGATTTCTTATCTGGGACTGTTAGATGTATTATTATTCCTCTCTATACTACACTTTCTCTCATGACTCTTGTCTGAACTTATATCTCATCTCATCTCATCTCAACTTCTCTCATCTCCTCTCCTCTCCTCTCATCTCATCTCCTCTCATCTCATCTCCTCTCATCTCATCTCCTCTCCTCTCCTCTCTCATCTCTCCCATGCCAAGACTAAGTAACTCTCGGCCAAACCTGTCTCTGTGACACTTACCCTATTCAACATTCTCCATTCTCGTTAATTCACATTACATAATACTTCTAAATTCTACTATCCTACTTGATGGAGTTCACCCACCCTATCGGCCGAACTGTTATTGTCACTTTAATCGTAGCTGCATCCCTACAGGTATCTTAAAGATTGCAACATGCACTCTCAAACGGGTTAGGCTCTTCGGTCGAACAAATGCTCGGTCAGTGAACTCATATGTGCATAGACCAGCGTTGCTAGTCAATCTGGCAACGAACGACTTCTTGCTCGCGCACGACCTAGGTCCTACGTTTGTTCCTGTTTTTTTTCTTTCACCTCTAAGGGTATAAGCCAGGTCACACTATACGTATACGACTCGTATACTCTCTCCTCTACACTGCCCTACCCTACTCTACACTTTACTCTCAAAGAATCCCCACCATTTTCCCATTCTTCCCATTCTTTTCACCTCTGGAAAATCCTCGGGGAAACTTGACTTCTTTCTTAGCGGTAATTCTCGGAACTCTCCCTAAATCTGAGAGCGGAGTTTGACGTTCCTCACTTTCTTGTCAGGATTTAACTCGCTCATTATATTCGCTCAACTCAGCGGAATAAAAAAAAAACTTCAACCCTATGATGTAATCGCGGGAACCTTCCAAACCTGAACTTAAATCTGTATTATTATTTTTCCCTCTATGAATAATCTCGCACGTCGGTTCTTAACCATCCCACGTTAACCGGCTGAACCATTTTTTACAACCGAGAGACCCCCATTACCTCGTGCAATCACCTTTTACTCTACATTTCCGATCCTATCCTGTTGCCTTCCAAAATCCCGCGCCATATCTTTCCCGGGAGTTCCTGGTTCAAACATTACAGTCCCGGTCCGGTACAAACTCAAACTCAATTACAATTACAAATAATCCCTTTGGTGGCATTAACACGGGTCCTTGAACTATATTTTAACGTTAGCCTCTTCATGTAAGTCAGCCCGTTGGGTTTCTCCTTCAAGCCGTGGCGTCCGGGAGCCTGGCCCCATGAAATTGGGTTCCACCACATTTTCCGCTTTGTTTCTTTTTTTCCCATAATAATTTCCCTTTCGGTGAAATGAATTCCCAATAAGTTTTTTTTTAGTTTTTATTATTTTTTTCGCTGTGTCCGGATTTGGTAATTTGTCATCAAAATCTAGCGCACATCCAAACACCCACATTGACACATTTTGGTTGCAAAAAATAAGGAACCGCCTAAACTTAGCCCATTAGAAGACTCTCCTTCCAACATAACACGTAAGTAGGTCATAGTAGAGATATTTTATTCTGCGTAGAATTGTAGATTTATGGACTACTGCTTTATCTGATATGGTAAAGGGGTTCTCTCGAAAGAAGTTCTCTATTTAATATTTTTGGTATGAATTTGAAGATTTCAAGTTTAAATTACCTTCAGTGACAACTCTCCCTCTTCACTTTTAAGTAAATATATAGACTCAATTGAGAATACGAACACTCTTTAGTATGAATAGAGACATTAGAAATACTAGAAAAAGGATCTTTACAAGGAGGAAAGTGAAATATAGACTCATTTTAGAACATAAATCTACCAGAGTGACTCGTTAACCTCGTGATGACTGCCCTACGGGGTGAGCAAGCCGCTCCACTGGCACTCCGTGGGCCACTAGCCGTGGGGGCTCTGTTCCTCTAGCGAGGAAACAACTATAACACCCTGGTAAACCTCCTCGAAAAGGAGCCAGGCCCCCACGGCTAGTGGCCCACGGAGTGCCAGTGGAGCGGCTTTCTTACCCTGTGACTACGGGGTGGGGTGTGCGAGCACTCACACTTACTCTACATTAACGCTAGATCTTTCATTTCTTATTTTGTATTTATATCATTGGTATCATATCAATTGGAATAGATCATTTCATTTCTCCTCTCTTACTGAGTTCTTGAATTTCTTTTAACCTCTCTTCTTGATCTGAACTTCCATTTGATAGGTCTAAACGACTTGAAGATCATGTACAATGTACTTCCAAAGAACCTAAACAACGCCAACCCAGCGACAATCCACAAAATGATAGTCAAGAAGATTTGTGCATTCTTGTTCATAGTGGCTTGCACATTCTTACCGGTGAATGTATCAAGACCGGCTGCATTCAAAACAATGGCAATCAAGATGGCATTGGTCAACATCCAGATCAAAACTGTGATGGTTCTAATGAAGGCATAGTAGGCGTCATCCTTTTGTTTCTTGGTGATGACCGCCGTTTCTGGAGGTGGAATTGCTCTCAAATCGTCCAAAATGTTGTAATAAACATCATCCACTTCATCTGACGCACCAGGGGCAACCATGACCAATTCATCCTTATTCCCGGTGGATTTAGCAGATCCCAAATCTCTTTCCTTGGGTAATTCCTTAGTACCCCAGGAAACATCATGGATATTGGCAAAGGCATAAATGTTCAAAACATTGATATAGGTGGGGGATAACAAGACATATTGGACAAAGGATGTCAACATGAAGGATGGTTCTCCGTACATGAATGCACCAATAAAGTAAAGGGTATACGTTGACAAGACAGACACAATCAAATCTCTAAATTTCGAATCTGTAAACACCAATAATACTGAGAAATTGTTTGGATGATCTTTAATAATCGATTGCACAGTATGAACCGCCAAATAAATGGCAGAAAACATCAAATAGGCCATTAATACGGCGAAAAACGAGGCAATCACCATATAAAACTTCCGGGTACCTCTTGGAGTGTTACCAAACGCCAACACAAACGTACAGACAACTGAACCAACATAAAACCATAATAAAATCACCGCCAAGTATGCACCAACTTGGAAATTCATATCAGAAGAACCCAAATTCTGGGTTAAAATTCTAAACACTAAAAAGAAACATGACAATGAAAACCATGAGACTAATAAGGTGATCAATTGGTAATAGAATTCCAATTGTAAAAACAATTTTCTCAACAAAGAATGGTTAGATTTCCAAATCTTGGTCCAATGGAAAAGTGCATACCCAGCAGCAAAGAACGACCCATTCAACCATCTTCTTCTTTGTAAGACAAACTCATCGATCCGTTCTGGAACATCGGTTTCTGCCTTGGCTTCCTTAACGTATCTCAAGATGTAATTGTGGCCCTTTTTCGCCACCAATTCGAAACATAAAATACGATCTTCTGCCAAATACATATTAGAGGTGAAGATCCCGGCTTCTTGGTAATTTTTCTCTTTCAACTTGCGCTCATCATCGAACTCATCTCCCACATTGGCATCTTGATGTAAGAACTCACCTTTGAAATATTTTTCCAAGGGCCCTTGGCCATCCACATTCAACAAGGCATCGTATCTATAGGCGGAAAACGCACCGGGTAACACAGAAATGAATCCAAAAACTGATTCCATAGGTTTATCCAAAATATTGGAAATTTTATATTCGAAATTTTGTGCTGCCACCAAAGGGTTACCAAGCAATTTCCTACCGGGACCCAAGGCAGCTCTCATTTCTCCACACGCTCCGGCTACGTTATCGTCACGGAAAGTTCTCCACAAGTAGTAAAAGGCGTCCTTGGCCGGCTGGGTACCACAATCCAACAACATGACAACCTTGGGGTTCAAAATAGGACCAAACGATTGTAAACACCATCTATGGGAGTTAATTTTTTTGGCATTCTTCTCCTTCATACAAAAGATGAATTGCACAGGGGTGGAATTGGCCACAAGGTGGACTCTATCATTGACAGCCTCGATCCCCACGGTGGAGGTATATTCATAAATGTGCGCCTTGACATTTTTTTCATTGATCTTGGATTTGGCATATCCGTCTTGGTACACCCCAAGGGCAACCATCAATTTTTCTGCACGCTTGTGGAGATTGACCCGTCCATCCACCACGATGGTGATGACGACTTTCTTCCATGAATCTTCACCCCACACCGGGTCTGCACGGCGGGTTAAATCTGTGATATTTTCAAAGATCCCCTTGAGGGTTCTTGCAAGTAAAATTTCATTTTCGTTATACATGGTGACACAAATCATCAACTCAGTTTCTCTTGGTGGTGAATACAATGGTTGACGGAGACTATAGTTGTACCGAAGAAAGTTCAGCGGTCCACAGGTGGCGGCCGTGTATCGCATGTATGACATCTCACGGCCTCCTTCAGTGATTTTCTTCCCATAAGTTTCCAAGAGTGCCTTGGGTACAGGTGCATCAATGACATAATTCCCGTTGACCAACATCACCTTTTTAATGGTTTTCGTGTAATTAAGTCTTGGTCTGAAATCATCATCATTACCATAATTCAAGATCTGATCATCATCTTCTTCATCCAAGAGATCTTGGTCGATATCATTGCCGTTTTTGTCCTTACGACTACCACTACGACCACGGAGTGTAGTACCTCTTCTCATGGTGTTTGCTCGTTTCATCTCTTCCCCCGTTTCTGAGAAAAGCGAATCATCATCTCCAAAGGGATCAAGTTCTCCGTCAGCGTCAGCATCTTCCATTTGGTTGATCATGTAATCGTCCCCACTGAAGGTCATGTGGTTGGAATATGGTCTCAGGAAGGAATGGCCCGGAGTATGACCTGGGGTGAAGTGAGGAGGGTGAACACCTCCACCAACTCCATTAAGAGGACCATTTTCTAAATCATAGGTGTCGACTCTTTCCATTTCGTATTGCTTCCCACCCATGGCAAAGAAATCGCTGGGACTCTTTTGAGGCGACGCATACATGTATTGCTCGGCTTCCTTGAAGGCAACACCCTTTGGCTTGGCCACAGTGGGAGATCTCAGTTGATACATCAGCGAGGAAGATCCTTGCTTGTCGTTGAACATGTCATCGTCAAAGGTTGATCCGGGGCCACGACCACCGGGCCCAGCTCCAGCACCACCGGGCCCACCCACATAGGGCAGATAAGGTTGGTATGGTTGAAGAACAGGGGTTGCTGGACCCATGCCCACGTTTGATTGGGGCTGGGCACCATTGTAGCCGTTGTACAGCAATGACCGATCTGGTTGGGTATGGACCGGGTTTTCGGTCATGGGAACATCGTTGGAGTCAAACAAGTCGTCGTCGTCGTCGCTCACGTGAGCAGCAGCAGGATGGGACATGGCTCAAGTAGACTCAATACCAATGGGAAGAACAGTGGGATGTATGTTTGTAAAAAAATGTCTAGCCTTCAGAAATAAAATAAAACCAAACCAAAAAAAAAAAAAAAAAAATAAATAAAGAAAATACAGCGAAGGACAGACAGACTGGCTGACAGATGGGAGTGGTTTGGTTGCGCTACAAGCAAATCAAATTTATATGAATTAGAGATAGAGAGAGAGAGAGAGTGTGTGTGTGAGTATGTGTGTGGAGGTGCAAGTGGGGGTATTATAGAGGATGACGTATCTACAATTTGCTGTATCGATTATGTTGTTACACACTTGCTCATTTAACGATTTGGCGGTAAATTTCATTTTGGATAAAATTTTTACCCTTATAGCATCAACGAATTCTATTACACGCAAGACAGGTTATATTGCAACACGATCCCGAGATGGAATAGCCCACGCTACGGTCATATACAGACTTGATAGACTCTTGTTTTCCTTACGTGGTGCTCTATTGGCAACCATAAGTTCGTTGCAAAACATTGGAAAAGCCCCCATTTTCCCTGTTTGGAAAATGTACCCAAATTTAGATTCTCGAACCTGTTTTGATTTGTAGCCCGATCGGGAAAGTGCGCCGCACTCGCCTGTATGCAAGGCAAGGTACAATGTTTCCTTTCTATTGTTTAGGAATGATGGAATTGATTCCATCGAACAATAACAGATAAAACATAACAGATATAGTGGATATTTAGGGCACATGGTCTTAATTAAAGGGGTTCACGATTAGACAAGTCTTACAGATCTAAAATTTTGGATCTAGAGATTTAGTTTATTGAGAATTTTTCTTTTCAATCTAGCTTTTATTGTGTATGATTATTTTTTAGAGAGTATGTGATTATGTAAGGATTTAAGGGATACAACAATATATAGTTTATGGAGGAATGCCACAACTTTAAATTGTATAGAGTTGATAGAGGTAGAGTCGTTGATGTTGTGATTGAGAGATAAGAAATAATAAGAGTTGGTAGAGATAAGTGGTAGTAGACAGTAGACAGTGGTGGGCAGTAGTAAACCAGTTTAGACAATTGTAGACAGTTGTACACAGTCGGTAGATATTAAGATGAAAGATGACAAGACTCAATGATAAGGATAGAGTTAAACAAATCAGACTTCATTACAAACTTTAAGTATGGATCCCTTTTTTTTTATATTTACAAAAATTTTGGGATAGTTAGTATATGTCAATTATTTGAGTTAATAAGAAAACTGACTCTCTAGTACTCTATAAAACTTATTGACCACCCGACGTGCAGCCCCTTAGGGAACAGCTGGCACTTTGTAGTAGTTTGTACCTTGATTTAGGAAATAATTGCAAAAATCTCCTCGTAGAGGAGCTAGGCTCCACGCAGTGGCTCTCCCCGAGCAGGGGCCAGCGGAGCGTCTGGCAGCCCCTCAGGGAAGTGTATATTTGTATAGACCCTCAGGTTCATGGTTAGCTTAAGTTTTCCAATACACAAACTTCTCCGCCTCCTAACCCATCGAAACAAGGCTGGTGATATCCATGCCCACAAGCAAAGAAAATGAGCCCACAATGGCGATATTTCCCATTTATATCTACCTCCAAGTTCACATGAATTGTTTCTCGCAGACGATCTTCCCAGGCCAACCAATGATCTTCCGAAATATCGTTTCCCCACATGGCTTTCCCACACGATGTACAGTTTTTTTGCCGAATATCCATGCCCCTCAACGCTTGTGATCGAATGACTTTCATACTCTTGTTGATCCCAGAATGTAACAGTCGTAAGCATATCTTGAGCATTTCGCTTTCATAGGAATATGAGACGAAAACTTCATGGAGAATGCCACGAACATTGGAAAGAGTAGCAACTGCAATCTTCTTGTCTTCACCAATTCTTTCAAGAAATTTGTTGAAAATGGCAAAAACTGAACGATCTTGTGAGTTCAGAGTATCCTTTTTCGTACTGACTCGTTTGAAGCATGTTTGAAGTAAACCATTTATTCTGGTTGATGATTCTCCATGGGCAATCTCAACACAAGTGTCAATGAGTCTGAGCCACATACGTTCATTCAAATACAATTCACCGTCAAAATTTTGAGGCTCTTGTGAGTCACAGATATCCATGGCTAACATACCATATTTCTCAACCTCCGGTACATCCCCAAGACTAGTCATTCGTTTCAATACCCCGTCAAGTGCTTCCTCGTATCGTGACTCCTCCATGAAAAGAATAGTTGACCCATCGATACAATCAGCGTCACTAAGAAGTTTTTCCACGTCAGACAACACTACACCCACCTTGGTGACCGCTAATCTTTTAACAAACAGTAACAATTTGGATATATCTCTGTCCTTCTCCTGTAGTAATACTTCAACGTATTTGTGAATGATCTGTCCATTAATTTTCTCAATATCAACAACTCGTAAAAGCTCCTCAATGTACGAAGCAAGAAGTTCTGTTTTATGTTCCACTCTCAAGATTTCACCATGTACAGAGGGACAGTTGAGTTCCACTAATCGTACCAAACTTCTTGAATCAATTGCTAAAAGGGTCAGGAAATTGTCTCGAACTACATTCACTAAATTATGTCTTTCAGATGAGTTCCTCTTGCAACCATTAAAACAATCCTCCAAGACTTTACCCATTGATTTCCCATCGTTATGAGAAGCCATTTTTTGCAACCATGATTCTAAAACATTGGAATAACGCATTTCTGTCCGGTATATCCCCATCAATACGTCATAAAATTTGGCTGCTTGTATTTTCGCAATCAAGACTGGATCAATTTCTGGTTCATACTCGGAGATAAGACTTTGAAGAGCCAATTGACAATCATCCAAGATATCATCATCTGTATTTGAACACAAATCATCAATGATCCCGTCCAACGTAGAATCCGAGAGTCTGATAAATTGTGAGTATTTAGGGTAGTTCCTGGCAATAAAGATCCCCAATTGACACCTATCTCTTGTGTTAAACTCTTGTGAATGGGTATCAAAGATATCCAAAAGAGCTTCGATGATATATTGTCTGTTCAAAAGAATCCCTTCATTATCATTAAGGACCGTGTCTTCAAAGAATTCATTCAATGTTGAGAGCATTTCGAAAGAATCGAATCGAAGAAACATCAGCAAGTACGGGAAAATGGAATCATTATCGGTGGTGAGGGCTCCATCAACTATTGTGTTACTAAAGAGGTACTTACATATACTCTTGCGAGCTTTCAGTTCCATTTCCAAACCTATGAGTCGATCGGTTGGATATTGTCTACCAGTAAGAATGTAGGACATGTAGGTAAACACTCCACATGATACCGAATCTAAGGCCCCAACCCGTATGTCATTAATATACTCGACAAATGGAGTCTCATAATCTTGTAGCAAGTAGTTCCAGATGTATACGAGAGCGTCTCTAAGATTATACTTACGACACAATTGCATGGTCAAGTCAATGTCAAGCAATCTGATGTCCAATACACACAATATTTCTGTCAAAATGTAGCCCCTTTCCATTCTAGCATAGTATGATACCAATGCCTGGAGCACGGTTGGCGATAAGACGTCGATACTACCCCTTAAGAGATATGGTTCCAACGTGTCAAAGAAAACGTCTTCATCTTGGAATTGTTCAAAAATCGCGTCAAGAACCGGCATGGTCACCATCGATACTTCGGTTGGATCATCTCTACGAAGATCACAAAAAATGTCGAAATATAGCTTGAGGGAGGTTGCGGCGTTTCCCCTTTGCTGGAAAAGGTAGTTGATGGAGATGGTCATGATATCTAGCAAGTGTCGTTTCACCAATGGCTTACGCACCGGGGCCAGAATGGGTAACCCATTGACCTCCAAAAGGCACGAGTCGGTGGAATTATAGAACTCGGTTGCCCTGGCCAAGGCAGAAAGGTGGTCACCTTGAGAAAGAAGATGAACCAAGGTATCTGCCCAATTGACCAAGCTTCCCAAAATGACCGAATGATCATCTCCAAGAACAAGAAGACGGTCTCGTGAGTTACGCACGGTGATTGGGGTGATCCCCATAGTGGTATCTTCGCCCACTACCGTGAGTTTAGTGCCAGAGTAGTGCAACGTTGTCATGACATTGTTGCAGGTGACACAGACGAGTTTCGACGAGATCCAATTGACTGCAGATATACTTCCTTGAGGATTTGTCCACGTAGAGGTCTTGGTCATGGCAAGTGTGGGTAATGCCTTATCCTTGTCCTTGAGATCAGAAAGAACAGCAAGGAAGTTTTGTGGTAAAGTATCGTTTTGAAGCTCAAGAATATACAATTGGTTATCCCAGGCATAGGCAAGCTTGGCATTCTCCACGTGGAGAGTGTTGGGGATCTGCATGCATGGGTACCATGCGAGGGTTGCAGTGGACGCCATGGCTGACGTGGAGCCATTTTTCTTTCTTCGAGCCGTGTGATGTTCACGAACCTTGACGATGTGTTGGTTGTCCAAGGAAAGAAACGAGCACACCAAGAGAGTGTTCCCAGTCATCACAGACACTAGTCCTATGCTGTCAGTGATCTGTTCCGAGCTCCCCAAGGGGAGCAATTCACACGCCATGATGGAGCTTTTCGCCCTACTTAGCACCCTTTGCGACACGAAATGTTTCCGTAACACCTGCTTTATGCCATGATGGTAGCATACAGTGCCATTGGAGTCAGAGGAGAACAATTGGGAATGATAGGCGGCAACAAACCCAACGCTATTGATGGCAGACAATCCATCGTGTCCCGTCATAGACGTGGCTATTGTGTGTGTCGGCAAGGTGGACACTGCTGCTATCGAGTCAGCCCCCGTGGTGACGGTGGTAGCCGCGGTGGAAAGGTCCCAGATGGAGATTCGACCACTTGAATGACCAGCAGCCAAATGGGTGGAATCAGACGAGAACGACAAATAGGTTATATCTGGAGCGGTCTGGAGGGCAAATTCAATCGACTGGCGGTAATTGAACCCTATTACATGGCCCTTATCGGTGGCAATTGCCATGTACACGGTGGAAACCTCAAACGTTTGAGGGGTTCCAAATCTTTGGATGAAGTCAGAAGACGAGATTACCTGCGAGAGCGAGGCAACCGGCAGCCATTTGATATGATTTAACGGGACAAGCGGCGCCAGCACATCAGCTTCACGACGGCTCACGGGCTCAATGTTTTTGCTAGCGGCATTGCTACGCAAGGCCAAACTCACCAACGTTTGTGAACGGTCATCAAACCGAAGTTTCCTCACAGCGCCGGCGCCCGCCAGCCCGCTCAACGAGACTGTACTTGCGCTGTGCGACGGACTGGACGTCATCGACCCATCCATGCTATATAGAGGCAGCTCTACTGGGCTCATAGTGGTAGTGGCAATGCAAAGGGGGTTGGGGTTATCAGATAGATTGATTGATTTGAGCTCTCCAGAAATACTCCCACTCATATCGGAGTGTACATAAATTTTACACCTGCAACCTTCACCCAGAGCCATGGTAGCACCCCCATACATGACGCTCCGCTGGGCCCCTACTCGGGGCGAGCCACTGCGTGGGGCCTAGCCCCTCTACGAGGAGACTCTTACAGCCAATTCCTCGATAGAGGAAGAAGGCCTCCACGGCTAGTGGCCCACGGAGTGCCAGCGGAGCGGCTTACATACCCCGTAGGGTAGCCAGCACTCCCTTCCCTGGCGAGGGCTATCAAGACGCTCCGCTGGGCCCCTGCTCGGGGAGAGCCACTGGCGTGGAGCCTAGCTCCTCTACGAGGACTATCACCCCATCAGAGGAACAGGAGTCCCGCACGGGTAGTGGCGTAGATCCTGAAAGAGGACTCATCTACATTTTACAAATCTTTCATCTTTATAACTTTCCCGGTTATATATGCCGCCCGGATTCCATGTTCCATTTTCTTTCTACTTCTTTATGTATATGAATAAATATTTTAGCATAGCACTTCGTCATCTAGAGAACAGGTGGGCTAATCTTTCTTAATCTTTTTCGTTTCTTCCTCCTTTTTCTTTTCTGCTCTGAAGAATACATGTAGAGCTATCATTTGATAGAGACATGTAGCTATTACACCACCAACCACCACCAACAGCCATCGAACCACGGTGGCACATGTTTGTTCTGATTGGTCGCGGAAGGTCCATTCCCGTTCACGGAGAAAGCTCTGTTCTCTCTGGATGTCTCGGAGTTTATCGTTGAGACGGTGCACCTCTTGTACGAGAGAGCCCACGTCATGGGCACCACCTGTGGGTGAATCGAGAAAGGTACCATCATGCACCTCGAAATGAATAGTTATGCGGGTGTCCACAAAGTCTGGATCTTTGTCATCATCTTCCAGAGACGCTGTTGAGCCATACGAGGACGTCAATGCTGATGCGGCCATACCGAGCCAGTTTTTGGGGCGGTGATAGAAGCTCTTGGGGGTGAAACAAATCCGATGTTCACCGGAATCGAGGGCACTGAAGGTGAACTTCCCTGCAAACAGAGCTCGCAGATGTACCACCTGGTGATCAGAGTCAAAGGTTTCCTCGACGTCTACCAAGACTCCTGTATTAGACCGGTCTCGGGGCGGTCTGTATGTGTTGGTGGCCGGATCAAGTATGTCCATCTTGAACTTGCCTATGAGTAGCGTGTTTGCCGTCAACTCACGGTAGAAACATCTTCGGGAGCCTGCTGCCACGTAGAAGTGTAACTGGGCACGACATAGCGTGACAGATAGCAGAAGTAGTACCACAAGGAGGAGGTGTGGAGTAGCGAAAAGCCGTGATACCGGAGATTTGTTTAATACCGCCATGTAACCAAAAGTGGGAGAATGATGTGTGAATCCCGTGATTGGTTGTGTGTAAGGGGATTGTGGGATGTGGGTCTGGTCGCGCACGCTGGTTACAAACTTCTCAGGTTGTGCGAAGGATGATGGTGTGGGAGTCTGGACACCGAGTATGCAAAGTCTATAGCGAGCGACTCCGAGACCTTTGTGTGTGTGTGTGTGTCTGATTGAGAGCCTTTTTTTATTTTTATTTTTATTTAATTTTTTTTGGCGGGTGGGTTGGCTGCGTGTTTTTGTTTGTTTTTCCATATAGACGTGAAGAAGGCACTTAGGGGCCCAGAATAGAGGTTGGGAAAGGCAGTAGAAGCACAGAACGGATCCATACAGACTCCTTATACATACAGTTTTTCTTTTTTTTTTTCCAGTCGTAGTGTAGGATGAACTTATCACTTCAGGATCCATTTGCAGTTGCCAAGGAGTTCCCGGAGACGCTCACCCATACGCTTCTGGCAGGCGGACATTCTGTGATCATCCAATTCAATTATAAGGGAGACTACCTTGCCTCCGGGTTGAGCGACGGGTCGATCGTGGTGTACGATCTCGCGAGCAATGGTGGGGTGGTGGCACATCTACAGAAGGACGGCCATATCAGAGCCGTGACATCATTATGTTGGTCCCGATGTGGACGGTACCTTCTAAGTTCCTCGCAGGATTGGTCATGCAAATTGTGGGACCTTTCGAGGGCCAATTCCCCCGATAGACAAGTACTGGCGGTGATACGAAGTGTTCGATTCGATGGACCAATATGGCTGGCAGTGTTACATCCATCCAATCCTTTCCAATTTACAGCTTCGTTGTACGAAGATAACCCTGTTTATGTAGACACTACAGATGAGGACAAGGTGGTGATTACTACACTCCAGACCCAGCCATTCGAGGCTAATGAAGGAGAAAACTCCACCGAAAGAAGAACCCCAGATACAGAACCAGAAACAAAGAAAAAGAAAACAGAAAAGCACATGACGTTGGTGACTACATTTGAACCCAGACAGGGGAAATACATCTTCACAGGAACGAGCAAAGGTTGGCTCAACATCATTTCCTCAGAGACTCTACAAACGGTCCATTCGGTCAAGATTGCCAACTCCAACATTAAAAACCTTGTGATATCCTCCAACGGGAGGAAACTTGCCATCAACTCGTCTGATAGAGTCATCAGACAGATAAATTTGCCGGATTTCGTCAATGACCTGAATACCCCTGAGCTCTGGGAGTTTGAGGTGGAACACAAATACCAAGACGTGGTGAATCGGCTCCAATGGAATTCTGTGGCATTCAATCACAATGCCGAATTTCTTGTGGCTTCAACGTTTGGCCAGTCTTCCCAGGACTTGTATGTGTGGGAAACATCACTTGGGTCACTTGTGAAGATTCTTGAAGGGAGTAACGAAGAGCTTATTGATGTGAAATGGAATTACTCGCGATGCATGATCGGATCGACAGGGTTGGATAGCGGGTGTGTATATCTCTGGCTGGTACAATTCCCGCAGAAATGGAGTGCATTGGCGCCCGATTTCGTCGAAATTGAAGAAAATATCGAGTATGATGAAAAGGAAGATGAGTTTGACATAGTAGATGATGAGATTTTGGTGCAGAAACGATTAGAACAAGAAGAAGATTTGGTGGTTGATATCACCACTATGGAAAAATTCGACGCAAGAGGTTTCGATATTGAAGAGTCGTTTGTAATCCCTGTGAAATACGAGTAGGAATAACAATAGTAATAATAAGATAATCAAGATACTAATGTGAAATTTTGAACCAGTAAAATTTGAGATTCGGCAATGTGTGTTTCAAAGCCGCATATATGTCAATTTCACGGCCTCACCTGTCGCCCGCAGTTGTACGGGCCACGGCTGCAGCAACAGCCTCCTTCCAAAAGTTTAACCTCGGGCCCCTCCACAGCAAGCTTATTTTTTATTTTTTTCATGAACCACCACATCGTGACAACTTTAACGGTTGTGGCTTTGATCGGGGTTTATGGTCTCTATGTTGACCGTTACCCTGTTTCACTGTGGTGATCAAACTATATGTCAATGTTCCCGCACCAACCCCAGAATCCTGCAGTTTGGATTCCCATTGTTCTTAGGTTTATCCACATCACCAAACGGCTATCCCGCAAGCACACAGTTTCAGAGTGTCCCAGTCGAGGCGAATTCCAGTTGATAGGTGACAGGGACGCTTAATAGTTTATAGGGGGTACGGGAGTAGATAACTACGGAACAATAGGGGGCCTCCACCACCGTGACGTCATTTTGAATGGTGCCTCACGTAGAGATAGTCATTAAACATTTGACAGTGGATTATTGACATGAAACTGACCCTAGAGTGCTTCCTTCTCTAGCATAAATAGTCACTGTACCCCGACACTTGTGTCTTTTTTCATCCTCCTTTGTTATCATCAAATATTTATTTCAAATATATCCCCATACATGAAACTTGCTCTTATCTCTATCGCGACTCTGTTTTTCGCATCCACTGTACTTGCTGCAGATGGATTCATCAAACTTGATTTTGACGTCCATCGTGGAAGAGGATCCAAGACTTCCGCGTTTAAGAGTAGTGCCAAGAGTAGAGGGGGAAGAAAAGGTTACCATGGTTCCGTTAAGGGTGCCGGCAACAGCACTGTCTTTGCATCTTCTGGTGCAAGCTCAATTGCCGTTGATAATGAACTCACTTTTTACAGTGTCAATGTCACAGTGGGAACTCCTCCTCAACAGGTTGAAGTTTTGTTAGATACCGGATCAGCCGACTTATGGGTTCCTTCCACCAGTCAAGAAGGTTCAGGGGCATTTGTTTCCAGGAAGTCTTCCACTTACAAGAGCCTTAATGAAAAGTTCCATATCCTGTATGGTGATTACACTTATGCCACTGGTGTCTATGCTACCGACACCTTTGCCTTGGAAGGGAACTTTAATATTCCAAACTTCCAGTTTGGTTATGCTACCCTGACTAACTCCACTCCAGTTCTTGGGATTGGATACAAGACATTGGAAGCTACCACCCAGAGTGAACCATTGTATGATAACTTGGTTTATAGGTTGTCCGAAGCGGGTCTTATTGAAGTGCCAGCCTTTTCCTTGTACTTGAATGACATATCATCTGTTACTGGCTCAATCATCTTCGGTGGTATTGATAACGACAAATATTCTGGTGATTTGGTCTCTATCCCAGTTTCAAGTTATGAACAGGATGGTACAGATTACGGGTACATTTACTACCAAATTCCATTAAACTCTGTTACCTTTGGTGGTAAGACTGTCCAAGATGGGGGTTCATACTTGTTTGATTCCGGTACCACTATCTCTGAAGTTAATAGTGCTGTTGTTGAATCCATTGCAAACTCCATTGGTGCTCATCTTGATGATGCATCTGGCTTCTACATCTACGACGTTGGTTCGGTTGACCTTACCCAGACTGTTTCCTTTACCTTTGGATCCAAGACCATTGAAGTTACCTTAGAACAACTCCAATACTCGTACAATTGGTTAGTGTCCACCACCGGTGACGCAGACCCATATGACGTTTCCCATGATACTTATGGTGTCCTTGGATTGGCTCCAATTCCAGGTGGACTTGGGATTTTGGGTGACAACTTCTTGAGATCTGCTTATGTTGTGTTCAACATCCAAGACCACACCCTTTCTCTTGCTCAAGTCAAGTACACTTCAGAATCCTCCATTTCGGTTATTCTGAATTAAGCAAAAAAATTACATGAAAGTGAATTCCTTGGTAGGCGTATTTTTTGCAGCCAATCCACCTCAAGGAACATCTTTCTATATATGGTTTAAGAGTAAATTTATATTGAATATGTTTTAACTTAATGTAGAGAATACATATAAGGACAAGATGGTTTCTTTTTAAAGAGAACATGTCGTTAGGTAATACCTTGTACTGCTACACACTGTGGGTAAATTCTAGTATACCTACCAAGCTATGTACTGGGTTTTTTGATGACTAACTACACAGTTTTAATAGCATTTATCCCAAGAGGTATGCAAGGATGGAAGCTCCCTTACAATCTTGTCACGATAGCATTCCGAGAGATAAAGTATCTGACATGACAGTACGAACTATATTAGTTGTATATATTAAATTTCGTTCATAATATAAAGATAGAAGGAGTAATACATCTTTTGGTACATGGGGAATGGGGGTCATCTTGACTCTTTTAGATGGTGCAACAACAGTACAGCATATCATATCATTATATATTATGAGCATACGGAATCTGGTGGTTTAATATTACCCAATTGAATCAATGATATGCCATATACTGCTCTACAAATAAATTAAAATACTAACTCCTCAAAATGAATACTAATATTTCCTCAATTGGTTTTGCCAAATCGCTGGAACTAACAATTTCTGTAGTTATTGGACGTATATCTGTGTTTTATAAAACATTAGGAGGAGTTGGCCAATGTAAGGGTTTTCTACTCTTCTTTGTCTCCAGGTGATGTTACTCAAACAGTACTACATTCGATTTAATATCACGGTTTATGGCGAATCTAAGCAAGTTGGATACTCTCTAAATATCTCATATACATGCACCCCTCCTCCTCAAACAAACCTAACTAACATCACATTAATTATCATTTTTGGATATAACTTTAAAAGTATTGTCAGGTAGAGTGATTTCCGTTTTAACGAGTGACAAGGACACATTTACTATCTAAATCAATTCTTTTTCATCTGACCAATCTTTGTCGGAATTTTTTGACTCCCCCACTTTCTGTTGCAAAAAATAATTAAAATAATTTCTACACACCAAACAACAATCTATCTAGTATATACCATCGTGTAAAAATAACGCAGGAACACACCCATTCACCCACTCACCCACTCACACCCACCCCACTACTCTTCAATCACCGATAACCCGAATTAACCCCATTACTTTGTAATAATCTCTGTTGAACCCAATTAATACCATACTTCTTTAGATATCAAGTCTCATATTACTTAATCAATGACAAAAATAGATTATAATTAAATTGCGACGCTCCTTCCTTACACCAGATTTTCCAGTTTCTTTTACAAATTCTTACTATTATTGGAGAACCTGCACACATGCCCCAGGTATCTACCTGCACTACTGGTTGTCCACGAAAACAAAAACAAATTTTTTGTTTTGTAAACAAAAAAGCTCTACTGACAGAACCTTGAAAAAAATTTCAACTCCGTTGTATCACCTTTTGGACACGTCTATCTGAGCCCGTTGAGTCGGTCCCCAATCCCCGAGCGCACCCACTCCACACACCCCGACCCACAGCACCACCACACGAGTTCCCGGCGTTTTTTGCACTATAGCCCGCTAGAACCCGCACTACCCACACACCCCAATTTGTCATTTCTAATTTTTTGATTAGACTCTCAAAGTAACCCCCCTCCCCCTTGTTTTCTTTTTCTTTTTGGTCTACCACGGGAAAGAAGATACCACAGGACGAGCGAATAGAAGAGAAAGAGCTTCAGTAGAACACCGGACTCCCACGTGAAATATTGTCCTTTGCATCAATTGAGCTGAGCTCAACCAACAGTCTATACACACAACCTTTTGCCATTGTTTACATTTGGTACCCATCCAAGTAACCAGTAAGCAATACCATGTCCGAATCGTCCACGCCGAGAAAACGGTCCATCCCGGAAGATGAAGATTTGCCCAGTTTTGATGATCCTGCTGATAAGGTGAACGCCGTGATATCTCAATTGCAGGCACCTGAAGAAAAGACAAACGTTGCCCTCACGTTTGCCAACGACAAGAACTTGGCCACCGAGGTGCAGGCATACGCCAAGATTGCAGGTACCGATTGGACTTTCTATGTCAAGTCCCTTGCTGTATCCATTGGACGGAATACTGACGTCCCCATTGGTAGCCAACAAGTGTCATCAGCAGCCCTAATTGATATTGATTTGGGACCTGCTAAAGTTGTATCTCGACAACATGCCAACATCAATTACAACTTGGACTTGAGATGTTGGGAATTGAAAGTTTTAGGAAGAAATGGGGCCAGAATTGATGGTCAAAAAGTCCCCGTTGGGAGTGCACATTCGACCCCATTACATTCTGGAGCTATTTTGGACATTGGAGGCACCCAGATGATGTTTATTTTGCCCGATTCTCCTCCAACATTGCCCAAGAAACTCCTTAATATGTATTTGGCCAAGTATAAGGCCAATATGAACAAGAGAAAGAGCGTGATTCTGACAGGAGGAGGTGCCGGAGGGATTAATTCGCATTATCCACAACAACACTCGTTACCAGTGCACCATAATCAGCCTCAAATTAAAAGTTTCCAAATGTTTGACAAGGCCCAACTTTCTCAATCACCTACGACCTCTGCCACGTCTTTACAGAACAATCTTGACCAAGATTTGTCCAAGGAAGAAGCCAAGGACATCAAGCCACCTTATTCGTATGCCACCATGATTACGCAAGCCATCTTATCAAACGACGATGGGGTGATGTCGTTATCAGAGATCTACAATTGGATTTCCTCTCATTATGCATATTACAAGTATTCGAAAACTGGATGGCAGAATTCTATTAGACACAATCTTTCGTTGAACAAGGCGTTTGAGAAGGTTCCTAGAAGACCCAATGAACCGGGTAAGGGGATGAAATGGCAGATCAGTGAATCATATAAGGAGGATTTCTTGAATAAGATCCTGAGCGGATCACTTCTGAAACAACGAAGAGGTTCATCCGTGTCTAGACAATTACAATTACATTTGGCCACACATCAACAACTCCCAGAACCTCAAAAATATTATCTGAAGGAAAGCAATAATTTCCATCAAAGGACTGATTCCTTGCCAAAATTGGGTCAACCAATTCAATACGGACAAGCCCCACCAATGAACCCTGTACAGCCGAATGCATTAGCATTTCTTAATAATAACCAGCAGCAGCAACAGCAGCAACAACAACAACACCTTCAACAACAATTTCTCCAGCAACAGCAGCTTCTTCATCATCAACAACAACAGCAACAGCAACAACTTCAGGGTAGAGCCTTCCCTCCTTCATACGGGTTCCAAGCACCTGCACCACCTCATATGATGTATGGTAACCCAATGGCTCAACGTCAACCAGGAGGTATGGGTCAACCAGGAGCTGGACCAGGACCTGTAGCACCACCTCTCCAACAACACACTCAACATCAACACCAACAATCAGCTCCAGGTGGACAACCACAGCAATTGAAGGCAGAATTATCATCACCAATGAGACAATCAAGTGATATGAATAGCACAACACCTAAACTCCCAAAGGTTGTAGGTCATAATTTGTTCAATTTACCACCACCATCAACTGGTCAGTCGAGTACCACCGGGTCCTCAGCACCGCAAGCACATCATTCACGTTCGAATTCATATAACCAGCCTGGAGAAAAGGGTGAACCATTTGCCCCAATCCCAGCATCCGAGCAACAAGGTGGTAACTCTACTACCACTGGAGGTAGCAGTGGTTCCACCACTGGAGCCAGTGGGCAACCAGGCACAGGGTCGACGGACTTAAGCTTAGGATTTACTAGTCCTAAGAAGGTTGCACCTTTGGAAGCATTTACCCCAGAGAGAGGATCCAAATCCGGAAGTGGAACAAACAGTAAACTTGGCGTCCCCAGTGGACCTCATACTAATCAATCATCACCAGCATTTTGGAACTTTGTTCAATTCAGCACCCCCAATGGACAAACTCCATTACGTAAAAATAGCGATGAACTGAATGGACTGGGAAGTCCAACCTTGAATCGTAAACCTCAAAATGATAAAGTTGGCGAACTCCAACACTCTAAATTCTTGGATGAAAAGCCAGATTATTCACCCCTTAAAGGTAAAACGGGAAGTGAGAAGATACAAAGCGAAGATTCCAAGTTGAAGGAGGGTTCTCAACATAGTGAAGTGAACGCCTAGTTTTATGATAAACGATGATGATGACTACAATTACGAAATATCCCCTACACTTTTCATTTTCATTCACCCGTGTTATTATTATGTATTTAGCTTAAGAAAAGAATCGAATATAGAGTTCTATGTATTAAAATGCCGATCTATTTCTCATTTCTGCTATTTTCTTTTCGACATCTTTTGGAGTTCTGTCTAAGGATCCTGAGATCTTAATTTTAGCTGATTGGTTGAGTTCTGTAAACTTTTCAATCAAATCCCCGTCGATTACGTTTTTCGACGGATTATAGTAGCCTCTGAACTTCAAATGATCACGTCCTAATATATTATAACCTCTATCACCAGTGGAGAAATCATCAAAATTGTAATTAAAATATTCTCGCAAGGCAATTTCAAGTTTTACAAAAAAATCAGTTTCTTGCTTTGTGGCAACTGGAACAAGGATACCCACAGACCCTTGCAAACCGGTGAAAATGAGAGCTTCAACTCCGTCAACATTCAAGCAACCTTTGGTAAAGGAGGTTGGGATATCTCCCAAATGGAACTCACAAATACTCTTCAATCTGGAACCAGAACTGTTTAAATATGGGGGTTGGAACTTTAATGAACTCCAATCATTATCAGCCTTGTCTGAAATTGAATCTGGGAGTCTTGAAACAAAAATATTTCCAAATTTATCCCCACCAACCACAGTTGAATAGTCCAAACTGATCATAGAAGTAATTTGTCTTTTCATAATATCATCTGCGAATGGCACAAACTGATTGATAGTCGAATCATACTTGACAAAAGAGGTTGATTGTGAAATGTCGGCAACAACAAGTCGGTTATTTTCATTGACCGAAATGGCAGTTATGGTTTTAAAATAGTCAATCTGAGTAGATGTCTTTCTCAAGAGTTGACGTTGACCCATGTCATAGATTCGAAGATAATTTTGCATACCAACAAGAAGCTTCCCATCAAACTCACATAATACCGTGGGTTTAAAATCTACTTCTGTTCTATAGACAAAGCTAAGACGTTTCAGTTTAGAATCTATTTTGAATGTGTATAAGAAACTCTTGTGTTCGTCATCTTTACTCAATAATACCTCATTCTCAGTAGTTCCAACAACAAGATGTTCTTGGTCTGAGTTAGAGAAGTTTACCACACTGAGAGAGACGGCTCGTTCATTATTGGAAAGTTCCACTGATTGAATCACTTCTTGAGAAGCAATTTGGGCAATCTGGATACAAGATGACCATAATGGTTTATTTATGGGTAACACTTGGTATTCAGTTTCATCATGTTCATCTTTGTGAACAGTCTCCAATACAGATATAGGATACAGAGATTGCAGTCCATATTCTGATTCAATGATATACACAGTCTCTCCCAATGTCACCATCTTTCTTGGAGTGTATCTTAATTTAACAGAAGAAATGGAAAAATCATCTTCCAATGTCAGCATTGGTTCACCTTCACTTCCAACGGTAAATATAACCAAATCATTGTCAGCGATACCAACAATCCCCTGACCACCGATGTCCTCAGAAAAGAACGAGGCACCATTGGTCACACTAACGTCCATCAATGGGGTCAATTTGAAGTAACCATCATTGCTCGTGTATCCAATCCAGGGTCTAGAGGAAATTGCAAGTACAGCCGATTGATTACTAGAATCTGGTAAGCCAATCACTGACATGTCAACGGACTTGGAACCTAGATATCTGGTTCTAGTATCGGAAAGTCTTCCAGTAACTTCATCCACAACAGTACGAACGTATAAACCGTTTTCCATCCCGATATGAATGGAAAGTTCAGTAGTACCTCGTAACATAATGATAGAAGAGCTATTTGATGATAATGCTTGAAGGGTCACAGTTCCAAGGCAGTTGTGCTGTTGCAAAGAAAGAACTGTGATAGTTTCATCAGCACATCCAACTACTGCAAATGGACTCTTGGTTTTCTCTGACGATGATGCGATGGCTACAGCGGTAATGGCACCACCCATTTCTATACGTTCTTGGTACTCGATCAATTGATCATCGGTCGGATCGACTTCAAAGTAGCAGATTTCTCGATTAGAGAGACCAATAATCACTTGCTCATTATTAGAACTAGCCAGGATGATGTTGATACCCGCTGGCGGATACCAATCTGTAGTTTTGGAAGATTCTGGAGTATTTCGAACATGTCGAATACCATTAGGATATATTTGAATGACTGAATTTTTCCCAACTTGCTGGACATCTATAGTTGGCTGCGTAGCTACAAATTGAGAGTCAGTGACTTCTTCAACCACTTCGCCAATGGATAGAATCAATGTTTGTGACGATAATGTAGAAGAGATGACCAAGTAGTCATCATTTGTGGAGTCTGCTTGAAGCTTTGTGGTGTAGATGGATGTAGGTTTGAATGGGAGTGGGGAAGAGACCACTGTAGATGTAGGTAATCCATGAGTGAGGGTCTTGAGATATGCATGAGATGATAATGTTACAAGTTGCTTGACGGGGTCATCGTTGAGAGCACTAGTTGTTTCCACGAGAGTAGCCCCTATGACAGGATTCAATGATTCCAAAGTATCCACCAAGGATAAGTTCGTTGGCTCTTCAAAGACGGTGAAACGGGTGATATTTTCGTCAGAGGGTAAACTTTCCATGGTAGTCATGGTGGTTTCATTGACATCTTCTCCCAAGTTTTCGAATTGATAGAATTGTTTATTATTGTTTTCACAGTTTGCCAAGAGGAATCCACTTTTCAACACATTAAGAGTATGACAAAGAGGAATTGTATCGAAATATGTCATGTTTACTGCATTGAACAAGTCTCTATCGGTGTCATAATCCACAGTAATCTTAAAACAATCTCCCAAGTTGGATTGGACCAATATGAAAAATGCATTTTTTTTCATCTTGTGAACGACATAGTTGACTATACGGGTTGGAAGTAGTTTGGGATAATCTTCCAGGCGTTGTGGGATGGGTAAATATAACCTCTTTTCACCATCTGTACTTTCATAGATGAGATGTTCTTCACAACAAACAAGTGAGCCACCACCAACTTGACTAGGAAGAGGAATGATCTTCAGAGCTGAAGCTGGGAGAGGGAGTTTACTTTTCCTCTTCACCACATGGTTCAATGCCTGGTCTAGCTCATAGTATTGAAGCAAGAGTGGCGAGGATTCTGGATCGTATTGAGCGGAACCGGTCGAATATTCTGAATAGTCACATTCTATAGCGGCAAACACCGGATTATCATATCCAGTATCGAGCGCCACCATATCCAAAGTGAGGATTTTCTTGGAAATGGACTCCAAGGGGGATAAGAGTTCAATTTCACTGGCATTGGAATCGGAAGCAGCCGCTTGTTTGATTGTGTAACATAACTTGTTTCTTTCAAGGGCAGAAATCATGATGGCTCTACCTTGAGGATCCACAGCAAGGTATTCACCAGGGGTGGTTCTACGGAACCCAGTTTTGGAATGTGGTTCTTGTACGAGGGGGACAAATCTACTAGTAGTGACATCGAATTTCAAAATGACCAACTTCCCACTATCTGATGTCACCACAAGGAAGTCTACCGAGGACCCGGGAACCCTAAAAGTGTCCAAAGCTTGTACTTTGGCCCAAGTGTCCTGCAGTGCCACTTTAGATATTTTTCCAGAGTCGGTATCGGGTCTCCACACTTCAATGTTTGTAGAATTGGCAACCACCACATCTTGCAACTTTTTCGAGCCCGTGAACAGTCCCACCACTACGGCCACACTATGGGACGGTTTACGTAGCGTGAGCTGGTACAAGTACAATGAGGCACACTCGTTGGCAGCCATCTCGGGTATATGCTTCTAGAATGAGTAATTTGTGATTCTTTGGTTGATGAAGGTCCACCAAGTGTTTTTAAATCACATCCCATCCATACTATCGCAAAACTAACACAAAAGTGAATTCTAAAGAGAGTAGAGAGGTGGAAATAGTATTGTGAGTGAAAGAAAAAAGGATAATGAATGTGAATGATTAGTTACAGAGGCGATAAGGGAGACTATAAATACAAGGAGTATATAGGTAGGTATGTAGCGATTAAGTTAAAATAACAGTAGTATGATAGTATTATCCATGACAGTGGGTGTGTGGATGTTGTCACTCTTCTTTTTTTTTTATTTTTATTTTTTGAATTTATAATTTTTGTTTAGCTTACATGAAAATGCTACGATTATAAATTCACATAGAGAAACTACGTGATAATACGTATTTAGAGCAAAACTTTTAATGGGGGCAAGGTATGTACAGTTCGCGGATGGATTGATAAAGGGGATGGAAGTATGGGGTAGGGGCTTTGGGGAGTGAGAGAGGGGGAATTTGTAGTGGTTACAGGATGCTTCAAATCAATGCATTTGAGGAATGTACCACAGAGTAGGAGGCATCTGATAGGTGTTTCATATTAGTTGAAGAAAGGGGATCCACCATAGAGAACAGGTATGTTGGCTTGATAAGAGGTCAAGTACCATGATACCATGATTCCTAGTTTCCCTTTGACTTACACATAATCTAGTACTGAAGCTGTGGTAAGTGAACCCCCTCTCTGTCTGACAAGGGGAGTCTTCCCACGTCTAATAAGATAGTTCCATTTTTATACCCTATACCTCGTATAAACCCGCTTTTCTTCTTTATTTTTTTTTTACTAACAATTTAGTTGCAAAGATCAAAAGAAACAATTGGCAATCTGCTTACAAAGATCACCATGTGTGCTTCTTGATAGAAACACGCCAAAGGATTGTTTGACCAAACCAGAGTTGAAAAAGGACCTTCCTGAGCTTTGTGTAGCCCATTTCCGTTCTTTCATGGAGTGTAAAAATGGGATATTCGATATGCGTAAACGTATGGTTGGTAATGCACCCCTTTCTACCGGGAAGTTTGATGAAACATACGACAATTTATCGTCTGGGAAGTTTGATGCACACGAGGAAATGCGTAAACTTGACGTTTTAAATAGAAACTTGTCTAAGCAAAGACAAGCTGAGGAGAAGAGAAGGGAGCAAGAACTTTTACAAAACGAATAAGAAGAGGTTAAACATAGTAGAGAGGAACTAGTCATAGACGATCTAGATGTCGCTAATAAGCAGCTAGCAGCAAGTTCTTATTTAGAATTTTTTTGACCTTGCCAAGAGAATTCACTCTCCCTACATAGATTGTAAAGGAGATGTGTTATTTTCTTCATCCTTGTACATAGACATAAAAATATACAATATTAACATTAAGAGAGAGAGAACGTATTACCCACGAATTGACGCTATTATACATCATCATTGCGTGAAAATGTTCAATTTGCATGTCATTTGATGCTGGTTGAGGTTTTTATGGTGTTTTATTTTTTTTTTACAAAAATTGACTTGCTGTGGCTCGAACCCCTTCCTGGGAATAATCATATGAAATTTTAAGAATATCCTCGTTTACAAAAGAAAAGGATTAAAACGTCAAATGCCCAAACCAATGCACAATTTAACGGTTTTGGCTTTTTTTTTTCTATAAATAATTTTTTTTAGAGAGACCATGACTTCCATTAGAAGTGAATTAGAATCAAATAGAGTACAGGAGCTCGACCAGCTTTTGAAGCTTGTACTGCCAAAGATCTTGGAGTATGTAGCCAAGGCAGACCCAAACTCTGATCTGTACCAATCAAACTCATTAGGAACCTACCATGAACCTTCTGAATTGAAGGAGAAGTTGTTGACCCATCATGATCGTTTGGATGCCACTGGGATCAAGGATGCCCCACTTGGGGAATTGGAAGACGTCATTGATAAGGTTCTCAACCTTTCTGTCAATACATGGAACCCTGGATTTATGGACAAGTTGTATGCATCCAACAATCCAATTGGAGTTATTTCCGACCTTATTTTATCAGTTCTTAACACAAACTCGCATGTTTACACGGTATCGCCAGTTTTATCTGTTCTTGAGAATTATATTGGGAAGAAGTATGCACAATTATTTTTCACCAATGATCAACAAACTTGTGGAGGATTGACCTTTTCAGGAGGTTCATGGTCTAATGTCACATCGATGCAAATTGCCCGTTCATTGAAGTTCCCAGAAACCAAGGAATTGGGTAATGGGAACTACAAATTTGCCGTTTATACCTCGAAACATTGCCATTATTCGGTGGAAAAGGCTGCTATTCTTCTTGGATTAGGGTCCAAAAACGTTTTTAAGGTTGATATCTTGGCCGATGGATCCATGGATGTTAACTCTTTGAAAAGTACTGTGGAACAAAGTATCAAAGATGGATATACCCCCTTGTATATAAACGCCACTGCCGGTACAACCGTGTTTGGATCATTTGATCCATTCACGGAGATTTCTGAAATTGCTCGCAAACATGACATTTGGTTTCATATCGATGGATCTTGGGGTGGTAACGTGGTGTTTTCATCTACTCACAAGAAGAAGATGATTGGATCCCATTTAGCCAATTCTATCACTGCAAACCCTCATAAGATGTTGGGAGTCCCAACAACCTGCCTGTTCCTTTTACTCCCACACGTTGGACATTTCCAAAAGGCCATGTCACTTTCAGCACCATATCTTTTCCATGGTAACAATGATGACGAAGAGAATTATGATTTGGCCGATGGTACCATGGGATGTGGCCGTAGAGCAGATTCATTTAAGTTCTACATGACTTGGTTGTACTATGGCCAACAAGGATTGGAAGAACGGGTTGACCATGCATTCAACATTGCCCAATATTTCATAGAGAAGATTTCCCATCTAGATGGATTTGAATTGGTGGTTGGATCAAAAGAATCCCCTCCACAATGTCTTCAAGTTTGTTTCTACTACAGCCCTGAGGGTTACAAATCTAAGGACCATACAGAAGCTACACGGTTCATTTCCAGAGCGTTACACTCCAAGGGGAAGTATTTGGTGGATTATTCACCTAATCCAACCTCTCAAGACGGTAAGGGAGAATTCTTTAGAGTTGTGTTCAACTCACCAATTCTCACCAGTGAGGTTATTGACGATCTTGTGGAAAGCATCGTTGCAGCCGGCAAGGAGTTAGAGTTGTGATTGTACAGTCTATATAGAGAGAATGTATATTTATTAGAGAATAGATAACATCAAATGTCAAGTGATGTTTTCATGCATTATCTGGGTTACAGTTTTTATTTTGTGCGAATAAGGCGATTTTGATAAGGAAGCAGCAAATTTAACAAGAGGCGAACAAAACACAAAATCATCAAAGATAAGCTAGCAAATGGTGCCACCTGAAAAAAAAAAAAAAAAAAAAAAGTAGAAAGTGAATGTGTTCGACACTAAAATAGAATTTGATGCAGCGCAGGGGGTGTTTCTCATTATTTTCCTTCACTGAAATAGATAATTTCAAATGATGGACGGGGGAAAAAAAAACAACTTTTAATTTTCCAAAGCCAAGAGCCTCTGGGTAGGATACCCCACTTTTCTCGTTATTTGATGATCATACTACCCCCTCTCTAAATTAAGCGGGATTTTGGAGAATATTTGTGAGCAATAAATCTCGGGACGTACCTGCAGGAATTTCAAAACTGCAACATTGCAGTTATTCTAGTTAAATCGCAGATTAAAAAATTATTCTTAGAGAAGATTTCCAGTGAAATAATCACGGAAAGGAAGAAAGGCAAGCTTAGAGCATACTCGGCAATCAGTAAGCTTCGTAGATAGATAGCAGATAAGACATGTATGGGATGGGTGTAGATTGGACTCTTGCATGGTACATCGTATAATTTGTTACTTTTACAACATCGAACGCTCGTCTGTGTAACGTGCCAATTGTTTCTTCTTACGCGCTTCAAGAAATTATTTGGCACCCTACCTGTTTATGTAGAAGTGAAAGCCGTATACAAAGCATGTACTCGGCTCGGTTCAATGGGGGGAGAGAACGAAAAATAAAAAAATTATAGAATTTATCTTAAATCATACAACTAAATTTTGAGATGCTACATAAAAGCTTGTAAGAAAATAAATCTCAAACGAGAATGACAGGTCATTCTCCACAACGTTCGGTCTATATGGGTTCAATTAGTAGTGGTTTGACGACTCTGTGAATACCGTAGTGTAGATACCTCTCTCACCTGCTACTCTTCGTTGTTGCAATTTCCAAACGATCATCTCGCATGAAGGTTGTACATATCCAAATCACAATACACGTCTTGTTAGACCACCCCCGCAAATGTCCTGTACACCGTTCAATACATTTTTTTTTTGGCAATGTAGCAGTATCGATAAGTAAATGTTACCTTGATTCAAGAATGTAACATTGGAGACAATCGCTGTATCGCGGAAAATCAAAGAAAAAAAAAAAAAACCCAGAAAAAAATAAGCAATTCCCAAAGAGGCAATCTGTCATCCTTTCTGTATACCTCATCCCGGGGAATTCGTTTTTGCCTTTCATCACCCGTCGCGAGGAAACTGCAAATGTAGAACCCTATCATCTACATCACAACACAGCACTGAAACTGGTGAATCTCGAAATAATGAATAATCAATTTCATCTTTTCTTCTTTGCTAGCGCCTCTTTGGTGTTTCATAAATTTGTTCCACTTTAGATCCAATTACGGCGACTGATAAGACTTTGGGTTATATTTTTTTTTTTTTTTTTGCTTATTTATTCGAAAATCTTTTTTCCCAGTGGGAATGGCTCAAAATTCGTATGCGGGACTGATCCTCCGTTTGGCCCACATGCCGTGCTGTCAAGTATGAGACATGCGGCATAAGTGGGAGAAGTTCTGCATCAGCACTCCGCGCTCTTTCTTGACACCATTGCAACCATGTTACCTTCAACGAAAGTCGCTTTTTTCTTGATATCAATTTACCACAAGATATATAAACCAGACCAAAAGTCGCTCAATAAAGAGTTTCGGACCCATCAACAGTCAACAGTTCCTTTGTTAATTACACACACACACATACACAATATGGAAAAGTCTGCTGAAGAGGTCCACACCTCATCCACCACTTCTCATGACCAAGAAAAGATAGCCCCAGTCGAGGACACACACGATGACTACGACCCAAATGCCTGGTACAATAAGAAACTCTTTGGTGTTCTCCCACCATACTCCAGTTCCATGTTCCAGGTCGTCATGCTTGCCTTTGTTGTTTTCATGACCCCTGGTATGTATAATTCCCTTTCCGGTCTTGGTGGTGCAGGTATCAGTGACAAGGTCACTGCCGATAACTCCACCGTCGCCCTTTATGCCACCTTCGCTACCATTGGTTTCTTTGGTGGTACTATCTGTAACATTGTTGGTCCAAGAGCTTGTCTTTGTTTCGGTGGTACTGGTTACGCACTTTATGCTGGATCTTTACTTGCTTACCAACATACCGCCAACAAGGGTTTTGTCATTTTCGCTGGTTGTTACTTGGGTATTTGTGCCGGTTGTCTTTGGGCCGCTCAAGGTGCTATTGTTTTGTCATATCCTACAGAAGATAAGAAGGGTACAGCTATTATGATCTTTTGGGTTATTTTCAACTTGGGTGGTGTTATTGGATCTATTATTCCTTTGGCCGCCAACATGGAAAACAAGAGTAATAACGCTACCAACGGTACTTTCACCGGGTTCATAGTTTTGATGGCCAGTGGTTCCCTCATTGCCTTATTGATGTTGCCAATGGACAAGGTGATCAAGTCTGACGGTACTAGAGTTCAAACCCAAAAGTTCCCAAACTGGAAGAAGGAAATCATGGGTCTTTTCAAGTTGGCCTACAGTCAACCAATGATTCTTTTGATGTTCCCAATGTTCTTCTCTTCCAACTGGTTCTACACCTACCAATTCAACGCTGTCAACGCTGATCGTTTCACCATTAGAACTCGTTCTTTGAACTCTCTTTTGTACTGGACTTTCCAAATGGTTGGTGCCATTCTCATCGGTACTATTCTTGATTTGAAGATGTTCAGAAGAAGTGTTCGTGCCAAGATTGGTTGGGCTCTTGTCTTTGTCTTTGGTATGGCCATTTTTGGAGGTCTCAAGTTCCAACAAGGTGTTACCAGAGAAAACGTCGCTGACATCAAGCTCATCGACTTCAAGGACTCCGGATATGTTGGTCCTATGTTCCTTTACATCTTCTACGGTGTCTACGATTCCATGTACCAATCCTACATCTTGTGGTGTCTTGGTGCCATGAGTAACAATGCTCAGACAGTTGCCTTGTACGCTGGTTTCTACAAGGGTATTCAATCTGCCGGTGCTGCTGTTGCTTGGAGAACCGATGCCATTGCCATCCCATTCATTGACATGTTCATTTCCTCTTGGGCCTTGCCAGTCGGTTCCTTGTTTGTTGCCATCCCATTGATCTTCTTCAAGATCACCGACCACACTGAAGCTTCTCAAGATGGTCTTGTCGACTCTGAAGTCCATGACTTGAAGTCTATCCGTAGTGGAGTTGAATCCCCAGCCATTGTTGTATAAATATATTAATAATAAATATTAGTTCATATGAAGGAAAAGAGAGAGAGAGAGAGTAATTGTAATACAAATGAAACAAGAGATCAGCTTCTCATATATATATATATATTTTTTATACCTTATTTATGAAGTGTGGCATCGAGGTGCATGGTAATGTGTATTATACACGATCTGTATACAAGATGGTTCCATATAGCCCCACGTTACCCACAGGAATAAACCGCACACACCGGATCGCAATTCCTTATTGCGGTATGGGTTACATGATCTAACTTTAATCCCCCAGTGTCTGCTAAGAGACATTCAATATTGGCGCCCAAAACCATTCTAAACTTCAATCTTATTTTATTTCCCCATGACATTGGCATTTGTACCGGGAGAGGTCAACGCCCATCCGTATAGTCTTGCCCAAACTGTATGGAAGAATCATCACATAGTCGTGTATTGTTCTGGAAACAATCTCGTGATTTCCACCACGTCGACTCCGAAGAAATTTGGTCAAAGGGTACATTCCAAACGACAGAAAAACCTCCAGACGGTGTACTTGGATAGAGACGCCATCGCTGTCGATATTAACTCGAAGAATGCGTTTGTTTCCGTCTCAATTGGCGAACAGATCCACATCTTTAGACCAGACAGTGAATATCTGCAAAAGCCCCATTGGTCTCAAAGTCATATCTTTTCCGCTGACGGGGTTGTAAATTGCTTACAATGGGCCGACTCTAATGATGAGCTAGTGGTGGCCACTAATGATCTGTTGGTGCTTTATCATGTCTACGATGAATACGGAGAAACAGTTGCAACCACTAGATGGAGCTCACCCCAGCCCAACAGCATCACCCACGTCAGAATTACTCGTAATGGTTCTAAAATCATCACAAGAGACAATTATGATCGTTTGGCGAAGCTATGGACCCGTGCAAGCTACGGAGACACCACGTCACTCTTTGTGTTGACATATGTGGAACACCCACAATCCACATTCGTGGTGGACTTCCGATGGAAATGTACCGAAACTCATACCCATGGCATGGATTTGACATCTATGGCCAATATCAAAAACATGAGAGGGTTCTTGGAGAATGACAGCGATAATGATATCCTCTATACTCTTACAAATGATGGGATTCTTAGGGCTTGGTCCACCGATACCAGTGGTCATAATCGTATCAGACTATGCGGAGAATTGAATATACGTCAGAATCTTTCAAGTGAAAATCTCTTGTTTAGTTCTCTTATCATCATTGACAATTGTCATCTTCATAAATATGTCAACGACAATCTTTTATCCAAAATCAATCGTGCCAACGTTGAGGGGCTAGAGCTTGTGTTGGCCACGTCAACTTCAGGACAAGTTTTCATCTATTCCATCGACACCCTGTCCCCCGGGAGACCCAACTCTATACAATTCCTTCGGTTGAACACCCTGCAACCAGTATTTTTCAATGATCATTGTTATCCACTTGGGAACTTACCAGAGGAAATGCCACAAGAATTAACGGAACAATCTATTCAATCAGTTGACTTTATCAGCAAGTTTGTCACCCCTATTATCATCCCTGATATTCAATGTGTCGAGTTTGAAGAAAGTTTGGGCACACCACAACTCTCCATTCTAGTACATGACCGAATCAAACATACCATCAGAGTGGATTACTTGGATTTAGAAGCATTCTCCAGGGCAATCGACACTTCATCCCGTTTAGGAACAAAATTGATGGACAAATTTTCAGGTCATACAAAGGCAATACATAGGTTGAGGAAGTCAACTTCTTCCAAAAGACACAATACTGTATTGATATCCATCCTGGATTTCCCCGATCAAAACTATATATGGGAACCATTGATTTTGAATGAGGGAACTAATCGAAGTATGACTTTAGCCAAGAGATTTAGAATTGAAGTACCATCTAGCGAGGAAGGTGTTTCAAACCACTCAATCGAGGGGATTTGGGATGCAGTGATCATTAATGACATTGAACTCTTTTCTGATGATTTCCCTCCTTCTTGTAGACATCATTTGGTACCAGTTATTGAAAAAAATGGATATATCTCACTTTGGGATTGTAATGGTACTGTTATGGACGATCAACCTGCACATCTTCTAACTCGGTCCAGAATTGAAGATAATCATGGACATTATTTGAGACAACGTCCAAAGGCCTTTGTTCTTTCAGAAATTGAAACCACTCCTCAAAAAAGGAGTTATTGTGCAATTGCCATTTTCGAACGTGATTTGATCAGAGCTTGGAAAGTTAGCATTGAATATGTTGATCAAAAAGTTGAGAAGATTGAAATGACATCATTTGCGATCAGCACTCTTCCACAAGAAGAAGAAATACATGCCATTGAGATGGTTGATCTGTATGCTTCAGAAAAGAATGTTATCACTGTGATTGATGTGGCTGGGATATTGAGAATCTTTGCTGTATCATTTAAAGATGATACTTGTGAATGGGTTGAAACTAAATTGATTCACACGAACATTAAGAACGCCAGTAGATTACATGGTGCTACAATTATAAACAAAATGGCCATTGTAGATGAGAGTGGACTAAACATGTCCATTTGGGATACCAAGAGCGGAGTGTTAGAATATGAAGAGACTTTTGAAGAGACAGTCTTGGATATTGATTGGACTAAAGTGGATGGTAAGGACTTATCACTGACGTCATCATTTGCCATTCTCTCAGTTGGATTTGCCAGACATGTACTCTTATTTACCCAGCTTCGTTACGATTATACAAACAAGATGCCAACATTCGGAGTTATTAAGAAATTAGATATTTCAGATTACACTGCTCATGAGATTGGAGATCTGATTTGGGTCAATAATTCATATCTTGTGATTGCAAGTGGTAACCAATTTTTCATTGATGATCGATGGATCCAAGTTGGAACATCCAGTAATAGATTTATTGACAGTACTATACGTCAATTAGTTGGTGAAAACTCGAACGAAGAGTCCATAGAAATTACCATATCTAACTTGGTTCGGATATTAAATGGTCCCTTACCAGTTTATCACCCTCAATTTCTCATTCAATCATTATTTTGGAATAAGATTCAACTTGTTAAAGATATTTTGGTTCGTCTTTTGAAAGTTATTCGTCTTGGAGGAGTTATTGAATGGGATCTTGAAATGAATTTGGGTAATGTTGTTCTTGAAAGTCCACATTTGGACGGCAGTGTTGCTGATAGTGGCGTACAAACACCTCAAAGTAATGGTGGAACAGGTAGAGCATCTTCTTCGACTCTTTTTGAAGATAATGCATTCAACTCGACTATTCAAACCTTTTTCGAATTCAATCTGGAATTAGCTACAGCTCTTACAGAAAAACTTACCAAAATATCACTTCCATTTATCACCAGACATCAACAAATCACTCTTTTATCAGTGATATCAATTGTACTGGAAATTGATAAATATTCAGCTACATTGGATGGCAATGGGATAAGGTTCCTTATTGGGTTTAAACTTTTCCAAATGTCAAGTAAACAAACACATTTGACCATGAGAGATATCAATTGGGCTTTACATAGTGACAACAAAGAGGTGATCATGTCCATTGTGGAGGAACATTACAAACTTCGGATAGAATGGAGATCGGTGAGAGAGTCGGGACTTGCCTATTGGGTTGATGAGCCACTGAAGCTTGCAAATTACGTGGAGAAATGTGCTAGGAATGAGTTTGCCAATACGAGAGACCCTTCAGGATTAATTTCTATATTTTATCTTGCATTACGAAAGAAAAATGTTTTGATTGGACTTTGGAAGTCTGTAACTCATCAAGATCAACAGAAAATGCTCAAATTTTTGAACAATGACTTTACAGAAAAGAGATGGAGGACTGCAGCATTGAAGAATGCCTTTGTACTTATGAGTAAACATAGATATTTGGATGCGGCATCATTTTTTCTTCTAGCTGATTCTTTGAAAGATTGTTGTAATGTTCTTGCCAATAAGGTCAATGATATGAATTTAGTACTCGCAGTAACCAAAGTTTATGAATATTCCAAAACTAAAAGTACTCCAGATACAACTATTTCCAATATGGCCTATATATTGGAGTCATTTATATTACCAGATGCATTACAAAAGGGAGATCGATGGACTACAAGTTGGATTTTATGGGAAATGAAAAAGAATGAGCTCGCCATAAAGGCATTGATCGAGTCACCAATTGCAGTGGTGAAGCAAAATAGAACGGTATTCTCCGAATCTTGTATTAAAAACAACATTGAGGATGTGAAACTTCATGCTTCATCGAAACTTTTCCTTAAGGATGATCCAGTGTTGATGATTTTGTTCAACAATTTGAGACAAAGGAATGTCAAGTTTCTTCATGGAGCCTTACAAGTCAGTCCTATCGAGGAATACAATTTTGTGGTTAAAGTATGTTTAATTTATACACGTATGGGATGTGACTACTTAGCTTTATCGGTACTTCGGAACTGGGTGTTTGTTCAATACGACACCAAGGAAAAGGATACCGTCAGATGGTCTATGAAGGATAATATTCAAGATGAGAGCCGCGACACTAATGTTCCATCTGTTTTAGCTACTGGATATACAGATGGAGGACGGGCCAATGGGTTTGGTACAGATAGTGGAGTACGTACCAAGGCTCAACAACCTCCGCCAGCGGTGGTATTTGAAGAGCCTGACATGAGTTCCTTTGACTTTGGGTTTTAGAATACTTGAGAAACCGTACTAGACAGTAAAATAGTGTTTATCACCGTAACTATGGGCAGCCAAGCCTCAATAATCGATGATATCAACACGACAAGGAAAAACACAGCTAATTTGGAAATGGTAAGACCACGAACGACACCATAAAGCATCGAGTTCCAAAATGCAATTGCAACATGAATGATCTCGTAAGTTTCCACTTCAAGCTCCAGGGACTCAAATATCCTTGAGGTGACATATTTCAAGGGGTATGTATCTATAAATAGCAGAATAATCAAACGATCAAATTCATCTACAGAAACTGGTCGTACATACACAAGCTTAAAGGTTGGGAAATATGTGTAACTGAGACCTGTAGACCCTCCAACTAGGCTATGTTCTACCGCGTGCCGGCACTCATTGTCAAGGTTGCAGAACTCAAGCGGCAGTAGAATTACATGGAAATTTTGTTTGAATGAATCAAGTGTGGAGGGATTTATGACGAAGGGGAAGCATAGAACCACAAGGAGGGGCATCAGATAAATGAAAACCACCCGGGAAATTCCAACTATATCTTTGAAAGGCATTGAATTACAACAATTGAGCGAAAATATCTTATGAACTAGCGTAATTGAATAGCAAAGTATATATACAAAAGAAATTGCTTTAAGAAGAGAGTCTAAATAAATGATCCCCTTATCAAAAAAAAAGAAACAAAAACCCTACCCGGGACTCGAACCCGGAGTCTTCCACTTAGGAGGCGGATGCCTTAACCGTTTGGCCAGCAGGGCCAATTCATTTTTTTTTTTCAAAAATTCACATCAGACGCACAAAAATGATGTAAAATGACGTCATTTTGCGCCAATTTTACGATTTTATGCATATGATTTTATTGTGTTGATTGTGGCGAATTTTACGATGAAAAGAAAGAGGGTCCCTTATAAACTCTCTTGACTGCTAATATGATAGTAAAGGATAGAAGTTTGTAGGTCTCATATATAGAGATATGGTTTTGTATAATAACCTACTGATAAGCTCGTAAATGGGTCGAAATATATTCGCCTCTTCCATTTGTGAATCTGTAGTTGCGTGGAATGCTTGCGAAGTTTAATGTTTAACTTACGAATTCATCCTAGAGTGGAATTTGATACCTTTCCATAGTTTTGGAGGATATTAGGAAAGTAAGAAAAGTATTAGTTTTCGGAATGTATACTGTTAAAAGTAAAACCTTAACAGATTGATAGAATAAATTCCCAAATTGAATTGAGTGCTCCTCGTTGGAATGACAAAAATATTTTAATGCAATTCCAAGCCTGCCTAATTCTTTATCATTTAGAGCAACATCCAGAACCGTAGAGATTTTATAAGCCCACCCCCCTGAATCTGAAGATACCCTCTCTACATGAAAGAAAAGCAATATCTATACCCAATTGAGACATGTAATGAAGTGCCTTCCGTTCATTGAGTGTCGTTCAAGGCTTGGACAACAAACAGTTGGGTTTACTCCGCTTCTTTTGCATTGTACATCAAAACAGGGTCTCGTAGATGGTACCCGAGGAGTTGAACCCCTCTAGAAGAACAATAGCATTTGTGGTGGATTGCACGTTGCCTCTAGTGGGTCCATCTTGGCGAGTGGCTCTCAGTTTATATTGAGGCAGTCCTATAGGCCAAAAAAAAGAAAAAAAATAAACGTTGAAGTATGGACTCCGCCTCTTTCCTCAATAATGATAGTGGAGTATAATCGCATATTGTGTTTATGGAACCGATAAGATATTTCTCTGCCAAGTTGTTCTTTCTCTGCATGCAGTCAAGATGAAAATTCTTGGGTTCACTCGATATACTGAGTTTTTCGCCCGTCGCGCCCTAGCGCCCAAACTAGAAAATGGGCAGTACCAAAAAAAAAAAAGGAAAATGACGGTCCGCCTCCAATTTGACAGCTCCATCCAATGATTGCCAAGACTGATAATATTGTGGGAAGCATAAACAATGGACAAATTCGAGAGTGTGAATTAAATATCTTCCCCAACATATGAGAAAGAGAACCTCTTAGTTGGAGATTGGGATGTAGCGGTTTAATATTGATGTTGTGAATAAATTGAGATCCCGTGCGGTATCTGCTTCGTCCGCGTCCGCGCGGGTAACTGCGAACTATTACACAGTGTGGTAATGACTCTGGACTTATCCTGGTGTCATTGTAATCTTTCATTTTACTCCAGTTCAGAGATTTTTTTCTTGGCAAGCAAGAATACTATGCACGGCCACAGAAATATTGCTTGTGTACAGTACCTCCCACCTGTCAAGCTTAACTCCTCTGAAGCACAGAAAAAAATCATACGGACTTAATACCAAAGTGTAGTAATTGAATAAACCAATTTCAACTAAATATCAATACAATATACAAAGTAGAAATCCCCCCCTGTAGCTGTTCTAGCCATCACTTGCTAATCAACCCGGTTTCGCTTCTGTATGCATTCCGATAACGCCGTTTGACCCTGGGATGCTTGAACTTACACAAATGATTGGAACACGACTGGTTTCACAGGTACGGCTCATACACAGCCCCGATTCATAAAAAAAAAAAAACTACTGGGCGAGGAGGCACAATATATAGGAAGTATAGTGACCATTAGTTACATTTGCAATCAATTGGGATTACTAGTAGAGAACATTGCCATCCGTTGGTTTCTTTTTTTTTTTTCCAACCTGTCGTCACCATCGTACTGTACAAAATCTATACCGACTCGTCATTCTATCGGCGCAGCAACCCTAGTCGCTGCTTAAACCGTTTGCACCCCTTATAATACAAGCAGGGAAGCTAATCTTTGCAAGAAAACGGACCCTGAAAAACCTGTCAAATCATCGATAATGTCTGACACGTTACAAATCCCAACCATTAAACGAGAACATAGTTCCAATAGTGTGTCCAGTATATCTGACCGCAGTAGTATTTCATCCACATCACCGTTAACCTCCGAGGGTGATTTCCAGCTCACAGTGCAAGACTTGACCGAGCTCCATGACCCAAAGTCTTTAAAGAAACTTTATTCCTTAGGAGGCATCAAACTGTTGCTTACCCATTTGAAAACAGACGCCAAGCATGGGATCATATCACAATCAGACAAGGACGAAAGAATAGACGCATTTGGCGCCAATGTTCTTCCAGTAAAGTCACAAAAATCCTTTTTCAGGTTATGTTTTGAAGCCTTGAAAGATAAAGTCTTGATCATGTTGAGTGTGGCAGCCGTTGTGTCATTGGCCTTGGGTCTTTATGAAACTTTTGGTCAAGGCACTGAATATGATGATGAAGGGAAGGCATTACCCAAAGTTGATTGGGTTGAAGGTGTGGCCATTATTGTTGCTGTTCTCATTGTGGTTCTCGTTGGTGCCGCCAATGATTACCAAAAGGAACGTCAATTTGCCAAATTAAACGCCAAAAAGGAAGACCGTGAACTTATCGTCATACGAGATGGTGCCCAAAAGATGATTTCTATTCATGATTTACTTGTTGGTGACATTCTCAACTTACAAACCGGTGAAATAGTTCCTGCTGACCTGGTTTTACTTTCTGGGGAAGTTGAATGTGATGAATCGGCCTTGACTGGTGAAAGTGATACCATCAAGAAGAAACCTGCTAAAACTTGTTTATCCATTTATGAATCACATCTCCCAACCGATGAAGACATTGGAAGTTTGAAAATTAAGTTCCGTGATCCATTTTTGATCTCCGGAAGTAAAGTTTTGGCTGGTTTGGGTGATGCTGTGGTTACTGCAGTTGGTCCTAATTCCATCCATGGTAGAACCATGTTACTGCTTCGTCATGATGCCGAAACAACCCCACTTCAAGAACGTTTGGATAACTTGGCCGAAGGTATTTCCAAGTATGGTTTATTAGCTGCTCTTATTCTTTTCATTGTCTTATTTATTAGATTTTGTGTCAATTTGGGACCAAATGGTAATTATGTTGACTTGATAGGTGCTGAAAAGGGTAAAAGGTTTTTAGACATCTTGATTACTGCCATCACTATCGTTGTGGTTGCCGTTCCAGAAGGTTTACCCTTGGCTGTGACATTAGCATTGGCATTTGCCACCACTAGAATGGCTCAAAATGGTAATTTGGTCAGAGTTCTTAAATCATGTGAAACCATGGGTGGGGCTACCGCTATTTGCTCGGATAAAACAGGAACTTTGACTATGAATAAAATGAGAATCGTCAAGGGTTTGTTTGCTGAAGACATTGAGTTTGATGACACTGTTGGTGGTCATGGTCCTAAATTTGATGATAGTTTAAGATCTAAAATTTCTGAAGATCTTAAAATCTATTTATGTACCAACATCACTTTGAATAGTACTGCCTTTGCTAATGGTGGATTTGACGAAGCCGATGCTGAAGCCATCGCTGCTCAACAAGCTGCCATGCCAAAACCATCATTTTTCAAAAGAATTCTTTCTTCTAAATCTGCTGAAGAAGAACGTCTTAAGCAAAATTTTGATCTTTTACAAAAGGGTGAACCATATTTGGGTAATAAGACTGAACTGGCTCTTCTTATCATTGCACAAGAAAAGTTTGGACTTTTTGAAAACCAATCATTAGATGACATCCGTAGTGGTGCCAGTAAAGATATTGTTCAAGTAATTCCATTTGAAAGTTCACGTAAATGGGCCGGTGTTGTGGTGAAGATTGAAAATGGTTATCGTCTTTATGTCAAGGGTGCTGCCGAAATTGTGTTCAAAAAATGTGGTTACCAATTCTCTGGAAACAATGTTGTTGAATTGGATGATCGTAACAAGAGAGAAGCTGTTCTCACCAAGATTGATGAGTATGCCAATGATGCATTGCGGGCAATTGCTTTGGCTCACAAGGATTATGTTGGAGACTCTGCTTGGCCACCAAGGGAAATTGTCGATGAAAAGACCTTGGGACATCATCATCCATCTGCTGACCCAGATAGAATTTGGGCAGTTGAAGATAAACTGTTCACTTTGGATGGATTGGTTGGTTTACAAGATCCATTGAAGGAAGGTGTTCCAGAGGCTGTGCTCAAGTGTAAGCAAGCCGGTGTTACCGTCAGAATGGTTACTGGTGACAATTTGATCACAGCCAAGGCCATTTCTAAAGGTTGTCATATTTTAACTCCAGATGATCTTTCCAACGAGTATGCATTCATGGAAGGTCCTACTTTCCGTAAGTTGCTGGATACAGATAGAAAGGCCATTGCCCCACAATTGAAGGTTTTGGCCAGATCCTCGCCCGATGATAAACGTTTACTTGTTCAAACATTGCGTGAGGCCGGCGACGTTGTCGCTGTTACAGGTGATGGTACCAACGATGCACCAGCATTGAAATTGGCCGATGTTGGGTTTTCCATGGGTATTGCTGGTACTGAAGTTGCTAGAGAAGCTTCAGATATCATCTTGATGACTGATGATTTCACCGACATTGTACAAGCGATTAAATGGGGTCGTACTGTTTCAACCTCGATCAAGAAATTTATTCAATTCCAAATCACCGTTAACATCACTGCTTGTGTTTTGACCTTTGTTTCTGCCGTGGCTTCCTCTGAGGGTAAATCTGTCTTGACTGCTGTGCAATTGCTTTGGGTGAATTTGATCATGGATACTTTGGCTGCATTGGCCTTGGCCACTGATAAACCAGATGATCTGCTTTTGAATAGAAAACCCAATGGAAGACATACACCATTGATTTCTGTTTCCATGTGGAAGATGATTCTTGGACAATCCATTACCCAATTGATTGTTACATTTGTATTGCATTTCTGTGGCCAACAAATCTTTTTCGGTAAGGGTTCAATTATCGACAACCATCAACAATTGCAACTTGATGCTATGACATTCAACACTTTTGTTTGGTTACAATTCTGGAAGTTGGTCGTTACCAGAAAACTTGATGAAGCTGATGGAATCAGTAAGGTTCGTGATAGAATCACCGCTGATAATTTGAATTTCTTTCAACATTTGTTCCGTAATTGGTACTTTTTGGCAATTGCTGCAATCATTGGTGGATTCCAAGTTTTGATTATGTTTGTTGGTGGTGCTGCCTTCAGTGTCACTGGCCAAAACCCTGCGATGTGGGGCACTGCCATTGTTTGTGGGTTCCTTTCCATCCCAGTCGGGGTATTGATTAGAATCTGTCCTGATGAATGGGTCTTGGCTATTTTCCCATCCCGTGCTTTCAAAGCGTTTATCTATGCACTTCTGTTCAAATGGATGAGAAAGGGGAAGAATGACAAGGACTTGGAGGCTGCCAAGGAAGGAGAAACTTTGGAAAAGGCCTGAACTTCATTTTAGCATTTTATTATTATTATTATTATTATTATTATTATTATTATTATTATTACTCGCATAGAGTTCATGTACTTATATATATATATATATATATATATAAATCAACATACTTTAGATACCGACAATGTACATGCGGCGGCAACCGCGGCCACAGCGGGGCGTGGCGGAATAAAATCAGACCTAATCGTTTTATTATTTTTTTTGGCTTTGATCCGTTCGCTTGGCGGTAAGTTATTTATAGCCCGAGTGTGGGATTTTAACTTTATCGGGTGGCAGTGCATCCAGACTTTCACGGTGCTTAATGAGCTAGTGGCTTCTTACCGGTGACTAAAAGGTGTTTATTCTCTATGTACATCAGGGGGGGAGCAAAGGTTCCAGCCAAGCGCCGTGGCCAACACAATGTGAATGCAAGAAAAAAAAAAAATACCACCTTTTTCATCAAAATGGGAGAAAAACTGAAACGAAACCATCGGTTCGGTCCGACCCTTACCGATAACGTAGATTTTATAGATATGTATTATTTGTAGTCTCTTTGTGTCTTTTTAATAATTATTATTTCTTTCTCATACTTAGGTACCGCTCCTTGTCGGCCAATATTCTTGAAATGAACCGTTTATACACTGCATGGAAAGGTGTTCCCTGGAATAATGGCAACATGGACGATAAACTGTCGATGTTGCCAATTAATTCAGAATTAATTTGGGAGAAATCTTGATCAGCCAATTCTTGCCTTATGGATTCCTGGAGCATATCCATTGATTCTGTGAATTGGTCGAGGGTGGTGGCCCTGTAGATGGTTGTAGACGTGGCTTGTTGATGATCCAGTTGAGCTGACATATCAAGAAGAGTATTGATCCGCTCAAATACTTCAAGAACCTGTCCCAAACGTTGTTTCACTTGCTTTAACAGCGTGAGTTTTTCTACGGGTCCATCTGGATCTGAGGCTAAGGAAGCCTTTTCTTGTGCTGCGGGAACTACTCCCAGGACTTCTTGTTGTAAGGAAACCACCGCATTGGTTAAGGACTTGATATAAAATTGAAGTCTAGTGATTTCAACTTGATCATATGAAAGTCCTGAAGAAACAATAGTAGATGTATCCTTGAGCTTTTCAATGTTGCCCGACAATTCCGACGAAAGTTCATTGGTATAGAAATCAAGATGACTAACAAGGGTAGAACATCTACTTTGTAATTTATGGAGATTTTTCTCATTGTAAACCAGAGACGGTAAGGATGTGGATTGGGCTGCCAAAACCGAATTGAACACGGCGTCTACATAACTGGCGGGGTCAAAGTCCTCATCTAGGAACATGGCAAGAGTTTCTGACATGATGGAAAAATAAATTTCTTAAGCAACAGCGTAGATGTAGTAGTGGTTGGTAATGTGTTCTCTTGTAGTTGTTTATGTGATTTCTGGTCTTTTCAATAATTTTTTGGTGTTCTCACTTTTTTTGGGGTACACACCAAATCTCAAGTACACATTTTATAGAGGTAGAGGATTGGTAAAATATATACATATTATGGACAGAATAATCATCCAAGACTCCTTCCAGGAGGTTATAGAAGACGTTTATAATGGGGTCAATGACTCAGATTCGTTCTGGGTTTCTAGAATCGTCCCTGGAGTAGAAACTTCACAAGAGTTCCGAATCAATGTCAATGATGAGAGCAACCAGTTCCATGGTGATAATGGAGTTCAATTTAATCAGATTTCACCAGATAAATATGAATTGAAAGTGGATCAAGATAATGAATATCTTCTTCAAACTCCATTTAGTAGATTCTCTAAAAATTTACTTGACATAACTGCAGTGGCATTGTCTCCCGATGGGAAACTTGTGGCCATTGGACATTCAAATGGAAGGTTAAAAGTGATGGATACCTGGACCGAAAAAGTCGTCCTTTCAATAGAACAAGCTCATTTTGCAGATATCACCAGCTTAAAGTTTTTCTCCTCTGGTAAGGTGATTTGCTCCGGTTCCATAGATATGCAAATAAAGCTTTGGTCGGTGGAGAAAGGGACTAATCCGAGAAGTATGGTGGGCCACACCCTGGCGGTAACACAACTCATCTTACTTGGCTCCACCGGTCGGAATTTCTTGAGTAGTTCCACCGATGGGTCTGTTAGACTCTGGGAATGTGGTAGTGGATCCAATATCCATACATTCCGTCGTGTTGTTGATATGAATGATGAAGCATTGTCAATGTCAATTACCAAAAGAGAAACTTCAACTACTACTACTACTACTACTACCAATTCTTCGAAAGAGCTCCAATTTGAAACCAAGGGTTATTATGTCTATGTTGGTTACTCGTCTGGAAATATCCAACAATATGATGTTGATGATCTTCTGCAAACAAAAGTCAAGTTCCCCAGTATAAATGGCTCCTCGGTGACATCTCTAGATGTAATTACCTTGGAAGAGGACTTGGTAATTGCTGGATATCTGGATGGAATATTAAGAATATGGAGAGATAATAAAGTTTGGTTTGAATTGAGAGTTGATGGAGAGGATCAAGAAATTACGAAAATACACTCCTCTCTATGCCAATCGACAAACTCATTAAAAGTCTTGGTTTGTCATGGAGATTTGATCAAATTAAATATAAATCTTCAACTGGGTGAATTGATAGGTGTTGAATATCTCGTTGGCATGGAACAAATCAAAGACATTGATTTAAAGAGTAAAGTGTTGATGGCGGGGGGTCACGAGGGAGTCATTAAATACATAAACTAGAACTTTACATCTAAATATGAATAATACTACAATTCTTGTGGGTCTACACTCTCTCTTCATGTTTACTTAAAAATTTTTATTTTATTTCTTATCGTCTTAATTCATAAACTAATGGTAATCTACAACTTTGGTCTTGGGTCAGCAGCCTTGAAAACACTTTCAATGGCGGTGGCCTTCATCATGTTACCCTTGACCTTCAACTTACCGTTCATAAACAACTTTTGACCGTTGGCCTTACCGTTGGCCAACTTGACAAAGTCAGCATCCTTCAAAATCAATTGAACGTCAGACTTTGGAACACCGTCAACCTTCTTGATGGAGGCATCGTTCTTGAAGTCCAACAACCACGATTGTTCCTTACCGCCCTTGTTCTTCAAGGTGATGACAAGAACAGCCTTGACATCCTTGATGGCCTTTTGGGCGAGCTTGTCGTCCTTGAGGGCTTCTTGTAAAGTTTCAAACAATTGGGAAGCGTTGAATCCGTCAGCAGATACAGACATTTTTATTGGTGTTAAATAGATATGGGATTATAAATAAAGTATAAACGTGAGAACGTAACTATGGAGGGAAAAAATTTATTATTACTTTGAGTATTTGGCCATATATATATGTATTTGAATTGAAATCCACAGAAGTGGAAGTTCCCCAACTTTCATGTGACGGACCTCGGTGCGATTTTTATCGCACATGACTCCGGACGGGTTCTGTCATATGCCACCAAAAGAGGGGCGGATTGTAAACGATATGTAGGTCTAGGTAGAGGGTCTTACATGCTACTTGGTGGATGGGAACTACAGGAAGAAGTCGTTATTAGAGTGTCTAATATGAAATGGATATATAAACTCTCTAGGTTTAAGCGATATATTCTGTCTTCCTCCCCCCCGATATTGCTTTACCCTTAGTTCCGGGATAGACTTGAAGTTTTTTTTTTTTTTTCTCTTATTTTTTTGCTCTCTTCTTTTTTAGTAATTATTTTTTTTTGCTTTTGAAAAACTAATTATTTTTTTTGCCGCTTCTGCCAGTGAATATCCCAAAGATTTTGAAAGATCAACAAAAACACCACACTCTAAGATCTTTAGGTAAGTGGTTGAATCATATGCTGAAAAAATAAAAAAAGCAAACTTGAATCAATTGAACGTGCGTGGTATTAATGCAAGTAATCTTTATTTTACCCCATAGTATGGACTGCATGTAGTGCGGTTTTTTCAATTCTTGTGACAATTTTCAATTTTAATTCCGAGGTGTTCTTCCCTATGGGGAAAATCAAATTTAGTGCTTGGTACAGAGCAATAAACCATCAAGAAATAAATGTACCGCGGATATGTCCACCAAAAATGCAAAGAAAATAAAGATATCATTGAATTGAAGAGGAGGAGGAGGAGGAGGAGGAGGAGGAGGAGGAGGAGGACATCTGACTAAATTTCCCAAACGATTACAATCTTATGCTATTGATGCAAATAGGTCTTTAAAAAATATATATAAGGTCATAAGTTTGAATCACATGATCTTAGTCACGCGCTAATATCATGTGACTTCCTTCATTTTTCCCAACTTTTACTTACCTGCAGTCCTTCCATCAATGATATATCTCATCGCATGGGTTTTGAAACTTTTAATGATGAACGATATCAATTGAAACAAATCAATAATATATCTAAAAATCATGTCATTTGATTCTGCAACTTCACAGTCCCAGGCCAAATCCACTGTGAACAAGCTTTTGGCAAATTTCCTTCCAGGAGCCGCCATAGCATCCACCACAGTGGTACCTACCAAACCAACGGCAAAGGCACAAACTGTTGCTAAAGAATTATCAAAGAAAAGTAACCCAGAAGAATTAAAACGTATAGCCAAGAAGCAGAAGTTAGCACAAAGAAAAAAGATACTAAAGAACTCTGAAACAACCAAAAAATTCAACAAACTTGCCAAGTACAATAGCATCAAGGCCCATAAAGAGTCTGGAAACATAACACCACAAGAAGAGAAATATTTGAGTAAATTGGTTAGAAAGAACATATCAGCTGTAAACTCGCTTTCAGAGATTGATGACCCAGAACTCAAACAAGAGTTATCTGAAGTTAAAAAGGACATTTTGTCGATCTATGCCCCAGTAAAGAAATCAAAGAAACAATCATCCAAGCAAAAGGATTTCAACACAAAGATCCAAAAGGGTTACATTTCCTACCCTGGCTTGACGCCAGGTTTGGCTCCTGTAGACTACAACGAGTCCGACTCCGAGTAGAAGTCATACTTATAGATATAGAAGGAATATAAAGATAAGGTACATTCATATATTATGTAAGCTTGTAGATACAAATATAAAGATTCTAGAATCTTTTAAAGAGATTGTTGTTTCATTCTTTTGTTGTGTTGAAGACCACTGTGTTGGACTGGGTGGTTGGTCTTATCAGATTCAGTGTGCTAGTGTTGGAGGAGATTCTGTTAAGAAGCACGTTGAAGAATGCAATTATTTCATACAAGCCTTTTAAAAGAATTTTATTTGTAAATTTATCTACATTTAACAGGAAATTCTATTCTCCAATCTTCTTCACTTTAATTTATCTATTAGTCTATTAGTCTATTTAGTAAGCTCATATGAGATTTGTCTGGCCAAGTTTCTAACACTTCTCTTTTTATCATCCAAAGCCTTGACAAGTTTCAAAGAAGTGGTCTTATGATAAGGTACCAAATTATTGGCATCCACGTTTTGGAATGTCAATAACAAACACTTCAAACTAAGTCTTCTAATTTCTTCAGTGTTGACCGAGTCTGGACTAGTACTCAACTTTATTAAACTTGGAATCAAGGTTTGAAGATGTGGAGACATAACTTCCGATGAATCGGTTAATATAATTTGGCACGTTTCAAGCGAAGATTTCAAAATTATGGTGTTCCGGATGGAGAAACTGGTGAGAATCAATGGAGCCACTACTTCAACATGTGGCTTCAATACCGATGTTGGAATGTTACTCAAAAAGCTTGATAATGCAACTAAAAAGCTTTCCTTCGACTGCATATTGGCCGCTTTCTGGAACCCTTCAAGTAAGATTGGTAAGGCACTGTCAAAGATTCTTTGCTTGTATAACATACGAACGTTGTAACATTGAACCCCTGAAATAAGTTTATTGGAAGAAATTGATTTCAAGGATGATGTTGTCGTTACTGGTGCGGTAAACACTGGGATATCGGCCATTATAACTGCCAATGATTTCGAAATAAGTTTACTAACATGATCATTTGGACATGATAAAAGGAAAACAATTTTAGTAAAGTATTCTAATCCAATCTTATTGGATTTAAGAATCAAACCTTTGATGGTCCAAATAAAAGTTTCAAAAGATTCAATGAAAGTCTCATCTGTAGAAGTAGATTCTTGCTCAAGTTTGGAATAAGTTTGAGCCAAAAATTCTTCTTCAATAAATAAAACATCTTCCTTATCATTGGTGAATTTATTAACCAATAATGCCAAGAGTTGTAAGTACCCCAATCTAACGTATGTTGAGGTGGAGGCGTTTTCAGCCAATCCTGCCACCTGTTTAAGAAGTGTGTGCACGGTTAATTCTCCGCTCAAGGCACTTGAAAGTGTAACGACTTTAAAGTCTAAACTAGATAACACTTTATCGAACAAGTTCACCAAGACACTTGGTTGGGAAAGAATAGAAGTGTTGGTTGAAGAGCTATTAGATTCAACAAATGTCGACTTGTTTTCCAAAAAGATCCCGGTAAAGTCCTGTAAGATAATTTGATGTTGAGCACGATCGATGTACTTGATAATAAGTGCCAATAAATCACCAGAAAGTTCCACAATATTTTCATCTTGTAATTTTAACACATATCCAAGGAATCGAGGCACAAAGTTCTTATACCAAGAGTTGGTTAAGAATTGCAGAGTCATCTCAGTCTTTGTCACTGCATCGATCAACAAACGAACAGTAACGATAAAGTGTTCCTTCTTCCCAGAATTGGAGTATTCCGACAATCTATTGAGAAGACGGATAGATAAAATTTCCAAGAATTGATAATTGACACATAATTGACCAATCAATTGTAAAACCTTGGTGAAGGATGATAAAGATTCATTTTCTTGAGCACTCAATGCTGCCAATAAATTAGGTAAAATTCTCTCAATAACCAATGGAACTCGGTTACTATTTTCTGACATGATGTCAGTCAATGCCTCTTTAACCTCAACTACAACGGTGTCACGCTCCCAGTTCTTGGGATCATCCTTGATGGTATCCACCAAGATATCGTTGAAGTATCCAAAGATAAGTGTACATTCCTGAGAATCCAAGAAATCTTGCAATTTGATGAGTTTTTTAAGTTGTTGGGTAGTTTTAGCCTTCAATGTCTTTTCAAGATTAGATGAAGCTTGAAGAAGTTGACCCATAAAGATCAATAAAGTGTCCTTATGAAGAATAAGATGGTTGGAGTTGACAAATTCTTGTCCAGCAATTGAAACGATATCGTTATAAGAATTCAACACAAAGCCCAAGTTATCAATAAGCTCTCTTTGTTTGGCTACAGTAAGAGTGGAATCCTCCTCTTTATCCTTGTTGTTGATATCAATTTCCATGTCAGAGTCCTTTGAAGAATTTTCCTGTGGTACTTGCCCTTCTTCCTCTTCTACTCTACTCACACCAAGATACTTACCCCAAACAGAATAGGAGAATAAGAAATCTACAATAAGATTGAATGCTTCAGGAGTACTGGTGGCAACAATAGTCACAAGTAAAACGGATTGCTTGAATACCTTATCCTTGACATTACTCAAGTTTTCCTTGAGTTCATTGGTGATGGTTTGACACATGTTCTGCAAGGCAGATCCCTTGGTATCTGGACTGACAGTTGCTGAATCAAGTTTAGTTCCCAATTCTTTAACGATTTGTAAAGTTAAATATAAAGGTTTGAAGTCATCTGTATCATCCATATCACTATAGAAATTGATGGGAAGAATAGTATCATCTTCCGGTCTAAATTTCAGAACGTCATTATGTAAGATTTCAAACTTGAGGGCATCCCAAAGAGTCACCCAGTACTCCAACACGGTTTCCGAATCGTACCGTTCAATACAGAGTTGGATAGTCTTCAAAGTATCATTTCTAACCGCAGGGTTAGTCGAAGTGAGTTTTTCTATCAAACTGGGGAACGAATCCTTAGCATAGAGTGGTTGCAGGGCAATGGCTGTACGCAATTTGGACTTCAAGTCAGTGGCCGTGATCTTGTATGGATCGTTTGCAGGAGGGGTGAAGGAAATCGGGAAGTAGCAAAAGGCTACATCAAAGAGATCGGCAAGGAATTCTTCGTGCTTGGGAGATGATTGGTCAAAAGTAACAATGGAAGCGATGAAGGCATTCAATTCAAAGGAAACAAGAAGGTTTCTTGGATCCTTTTCACCGGTAGCCACATGGATAAAGGACGACACGAACAAGTCTGCTGTAGATGGAGAATCTACGAAATCTTGTTGACAAGAAGACTTTGTTGCAATTTGTTGAAGAAGAACAAATGGTTCATATCTAATTTTGGCCAAATGAGACTTTGGGTTATATTTATCCACCACTGCTTGGAGCAAGTCGGGCAACAAGGAACGGTGGAACGTTGAAAATTGAACCAAGGTGGAAAGGGTTTGGAACACATATATGAGACAAACAGAATCATCAAATTTGGAAATCAAAAATTGAAGAAGTACTCCAACGTCTTGTCGAGAGAGCACTTGTTTCAGGGTGGTACTGGTTTGGATCTGTTTGAGGGTTTCCGCAAGACATTGAATGGCCCGAGGGCGGATCAGGTCTGAATCAGAGGTAAGATGTGGACCCAAAACTTGAATAAATTGAAGTAATGATAACTCCTTGGACTCAATTAAGTCAGCCAAAATGACTGGGTATTGACCAGGATTTGAGTCTGAATCAGAGGCCAAGAACTGGCTCACCACCACAGAGGGGACGTGTGGGGATTCAGGCATTTAGAAGTAGTAATTGTGGGGGGGAATTAGGTAAAAAGAAAAAGTGGAAAAGAGCTTAAGACTTGTAGTAAACCATGAGATTTAGGATGGCGGAATTTTGGCGATCTTACTCACTCAGATAGATTTTGATTTCGAGATAATGAAAAAAATAAAAAAAATAAAAAATGGGACGCATTAGGATTTTCCGTATCAGGTTAGGAGCGCTGGGCCGTCTAAAGAGAAACGAGAAAGGAAGAAGAAGAAAGAAAGCGAAAGAGTAAATTGGATAAGTGGAGAGTAAATATTAGGATAAGATCAATGATTTAATTGGATGAGTTGCTCATAAAATAGCTGACAATTTTAAGTATTTTCATATCTTTGGTAGATATATTTGTACTGCTGTCCTAATCACAAAAAGAATACGTATTCTCCTTGAATGGTGTGCACTCCTCTCGACTGGGCTATCTGCACTCCCTGGTAATCCTTTTTTATACAATCAATTGTTGAATGATCTAAAACTGAATCCTCTCCACCAAGACAATTACGTTGCGGGAACCTCTGTGTAGTGTGCTGACGTTCTCCCAGATAGCTACTGATCAGATCCAGGGCGTTATTGACAAGCCGAAGGACGAGAAAGTAGAAACTCCACTCCAAGAGACAACAAAACACACACATAAATCCTCGAGACGACAGTTTGTCACTAGTTGTCTTCTTCTTCTATAGAGATCATGATTGAAATTCCAGATCTAGACTCGTTGCCCGTCAACGCCACTGACCTGAAAAGGGTGTATGGTGGGCTGGGGATCCAGGAGGACGGTGATGGACCTCCGGCTCCCCCTCAACCGTCACATCAATTGTACTCTGCGTCCGGATCCACCGACGAATACATCCATGACTTGAAGGCATACCGATTTGGCGAGTCCAGCGGCTATCTCAGCGATCGTCCTCTCAGCCAGGGTGCCTCCAAGAACGTGACCAATGGTGACGTTTTAGAGCCCCCAATCGACTTCAAAAATATCGAGACTCCTCCATCGCCTGCGCTCAGCCATGGTCATTATTATAACGATTCATCGTCCTTTTTCGAAGGAGAATCGAGGTTGGCGTCGCAGGATTCGATCTCGGCGGAATACAGTGTTGCCCAAGTGGCTTCGATCCGAACACCAACCCTTGTTGAGAGTCCATTGTTGAATCTTCAACAACAGCAGGAAGCAGTCCAGAATAGTTCGCCACAACAACTGACTAATCGGGATTTACTCAAACAAGAACAGGAAATCCTTCGTGTGTATCGACAAGAACAATTGCAGAGGCAGCAGCAGCAACAACAACAACAACAACAAATCGATGATGAAGATGAAGAAATGCTCAATGTTCAAAATCAAAACTATAATCCTCAAGAGGAAGACGAATTGCAAGAGCAATTACATGATCAGCTTCAAGACTTGAACCTTCGCAGTCTGCATCAACAACCAGAACTTCAGCATGACCAATACGTACCACAACAACCTGAAGGTGAAGTGAAAACTTTGTTCCAACAGCAACCACAAGGACAAGAATTGCAACCGGGGGTAGAACTAACTAACGAAACCATTTCTGGTGACGTATCTGCCACTGGGGCCCCTATTCGTCAAGTTATATCTGTTGCAGCACCTATCAATGCCGGTTCGGCTTCCAAAGCAACCACTAGAAAAGACCTTGCTACCGACCTGAAAACACCTGCTGAATATACCCTTCATATACTTTTCACACAGTTTGTGAGACATGCCGAACGGAAACTCAATCTTTGTCTTGATTACCCTCTCAATGATGAGCCACCAATTATCGATTTGCTTGCTGAAGGGGTTGATCCACAGTTTGACCGTATTGTGGCATCGTTGGGGTACATCTCCCGTCGTAAACCAAGTCCAGTTATTGACAGTGTGATGTTTTGGAGGAAATCCAAAAGTGAAGTAGCCACCATGGCAGCACAAGAAGTAGAAAAAGTTGTACAACAGGCAAGACAATTGCCACCACCTCCGCAACCACCATACAGTGGGGGTGATTATGGTGGCTACACCCTCAATGCTGCAGCCATGAAGAATGGTGCTGGTGGTGCATCCAACGGAGCTCATGTGAATGGTAGAGCTAAACGTAGTCTCTCATTAATGAGAAATAGGAGCATTTCGAAACTAACTGGGTCACATAGAAGAAACCAATCTGCATCTCTGGTGTTAGGGCCAAAGTCATCCAATCCTACACCAATTACTTCTATCAATAATTATGACTCCAATAATGACTCTTACGATGAATACCGAAAACTGCTCGAAGGGCAGATGCATCAGGCACGTGAAACTGCCATCCAGGCCGACCGTAAGTCGTTGGCGCTGATCTACATTTTATGCCGAGTTCTCATTGAAGTGGTCAGACAAACCCCCTCGTCAGTGATGGGTGATGATTTGGGTGGGAAGTTGGAAGAGATTGTTTATACGCAACTAAAAACAACTGACCCTATCAGTACTAGTGAGTCATTGGTAAGGTCGTCCAATTGGAACTTGTTTGCTCAACTTTTGGGATTCATGAGTGAAAAGAGATTCCTAAGTGTAAGTGATCGTTTTATTGCAGACTTGGAGAAAGTGCCCGCTCATATTATCAACCAAAACGATGAACCAAGACTTCACTTGTTGATTCATGGAATGAAATATTTGAAATTGACCAATTATCCCTTGGAAAAGTTTGAAGAAAGTGCAGAATTTATGCAAAGTTTAGGGAAATTTTTCAGTAAGGCCATGAATGAATCGGTTATCTTTGCATATTGTGACGTATTGAGCAACTTGATTTTACCATTGGCGAGTGTTTTAACGGCGGAAACTAACCATCCAACGTGGGTAGAGGCCATTGAGATGATTTTCAAAAAGGGGATGAACTTATTGTCCCAAAGTTGTGGAAGTGTTGGTTCTACATCCGGTACTGGTCCTGCTTTGGTTTCTCCAGGTTCAGTTGGGGCTACTACAACATCTAATGCTTCGTTTAATGGGGACACTTCCAGTATTAATTGGACGTATTCACTTCTTCTTGTTACATCAGTGCTCTCTGTGTCGACAAAGGAACTCTTTTCACAAGAATGGTTGTCTTTAATTGAACAAAACATATTCAAACTTAAACCCAAGGTTCCAATACAAGATAAAACGACCCTTCTTGTTTGTGTTACCCGTCTTACTTGGGTTTACTTGTACAGACTCCCGGACTCACTCAACAATACAATCAAAAAACTCGATTCGCTTTTCCTTTCCCTCTTCTTTGGGCCCAATGCAAATAGCAAGAAACAACAATGGATGACCTCCGATAAGGCCATGATTAATGCACTTATCTCCTTAATAAAAAATGTTGGGTATCAACATCTTAATTACGTTTTGGATAATGTATTACTCCGCTTGTTGAAGCTTAGTTTTGTTGGAACTTTGGAGAATTCATCTATTGAAAAATTGATACTTGTAGTGAAGGCCTACCTTGAAGTTATTCAAGGTTATGAAGCAGGCGAGAAGCCCGCATTCCCTACAGATGAAGTATTGACCTCTTTGTTGGTGGGTGGTGATGCCTTGAAAAAGGCTAAATCGAACAAGAAGAACAATATTACCGCAACGGCAGTAAAGAATACAGCAACTGTTTCGACTGACTTTATGTTCCTTGCAAAGAAACCCAACAATGCATTAACTCATGAAGAAATCTGTAAAAATTTTGCAACTTTGATCAAATTATTAGATGCTCGTTATGGGGCAGATGTCTTGTTGCCCGAGTCGTCGGCATCTGGCTCCACCACTCCATCTGTATTACCTACAAAGCTGCAAACCAATTTCTTCCATTTTGGAATTGATTTCAGTGATCAAGCTGCAAAGCAGCTGCATATGGAACTCTTTGCTACTTTAATCGAAGCGATCCCTTGGACTTTGGTCCCATTAGGGGCTGGTTCAGAAGACAGCTCAACGTCATTATCCGGCATGCCATTTAAAAACGTGGTGGAAATTTTGGCTCGTAATGCGGTCCATCCAGACTACTTAGTGGCACGAGCTGCCACGAAATCTTTACGAAACTTGGCTTCAAGGAAGAATCCAAGTTCTCTCGTCACCATTTTTGCCAAGATTGCTTTCCAATTTACTGAAAAGCCAGGAAGTTACAACTCTGTCTTTTTAAATTCTCCTGAGTTCCACCGCTTGTTGAAAATTTATGTTGACTTGTTAAATTGTTGGTTAGAACAATTCCGAGAACGTCTGAGAGGGCAAGCCTCTACCACTACGGCAACTGGGATTGGCGGAGGTGGTATTGGTCCTGAAACCCCACAAGATGATGAAATGATGAATAAAGACGTATTGAATGATTTGTATCAAATTAATTACAAAACTGATGGCATGAATATTAACCCCACTGCAAAGGCAAAAACAAGTGATGAGCTTGAGTGGAAAAATATCATAACTGTCATTGAAGAGATTGAAGGTAATGGTCTCTTTTTCTTGTGTTCTCAGGATCCTAAGACTCGTCATTTTGGTATCTTTGTGTTGAAAATTGTTGAGCAATTTGATCGGGCTATCTATGTGGCAACTGACCCGAAACTGGAGATTGTCACTCATTCAAGAAGTTCCTCCAAATTTGCCGCAGACATAGGAACTCGCTTAATCCATGTGTTGGAAGATATGGATTTCCTTGAGTTAATCAAACCTCTTAGAAACGAATTGAGTGGTCCTGAACGCTCACGATTATCTAAACTTAAACACAAAAAGCACATATTAGTTAAATTGGGAGAATCTGATTATGGTATTGACTCCACCTTATGGTTTAGACTTTTCCCAAGACTCTTGGATATATTCTTTGAAAGATGTCCCATGCCCGTTGCTATGTGCCGTTCTATCGTTTGTGTTAGAATGGTTCAAATGCATGAATACGTATTGGACTTTGCCAACACAAATAAGAATAATACTTCATCCTTATTCACTCGTGCTGCAAGTACTCAAGGTGGTCCACCGGAGGTTTTGGTTGACCAATGGAAATTATATTTAATTTTTGCTGCTTGCCTGCTTACGTCTACAAATGAACAAAAGATTTCATTCCCTAGTCAACCTACCCATGGTAGAAAGAAATCCATGCCAATGTATATTCAACATCAAAAGATTACTAGTGCAAAATCCATCTTCCGCATGGTGTTCCCACTACTTAAACTGAAACAACCAATGGTGAGAGATTCAGTAATTACAGGTTTGAGTTGTATAAATATAAACATCTTCAAGACCTTGTTGGAAAATGTCCCTGCCAGTGTGAGTGACTGGGAAGTTGAGAATATTGGTAAGAAACGGGATAACGCTGAGGATCAACTTCGAGTAGAAGTTGTTCATATTTTAAGTAATATCACCAGCAAATTCCAAGCAAACATTGAGGAAATATATGAAGATGAGTGGACTGTTGCAAACCTAGTGGCTATCATCAAGCAAGTCAAAACTTTCTTGAACCATCCTGTAGTGCAAGTTGATATTGAATTTCAAAAGCTTCGTCGTTACTTCAGTGTCTTTCTAGGTAACGTTTTTGAAGGTATACAGGCAGTGCGTGATGATCTCAATAAATGGTTACCCTTCGAAGCTCGTTTGGGCTGCTTTAATTATTTGAAAGAATGGTGTGGTTACGGTGATGGTGCTATGGAACTTGCTGAAGATCGGTATAGCTTAATGACCAAGAAGCTGAAAGACGTAGCAACTTCATCTGCCACTGCGGCAATTTTAGAAGTTGAACGTAAAGCACTTCAGTTTGCTTGTTTAAATTGCATGGCAAAGCTTTGTTCTGGATCTATTAAGCATCAAATCGAAGTTGCCAGTGGCCCATATATGAGTGGGGGTATGGGAACTCTTGCAGTTCTTTCATTTGATATCCCAGCTTTGCAGAGTTGGATACATGGACTCTTTTGCACCGACAGTGATAAAATCCATGAAATTGGACGAATTGCCTTGAGCCATATATTGAGAGGAAGTAAGGATGAGGAAATGTATGCAGAAGTGTTCAAACAATGTTATACTGATCAGAAAAGTGTCAGAACTACCGAAAGTTATTTCACAGTGTTCGTTGACGCTTTCATGGAAAGTCAAGAACAAAAGCAAATTGATAACTCGACATTTACCTCACCTCCCTATGATGTTCTTTGTCTCTCTACATTCCTTGTTGGTAGTGAAAGTTACTCAGTAAGACACTCGGCAATTCAATTACTTATTTCCCTTGAACAAAAATATTATGGTCGTGTCATTAGTGATAGATATACCGAATGCGTTTGTAACAAGACCAAGGTGGTGTATAAAAAGGCATTGTTTGATATTTCTGCTACACTCGCTGCTGAGCATCCAGAAGGGGTATTTGTGCGAATCAGTTACCTTACGATGTTTTTCAATTTGGTGGGAAATTCTTCAAGAAGAGATATCTTATCATGTTTATTACCTTGGATACAAACAGTGGAATTGAAGGAAATAGTTGGATCCGAAATCGCTGAACCCAAAGTAGTAAACTCGGAAGACGATAATAATCCTCCACCATTGGACTCATCCTCCATGATGGTTCTCAATAATTTATTTGAAATCACGGTTAAGTTTAGTTCAGTGATTCTGAATGAAGTTGAAGCCTTATGGGTTGCACTTGGTAGTAATGCTAGAAATTTTGACAAAATCGTTCAGTATATTATGAGCAATTGCTTGGAAAGAAAGAATGCCATGGTTGTTGAATTCTCACGTCAAATTATTGATTACCTTCTGTTTCTGCAGCCTGACCCGCTGTACATTGTGGATAAGTTAATTGGGAACTTGAATCCGCGTGCAATGGTCCCACCGCAGCCATATAAAATGAAAACTGCGGCTACTATCAATACTACTGTGGTGGACTCTATTGAGTATCCATACACTGCAAATATTTGGGACATCATTCCAAATAATGAAAAGGATGTTGCCTTTTCATTGGGTCAATTGTCGTTAGTATTTTTGGTTGACTTGTTTACTACTCAAAGTGAGCTTATGCGTGAAAGGTTACCGTTACTATTACATGTTTCGTTTGCATTATTGGACCATTACTTATTCTTGGTACAAGAACAAGCAGGCATGTTATTGATTCATTTGATTCATGCATTGGCTCCAAATGAACCGAAATCACGTGAAACCATTGAAATCTTAAGACAAAGAGATCATTTGAAACATTTGTGGGTTTACGATGACTTGAATAGTGAAAAGAGAGGTGTTGGTGCTCGTACCCCCAAAAATATGGATTTACTTGTTAGAAATGTGTTGGAGATCTTCAGTAGAGTTGGATTGGGTACTGGAAGCGGTGGTGCAAGTATTGAGGCTGGTAACGAAGAATCCGGTGAGTCTACAATAATTACTCCTACAGCACTGACCACGGGTGCATCTGCTGCTGGCACCACTGGTGCTGCAGTCGATGGTGCTGATATTTCTTTGGAGAAACATGTGGCAACACTTCAGGAAGAATGGAGTAGAGTGTCTCTCAATTGGGCTACAACATGTGCAGTGCGTCATCTCGCGTGTAGATCATTCCAAATCTTCCGATCTTTACTCCTGTTCCTTGACCAAGGTATGTTGAAAGATATGCTTCATCGTCTTTCAAACACCATTTCTGATGATACTGTTGAAATCCAGGGATTTGCTATGCAAATTTTGATGACTCTCAATGCTATCACTGCAGAGTTAAACCCTAAGAAACTTATTGATTTCCCGCAACTCTTTTGGTCCAGTGTGGCATGTTTATCTACCATCCATGAACAAGAATTCATCGAAGTGTTACTGACTATGTCAAAATTCGTTTCCAAAATTGATTTAGATTCTCCTGATACAGTTTCCTGTTTGATTTCAACATTCCCACCCAAATGGGAGGGAAAGTTTGAAGGTTTGCAGCAAATTGTAATGGTGGGGCTTCGATCTGCAACTGCTTGGGATCCTCTCTTGAAGTTTTTAGATAAAATGAACCAATTGAAAGATAGTGAAATTATTGGAATGGGTGATTCCCGGTTGTTAATGGCGGTCTTGGCTAATATGCCGCGGTTCCTTCATGCCTTGGATATTAAGACTATCACACCGGAAATCGAAGAAACAGCCATGTTACTCAGTTCTATGGCAGATAATTGTCAAAAACCAGGACTTTCCAAGATCTTGATTTCATTGCTGAAGAATAGGTTCCGGTCCAAAAAGGATTTCTTAAACCAAACGATATCCACTATGAAGCAAAGCTTTTTCCCTGAGTTTGAGGCTCAAACGTTGGTCTTTTTGTTGGGATTATTGTCAAACAAAATTAGATGGGTAAAGCTTGAAACGATGAACATGTTGAAACATATTTTCCCACTTGTAGACTTGCAAAGAGATGAATTTTTGGGGGTTGGAGCAGACTTGATCTCACCTTTACTTCGTTTGTTGCTTACCGATTATGCGGAGCCAGCATTGGAAGTATTGGATGAGGCTGTCATTATTTCTGGGCTGCAGTTGGATAAAGATGTATTAAGAATGAGTTTAGGAAATACCCTGGTGAAGAAAGATTATGAAAAGACAGCCACTTTATTTGGTATCCCAGACGAAAGTGGATGGGCAATTCCAATGCCTGCCGTCACCGCTTCTAGTACTAGAAATAACGTACATGCGGTATTTTCAACATGTGCGGTTGGTAATAACAATGATGTTAGTTTGGATGACATCAAGGAAGCCGAAGTAGAGGAGGAAATGATCCATTTCCACATGGAGGACTATTATGCACCAATGTATAATGACCATTACGATGGGGAATCTGTTACTGTGGGAGAACCCGATGCTTCTTTGAGTAACATGTGGGCAGCTCTTGATGAATTTGATTCATTCTTAACCAAAGAAGATAATCACCCACGTCATCACCATTATGATAACAACCAGTATAACTCTGCAATTAATGGTGGTGGGAACCTTCAAAGTCAACGAGAATTTGGCCATCATTTACACAGTGCGTCTGTTGACACCAAATATAGTAGTGCCAGTGATTCCAATGCAGCCATTGGAATGGATTCAGCACCTTTGGTGTACGACAAGAAGGTGAGTGTAATTTTGAATAGAAGTCTTGCAAGGACACAATCAAACACCTCATTCAAAAGTAGTTTTGCCGATTCCATTGGTGGTGGGCAACATACGGCCTCTCCATCTACTTTCTCTCCATTAGGTGGAGGAAGTGTTATTGCAAACAAAAGATCATACATCCCATTCCGCAATAGTAGGACCATTGTTAGTGCCAACAATTCCAATGCTGTCAACAATGGTTCGTATGGATCTGACATGCCACTATCGCCGACTTTTGATCCGGATGTCAATGTAGGACCCTTGTCTCCTTACCGGACGCCACGCATTGGTAGTCCAGTTGCCATGGGCACACCGTTGAAGAGTGCTGGTGGTGGGTCTGTCATGGCATCTCCGCCATCTGCTGGCATGCAAGGAAGTGCCGGTACCTCGTCGTCGAATCATGGGAATGGAAGTAACCCTGTTTTGGGCGGACTTGATCTTATAAACCTGCCATTTGATAGTATATTAGGAAGTGGAGGTAAGAAAAAAATCAAAAGAGGAAGTAAATTTTCCCCCAATGCTTCAAGCACCAGCATTTCGCCAGAGCTTGCACATTGGACTCAAGGGGTTTCGATGAACTCTCTGCTGACACCCCCTGGAAGTACCAAGGGGAAGAAAAAGAAGAAGAAGCCATAAAGATAAAATTGGCAGGTTTCAGCCGTGTATGTATATATATGAAAGAACACAAGTAATGAACAATAATAAATTAAGAGAATGTAGAAGAATGAACACTAATATGTGAATGTATGAACTTATGGTAACTTTTTGCAGCCGTTAAGTAACTATAAGATTTAAGGATCTTGCAAGATCTTTGTGGGAGATCTCTAACGGAGTATCACAATAACTGTTCTCTCTAAAAAAAAAAAAAAAATAAAGGAAATTGACAACATGAAGTAGAGTTTAGAATGAGTAGTATTACAATTCTACCCATCTCTGGTCACATATGGTCAACCTCAACCAATGAAATAATAACTGAAGTTGCTCATATGGAACTTATCCCAGTGTAGAAAGTGTGTGGCGGGGCTCGCAACGATTTTCACGATTTTTTTTTTCTTGCCATCTTTTTTTTTTCTTTTCTTCCTTTTGAGCTCGTCGCCTTTTTCACTTTTTTCTGAACGAGACCGTTCACTTTACTTGAGGTATATTCTAAGAAAATCGATAGCAATGCCACCTAAGAAGAAGCAACAGCCTTCCGACAAGAACAAGGCCAAGGCCAAGACCAAGAATGCCGACGACAAGACGTTCGGGTTGAAGAACAAGAACAAGTCAAAGAAGGTTCAACTGCAAATTGATCAGATCAAGGCCGGTGCCGATGGTGGGATGGCCAAGATGAGAGCCGCTGCTGAAAAGCGTAAGGCCGAAGAGAAGAGAGCTGCGGAAGAAGCCAAGCGTGAAGCCGCCCAGTTGATGGGTATCCAGCAACAGAAGGTGCCCTTTGGAGTGGACCCCAAGTCCATCTTGTGTGAGTTCTTCAGACAAGGATTATGTACCAAGGGTACCAAATGTAAGTTCTCGCATGACCTTGAGGTTGGACGTAAGGTGGTCAAGAAGGATTTGTACACCGACGCACGTGAAGAGAAGGAAGCGGACACCATGGATACATGGGATGAAGAGAAGTTGCGTAAGGTTATTATGTCCAAGCATGGTAACCCTAAGACCACCACCGACATTGTTTGTAAGTTCTTTATAGAGGCGGTTGAGAACGGGAAGTACGGTTGGTTCTGGGTGTGTCCTAACGGGGGGAACGAGTGTAAATATAGACACTCCTTGCCAGCCGGGTTCGTTCTTAAGACCAAGGAGGAGAAGCGTTTGGAAAGAATGGCACAAGAAAACGCACCAAAGATTTCCTTGGAAGAGTTCATTGAAATGGAAAGAGGACGTTTGGACAGATCCAAGTTCACTCCTATCACATGGGCCACTTTCAGCGAGTGGAAGAAGAAGATGAAGGCCAAGAGAGAAGACGAAAGAAAGAAGGAGGAAGAAAAGGGAGGCAAGCGTGTGCTCACTGGTAAGGAGATCATTCTTAAGAAGTTTGGTGACAAGTTCTACAGTGAAGAAGACACCGAAGGCGATGCATGGGATTTGTCTCAATTCAAGACGGACTTGCCCGAAGAAACTGACGAGACCATCAAGGATTACGGGGATGGGTCATTGGCGTTCAGCCAGGAACAACAGGCACCAGTGCTGGAGGAGACACAGGAGAAGAAGGACGGTGAAGAAGTGGTGGAGAAGGTTGTAGCTTCGGCTAGCGCATAGACGAGTAGGGCCCTTCACAGTCCCGCTTGGTCAAACCATTTGATATGTACATTATTACACGTAATCTTAGATTAAAATGATATAAAAAAAAAATATAGTCAGAGATGTAGAAAAATGGCTAAGGTTCAGCTTCTAAGGCGGCGATGAAGGCCCTGATACTGTTGAGCCACTCGCCGCCTTCGTCAGTTTCTTCCCATAATTCGTAGAGTTCTGACTTTTCTGGGTCGAGGATCACAAGTGAAAGAGCTCTTTTGATGGCGGAAACGATATCAAGTCCGGTGTCGGCTAGCGGGGTATTCCTGATGTGGTGAAATTCCGTCTGGGTTCTGCCAATCAAGGCTAGTATTTGTCCGAGAGCTCTGTAGCTAGTCTTGGTTCCAACCTGTGGATGTTCCTACTGTCTATGAACCCGGCAGTGAGCAAGGCTGAGATTTGAATTTCAATTGCATCTTCCACGTCTAAGTCCATATCCTCGGTATCCATATCAGCGTATTTTTTGGCAATTCGAACGATTTCCTCTAATGGGTTTTCTTCAAAGGCTTCCCAGAAGGAATAACTCCCGTCATTTTCAAATGTACCTACTCCCCAAGTGCCCATGATATTTTATTTAGTAGGAAGAAATGATGGGTAAATTGTGAAATGTGGGGAAATCTCAAAATGAGGTATACTCCTAAAAAGATGAAGAGGTGTAGATCTACAATATTTAATATGTAGGTGCAAGGTAGTTAAGTAGTAATTTTACTAGTATAATATTGAATCAGAATAACTCCCTCTAGATATATATCTACTCTGCAATATTTTCTCTATTAATTCTCTATATGTTATTTATCTAAAAAATTATATATATACAACTTTTTTTGGATATTCAATTAAATAATTAAACCCACCCTCTCCATTAAAGACTCTCTCTATATATATTTAGAGATGAGTTTAGAAGTATGTTCCAACAAATCACTATCATTATCAGTGAAAAATCTGATTTCGGTGTGTGTTCCTCGGAGAAGTCTCTTTGCTTCAACCACCCTAGTTAGCCATGCAGCACCTCTCTTGTCCATTTCTTCAAGCTCGTAGTATGTGTCTGCTGGGTATATGTTCTGAAGTGCCTGTGTGACCAAGTCGGTGGTTGTTTGTGAAGGGGTGGACGAAAGTGGGGCTAGTGGTGGAGCTTGCGAGGAAAGACTCGATGCAGTGGTGGCCCTTCTTGGAGGTGGAGGAGGTGGTGGAGGCGATGAGTCTGTCGAAGGACTCATTGGTCGGGTTGGAAGTGGAGGTTTCCTAGATAATTGATTCCCACGTAGTTGTTGAGGCTTTTTAGGAATCATGGGTGATGGTTTGGATTTCAAATCACTATCCAAATCGATCAAATCCTTGGTTTGTTCTTCTTCTTGTGGGGGGTCTTCGAAATCTTCTTGCTCCTCCATAACCTTGACAATTCGTTTCATTTCTTCCAACACTCTAGAGTCATCGACATCACTCAACGACCCCTTGACCACTCGGATATAAATCGCCAATATTCGAGATGGATATTGTTTAGCCAAATCGGCATATGCTTCCATATCCACTTCTCCAGAATCACCCACACATATGAATCGTTTATTGGGGAAATCACCAACAATCTTGTACAACGTCATTTTCTTCTTACTGGACGATGGCTCCATAAGAGACGCTATGATATTGCCCGTGTATTGCTTAAGATGAACTGAGCCCGGAGGAAGGTTGGCCTGATGGAAATATTCCTTGATGGTGGGGAAAAGTTGCCAGGGAGAATTCGAGACATAATGGAAAGTCAATTTCCCAAGATTCAGACCATATAACTTGGTGTACCACTTGATAACACCGGGGATATTCCACAGAGAAACATCATTCAAAAGTAAGGATCGCATAAGTTCCCGCTTATCTCCAATGACCCCAGTAAGCTTGACCGTATCGTCAATGTCACTGATAAGTCCAACTCCAGAGTTTTCAATAAGCATGATATCTTCGTATGAGAACACAGTTTCATCGATCGATGCCGCCACTCTGACTGCCAGTGGTTTATAATGACATTCCACACAAACGTCGAAATTCCCATTGGCGTCAGTGGTGACGGTTTTAGTGACCAAATTGAGGTTTGGATCGGGTGAATGAGATCCTAACGTGATGGTGAGTTCTGTGTACGGTATACTTCGAGCTATGAATCCATTAAGACGGTTCCGCAACACATCGGGAGGGGCGGTTGTAGTATTAGTAGAATTAGGACCAATTGTGGACGAAGATGATGAAGATTTTGGCGATAATCTGGTAGAGGAAGTTTCACTTGTATCGGAAACAATGGACTCAACATCAGATTCATCGTAGACGTCTTGCTTTGCATGGGCCAAGCCTACTACGGCCTCTTGATTTGCCGTCTGATTGGACGAGATCCGAGTCAATTGTCGGGCAAGAGAGATGATAAGTCGGTTCTTTCTGGTCATAAGACCAGGACATAGAAGCCAGCCCTTAACGTTGACATGGTAGGTGAGATCATTCGCATCGTGATGGGCGGGTCTCACGGTAGAATAGGATGGGAAAAGAGCAATGGTTGCATCTTTCGGGAGGGAAGTCGGGGCAGACCTTGTATCTGGAGAAACCTCTTGCAGAAGCATGAGCAGCGACACAGACCCGGCAATACGCGGGATATAATTATCTCTGGTGGCTCTAGCAAAGCCTAGAAGCCTTGATCTTTTTGAAGTATCGTCCGGAATCATCTTCCGGCGCTTGAGTCCTCGATAATCGTGATATACGTTCTTGACAAAGGTGAGTCTGCGAGGGAAGATCCTCGAGAAGTACTTGAGGTAGTTTCGTTTAATTTTGAAGGTGTACTGTTCGAGAACAGCACAAATTAAATGGACAGGGCCTTTAGTTTGCTGCTTTGCTAAAAACAAAAAAAAAGAAAGAAAAAGATTAACAGCGAAAAGTGACAGACAACAGAGATATTGAACTTTACACTTACAACACTTACAAGCAGATAGGACGGGTCCTGAAGATATGAGACCTTTCTGATCAGAAGAGTGAGTGTATAATGGGATGTAGTAGTTTTCTCCTGTGGTTTGTCACACCAGGGTACCAAAATCATATTCGCGGTTTGCATACACACCGCGAGATTAGGGGCTTAGGTATGGAGAACGGATCATAAATAGGTGAGAGTAGTATCATAGAGGGCAGAAACAAATAAACCCCGAGTAAAACACATAGAGAGGGTTTGTGAATAACACCATGTACTCGATTGGAAACGAACTTAAGGATTCGTTCAAACCAACCAGCAAATGGATCAACAATGGGATAGAATGGCTCACGGATGTGGAGGAATTCTATCGAGAACGGGCGGTGATTGAACAAGAGTATGCTCTGAAATTACAAATGCTTGTCAAGAAACATTTCGACAAGAAGGCCAAGGCTCTGGCGCTGCTCTCAGTCGGGGATACGCCACAGATCACCCCGGGGAGTTTGGAATGTGCATCATTGGTGTTATGGACCGATGTATTGACACAAACTGAAGCAATTGCCCTGGAAAAAGTTCAACTTTCCAAGGAATTTACCACCAAAGTGTCGGATAACATCAGTTCCTTGAAGGGGAAATCTGGGAGAATCGCCAAGAAAATTGAACTGATCAATGAATACTTGGGAGTTGAGAAGCAAAAGACCCTGGATGACGTGGCCAGGGCCAAAAGACACTATGATTCACTCTGTCAGGCTACAGAGAATGCCAGAACAAAGACCGAGAAGAGTGCCAGTGAAAAATACACCAAGAAGTTGGCCGAGAAGGAGGTGGAGATGAACATTGGGAAAAATGAATATCTTATCAATATTAACGTTGCCAACCGATTGAAGGATAAATATTATTATCAAGACGTTCCTGAATGTTTGGATTATTTCCAAGAGCTCAACGAGCTGAGGGTGGCTATTTTAAACAAATTATTGAAGAATGCATCGATTATCGAGAGAAATTCATGTGATCGAGTCAAAGAGAAATTACATGCCATTGATAGCACCATTGAACAAAACGATCCTAAATTGGACACAGCCATGTATATCAAGCATAATATGATCGATTGGGCTGAGCCACAAGATTTTTACTTTGTTCCCTGTGAATTTTGGCATGATGATGAGAGTTTAATTACAAAGGAACCAGAACTTACAGAATTGAAACGGATGTTAAATTCAGTTTCTGGACAATATACTCGATACGAAGAGGCATGTTTGAACACCAAACAACAACTAGAGGAAGCAACAACCGAGAGAAAGCGAGATCTGGACAGTAGCACCATCACCCTCAAGTTTGACGCTGCATTATATAAATCACTTTTAATCTTGGAACAATTTATTATGGATGATAGTAAAAGAGTACAAAGTGAAGTTAAGATTGAAGTGATTCAAAACTTTGCCGGAGATAAGGATTTATCATATGTTGAACAAGAGAAGAAGAAAAAGTCAAGGTTTGGATTTTTGAAGAGTGGAGGTCAACATCATGAAACGGGGAATAATAATATCGTTCCTGTCAAGAGTGCAAATACTCACACCTCTTTGGGGGGAGTGTTCAATTTGAGGAAAGGTAAGGAGACTAAAACTGGTGGTAATGGTGGGGGGAACACGAACACGGCCAAGGCATTATTTGAATACGTTGCCGCGGGCAATGATGAGGTATCATTAAGTCCCGGGGAAGCATTGGATGTGATTGAGTTTGATGATGGTTCTGGATGGACTTTGGTTAAGAGCAACGATGGACAACAAGGGTTGGTACCCACCAGTTACATAGAGGTGGCTGCACCATCAACACAAGCCCACGCACCAATAGTGGCCAATGCTACAGGAGGGTCTACCAAGAAGGGACCTTCAGTGGCACCTAAACGCGGAGCCAAAAGAGTTCAATACGTGGAAGCATTGTATGATTATGTTGCTGATGGAGATGATGAGATCAGCATCCTGGCTGGAGATCGGATAGTATTGATCCAGGACGACACCGATGGAAGTGGGTGGACCGAGGGTGAATTGGGAGGAGTCAAGGGGATGTTTCCAACCAGTTATGTAAAGAAGGTGTAACAAAAGAAAGAAAAGAAATGTATAGAAATATTTTTTAACTCATAGTAAGGCAGCTCACTCTATAAGAAGTTGTACACAGATAGTAATACAAAATTCACCACTATACAAGAACTGTACACACATATGAAGACCCACTTCATCATCTTTCTACACTCTTCTCCTACAATTTCACTACTTGTAACTATCTCGGCATGTACTATATTAACATATTAACTAACCACTTAGTAAACGTCACCTGGGATTTCAAAAACGACTTGCTTACCAGTCAATTTTTGGTATAATTGTTGGAAAGATTCCAACTTGTAGTCAACGGCGGTGGAGTCCTTGGAGTCAAGCAAAACCTTTTGGATCTTGTTACCACCAACCAAGTATCTAACTCTCTTACCGACGATTTCGGTTGGGAAAACAAGGTCTTCCAAGATCTTGTCGTGGACAGCGGTCAAGGTTCTGGATCTTGGTCTCTTTTGTTGTTGTCTAGATCTTCTGGATGGCTTTGGAAGGATTCTTCTTTCGGCAAGGAAGACAACGTGACGGTCTGGGAACTTCTTTTCTAATTCTCTGGTCAATCTAGCTTGGACCTTTCTGTAGGCAAGCAAAGATGGGACTGGGACGAAGACAGCGAGGGCCTTCTTACCACCGTTAACATCAATTTCCTTGATGGACTTGAATTGCAAAGGTCTCAATTCAGCCTTCAAGTCGGATTGACCTTCGAGGTCAACGAAGGCTTGAGCGACTTGCAACTCCAATTCAGATGGCTTTTCAGATAAGATTTTCGAAGCAGCAGACATGTTTACTGGTATATGAAAAGGTTAACTTGTTTGATCAAAAAAATTTCTTTCTTGTCAAGTTTTTTTTTTCGTATGGATGAATCTGAAAAATTGTTTGCACTGGTGAGCAGTGTGTGTAGAGAGCAGTTGGGTGCTGAATGCGGTAAATCGGTACACCCAGTGTGAGGGACGGCGCGAAAAAGTTTTGGTTTGGTCATGTGATGGCGTGACTGTTTGTTGTGTGTAGGAGAGGACATGAAGTGAAGATGAATGAGTGATGTGCAGGATATTTTAGAGTGTGTGATAAAGTAGGGGTGTTGATGAATGTGAAGAGTGATAAAATACGGTGGTGATGAATGTGTAGAATGTATTGAAATATAAAGAGAATATATTAATTGATAGTTCTCTTACTCAGCAGATAATCTAGTTAAAATGTAGTCATGTATATATAAAAATCATATACTAAAAGTACTGCTGTGGGTGTTTGGATGTGTTCCAGATCTCTGGATCTGGTTTGAAGCCCCGGCCCAGGCTTCTCTACTAACAAAATATATATCAATTAACACCTACCCAGGATAGATTATTTGATCACTTCTAATATTCTATTAGGATTCATCTAATGATCTCTTCTTCTAATAATCCATTCTTCTAATCCAATCTTCTAACCCTCCCTTTTTCCTCCCCTAAAATCTTTTTCCCCTTCACTTATTATCTCCCTTTCTCTCTCTCTCTTCTTCTCCACACTAAATAATTTCCTGCATGTATCCACACCAACGTTTCTTTCAAGCCTTACACTCGAGATGGAGGTTATAAACTCCAATTCTTATCATCATTTATCACCACCAAAACCTTATAGATCCGCCTGTAAATTACAGAAACGATCTTCACCATCCAAGTTGATTCGATTCTTATCTTTAACCCGAAGTTTCCGAACCATGTCTCTCGTTGAAAAGGCCAAGAAGGCCGCCGCTTACAAAGCCGTTGATGATAATTTCCCAAAATCCGCCAAAGTTATTGGTGTTGGATCCGGTCTGACCGTTGTTTACGTGGCTGAAAGATTGGGACAATTACCACAAAAGAACGACTTTGTGTGTATTCCTACTGGGTTCCAATCCAAGCAACTTATCATCGATAATGGCTTACAATTGGGATCCATTGAACAATTTCCTCAAGTTGACGTTGCCTTTGATGGTGCTGATGAAGTAGACCCATCTTTAAACTTGATTAAAGGTGGTGGTGCTTGTTTATTCCAAGAAAAACTCGTTGCCTCTGCAGCCAAGACCTTTGTGGTGGTTGCCGATTATCGTAAGCAATCCCCAACCAAATTGGGTAACAAATGGAGACAAGGAGTCCCCATCGAAGTGGTACCTAACTCCTACGTCACCGTGACATCTGAGTTGAAGAAGTTGGGTGCTGTGGCCGTTAACTTGAGACAAGGTGGTCTGGCCAAGGCCGGCCCCGTGGTCACTGATAACAACAATTTCTTGATCGATGCTGACTTTGGTGAAATTGAAGACCCAATCAAGTTGCATACCCAAATCAAGCTTTTGGTTGGTGTGGTTGAAACCGGTTTGTTCACCGGTATGGCCAAGGTTGCATACTTTGGTGAGGAGAATGGTGAAGTTGCTACTCAACAGTAGACATATTCCAAATACATTTATTTATTCGTTTTATTTTCCATGTAAGCCCCCGCTCTACCCTCCGACTCCCACACTTTAAGAGGACGTTCCTCTCGTGTGGGGAAGAGAAGTCGAAACCCTACTGGGGAAGCAAGCCGCTCCGATGGCACTCCGTGGGCCACTAGCCGTGGAGGCCTTGCTCCTCTACCGAGGAGTCTAATCTACACTACACTTAGAGTACCCGTGACCGTAGCTGCTCTCCTCGTAGAGGAGCTAAGCACCACGCAGTGGCCCTCCCCGGGTAGGGGCCCAGCGGAGCGTCTTGCATAACCCATTTCTCTACATGGTTATCTTGGCCCGCACAGGGACCCCCCCTTGTAGCCCCATGGGTCGCCAGGCAACACCAACATCGTAGTCACCTTATATATATATCTCTCGCCCCTATGGGGCTAGCAGTCTACATTCTCTTTCGATGGCTCAACGTCCCACCCTCTATCTTTATTCACTTTATTAAGTAGATACCAGTCTACATAGTATTAAACACCGCTTCACTTGCTGTGGTTCGAGATCCAGTTCAAAGTCTCCACAAGACCAGTTCCATCAATGGCAATGGTTGGGATGACCGACCATGTATGATCGCCAGACAAGTTGTTCAACTCGAATCGATCAATCAATTCCTTTGGCTTGATGGCCGATGGTACATCTTGCTTGTTGGCCACCACAATCAAAAGACAATTACTCAATTCCTTGTCGCTGATCACACGCAACAATTCCTTCTTGGACTCCTCCAACCGGTCCAAGTCAGACAGGTCAACCACGTAGATCAACGCGTTTGTCCCTGTGAAATAATGTCTCCATAACGGTCTGATTCTTTCTTGTCCACCACAATCCCATACGGCAAACGAAACGTTCTTGTGCTTGACGGTCTCCACGTTGAACCCTACCGTTGGCACAGTCTTGGATGTCTTCCCAAGCTTGAGCTTGTACAAAATGGTGGTCTTCCCGGCGTTATCAAGACCCAACATCAATATTCTCATCTCCCGGTTTTTAAACAATTTAGACTAGAAGGGGTTAGTAGAGAACACGTTAACAAAAAAAAGGGGGAGGGTCCGAGTCTATGTCCAGATCTGTGTCCCGATCTATGACCGTGAGTGTATGGCCCAAGCCAGGGCCCACCTCGATCCACACTGTGTCTAACATACCATTAACAAACCCATGATGTCTTGGTGAACGTGTCGTGTAGGCTAGAAAGGAATGAAAGGACAACGTTCAATAAAAGAAAATCTAAACCAAACTAAATCGATCAAGAAAGGAGAAAAGGCTAAAAAAATAATTTAAAAAAATTGAGGCCAAACTACAACTTTGTATGATAATCTCGCGATGTCAATAAACAGGTGTCTCGTGAACCAGTTCACCACAATTTTACTTTATTGGCAATTAGACGAAGACAAACGTCCACCTACGCGTCTGATGCAGGCCATTTACAATACGCGTTCTGGGTAGTATTAGGCGGGAATGTGCAGGCCGGGGGTTGCCGCGTGCGCTCGTGAATTATATACGGGCTGCTGCTCTAATCTAGCACTAGTAGCCATCCAGTTTCAACGTCATATTGTTAGTTTTGGGGCCCCGTTCGACTTCTTACAAACCCCGCCATATTATATACATATATATATATTGCTTAGTTGAAGGGCTGTCCCACATTTTTTTTACTTTTTACCCACTTGGCGGCTAGATTGGGGTGTTCCCTCCCTTTTCCCTGGCGGAGATTTACTCTTCCATACAGTGCGAGCGCGGAACCCATTTCGGAAATAAACGAGCAGACAATAAAACTAAAGGGAGGAAAGCTAAAAAATAATTATTGTCCCAAAAAAATAAAATCAGGGCCAATGTTTCTATTTTTACTTGTGATAACGAATGGCTGCGAAATGGCTCCATGGAGTTTCTTTTATCACCTTCGTTTCTGGGGGTGGCTAGGATACAAGCCGCTCCGGGGGGCACTAGCCTTGGGGGCGGCTCCAGTTCCTCCAGCGAGGAAGACCTCTCTTGGGGCGTCTTACAGTCCCACAGTGGAGAGTGGCTACCCTACGGGGTCAGCAAGCCGCTCCGCTGGCACTCCGTGGGCCACTAGCCGTGGAGGCCTTCTTCCTCTGACGAGGAAAGTCTAGTTGTCTCTGGTCTCCTCGTAGAGGAGCTAGGCCCCACGCAGTGGCCCTCCCCGGGTAGGGGCCCAGCGGAGCGTCTTGCAATCCCACAGGGAAGAGAATGGCTCTTCTTCTTGCTACACAGTAACCCATTTCTATAATCTATGTATCCATTACTCTACTTCGTAACTAACTATATTCCCTATGATGATTTTGACTTCTTCTTCTTGTCCTTCTTTTCCTTTTGCTTGTTCATCGTTTCCACTCTTTCGATGATTCTCTTGAGTGATAACTTGACATCTCCATCTCCGAAATGGTCCAAGTTGTAGTACTTTGGAGCCAATTCAACCAACCAATCTGGCTTGACGTTGGTCACGGTTCTGATGTAGTTGGTGGAAGTCAACACAAATTCATTGTATATCACCCATTCGTTTTCTGCAGCAAGAACAGTGGAAGGGTGGATCAAAACGTCTTGGTTGTCCTTGACAGTCAAGTACCCCTTGTTACCACTCTTCTTCTTGGCAACTTGCATGAAGAACCCAGCGGCAAGAGCCTTACGAACCAACGTCCAGTAATCTGGGTCGTCGTATCCAGGACTAACAAGATCCAAATCGTGCTTTTCCATGATTCTACGCAATTGAGCTCTGACACTTCTGGCAGAGGTCAATGAACGGTATGACAAGAAGTTGTCTCTACACCATTGATGTAACCCATGTTGCATGGCTTCTTCCGAGTTGAAGGCTTCAAAAACATTCAACAAGGTCAAATGATCACCATCGGAATGGGCAAATGCCATCTTGGCCTCATCGGCTCTCTTTCTGGCTGAGGCAGGACGAACAAAGACGTTAGGAACAGACAAAAGGGCAACAATTGTCAAGATTTCTTCGGAACATTGGAATGCAGGAGACCCAATCAAAACACATGCAAGCATTGGGTCCAATGGGAATTGAGAGGCAGTACGTCCCAAGGCAGTCAAGTCTCCCTCATCAGACAAACATTGTAAGTAGTTCAACTCTTCCAAGGCTCTCATCATTGTTTCTGGAGCTGGAGGATCCATGAAATCGAAATGAACCAAGTCATCAATGCCCAATTTCTTCAATTCCAACACAGTGGATGCCAAGTTACTTCTCAAGATTTCTGGGTATGATTGTTCAATAAGTTCCTTCTTGAAAGCTTCTTCAGTGTACAATCTGAAACACTTACCTGGTCTGGTACGACCAGCTCTACCGGCTCTTTGTTGCGCGGAAGCCTTGGAGATGGGGGACACCAACAAGGATTCGACTCTGATTCTTGGGTTATAAACCTTTTGCTTGGAAAAGCCAGGGTCTACCACGTATACAATCCCATCAATGGTAAGAGAAGTTTCGGCAATGTTGGTGGAAACAATAACCTTACGGCCTGGTTTCCCATTGGCACCCTCTGGTGCTGGTTCAAAGATTCTTTGTTGTTGGTTTGGTGGCAAGGACCCATACAATGGGTATACCTTGATGGGTCCACAATTTTGTTCTCTAACCAATTCATCACCTTCCAAGGAAATCTTACGACAAGCATCTTCAATTTCTTCTTCACCAGTGAGAAACAATAACACATCACCCTCTGGTTCTGTGGCGTGGATTTGTAACACGGTACGGATGGCAGCATCCAAGTAATCTCTTTGATATTCCGGAGTATAATAGATTTCCACCGGGTGAGTTCTACCAGGAACTGCCAATAATGGAGCGTCATTGAAATAACTTTGGAACTTTTCAGCGTCCAAAGTGGCAGACATGATAATGATCTTCAAATCTGGTCTTCTGATACTAACTTGTTTCAATAACCCCATCAAGATATCGGTGGCCAATGTTCTTTCATGGGCTTCATCCAAAATAATACAAGAGTAACGAGACAAGTTATGGTCATCCATGGCTTCTCTCAAAAGCATACCATCGGTCATATACTTCAAGATAGTCTTTGGACTTGTTTTGTTTTCAAAACGAATACTATAACCAACTTCTTCACCCAATTCAACATCCAATTCATCAGCAACTCTCTTGGCAACCGACATGGCTGCCACTCTTCTAGGTTGAGTACAAGCCACCTGGGTGCCGGCCAAATGAGGCATGTCGTCGTACAAGACAAACTGAGGGATCTGGGTAGTCTTACCGGAACCGGTCTCACCAACAAATACCATAATTTGAGTGTTTTGGAAAATATCCAAGAATTGTTGTCTTTGAGCAAACACTGGCAAATCTCTTCTTACTTTCAAGATATCGAAATATTTTTGCAGGAACTTGTTCCCAGTAAAGGCATTATTTGGACCATCTTCCAATTTTTGTGCTTGTTCAGCGGTTGTTTGATGTTTAATCCAATCTTTAAATTCTCCATCGTCATGTGCAACGTATGGTTGTTTGGTTGGAACCGGGTGTGGATGTTGTTTCAAATGTTCTTCAGCTGCTTCTGCGACTTTTTCGGCCTCAGAATCCATCTTGAGCTTTTTGGATGGTCTATCAGACATGATTAACGTGAATATGATATGTGATGATCATGTAAGAAATAATTAAATTTGTTTGTAAAAATATACTTGATGAGATGATGGGTATATGCAGGAGATGACTTTGTTATGTTGCAAAAAAGATTAAAACCAGTTGGGATGTAGGCACCCCCCCTCCCTTCAATAAAAATTTTTGTCCACGATCTGGAAGATGGGGAGTGTTTACACAAAGGTTGTGGCGAGGTATGTAATGTATGTATTACTCTTGGGGAGGTTGTAAAAAATAAAGTAGACTAAAAAAATAGAATGATTGAGAAAGTGGTAAATTAAAGGGGGGGGCAAATGAGGGAATTCCCGATAAATGGAAGAAAAGAATGGGTAATTTGAGTGGTAGGGGGTCTGTATGAAGTAGACGATTGTACTGTGAAGATTGTACAGGGTTTTATAATGTGGTTTTGTTCTATTGAATCAAATGGTAGAGGACAACAAATCATTAAATAAGTTTTTGGCTGTAAAAATAATTTTGCGGTAAAAAAACACGAAATAGATAAAAAAAGTGTAAAACATAAAAACATGAAATAGAGCACGCTACACAAGATTACCCTTTACCACAACTCTCCTCGTAGAGGAGCTAGGCCCCACGCAGTGGCCCTCCCCGGGCAGGGGCCTAGCGGAGCGTCTTACAGTCCCACGGGGATGGGAGCACCTACCCTACGGGGTCAGCGAGCCGCTCCGCTGGCACTCCGTGGGCCACTAGCCGTGGAGGCCTTGTTCCTCTGACGAGGAAAGTCTGGCTCTTAGAAGTCTCCTCGTAGAGGAGCTAGGCCCCACGCAGTGGCCCTCCCCGGGTAGGGGCCCAGCGGAGCATCTTGTGCTGGCCGTCGGTCATGTGCACAATGTCACGCGAGCGCCATCACATGACCAGATCTTTGAAAAAAAAATACCCTACTTTCTATTTTTCCATTTCTCCGCGAGGCGGGCTGCTCTAGACCTGTCTACAAGCCGAGGCTGCATTAACCAACCACATGGGCTATACCGTACCCATAGCAAGCAGAAAACGGGGAGCCATGTAAAAATTATAACTTCTTTCATATTTCCGTACATTTTTTCCACTTTTCCTCTTCCCTTTCCATCAGGAAGTTACCCCTTACAAGTACTATCTTTGTTAGTCACTCATCTACGTTGCAAGAGAATTAAGCCCGCCTTAATCTTCACACAGATAAATTTTTTTATTTTTTGTTAGGCAAAAAAAAAAAAAAAAAAAAGGAAGAGAGAGAGAGAGATCCCACACAAGCAAAAGGACCCAAATTTCTAAATTGAAAGGAAATCATCACACGTTTGTCTTTTTGCACTAGATAAGAGACTGCGCGGAAGAAAGAATTTGTGTCAACCATGTCATTGAGCAAGAATATATACGAACTTGCTGCGATTGCAGGAAGTGCACGGACGATCTTGAATGGATCAACGGCAATTATTTGGAAAGATGTGAAGAATATGAAGGACAATTCGTTAATTGTTGGAAGTTTGGATCGGGATTCTGGGATGTGGAGTGAGGCCAGAAGTCGGAGTTTGAAGGCAAGAGCTGGAAGTAAGAATATTAAAAGTGTGACTCAAAAGGGTGGAGTCCGGTCTCTTCACACTTCTACAAGAAATTACTCCACCAAATCATTTTCACTGCCTCTTGAAGAAGAGGTGGTTTCCTCAGAACATGCCAGTTCCACCCCCATTGGATCCAAGGAGAAAGTTGCCTTTGAACTTTCTTCAAGTGAAGTGCCAAGCACTAGACTTGCAAGAATCTTCCATTATGGAAGTCTTGCAGCAGGTATGGGTATTGGAGCAGCCCAACAGGGACTCAAACATTATGCCTCGGGCAACAAATCATCGATTTCCATGAAATCTCTCTTACTTTCCCCACAAAATATCGAAAGAATGGCGAAAAAATTCAGTAAAATGAGAGGTGCAGCCTTGAAAATCGGACAAATGATGTCATTTCAAGATTCTTCCATCCTCCCTGCGGAAATCCAACAAATCTTACTTCGAGTACAGAATTCCGCTCATTATATGCCTCCAGGACAATTGGAACGGGTCATGAAGAAAGACTTGGGAGTCAATTGGAGAGAAAGATTATTCACTTCATTTGATGATGTCCCCATTGCAGCAGCCTCAATTGGCCAGGTTCACACGGCCGTGACCGAGGATTTGACCCCAGTAGTGGTCAAGGTTCAATATCCAGGAGTGGTTGATTCCATCGACTCGGACTTGAACAACTTGTTGATGCTCTTGACCGCTTCTTCCATCCTCCCAGCAGGGTTATTTTTGGATAAAACCATTGCCAATGCCCGTACCGAGTTGAAATGGGAATGTGATTACATCAGAGAAGCACAGAATTTGATTAGATTCCGTGATATGATCAAGGATGATGAAGTTTTCACCGTACCAAAAGTGTTCAATGCCCTCTCCGGCGAGCACGTGCTCACCATGGAAAGAATGAGAGGGGTTGAGATTGTCAAGGGAAATTGGGATCAAAACACCAAGAATTGGATTGCCACCAATATCATGAGATTATGTTTACTTGAAATCAAAAAGTACAAGTTTATGCAGACCGACCCCAATTGGGCAAACTTCTTGTACAACGAAACGACCGGTAAAATTGAATTGTTGGACTTTGGTGCAGCCAGAGACTTTGGTGACGAGTTTGTCGATGACTATGTCAATGTCTTGAGAGCTGCCGTCCGGAAAGACCGTGACCAAGTTGAACATTTCCTGAAGAAATTGGGATATTTGACTGGATTGGAATCTCCACAAATGACCGAGGCACATATTGACTCGGTGATGGTTTTGGGTGAAGCGTTCTCCCCCATTGATAACAAGGGACAACTGTTCAATTTCAAGAACCAAACCATCACCGACAGAGTGCGTGGCAATGTTGGTGTCATGTTGAGCGAAAGATTGACCCCTCCCCCTGAGGAAACCTACTCCTTGCACAGAAAGTTGAGTGGTGTCTTTTTGTTATGTTCCAGATTGGGCGCCACCGTGCCATGTGAAGACCTTTTCAAGGAGATCATTGGATACGAGTAAAACGACAAGAAAACAGAAACGCAAAAGGGACGATCCCAAGGGATGTACCCACCACCCCTAATATTTAATGATGTTCTATAGCACTCGCATATTTATAGACTTAATGATGTACATACAATGAATGAGAATAGAAATAGAAAATAGAAATCCTTTCTACGTAGTGTAGCTACATCCTCTTCCCTATGACGCTCCGCTGGGCCCCTGCCCGGGGAGGGCCACTGCGTGGTGCCTAGCTCCTCTACGAGGAGTCTACACTAAACTATATACTAACGGTAGCTCTCCTCGTAGAGGAGCTAGGCCTCCACGGCTAGTGGCCCACGGAGTGCCAGCGGAGCGGCTTACACACCCCGTAGGGTAGTTACTCTCTTCCCCATGGGACTCTAAGACGACGCTCCGCTGGGCCCCTACCCGGGGAGGGCCACTGCGTGGTGCTTAGCTCCTCTACGAGGAGAGCTACTATTACTATTTACTCTAGTCTAGTGTAGACTCCTCGCAAGGTCTCCACGGCTAGTGGCCCTGGGAGTGCCTGCAGAGCGACCTTACACACCCCGTAGGGTAGCTACTCTCCTACTTGCTCCTTTCCCCGTAAGACCAACTAATGATCAATCAAGAAGGGAAATAGCTACTCCAAATAATATTAAATAAAAAAAAGAAATGGTACCTGTTCCTCCCATCGAAAGGATACCCTGAAATCTAAGGCTGTTGACTGCGTGTGGGGGAGTGGCTTTCATCAGGGGCGGGATTGGGCTTCCAATTCCGATTATCTTCACGTGACCATACGGTGGTGAGATCTCGAAAATGATAAGAATGAACAATACAAAAAAAAAAAAGAATCCCAAGGGGAAGGGCTCATCGCTTAGAAGCAGTTCCAATTGCATGCATGAGAGCCAGTGCCAATCCCAATAGAAATGGAGGCGGCTCGTACGGCCTGACTTCCGAGAATGGCGGGCACGGCCATGACGACGAGAACGACCAGCAGCAGCAGCATCAAGATCCGACCAAGTTGCTGTTTGCAACACCTACAACAGGGCGAAGGAATCAACAGCTTAAAACGCAAGCCTCGGTCATTCTTGCCCAGACCGGCGAACGGGTGCAAAGATCTGTGTCGTCCTTCAGTCTCGGGTTTGAAAGTTTTAGTTTCCGGAGCAGTGACGACGACACAGACGAAGAGAATGCCGTCGAATCTTCGAGTCTACTCGGAAGGAATTCTGGCGGCCAGATAAGGCGACAATGGACCCAAATGAAGGAGTTTGTCCATACAGAGATGTTCCGAAATGTGCTAAAGTGTAGCTTGGCGTATCTCATTGCCTCGTTGGGGGTGTATTGGCTGACCTTTGACGATTTTTTGGGCAGAACAGACTCCAAACATGTGGTGGCCACGGTGGCGGTTTATTTCCATCCTTCGAGGTCCAAGGGCTCGATGCACCAGACCTTGGGGTTTGTAGTATGTGCCGTGGTGTTCAGCTTCAGTATGTCGTTCCTTTGCCGGGCATTACTGGGCTTTTTCTTCAATCATGGCGAGGATGAGCTTTGCTACACGATCGATTTGATTGTGAGTTCCTTCACCTTGGGGGTGGTTGCCTTTATGAAGCAAAAGGTGAACAAGCAAACGTTCAATACCGCGTGTTCCTTGGCATCGATCAGTTTGGTGTCGTGTATTATCAAGGAGGGCAGTACCAATGCCCTGGAAATCCCCATTGAACGTTTGTTGTCCACTTTGCAAGTCATTTGCACTGGATGTGCCATCTCGGTGCTCATCTGTTACTTTGTATGGCCCGTGTCTGCCGTGAGACAACTCCGGAAGCATTTGAACGACTCGTACAACATCATGTCTTCATTACTTTCCATCACCGCCAATCGATTTCTAAACGGGGAGAACATTTCTGCTAAGGATGTTGAATTTTTCAACTCTCTCAATAAGAATATTACCCTGTTGAACCTTTCCTTGGAAGAGGCCAAATTTGAATTGCTTTTGGTTGGTAGAGAAGAGGAATGGTTACTTTTCGTGAAACTTGTATCCACCACCAAGGCGTTGGCTAGACACGTACAGGCGCTCCGTTCATCGGTGGAAATGCAATGGAGTTTACTCCATGATCAAGATGAAAGTGATGACTCCACTAGCATCAGTAGTGGACGTCATTCCACCGAGTCATTGATCCATCTTTCTCAAAGTGTGGAGAATATGGCCAAAATCCAAACTTCTTCAGGGGCCGCGTCTGCTGCTGCAGCAGCCGCTGTGAGTGCAAATACCGCCATAACTTCAGGACAAATCTTTGACTTGTTTGTATACTATTTGGCCCCCTCGATGAAATCATTTATATTCACCATCAAGAACATTTTATCTGAGGTTCCCTTTGAGAATTTCGATGGGATAACTAACAAGTTTGCCCCGACGGACACGTTCCAGCACTCATTGGAAAGCGCCACGAGACTATTCCAGAGCAAGCAAGCCGATTCATTCGAACGGTTGTACGCACAGGAGATTTTCCGTAGAGGAGATTTAAACGATAACAAGGACTTTTTCTTTAAAACCGACCAGGAAGAAGTGACAGCCTGTTGTGGCAATTTCCTGTCATTATTGGGAGAATTTTCACGAGAATTGATGAAGTTTTTGAAACTAACAGAAGAGTATGACGAGGCAAGAGGCAGTAGTAGAAGTTGGAAATGGTTGAGAAGGAGGACAACCACCACCACAGATGCCGCGAGTGAAGAGACCAAATCAGACGTAGATGTAGATCTAGTAGATTCCGGGGAACAACAGGGACTCAATGAAGCCCTTTTAAACTTCCAGAACCATTACGAAGATGATCTGAAGAGAAGGAAGAGACATCAAGAAAATCATAGTCAGGACGACATGCCCCTTTCATTCAAATTATGGAAGACTTTGAAAATATTTAACCGTACCGACACTCAATTTGGTATTCGAGTTGGATTGGGGGCGTTTTGTATTGCCATATTCGCCTTTTTACCACGAACCAAAGAACAGTTCAATGAATGGAGAGGTGAATGGGCTCTAGTGATCTATTGTATCATGATGAACAAGTCAGTTGGAGGCACCACCATGACAATAAAATGGCGGTTCATTGGGACGTTTTTAGGATGTTATGGCGCATATTTGATCTGGTGGTTGACCGATGGGAATGGATACATCTTATGTTTGAGTGGGTTCCTCATATCTATCCCCAGTTTCTATATCATTCTCTATTGGAAGCAAAACAACCCGTTTGGTAGATTTATCTTGTTGGCCTATAATCTTACTGCCTTGTATTCATACAGTATGACCCAGAAGGACACCGAGGACGGCTTGGAAGGTGGAGATAACCCAATCATTGAAGACATTGCCTTCCATAGATTTGTCTCTGTTTCGGTCGGAATCGTTTGGGCATTGACCATGGCGTCTCTATTCTTACCCAATAGTGCTCGTGCCCGGTTGAAGAAGGGGTTGACCATCTTGTGGCTCCGTATGGGGGTCATTTGGAACAGTGATCCATTGGATTATGTTGAGGAAAGGGAAGAAAGTCGACTCTTGGGATTGAAAGATCAAAAGGGTTTACATGATTTACTTCGAGAATGTGAGACTTTGCTTAAACAAGCGCCCAAGGAATTCAGATTGAAAGGTCAATTCCCGAAGCAAAAATATGAAAAGATCATACAATGCACCTCCAACATCATTGACGCGTTCCAAAACATGAATCTAATGATAGAAGTAGACCCTGCCTTGAGTGCCAATGAGGAATATGTGTTGAAATACATCAGCGCTGAACGTGCTGAAGTGGAGCATCGGATCTTTTTAGTGTTCTATATGATTGCCAGTGCCATGAGATTAGGGTTCCCGTTGCCCAGCAAGCCGGCTTCCACGGAACATGCAAAGGATCGTATGCTTTTCAAACTCAATGAGATTCGAAGTAACACGGCTGTGAAGAAAGATTTGACCTTGACCAATGAAGATTATGTTCTTTTATACTCGTACATCTTGGTCACCAACAAGATATCGCTGGAGTTGGATAAGATCATTTTACTAGTGAAGGATTTATTGGGGAGCATCAACGAGGAGATCTTTGAGTTGGTTTGATCCAACTGGGGGGAGAACAGTCCCAAGAGAAAAGATAAACTGGCTGGTCCGGCAAAAAGAACAACATAATAATATAACTACATAATTAAATAGTACATGGAGACCCATCTATTAAGAAGGTTGTAGTGCTCAACGCCTTAAAGGAGAAATGCGTAATTGTACAGAGACTATCACTGCTAGAGGTACTCTGGGTTTGTGTGTGGAGTGGTTCGCAGTATAATATCAAGGTCCCCGATCTCACCTGAACAAAGTGACAAAGGGGCTCTATAATCATTATTATGGACGCTTTATCTCAAACACGAAGTATATTGTCCGGGTCTGATGGCACATCTGAAACTGCCTCCATAATTTGATCAAGAGCACAACTTCAGCAGTTGGTTTTACGGCAGAGTTCCATAACTTTTCCAAATTTGTCAACACCTAATCAAGGTCAATATGTTCTTTCTGTGTAGAAGTTGTCAGTGAGGAGTTTAGGGTTGTTGTACCTTTTCCAGTATGATTGGGTGGGAATGACATGGTAACTAAATGAATGTATACTACAAACTACTTGATTCTGAGCCACTTGAAATTGTCAGAAGATGTACTTCAAGAAACAATAAAGTATGAGTGTAATATCTAACTGGGTATTTAAGGGACATGTCTATAAACCCAAGTTCACAAACTGAGGCCCGAGTACAAAAACAAATTGCAGCCAAATTCCGCGTGGCCGAACTTTTTGCAGCCAAACCTTGAATAAAGTGGAAGGGTCAATTCCGTGGATGCATTCAACCCTGGTGAGTAATTTGGTGTTATTAAGATATGTATTTCTACTGACCCCGTAGGTGACTACTTACACCCCTACGGGGTTAGGAAGCCGCTCCGCTGGCACTCCGTGTGCCACTAGCCGTGATGGCCATGTTCCTCTACCGAGGAAAGTCTGGCTGCTAAGAAGTTTCCTCGGAGAGGAGCTAAGCACCACGCAGTGGCTCTCCCCGAGCAGGGGCCCAGCGGAGCGTCTTACTAACCCCGTAGGGCTGTTCCTCGATTCTCTGCGGAGTCTTGGAATTGTGCTAAATCTATAGGGTTTCGGAGTCAATGAAGAGTAGTGAACCCAATTGTTCGGTAGGTGGCTGCCGGTACATTACTTGTATTGGTCTCCTTTCTACAAGAGACTCGCTTTTTTACCTTGTTCTATTACCTGATAATCAGAAACAACCTCTTAGAAACTCTTTACATTCAGTAGTGATTGGTACAATAATTTCAATAAGCCTATACAACTCTCTTGAATTTCAATCAAGAATCTATTGAAGGGTAGATATAACTGTCCTGCTCAGAAGTATCTCTCTCAGCTCATTCTCCAACACTAAAGGAAATAAAGTTAATGTTCATTCGAAATTTACACACAACTAAATCATCAATGGAGAACAAGATTGTGAGAAATGAACATAGGATAAATATAAATTGTGCAAAACAAAAGAGGCTGTGATACACGCATTCAGGGTGATAAATGTCTTCACTATATTCACCAAGATTTCTGGCTTGTATTGCAGACCGGATATAATAAAAGCAGCATGCAAATGTTAAGCAAGAAACCAAGAGACGATTCAATGCCACCATTGCAATCTGCACTGAGCCCCCATTGTCAAGGTAAAACATCCCTACAACCGCTGGGAATAGAAAGTATCCCACCCCTAGCAATAGCTGCTCGCAACAAAGAAACAGCCAATTTGCTAATGTTGGATTAATAATTTTCGATTTCTCTAGCGATTTGTTCATTGCTCCAGAAACCAATATCTACTAAAGAATTAAAATTAAAATTAAATATATATAAGTACACTACGCCATCCCCAAACTTTCCCATACTCTAATCCTTCCATATGTACTGGTTCCACTGCAGCTCTTTGCATGTATGTGCATGTTCTCAGCAAGGTAGAGAGCCAATAAGTGTATTAAACAGAGCCTACAGCATGGATACAATGGGGCGGTTGTTCAATCAATACTTCCCAGGGCACTTTCTTTGATGATCACAACTAACAAAATCCATGAAGAAATGATCTTTGCTAGCGCCACAATAATATAAGTGAGTCCATTTGCGTTCGTATTTAGATGGGAGTCATATTTTACCACGATACAAATTGCCCCTAGTACATTCACACTAACCATCATATACACAAGAAAGAAAAGGAACTGACCTTGAGCAGTATCTTTCCAATTGAAACTGCCAGCTGAATGGTCAGGGTGGTTGCTTGCAGTGAGAACAATTATACATAAGACGTCAAATCCGAAACTCGAAATGACGCAAATCCAAAACAGTATGTCTAGAGTGCAATCCTTATTTACTATAGGTTGTTTAGCAAAGTTTGTTTTGATAGGGTTAACTTCAACCATGTTGAGGAGGAATACCTGTTTGATGTATTCAGTACAGCACAGTCAATAGATTTACATATTTATATTTATAATGAGGACCTGTCACTAAACTTAACTTGAAAGGACGTATTCCTACCCCATTGGGAAATGCACACACTCTCACGTCATGTTTTATACGTCAACATGTACTATTCTCTACGACTACTATCAACATGTAAGAAAGGGCCTTTCTACACACACGCATACTTTAAAGTCCTATTAAGGTACATCAATAAAAAAAAAAAAAATCGCTTCCATTCTGCATTCACCTCCGGCACAACATGGTGATTTTATTCAAGAGGCCATCATTAACTTTCATGCTGACATAAAACTTCATTCAACAGGTTCCGCTGGGGCCCCTACTCTGGGCGAGCCACTGCATGGGGGCACTCACCTCGTGCCTCTGGAGATATGTTTGCAGCCAAATTTCCTCGATAGAGGAACAGGAGCACCCATAGCTAGTGGCCCACGGAGTGCCAGGGGAGCGGCTTGCTGATCCCGCAGGGTATATACGAGCCTCCCCATGGGACTGAAAGACGCTCCGCTGGGCCCCTGCTTGGGGAGAGCCACTGCGTGGTGCCTAGCTCCTCTACGAGGAGACTTCTAACAGCCAGACTTTCCTCGGCAGAGGAACAGGGCCACCACGGCTAGTGGCCCACGGAGTGCCAGCGGAGCGGCTTCCTAACCCCGTAGGGTATCCACTTTTCTCTCACTACGTGTGACCGTAGAACTGCAACGCTGGTAGCATGTATCTGTGTATACAAGAGTCCAAAACGACGCTTTAACTTTGTATTGTTATTCCTAATTTTTTTTTTCTTTTTTGCTCTTTCAATCTTCCCAACTACTTTTCAACCTCCTAAGTGCATTCAACCCCGTTCCATACTCACTAGTACCCCTTTGTATATTATAAAAACTTCATCATGGTGTGGGTTGACTAGCCCGTTTGATTTCATACGGCTGACTTTGAACACGTGACTCGCCACTCATTGAGAAAGGAAAAAAAAAGTCAGAGAAAAACCAAAGGGCTGTAAAATTGAACAAAGGTTATTAGTAACACTTTAATTTAAACATCATATCTATACAATGTCTACGGTGTTTGATCCAGAAGGGCCTATTGCCCAACAATTGAAAGGACTGTTGATTTCCGAGCTCCAGACGAAGTACAGAATCCAAGACGATGCCGAGGATGTAGCCGAATTCATTTTGGTTTTGATTGGTAATAACCGATCGGCTGCTGACATTGTTGGAGAGGTCAGAGGGTTGGTTGATTTCCCTATTGATGAAGGGTTTGTGAATAGTATTTTTGCCGAGATTCAGAGATTGATGGGTCAAGAGGGTCAACAGCAACAGCAACAACAAGAGCAGCAGCAGCAACAACAACAACAACAACAACAACAACAAGCTCCACAAGCTGTGCCTTCAGCTTTTAGCCAAGCTCCTCAGGCTGTGCCTTCAGCTTTTAGTCAAGCTCCACAAGCTGTCTCATCAGCCTTTAGTCAAGCTCCACAAGCTGTCTCATCAGCCTTTAGTCAAGCTCCACAAGCTGTACCATCAGCCTTTAGTCAAGCTCCACCAGCCCAACATGCCCAGCAAGAGGCTTCCAATGGTGGCGCCCCTCCACCTTATTCAGGTGCAAGAGAACCACCCCATGCAAACTTCCACCCAGTCTTACTGTTCCCAAGCTTCCCCACCGGTCCAAAGGGTGCTCGTAACGGGAAACCAGCCTCAACCGCTAGAGGTGGAGGTATCTCCAAGACAAACACCGACAGAAACTCCACGAGACAACAACGTACTCTCGCAGGTAATCTTGAAAAGGCCATGGCCGCTGGTAATGTCAACGCCCGTAACTCCTCCTTCATCCAGAAACAAAGCAAGGGAAGATGTCCACAATTCCCCAACTGTGACAATAAAGAATGTGAATTGGCACATCCAACCAAGATTTGTTTCTCGTACCCTAACTGTATCAATCCTCCTGGAACTTGTAACTTCTTACACCCTGACCAAGATCAAGATTTGATGATTAAGTTGGAACAATCGAAGAAAGAATACCATGAAAAGAAGATGAGAGAAAGACAACAATACGTTCCACCCATCACTGTGTGTAAGTTTGCCTCGCATTGTTGTAAGGAAACGTGTGCCTTTGGCCATCCTAGTCCTGCCAACAAGACCGGATATGTCACTGAATATGAATGGTGTCCTCAAGGTAAAGAATGTACTGAGGAAACTTGTCGTAAGGCCCACCCTTCACCAAACTTTCAACCACAAGACAAAGTTCCTGGTGGGGCTCCTGTGCCACCTCCACAGCCATCTCTTGAACAATGTAAGTTTGGAGCTGCATGCACCAACTACAAGTGTTTGAAGAGACATGCATCGACACCAGTAGCTTGTCGTGAAGGTGCCAACTGTACCAGAATGGATTGTTTCTTCTCACATCCAATCGAAGAAGTTTGCCGGTTTGGAGTCAAGTGTACCAACAAGACATGTATGTTCCAACACCCTGAAGGAAGAGAGGTTGTGCAAAGCCATACCTGGACCAAGGATCAAGACGGAGGATCCACCCAACAGAGAGTTTTTGCCGTTCCAGAAGATCAAGTGATGGAGCAAGCCATCCAGAACTAGATGGTGGTCTAAGTTATATGTATAAGTATTAAAGATAAAGAAACAAAAAGCAAAGAAAAAAAAAAGAAAAAGAAAAGATAATAAAGAAGTTTATAGATCTGGTGTAGACCTTTAGCCACGGGGCCGTGTGGTGGTGGTGGTGGTGGTGGCGTGTCAAGGTGCTTATAGAGCCTTGACCTTGTACCATAGTGTAACAATAGAATTGAGAGAGAAGTATTCTCCGAGATGATATTTGATTGTAGAGAATGTGTAGATCAGCAAGAAGTCACACGGGGAAGGGAGTAGCTACCCTACGGGGTATGTAAGCCGCTCCGCTGGCACTCCGTGGGCCACTAGCCGTGGGGGCTCCTGTTCCTCTAATGAGGAAATGGCTGCTAAAATGAAAAACAAGGAATCACGTCGTTGCACCCTTAGTTCCCCCCTCGGAGAAAGGGATTCATAAGAGAGTCTTGTGGACCCATAGGAATGGGAATAGAGCCATAGTACTCCACGGGGTGTGTAAGCTATCACACAGGTACCATAGTGGAGATTTCTTTACTTCCATCAAAGAAAGATAACAGTGATGCGAATCTCCTCGTAGAGGAGCTAGGCCCCACGCAGTGGCCCTCCCCGGGAAGGGGCCCAGCGGAGCGTCTTACAGGCCCACAGGGAAAGTGAGTAGCCACCCTACGGGGTCAGCAAGTCGCTCCGCTGGCACTCCGTGGGCCACTAGCCGTGGGGGCTCTTGTTCCTCTAGCGAGGAATTTAGCAGCCAGGAGATCTCCTCGTAGAGGAGCTAGGCTCCACGCAGTGGCTCTCCCCGAGCAGGGGACTAGCGGAGAGGCTTACAGTCCTCGACCAGTGAAGAGAGCATCGTACGGCTAACCTACAAGCATGACAGTCAGGGACTACATTGAAAATTTAAAAGATAATTATGTATAAACTAATGTACTAAATTAAAACTAGAACATGGAAACCGTGGAGAGGGGGTCCCAAAGATCTAGTATCTTCTCTTGGAGGCAGAAGCTTCTTCAGCGTAGACTTCCAAAGGAGAGGCAACCAAAGCGTTGTCAGCCCACAAGTTTGGAGTCAAGAAAGAGTAGGTGTTACCAATAGCAACGAAAGCAGCCTTAAGGGTGTTTTCGGTGGTTCTGGTGGAACCGGAAGAAGTGGTGTAAACATCTTCAACACCAGCCAATTGCATCAACTTCTTGACGGCTGGGGAGGCGACAATACCCTTACCTCTTGGGGCTGGGATCAATCTGACGGCAACGGAACCACACTTACCGGTGACCTTGGTTGGCAAGGAGTGAGGAGCACCCAAGTTGGTACCCCAGTAACCTCTTCTGATTGGGATGATGGACAACTTGGCAATGATGATGGCGGCTCTGATGGCAGAGGCAACTTCCTTGGCGGTCTTGATACCCAAACCAACGTGACCGTTGGAGTCACCAATGACGACAACAGCCTTCATTCTGGTTCTTTGACCGGCTCTGGTTTGCTTTTGAACGGATCTGATCTTCATGACTTCATCCTTCAATTCTGGGAGCAATTGGTCAATGATTTGGTATTCCTTGACTGGGAGAGAGTGCAAGTAGATTTCTTCCATGGAGGAGATCTTACCGGCCTTCACAAGTCTACCTAACTTGGTGACTGGAGTCCATCCCTTTTCTTCGGAATCTCTTCTTGGACCTCTTCTTGGGCCCTTGTTACCACCAAATCTTCTCTTTGGGGCGTCGGTTGGAGCAGCAGCTGGAGCAGACATTGTTAATGGGATGAGTTTATTAAAAAAGTCGGAATGTTACGTGGAAAGCCGGGGGAGGTGGTTTTCGATCGACAAGAGTAATAAAAGTGAGGAGCAAGAGAGAGGTTGGAGTGGGAGGTGGATGGTCGGAGATGTGAAAAATTGTGAGCAGTGAGTGAGGGATGGAAGTCGCGTAGTGGTGAAAAAAAAAACGGAAAAAAAAGAGAGAGGAAAAAGAGAGTGGTCATGTGATGGGAAGGGCTGGAGCCCTAGAGAAGTACTGAAAAAAAAATAATTGAAGGGAAAAAAGATAATGGTGATTATGCAGTACATGCATAGAAGGTGAGAATATGTGGGAGATTAAGGGAATGACCTGGGGAAGGTGAGACGAGGCATTACCGGAAAGAATCGGAAGGGAATGTAAAAGGAGAAGAAGAAGGAGAATAAGGAGAAGGAGAATAAGAAGAAGGAGAATAATATTAAGATGAAGATGGGTAGATTAGATGTAGGATTAGATGTAGAGATTGTGATTCAAAAAAGGAGGAAAAAGGATCCTGATCACAAAAAGAGAAATGTGTAAATTGGAGGTCAGCAACATTCCAAGGCAAGGATAAAAAAGAGAAGGGACACATAAAAAGAATATAAGGAGAAAGGGAGAATAATATAGAAAAGATGCAGTAGAAGTGTAAAAGAAGTGTAGAATAATATGAATGATCTATACACTTTTTATGATTAAACCACAGAGACGTAGAGTGTTAAAAAAGGATCACCTATGTGCAGAAATGGAGACGTGGCGTTAAGGGTGAACATAAGTCAACCAATTCTTTTTTTGCTTTCTTCAAAATTTTCTTTTGTTATCTCTTTATATCTACGTTCCTACTTACACTCTACCCTTCTACCCTTTCCCTTTTATCTAATCCCTTTCTAAGTCCCTTCTAATTCTATTTATCTAATTCTCTCTATCTAATTCTCTAACTTGCTATCCGCGCGTAATGCCGGCATACATATCAGTCGATCAAAAGTGAACTGATAATATAGAACCATCATTATCATCCCATTCATCTTCTACCAAACATATTCTCTAACCCTCTCCTACCCTCCTCTACATTCTCCTACACCCTCCCATATACTCCTCCACCTACCTCCTCATCACTCCCCCACCCCCACCTCTCTCACCCTCCGCAACTTATTCATTTACCTCATTTATTTTTTTTTTTAAATTCTTCCCCAGAACCTGCAGAAAAGTCTATTAGATAGCAACTTATTCCAAAAACAAGGAGGTTTCAACGCCTAAAAAATTATTATTAAATAAAACCCTTTCCCTTACCAAACGAGTAAATTTTATTAGAAAAAATTCTTCTTCTTCTTTCTTCTTAAACCTATTCTCTACACCACCATGTCTAACCAATCCTACGCCGATGCTGCTGCTTCCTCAGGTCCTATCGGAGCTGAAAAGATCCCTGAACCAGCAAGATTACAAGAAACCCCAAACCCAAGTGGTTCAGGGAACATTGAATCTGTTTCTCAGAAAAAATTTGATAAATTGAAACAAGAAACCGAAAAATCTAGAGCTCATCTTGAAGCCGATGTGGAAAGAGCCAAGAAGGAAGCTAAGGAATTGGAAAAGAAGGCCAAGAAGGAGGGTAAGAAATTGTTGGAATTGCTCAAGCAAGGATATGCTGACGCTGGCAAATACTTTGCTGAATTTTCTCAAAATGTCTCTGAAACAACAAATGCCGCACTCACCAAGACCCTGAAGGAATTGGAAAACCCAGTGGTTGTCATTCAAGCCTTGGCTGGTATTGGTGGGCTTGTTGCCGGCTATGTGACGTACTTGGAAAGACACAGAATTAGAAGCGACAGCAACACTGTGTTGGGGATCCATGCAGCCATCATAACCGGGTTGATTGGATTGGATGCTTATTTGTTTGGTAAGTACTATCCAAAGTACGATAAGAAGCAATTTTAAAGAATGTCGTAAAATATAGCGCATGTAAAAAACAATAAACAAAGCATGAAATTGATGTAGGGAGATAGTAGAGAGGAGAGGGTAAAAAGAGCGAGTAAGGAAGAAATAGATGGGAGGGGAACCATGTTTCGAGATAAATAGACCTGTAGATCAATGTAAATATTGGTGGTGAAGTAATTTTTGTATTTTTTTTGTGGTTGCCACTCTTAAATTTTTTAATGAATTGCTCGTTTTTGCAACAAAAATGATGTTTGCCCCCTTATTGATTGTTTCCCTCCAGCCCTGCTTCTTTCCATCCACTCCCCGAGTTATTTTTTTTTTACATCCACCCCCACCTTAGGTCTATCACTTTCTACTCAATTCCCCACTTCTATCTATTCTCCGAGTCCTCTACCCTTTTTTGTTCATCCATTGTCCTACTATATCCTTCTTCTTATCATTCTTGACTACTGGTCACGCGATTTACGATTTTGTGGTCTTTACACATTTAAATACGCGATCCTGCACATACCTACACAAACAATGAAGTTTTGCAACCAAAAAAAGAGATAAGCCTTTAATGACAGGACATCAGCGGATACAGAGAAGAAGAAAGTAAGGAGGGTGGTAGAGGAGGTGGGAGTGGGAGTGGGCGGAGGGGGTGCACTGGGAGATTGTCGAGAGAGGGCTCTAGTAGAAAGGTGGAGGAGGCTAGAGTGTGGGGTTTGACGTCTTTTGAACAAAGTGGCAACAGCCGTGTCGCGCACGGGGCTCTTGTTCACGTAGGGAGAGAAGATCAAGGTATGACAAGAACAGGGGCATAGGTTACTACGGTGGACCTACAGGGGAGAATGGCTACCCTACGGGGTCAGCAAGCCGCTCCGCTGGCACTCCGTGGGCCCCTAGCCGGGGAGGCTCCTGTTCCTCTGACGAGGAAAGTCTGGCTGCCAGGAGATCTCCTCGTAGAGGAGCTAGGCCCCACGCAGTGGCCCTCCCCGGGCAGGGACCAGCGGAGCGTCTCACAGCCCCACAGGGAGGCTCCAGTTCCTCTTACGAGGAAAGTCTGGCTGCTAGAAGTCTCCTCGTAGAGGAGCTAGGCAGCACGCAGTGGCCCTCCCCGGGCAGGGGCCAGCGGAGCGTCTCACAGTCCCACAAGGAGGCTCGTGGATACCCTACGGGGGTCAGCAAACCGCTCCGCGGGCACCCAATGGCCCACTAGCCGTGGGGGTCTTGTTCTTCTCTACCGAGGAAGGGGTGACTACAAGTGGCCCTCTCCGGGCCTCTAGGGCCCAGAGGATCGGCTTGAACACCCTGTACAGTAGTCTCTCCCTGGTCCCCGTGGCAGTCGCCCCATTTTCTACATTTCTACAAATCGGCACGTTATCTCAGGGGGGTGGGGGACGGCCGCACCTTGCACCTCACAAGCCGATCCAAGATCGATGGAAGGAGGTCTTACGTCACATCGTCACCCACTGCAGTGCATCGTATAATATTGGGAAACACCTCGGCTCGAACACCGTACCTCCCAAAAAACGCATGTGAATTGTCGTGCGGGCATTTCCCGCGCATTTTCGCGTAAATCGGGGCACCGCGGCAGGGACCCGAGGAAAAAATATCTTAAATCTTAGGAAGCGTTGCAGTGACCTGCTTTTGCGGGAGCAACCCCAGCAGTTATGAGCATTATGTTGGCCAGTAGGAGCAGCAGGAGTAGTAGGTGCAGCAGGAGTAGTAGGTGCAGCAGTAGCAGCATTAGCAGCTCCTGTATCCCCTATCTATCGTAGAGAGCGCTGCGTCCGGACTTAGGACTACGTGCGCCCCCCTATCGACGGGGAACATACCGCCACAACTCGAACTTTAACTATCACCCATACAATTCAAGGCTCAAGCAAAATTGACTACAAAAAACGCAAAAGCCAAAAAAGACCAGCCGTTTACTTTCCAGCGCGCAACGTCGATATAGACTTTACAGTTTGAGATAACAGACCGTCTGTATGAATTGGTAACAATCAGCGATCGTGATAATTGGGGGCGACGCACGACCCGGAGAGTGAGAGAGTTAGGGGCCGATTTTATGTGCAGGCATCCGGCACAGAGACGGCGCTAGTAGAATTACCGCTGCAGACGCTGGATCATCGTATGTGCAGGCATGTGATGATGGGAAAGAGAGACAGAGAGAGAGAGGAAAAAGGAAGTTATGGGTAAGATGGGTACTCAATAAGTCCGGGTGGAAGACCGGACATGCCCGGGATGAAGAGAAGACGGAATAAAATCCGCCCGTGAGAGGAGGAACGTAAAATGTCACGCAATTTTATTTCACAACCGTCGGTTCCAAATATAGCCGCAGAGAGAAATCGTACCACATTTGAACGGTCTTGGGACAGGACGCAAGTCCACCGGGAAGTAGCCGCATGATGGGGACTAGAAGGTGAAGACGGCCGGTGGAAGAGTCTGCGGCAGACCCAGAGCCGGAGCCAAAACCTAAAGTTTTTGAGAGTCAGAAGTATGCTCCCAAATTAGATGGTGCACGCCGAAACTGGCACAACAGGAGAAGAAAGACCTGACGCAGTAGTTTAAATTGGAGGCTAAAAGAGTTGAGGCTAGGTGGGAGAGAGTGGGTGGAGGAGGATCACTATGAAGAGGAGAGGAAGGAGAGGAGAAAAAGGAGAGGAGAAGGTTGCAGAACTGCGGAACGAACCATCATACGCCGCAACACCCGGAGTCCAACTTTTGCATCCACACTTCTGCGCATGTGTAGCACCATACATCCCATCGGGCATAAGTGCCCTCACGCATTTTTTGTTTCGCTGCCCACTATAATCTTTCTGCGGGACTGGGCAAGGGGTCTGGCGGACAGGGAGCCAGGGAATCAGGGAGCCAAGGAGCCAAGGAGCTAGAGGAGGTGCAGCAGCTCCATGGGATGGGGGAATATAGTGCTATTGTTCCCCCACGGTCAACCCTAAAGGCTATTTGTGCGGAGGGTGGGGGTCCGCTGTGAGGAGGCTGCCGTCGGACCGGTTGGCCGGGTAGGTCTAACATTTTTGGCTTTGGCCACGTCAAACTGAAAATAAACATAAAAAGGGAAAACCGAAACGAGCAGCAGCTGCACCTCGCCTAATTGTTTCCATAACAAGAAAATAATACAGAAAAAAAAAATAAAAGAGGAAAATAACGGATTTACGGATTTGTAGATTTTTTTTTTTTTTAATTTTTTTAATTTTTAATTTTGCGCTTTTGGGGTAAGCACTTATCCGCCGGCGGCAAAACACTATGCCGACGAGGACTCTACCCAGAGTGGACAAAATGTAGCGGAAGAAAAAAAAAAATATCTACGTCATACACCAGGGAGTTGTGGGTGCGGCTTGCACAGAAAATGAGACGTATACAGGGTTCACTTGCATTTGCAGGGGTGTGGGACAGAGAGGGACCACCGGTTATAGTGGTGGCAGCCGCAGGAGTGGAGTGTTTGGTAGAAGGAGAGGGCAGAAGGGAAAGAGAGAGGAGGGGAAGAGAGATATGGGGACATTTCTAAATATAGAAGGAGGGAAGGAGGAAACGAGGGAAGGGAGCGGGAGCGGGAGGCGCCCGGATTAATTCCCTCAGTGGAAACCCCAACCTCGTTTCATATGGGGGGTCCACGGATAAATATGGCATCGAGTTTAGATAATGGTAAAAGTATATTTTATCAGATCGTTGAAGGGAAAAGGTGTGGATGAGAAAGAGGGAGGGAGTCAAAAATTGGCTAAGGGTTAGGGCCCGCGGTTGGGAGCACGGGGCGAGCTGTGCGCGCGTGCGCGCGCGCGCGCGCGTCAGTTAATGGATAGACAACCGGGAGGCACTGCCGAACAAAATCTGCAGCTTGATTAAGTTACCTGATGCGCAATTTCCTGATTTGATCAAGAGTTGTGGAACGGGGGAGGTACTGCCGTATCGGCACGATTAAGGCTAAAGGACAGTAGATATGTGCATCGAGAGAGCAAGAATGAGCAGATTGGAGGGAGTAGAAAGCAAGAATGAGCAGATGGGAGGGAGTAGAAAGCAAGAATGAGCAGATGGGAGGGAGCAGAAAGCATGGTGGGTTGCTGGGGGTGGGGGTCACGACTGGGTGGCACAGTGAAAGAGAGGGGGGGCAAGGGCAAGGACGAGGACGAGGACAAGGGACTCAAGGCCGACTCGATTCTAGGCCACCAGGCGACATGATCGAATCTTCACTACATCTCATGCACGAGTTCTAGCTTCTTCAAATGAACAGCGTTGGTGAAAAGACCACACACACCTTATCAAGGTGGAAGCGCGTCCTGCACAGGCGCCGGGACGGGACACGCCATTTAAAAATAGACCGCCGGTTGGTCACGCCTATTAAGCTTTATGTTTAAACTATCGTTGGCTTGGAGTTACATGGTGCAGCCAGATATGGTGCTTGAGGAGGGATTGGGAGTCAACGGCGATGATTCTACAGTCACCAGGCAGCATTGATCCGGAACCTGGCGCCCTCCTCTGGCAAGCGCTGGGGCTCTCCTCTGGCAAGGCACACCTCAAGGTCGATTGGGGTCGATCCCAACACCTTGATGGCTCATCCGTCGACGCTGGGTGGTGCATGTGAACCGTATTGTTCCCACACCCGCTTACCAACACAGAAGGCCGACGACGCACCCACCATGTAGTCTCCACTGCTTGATACGCACACCACAACAAGATTAATAATAAACAATGCGCGGGTGCTCGAGAACCACGTGCTCGCCAGGATCGTCCCTGGAAGATGTTGACTCGCTCCGGGGGAGGGGGGTTGTCGAGCCCCGTGACACGCACGTCCTTTGTCTCCTCCACCACACTCCGCCCACCACCCTCCACCTACACTCATCGCCACCTTCCCACCTCCCACCCTCAGCTTGGGGCGGCACACCGTGTCACTCCCCTCGTCGTAGCGGTGCAACAGCACTGTGTACTCTCTCTCTCTCTCTCTCCTGGAGGCTCTCAGTTGTCCGTTCTGCAACTGCGGCTGCCATTTTTTTATTTTTTCTTTTTTCTTCTCAATTTTGATTTTGCGTTTTTTCTCTTTCTTTTTTTTTTTTTTGTTTTTTCTCACGCTCATGCGCGCGCGTTTCCTCCTTTCAACCCTATCCTGGATAATGCGTCTCTGCGTCCAATCTGCCAGAAACCCGCAATGGCGCTTTCTTCGTTGAATTGTTTATTTTTTTTTTTTGTTTGAGCTCTTCTCTTGTTTTTGCGGCGCCCGCGGGGCTCCTGTCTGTTCTCCAGTATACGATGGTTGCATGGCCGATGTGGATGGGCCGAGGAAATGGTATGATGTGGTCCCAGGCGGGGTACCTCTGTCCCGCCGCTCCCACCGGGGAGGGCCCCACTGCCACTGCCACTGCCACCGCCGCCGGGTCGCCCCACCACCCCTTGCCAACGGGCCTGCCCCACCGTTGGCCGGGCCCTGTCCGTCACACCGGCTACCCTGCCCTGCACCCGCCCAATTAACCTTCAGGCACCACCTCACCATCATTGCAGTCTCCCTCCTACGCCCCCCGTCTCCTGCATTGTTAAAATGTTTTTCCGGCTCCTTTTCCCACATTGTTCCATACATACAAAATTGCCATTCCTGCACAACCTTAAACGTAAAGCGCTCAACACCAAAAAATAAAAAAAAAAACAATACTCGCAATCGTTGTGATATTATTTTTTTTTTTTACCTCAACTGGCCTATTTTTCGCTTTTGCGCTTTTCCATCCACGCACCCACAGAACCGCCACCCCCGCGGCGGATCCGCGGCCACAAAACCGATTTAATACCTTGTTTTACCGCCAATGCATTATAATAACCCTTGCTGCGATCAGCACCTAAAGAAAGCGACGCACCTCCATGCACGCTGCTGTACCCCATCTGCGCACATCCTGTCCCTTTCCCAATTGCGTTTATGACATCAAGAGGGAAGCCATCGTTTTGGGAAATGTATATATAAGAAAGTCCTTCACCTCCTGATTTTTGTCGCATCGGTAGGCCGACCAGATCTACACATCGACCCCCTCCAAGCACCACCCCACGGCAAGCACAGCAAGCACCCTGAGCGCTAGCTGGACCCACACCCGAAATAGAGAATCAAGAGTTGTTGTCCAACTGCGTCTACCAATTATTACTCACACCCCCCTCCTTTCAGTCAGTTGCACCCCCCCAAGTCTAGTCTCGGCAAACTGCACCCCCCCCTCTCTCTCTCTCCACGGCCCAACACAACAACCCGCGGCCTACAATGTACTTTTCAAACCCTGTCTCCTACAACAAATTCTTTGAAATGTTGGAGTACCCCGAGAAGGCTGACCCTCAGGACTTGGACACCAAGGCACCTTCATACCCACTGAAGTTGGAGTATCATTCATCGTCGCACCCCCATGATTTGTACTCGCAGTATGCAGGCGCGGCCGCGGCCGCGACTTCAACCGTTGGCGTCGGCGTTGGCGGCATCGGCGGCATCAACGGCGGAGTTTCCGGCGCTACGTCCCATAACGGCGGCATCATACCCGCGTACAGTTTCCACCCGTCGAACCCCGGGATGGTGGCGTCTGCCAGCCATGGTGGCAGTGAGACCACCTCCTACAATAACAGTCCTCAGATTCATTATAATCCTAATCCAAACACCCTGGGGATTTCGGTTGCGGCTGCAAACAATTTCAATTACCCTTCCTCTGGGAAGGATCTATTCTATTTACAAAGTTTTAATAATAGTGCCATGTTCAATACTACTGCTGCCGCCGCTGCTGCCTCCGGCACTGTCCCGGGCCCGGGCCTGGGCTCCGATCCAACCTACACTAATAATAATCTTGCCGTACTCTCCGGTAATGGATCACAGTACCCGATGGTGTCGCAGCATATCCCTTTAGCTCTCCCCACGTTGATGGGTCCAGGCAGCGTGGCCGCAGCAGCTGCAGCAGCAGCTGCAACAGCAGCCGCTACTGCCGTTAGCACCGGCACCGGCTCCTCCGCCGGTGTATCATCCTCGACGGGAACCCCCTTGGTTGGCGGCATTTCTAGCGACTACTCCGATTACTCCCACCCATCGACCCTTGACTACTACAGCAAGCCCTCACCACGACTCCAACCCTCCGAGTATGACCCTCGAACCCAGCTCAACTCGATGAATGCTCCCTTGACCAAGATCAAGTTGGAACATCATCAGTACCAACAACAAGAAGTCCTGCAACAACAACAACAACAACAACAAGATCAACCACGTTATTCGAGCCAATACCAACTTTCTACTGGTGGAGGCGGAAGACGATTCCGAGTCATCCGGGGGATGTCTGCTGGTGGATCCACCAGTAAGCCCCCCAAAGTGTCACCCAATTGCACCAGTGACTTTCAACCAGTGGAGTTGGAAATCATTGATGGGACCGTGGAGGACATTTGTTTCCCGAAATGGAACTACGAGGAGAAGCTGGATCGTCGAAGAATCGTCAGGATTGAACGTACTCAAGAAGGATCAAAACTTGTTGCCAAATTCCTGATTGTCGGATCTGCCGCGGAGCATCCGGTCCCGGTCCCCGCCACCAACCCCAACGTTGATGTCATTGAAGTATCTTGTTTGGAATGTTCTATCCGTAACGATTATTATGGTGATGAGGAGACTCAAGACAGTGATGATGGTGGAGGACATAGTCCTAAATCGATGGCTAATGGTGGCGGCGGAGGAAGTCGCAGTTCCTTCCAAGACGAGCTTGGCTACCGCCACCAATACTACATCACGTCAGTGGAAGTGGTTGGCATTGTTGAGCTTTTGATTGGAACCCAATTGAAAGACCCAGCAGAACGGAGGAAAGAACGAGGCCGGGTGAGATCGAACTTGGTGCCGTTCTGGTCCAAGAAGCCGATCAGTTCACGTGAGACCGAGGAGTCCCTCCAGGGCAGCGATTTCCGGTGGGAATTGGCCAAACGGATCATGGGCTACGAGATGAGGAAGCCCCGAGGCTTCGACAAGGAGGTTCGGATCTTGCGCTGGGACAAGTTGATCCCGGCGTTGAAACGAGCACTCCAGAGTTACTACACGGAGATCCCACGCGATGGACCAGCTCCCGCGCCCCACTACTACGGATGAGAGTGTTAATGTGTTTGTATATATAAGTTCGCTGGATCGGATTATATAGGCGGTTATAGAGAGAATAAAACAGAGAAGGCATACTCCTAGCACTTGTAGAGCCCTCCACAGGGGGTAAGCAAGCCGCTCCGCTGGCCCCTGCTCGGGGGGGGGGGAGCCACTGCGTGGTGCCTAGCTCCTCTACGAGGAGACCAGGGGGTCTGGAGATATTCCTCGTGAGAGGAACGAGGCCTCCACGGCTAGTGGCCCACGGAGTGCCAGCGGAGCGGCTTGCGTACCCCCGGAGGGAGGAGGTGCTACACTACCACTGGGACTGGACTGGGCCACCCCGCCGGGGGGTTTCAAGCCGCTCCGCTGGCCCCTGCTCGGGGGGAGCCACTGCGTGGTGCCTAGCTCCTCTACGAGGAGACCAGGGGGTCTGGAGATATTCCTCGTGAGAGGAACGAGGCCTCCACGGCTAGTGGCCCACGGAGTGCCAGCGGAGCGGCTTGCTTACCGCCCGGAGGGTGGCCCAGACCAGTCCCAGTGGTGGTGCAGAATTTCCTCCCCTACGAGGTTGGAAAGCCGCTCCGCTGGCACTCCGTGGGCCACTGGCCGTGGGGGCCTTGTTCCTCTTACGAAGAAGGCCAAGTGTCCAGGTAGCTCGGTGGGAAGGGCGGTGGGAGGTCCTACCGTGCTGGCAGACGTCCGCCAAGGGATCTACAGATCTTTCCTCGAGATCCTACGCTGCACAGAAGTGCCTACAGCTGGTTCCAGTGGCTTCCCCTACACTCGTGCCGCCACACACACATACACTCGATCCTCGGCAGCGCATGGGGGTGAGGGACGATGGAACATAAGCCAAGTTCCTGTCCCCCCTGCGAGACCGTGGGATGATTGGTATACGGAGTACGGTGAGGACGACAACCGCCCCTCCCTGACCCCATTCGTTTCACCCAACACACACGGGATGTCGGGGGTCCTATACACCTCTACGCGGCGCATCGAACCGCATGGTAGGCTCTGTACACACGATCTCTTGGGCCCCCATCCACCCATGCACATAAATTCCGCCAATGCACGCTGGTGGACCCCAGACCCTTGCGTTCTCTACCGGCTACTGATTAAGGGCTTTTCCATGCGTGGGCCGCACATATGGGCGCTCCGTGGACCAGGGGGGATGGGGGGAAGCGATCTGGCTACCGTGACACGCGGCACCACTGTGCTAAGGCCGATATACCCACACTCCTGCACCGCGCCTACTGCTGCCGACTGTGTTGACGACAGGCCCAGCCCTGGTAGCACACGAGGAGATGATGGAGGGGGTGCACTGCGCCTGGCCCATGGGGCGCGCCCCAGTTCCTCCGAAGAATGCCACGGGGAATTCGTGTAGGATCTACTAATACTACATCCCTGACCATTGACAGAACGCAATTTCTTTGACCGATGGACGGCATTTGGAGGAGGCCAGACTCGATTGTTTCAGATCGGGCAGACAAGTTCACCGTGTATGTACCACCCACCACCCCCACCGTAAATGTTTCCTGTTCCCAGTTCGTATTCGGAGATACATGTCCTGTATACCACATGCCGCCCCAGCAAGCGAGGCTGTTTGAGTTTGAGGGGTAGCAGAATAAAAATAGACACACACGCAAAAAAAAAAAAAGAAATAAATAAACATTTTATGACACAAAGGTGAAATTGCGGTGACGTACACAAAAGTGGCAACCGGCCCTCACAGGAGTAATACGAACGTGGATAGGGGTAATTGTAGGGACGATAATAGGGAGGAATATACGAGAGTGAGGGGGCAGCATGCGGGAAAAGGAGAGAGGGAGAGTGTGGGAGAGAATGTGTCTGACCATGGGTATTCCGGCCACTGCCATGAACAATGAGCACGTCTCATATTCTCTCTCTTAAATCGTCGCGGTGCTATGGCAAGTCTTAGCGCGCTCACTGTTCAATTGACCACCTGTCTTTTCTTGTTAGAGGAAAGTCCTCCGCTCTCCAGGGGTGCCCATAGACGCTCCGCTGGGGCCCCTACCCGGGGAGGGCCACTGGCGTGGAGCCCAGCTCCTCTACGAGGAGTGCGAGAGGTGGGCCAGGACTCCTCGAAGAGGAGCAAAGCCCCCACGGCTAGTGGCCCACGGAGTGCCAGCGGAGCGGCTTACAAACCCCGTAGGGTACCACATATTCCATCCCTCCCGGGACTGTAGGACGCTCCGCTGGCCCCTACCCGGGGAGGGCCACTGCGTGGAGCCTAGCTCCTCTTCGAGGAGTGCGAGAGCTAGCCCATGACTCCTCGTAGAGGAGCAAGGCCCCCACGGCTAGTGGCCCACGGAGTGCCAGCGGAGCGGCTTGCACACCCCGTAGGGCAGTGCACTCCCTTCCCCGTGGGACCGCAAGACGCTCCGCTGGCCCCTGCTCGGGGAGAGCCACTGCGTGGTGCTTAGCTCCTCTGCGAGGAGTTTGGTTTTAATTCACTGCAAGCGCTCAACTTTCCAGTAAGAGAGCTCCACCAAGCCAATTTTCAAACGGCACTGAGATCTCCCCGCCCCACAGGGACTGTCGACCGCCCCTCTGGCAGTCCACAGGCAACTAGACGTCGAGGGTGGCGTTGTTCCTCCAACGAGGAGCCCGCACTTTTCTACAGTTTGGCTGCCAAATCGAAATTTTTGTTTTTTTGTCGCACGCGCGCGCCATTTCTTAGCGGGTTCGCCGAATTAGGAAGTTTACCATTTTCTGTTTCGCAGCCAAAGTACGACCTGGTGTAATACCCACCCACTAGCGTCATCCTGAAGCCAGATGGTTTATCCAGCTCGTGTGGCCCCCGCTTTTGGATGTGCCCTGTACGCTTCCTTCAGAACTTCTCCCCAGAGAGGCAGGGCCTCTAAGACCCCTATGGCCCACGGATTACCAGCGCGGAGACCTACTGTCTCCGTAGGGTACAACATACTCCATCCCTTCCCGGACTATAAGACGCTCCGCTGGGCCCCTTACCGGTGAGGGCCACTGGGTGTGGAGTCTTGATCGCACCTACGAGGAGATCTTCTTGAGTCCATTTCTCGTCAGAGGAACAAGGCCCCCACGGCTAGTGGCCCACGGAGTGCCAGCGGAGCGGCTTACATACCCGTAGGGCAGTCCACTCCCTTCCCTGCGGGACTGTAAGCCGCTCCGCTGGCCCCTACCCGGGGGAGGGCCACTGGCGTGGTGCCTAGCTCCTCTACGAGGAGATTTCTACACCGTACCTACTCTCCTCGTTAGAGGAGCAAGGCCCCCACGGCTAGTGGCCCACGGAGTGCCAGCGGAGCGGCTTACATACCCGTAGGGCAGTCCACTCCCTTCCCTGCGGGACTGTAAGCCGCTCCGCTGGCCCCTACCCGGGGAGGGCCACTGGCGTGGTGCCTAGCTCCTCTACGAGGAGATTTCTACACCGTACCTACTCTCCTCGTTAGAGGAGCAAGGCCCCCACGGCTAGTGGCCCACGGAGTGCCAGCGGAGCGGCTTACATACCCGTAGGGCAGTCCACTCCCTTCCCTGCGGGACTGTAAGCCGCTCCGCTGGCCCCTACCCGGGGGAGGGCCACTGGCGTGGTGCCTAGCTCCTCTACGAGGAGATTTCTACACCGTACCTACTCTCCTCGTTAGAGGAGCAAGGCCCCCACGGCTAGTGGCCCACGGAGTGCCAGCGGAGCGGCTTACATACCCCGTAGGGCAGTCCACTCCCTTCCCCGTGGGACAGCAAGACACTCCGCTGGGCCCCTGCCCGGGGAGGGCCACTGGCGTGGTGCCTAGCTCCTCTAACGAGGAGACCTTTGTCACCGTCCAACACTATTCCTCTATCTAATAACGTTGAATGAATTTATATCTACATAATATTTGTCTATTATCTCTAAAATTTGTTGGAGTTTCTAAACTTTCATCGTCTTTCGGTCACGCGCCGAGTCACGTGCGCACCCTCCCAAGTCACGCATCCAATCACGTGACGCCACCTCTCGATATTATTTTCTTTTTATTTCATAAATTTCCAAAGTTTTGTTTATCATACCCTTATTCAATCTTTCAAATCCATCCATAATTGTCAAATGTCACTGCTCGATATACTTCACCCCCACCTCGACCAACGTCATCATTTGAGTTAACGTTTCTGATTCGTCGTATATGCAGTACGCCAATAAATCCATTATCAGGGGGAAAGTGATTGGGGGGTGGGGGGACCATTACATCATAGCCTATCAATGTTACATAAAAAAGGGTAATAAGGTTAGTTAAAGTTTAAAGAAAAAGCTTATCCATGGCTTGCCGGATATAAAAATGTTTAAATTGAAAAGGCTGAAAATAAAAAAGTAAAATAAACAATAAACTGTTAAAAAAAGATCTAATGGTGTCACTCCCGTACGTTTGAACGAAATTTTGATCCCTCCATATTTTTTTTAAATAAAGTATAATCCAAAATATTCAATGGTGGCGACAGAAAGGGGTATTAAAGATACATTATGGTTTCAAGTTTGAATTTAAATAATGGATCATACATTGTTTTTGTACTGTCTTAGTAATTTTAAATTTTGTATTGTTCAACGTAATGGCACCGTTAGTGCAAATCTTATGTGAGCAGTTTTTGTATAAAAAAAAAAAAAAAAAAAAAATTCAAAATTGTGTTTTTGTGACACAAAGTCGCAAACTCTAACATACTACCCCAAAGGAGTCAATACAAAACATAACAATGACCAGCCCACAGCACTTATACGATGGTATTTTTTTTTCAGATGAACCGAGTGCAGAGCAGTGGCGTGGGGGAAAAAGGAAGGGAGCTGTACAAGGTGTGTCCAACTCGTGTATGTCCGCCCCACCCGCCCTCTCCGCCTGGCTGGAGAGCGTCTCTAACGCGGAAACGATACCTGTCAATGTGATTGTTAATGAAGTTTGCCACCATGGTAGGCGACCCGTACGGAGATATACTACGCGGCGGCACGTGCACAGCACAGCACAGCACAGCACAGCACAGCACAGCACAGCACAGCACAGCACAGCACAGCACATTACAGCACAGTACACCCGCGCGCTCGATCGGTGCCATATCTCCGATCTCAACGTTGGGCTGACAACCCCCTGGCGCATCACTACACCAAACCAGTAACCTCATCACTCGTGCAGCATCTACATCTCTCTCTTATCATAACCTATCGAGCTCTGCCTACTACGTTTGTATTATTCCCGGTTCGGGCGTATCCCTTGGTAACAATTGGCGATTCCGTAGACTCATTGTTAGCGGCCCGTCCTGCATGCACGACGGATAGTCTCACTTAATTTTTCCTCGCGGGAAAAACCAAAACCAAAAAATAAAAAAAAAGAAATTAAGAAAAAGAGGAAAACACCAGAAATATACCAAAATGGCAAATTAACCGCGTCAAATTGGCAGCTGATAATTTTTGGCGACCATCCATACAAAGCACAGAAACAGCACAAGGGACATGTTGACGATGCAATTGCGAATTCTGCGGGACCCTTGTAGAATGCCACAGCAGGGCTTCGTTGTCCTTTACCACCCGTTCCGCACAAGCCCGGTGGGATCCCACAGGATCCCATAGGTTCCCACGAGCTTCTTCCCGGCTCCTCCCATAGGGAGCAATTTGGTTGGCATTTCCTCCTCCGGCCATTTCACTAAATTTTTTTTTTTATTTTCTTTTTTTAATTTTTTTTTCTTTTTTATTTTTTCCTTTTTATTTTATTTTTTTTTTCCATTTTCTATTTTTATTTTCTTTGTTTTCGTAAATTGTGCCCCTTCCCTCCAACGACATTTTTGCACATTGTGTATGTATTTGTGAATGTCGCCCCCCAGAATGTTGGCCCCTTGAACCACAGACTGCCAGGCTCCTCCACCGCCACCCTCCCTCAGTGACGAGCCTGGGGCGGTGGCGCTCTGGCCGGCCGGAGCCCGCGTGCGTGGGTCCCAATCGACCCATACTGCCGTCTCCCATTCTCTCGCAATCTCTATCTGCACCCGCGCGCCGGCCTCCAACGACTCCTGTACCACTAATGTCATCATTCGCACTCTCATCATTTTTAGCAGTCGTTTTTTCGGTACCTACCGGCCGATCTCACGTATCATCTGTACGCGGTCGCCTCAGATTCTGACCTGACTAACCACCGCCCTCGGGGCAGCCTCCAGCGTCTGTCTCTTCCTCGTCAGAGGAACAAGGCCCCCACGGCCAGTGGCCCACGGAGTGCCAGCGGAGCGGCTTACAAACCCCGTGCTCCCTTCCCTGCGGGCCTGCAAGACGCTCCGCTGGGCCCCTACCCGGGGAGGGCCACTGCGTGGAGCCTGGCTCCTCTTCGAGGAGTCTCGCCGCACTTCTCTCCCTCGCGCTGCTTGGCCTCCCTCTCTCTCGCTCTCCCTCGCTCTCTCCCAGTAAAGGAGCCCATGCACTCCCGCATGCATCCTCTCCGATTCACTCTGCAAGCAAGATGATGATCAACGTCCAGTACAATAGACCTGTAGATGGGCCCCCTTTGTCCTCGACATTCACCCGCGCCCCGCCGTATCTCCGCTACCCTTCTCCCTACCTCCCCCCCCCTCGTCCACCGTCCACCCGCCGCCCTGCCCCTTTACTCTCTGGCCCGTGGTGCGGCTTGGATTCTTCTGTCTCTCTGATTTATTCCCATTGAAGAAAATTTTAATATACCTTGCATTGCATTGAATCAGACAATCTTTCCCTTTGAATTTCATATATAAGTTGGCTTATCCTGCCTCTCACGCGTATCTCCCCTCCTCCCTCTCTCTATCTTGTTATTTGTTGTCTTGTCTCCTCCTTCACGTTCCCCCTCCACGTTCCCCCTAGCCAGCTCCTCCCCGTCAGTTCCTCCCCGTCAGTTCCTCCAGCCATGTCCGCAACCTCAATGCTCCCCGTGACTTCCCAACCGTCTATTTCGTCCCTTTCTTCGCAAAGAACATCTTCTCGTCTCTCATCCCTCAACCCAATGAGGACCTCCAACTTTAAAATACCCGGAGGTCCTCCTGTTCCTCCTAAACCTTCGTCAGGGTCCTCAGCCTCCTCAGCTTCTTCAATCTCTTCCTCCTCCACCTCCTTCTCCATACATCAGACTGCAGCTACCCCAACTCCAGATCATCATTCTCCACCTACCCACTCCCACTCCCACACCCACACCCCACCAACTTCCAACCACACCCCAACTCCAACTCCCCACCACACTTCCACCCACTCACGTCTCTTCCCAACCTTCTCCAACCATTCCAACCACTCCCACGAGGAAAACTTCCAACTTAAAAGACTCGACTCCAACTCCACCATCAATTCAAACTTCTCCCTGCAACTGAAATACCTTGTAACCCTCAACCTTAGTAAACGAGATATCGAACTTATTCGGTACACATGGAATAAAATGCTTCTTGAAGAACCTCAACATGAACGTCCAACCCATCTGCAACTCCCACAAATGCCCGGTCAATTCTACCCAGGTCAATCTTACCCCCCACATACCCATCATTCTCAACATAATCATTCTCATAATGATTCCTTGACCGCTCAAAATATGAAGGGATTATCACAAATCAAACAAATGAGTACCTCCACCGTTGCTCTGTCACTCTTTTGTCGTCAATTCTATGGCAATCTTCTAGCAATGTCCCCCGGGTTAGAGGGGTATTTCCCCCTGATTAAACATCAAGCAGTGGCGTTTGCCGGAGTGGTATCCCTTGCCATTCTGCAACTTGATAACTTGTCCTCCTTGGATGAATATCTCACCAAGTTGGGGAAACGTCATACCCGTATCCTCAACATTGAACCAGAACATTTCGAACTCATGGGAGAAGCACTCATCAAAACATTTATTGAACGATTTGGTATCAAATTCAATCATGAATTGGAAGTGTTATGGATCAAATTGTACATGTATCTCTCCAATTCCATCCTTCAATATGGTCAAGATCCAAAACTTAAATTGAATAAAAATGACAACACTGGCAGTAATCCAGATCATTTGTTTCAAACCAATCAACTTGATGAACGGTCTCTTTTGGACACTCTGAGTCTTAACGCTGAACTCACGCGTTCAAGCACCTTGACTGACGCTGGTTCTTCAGTCAATGGGCAATTTCTGACCCGTAATGGCAGCCAAGCGGGTAGACATCTGAGTGTCAGTACCGCACACACCAGTATCATGAATCCAGAACTGGCCACCGCATCCACCGACAACGTCGAAGACAGTGGCAAAAAGCAAAAAAAGAGACTGAGAATGAGTATCAGAAACAAAACAAAGGAAGGATGTGTGATAGTATAGATATAGAAACAGAATAGACGTTCCAATAGTAACAAAAAGTAGCAACAAGCGTGTAGCCCCCCTGTGTAGTCCCGTGAGTAGCTCGGCCCTGGGCAGTCACACCGTGGGCAGGTCGTTGAAGGGCGCCATGTGGTTGCCACTCGGGGCAGGGGGTCCAGCGGAGCGTCTTTCAGTCCCACGGGGAGGGAAGTGGGCTGCCCTACGGGGTGTGTAAGCCGCTCCGCTGGCACTCCGTGGGCCACTAGCCGTGGTGGCCTTGCTCCTCTAACGAGGAGAGGTGGGTTTAGCAGCCAGACGTGTCTCTCTCGAACAGGGTGACACACCAACGCTAGTGGACCATGGAAGACGACATACAGAGAGAGGAGCAGGAACACTCCCTAGGGGCAGTGGTTTAGTAACTAGAGACGAAGAAGTGGAGTGACTGGTTCAAGGGGATTGGAGAGAGGTGTAAATTTTTTAGCAGCCAACAATTGTCAACTATGAAGAACGCCTCCACTGGAAAAGGTCGGGAGTATCACCAGCTCCGAGTACGACGGACGTGCTTACATTCTCCTGTAGAGTGGCAAAAGAGAGAAGAGCTACATTATCACACCATTCCTGAAGTGTAGACTCTTCCTAACCACTCGTGACGAGGGCGGCTAGTAGTCAACAGGTGGCGGCAAAATTACACCAGCAAAGGAATTTATAAAGGTTGGGCAATCTACAGTACAATGGGTCGGCCCGTCCCACAGTGGCCACACTCACAGGGGCTCGACTCACAGGGGCCACACTCATAGGGGCTCGTCTCATAGGGCCGTCCATATAGAGAAGGTGCTAAAGAAATGCCCTGACGTGCTTACGAGCACTAAACTACACTAAGATCAAAACAGACTGCAGCGGAAGGAGAGGAATGGATCACACAGGAAAATGGCTACCACCACCCCCTCATATCCAACAGAGAAGTGCCACACCATGCAGCCCCCTTAACGGTCACCGGGGGCCCCCACCCTCACGGGATATCTCGCTACTATACACAGAGAGCCAGGTCTACGATAGAGCAAACTCCTCGCTAGAGGAGCAAGGCCCCCACGGCTAGTGGCCCACGGAGTGCCAGCGGAGCGGCTTACACACCCCGTAGGGCAGTCCGCTCCCTTCCCCGTGGGACAGCAAGACGCTCCGCTGGGCCCCTACCCGGGGAGGGCCACTGCGTGGTGCCTAGCTCCTCTACGAGGAGATCTCTACCCCCATACCTACTCTCCTCGCTAGAGGAGCAAGGCCTCCACGGCTAGTGGCCCACGGAGTGCCAGCGGAGCGGCTTGCACACCCCGTAGGGCAGCCACTCCCTTCCCGGTGGGTTGCCAGCCAGACGCTCCGCTGGGCCCCTGCCCGGGGAGGGCCACTGCGTGGTGCCTAGCCCCTCTGCGAGGGGGTGAGATCTAGAGACGTACAAGGGCTTATCCTACACGGCTGGGCCTTGATATCGAACATCTACAAAAGGTTAAGCTTATTTCTAATTCCCCGTGACCACAGACGGCGCGCTCTCTAGTTGAGTCGACTCTCTGTGCGTGCTCTCCTACTATCCAAAGAGTCAATGGGGACCCGTCCACGGCATCCGAGATTTGCCCTCTCTACAGCTCAGCACCGTGAAATGCCGTGGTCCCAGGGGCGCCGATGCTCTGTATTTTTTATGTGTGAAGCATGGGGTGCTATCTCTCTCCCCAGACGAGGGTTGCAACCCGCCAGGGACCAATAGGACGCGCGCGCCGCGGCGCGCGCCTGCGATTCGAGACCCGCGACATTTTCGAGCAAAATTCCGCCGCCGCCAAAAATTTCGTGGAAATTTCGGTGACGCGTCTTGGATTATTTTTCCCAATTAGGCCACGATCGATCTAACCCAACCGCACTAAACAATGTGATCGGGTGGATGCGTTCTGCAGTGGGATCCATCAGAGAAGACACCCTGCTGCTCTACCCGGTGCTGCTGTACCCCGGCCCATCCCGCTCTCCACCTGCCACCCCCTCCTCTCTCTCTCTAACTCTCTCTCCCTCTCTATATACAGACGTACTTGTACAAAGTGCTCGGGATTCTAACCCAAATTCCCTCTCGACACAAAAACACAGCCCCTTCTCCTCGAAGAGGAGCAAGGCCTCCACGGCTAGTGGCCCACGGAGTGCCAGCGGAGCGGCTTGCACACCCCGTAGGGCAGCCCTTCTCGTCTCCCGTGGGTGCCACCCTACGGGGTTTGCAAGCCGCTCCGCTGGCACTCCGTGGGCCACTAGCCGTGGAGGCCTTCTTCCTCTATCGAGGAATTCTCGCGTAAGCAACCTCCCCCCCGTAGCTCAGTGCAGCCACCCCACCGGAGTCCCCGTGCCAAGCGGACCCTCTCTCTCTCTCCCTCTACACACCCCTCCCCCCCGTAGCCTCCCCCAGTAACTTCCCTCTCCTTTCTCCCACGGTGTCCCCTTCCCGTGACCGCGCACTCTCCCACCCCCGGTTCGCGTGCTGCTTGCTACCTCCCTCTGGGTGGCAGTCAGTCAGGCGGCAGGCTCCAATTTTGGAGATTTTCGCGCACGCTAAAAAAGGCGACCCAAACGACGAGGAGAGATCTCACCCATCTACGGACTTAACCTACGCATTTCTCTACCCGTCCTCCACCACCACCCGTCCTCCACCAGCAGTCTCCCACACACACACCCCACCGCCATGGCCGCACCCACACCCAGTGCCACCGCCGCCGCCGTGCAAGGAGCATCAGGACCAGGAACACAAGGAGTACGAGACGCGGCCCCGCGCGATGATTCCTCCACCGTGGTCCCCGGTGCCGCCAGTCCGTCAAAGAATTTCGACGACGAATATATTCTTTCCGACTCGTTCTATTCCGGACCCTCGTCTCTCAACCACGCGACCGTATTACGACAATCGGTCCACATCCCGCACTCAATTTCGAGCACCTCGGTTCGTTTGGAACCACTGGAGACGTCCACCCTGGCCATCCAGAGAACCTCTGCCATGAAGAACTCACCGTCCATGAAGGCCTTGGAGTCCATTCTCCGGAAGAAGACGTCGTCCAGCTCGATCGAACGCGAGTCTCAAATCGACGAGGAGTCGGAAGAGTCCGACGGATCCTTTGAAACCGCAGCAGCGGCTCCTCCTCCAGCAACAACAGCAGCAGCAGCTACAACAGCAGCTACAACCCTGTCCACCTACGACCAGGACCACAGACGATCCATCAACACAATTGAGGAGGTGGCCACCCCGACGATCCCTCAAGAGTTCTCTGTCGTCCCGGAGACAAGCGCCACCGAATTGGCCAAGGCCAAGGCAACCGTAGCCACCGAATCTTCGAGACCATTCTCACGGTCTATGCTCGATGTTACAGCCAAGACTGAGTCTGTTCTAGAGGGAGATACCCAGCAAATCTTGGAAGATGGCGGTCGGATTGAGGAACGTCCTGTTGGATCGACCAGTGGAGGTTCTGTCGATGTCATGACTGCTTCGGTGGGGCCAGAGCCCTCGCTGGCAGCCTTGAAAGACGCTCCGCTGGCCCCTGCTCGGGGAGAGCCACTGCGTGGTGCGTCGCTCCTCTTCGAGGAGTCTGTAAACACCACAAAGGGCTTGCTGGCCCCTCTGAGCTTGCTCACCCCTCAGACCGCGTCCCAAGGGCCCCAGGTCGCCACCTTACAACCAGCGGCTAATTTGGAACCCCCTGCCACAAAGCTGAGCTCCACCACTAAACTGATGGGTGCTACCACCAAGCAGACCCGTTCAATGATCCCAGACGATATCCCATACGTGCCAAGGATCCACCACCCACGGTCTCCAGCAACCCCAACGACTCCAAGATCGTCTTCGAGAACAACCTTATCCACCCCTAGATCCACCGTACCTACCACAGGAACGTCGACAAACTCCCCTGCAGTCTTGTTGAGGAAACCAGCAGCTTCTCCAGCAACAGCAGCTCCACCAATCCGTTCACAATCTCCACCTCGTTCAGTAAGCAGCGCCAGAACTACTGCCACCACCACCACCTCCTCCTCCATCAAGGGAGATGGTGCTGGTCCTCGTCCAACCACCCGAGCAAGATCCAATTCGTCCTTCTCCATCAAAACCTTGACGGCCGCTGCCACAAGAAAAAGAAGAAGTAGCACTTTTGGTGAGCTCACCAACAATTCATCAGCAGCAGAGAGTGGCTCGGCGGCACCAGTTCCCACCACAGGGCCTAGTTCCATTGGGAGAGACAGAACGGTTCATCCTGACCAGAGTAATGGTACAGGATCGGGACCTTCACCGACGAAATCCACCCGTTCCACCACTTCAACCTTCTCCACCAACTCAAAGAAGTTTAGCTTTAAGTCGTTGTTCAAACTGAAGTCAAAGCAGCATTCTCTACATGAGTTACAGAGGGGAGACGTGGAAGAGCAACCGGTTGGTCGGTCGTTTAGTACTCCTAATCTTAGTAAGTTGGCTGAGTCTAATGGGAGGGGTAAGTTGTTTTCTCGGTTGAAGAAGGAGAGAACGAGAACTGACAGAACTGACAGAACTGACAGCGAAGCTGGAAGTTCTTCTAAAGACCATAGAGAGACTCACAGTACAGCTGACACTTCTAAAGACAGTAGAGAGACTCACAGTGCAGCTGACGCTTCTAAAGACCATAGAGAGACTCACAGTGCAGCTGACACTTCTAAAGACCATAGAGAGACTCACAGTGTAACTAACACTTCCAAAGACCATAGAGATGGTCACAGTGTAGCCAGCACCTCTTCTACAGACAATAGAGTTGGAAACTCCAAATCTGGAGACAAGAAAATTGAACAGAATTCTTCTAAAGACTCCAAATTTGCAGCCAAGTCTTCAGCATCAACTGCAGCTTCAACTACACCTTCAACTAACCCCACCAATTCAATTCGTGAAGTAAATGATGATGATTATTCCCTTCCATACATAAAACCAGACAACTTTAGATCAATCAGTCAATCCTCACAATCAAGCACAACTGCCCAACCATTCATCCCATACACTCACAAGCCAATCAATGGGTCATCTCCAACTCCAGCAACTCCAGCAACTCCACCAATGGAGGCCCAACCACCATCCATGACCATCACTCCAACCGATACCGATAATGGGAGTGTGACATCCTCTCCAGTTTATAAATCTGTAGCACCTCCAATAACCCCAAGATTGATCACTTCAAGGTACCCGGGCCAACCGGCAGGTGACCTGGAAAGATCAGCTTCTCAATTGGCTTTCCAACAATTGACTGGTCAGTCAATAAATTTGGGATCTGGCTTGGGCTCAGGCTTAGGATCTGGCTTGGGATCTGGTCAATCTTCTATCCAATCAACTGGCCAGCAAGCTGGCCAGGCTGGTAATGGTAGTGGCTTTGGCTCACCATTCCAAATCAATTATTCCCCATCATCTCCTTCATCACCCCTAAGAACCTCTCGATCCTTCCATCGAGACTCCAAAGACCAATCCTCTCTCTCTGGAGAAGTTCTCTTCCCCAAATCCTTAAACGCTCAAGAAGTGGAAAGCATAGTCTCCCTTGAAAGATCTCGATCCATGAGATCCTTTAAAGACAACAAGAGGAACTCCTTTGTAAATTATAATGGTAGCAATGAAAACATTGTCCAGGGAGACTCTTTAGTTATTTCAGAGCCAGGCACCGTCAACCGGTCGAGTAGTATCCTCAAGAAGAGCGAGAGTAAGAAGAGTATCCGGGTGGCGGAAGATGTAGATCAACCGGTGATCGATGAGGTTTTGGATGGTGTAGATCAATTTAGTTTTGATGGAGGGAATTTCGATGATTTGATTGAATTTAGTGATTTCATCGATGTGGATGAGTTGGAGTTTGAAGATGAGCAGGAACAGGAGCAGGATGAAAGACGGGAGCATGGTCTTGTAGAAGAATTAGACACTCCTAGACGTTCCTCCAGAGACTCTCCTTCCATTGAAGACTCTCCAATAACTTCCACACCAAAGAATCTTCAATTTATGGAAGAATCTCTGAATGAGGGAACCATTTGGAAATCTCCAGATGTTTCTAAACAATCAAATTCTTTAGAACCAAGAGATCACCAAGCTTCTTCTTCAGAACTTTCTGGACCCTCCAATGGTCTTCCTTCCCGGGACTCTGATGGACCAGTGTCACCAATTCTTGACGCTGCATTCAAATCCGCACAACCATCACGTTCTCGTCCAATCAGTATGTCGTTCCGGGGGCTCAATGGACCTTCTTTCCAGGGGAAACTTGCCCTTCAAGACCTCCGTAGTAGCTCCTCACACCAATCTTTCAACATCTCCTTTGGTGAAAGTGATACCAACACCGATATCGCTAGTCCACTCCATGGAGAGCTTCTCACCGACTCCTCTGAAGGTGAGATCGGGAATGGATTTGGAAGTGACGAAGAATTCGAAGATGACTACTCGATCGAGATCACCGACGTTCAAAAAGTCCACAACATCAAGCCAGCCCTTGATTCCACATTCAAACCACCACAAACCCTCTCGAGCAACGACAGTTCATCTCCAAGATCGCTCACGTCTCTCATACTGAGACCCTGGAAAAAGCAGCCCCTGAGCACCAAACCCCTGCCCACTCCACCGGTGGTGGTCATCCAACCATCGGAGCCACTTGGCGTTCGTTTCTCCTCGCGGATCGTCTTGTACGACACATACAACGGAGACGAGTACGACAGACACCCGGACACGGCCACATGTAACCAGCTCACACCCATGCTTGCACAACAGATCAAGGACGAGTTGAACTCTTTCAAGCTGGAAATGGAGATCCACCTGTTGCTGAGATGTAACACGCATTTCTTTTAGATCTTTTATATATATATAGAGGCAATGGACGTTTACGATATACCAGACCTAGGCACCACGCAGTGGCCCTCCCCGGGCAGGGGCCAGCGGAGCGTCTTGCTGTCCCACGGGGAAGGGAGTGGCTACCCTACGGGGTGTGTAAGCCGCTCCGCTGGCACTCCGTGGGCCACTAGCCGTGGGGGCCTTGCTCCTCTGGCGAGGAGAACTAGAAGGGAGAGACTTAGGAGTTCTCCTCGTAGAGGAGCTAGGCACCACGCAGTGGCTCTCCCCGAGCAGGGGCCAGCGGAGCGTCTTGCAGTCCCACAAGGAAGGGAGTGGCTACCCTACGGGGTGTGTAAGCCGCTCCGCTGGCACTCCGTTGGCCACTAGCCGTGGGGGCCCTGCTCCTCTGGCGAGGAGTGCTACAAGAAATGTGGAGATCTCCTCGAAGAGGAGCTAGGCACCACGCAGTGGCTCTCCCCGAGCAGGGGCCAGCGGAGCGTCTTGAAGTCCCACGGGGAAGGGTGTGGCTACCCTACGGGGTGTGTAAGCCGCTCCGCTGGCACTCCGTGGGCCACTAGCCGTGGGGGCCTTGCTCCTCTGGCGAGGAGAACTAGAAGGGAGAGACTTAGGAGTTCTCCTCGTAGAGGAGCTAGGCACCACGCAGTGGCTCTCCCCGAGCAGGGGCCAGCGGAGCGTCTTGCAGTCCCACAAGGAAGGGAGTGGCTACCCTACGGGGTGTGTAAGCCGCTCCGCTGGCACTCCGTTGGCCACTAGCCGTGGGGGCCCTGCTCCTCTGGCGAGGAGTGCTACAAGAAATGTGGAGATCTCCTCGAAGAGGAGCTAGGCACCACGCAGTGGCTCTCCCCGAGCAGGGGCCAGCGGAGCGTCTTGAAGTCCCACGGGGAAGGGTGTGGCTACCCTACGGGGTGTGTGAGCCGCTTCGCTGGCACTCCGTGGGCCACTAGCCGTGGAGGCCTTGCTCCTCTACGAGGAGAGCTAGAAGAGAGAGAATGACCCTCTCCTCATAGAGGAGCTAGGCACCACGCAGTGGCCCTCCCCGGGCAGGGGCCAGCGGAGCGTCATGTGGAGAGTTTGTGCTACACAGAGGCCGCCCGGGTAAAGCTCCTCAATCTACAGAACAGTCACGGATAGGGTGCAACAACCTTTGGCATCTCAATCTATCTATCTATCTTTATCTATACATGGCGGTGCCGCTATTTAGCACCTTGGGAGGCGTGGGTGGAGTGGGCAGAACGGAAAATCTTGTCCAAGGTCTCGTCGTCATCCTTGTGGATTCTGGCAACAACCTTGGTGGGCTCCTGCATCACAACCACAACGTAGCCAGAGGCTTGTCTGTCGACACAGGTGGTGCCCGCCCAGGGCGCAACGTCGTACTCTTTCAAGGTCACCACTGGTGGGGCTCCGTCTACAAAGGCTGGGTAGGACATAGTTGTTCTTGTGCGTGGTGGTCAGCGGGGGGAAGGGGTTCGAACTAGGGCCAGACTGGCTGGCAGGCAAACTTTTTGTTCTGTTTTAAATTTTTTTGCGTGTGTGTGTGTGCGCGCGCTCGCTCAGGGAGGTGCGCAGTAGTGTCTGGGGGTTTGTGATGATTGATGGGCTGCTCTTCACAAGGTGATATCTTTTTTGTGCGCATCTCTTCTCCCTTCAACCACCACACAAGCACACCACCAATATGTCCACCACAGCGCTCCCGGGCCAATATCTCGTGCCCACGTACAAGTACGTGGACGACAAGACCATCGAGAAGTATGTGTCTGGCGCCGGCACCACCGTGGCGTCCATCAAGGTCGAAGGGAACAAATTTTCTGCGATCCCCGTGATCGTGGCCACCGTTTTGGGTAAGAAGGTCGTCCAGGAGATAATACCGGCAACCCCTGGTGCGGACCAACAAGATGAAGACGACAACGCTAAGAAGGTGGCTCCAGTCAAGACCTACATGGTGTCGGTGGTGCCGCCCCTGAACACCTATTTGGACTACGAGCGAGAGCAGGCCACAGACACCACCACCACCACTGGCACTGGCACTAACATTTCCATCAACCTCCCACAAGAGAATGACATAGTTCTCGTTAGAATCACAAAAATCAACCCACGTCAGGCATTTGCAGAGATCTTGTCGGTGGAACGCCACGGGAACGTGATCCGCGACTCTGGGCTCGGGTCCAATGGCGAGCTTGCCCACCAATCCATGGCCCCTGGTGGCGGTTCGCAAAGTTTGAGTTCGCACACCACCATTGCCTCGTCACAGTCCACCGCGCTTAACGCGGCCGCCATTGATTTGGGTGAAACTTTCAAGGGGGTTATCCGTTCGCAGGATGTGCGGCTGACGGAGCGTGACAAGGTCAAGATCATTGATTGTTACCGTCCGGGCGACATTGTACGCGCGGTGGTGATTTCACTTGGTGATGGGTCCAACTACTACTTGAGCACTGCCAAGGATGACTTGGGGGTTATCTTTGCCAAGAGCGAGGGTGGGTCTGGTGGCACCATGTACGCCTTGGATTGGCAACACATGATCTGTGACAAGACTGGGGTTGTAGAATTGCGTAAATGTGCAAAGCCCTTTGTTTAGATTCGCCCGTCCGTCCTTTCACCCCTCCCCTTCTCTTCTCTTCTCTTCTCTAGTAGAGCGTGAAGACTGTACAACAAATAAACATCGATAGATATAGTGACCTTATGTTCATGTGTAGAACAAATCTCCCCCCTCCCCCCATGTGTCCTAGGCCATGTAGTTGCCCTCCTCGGGGCAGGGGCCAACCGAGCGGCTTACGGTCCCGCGGGGAAGGGGGTGGACTGCCCTACGGGGTTTGTAAGCCGCTCCGCTGGGCACTCCGTGGGCCACTAGCCGTGGGAGCCTTGCTCCTCTACGAGGAGATTTCTCATTTTGGCAGCCAAAATTTCTCGCAAAGGAGATCACAAGCCTCCACGGTCAGTGGCTCAGGGAGTGCCAGAGAAGTATCCTATACACCCCCGTAAGGCGGTCAAGTAGCTCCATATGTAGTAGTGAGTCGCTCTGCCGGACTCTACCCAAGGGGTGTACCACCGAGTGGGGTGCAGTTCTTGTTCGAGTACAGCTTTTTATTCTTTGTTTACTTTTTTAGCGGCCAAATTCCTCGTTAGAGGAACAGAAGCCCCCACGGCTAGTGGCCCACGGAGTGCCAGCGGAGCGGCTTACAGACCCCGTAGGGTAGCCTACTCCCTTCCCCGTGGGACTGCAAGACGCTCCGCTGGCCCCTGCCCGGGGAGGGCCACTGCGTGGTGCATAGCTCCTCTAACAAGGAGATCTGCTCAGTCTCTCCTTTCTAGCTCTCCTCGTTAGAGGAGCAAGGCCCCCACGGCTAGTGGCCCACGGAGTGCCAGCGGAGCGATTTGACCACCCCGTAGGGCTGTTAGTTTCTACAGTAGCCCAACGGTCTCTTACCAGACTCTGGGTCGCTCTATCTGTCTACATTAGCCATCCCTAATTAGAATATGTATTTGATCTATACGCTCACTTTCCACACAAACACTTGCTCTCTCTCTATATCTAAGTGGACTTTGGCTCGTCCCAATCACCCCGCAAGTCACGCTCACTGAGCCCAACATGCCCGCCAAACTTCTCGAATCTTTCCATGTACCGAGCCTTCTTCTCCTCGGCAATCTTGATCATGGCCGGCCAATACTTGGCATGGTCATACTCGAAATTGACAGACCCTCCAAAGTCCAGGTCCAATTGTTCGTCTGGAACAAAGTTGGGGAATGGTTGGTCAAAAACCAACTTCTCTCTGGTCAAGGGGTCGATGAATGGATGGATAAGCTTCAAAAAAGTCCAGCCAAGCCATGGGATGTTGGTAAGAAGAGCCTTCCCCAAACGCTCCGGGTAGTGCGTTTGGAGGATGTGTAGCACTTGACGACCGATCCCAATTGGTGGGATCTTACCACCTTGAGTGCCGACGGGAGAAGCCTTAAAATCAATGAGTAAGGCAAGTGAATCTTGTCCTGATGGCATGTAATCTATCACTTTTTCCAACATGTACACCAAATGTTGCACTTGTCTTTGCGAAGTCTTGGTGTTTTGACGGCCTGGCTTGAGGTAAAGACAAGGTCTAGCATCGTTGTCATACCCCAAGATCACCTCTTTCCCCGTTTCGTTCTCTTCGGAACAAAGAGTACCATTGACTTCGTTCTCGGAGTCGGATCTACCGGATATTCCAAATTCTCTTCTCCAGGCCAAAGTGAGGGTAATTCTGGAAATAGCCTCTTGTTGGTCCCATTTGGTGGCTCTCAAGTATCTAAGGAAACATTCCCTAGTGAGCCAAGACTTCTCAGCCAAGGTCAAGGGTGAGAAAGTTTCCTTTTCTTGGGATTTATGAGTCTCCTCACTACATGGGATCTTCAAGGATTCATCCTGGAAGTGTTGCAAGACTGCCGCATACTTTGCTTGCTGTGTAGAGTCCAATGGGGGCTCTTCGGGGATAACTGACTCCTTAGCAACAGTATCAAAGGGTAAGTGTACTACAGGGCCCTTTGTCTCGGACTTAGCGGCCTTGTCTTCCTTTTTGAATTTACTAAACATAACAACGAATATGAAAGATGTTGGAGAAGAAATATTACCACACAAACAGAATGAAAGAAATTTCAAAGAGCGCAAGTGAAGAGAACGAGTGATTACGCGTAGTGTATAAGTTTTACACGGCTCGGATGCGGAGATAAACAGAAATAAAGATGTGTATGAGAAAACGAATGCCGACCAACCCCGGATGATTGCGAAAAATGTATGGAGCGGGTTCCGGTACGAGCAGGTCTCGTATACCTTCTGCGGGCGGGTCACACAAGGTTACAGAAAGCACTACCCCCACCCCCTCTCCAGAAAAGTAGTATGGTCTATTTTGTTTAGTAAGGAGCGGCATGCAAGCATAGTAACGCGCGCGCCACCACCTCCCCGGAACCTTCAGGAGATCGGGGGGCTTTTGCCGAAGTCTGGCCTGGGCCGATCTCTAAACTAAGCTAAAAGGGTCATGGGAGTCCCGGATCCGGGTGATATACCAGTCCATCGTCGTAAAAAGAGCCAATTCCCACTTCAAACAACACCAATCATGGTGAGGGATCTCCCATAACTTTCTCATTGAACCTCGGCCGATTTACGGGCGTTACTTTTTTTTTTTTTTTTTATTTTTTATTTTCTCTATAACTCTATTTTTTTTCTCACTCGTGTCACGTGACCTCAGCGGAGATAAAAGGATCACAAACTAGAGTAGAGGGAGTGTTCCGGATTAGGCAGTCAACAAAGAGCCCAAGAGACTATCTAGTAGAGGAGCCATGATTGATGCCAGGGGCTTTCCGCGGAGTAGGGGCCGAGCTGAGTGTCTTGGAGCCCCTCGGGGAAGGGATAGTGGGCCTCCCTACGGGGTTTGTAAGCCGCTCCGCTGGCACTCCGTGGGCCACTAGCCGTGGAGGCCTAGCTCCTCTACGAGGAGATCAGGGAATGAATCTCCCCGGGTACCAGGAAGGACATGAGAGGTCTCTGTAGGAGGTCCAGCCGTACGATGTGAGCCGTTCCGCTGGCACTCCGTGGGTCTCTCACTAGGAGTGCTACAAGGGGTGTGTAGAGCTCTCCTCGAAGAGGAGCTAGGCTCCACGCAGTGGCCCTCCCCGGGCAGGGGCCAGCGGAGCGTTAGACAGTCCGACGGGGAAGGGAGTGGGCTGTCCTACGGTGTGAGTAAGCCGCTCCGCTGGCACTCCGTGGGCCACTAGCCGTGGAGGCCTTGTTCCTCTTCGAGGAGTGCTACAAGAAATGTGGAGATCTCCTCGAAGAGGAGCTAAGCTCCATGCAGTGGCTTTGCCCGGGCAGGGGCCCAGCGGAGCGTCGTAAGGCATCTAGTTCTAATTTCCCGCCAGCTGTTGGTTAACCCACCCTACTTGTAGATACCTCATTTATTTTTCTTAGCCATTATCTTCACTTTCCCTCTACTTCTCGTCCAACCTCTAAGTCCTCCTAGTCCCTCTCTCTGGTCACCCTCTCTCTCTCTCTCTCTCTCTCTCTCTCTCTCTCTCTCTCTCTCTCTCTCTCTTTGATCACTTCCTCGCCCCTGATACTCTCATAGTAGGCACAGATCAGACCATTCACAAGACTGATCCCAAATCTCACGCGCCATTATCTTGTACCCTCCAGTGCGTGATCGCCTGTTCTCATTTTCCCTTTGCTCTTGACTTGTGTAACTTTCTTTTTCCCTTTGCACCCACCACACGATTCATCATCCCTTGTAACCCTGAGAGCTTCAGCTCATTGATCTGTTGTCGCACATCATCATTACCCGCGCCCTCCACCCCTCCACCACTAATTCTCCCTTTGTCTTGTGTTTTATATTGTTGTTTGTATGACGTCAAAAGTTCCGTCTCTAGTGGAGTTGGCGTCTAATAAATGCATCCAAAACGTCGCCAAGCTCCATGACTTGGGGATCACCCCGTTCCATCTACTTCGCCGGATCCTTGGACGGATGAATGCCAAGCAGTTGGCACACGTGGAGGAGTTGAACCCACATGTCATGCCCCATACAGACGTACTATGGCCGGCATTAATCGAGCGAGAGTTCCCCGATCGTCCTCTCTACCTGCAACGACGTCGGACACCACAACAACAACTCAAGGGGACCCTGGAGGCTTCCCTGGCTATCCACTCTTCGATGCCCAACAAGGCTCTCTATTTCCGCTACAATGACGAAAGGGAATCGTTCCGAGACGACTCAGCAAAACGTCTAAGACGGATCACTGAACGGTTGAAGAAGGAGAAATCGGCCAAATCAATCGTTGCCGTTCCACAACTTCTCCGAGACCCCACTGTGCGTCGTCGGGCTGCAGTTGCTGGTGGCTCCTCGTCCTGGCGTACTGGTGGTGGCACCCCTTCCTACAAGAGAAACACCATCCTTGATAGAGCCCGTCATGATCTCCGCAAGAGACCACAGACCTTCCCGGGGAAGATCAAGCCGTATGATCCCTATGCTGCCTTTTTCGAACCAGAACCACAACCGCAACCGCCCAGAAGGGCTGCCTCGCCTCCGAATGGCCAGGACACCGGGTCGGGACCCGGGTCTGCACGGCCACGTCGTCGTGCTCCAACAGCATTCAACACCATGGAAACAAGAACTGGGGCTCATCTCAGGACAAGTGCCACGCCTGTTGTTTCCACTCCACAGCCGCCCAAAATAATCCACCCATCCCCTAAAGTTCTCCCGAAGATTGGCCGACCTCCAGTGAAACCATCCATAACGCTACTCCCACCACCACCAGGCACATCCCCCATTGCGAGATTATCAACCCCACCACCGCCACCACCACCACTACCGCTCCCCTATGGTTCACCCCCACCGCCAATCCGAAGATCACCCACCCGGCCCAGATCTTCTACTCCTCCTCCTCCTCCTCCTCCACCTCCTTCATCTGGCGGCGATTCTCCGACAAATGCCCTCCCCAACTCACCCGTGGCAATCCCACCACCTCGAAAGAGAAGGCCCCAACCCTCCATCTTCCTCACCCGTAAACGACCCACTCCCCGGGCCTCTCTAGGACGAGGACCGTCTCCTGCTGCGAAACCTGCTACATCACCACCACCACCACCACCCACGGACGCTCCACCAAAGCTCAAAGCCGTACGCTCATCCATTTTCAGCTGACCCACCCTACCCTACCCTACCTGTGTCCCCGAGGCACTTTGGCACGGGTACTGCTCTACCCACTAGACATATTCCGCCTCCACTCTTAATAATACACGCATATACGGCGCCTCGTGGCGACTCAAGCTCTCCACCGACATCGCCACCATCACACTTACATCCATGTAGCTCTACCTCTCTCACTTTATCTCTATACCTGCTGGAAGCAGAGTACTCACCACCCAACGGGGATTGCGAGACGCTCCGCTGGGCCCCTGCCCGGGGAGGGCCACTGCGTGGTGCCTAGCTCCTCTACGAGGAGTTATCCACATTCTCTCTCTTCTAGTTCTCCTCGTAGAGGAGCAAGGCCTCCACGGCTAGTGGCCCACGGAGTGCCAGCGGAGCGGCTTACTCACCCCGTAGGGCAGTCCACTCCCTTCCCCGTCGGAATGTCTGACGCTCCGCTGGCCCAGAACCCTCTACTACTTACTACATTGTGGCACCTGATGTCAATATCACGTATAATGCTTGCTATTAAATTTTTCTATGAACTAATCCCCGGGAGCCTCGTTCTCCTCTCCTCTCCTCTCCTCGATTCCTCAGCTCACCGTTTCAACTTCTTTAAAAGTCTCCCACTGGAAGTATCACCCAACCGCTTACGGTACCCAGAACTCTCGACCTTCTTGGCCGGATCCTCTTGCGCATTGTCCAACAAAACGTCACGCGGCTCAGTGCCCATGACAATCGTTTGCTTGTAACTCTTGATGCGAAGACGTCCACTGACCAAAACCTTTTGAGGGTTATCACTCAAACAAGCCTTTGCTCTCAGATGATCAAGCCCCACGGTCTTGAGTAAGTTGAGGATATCGGTGCCGTTACGTACTTGTAACGGTTGTGTGGCTCCACTGGATACAACCAATCCATTGCTACGAGACGCTCTGATGAGTTGCATCACATTGCTGAAAAACACCTTACGGGCCAACAACGCCGTCGTCAGTAGACTCATGTTGTCATTGGCATTCAGTACAAGATATCCAGCGGTACCAGCCACCACGGATGCATAACATAGTTCAAATTGAATACCCTTATCGATGGCACTCCCCACAGTCTTGTGCTTGAGGAAGAAGGGCAACCGATTGCTCAAGTTGACCAGAATGAGGTCTATGTCCAAGTTGGTGGCGGCCAACTGGAGAGCTCTCTCGGTGGTTGGTTGAATGGCAATTATATCAAACACATTTTGAAGTTTAGCCAATCCTTGACATTGTGCTGGGTCACTTACCACCAAAGTTATTCGAGAGAAAAGTCGTAAATTTGCAAAATGAGCAAACTTTTCACGTAAGCTACTGATGGGGATTGGGTTTATGGCTGCTAGACCCGATCCAAAGGGGATCTTAGTACCTTCTGGTAATGTGAAATTGATTGCAAGGGACGTATATCCCAAGACATAGAGCGTTGCTATGACGTTGTAAAGGGTTGTGAGTTGTTGTGGAGATGGTGGAGACGTGTACGACGTCGATGGCCAGGGAACATTCAAATCGGACATGATACAACTAGATACACAATATCCCCTTTTTGGACTAGAAAGATAAAGGATTCAATTCTTGTGGGTTGAAATATAATGATGAGATCCCAGAGATGCTTTGGTGTGCATATAGTACGTTCGGAGATGGGAGTCGGGCCGATCATGTGATTTGTGCGTGTGACGTCGGTCATGTGATTTGGGGGGGGGGTCATCCCTTCTGGAAGAGGGTGGAGAAATATGATACAGAGCAGTACATGAAGGACCAAGCGGAGTGTAGATCCCCCGAAGGGAGGAGAGTGGCTACCCTACGGGGTCTGTAAGCCGCTCCACCGGCACTCCGTGGGCCACTGGCCGTGGAGGCCTTGCTCCTCTACGAGGAGGGTGGGAGGCGATCCAGGACTCCTCGAAGAGGAGCTAGGCACCACGCAGTGGCTCTCCCCGAGCAGGGGCCAGCGGAGCGTCTTGCTGTCCCACAGGGAAGGGAGTAGCTACCCTACGGGGTGTGTAAGCCGCTCCGCTGGCACTCCGTGGGCCACTAGCCGTGGGGGCCTGGCTCCTCTAATGAGGAGAGCTGGAATTGGAGGCCGTCCGGACCGCTCTATGTTGATATACCTATTTTAGAGACCGTTATAGTGTCTTAAAACGGTCCGTAATCACAGTACATTGAAGAAGAGAATATCCCCTTCGCGTATCCCCAATGTCTTCATACCCCCACCAAACTTCTATTCGCTTCCACTTCTTTATCTGACCTTGCCAGTCACTTGGGGTGCCATCCACTTGGGACCTCTCTCTATCTTCTAATCTGTCTATCATTGTTGGTGTGTGTGTATTTTTGCAACCAAAGTATTTCTTAAGAACTCATGACCTGCATGTAATTTGTTTGTTTACATTTTAAAGATCATTAGAATGTTCAAGAACTTTTCTTTTACAGCCAACCCGCACTTTTTCGCAATCTGAGGGAGCTTACTAATTTTTTTTGTTGCCACCGCCACCATATTTCAAAGGTATAAATACAATCGAGGAACCTGTCAAAGCGACCCCACATCATGTAAGTGTCATACCAATACATCTGAATTTTGTCAATTGTTCTAATTAATTATTTAGATATATTATTACATTCTTTCTTCTTCATAAATTCATACTAATGACTTCATTGTTCATGACAAAGCAACAAGATTCAACCATGCTTGACATTGGTAAGCATTGTTACAAGTGTCAAAAATTGGATTTTTTACCATTTTCGTGCGAATTTTGTGGTCATATTTATTGTGAGGGTCATAGATCTTTACAATCTCATGGATGTGAAGATAAACGTCCTCAAAGACAAATCGTTAAAGATGGTAAACATGTTGATTCTAAAGAATCAGTTGCTTCACTATTCCCGAATAGAATTGATGATATGAAGAAAGTAGATCAATCTTTACAAAATGCAACGTTACAACCAACAAACATCATTACCAAACAATTTAGAGTTGGTGATGTAGCTAAAAGAACAACCAATGCATTTACTAAATTTGCCAGATATCTCAATGTTAAGACAGATCAAGGGAAGGGAGTCAAGAAACCAATAGTCTCTAAAACTGCAGATATCATGACACTTCGTAAGAATGCCAAGGGAGACATCAAGGTGGCAACAAATGATCGGATTTATCTATGGTGTAAAGCTGTCGATGATACAAAATCACTGGTGGTACCGACATCTGAAGAGCGTGGCCATGCAGTGTACATATCGAAAAACTGGCCTGCTGGTAGAGCCTTGGATAGCATTGCCGATACCTTACGGATCAAGAACAATAACAATAGCACCGTTTCCAATGATGAACGGTTGAACATGTTTTTAATGACCAATGGCGTCTCTACAGTGGTAGCCAATAGCGAGAGATGTAATGTCAAGTTTAAGACTGGTGATACGGTTTACTTGGTGAGAGGGACGCTAGAATAGAAGTATCAGGATACACTACAAAGTTTACGATTTAAGATTTACTGTCAGATCTCCACGGAGTGCCAGAGGTGCGCCGTATAGACCCCCGGAGGCATGAGAGTAGCTGTCGGGGATTGCAAGCCGCTCCGCTGGCCCCTACTCGGGGAGAGCCACTGCGTGGTGCCTAGCTCCTCTTCGAGGAGTCCTGGATAATACCCACCCTCCTCGTAGAGGAGCAAGGCCTCCACGGCTAGTGGCCCACGGAGTGCCAGCGGAGCGGCTTACAGACCCCGTAGAGTAGCCACCCCTCCACTGTGCGGTTAAACGACGCTCCACTGGACCCCCTACCCGGGGAGAACTATACCGGAGCGGCTGTTTAATATCCCATCTGTGGCATTGGATCTGCTGCCGGGCGGGGCTCAGTAATGGTGGTATCCTCGTCGTGTATTGAGGTATATCTATTGCAACACACATTTATTTTTCGATCTCTATGCCTAAAGTAGAAAATTGGAAACAAAATAGTCGTGTAATGTAGGTGGCGCGGCTCGAATGTACAACTTGCATGGTGAAAGAGACCGGGAAAGACAGAAAAGTGAGAAAAGCCTTCAATAGAAAGTATAGAAGAATGCTAGACGGAAGTCAATAATAAACACTGTAGAGTGGGTAAAGACTTAATTCCGGCCGCCAAGAGATAGCAACTACCTCCTCCCCACCCCCCTCCGGCGATCGGAATCTTGACCATGGGAAAACTCTGTAGTCAAGTGTAGTCATAAAAGAAAATAATAAAAAAAAAATAATAAATCTTGGGAAACTCTAAAAGTAGTAGCAAATGGAACTCTAGATACTCAGTCAAAAGGGATGAACATCCAGACCCCATGTAGCAATTAAACTTAGAAACGCCTCCCGCACCTCACCCCCCGCGCGCCGCCTGTGTAGTAAACTCAAAAGTTCAAAACGCATTCAATGAAAATGGCCTACATACAGTTTGGTGGCTACGCCTGAAGATGGACTCTCACGATCCAGTAAAGGGTTCCCCCTTTATCTACAATCTTCTATCTCTCCACTCAAATTGACTTGCCACCGTCAAGAACAATTCACCAGCCGCAACGTGAGTTGTTTTTTTTTTTTTTTGTCCTTTCTTTGTTGTTTTTTTTGTTTCGACCTCAATAATATTTTTTTTTTCTTTTTTTTTTTTTGGCTGTTTCTTTTTGTATGTGGGTAAATTGTTGGTTTTGTGTAACATGACACAATATCGTCAATTTTTTTGGTTAGATTGAATTTGATTTGTGTTTTTTACAACCGATTTGAATTTAAATCTCAACTTTATTCAACACTCTAATCCTTTGCTTTTTATAGGAGTAAATCCATTGATATCAACACCATTCATTACCAGGCAGTGTGGAAGTAGATTTGTTCCTCCAGACTTACCACCTCGTGCCCCTTCCCCTCCCCACCCCCCGGTACGAACTTCTTGTTAGTGGACAACATCATTTTTACAGCAATATAATCGGTGGACCGTCAATCTGAACGAAGCACATACGTCCTGTATACACACTTTGCTTTTTCCTGCATCCAGAAGAAAGACCGACCCAGAAAATTCACGCGATCAACGAAAAATTCCGACGCCCCCATTGTTAATTAAAGGGAAATTCGTCATTGATTGTTTTACAAAGAAATTAATCCTATTTAATTTTTTTTCCCTCTCTCTCAACAGGATTGAACTTGAGATAGTGGCACTGGGCAACTCGACAAACCTATTGACCCTGTTCCCACATCAACGCATTTTGAAACAGCTGCTCGGGCCGCCCAAACTCCCCCTACTTTTTCGCCTTTCTCACAATCAAAGACAATACAAAAAAAGATTGAATCAATTTGTGGACGAAGGACAAAAAAAAATTTAAAACTATAATAAAATTCCCAAGCACAGACACAAAAAAAAAATAGACAAGGACTCTTAACTTAATTATGTCAACTAGAGCTCAATCAAACACGGCTGCATTAGCAGCAGCAGCAGCTCATAATCCAAATTCCAATGCATCATCAAATCTGAATAATTCAGTGGTTGGACTTCATTATAAAATTGGTAAGAAAATTGGAGAAGGATCATTTGGTGTGATTTTTGAAGGTACAAATATAATAAATGGAGTACCAGTTGCCATTAAATTCGAACCAAGAAAGACGGAAGCCCCACAATTAAGAGATGAATACCGTACTTATAAACATTTACAAGGTAGTGAGGGAATTCCAAATGCTTACTATTTTGGTCAAGAAGGATTACATAACATTTTAGTGATTGACCTTTTAGGACCATCTTTGGAAGATTTATTTGATTGGTGTGGACGTAGATTTTCCGTTAAAACGGTGGTTCAAATTGCCATTCAAATGTTATCTTTGATTGAAGAAGTTCATCGTCATGATTTAATCTATAGAGATATCAAACCAGATAATTTTTTGATTGGTAGACAATCATTACCCGATGAAAATAACGTTCATTTGGTGGATTTTGGTATGGCTAAGCAATATAGAGATCCAAGAACAAAGCAACATATTCCATATAGAGAAAAGAAATCTTTGAGTGGTACTGCTAGATATATGTCGATTAATACTCATTTAGGACGTGAACAACTGAGAAGAGATGATTTAGAAGCGTTGGGACATGTGTTTTTCTACTTTTTAAGAGGTCAATTACCATGGCAAGGATTAAAGGCACCAACAAATAAACAAAAATATGAAAAGATTGGTGATAAGAAAAGAACCACACCAGCAGCAACACTTTGTGATGGATTACCAAGACAATTTGCTGAATATTTGGATCTGGTTAGATCATTACCATTTGATGCAGAACCAGCATATGAAGAATATAGAATGCTTTTCTTGTCTATATTGGATGATTTGGGAGAAAGATGTGATGGAGATTATGATTGGTTACATTTGAATGGGGGTAAAGGATGGGATTCATCAATTAATAAGAAACCAAACTTGCATGGATACGGACATCCTAACCCACCAAATGAAAGAGATAGACGTCATAGAGATCAAAGAAGAAGTAGACAACATCAACATCAACAACAACAAGCACAACAATTGGGTGGAGGATCTGCCAATGTTACAGGACCAAATGGAACCACTGGAGGTATTGCAAGTGGAGGAATCAGTCAACAACATTTGCAACAACAACAGCTTTCCGCGGCTCAATTGCATCAACAAAAGTTACAACATCTTGTTAATAGACCATTACCACCTATCAAGCAGGAAAGTCAACCTGGAGGAGGTGCCGGGAACCATCCTGATCTTATGGCTACACAACTGGGCCATGGTGGCAAGGTTTCTGCAACCAATAAATATGATGCTTCACCTGCCATTATGACTAGAAACCAACAATATGAACAACAACAAAGAGTTGATGAACGAGAAGAAAAGGGATTCTGGGCAAAGATGTGTTGTCAATAAGCAATGAAGTAAATTTCTATTTCACCTCATCATTTTTCTTGCAACCGTTCAATTTCAATTTCCCATCATTTTTTCTGTCTTGCAATTCCATTTGGATTTGTTATTATTGTTATATACTCTCTATTATTCTATGTTGTTTCCAATGGATCTGGTTGTCCAAAAGTTTAGGAAACTAATTTCTTCTTAAAATTTAAAAAAAAGTACTGAAAGTTTAATATAAAGACCTCAATTATAGACATTGTAAGAGTCAGAAGATGGATGTAGAAGAGCCACTAGCAACAGTATCATGGGGAAGGGAGTCAGTCCCACTCTACGGGGATTGTAAGCCGCTCCGCTGGCACTCCGTGGGCCACTAGCCGTGGGGGGCCTTTCTTCCTCTGACGAGGAATAGAACTCCTCAAAGGTTGGCATTCTATGGGCAACTAGCGGTGCATGCTTTGTTCCTCTGACAAGTAAACTCTGGATGCCCATGGTGGTCTTCTCGTAGAGGAGCTAGACTCCACGTAGTGGCCCTCCCCGGGTAGGGGGGCCAGCAGAGCGTCTTGCAGTCCCACAGGGAAGAGAATCCTCACCACCCTACGGGATCTGTGAATATCTACTAGTAAGGAATCTCATGGATTGTCCCACCTACAATAAATGTTAATGTGATTCAGTCAAACTTAGGACTTGCTTTTGTTTTGATTCTATTTATAGAATAACTTACCATCTACCTCCGTCGTTTCTACCTTCGTTTCTACCGTAGCCATCATTTCTTCCTTCATTTCTACCTTAACCTTCATTTCTACCATAGTCTCCTTGTCTACCGTACTCGTCTTGTCTTCCGTACTCTTGTTGTCTACCATGCTCGTGTCTACCGTGCTCTGGTCTACCATATTCTTGTCTACCATATCCTTCATTTCTACCGTAGTCTCCTTGTTTACCGTAGTCACCTTGTCTACCGTACTCTTCTTGTCTGCCGTATTCTTGTCTACCATATTCTTGAGGTCTGCCTTCATTTCTACCATAAGAATTGTTTCCATATGATTGTTGTTGTTGATGTTGTTGTTGACTATGTTGCTTGTGGTCTTCATACTTGTCCTCGATCTTATTAGCACCAATGGCTCCAGCAATGGCTCCAACAATTCCTCCCAAGGTCCCATGGTTGTTACCTCCAAGCTTGTTACCACCATAAGCACCAGCAGCACCACCAACTACAGTGGAGATAAATCCTCTTTCTCCATCTCCTTGTTGTCCTAGTCCTTGTTGTTGTCTGGACTCAGAGTTTGGTTGGTATGCAGATTGGTCTCCAGAAGCGTAAAATTCGTTAGCACTCATATTTTCTTTAAAAAATTTCTTTTTATTTTTAGGTTATTCCTTTATTCTTCCTACTAATATTCAAGGTTTCTTACCTACCTATTTATATGATCGATCCAACATTCCGCCCCCAACCCCACCGCCGCAGTAATTAATTGGCCACGACGTTCACAACCTCGCCCCCGGCCAAAATGTGTCTATACCATTTATTGCGTCATCAAACTGAGCCTCCCCACCCATTTATTTTTTTTTTATTTTTGTTCGATGCATTTTTCTTTCAAATCCCGAAATTTAGATCTTCGGCTCGGGATTTGAAACGATAAATATATCTGCGCACGTGATATCCTAAGCCACTTTGAATCATTCATGTATTGAAATTATGTGTAACCTGGTATACCCATTAGTAGTTGTTTTTTTTTTTTTGTTTGTTTACAAGGCCGTTAATCTCCAAAATAACATATATACTAAAAACAAGTATACTCTCTTAATTTATCTATTTTATTTCCATTCATTATTATTTAAACTATAACACAATCCTTTTCTTGAGCTGCAATATTTTCTCCCTTAGCTCCTCCATTATTTCTTCTAGATCTATTTTTGTTCCCCTTTTGATGCTTGGCAACCCATTCCTTATCGGTGACTCGAGCTAAAGATTTTTCATCACCTCCCTGTGCAGCTCTTTTATACCAATTTTGCAGTTCAGTTGAATTACGTTCACATCCAACTCCCTTTTCATAAAAATTTCCAAGTGCATATTGTGCCTTAACATAGTTTGATTGTGCTGATCTTTTAGCCCATTCAAATGCTTCAAGTTCATCCTTAGGTAAAAATGGTTCACTACCAACAAGATACCATGCACACATGGCCAACATGGCCTCTGCATCTCCTCCAAGTGCGGCTTGGGTATAATAATGAATAGATAAATTGGAATCTTGTGGAACAATTTCTCCAACTTCATAATAATGTCCAAGAATTCTAGCAGATTCAACATGTCCTAAAGCTGCTGCTTGACTATAAAGTTCCAAGGAATATTTTTCATCTTTAATGATAATATCTTTAAATCCTTGGAAATAAATCTTCCCCAATTCAAATGGTGCTGCTGCAGTTAATTCTGTGGCAACATTACTAGCTCTAGTAAGCCATTTAATCCCCATCTTTTGTGTATTAACATCATGTGGCATCCCCATTCTACCATAAAATGAATAAATCCCTAATTTATACATGGCACTTGGGTGGTTTTTAGATGCTGCAATCTTTAAATATTCAATTGCCTTTCTTGCATCTCTACCAGTTCCTAAACCTTCTTCAAAACAATATGACGTTCTGTATGCAGACTCAACATGTCCATGTTTAGCAGCTGATTGAAATAATACAAATGAATATTTGTTTTCAACTTTCCCTAATGCTCCTGAACTATGAGCATCTGCTAATAAATATTGAGCATCTACATATCCCTTATCGGATAATTTTCTTAAGTAATGTAATGCTTCACGAATCAATTCTTTTCTTAATTCCTTTTCTCCAACCACTTGTTTCCCTCCAATTTCCATCATTTGATCCATATCATTCAATGAATTATGACTTTTATTTTTCTTATGTCCAGTTTTAGAACTTTTCATGGGTGAATTTGTTGGTGGAGTTGATCCATTTGATCCTTGTCCATCCATCATTAATGCTGTTTGTAACATATATTGTGCATATTGATATAAAACAGTTGGATCATTGGATTTTTTAGCATTTTGTCTATACAATTCCAAAGTTTTAATTCTAGGAACTGATCTATGCAGATTACTACCAAGATATTGTTGGATAACATTATGACCATAATCAACCATGCTAACCGCATCGGACTTATCAACAAATAAGGATGAAGTAGATGAAACCTGTCTACTGTGTCCATACTTCACATTGTTACTATATACATGATCAACATTAGAATCACTTTTAGATCCATAACCTCCTCCATTGTGTGGTAATTTAAGATTATCATAATTGTTCGCACTTTCTTGTGAAGGTCTTGATTGACCACCTCCCAAGGTGAAATTTGTCACTGAAGAAGTTGCAGATGTTGTATTGAAAGTTGGAGAAGTTACTTGTGAAGTTTTCCCAGATTGATTAAAATTGTTGTTCTTGGAGAACACTGGAGGTGGACTTTGGGTGATAAATTCGCCATCTTTTGGACTTTCAACATTTGATCCTGACGATGAGGATTCAAGTGATGTATGAGTTTGATGATTGTATTGATATTTTGTTGCAAGAATTGGGGAAGTTGGACGGATAGTTGCTGCTGTTGTTGGTGTTGGTGCTACTGGTGCTGATGCTGATGTTGCCGGTTTGACTTCTAGTTCAGTTGGCAGTACGGGATATGGAGTCTCCATTTTGGGAGGATATTTATATTCTTGGTAATTATTTGTTGGTTGGGAATTAAAAGTTTGTGCTGGTTGTGAATTAAACGATTTCAGGGCTTGAGCAAAGGCGTCTTGAGGATATGGAGGATCACCATATTCCGAATGATCTGGCAGTTCATTGGCCACCTTCTGGCGATATGGATGCGACGACATGTTGGTTCCTTAGTCGTGGTGGGGGTTCTCTACAAAAAAAAACTGTAAAGTGGTTGCTCTCTAACTCTGTATCTCCGGAAAGGGGGTGGCGCTTTGTTTCTGGGCAACCACAAAGAAATTTCAACCAAAATTTATAAAAATTAAAAATTCAGAAAAAAAAATAAAAAAAATAAATAAATAAAATAAAATAAAATAAATAATAAATAAACAAATGATCACTGTGGATATTTTAAGAATGCAGCAATAAATAAAACCTGGGGCCAGTATACCCACTCTGATCTGTCTCCATCCAGCTGGAGTAATCACACACGCACACATCCAGAACGTTGCTCTCCTCCTCACTTCCACCATCTTCTCGCTACATATTTTTCGATTTCATTCATTCCTCTTCATTCCAATTACCCGTAGTGCATTCTTCCCCTGTCAACCAGAAGTGCTGTAAAAATTTAATTTAAAAAAAAATTTTAACAAAGCAAAAAAAAAAAAACAATACGAAAAAAATAATTGTAAGGGGGGACGTGAACTGGGAGGGAAAATTGAGCAGCATAACACGCGGTCTTATTGTCGCGCTGGTTGGCATTTGCAGCATAAATGTGACAGGATATCACTAAAAATGAACTGGGGGGCACGGGGGGTTTTGTAACACAATCATAAAACGGTGTTTGGAATACGCGTGGCATGCTACTTGTTTGAAACTTTCAAGCATTCTGTTCTATCCAACGTGCTGCCTCCATTCCCTTCCCCTGCAGACAGCCGCTGTACGGAGATCGGCATTTAGTAGCGAATTTCATTCATCACATATTTCAACCTGTGGCTAAAGATCCTTTCAGCATACCAGAGGCACATTCTTACCGGAATTGGTTACCTTTAATATAGCCGTTGACGACAACTTTAGAGAATTATGAACAGATTTTGATATTTTACACAAACTTGTCCTCTCAGGCGGGGGAGGGGTTACTCGACCGATTAGTAATTTGGAGGTTGTAAAGTGCTTCCAGCGGAGACATTGTGCGATTTTACTGAATGGGATGTATCGGCCGAGAGAATGACGATGCAACCACCACAACCGTAATAGTGAGAAGTTGCCCCTAATGAAAGGAAGCCAGAAGATAGCACACCTCTGGTGATACACTGTAGAGTTCTAGTTGTTTTCTTGTCTTTTGTGGCTTCCTCGATAGAGGAACAAGGCCCCCACGGCTAGTGGCCCACGGAGTGCCAGCGGAGCGGCTTGCATCCCCGTAGGGCAGGTAGCTTCCCCGTGGGACAGCACGACGCTCCGCTGGCCCCTGCTCGGGGAGAGCCACTGCGTGGAGCCTGGCTCCTCTTCGAGGAGTTTATTTCATGGTAATGGCTTCCTCGACAGAGGAATAGGGCCTGGCCCATGGAGGTCCAGCCGAAGCGGCTTTCATACCCCCCTGTAAGATTTGGTTACGCACACTTTCTTCTTTCTTCTTAAAGAGTTATCTCATTCTTCTATCTCTATTGTATCTACGCTAGATCTAATGACCTGCATTCATGTATATTCTATCTATCTCCAAAGTATGTTTAAAGATGCAGCCACAATTCCAGCCAATATGACACCAATCACAGTGTAGGTTTGCATCCATGTGCTAGACACGGGGTCGTCTTGTTCTACAATAAGACGTGCACGATCTTCAGGATCCAACAGATCCAAATTCTCTTGAAGATTGATCGGTTGTTCCACCGATTTTTTCGAAGTGGAGGCGGCGCCTGCACCCGAACCATTTATTAAAAGTTCTTGATCTTTACGTCTTTGTTCTTCAATATCTAACCGATTCTGACTGGCAATCGTTGGGAATTGCTTAACAAATCTATGATTCTCGGTGACATTCCAATTTTTACTAGCAGCTGCCAATTTACGTTTGAGGAAATCATTGGTTACAATAGACCCAGTGGTACTTTCATCACCGGTCATAAATGAAAGTAAACCAGTTAAAATCGTGGCCACACTCCATGCAGGGTTCCAGGTATCTGGATGGTAATCACTCATGGATAAACAAAGTCTTGTGTTACATTGGAAACGTCCATTAGGGGTAACCATCAGGATTGATGGCGGTTTAAAAGGGTATTCATGAGGGAATCTAAGCATCCCATGGTACTGGCCATCTTCAAACGGAGTGCTGGGAGGACCTGTGATGATGAAATGCCATTCTAAGATATTCTCATCGTTTGGCTTGGCAGTAATATAAGGTGGTGGGTTGGCTACTATAGTCTTGTATTCCTTTGTGAGACGTTTTTGTGACTGTCGGGTGGCCATAACTAGAGCTTAAAGTAGAAAATGTGTGTCTGTAGTGGGTAGGATGAACTTGGGGGTAAAGGTTTAATGCGTGAGGGGTTCACTAGTCTACTATGTGGAGAGATATAAGAGAATGAGCACCTTTGAAGCCAAAAATGACATTTGTCACAAACTGAGCGGGAAAAGAAAAAAAAAAAAAGAAACACAATAAGGATATAGATAGGGGGGAGGGCAACCATACCCATTAGTAGTGTCAGGTATTTTTTTAAATATTATAAGGAGATAATGGAATAAGAGGGTAGTTTTATTGATAGTTCTTGTTATGTGTAACAAGTTAGAGAAGTGTAGATGATGGTATTGAATCCGGGGGTAGAGATTGACAAAGATTGTATGATTTAGAATTTAATGACCTAATGATAAAGGATACACTTTTAGCAGTGCGACTTTTAAGAATTTGACCGAAGTGAAGGTTAAGGTTAGTAGAGTGGGATATACGGGGAGGACAAGAAAAGAAATTAAACAAAAGCTTATCGGGTTAAAGGTTATGGTGTGTACTAACCTGATTATTACATCCACTTCTACTACTTCTCATCTACTTGTAGTGACTAACCACCTACTTGTTCAATGTGCTGAAGTTATCTTCATCTATCACTCTCTATTCAATCTATATCTATCTACCCATCATTTTTAGGTCTAACTCCAACTGCTAATATAACACTAATTTCAATGGAATAAACGTCCCCTAACGATGAACTTTTCTTCTCAAGAGTACCATTATTAAATCTATCAATTGTCTCTTGTCTACAATGATTCTCTATAAAATTTCCCAATTGCCAAGTTTTAACGGCAAATTCCTTTGCAATTGAAAGTTGACCAAGTCCTGCTGATTGGAAACATTTTGTCAATGCTTCCACTTTTAACCCTCCCATGTGTCTAACTGCACTAGTTTCACTAGCTTCACGCTCAACATCTTCGTTATAAAAATCAAGGATATACAATACTCCGGTACCCTTCTTAAGAAATGTAACTAATTTCTTGGTAACTCTTACATAATCTTCAAGATGATGATATGAAACACTACAAAAAATCGCATCAAATTGTTCTCCATATTTAGAATCAATTTCCAGTTGTCTTTCAGGATCCAAGATGTCACATAATTCACTGGTTATGGTCAATTTATCGTTACTTAATTTGGTTGCCTTTTCATTGAATGAATTTAAAAATTGTTGATTAATATCAATTCCAACAATTTCAGTAGATTCTTTATTGTTATCCAAAAAATGTGTTAATTTTTCCGTAACAAGTCCAGTACCACAGGCAAAATCCATAACCTTTTTACCATCAAATGTTTCTTTAATTTCAGACTTTCCAATAAGGTTTTCTAAACTAATCCCACTTTGGAATTCTTCAGGGTTACCGTATACGGTGGTACTTGGTTGGGTCTCAATGATGGATACATCATGAGTTACAATGGTTTTAGCGGCAAGCATACTAAGAACCTGCATACATTCCCTGGAATCATAAGCATCTGCAGCGGCAAATGCCTTGATATTAGCCTTTATGGCCTCTTGATGTGACATATTTAGTGAATCACTTTGATCTATCACTAAGTTACAATTCTCACTATAAATTTTTTTTTTATTGCCCCACACAAAAAAAATAATAATAAAAATGTCTGACAATTATTTTTTTGCACACAAGAAATATAACACAAACCTGGGTGACACATTTGATTATGGATTTTAGTTACGTTTAAATTACCAAGGGTTTTGTATATATCCAGTGTGTCGTTAAAGTTAAAGTCAAGGATTGGCTGAATGGAAATAAATAAAAAAATATTATTGAGAAAATAAGAATTAATATTACAATTTAAAGAAATAAATATAAATATATGTATTGAAATTGAAATTGAAAGTGAAGAATTCTAAAGATAGAAGAAGAAAAGATGTATGCAACTCAAATCAATTCAAGATATCAGTAAGTTTTCAAACGTCACTCGACCATGCGACCCATTAGAACTCCTAAAGGGATAATATAACACTGAAGTGAACAAACAAGACTCCCATGAAGGAAATCTTATGCCGGACCGAGAGCGTTCAGACTTACAGGAAAGGACCCACAACCAATCTCCTTCACTTGAAAAAATAAATTCTGAAAATGGGTAGAATTCAGAGTGACGAGTCCAGTAGATCAACTACTGAGACTAGATTGGTTGATTTATATCATTTCACTACCCTAGATGGTAAAACCCGTGAATCAAAATAAGTACGGTACAGGCACGACCGGGTTGCAACCAAACGATAAGCTGCAAATTGACAATGCCTCAAATTCAACCATGGAGCAACTGGAAGTTGTTAACATGGAGTTAGATGTATCCTCTTCCTCTTTAATTGTATCCACCAAACAAACATTATTTGCCGCAGACTCACCTTTTTTTCTTTCGCCATGTATTTCCATTTACCAGGCGGCTCATCCTGTTGACGTCGCAAATTCAAAATTCCAAAAATGAATGAGTCTGACTTATACGTGGACCTTCTACAAGAAACAATGGAGAGTCGCTTAGTGAGGAGAAGAGATTTTGTGAACTTTCATTGTACAAGAAATTTCAGTCATCGCATCCAAAGTAAATAACGAGATTCCAAGCAGAGTCTGCAAGGAAGGAAATACAGAGTGTCAGATAATCCCACACCTCTCCTATTTTGGTCACTGCCATATAACTGATCACCACCGGAGGATTTGTCTCTGAACAATGAAGCACTGAGGCTAAGGTGAAGCAAGGTGATTCAATTCTTACAAATTGTTTTTTATATTATTAAAGTAGACCAAGAGAGTTTTTGTAACAATCTTACCATCTTCCACTCAAACAATAGTTTTATTTTCTAATCCCCTAGAAGAATATAATATTACGACAACAAGTCTAGGGAGTTTCAGAGATTATATAGTATACTCAATAAGATTTCCCCTATATTAACGAGCCGAAGAAGACACCTGCAGCAGTCAAAGTATCACATGACACATTCACCTTACAACAAGGGGTACAAAACCCTATGGCACTGACAGCTCTTCATACGAGGATAGCTTAAGAGAGAGAAAGAAGGTCTCCTCGAAGAGGAGCTAGGCCCCACGTAGTGGCTCTCCCCGAGTAGGGGCCAGCGGAGCGGCTTACAGTCCCACGGGGAAATCCCAGCCTTACGGAGTCTCCAAGCCGCTCCGCTGGCCCCTGCTCGGGGAGAGCCACTGCGTGGAGCCTAGTTTCTCTGACGAGGAGAAGGATAAGAGAGAGGTCACTTGGTCACAAAGCAGGGGGACCCGGAGGAGGGCAGAACCGGGGGGTAACCACTACAATCTTAACACAAAAGATATTCTACTTATCAGTTACGTAGTATAACTACTTCATGCACCTTCATCACATATTCGAATGTAATACCCCGGACCATCTAACTACTTATATAAACAATTCCCACATTAATTTTGTGACCGATTGCCCGATTGGGAATTGGGATCCGAACGGGAATCAATCCCGCTTTTCACATTGACGGCGAAAAACCAAAATTCAAACCCACATCTAATTTTCTACCTGTAACCACGCCACGACGATGAAACTCTCCCGGTATGAGATATCAAACCATAGAGAGGATAAATCTACTTATCTTATACATCTTGCTGATGTTCAAGAATAAACAGATCTTGTAACCTTGTAATTATTATTTTCCCTTGTCAATACTTTTTTTTTAATGTGTCATAAAATAATTCTCATACAGACCCGCCCGCCTCGAAGAGAAGAAAACAGGTCATCTGTAAATATCAAAGAACTGCTTAACCCCGCGCACTTAATGTTTAATACGTACCTTCTATATTTTGTGTTAGAACGGCGGTGTTTCAGAATCTGGGGGGGGTGTTCTAAACTGTTGCTAAATCGCAGATTTTATCCAAATCAGTGGTAAAACTCCTTTTCTTTCCTGCACTAATTGGCCGATGGTTGCAATTTCACGATAAGGCTTGATTTTTGTTTCCTCCTTTTTATTTTCTTAAGTGTGCGGAAATGAGACGATTTGGAATGTCAATGTGCGGAATTCAAGTTAATTGAGGCACCTACCCGCCCATAGTGGTCCGCCTTTATGACTCTCTTTCAATTTACCAGCAATGCTTTTCATCTCTCCAATAAACTTATACTATCCACTCATATCTGGTTGTTCACTTCAAATAAACACCGCCGCCCTGAGCCGCACACAGGTGCTCCCAACCCTCCAATAGAAAGATAACGGATCACAATGTGCTAAATGGGCTGCAAGGCAATTTATATGGATCCGAATTCTAAAACAGGAAACATGAAGTGGGACTTGGTTATATTATAAATATGTGTAGGAAACCCGGCCATTCTCTCCGTGTAAAAATACCTCTTGTTTCTTGCTATACAATAATACTAAATATACTATGTCTGTAGACGTTGCCATGATGAAAGCGGGACACCCTAACAAGTGTGTCCCTGAAACCTCCTATGAATCTGAAGTTGCTCCTAAACTTGAAGAAATTTATTCCTCCCTTGGGATTTCGGCCGATGCCCTTGCACAGGCATCTTTCGACCCAGAAAAGCATCTTCGTTACTACAATGATGAAATGGAAAAGCACCGATACCATAACACTCGTACCTTGACTATGGAAGAATTAGGACTCACCAATAAAAAGCAAATTTCCTCTATTGGTGTATCTGACCCTTTCCCATTATTTACTGATGAAGCAATTGCCATCATGAAGGCTGAAATCTTACAAAAGGATATCTTTATGAAATATGCTCGTAGAAACCATTCATCTACTTCTGGTATGGATTGTATCATCAGAGGTTACGTCAAGACTGGTGAAGAAATCCATACCCCATTTGTCCATCTGGCATGGACCCATCCTAAAACATTGGAATTAATTAGTCACATTGCCGGGGTCGAACTCGAGGTCGTTATGGATTACGAGATTGCCCATGTTAATATGGCTATGGAAGATAAGTCTGCCGTTGATGGTGATAAGTCTATCAGAGAAGCACAGGCTCGTGCTCGTCAAGGATTATCTGATGGGTCAGATATTCCTGCAATCGTTGGCTGGCACAACGATTCTTACCCATTTGTGTGTGTTTTAATGTTGTCTGACACGACAGACATGATTGGAGGCGAGACCTCTTTACGTATGGGCGGTGCAGATGATGGTACACCCAAGAAGGTGTGTAGTGTTCCAGGACCTCAATTAGGATTTGCATCTGTACTTCAAGGTAGACTTATCGAACATATTGCACCAAAACCAGTCGGTGTCACTGAAAGAATCACAATGGTGACTTCTTACCGTGCCAAGGATCCTCTCAAACATGAAGGATCAGTGTTGGCCACCGTTAAGCCTGAAATCAATTCTGGTACCAGATACAATGACTTCTACCCTGAATGGATCAATTATAGATTAGACATCCTTGAAAAGAGATTTGCTCATTTGAGAGCCACCATGTCAGACTCAGATGGTAACTTCAACAAAGAGCTGAGTATGGACTACCTCAAGCAACTTGATTCGTATTTGAAGGATACTTATGAATATATGGAGGTGTCTGACCGTGACATCAAGAAATTGAAGAAGATTCAAGGGATTGTTGAATAGATTTTAGATATATACATATATATATATGCATGACTTTTAAGGATAAACTGACATATTTGTGTAGGAGGTAAGTGTAGCCATTACCCCTTCTCTCCACTCTACTATATATATATTGTTCTCTATCGTATGTTTATTTGTGTTTATTTCGTTAAATCATTACTCTATCTAATCGACCTTTTCCGATCCATTACTATGCACATTCCTGGCTAATTCCTGCTCTGGAGGAAAGCTATTATTTATGACCCTTGAAGGGGCTCCTAGCGAGTTAAGTTTGTTCTTGAACGGCGAGGTGTTAGCACCGTTCGGTATAACCGTTTCCACGACTTTACTGGCTCCCTTATTGAGAAGCGGAGTCTTTTTCTCTTGATTTAAAAAGCTTTTAATCGGGATACTTGATGGTGCTCGCAATTGTGGTTTGAGTTCTTCTAATATATTATGAGTAGAAGGTGGTGGTTTGGAAGGTGGAGATTCAATAGTTGGATTGAAAGAAAGGTCCAAATCACTAGCAGGGACTTCATTTTCAAAAAATGTATTGTTATCTATACTGATATCCCCCATACTCATATCACTTTCTCCATCCCATCTTACAGCCTTTACAGGTTTCTTCAGTGGTTTAGATACCTTTACTGGAGAATGTGATCTTTTTTGGAACAGTTGTGGCAATGATGATTGTGTCAGGAATCTATATCTATCTGGTACATCATCATCTTCATCTTCACCATTCATTGATTCATCAACGGTTTGTTTATACATCTTCAGTTTCATGAATGCCGCAGTGCAGCTCTCCACCTGTGAATCATATTCCCCACTAACCAACGTTTCAAGTTTCCTAGTCAACTTACCAATCACATCTTCTGATCTCTCATTAACAAGACCCATCAGAAATGGATCCAATTGATGTATGACATGATCGAAAAGAATTGAGGAATTGAATAGAATTTCCCGTTCTAACGATTCCTTGAGTGATTGAATAAGTTCCTTAAACACTTCAACGTGGTATGTTGTCCATCCTTCAAGTTTTTCCAATTGTAAAATGGCTTGATTTTGTTGATCTTCAATAATTTTCGTCAATTCATCACCTGAAGAGTATTGTCTTTCAGCTTCTTCCACTTGGAAATTTACTTTTGAGATGAGTTGTTCTGATAAATTAATAATTTTTTGATCATTAATTGTATCTAAAAGACCTTCAACTTCACATTTTTGAAGTAAAAGTAATTTCCGTTTACACAAGAGGAAATATTTCTGCCATTTTTCTGGATTGAATGGAACATTTATCCTTTTTCTAATGGAATTTAAATGCTTTAAAGTTTCTTGTAAGCAAATCAGACCAAGTTCTCTGCCACGTATAATTTGCTCAGCAATGAAATCCTTTTCTCTGGCCCTTAATTCTTCAATCTCTTCCTTTTGTTGCGTGATCATCTTTAAATACAGCCCCACATGTCGATCCAAATTATGTTGATTCCGGATCACTTTAGTTTTAATCTCCTTGGCTCTATTGGCATATTTCAATGTATTTAAAGTTTCATCATAATGTTGCAGCAGTGGACTAACACATACAATCATAACTGTCTTACAATTTCCTCCCAACAGAAATTTAAGAAGTCTTGTTAACTTTGAATCTCTATATGGAACATGATTCCTACGTTTAGGATCACATAATGCATTGATACAATTGCCAAGAGCTAACAATGATTTATTGATATTAGCCCCCTCATGAAGTCTAGCACCTCTATTTCTCGTGGCGGCAGCTCGTTCACTTCCTGCCAAGTCTATAATCGATAACGTTGCCACGGTGGTACATTGTTCTAACTCTACAGTCCTATCTCTTTGCACCACGTTAATTTGGAGCACGGCATGCAGTCTCAGGGATGTGGCATTTGCCTCGGTGGGGGAACTGGTTCTATTGGAATTACCTTCTAAAATCATTGCCATGACTTCCTCCACTGAATTTGGAGTATGTGTCAGTAAATTGGCAACCAGAATTTTTTGCTCTGCATCTTCTCTCAAGATCAATTTCTTATGCAGAGTTTCTGGAGATAACAAGTCTCGGATAGTTTCATTATATATTTCCAAGTAGGATAAGCTTATATCGAGATGTTTAGTATCTTTCAATTCATCCATTCTCATATATAATTCCTTCATGGTCAGAAATATCACCCCTGGTTGTTCCAGTGTACCCAGAATCGTATGAGTCTTACCACATCCAGTGGCTCCATAGGCGAACACAGTGGCATTGAACCCGTCCAACACAGAGTCTAGTAGCGGCCGAGTCGTGTGCTCATACACCTCTTCCTGTTGAGTGTCAACGTCAAAGAGTCGATCAAATACAAATCGATGTTCTCTTATCCTTGAAGTAGCATTGGGGAATGCTCGTTGTTGCATTTTGGTAAGTGGATTCGTTTCTGGTGGATCAAATATAAGCATACGATCATCCACCACAGACACAACCCGTCTCACACCTCGGCTCAACTGGTAGGGTGACATGGTGTTACCCCCCAGAGTTGTGCCGGCTAATGATCCATCTCCAGCAAATTGTTGTTCTTCGGGTTGTAGCACCAAATTCCGTTCTTCTGCTGCCGTGAATGGCCGTACCCTCACGGCCACAATGATGGAGCTTTCCTTGCTCATTCAGACAAGTCTCAGTATATATAAACAAAACGAGGGTAAAGCCAAGAGGGTAGGTTGTACTTAACAACTTGTTCACGATCCATTGATCTTTGTATGTTTATGTTTTACATCGTGACGCGTGCACTCCTACAAAAAAAAAAAAAAAATAATAATACTCCTACAAACTCCAAGTCATTATATGTATGTCACCGGTTCGATCCCGCGAGTCTTCATTCTCCTCTCTGTTATTGTTTTCCTTTTTTTCTCTCTCTAACTTGCGGCAATAGACAGCCACACTATTAGGATTACAATTTCAGTTTCACCTACAAAAAGTGTCATTAATTTTTCTGAAAATATCCCTTCCCAAGCTATCTACACATCCAATGACAGCTGAAGGCGCAACTACTTCCTCATCGGCCATTTCTTTGGTCAAAACAATCATTGGTGCTGGTCTTCTTTCCATGCCATTGGCGTTCAGCACTGACGGTATTGTGGTGGGGTTCTGGATCATTCTTCTTGCCGGTGCCACCTCGGGCTATGGTCTTTTCCTCCAGGCTTACGTTTCGCGCTACGTCCCCGCAGGCCATGCCACCTTCTTCAGTCTTTGTTCCCTCACATATCCATCCCTCCTGGTGGTGTTTGATTTGGCAATCGCGGTACAATGCTTTGGTTGTGCCATTCTGTATTTGGTCCTTATTGGAGACCTTATGCCAGGAACTCTTGGTGGAATCACTACCACTGCCACAGATAGTAAAACTTTCTGGATCCTCTTATCTGCCGTGGTATGTGTCCCCTTATCCTTCCTCCGTAACTTGGACTCTCTCAAGTACACCTCAGTCTTGGGTCTTTTAGCAATTGCATACATGGCTCTTCTTGTTGTGGGACATTATTTCATTGGTGATATCCCATCAACTGAACGTGGTCCTGTAACCCTTTTCCCACAATCATTTGCCTCCATATTCTCCACGTTTTCCATCATTGTGTTTGCTTTCACTGGCCATCAAAATATGTTCTCAATCATTAATGAATCGAGAAATAAACTGTTGTCAGCCCTTAGCACCCTTATTGTGGCTGCTGTAACCGGCTCTGCGGCTCTTTTCATCTTTGTTGGCTTGACTGGATACCTCACTTTTGGTCAAAATGTCACTGGTAACGTCATTCTTCTGTACCCATCAGATCTTCTTTCCACCGTCATTGGAAGACTTCTGATTGTATTTATGGTGATTTTTTCATTCCCTCTCATGCTCCACCCTGCAAGAATCTCAGTCAATAACATTTATTTTTGGATTAATCAAAGATATTCTAATTCAAATGAAAGAGCTCCTTTATTAAATAATGAAGATGATCATGAGTGTACTCTTCCTACCCCAACAGTGGTCCCCTTATCCAATGTCACTTTTGTGGTCATTACCACAACTCTTCTTGTGGTTGGATACGTTATTGCCATCACTGTTGAATCATTTGCTCTTGTGTTGGCAGTTGTTGGTGCCACGGGTTCTACTGCCATTTCCTTCATTCTCCCTGGTTTATTTGGTTATAAGCTCATTGGTAGTGAACTGTCCACTCCCTCGGCCACTGAATCCACTCTCAAGCACTTGTCCCTTGCATTGAGTGTTTGGGGGGTTGTGGTGATGATTGTTTGTTTATACGTTAGTTTGTCCTAGACTAGAACCTCCACAATTCATTTGCATATCGAAGAATAATCTAAATACTTTTCCGACCTTCTTCCACAACTGGTAGTCCACTCACTTCCCCGTGGGACTGTGTAACGCTCCGCTGAGGCCCATACCCGGGGAGGGCCACTGCGTGGTGCCTAGCTCCTCTACGAGGAGTCCTCTAACACACGTGACTTCCTCGTTAGAGGAACAAAGCCCCCACGGCTAGTGGCCCACGGAGTGCCAGCGGAGCGGCTTGCAAACCCCGTAGGGTGGTGACTACTCCCTTCCCCGTGGGATGGTAAGTCGCTCCGCTAGGTCCCTGCCCTCTGCGAGGAGTTGCTACAGTCTAATGTTAGTTTTGTATTTCATTGTTGTAGTATTCCTTTTTTATTATACTCTATAGATAAATGCTATTCATTTCATTTATTCTTCTACCTATACAACATACGCATTAATCCTCTTCATCCACCTCCTCTTCCTTTTCGTCATGTTCCTCCTCGGTGTCATCTTCATCACTCCGTACATCTTCGGCGCCCTTGCCCATGATAACCTTGTATGCTACTTTCAAGATGAAGTACATCCAAACCATGGTTAAGATTTGTAAACCTCCCAAGAGTGCCTTGAATACATTCATGATGAATGGGGTCCAACACCGTTTCATCTCAACACCAGCTTGACATTCCGTACCTACCATCAAGTCTTGTGAATGACGCCATGTATGATAAAATAACACGTTATAAACCCCATGTCTTAAGATGATCCACAGACCCAAAAATAATATAAACATGACATCACATGCACGAGTGAACCCCAGATATTTCAACATCTTGGCCGTGACCAAAAAGATGTCTACCGAGTCCATGATCATCAAGATCGCATGACCGATTCTTGTGAAGTAGTAGTAATAACTTCCAACCACAAGGGCAAACGTGATGATATGATGCAGGAACATCTGGTAATGGTCCTTACGACGTTCTTCAATGTTCAACACAAAGAATTGTTGGACCCAGAACGCAATCAGAATAAGGTAATATTTCTTGAAGAGGGCTGTGAGTTGATAATGAGGCCATCCAACAAATAAATGATCAAGACTCATAAAGTATGGAGATCCCACATAGAGGTAAACACCCAAGGCAAACAGACACATGTAATAGAAGTTTGCCCAACCTTGTTCAGCAAAACGAGTGATGGCCTTATTGGAATGGATCTTGCATACATGGGTGGCCAAAGGCTTGAAACAATACAGCATGAGTGCAGATCTTAAAAAGGTGAGGGTCACCACCCAGAATATGATAAAGTACACGTCGTCGTGGCCAATGTCGTAGAGAAGCCCGCCGTCAACTGGGTTGACCTCCCCCGTTGGGTACTGGAGATGGATAAACTTACTGGTGTAGGGAGTTGCAGGCGTGTAAAGGACGTGTACCACGTAGAATGCAGTGAGTAAGAGTCTCGAGATGTGTATTTGATTTCGTTCGATCGCGGCCAGATATGATGATTTATAGAGCGATCCGTGCGAAGGGGTCTTCCCAGAAGGATCTGATCCAGCGGGATGACTTTTGGAATGGGGGTTAGATGCATGGGCATTGGAGGAAGTGGTGGTGGTGCTAATCGCAGGTTGAGCCGGGGTTTCCGCCAATGCCAGGTCAGAAGACACAAAGGCCAGTCCGTCTATAGGCGGCGCCGTGCGCGTCGCGGTGGATGCCTTTGTCCCGGAATCACTACGAGTCATGATGATGCTAACGATGGCTACTCGTGGGATGATTAGCGTTCACTAAAGGACTCCATGTCAAGATTTTTCTCTTTAACACGTCGAAAAAAGATTTTGGGGTCTGTGTGCACACCACCTATAAGTACAAAACTGGTTGAATAACCAAGTCGCGCACAAAGGGTGGAACCACGAGAGATCATGGAAAAAAAAAAAAAAAAGAAGAATATTCATTCTTCACAGTATCATGTGGGCGGAGTCTACGTGTAAACAGAGAGAAGGCATACACCCATCAGACGTGGATGATGCTGAATTCGCAGCATTCCTCTCTTCTCAGCTGCTGCCTGCCAAAAAAAAAATTGTTGGGACGGACTCTCCACGTGTGTACGGATAAACCCAAACAGTCAATAGACCCTGGTTCGCGGTTAAATGGCCATTGATACAGATGGTTAATTTTTTTGTTTTTGAATGCGGCTTCACTAACAATTTGTACAGCCCCCTGGCAATTGTTTTTTTTTTTTTAAAAAAAAAAACACTTTTTAGTCAGAGCCGCACCGGTTGCAATTTTTTTGGATATTTAGTTTGGTCGTGTAGATTGCTAAATGTGAGATGGTTGCTAGGATATGAGATTGTAGGTTGAAGAACTCTAAAATGTGAGTATAGAATGAGGAGAATTCAAACTATTCCTTCGAGATGACGGAATCAAGAGTATTAATTAATGAATTAGTAGGTACTACAAAAATATGAATATCTTTGAAGATTGAGATGTATTTTGAGGTTTTTTAGGTACAACTAAGCGTAGGAATATGTAGTGTATGTAGGCGCAAACAGAACACGCTTTTGTATTGAGTTCTATGTAAGTGTAGTTGCGTTTGTTGTCATGAGTTTTCATGAACCGCTAGTTTTTATAGCATGAGATGTATACACTCGCTCTACGAGGGGGAGGTTTTGTAAGTCCCGCCTGAAATCTCCTCGTTTAGAGGAGCAGAGCCACCACGGCTAGTGGCCAGCGGAGTGCCAGCGCAGCGGCTTACATACCCCGTAGGGTAGCGAGAGACTACCTCTGTGAGCCCTTATTCATGGTTCCCCACTACTCGCGGGGGAGGGTAGTGCAACTGTAGCTGGTGCATAACTCCTCCATACAGGGTATTGTAAATAGTAGTAGTAAGTAGATAACTTGGAGAGCAATGAGATCCGTTGTGCAGAAAAGGGGGGCAAAAAATCTTCATCATGACTAGTGGCCCATAGAATGCCAACTGCGTGGCTAACATGTCCAGTAGTAGGCTCACAATCTTCTCCACTGGTCCTATACTCGATTAGAAACACTGTGGTGGGCTCCAACTTTTATTACAAACAGAATATACTTACATCACGTGACCACCACATCTGTGCCGAACATGGCTAGTTAGCCCAAGGTGTACAAGAGAACCGTCTTAGAAACATCGTGGGATAGTTCTCTTCCATCCAACTCTAATATCATTTCGAAATCCATTCACCTACCCATTTCGTAACAATTGCTTCTGATCAATTTCGCTGGACTCCCTCATACTAGGCTATGATTCTTCAAGATCATACATAGAAATTGGTGGGAGCTATTTGCCAAGAGACTTGGTAAATATTTCACACATCTTGAACTACCTACTCAATAACATGTATTGAAGGGCTTTCTTGACACTACCTTCGTTATACCGGTTCCAAACAGCATACAAATTTATCAAGTCTTGAAGTGCCTCGGCAACTTCGTCTAAATTAACATGAGAGCTTGCCATGAAGCTACGAAACCTTTCAGTTCGGAGAGCATGGTTAGCCTCACTCACAGGAACTGTGTATGACAACGCCATAAGGTCATCAATATGGATATCAGGTTGGCTCAGAACCTGTTGGTGTTGTCCCAGGTGTTGTCCATTCCCAGTACCAGAAGAAGACTGATTCGATCCATGTTGTTGCAGAGAACCCCCAGAACCTTGGCCCCCAACGCTCCCACCACTGGCGTGACCATGACCATGACCACTCTTGCCATCTCGTTTACCTGGTTTATTCAACACCACCGTGATATAAACAGCAGTGACGGCAATCACATGAGGTGGAAATAACAAGTGAAGATCGGTGATATAACTATCATTAATGATAGACCATGAGTTTTGTAATTCTTCATCGGTAAGAGTAAATCCATGGGATTGATGTCCCGCAAGGTATTCGCGGAGTTGTAACAAGGACTTGTAAGGGTGATGGACCACCAAGTACAGATCTAGCTCTTCGATGAGATAGAACTCAAATTCTGCCAATTTGGTGATATCTTGTGGAACGTATTCTGGCCAGAGATTACGAGCTTCTGAGGTTATAAGACGGATGTGTTGAGGACATTCTTCGATTTTACACGCCACATATAGACAGGCAGCCACAAGAAGATAGACATTGATCTCCTTGAGCAGGACACGAGTAAGAAATCTCAAGAGGTATACCTCAGCGGTGGCTAGAGCGATTTGTCGAATATTCAATCTTCGGCCAAGTTTGACGAGAACTGACGGGAAAGTTAGTAACCAGAAATGACAAAAACAAAAAAAAAGCACAAGATTAAATGGCGTGGATACTCACGGTTATGAAGATATATTCTCATATTGGCATCAAATACAATGCCTGGATAGTCTTTTATAAGACCATTATGGATCATTTTGCGTTCCAAGAGGAGTAATTTCCTACGGTTTTCAAACAATAAATGACGAGTAAGCTGCCATTTAGTTCTTTGGGTGGAGTTCCAGAAGTCGGCAGACATAGTAAAATGCAATTCTGGAGTGTCAAATGATTCAAAATTAGTATTTAAACTTGAGTTGATGATTCTTATAATACTACTTATTGTAAAAGTCTTTGAATTTTTAGACAGACTGATTCATAGGTACTGCATATACTATACTCCACATACTAACTAAATTAAAATGGGCAAAACAGGAGGAAAAGTTGGTAAACAGAATTTGATCAGTAAGGAGATATAAGGAATGGATTGGTAATAGGATAGACTAAACCAAGATTTTAGAGAAAATTATTAATTAAGTTTAGAACTTTAATCGAAAAGGTTATTGATAGATGTATAGGCTGGGGAGTGCACAATGGATGGGAGTAAGTAATTTCCTCGGTAGAGGAACATGGCCTCCACGGCTAGTGGGCCACGGAGTGCCTGCGAAGAGACTTACAGGCCCATATTGTAGGTCAGGTAGCTACTCGTTTGGCGTGGGGGAGACCGTGAGCCGCTCTGTTAGTCCCTGCTCGGGGGAGAGCCCACTGCGTGCGGCCCCAACTCCTCTACGAGAATACTTGCAGCTAAAACTTTTTTCTTGCTTTGATTGGTTAGAAGCACGCCGAATGTGAAGGTGAAGCACCTTACAAGGTTTATTCGCTGATTGGGGTCATTGCATACGTATGTAAATTTCACCTATTACTTCGGAATGTACCTCCTATTTGCAACTTTCTGTTCAGAATCTTTAGAGTGATTATTCGGGAACCTTCCATTCTACGAATCTCTTTCGGTATTGAATTCCGTTCCCACAAAACGTGCCGGAACATTACAAAGCAATTCTGCAATTTTCAAAACAATTGCTGGTACGTTGATTTGTAATGATCGTAATCTCCGTAGATGGTGCGTTTTTTTTTTTGAGATTACAAATCTAATTTTTCGGATGTTTCCTAATTGGGTACGCCCGAATTCTTGAGAGAGTATATATATTGATCAACTTGAGACTTGAACAGAAGAGATTTCTTTATAATCATCGGATAATTCTATATCTATCTCTTCTGAACTTCTTCCTTAACTCTATTGAATAAAAAAAAAAATGTCTACTGTTTACTTCATTACTGGCGGTAACCGTGGTATCGGTTATAATCTCGTCGAACAATTGGCTGCAAGACCAAACACAAAAGTTATTACCACTGCAAGAGATGTTGAAAAGGCCACTCAATTGAAAGATTTACAAAAGAAACATTCCAATGTTGAAGTCTTGAAGCTTGATGTTTCCTCTGAGGAAAGTATCGATACCTTGGACGGACAATTACAAAAAGTTGCACCAGAAGGTATTGATATCTTCATTTCAAATGCAGGTATCGCTGATGCTTATTACGCTGTTAAGGACGCTCCACGTTCAGTTTGGTTAAAGCATCACCAAACCAATGTTTTGGGTCCTATTTTCGTATATCAAGTTGTACGTCCATACTTGTTGAAGAAATCCACTAGACAAATTGTTTTCGTCAGTAGTATTGCCGGATCTGTTGGTGGATTCATCCCATTCTCTACTTCAGCTTATGGACAATCTAAGGCCGCACTTAACATGACAGTCAAACAAATCAGTTTTGAAGATGCTGCTGATGGTTTCACCGTTATTGCCATTCATCCTGGTATGGTTTCCACTGATATGGGTCAATACGGTATTACCAAGTTTCCTGAAGGAAATTTTGACCATATTCTTGCCATGGTCATCACCCCAGAAGTCAGTGCCACCAAGCAACTTGAGGTTATTGATGGTTTGACCAAGGAAAGCAATGGTGTTTTCTACAGTTATGATGGTACAATTGCTCCATATTAAATAATATTTTAATAATAATACGAAACGTTTTCGATTGAATCTATTTGTAAGTTACTCTAATACTCACCACAATTGGTCACTATTATAGGTTCCACTGGTGTGTCTCCTTTAACTCGAACTCTATTTATCACATCTACAGTTTCAAATCCTTCGATTACTTTACCGAAAACAACATGTTTCCCATCCAAATGTGGAGTGTTGTCAGTACAAATGAAAAATTGACATCCATTAGTGTTGGGACCGGAATTTGCCATCGATACAGAATATTTCTTATGATCAAGGGGGAACCCTTCATCATTAAACATTTCTCCATAGATACTGAAACTACCTTGTCCATTGCCGCGGACAAAATCCCCTCCTTGGATCATAAAGTCCTTGATCACTCGATGGAATTTACATCCTTTGTATCCTAAAGGTTTGCCATTTTCACGATATTCTCCTGTGCAAAGTTGTCTAAAATTCTCACAAGTTCTAAATTTTTTTGTTAGTATGAATAGTGTTAAAAGAGGGGCTCATTACATATACTCACCTTGGTAGAAGCTCGTTATTTAATTGGATTTTTATCCTTCCTAAAGGGTTTTCTAGAATGTTAGTATAATATCCACGGAACGTCCTGTACACGAAAGGGGAGGGAGGAGGGGTGTTTCCACTCTTGGCATGAAATCTGGGGCCATTTTCCCAAGACAAAGTCATAGCATACATTATATGTAGTAGATGAAATATATAAAATCACAATATGATTGGTAGACTGTGCCCCTCCTACAAATCAACTTATGCCATCACCCCTTTTCTTCTTCTCCTTTTCTTCTTCTCCTTCTTTTTTTTCTTCTTCTACTCACCTCCTTGAGAAACCTGTCTGTTAGTACCACATCAATACCCAATAAAACTCACGCCATACTCACATCTAAAAAAACAATCATGGTAATCTCCGAGAAAATAAATTAACACACCGAGATCTCTCATTCACCCCACAAATGTCTTTCCATTGATAATCACCAAAACAAATAAAAAAAAAAAAAGTTCTACCCAAAACCCGCAAAGAGGAAAAAATTACTTTATACGGGCCACCAAGTAAATGGTGAGAATCTCTAGTGTGTCTAAACATCCCACATCATCATATAAAAGCTCATCGATGCCAAACTACCACACGTCTCAACCAAAGCCCGATACGGCAATCGACCGTACTGTCCCGGATTTCCCAATTGCGCAAGTTTCAGATGAAGACCGGTATTTCAACACCCACGAGGCCCCGGAATACCTCCCACAAATCGAACAACAAGTGCAACAATTCATTGACCATCACCATACACAAACGGGAAAGAGTGTGGTTTTGGTGACCTCAGGAGGTACCACCGTCCCCTTGGAGAATAATACTGTGAGATTTATAGATAACTTTTCCGCTGGTACTCGTGGTGCAACTTCCGCTGAATACTTTCTTGAAAATGGGTATGCTGTGATTTTCCTTCATCGAGAATTTTCTCTCTTACCATACTCTCGCCATTACTCACATACAACCAACTGTTTCTTGGACTATATGACCGAGAGAAATAACAAGGTTGAAATCGATGATAAGTTTGCCGATGAAATGTTGGTGGTGCTTCGTAAGTATAAGCAAGCACAACTGACCCAACTGTTGTTACTGATCCCATTCACCACTGTCAACCAGTACTTGTACACTTTAAAGCTGGTTTCCAAATTGCTTCAACAATTGGATTCTAAGGCCCTTTTCTACTTGGCGGCAGCTGTATCTGACTTTTTCTTGCCTCTGTCCAGAATCCCACAACATAAAATCCAGAGTCAAGCTAGCGGTAAATTGGTGGTGGATTTGGAACAAGTGCCAAAGTTTCTTCGTAGATTGGTAGATTCTTGGGCTCCACTGGCCATGATCGTATCCTTCAAATTGGAAACAGATGATCTGATTTTGATTAAAAAGGCTAAGGGAGCATTGGAAAGGTATCAACATCAATTGGTCATTGGGAACCTTTTGCAGACAAGGAAAAAGGAAATTGTGTTTGTAACTGTAGACGGGAACCAAAAATGGGTTAGATTAACTGACCAAGAATTACAAGATGGTGTAGAGATTGAAAGTTTGATTATTCCAGAAGTTATCAAAGAACACAGCAAATGGATTACTCAACACAAGTAAGAAATTTTATGACATATACGATTTAAATTAATGATGTAGTATACAACTTTCTAATTAGTGGTCTGGAATTATTTTCCATTGGTCTACCTGTAGATAACACCTGTACCGGAGAGGGACCGACTACGAAGGGCCTGACTATCGCCTGAGTATACACCTTCTAGAAAGACTTCCTCGCTAGAGGAACAATGCCCCCACGGCTAGTGACCCACGGAGTGCCAGCGGAGAGGCGTACTTACCCCGTAGGTGAGTAAGAGTCCGCCTCTGTGAGCCCTTCCTCACGGTGCTGACCTCTACTCGTGGGGGATGTAGTGCAACTGTATCTGGTGCCTAGTTCCCTCTACGTAGGGTGTTGTTGTTAGTTAATCTTTATATTATATATCGTACATCAAGTATAAAACTGCTTATACCCATTTCAAAATTTTCCCCCTTTGATCATCACTCTGTTCATTAATGAAATTTCTCCTCGGTATCATTACAAGAAAGAAATCCCAATACCATATTGTATACCCTTACGAACATAATCGCGTTCATGGACCACTAATGGGAGAACAAAATTGAGTTCGAACCGGGCCATTGGGTGGTTATACAACACTCCAACCCCACATCCAACGGATATTTGACGTAACAGAGCCATTGTCTTTTCCATGTTGTGACGATCCATTGGAACAGCAGATCCAAAATTAATAAAGTTATGAAGCTTGAAATTTGAATCTGGAGATACTTTTGGAAGACGAGACACCAAAGAAATACCTCCATTGATGAAAAGATCTCCTCCTACAGAAGCATTAAAGCTTTTAGGTCCCAATCCGTTCAAGAGAAATGACCGCACGTCGTTGGGTCCTCCAATAAAGAACCGGTCCAACACATGCGAGCCCGCCCGGTTCATCAGCCACAACACACCTGCCTTGTTGGTGAGGATAAGAGAATGTGAATCAGAAAGCTTGAGACATCTTTGAGATTCAACCACTTGCTTGATATACCGTTGAGAACATGCTTCCAAGATCCCAGAGTACTCGAGTCCAACACGGAAATATTGACCACGTGTGGGTAAATGCGCGTTATCACGGGTATCATACTTGACGTTATAAAGAAGTGCAGACTTGAAATCATTCCCCAGTTGGTTGAGAACATCCATTGCTCTCGACAGGGTGTTCGAGAGTACTCTCCAGCAGTTTTCCCAACTGATGTCGTGCGACACTTTACCTCTTTGCATGGATACTCTTGTGGTGGCCCCTTTCACTTTCGAATCACATTTGAGCCAATCCAATTGTTTGGTGTTCATATAGAACAGCTGTTCAAATACATCCTTCGCGCTATTCATCAAGGGCATGGTGTAGTTCAACAAATATGACGACTGTGTCTTGGTACCAGTGATGGCATCAAACACCAAATTCTCACCTCCTCCAAATAAATTCTTCAATTGGAATTGGATGTATCCATCACCTTCTCCATTTCCCACATTGGTTCCAGTCTTTGCATAGAATCTTTTCACCGGTGCTATATTGAACACCGGGGTCAATTGAAGCGTCTTATTTCTAGTCATTCCCCATCCACCCATACTTCTCGTGGGGGTATCGGGGAGCGAAACAAACATATTGTCCACTACTCCCAACGATCTCAAATTGTTTGCAACCTCATCAATTCCCTCGCACAACTTGCCCAAGGTAATCAAGTCCGACTTGAGCAACGGCTTAAGCTGGGCCTGGAGAAACAGCTCCCGGAATACATGCCCGTTGTTCACCTGTACCTGTCCGACTTTCACCGGAGTACTGGCGTTTTCTTTCAAGAGAGATTCCAAATACTCGCGATTCTGTTTGATCATAAGCTGTTGTTTCTCATTCTGCCATTTTTCAAGCTCCTTCTCGCTCTGAGTCTGGCCAGACCCTCCGAGAGGTGCTCCCAGAAGCCTATCCATCATCAGATCATGGTCCAATTGTGACATTTTCTATAACCTTTTACTGGATTGATTTGGTTGTAAGTTCTGTGGTAGAAAATTTTGAACTCCCCTCCTACAAAATCCATATTGGGCGCCGCACATGCAGGATGCAACATATATATAGTGGTACTATCTACTCTTACAACTTACAATGACTTCCTCTGGTCTAGGTGTACATCTACTGACATTAACATTCATCAACGAAACCTTAGTCTCAGAATAAGTAGGTGGTGAACATACATATGGATATATATATATATATATATATAGGCCTGTCTCTGCAAAGGGTACTGTTGGAAAGAGTAAGAATGTGTGCAGGGTATCCAACCACTATGGATGAAATGATTGGACCTTGGCTCCAAAAGACGACAGAGATTTTATGTCGTACAGCCATGGACCACTAACGAGAAAGCCCCCGAGATAACCTCTCCTCGAAGGTGAGCTAGGCTCTACCCAGTGGTTCCTCTCGAGTAGGGGGCCCAGCGGCGTATCTGCGAGAGTGCTGCCCTACGGGGTGTGTAAGCCGCTCCGCTGGCACTCCGTGGGCCACTAGCCGTGGAGGCCTTGTTCCTCTACGAGGAAGCCGGTGTCTATTTTTAAAGACTAGAGGAGTGGAGTGATTGAACTATTCACTGGATTTCTATTCTGGTGGGGATATCTCAACTTGAGGTGGAGGTGTGTTGACACTGGTCATCGCAGTGGTGGGACTAAGAAACCCACCTTCTCCCTTGAACGGATCATCTCGATCTCGTTCATCTTCTTCCACTAAAAGTCGAATACACTCCTTCCCAGTTTCCGTTTGGAAATGTCGACGTAATGCATCCGCACGAGCAAACTTCCTCCCACATCCATACGGCAGACCATCTTTCAATAACCCTTTACATTGGAACTTCTTCTCACCTGTGTGCAAATCCTCATGACGTTTCCTATCGTGTTGTCTTGCAAATGCCTTACCACATACGTTACAGATGAACGGTCTTTCATCAGTATGAGTTCTCAAATGAGATTTCAAATTATATGGTCTTGTAAATCGCTTTTCACACAAATGACAAGCAAAGACTGAGGGGTGCTTTTGAGTTCTGCGTGAAACTTGGTTCGGCGATGCCAACTCAAGCATCTTTTCTCGGGTGGATGGAGCACCACTTTCTTCACCTTCTTCTTCATAATCCTCGTAATCATCTGCATCGGAAAAATTTGCAGGAGAACGTGATCGAGACCTTGAATGTGAAACTGAGGATTTCGCAGAATGTGCAGCTTTCCTGCCTCGTTTCATCAGCAGGAATTCTTGTGGACGAAGACTTTCCGAATAGTCGGAAAGTGAACCTGGACTCGTGGGTGGATGGCTATTTGAAGTACCTCCTCCTGGAGCTAACAGGGTGCTTGTTTGAAGATTGGCACCTGATGGTGAGTTGTTAAGTGAAGAATTATGGGACGAGTTGCTGAAAAGAGATGGGGTTCTATGAAGTTGGTCATCATCTTCTGGAGCAGCATCAATGGAGATGGAAGGTGAAAAGCTCGAAAGATTGGATTCCAGAAGAATCAGTTGTTGCAGTTGAAGTGGTTGTAACGAAGCTTGTTGTGGTTGGAATTGTGAACCTTGTGGTTGAGCTGGCAAATCCTGCAGAGGGAGGTTCAATGACATTGGTCTATATTGTTGTTCATACCCTAACGAGGTCAAATCCGTGCTACTGATGGACCCACCCAAGGCGATTTCTGAATCAAAGCCTCCGAGAAAAGACGATCCCGCACCTGGCGGTTGGCCATAAGTACTCGAGAAATGAGACTGAGCGTCAATGTATGGACTATTGGCATTCAGAGACAAGTCTGAGTAGACCGAGGTGGCGGTAAAGCTTCCGGTTCTACTGTGGGATCCTGGAGGTGCCAACAGAGTGTTGAGTTGTTGAAGGTTGTTGGAATTGAGAGATTGTCCGTTGTTGGCATTGATCGAGAATGTATGAAGCGCTGGGGCCGTTGGGGCCGGGGCTGCCGTGGGGCCCATGGAGCCCATGGAACCCATAGAGCCCAAGGGGGCAACTACTCCCGTTGCCAGAGGCGAGGTATTGCTGCTCACCGACAGGGCCTGGGTTTGTGGAGAGTCCTCAAAAAGCGAGTTGGTTGAGTCTTGGCTGACTATATTGAAGGTTGGAAGTTCATATGGATAACTTTGGAACTGTTGTTGAGGAGTTTGTTGTTGGCGAAGATTGAGTTGTTGTTGGTTATGATTGTGGTGCTGGTGTTGGTTAATCGGTTGCTGCAGGAGCGGCTGCTGGAAAGACTGATGAAGAGGTAATTGCGGCTGCTGTTGGTGCTGCTGGCGTTGTTGACTCTGGGCTATTTCATACTCCTCGAATCCAAACTCAGGAGGAGACTCAAACCCTAATGTTTGGTTCTGTCTACCAAAACTTTCTGGGGGCAGTAGGTTCAAGATGTCAAACAATTGGTCCTCTTCGGTCTTCACCGCGGGATCTGTGCTCATGTGAATAGGTATAGGAGACTGGCTGATGTTATCAGGCTCCAAAAAAAGTGTCGGTTATAGGGAGAGAAAAAAAGAGTCAACCAGAAAAAAAAAAATATTAACACTAGTGTAGTCAGTTGTCTTGGGTTCGACTCGCAGTGACGGTGGTACGATGGTCGATTCGGAAACGAGATATAACAATGGTATACCGGAAAATTTAACAATAATATAAAATGGTTGAGAGTCCGTGGGCCAAATAAAGGATTATGCGCCAAATTGGTGCCTTTTGTGCTCCTCTTATGGGTTTCTATGTATTTTAGAAATTTGTGTGTGGCAGACCAAAATTTACAATGCAGTATCTCTCCAAGGTTGTAGACGTCACGATTTTTATAAGTGGACGGCTGTTGGTGGGTGGACCTCGCGCGGCGGAAGTTGGTAAAAAATATTATTAATTGTAGGTGAGTTTCCTTGTGGAACGGTACATAAAAATCCCGGTTTGCTTATTCATCCCTAGAGTGCCGTATGGAGGCACAAGTTTGTAGTATAGAGAGAGGGGTGAGCGGGCCTATCTCGGGGATATTATTTTTTTTTTCTTTTTTTTTTTTTGTCGTAGGCGCAGTAACAGAAACAATGATCGAGTTATGTAAGCCAAAGCGACAGAGTTATGTAAGGGAGAACTACTCTATTAATACATGGATATAATTGGAAGTAAGTTTAGTAGAAGTTTGAAGAATATCAAAAATATACAAATATGGGTATGCAAGAGACTTTTTATGTAAGAAAAGCGTTAGTAACCTCGAATAAAATAACTCTATTGTAGACACATTTAAAATTTAATTTCCTCTATGTGCCTTTGTGACACTTTCTCCACTATATAAAAATATGCAAGACGTACATTCAAATGAGATGATGGAGACATGCAAGTACCTGCCAAAATAGCAAAAAGAATGGTGCGTGGAAGAGGGTTTTTAAAAAAAAAGCGAAAAATTGGCGAAAGAACTTACCAAGACAGACCCATGAACAATTTTAAGTGAGGATTATTTATACTGCAAAATGTAGCAAGTGATAGAAGATTCCATGATGACGCAACCTTCGATCGTCCCTTGACTTGCACCCTCTTCATGCCCACGGTACGTGTGGTTTATGAGTTCGGCCCGGTACGTTGGGCCGATTTATGCTATTTTTATTTCAAGGCTGTGCCACTAAATCTACACCCGTATCGTGCTAAAAAAAAAAAAAGAAACACCCTTCCCGTTTTCTCTAATTTATTTTTTTTTTTCTTTATGGTAAAGAATCTTCTAAATTTTTTGAATGAATCTCAACGGTATTGTCACGTGGAATGGTAGCGCCATGTAGCAAGAAACGGTTGCAATTATTAAAAATAGAATGAGGGAAATGACAAGGATATTTTGTTTTTGATACCTTGGTACGTACATGTTTATTTTTCTTTCTCTACCTTTATGTTATTCACTTGATTGTATTCAAAGATAAAATGAATTAAAAAAAAAAAAAAAATGCACAATAATGGGGCTCGGTTATTAGCCCAAAAAAGGGTTAGGCGCACCCAGAAGCATCCTCCGATTCCAATTCTCGGGCCAGATTTTTAGACTAATACTACTTGGTGACATTTGATGTAGTACTCACTCGTAATTCTGATAATCATCGTAAATAATAACGCGAAATCGGCTTTGCCAATTATATATTCTGGGGAATAAAAAGCCGTTGTTTTTGTTTTGTAGATTTTAAGACCTCGTCAAATGATGATCCATCCAGAGGACTTCTTTCGGCATTAGGTTTTGTTTTGTTTCTCTATCAAATATATTTAATCTATCAGGTCCAATTTTCTATGAATCTCCCTTTCTAGGACTTACCAAGTAATCCAAAACCACATGCCATACATCAGGTGCAAACGTCTTTACCTTTTCTAAATGTAAAAACTTTGCAAAACAATCCTTTTGGAAAAATTCCAATGTTTCATTGGTAAATGTGTCAAAATCATTAATGGAAACATTTTCATGAACATGGATTTGAGTCTCTTTACTATTGGAGATCTCATTCACCATCCGGGTACATGATCCCCACAGATCCTTGGAGCTTGGAAGTAACCCCAAGTTGATATGTTGAAGATCCATGGGCACCGAAAGTTGTTCGAACCTTCGCATAGACTCTTCATTACTTTCATTGAATACGAATGCTCTAACTCCTGAAGAAATGGCTGCATGATATTTCTTCGAATCCAATACTTCATCAGCTCCTATAACAAGGTATGAATGGTGATTTGCCGTCAATCCACGAATCAATCCTTCAATAGACCATGGGTTTAGTTCCCAACAAAACACTGTGTATCCATTAGCTAAATAGGAAAGAGTGAAATATCCAATCCCACTATACATGTCCACCGCAACCGGCAATGTGTTTAAGTTTTGTTTCTGTTTAGACAATTGTAATACTCGTTTTTTCTCCTTGATGTTCCCACGGGAAAACATCGTATATCTAGGGGCCCAATGTTGTGTAATCCCATTCTGGACCACCAGACACCAGAAAGCTTCCTTGAAGTTCGCCTTAGAAGGATTTGTGAATAGGGTATCTGTTGGTTCCGGACCAAAGTTTCCATATACTGGAACCAAATTGAAAGGTCTTCTCATGACATCCGATTCAATGATCGGTTTATTGACAGCAATATGTGTACATTGCGGGAATTCCTGCTCTAAAAGTTGAGGGAAAAACCTGGTATGATCCTTCCAAACTTCAAGTTCAAGCGTTTGACCGGATAGAAGAAGCATTGGTGGGTAAACAGAATATTTTTTAGGAAGACTAAGTCGAAGTTGTCGCACTATATCTTCCTCTACTACAGTCCCCCTCCGCTTCAATTCCCCGTCTATATACCTCTCGAAACACCCTACAATTCCCGCTGCTTCAACGGTCCTTTCCCGGTATGTCCCCAACTGATGATCAATTATTCTCCCAATTTCCTCCATCATAATTCCTTCCCATTCCGTTTTCTCACAAATTCTGGTGTAAATTTTAAATACACCATTATTCTCTCTACGGATCTTTTCATTCTTATTCAATTTCCCGCTTTTTTCAAGAACAGTCTTGACTTCTTTAACATCCTTGGAATCAGCCAATTCAACCAATAAGTATTCCATATCAACAATCCTAAAATAAAATGAACGCAAAAAGAAATAGAAGAAGATAAAAAAAAAGAAAGCAGGTGTTGTCTATACACGTATATATGTTGGCTCTCCTCAGTGGCAAAACTTATAAAACAAATGAATTGTTTCTAGTTTTACTTGTCAGTGATGTTGCTGCTACTTTTTTTACTTCATTTTATTTTTTTTCTCCGCTCTCGCATTATTTTCGGTTTCTATTTGGCGTGTCCTACACACAAACCCGATCAACGTCGGGTTTTTTTCTTTTTTGAACTTGTGCGATTTACTTCGAGCCGTCTTGATAACCTTCTCTTTCTATTCTCTCCATTATCACTACAAACAAGGGGCCATTACAATCCACCCAGTTAAGTTGTGGGAAATCGTGTGAATATTCTACTTTTGTCCAGATAAAATGGGAGATCACGAGGCGTCGGTTGGCGGAGCCGAACCAACAAATGTATTTGTAGACGGACGCGACACCTGTCAAGAGAATGGATCATCCACTGATTCTTCTACAGTTGGTGAACTGGGAGTCACCAGAGCCCCTACCACCGATGCAGCTCGCACTTCTAGTCTGGCCACCCCGGTCACAGGCTCGTCCACAAGCCGCAATTCACCTTCGGTTGCGAAATCAACCCCTGAAGTGTCCCCCGCCAGTGCTCTTGAAGGAGGTAGAGAAACTTCAAACAAAATCTTGTACGTTGGTAATCTTCATAAATCTGTTTCTGATGAGCAATTGAAGGATGTATTCACTGCTGCTTTAACCAAGGATTCGAAAAGTGAGTCTAATTCCACTTCAAACACCGATGAAGGGTCCACGGCTAACTCTACCGCTCCTCTGGAAGAACCTTCTACCACCGCCACCACCACCGCTGCAACCATTGAACCAGACTCAAAGGATACACAAGTAGGTGAACCTTCTGATACCACCACCTCCAAGGAGGTCTCCGACGATGTTGATAACGTAAATGGCTCGGAAGTCTCGGCTATTCAAACTATCAAGATTCTTAACGATAAAAACAAACCAGGGTTCAATTACGCGTTCATTGAGTTCATCAACAATAAGGCGGCAGAAACTGCTATGGGAGCCTTACAAGGTGCCCTTGTTAACAACGCAGAACTCAAGATTAACTGGGCCTTCCAGTCGCTGAACGTCAGCAACGCTGCCGGCGGCGATGGTTCCGAACAATCACCTCTGTACAACATTTTCGTTGGAGATTTGCTGCCTGAAGTGGATGATGAATCACTCCAAAGAGCATTTCTGAAGTTTGCTCTGTTGAAGCTGGCTCATGTGATGTGGGACATGCAAACGTCAAGATCCCGTGGGTATGGGTTTGTTCTGTTTGCTCAACAACAAGACGCCGAGTTGGCTTTGCAAACCATGAATGGTGAATGGGTCTGTGGAAGAGCTATCAGATGTAATTGGGCCTCTCACAAGCAGATGAATGGTGCCAATGGGGCCAATAACGGATACCGTGGTGGCAATGGTGGCCGTGGTGGTGGTCACAATGGCCATCGTGGTCAGTTCAGACAATACAATGGTGCCCCTATGTCCGCCGGGCATCTTCATGTTGGTCTAGGAGGCCCTGGAGGTCCCGGTGGTATCAATGGTGGAGCCACCAATGGAGGCTCTGCTTTGGGTGGTTCCGTCGGAGGATTTGCAGCCAAGCAACATTATCAAAACCAACCATACCAACAAGGGTATCAACCAGTACAGCATGTCCAACAATTCTATCCTGTAGACCAACAACACCAGCATCAGCAACAACAACAGCATCAACAACACCAGCAGCATCAGCAACAACCAAACCAACAACAACACCTTCAACAACACCAACACCAGCAGCAACCAAACCAACAACAACACCTTCAACAACAACATCTTCCACAACAACATCAACATCTTCAGCAACAGCAACAACTTCCTGACCAGTCTGATGATTATACAATCAATGGGGCCGGCGGTGCCGGTGCCAATTCTCCATTTGCACCAACCAATGGAATGCCGGTGATGTCTCCACAATCATATGATATTGTCTTGCGACAAACGCCTTCGTGGCAAACCACCGTGTACCTCGGGAACATTGCTCATTTCACCCAACAAGGAGAATTGATTCCTCTTTTACAAAACTTTGGGTTCATTGTGGATTTCAAGTTCCATCCCGAAAGAGGATGTGCATTTGTCAAGTATGACTCCCATGAACGAGCAGCATTAGCCATTGTTCAATTGGCTGGCTTCAACGTGAATGGAAGACCATTAAAGTGCGGGTGGGGGAAAGATCGTCCACCAATGGGACAGTACAATAGCTACCGTGGGGTGCCGCCACAAATGTATCAACGGCAATAAGCCCTAGGCATATGAGAAGACGGACAGTAGTAAAACTATAGATATATGTTTTTTTGTTTGATTGTACGTAGGAAGTGTATGAAGTAGAATTAGATATATATATATGGCCTAGCTGGTTTGTAGTTGTTGCAAATTGCAACCTTGTCCTAAAGTAGACATTATTAGCCGATTCATCCTGCATGGAGAAGGAGCCGAAAAGGAAGATTCAATGTTCAACTTTTTTTTTTATTTTTTTTTTTTTTTGGTTTTCATGATTTTTTTGAGACATCGCCATCAAGAGATCGACCACCATTGATCATTTAATACTAGATTGCACCATCAATACAAGGTGTGACAAGGTACAGAGCTGCACATCTACGAGGACGCGCAGCCACAAGAACACGTTTTAACACGGTAACTTCGCACCACAAGAGTAACACGGGCCTATGACCACATCATTGGCCACGGTGTTTGTTTTAGTTTTTATTTTAATTTTATCAATAGTGATTTCAATTGTCAATCAACAACTTTGGGTTGAAGGCAGTGAAAATTTGAAGAAATTTGGTGGTTTGGACGTAAAATTCGCGAGGTTTTCGATTGGGTGGTGGAAAAAAGTTGTTAGTTCAAGTCCAAGAGTTTTAGCAACCACTACAACTGTAGGATTAATAGTAGCAACCGTTTACATATTATACGGAACTAATTCCAAAACATTTGGAGTTTTCGACTTGATGCAAAGGTATATAGGTAACGGACCCGGGTCTAGATTCCGCAGTGGTGGTAGACGTACGCGTGAACATCGATTTGCTATGAAGAATGGGGGTGAAGTGGGAGGTATTGCCAATGAGGGGAACACATGTTTTATGAATAGTGTTATTCAATCGTTGGCATCCTCTCGAGAACTTGGACTGTTTATTGAAGGGTATTTACATCAAGAAATTGAAGTTGGAACTGACAGTGATGAAAAAGTAATGGTTCGTAGTAGTGTACCAAAGGTTGGATTAGAATTCACCAAGGCATTGAAAGATTTAATGGATGGTGTTAATGGATCATATGGTACTAAGGGTAAAGAGTTCAGTACTAGAGATTTACTTGCTAATATGCCAAATGGTCCAAAACAGAATTTTTTCTCTGGTTATAATCAAGAAGATGCACAAGAATTTTATCAATTGGTATTCAATTTGTTGGAAAGAGAATATAAACTTTCCAAAAAGAATGATGAATCCAAAGAAGATTCAGAGGAAAGTGAAAAGGAAGAAAGTCCAGTGGATTCTTCATTTGTAGATAGAGATGAAATTGATAAATTTGTTTGTGGATTCAATGATATTGGATACATTGGTCCAATATACGTTCCAGCAGAACAAGTAGATCCGAACTTGGTCGGACAAGTTGGATCTGAAAACAAATATCAACCTTTACAACTTGTCACTCCAGTGGATGGAGTAACAGTGGAAAGAGTCGGGTGTTTAACCTGTGGAGAAATTGGTGGGATCAGATACTCAGTCAATAGTGGACTTAGTTTGAATTTACCCAATAAAAATGCATATGCATATGATATTGAAGAATTATTGGAAGAATGGATATCTCCTGATATTATTGAAGATGTTAATTGTAATAGATGTGGATTAAGTCAAACATTGGAATTTCTTGAAGAGAAAATCTCTGGGTCTACTGGGAAAGTTGCTACTATGTATGAGACAAGAGCTCAAGACATTAAGAATGAACTTGAAAGCCCCATTATTCTGGATGAAGTATTTGATCGTATGACTATCAAACAAATGATCAAAAAGACCAAGAAATCAAAGCAAATTTTAATGAGTAGACCTCCTCCATTATTATCCATGCATATCAATCGATCTGTTTTCGATCCTAGAACTTATCAGATTGTTAAGAATACTTGTAATGTTAGTTTCCCAGAAAAATTGGATCTTTCAAAGTATTCCGCTGATCCTGAAAATATCAATATGGATGCGAGACTACCACTTAAGAAAGAAGGACCAGTTGAAGAAAAAGAAGAAGAAGAAGAGGGAGAAGACGAACAGGATGAAGTGGTAGATAGTCGCTTGGTGTATGATTTGAAGGCTGTGATCTCCCATTATGGAACTCATAACTATGGTCACTATATCTGTTACCGTAAACAACGTGGTACTTGGTGGAGAATTAGTGATGAATCTGTTTATGTGGTGAATGAAGAAGAAGTTGTGAATTCACAGGGGACTTTCATGTTATTTTATGAATATAACGACGGGAGTGTAGAAGATTTACAAGAATTGAGTGAAAGTGAAGAAGAAGAGGAAGAGGAAGAAATAGGAAATGAAGCAAATAATGATAGCCTGGACGATTCATCTACAAAGGAAGTTGATGAATCGGACACCGAAGAGATTTTGGCTGGGAAAGAAGATGAAGATAGTAGTGAAGATTTCAATACTGAAGAAGGGCGTGCATTTCATATATAGAGAGAGAAGAATATAATTTTGACGGGTTGAGCATTCAAGATTTTCTGAATTAGGTGTAGAATAGATGTTGGTAGAAGTAAAAGACATGACTATGTAAAGGATTGACATCCCTGGTTGGAGAGAGGGCATGATCAATGCACTTTTTAACCGCCAAGAAGGATCAAAACTTTGAATAGTGCAGCGCATTACACTTTAACCCGCGAAATTTAAAAAAAGGCCCCCATCACCAAAAAAAACTAACACAGGGTTAAAAGTTTTTTCGAGCAGAAGATAGAGATTTCTTTTTCTCAAAGACAAAGGGATACTATGGTTAAAAAGCTACGTCAAAAAGTCAATAGCAAAGGCTTAATTGGAGCCTTGGCAAGACAAAACCTCAAGGAAGAAACAAGACGTAAGCTAGCGAAGAAGGCCGACGCACAAAAGGAACAGAAGCTTTTGAAGAGTCGATCAGTTTCTGGGGGGAAATCTAAAAAATCAAAAGCTCAAGTACATCAAGTACGTGGATTAGTTCCATTCACTGAAGATGACAAGGTTTTGTTAGTGGGTGAAGGTGATTTTCTGTTTGCCCGATCCATAATTGCACAAGGAATGGTATTACCAAGTAATTTAATTGCCACAAGTTTTGATAGTAACGAAGAGATAGTACGTAAATACCCTGGAGGAGTAGAGGAGAATATTAAGTTTCTATTAGAAGCTGGAGTGGATTTACGGTATGAAATAGATGCCACAGATTTAGTTGGTAGTCTTAAGTTAAAGAAAAATGCCTTTAAATTATTCCGTGATAACAAGAATTTGGATTATATTGTTTTCAACTTCCCACATACTGGCCGGGGGATGAAAGATCAAGATCGTAATATTAGAGACCATCAACGGTTAGTTCAAAAATATTTCCAAAGTCTGAGAACTGTTCTTCGTGGTGTGAATCGTGAGAGTAAAAGTGATTTTGGAGGTTATTACGCCCACAGTGATAAGAGTGGTAAGATCATCCTACTGTTATTTGAAGGTGAACCATATAGATCATGGAATATTAAGCTGTTGGGACGTGGTGAGAATCTTCGTTTGGAACGATCAGGGCTCTTCGACTGGACTCTTTTCCCTGAATATCATCATAAGCGGACTAATGGAGTTCGTGACACAACTAAACCTGCTCCAGAACGTGAGGCAAGAATGTATATTTTTGAGGAAACGGGACAAAAGAAGGAGGAACAAAAGAAACGTAATGATGATTCTGATGATGAGTAGTGATGAACATCGTGGTACATGTTTATTCCTTCAGGAACCCTTAGACGTTCCTAATTTCCCGAAAGAATTTCACATGATAAAAGTCTCTTTTGTCAATGAAAAAGTTTTCCATTCTTCATTTCAACAATCTTTCACACTGTAAAGCTTCTTTTTTTTTTCCAGTTTTCGAGGCTGTGGGGTATGGATGAAATGGAATTAGATACCAGGATTCATTAGCAAAAATTCCAGGTTCTCCAGGGTAAATCAAGTTATCGGGCCTGAGGAATAACCTTGTTCAAGGAGACTAACTTAAGAAGGGTGTACTTCCGGTACTTACTAGGGGGTATTTAAAATAATTATAGAGAAATGAATAGAAGTTTAAATTAATAGGAGAGAGCGACTATCGGACGTTTGCCAAGTAATGATTTTTTAATGAATAAGACTGTACGGAAATATGTACGAATATATACTACACATATATATATATATACGCATACATAGAATGAGTAGCCTAAATACTAATCAAATTTAATGATTACATTTTAAGCTAGGACCCATATTAATAGTGGTGGCTGGGACAAGAAACATCTGCGACATCCCTCCCCCACAATTAAACTATAAAAATCAAATCATCCTTGAAACTGATGACGTAGAATACCAGAGCAATCGTATTGAATAGCAAACATCAATTCTAAAAATCGATAGATGTATACACACGCGATGTCATTCCCAACTAACTGTAATTATGTAACATTCCAATATGGATTTTTAATTGATTAAGAAACAATATATATTGACTGGTTCATGTCTTTACGTAAGCGCTGAGTAAGGCGCATGCTCGTCAAAACGGGGACTATTGTTACGGAAGTGGTGTAAGGGTGGCCCAGGTAGGGCTGGAAACCGCAGGTAGGTTGGCGCTTATTGATAATAGATTGTGCTACAAATACAGCGAAACGAAATTCCGATCACAGGATAGAAATCTTACTCTGATTTTAAAAACATAGAGCCTTTTCTATAGATATATATACTACTCTAATCAATATCAATGAGAGGATGGGATCTCATGCAATGACATACACCTCAGATAATAAACAAGAGAAAAAGCAGCATATTCGCGAAGTCCACCCGTAAACCTACCCCACCTCAAGACACCCGCCGAGCCCCTCCCCTTTAACGTTTACACTCTCGGCTACCCCCCTCTATATAAGCACATACGTACATATACTTTACAGTCACTATACTTTTCGTAGTCTTTCCATGCGCAGCGGCCGCTACTAAATTTTCCCGTGTTCTGCCTTTTTTTTTTGGGCGTTTCTGCGACACTGTGGTTTAATTTTTCTGTCTCAAATTTTGCCCCCGCGTGAAGTTTCCTTTTCTGTAGATGAAAGAGAGAGAGAGACTGTGTTGTTGTTTAATTAAGTAGCCATGACTGAATCCTTATTTGATACCAAGTTTGCAGGTGGGGCAGACAAGCCTGAGGCCACCGCTGCTGGTGTTGATGCTGTTGCCACTTCCACAACAAATGCATCCAACGCTGCTGTTACCTCCTCGAACGATGAAGCCGGTTCATCCTCCTCCACCACCGATACCGCCGATTCAGGCTCCTCCCCTATAGCTGCCTCTGGTGCCTCTACGGTGGCTCCATCCTCGTCCACACTCCCATCCCTCGACGACAACTCATCCGCCCTGGCTCTCATAAACTACCGTGTTCTTGTCTCTGCCAAGGAGGCCGGTTGTCTCATTGGACAAAACGGTACCGTGATTAACTCGATTCGTGAAGTTACCAACACAAAGGCTGGGATTTCCAAACTTCAGAACGGATCCCATGAACGTATTCTTACCGTCAGTGGGACCTTGGATGATTGTTCGAAGGCCTTGCTGTATTTTGCTCAAGCTCTTTGTAACGCGTCTGCTGAAAACCTTCTTAGTTACAATTTTTTCCCATTAAAGCAATTGTCTCTGATTGCCTGTGTTGAAGGAAAGACTACTGTATTGCGTTTACTTGTGCCCAATGCCCAAATGGGGACTCTTATTGGTTCCAAGGGGTTACGTATTCAACAACTTCAATCACAATTTGATATTTCCATGATTGCTCTGAAATCTTTCTTACCAAACTCTAACGAAAGATTGGTTGAGCTTCAAGGATCTGTAGATAACTTGTATGACTCCTTGAGAGTCATTTCTCGTTGTCTTATTGAAGATTTCTCTTCTATCGTTGGTACCAACTATTATACTCCAAGAGGGTTCAAGAGAATCAATGGTAACGTAGGAGGTGTATCTAACATCTCTGGTGTTTCCGGTGGTTCTGTTGGGGTATCCAATGCTTCCAATACTTCCACTTTTGCCTCTACCACCAACTCCTCCTCTACTAACCATAATGAATCTTCCTCTGGTCGTTCCCTCGTTACAGATAAAGTTCCCTTCCCCAATGAAATCGTTGGAGCTCTTATTGGGAAGAATGGTTCACGTATCCAAGGTGTACGTAAAGTCAGTGGGGCCACCATTGGTATTTCCGATGAGGTAGAAGGTCAGAACGAACGTGTGTTTACCATCCTGGGTACTCTGCATGCGGTTGAAAAGGCCAAGGGTTTATTGTACCATAACTTAGAAAGAGAAGAGGCTAGAAGACTTGAAGCCGCAAATGAAAGCCAATAGTTATTTTTGTGTGTATATTTGGTTTACCAATGTGTTATAATATGTATATATCAACAAGGGAAAATGTAGGGAAAACGGTGTTGATGAACAATCTCCGTTATATATATATGTATATCTCTAAACTCACTTACATAAGGTGATCCTATCCAATTCTTAACTTTTATATTACTTTTAACTTACTCACCATGAACAAGTTTCACCGATACTTTTACATAAATCTTCTAAATACTTTTGATCTAATTCATCGAAACCTTCCAAAGTCAAACAATCAAGATCGAGAACTCCAACTAATTTACCGGCCTTGTCAAGAATGGGTACGACGATTTCACTTTGAGTTTCTCCGTCACATGCAATGTGACCGGGGAATTTATTCACATTAGGAACAAGTTGAGTCTTGAGAGTTGAAGCTGCAGCACCACAAACTCCAGATCCAATCTTAATTTGTTGACAAGCAACTTTCCCCTGGAATGGAGCCAAGATCAATTGGGTAGAGTCCTTAGGGTCCACCACGTAAAACCCAGTCCAGTTGACCTTCACCTTTGCTGAATGGTAACCATGCCAAAGAAGAGAGGCACAATTGGATAAGTTGGCAACCCAGTTGTCAATACCATATGCGAGAGCGGAATATGACTCCACAACATTGGTAAGCATTTCCTCTTTGGAAATGTTTTCAGAATAATTGGAGTAGTCTGCGTGATGTGTTTCCGACATGGTAAAGGAAAGTGTGGAGAGTGTGGAGAGTGTTTCCAAAGGTGGGTCTGTGTGTAGTTGATAAAATAAGTATTACTCATCTTCTATATCATCCACCGATTTCTGTATGGGGGAGGTTTTCGCGCGATGATATCAGAAAGTGTGATAGCACCTTTACCCTCCCAGCCCCCCCTTCTAATTCTGTGATATACACATATATATCCCTTTATACTACAATTATCGGAGAATGGACTCGTGGGAGAGTCGATTCAAACAATTTCTAGACAGCCGCGGAGTGAATAGAGTTCCACGACGTCGGAGAGAACGAGGTAATCAAGATAGTGTAGGACGAGCCACAGTTGACCAAACATTACCGGACATAGACGACATTGATGTGGACTTCAATGATGATAGAGTGATTGAATTCTTTGGATTGGAGTCGATGGGTGAGAACCCGGACGCTGACGAGTTTTATATGGACATTGATGGCGATTCTATGGAGTACGTTGCAGGGTCGTTCCATCGAGATAGACGGTATTCCAGAGATTATGTTGGAGAGGATGAACCGGAATTTATAGATCAATATCGTTCATCTAGGGTTGTACATCCTTCGTCTGCTAGTTCAGGATCTGAAACTGATGATAACGATGATGAGCGAGAGGAAGATGACGGGAACGAATCCGGGTATAGTACTAGTTCTGGTTCAGAAATTGGTCTAGATAGACCACAGGGATCCCATGCAAATGATGAATTTGACTTTGCGGTAGATGATGACTCTAATGATGAGTCTAGTGATACTTCAGCGGTGAATGATCAACATCGAGGGGGTAGTGTGGCAACTCTGGTTCAACCACATCCAAATCAACTACCTATATCATCGCAACAGGCATTTTCTCAATGGGAGTTCCATGACCCTACCACAATACAAGAAATCCAAACCAATGGTGGAGTGTATGATCCATTCCGTCCTGACCTATCTTCCGTCAACCCCAATGACCCCTATTCGATGTCACGATTGGCACCGGCTGCCAAATATCGTGATCTGATCCAACTCCGTCATATCGGTAAGAAGAAGCTCTATGGGTTGGAGAACACCAGAAAATATAAAAATAATCTTTCGGTGGTAATTGGGCAATATCTTGTCACTTGTTCTGCGTCTGAGCTTGTAATGTATTCCTTTGATCGCAATCATCTTCCTCGCAAGACGCCCGTATTGCGGTTTGATGTAAGACCAAGGGAAACCACCAATGATGACCGATTGGCCTCAACTTGGCCATTTTTCCCCCATACCATCAATTACGTGAAAACAGGAGTTTTCCTAGGTCACGAAGTTCTTGCCGTTTGCCTTGATGACGGGATGATTCGTATATGGAATGTGGAAACTATATTACAACAGGTGAAGCGATTCGGTGGTGAAAATGATACTTCAGATGAAGAGGAGGAGGATGAAGAAAATGAAGATGACAATAGAGGTAGAGGAGGGAGGTATGGACTTCGGATCAAGGCGGATTATCAAGTTAAAATGAGCTGTTCATGTTGGGGGCTCGATTTTTATAAAGCTAAAGACAATATCATAGTGGCATCAGATAATTATCAAAATGTTGTTCTACTTTATTATGATGTTGGTGACAGAAGGTGGTATCATTGCGCGAGTCATCAGGTGTTGCATAACATCCCTGATGTGTCATTCATAGAGGTGGCAGCTACTCCCCAACAATCTCAAGGTGTTGACGTCGACATTACCCAAGTGAAAGTGGCATGTTCATCAATCTCAGGTGAAGTATTAGTATTTTTATTCAAATTCCATGTCTTGCAAGGCCCCTTGATTGAACAAGATTGGGTTGGTAATCGTGATGAGGAGGTTTATTACGTTCTGAAAGGACTGGGGAACCTGGATTCCGTAGAAGAAAGTAATATTGAAATATTGGGAGAGTATCGGCTTTCAAGAATCATATTTGAACTGGCAGAAGTCACCCAGAGAGTTGTACTACCAGAGGAAGCATGGACTTGTAAACCAGTGTCCTCTCGTTATTTCAAACCTGTGGCGTCCATACGAGCCATGGTGGGTGATCCCTGGATAGACGAAGACCGTGAGATTGAAGAAATCTCAAAGGAATCACGACTCTTGGATCATGAATATGACCCTGTTCGTACCAGTCATCTTGGCGCAGGCGCAGATTGGCAATTTTTTGAAACTCCAGTGCTTCAATTAAGCGGACCAATTTTTGGTCGTGAAGTATTTGAAGGAGCTCAACTCACAAGTGTTGATGATACTTATAGACGTATTTATAAGACCTATGGCAGAACCGGTTCCACTTCTGAAACTACCCACTCACTTAATGGGAAGTCTTACAGACCACCACCGCCGGTTTCTACCGACCAATTTCTTGTTGTATCTACTGCAAAGAGACTTGGTTTATTCAGAGGAGACAGTTTATTCTGTAATGGAGCAACTAAACGTGTATTTGATGTCACTATTCCATTCAATGATGAGAGTAAGTATGCCAATAGAATTCTGATTGCCCATGTGATTCCAGAACTCCTGTGTCTTGTGGCGCTCACTCAGCAAGGTTTGGTTACGGTGATGCGACTTTGTCAGCATCGTGGTCTCTATGGTATGCGTCAAGAGCATTTATTCCCGAATGCCTTAAGTCTAGCATTAGGACAGACCGGATATCGTACAATCACTGGTTTGGCTGTACGAAATGTGTCTCCCTCGGAAGCATTACCACGATACTTGTTGTATTTAACTTATTCCGATGGCCTAGTTCTCGTTCATGAACTTCGATTAGGTAAACTCGAAGAAATTGAAGTGGATTTAATGATGTAAAGATAAAAGTGACTTAACGGTTGGTTGCAATAAAAATAAGTAGCTACGAATTTATAGATTTCAAAAAATTAGAGAAGAATTTGCAGTCAAGATCTTATTTTAATGATGGGTACATTTTCCAGAAAAAGCATCATAGACACTCTCGAAGACCACCAAATATGTATTATTCATAGTACCTAAGCAGTGCTTGTATACTATTACTAAATAATAATAAAATTGATCCCAATACCTATTCAAATATAAGTAGGAACAGTACGAACCTACACGCGATATAGATGTATCCATATTAGGAAGTCTAGACTCGCGTTATTATTGTTATTCTTTTAATTATTTGTCTTCTCTTTTTTTTATTTTTTTTTTGTCTCTTTGGCAGAGGTTTGCAATATGTTGCAAAAACTCAAACTATTAAAATCATTAAACACCTACTCTTCAATAGTATGTGTAGCAAGGATTCCCATTTCAAAGACTTTAATACTGGTAGTCTTTCTTAGGTGCATGTATCTATCTATAAAATGTAGTTGTTGTTAAATACTTCCCCATCATGACTGTATGCAGTTTAAGTTTATATTTGTTTTCGCATCATTCGGCAGAACGCGCTTTAAGGATCATTAAGCGTGTGTGTATAGATTTATTGAAACACCTCTCATACACACAAACTAAAGGTCTGATTCCTATAAACTTTCAAAGTACTCCGTAGGGGACTGGTGGAGATGGATTTGCTAAATTTAGGATCACAAGCCAGACGTACTGGCTTGAAGCCTCGAGAAAACGTAGCGCGTGACCGCCATGACATGGAAGATATTGATGAATTTTTTGCTGATGAAGGAGAAAATGACTTTGTTTCCGAACAATCAAGCAAACCCAGTGTGCCGCGGGCAACGTCTAGAGCTAGTGGGGCTCCAGTCTCTAGAAGTATTACCGAAGAGCTGCAAACAAGAAGACCGCGTGGTGGAGATTTTAATAATGTTGCAAGAAAGATTGACTTCACAGAAACAGAAGCAGAATCATTTACACTTTCTCCCATAACCTTCTCTGCTAAAGGTGCCCCGGTTAAGAAGAATAAGAAGTCACCCCTTCGGTCTCCGCTACCAGAGCGTAGAGATGTTGGATACGAAAATAATGACAATGATAACGATGATTTTGATATGGGAGGGCTTTCAGACTTGGACATGAGTTTACTGCCAGTAGAGATTCCAGAAGTGGTCAATACAAGAGAGGAGGTGAAACAACGTCGTGGAACGGGTACTAATTCGTCTTCGACACCAAAGGCTCCTTCTTTGACTAAAAGAATGGCTCTCGGGAAATCTTCAGGGAAACGCCGGGCAATGCCAAAGAAGAGACAACAGTCACCACCACCACCTTCATCATCACAGGAAGACTATCTGCGGCTGTATATTGACGACGAATCTTCAGGAGAAGAATACATGGATACTTCGTACAAAGAAGAAGCGGCCATATCAGTCCCACTGCCTCCTAGGAAATCCAAAAAACGCCCTTCTAACAAGGGATCCACACCACAAGCATCTTCATATACTGTCACTAATCCATCACCATTACCATCACCTCCTCCTGATGGACTCAGGAGATCTAGACGGACAAAAATCGCCCCCTTGGCATTTTGGAGAAATGAACGTATTGTGTATTCACGAGCTCATGAAGATGAAATACATGATGCAGATTCTACAGAGTTACGCTTTATGAAATTGGCGCCACTTCAAGAAATTAAGGAAGTAGTACATATCCCAGAGGTGACGACACAGACTGATCGTCGGCCAAAACATCAACCTCGACATGCAACTAGGGCTTCATCCATAGGGGCAAGTACCAAGGAAACTAATATTGAAGGGTCAGAATGGTTCAAGGACGAATCTTTGACATTAGAAGTATTCAATGAGCAAGGAGGAGATAAACGAACTAAACGAAGAATAGCTTGGGCTCCAGGAAGTGGGAATTTTTTCACACCTCCAAGTGATGCAAATAATCCAGCATCTCGTGAAAACTTTAAATTGGCTACTCTCTTTGACGGTGATAACAATTTCACCGCAAGTGGACTCTTGGAGTTGCCAATTTCAGGTTTTAAGAAACTCAGACACACAGCCGAGCATGTGTTCATCTTCCATGTGGTGCAGGGAACCCTTGAGGTGACATTGAATGAATCCGTCTTTGTGGTAACAGGGGGTTGTTCCTTTGAAGTCCCACGAGGAAACATGTATGGATTGAGAAATGTTGGCCAAGATACGGCAAGGGTTTTCTTTGTTCAAACGAAAAGCTTTGAAGATGTTGCACCTGGTTCAGATGGTGAGTGGGATTAATCATTAAAATAGATTGTAATAATAAGGTGGGATATCAAAGGTGAAATCCCATATTTAGACCTAGCATTTATATTGCTTGATTCGTTAAGGAGCGGGGATAGTCATTTGAATAATTACATACTGGTGAAGTATGGGATTGTTCAATACATTTAGAAAACTTGAAAGCTAAAGCATTACTACAGGGAAAGCACTGGGTTGCTACTCTATAATTCCCTGTCTATATATATATATAAATTTATGTGTGTGTATATCTACAGGGTATGTACTATATAAAGAAACAGATATTTTTTATATGTGTGTATTTTTAAACGCGAGTATTATACAAAACTAATTCAGAGAATCCGAGCACAGAGTGCAGTGAAAATGACAATGGAGGGGTTTAGAGCTTGACGAGTTCAGCGTCTTCGTTGCTGTAGTAGGCAATCATCTTGACCTTGAACTCAGAAGCAGCTACACCGAATTGCTTCAAGAGTAACGCCTGTCTGATGTCCAAAACGTCGCCCTGGCGACAAACGGAGTATGGCTCGGCAATGGTGATCTTTCCGGCCTTAATCTTGGTTGGAACCTTCAACTTGTTTCTTAAAGTTTCTTCCAAAGAGTGGGACATTGGTACATCTTCTTCAATTGGGATTTGACCACCTCTCAGGTAGACAACACCTTCTGGGATTGTGAAGTCGATAGGAGCTCTAGACTTGGCACGGGAGTAGTCGGCCTTGGTGTAAGCAGTGAAGTAAGCCTTAACAGTGTCAGGAGATTCATTGGTAAACAACAATCCTGATACACCAAGACACAACTTGGACAACTTGTGCAAGTTTTCCTTGTACTCTTCGGCTGGGGTGTCACCCAAGGCCTTTTCCAAGACTCTTCTCTTACCCAACATCAACTTGGATCCAACCCAATCAGAACGGATATCTTGTAATACTGGAGTACGGACATCATCTAATTGTAAAACCCAAAGGTATTTGTATTCATCAAGAGCTTCTCTGACTTCGTCAAAAATACGGGTCTTGTTTTCTCTTCCCTTCTTATCGGTCTGGGCCAATGTAACGAGCTTGGAACGCTTAGATCTTGGCATTATGTGGTTTGATGGTGGTAAAAATAGCTAAGGAAGAATCTCCGATGGGGTATACTTTGTGCAGCTCATCAGTGAAATTTTGTGCAGAGGGAGAAAAAAAAATCAAAGAAGATGCGGTCACGTGAACATGTTTAGAGATTGTGAGAAGGAGTAAAAAAATAAAAAAATAAAATAGAAGGGAAAAAAAAAATAAAAAGAAAGAATGGTCGCAAAGATAATGAATGTTGTATTTTGGCGATTAACTTGGCGGAGAGACCTTTAAGATGTAATTAATATATGTAGAGTTGAGAGATAATGTATTGATATAGAAAGAGAGATAGGGGGAATGACTTTCACGTTGACCGATATTTATTCCTCCAAATTCAGTACCAACTTTGAATTGACTTGTAACAAGCATTCCAATTTCGATTTTAAGGTAGTTAACCTTTCATTGATAACAAGTGACATACCAGTAAATATCTCTAATATTACAAGGTAAGTATCAATGGCTTCAATTAAAAGTGAAGGTCCAACTATTTTGGATGGGTTTGGTGGAGAAGATAACATGATGTCCAATATTTGAATTAGTAAATCAATTATGCAATCATTATCAATTAATGAATCCTTATTAACACAAAGGTAGTATTTAATACATCCAAGTGAGATAATCTGATGCACATTTTGATCATTAGTAAAACTCTGTTTAACAAGCACCAACAAGGTATCTTCTAGCATCGAAGGATTGAGAGCTGCAAACGAAATGCATGCTGCCTTGGTTGCAAGTTTCCGTAACAGTCCAATTTTGCAATATTCAAATAATGACTGAACGTAGGAATTGAAATGATCCATGTTAGGGTTATTGGTAGAATATGAAAAATAATCACATATCAACAAGAGTAGTCTTTTGGTATTTAAATTTCTCTTCCGGGTATGTAATGTATTTAGATATGTTGGTAGAGAACTTTCGAATATTTTCAAGTATACATTTATAGTATAAGACACTTTTTCGTTCCCTCCATTGTATTGATACTGTAGAATTTTCCTTAACTTTATATGGAGCTCTTTTGAATTACCTTCATTGACTTCAGTAAATTCCATTTCAATAGAATCATTTATTTCTGACTTAGAAAGTTCCAGTAATGAAAGTATATCTTCAAAAAGATCGTTAAGTTCATCTTCGCTAGATTCCAAGTGTGGAAATCTGCCATATATTTCTTCCAAATAACACTCTGGTGAATATGCACCAAATAAAAGTTTCTTGGTGGGTTTCGTCATTTTAAATTCCCTTCCCCCTAAAAGCGAACAGCATGAAGCTAAAGACAGAGCGCTTTGAGGTTCTTCAAACCTATATAGATCAACCAAAGACTCTTGTTTCGACTTTTTCAGAAAAGATTCTGCAGAACTCTGAACTTGGACGATATTTGGGGACCCTTCAACTAACGCAGCTTGTGAGCTTTCTATTACTTCTATTGGGATATTCCAACTGAATCCAACAACCTTGGACTTGATGGTGATGTTATCTGTCAATGGGGAATCTAAAACTTTGGGTTGGGTGTAAGGAACTAAAGTCAATTTATTATGTCTTTTAGAAGACCCTTTCCATTTTGATCTTCTTCCTTTGTTACTTTTCTTCCAGATAATTATTACAATACATAAAACGAATAATATTGTGAGTTGAGATAATGGCCAGTTGTGAACCAATTGTTGGTAAAATGTAGAAGAATTGAATTTATCCAATACTTTTATATTTAAACCACTTTCTGGTGGTGGTAATTCAGCAACTAGAGAATAAACTCTTTTATCTTTTGTTTTGTAGTCATCACAACCCTTTGAAACATAGATAGTTGATTTTCTCTCTACTGGGGGGCTTGAGGTGGTTGTTTGTAACCGCGCAGGTGGTTTTTGCTTTACAATATAGTCTTCATTTAGTCTTAAGATTAAGGCCCCTAATGGGGTAAAGAATGTTCTTCTTAATAATGAGATGAAACTTTCCACAATGTACATTATTCCAAATTAGCTGAACCAGATTTGCTCTATCATAAAAGAAAGAAAGTTACTTTGGTTGCAAATAGAAATTGTTCCCTCATATGTACAAAACAAACATGAACACAAAAAAGTAGAGAAAGTGTAGTGAAGCTATAGTGGTAGAGTATACTAAAGTGGAAAGACTCTTAGCAAATTAAAACTTATATAAAATAAAATCTTTTGTTAATTACATATTCGTGTTGAGCCTTGTATAAACTATATATTGTTAAATTTTTGCAACACTTTGTTAAAAATAATTTTGAAATTAACAACAGGAATATCACAGTATTAAATAGAAAATTGGAAAATCATATTACCATATTAGGAATCGTACTATCGTAGGACCTTCTTTAGCCCTCAATAACACTTGAATGATTCTACACTACAACATATCTTTCTAACGGGTCAATGTATTTACTATATACATACCATGCGAGTTTGACTAGTATTGTACGACGGCACCAGCCAGCCACCGGGTGCCTCTGGGGATATTCCCCCAAACGCTGTGAACAGTAGCAAATCACAGCAACAACCCCCTGCAAGCAGTGGGAAGTGAGCAGATTACCAGTCACCAGGAACAATTTCTTCCTTTGGAAGAACAACGTTTCTTTGGTACTTGGTACCACCTGGTCTACATGGAGGAATGTATGGGTCTGGATGCTTCCATTCAGCAAGCTTGGCTTCGGTAGCACGGATCACCTTTTCCAAGGTTTCTGGATCTTCAATCTTTTGGTTAGCTACAAATTGCTTCTTAATCTTCAACAGTTCAGCACGGTAGACTTCAAACTTCACCGAGTGGTCGAAACAAGTTCTCAAAGCTTGTCTGAAAAGGCCAGCAACTCTCTTGGAGTTGGCCTCTGTGAATGGGAGTATGGAGGACATCCTTTGTGGTTATTGGAAGGTCTATAGATGTCTAAAGCGTCACTGTTGGTGATATTGTTAACGAGTTGGCGCGAATGCGATATTGTGAAAGGCTTTGATTTTATTGGTGGGTAGTCCTTTGTGGTGTAATAATATGCAGGATAAAAAGAAGAAAATTTACCTTTCAAATTTATTGAACCATATGAACCAAGAGTAGTGGTTATAAATGAAGAAATAAATGAAAAGTTAATATAATAAATAGTTTATATAGAATTATAAAGAAATATATATATATCTATGATTAATGTAATTTTAAATGTTAAAAACTCCCTTCCCTTTCTTACTAATCATAGTGTTGGTCTCCCTCACAAAAGCTGGAAACTACTGAAAAGGCTGCGAAAATGTATACACATCATCGAAGGCTTCACCATTTTAATTGTCAAATACCTTATCCTACAGCATCAATAATAGTTTGTAATTCTGAAATTTTCTTCTACAATTTCTCTTGATATTCATACATATAAGTTACAATTTTGCTTACATCTTCTCGGCGACACACATTAAACTTCCAACAAACGACAAGATCAAACGGCTACGCACCTCATTGATATCTTCAGGAACAAGCCAAATCAAAGCACCCAACTTTCTGGCAATAGAAATTGCCAATCTTGCATTGGCATACTTTTCTTCTTCCGAAATGTTTGGACCTTGGTAAACCAAATCATAATCCACATAACCAGGCTTGATGCCATTCAAGACATCCAATAACCAAACACCAGTTGACAATGACAGATCCTTGAAAGAACGTACAGTTCCACTGCCGCTTCCACCACGAGAAACGTGAGCATTGGCCCATTTCAAAATATCACTATCAGATAAATTGCTGTTGGAACCTTGACCCAACAGAGCCAAAGTTTCAGTAATATTTCTACGCATAACTTGCCAAATTAATCCAAGAGTCAAAAGTTTGTTACCATCAACGATATCAGAACCTTCGATACCGACAAGGGAAAATCTATTGGCCTTACCGATTTCAACTGCATAGTTGGTGTTTTCCAATGCTTTGAAACGAGATAATTCACCAGAAGCTGGCTTCTTGTTGATATGCTTTACAGATACAGTCCCAGGCATCACTTTTTCAAATGCTTGAAGAAGAACTAAACCGTCCTTCAAATCCTCGAATAAAGAAACTACTGGAGGATCAACGTCCAAAGAGTTTAACCACAAGGTGAAAACACGGGCTTCTCTTTCACCTTCAGCGTCGAATTCTTCGATTTCTGGCTTTTCACTTTCTTCAATTGGATCCAAACCAGGATGAGTATTGAATAAGTGAGCCACAAAGGCCAAGTTTAATTTAGGGTTACCAGAAACCAATGACTTTGGAGTAAGATATTTTCTACATCCAATTTTATCAGCATTGGATAAAACTTGGTCTGCACGTTGCAACAAGTCAGGGGTGTTCAATGGGGCCAATGAACAGTGGTCTGGTTGCAATTGGTTCAACAAGACGGTATAGTTTTCACCATCACTGATATCACGACCGAAATTGGCCACACGACGTTGAGAACCAGCATTTTTAAGATGATAGTTGAACCAACGCAACAAAATTTGTTCAGGTGGAAGTCTCAAGAATTGTTCAATGGTTTCATCTTCTTCCAACAAACGGTACAATTCTGGATGATGTTTAATATCAACCTTGGCTAACAAACCACGACGAATGATTTGCCAAATCAATCCCAAAATCAAATGTTCCTTACCATCGATGATATCTTCAGAGTGGACATTCACCACAATACATCCAATGGCCTTGGCGGAGTTGATGACAATGTTGGCATTTTCAGACATTTGGAAATTGTTCAAGGTTTTCTTCTTTGCTCCTGGAAGGTTAAGAACACGAGTATCGATGGTGTCTGGTACAGAGTCGTTAATCAATTTGGAAAGTACGAGACCATCACGACATTCGTCAAAAATTTGGAAAGTTTCAGTGTCAAATGGGAGACGAGATCCAATATGAGCATCATCAGCAAGAACAGAATTGATATGTCTGGTGAATTCAGTACGTTCTTCATCATTGATGGTGTGGGTAGTTCCGGAAGTCTTACCACCAAGATACGTTTTGTGAGTAGGAGCAGAAGGTGAAAGGGCTGGAGACAATGATGGTTTAGGTCCAACAGCTGGCTTGAGTCTTTGAGGAGTGGATGGAGCAATTGGAGCGGCCCCGGAACCAGCACCACCAACGGCGCCTGAAGAACCACCTTCCTTCAACTTTGCCATCAATTCGACGTAATCGTCCAATTCAACATGTCCAGAGGCGTCAACATCAACCTGTTTAAGCGTTTCTCTAGCCTCGTCATAGGTATAAGTACCAGCTTTGGAAACTGCATTGATAACGTCTTTCTTTTCGGCCCAACCATTGTCTTCCAAATCAATCCCTCGAAAATCTTCAATGATTTGGAAAAGGTCTGATTGACCAAGTATTGGGAATTTCTTTTGTAACTTCAACACATTCATCTTGAAGAGAATATGAAGACAAAACAATTGAATGTAGCGTGTGTTGTTTTTTTTTTGCTTTTCTGTGATAGATGCTTCAACACACTACAGGGGTGAAGGGGCAAATTCGGGCTATGAGATTAACTGGAGTCACGTTTTGCCGGTTTTGTGGCGGACTGCATATATGTGATTGCGTAGTAATTTTGAAATTCATTCATTTAGGGTGGGTGAGAGAATGAGGGTTTAGTATGCACGGCAGATTGAGTGAGTGAGGCAAGTCTCATATGTTAGAGAGCGGATCTATCAGAAACATTTAGATATATACCTTGTTTACTTTTTTTTCCAATTGAATTCAATTCAATGACTCTTATTTCATTGGATGAAAAGACGCCCGGTGCGCCTGTCGTGGATGTGGAGCCCGTTCAACTTCAGTTTGATGTCAATGGGTCGTTACAAAGACTACTTGTACAAAATGATATCATGTACTTAATATTGACCCTGTCAGTTTATAGAATTGATCTTTCAAATCCTTCGGAAGTACGGCATGTGGAATTGGTACAGCAGGGTGGGTCGTCATTGAGGATAACAAATGCGTGGCTTCATCCCAATGGTGCACATCTTATTTGTCAGGTGAACCATACAACGTACTATTATTTGAATGAGCTGTATGTTCGATTCAAGATTCTCCCAAGATTTAAAGGCTTGAAGATAAATTGTATGGCGTTCCCAGACGGTGATAGAGCTGTTTCCGGTGATTTCCTAAGCGGTACTAAAGATGGTGCTGTATATATCTGTCTGTTAAAATCTCATGATCCACTGGTTCATGAGAGCAAGCGTGATGATAAGTATGTGAAACAGGCATATCAAGCACTGTCATCACAAAGTGGGAACACTTCAGTGTCTCAATTGATGTTTTCCAAGGACGATCTGTTAGTTGTTGCCTTGGTTGGTGACTCACTTTACACATGGCTGGTGGCTGGCCACTCATACCAAGTCTTGATCAAGTCTTTAAAAACCACACCAACGACTGTCAAGATTGGACAAGCAATATTTACAACCAGGGATTCGTCTTATACAATAATCAATCCATCAACCAATGCAATTTACACTAATGATCAAGATTTGAATCTTGCACAAGTTGACAAATTCCCCGTTTCAGGAGAAGATGGACTTTCTCACTCACCAGCTTTGAGCTCAGTTATATCTACTCGTCATTATCTTATGGCATTATCTACCAAACATGACAAGATTCATCTTTTGGCAAAACTTTCTAATGATACAACCAGTTCACACGATCTTACAGTTCAAGGCAAGGTCATTGGCATCACAGCAGATAATACTGCCAATACCTATTGGTTGTACACACATTCCAACATATACGAGGTTGTTCTTTCAAATGAATCATCTGCAGTATGGTATAATTATTATCAAATGGGAATGTACGAAGAGGCACTCACTTGTTTAGAGAAGAACTCTGCAAATGCAAGCAAGCGTGATCTCGTATTGATCAAGCTGGGTTATAATTCGCTTCAAAAGGGTGGGTTTGGAATTGATTATAGTGAAGATATAGACCCTGAATTGTTTCTCCTTCAGGTTAAGGGGATTCGAATTCTTGCTCAACTGTCTGAACCATTTGAAAAGGTTTGCTTGATGTTGATGTCTTTGCAGCATGATGGCACTGATTTATCATCAACAACATCTTCCACGGATGCACGAACAAAGAGTTCATTGTCCGAGAAGTTACTAGTTGAATATCTCTTGGTGAAATTCCAACAAGCAAAATTAGAAAAGAATAAAATTCGAACGGTAGTACTTTCTTCATGGATCATTGAAATGATGCTTCGTTTGGTATACAAAAAGGAAGAGGAGAATTCAAAATTTGAATCGTTTTTAGCGTCTAACTATAAACATTTAGATTCTAAAACGGTTTACCAAATTATCATGGGATATAACTACCCGCTGAAACTTATTTATTATGCTGAATTAATTGAAGATTTTGAATTCATATTGAATTATTATGTGGATCTTGAAGATTGGACTAATTCTTTGAAGACTTTGGTCAAGATATACACTGACGGTGATCGAGAATTGATCTTTAAGAAGGCCACAGTACTTCTTGTAAATGCGCCCAAGGCAACGGTTGATATTTGGTTGAAGTTTAATGAGTTGGATTATGAAAAATTACTTCCAGCAATTTTGACTTATAATAAGAACAATATTAATATTAAACTTGAAGAAAACCAAACTATCAAGTTCTTACTGAGGGTTATATATGATAAAGGGGTAAAGAATAAAATCATTAACAATTATTTTTTATGTCTCCTTGTGACGTACCCCACTGAGGATAAGGAACAAGTTAATCGATACATGGTCAAGGTGTTGAAAAGAATTAAACAAGACGGTAGTCTGCAAGCATATGACGCCAATTTTATTCTTCGGCAATGTCTTCAAAACAATCACTATCATCCAGCAATTATAATTCTTATCAACGATATGCAACTTTTTGAACAAGCTTTAGAACTCTCATTGGATTATGACTTAACTGAGCTTGCTCAATTTGTGCTCAGAAAGTACGATGATTATCTATTTGATCGTGTTTCAAAAGATGAGGATATGTTTGAATTTACTGATCATGAGCAAGATCTTAAGTTTGTTGGGAAAGTAAAGATTGAAGAGGAAAGTTTCAGTTCGAGGAAAAAATTATGGACAATGTTTCTGAAATATTTAATTAATGGCGTTTGTAATGGGAAATCATTTGCCTTTCTTGATGATATGTCAAGTGAGTCGGAAGACATCAAAACTGAATCTGAAACGGAAAAGGAGTCTAAATCTAAAGGTAAACCCACCAATTCTATTTCAGATATAACTCTGGGTCTTGTGGAAAGTATGACCAATGGTCCTACCAATAACAGTATCAAGTTCAATCTGTCCAAGATAAGTTGTCTTTTGAAATATTTACTCAGTGCATCATATGATAGCAAAACCAATTCTAATGTTCTTAGTTTGAAAGATTTACTCCCACTCTTCCCAGAATCAGTAATGATTAATAATTTCAAAACGGAAATCATTCAATCTTTGAACCAATACAATAGTAAAATCAATCAATTGTCATATGAAATGCAAGAATCGTTAAACATTTCACAAGCATTGAAGAAACAAGTGAGAGAATCTCAGGAAACATCTAACAAGGGTCGTATACATACAGTCGTTGAACCTGGAGAACCATGTCAACTCTGTGGAGAGTTGCTTGTTAATAAGGCATTTGTATGTTTCCCCAATTGCCAGCATTGTTTCCATAAAGAATGTCTTGTCAAAAGTTTCCTTAAACTGAAGGGTGATTATCGCTTTAAAAAGATATTCCATAACTTTAAACGCAACCCAACTCTGACCAATAGAGAAGAACTTGATGATCTTTTATTGAAAGAATGTGTTCTTTGCAGTGAAGGTAACATCAATACAATAGATGATAATATAATTGATTTGGAGAGTGATAAGAAAGAGTCAGAAAAATGGGATTTATAGAACAACAGTTGAAAAGTAGAAATGGAAACTAAATAAAATAAGATCAAATTAATTAGATAATAAATATATCAATATTTTGAAGTTTATGTATCACAATTCTAAGAGGTCATAGATAGTTAGGTGTAATTGAATACCTACTACAGACCAATGCCTGGAGTTTCATGAGTTGCAAATTGTACACTAACTTGAAAAAAAAAAAGAAAGAAGTGTCCACACGTGACCGTTGATTATTGAATTGGGAAAAAAAAAATTGTACGTGCAGTCCTCTCATCGCATCTCTCAATAGTTATCTACAAAGAATAGAGGCGAACTTTTTTCACATTATAATTTCTTCAGAAAACAACCAAACAAATCATGGGTAAAACACAGAAGAAGAACTCCAAAGGTCGTTTAGATAGATACTATTTCTTGGCCAAGGAAAAGGGGTACCGTGCGCGTTCCTCGTTTAAGATTATCCAAATTAACGAGAAGTATGGTCATTTCTTAGAGAAATCCAAGGTAGTCATTGACTTGTGTGCTGCACCAGGTTCTTGGTGTCAAGTTGCATCTCAGTTGTGTCCTATCAACTCGTTGATTATTGGTGTTGATATCGTTCCTATCAAGCCTATGCCTAACTGTATTACATTCCAGTCTGATATCACCACTGAAGATTGTCGTTCTCGTTTGCGTGGTCATATGAAGACTTGGAAGGCTGACACCGTTCTCCATGATGGTGCTCCTAACGTTGGTATGGGTTGGGTTCAAGATTCTTTCACTCAATCTCAATTAACCTTGCAAGCCTTGAAGTTGGCTGTGGAAAACTTAACTCCAGGTGGTACTTTTGTTACAAAGATTTTCCGTTCTCGTGATTATAATAATTTGATGTGGATTTTCCAACAATTATTCGATAAAGTTGAAGCTACTAAGCCACCAGCTTCTCGTAATGTTTCCGCTGAAATCTTTGTGGTTTGTAAAGGTTTCAAGGCACCAAAGAAGATGGATCCAAGATTATTGGATCCAAAGGAAGTTTTCGAAGAATTAGCACCAGCCACCGTGAATAATGAATCCAAGGTTTTCAACCCAGAGAAGAAGGTTAGAAAGAGAGATGGTTATGCTGAAGGTGATTATTTATTATATCACACCATGCCATTGCTTGAGTTTGTGCGGAATGAAGAACCAATCAATACTTTGGGGACTTTGAATAAGCTTGTAGAGCCAGAAAAGGATGATCATGAATGGAAGATCTGTCGTAAGTTGAAAGGATGTACTCCAGAACTTTTAGAATGTATTAAAGATTTGAAAGTGTTGGGTAAAAAGGATTTCAAGCTTATTTTGAAGTTCCGTAAGCAAGCTAGAGATTTACTTGGATTAGATGAAGAAGAAGTTAAGCAAGAAATCGAGGTTGAACCATTGACTGAAGATCAACAAATTGATAAGGAATTACAACAACTTTCTGATAAACAAAAGCAAAAGAATAAGAGACTTAAGAAGAATTCCAATGAAGCCAAACAAAAGGAAATCCAAAGAATGCAAATGAGTATGTTGACCGATATGAACATAGGTATTGAAGCAGCACAATTGGGATCTGAATCCTTGTTTAACTTGAAGTTGGCAGAAAAGAGTGGTAAGCTTGATGACTTGGCTCGTGGTAAGAAGAAGATGATTTTCAACAGTGAAGACTTGTTAAGAGATAATGATATACACATTGATGAAGACGCTGAAAGAGGAGAAGGAGACCTGGAAAATGAATTGGATGAATTGGAAGCACAATTAGATGATATGTACAGTACTTATCAAGAAAGAAGAGCTGAAAGAGATGCCAATTACCGTGCTAAGAAGTTGCGTGGAGATGTTGATGATGAAAAATGGGAAGGTATCAAGTCTGACGAAGAAGATGAAGGTGAAGAAAAGGATTACGATATGGAAGTTGATAGTGACAGTGATTCTGACGATGATGAGCATATAAAGTCTTTGGTTGCTGAAAAGAAAACCGATGGATTATCAAGAAGTGCCAAGGTATTTTTTGCATCCGATTCAATTTTTGGAGAAATGGGTGATGAAGAATTGATGCAACAAATGGCTGGTAAGAAGGAAGAAGTACAAGCACAAGCACAAGACAATAAGAAGGATTCTAAGGTTAAGTTGCAAGCTAAGGATGATTCTGATTCCGACTCTGGTGATGATTCTGAGTCTGATTTTGAGATTGTTCCTGCTGAAAAGGAACTTGATGATGATGAAGATTCTGATTCTGATTCCGACTCCAATACCAAATCATACAAGGGTAAAGATCATCAACAAAAGGTTGATCTTGCCACAGTCGAAGCCATGACCTTGGCCCATCAACTTGCATTAGGACACAAGAATAAGAGTGATTTAGTGGACGAAGGTATCCATAGATACTCTTTCAGAGATCATGACAACTTGCCTGAATGGTTTGTGGATGAAGAAAAGAGACATTCCAAGATTACCAAGCCAATTACCAAGGAAGCCGCACAGGCCATCAAGGAAAAGCAAAAGCAATTGAATGCTAGACCAATTAAGAAGGTATTGGAAGCCCAAGGCCGTAAGAAGATGAGAGCTATGAGAAGATTAGAGAAGTTGAAGAAGAAGTCTGACTTGATTAATGACAACACAGACAAGTCTGAACGTGACAAGGCTGAAGAAATTCTGTCCTTGATGAGAAAGATGACCAAGAAGCAGAAGCAAAGACCAAAGGCCACTTTGGTTGTTGCTGCCGGTGCCAATAAGGGTTTGAGTGGTAGACCAAAGGGTGTCAAGGGTAAGTATAAGATGGTTGATGGTGTCATGAAGAATGAACAACGAGCCTTGCGTAGAATTGCAAAGAAGCACAAGAAATAGAGTAGTAGTAGCAGCAATTCACAATACAGATAAGAACAACGCGTAGAATTCACATGAGGTAGCTAGTCTACAAAATAGAACAAGTTCAAGAGAATAGTTTACGAAGTAAAATCAAAGAGTTAGAACAACACACGGTCTAAATAGGTTTAAGATCAATCCATTCTGGTAATATCAGCCCATTCGTAAAACAATTTAAGCTTCTATCTAATCCAAGGAGCGGCTGGAGTAGCTTTTCAAATTTAAGCATGCAGCTTATCTTCTAGACTCTCGCTAATAGTAGCTCGTAAGATATATTTGTCATATGTATCGCATTCTCAAACAATCAAAAAAAATAAAATAAATAAATAAATAAATAAAAAAAATAACTAGATAAAGAAAAAAAGAATGACGTTGTGTGTTAACCCGCGGGAGTAATCAGACTGCAAGATGGTCTATAAACTAACCTTTCATATACTAAAATAGAACGATGTACTATGAATTGGAGAATTTCAGTTGATCCCTTGCAACATGCTCTTCCAGCTTATATCGTAGCTCGGGAAAAACGAAACCCTAAGTCGTACTTGTGCATTGGAACATTCAGTTCTAGAACACCCATTCAACCGGATAAACTATTTTTTTGAAATCCATGAATAACGATCTTGTGCAAGTGTAAAAAATTACCAACTAGGAAATAAGGGGTTTCCATGAAGACAGAATGTTGTTTTGGAACGTATGCAAGAACATGTACAGTTCATCCTTCGCAGACGTTGCGATGTCCGTCCCATGCATCGGGGACCGCTGGTTTCCAAATTCTAAGGCAAGTTTAAATTTTCTTACCATTAAAAATGTTTCCCCTGTTTCAAACAGAAATTGAATAATTAGTTGCATCCATTAGAGTTAAAGCTTATCTAGTAGAATCTGTAAAACGTGTGTGTTTGTGTGTTTTTTTTCGGAGCAAGTAACAGCGAGAACGAGAACTGAATACCAGGAAGGGGGTAGATAAGCGTTTCAGTCTCAATTAGGTAGAATGAGAGGTGGCTTAAGTCTTACGATACAGTATTATCCCACAAGCAAGTAAAGGTCGTGTTATGAGTGTGTGGCGGCGTTCAATAATCTCCATTGTCTCTAATCGCCGCCAGAGGGGAACTCCAACATTCAATATCAACACCAAAAAATTTCCCCAACTTACGCAAACCCAAAAAGTAGGCCCACCCCAAGTCTATACCCCGCCGAAAATAATTCTCGATGCCCACGTTTGTGAATAGCCGCCCCACCACGGTATGGGCGTGTCCAGTCCAGTTACGGTGACGCGCGCGTTAAATAGGGTTCTTTTTTTTTTTTCCTTTTTTTCCTTTTATTATTATTATTATTGTATTTTGTTTTCAATTTCATGCAAACTATTCCACGTCCTCTGAGAGTAATTATACGAAAGCGTTTTGTAACTCGTTGGCCCCTGCAGGAACGGGCCGGTTTCCTTCGTCCCTTTTCGTTCTGTGACCTGAATATCACTATGCACTTCTTCCTCTTCTTCTTCTTCTTTTTTCTTCTTATTTAAAAACTTTTTTAGTTGAAGGCCAGTTGTGAAGTAGCTACTGCTTGCATCGTACCCCGTGTCAGGATCTGTTAACCATTTTTTCACTTCTATTTGTTGCGTCGCGTGTTGCTATCCCTCTAAACTCGCCCGAACCAGCCGGTAACTCTTCTTGCGTTTTTACCTTTTTTTTCCCTCTTTTTTTTTTTCCTCTCTTTGTCCTTTGCGTCAAAAAATTTTTAACGAGGACTTGCAAACACAGCCCTTGGTCTTTATCGTGAGCCTTAGCAGCGTCCATATACCCTGAGAAACCTAACCTGGCATTTGTCCCGGGGCCAGCCAGACCACCAAAGACCGCAAGACGCGTTCAAATATTTCCTTACCTTGTTTTGTGCTGTCATTCGTTCCACTCCCTTGCATATAAGTTCATGGTATGACTTCACTTCCTAACCCGTCTCCACTAACTTCAACCCTGGTGTTACTATCAACCCCACCAGTCACGGGCGCAGGGGGCAAGCGCCACAGACACCGGCGGTCTGCTGCGATTCTGGGTGACTTTGATGCCATGGGACTTGGCCTTTTTTCGCCTCCTTCCACCTCCAATCATCCCCTGAGGAAACCTTCAATCCCTGATTTCGACCTTGATAAAAACTTTCATTTTAATAATCAAGAAGATTTTGCTAAACCCGATAAAACCATGGATTTTTCCTTCCCTAATAGACCATCTTCACCTGAAACTTTGGATGATTATCATACAGCTTCTGCCGGGTCTCCAAGAACATTTACATCCCCACCTAAAAAGCATTATACTCACAGTACAAACTTGAACTCTCCTATACGACTAGCTAGAAAGTCAGCATCAGTGCATCTTGCCCCTAAAACAAGGTTTTTCCTCACCGAAGAAACTAATATCAATAATGAAAATGTACCGGATGCAGTGATTGATCTTGATGAGGTACTCAGTGCAAACTTACATATTGGAGAGCAATCTACGGGGGCATCAAGGTCTTCATCTGTCGGACATACCAGAAGCGAGCTGGCTCCATTTGATATGTATTCCGAAGAAGACTCTTTATCCTCACCCTTTCTCAGACTGTATGCCAGTCCCTTTATTTCATCTCCACTTTCAAGCTCAAATAATCATTTGTTTCAACAACCAATTCAAGAACAATTCACCGATGATATTGAGGAGATTCTGGAAGAACCTTCAAATGCTTCTAACAAATTGGATAGTTTGGGTGCCATATTTGCCGTTGATGATCATCAAACATCATCAACGATTGCAACCCCTGAGGAAGAGTTGATGTTCCCCAATCCACAATCTGCCTTAGTTGGGCTTTATTCGAATGATTCTGCCAATTCTTCCAGTTCAAGTTTACGTAGTAACACTACTAGAATTGCGTCTAGTCATCATTCTATTGAGAAGTCATTTTCAAATGATTCAACCAATTATTGTAGTAATCATTCAAATACAAACTTGAATTCCACACCAGGCTCATCAAAGAGATCGGGTGCCAAGGCTACCCGATACCAATCATTTTATGACCAATCATATAAGATCTCCAATGCATTGAAGGTTTCATCATCGGAAAGCATCAACATTTATCATGATGATGGAACTTCTAGTCTTCCCAAAGAAATTAGAATATTAGGACATTCATCGAGTTTACCAAGTTTGAAAACAACTTCTACAGTGAAGAGAAATAATCAAAAACTTCCAAGATTTGGAGAAATATATAGATTTGTTCCCGCAGCTCCAACAGCTTCTATACAACAGACCAGATTGATTTCTCCACCTCCTACGGTAAAATCACAAATTATCCTGCAACAACAGTTTCATCATCCTGTGCGTGTATCCCAATCTAACCCAAACAATTTACACAATCTTTCGAAAAATGTTTCCAATAGTCCCATCAGTATGAATTCCGAAGTTTCATCTACTATCATATCTTCTAATGCTACCATTCAATCTACAGACCACTCTTCTTTGCATGATCAATCTAATTCATTTGCTTCCAAGGCTGCTTCGGAAAACACGGTTCTTGATGCTCCACCTCTGATAGTAGTAAGTAGCTCTGAAGATGTCCTGGCAGGACGTGGCGATACAACTACACCAGTGTTAGATCAAGGAATAAGATTTGACCAAAATTCAAATACTACGAGGAAAAATATCCCACCTCCAATAACTGTTGCGAATGTATCACCAACAAGAAATGGCGTTTCTACAAGTACTGTCGCGGCCTCTACTTCAACCTCGACAAGCACATCGACCAGAAGTTCTAGGGGATCACCGAAAAAATCTACAATAGATAAGGCTAGAAGACCCTTATCTCCGCAAGAAGAATCATTTTTGAAAGAAACACAAATACCGTCATTTAGATCCAAGACACTGAAAAAGGTGGAAAATCAACAACACAATACCCATCAAAGAACTAAATCTCGGTCGTCTATTTCCCAAGATGAAAACGATGACTTGAATAGCTTGAGACTGGCCAATAAGCGTAATAGCAGATTCATCAACTGGTTGAAGAAGAGGTAAAAACATTGCTCAGTTAGCATACGCGCAGGACATATACCCAACAATGTACATTAATATCTTTTATCAGTATATATAAATTTTAATAAATAAATATATAAGGATGTATATACGTATCATATCACCCCAATGGATGTACGTTGAAAAATGGAAGCTGGGTCTTAGTTGCTTTTGCATTCGGCCCACTTTGGTCCTTGGCAGAACGACTGTATATGTGTTCGCGAAATTTAATTTGCAACACCACCTGACCTCCTAGGCATATATTACACCAGGACACTTCACTGGACATCACCAGCTTATTAAAAAGTACATTGGTATTCTCTTTTTTTTCCATATTTTAGACTCTTTACAAATGTTATTTGAACTTCCAAAAGATTTCACCGAGACGTTGGCCAACAAATACGAGTCAGCAGTCGCTGATAACTCAGTTGTATTTTCTGACAAAGTCACCAATGAGTTAGTCAACAATACTATTGGTGAGGGCGAAACCTCAACAAAGGTTGATTTCCAACTTACCATTCTCCAATCCTTGCAGCATCGGCCCACAGGAACCGTGGATAAGAACCCATTCGAAAATCCAGAACCTGAATTAACTGTGGTGGAAAAGTACGGACCTGATGATGAATTCCGAATTGTATTCAACAAATTCCCAGTCGTACCGCGTCACTTTATGATCGTCACCCGTGAGTTCAAGTCTCAAAATACCCCATTATCGTTGAATGAGTTGGTTGGCGCATACACCCTCTTGGCACGTCTTCGTAAGGATGATTCCGACCATGACTGGATGGCCTTCTACAACTGTGGACCGGAGAGTGGTGCCTCGCAACCTCACAAGCATATTCAATTCATGACCATTCCAGACCTGTTTGCACCATTTGCCAGCCAATTGGCTGACACCACTGAAGCTTTTCTTCCCAACGATAAGGAGGAACCTTTGGTGAATGCAGATATCCCATTCGCCCACTTTGTGGCCCGTCTTCCAGACAGTTCCGAAGACCTTCTTCTGGACCCTGAAGATTTGACCATGTACTTTGTGTCGCTTCTTCAAAGGGTTCTTACTGTGCTTAAAGAGAATGAAGCTTCTCACGTTTCCTACAACTTCATCATGACCACCAAATACATGATGTTGGTGCCACGTTCGCATGCCAAGTACGAGGATCTCGGGATCAACAGTTGCGGCTATGCTGGGCTCATATTGTGCAAGAACGAAGAATTGCACTCACTTGTTACTAAGGTTAGTCCGGTAGCTATCCTCGATGCATGTGGCTTCCCTAACACCAAAAAGGACCACAGTGATGAATATAAATATTAGAGAATATATAGTGATTAAGATTACTCATTACACACTACCCAGCTGAAAGAATGTAGATGTAGACTATCTAATGATTATAAAAACGACTTAAGGCTACCACTAATAATTTACCTGGGCAAAAAGTTCTAAGAGTAAGGTGTAGTAACAAAGTTATATAATTAAACAACCTTAATGTTTATTTTATCTCTAGCTTCTATCCCACACACCAAGGACAATAATGAAAATTCTTTTATTTCCTCATTAGGAAGTCTACCCCAGAACTCAAAATGGGCAGGAAAAAATGTTGTTCTGTTATACCCTAATTAGGAAGTCAACATGAGCCAATGAGACAATCACAATTTTCAATTCTAATCCAAATCTCAAAAGACAAAACCTATACTACCTGCTTGATACACATTCATAGTACATCAGTAACCATGGCTTCTATTACCTCCGTCGTTAAGGCTGCTGACTTCATTTTGTCCAGACCAACCTTGTCCAAGGTTGTCACCCCATTGGCCAAGCTCTTCGTTTCCTATGCTGGTTACAGAGAAATGGGTTTAAAGTATGTACACCTCTAATTATTGCAGATATGTCATTAAATTTTGGCCTCCATTATTGTGTGATTATCATTGAGATACGATAAGTTTGGTGTAGCTGGCATACTAGCTTGAAAGAGCTAGGATTTCCTAAGAATTGTTTCCCCCAGAAAACAGTCTCTACATTTTTACGTGTAAGCAATATGCAAGTTACTAACAAGACAGGTTCAACGATTTACTTATTGAAGAAACTCCAGTCATGCAAAAGGCCATCTCCAGATTGCCAGCTGACGAAAGTTACGCCAGAAACTACAGATTCATCACAGCTCATCAATTAGCTTTGTCGCACCAATTGTTGCCAGCCAACAAGGCCGTCAAGCCAGAAGAAGACACCCACTACTTGATCCCATACATCTTAGAAGCCGAAAAGGAAGCCTTTGAAAAGGCTGAATTGGACAGCATTACCGTGTCTAAATAAGCAACATCGTCAAACTCAAAGTGTATACAGCAACATTTAAAATATATATATATATCTATTAGCATCCAAAATTTGTAAACGTTAACATCAACCTTTTAAAGAGGCTAAAGCCTGTTATAGTGGTATGTCGTGATTCTGTATTCCATTGTTCTGTTTTCACAAATCATAGCATCAAATGAGTTGTGCGGCCATACCCAACTTCTGGTCTTTGGTATAAGTATAGGTATTACAACATAAACATTAAATATTTAAGTTTTTAATACATATCAACGCAAATAAACTCTATAGTTAAAATTTCCCGCTTCATGTGAAGTTGAGTTTCCAGAGCTGATTAATATTAATAAGTTCAATTTGATGAATACGAAGGAAAAAGCCAGAGATTCTACAATTAGTGACTCTAAATTGAATTAGTATAATTTCTATAAACCTGTAGGTAGGTGGGTTGGTGTCCATCAGTACACGTCAGCGTACTGGTCTCTCGTTCTATAAATATATTAGTAGAGGTTTGAAAGTTTAGAACATACCAATCTTGTACTTTCTCAATTGTTCTAAAGCCAAAAATGTAACAATAGTGTGTGGGCCCAATCTAATGAAAGATGGTAACCAACCACGGAACATAAAGCCAACACCCTCGTTCTTGACAGCCTTAGAAAGAATTGTAAGCGCACCGCCATCACTGGCACCCTTGGCATTCATGATTCTAGTCTTGACAACATCCGCTGGTGAGCACACTGTGGTAGCTACCAAGCCTGCAAGCAAAGATGCACTAAAATGAGTAGACTTCTTTGCTGGATCTAAATTCAAGTGATCAACGAGCAAACCCTTGGCAAGATCGTAGGTAACAACCTGCGAAGCGGTCATCAACACACCACGAACTAAGTTAGGGGTCAAACCACGGAACAAAGTCGATATGTTTTCTTCCTTAACAATTCTGAAAATACCGTCAAATGCATTTCTATAGTTTCTTCTTTGAGCCACTGGAAGACTGGAGTCATTTTGCATTCTGATGTTGACAACATCTGAAGGATTTCCGACCAAACCACCGAGAGCACCAGCCAACATGGACATAGGCAATAATACTGAAGTGGTTGGTTGTACGTTATATTTGGTCACGTATGACTCCTTCAACCACTCATAAATACCAAATCTAGCCGTGGAGTATGTAGCTTGTCTCAAAAGAGATGCCGTAAGTCCGGAATAAATCTTAAAGAATCCTTCTTTGGTTATAATTTGGTATACCATTGAGGCAAGTGATTGGCCTGGCTTAGTGGCAGTTTGTAAACGGACCTTGGCCAAGTCAAGTGGGTGAGTTACCATACAGGCGGCCATACTGGCGGCTCCACCGTACCAAAAACTGCGTATTTGTTAGTACTTCAAAGGTAAACAATGATTGATATTCATTTTATTCGCCTAAAACCGACTTCAAAGCTGACATGAAGCTCTTTGGGGTAAGGCTGTCTCTACTTACGGATAGCTAACTTTAGTTGACATGATAATTTAGGGGGTATAGTACAAAGAAACTATGTGTTCTCAAACTGGTGATATATTTTTTTTACAAAGATAAAAGAAACAAAGAAAAAAAAAATTCCGAAAAAAAAACTACAGAAATCGATGATTCTGAAAACCTGACAGAGGTCCAGAATGAGGTGAGGGGTGGATAAAACTATGTAATCGGTGCGTCGCTGTGTACAATACACGCCTAGCATAGAAGTTACATGTAAAAATATGTCTGTTCTCCTCACTAGTACCTAGTACATCTGCGATACATAAAACTCCGCACCGAAAAGAAGAATAGTTACATACGCAACTGTCGATAACACCTGAACTACCAGTTCTTCGTATTTCTACATTGCGAGCGTTTTTAAGGAAGTGTGTGTGGTCTAATATTATACTGTTTACCTAACTTAGGGCCCGTGTACCTTTCTTTTATACCACAATAATACTTAATAGTGATTCAGCCGTTGATCCTTTTTGACATCATCGCGGACTTTTTCGGAAAATGAAATTGCGGGTCCCGGAAATTGTCGGAGTTCTATCCGATCTTTTCCTGCCGCCCCTCTCCCCCGCTCTCGCGATACAGTCTTCCTCCCTAAAGAAGACAAATCCATAAAGTTAATCGTAGACCCAACAAACATTCGATGATATCTATTGAACTGTTGGCTTAGTTGTATTGTTCAACAAGAAAATGGATCACCTCATACATTAATTAGAGTTAGAAAATTTCAAACATTTTAATGGGAACACAGTGCAAATTACGTGACGACATATTGTAATTTACTTAGAGTATGAGTACTATTTTATTAACAATATGGGCATAACTAAAATAGAAGAAGCAATGTCAATGAAGATCAGTTGAATTTCTTGTGTTCAACAATAACAGGGAGATCCAATTCGCCCCTCTCAGTTGGATGAAGATGCATCATTGTTTTTATTTAATCAATGACAGCCACATAACGGCTACTCTGTGGAGATTTCATTACAAATTTACAATACAAGTTAATTCAATCTTTATTATACCGAAGAATTAGATTACAAATAAAATATCGGGATTGCCTATTTGGGACTGGTATATCTGTTGGTTTATTCTTCCCCTTCTCAATTCTACTGACGGGCAGTCACTGACTTGACTGTACAACAAATTAGTTGCTTGCAAAGTTTACAATCATAGCCTGATACCCAAGTATTGTTACAAGTGATATGGGAAACATAGTATGGGAAACATACTTCGCAATTTCGCCAACAAGAAATTATTCCTGAAACTAGTGCAATGAAGCAAATCGAGGTGAATGATGGGTTAATAGGGGAATTCAATGGAACTCTTTTATTCATATTATGGTACCAATATCATGTGAGATCAGGAACAAAAGTATTTTATTGTACATTAATTGTCAAAATTTTATTGTGCTTTATGAATAATTACATAGTCTTCCTTTATCCACAAAAGGGTACTTTGAGTGTAATGTTTCAAGATGTTTGGTTAAGTTTTCGGATTATAAGTTAAATTACTATGAACTCTTTCAAGTAAGGTAGATGATAGCTAATGCAAAATATTGTCGATTGATCATTTTTTATGAGTGGCAAATTTTCCTGCAAACTTCTTCCAGACCCCATCTCTTGCCCCCCGTTTTCTCTTATTGCTCCAAAACATCAGTATATCAAAACTCTTCAGCAGAGTTACCAGACACAAACACAGATAATGTCAATCTAGTTGTATTTTGAGAGAATGTTGGCAAATTGACGTGAATCTTATCTGAAGGTAAGTAAGCCAAAGGAGGTTTACCAGAATTAGATCCCAGAGAAATCAATGGGAAGAGTGAGTGTCAGAAATTCTAGCTGCAATATGACATAATTGGATACTTTGAGGCAAGTAATCTTTAACTATCCTAGTGAAGATTTAGCTAGAATGTTTCACTATACGAACGCTAAATAATACATTATATGATCATGTAATTCATGTATTCCTTCCATATTTGGCGAAGCTGAATCTTGTAATCTCATACCTCAAGGTGTTGGTATCTAATCTTATCTTTTTTTTTTGTTATTGTTCATATTCATACTATAAGAACTTGAGTATGAGAAAGTAAATTCTCTGCGTCTGGGAAAGCATGCCCTTTACTTCAACAGACCGTGTAATGTTGGACATCTCCGAATCTGCATCAAGCACACTCAGCTCATTTCATTACATTGAAGAATCTAGTTTATACTCGTGTATGTTACACAATCCTATCCTCCATATAAACCCACTATATAGGATCCTTCACAGAACACCCTCCAAAAACCACCAAAATTATACATATGAAACTGATTGAGAAATTTTTATTAAGCAAGACTTGGAGAAGGTAAAATTTGGGCAATTTCTAATTAATAAATTGCAATGATAATGTTAGATACCTTACAAGGGGGTACATTTTTAGAAGAGTAGTAATACAGAAATTTATCTTTGAGCATTAATCTCGAATAGATTAAAACCTAATTTTTTTCTACTGAATGTCGTGTAGTGGTCATTTTGAAATCTATCGTTCTTTTACAATAAAGTATTTTTGCAACCAAAAAAAAAAAAAGAAACAAAATTAGATCCTTGAATTTTGGTCAATGTTACACTTGAAATGTAAGAAATAACAAAATTTCTCCCATAAAAATAGCTCCCAAATATACCTTGTTAATTCATGAATAAATTTTTAATCTCCGTTGATTGACTGATTGACATTGTAGATGAAGGTTATCTATCGAACCAATTGAATTGTCCATTGAGTTTTGTATTTTTTTTTTCTTTTTTTTCTTTTTATTAAAGGACTAATATTACATATAACAAACAAAATTTAGGGCGGATAATATACATAGGTGGTAGTATACGGATATTATCCTAATTTGGAAACTGATTTCACAATTTTCTTTGTGATAACTTACCTTCATTTGTGTTAAACCACAATCGCGACCTTGTATTCTATTGAACTACGATTATCAAAAATGTTTTTTCTTTCCTTACCTTTTCTTGAATATAGTTTCACAAATGATATTTGTTAGTTGGTTATCATATTCATTTATTTTCATATGTTTTATAAACGTATCCAGATTGATATGAATTATATAATCTTTTACACAACTTTCCGTCAAGAAAAGTCAATATAAAACAACCTAAAAAACATCCTACACTAGACACAAACATTGAGTTGGTACAAACCTACCAACTCCAGAATTGAAGTATATAATAATGGAAAGCAAAAAAAAAAAAGATGATAAATTCAAAGAAGATGAAGTATAGATTAAAAAGATAAAGTTGAAGATTAAAAAAGATAAAGGTAAGAATAAAGAAGAATAAAAAAACGGTAAAGATTAAAAATAAAAAGTTAAAGATAAAAAAGATTAAAAATAAAAAGTTAAAGATAAAAAAGAGTAAAGAAAAGTTAAAGAAAAGTTAAAGAAAAGTTAAAGAAAAGATAAAGAAAAGACAAAGAAAAAATAAACAAAAAATAAACAAAAAATGATGAACAAAAAGGTATAACAAAAAGAGAAGTATAAGAAAAAAATTAAAAAGAAGTAAAAAACAACAGAAAGAAACGAAAAAAGATTAGGTTACAAAGACAAGAAAAAAATAAAAACTAAAAGATATCAAGAATTACAAGAATGAATAATGAGTGAATACATTCTTAGCAATTGTCACTCACTCCTGGGGGTTAAATCAATGAATGAAGTTACATCTGGGGAATCAGGTTGAATACTTATCTGGATGTTATTAAATAACCTCAATTTAGAGGACTGAGACAGAAATTGGTAGCAGAAAAAAAGTAAGTATAAGAAGAAGCAAAGGAAGCAAAACAATGAAGACACACAAGTGATTATAATCTAAAGGAAAAGGCTTAACATTAGCCAAATTAATTTATAAATATGTGATGGTGGAGGGAGAATTGGAACGGAAAATGGAAAAGATAAAAAATAAACAAGGATACAGAATGTGGAAGTGGTTGCAGAAATAGGGTGACAAAACAAGGGAGTTTCAGGGTTGAAGATTTTGTTGGGAAGTGGAATTAGTAGGTGACACACTAGTGCTTTGGCACTTGGGTCATCTAGCGGAGAATTATGAGATGTCCCTTTAGTGTGAAAGCACTTGGGACGTGGTGGGGTTTGGGGATGCTCCTTCTGTGCTTTTTTTGCACGGTTTATAATAGAGCGTCTCCGGTGCGTTGCTGGCCAGACAAATTTAAAAGTACTCGAGTTTGCACGGTTGTGCAAGTCTGGTCAGTGTATCGTTGGCACTAGTTAGATTGCGTCAATGATACGTAGGTAATTCGCACAGATGGAGTGTGATCTAATAGCACAATTATCAGCTAGGGTCACCGGGTTTATTTGAAATGAAGTAAACAGTTGTTGTACAGTTGGGGGATACCTGTGATGCGTTGCTGATTAGTCTTGAAGTACTCGAGTTGCACAGTGGTGCATGACTAGTCAGAATGTAATCCGCACCAGGTGGGGCGTGACAACCGGTAAGTTTGTACTTGCTGGGGTCACCGGGTAGGGTTTGCAGGTGATACGCGAGCAGTTTGTAAGTCTTGGGTCACCTGCGGTGCGTTGCTGACCAGTTACTTTGGAGTACTTGAGTCTGCACATTTGTGCCTGGCTGGTCAGTGTATCGGGCTCGATACAAAGGTAATCCGCACCTGCTGAGGCAATGACAGCCGGTACAATGACAAGTGCTGGGGTCATTGGTGGGTTGTGCTGGTGATGTGCTGTTATAGGGTACATATTTAGTTCGGGACATGAAGTCGGGTTGCCAGGGTAGAGTACACATGGTCCATTTTGATCTGTAGGTGTATTTGTAAGCGCCCAATGAGGCGTCCATACATTGAGGTATGGGCGTAGTCTGAGGGTGTGCGGCAAGTGCTGGGGTGTGTCTCCAGAGCCGGTCTGCTAGTGTGCGGACGTCACTCGGATCCACTTTTACGAGTGGAGATCGAGTCGATGGCCAGCACTAGATTCTGACTCTGGGCGCTACTTCACCTATGTGCCGTACACGTATCAGCCTTACTGGGTGATCAGCTAGCCACTTGGCCAGCTGGTGTGTAGCATGCACTGGGGTGACCCCACCTTGGGGTTGGCCTGGTAGTGCATGGGTGACGCTGGGGTCCACCACTACGGTTGGACCTCTGGCCGATACCCTGCACTCCATGCCGACCGCGAGGGTCCTCACCGGTGTGTGCTATACACCCGCCAAGGGTCTGGCTGGTTTGTAGATACACTACCCAAGTCTCTATGGGTAGTGTGTGAGTATTTACCTGGGGTCGGCCGCTACGGTCGGACCATTTTTTGATGTTCCCCGCCTACCACTCCTCTCTTGTTCCATAACCCAGTTTCTTAATGTTTCTACCAACTGAACCATGAATATACATTACTCTTAACGTATACTTCGTCATGGTCTGTTTTAGTTATCTGTGGAGTTATTGTGTTGTAAATTCAAAATGTGTGTTGCAAAAGGTCGTGCGTTGTCCATTTCTAAAAATACTTTTTTACCACATTTACAAAAGGTTTGGTTTCAGATTATGCACATTCCTCAACTGCGTGCACAATCTGAATATTTAGCCTTGGCTGCCAACAATAATAAAAAATAAATTATTTTCTTCCCTGCACCTTTCTTGGATTTGTGTGTGTACCAGATCTAAAGTATAAGAAAATACAATTTCCACGGGTGACAGCTATTGCGCTTGTGCAGACACAGTTGAACTGACAATCGAAGTTCGTGGACAATGGTCAAGCGATTTGATCTACGTGCATACTACAAGTTGATCGACTAGCCAGCCTACCCGCTAACCTTCTGGTGCTTAATATGTAGCACACACATTTGGGCGCTCATTGGGAAGGAGATTATGTGGAGATCAAGGGAACAACTAGTTGTCCAACCGTAGAGGTAGACCCCCGAGCCACCCACACACAACCTGGACAACCCCAAGGGGTGCATGCTACACACCAACTGGCCAAGTGGCTAGCTGGTCACCCTCAGAACACGCCCATATCTCAATGTATTGACGCCTCATTGGGCGCTTACAAATACACCTACAAATCAAGATGGACCATGTGTACTCTACCCTGGCAACCCGACTTCCTGTCCCGAACTAGTATATCCACACTATATATTTATGTCTTTAGAATGAGTAGTGTACGTCGACTGAAGTAACACATAGCGCAAGTGAGTCAACGGAGCAGCTCAATAAGTTCAGCATCAAAGCATCAATCTCGGCAACAACCCATGCCGAGCCGGTATTCCAACCCAAAAGTAAATGGATAGTACTAGATTGACGTCAAGGTTCATTACACAGCGATAATCAATCACATATCAGCAACTGCTTCCTGGTGAGTCATAGACCACTAATGGCCAGGTGGATATAAAAAAAAAAGCACCGAATCTCTAATTTAAACATAGCACGGGTCTCTGTGGCCAAGTTATCAAGGACACTAATTAAACTGGAAATGGGTCTAAGGATAAATCATAAGATTTGTTAGTAAAGGTAATTTGAAGAAGAATAAAATCTTATGGAGCATATCAATTCAGAATACATGGATATTCTAAAAAGTTGAACGGAAAAATGATGGGACTCACCGAAGGAACAAAATAAGTTTTACACTGATCTTATTGTACTTTTTCTGAAAATATGATAACCCTCTTAAGTAATCCCCACAGCTTCAATCCACAAACCAAGTGTCCACAAACCAAGTGTTCACAAACCTAGTGTCCACAAACCTAGTATCCACAAAGTCAAAACCAGAATATACATCAACAAACTCCATACAATATACAGGTCTTATCAGTATTTCCCGTATCAATAAATGACCGCATGAACTTTTGCTTGGTTACAAATATGTGTTGCATATGGTTTTGATAGAATAAGCAATTATTACATTTTTAACAAGGACGTTGGTACAGCTTAAAAATGATCGTTGATTAGCATCCTTTATGGGTGTATCAAATACAAGAGCTACTGGTGAAGACATTTGACTTAAATCATGAAGATACAAGGTCGCAATGGAGAGAAGTGACAGAGGAGGGAAGTGCGGTCTTAGTAAATTTACGAATTTTATATACGTAACGCGGTACTGTACTATACTATTTACTATATTTTATAGACGCGTAGAATTTTGGGGTTGTCTCCTGCATTTTTTTCGATTGTGGATTTTGATATAGTGAATTTGTAGTTATTCTCTCCTCGTCCCCCCCTCTTACTATTTTAATAATAACCATATGCACCTTTTTGTGGTTTTAAATTTGTGGGCTCATTGCCACATAATTTGGGAAACTGGGATCATATCACTCTTTGACCTCGTTCCATTCTTTCTTTTTCTTGCTGTTTTAGCACTTATTCCAATATGTCTTACTCTCACCCTATGCCCATTTTCTGCATCTTTCTAGCATATCTACCCGAGTTGATAATTAAATTGACCACCCACTGTCTATCCATAATCTTAAAATCCCCCATCCAATTTGCTGCAAAAGGTCGTTCTTCAACCATATCGGGAGTGCAGAAATACGGAAAGATCTGATCTCCGCACTTATTTTTTACTGCAACACATGTATCGCTAAAAGTTACAAAACCAACGTCCTACTACTGACAATTTTTGTATACGAACTTTCTATGATACCAATTCTAATGGAATGGTGCGGGATTGGATGTAAAGTTGTACTAATTGAATAACATACGTTTGGCCGTATTACAAAGAAAGAGTTCACTGACTCAAAGGTGTCAGATCATTGTTTTATAATATCGCGCATTCAGTTTTCTAAGGCGAAAAAAATATTTTTCGATGGAACGTTGGCTAAAAAATAAATGTTGTTACACTGGTTCCTCCCGCCCCTGCCGGGTTTGTAGCAACCAAATTTTACGTTGTTAAATTTTGTTTGGCGGCCTGTCCAATTTAAGGCCTACTAATATGGGTCTCGTTGTCTTCGGCTTGATCACAGCACAACATGTCAAGTAAAATGAATTCCAAAAGGGCGCAGATGGATTCCATTTCTGATATTCAAGTTTTGCAACAAAATTATGTTCCAATTCATAAACAAGGTTTTCAATCACAAAATCTAAACCTTATCCCTAGTCCCCCATATTTTCTGCAATAATTATGCACCAGAAAATGTACCACATTTGCAGCTTTTTTACCGCCATTTTTGGAAACCTGAAACATCCGCACTTTTTACATATTTTCCCATTAATTGAAGATGTAGTAGATCTTTTAGGTCTAGTGTAACCACCATCAAATACATGTTTATATATCTCAAGTGAACCCGTGTTGGAGCTCTATTAGATCACCTCTCAAATGGTAGAATTGGTCATTCGACTGTGTTATATTTTTTTACAAGTCTTTCAATATTGAACCCCTTATCTCAACACAAATAAAAGACTACACATATATCAAAAAGTACTATATCTACATGTTTCAAACGGGGGGGAGTCGTTACTACGACTATCTACAGTATATTGATTTTCTACGTATAAATCGAAACGAAAAGAGCAACATGTTAATAACTGCGGAATTATGAAGCAACAGTGGTTGATTGGGGGTGGCAAAATTCTAGTCCGGTGTTAGTCAATCCAAAGGGTGTAGACCTCGTATATAGGTACCAGGGTGTTATTCTCTTCGCTCATTTATATTTCTCTGTGCTTTGACCTTGTAAATACGTAGGGCTCTGGAGACAAGTTCTAAATATGGCCATGTTGTTCTGCTCGCATATCTCGTTGAAATGCCATACCCTTGTCATCACAAATAGCATCTCTTACTGATTACCTGAATTATTTGATAATTACTTCTGTAAACTACTGTGTACTGTAATCTTTCAAAGTCTTTGTATACTTAATTGGTCATTGTTGTTCGGAATATATTATACACGTCTGTTGTACGACGCGTATAATTCTCTATAGTTGATATGTGGATTCATGACTAGCCCCCATTTTGCCACCCAAGTATTCTCAACAAAATGAATGACCATATGCACCCTTTTTGTGGTTAATTTTATGTAACTTGGTTGCCAATTCAAATTGTTGGGGTTGTCAAATTGAAACATAATATCTCCTTGATCTCGTGCCATTTCTTCCTTTTTAAGGAATTTAAGTATTTCTTCGAGTATAGTCTAATATCATCATGTACGGAGTTTCCCCATTTCTCTACGATCTCTAATCGTGTTGATAATTATGTTTACAGCACAATATATATCCCAAATTTTTAAATTCCCCCCCTTCAATGTGCTGCAAAAGATTTGTTACAGAAAGTCGTGTGTTGTCCATATCTACACTCCGCATTTATTTTTTACTGCAGCATATTTATCGCCGAAAAATGTACGTCATACTACTATAGACGGGATTCATAAGCAATGTGTTCCATATCATATTTGGTATATTTAGTATAAGAAGTAGAACTACTCTCAAGTAGTATTGGTATAAAAAATCGGTAGAATATACAATAAAAGAGGTCATCACTCAGGGATGTCAAAGAGTTGTTTTAAACTATCGCATATTCCTTCATATTAGCCGAAAAAATAATTTACGACGGAGCAGTTGGCTGCCAAAAAATAAATGTGGCCCCCCTCCTTCCTCCCGCTCCTTCCAGGTTTGTGGCAAACGATTTTTAAGTCATCATATTTTGTTTGACGGCCTGTCCAAAGCAGGACCTACCAATATGGGTCTCGTTGTATTCGGCTTCTTCAGAACACAACATGTCAAGTAAAATGAAGACTAAATCGGCCCAAATGGCTACCATATCTGATTATCTAGTTTTGCAACAGCTTCTGCTCCACTATCTAAGATCTTTTCAAGATCCACAAAACCTAATTTATATATTAAGTAAGATATTTTTTAGCCACAATATTGGTGCAATGTCAAAATGGTACCACCTCTTGACTGCGATTTTGGGGGGAAATTTCAGCTGCAGTTTTAGTTGAAATCCCCCTTATCTCTAACCAAATACACAGAGACAATTAATTATTAAAATATGCAATTTCAGCTTAATTTAAACGGGGG